CGCGCTTAAGAAAGTGGTTATCTTCTACGGTGGCTAAAGGGTAAGGATATACCCTTATAACCTCGAAGTTTAACTTAAAGCGTTTAGATCGATTGCTATAAAAGGATTTAACTAGATTGAATATTGGGCTACGCGTAAGTTAAGTGTAAGAAGAGATCGGTGAAGAGATACGGAGAACTCTTACGCGTATTACTCTACGGTTATCTATACGTATATATTACTTTAATATTTATTGGCTTACTATTACTGCGTTACTTTATTACCATAGATATAATTTACTGTCGCCTTTTCTACTATCTATAAAGAGAGACTACTCTTTTGCTATAAACTTAATCTTTTCTCTCTTTATCCGTTTTATTCTTTGTATATCCTTTATATATTCTCTTTCTTCTTTATACTACTTAACCCTAACCACCGTAATCTTCTTTCTTATCCTCGAGAAGAGGAAAAGCCCTTCTTTCTTGCTCCGTAAATTAGGGAGGCCTCGATATTATCGATCTCGACTCGATTTATACTCGTTGCTTTGAAGTCTTAGTAAGTAATCCTACCCTATCTAGATAGTTTCGATATAGGACTAACGAGATAGCGGTATAGTACTTCTCTCTCTTAATATCTAACGAACCGAATATACTTAGGCCGTCGCCGTATACGTCTAGCCTACGTAGTGTATAGCTAATATATAACGATTAAAACCAAATTATTAGCTTTCGTTTATAGAGCTAGAACTTCTATAGACTATAAGCTATTATTAACTTTATTAACTCGTTCTAGGATATTGATCTATATCTATAAGTACTCGAGGAATTTTAAGATACTATAAAGAAAGCTACCGATAACTTTATAGTAAGTATTAATAATATTTGGACCTAGGTCGAAGACGACGACCTTATTTAGAGAGCGGCGGCTAGATAACGATAAAGATTTAATAATACGTTTAGTGACCTACGTATTATCGCCCTAAATTATCGTTAAGAGTGTAATCGCGTAGGTAAACTACGTCGTCGCCTAGCGCTATAGATAAGTAATACTTTTATAGATATCGTAATTAGAACTATAACTAATAACTTAACGAGGGTCCTAGACGAATTGATTAAAGCTCGCAATACTAGGTTTAGTCCGCTAGAGGCTATGTAGCGCGCCGACGTAGAATGTCTTTAACGTCTCGCTTATTTAGGGAACTATATTAGATACGGCTAGCGGAATCGATAGATTATCTCTAGTAATATTCGTAATAGGTATTGAGCCACTTATTAACCGAATCGTCCTAAGTAGTAGGCCACCCTTACCTAAGCTACTATAATAAATAATCTACTCACTAGACTAGCTGGGTTACGTTTCGGTGCTAAAGCCATTTTAGGTAATATTAACCTAGCGACCGCGAATAAGGGTCGAGCGATACGAGTAACGTCGATAGGAGAGCCTTAAGAAATACTATAGGTCTAGACTATCCGGACTAAACGTTATACTACGCCATCTAGTATAGAGTCCACGGGTTCCGAAGATATAAGACCGTCGATCGAATCCGATTCTTAGTCTAGCGAGCTAAGTGGCTACAATCTTCGACCTCGAGGTCTAACTAACCGCGCTGGGATATAGGCACCTATAACTTAGGCCGAATCAAGTTTATAAGCTATAGTGCTTTACTCGCTAAGTCTATTAGTATTCGTATCTAGCGCACGATCTTTCGTAGATCTACGTAATATATCTCCAGTACCGAGAGAGCTATTACCCGCTCCCTCTAATATTAGTAGACGATAAGGCTCGGCCCGACCCTCGGTCAGTGGGACTTAGCTTAGTATTAGACTCGGTTCTCGATAAACAACTCCTATATCTTAGCCTAGTGGTATAGGACTTGGTTCGTAGATTACGGGGTCGATCTATAGTCGATCGAAGTCTTTGTAATCTCCCTTAGCGCGCGGCTCGCCGAACCTAAAGCGATAGCGTTAGAACTAGTCGCCTCGAGCAGTACCGACGTACCTAGCCGAGGTTATAAGTTACATTAACGAGCTCGTCGTAAGAACTCGAAATCTAAAGCTAACGGCGGATCGACTAGATACTAAAGCGATCCGATATCCCTTACCTCCGAACGTATCCGTCGCCTAAAAATATCTATAGAATCTATTCAACATTAAGGCGTAGAGTATCGCCTAGAACACTTAGTTCCAAATCGCGGACAAGGATCGTCAATTCCTAGCGAAGAGATATATAACGGTAAATCTTAACCGCGATATTCGTACGATCGTAGATACATTAAATTAAACCTATCTACGTCCTATAGATATAAGTATAGTCGCCTATCTCGAGGGCGCGTCGACCGTAACGTAACTCGCATTGTTAAATAAGCTATATTAGGGCAACCTAGTAGCGGTACGACAAATTATCCAAGAGATCGTAGGAATATACTATAGTACGCCGATCGTAGTAGAATAGGGTAGAGATTAGCACTAGTAAGGGATAACCGTAGATTAGCACGACCTCGAGATAATATTGCTCGACCCCCTTTACCGTGGCTAGTTAAATAAGTCAATAATCTAGGCTTTACTACTAATAATAATATATCGAGCATTTAAGATAGCGTCGAGAAATAATCTACCTAGGCTAAGTAACTTTATAGTTCCCTCCGAACCCCTATTAGTATAGCGAGGATAGACGAGCCCGATACAATATAACCCTACCCAACCGGTATCGATCTTACTCAATAAACCGAGACGCTTAGTTATATTAATTTATTAGGGAAATTATTGAGCTATCGCGACCTACGATCTAATTGTCCATTAAATACAATACTAGGATTCCTACCCTAGTTAGAAGGCTCGTTAAAGAAATACAATAGAAGCCTATACGTTTCTTAGCCGCCTACTAAACGAGTACCAAGGAACTCTAGTCCTTCTACAGTTTCGAAGTTAAGCACCAACTCGGGGATAGCTTACTAGTTAAGTCTAAACTAATACGGCGGATTATAGGATCTTCGCCATCGAGAACGCGCGACGCTTTATTGAGGAGACGGGTAATATACCTACCAATATTGTACCGATTACAATAGCACTACGATCTTATCTACTTAATAAATTTCGCGTCTATTTGGAAATAGAATAGTATATTCTCGATCGGGCCTAGGTACTTTAGTAATAGCGATAGCGACGAGAGGAACTCCGAAGTCGTAAAGGTTAGATATAAGATCGGCCTTTTAGTATCTCGGTTAGCTCATCTCTAACGAGATCGCTTTCTTTAACGCCTCGTATCAACACCGACCTTAATGGTCTATAAGACTTAACGATTACTAACTGATTACGAAGTAGATCGGAAACACCACGAGCCTAACCACGACAATCTCCGAGTTAATTAGGTAGGAGCGACCGACGCGATCGCTAGGTATTCGAAGGGTATAAACCTACTCTTATCGTCTTAATAACGATAATTAATTGATAGAAAAGTTCTTATACTTTCTTAGCGTTAGGGGTAGACTAATAATATCCCGTACTAAGTACGGGATATAGATCTCCCGATAGAATAGGTCGATTTTAGGATAGAGTTTCTAGAGTTTTGCTATAGGTCAAGATATAGAGTTTCTTTAGTAATTTCAAAGGGAGGGTAAAGGGGAAAAGTTCGATTAAAAGAAAACATCGGGAAAAAAAAATGGAAATATCGGGTATAGAATAGAACAATATATAGTTCGACCAAAAAAAAAATTGCCAAAAAAAAAAAAAGAAACCCTCCTCGAATAATTCACGGAAGAAATACCCCTCGAGGAGATAGCTAAGTTCAGAACCAAAGAGAATATTTCCCTAAGCTATATTCTTCAATGTTCTCGAACTTTGCTATCCCTTTCGTCGAGGATAGTGGACCTTACTATTATTCTCGCTCGTAAACGAAAAATGGCTAAGTTGGTATACTAGATCTTAGCTCCTAAGAAGAAGCCGAACCCCTATAATCGCTGCCAAGAAATAAAAGTTATACTGAGTCATCTTAAAACTTGGCGGAGGGAGGATTGGAGAGGTGGCAACCTACCTCAAAACGACAGCACAACGACGAGAAGTCATACGATTATGCAATTACCTGCGTTCGATAGCGCTAGATGAGCCGAGCATAGTGCACCCATTCCCTTCCAAATTATCGACGGTGGACGCGCATGAGACGAAAGGTGCACTACCGGGGTGCACCACCTGGAATTGGAGAAGACCGGCCCGCCCGATTGGCCGCCCCACCGAGGTGCACTGCATGATTCCGGCCGGCCTCTCGGCCAGGGTGCAGAGGCTCAGCAAGCGTAGCGACGAGAACTCGGCGGAGTAACCCCTGTCTTGCTTCCGAGAACCTTTCCGTCCAGAGGCTATCCGCTCACGTAATACCTAGGTGCAGAATCTAGTCGCATGGTGTAAAACGTGGCGACGCGCGCGCATCTTCGGCCGTTGTATTCTCAATGTTAGGTCTCGTGCTACCTGCTCCCTTCCTTGACGCTGAATGGGAGCTGATGGATGTCAGCGAGATTGAGAAAGAGTTGATCCAAATCTCCGATTCTACCAAATGTCCTGCAGTGGGGATGGCGGCAGTGCCACCGATTGGGTTCGTGAAGGCCAAGGTGTGATTCGATCATGGATCGACCACGAGGACCACGAGGACCATGAGGTGGAAGATGGCGAAAGGACTGGGTCTACCCCGCTTTCAATTGCCAACCGGACTCAGCTAGCGCCTAGGGCGAAAGCCTGCTTGATGGCACTGTACTGGTTAGGTTCCACTGTCGGTGCCAATCGCGTGTCCGTAGTATTGTAGGAAGAGCAAGAAGAATGGAATTTTACTATTGAAAGGTCGGAACACTAAGCGAACACTTGAGGATGCCCGACATGGGGGACAAGTGCCGGCCTAGTCAATCATTGGATGTGTAATATGGGAACAACAAGCGGAACATCGGCTGGGGGCCCCACGTACGAGAAAATCATCGCATTGCTCCTATTAGAGAACTGTCATCAGTTGTGTGGATCAGTGTCCAGAGCTCCAAAAAGCCCTTAACGAGACCATTGCGTAAGACCATTCAACACGACATATTTCAAAGGCCTCCTCATGAGCTGCTCCTCGTCGGTGACTTTAGCAATATGCTGGTGGTGAGGCAGTGACTTTCTTTTATGCAACTCTTCTTCGTTTTCGATACTGCATTTGCAGTGTCAGGCTCGCTCTTCCGTATCCCGAGTATGGATCACTTACTGGAAGAAGATCATGAAAACAGTGTGTTCTGGCTCATCGCCACGACCTTCGTACGACCTGTAATCTGACACGGCAGGTTCGTTTTTCCTAACCTCTTCGGTCACCCACTTCACCAGCTCTTCGACGCGCGATACCTTGTCCGACTCAGGATAGACGGTGACGAGGACCGGAATGGGCATGTTGGAATCAATCAATTCAGGGCTTTGGAACTGGTGGTACGCCTGACTTTGATCGTTTCATGCGTCCGTGAGCCTGCTTTTGTACCCTGTGTGCGGGATGTATCAGCTGGACAAGAGCGTTGCTGCACCTCGTATTAGCCAAGGTCGAGACCAGGTCTGGTTTGGACATCCCCTCAATTCTGCCCCTGCGTTCCCTGCTTGGCAGAGGGGAGCTGCAAGATGCGATATCTGGACTGAGCAGGATGTCTGTCAGAGGCCGTGCCATGAAGTATAATCCCCTGCCGTAATGCCATGCCACATGCTTGTGCATCGCACATGCCGCAACCACCTCGCTTGTCTCGCAAACTCTGCACACTTGGTGTCAGTATGGCTCCCCTAGCTCTCGTATGAGAGCCAGTAGAGCTATGAGAGCTATCCTGCCTACGTGACTCGCGTAGCTCTCCATGGCTTCTGTGGCTTTTATACGGGGCCAGCGAGAGCCATGAGAGCCACTCTGATCACGTGACCCTGTGCTCTGGTTTCACGTGTCCTGCGCTTTTCCAGTTGTAATTGGCTGTTGTCACAGCTTGGCTGCGGCCTACTTAAAGGCCTTGGTTCGTAACAGTGGGATAACTAAGAAATTTTGGTATTGGAGTGAAGAGAGCGGAACGAAGCCTATCGACTCAGCGCCAAGACCTAATTTGTATGTAGAACGGTCACCGTTCCAGGCCGGAATAGTGTTAGGAATACGAGTAGCGTCCCATGCCTCCTGGAGGAACAGAGCATCGCCATCGTTGGCAAGGCGGCGGAACCAGACTTCATCACCATGTTACCCACCATCGATGTAATTGTCACCTGCTCCGAAGATCTACGCAGTTATGATAGCCACCTTGAGGAAGTTTTGAGGAGGATCGCTCAAATCAGCCAAGTGTCCTTGTCGAAACAGAGATCGAAACCTTTGGTCATCTTCAGCAGCGGCTGCAAAGACTACGGCCGCGGAGGGAGGCACGGAGACGAAGCCCTGTTACCACATACCGAGGAGAGCCCGCTCAACCGCCACCGCTATTGGCAAAACGAGCTGCTGCTGCATCGCAGAAGATGTTTGAACACGCCAACATCTTTGACTGTGTAGTGACCAGACCGACGACGCTGTTTGGTCGGTCGGGCGGTACTACTCCTACTTTTTCCGCGCTGGCAGACTTTGCAAAGGCCAATTCCCCGGAGGGCATCCTTCGCATCAGCTCGACGCCCTGCTCCAGCCTCCACAGCACACACGTGGACGATGCCGCTGCGGCTTACCTTGCCATAGCCACGACACGACGTGATATCGTTACAGGCCAGATTTATAACATCTCGAACAATCGTTACGAAACCCTTGGGGAGATTGTCGCAGTGGTTGAAAAAACTCATGGCATCAAGGTAGTGTATGCTGACCCAAACGAAACCCCTGAAAAGTCCCCCGTCATCAACGCGTTGTGCAATTTCTCCCAGTGGGTCGACTCCGCCAAATTCGTGCTCACACCGGATGGATCGACAGAAAGCCTCTGTTTCAAGATGGCTACAGTGTGTACAAGGCCGCATTTGGGATCGCCGAGACAGCAGCGACGGAACAATACGAAAGGGTAATTAGTAGAGCACGACGCGGGGGTGGGGTTCTGTAGTAGCCTCCATGTCCTCAGTGATGGTAACCCGGTCCTGGCTGGTAGATCTCCCAAATCATGAGATTTGGAATAAATCATCCCAGACCCAGGATTGCACGATATCATCGCCACCAGACCAGGCGGTAGTGATCGGAATGGAATCGTGCGAAAAGTCATGGAACTCTTGGAGTGGCGGCGGCTGCTGCTGCTGTGATCGTTCAAGCGGTGTCTGACTTGAGAATTCTGGCCGCAGGATTGGGAACAGGTGGTTGTCCTGTAACGCCTCGTAGCTACTCAGGTCTTCTTTGAGCATTAGCAAGATAATCATGAATAAGAGGACTCGGCACAACTTTGTTCTTACCGACTTGAGCATACGACGCGCCCTCGTCGAATTCTTTATACCGCTCGGTCTCGGTATCCGCCGTGACCTGCAGGTCGGTTCCTTCCCCATTGGGCCCATTGACACCCAAAGTCCCTTGCTCGCTGTACCTATATGCTGTGCCAACCTCGATATTACTTTGCGTCGACTTCGTCCGAGTGTTTGTGGTCGAGTTCCTGGCTACTGTCACGAGCTGTTGTCGGACGTCATATAGCCCAGACGGTACGACTGACGGCGCCACAGCATCGTCACTCGTGGTCAGTAGTTTGATCTCCTGAGCCATCATTGGACGCAGAAGTCGTTCAAGAAATGTACTGGATTGATCCGAAATGACGGTACGAAAGCCTAGACCTTTGGGGACTTTGATCAACTGTCCGATGCCGCGCTTTGCCTCATCTGCTTGGGCGGAAAGTGGTCGGCTTAAAGCAAAGACCGCCAAAGTAACGCCGGCGGTAAACCTCTGGATGCCAGTAAACCCGGCCAGATGGCTCTTGGCAGCTTGTCTATGAATGTCCGAGTGCTCGCCAATTCGGGGTGTTCTCAAAGCAGACTCCCAGCACTGTGACCGACTTGCGGCGAATTGTCGACTTTGCTCGTCGTCGGCGTCCGTCATCTGAGCGGTGTTTGTTCCGGGTGCCAATGGCAGGCTTCCTGCACGTGAAGGGCGAATAGGACTCAAAGTCCCGTTGGAGAACAGAAATGGACGGTGCAAATACGAGCTGAATATTGTCGTAGGAGAGCTGCAACGACAAGGCTTGGAGTCGAAAAATTCTCGTCAGAGAATCCACCTGATGATCCGAATCAGACGTCGAAAAGGAGCCAGGCCTCAGTTCGGCCGGAATGGTCGACTCCCACCTGCGCAACGATTCGTTAACTTGCTGCACCAATCTGACTCTCTCGTACATTGGCAAATCCTATCGAAAGTAGAGTTCCCTGGTGATGGGAGCCGCGATTTGGTAGAGTTTGAATTTTAGCCGCTGATAGGTGAGAATGGTCACCCTGCCGCGGCATCCCGAGTCGATGTCTTCTTGGGAGTCGAATCCAGGACAGATATCAGAAGTATCGTCTATATTCTGCGGCAAACGAACCTCATAGTCCCTTTCAAGAACGGCACAGGGGGCACCGAACGTGATTGCGCCGTATCTGTCGAAGTCAGCAGTCCGAGTCGTGAAGACGGCAAAGCGTTTACACACACCCTTCGCACACGTAGAGAGCCCACACTCGCTTCGAGCTTGTTCATCAAGTCGGATTGAAGGGCCTTCAAATCCGCTTCCGATAGGACTTGTTGAGAGGCAATTTCGGGAAGGTATCTCGACCCGTTGGCGAGAACAACCATTAGGAGGTGGAGCAGAGATTTCTGTCGACGATATGCACGCCCCGTCTGCAAGATTGTTGCCAGCTCCGATCTTAAAAAGGGCTCATGGAAGAGCATCATAAACCAGTGCACGGAGTCAACAAAGGCATCAAAGAGCATCCAGGTCCCTCTAGCAGGAGGGAATGCCCAATCTATGAGTTCAGGGACCAATACCGCCTTCTCGTGGCCGTGAAATTGAAGACTTTGGGGCGGAGTTCCGTCAGAAATGGCATCTGCGTCATTGTAAGATGGAGGCTCGGCTCCGTCATAATGATGGAGAAGCTGATGGGAAAGTCAGCACCAACTCAGAGCAGACGCTATGCATCTTGCTGCCTACGTACTTGACCCAGGAGGCCATATGCAGACACACGTGTGCGACCGGATTGTGGTCTCAAACCATGCTCGAAAACATGTCCTCGCAGGATGTTGGGAGAGGAAGCTCCCTCTGATGGTGCTACAGCATCGTCCCGTTGCCTTTCGACATGTTCTACGTCATCTGAAGGACTAAACAGCGCATCCTGGTTGATCTTAGTTTGCTGCGTCCTCGAAGCTGCAGGTCTCCGCTTTCTGTATAAAATTGACGCCCGTTAGCGGCTCTCATATGTAATGTCTTTTGCCGACACGAATCATTGACGTGCCTCAAATGTGCCGGTACTTCTTGACACGTCACTGACGATCTGACGCAAAGCGCACATGGCCGAGCATTGTCGCACTACAAAATAATGAATGGGAGGTACATTCGAATGCGAGTGGCGAAAAAAGAGGTCAAGGTCCGGTCCACCTACCTTTAGTTTTTGCTGCCGACGCCTAAGACAAGCCTGACGGGCCCGAGATTGTGGATGCATGATGAGTGCTGAAAGCACCTGCTGCCGAAGGGTGGTAGCGCGAGACAGCGCCTGCGGAATTGAGACGACGCCCGAGGGCCAGATGAAGACTGGCGGCGCGTTGTCCTCGTCCTGTCGAAAGGCTCGAAGAGTGTTTGGCTGCTAAGTTTTACGGTCTTCAACGCTGGCAATTACGCGAGGTGTCTTTCGCCGCTTGTGTTCCCACGTTTTGGGAGACGAGAGATAAGGCATGTTCGTTGAAGTCGTGGCAAACAAAGCTTGAGCCGAATTATGTGATCGAGGGGATCTTGCATCATTGTTTGTATCCACCGGCAAATCTACAGTTTCAATTCCGCTTTACCACCGGAAGTCGGCTTTTGGCTCTGAATAGTCATGATTGGGCACAAGGGTGAGTTGCGATGCAGGCCAAGCAGAGACCTGGGATGTGAGTATCCTAACATCAAGCTTGCTGGGGTCTGATGTTGAACTTAGTAGAGCCAGGAGCATCTCGAGCATCCTGAGCATCTTGATCTAAGTGGGATGCTCCTCACCAGTTTCCTGGACACACACCCAAACACTCAATCTCAGCAATCGAGCACCTCCTGACCATGTGGTCTAGTCAAGTCTATGGCGGTCCTGGCAGCCGGAGAGGCCATTCCTCTCTCAACAAAGGACATAAATTCATGGATCTTTGACGATGTCAGGTACGACTGGGATACACCGGTAAAAAAAGATACTCCATAGTGCGCTTGGGGTGGCCATTGACTTATTTGACTGTTTGCTTGCAGATCATCCATGATGCCACGAACCCTGCTAGAAACTACACTGCGCGACAAGCCCGGGCAACTATCAGAAGATTGGCCGCAGGCTTTCAAGCTGCCGGACTACGGCCAGGAGATTGTGTTTGCTTGCATTCATTCAACGATGTAGGTACCCCTCCCTGCCTTCCTTGATTTCTTACGGACACGTTCCTGAAAGCTCGCTCAGATTCAATATACCCTTGTCTTCCTGGGAGTCATCGCTGCAGGGGGTTGCTTCACTGGGGCAAACCCTTCATACACAACATTCGAGCTCGCGCATCATCTTAAAACGGCCAAAGTCAAGTATATCGTAACGGAGCCGGAGCTACTGCCCAGAATCTTGCGGCAGCAGACGAGTGCAATGTGCCACCTGAAAGAGTTTGGGTTTTCAATGTCCTTGGTCAAGAAGTACCCTCTGGCTTTCAATAATGGGACAAATTGCAAAAGCGAGGGGAGGTGGACTGGCTCCGTTTCAATGATTTGGAAACTTCCAAAAACACCTGCGCGGCCCGGCTCCTCAGCAGTGGCACTACCGGCCTTCCAAAAGCCGTTGAGCTGTCTCACTACAATTTTGTGGCACAACACACGGCCATCTACGAGTACAAACCCCATGGACTACCCATCCGGAAGTTGTTTGCGCTGCCCATGTCTTACGCCGTCATGGTCCCGAGCGCACATACTTCGGTGTTACGGAGCGGACAAACGAGTTATGTACTTCGACGCTTTGATTTGCCACGGTTCCTGGCTTCGATTGAGAAATACCGGATTAACGAGGTGACCATTGTGCCCCCTACCATGGTGTCCATGCTCGCCGCATCTCTGACATCCAAACACGATCTTGGATCACTGCGCGCCGTTCCTTGTGGCGCTGCGCGCTTGATTAAGCTACACAAGCCCGTTTTCGTGCTCTCCTCCCACCGACGGCCACCGTGACGCAAGGCTACGGAATCACGGGACTGTGTTGCTTTGGCACCAAGACGTACTATCCAGAAGATGATGACACAGGCAGTGTTGGGCGAATGATCCCCAACCTCGAGGCAAAGTATGATTTTACCACTTGTCTTCACACGTGTGCTCATCATTCTTGCAGACTGTTGGACGACGAGGGAAGACCCGTCACATGCTTTGGCCAGCCTGGCGAGCTGTGTCTACGTGGTCCCAATGTCATGATGGGTTATTTCGAAAACCCGTCCGCGAACGCCATTACCTTTGATGATGAAGGCTTTCTACATACCGGGGACATAGCGTATTGCGATCAAGTGACACAACGATGGTTTATTGTTGACCGAAAAAAGGTTCGGCGATCCTGGCACTTTTGAGCATTCACCCCATCTTCTAGGACAAATTGCACTGACAAGCTTTTCCAAGGCAGGAACTCCTCAAAGTTCGTGGATTTCAAGTGGCCCCGGCGGAGCTGGAAGGCGTGTTGTTGACACACCCTGACATCGTCGACGCCGCAGTGATCGGGGTGACCCCTCGTTCGGGTTCGGACGAGGACGATGGTACCGATGCACCGTTTGCATACGTCGTTCGACGACGCGGTAATAACCAACTTTCCGAGCAACAAGTCAAAGACTGGGTTGCGGACCGCTTGGCCAGTTACAAGAGGCTGGCGGGCGGAGTCCAATTTTTGGATAAGATTCCGAAGAGTGCGACGGGCAAAATCCTGAAGAAGGTTCTCAGGGAGGCGGCTGAGAAGCGTGTCAACGGACAGTTGCAAAGATCCAAGACCTCAATATGGAAGGCGAGCTTTGCCTCAGTCCACTGAATTGGTTCAAGAGCGGTTCATTTAGTGGTGTTGAGAGACTGCCAGCCGTCCTCCACAGACAAGACATCCCACGGGCCTGCGCCCATGTAGGGATAGGTCAGCCAACAAGTCCCAGAGACACCAAGGCACTTGACCTGACCTTGTCGCTCTACCGGACCGTTACCACACATTCCAATCTGCAATTTGACGCCAAGATAGGCTTGGTGTTGCGTTAACTGTGATGTGCAGATTTAGATCGGAGTGCGCCTCCGATTCCCTTATCTCTGGCTGGACCCACTAGTTAGGTTCGCTGCTAGCCACATGAATACAGGGTTTAGAGATGGACCCAGAAATGATATATACTCTTGTATAGGCCATTGAGGAGGCATATCTGATTCTCCAGCGACCTATGCTCCAACATCAAGGGAATATTCATAGCCCGTTTCAGTCAATCCACTAAAGTCGTTATCCTCATACTTATTGTCTGAGCACAATGGAGCACCCAGTCTACGACGACTCCAACTTTAATTCGACCAAAGAGGGCCTGCAAGCTTTCACCGCGCCAATTGAGGTCTCCGTTCATCATGGCGACGTGGACTGGACTGTCGCCGAGGAGACGGCTGTCCGAAGAAAGTTCGATATGGTGGTGACGCCGCTGTGTACCGTTCTTTACCTCTGCCGTGCTGTCGATCGGTAAGTCGCCTCAACCGCCCGCAATGTCAATCAAACTGACAAGCAAAACAGTTCTGCCATCGGGTAAGTGCCGCAATAGGTCCCCTCTGCCGACTCAACCCCTAACACGTCGAAGAAACGCCAAAATTGAAGGGATGGAAGATGATATCGGCCTTGTGGGCTACCAGTACAACATTGTCTTGACCATCTTCTTCTGCATGTACTTCGCGTATGTGATCTCTGCTTTCCATGGACAAGAGCAACCTACTAACTTTATCAGCGTCGAAGTTCCCAGCAATATCACTCTCAAGCACGTCGGTCCAAAATGGTATCGTGGGTGGCACTCTATCTCATGTCTCATCCCGCAAGACTCTGACAAACCTCAGTTCCTGGCCTCGTGTTTGGCTTCGGCCTCGTCTCCCTTTGCACGGCCTTTGTCCAATCGTACGCCGGACTAGCCGTTGCCCGAGCCTTCCTCGGCATCTTTGAGGGCGGTGCCATGCCAGCAGTCACTTTCATACTTAGCTGTTTCTACAAGAAGAAGGAGCTGTTCCTGCGAATGAGCTTATTCATCGCGTCCAGCTCCCTGGCAAACTCTTTCGGAGGCCTCTTGGCCGCAGACCTTTCAGAAATCCCCCGATGGGGTACGAACTCGGCGCCAATCCATACCTGGCGCAACATCTTCTTCTTCGAGGGCTTGATGACCATGATCATCGCAGCCTCTGCCCCATGGTTCCTGCCCCAAGGCCCGGCAAGTGCGACTTTCCTGACACCACGACAACGTTACATTGCTGCTGAGCGTATGCACCGCGAGATCGCAATTGTAAGTTTTGACCCAAGACGAGAACTTTGTCATGAGGCTAACGGATAGCAGCAACCAAACCAGCGTGTAAGCTGGGACCATGTGAAATCCGCCATCTTCAACGTTCACACACAGGTTTGCGCATGGACATTCTTCTGCTCCAACGCAGCAGTCCAGGGCTTTGGTGCCTTCGTGCCCAGCATTTTGGAAGCGTTCGGCTGGACATCCACTGAAGCACAGCTCAAGTCGGTGCCGCCATACCTGGTTGCCTGTGTGTGCACGGTTGCTCTAGGCTGGGCCAGTGACCGAGTAGGCCAAAGAGGCATCTTCATCGCTGGTGTCCTGCCCACTGCCATCATTGGCTTCGCTATGCTGCGGTGGACGGAAAGCGCAGACGCCAAATATGCTGCAGTGTTCTTGAACGCCATCAGTTGCTTCGCAGCGAGTGCGGGCATGCTTAGTTGGGGAATCAACAGTGAGTAAATCCAAGAAGATTCCAAGATCTGAAAGTCTGACACGGCCCAGATGCCGGTAATCCAGCAGCTGCAGCTGAAGCAGGAGGTTATATTGTGGCAATCGGCAAGATTGGCGGTGTCGCTTCAACGTGAGCCATTCGCAATGCATCATGATGATGAGAAGACTGACATTGTGATAGATGGACCTACCTTCCCACCGGAAAGCCTGAATACGACAAAGGCCACACGATATTCTTCGGGCTGATGCTGTTCTGCTTCGCCCTGTCCCTGTTTGAAATCGCCCACTGTGTCTACGAGAACAAAATGCGAGCGAGTGGAAAGCGAGATCATCGCCTTGACGGGATCACGAGTGATGAAGCCAAGCTGAATATGGGCCACAGGAACCCTGAGTTCCGATATATGCTGTAAGATGTACACGCGCAAATGGGCTGTAGGACGGATGAGGTGGCTAGAGATGGTGCTGAACCAGACAAGACGTATGCGGTTATGGTTGACCTGAGCAGTAAGGGCCGTTGGGGGCTTCCAAAGTGGTATATGAAGTGACACTGCTTACTGTCAACTTTTGTGTGATACGGGGCCTTCAGTGGAGACATCTCGAGTTTGGGATTGGTGCAAGGCTCTCATTGTCAAACTTAGACATTCCAGCCACCCGAGACCTATATAGTTAGGGAATCCCCTGGACCCTTAGGCACTGAACAGAATTCTCTTCAACCTTCTTTCTACACTCATCTCCCCTACGAAGTAGCGTAACAGGTATTTTCGTCGTTGACGACGATCATATACGAAGCGATATCGAAAGTGAAGTAGTTGAGTCTGTACACCTGACGGGTGTTCAGCGATTCAATGACCCGCCAAACAGCCAGCCGTTTAGGGGTTCTCGGGGGAGCGGGATCCACTTCTTCAAGTGCTATCAGTATCGCCAGGGCTTCTCTTTACGCCGTGTAGTATCTGGTTGGTGCACTGTTGAACTTGTTAGACATAAACATCACGGTGCTGATCTAGTCATACTTGCTTTTATGGGATCGGGATCAGGGAGGTGGAGGTAATGAGTTGTTGCTGCATGAATGTGAAAAGTCCGGAAGCGAGCAACAGCAGGAACGAGCGCTCGTGACGGGCTTAACGTCATCCACAGGATAAGTGATCATATCTAATGGCATGTTCAGGGTCGTTCCGTTTTGCGGATTGCCATAATTTGGCGCAGTTGATGAGAGTATTGCCTGTGGGTCCCAGGTTTCGCATCACGCTCGCGTCGCTAATTGATGTTCAAAAACAAGAACATAGACCGTTGAATGCGGTCTTACATAAGAAGTTGCTGGATCTGCGTGCTTCTAATTACGGGACCATCGTTGCTCGACACTGCTCCGTTCTGGTGTCGGGATGGGCGCAGATCACGGAAAAAGGTGATCAATTACTAGATCGCCGAGCTTGTGCAGGGCCTCCGCGGGCCGTCACAAGTGTACGGATGCCGGCTCACCAGCCGCGTCGACCATTGCTAGAAACAGGTCACGTCGTGGCGTGCTGTTTGACGTGGGGCATCCAGTCCTCTCGGCTGGTGAAAGAATAATGTGTCATACTTATATGCATGACTGTCAGCTACTTGTACGTAGCAAACCCAGAAAGCGGCATCGCCGTCTTTTGCAACACGCTAGCGTGAACAATTCAATTGTTTTCTCAACATCCGGTTGGTGATACGGTCGACTGTAGCAGTTCCTTCGGTGTCCCCCGGCTAGTGGTGATAAGCGGAAAGTCTCGAGCCATGTCTGCCGAACCACAACTGTACATAGTAAAATGCCGCCTCTTGTCCGAGCAATTTGGCTACTTGGTCTCATCTACCTGGATCGTTTTGCGGACAACGATGACCATCAATGCACTCAGCGTCAGAGCAGTTTATCTTGTCATGCCAGGGGCCATTCATGCCACTTTGCGCTTGATTGGCATTGCAGAATAAGGCAAGGCCTTTTTGGCTTTCTCTCGCCCTCGTCTGGCCGCTTTAGGTCCGAATAATCTATATCCTATACACAAAGAGCTAACGTCGCCCCGGTGGCCAGTCTGTCAGCCGAAACAGCACGACTTCGATGCATCCGTAGCTATTGGGAAGAGATGATAGACTTCTCAATCAATTTAATTCCGACAGTGTTGTTGTATTGCTATTACGGTGCCCAGTTGTCTTTTACATTTTCGTCCCCATCGCATGACATATTAGTAGATGGAAGAACGGCTCGCCTTGGAACGCGGTACATTGTAAAGAGCTACACCTGGATGACACCTACAAGACCCCTACTGCCATCCGACACCACCTCTCCTGACAGCGTCGCTCTCTTATATGCTCCTCTGAGCCCAGCTTCTGTATCGGTCTGGCGTTGACTACTTCGAATAGTATGAAGCAATGTCATATCTCAGTAAACTTCCTCCCATAGTCCAATTCTTGTATTTGTATTGTTCCCTGCCACCGTTGATCGTCACGTACAAGCTGCCTCGCTGTAAGTCCAAGACGCCTGTTCCGAAGGCCGTTGCTGAGAGTCCCATGAATCTCTTTGCCCGACGGCTCCCCGAGACAATTTGGATGCTGGATGATGCTGACACGGAGGTTGCAGTCGCGTTTGGCAACAAGACCAATTGATTGTACGCATCGCTCGCCAACCATATATTACCACTGAAGTCGATGGTGAAATCATCCGGATAGATCTCTGAGCTCTGGACCACCGTTTCCGTAGGGCCGACAGCCTCGCCGGTGGTCATGTTCAGCGGGACACGAGACAGCGAGGCCTTATTGGTGTTGGTGTAGTATAGGTTCTGACTTACCACGTGAAGACCGTTGACTCCCAAAGGCACAGTGGACGATGGGACAGGAGCCATTGACGTATTGTTGACAGCTATCGCTGTCTGTCCCGTACGGGCGTTGATTGACCATACGACCCCATTCTCACTGTCGGCAGCAAGTAGAATCCCTTCTATAGGATTAAGTACCGTCAGCCCGTTCAATAGTCCCTTCGGTACATCGGCGATTTTCGTTGTCTTTGCAGTCAGGTTACCAGGGAGGCCGGGTAAGCCTCGTAAATCAACCTCCCAGATCGAAAAGGAGCCCAGCTGAACGTCGAACGTTTCAACGGAAAGATTTCCTGCAACGGTATAGAAGACGTCGTGACCCATTTCTGTAATCCCCATTAGGACGAGGTGATTTGGGATATGCGCGATGTGGATGGGCGAAGCGGGTGGGTTGGTTGGAACGAGATATATGTCAGGTGAGGAGAGCATGTTGACTAAGACACTGGACGGGTATGAGTTCGGGGTGCGAGGTTTTCTAACCAGGTTCCCAAAGGGAACTCGTGGATGACTTGAGGCTGGACAATGGCGACGGCCGACTCAAGCATGGCGATGCCTACCAGGCGCAAAAGCGTTGGCTTCATGATCAAGAAACTCGGACGTGCTGATGCTGTCGAGATGGCAAGAGTGGAATGTACGGCCTCTGCTCACAAGGAGGACGATTTAACGGTTTCTGAGAAAGGTGAATACGGGCGTTCTTCACTCTTTATTTAAGTGTCTCTTAGGCTCTAAGAATGTAAATGGACTACTATGAACGACCTTGAATCTGACAGTTGACTGAAAAGTGGTTGGCTTGTTTACTCCCTCGTAATATATGGTGGGCTTGTACAAGTTACGAGCTGGTTACCGCAACGGGCTAGTTCGAGGCAAGTAGGGCTACCGCTCTAAGCACTGGATGATCTCTCAGTGTGCACATGGCCGCCACGTATCTCTACGAAGTGACCAATGGCAAAGAAGATGATTCATGCCGCTCCCATTGGAGAAAGGTGGCGAGGATGTAAGGACGCGCGAGGCCTTCTAACTGGAGGAGACGGTAAGGCCGCCGCCGCCTGCGCTACTTCCAGAAGGGCCATGATACAGATATAGCGTGAAGAGCCACCTCAATTTTATGTTCCCCTGGTATTTACGAAAGGACACCAAGTGTGCAGCGGTGTAATTGCAATAACATGGCCAGAATGATCATTTCCTGTCCCACTCGCTTTTGTGGCGGCGTAGGCGAAGCGAGACTTGGACAAATCCAATGGCAAGTCTTCCCATTCAGGTAGTTAGTCTTCAACTTGTATTTGTTGCTCTCGTATTCGCTCGTTGATCGGCCATCGCTTTAGCTTTGATCTGTGGCGACGCCTAGGTTATTTGTTTGTATGGTTGAGGCATCCTTGGTTAAGGCATTAACATCTAGTTGCCGCTCTGGGTTCCCACGTTTTGTCCTTCTGCTGTACGCTGCTGCCGCTCCCGGACCTCCTGGCATAACTTGCTGTTATTCCAGCGGCAGCGGGTTGTTGGTATGGCCACGTTCGCTACACGAATCACAGGATAATGTGCCAGTAGTTGCTTTGGAGGTTATTGGAGTCCCTTACATGATCGAGGCCTTAGTTGCGTTGGGGTTGCCCATAATGTGCAATCGATTCTCGTTCTGACTAACTGGTTTTGCAGTACTCTCGCCTTCCGGTTCTGTTGCATCTACCAGCCGCACCTCGGTTAAAGCTTTAAGATCAGTGTCATTCTTCTTGTACTTGTTTGGCTGTGCGGTTTGCTCTCCCATATGAATGGTAGGTGAGCCTCATTAGTCTGGTTCAGCTTCTCGAGTAGTTCTCGTTTGCCGGCAGACAGTTTTATGCCATCACACGCCCCCCCTGCTCAGCCCTCAAATCATCCCAAATCAATGTTTTGTGTCTGGCAGCACCGTGATTGTTTCGATGACCATAGTCAACTTCTTGTCCTTGCTTTGCCGAAGAAGTATCCAACTGCTGCTTATACTGCCTTGTCGGCCAGGCCGCCTTGAGTTTGTCGCAGACGCTGTTTTCGAGAGCCTTTGGTTTGATAATTGCCCCGCTATCGTCAACTGCGCCGTCCCAATTGGTACGAGCCTTGTCTTGATTAGTGGCCATGACCGTTGGATTAGGGCCTGCTCCTGGCTCATTGGTCCATCGGTTCTGTGGACAAAAATGACAATCAGGCTAAGCAGCATCCCCAGACAGCCCGAGGCCGGACTCCAGATGCGGATGCTGCCGATGCAAGTGAATGGCATGGTGTAAGTACAGAATATGCAACCGAGAAAATCAGTGCACGACAGCCCACGCCAAGCCTGTGCCAAAGCGCTAAGGCACGACTCACGCTGTCAAAAGATCGGGGCTTATTACCGTTCTCGACAATTTCTCCCGGCCTTTTGAATACTATCAACGACCAGAACTTCGGCAAATGATGCAACTCACAGCTTGAGGTATCTGACAAAAATTGTATTTATTGTCAGCAAGATGGCTGCCCCAGCTGCTCATTCAAAGTATGCGAAGGCAAGTGTAGCTTTCTCAGCAACGTTTGAACAACATGATGTACTTGCCAGGTTAGTGCAGTGGTGCATACATACAAACTATTACTGACCATTATACCAGCAATCGTCTCAGTAGTAGCCCTAGCTTGGCTATGCCTTTATCCAGTCATACGATACCACCTCGATCCGAAGAAACTAAAGACATTCCCTGCACCTTCTGTGGCTGCATACACACCGTTATGGGGCATGTACTATACATGGAAGGGCAATCAGTGGAAGATGATCGAAAAGGCACACGCAAAACTTGGATCTGCTGTCAGAATTGCTCCAAACCACATCTCGTTCACGGACCCAGCCGCATACAAGGATATCTACGGGTTCGGCAACAACATTCTCAAAGACGATTTCTACGCTCACATAGGTGCTGGGAATCCTTCCATGGCACAGACAACTGACAAAGCTGCCCACTCCACCAAAAGAAGATACCTCGCCCATGTCTTCTCTGCAAAGGAAGTCGTGGCCATGGAGCCGAGGGTAATGGAGCTCGTACACAAGCTCTGCGAAAAACTGAGGATCAAAGCCGACGGCTGCAAAGTAGGACCGGACGACGAATATGAAACAGTCAAGGGAGTGGTTGACATTCAACCATGGCTGAACATGTTGACCTATGATGCCATCACCAGTATGTTCTTCACAAACAGCTATGGCTTCTTGGATCGCGGCAATGACCTATGTCCGTCACTGGACGACTCTGGCAAAGTTGACATGGTTCACGGGATGGATACGTTCCATTCAGCAAGTGGTTTCAACACGATGCTGGCTCCTCTTCCGCTTCCGCTGTATCGGCTTGGTCGAAAACTGCTCGCCTATTCTCACGGCTGCCGTGCAGGTTCTTGGTTTCTTGGAATGTCTCGATATCAGGTGACCCACCGACTCGAAAATGAACCAAGCCAGCCGGACTTGTTTTCAAGATTTCCTTCCAAGCCCACGGAGAAGAAGCCAATTCCCATGCCCGTATCTGAGATGATAGCCGAATGTGCCACCATGCTCGATGCGGGTAATGATACAACCCAGACTTCTCTGACGATGTGTATCTATCATCTCGCCAAGTATCCACAAGTGCAAAAGAAACTTTTCAGGGAGCTGAGCAAGGAAATACGCCCCGAATACGCCACAACCAGGGTTTTACCATCACAGATCGTACAAAACGTTCCCTACCTGCGTGCGGTTCTGGACGAAAATTGGCGATGTCGACCTCCTGTGACACGAGGTCTGCCGCGACGCACAGTGGCCGGTGGTGCCACCATTGCCGGTCACTTCATCCCTGAAGGAACAACTATCAGTGCTCCGACTTACAATCTGCATCACAACCATGAGTTGTTTCGACAAGCAGACGAATTCATCCCAGAGCGGTGGATTGCCACGGAATCTTTTGGTGCAGACGAGATGGAGCGACAGAACTTGAAGGATTTCGTTATTCCGTTCAGTCTGGGTCCGCGAGCATGCATTGGCCGAAATTTGGCGTATATGGAAATATCAATCACTATTGCGGCCTTGGTTCTCAACTTTGAATTCGAACTGGCGGATGAACACCAGGAGATTGAAACTATTGAGCGATTCAATTGTAACCCTGCGGGGTTGATACTGAAGATTAGTCCAAGGTAGCATAGTAGTCGAAGCAGTCTTCGCTTTCAAGTACTGATTTTATTACTTTCGATCTTGCTACCGTCGAGCAAATGCTGGAGTTTTGTGATGTTAAACGTACGGCGGCGACTGAGGACCTATTGTTTTCTTGGTCGATATCCCCCAGTCGTGCGCAAGACGTTCCAAGCAAGTTTGGTTTGGCCATTTGGTTCTCCGCATAAACTCGCTAAGCCACTCCGAAATGATCTGCTGCTCACGACGGCCGGTGAATAATCGACCAGTCCAGCACGCTAGGTGTGAGCCATTGATGCCTGTGCCAATTTCGTCACAAGAGAATACCACCGCACAACACAGTCTCGCGACCAGAAGAGTTTTGCTCTGGCAATATCAGCATGGAATCAGACTTGTCTGTGGTGAACGTACATTCACAAACTCCTGGATAGTTCCTGAGTTATCCCCCAAACTTTGCTTGGTGCGGTAAACGCCAATCATGGTCCTGGCAGCGTAATACTGCTGCCATCCAATGGCTTGATGAGGTTAGTACACGTTTGCTTCTTGAGAAACTTGCACTCACCATGCCATGTGGAATAGTATTTGATGATTGGGAAGATGTCGGAAACATTATCCTGATAGTACCATGGTTTGAAACCGTCGGGGAGGTGTTGACGCCAGCGATCGATGTCTGCTGCTATCGTCTCAAGTTCATGTTCGAATCTGGGCTTGTTTGCGGCTCCCCAGCAGATGTTACAAAGCCGTGCAAGGTGATAAGTCATTCTGTTCGTCCAAACTTCGTCGCTGGCCTGCCCGAGGAGGTCGCTGGTGTCCACTATCTCAATATCAAATTGACATTCACGCTCATAGAGGAAACAAATGCGGAGACATTCCCGGACACCGATCCAGAATGATACTCCTTGGACGTCTATCCTTGATGGGGAATATGAGGAGTTGGCTGCTGAGAAAACGGAGTAAGCACCCTGCATATGACATTGAGGGTCATCAGCAAGCTCCAAGAACTGTTCTGCCATACGGAGGATCACTGTTGTCGGTAGCAGGATTTCTGCGGTAGATGACTTTGACGGGTCCAATGAGGGTATCAGGTGTCGGATCGCTTGAGATTGGTAGCTCTCGCTACGGTCAAGGTCCATACGTCCATGAAGGTGAAGGATTCGCGCAGCGTACGCGAGGCAGGCATAGTACAATACGGAGCACTTCAGGGCGAGTCTGGAAACGCTCTGCGCGATGCGTCGATCAGGAGACACTATGTCTAGCTGCAATTCATTAGCAGAGCAAGAGGGTTATACAGAAATTAGCCAAACCTACCCATGGTCCGCATTGGTCAATGAAATATGAGAACACAGGCATATCCTCTTCCTTTACCCGCACGGTTTCGTGACCTTCGATGTCATTGGATTTGATCGCATATTCCAAGCTGAATGTCACTTGAGGTGACAGTCCTGTGCTGCTGCGTTGTGGCGAATGATCATCATAGATGGCGCCGTATTGCGTACGCTGTTCCGTGGGCGAGACGATATCGCCAAGGCCGTGAATGAATGTCGGACATGATGAGGGCAGTCTAGAGCTTGCCTGTGGAGAGGCGAAGCTAAGTCTCTTTTGCGTTTGGGACGCCCGACCGTTGGAGCCCACTGACGGAGCTCGGTCACGCTCTCTCTCCAAGTGGCTTTCAGTAACCGCATGTTGAGAGGTGGGCGAGATCGAGATATCAGGTGAAGGTGCCTCGGCAAGGATTGAAAATGCGCTGTGGCGTATCGTAAGGCTGTTGTAGCGACACCGAGATCTCTTTCTTGATCGTTTACATCGTGAGCAAGAAGGCAATTGTCGGTCACCTTTTCATATCAGCTTCGCTCAGTCTTTGATGAGAAATCTGTGGCAGTTACATTTCAGATGTCCCTTTTGACATGGCACGCTATCATTCCATCATCAGTCCCGGCCGAACACTTGGATGATCGCGTGGCGGGCCTACCAGTTTGTACCCACTTGCATGGATATGGGTCTGGAGCGTATACTGGCGTCGCCACGATTAGCCAGCTCAAAAGACTTTCGCATGAAACGGGCACTCGCTGAAGAGGTACTAGAAATATTGACGGCAGGAGACTCGGGTTCTCGAGCATGGCAGAATCTGCGGTTATCTGCTTGAGATGAATTGCATTGCGTCTGTACGAGGCACACGGCTCGAACATCGGCCCAAATAGCTTCTTTGAGGAAGTTGAGTCGGACAAGCTTGCTTTTCGGCAGTGACTCCGTGCTTCAGTCTTTGCTTTCCCCTGCTTTTCTCCGCATAGATGGCGTGGAGAGTGCGGAGAGTCGTGGACTTCAATCTTCAATCTTCGAAGTGGTGATCCACCCATGAGGGGAAGTAAGTATGAGGCTGGCTGTGAGGCACGACCAGCGGGTGGCTGGTGCTGATCATCGGCACACACGGGCGAGATTACTGTTCATGGCAATTCTTCACGACAATTAGCGCTCGCGAAGACGATGGACTTTTGTGTGGATAATGCTGCAAGGCTTTTGATCTCATCGGGAGTACGGCCAATTGTCGGACGGTCCATCTATAAAACGATTGCATCTTCCCAGTGTTGAACAGCTCTGAGACATCATTTCCTCCACAGGCTTTCCATCTCAGAGCTCAGAGCTCACTTCCCATCCTAAACATGAAGGCGACCGAAGGAGAAGAAGCAGTGTTGCACACAGAAAATAGCTTCTCAAGCCATGAAGTGGTGCCCAGCAAATTCAAGAAATATGCATTTGGCGTTCAAGGAAAAACACTGCGTCGTCATGTTTCTCTTGCCGGTGCTTTTGGGTTTCTCCTTTTCGGCTATGATCAAGGAGTTCTTGGAGTACGGTTTGACGATGATCGACGTGAAGATTGCTGCTAATCGTCGTTGGCAGGGCCTGAATGCATCCGAGAACTTTCTCACACAGTTCAACAATCCATCTTCTAGCCTTCTTGGTACCATCAATGCCATATACGAGTGAGTTAACAGCTACGGCGTTTGCACATCCTGTTAACCCCAGTGTTTAGAATTGGCTGCTTTTGTGGTGCCATAACTGTATTCATGGTCGGCGATCGACTAGGTCGCAAGAATTGCATCTACACCGGTGCGGTTCTACAAGCTATCGGGGCTATTTTGCAAGCTTCATCATTCGGAGTTCCACATATGATCGTTGGACGAATCGTCTGGCAAGTTGCTCCTATCATCAATCTTGGTCTGAGTCTGACTTGTCTCCATTCAGTGGCTGGGGCAATGGTTTCAACACTGCAACTACACCCTTATGGGTATCAGAACTAGTTCCGTCCAAGTCAAGAGGTCGGCACGTCGCTATCGAAGGAAATCTGATAGCATTCGGTATTGTGATTGCCTACTATTTCAACATCGGAATGACTTATGCATCTGGTCCCGTGCAATGGCGGTTGGTTATTGCTGCTCAACTCATCATTATTATTTTCCAGGTTGTCTGGACCATGATGTTGCCGGAGTCGCCTCGGTGGCTCACTGCCCGTGAGCTCTCTCTTGCCTAAGAAAGGCGTGACATCTGCTAACAGATTTAGATGGTCGCCACGAAGAAGCGATACATGTCCTGACTCAGCTGACGGGCAAAAACATCAAACATGACGATGCATCTGTGCTCAAACAAAAGAAGAACATTGATGACGCCATTGCACTTGAGAGAGCAGACGGTCCCTGGAAATTCTCTGAATGTTTCCGTAATGGGCCACTCAAAATTCGTCGTCGATTCATATATGTCATCTGTAGGTGCCATGTTCCGTCTCTATGAGGGTCTACTGACTCGGTGCACACAAGGCCTTCAAGCGATGCAGCAACTTAGCGGGATCAACGTCTTGGTCTATTACATGCCTCACACCTTGACCACTGATGTCGGCATGGATTATCGAACTTCACTTCATGTTGGAGCAGGCCTCGCAAATACCTATTGGGTCTTCTCATTCATAGGAGTGTTCTGGCTGGACAGAATGGGAAGACGCCAGCCCTTGATATGGGGCGCTGTTGTTTGCGGTCTCTGCTTTCTTTTGGTGGGTTCACATATGAGTTCATCTTCCATAGATGCTAACGTCTTAGCAGGCCGGTATCCTGCAGGCTAGCCCTTCTTCGGCAAGAGCAAAGGCAAGCCTCACCTTCTTTTTCTTGTATGAAGCTGTCTTCGCTATTGGATGGTTGGTAAGTTCGAAGCGTGACAGCGGGAATAGTTGGACGCTGCTGACATTGTGGAGCCTATCCCATGGCTATATGGCCCGGAAATTATGCCCCTTCGCCACCGAACCCATTCTGCAGCTTTATCGGCCGCAAGTGATTGGATCTTCAACTACCTCATCGTCCAAATCACACCCATTTCGATCTCGAATATCCGTTGGAAGACCTACATTATATTCTTCGTTTTCAACATCTTTTTCGCCCTTATGATCTGGTTATACTACCCCGAAACAAGTGGACGGACTTTGGAAGAAATGGACACTCTGTTCATGGGTGACAATGACCGGCTTGTCGTGATCGACAAGACTGGAAGATTGTTGCCGGGCTTCAGAAGCTACATGAACAGAACCGACAATCCAGAGATGGCGGACGAAGTTACCAACAGATCATCGGCGTCGGAAGAGAAGCGAGAGACGTGGGAAGTGCATGCCGAAAAGAATCCAGTGTAGGGAGATGTGTGTTCGCCGATGGAGGATCGCTGGTATCCTGGGGACTGAAGGAACGGATGCAAGGGATAGATAAGGAAGGTAAGCTGAGGCTTGGGTGATACAATACAACCCAGCAGTATGCAACGCTAAGTTACGTACAAGGAACGGTAGGGTGATATAGTTATTTGTATTTCGTGCCATTCACAAATGTTCCCAGGGTGGGACTGATAAAATCGTGAAATAAATCGATAAGGGCCATCTTCGCGTGCTCAATCTCCACCTCTTGAATGCGCTCACAGTGCAAGGGCAGTAGTACCTGGTCAATGTGTGCCAGGATGGATGGGTTGCTGAAGCTGATGGTGGTTCCCTTCCACTTCCATGATCCACGGCCACTGAGGCCATACGCTTCTGGTTAACCACGAAGACGCGGCTGACCTTGAGTCCCAAACTTGATATTCTCTCCTCACCTCCTGCGCCTAGCGATAACCGATCGATCGCCTGCTCCATAGATATCCTGTAACACAACCAGAGTGCCATTCAGCAAGCCAAACGCTTTCACAGGAGGATCCTGAGCGAGTCGCTTAAAGAGACGGCTCTTTGCTTGACTCCAAGTGGTGGGCGCCTTTCTCGGCAGATGGGTATACGCCCACCTCAGTATCGAGCATAGTCGTGGCACCAGGTTCCTTCTCTCCAGTCGACTCGTCAACAAAATCAAGTAGACGTCTTTCAGCAACAGCAGCATTGCCATTAGCTTCGAGCAACATCTTCTTGTATTCGGCCTCATTTGCAGACACCAGTGGATTGTTGAGACTGAAGAGCAGATTGACCTCTTCCAATGAACGATTGGCAGTCTCTGGGAAGAAGAAATAAACCAAGGGTATGGAGGCGACATTGAAGCAGGCGAAGACCAACAATGTCTTCCAACCAAGAGACTTGAACATGCTCGGTAAAGCGAGAGTTGTGGAGCCAGCACCCATCGCCCAGCCGAGAATACCGAAAGCATTTCCCTTTGCACGGATCTCTTGTGGCCAGATCTCGGTTGGATACACCCAGCAGGCGACCAAAGTGGTACAGCAGAAGGCGTACTGGTAGATGTACACCATTGCAGCAGCGGCGGAACCCCATGACTGTGAAACTGATCCTGTCGTATCACCAGCCTTCTTTGCAAAAGCTGCCGAGAGGAACAAAACGATCATTTGGATGATCAATCCCGTGAGGAAGGTCACTCTTCGGCCAAATCGGTCGATGATTGGCGCACCAGAAAGGGTTCCCAGAAAGCCGAAAGTCTGCAACAGTCCTGCCATCCAGCCAATCTTCTTTGGAGAAGCACCAGATGCCTGGAACAACGCACCAGCGTATGTTGCCATTGCCATGATACCAGTGTACATCATCAAGAACAAGGCAGCCCAGGCTAGAATCGCACGTCGGCCTAAGTGGAGACGACCAGAATAGCGACCGCCAAGCCAGATGTTGAGAAGATTGTTTCGCTTCTTGTGAGAGATTTCGACCATGGCGATCAATTCTCTCATCTCATCCTCCAACACAGGATCATCCAGGGCGAGGTCACCTCTGACCTTGGCAAGAATCTCTCGGGCCTCCTGTGTCTGGCCGTTGCCGACTAGCCAGCGTGGAGATTCGGGAACGAACCAAACCACGGAGATGAGGAGGAGAGAGGGAGCGCAGACACATCCAAGGGGGAATCGCCAAATCAACCCTGGGCTCGTCCAGTCCTCGATGGCGTACATGATCCAGTTGATCAGCATCAGACCCAGATAGTTGGCTGAGAAGACGATGGCGAATGTGAATCCTCGGCTGTGTGCCTTGGCCAACTCTGAGATCCATGAACAGGTAATCGAGTTGATAAACCCAATCCCGACTCCAGATATAACCCGAGCACAGAGGAACATGTTGGCGTTCATTCCACCTGTCTGAAGGGCTCCGCCGATGAAGCTGAGCACTCCTCCGATGAAGACTCCTCGTCTTCTTCCAAGCTTGTCACCGGTCCAGCCGCCAATGAAAGCTCCGAACATGGCTGCGAAATAATAGATGCAGATCATGCCACTAGAAAGAGTCAGCATGACAGGCATGAACATGGCTTGTTGTGCCTACCCTTGTTTGATGGGACGAGTAATCACTCCATCGCTTCCGAGACCCATGAGATTGACGAAATTTGGTTGGGAACTAACGTTGCCCATGACAGCCTGATTGCAACCTTCGTAGATGAGAGAGACAAAACAAAAGGCATTTGCAATAAAGAGCACAGCCTTTCCAGACATATTCCGCCATATGGCGATACTTGGTAAACCCATCCCGAGTGATATGCAAAGAGAGTAGCTATCAGAATGAGTGCAAAGAGTTGTGCGATATTCGATTCGAAGAGGTGGCTATGAGCATCTTTATATGTTGCGTTTGGTTTTTGCGTTCGCACATCCACGCCGCGGTCTGAAGGGGAAAAGCTCACTGAAAACCCACCATTTAGTGCACGGAGATCTGGGCCCGAGCACAGAAACCCCAGGTTTATTGTCTGCGGGCAGGACAAGCTTGCCTTCCGAGAAAGTCTCTAGGTACCCCGGAACTCGACTGCTGGAATTTGAATCAGGAACGTGCGTCGAATCAGTAGTCGATCTCCACATTTAGGAATCTCTTGCCTTCCGAGGAATGGAAGACCCCGGATCTCCACGAACTTTCACCCCCTCCCCTTTGGAAAACCTCGTGGGGGCGGGAGTAGTAAAGACACCGCACAGTCAGGAGATGTCTAATTAGCAAAACCCGATTGGTTCTATTCACAACCTGCTTTCCGTCACTCTGGTAGTTTCCCCGAATGGACGATGATTCCGATTTCTCCAGGATTCTAGGAACCCCAGATCTTTGGTCCAGGCCGGTGGACGGGCTATAGAGTCGTCGGGCTTTCCTTCCATCCTAGATGTCACACCATCGAAAGCTCTGTGGCGACAATCTCGGGAACAGAAATTGCCTTCCTAGGATGCGCATCGCATATTCGGGAACGACTGCCATCCTCAAGACTCGCATTGTCATTGTAGGAATCAGGAGAAACCAGTCAACCAATATCGAAGATTGAACCTTTCTGTTCGGTCGATAAAACATTTAAACATCCTCTCCCGCAACGAGTTCAGAATGTAAGCAAACACTTCCGACTAACAGCTTCGAGATGTTGACTATCGGTCTCCTAGGGGCATCAGCCCTCGGGCTGAGCGTCGGCTCTACCATCGCCTTGGGCATACCTGCCTTACTAATTGGAATCCTTGCCTGGTACATCATTTCATATTTCAGAGATCCTCTAGACCTACGAAGATTCGCAGGGCCAAAACTTGCTGCTTTTTCAGCAGTCTGGTCTATGAGGCACTGTCTCAAGAACAAGAGATTCTGGGGAATTCACAAAGTGCATGAGAAATATGGACCGATCGTTCGGATTCAACCCGATCATGTTAGCTTCAACCTGGGCGAGGCTATCAACGATATCTACGGTCACGGAAAGGATCTCATGAAAGCACCCTTCTACGACACGCTCGCAGCTGCGCATCGAAGTATGTTTGATACGACTGATAGAGTCGAACATGGTCTCAAGCGAAAATACGTTTCCCACATGTTCGCACCACAGTCCGTCACCGAACTCGAAGACGTCATTGCAGGTGTCACCAGTGACTTGTGCAATGTTATCGACCGATACGCCGAAAGCGGTGAATGGATGAACATGCGCCATTGGGTCAGCATGTACGCATTTGACATCATTGGTCAGATGGGTTTTGCAACAGACCTTGGCTGCTTGAGGAGAGGCGACGATATTCTCGTTGGCCAAACACGATCAGGAAAGCGGTACACTGCGTCGGCAATGAAAGGTGTCTACGATGGAGGGTCTTACAACGTCTTGTGGGGCCAGGCACCTGCTTATCTCGAATGGACAAAATGGCTCACTCAATGGACAAAGGGACGCTACTATGCCGACTTCTTCTTCGACGTTGCGATAGAGCTTGTCAAAAATCGTGTCCCAGCAGAAGATGTTGCTGAATATGAGAAGACACGACGGTACGACTTGTGGCACCGAATGGTGGTTGGCAAGAATGGCGACGCCCTGGGTCTCGAATTCGAAGAGATGTTCTCCGAAGCAGCTGTCCTCATGATCGCTGGCTCAGATACCTCCGGAACAGGCGTCTGCAATACTATCCTGGAACTTATTCAGGATCCCAAAAGACTGAAAAAGCTGCGGGAGGAACTTGACGCGGCCATCCCACCGGATACTCAAGTCGCAACTCATGACCAAGTCAAAGACCTACCATACTTGGCCGCATGCATCAACGAAGCCCTTCGCCTCAGACCGCCAAATGCTCAAGGGCTCCCTCGTATCGTTTCTAAGAACGGGGCTACTATTTGTGGCTATCAGATGAAGCCGGGCACGTCCGTTTCCGTTCCCACATACACTATTCACCGGAACGAAGCATACTTCAAGGATGCCCTCACTTTCAACCCGGAACGTTGGATCGACAACCCAGATCCACAAGAGACATACAACTTGCAGAAATACGTGATCCCTTTCTCCCATGGCAGCAGAGCGTGCATTGGCCGCAACTTGGCCAATTTGGAGTTGAGAGTCGCTATTGCTACTGTGATGTCAAAGTTTGAGTTCGAAATGCAGTATCCTGGCAAGCCTGTCGAGATTTTTGAACGTTTCAATTCCAACCCAGAAGACTTTTATGTGAAAGTCCGACGCCGAGTGAGGGCTTGATGGTGGAAGATGGAGGGATTACTGTTCAATGGCGTTGATTTATTGTTACCAAAGAAATAGCTACGTAGGTATATTGACGTATTAGCTTCCTCTGCCTTCAAGTCTCATTTATACATCTCGCTGCACGATCATATTCGCACTACGGAACAGCCTCCAGGAGGAAGGAAAGGGCCGTGATTTTAACCCAAGTCTGATTGCACTGATGGTATACGATCTAGCACCGAATCAAGTGGAGTTAATCACAGTAAGAATTGATACCCCGATAGGCTTAGGTACGTTTTCAAATTTAAAACGTATCAAAGAACTCCAAGTACGCCCGAGCTAGCTCTTCTGGCTTTTCGAGAGCGATATTATGCCCAGAGTGAATTACTGCACCAGTAACATTCGTTGCAACCTAATTCCAGTCAGCAATGATGCAAATGGCATTGTACTCCACGCACCTTTTCCATCTGTCGCCGAGGAACTTCTCCAAAGAAAAAATCACCCCCAACAGCAAGGATTGGCATTTGAAGCTTTTCAGTCATTAATTCCGTGTTCGTGCGTGCTCCTGTGATCCGTAAGTATTCGACCAAGCTCACTAGTGGACAGAACTTAAGATATACCTTTCTCAGTTTCACGATAGACTTGCGTTGTCAGCAGAGTTAAGCTTGAGACGTTGAACACTTACCTTCGCATATTGCTCTCATACCTCCAGGAAGAGCAGTCCACCTGGAGTATTCGTCGATATCTTCTGGAGTAAGTGCAGATGGGTCACGCATTTCGCTCCTCATCCATTGTGTCCAGAATTCTCGTTCTCTGCCCGCAATGAGCATTTCTGGATAATCAGGAACTCGAAAGAATACGAGGTGCCAGAACGTCCTCGTATCCCACATCTTCAACTGTTGATTTTCTGTTCCACCCGTGGCTGTGAATCCCTGCTCTCTATCAGTCCAGCACTCTGACGAGATATGGAGACTCTACCTCCTCAAATCCAAGCCCGGGGAGAATCATTTCTTGGCCGAGTCAGCCGGCATCACTGCAAAACTACTGTACACAGCTTTACCTTGATAAACCAGACCGACCACACGGTCCTGGTATGTTGCCGCCAGTGTCCAGGCAAATGCAGCTCCCCAGTCTTCTCCGACTACTCGAAACTTATCGAACCCAGCTGCATCAGCAACTTTGATTAGATCGGATGCTATTGTCCCACAGTCATATCCAGACGGTGGCCTCTCTGAGTCTCCGAATCCTCTCACGTCAACAGCAAGGACACGATACCTTGGAGTCAGGAAGGGTATGACTTTTCTCCAAGCGAACATCGTCTTAGGAACACCATGAACTATGGTGTTTCTCAGCAATGAACATGTTGGCAATGACGACAAATACCTAGCATCACGGCTCGCCCATCTTTTGGTCCGCCGATACAGTAGTGTATATTGACATTATTCACGTTTACTTTATTGTGAACAAGCCTCTGCCCTTCGTGGTCTCGAATATGATACGACATTTTCTTCGAATTCAATTCGGTCTCTGCTCCTGACAGCGTTGAGAATCAGAAGATGTGTCTTCCTTGGGAACCAATTCGTGTAGGTGTAGCTGAACAGGGACCAACTTCAGGAGCCACTGCCACTGTCAGATGAGGATCCTACGCATGTTTCCGTATTTCTCCCGCGTGGGGGTTTAGCCTTCTCAAGAAAAACTGTTGAGAAAAACTTGGGGGCAGTGGCCAAGACGACCGAAACAGCTCAATCTGGTAAACTGGCGCGGAGAATTGACAGCTTATGTGGCAAGCAGCTTCATCGATTAGCTTCAATAGTCTGGTGTTGGCACCGCGCCCGGCGGGTCAAGTGCGAGGTTGAATCTCAACTGCTCTCGGCAGGCTGGGAATGTAGATTTGACCCGAGGCCACGTTTCGAAAATGCCCACCCCGTGGGGTTGGAGTTCAGGTTCTGGAGAGAGTTGAGGGGTCTCGGCTGTTGCCACAGTCAAAATCTCAACTTCTGCGCAGTTGTACTCTCTAACTAGTACGCCATAGTATTATAGCAATCCTGGGAAACAAGTTTGAAAATGCCAGCAGCACTCAGGGGAGCTTCCTCGCGGACCAAAAAAGGTAAACACTTCCTAACAATGTTTGGATATAACTGACAATTGATAGCGTGGTGAGTACAAGCTACTATGCCGAAACAGATGTGTCTAATACGCGAAGTGAGCGGTGCCGGGGCTCGCACCTTAAGTGTTAGTTGTGATCACTCCAATCCTGTTGTAAATGCTAACAGAAAAGGCGATGGTCAAGAGCCATGCTCAAGATGCGAGGAGTTGGACTCTGTTTGCACATACGGCAAGAATACAACATTTATTGCTCGAGGTATGATCTTTGAGATGTAGTCAAGATTCTCTGCTGATTCAGCTCGCGCAGAATGGAGCCCAGTGGAGGCAGGCCTGAGAATCATACGGCCTTCGCCGTCGTTTCGAAGACCTACCATAACACCAATGTTAACCGAAAGTGAGTCCAAACTCGACGAGTTCTCCAGCTTGGATGGCTGTTTGACAGCTCCAGATTCGTTCATTAGCGAGAACCAAACCATTGCGGACCAGTATGCAGTTACCTCACAGCAGGGCAATTCACCAGAGACACAGCGTTCCACGCTGGACAGTCCTCAATCACTTAATGGTCCCCAAAGTTTACTTGATGATAATCCTCATGATCCTATGATATCTGCAGAGGATGCGTTTTACATGGAGCGATATTGCTATATTCTGGGATCATGGTTCGATGTCTTTGACTCGGCCAAACACTTTTCGAGAGTAGTCCCTCACCTCTCATTGACACACCCGGTCCTTCGGCTCTCGGTTTTGGCATGGGCTGCCAAACAATACTACTTGACGAACTTGACTCAGTCGGTTGACACGTCTTTGGCATACTATGATCGAGCATTGAGAATGCTGACAGCATCTATCAACGACGTTTCTACCTCATCTCCACCCGCCGTCTTTGCATCATGTCTCCTTCTTGCAATATCGGAATTGATGGGTGACAGTTACCAAGATTGGCAATTGCACCTCGAAGGAACGTACTCACTCGTCTTGACTCACGGCTGGCACGGGCGCAGTGTTGGTCTGGGAGGGGCCTGTTTCTGGATCTATGCAAGAATGGACGTTCTTTCATCTCTCTCAACAGCCGAGTGCAGTCGTTTGAGCACAGAACTTTGGATGCCCGTCGACGACGAAATTCATATATACGGACTTCTGGACTCTCCGACTCTAGAGGACTGGTCCAACCAGACAGTGTTTCTTCTCGCAGAGATTCACAACTTGTTATGCAAAGTCCGGGCCGCGGAGTCTGACGAGACGTTCAATGGTTTTCTCGAGACATGGAATGCATTAAAGGAAAAGATCCGGCTGCATAAGCAGCGACAGCCAATCCAGTTCAAGCCTCTCGCGGTCCTGGAAGCGGGCGACACGAAGGACAACCCCTTTCCAACGAGGCGATATCTGAGTGAAAGTGTCTCCCTAGCCACCCAATTTTGGAATGTTGCACAGTTGCTTTTTATCCTTGCGCGGCCGGAACGGAGCCGGCGAGAACGGTGTGACAGATACCGGACGGAGGCGAAGACCTTCATGACACTCGCCAAGCGAACAGTCGCAATCAGTATTCACAATCGGCATGAAATCAATTGGGTTGGAGCAACGCAATTACTCAGCGTCACAGGTATGGCGATTGTGGACTGGGCCGAGCGCAAAGCATTATTGAAATGCCTTAAGGATATCCACCTTCGTACGGGCTGGAATACTCACGAAGTAATTGATGCTTTGCTCGCGTGGTGGGGGTGGTCGGCTCCACTGAACGAAAGAGGCCAATCCTGGACGGATGTTCATCAAGAGATAGGACCGTATGCGAGCGTCTCGGAGTGGATGCTTCGTATGTTTGACTGCGGCGTTGTCATGAAAGCTGCAAGACTGAGCAGCCAGACCCAATAGCTTTCCAAGACGTTCATTGTGAGAACATAGATTGCCGTTCCGTTCGACATCAACTGTTTTTCAGGCCAGCAGATATCGTAGATTGTCACCAATCCGAAAGATGAGAGGCCAATAAGACAGGTTTGGAATCTAAGAAATTCTATCGTCTATGCTGTTTCAATCATTTGAACCCATCTAATTCGGTAACCGACCCTCGTTGAACGAAATCACAGCATATCTTCCATTCCGAGTCCATGCACAATTCGGCGCTTCTTTGTGCAACTCTGCCACCTTTTCCTCGGTCTCAATGCCAACAACGACGTCTGCTTTGTTCGTTCGCAGTGCCATGATATTGATGCCGCTACCTCTTCCCATCGGTCCAATGGCATTTTCGAAGGGTGTGGTGTGAGGCCATAAACCATCCCTCGTTAACTTCCGATAATTCAAATCACCCTTGGTAATAACAAGGTCCCTGCCCTTGAGATCTTCGAACAAGTCTTTGGCATGAGACGACATATCGTGGTATGTGTGACCTGTGGTCCAGAATGGATGCTGTTGCACTTGAATTGCACCACTGGACAGTTGATTTTCCATACGGGTGACCAATTGATCGATCTCCTGGCGATGACGCGGGAAGATTTCTGTTGACTTCAAATGCGAGAACAACGAGGGTATATCGGATGGAATGACGTCGCTGACGAACCAAGGGAAGTCCTTGACATGCATTCTGATTGACGATGCGATCTTCATTTCGAGCAGATAAGTTGCAAGCAGCATATCTGTAAAGAACTCGAAACCAGCATTGTCAAGAACGATGTCAATATTCGCTCGCGGATGTCTAGACAGGAAACGCCACACATCGTCCAAATCATCGTCAACAATATTGCGGCGGCTCTTGGCTATGCTTTCTCTTCCCTGAAGACTTTGCAAATCCTCAACGCTGAGAGGACCCAACATGGACAAATCTGTGGCGTTTCCCCAGAGGGCGATCTCCACCATCTCAGTGAACAGCAGTCTCTGGGCATCGGCGTTAGTCTCAGCTGTAAATGCATCCTTCTCCTTGACCATGTTGAGGAATCGGGCGGCTAGTTCTTCTACAGCCGCACTAGACCGCGCAAATGTCGAGTCCTTTTGACGTTTGAAATAGTCGTAAGATCGCCAGATGTGCGTGTCTGTTAGGACGAAAATCGCTTGCACACGCCTTCAAGCTATGAGCATTCAAAAATCCAGGTCAGAAGGAACCACCCAATATCGACTTACTTGTACAGATAACACTCCGTGAACAGCCACGGCGCCGCCAACCAAGAGCAACCTTTTATTTCCCCCAGCTGAGCGTTCCAATCTTCGACATCGGAGAGCCTTTCGTCTTGTGGTAGGAGACTGTAGTCGTCAACTTCCTGCCGAAGCATGGTTCCTCTGGTTTGGCAGAGATACATACCTCAGCCTCTCATTGGTGGTGATCTCCTTGTGCAATAACTCAAGGTCTCGGCAGATCATCTGGCCTTCACTTTTCTCATCTTGAGAAGAAAGTTGACTACACGTCTCTGTGACATCCTTCACAATATCTTGGACAATTCTGGGCCATCTCATGATAGCCGTTTCGTTGGCCATTGACCCAGGTTCGGAAGTCCATACTGGTAGAACTTCTAGAGACATTCTGAGAAGCACCGCTAGCACTGGAATCAACCACGTAGGATGTTGAGATATTGAAACAAAATTTGACAGAGAGCGTGGAATACTCGAATTTCTTATGGCGCCAGTAAAGTTTCCCCCGTACCCCACCACCAATGCGCACGTTGCCCGGCTCCCATTATTATCGAGACTCGAAGTCTTCGGAGCCTCCTGCCATGGGGGTGTCGGGACGTCTAAACGCTTAAACGGGAGATAGTTCCTAATTCGGTAGGGTAAGCGGTTTGCATGTGCCAATCCACAACCGCTTTTTCGAACATTTTGCACCCTCAAAATGAAGCTTCTACTACGGGTCTAGATCGTTTAGTGACTTCGAGAGATAGGTTGTAGCCATTCGATGTTTAATTACTAAGATCATAACAGGGCACAGGCTAAACTGAAAGCAGGCAGATCTACCAACGAGTATAGCATAAGACGGGATGTTCAACAGATCCCGGTTTGTTATATAGCACGCTCCCGACCAGGAGACTCCAGTGATGGCGGAATCAGAAAAATCATTCTGCTACTAGGATTATCCCGACACCTTCCCAATCAGGCTTGCTTAGTCTCTCCGTCCTTGACGTGCTTGTTACCACCAATTTCCTTCTCCAAGTGGACTTCGACATGGTTGGTGAAGTACTTTGAAGGATCACGGACCGCCACCGCACAACACATAGCAATCACGCCAAATGGGATTGAGGCAAGCCACGTAATCCGGAAACCGTAAGCGTAACCAAGGCGAGCCGCCTCAACACATTTCGAGAAAACGGATGCCGAGACAGAAGGTACAGTTGCAGCTTGACCAGGAACGCCGACAAGTGTCAACGAGACGGCCTCAATGAGGTCTGGGAGGTTCTTGGCCGAAATGCCTGCGTTCAATGCTACATCGCCAATTCGTTGAGGAACTTGCTTGGCTGAGATCTGGTTGAAGATGGAGGAGAAGACCACGGATCCTACAGCACCACCGAGAGAGCGGAAAGTCCCGATCAAGCCGATAGCAACGCCAAGGTCGCGCTGGGGAACATGCAGAGACGCAGTCGTGTATGAGTTCAAAGTCACCCATCCGAACGGAAGCATGGCCAGGAACTGCACAGCCATTACCCAGTTGATATTGTGTGGAGTGATTAGTGCTGCAAGGCCGAAGAAGAGCGTTTGCATAAAGACAGAGAAGGTCAACTGATAATGCACGTATTTGATGTAGTGCACAAGGCCAGGAATGATGACACCTCCGACAAGTTGACCAGCACTAAAATTGTTAGTGGCGTCGGTTTGAACACAGAAACCCACTCACCCTGAGGGAATTGAATAAACACCAATCTTGATGGGATCAGCCGTGTACAGGTAAAGTATGGTCTGCGCGTTCAGAGCAGATGCTGCGAAGAAGACCATGCCTGCAACGAAAACCAGCATCAAAAGTGATGAGAACTCCCGGAACATCTTGAACAGGTACCACGGAAAGAGCGGATCCTTGGCAACTTTGAAGTCATAGACAAAAGCTCCCAAGAAGACAATAAGACCGAGGATAAGAGGTGCTAAAGTGCCTGCACTCTTCCAGGGGTATGTGTTGCCGCCAGAATTGAGACCGAAGAGGAAGACAGCGAGACCTGAGACATAGAGAGCGGCGCCAAGAAAATCCAGCTGTTTGAATTCTTGCCACTTCGTGAGGCCGTCGGGACGTGGATGACTTGGCGGGAAGTAGACGAAGAGAGTGCCGATGAAGGAGAACGCGCCATAGCCTGCCGCGATGTAGAACATGACTCGCCAACTCGCATGTGACAGGAGAGCATTGGCAAGGAGGGTTCCTGCAATAGCCCAGCTGGCAAGGTTAAGTTCAGTCCATGCCAGACCGACACCACGCCACTTGTTCGGCAGGATTTCAGAGATACCTAGGATCAGTCAGCACAAGATGTTGCATGTCTCATTGTCTTTCATACCTGCATAGGCCACCGATACGGTTCCAATCGAGCCACCAAGTATTACTTCACCCGCAATGAGCTGATTCATCGAGTGTGCACTGGCCGCAACGGCCGCACCCACCACGGTGAGCAGCTGTCCCACTAGGATGACATATCTGCGTCCAAAGATATCTGAGAGCCTTCCTGCGATGGAGAATCCGACAGCGGCAGCTGCACCCCATCCAGATGGTATCCAAAAATCAATATTCTCACCCCCGAGGATCTGGCTTAATTGCACAAGAATAGGAGTGGCGAGGATGAAGCCGAAGATAATCGGACCCGTAAAGGATGTGCCGAGGAAAAGAGCAGAAAGGATGACAGAAAGGCTAAGCTTTTCAGCATGCTCGGGATTGTCTTCGAGTGCGGCTTTGTGAGGATCTTCGTATCCCGATGGAACATCACGATGCTCGGGGTGGGAGAGTTCAACCTCAGCGTCGACGGCTGCTTTGTTTCCAGGTGTGTCCTGCATGGTGAGAGGCTACTACAGAAAATCCACAGGAGGAGCAAGAACAGGGGAAGTTGAAGTATTCGAGGGACCATGGACTTTCTTGTACCCTCATATTTCCGCAATTACTCCAGATTGCTCCAAGCCATGCGGAGCACCCCGCAAGGCTTATAGTGCTTGAACCATGTAAGATTTTGGAAGAGGAGGTGGAGGATCCCCAACTTTTCGTGGATGATCGGTAGCTGTATCCATGGGGCTGGCGTGGGCACGCGTGGGCTACTCGTAGTAGGCTGTCCAGCGGACCGTCGTGGGTGGTCATTGTCCTGTTTCAGCATGATACGGACTACAAGGAAGAATTGTTAGGCCGAGCCAATCGGTAGATGTCGGTCTATCTCCAGACAAAAGCTTCATGCCAGATGTTGACTTAGGCCTCGGAGCAATTTTTGTAGCCGAATAATGCTAGTGACAACCACTTGGCGGTATCATGGCTGGAGAGTGCGTGAGAGTGAGAGTGAGAGACTCCGGGAGTCTCCCATCGACATTCTTCCATCTGTGGGACCCATCGTGGAACCATCACTGCCGAGCGTGAGATGCGGAGAAACTCCGTGATAAGTTGGAGAAATCCCACGTCCTCCACGTCCTCCACGTCCTCCAACATCGATATCCCTCGTCTAGAAACACACAAACTTTCGACTACATTCGTCTTTCATCTGCGCACAAGGAAAAATGATTGAGACGGCTGTTGCAGGCCGCGCCATTCCAGTATGGGCACCGCTCCTACTGGCCATCGCGTCCTATGGCGCGCTGGTTCTATATCGACTCTTCATTTCTCCCTTGAGTAAAATCCCTGGTCCATGGCTCACAAGAATATCCGCTATTCCGGAAGTCAACGCCCTCAAGGCCCAAAGACGCACCGACTGGGTGAACAGCCTCTTCTTGGAGAATCCTGGCGCAGTTGCTGTACGGACAGGCCCGAATTCAGTCTCGTTCAATCACCCAGATGCCGTCAAAGCAATCTACGGTATGCTGAAAATCCATATGTAGCCCAGCATTCAGTGACTCACTCCAACAGGCCATGGGAAAGGTGCAGAGGGCTTTGGCAAGTCAACTTGGTACGATGCTTTTTCGACAACCGGCGAATCGCTTTTTTCAACGCGTTCCAAAAAACGCCATGCTACCAAGAGACGAATGGTCGCGCACGGCTTCAGCATGCAATCTCTTTCCCTCTTCGAACCATACATGGACATGACAATGCAAAAGTTCCTCCAGAAGATGGATGAGTTCGCGAGCACCCAGCAACCCTTCGACATATATTTCTGGTTCGAGCTTTTCACCATGGATCTGATGGGAGAACTGGCCTTTGGACAAAACTTTGGAGCCCTCCAATCCGGTAAGCCGGTGCGGTACTCCAAGCTCGTGGAGCTCTCCCAGCGCTTTGCGAACTTGAGTGGGATGCTACCATTCGGCAAATACAATGTCAAAGTTCTCAGCTGGGTGCCGATCCCATATATCCAAGGACTGTATCAGGCAAGGCTTGAATACCTGGACTACGCTAGGAAGGCTTTGGAAAAGCGATTCCAAGACAATCGTCAGCAAGTTCTCCCCAGCGGCAAGCCGAGGCAAGATATCATGCAACGATTCATCGAAGCGCAAGATCCGGAAACCGGAGCACGTATGGATTTTCCAGAACTTAGAGCTGAGGCATCTTCCTTGATGTAATTGCCTCTTGCCTCAACTTGATAAATGCTGACTTTGGCTAGGGTCGCAGGAGCAAGTACTGGGAGCGTAACCATGAATTGGATGACGTACTATTTGTCAAAGAACCCCTCAGTTAAAGCCCGTATCATACAGCAACTGGAAAAAATGTTCCCGGACGACCTCGACGGATCCACACCTATTCCATTTGCAAAGCTACAGCATCTGAGCCTTCTAGAAGCAACTGAGATCGAATGTCTTCGCCTTCATCCTCCGATCGGGTACGCCATGCCAAGGATGACTCCATCCAGTGGTGCTGTCATCTGCGGAAAATTCATTCCCGGTAACGTCGATGTAGGTGTGCCTGCTGCCATTATTGGGAGAAATCCGGCAGTCTATCGTGATCCCAACAGTTGGCTTCCTGATCGGTGGCTGGACGAGAAAGCAGATCTGTCGACCATGAAATTGTGCTTTCTTGGTTTCGGCTATGGCAGCAGACAGTGTATTGGAAGGAACGTTGCCAATCAGTTTGTGATGAAGATGATTGCGACATTGTTGCTTAGATACGACATTCAACTAGAAGATCCCAACCTGGTACTAGGCTCGAAGGAGTTCACAATCATCAAGCCGGATAAGAATTATAATGTGATTCTGAGGCCAAGGAAGCATTGATTTGTTCGACACCAAGAATCAAAGTAGACCTCGGGATGGTCATCGGTGCTGAGAAGGATTTCAGAATGAGCGGTCATTGCTGGTCTTAACAGATCCCATGTTCCGTCCCCCATGGAGGTCCTCTAATATCAAATTATGAAAATATGATCCTGCTGCTCCTTTATGTTCAAGATTGCGCCCCGTAGCGAGGCAGCAAGAAAGCGAGGTCGCTGGTCCAGCTCTTCCAAATTTGGATCGCTATGGAGGTGTGTGCTTGTTGTTCGACCCCGCTGATAGTAGAAGTTACACGTAGGCTTGGAACTCGATGATCGAGAACTCATATGCTAATGGATCAGAACGACAAGATCAAAGCAATGAGATTGCGGATCTCGCCCAAGGTTGTGGCTTGCCTCATCACACTTGCCTTGCCGGTGCCTGAGCGATGGACCAAGCATTAGCCTGAGTTCTGATAGGATGGCCTGATTTGCACGTTGGACTACCGTTGTTTGCTTTTGAATGCCATGCCATTCACCGTGGTCGAGCCAGCGTCCTAGTAGTCAGCTAAATCGCAGTAACAGTCGTCCAAAAAGGTTCATACCGAGGAATTGTACAAGGATTCCAACCAACCATGATGCTGTTATCCACATGTTAACTGTGGCACTTTCAATATGGATACCAGACCATGGCATGCCACAGCCACATCACGTATCAGTTGCGAATTCCCGTACGCCGCATATAGTAGCGTCGTCCGCAAAGCCACGGACAACTGTGTCACTAGCAAAGGCAAGTCCAACGCCGTGGTGGTTGTTTCGAATCGCTCAACGCTCATTATTGCCTCTGAAAAAGGTGAACGTTTGATGTCCAGCTCGGATATGCTGTTCATGTCGGAATGCGGTCGCCAATGGAAGACGATCCAGGACGCTCTTGTGAGATAGTGTAACATTACACGCTTTAACCCTTCTCCTAGATTGGGGCTTTTAACCGGGTCAACAAGATTAACAGTCCAAGACTTGGTTGACAGAACCACTGAGAGTGCGTAATCGAGCCGAAACCTTGGCTCAGGATTGGTTACAGATGGTAACGACTGCAAGGCTCTCACCAATGCATTGACGCACGTCATGAAACTTTGATCAATTTCCTCGCCGTTCGCCTTTGCCTGCCGGCTGAGTTTCAAGCAATGGTAGAGATGACATTTGTACTCTTCCCATCTGCCAGTCCAGATCGCCACGAATACCAGGAGTAACGAGGTGGCGACTGTCAACACAGAGAGTTGCTTTTCCTTAAGCACGCATCTTATTGCGGAATGCATGCCCATAACTGATTGTTTCAATAGTGATGCTTGTAAGTCCGAAGTGCTCGATAAGCTGGTCTCCAGCTCGAGAGCTGTAGAGGCTGCAGAGATCAAAGCATTCTTAGTGGGCTCGAAATGGTATGCCAGTTGCGGAAGGTAGACGCCAAGCGCACCATGAAGAGCATTGACAGGGTTACCTCCGCTTTCCATACCAGTAAGCCGATGCCAGGATTGCAGCGCAAGCTTTTCTGCTTGGGTATAGTAGGGCAACGGTTCCAGAAGTCTTTCAGTGCCCAGTCCTTGAGAGGACGCAGCCTTCGTAAGTACATGGCCGCTAGGCTTCGAAGGATCGAAGATCCAGGTATTTGGGTTACTGACATATCCCTCGCACGTCTTGCCTGCCAAAATGCAGCTAGAACAAGTCAGAGCAATGAAGTATCTGTATGGTAGGCCGTGTACCGAAATCTGGCTTTCCCTCATCGCATTTGATCCGACGTTTCCTATGGACAACGTTAGCCCTTACCGTGGTCCGGATAAGGCATCCTGCGAGATTGTCGCCAGTCTAGGAGAATGTGATGCTTACTTGCAGGTCTCGCAGCCGCTTCTTGTCTTATTGTGCCATCTTTCACACCGCTGAGATGAAGCGCGGACGTGTATATTCTTTTTCCCGACTTCTGTCATCGAAACATAAGCGGCTTTTTTAGTAGATGGAAGGACAGTAAGAGAAGTGGTCGAGATATTTTGGTAAGAGGATTCCCGCCCGCAACATTTGGACTTAGGGCAGGTATACCGAAGTGGGTTCGCTAGGCTGCATTAGGCCTAGTGTTCCCTTCCATGACGCCTAGTAGGCCCCTAGCTCCCCCAGGCCCTGCCACATAACCCCTACATAGTACTGCCTACCCAAAAGTGGGGATTGACCTCACTCCGTACTTCGAATGACACCAAGTAACATTGATTGTTGTATACGATCATAAGGTTTTACCTCATACCTACACAATCTCAGTAAATTCAGATTCGCAGCCATAGTCGGACATCTTTGGTTTAGGAGGCGCCTCGAATCATTAGTCTACAGTATCGTTGCTCGGATTCGAGCTCTGCATTGCAAACCATCTTGTCCGTATCCCATACTCATTAAGTCGTCCAGGACAGGACCTCTTCACTTCTCGATTCTCGAGTGTCTTGGTGTCCCAGACGAATCCTGAGATGGTGGAGATTGCCTGACAAAGGTCTGCCGGATACAGTCCCCCTCCCACTTGCAAGGGGCCCATGCGCCCATGCCGTATCTCTCTGGTGCTCTTCGAACACCTCTTCCACCACCGCCAACAATGAGGTTGCCAGGGCGGTACTCAGGGGCCATTTGCATACGTTTGATTACGGAGTTGTGGATCTGCGCGTCTGCTGGGATATCCCGGGGCTCTCCCATCGGGAGCGGCCTAACAAGGTCAAATGACCGATCTGAAAAGGAGTTCTCGTGGATGACTTACCAACGAATAGGTTTCCAGCTTCCATTCTTTTGTAGGTCCATTCTACGAAATGGCAGGTATTCCATCATCTTCCATAGCAACACATTTGCCCATGAGCCTCCCTTTCCTCGTTCCAAGCAATCGTGAATCACCCCAGTGCTACAGCTGTCTTCCAGCGCTTGGAGGAACGACTGATGGGTTTCGGGATCTTCCAAACGTTCACCAGTATTGCTCACTTTGTGAGGAATGCAATTCAGTCGAGCCATTTTGCTGCGCCGAGTCAGTAACAAGTGAAACAAAATCTTCAATAGCGTACACTGGATCAAGTGGCAAACCTGCCTTTTCTGCTTCGTGTACCATCCATACAAGAGGCGCGTGGCTGAGCATCCATTTCTCGCCGATGGCTTTCGGCCAGCCTCCTCCGATGTCAGCATGCCCTCCAGCAAACCAGACCTCTTGGATGTCTTGCGAACGTGTCGCCTCAGACCATTTCCGTCGAAATTGTTTGGCACCCGCTCGCGCGAATTCTTCACATTCGGGCAAGTTCTCTGTGCTGGGAGTCTGCATGGGCATGCCTAGGCTTTCGTTAGAGCTTGGTGGCCCGGTTTGGAACGGGGTGGACAAGTACGCCCTGTGGCGGAAAGCGTGAGCGTCAGTCTTCTCGGTACGGATGGGCTCGGCAGGACTGGCTTCGGAGATTTTGATGCTGGGTTCGGGGCTCGGAGCAACTTCGGTGGATGCATGCATCTGACGCCCATCGTCTTCTACTTTCTCCCTCATGTCAGGAAAGTCGGAGCCATAGCGATGGACACCAGGAGCTTGTTTGTCTTCAGCTCGAGGTTTGGCTTCACCTATGAGATCTTGCCTGAATTTGGCTCTTCGCTCGTCAATAGAGACGGCGTGTCTGATGATTTTGGCAGAAGCCCGAGCAGTGTATGGAAACTTGTTGCGTTGCATCCAAGCAGCTTCAAACCGGGGAACTGAATTGACCGTGTCGAATAGTCCCATGAATCGAATCCTGCGAACTGGCCTGCTGCTGTTGTCGGTATAAGTCAGCGTACATTGACGGACTGGCCCAAATCGGACAGCAAGTGGACACTCACAAAGTCTCTCTGAATCCGCGCATGAAAGCATATTGGTTGGCTTCATCCTCTTTAGCCTTCTTGCTGCCGTCATTCGTTCTTGAAGCCCACTTGGCATATGTCTTCCAGGCAAACCTGATGAGCTCTTCATTTCCAGCACTCAACAAGCCAATATGGTCAAGCATCTCGGCCAGGAAACGAGCAGTGTATGCTCCACGACTGAAGCCAAAGAAGTATAGGTCATCTTCACAGCTGTAGTATCGCATCAGGAATTTATATCCACCCATGACATGGTCCGCGAAGGAGGAGCCGACAGCCGAGTCTTTGGCTTTGAGGCACCAAGAGCGAATTCGACCGGGCAGGGACGTTGTTTGTATCTGGATCGTTAGCGCCTAGCCCTACGAACGCTTCGTCCCTTGCGTACTGAATGAGTCGCGATGTAGGTTCCAATACCAGGTTGGTAGAAGGTGTACATGGTAGCATCACTCCGATCAAGCATGCGATATAGCTTCAAGATATTGCTGTCGGCATCGGTGCCGCTGAACATGTTCCCGGTGCCCTACAACAATGTCAGCAGTAGTCTCGAACATTTAAGGGAAATGACGACGTCAAAGCAAAGGACGAAGACATTCTTCTGGCGTGTCTGAGTAGGATCTGGGAAGGTCATTGCCGCAAATTGCTGATGCCAGGGCCTGTGAGCGACTGGGGACGCCAAAAGTCTTTTGCCCAAGGCGAGGCTGAGACTGAAGGTATGTCCGGAGGCCCTCTCGGCCGCGATGCCTCTTCTTGTTCACGAGTTTTATCAAGCGTACACGCCCGAAGCATTTGTCTGCACATTCCTGCCATTGCAAAACCGACTGCGAGTTATCGTGCTTCGGTCTGCCACGCCATGCTCTTCAGGTATGACCTTTCAATTGACCGCCGAAATTCTTACGTTCGGGCAATGATAGCCGGCTTGAGCTGTCAGTGGTAGTGCTGGGATTGAGATGCGACGATTTCGAGTCGTGTGAAACGTTGGCGAGAGAGTGGGTTGGCAGTGAAAGACTGCGTTGACGAGCCGGGTGACACGCAACAAGCATGCATGCATCGGTAGCAGGAGCGCCTTGCGTTCAACATTTCAATTCTGCCTGCACTACGGAGTACCGCCATGATCAGAGGTGTCTTGGGCGCATCAACAGATCAGGCAGCTGTTTCATTGCCTCGACTATGCCAACGCAGGAGTCGCACTGTAGAGCGCGGGTCACCGTCGCGATCCAGAGCCAAAGCAATGTCCTGCGCGAACAGGTCAGTATTGCGCGGAAGATCAAGAATGCAGAGCCGATATAGTGGAGGGTTTGGTCTCAACACAAGAGATCGACTTCCAGGACTGCGCGCTGCTGGCTCGCTGGGCGCGCAAAGGTCTGTGTGGTTTGTGTGCTTTTCAGTGCACCCCAATTCTTCCCCTCATTCCAGTCGCGCTTCGAATAACAACCTCAATTACTCCGTAACACATGTCTTCTGTCACCATAATCATTGCAATGGATTCGATTCGATCTCTCACTTCCTTGCTTCACGTAAAAGACCAACTATGAATCCTGTGGGCAGCGGACGCAGTTACACTTGACCTGCTCGTGTGAGCAACGTCTACGGAGCCCTGGCCCAATGGGTTCCCTTGCACTCGCTCTGTCTCAACACACCGAGCCCAAGCTCCGAGCCATGATGTGCACAATCAACTATCATGTACCTCCCCGTTCCTCATCTTACGTGACTTGTCCTACGTTATCGTATGCGTGACCGCTCCTGAGCAATGCACAAGAGGTGACTCGGATCGAGCTGGCCTGGACATGCCGTCTCCTGGCCGATACACCGCTGGTTGATCAAATACGATGGCGCAGCGATTTCCTGAAGACTGAAATCCCCTACGACATGGCGTCGCTCTGGCGTCTCACTCTCTCCCTTGATCGATCGTACGAATGCTCTGCAAGACTGAGTATACCTTGTCGCTTCTATCACCCGCCTCGGAGGGCATCCTACCTGCACTCTTCACTCGACGCCCATCTCGATCATTTCCGTAAGGGGAGATGCCTCTTTTACGAAGACTCTCGTCAAGCTTCAAAAAGAAGATGGTCACACAAAAGAATAGGGCCACTGCGAATGGGAACTTGACACCAGTCGACGAAGCCGGCGCTCCAGAACAAAATGGCACTCAGCCTGGATGTTCTGTTGCTCAGAGCCTCGCAAAAACGAAAGATGTTCACTGGAACACTTCATACAATCCCCCCTCCCCTTCAGCAGCGCAAGAGCCAGTAACAGCGGGTGCGGGTGCGGGTGCCAGTGGTCCGGCAACACGCAAAGATGTCGAGAACTTCTTCCAAGAATTTGCACAGCTGCTACACGCTTCTCGACGCACACTTCCTACTCAATCTGGTGACGGTCAGTATCTGGATCAGGCAGAATCCTCGGGACTTCTGGCAGATCTCAAGTCTCTTGGGCTGAAAGACGTAAAGACAGTGACGCACATGTTGGAAGACAAGGCCAGTGGGAAAGCTCAGGACGATCGAGAGCTGCACATGGAGGAGATCATGCAACTCATAGCTGCTCTTCCTGATCGTTCAGCAAATCGCGTCGAGCTGACCAGCATGTTGCTGGATGTGCTCTGGAACTCGCTACAACATCCCCCAATGTCCTACCTTGGCGACACCTTTCGCTACCGATCTGCAGATGGGTCCAACAATTCCTACATCTTCCCGAAGCTAGGGGCAGCCAATACGCCGTATGCTCGCTCGGTGTCTCCCGTCATCGTTCAGCCCGGCGCTCTTCCGGATCCCGGATTGATATTCGACTCTCTCCTAGCACGCGAGGATTTCAAGCCCCATCCAAACAAGGTTTCGAGTATCTTTTTCAACTGGGCGTCGTTGATCATTCATGGTTTGTGTTTGTCCTGTCCTTTGCTCCTTGTCGTCTCACTCTGTACCAGATCTCTTTCAAACCGATCACCATGACTACAGTATTAGCAAGACATCCAGCTACCTCGATTTGTCTATCCTGTACGGAGATACTCAATCCGATCAAAACAATATGAGAACCTTCAAGGATGGCAAAATCAAGCCCGATTGCTTTGCGGAGGAGCGCCTTCTGGCGTTCCCTCCTGCTTGCGGAGTCATGTTGATCATGTTGAATCGCTTTCACAATTACGTTGTCGAGCAGCTAGCACTAATTAATGAAAATGGTCGATTCACCAGACCATCCGATCGACTGCCGAAGGACGGAGCGCCAGCAGCTTGGAGAAAGTATGACAATGACCTCTTCCAGACGGGCAGACTGATCACTTGTGGACTCTATATCAACATCACACTGTACGACTATCTTCGGACCATTGTCAACCTGAACAGAACTAACAGTACCTGGACTCTGGATCCGCGACTGGACAAACCAAAGACATTCGGCAGCGATGGCACACCTCGCGGGATCGGTAATCAAGTGAGCGCAGAGTTCAGCTTGTCCTACCGGTGGCATTCCTGCATCGGCCAGATGGACGAAGCCTGGACTGAAATGGTGTACCAAGAACTGTTCGGGAAAGCCCCAGATAGTGTCTCTCTCCAGGAATTGATGGCTGGGTTGGGCAAATATGATCACGAACTCCCAGCAGATCCACTCGCAAGACCTTTTGCACATCTCAAGCGTTGCGCAGACGGCAAATTCGACGACGGCGACCTTTCAAAAATTATGCAAGCCGGAGTTGAGGAGGTTGCCGGAGCATTCGGAGCCCGCAACATTCCAAAATGTCTACGTGCCATCACCATCCTCGGGATCATGCAAGGAAGATCTTGGAATCTTTGCACGCTCAACGAATATCGCAAGTTTTTCGGGCTGAAAACGTACGATACCTTTGAAGAAGTCAATCGGGATCCTCACATCGCCGAGCAATTGAAGCATCTCTACGAGCATCCTGACTACATTGAACTTTATCCCGGTCTGGCTGTGGAAGAATACAAAGAGCCAATGGCTCCTGGAGTCGGTATTTGCCCTACTCATACCGTCTCACGCGTCGTTCTGTCCGACGCTGTTGCCCTCGTCCGCGGAGACAGGTTCTACACACTCGATTACAATCCCAAAAACCTTACAAACTGGGGATACCTTGAAGTAGCCTATGACTTGGGCGTCAATCAAGGTTGTGTTTTCTACAAGCTTATCCTCCGAACACTGCCAAACCATTTCATGCCCAACAGCATCTATGCCCACTGTGAGTATATCTGCCGGCCGGAGCTAACGAGCTAACGAGCCTTTAGATCCTATGACAGTGCCCGCCGAAAATGCGAAAATCATGCAGAACCTCGGCCGATATCACGACTATGACTGGAGCCGACCAACATACATTCCTACCAGAGTCAACTTGACTTCGTATCAAAGTGCCAAATATCTTCTCGAACGTTCTCAGGACTTCACAGTCATGTGGAATGACGGTCTCAGCTTCGTCATGGGTGAAGGAGGTAGGAAGTTTTGCTTGGGAGGCGATACTGTGCTTCATCGGAAGCAGCGAGAACTCATGCATGGGCTCCTCTACCGTGAGAAGTGGCATGAACATATCAAGAATTTCTATGAGTACATCACCCTTCGCCTTCTGCATGAGAAGAGTTGTACGATTGCCGGCATCAATCAGGTCGATTTGACGCGAGATGTGGGAAACCTTGCCCATGTTCACTTTGCGGCCAACGTGTTTTCTTTGCCACTCAAGACTGCAGAGAATCCGGCCGGTATCTTCACCGAGCAAGAAATGTGGATGGCGATGAGCGTCATTTTCACCGCAATCTTCTTTGACTTCGAGCCTACCAAGTCTTTCCCACTCCGGCTTGTGGCCAGGAAACTGGCAACTATGCTTGGTAAACTGATCGAGATCAACGTCAAGTCTGTCACGACGACATCATTTGCTTCCAACTTCCTGGACTCCTTCCGGGAAAACGAAAATGCTCTTGCTGAATACGGCATTCATATGATTCGTCGCCTTAGCCAATCTGGCATGAGCACATACGACGTGGGATTGAGCCAGATCATGCCGACTGCTGTCGCGATGGTGCCGAACCAGTCTCAGGTCTTCAGCCAAATCATGGACCATTATCTCAGCGACGAAGGTCTCGAGCATCTTCCGGAGATTCAACGTCTGGCAAGGATTGACAGCAGAGAATCCGATGAGAAGCTTCTTCGCTACGTCAATGAGGGCATCCGTCTGAATGGTACGTTCGGCAGCTACCGTCGAAGTGAGGTTAGCCACGTCTTCAACGACGATGGCAGGCAGGTAGCCGTCAAACCGGGTGACAAGGTCTTCTGCAGTTTTGTTGGAGCAGCAAGGGATCCCAACATCTTCCCAAATCCCGACCGCGTCCGCCTTGATCGACCCAGGGATTCTTACCTCCATTACGGGATCGGAGACCACACTTGCCTGGGAAAGGAAGCGAGTATGGTCGCACTCACTGCTATGTTAAGGACGGTGGGTAAGTTGCAAAATCTCAGGCGTGCACCAGGACCGCAGGGGCAGCTGAAGAAGGTGAGCAAGCTAGTGGCAATATCAGCCAAGCAATACTAATTGTCTCGTAGGTTCCACGACCTGGAGGGTTTTATGTCTACATGAGGGATGATCATGGCTCATATTTTGTTTTCCCGTGTACTTTTAAAGTACATTATGACGGACCTCTCCCATCATTTCGCAGAGGAAGAGCAGAGCACTGACGCTGCACGGTCAGATAGGTCTGCCGCACTTCCAGACATTTGTCTTAAAACCGTATGAGAAGCTTCTGGGTTGTTTCAATGTTTCCCATGCGTGCTTGTTCATCAATCGGTATCTTGAACTGCGTCAAGCTCACAAAATGCCGGAACTACTACCTGGGATCCAAGCAGCTACCTCTCACGCTGGCTTGATATGGCTACAAATGTTGTTCCAAACTTGAAGCAACAGCTCGGCAACGGAACGGCTTTCAAACCCGCTTAAACCATATCAAGCTGAGGAACAAAGCCCGATATCTTTCAACAGTTCGCCCGCCACAATGTCAATACCCGCAGTCTTGAGGTCCTCGATTCCAAAATTGATGAACAGTACGTCGTCGCTGTACCCATGGTACTTCTGTCCTTGTGATTTCCAAGTGATCGAGGTCACGTAAAACATCTCGGTCTGATTCCAAGTTTCCAATGATTCGAACTCTGGACCTTTCGGTCTTTTCTCTCCAGCCTTCCCCCTACCATGGATCCAGATCGGCTTCGAAGAGATAGCATGAAGTTCAAATGGAGAGGTACGTTTGAACAGCATCACATAGGGTTCGTACACACTGTGAAAGGAATAGAAACTTTTGTGCTGAAAGATGCTCAGAATGTATGTGTTCGAGTCGTTGGGCTCGCAAGTCAGGTCGGACCGTTTGCATAGTGTTACTGAGAGAGAATTTGTTGCTTGGTGAATTGATTCGAGTTGTTCAGCCACCTTTGGCATGTACCGTTGCATGCATTTCTCGTCACTGTACCTGGCCAGAGGCGCGAGGTCTTGCCCAACCGACCCATCATATCCTAGTTTCGCATACACACGATTGGGTGCAATATCGTAATGGGCGTACACTTCTCCATGTTTGTCCCAAAATACGAACCAATTCTTCTCAATAAGGCCCAGCGGAGGAGGTCTCTGGAGCTCGGTCGCCATTCGGAACTCATTTCCAACAACAGGCTCATACCCCCAGTCGACCAGCATTCTGAAGTCTTGTATCCATTGACCGAAGCAAGTATAGGCTGAATTCGACCCAAACACAACGTATGGGGAACTTGGACCGTAGAATACCCGCGCATCATGCGGGCCGATGTTGAGTGCAAAGTAGGATAAGTCACCTACGCACTTGTCGCCTATTGTTGCTGCTATCGGGAGGATCTTTGGCGACTTGATACATGCAAGCTTGCCCTTCTTGAACTTCGCGTCACAGACTAGCTCTGCAAACCAGACTGAGTTGTTGATTGTGCTCCTTTGCAGTTGAGCTACGATGATCCACGTCTCGGGTTGCGTGGGATGTGGTATGATGCTAGGGTTTATGGCGTCTTCGGCCCCAAAGTCAATTGAGAAATATTTCCCGCTTTTGGTCGATACTGAGAAAACTTCAATATGAGTGTCCGAAATGGTTTGCTGGGAGGAGTCATATTTCCTGAATGGAGCCAGCCATGATGGTTTATCTTGTCCGACAAAGGAGGAGTGGTGACCATCGACCGTCGCCTCGACCACATCAGATGGCCATCCGCCGCTTTGAGCATGTAATCTGACAGAGTAACGACTATGATAGATGAGAGCAAGGACAGCTATGAAGAGTAGAGGCGTAAGAAGAAATGCAAGTCGCCGGAAGTTCTTGACCAACATGGTATTGGTAAGAGGAGCAGAAACATGGTTGTGGATGGGTATGGTTTGAGGGGAGTCGCCTCAGATATATATCCCTTGCAATACTACCGAGGTATGGTGGAATTGACCGGGTTCAATCTTTGGACCTTCTCAAATCCCTGTCAGAGTACGGAGTACTTCCCTGACATCATTTAAATTTATAGATTTATTACGCTGCTTATTATGCCTGTGAATCTGTCCAAAGTATTGGACCACAGACTGCTTTTATTTCCGTCGTCTTCTCACCTAGCCAACTGCCATGTGCACGTGTTCGTCGTGGCCATCATTCACTATGTACTCATTCCATACTTCACAATCTCCCGCCTACATGATCCACCAGTACCGTTGTGAGCTACATTTCTGCGCCTATAGCTTTGTGGCGGACATCTGTGTTTGACTGTAGAGCCACTGCGAGAATTTGACGCTAGGCTCGTCAATCAATGTCGTTGCTATCTCTGCAACCCAAAGCGTCAGTGGCAGAAGCACCAGCTGAGGTAGCAGAAAGCTCAACTCCAGCCCGAAGGGTCCAGTCTTTGGCAGTGGAAATACATTGATCCAACCTGGTGCGGTAAGAGCATGGGATTCCTTTGTCCAACCAACGGCGGCGTATACCCTGTCACCCAAGGACCACAGTATCGGGCCGTGGACCAGGTAGAACGCAAACGAGATTCGGCCTAGATACTGATTGGATCTCGTCTCAAAGAATGCCTTGAGCCCAGAGATCCGCGAGATCGAGGCCACAAGCAATATCGAAGCCCAAAACAAGTAGAACCACTTGTAATCGAAGACTGCTTGTGGTTTGAACAATGACAGGTAGAACCATCCAGGTGAGTTCTTGAGGACATGAATATCCGAGCTGTAAGCCGGGCAGCCACCAAGATAAAGGCTTACGAGGAATAACCCGTAGTATATTGGTGTCTTGAAGCGTCCCAGTGTTGATAAGAAGTATGGCAGCTTCTGGCCTTGCTCCAGAAGGTCGAGGTCGCATAAGAACATCCCGGCCATGAAGATTGCGCAAAAAGCGCCGTCCACAATGTACATGAAGTAAATGATGAGACACAATTCACACCATAGCCGTGTATTCCTGGTACACCTCGAGAAGGCTTGCAGCGCAGTATATATCACGATCGAGCCTTTGAACTCAACTGGAATGGACCATGTATGAAAACTGTAGCTGAACCATGGTTGACCTCCAGTAGTAAATACGAAGCTGAAGTTCTTGAACTCGCAGTACCAACTCCAGAGTTCTTCTCGATAACTTGGCTTAGGCTCTGACTCAGTTCGATATTTGAAGACGTGCCAGGATGTCATGTACAGGAACGTTGTGCAGAAGACGGGTATAAACAGCCGTAGCCAGCGTCTGAATAGTGCAGACGCGAGGTTGTCTCCAAGCCTCATGTATTCTCCGGAATGAATCATGGCCATTGGCTTCATGGATAAGACATAGGCGGACATGACGAAGAATACTGTGACCGCGAAGTGGCCGCCTGAGAAGAACGTCCGTATAAAGGGTAGACAGACAAAGTAACGTTGATTGTCATAGCCATATGCGTTCTCCAATATTCGATCCGGGGAAAGTACATCGTGCGCCCATAACTCATGATGTCCCCAGTAGACTATCAATGCTGCGAATCCTCTGAGGCCGTCCAGATACGCCGTTCTTCTGGTCTTCTCTTGGCGCGGTTGAGCACTGCTCATGAATGAAGGCTTGACTAGTTTAAGGAGCCATTGCTTTGCACGGCTTGCTGAAGACGGTTCTGCGAGCGGGTCAAGGTCCTTCCAGTAACCTTTCTCCAAAAGGCTGTCGTTCTGACGAGACATCTGAGGTAGGTGGAACAAGATCGTGCAAGTGAGTGAGTGAAGGTAGGTTTGCAAAGCAGGGTGCGAACTCTGTGCAACCTATGGTTTTAGTCCGAATTGTTCGAAGCGAGCAGCTTGAAGAAGACCAAAAGTTGGATGGCACCCCTCTGCTCAATCATTGTGACCGTCGTGACTAGCATGCCGTCACCCGCTGGAAGTCCCTTCGACTTTCACATGCAACAAGCTGAGAGATGTATCATCCCGAGGCAAATGGATCCCTTCCTCGAAGGGATCAAGGTGGAAGTACAGAAGCAAAGCTCTAGTTTACGAGCGCATCACATGTAGCGGTCCATCCTCGATACCACCTTGTGACTGTTTGTACCCGAGAGCCGCGGTTCGTTAACCTGGGGTGTAGTTGCAAAGTTCCTTAGTAGAGTGGCTCTTTTCTCCCTCATAGATATCATTGGCCGCAGTACCACAAGGAAGGTCGGTAGGCGCCGCCTCCGCAGTTGAATACCGCCATGATACAATAAGTGTGTACCGCATTTCTTGTCGATCTTGCAAGGTCCAGCAGTGCACGGATGGGGTGTGTGGAGTGAAACTAACATTGCATTGCATTGCATGAGAAGCTTATTCGTTATCTCCCGGGAGGCATCCAGGGAGGAGCATTTGCATAAACATACAGTACCAAGGCATCACCGCTAGGACCAAGTGGGAAAATACCTCCGTTCGGAACGAAACGAAAGCGTTAATGCTTCCTGGAAGATACCATCATTGTCAAGTTGCTCATGGTCTAATGGTACCGTGTGCACCATTCTATCGCAATCTCATAGATTTCTCACTTCGTCCCCAGCGTTTGACGTCAGAAACGCTTCGGAACGCATTTTCATAGCTCTCTTGTTTTCGTGCCCCGCTAGTAGATGCCAGCGAGATCTGCATGAGCAGCTGCTGAGCGGAAAGCCATGCAACGATGGTTCATCGGAAATTGAAAATAAAGTGCCGAGGGTACATCAGGGTGCATCTGCCCAGTCAGTGCCTGACTTGTGTGGCACGGACACTGAACACGTTGAAGCCAAATGCATAATCCAACAACACCGGTCTTTGGTGGTTGCTTGCCCAAGCAGATCCGCAGAGCCTTGCCTGTATGCCTCATCTTGACACTGTTGGCCCTTTTCTTATCGACAGCCGGGTCATTAGGGGAGTTCAGCGCTGATGTATCATACCACGCCTCCCTGACAAGTGGTAAATTCCCAAAGAAGATTTGGCAGACATGGAAGGTCGATCCATTGGACTTCGAAGAACGAGATCTGACAACTGCAAGAACTTGGATCTTGAAGAACCCAGAACATAGATACGAGGTCTTGACGGATCAAAACGACTTATACTATGTGGAAACATATTATGGCCCAGCTGGTTTCAACCGACCGGATATTGTACGCACATACCGGTCCCTTACTACAAAGATCGTCAAGGCGGACCTACTGCGATATCTCATCATGTATGCAGAAGGTGGAGTCTATACGGATATTGACGTCGAGGCTCTCAAGCCCATTGAGCGCTTCATACCCGGTCGATACAACGAAAGGGATGTCGACATGGTTATTGGCGTTGAGATTGATCAGCCAGAGTTCAGGAACCACAGTATCTTGGGAGGCAAGTGCGAATCATTCTGTCAATGGACCTTCATGGCCAAGCCTCGACTTCCAGTAATGATGAGGCTCGTCAACAATATCCTGAAGTGGCTTAATGAGGTTGCTTCAAAGCAAGGAGTAGCAATTTCAGACATTCATCTTGATTTCGACGAGGTGATTAGCGGAACTGGACCGTCCGCTTTCACTCGAGCAGTTATTGAAGATATGGCTGCTCGTACTGGTGAAACACTTCGTTGGGATTGCTTCCACAATCTAGGCGAGTCGAAACTTGTGGGCGGGATCCTGGTGCTCACGGTCGAGGCGTTCGCAGCCGGGCAAGGGCATTCGGATTCCGGCAACCATAATGCTAAAACAGCCTTGGTCAAGCACCATTATCATGCATCCGGCTGGCCGACCGCTCATCCTCGATACACCCATCCCGTATATGGAGAGGTCGAGAAGTGCAATTGGGATGCAGAGTGCATCAGACAATGGGACGCCAACAAAGCAGCATTCGAGGGACTGTCACCTGAAGAACAGGCAAATCAAATTGCCATGAAAGAAGCCGCTGAAGCAGCGGCGGCGGCTGCTGAGGGGCTTGTCCCTTTGGAAGCACAATTGACCATTCCATAGTGATCAGGCGGTAAACTCCAAGGACACCTAATTCTTTCAATCAAAGTATATCAAAATCATGTTATAATTGAACCCCTGAAAATGCCCGCAATCATCTTCGTAGAACTGGTGACTACCACTGGGCACTAGTTCAGCTGGCCCACTGCTTGTGCCTAAGTTGCTTGACCTCTACCTTCACATATGTCTGGCGCATATCACTCGATGTCAAGGAAAAGACTTCCGACAATGTGGTTTTTGGCCAGTCTGCGGCTCGGCTGACCTTCAGAGATGCATCAATAACTGGTACATTGCCAGGGCTTGCCGAATGTTGACATTTAGATGTTTCAGCTGGCCAAGCAGAGTATCGCGAGATTGAGGGCTTGTTCGAGAAGCTCTGTGGCTGGTAGCGGTGGCTGCTTGATCTCACCCTCATTATTTCCTCGTAGTCTGTCAAGTCAATTCTAGGTGTGGCCACACAGCCACGTCGACCTGATCATTTGCCTTCGCGTTCTTGAGGTCTTTGTAGAGCGACTCGCGCATTTTCCCGAGCTTGTTGCAACTACGCTTCTCAATTCAGTCGACTTCCCTTGCCCATTGATTTTTTTGCCGCCCTCGTTAACTGCAAGTTCGACAGGCTTGCCAGTGTCACGACCAATAGCCTTCACCGACTCGACATAGTGACATTGTAGCCAACCGGAAAGGCAAGTCGGTCGGGACTGACCTATAGCCAATAGTGCTATTGACATCCGAACATGGGTCTTCAAGCCTTTCAGTACGATCGGCGCAACGACCGACTCGGTCGGCCGGCGACAGGGCAAGCTCAGTGCTGGTCTTGCCAGTCCCTTGACTCGATGCAGCAGATGCAATAGCGCGGGCCATGACGCCAACCCGATGAGCAAACCGCTGTCTACAACCTGGTTGACTCGGCGGCTCCGAGTCTACCAAGACGTCAATCACGAAGAGTTCCTCGGTTCATTGAAAAACAATCCATGATACGAGCTTATTCCAGAAAGACGACCGATATGTCTGATGATAAAGTCGGCTAGAATGCTGAGCCGGAAGCTTTAGATTAAGAATCAGCGGAGATTTGTCCAGTTGTAGCCAGCCGTCGTAGTAGTCTCTTTAGGGCTCGAGACCCACCAGGTCGCAGAGGGATATTCGATGTGATCGCGACAAAGAGTCGTAGTTTGCAGGTCGGTGAGAAGATGGGAAACCCTTGGTCTTAGCGGAGTAGCATCAAAGAGTGGCGATCACCAAAATGCCGAGGCATTGTCAACGCTCCCAAGCGATGGGGATGGAGACAGGTCCTTCAATCCTAGAGTAAATAGAGTATGGGCTTTCGAACCCCATTCCAGAGTGTGCCAGCCCTGGAGTGCTTAGAACCGCGCCAGATGGCATTCACTGACCCCATCCCAGCGAGAGGCGCGTGATTAACAATCAAATACTGTAGGTCCGTCGAAGGCACGCGACCCCTGCTTGGGATGAGGTAGAGCGTTGACCAACAAAAAGCTTGATGAGCTTGGAATTTGTGGTAACATGCATGAGCAAGAAAAGGTGGACACCGCCCACCACACCACAAAGCGGTACAGTACGGACACGTACTTGTACATAACTGGTAGACCCCGGATCATCGTCAAAATGATCTGCTGTGTCTGCTTAGATGTGCCGATTGGGCGACTTGCCGGACGAGGCTCCGAGTTTGGGCTAGTTGGCCTTGTTACTTGGGCTTTTCCTACGCCGTTGCAATCTTAGCTTCGTTTCCTTTCTCTTCCGACCTCAAGCTTCCGTGGTTCAGCACACCAACGATCCCGAGAAGTCGTTGAAAGGATGCGACGTCGACATGTGATGCCTCGCACGACCTCGGTCGACGCCTTCGTTCAATTGCAGTCGAAGAGGACATGGAATTGCATGTGACGGCGGCAATTTCTCAACCACACGCTCGAGTCGGCCAACGCGCCCAGTGCATACCTTCTCCGCGCTGCCTACCACTGATGCTAAGGCTGATGAGCTTTCTCTTGCGTTCCAGAGTCATCCCACAGTATGGAGACGGAGATTGGCATTTGCGCAATCCCCAGATAAACTGCCTGTCTGGGGAACAACCGCCCACCCCCAATTTGTTTGTTCTTTTCGTTTTCCCGTGGTTTGCAAGATACTAGTACTTATCTCTCATTATATCGCGTCTGTTCTCTTCGATTCAGTAAGCACCATGGCACCAGAAGAGAGCCAGGACAAGCCCGTCCACGTCGAAAACGAGGGCACGAGGGTCACCGATGGAAGGAAACGAGCAAAACTCAGGCGACATTGTGCCCGCTTCTGGTGGATTCATGTCCTTGTCTTCATTGCCATTGTCCTCGTCGTTGTGCTTCCAGTGTATGGCCGCTGTCTCAATATTCTCGAGTGATAGCTAACAACCCTGTAGCGTCTTCGTCGCCTACCCACATCAGGCTCAATCTGCGATCAACAAATCGACCTTGATGGTCACTTCTCAATCATTTCTCAACCCTGCACCGGACTCAGTCGACCTAGAATTGAACAGTTTGTTCCTATCAAACTCTAGTCTTCACGCAAAGCTAGATGCTTTCGAAGCCGATCTCACTCTGGAAGGTTCCGACACCCCCTTCGCTCAACTCTCGATACCTGCAATCGAAGCGGCCAATGGCACCCAAGCTCATGTCAACCAGAGGGTACTAATCAAGAACAAGGATCAATTCTTCGACTATGCAAAGACACAGATCCTCAGCGAAGAGTATGTTGTCCACCTTAAGGGCAAAGGTGGCCTGAAGTATGGCAAGCTCCAAAAGACAACCGTCAATTACAACGACAAAATCACTTTGAAAGGTGCGTATCCCGGCGTTCCCTCCTGACTCTTCTGAGTCTCTCTGCAGGCATGAACGGCCTGAAAGGCTTCAACGTGACCGACTTCGAGCTCATCACCACTTCACACCCCAGCGATTTTAACGCCAACGGCACCGTTTTCATCCCGAACCCAACAGTGACAACTTATGAGATGGGAAATCTTACAATGGACATGTTCGTCGGCAACGTTTCGATCGGCAACTCAACCGTCGAAAATGTCGTGCTTCGACCTGGAAACAACACGTTCCCGTTACGAGCACTTGCGAACCAGACTGCAGTTGTCCAGCTTCTTTTCACCGACTACAAATCTGGAATTTTCCCTGTCAACATTGTCTCCAGGGGAGTGATCTACGACGGCGAGCACCTTCCTTACTACGAGTATGCATTACGATCAAACAATCTGACCATTCATCTGAATGTCATTGAGGTTCTGGAAAAGGCAGGATTGGCAGGATATCTGGGAATCAACACGACCAGCACCGCAAGATGATCAGGCACGGCGATACCCACCAAGATAGTGGAACCGACACATCATGCTGTTAAGAGATGCACATGCGATATCTAATCATTTAGAGCTCGTCGAGTATTAGTTCGAATAATCATGTCTATGTACAGCCGCCAACATTATTTTCTCTCGCCTTCAGGCTCCTCTTTGCATCTTCCCTATCTTGGCTATTGCCCCATCAGTTTCCTGGACCTTTCAGCCCGAAACAGTTGGCATAATAGGTGACGGTGGATGACCAGTCAGAAAACATGCCTTTGAGCCCAATCTCACGAGCCATGAGATCAAGAATCTCATACATTTGACCATCGTAGTGGACCACTGGTGCCACAGACGAATAATAGTAGTCATCATCCGCGGCAACTCTGGTCAAGGGACCAGAGCGCTCAAAAGACCATGAAATGATGTCAAGACCGGCCTTCTTCGCTGCAATGGCGTAGTCCGAAGGCACAATAGTGTCATTGTTCGGGCCTCCGACGGCCAACAAGTAGTTGATCGGAGGAGAGATGATGTTGACACCGCTGGCTTTGAGAGCTGGAAGGCGGTTGACGGCGGTGGTGAAGTTGGCCGGATCATCACCATCCTCGTCCAGGAACACTGCTTGGGCACCCCACTCAGGGTACTCATTCAACCAGAGGTAGATATCGGCTGGCGTGAAAGATTGTGGGAACACGCGGATAGGGTCGATACCATGGCTAATGAAGGTTTCAATCATGTCTCGCGAATACTGCGCTTGAGTGTAGCCGTTGAATGGCATTGGCACTTGCTTGGGTGGCGTCTTGAGTTCGGGTGTGAAGTTGCGATATCCTGGGAGCGAGTCGACCAGCTCGATGTAGCTGTCAAGGGACATGACCTGCGCGCAGGTATCATACAATTCCGTTCGGAAGAAGGGAACGCCATGTTGATAGTCCTCAGGAGTGGTGGCGCTTGCGTTGAAGCCGTCCATCTTGCTGCAGAGGGACATGAATTCGTCCTTGGTAATGTCCGAAGTGCAACAAAGAGCCGTAGCGTCGCTGGTCTCGTTCGCTGGGGTAAATGGAGTGGTGCACTTCGCGGCCAGTTCTGGTCTCAGCAGGATGTCCGTCGTCGTATGCAAATCACAGAGACTGTGTCGGCAAACGAGCCCAAGGTCAGAAGTGAAAGACACGTCGCACTCGAGGATTCCAGCGCCCATTCGCGCTCCGGCCATGGTAGACTCCACTGTCTCTTCGGGAATTTGCAACGTGCCACCACCTCGACTGTTCACGTTAGGAAGCTGTACCGTTGAAGACGGGGACAAGTCACAAGACTGGTGCGCTAATGACACAATCTGTGGGAGGTGATAATACTCACTGGCCGATGCTCCAAGCGGTGATTTCGAAAGGTCCGTTTTCGCACGACTCCAGCTTTTTCTTAAGCGGACTCTCGGTCATGTTCTGGATAAGATAGTAAGGACGAGGACCGAAGGAGATGTAATATTCATCGGGAGTGGTAGGTGGCAGAGTCGAGGTGTGCACTGGCCACGCAACAGCGAGCTCGGCCAACAAGGCCGTGATGGCCAGAACATTCATTGTCTTGTACATGCCGAAGATTCGGCCTTTGAACTGCGATGGCTGCTGCACAGGCTGGAGGAGGAAGAAAATTTCGCCCTTCTCGACAAGCGATCTGACATTTTTGTACCTCGAGCTTCGAGCTACAGCTTGAGCTTGCGGTGACGACAAGAGCTCCCAGCTCCAGGTACCCGCAGACAGACCATCCCGTTTCTATCACCACGTGAATCGAGAGCTGGTTGTCAGCGATTGGATTGGAGGGATTCTCCCGGTTATGCACTCGAAATCCCACCTCGCGAAACCTTGTAAGAGCTATATGTGCATGTTCCACACACAGCTATGCTCGGTATCGTAGAGATAGCCAGAAGCTTTTCATATCGGACAAATGACATTCGGACCTGGGCAACGTGGACACCATGTTCCTGCATCCTGGCGGACAAGGAACTGTGGGCGTTGCCGGCTTTCTGGCCACCCATCTGGTAGTTGCTCGAGCTGGCCATCAGCTGGTGGGAGGACTAGGCTGAAAGAAGAGGTCGAAATGCAATATACCCCGCCCGAGATGGTATGCCTTGGGATGGACGAGGAAGGACAAGGCGGGAGAACTGCATAAGACAGCTAGCCGTGGCTAATAGTCCCAATGACAATGAGGCGTTACTGTATGCCAAGGCTCCGGTCATGCATAGATCCTTGGCACGTCGGGCAAGGACCTGGTAGCTACTCCCGCGAGCGCTGACTGATGGATCATGGGCCATGGCTGAGTCGTTCCCGAAGCAAGAACCCTTCCATCAGCTATCACATCTCAGATCTCTTGGTGATATTGGGACACCCAATGGAGCGCTGAGCTGTGAGCATGTCCTTCTTGGACATTAACAATTGGCGTGAGGAGGTGCTCCTATGCAGCAAGACAGTGAGACACGTGAGGCTTGTTTTTGGAGTGGCTTGAATCTGGCTGGTCAGGTGATGTCATACAAACAGACACCAGCATTCGCGAGTCCAGCGACCGGAGGCAGACGAGCTAACACAGTACACATGTAGTTACTCAGCAGTGTCCTGTATCACACACAATTCTGTCAACTCTCGAAGCTCGGACTCCCCTCCGTCCAAGGCGATCCTGACAACCGTGAGCCTGTGCTGCTTGACGTTAATTCCCGTCAGCCGTTCATTGGGAAAAGAAAAGATCCTCCTGCTCGAGCCTAGCACTTGAACTGCCAACAACGCCTGCTGCACCAAGCATGCTTGAATCTTCCTAGTGGTCAAATCGGCCCGGCTGACACTGTTTAGATGTCAGGTCTAGCAAGACGCCGTCATCCTCCCTACGTCGTCCACCCTCCCAACCCTCTGCCTCTACCTCTGCCGCGTGGGCATTCGTCTGCGCAGTCTTCCTTCCCACCTTTGATCCGAGCAGTCGAAGCTAGTCCCTAGGTGACAGCAATATTGCGAGTCATGACGAAAGAGTCAAACGGTGGAAGACACGCCAGATATATAGATACAGCCTTCACGCTGGTCCTATGCTACCCTAGACCATGCCTTCGAGCACGAGGTAAGCCGTCCACGGCACGACATACCAAAAAACAAGCACCGCCGAGTTCGTGGTGGCCACTGGACTTGTAGTGGTGACTATGCTTCCTCCGGTCAGCGTGACAGTGCTTACCAGCGCATGTCCCGAAAGCGCAGCACATCCGGACTCTTCCCGCACCGAACTGCCACAGTCCAACCAAAATTTCCATCCGATACATGGCGGACTTTGGGAAAGGAACAACGTGACTGGCGTTTATCATGAGACGTCAAGTCCTGAACCCAAGGCACGGCATCATGCGCTGCAGAGATCTACCAAGCTTGGGGACAGAAAGAATGGGGACAAACGGTGGACACTCCTCGATTTGCAGAAAAATTTCGTGTCTCGTTGAATGAGGTTGGCACTTGTTCCATCTCCCACCTAAACTTTGCTTTTCTTCATGCTCGTACCTCCAAACACCTCTGGGGCATCTTGAGGCCCAGGCTGGCGTGGATCGTAAGAAGGTTGAGACATGGTCTCATGACAAACGTTCTGCAACATCAAGACTATCTCGTCTTTGTGCTGAACGTCTTGAGAGATTGCAACGTTGTGGGAATTTACTGTACAGTTCACATTCTTGATTTGAATAAAGACAACGATGGGCAACAGAAATGCAGGGAGTCGGAATGATTGATGTGATGGTTGTTGTAAGCATTGGTCAGAAAGTGCAAGATGATGAAGCAACTTGAACTACTATCAATACGTTTCATATCACAAAGAGAAATCTGACACCCGAAAACGGTCGCCTCATGACGAAAGTATATCAAATTAGTCTACATTCAACCACAAGTATTGAGAATACACCGTTAAGACATGTACCAAAGATAGCTGGACTGTCGAGCCAAGAATCTCTTAGACAGCAGACTTTTGTTCGTGACTCTCCTCGGTGAGACCTCCATTTGCAACTGTAGGCACATAGGAATCCTTGCGATGGCCGGCAGTTTCGGGGTCATAGTTGGAAGTACCTGGAACTTCACCAGCAAGCTCTTCCAGAGTCTTTCGCTTGGTCTCTGGAATCAACATGGTGGTGAAGACACCGCAAAGCATGAAGAGAGCGAAGATCTCCATGATGTGGTTCACCCAAGGTGTAGGGTTGTCCTTGGTGACGTGACCCTTTGTCTTGAGGGGTCCAAACACACACTGGGCAATAATGGCGCCAATCTTGCCGGAGGCAGCAGAGAGACCGTGAGAGGTGGATCGGTAACGGGTAGGGAAGCATTCTCCAGGAACGATGAAAGTAGTGGCGTTAGGTCCAAAGTTGAAGAAGAACTGAGCGATAACGTAGAGGGCGAGGAGACCACCTTCGCCCAACTTGTGATAAGCGAAACCGATGATGATGAAGACAATGGTCAAAATAGTGAAACCCATAAACTGAATGGGCTTGCGACCGATGGTATCGACAGTAGCAACTGTAACCCAGTAGCCAGGGATGGCGCCGGCACAGGTGATGATCAAGTTGCCAACTGCAGTGTTGTAAAAGATTTCGTAGACGTTGTTACCCTTGGCATATCCGATGGCAGTCAGAATGATGGAATTGTTCAGACCGAGACCGTAGTAGGCGACATCGAGGAAAAACCAGGAACCAGCAGTTCCGAGAAGCACTTTTCCGAACTTCCATTGAGAGTAATGAGCCCAGAAGTCACTCCAAGAAGCCTACCAGAAGGTTAGTGTCGGTAGGGGGTAAATGTGAGAGCAAAGCACTGACCTTGGGTGGCGCAAGACGCGTTCGAGAATCTTGCAGAACGGCGGCACGGCTAACCTCGTCGGGATGACCCTCAGCCTTGCCGCTCTTGTAGGCCTTGACATCCTCGACAGCCTTTTCGGAATCACGGGCGACATCGAAAGTGTAACGAGGGGTTTCGGGGATGGTCAGACGGAAGTACAAGGCAATGCAACCCGGGACAGCACCGAAACCAATGATGACACGCCACATTTTGTCGACAGCAAGTTGGCAAACACCGTCACAGTCTGCAACAGTCTTCGCGGTCATCAGAGACTGCTTGAAGCCGGTACAGACGATCAAAGCAATGATGGCGGCACAGAATTGACCAATACCCTGCATGGCGAAGACGGAGCCCATCATAGCGCCTCTCCACTTGGTAGTGGCAAATCTTAGAAAAGTCAGTAAGAGGAGGCAGATCCAGGAGTCAACAGAATACTTACTCAGATGTGATGATGGAGGAAAGGGGGTAATCACCACCGATACCGATACCCATCAGAACACGCCAGAAGATGATGACACCAACAACGGAGATGGATGGTGAGTCGGAAGAAAGAGCTTGGGCCAAGGTTGCGAAAATGATGAGGATCAGCTCAAGACCGTACATCCTCTTTCGGCCGACGATATCTGCAAGCCAGCCGAAACCGACCTGACCAAGGACCGTACCACCCGATGTCGCAACTTTGATGGCAGTATCAGAGTTCGAGGGGATTTTGCCTGCGTTCTTGGGGTTGGCCGCGTCTTGCCAATAGACAACACCCAACATGGCGGTAACCAAGTTGATGGCGAAGATGTCGTATGCGTCGGTGAAGAAACCAATACCGGCGACGACGATCGCCCTGACATGATACCAACCGAATGGGGCCTTGTCGATTTCGGCAAGGGCGAGTCTTCGTCGCTCATTGGGGTCCTGGATGTGGGCGAAGTCATTGTGGAAGTTGTGGAAGGCGGCGTTGCCGCCCTCAGTCTTCTGAGCCATGGTATAGGATGAGATACACAGTATCCTCTAAAGACAAAGCCAAGAAATTCCAAGCAAAGGCAAGGCTTGGACAAGAACGCTTGTTTGATTGAAGAGTCGTGCGAAGAAGGACGGACGCAGCTTCCAAGCCGGCAAGCGTGTGATACATATACTTTGTTGGCCATAGACATGGGTTCCATTCATCCTGGGCAAACCGATGCAGTGGAGCCAAGGCGAACTTTTTCCAAATGGACACTACCATGCACCAACTCGCCCTATAGCTTGACAGAAACGACGTAGGCGTTATCGAGGCCAATTAGGAAGCCTTGCAAGAGCACGCGTGAGCCAGAAGAAAGTTATCCAAGGGCGAGGCTAACGCTGTGGATCTGGATCAACAGTCTCGGACTGCGTAAGAGCATGGGAGGGTTGCGAGAAAGAGGATATGGACAGGGTTCGGCGGATCCTAGCTCTGGCGGGTGTGTCGATGGGGGCCTCGCTTGAGGGGGCCACATTGTTCGAGAAGCCTTTTGGACGCGAGCCAAGTGAGCCAAGCAACAGTGGTGTTACTTTGGCATCGAGTTGCTGAAAATTTGGATTGAACCCCGAGAACAAACCAGACAAGACAAGCTCAGAACGTGCACGTAGCCTAATAGCCTAGCAGTCTTAGCGCTCCAGACAGGATACGGGCTGATTTCATCATTCTTTCTGAACACCCAAACAGAAGGGGAACTTCGATGACTTTTCTCGATCCAGGGATCTGCAATCTCGCCTTCTCCAGACACCCATTTCAGAGGCAAGATGATGATGACCTATCGAACCGATAAGCCAGCAGACGATGCTTCAAGGTTCATCGAGATGCAACGGGAGGACCGCTAGACCCTGCCATATCACTGAAACAACGTCAGTGAACATCCACCCATCCCACATCAATAGGTCAGATGCGCCGAGGCTCTAATTTCGCAAGCATCGGTAGTTTCGTGCTTGTTGTTACTCGTAGGCTTGTCAAAAGCTTCACCACGAACAAGGAATTTCTTTTTTCCCTCAACCTGGCGAGGGGGGGATCCAGCTCCACAGCCGGCAGCTCGCGCACGTTTGCAGAGATGCAGAGAAGACCAAGGACTCGCGTCAGGAGAGGAAGGCGAGGAAAGGCGACGGTGCCTTCGATGTTGGGTTGCGCAAGGGCCAGGTGAAGGAAATTGGTGGCATGCACAAGTCGTAACTGGGGAGGCGGCGGCGGGCAAGTTGCCAGAAAAAGGCACCATAGGCGGCGGCGCGGTGCACGTGCTGGCTAGTCATATCAAGACTTCCGCCCACGTTTCTGTTTGATTGGTTGTAAAACAACGTCCTTCAACTGCTGCCAAGCTTCCAGTTTCTACTCCGTATTTATAAACCTATCAGGAGAAGAAAAGCCACATGGGGCTGGTCGCTGCTGGAGTTGCATACGATATGTATTCGGGTCTCTCCTTCAGAGGCGCCCCTCGGACTAGCAAAACCCTGCATCTCACGCCGCGAAAATCGATGCTCATGCGACTCAGCTCTGAGCTCGGGAAGGTTTCCAGTCTCCGTTTCTTCGCCAAAGGAATTGCAACATTCATGCGCACTGCCATTTAAAACCGCAAGTATATGCGAGCACTTGAGAGCATTTTGCACTGCATATTTTCGTACGCCGCAACACGTGCGTGGGGAGGTGCATGTCGAGCACTATTGAATGCAAACCACCGTTTCGGTCAAATTTTTACCAAATGGTTCATGGCCCATTTGCAAAATCCCACCGTGCGAATCGGGGATCTCTTTCGGAAATCGTCAAACTTTACCGTCTCGGATCGTCAAGCATATCATTGTCATCCCTTCAAGGCTCACAGGCTCCATCTCGTCCGTTCGTCTCTGATCCAGTGAGACGGGTCTTGGCCGTCGTCAGGTTGTACAAGCTATAACACTCAACTTCAACAATGATAGTGTTGCTCCTGCTCCTCCAGCAAATTGAAATCAATCGATGCACCTGTGACCTACGAGTGCCCGCCAGTGTCATCAGGAATGTTGCTCTCTTACGATCTCTATGCTGGGAGATCTGCAGACACTACTACATCAGAAGTCTCTTCTCGCGTCGAATTGCGGCTCGGCCTGAAGCCAAATGGCGATGATCACTATCGAATCGCAAGATCCTGGGATTGAGCGCACAGACGAGGCTCTTCGTCTCGACGTACCCTCGCGAGTCAGATTGCTCGCTTCCTCCTTCTTGGGTCTACTCCGTATCCCGTACCAGCTCACCCACGTCGATTGAGATCTCGGCTGTTTAGAGGAAGTGGTCACCACACCTCTCCGTCATCGCCCCCCCAGCACTGCTTCTTGGCCTCGCCTCCTTGCAAGATCCTACGAGGTCCGAACCAATGGCTTTTGGGGCCTGTGTAGCGTATCATCACATAGTCTTGGCCGCATATTCCGCGCGCCTGTACTTTCCTTTTGTTTGGATGCACCCTGTCACCGTATTATGACAACGGGGGATATCGATGTTCAGGGGTGACGCCTTGTTCGTGTCTTACTAGATGGAGGGTATCGAAGCGTCAGGCTGACTTCAGTGGCAAAAGGAACATGCACTGTTGCATACAATGCCACCCTCTATCTCGACCTTAGGGCCGGTGGCCAGGGAGGGGTTTACTTTCCCTCTGGAACTTGGGCAGGGAATCATGCACTTTCCGGCCTTGTGCTCGCGAAGAAAAGAGACACTCTCCATCGGCAGAAGGATCATCAGGCCAGATGCCCCTTCTGCAAATGACAAATATAGACATTTGTGATGATCTATCTCACGGCAGAAACGGCAGCAAGTCGCCAAAGAACACAGATCAAGATGCTCTTGTGTGCTCGAATTCTATCTCGGCCATATCAAAGAACAGACCCAACAGTGGAATATCCCTCACATGTCTATTGACAACCCCCAAGACTGTACTGTGCTGACTCCTCCAGAGGAGGCATGCAAATCAACCATAAGTCGGTCACCCCGTATCTCATTCAAGCCTACAGTTCGCTTTTGACACCCACACTTCCATTCATACCAGTCTTGGAGCCCTCCGATCGAGCCTGCCCCGCCTTCAATGCGCCTGCGAGTCCAAATTGCGTTGGAATACCTTCGATACGGTGCGTGCTGTTCAAATTTTTCACGAGAGTGATCTGGAAGCAGGTCGCGCTACCTTGACGAGAAACGATGGTCGAATACGCAAGGAAGTACTCCCAGATGCGATACCAACGGACACCGTACTTGGCTTTGACTTTGTCCTGGTTGGCAACCCAGTTGCGATACCACCTCCACAGCGTGGCCGAATAGTGGACGCCGATGGTGTCGATACCTTTGACCTCGAAGCCTGCGCCTTCCAGTTTGTCAATCACAAAGCCCAGAGGCGTCGAGGCATCTGCACCCGGGAAGATATATTTGTTCATGAATAAACCCCAGATCAGGTCTTCATATTGCCATGACTTTCGAAGACCGGCATACTGCAAGAAGAAAACACCATCATCATCGAGCATATTGTTGACTTGTGCCAGGAAGGAGCCTAGATGTCGCACACCAACATGTTCTGCCATCTCCAGGCAAGTGATGTATTTGTAGCCGCCCTCCGGGACAGGAATGTCTCGATAGTCCATGCACAGAATATTGCTCTGATCTTCCGAGATACCCGATTTGCGAAGGCCATTGTTTCCCCATGCTGTCTGATTTCGTCCAAGAGTGATACCAGTAACATGGGCGCCGTAGTTGACGCTGGCGTATTTGGCCAACGTTCCCCAGCCGCAGCCGATATCGAGCATCTTGTCGCCTTTCTGCACACCAATCTTTTCGCAGACAATGGCAAGCTTGTTGTCCTGAAGCTGTTCGAGAGTTTCCTCGCGGTTGATATCTGAGATGATTCCGGAGGTATAAATCATGCGGGGTCCGAGGAACCAACTGTAGAAATCATCTCCACGATCGTAGTGATCTCGTACTTGTTCCTCATCTTGAGATCTGGTATGCATAATGACTTCGGGGATCATGCCGGTGAAGAAAAAGCGGAACAAGCTCAGGGTGAATCTCCAACTGGCCCAGTCGTGCCTGTACTCCATTATTTCCAGACAGTCGCCTTTGAAATCAACCTTCTCGTCAAAGTACATTTCGTGGAACGTCTCCATGGGAACCTTGTTCTTGCCATGATATCTTGCTCGATCCTCCTCGGCACGAAAGTGCAGATAGTGCTCGATTGGCCGGCCTGGGTATTGTGCCTTCTCATTCTTCCTAGGAGAGATAGACGATGCCACAGTCCAAAAGGCCATCAAAATCGGTATCGAGGTCAGAGTAGCAAGGAAAATGGTGGTGTAGAAGCCGCCGTGGAGCTGTCTGGCCAGGTACGCAGGGACAGCGATGAGCAGGCCGATGAGGACATAGTTGTTGAAGGAGTCGCTGCCAGCTGCATCGGCAGGAAGAGGTGCATTTTTGATTGCGGGATACTGCTCATTGTAAGTAATCAGGCAGCCGTTTCTGAAGCTGTACACGTACAGCAGTGGTTCGGACGCCGCAGGTCTCCGCCGCAGGTTGAGGTGTAGGCGCGGCTGGAGTCTCGATGAATTCAAAGTCCTCAGAGGACTCCGAATGAGACTTCGCCATGGTGGTCTGGGGGGGGATATCAAGTGAAGTGAAGCTCAAAAGCTGCGGACACTTTGGGCATTGACTGAATAATATTCCAAAGTGGCGGTGGGGAACAACTTGAATTTCTTGGAGCATGATACGATGCGGCATCAGCTTGTTCTCCGCTCCCGTCCGCGTAACTGTTACGAGACGATCGGGCTGTACCTGCATGAAAAGGGACCGGGATCTGGCATGTGCTGCGTCGAGTAGCCTACTACTACACTTCTACTACGCCACTCTTATGCTATGATGCTCGGGCTTTGGAGAATTTAAGCCCAAATCCGGATTGATCCAATCCATGGGATTTGATGTCGTTAACAGTGACTACTCAATCCTCATCCAGCTTTCCTCCAAATTCTCCTAAAAGAATATCATCAGGAGCAGGACCACGATTATTGCGAACTAAGCAAGGTCAGCAAGCAGAATCCATCATGTGGCCCGTAGTACTCACCCCATTCGGTTTCTACACGGAAGAAAATCCACATCCAGCGCCGCACAACTTCCATCAGCTCCATCATGAAGATGCCGCCCTCCAGATCGTTGAAGTGGTCCAAATGCGGCGACAGCTTGAAGCTCCATGTGCACCTCAGAAGAAGATCTATCACTATCGCGGTATAGTACATTTCTTGTGCGTGAAAATATCGGTATCGCCTCAGGCCATAAGGATGCTCGGGATCGTTCCTTTCTCTGCTCGAAGAGAAAAGTGTCAAGTCCCAATCCTTGGCCACATCCCAGTAGAAGGAATAGAATGAATTGACGAAGACGGAAAACAACCTACACTTGTCAGCAAAGCATCAATGCAGTTGAATGAACTCATACCATAGTCTAAACAGACCTGCTTCAGTCATGTGGAATGTCGTCGGGTCATAACCTCGTTGCAGCGCACTCAGGAAGATGACTGGAAAGGCAGACGAGTACTTCAACGCGTTCGCCAAATGTTGCCCGCCCCAGCCAGAGGTAGGTGTGCGATTCCTGCGCACGCGAAAATACTCAATCAAACACTGACGTAGCCGTATGACGCTGGGGACACTCATGATTAACGGGACAAGATATGCCCCACCGCATCCTCGATCTGGTTTCGCCGTGCTGGTGGTCTTCGCCGAGAAGAGCATGCAGGTTGAGACGAAAAGATCTCCCAGGACTTTCGCATAGCTTGTGAGAACATCGGCTAGCAGGATGTCTCCGAATTTTCCATCTTGCACCTCCGCCAACCCGCCCAAGCTGATCCTTTTCAACGTAGACAGGAAGTGTAGACGGCCGGAGCTCGACATGCGCCTGACTGGAAGGACGAAGCATAATGCAAGGAACAAGAGATAGGATTGCGGGAGAATCTGCCACGACAGTGCGGCATGTCGGTCTCCCCGAGTGACGAGCCAGAAAAGAAGGAGAGACCCGACCAGTGGAAGGGTAAGGAGCGTAGCTAATCGGTACGTCGAATGGTGATGAAGGATAGAATTCTGGCTTGGACGAGAAGGGTATCGTATAAGCGCGGGAACGTCCTGGCGTACTCAGTCAACACGAGCTTTTTCATATGCGGCAGCCGTACAATCTTAAGGAGGTGCAGGTAATGCAGATTCAACCCCCATGCCCAAATTCCCAGGACAGTGATGATTGCGACGCGGTAAGGAAGTGGAAGGGCGAGACTAAAGGAATCGACCTCGGGCTCAACAGCCGGGTCACCGTCCATTGCGACCAGGATCTATCATGCTTCGTGATTGAGGGCACGAATCGAACAAGACAAAGGAGGAATGGCGGAAAAATTGAAAGGCTCCTTGCGACGTCGAGGAGTGGAAAGTCGCACGCTCGATTCTCCAACAAAAATATGAAGCCAGAGAACCGCACCTTGGCAGGGGGGTGTGACCCCTTGCCCACCAGCCTTCTGTCTGTCTTCATTTTTGGAAACGTTTCTGACAGATATTGCCAATTCGCAATCGCTAGTGTGACTTCTGCATTCCATCGTAGAGAATTATACTCCGTATTAGAGTAAGTATTTCCCAGCTGCACGACTAATAACTTTCTCCCGCATCACTCGTGAGCGAGCCCAGATGAACCGTCAATATCCAGGACACACACTCGAAGCTTCATCGTTCACACGCGTCGATCCGACGATATTCACCGCTATCAAGTAGTCTTGAGACTCTCCTTCCTGAATGAGGTAGTCTTGACCTCTTGGATCAGTGACTCCCCAAAATCCCCATCATAACCATGAGCCTCCAGGTACTCCCTGAATTTGACGTCCTCGCTTTCCAACTCTCGATCTCGGTCGGGAATGAAGACCCAGGCGACGATCCCTCCACACAATGCAAACGCGGCGCCGATGAGAAAGACCCCCTGGGTACCTTTCTGAACATCGGAGAACGAATTTTGAATCGGTGTGAAGACTTGTGTCCCAATCGCCGCACCCGCCTTTCCCACCGCCGCCGCAAAGCCCAGAAAATGTCCTCTGACCGGCGTTGGGAAACTCTCCGCCCCGCAAAGAAAAGTCGCAACTCCAGGGCCCATTTCTCCGAAGCTGTTGAAGATGCCGTAGAGGACGACAAAGAGCGGAAAGACTGACTGGATGGGATTCAAGGCCCCTCCCAAGATGAAGCCAAGTACCGCCCAGCAGAAGAATCCCAAGACCATTGTGTTTCTGCGACCGATATGGTCCATGAGAAGGCCTCCGATCAAGCATCCTGGAAGGTAGAAGCAGTTCACCACCGTGCCATACCCGATGTTTTGGATGAGAGTGTTGCCGGGATTTAGCTGCCCGATAATAGTCGAGCTAAAGATGCCGAAGGGGTAGGTCACACTGAACAACATGTCAGTCCAAATCGCAGAGTGCTGACTAATTAGCTTACAAGTCATAGAAGAACCAGGCCAAAGACGTTCCCACCATTGGCCTCCAATAGCGCTTGATAACGAGCCAGTATGGAATGTTCCGCTTAATCGCATGCTTGCGGTATTGTGTCGACTCGATCATTCGCATCCGGAAGAAGAAAAGGATCACTGGCAGAACGAAACCCAGACCGAAGCAGACTCTCCAGATACCGGATGAGATATTTTCGTCGTAGGCTTCGATGACAATAAGAGCAACCACTCCAGCAATGACGAAGCCGAAATCAATGGCAAAATCGGTTGCTACCGCGACCAAGAAGCCACGTTTACGGCGGACGTACTTGCTCTCATCAGAAGCTTCAGCACTACCTGTGGCACAAGTTGGATACTCGCCTAGACGCTGTCAGCGGGCAAGTATCGTTTTGCAGTATCCAACTTGCCTCCAGCACCGAACCCGGCGACACCCCGTGCAACAATCATCATCCAGAACATCCCAAGCTGACTTGTGCCGTGCGCAGCCGTAGCCAGGACGACACCTAAGACCAAGAAAAATGCTATCATGTCATTAGCACCGAAACGCTGTACCGTGAGATCCGGCAGCTCGAAAACATCGTGTATTTCTGGAAAAACTTACTGGCAAAGAAGATCCCTGTTCTACGCCCTATCTTGTCGATGACATATCCGAAGAAAAGCATGCCGAAGATTTCTCCAATAAGGTAGGCATTCGACAAACGGGTTTTGATGGTCGAAGACATGCCATCTTTGTACAGCTCGCTGAACAATGGCTCCATGTAGCTGAGAACAAATTATCAACAGGACGCAGCACTCCCGAAGCAGTTTCCCTTACCCGATGATCTGGGCATTGTAGCCATCACTAAACAATGCCAGACCAGCAACCAAGACTGTCACGATAGAGGACACCTTTGTGATCTTCGCCAGGCCCGCTTGGGTGATACCAGTACCCGGTTCCACTTCATCACTGGTAGTTGGGGTGCCATTGGAGTCCTTGCCCGTGATTTCATAGGAGGGTTCGTACTTGTTGGTAGCCATTTTGGGTTCGAAGAGTTACAGTCCGACATCCTGCTGGCCGGCGAAGACTGACTGGCAAGATATACTTCTCTCGCTTCACTATTCTCTACCGGCAGCATAACTGTGGTGCAGGGCCCAATCCGAGCAACCGCCGATCTGCCCGGACGAGTCTCAACAACCTTGTTGCATGCTTACCAGTTGTAGAAGAACGTGGCATACAGAACTGTCCTTGGAGTTGTTCAGAACAAAATCCAGCTTTCCCTCGTGACGCCACATTTGTTGAAAACAAGCATCAGTCCGTCCACGTGCCAAGTCGGGACAAGATGATTCGGATGTAGAGGCTGGGGAATTGCAGATCCTCGCCTCGCAAAAGGAAGTTGTAGCAGAAAATCGGCACGAAGGGCGACTTCACGCAGTCAGACAGCTGGAACCAGGATTTCCTGTACTCCGTACCGTAGCCTCGGTAGCCACCACCTCATGGCTCGGAGCAACGGCGGTCAGACGAAGACGTTTTTGTTTCACATGCCAAAGTATGTCCCACGACATTCGATTTCTCAAACCGTTCATCATGATGCGTGTGGGACCAGGATCCTCGCTCGTTCAGGTCGACGGGCATTTAAGGAGATTTGACAGACTATGCCTGTTCGCAACGCTTTCTATTTGTACCTGCACCAGGTGAGGAATATGTTGCTATCCCATGAGCAGTGTCAATCTTTCAACGACGAGGGATATCTGATCCTCCGAGATGTGCTTTCTTCTGAGGAAACAGGAAATCTCCAGAAGTGGACACAAGAGGTACATGACTGGCCTACTGCAGAGGACTCTCCGTGGATGCCATATGAGGTATTTACAAAAATCACTGCTGACCACGTGAAGCTGAGAACGCTTTAGGAAATCAATGCTCGAGGCGAGAAGGTGCTGTGCAGAACAGAAAACTATGCGGGCTCTCATCCCGACTTCAACGGACTCCTTCGTGGGCGCAAGCTTTTGAGTATACTGAGTCAACTTTCCGGTGAGGAAATGCTGCTGTTCAAGGAAAAGATCAATTATAAACTTGCCGGAAGCGGTAAAATCTTGCCCATGCGTTGCAGCATTTGTCCCACTGAGACTTTCTAGGAAGTTTCGCGCCCCATATTGATTCGTCAGCATATACACATATTAAGAACGTCAAACATCTGACCATTTTGCTCGCCGTTGATCGATCCGACATGTCCAATGGCGGGTTAGAAGTCGTGGGAGGCAGTCATAAAATGGATGTGCCTATTGGAAAAGATAATTGCATCGAGCCAGAGTGGGCGACGCAACAGGAATGGACACCTGTAACCCTGGAACCAGGTAAGCAGACGGCCACAACTTGAAAAAAGCCTGATCCGAGAGACCAAGACCTCCGCTTCAGGACGCAATAATGATGGCTTCTCGTAGGACATTTGTTGATCTTTGGGTCTTACCTTGCCCATCGGAGCGGCGCCAACCATAGCTGCAATGATCGCAAAGCAATTTATGCGACATATAACTGTGCCAAGGAGGGCAACCTGCATGACGAGTATTATGCACATCGCAAAGTGGTCTGGCCACCGATGCATCTGCGAAAACAAGGCGAGCAGTACAAAGAAGGTGCTCTCAGATATGGGTACGGCAGCCCCATGCTGAGCGTTGATGCAGGAAGACAGCTCGAGGTAAGTTTAGCGTACTGGTGTATATCCTCCTCATCTCGCTAACTGTTTGAGCAGTTCGGAGGCGATCCCACGTCAAGTTCGAAGCTTGAGGCCGCCGAGACCGCATCCCTTCTCATGGATATTCTCAAGTCGCATGGCCAGAGCGATTATATTGGAGAGCCAGTGTCGCAAATCGAGCATTCGCTGCAATGCGCCCATTTGGCTGCAAACAGCGGTGCGGATGCTATGATAATTGCTGCCGCACTACTCCATGATATTGGCCAGATCATTCCAGCGTGTGAGGCCGAAAAGCATATGGGCGGAGAGAAGGTCCAGAGTATGCAACAAAATAGCTCGAGCCCAAAAGACTCGAGGTCTTCTGATAGCGTTGGACGTGTCTCTCATGAAACATTGGGAGCTCGATATCTGCTTGCCCTAGGGTTTCCGCCAAAGGTCGCTGAGCTTGTCGAAGCTCATGTGCCTGCGAAGAGATATTTGTGTGCGACAGAGCAAGGATACTATGACGCCTTAAGTGATGCGAGCAAAGAGAGCTTGACGTTCCAAGGAGGTCCAATGGGTCCAGAAGAGGTACGAAAATGGCGGGAGGATAAGTGGGCAACTGAGAAGGCCAACTTGAGGAGATGGGATGATGGCGCTAAAGTCGTCGAGCTGGACGTCCCTGGTCTCGAGTCATATAGGTCGGCGCTTGAGCAAGTGCTGAGTTCATGAGATGTTTCCATAGATTGTCCAGCCTTTGCTCCCAGACCATTCACGGAACATAAAGAACCCCGTGGCTCAGAGTAGCAATTGATAACAGTACTGGCAACTTTGCAGGCTCAACATTCAAGCATCTCTCGGTGACAAACTGAACCTCTTGGTCGTCCCATGGCTGGCACAATGACTACGGGAGTGCACCACGTCTATGCTTCAATTATCTAGAGCTTCACCACAGTGTTATCCTTTCCTTTTCCGCCGGACCCAAACAGGATCTCTGGTTTTCTCTTTGCTAGGTCAATAATTGCTTCCCCGAATGCGCTGTTTCCCCATGCATACCAAGTCCTGAGGAACTTGGTGCAATCATTGACATCTACTCCTTCATGGATGAGGCCAAGCCCGGCACTGGACTTCTTGAGAGTGTCCAAGCAATATCGAATCTCCTCGTCGTTGTTACTCGTTAAGATTTGTATGATGGTCCCTATCGGCCACATTGTCTTGAGGTCAATGTGCGGGCTTCCCTGGCCTTCGAGCTCGCTGCCGATTAGATAATGCGGATTTCCTTCCCTGCTGAGTATCATTCGTCTTGTTGACTGATACAAGTCGTGCGAGGCGCTGATGAACCCTAAGTAAGGCAGGGATTGAAGAGAAGGTGGACTTGGGTCATCCATGATTAGGTGAGATCCATAGCCGTCTACTTCGTACGCAAAGACCTTGCCGTAAACAGAATGGTTTACTACCCCATAAGTATAAATGCCATGCGTGATACTGCGGCTGAGACTCGAGCACTCAACTGCCAATTCTGGATCGATGGCTTGGATGATTTCGGCGGTGCGTGCGAGTTCGACAGCTACGAAAGCATTGCTGGGAATATGGAAAGGGAAAACCGTCGCATCGTCAGAAGCCCGAAAGGCTGACTTGATCAGGCCCGTACCACCCCTGACTGCGTTCCCAACACCAGCTGTTTCCCAGTTAGTCAGATCCATAGTTCTGAACGTTGTCAAGGTCTTCACCGTTTGGAGGCTGGTCCGGGCCATTGTATACAGATTTCATACTCACTGTTGACGGCCGTTGAAATGAATAGGCCGGTTCCCTCAAGTTTCCTCGTTCGTCGAACGTTGACTGCGATTGTTCATGCAGCACGGTGAGTATCGCTGTTAACGCCGCGAGCCATTGTCTGTTGATGATCGATTTCTCACCTGTCTGTTGTACATATGTGTTTGATATCCGGAGGAACGCAGCAAGACTGTCAAGGGCGTACTTGCCCTCAAAGACCACATCAGGATCAATTGGAGGTCTGACGATGTCTTGGTGCATATCGACGACGTGGTCGCCAACTGAGGAAATGCCACTATTCTTGGGAGGCTGAAAAGAGTTGGCGTATGGTGACTGAGAGATGAACAAAGCATGAAGGTTGATGACGCCCTGCCACAACTTCTTGATTGCCGAGTCGACAGATAGTAAAGATGCATAAGCTTGTATCTGCCACAGATTATCGCGAGTCCAAGCGGCATCCCTGCCGGGTGATAATGAGCAAAAGAACCTTTCTATAAGAGATCAGAGTATGTTCTTACATGTCACCGGCTATAATAAAGGATTGATATTGACCATCAGACTCGGAAAACCACTTCACGGTCGTGTCCAAAGTGTTTGGAAAGCAATTCTCAAACATGCGTGCCAGATCACGGTCCTTCATTCGTGAAGCCGTTTTCTCGATCAAGTCTTCCACACCAGCGGAACTATATGTCCGTCGAACAGCGGCAGGCCTTTGATAAGGTAACTGGAGAGGTCCTTCAACGTCGAGTCAGTATTGTCTCGGACGGAGAAAAACATATTACCATCTGAATATGGGCTGTGTCCTTGTCCAGCATACTGAGTGTACCCGAGTTCTGCCATAACTTCGCACTGTGTATACACCTTGACCTTGTCGAATGTCAATAGATGTGCGCGAGCCCTTGACGGATGATAAGTGTTTCTGTGGGTGGGCACTCGAGTGGAGAAGCTGACTGCTAGGCCGTAGGGCGTCCGCGGAGAGAGAGCTCCAGCTCCCCGACGGTGCTGGTCTCGCTCAGGCAAGCACCGCTAATGGCCCAGGCAGCGTGATGAAAATGTGTACTGACGAGCCAGGGATTGGGCTGAGTGATCTTGGGGAAATACTACCCTGAAAGGAGGAGTAGAAGTGGAAAACGGTCTAGATCCATCATCTGTTACACAGCGCCCGCTGCACTAAAGCTCAACCAAGCTAACAGGACTTCGTCTTTTGGATGAGCTTAAGATACCAGTCTCAGAAGGGGTTTCTACCCCTGGAACACGATGAAGGTCAGACTACGAAGGAACACCCGCCCTTAGATCCTGCCCTATAGCTCATCTATGTATGTATACCATCTTCCACTTCCCGTGAAGGACGGTGAACTAAAAGTTCCTGTAGGTGTTCCTCCAGAACTCTATGCAGGTACGCAAGTGAAGGACTCAGACTGGCATTTGCTGCGAGAGAGTCGACTGCAAGGCCCATGGAGCTTGAGAGCTGCGGAGGCCTGAAAGTGGCAAATGCAGGGTCTTTCAGCGCGCGAGCTGCTGCCATGGTGAAAACAAACATACTAGAAATACATCAGTATGCCGACAGATTATCCCGAGAAACACAAAGTATCGTTCACCAACCTTGCGAGTAATGTCCATTTGTTAACAGCACAATGTTGAACGCATAAGGTGACGCTCTTCGAGAACATGGAATACGCCTCGAAGAACTTTTGGCATCCAATATGAAGATCGTACTCCCATCGGCCGGTCTCGATCAATTGATAGACTGAAGGCCAGTAAATAGAAGTCATGCAAGAGTAATACTGCGTCCTCAGAAACAGTACCAAGCCTCTTGTTTCTTGCAGTTCGACATCAGTGTCCCTGTGAAATTTGAGCGCTGGTGGTAGATATTTATACCATTCCTCGAGTTGGTGGCTCAGTTCAGACGCGACAATAGGGGCGTAGACCTGTTGACCGTTGGCTGTTACACGGACGGCCGTAGGACATCGGTGAGAGATTCGTCGCATGGCGATCTCTGCAAGAAAATATGCGTCGGCATCTTCTTGATTACTCTCGTGGCGGACCGATGAGGCCAATGCGTTGGGTTGCGCCTGAAACGGCGATCGAGGTGAACAGGTCCAAATCTCGCGGACATTTGGTAGAGGTGTAGATCCGTCCAGGTTCCAAACACCGGTGTCGATGAGATCAAACTGCACATTTAATTCGCTAATGTTCTTGGTTAGACAACAAACCTTGTGGGAGAGCTTAGTCTTACTTTTCGATAAGTAAGATCGCCCAGTATGCACGTCTCAGCGGCTCGCATTTTGAGTCAGGGACTTGATGGCGGTTACTGTATGGAGTACCTTGTCAACAAAAACATCCAGGTGGATTTGTGCACATACCTACCTAGTGAGTAAGCTTTGAACCTTGAGTGAGGCTATAGCAATGTATTCGAATGCGTCCAGAGGGGTGCAAATGCAGCAATAGTAAACCGCAGTGTAGACGAGAGCCGCCACAGCCTGCACGGAGCAATCTATCAGAACGCTTGAGACCATGCCAAGTGCCAGCTCAGCATACCTGGCATGCCTTTCAGTCCCGTCATGCGATGATAACGAGCCAAGAGCGGCGACAATCAGTGCGAGACACGATTCTGATGAAGGCTTGAGTGGACCATCCATGACCGAGCTGTATTCGGAATGGTAATCAGGATCGAGTAATGGATACCACGGATGTATCTTTTCGAGAAAATCACCCAATAGACTGTGATACATCAGCTGATCATATTGTACCGGAAGGCCTCGCCAGGCTCACTCTAACGCCCTGTGCTGCTGGAGAAAGAAGTGCCTTCCGACCTCGTGGTGATGCTTCCTGTCACCGGATCGCTCGAATCTGGCGAGATGTACAGCCAAGTCGCAGTCGAGGCCAACTAGGCGCATGAATAACTTGTTCCGAATTACCATGGTAGGGAACGCCGGTGGCTGTGGTACACTGGGAGATTGAAAGTCGGCCGCCACCGAAGCCGGCACCCTCGGGCTGGAGGTACGAGCGGCATCGGGTGAGAGATGGGTGTGGATCTCTCTCGTGGCATCAGGTTGCCTGGGCTGAGCCGAAAGGAGGTGTTCAATATTTCCCAGTCGCTCCTTGATTATGACAATCTCACTTTCGAGCCTGATTGCAGGGTAAGTCTGAGCCGCTGGGGAACTGCACCACTTACTTCGTTGGAGGGGGTTCGGCAATCTTGCGGTACCTGCATTCTGCGTTGACGGACTATTCTGGAATTCAGTGCTGTGAAACAGCCGACGCGTGATCGAGCGCCCGGAACATACCTGACAGAATGAACACGTCGGTCGTTGCCCATCGCATTTGGTCCGCCTAGCCCGACAGACATCGCAGGCCAGGATAGCCCGACGCCGCGGGAGAACGTCCTGGTCATCCGAGATGTCTGCAACTCTCCTTCGTCTCTTTCGAGATCTCATGTCAAGTAACCCATTTGAGGATTCCTGTTCATGGTCTTGCCAATCATGCGCCATGTTCAAGGTCTGGATCACTGTGAACCGCGGAGTCGGGAAGATAGATTCGGCGGGACGAGCTCCCCGACTTGTAGATATAATGAAGAACGAGAAACTGGGGAAACTCGGGGAGAGCCCATACATGTAGCTAGTTAGACTAGGTCCTGCACGGTATTGTTTGATGGACACCAAAGTGGCGTGCAAGGCTGGTGAATGTCATGTGGTTGACCCATCAGAAGTTTGTGGGAAGGGAATACTCTAGTATGCGCCTAGGTATGGGGTTTTGCTGGCTAGGGTGGAGAATTGTCCTTCTGCCTCGTCTGTCAAATTTGTACCCGTACTAATAGAGCTTCCTAGGAAAGTAAGACCAACGAGGCCACTTTCGCAGCTGTGATTGTGGATGCCATCCGCTGACGACTCGCGAGTCACGACAAGATCTCCGTTTCCTCGAAGCCGGACACTCCACTCTGTCGCGGAATGGGCAACCCAACTCCGCGACGAGACTCAAATGCCTCTCTCTACTTTTTTCCAGATCCACCTCCTTCAATGGGTTTTTACTGTGATAGTTGAGCTTTCTTGACCTCCAGGCGGCATCATGGAGACGTGGAGCTTCCCCAAGTCTTCCAGACTTTCTCCAGCATGGTATGAACACATTATATAACATGCATGCATCTCCCCGGCTATCCTGCTCCCAGTGTTCTGGAGAAAGCAAAAAGGAGCTTTCATTTTATGAATACCTACCTCCTCCGGTCACCATCTTTGTGGATTGCCAGTCTCGGTCATCGACCAATATGAGAAAGTACAACCTTTATTGTTGCGTGTTCGCGACGACAGGGTCTTTGATTTACGGCTATGACTCTGGTATCATCAGTACTACCCTCGGTCAAAAGACTTTCCCTGCCTATTTCAACAACCCCTCGGATAACTTGACTGGTGCCATCGTCTCAACATACTCCGGTGGACAAGGTCTCGGTAACTTGGCTGGAGGATACCTGGGCGACAAACTGGGTCGGAAGAGGACGATATGGCTAGCTTCAACTCTGGCTTTGGCTGGTGCTATCCTCCAGACAGCAGCCGTCAATATGCCCATGTTTCTTGTGGGCAGGATCATCGCCGGTTTCGCTATCGGTCTGGTCTACGCAGTCGCCTCGATCTACAATGCAGAAATCGCACCTCCTAAAATCCGTGGCGTCATGGTGGCCATGCAAACGCTACTGATCGCTAGTGGCTACGCTTTATCGAACTGGGTCGGCGTCTTCGGCTCATTTGCTTCTGGCAACGCCGCCTGGAGAATTCCTCTGGGTATTCAGTGTCTTCCCGCGGTTGTCCTTATCATTGGCTTGTTCTGGCTACCGGAGAGCCCTAGATGGCTACTTATGCAAGGCCGTGAATCAGAGGCGCAAGCGGTCATAATGAAACTACACGAAGAGGCATCTGGTGACAAGACCTTTGCGGAAAGAGAGTTCAATCAAATGAAGCAGCAGATTGAGTACGAGCAAGAAGTCTCGATAAAATCCTGGACTCAACTCTTCTCAAAACCATCAAACCGTCGACGATTGCTCTTGGGAGTACTGCTACAAGTCTTCCTTCAAACTACGGGTGTCAACGTTGTGAATTATTATCAGACACAGATCTTTTCGCAGATTGGTATCCAGGGACGCAACGTCCTATGGGTTTCTGCAGGCTTTGGTAAACGAGCCTTCCAACCGTAACGTGAGCTTAGAGTGTATGGCTAACGATGATCACAGGCATGGTCGGCGTAATCTCTACTGCTATCTGTCTGACATACATCGACAAGGTCGGAAGAAAGAAACCACTCACTTACACTTCTATCGCATTGACAATCGACATGATTCTACTCATGGTGTTCACGAAATACTATGCCAACAGTACAAACAAAGTCGGACAAGGCTTCACCGTCGCCTGGATCTTTGTCTTCTCATTTATCTTCTCGCTCGGGTAAGACTATACAGACCTTGCCTAGGGCGGTTGCTGACAATGCATACTAGTTTTCATCCTATTCAGTTAGTCTACATCGCAGAAATCTTTCCAACGGGTCTGAGATCTCGTGCTACTGCTAGTAAGAAACCCCTTTCGCCGACAGCAAATGAAGACATGGCTCACTCCTTGCGAACAGTTTGCGCTTTCATGGGAACTGGAACTGGTCTCCTGTTCAACCAACTCTCCCCAAAAGCTTTTGCTCATATCAGTTGGAGCTACTATGCCGTTTTCGTTGTGTGCGATGCTGTTGCGGCTGGAACATTCTTCCTTATATATCCGTGAGTCATCAAGTCTATTTTTGAAACGGCGCATTGATGCTAACCCGTTATCTACAGTGAGACTAAAGGGAAGACTTTGGAAGAGATTGCCGAGGTTTTCGGCGATCATGTCGCCTTTACGGAGTATGTCGGCGCTGCCGGCAATGGACCAACAGTAACGCGGAAGGAGGCTAATCTCGCTGCGGCCGCACACGAGGTCGAGCATGATTCTATTAAGGAGAAATAGAACAGCGAGCTTGACCAACAAGTGTTGGTCTATCAAGCAGACAGCGACAGGTGGAACAAGATCGAGCATCCAATGCAACCCTGCCAAAAGAGAACATGATTTCCCTGTACCGTAAGGCACAATGGAACTGACACAATGTCGTTGAAGAAGACTGACCAGGGAGAGGAGAAGAGAAGAAGTTGCATGTACGTTGAGATCGGCTTTATGCCAGAATCTCGACAGGTAATCAAGTACAGAGAGGGCCAGGCACCAGAGCGAGCTGGACATGCTTTCTTAGCTAGTACAAAATCATTGATCTCTTCTGGAAGCTTGAATGATATGGCTTCAGTCAGTCTTTGGTTTAGGGTCCTTACTTTCTACTATCTCAGCTGAGGATAGATAGTGGAGGGCGGGCAGGAGCGAAGGCGGCTGGAAAACCCTGCGTCCGAAGGAGAAGCTAACAGCAAGAGTGCTGGGAGTTGGATGGGAGCCCATTCCGTACCTCGAAATAGGAGAAGTAGAATGGCAAGGGCAGAAGTCCGTCAAAGGCAAAAAGCCTTCACTGGAAGCCCACAAGCGGTACTCATAATAGACGCTTGTTCTGGGAAAAGGCGTGTGCTAGGTGCCCGTGTAGGAGGGGGAGAAGAGTTGAAGGTACGTTGTGAGAGGGCTCGACGACGAGACAGATAATATTAAAAGCGGCAAGCTTGATAATGCTAAGTATGCTAAAGCGGCGTGCTTGCACCAACCTCGGCCCATTCGCATCGCATATTCACCAATACGTGCGACGATGACCCAATTTCCGGACGACAACGATTTCGGTGGACGACATTCATCATATCGTACCGCGTCACAAGGCTTTCCTTGCTAGAGCGGAAGGGGGCCACCGCCTCAGCGGACACGTCGACGCCGATATGTCCTCACAGCCCTCGCCGGAGCCCGCCCCTCGCTCGATGGAATACCCATTCGCACCCTCTCCAGACATTCTGCGAACGCACCAAAAAGACGCCTACATCACCGGCACGCTATCCTCACAAGCATCCACAATCCTGCGCGCCCTTCTCGGCGCACGATTCGCCCACAAGTACTCTGAAGCGACAAGCCATCTCAGCGAATTGCTCTACCTCTGCCTGACAACACTGCTCGGAAACAGGACGCTGGGCGAGGAGTATTGCGACGTAATCCAGATTGAGGACGAGACACTGCGGCTTGCCGGGCTCGGTCGACGAGTGGGCTACATCGCCAGCGTCGTGTTTGCTCCATGGATGCTCGGCAAGACACTACCTACACTGAGACGCAGACTGCGGAGCAAACTGGAATGGAACATTGAGCATGCGAAGAAGCGTGGAGGAAAACATGCCCGTACACGAAGCTTGAAGGTGCAAGAGTATCTGCTGAAACATCTTGACGCATTAACGTCCCCGAATCCCATCTACGCGCTCAGTCTGGCCAGCTTCTACTTCACAGGCGCATATTACCACATTTCGAAACGATTGTTCCGGCTACGGTACGTCTTCACAAAGCAGATCAAGCCAGATGAGCAAAGAGTCGGGTACGAAGTACTCGGCGTCCTGTTGGTGCTGCAGATGGCAGTCCAATCCGCACTGCACATTCGGGAGACGTACCTCGAAGCAACGGTGCTGCCGAACGAGAGTGGGACACCCTCACAGACCACGGCTGTGTTAGGGAACGGCGTCGAGGTGCCCATAAGTGGAACTTTTGGCAGCTCGGCGACTCAACTGCTAGCTGACATCGAAATCCCGCAGAAGCTGCCTCCTGGTTTGGCAGACCACACTTCCACTCCAGTCCTGGAGAACGCCCGCTATGACCTGCAAGATCCCGAACTCATGGCATGGATTCCAGCAGGCCAGCAGCGGAAATGTACATTATGCCTTGAACCATTCCGAGATCCCAGTGCAACGACCTGCGGTCATGTATTCTGTTGGACGTGTGTACAGGACTGGGTCAAGGAAAAGGCCGAGTGTCCCCTGTGTAGACAGAGCGTGCTGCCTCAAAAGGTATTGCCCCTACGGTAGCCACGTGGGAATAGAACAAATTGTCGAAACATGGAAAGTCGTTGTATTATGCTAAAGACGTTTCTTAGGCACTATGCTAATGCGCTGTTCGTCAACCATTGCCATCTCACTATCCGAGCAAAAGCCCATTGCACAATATATCCAAAACCCCCGCCGTGTCAACAATTAGACCGCCTGGGCCTTTTTTATTGGTGTTGGACTGCCGTCTTCTTCACCCTCGCTGATGAGTCCCTCGAGCTCGAATTCCTCGGCGTCTCTGACTTGCTGACTATCAGTACCACGATGGCGAGGTAATCTCACAGAACCATTCGCCGGTCCAGGAGCGCCTCCATTCATGCCACGAAGGACCGACAGCTTTCTCGAGTGGCTCGGACCGGCACTGCTTAGAGGTTGGTTGCGAGAGACACGCATACCATTGCTCTCATCGTCTGGCCAGGCATGCGATGCATAGACGTACAGCAGGATGTTGACGAAGAGGTAAAGTAGGAATGCGACGGAGTAAAGGATGAGAATGTAGCTGACATGCGTGACATTGGCATCAGAGAGGAGGTGCATTTGCTCCTCGGTAGCTCCCATAAATAGGAATCCCGACGCATAGAGAAGCTAGAAAGCATGTTAGCTGAATACTCAACAACACAACCACGGCGGAACTTACGAATGGTGGAAGATGCTGCCAGCTGTTGACCTCACCACCTCCCCTGCTGTCTTTGAGGAGGAAGGAAATTTCGACAATCCTGCTTGCCCCAGCTGCCATGAGTGTATAGCCAAACACCGAGTGCACCATGGTGCTCAAAGGCAACTCCTGGGGATGTCCACTCATTGCCCATCCGGTAAGGATAATGACAACACCAGGTAGAATATTCCGCTTCGGCCGTCCACCTCTCGATCTTGACAACCAGACACCCAGAAGTCCTGCGCACCACCATACGATTCCCATGCTCGTATGCTGTAGATCATTCCTGACCCAGGGATGTCCCCAGCGATGCTCAGTGAACGTGTTCACACAGCCCCACGCGGCAATGACGATGCTGTCGAAGAACTCCTGGCTTCGCCCAGTGCTTCTCAGCCATGCCTGGCCCACAAGGAGCATCAGTGTCATGACGATTCCGTATCCGATAAATGCAGAGCCCATGATGAAGTGCGCCAGACACTGACCCAGATGATCTCCTCGACAATATCCCATGGCCACAATCCCACCAAAGAGCATCTGCGTCCAGGCGACAACTGGCATAGCCTTACCCAGCCAACCATGGATTATGACAACTCCTCGTCTTCCTCCCCTTCCCATCTTTCCGCCAAATACCCTGCCAATCCATCCACTCTTCTCTTCCAGATGTAGTTTGAGCCCCGCTCCTAATGCGACCTGAACAACCAACATCAAGACCAAGCTGTTTGCAAAACTGGCATGAATATTCGGATGCTTGAACTGTCGTCCTCTGTGCATATGGCCAAGGAAGTACGCGACTGTGGCCACCACCGTGCCAACGACCTGAACAGGAACATGCCACCTGCTTCTGATGATACCAAGGACCATGCCATACGGGAAGATCATGCCGAACGATACAATCATGAGGAGGATGTGCGTCCATAACCGCGAGTCGAGAGGATCGGGAGAGACTGCCTCTCCCTCAGGGATCTTGTCTGTGTGCCCGCCATGAGCAGAGACGGCTGAGGCGAAGAGTAAGGGTAGTAGGCATAGGAGCAGGACAGGTCGAAATGTGGATGACGAGGCGCTGGAAGACTGCATCTTGACGCGCAGCCTGAGGAGACGTTCGATCGAGAGAAGAGAGGACAGACCTGAGCTGCCGTCTCAAGAGTTATGCATTGCAAACGCAGATGCCGAATGATAAAGTCTGTCAGGAGGGATTCGAATCATGAGAAATCATACTCGTAGATGGTCTGCGCAGTCTGTCAGAAAACTCACCGGATTTACCGGCGCGAATTCCCCACAGGTGGCGTGAATTGCTCTTCCAGTTGGTCATTGATTGTCATACGCGAAATCTCGGTCGTAGTAATTGGTGAATGTGCCAAAACAGATCTGTAGGCTTGATTGATGCTATTCAACAATGGAAGAGTACTAACGATACTGTCACACGGATGCTATTCCTCGACATCAAGACACGACAACAGGCGCAGACCTCCATTCTCATCATGCATTCCCTCCAAAACCATGACCATACCCTTTCATCGCACGCGGTTGTCGACGTCGAAGTTGTTCGTTTCACAAGCACTGGACCCAGTTGCTGATTTCCCGCAAGACTTGCAGAAGAGGGTTTGATCCTTGCAGATCTTGTCCATCAGCTCGCATGGCCGAGTGTTTTTGTCCCCTTTGTCGTCGGTCTTTGCATTCTTGCAATCTGCTGTTTGCTTGTAGCATTTCTCCGCACTCTTGTAGCATTCCAGGCGGTTCGAGAAGAGATCCAATCTTCCGCAAAAGCCAGAGCCTGAGACAACACAGCCATCTTTGGCCATTGAAGATGGAGTGGTCCATTCGGGCATTCGATACCAGTTTTCGGCGTTATCCTCGAGGCAGTCTCTAACTGTGACAGCTGTTTCAAGATCAGCAAATGGCTGATGAAGGGAGCAGGATACTCACCTTTCCATCCCCTGCGTTTAATTGCGTCCAGAACATGATTGGTGAGGTCGATAGATGACGTTCGAATGGTGTCATGTTGGATAAGGAGCATATTGCCATCCGGGGCAGTCTTGTTCAAAGCATCATCAAATGCTGCCTTCATCGCATTGAGGTCATCAGAATGCATCCAGTCAGTGCTGTCCAACGAGTATGAGATAGCATGGTATCCCATTGTGTTCACGTCACTCAGACAGCTTGTTGTATTTGAGCACTTCACGTACGGTGGTCTCATGTACGTCGGATACTTGTTGAGGATGTTGACCATGGCTCTCTCATTCTTGGCGATCTCACTTCTACGAGTTGGAGAAGTCATGTTTTCGATATCCGCGTGAGACCAAGTGTGAGATCCGACTTGGTGTCCTTCCATGACCATCCGTCTGATAGTTTTGACCCATTTCTCTTCGTGATCGATTTCGCCCTTTCCGTTGGTGATGCCGGCCACAAAGAATGTTGCTTTTGCGTCGTGTTTTTTCAAAATTTCCAGGAGCTTCTCGGTGTTGTTTGATGGACCATCGTCATAAGTCAGTGCAATTGCATTGGGAGTTGTGCAGGTTGTGATCAACGTTCCATAAGGCACTTGGCCAATCTTTGGCCGCGGCTCATTGGCCAAGTTGTAGCCATTGGGGGATTCTGCAGAGTCACACCAGCCATATTCCCGTTGGCAATTCCAAGGAACGGAACAAAAATCAGTGGTATACCCCTGTGCATGGTCAGTGGGCGTCAGCAGGTCTGGTCGCCGCAATTGACTTACACAGTAGCCAGCATGTGAGCAGCAAAGGCCGGCCGGACACTGTAGGTTGCCATTCTCGGCACCGCAGCGTTGACCCGGAAATGCGGTTGGTGATGGTCTTGCTGCAATTGACGTGGGTGGTGGTCTATTCTCAGGATCTCCAATGGCACATTTTCTAAACCGGTGTGAGTCGCCCAACGTGTCAATGTCATTTTGATATTACAAACCCATACGCCACCTGGCACCCTGTCCCACAGTATTCAGGTCCGTTGCCTAAACGAAATGTCAGGAGGTGAGGAGTAGAGGATCCCATGAGCATTACCGCAGTATCCCTGTGCATGTCAGCTTCAATCGTCACTTTGGAAGGGGAGGCCACATACACTACTGGAACAGCACCACCCGCTCCCGGGGTCAGATGCATCACATCTCAGTCCGATGCTTGGACCACATCTGACGTCTTCAGGACTGCTTTGCCTGGGGAAGACGATCGGGCGTTGCATGGAGGTGCCAGTAGTGGGCGAGATCTGTGGCATGGCTGCAGCATTGGCCGCAGGGGCCAGAAGGAGTGGCAAGAGTGCAACAATTGAATGCATGGTGTGAGTGAGTCCTGAGCCGAAGTACAGATGCAGACGGGGAATGGAAACGAGAGGATAGCCAAGCACCACGCTCCACGAGAAGCAGGTAAAAGGTGCAGGAGTATTGATGTTGATGAAGACTGATGGTTCAAGTCCTAAATGAAAGCGTGGTGATGACTGAACGAGAGTGATGGGTCTTGAGTATGAAAGAGAGGAAGAAAGAAGATGGTGGACGAGAAGGAGTAGAAAACTGGAAGCTCGTACAGCACCTGCCATTTCTCTCATTTTGCACCGCAACTGACTTTGGAGCCAGACACCATAACAACGGAAGGAGCATGACCTCAACGCTTTGGATGGTCTGTAATTCTATCACCAGCATCCTCAGTTTTCCACTAGACTTGCGTGGAGAGTACGAATGGACTTGTGGAGGTCTACTTGAATGGTTGTTATACGATTCAAATAGCGCTACAGCCATCTTCAATCGGCTGGAAACTTGCTCTCTCATTGAAAACTTCCTGGTATATCGTGAGACTCCGTCGGCTCTTCATTTGGAGTCACAGGAACTGAATGGACACTCGGCTCAGCGTTGTCGTTGGTCATCGTTGGTGACATCGTCTGTCCACCGTCTGGTACTTGCACATGTTTCTCTTCAGCAGTGCCATTCAGCGAGATTCTGTCAAAGCCGTCCACCGACTGTGTCGTCGATGTCGGAGAGGCGACTCGTTCAGGATTTCGCGGGGGTAATGCTGGTGGTGCACGTTTGGGTACTTCCACCACTCTGGCTCGAGCCACCACTGGCACAGCAGTGTGTATCTCAGCATCGGAATCCACATCAGAGAATGATTCACTTCGTTCGCGTTGTTCATCGTTCTCGTCGTCCACGCTCTGACTATGTTTCATTGGGGTCTCGGTTCCTTTCGGGGATTCCTTCTGGGAAGTCCGGCTAGCGGTATCCGTTTCTGCTTCGTTGGTCTGGGTCGCTCGATCGACGCTGGCCAAGCTGTGAGTGCTGTCTCTCCACGTCCGACTGCGAATGGATCCGTCGACGCTCTTTCGCGAGAAATGTGCATAAATCGGGCTGGTGGGCGACGGCCTGAATTCGAAGACTTCTGCGCTTGGTCGCTGATGGGTGCCTGCTTCTCGGATGGCGAGTCCTTCGGCTTCTAGAGCTTTGACGCCATACGGATCAGGATCGTTCTCTGCCGGGATACCGAAACTAGTTACTGCACGATAGTCAGTAAGTGGCATGCACTTGATCGGGAACCTTACCATCCGTTATAAGCTCCATGTCACTAGGGGCCTCTCCCTCTGGAAGTAGGCTTTCATCCACATCGTCACCTTGTGCAGCTCTCAAGGTATTAAGCAGAACCTGGTATTTCTCGACTGGCGGATAGCGAACTTTGCCCACCAATATGTCAGCTACTCCAACACGCTCTCCGTAGAATCTCTCGTTCTCGTCCGTCCGTTCAATCACAAGGTTCCCCTCGAGCGCAACGCCAGCATACAATCCACGACTCTTGACGTATGACCATATGGGTGACTGGCGTTTGACGACCTCGGTATCAAGAGAGCCTCCCATTCCAACTGGCCCTGCTGCAACACCGACTTCTGTACCCAGGGTGCACCGTAATTTTGTGAAGGCCTCGAGGGCCTTATATGAGTTGATGACCAGAATCGAATCATAGATATCGACTCCAGCAAGGAATCCAAAGGAAAGATTTTGAGTCTGGATACCACTCGGGGGACTCCATTCGTGCGTCTCAGGATGTCGCGCAACCAAGACACCTGCACCGCCAGAGCCGCCGAACAGCCATCCTGTCCGCATCGTTGTGAAGATAGCTAGACCAACGCAGTTCTTGATCACCTTCGCTGGGATTTTCTGCAACACTCTTTGTTTCCCTTGTGGAGTTCCTTCTACCGTCGCATTACGTTCTTCAATCTTCTTCGCTTGTTGCTCGTCTATCTGCTCATAAAACCCATCTTTGCAAAACCCCCTCAGGATGCGCGCGGCTTTTTCGGACTCTTTGTCCAGGGACGTTGGCCAGAATGCTTCGGAGCCGACCTTGTTTGATAGGCGATTCACCGGCTTTTCGAGTTTGTTGACAAAGCTGTAGGCTTTATTGAAGCCGGGCTTCAACGCTTTCTCGTAGGCTGTGCTCGAATAGCCTTTGGTCTTTTCCCATACGGTCGAGTTCGTGGTGGATGGCGTCGCGGATATCGGCCTACTGGTATCGGAGGCTTGCGCCATCGTTGGCACTGGTGAGATGGGACTTCGAACGCTAAGGCTGCGGTGAAGGGTGGAAGAGATATACCGCGCGGTCTCAGCTCTGACGGCGCAAGGGGTTTCTTGATGCGCTATTGATCATGCCTGCGAGTTTCGAGGAATTCGATAGTTTGCAGACGAACAAGCCATCAGCTGCGAAAGCCGCCTGGGACTATTTGAGGCCTTCCCGTAAACTGGAAATCCGGTGGCAGCCGAATAGTGGTCGGTAGAGGCGCAGGGCAACGTCATTGGCTTTATTGTCAGAGGCATATCTTAGTCAGAACAGCCGGAGTAGCGAGCGGATCACTGGCCACTAGGCTCACTAAGTTAGTTAAGTTAGGCCTCAGCAGCCTCAGCTTGGGGGCCATTCCTCGCACTTTGGTTTTCCAGCACATGTGCAGATCCCGCCTAACTTACTTACCTCAGAATAGAACACCTCGGTTGGGTGCTCGGCTCTATCACACTCCCTCGACTAATCATGATAGGGACAACATACAACATCACACTGGTATATCCGTTTCTGCTCCCCTCGAAGCTGGCCTTTGAACTAACTTTCTTCTTCACGGACTTGACCATCCATTTCAATTATCGAGGACTAATCCGGACACGGTATACCCTACAATGCCACCTATCCCACCACTCTTCGTTCTCCAGGTTCCGCCTCTGGCGGCTACATCAGCATCAGCGGCTCGACAGCAGGGCAGCTTTATCTGCACTCAGGCTGCTCCACAAGTCTATCTACTTTCATTCTCAAGCCCGCCGGACAATCGTCTCACTCCTGCCTTCAATCAAACCTTCCTTCTGGCACTTGATATCATTGAGCATAGACTGCCAAAAGGAGTGGTGGTGACCACGTCGTCCATCACGAAATTCTACTCGAATGGTCTCGACTATGAGAATGCCATCCGAGATCCAAACTTTTTCCCAAATAGCCTGTTTCCTCTCTGGAGGCGACTCATCGCCTACCCCATGCCCACGATTGCTTTGATGAACGGGCACGGTATGTTCTTCTTTGCGAGTGCTTGGTTATCAGTTGTACTGGCGTGGGTTTCTGACAAGTGACAGCTTTCGCCGGCGGACTCATGACTGCAATGATGCATGATTATCGCGTCATGAATCCACACAAGGGGTTCTTATGTCTGAACGAGCTTGACTTCGGCGCGGCTCTACAGCCTGCGATGGCATCAGTCTTCCGGGTCAAACTGAGCATGACGACCTTCCGCAACATGGTCCTTGAAAGCAAAAGATATCCGGCTTTAGAAGCCTTGAAAGAAGGCATCATTGACGGTGTTGGAAGCGTCGATGAGACCTTGGCTTTCATTGGAGAGATGAAATTGACCCAGAAAGCCCAGGGCAAGTCATACGGGAAGATCAAGGAAGAGTTGTACCGAGAAGTCATCAAAGATCTGGATAGTGGCGCCGAGACGCCAACGGTTCTGGCGACCAGGGATCTTGACAGGAATCGTCGAGACGTCGAAGCCCGGAAGCGAGTGGATGAGTATCAAGCTGTCATTCAAAGGGCAAAGTTGTGATTGGAAAATTACCATTGCCAATATTTTGGTGCCTGTATTACACTCTCGGGCATGGCAGTGCTTGTAACGGCTGTATCTGATAATTTCCACATGGATAAGAGCGGTCGGGCTTGACTTGCTTTTCCTGCAAGGCTACGGATACTTTGTTGACGTCCATCGTAGAGGTCAAATTAGAGGAAAACAGCCTGCATCCAGCAAGTACTTGTGTCTTCCACTTTCACCTACCTGATCGTACGTGATATATTCTTTCCAAGATTGTTCAGTTTGGGCGAGATTGTAGGAGAATGAACGTCTTTCCGAGGCGAATGCAACAGGTGCTCCTCAACTCCGAAATTATATTCGCGAGTCTCAAATCAAGACCCGCGAACACAACGCCACGACTCAACCCCGACCTTTGAGACTGAAGTCATACAATCCGATAGCATGTCGCATCAAAGTTTGCACGGAACTTTCCTGACATCAACCTCAAACCCGAGCAACAAGAAGACTGGCGACGATTATGAACAGTTCAACCGAGACACGCAAGTCTAGGATCTCGTCGACACAGGAACAACTCTCCGATGCACTGCGTCAGATTTCGCAGCTACCGTCATTCTCGACTGAACAACAGTCCATGACACCACCGGCCTCATCTTTGAATGCAGACACCTCCTTAGGCCTATCTGGTGAAGAACAAGCGGCACTACACCACGCCAATCACGTCTTCGCCCGGCACATTTCTTTGCTCAAAGAGTACAATAACATCAAAGACGTCGCCATGGGAATGCTATCGATTCTCGCGGAGAAGCAAGGCCGTCGACTGACTGAAGTCATGAAAGAATATGGGTTGAACGAGGAGGATTGAACGACCTGGAAGTGAACGAGGAACGACCGGCGTCAGGCGTACGACTTCATCTACGAACAGCATACTAATAACGGAATTCTACGAGGCATTGGTGTCCAAGACAACCTTTTCAGACCGTATTCCATGGTGGCCACCAGTGCCGCTACCTGGAACACCACGTTGAGGTGGAAGGCAGCCTTTCTGTCAGTCAATGACAATTTCACTGTCATGAGCCGGCGCGCTGGAACAAGGATCACCAAGTCAGGATCATGAATATGTCAATCCGATGGTTGGCACTGTATGATTATTATGGAGCAGAGTGACAACATGATTGAATAGACAGTTGTGACTGTTCCACTGTACAACTGTTCCCGACTAATCCCTCCATAATGGCGTCTTATCTCTGTCGATATCGTTCCTTTATGCTCTAGTTCCCCTTCAGTGTTGAGCATTTCATGGTCTATCGAAACGACATTCGTATACCCAACAGGCTGAAATTATTTGATCCAGGACAGTGCTGTCCATACATGATGTCTAGCGTGACAAACGGAGGCTCCCACCCCTTGGCAGAGTTCGCGCCTGATTCACACAGCATCCGTGGTCGCAGAGGTTTTTCAAAAGCTACTCGTGTATGCGGTGTACCTCCGAGCCTGAATGCCGCACATGTCCAAGGCGTGCTCCCACCTCCAAAGGGGAGTCTAGGGTAGCCCTGCATGGAGACAGACTGGAGTGTCCCTTGCTTTGCTCAACATGCATCAAAACGATGATCAAGTGTACCACTCATGCATGCGGATCATGCCGTCAACGCTGCTTCTCCAAGCTTTGAAGACTGACCAACTCTCGGTACCGACCTTTAAGCGCCATGAGCTGTTGGTGAGTGCCTTGTTCTGCAATGACACCCTTGTCGAACACGTAGATAATGTCAGCTTTCTGGATGGTGCTGAGTCTGTGGGCGACAGCAATTGTCGTTCTTCCTTTGGCGGCAGCATCTAGAGCGGCTTGTACCACTTTCTCAGACTCCGAGTCCAGCGCTGATGTCGCTTCATCAAGGAGGAGAATCTTAGGGTCGCGAAGAAGTGCACGGGCAATGGCGATACGTTGCTTCTGACCGCCAGAGAGTAGAGCGGCTTTGCTGCCAACATCCGTGGCAAATCCATCACTAGAGCAGTCAGCACCGGGCCGTCGGAAATGTTGATGGACACTCACGGCAAAGACAAGATGAAATCATAGATGTTGGCATCTTTGCAAGCCTGGATAACCTGTTCGTCACCAACTTCGCCCCTATCAGCACCCAGAAGGATGTTGTCTTTGATAGTGCCTTGGTACAATGTAGGTTCTTGTGACACGAGAGCCAGGTGAGATCTGTAATCGTTAAGATTGAGAGCGGAGATCTCTTTGCCATCAACATAGATACCGCCGGCAAGTGGATCGTAAAAGCGCTCCATCATAGCGATCGTGGTCGATTTTCCACAGCCTGAATATTGTCAGCCTAAACTTCAACTCGCCCAGACGAATAGCTTACCGGAAGGTCCAACAAGGGCAATGTATTGCCCAGGCTTAACGGTCAAGTTGAGGCCTCGCAGGACTGGTACATCTGGTCGTGTGGGATATCGGAAATGGACATCTCTGAACTCAATGTTGCCCTCGACATGGGCCAATTTTTCGCCATCTTCGGACCATGGATCAATAGTTGGCTGAATATCGTACAATTTCTTCAGCGCAGCTGCCGCATTCTTGGCTTTTGACATGTCTCCAGCAAACGAGAAAACTGTTCCTGCTGACTGCGCGCCAAATATGATTTCGGAAAAGACGATAAAGAATTGGAACAAAGTATATTCGCCGCTGGCCAACAGTCTCCCTCCATACCAGAAACCGAGTGCGAACGCAAGGAACATGGCCGATTGCGAAGCTGCGTAGAGAGACGAGTTGCGCAGATTTGACTTTAGAGACGCGCGAAGCTGGGTCCGAAGCTGGCTTCTGTACTCGTTGTAGATCTCTCGTTCTGTGGTGAGAGACGCCACCGTGCGAATGGCGTTGGTGTGCTCGCAGGCATAACCTGCAGATTTTTCGTAGGCCTTTTGAGCAGTTGCGCTGAATTTGGCGAGAATCCAGAATCTGAAAAAGCCAGTCCCAAGAATGACAGGCAAGGCGCACATGCAGACAAGCGCCAACTTCCATCCAATGGCAAGGGAGATCACTATAGCGACAACAAGGGTCGTGGAACAGCTGATAAGGGTGCCCAACGTGGCTCCAGATATTGAAGAGATATGCGTCGTCTCGGTAGACAGGAAGGACGTCAGCGCGCCAGTCGAGTTTTTGTCCTCATCAAAGAAGGAGATGTCCTGCCTCAAGAACCTTCTGAAAGCACCATCCCTTGCGCGCTGTACCAGGCTTTCGCTGCAATATGCGAAGGCAATGCCTTGTATGACCATGGCAATGAGATCGACAAACGCTAGCATCAAGTACATCAAGGCCCAAAAATCGACATCATGCCGAATCTGGTGTCGCAGAATCAGCGGTTGAGACAAGGCAATGATTGATTTTGCAAAGAAGATGCCCTGAACGGGTTGCGCTGCACCAGCAATGGCCGTGAACACAAATCCAACGGACATGATCAGCCACTCGGACGAATTAAATCTTGCAATGAACTTGATGATGGTCCAGAGGGAGTATTTGGGATCGCCTGTTGACGACTTGTCGGCAAGGACCTTTGAGGAGACCGATTTCTGGCTCCTCGTTCTTCCCAAAGCCAGTTTCTCATCTTCGGGGTCCGCCAGTGCTCTGCTGCCAGACTTTGAGGACTTAATGCGAACCAGATCATCATCACTGATGTCCGTACCCTTTTCGTTCTCAGACTGATCCTCGTCGTCACCACCTATGCGCTGAGCTGATACTAGGTTGTAGTACGCCTTGTGCAATTCAAGTAACTCGTCGTGGGTGCCTTGCTCGACGATACGTCCCGTTTGCATGACTACGATATTGTCTGCGGTCTTGATGGTCGAGAGTCGATGCGCGATAACAATGGTGGTCCGACCTTTTGCCGCCTCTTCCAGAGCATGTTGTACGACGCCTTCGGATTTGGTGTCTAACGCTGACGTAGCTTCGTCTAGCAGTAGGATTTTAGGGTCACTGACGATAGCCCTGGCGATGGCAACACGCTGTTTCTGACCTCCTGATAGCAAAAATCCCCGCTCACCAACGTGAGTTTCATAACCATCTGGAAGCGACGAAATGAAGTCGTGGGCATTGGCTTTCCTAGCGGCATCAATGATACGTCGTGTTTGTTGCTCTTCCGACTCGTCCTCATATTTGGATCCGATGAGACCATTCCTGATATTGTCTCTGATCGTTTGGCTGAAAAGGATCGGTTCTTGCTGAACAAGTGCGATTTGCTGACGAAGCCAATGTAGATTGAGCGTACTAATGTCGTGACCGTCCAGGAAGACCTTGCCGCCCACCGGGTCGTAAAAGCGTTCGACCAAGCCTACAATTGTTGACTTGCCTGAGCCGGACGCCCCGACCAACGCTGTAACTTTGCCGGCAGGAATAACGAGGTCCACGCCGTCCATAACAACAACCTCCGCTCTAGAAGGGTAGATGTGTTTGATGTTTCGTAGCTCCACAGTTCCCTCCACGTGGTCCAACTTCGCGCCGTCATCAGACAGGGGATCGATTGGGGAATGTCTGTCGATGGTAGCGTATATCTTAGCAGCGGCAGCGACACCTGCAGCCAGATGCTGGACATTCGGCACTATATTACCGAACGAGAATGCTGAGCAGGTCTATTGTTAGCAACGTGAACCTGTATGGGGAGACGAACGATTCAAAAGTTCTGGCAACAAAAGTACAGCAGTTCGGAGAGACTTACCCCCAATCATAACGGCCAGGATAATGGTGAGGATATGAGCGAGAGTGGTCTCGCCATCAACAAGGAATCGGGAGCCCATCCAGAACGCAAGGCCATAGTTCAAGAAGATGATGCAGAGGAGCGATCCAATCATACAAGCCAGAGCTCCTTTGCTGCGGACACCCCATTTTCTCGCTTCTTGCAAGTGGACGTCGTATTTCTTAGCAAGTTTGTCCTGAGTAGAAAATGCAGCCGCATTGCGAATCGAAGCCAGCACTTCTTCCGCCACTGAACCTCCAACTGCGTAGGAGGCCAGTGATTTCTTGTTCCATCCGGCCATGAAGCGTCCACCGACACCCATGAGGACGATGATGGTGACGACGGAGGACATGCAAATCAGTGTGAGTTTCCAGAATTTGACGAATCCGATGACGAACGCAGCAAAAAAGGCGGCAATGCCGGTCAAAGTCAAGCCGACCTTCTCGCTGATAGCCTCTTGGACCAGGTTGGTGTCTGCTGTAATGCGAGTCGTCACTTCACCTGCACCAAGTTTATCGAAAAATCCGATGTTTTGGCGTAGAATCGCCTTCAGATATTGCTCTCGCACCTTGGACGTGATGTGCTCCCCAGTGTAAATGAATAGAACCGTGGAGACATAGATGAGACAGAACTCCCCTATCGCTAGATAGATAAAGTAAAGCACATATCGGACCAAGATACTGTTAAAGTCTTCCTGGAGGTTGCCGAGTACAAGCCCCTGGAAGGAACCACTCAGATTGCCGAAGATCACAGTCATCAACGGCATGACAGCTCCACCACCAATAGCACCCAGCGCGGCAATAACGATGAATACTTTGTCCCAAGTCGTGGCGTACCGGTACAGACTCGTGTAGGTCACTTTGACATCTGGCGTCATCACTTGTCTCCTCAACACCTCCCGTTCATGGTCAGGTAAGTGCGCTAGGGCTTCATCGCCTTCGGGCACATCTCGAACCTGAACGATCTTTGAGTCATACTTTCTGAGGTCTGGTGGCGTTTCCGCATTGGAGGCTGGAGACGCTGGTGAGCCTGGCGAAGGAGGTGACTTCGGAAGGGAAGACGTTGGGGTCGTTGGCTGATTCTCTTGTGGCACTTCTGTGCTCTTCTCTTGGTCTGTGACAATTCCCAAATCAGATCTTTGCTTTTCCTCGATGTTTTCTTCAATGGCTGCTGCGCCTGCGGGCAACTCTCCCTGACCGCTTGGATTCATGGTGGTTGTTCAGGGTGCCTCTCGTGAGGGCAAGTGTCTCAGCGTTGCATTGAGGCAGGTGTATGCTTCGAAGATAATGATGTGCGCCTCAAGTCTAACCTGGGAGACTGGAGTAGGGTAGAGATAGTATACCGTATTAGCGACAAGAATAGGGAAAGGTGAAATATTAGATTATGTATGTGTCCCCTTCGAGAGACCTGAATGCTGTACGATAGAGGAATAGGTAAAGACAATGTACACCACGACTCAGGCTACAATGAAAGGAAAAGACCGAATCCGAAAGGTACATAAACGATTGTAGAAGATATGCATGAATGTAAGGATCACTACAATTTCAGGCGATCGGAGTTGTTGTTTGCCTCGTGTTTTGGTGGATTACGCCACTGCTTCGGGTCCCACGTACTTAAGCTCGCCTGTCACGCCTGGTAGGCTGCCGGTTCCCAATTATTGTTAGAAGGTCTTTGGTGGAGTGTCCATCGGGTCCCCAATCCTTCACATTTTCTTGGTCCAAACGCCTGGAGTTGTCCCGTATCTCGTTTTCCTTTCCCTGACGGGTTAAACAAGTCACCTCCACATGGCCGGAAGCGCCCAGGCACTCCAATGAAGCATAACTTTATGCAAGAATCGCCTTGGATTAAGGGTGGCACACAGCTGGCGGTGCAGTATCCCCGATTACGTGGGACGGACTCGCAGTCACTCTACATACAGGTGATGCAACTAGAAATAATGCAAGATGGTTGCGTGGTGACTCACTGCAATCCACTGTTGAGAGGAGGCTCATAATCCGGGGCGCAGAACAGTACTACTGTGGTATGTTAGAACAATGATCTTCGCTTTGATTGGGTACGAATACGATTGATTCGGATTGAAACCTGCCGCCCGGGTCCGAGTCCAAACAGCTCAAGTCCGGATATGCGAAACTCCTGGTGAGCTGGGTTTTCTCTGTTTGCTTGCTGCTTGGACAACACTGAGCTGCCTTTGTGCCTTCTTTGGTATGCACCATTTGCCCGGATGAATTGTCGGGCCACCAGGTATTGACATCGTAGGCTTGGCTCCTTCGCCCGCTCAGTCTGTCGAGAAGACTACGAGATGGCACAGGAGTCCTGGCCAGGCTACAGAGCAGATGCATTTCGTATCAGCAACTCAAATGGTCGACAGTGCGCGGTACCGGTGCTCGTTGGCGCGTATGCTGACTGGCGCATCTGGGGCGAGCAAGTCGAACCCATGAGGAACACCTGGGAACAAATGGAACTCAATCTCAACATTCTCAGCTGCAAGCCGCCTCGCGAATTCAATATCTTCGTCGCGGAAGATATCCAGGCCTCCTACATCAATGTACGCTGAGGGAAGCCCTGACAAATTCTTTGCGCGTGCAGGAGCAGCGTATTCGGAGACATCCGCCTCAGGGATTCCGGCTTTGTCCTGACCCAACAAAGCTGTCCAGCCTGTAATGTTGTCGCTTACCTTCCAGAAAGCTAGTGGCTCGAGTGCCTCAATAGGCTTGTTATTCCTGTCGTCAAGCATTGGATAAACCAACACTTGTTTTGCCAGTGGCGGTCGCAAGCCCTTGTCACGAGCCTGAAGGACTACGCCGGCGGCTATACCGCCACCTGCACTTTCTCCCATAACTGCGATCCTGCTCGAGTCCACACCGAATTGCGTCGAGTGTTCCATAACCCAGAGTAACCCTTGGTAGCAGTCATCGACCGGGCCCGTGCCGGTATGTTCGGGTGCAAGACGATAGTCGACACTGAAGAACGGTAATCCAGTCCTTGCAACTTGATTAGCAATCCCCTTGCTAAACGCCGCCACCGACCCCATTATCATGCCTCCACCATGGCAATGCAGAACCGCGGCAGTCGGCGTGTGCGATTTTTCTTTCCTCGTGAAAGCGTGCACAGCAATTTGGTACCCGTCTGCTGCTTCAGCATGGTGAACGGTCTCCTCAACTTCCGTAGCGGTGGGGAAAGCGTCCAGGAGCTTCTCTACGAAGCCATGGTTGTTTCTCCGTGATTGAATGTCGTGAATCGCCGGCTTAGCTCGTGATGTCAGAGCAGGAAGTAATGGCGCGAGGGCTTTGAGGAACTCAGGGGAGTATTGAAGAGGCATCTTGAACGAGAATGATAATAGGCGAAGGCTGGATCGGTGTAGCAGCCAACTCGGCAAATGTTCATGAATTTTCCACCCATGACCATGATATCCGGCTATACAACGTGGATCACCGCCGAGGGATTCTCGGGAACCCTCTAACGTTTGTAAGCCACCCGCACAAAGACAAATCTGGAGGTAAGGCACTAACCTGTACCTGCCTCTTTGACCAGAATGCCTAGTGGGTTCATTGGGTAGAGATTCCCAGAGGTGAGGAAAGTGAGGTGCATAGGCAATTTGGACGTAGGAATACGTACTACTGTCTCCTAGGTAAATCATGTAATTTAGCGCTAGGGTGCCATTCCAGGACAATCAGCAGCGAGGACAGTTGTGCGGTAAGGTGTCCACTGGCTAAAGCAGTTAGATCTCGCATTCGACAGAAGCCCTCCTACGACACAAAGTGTCACCGCTGCTGTTTGTCCTCGCATGGCACCCTAGCGCTAATTACACGAGTCACTCAGTAGACCGTAGTACATGTTGTGATTAGATGATTGATCGAGTTCAGCTTCGGTGAAGCTATCGGAGAAGCAGATTTACAAACTTGGTATTTCACAAATTCAACCCTGGTATTCCCTTTCATTGGACTTGATAGTCAGTTAGCCTTCCAGCATGATAGACTTCAAGTGCATTCCCAGTTTTCAGCCAAGGCGGCATTGCCTTTCTTCTTGTAGTGTGCCTTAAGAGGATAGGCACAGATGGGCCTTCGATAGACAGTCCCATTTGCATCTGGCAAGCTGACTCCATGAAGAACATCTGGAGCTTCGCCACGCTCTACCCAAGCCATAAGGCTTTCAAAGGCCTTCCCTGGATAGGGTCCATTGCCGCCGCCACAATGTTGAACACCGGGTGCCTGGAAGTACCGGTAGTATTGTCTGACATCAGGGTCGAGCTGCTCCACCATCTCATAATAATTCCTCGACGAGTTCGTCGGAACGGCAGGATCTGCAAGGCCGGCCCAGGTAATCATCTTCCCACCGGACGCTCGAAATCCACTGAGGTCAGGGTCGTTGGTTGCGGTCATATCCGTATAGATGGATTCAGAAAGGCGCCACAGACGATAGAAATCGTCCATGGTAAGAGTGGTCCAGTTGAAATTGGGATCCTTCTCCAGCCAGTACTGGACCCATTGTGTTGAGTATGTAAATGGAACCATCTCACATTTTCCTGTATGACTATCGCAAGTGCTGTTGAGTCCCACATTCAGCAGAGCGCCGCGGTTGACCCCAGGATACAGCAAACTGCCATTAGCTGCTCGGACCCCATCCCAACCGGCGGCAGCTCCAAGCGCAGCAGCCTGGGAAATCTTGACCTTGGCCCCCTGACAATCGAAGGTTTGGCCGACCACTGAGAATGGATCGAATTTGCAATGTCCCGGGTCAGGATCCGATATAATGTTGTCGACAACGCCGTCATTCGCATCGCAGGCAGCAACCACCGCGAGTGAGAGCGCATATATTTCGCAGGGTGAGGGAACTTGACCTTTCCTTTCGAGCAGTATGGGCCAATACATTCCTGCAGTCAGAGCGATATTGAAATTAATACCTGGCGCTGCAGCTACGATGCCGTCGAAGGCATCGGGATACCGCTGCGCAAGCATCAGACCCTGCCTGCCACCGCCCGAGCAACCGTTCCAGTACGATCGGCTTGGGCGCTGACCGTAGAAGCTCTCAGTGATAGATTTGCCGATAATGGCAGCGTCATTCAGAGACACAGAGGCGAAGTTTTGCAGTGCATACAGATCCACATTTCCGGGGCTGAGGAGTGCCCATGTACTCGCATCTTCAACCTTATGGCCAGCATCAGTGGAAACAACCGCGAACCCATCGCTCAATGCGCCCGCCATGGGGGCGACGGTCAACCCTGCTAGGAACCCACCACTAGCTGCTCCCTGAAGTCGCTGGTTCCAGTCTTCCAACGGCAGCCATACTTGCACATTGATAGAATCATGCTGCCCAGGATGCGTATAGATGATGCTGACATTGCAGAAATTGAGATTGCTCACGTTTCGTGCATCGTGAGCGGGATATCCTGCTTGGGGAATCTGCATGGAATAATTGGTGACAGTCTCAGCAGTCAGCGAGACGGTCTGAGCACCGAAGAACTTTGGGTATGGAAAGGACTGGGCGATGCATGCTGCACGAGTGAAGTTATTGCGGGTCAACTTCATGTTGAGCTCGGCGTTTTGACTTCAGTCGATTGAGCTTTACCACAACAGTGTTAAAGTCCGCCACCTGGAGGACGAAGATTGTGCGAAGACAGCAACGATTGTTTGGCGATAGAAAGTGAGAAAGAGGTCACGCTTAGGTCCGTGAGAAAAGGCGAAGAGTAGGTGCTTGAACAAACTTGGTCACAATGGCAGCTGTACTTATACCTGCTGTCCCTGGCAAGGACCGCTGCGCTTTTGCTACTAATTTCCCAAATCGACTGATCGATGCTATGGATGTCCTTTAGTCAAGTAACCGAATCATCAATAGGTTAGTAACCCCATCCATAAGCGGAGACCCCATCGAGGGATGGTCCTGCCCTTCCAAAATTGTATAGATTGAACAGGCGGTAGGCCTTGTCAAACAAGTCCTTCAACGGGTGATGATGGGATAAGTCTTGCTGCTAATGTCGGCATCTTCCGGCTATACAAAATAGACAGGGCATTGGATCACATATTGGTCCACAAGTGTCTCGTGCCGAGGAGCGGGTGGCGAGGTTGATTAGACTCCCCCATAGTCACAGCCTGATTTCTCCACGCACAGAGAAAACCCGGGGATCCAGTCTTCAAATGGAGGATACTCCCTGGGAAAGGTCAAACATAGCGGCAGTTGCAGAAAAGTTGTAGTCTCATTCAGCTGTAGGTTAGTCCATAATTCCCAAAGATGCCAGTTTCAGCAAACAGTAAAGCGCTAAAAGCCGATTGATACCGAGGGCCGACGTCCGTGGAAACCATAAACTAACGAAGATTAGCGACAGCGGACTCCTCAAGACAAGAACCATTGCGACATTCCGTGTCGATAAGGCCTTGGACTCGATTTCTGACAATTTCCCAGACTGTGGGAAAGTGGACGTCTAGTGATGTTGATGGACACTTTGGACCTGAGAATCAGGTATCATGTCGCCAAGCTCCCGAAACAAGACGGTGGGTGGCATTTGATGTTCTGACGGTCTCGAGAGGTCGCCAAAAGATGAGCCCCTGAAAGATCGAGCTGAGACTGGTACCTAACACGGATCTGCATTCACTGGGTATCTCCTCTTGACAGAAGCAATGCGCGTGTATTTCGACCCTCGAAGTGACGGTCCATGAGCTCGCCAAGTGCAGCGCGCCACCATCGTGATCGGATATGCCAATCTACACGATTGAATGCCTTGTGTATTGACTCGGTTGGCGGTGAGACGTGATTGTAGATTTGGGCTTGATTTCTGGCTCGAGATAGTCCATCATTCTGGCTTAGCTACCTAATGTTTGAGCTTCTCTGTACTCTCCTCGCTCTGTGTCGGTCCCTTTGGCGTCCGTCGGCAACCTATCGACAGGGTGGGCATGCTGATGGGCATGGGTATTAGATAAAAGGAAAGCCTCATCCTTATGGGCAGCCGTGGCTTGGTTTTCTTGCCTTCGAGATATGTGATCTCGTCATTTGCTCGACTGTATGCGCGAGACGCGTGCTAGGGGCGAGCATAGGGTGATGAGCGCAGTTTGTCCGGAGGAGTGAGAGGCCACTACCTTGGCAATTTCTCCGAAGCCTCGAAACTGCGCTCAAGCATCACAATCGACGAGATTATCTTTAGGACAACCTCAAGTCTGTTCTCAGTGACCGACGCGCAGGATCTCATGGAGACACTTCAGCCTGCTTGGAGCCCCTAAGAACCTCCCTTCATCACCCTCTGGCGACGCGCAACCATGTTCAATTTCACGCCCTTACTCGGGGCTCAAAGCAACTCGCGAGCCTCGCAGTCGATCCTCGAGCTGGACGGCGGAGTCAAAATCCTCGTGGACGTCGGTTGGGACGAAAGATTCGATACTCGTCAGCTAGCCGAGATAGAAAAACATGCCTCAACCCTGTCATTTATTCTTCTCACTCATGCTACAACTGCTCACATTGGTGCCTTTGCACATTGCTGCAAGCACATCCCCATCTTCTCTCAGATCCCTGTCTACGCCACGCCGCCAGTGATTGCGTTCGGTCGTACCCTCCTGCAAGACCTCTATTCTTCTACGCCTCTAGCTGCCACCTTCATCCCGGGCTCGGGCTCTCCGGACGACGATTCCAGTGTCGACGACAAGTCACGCTCGAATATCCTACGACAAGCTCCTACATTCGAAGAGATCAACAAGTACTTCACCCTCATCACTCCGTTGAAATATTCGCAGCCTCATCAACCCACCCCTTCACACTTCTCCGCGCCTGTCGAAGGGCTTACCTTGACTGCATACAACTCGGGACACACTCTCGGCGGAACAATATGGCATATACAATATGGCATGGAGTCCATAGTATATGCGGTGGACTGGAATCAAGCAAGAGAGAATGTCATAGCTGGGGCTGCATGGTTCGGCGGAGTTGGAGGCGCAGAGGTAATCGAACAACTGCGCAAGCCTACTGCACTCGTCTGCAGCAGTGTCGGCGCTGCTAGGGAGGCGTTGGCGGGTGGCCGCCGGGCTAGGGATGAAGCTCTACTCTCCCACATCAAAAGCAGCATCGCTAAGGGAGGTACCGTTCTGATACCAACGGACTCGAGTGCGCGCGTGCTTGAATTGGCATGGATTCTGGAAAAGGCGTGGACTGATCCTTCACTCAAAAACGCCAAGATGTATATGGCGAGTAGGTCTGCAAATGCAACACTGCGGCACGCGAGGAGCTTGCTGGAGTGGATGGATGACAGTATTGTCAGAGAATTCGAAGGAGAAGACGAGAACCAAACACAAAGCCACCGAAGAAGTGGGAGCAAGCAAACTAATGGTACCGCCAAACCTTCCAGGCCGTTCGAATTCCGGAATGTCAAGATTGTTGAACGAAAGAGTCAGCTCGAGAAGCTGTTCAATACCGAAGGTCCTCGAGTGGTCCTTGCCAGCGATTTGACCTTGGATTGGGGTTTCTCTCGCTCTATACTCGAAAACATGGTGCAAAGACCGGAAAACCTTGTCATTCTAACGGAAAAAGTCGACATACGTCCTGGTTCTCATAGCCCAAGCCAGGTCTTGTGGACATGGTTTGAACAGCGGCAGGATGGCGTCGCTCTCGAGAAAACCACGGACGGTGAGCAACTGGAGCAAGTACACAGCGGAGGAAGGATGCTCAAGCTCAAGAATGCGGAAAAGGCTTCCTTGAGCACTCAAGAGAGCCAGCGATACCAGCAATACATGGCCACCCAGAGACAGATTCAGGACTCTCTTGCTGCCAACGAACGAGACCAAGCCGGGGTGGACGACAACATTGACGACGAATCGAGCACCTCGTCCGAAGACGAGTCAGAGGACGAACAGCAGGGTCGTGTTCTGAACGTCTCTGCAGCACTTGGTCACGGGACTCGAAATAAGCTCGCATTGAGTGACGAAGATCTGGGTATCAACATCCTGCTACGAAAGAAGGGAGTGTATGACTATGATGTACGAAATAAGAAAGGCAGGAATGCGGTATTTCCGTATACACATTCACGAAGACGTGGGGACGAGTTCGGAGACTTTATTAAACCGGAAGACTTCCTGCGCGAGGAAGAAAAGGAAGAACAGGAAGGTCCAAGCGATGGCAAGATAGGCGGTCTACTGGGGCAAAAACGCAAATGGGCGGAAACGGAGAACGCCAAAGACAAGGAACAAAAGCGACTACGCGGACGTGGACCGGGTGCCACTGCTGCCGCCGCCGAATCTGGCGAGGATTCCGACAGCGACGGTTCCGAGACTGAAATACAGATGGAATCTGAAGGCATGCAAGGCCCGGCGAAAGTTGTATACTCCACATCCGAAGTCACCGTCAATGCCCGACTAGCATTTGTTGACTTTGCAGGACTTCATGATCGTCGGAGTCTGCAGATGTTGATACCGCTGATCGGGCCCAAGAAACTCATCTTTACGGGCGGAAATGCTTCGGACACTCTTGCCCTTGCATCAGATTGCAAAGAGCTTCTCGGCATGAAGGTCGTTGGAGCAGAGGAGGAACCATCAACCGAGATCTTTGCTCCTCTCGAGGGTCAATCCATCGATGCTAGTGTGGATACAAATGCTTGGGTAGTGAAGCTGAGCAGAGAACTTGCAAAGGCTTTGCACTGGCAGAACGTGAAAAATATGAGTGTCGTTACCATTCAAGGACAGCTCAAAGCAGAAGGAGAGCAGACACCCGATGTTCAGGATGATCCACAATCGAAGAAACAGAAATTGGACACACAGGGAACTCTTCAAACCGCACCTCAGTCAGGCATTTCGGTACAACCAGTGCTTGATGTTCTGCCTGCGCATTTGGCTGCATCGACGAGATCAGTATCTCAAGCCATCCATGTTGGAGATTTGCGACTTGCTGATCTGAGACGGAAAGTGGCCATGGACGGCCATGTGGCAGAGTTCCGAGGCGAAGGAACATTGCTCGTGGACGGAATGGTGGCAGTCAAGAAGCTCGGCAGCGGAAAGATCATTGTTGAAGGTGTCCCGATCAGTGCAGCTTCCATGACTCCGGGCACCGCGGACAACTTCACGCGAGTGAAGCAAAGAATCTACGAAGGCCTCGCTGTTGTTGCGGCCGGATAGAATAGTGAACAACCTTCGCGAAGTCCGTTTGCAGTATACTCAGTCATGACACCGGTCATCTCAATGTCACGAAACTGCAATGTCGTCGGCTCACGTTCGGGGTCCTAGCCAAGTCACGCCAGTGCAATCAAGGCGTTTGATAGCGATCAAGACGCTGTAGTCATGATATGTCAGATGGCGGCGAGGACTGATGGCTGCGTCTACAAATATGGCTGCTTGCCCGCCCTTCTCGACCTCGTATCCTGACAGAGCCTCAAGTAGTCTCCCGCCTCATCGCCTCCTACTAGCAAGCCAAAGCACATCTCGACCGGCCTCCTCGATGGCAGGTCTACCCCCTTCTTGGCCCTGGGCCGGTATGATGGCTGCACCTCCGGGATTGACTGGTAAGATCGAGTACCGCTATTTCACGAAGGATGGCGGGCCTCCGAACCAAGCAAAGCCTCCCAGTGGACCCCAATCGTCGCAGTCAGCATACTCTCCTCCACCGTACTGTCTTCTGCCACCGTACCAAGCACCTGTCTCCTCTCAGCCAGCGCCTGTGTGGATTCCACCCGCCGCTGGCTTCCCAGGAGCCATGTGTTTCCCCAACGGAGCACCAACAGCGGCTCCGGGTCCTGGTTGGTTTCAACCTCAGCCTCCACCGCCTGGACCTTCAGCACCTGCTCCAAGTCACCACTTTCCAGGCGCTGTTGCTCATGCAGCAGCTCAACCGCCCGAACCTCCTGTCAGTGGAAACCGAGTCAAAGACCGACTTGTGGTCTTGAAGGATAGTGGTGGGACAGGGTATGTTGCACCGAAGCACAATGCGACATTCCATCTGTTCAACCACAACGTCCTCAACAAATACCGGCTCAACTACAGCAATCAGTTCTACATACCACCCGAGATCTGCGAGCCATTCCGCGTCATGTCTGCTCCATGCTCAATGAAGATTGAAGAACTCATTGAACAGTTGGACTGTGTCAAGGATGCGCCTGCCTTTTACCCCCGTCATTTGATTGGCATTGCAGAGGCATTCGACTGCGGCAACGGATGGTTCCAGCTTGGCTCCAGGATTCATCTCGAGGAGGGCAAAGACTCGATGACCATCAAAGATCTATGGGGTGAGAATGTCGGCGAAGCAGGAGAGACCAGGCCACGATACTTGATCCGATTGCCGTAAGTCTGCCTGAGGGTCGAGAATAGCCATGCGAACTAATGCGGCAACAGAGGCAAATGCGCTTGAAGCGGTAGGGGCGTATCTGTCTGTACCTTAGTATGGCCCAAAGACGGCGGCGGACAAAAGCGACCTCGAGACATCAACAATATGATTGATATTCTGCCGAGTGGAGGCCAGATTGTGATTGTCGACATGTCTGTGGCTGGTCGGGTGGGATTTCCATCTAAGGCGTAGTGAGCTTGTTAGCGGCAGTCTCAAAATCAATGACCAACTTGCGACTCTCATGCCTCTTTGGGACGTGTATTCTTCTGGGCCCCCCAGTGCCCCTCTCACTCCCTCTCACCCACCTCTTAGGTGCTCAGACTCTCATATCCAGGCATCGTGTCTCGCCTGGACCTATTCCGCTCTGGTCGCGCTTTTCGCCATGATTGGGACTTTGCCAACCTCCTGTGGACCTGTAGGTTCTTATCGTGGATTGTGACTGGTGGTGGGCCATTTGTCCATGCTCGTCCAGTCCCGCATCGGTTTCTTGGACTTCAAAGCCCTCTGATATATAGTCCATCCCTTTCACCTCCTTCTCTTCTTTCCTGTCAATTCACATTCTATCACTATGGCAGCAGTTGCACAGGATTTTTCGAGCGCGCCGGCAACGGCCAAGGCGTCTGTCCCTCATCCTCTGTGCCCTCTGACAGCAACGGAGATTTCCACCACCGCGGATTTGTTGAGATCAGTATGGCCATCCAACATTGACCTTCGCTTCAAGGTCATCACCCTCGATGAACCCGCGAAGAAGCAGATGATCCCATACCTCGAAGCTGAGCACAGCGGCGCACCCTTTCCGCAAATCCCCCGCAAATCCTTCGTTTCTTACTACATCCGCAACACAGTAAGCTCACCCAGCACCCGGTTGTGCCAAGTATTGTTTTTGGATTTCGTACCCGGTCTCACTTCTGATAGGACCGCTTCCACGAGGCAGTCGTCAATCTCACAACCGGCCAAGTCGAGAGCAATGTCCGCTTGGGCCCCAACATGCACGGCAACGGTGACTACGATGAAATCTTGCAGGTCGAGAAGAACGCCCTCGAGGACGAGGGTGTCAAAGAGGCCCTGAAGAAACTGCAGCTCCCCGAAGGCACCGTGGTCTGCGCTGATCCTTGGATTTATGGTCAGTACGCAACTCCAGTCACAAATGGTCTCTGATAAATCCAGGCTCCGACGGCATTAACGACGATGACCGGCTATACCAAGTCTTCCTGTACATGCGCGACCCAGCCAACCCCGGCGAGCTCGACTCCAACCATTATGCATTCCCACTGCCCATCGCCCCCGTCATCGAATGCAACGACTACAAAGTCATCCGCATTGACTACCTCCCCACAGGCGCCGACAACACCATCCGTGAGCCGCGGTCATACGAATCAGTGCCCCCGAACGAATATATCTCGGAAGCCCAGCAACAACTCCGGAGTGATATCAAGCCTCTGCGTGTTATTCAACCCGAAGGCGCGTCATTCACGCTGACGCCCACGGGCGAGACCGGCCAGATCGTCGAATGGCAGAAGTGGTCTTTCCGCTTGGGCTACAACCAGCGTGAAGGTATGGTCTTGTACGACGTCCGCTACGACTCACGGCCGCTCTTCTACCGCCTCTCGCTGTCCGACATGAACATCCCCTACGCCGACCCACGACACCCGTTCCACAAAAAATCCGCCTACGATTTGGGTGATGCCGGTGCTGGCGCCATGGCCAACAATCTCAAACTCGGCTGTGACTGCCTCGGCCACATCCAGTATATCTCCTCAGTCATTACCGATGATAAGGGCACACCCACGCCCATTGAGAACTGCGTGTGCATCCATGAACAAGACGCCGGCATCGGCTGGAAGCATACCAACTACCGTACCGGCCGCGCCGCCGTCGTACGAAACCGCGAACTCGTTCTACAGAGCATCATTACTGTCTCCAACTACGAATACATCCTGGCCTTTATGTTCAACCAAGCCGGCGAAGTCATCTACGAGGTTCGTGCCACCGGCATTCTGTCCACTCAACCCATCGACCACGAGCTCGACAAGACGGGCGTGCCCTTCGGCACAGTCGTCCATCCCGGCGTGCTGGCCGTGCACCACCAACATATCTTCTCCCTGCGTGTCGACCCCATGCTCGAGGGCCACGCAAACCGACTTGTCTACGATGAGGCACACGCCATGCCTCTGGACAAGGAATGGAACCCCCACGGTGTGGGCTACACCGTTTCCGAGACCGTCGTCGAGACCGCTGGGGGCCTTGACCTGGACCCGGACAGCAACCGCGTCTTCAAGATCCAAAACCCGTCGGTACGAAACCCTGTCAACGGCAAACCCGTCGCGTACAAGATCCACGCCCCGCCGTTCCAGAAGATGCTCGCGCACCCAGATTCGTTCCACTTCAAACGCGCCGAGTTCGCCGACCACAACATCTACGTGACCACGCACCGCGACCGCGAGCTGTACGCCGGCGGTTGGTACACGAACCAGTCACGTGGAGGCACTGGTGTGCGCAGCTTCGCGTCGCGCCAGGACAGCGTCAAGGACACCGACATTGTCGTGTGGGTGCAGTTCGGCATCAACCACGTCCCACGTATCGAAGACTTCCCCGTCATGCCGTGCGAGATTCTCAAGGTCAGCTTGAAACCCGTCAACTTCTTTGACAAGAACCCCGCGCTCGACGTGCCGCCGTCGGAGCAGAGCTTCAACCAGTCAACCTTGGTGAGCGAGCTGCATCACCAACCCGCCTTGGAGATGACAATTGGCAAGGATTCGTGCTGTGCAGATGAAGCAAGCAAGAGCAAGTTGTGAGGAGGTTGTCCATAACATAATGAATTACTGGCCCAGTGTGATGGACTGACTTTACCACGGAAAAAAAGACATTTGTCATTGGTGTCATAGGATTTTATCGGTTGGCAACTGACAAGTATATTAAGCGATTCTTTCCACACTGATGTCTCGCCCGTTGATTTGTATTCCGAGCACAATTCAAGTGTCGAGCACGGTCTTTGGGATCCGCGCGCACGACGGCGCTATGAGACCAAGCTCTGCCTTCCCCTACGCTCTGCTGGGGTAGTTTAGAAATCGGTCTTCACCGCATGTTGTCTCCCCACAGGGGAGAGGGAGGGCATGCCAGGATGCATCTTTGTCCATGTAGGTGACATGGGCAATTGAACCCCACATATCGAATTTTGTGGTTGTGGGAGCCCCTCAGAGCCCCGTTCCAGCGTGCCGATTTTGCCGGCAGCCAACACCTTTCGGCCCATCAAGGCACCAAAATGCTGGCACAAAGCCAACATCGGCCCCCATTCCGCAAAAGAGGTCATGATGCTGTCTCCTGGGGGTTGGTCCAGCCCATAAGGGATCGATGTTGACTCACCTACCTAGTCACAATGGCCCGCTGCATATCTGCCGGCTGAACGCCAATTTTCCCTTTTGCCTCGGATTGCCTCTTCGTCCGAACTGCTTCCCTGGAAAGGCTTTGCTAGGAGAGTGCCACTGCTAATGATTGAGGCATGAGGTGACTCAGAGAACATTCTTCTCTTTTGACCTTTCCTTCGCTAGGGATGAAATCGGCCATAACCGGTAACAGCATGTCACCCACCGAAAATGCTGCAGCCATGGACGCCATATCTTCTAATCGGTCAAGTTCAGAGGCTACGCGTGACCAACTCACGATAGAACCTGGAGACCTGGAGAAGGTCATGTCAAAGCACGAAGATGCAGATGTGGCAGTCACCATCCAAGAGGCACCTGACTCAAGCATTGTCAATTGGGATGGTCCAGACGATCCAGAGAAACCACTGAACTGGCCTGCCACGAAGAAGTGGATCAATATCGCATTGATATCCAGCATTACCTTCCTGACGTTGGTCGTACCCTAGGAATATTGCATAGTCGCATGCTAACACCATCATAGACCGTTCGCTTCGTCCACCTTTGCACCAGGTGTACCGTTGGTCATGGACGAATTTCACGAAAAGAGTGTCGCTTTGGCGTCACTCGTCGTATCAATCTATGTCCTTGGATATGTTTTCGGGCCTTTGATCATTGCACCTGCTTCGGAACACTATGGTCGTCTACCAGTCTACCACGTCAACACCTTTCTGTTCCTGGTCTTCACCATCGGCTGCTCGAGATCTACCAGTATTTCAATGCTCATTGTTTTCCGGTTCCTAGCCGGTGTGGCAGGATCCAGTCCAATAACGGTTGGGTCGGGAACTATTGCCGACACGTTTAAGCAAGAAGAGCGAGGGAAGGTCATGTCTATATGGAGTTTTCCTATCCTATTTGGTCCTAGGTAAGTTCCCCTACTAGCGATCTGTGCCTTCACGTTACTAAAACTCGACAGTCTGGGTCCTGTGGTGGGATCCTATCTTTCCGCTGCTGCTGGGTGAGTTCCTCCAAGGGATATATGAGCTCTACGTGGATGAAAGAGCTGATAAGATCTGTAGATGGCGATGGGACTTTTATCTTCTATCAATCTGTGTAAGTGCGTCACTACCCTTGCCGACTCACGCTGACAACAGCCAGACCGGTACATTACTGGTGCTTACCGTAATATACCAAAGGGAGACCTATCCGCCCGTTCTTCTAGAGCGAAAAGCGAAAAGGCTCCGGAAGGAGACAGGCAATGCAAAGCTGCGGTCTGCCCTCCAGTCACCCAAGACGCCCCGAGAATTGTTCCTCCTATCCATTGTGCGGCCACTCAAGATGCTGTGTTTCTCACCAATCGTCTTTGGTGTCTCCCTGTACATCGCGGTGACGTACGGATATCTCTATCTATTATTTACGACGGTCACCTTCGTGTTCGAAGACCAATACGGCATCAGTTCGAGCAATGTTGGCCTGGTATACCTGGGCATCGGGCTGGGTCAGCTGGCTGGGCTCTCCATCTTCGGGTACTACTCGGACAAACTGCTGAGGAAATGGGCCAAAGGCGGCGAACTCAAGCCCGAATTTCGCTTGCCTCTCCTGTGGCCAGGCGCATTTTTGATTCCTGCTGGCCTTTTCATGTACGGCTGGTCCGCAGAGTACAAGGTACATTGGATCGTGCCATTGATTGGGACTTTCATCTTTGGGGCTGGAATGATCATGACGTTCATGCCGATCGGCACGTATTTGGTGGATGCTTATACGACTTACGCTGCCAGTGCAATGGCGGCAAACACGGTCCTCCGATCCATAGGTGGCGCACTGCTGCCTCTTGCAGGGCGAAGCATGTATCAGTGTCTGGGCCTGGGATGGGGGAACTCATTGCTTGCTTTCATTGCACTCGGGATGACGCCCATGATTTGGGTGTTTTGCAAGTATGGAGAAAAGATCAGGCATCATCCCAGGTTCAAGCTGAATCTGTGATGATCAGGAAAGGATTTCAATTGCATTGTACAGGCATTTATAACGACGCATACATATGGGCTAGGCAAAAGCGTTGGGATGGCACGACTGGACATACTGTGCGGTACATAGACCAGCATGACGGCGAACAAGGATGGCTATCGTTATGGAGGTTTCGAAGCACAAGGCTGAGCACTGACCTGCCGAGGCTGAAAATTCTCGCTTGCTATTCGCCAATGATGACGCCAGCAGACACTGGTCTGTGAATGGCTTCCTTGATCTCCAACTGCCGATACCGATTTCTCCCCAAGCCTCTGGAGTCATCAATCACAAAAATTGTCTCCGTTTCGACACCCTCTCGATATCCACTCGTAGACCTTCCCACCTCAGGTACGACGACCTGCTGTTTCTGACTCACCATACGAAAGGAGAACCTACAAATATCCCATGCCAATGGATCTCACCTAAGACCTCGTATACACCTTCAACACACCTCCCCCGCAATCTCCGTGGACAAGAAAAAGATTTCCAAAATTGACCGCCGCAATGGCGTCGACAACGGGCAATGGCGAGAGCCATTCTCCCATCCAACTCCGTCAGTGTCTCTCCTCTCCCATCCTTTCTGTCTGCGAGCCCTTATTGCGCTTCGCCCAACATGAGTGAACGGCTACTAAATCCCGTAGAGAGTGCCAATGGCCAACCTGAAAATCCTTACGCGCAACTGGTTTCTGACCAAAAGATCGCTATCGTTCCTTCCTTTACCCTCGAATCGGGCGTCATCCTGAAAAACGCCCCTGTGGCATATACCACGCGCGGGCAACTATCCGAGAACGGAGACAATGCGCTGGTAATATGCCATGCGCTCAGTGGCAGCGCAGACGTGGCAGACTGGTGGGGTCCACTCCTCGGAGGACCGGGACAGGCTTTCGACACGACAAGATTCTTCATTGTCTGCTTGAATAGCCTGGGGAGTCCCTACGGCAGCGCTAGCCCTATGACGAACAAAGATGGCGATCCTACACTGGGAAGATATGGCCCAGAATTTCCTCTTACCACGATAAGAGATGACGTGAAGTGAGTGAGGTGCGGGCCAGCGAGGTGCAAAGGCTGACGATATATTCCAGTATCCATAAAATTGTCCTCGACTCCCTAGGCGTCCGACAAATAGCGTGTGTTGTGGGCGGATCCATGGGAGGCATGCTATGCCTCGAATATGCATATTTTGGAAAAGACTATGTGAGGTGCATTGCACCAATCGCTACATCAGCAACCCACAGTGCTTGGGGGATCAGCTGGGGCGAAGCACAGCGACAAGCTATATATTCAGACCCGAAGTATGAGGATGGATACTACCAATTCGAAGATCCCCCCACCGCAGGCTTGGGGGCTGCGCGCATGTCTGCCCTCCTCACCTATCGAAGCCGAGATTCGTTCGAGGCCCGGTTTGGACGAAACACACCCGACCTTTCGAAGAGGCAGCAAATCAACCAAGAGAATGGCAATGGTAAAGGATCTTACAATGAGCATTGGTCGATTCATAATCACGGCCACAGCCGTGCCAAAGGCTCTCGCCCTGTCTCCCGCAGCGGCACCGTATCGGAATCGCAAAGGGGGGAATCATCGTCATCAGATGACGCGCAGACGGCGACGTTCAAAGATCCTCAGTTCAGTGGCAACACGGAGTACACAGTGCCTGTACCAGTCGTCAGCCGCAAAGGTTCGCGGCCCACCAACCACTACTTTTCGGCCCAGTCGTACCTGCGGTATCAAGGTACGAAGTTTGTGACACGATTCGATGCCAATTGTTATATCGCGATCACGCGCAAGCTCGACACTCATGATGTGTCAAGAAACCGCACGTCCAGCGTGAAGGATGCCTTGGCGCTGATCCAGCAACCTGCCTTGGTGTTAGGCATCGAGTCTGATGGGCTTTTCACGATCGCCGAGCAGGAAGAGCTTGCTAAGGATATTCCCAATGGGCGGCTAGGCAAGATCGATAGCCCTGAAGGGCATGATGCGTTCCTGTTACAGTTTGAGCAGGTCAACAGCTATCTGCTGGGATTCTTCCGAGAATTCCTTCCCGAGATCATGAACAAACCTGGCATTGCGAGCGCCCAAGGTGAAAATGGAGAAGTTAAGGATGGAGTTGGTCAGATGACCAAGAGCAGCACCTTTGGAGAGGCTGAGGTTGGTGATTTGACTGCTTGGTGAGAAGTTGAAACGCGAAAAACCCGGTTCAAAGCGGGATGAATGAGACGAGGAAAGTTCCAGACCCAGTTCAACTCTGGGTACAGGCTTTTGCTCGTCAGAAAGGAGCGAGCTGTATAAACTTGTATCGTTGTCGTCGGTCGAGGCCGCATTCACAAGATACCCGGAGCCAAAGCAGGGTGGGATTCTATATGCAGACAATGAAGACAAAGAATTTAATGTTCGAAGCGATAACCCAACCACTCACAACTCGATGATGTCCGTGGGAGCTGCATACAAGTACCTAGACTGCATCAGGCCAACAGCTCGTAGAACCAAGCCTCTGCGAAGAATTGGCCTTGGAGTGCCTAGAGAGCCTAAAGAGTCTTGGGTGAGCTTAACGCCCAGTGACGCCCCGTACAAGGTCTTATGCCATGCCCGCCACCATGCACAGACTAGGATGAGATAGGGATAGGGCCATGATGGAGCCTAGACACTGCCACATGCAAGCAATTCCAGAGGTTGTTTCAGGCTTGAGCCAGAGTTGATGGGCGCCAGAAATGCATCCACTGATCAGCTGTGGCCTCGTCAGCCCTTGTTCGCGAGTCCCCTGCTCCTGCCTTGCGTCGGGCTATTCTGAATGGGCACGACAGGGGTTTAGTGGTCGTGAGTGGCATCAGTGGTCTCCAATGCACGCCTGAAAGAACTCGTGAGGGCTCTGAGGGCTCCAGCGACATGTTCCTGCACCTAAATTCGACACAATCCAAACCCCAGCCCCAGTCATCTGTTGCGGCGCAGCCTCCTCGTCGCTTCCACCGCTTTGTTGGCCTTTCACCACTCACTCTCTTTGGGCACTCCTACTAAGAAAAGCCAACCCGGTTGACTGTCTCTTTCGCTCTCTTGTTCCATCATCCCACCAGAATCGAAATCGCAAACGCGCTCCCGCTGTACCTGTAATCGAAGTCTTACCTCCTCGTGTTCTGTCTCCGTCGCAACGGCCTGGCGCCCCCTGTTCTCTCGTTTGTACCCTCCGCTTCAATCGCTATGCGATATCGCCCTGAAGAATAAGACAAAAAGCACGGGACATAGCATCGCATTTTCAAGATGGGTTGGCCAAAATGTAACACCACGTTGGAGGACATGGTAATCACAGAAGATCCTATATGGCATGGCAAGACGTTGCACGACCTTGGACTCTATATCGGCGCGATATTCACCTTCATCGCGGTGGTGGTGTCATTATTCCTCATCACAATGCACGCAACGCATTACCTGAAACCATGGGAGCAAAGGCATATCATTCGAATCCTCTTCATGGTCCCTGTCTACGCTGCCGTTTCCCTCCTTTCTTACTACTACTACAACCACAGCGTCTACTTCGAAGTCATTCGAGATTGTTACGAAGCCTTTGCCATTGCCTCCTTCTTCAGTCTGCTTTGCGCATATATTGCTCCCGACCTGCACCAACAGAAAGTCTACTTCAGGACCATTACACCCAAGAAATGGGTCTGGCCCATGAAATACTTCCAAAAATGTACTGGAGGCCCGGACAAAGGCTTCTTGAGAACCCCTAGGAGCGGTCTCACGTGGTTCAATGTAGGTGCCCCCCATTCTCTCTGTCTGCGCAGGCGCTGATGTCTTCTAGGTCATTTGGGTCTGCATTTTCCAATACTGCTTCGTCCGAGTCTTCTTTACCCTGGTTGCGGTCGCCACTCAAGCCGCGGACCTCTACTGCCTGGAATCTCTCAATCCTGCATTTTCACACGTCTGGGTCATGGTCTTCGAATCAATCGGCGTCACAGTGGCCATGTACTGCCTGATCCAATTCTACGTGCAGATTAAGGACGACATTCGACAACACAAGCCCCTGCTCAAGATCACCGCCATCAAATTGGTCATTTTCTTGAGTTTCTGGCAGACCACAACCATCTCCTTCTTGACCAGCTCCGGCGCGATAAAAGCAAGCAACAAGGTGCAGACTCCAGACATCAAAGTCGGAATTCCAGCTCTCTTGCTGTGTGTTGAGATGGCCTTCTTCTCGATTTTTCATATCTGGTCTTTCAGTTGGAGACCGTACCTGCTAGGTTCGAAAGAACTATTGGCCGAGGCCGTTCCAGGAGAAGACTCGCGTCTTTCATATCAGGGCGGCTTCATGGGAGTGAAGGCTTTGTGGGATTCGTTCAATGCTTGGGACATGTTGAAAGCGACCGGTCGCAGCGCCAGATGGCTCTTCAAAGGTCGCAAGCATCGTCACACCGACTCGAGTTACGACATGTCGCGCAAGAACACGACCGCAAGTGAATATGCCCAGGGCCAAAAGATGTCCAATTTCAGCGGACCAACTGCATACACTGGCGCTCCCCCACCACCTCAATACGGTGGTGAAGAGGGCGTCAATTTGCTCGCCAACAGCCAGAGTATGCCGACATCTCGTCCTGCCATGCCGAGAAGGGAGAGTGACCCTAGTGAGGCGCCCGAGTATTACGATCAGGGCGACATTGGCGTTGCGACAACGACATATGACGACAAATATACGCCGCGATACAACCAACCCCAATCGAATTCCGCGCCTTATCCTGGCCCTAGTGGGCAAGAGAGTGGTGTAGTCGCGGCACCTTATCCGCACTCAGTCCGAGAGCCGTTTGGACAACCAAGTCGAGACAACAGAATGTCAATGCCGTACATGCCGCCTCCTCGAAGTCCGCAGCCGAATCATGGTGAAAACAGGGACAACTTTTTGTAAAAACAGAATATCTGGTTATGGGCTATGACTTGATGAATAGTAATGTGAATGGGAATGGTGTAGCCTCTTCTTTGAATCAACTTTTGAAAAACGGAGTTCTGGTCGGCAATTGGACTCTGCGCGCAATCTGATCGACGATACCTTTTTTTCTCCTGCTGGCCGGCTGTGACTCTCTTTATGCCAATTCATCTCGATTGTCCCTCTCCATCGTTCTGCGCGAGTTCGACATGACGTAGTAGACGGCGTTTCTCGCAATTAGAAGATCAACCAGGAGAGTAACTGACGAGTTGGTCTTTGATCGAGTTTCGACGAAAGCATCCTTTTCCATATCTTTTCCAATGTCATTGCCACCATCATCTTCATATGCGACAGCACAAACGGAATGGCCCTCTGCTGTTTTCGTGAAACCTGAAATTCGGCGTCTTCTCGCTCATTTCTACTATTTGCTCGATATTCCAGACCCCAGTATCGGCCACCGCTTCGCCGACGAAGTCTTCACGCCAGACGGGGTCATGTTCGGTATGGGGCCCGGGTTTCACGGTGAAGGTCAGTACGAGTACACCTGTGCCCTCCCTCTTGCGCGGTCTGCATAAGTTTTTTTATTTCCCCACCACTGACACTCAGGCCCTATGGGCTGAGGGGCTGCAGCTGAGATCCGCAAGTCACGAGAGAACGCGTGGTCGGACTACGTGTCGAGGAGACATGAGATCTTGCGCGTGTACACGCACGACGCCGACGGGTTGGACCTGTTGGTCATTGGCCGCGTCGATATGGGTCTTCGCGCGAACAGCAGCAGCAGCAGCAGCAGCAACGGGAAAGCAGGGAAGATTGTTCGGGAAGAATTTATAGCGAGGTTTGTCGTCGTCGATGACGGGAGCTTGGAAAATGGCGAAGGACCAAGGTTGAAGTACAGTCGTGTCTGGTCGGTAAGTTACAGTGTACGGAGTGTTTTGCCCCGTGAGTTTCTTTGGCGCAGTAGTTTACTACGGTCTCCTGGGTGCCTGGGTATCATACGATTTGGCCTTTGGGTGCCGTTCGAGGACAAACAGCAGCGAGGACAGTGGTGTGGTGAGGTGCCCACTGTGGCTACAGCAGTTGGACCTCGCATTCCACAGAGGCGCTCGTGATACACCAACGGTCATCACTGCTCTTTCTCCTCGAACGGCACCCAAGCGCCAAATTATGCGACTTACTGTACCTACCCAGGTACCCAGGACATAGTGATACTCGTATGGAGGGCGTCTCTGCCTCCCTCGATGTTTGCAGCACACGCGATGGGTGACGGGTAACGCAACATGCTGACCTAAGTACTGGGAAAGAATATGGAGCCCATCATGGCTGCACTCCGAGAAGAGTAAACCAGCATCACTCCCGATGGCACGCCCTCCCCCTATCCTTGCCGGGAGACAACATGCGGTAAAGACCGATATATAAGCTACCCCAGCAGAGTGTAGTGGAAGCCAGGGTCTGGTGCCATCAGGTGGTGCAGATCTCAAAGACGGCAGGGGATACCGACAAGTACTTCATTTGTTGTCATTGTTCTTTCACATTTATGTCCAGTACGGCGCTTTGAGCCCCGTCAAACTATTCAAGATGCCCTCATGGTCGCCAGTGTCTTCCTTCTTCCTCTGCCCACTCAACTCCATCTGGATGGCACGGTGAACATGAACTAGCCAGTCAACATAGCTCTGGGCCTCGTTGTTGCGATCTTCGACCAGCATTCGAGCGTACTCGAATTCTGAGCCGTCCAGTCCTTGTCTGGCCAGAGTAAAAGATGCGGCCTTGCTGCCTCGCACTGTCGAGAGGTATTGGAGCAAGTTACGCACTTGTGCGTTAAGGTGAGTATCCAGGATGGGAAGCTCGTTCATCATAGGGTCTAGATCCTGCAGACTGCTCGTGCCTTCGCCGAAAAGGTCTTCCAACAGGTTCGGTGACACTTGTGCGTGCAACCAAATCAGTATGACCTGTCCATTGTCCACCAAGTACACGCCACCTTCCTCTACGCGACCAAATGAGGCCCGAAGAGTTGGAGGGACAACCAGTTGCATCGTTTCAGCATTGGCGAAACAGTCCTCAGGAGCCATGTTGTGCAAGGCATAAATACGAGGGTAGAGATACAATGCTGTTTCTGTCACACCAGAAGACCTCATGAATCGTGCAGAGTGTACGCGGCGATCGGTCGGCTCGACGCCACCTGCGAATCGTAAGCATCAACACGTCGGCTGACATAGTGCGACATACCTTTGAACGCTCGGCTTTTGATCAGCCCCAACATGTACATGGCGAACTCCTTGAGATGCTCTGGGAGTACCAATTGACCAGGCGGGTGGGACCCCGAGAAATTTTTCCGATAACCAGCAAGAATATCAATAGTCTTCTCAGTAATGCTGGCCCGAATGTCCTTGAGTGACTTTTCGGCCACTTTAGCGGATGCCTCTTTTGCGATGATGTTCACAACAGCATCTTGGTCGACTGTTCGCATGGTTTCGGTGGCGCCTTCATTGACGCCAGCGACCACATTGATGCACCTGACTCTTCTCTGCCCTGTTGCGGAAGTGTAGAGAAGTGCCGCCTGAAAATGGGCATCCAGTTTAGAATCCAGCTTGCCGTCGTAAGAGAACAAAACACCAATAGCCTTGTCGGCGTCGACTGTACCAATTTCCAGGTCGGCACCAAACGTGTGTTGGAGGAACGAACCATAGTATGAGGCGACCTGCAATCCATTCGAGCATCGGACCTTCATCAGCGCTTGGTAGCCTGTCTCACGGTGCAGGGAATGCTTGATCTCGGTTTGGAGCTTGAGCGTATCCCGCGGTGCGACAAAATTGGGATAGAAGAACATTTCTCCGCCAGTCAATCGTGACAAATGCCCGATTGTTGCCACATCCATATAGCCGCCACCCGCTGCTGCAAGGAAGAAGTCAACTCCAATGCCCGCGGTCACCATTGCACCAGCAGTCTTCTTCCACCCTGGGTGCTCGGTTGTAAACAGCTTTCTCTCAGCATCTGTGTCACGGCCTTTGCCGTCATCGCGTAAGTGCAGTCTTCCTGGTCCCCATGTGGGTAGCGTTGAGAGGGAACATATCACCTTGCCTCCTGTAGATGCCATAGCCGCCAATGCTGCATTCAGAACCGGTAACAATGTGGGCTCCGGATTTTTGATGGTCGAAAACATAGTGGGTATTGACTGGAGAAGGGAAGTGATGACCTCCTTGGAATCTTGTGGGTCAACAAACAGTCCCTCTGACAAAGGCACAAAAGGGTCGTCAAGATCCGTCATCACCATCATTTGAGCAGTTGCCAGACCGGTCGTCAGATTATAGAATTGGATCTCTTTGTCGTAAGTGACGATGCCGATCTTGGCGCCTGCTGGAAGTTTTTGGGAATTTCCATCTTCCTCTGTCACGTCTTCTCTCTCATGCCCGTACAGTGCGTCCAGGATCCCTTGGCACACCGACGCGAGGAAGCCTCTATTGATGGCTTCCTGCGTGATGTCGATCAGGAACAACCATCGCAAAGGTTCGGGTTCTTTCGTATAATACTCTTTGGGCACTAAGAATTCCACAGTGCCCATCATAAGCTCCGGTCTTTGCATGCGATCAACTCTTATGCCGGCCACATCGGTCGGAGCAAAGTACTCGGGAGGGACATCATTGGGAAAATTGCACATATTGCAGACCAATTTGCTTCCGCCAGATCTGAAAGTCATGAAGGGATTGACATAGGTTCTGCATCGCCGACAACGGGGAGGACCGATTTCACCAAAGTCGAGAACAGGGACAGGCGGTTCACCCTCTTGTAACGGAGCGAATGGTTGCAAGACAAGGCCCAATGGAAGTCCTGTCGATGCAAGCGCCTCAGATGTGGATGGAATGTTGTTGACCGTCAGCCGGGCAAATTTTGGGGACGAGTTTCCCTGATCGTGAGCGATGAATGGTACGGCCCCAGGAGGCGGAAGGTGCTTTTCCATCGTAGCATGTACGTTTACCTGGTAAAATTGTGTTGCCAGGTCTCGGGACTTTGCTACACTCGGTATTTGTTCTGGATCAACACGACCTTGAGTTGTGACGGCCTCCTCTCCCATCCTCAACTTGTCCCCAGGAGTGACAAAGCTTTGTGCAGGTTGGCCAGGAATTGTACCGGGCACAGCCTGGGCGTCATTGACGAACTGAGGACCGCCCAGCGCCCCTGGATGAGCAGCGTTGCCCATGGGAGCAGGAGCCGGGGCTGGCCCAATATCATGATATGCATGCCTCTCTTTCTTTCGATGCGATCGTGCAGGGACACCTGACACATCCAGACCTCCCATCTGCCCAGCAAGGCCATTCATAGCATCGTGTTGTTGGTTATCCGATTGTACGGCGTGCTGACCAGCATACTGCGGGGGCTGTGGGCTGGCAGTTTGCTGGTATCCAGGTTGCGGGCTAGCCGTCTGCGGGAAGTAAGAGGAAGGTTGTTGCGCTCGAGGGTCGTGAAATCTCGGGTCTCGGTAGGGTTGGCCAGCACCACCGCCGTAGGGTGCGCCGTAGTTTGCCATCCTGTGATACTAGTGTTCTAGGACAGGGACGACGTCGGTCTTCGCTTCATAGTGACATCGGCCTGGGTGGAATTGGTGCAGGCGAGTATGTGGCGCGCGACGACGTCAAAGCAGACAGCCTCTTATTATCTGACCTTGAAGAGCGCGTCCTTGAGGTATGGCATAGGTGTCCTGAGTGAGTAACACAAAGTCGAGATCTAGATGAGCTCTTGTTTGTTCCATGCCAATTGCGGATGCGCATGAAGTGTCAAAAGCCACACTTTCTCCAAGAAAATAAGCCTCACCGTCAGACAAAAGTAGATGTGGCGTGCCACTTGAAATCCAACACCAATGTCGCAGTTAAAAGCCATGGTCAGACAATTGAATATTCTCCGTTCAGCTTTCCTCACGCCCATCAACACCAGTACTTAAATGCGTTCAAGTTGTTCATGAGATCTGTTCATCATTTTGAGTGTAATAAGACAATTTGCCTAGAATTTTATCGCTCTGAACAAGAGCTGGCAAGATCCTTTCGTCGGCATTGTGCCAGAGCCTCAGCCTTGCCTTCCCATCGATGTCATCCACATTCCATCCTATCGAAGTCTCTCAGCTCCATCCTCCAGAAGATCATGGTCCACGTCTAGGTCGCTTGCTTTCACTGGCAATTCTAGCACCACCTCTACCGCCCATGCCTTGTCCAGGTCCTCCGCCATGTGATGGAGCCTCTTCACTTCTACCATGCTTTCTCGAGGATTGTTGATCATCCCTAGGTGGTCCAGACCTTGCATAACCTCCTCTCCTGTCACTGCCTTCTTGGGAATACTGCTCCCTTCGAGCTGGCCTGTCGTCCTTTCTGGCGGAGTCACCCGCAGCCTGCTTGTCATCTCGACCATCTCTGCTCTCCCTCTCGCCTCGATGGTCTCGATCTCCGCGCGTATCATCGTGCCGACTAGTATGCCGAGATGATCTTCTTTCAGACCCCCGTTCCTCCATAAGCTCGGCTCTGCGATCTCTATTGCTGTCATGCCGCGAAGGAGCTGGTCGCGCGCCAACAGGTACATCATTGGGGTTCTGAGTCGGGAAGAGATCTTTTTGTGGAAAGAACCCATTTGAGCTTGAGTTGTGGTTTGCTGGAGGGCCAGCAGGCGGCGGCGGCGGAGGCGGAGGTGCCATGCCAGAAGGCATACCGAAAGATTCTCCACCTTGCCTCATGCCCCGTCCGCGGATTGATGTACCAGCTTGAGCGAGTGTATTGTTGACAGCCGTCAGCGGGTGGCGGTTATTACGTCCAGAACGGCCTCCCAGATCCGACCCATGAGGTCCGGAAGGCGGACCTCTGGATGCTGGCGAAGGTCCTGACGGGGCACCAGGGGGAGCATTACCTCTGGGTCCTGATGGAGGATGACTCTGCTGTGGCGACTGCGGCGGCAGAGTAGATTTTGGTGTCTCAGGCGTCGCAGACTCAATCTGATTCAAGCGAGATGGATGAATACCAGCAGGATCTGAAGACGTGCCTGGTGAGGACGCTTGTTCATTGTACGAACTCGTCCGACCGTGTCGCCTCGAGGGTCCAGTGGGAGTTGGTCTTTCATTACCAGAGCTGGGAAGGTTTTGTGTGTTCAACGGTGGCGCCCTCATTGGCGGTGGCCCTCCGGGTGCTGCTCTACTACGAGGGCCAGACGGAACGTCGGAATCCTGCTGTTGCTCAGGACCGCGTGAGCTTGCAGACCGCTGTGGTTGATGTTCTCGCTCGAGCCGGCCATGTTGCATGTCAATCGGCGGTGCTTGTCTGGAATCTCTCTTAAATCCTGCATGCCCGCTGGAACGAGAGCTTGGCCCGAAAGAAGGCTCCGTCGCTGAAGATGAATGCGGCGGCGGTCGTGTTGAAGGTGGCTCTGATCGGTGGTTAGGAGGAGGCCGTTCATCTCCATCACGACGTGAATGAGGCCGTCTATCTTCCTCTCTACGAGGAGAGGTAGGACGCGAGGATCTTGAGGATCTATCTGCCCCGGGTCCTCGCGTTGCTGAGGCCGAACGTTGGTCGGAGCCACCCTCGATCAAGGCTGCGCGGGCCGGATTGATCGCAGGCTGCGAGGACGGCGTCGCTGATCCTTCCTTCGGAGTCGCTTGATCGGCTTCTTTTCTCGGAGGGGCCTGGGTGCTCGATGTTCCTGGCTCAGAAGGTATTGCCGGCCGTGATCTAGGTGTTGACTCGCGGTCTCGACCATCTCGGCCGCGATCAGAGACTGGTGGCAGACGGGTCGGTGGTCGTTCTCTCTCTGGTGGCAAGGGTCGATCATACGGTTTGCTTCTTTCTGATTCTCGACTGTATCCACGTTCCTCACGGCCCATTTGCGGGGGCCCATCCGGCCTCTCGTACCTCCGAGCGTGACGGTCAAATGCCTCAACGGGCGGCTCTGGTCCTCTGTAACCGGACCTCGCATCCCGACTATGGCTCACTCGAGGGTCAGGACTTGGTCTGTGGGGATCATTCTGCAGTCTTGACGATGTACGGGGACTTTCTCGGCTGCCCGTGCGGAGATCAGGGAGGTCTGGTCGACTGGGTAGGGTTGCTGGAAGCGGGCGTGATGGTGGTGGTGACACACGTCTTGGGAGACTCTGAGGTCTACCTGCTTCAGGACGAATTGGCCTACCGTCTTGCTTGGCGGTCGAATTCGTGTCCGGACCCGGCCTAGTAGGCGTAGAAGAACCGTTGGGTGCTGCCAATCGTGACGCTGGTCGAGATGCTGGTCTCGAGGCCTCCGCTGACGGCGCAGAGGTCGCGCCTCCAACTTGCGTGTCCTTCTTGCCGCCGAGTGGCATGTCGTCTTCCTTGGTAGAAGCATCTGTCATGACGGTATCCTTGACTTCACCATCCTCGCCATTCTTGATCGGCGTGTCCGACGCATTGCGGGAGGCTTCGGTCTTTGATTGGGAGGATGCCTGACCTTGCTCTCCAACCTTGTCCGAACCTTGTCGAAACGCTTGTGGATCAATCCATACTTTCTCCCTCCTATGTAGCGCGCCAAGCAAAGCCTGGGATGAGACCTTCAAATCTTCCTTGTCTGAATCGCGGAGCTTATCAACAGCTTTTTGAAGTCCTGTTCCATGGACATTGATAACTGGGTAGACGGCCGAGATAGCTCGTAACACCGAAATTGCGTTCCGAACGTGCATGTACTCTGGGGAACCCAGGCACCTCTGCAATGCTGCATATAGACTGCCGTGCCATTTATAAAGCACTCTGCGGAAACTCTCGAAATCCAGCAGAGAGACTACCTTTCCACTCTCCACCTTCATGGCGAAACCGGGCAGATTTTTCTTGCTACCCCAAGCTTCTCTTTCATAAGTTGTTTTGGCGCTGTGCCAGCGAGAGAGATCTTTGAGCACCTCGTTGAGAAATCTTCCGAGATTGTCTGCCTCTTTGGAAGTGCACGTGAATACCAGCGATACGAGCCGTGGCGTCTTGAAAATCAAGTCGTAAAAACCAAGCGTCCTGAAGTTGGGTGTTCCAGCTCCGTGCAAGAACTTGACAAACTTGAAGCAGAAGTAGGCATCCAGTGGCGAGGAAAGGAGCCGAGGAAGAAAACAGTGCTCGATCAAGGCCGTGTTAAGGTCCTTGTCCCTTCTGGCCATTCCAAGGAACCATTGATCCTTTTCGCGCTGAAGTCGGGCCTTGCTTTCAGCAAATGCCTTCAGATGTTGCTTGTTCTCGGCTAGCAGCTTATCGATAAGATCCGCGATCTCCTTCTTTGCAAGTTCTTTCTTCTTCGTGCCGGACACGCTCACGTCCGAGCGATCTGCGGAGATGGCAGCGATCTTCTTGTGTTGTCGGGACAGCTCATCCTCGTATGATTTGCCTGGGATTGTAATGTCATATAGCGAAAGTTGCCAGAAGGTGGCGTAGAAGCCAGTGCCAATTTGCTCAACCACCTCCTCGGGTAATGATGGCTGGATGGCTGTCATCACGTCTCGCATAACAGGATGCCAACAATTTTCTGCGGGTGTGTCGGAAGGGCCAGGAGTCTTACAACTTGAGTCTGGATCGAGACTCGGACCATTGAAATCGACTTCGCTCGATGGACCGCCAGCCGCAATATCGGTCTCGACAGCTTCGCCGTCCTCTTCCGAGCCGCCGTTGATATGATCTGACATTTCGACGTCGCCACCGACTGCCTTCTCTCCGATATCGTCAGCCCGCTGATCTTTGGCATTCTCCCTGTCGAACTCGACAATTTGCTTTGAGATGGTCGGTCGACTAATCCAGAATGCGATTTCAGGGCGAATCTCATAGTCAACAAGGAGACTGACCACATCAGGTATGGTTGACCTGAAATCTTCGGCGGAGAGGTTAGTACGCAGCAAGTCGAGGTACTGGATCATCACTCGATGTACTTCATCGTAGGTATTTCCGATAGCCTTCAGTGGCACGTCACCCTCCTCAAACACACAAACCTGCCGTTGTTGAGCCATGGATATCAAGAACTTGGCTGCCAGCCCAGTGTCTTGAAGTGATTTCACCAGTCGTTCCGAGGTCTTTTTCGAATCATGACGCCGGTCAAGGAGTTGGAGTATTGTCTGAGATTGCAGCAATGGACCACCGCCCATTGCTTGTAATTGTGCGTCATTGTAATTTGTGTCCGTTGCAATTCCACCCATGGCGAGAACGATTTGCTCCAACATTTTGAGATCTGTTGTGTTGCCGTGTTCAAGCTGCTCCACAACATACTGCAAAATCGGGCCCGGCCTCATCATGCCGTACCGTTTGTAGATCTTGCCAGCGAAATGAGCGAGAGCCGAAAGCCAGCGGCTGGTGAACATGCCGCCCTCTTGGGTACGACTTCTTCCGGCCTTTGCCATCGAGCTAACGATTGCCCAAGTGAGGACATCGTACCCAAGGTCAGTGAAGTACCGGGCGCCTTCTACAAAGACTTCTGCAATGCTGTCGTACACCTCGATTTGAGTCAGAGCAGTGGTGATGACGATATGAGGATTGGCGAATGCAATTTTGGCAAGAGCTCGAGCCATTGGCCGTACATTCGTGTTGGAAATACGCTTCAAGATGTCTTTTGTCTCCGCCCGCGCTTGATCGAAAGCCGCTTTGATATCCGGGTTTCGAGACGTTCTTCCAGAAAGCCACTCCAGATACATCAAGTACCGTACACTAACTGGGAAGTTGCTGATCAGTTCAAAGACCTCATTGACCACTCCTGCGTTGGACTTTGTCAAACTGAGTGAGGGCAGCAGAATGCGTTTACTCAGATCCAACCAGCGCGAGCGATTGCGCTCCGACCGATCGGCCTGCAGACTGTGTTTGCCGATGCGGGCGATCTTAAGGAGCAGGCCAGGATCGTGACCGATTTTCACACCCACTAAAGGTAGGAGAGTCTCACAGAGTGTAAAGACATCGTCGACCGACTGACAGACTGGAATGTTGTCATTCCACTCGTCCCAGTAGAAGCGATAATCAGTTCCATCCACACTGTCATTGCGGTCAAGCAAGGCCCATCTGAGAAGTTTCCGCTCTGGTGTATCGACAATCTTCACTTGGCCCTTTTGAAAGCCAGGTACATCAGTCTCGTAGCTGGGGTTTCGTGCACGCAGAGTGTGACGATCTCGCAACGGCTGAATATCGCCATAGACTTTGCCTAGGCAGTGGTGCAAGATGCGGTGAACATATTCCGGGAGATCTGGAAAGAGGTCCATCAACCAAGGAAATCGGCCTAAAATGAACAGAGCCTCAGGAAGTGCTCCAATGGCGAGGAGACTTTTCAGCAAAAGGACCTTTTGATCCGCTGGCTCGTTTGCGTCCCTCGGAGCGACTTTCTCGGTGTCAGCTTCTCTGGACGGAGTACTGGCGCGAGTAGTTGAATCTTTCAGGCGGGCAGGAACAGGCGCTGTATCATCTGCAAGAGCACCGGCCATCAACAATGCATTTTTTGCACCTGCGCCAGGCCTTGCAGCCCGTTCTCTCTCAGCCTTTTCCTTTGTCTTTTGTTGTTTCAGCTCCTCCATTTCTTCGTCACTTCTCCAGATGTGAGGGTACAGGTCTTTCAGAGAGATGAACCCAATTTTGATCAGAAGAGCGGACAGATAGATGAGGTTGTCAGGAAGCACATCCGTCTCGTCGCGTGCTGGAGAAGACGAATAGAAGCGGAGTTTGAAACCGAGGAGCTGTGCAGCGTCACGATTTCCTGGTGGTGGTACAATCCCGGTCTCTCGTATCCACTGCGCCAAAAGATCGTCGCCAGAGGCTGCAGATGCCGAAATCATCTGCTCTTGGGTGACTCCTGTTCGGCCGAGGAGGTGAAATGCTTGTAGGCCTTTTTCCCGTGCCTGAGGCCAGAAGTCTTCGTCACGTGCCTGAGTTTGTGCAGCAACCATGTCCTTTTGCTCCTCTGTTAGATGCCAATCAGAAGAGCCCGGAAGCGCCCACAGAGGGAGACCAGCCAGGGAAGGATTGTTTTTGGAATGGAGCGCAGGCCGAGGCCACCAGGGACTAGCACGGAGAAACTTGACAAAGAATCGAAACTGTTTGACAAGGACCGCACCAAAGACATCAAGAACGACGTCAAGACTCCGGCCGACATCGAGGTCAAAGGCTCCAATCATTGCTTTGACCTTTTCGACCGTTTCTTCAACAATTTCGGCGGTGGGAGGCTCATTTCCGCTCGTGGTGAACAGCTCAGTCATCAACTTAGCAAACCCTTCAGACTCTTCTCGCATCAGATTGAAATTGGCTTGACGGTATAGCAAGTTGGTCTGCTTTCTGATATTCATGCGACTGAACGTGTTTCTTATCAAGTCCAATTTTTCGAGCAGAGGTGCGTCCAACTCCAGGCGAAGTAGTTCATAGGGAATCTCTGCGGTAAGCAGGAAGGCAGACAAGCGATCGGTGGGGAGGTTGGACGTGGCTTCGAAGATGATGGATATTGAGTCGAGGAGTACGGTCTGAAGGGGTGTCGGCCTGGACGCAGCCTGGGCGCCTTTCGCAGGAGCCTCTGTTTCGATCATTGTTTTCACCAACTTGCCGGCATCGAAGGGGTCTAGTCGTCCGTAGATAACGGAGTGGCATAGTTCCTGCATTATGGCGGAGCTTTTGGCTGTGTCATGCTCCTGTAGTGCGGCCAGGCCCTGCCGTAAGACATCCTCCATCCCGCCGGTCTGCCACGAATCGCAGACTTCGACCGTGAAATAAGTGTAACTGTAGGGCTGAGTCTCGGCAGGAGGGCTCGTCAACGTAGCAACGGAAGGCGTAGGAGCCTGGGTCGTAGACATGATGCCGTTCATACTGCTCAACTCTTTGTCTGCGGAGGGCGCCTTTACAGTCGTGGCGGCGCTCTCGTCGGTATTGTTGACCGGGCTAGACGCGCTGGCACCACCTCGACCACCCCTACTGGATCTTCTTCCACCTCTGCCTCGCGACTGCGTATAGTCGCGCTCATTGCTCGGTGAGTGGAAGTTGCCCTGCTGGGCTAAGTTGAGACTTCCTGGGCGATGCGGCGAAGGACGTGAATATTGTTGATCGTCAGAGTATGTGCGATCCCCTCTCTTCCTCTTACCTCCACCTGGAGGGGGCATGCCTTGCTCTCTTCACAAATGGTGGCGGTGGGGAGGATTGAGATGATCTTGCTGTCACTTCTATCATGAGGCAGGCTGCGACATCCGAACGCGATGGAGGAAAATTTGATCTAGAAGGAAAAATGAAGACTTCGGCGACCAAGAGCGCACTTGGCGTGTGATACAGCTAGGTAAAGTCTTCCAGACCCGCCGCAAAGCAGAGTGATAGTAATGGTGTTGATGTTCTTTTCACATCGATGTATGCATTCAAAATGAGGGCCAAATTGCTCCGCGACGAGTCCCGTGATCCCGTGATTCAATCACATGACAAGGCTGAGTCTTCATGGCGAGGCTGTTACAGCCAACCAAGTGAAACTCGTGGCAGGCTAGCCTTTCATTTACAATTATCACTTGAGGATCACAGCTTGTTGCTTCGCTATAGTCTTGACCTCCTGGACCGCGCGAGAATGATCACTGCGCTGTAGCAGAAGACCCGACACTCTCAATACGATTGCACCGGACAGAAGTTGGAGTTCTCCGGAGACTGGTTGGGTGACTGGGCGATTATAAATTGTGCATAAGAGCCGGTGATCTCATAAGATCGAGCCACTTCAAACAAACCTCAAGACCAAACCTGATGAACTCAACCTCCGTACGGACTCTTTGACTACCACTGAGGCGGCACTTTTCTTTACAGAGTAAATCGTCATGGCACCCAAGGTCTTTCTGTACGTTCAGCAGTCCCGCCGTTCCTGAGTAGTACTTCTACCTAACACGTCTTACAGCACCGGAACGACAGGCTACATCGGCGGAGACTTCCTCTATCTAGTCTCTGAGAAACACCCTGAATGGGAACTCACTTGCCTCGTGCGGAACAGTGACAAAGGCGCCAAGATTGCCAAATCCTATTCCAAAGTCCGACTTGTGTACGGAGACCTCGATGCTGTTGAGCTGATCGAAGAAGAAGCTGCCAACACCGACATCGTCTACCACTTCGCAAATTGCGACCATGTGCCCTCTGCAGAGGCTATTGCCAAAGGACTTGCGCGGCGCCAACGGGATGGACCTGGCTACTGGATTCATACCTCTGGATCTTTGATTTTGGGGTATGAGACGATGGTCAAAAGCGCATTCGGCGAGCGCCTTGACAAGGTCTTCGATGATTGGGACAATGTCAAGGAGTTGACATCTCATCCCGACCCAGCACCACACAGGTGAGCCGAGGAAAAGAAGGCGTCAAACGCTTACTAACCTGATGACTAGAGACGTAGACAAGGTCGTATTGGCCGCCGGCTCCGACAAGGTCAAGACCGCCATTGTTTGCCCTCCGACGATTATAGGTGCTGGCCGTGGCCCTGATAACAGACGCTCCGTACAACTTTACCGATCCACCGAAGCGTTCCTGAAGAACAAGCAAGGATTCAAAGTCGGCAAAGGTGAGAATATCTGGCACTATGTCAATGTGCAAGATCTCTCCGAGCTGTTCCTGTTACTGGGCGAAGCCGCTGTCAATGGCGGGCCACCAGCCACATGGAACGAGGAGGGATACTACTTGGCCGAGGACGGCTCATTCGTCTGGGGGGAGGTTTTGCAGACAGTCGCCAATATTGCGCACAAGGAAGGCCTTCTACCCAGCGCCACTCTGAAAAGCTATACTGCCCAAGAAGCCGACGAAATCATGCCCTTCACAGCTTACTCCATCGGCACGAACTCTCGGGGGGTGTCCATACGAGGGAAGAAACTCCTTGGCTGGAAACCCAAGATGGGCAGTATTCTGGACGAGCTACCAATCGCAGTCGATAGCGAGGCTCATCTTCTTGGACTCAAGAAGAGTCATGCTGAGAAGGTTCAAGAATAGGCTGGGCAGGGCGAGTAGGGCAAGTCGAGCATGAGCAAGGAAGAAGACGTCGACAACCGAGCGCGCATGCACCGGGCTATGAAGTTGCAGTTTAATTCCATCGGAGGTGGACGATCCTGGAGCTGACGGAAGCGAGAATGAGAAACACTCAGATGAATTCATGAAATGCAAACAGAAGTATCGGTACCATTCTTCATTGAGAAATTGTTTCAGATAAGTTCTCACATGGGTGACAAAAAGGAGAGAGACCAGACGAGCTGTAACTTTTCTGCTCAATTACATGAAGATTACAGTGCTTCATGCGAGATGTCGTCAAGTTACTGACAGAAGAAGTGCCAGTTGACATTGAGGTAGACGTTGATATATTATCGCAAGCCTGGTTCTTACATTCGAGAGAGGTGCGGCATCAAATGTGAAGAGGAGTACTCGTACCGAATAGAACAAGAGCCCTCCTGTCAGACAACGCCCCTTTTGAGTCCAGTGACGCTCGTCGTTTGTCTCCCTGTCGGCCAATGACATGCCACTTATTTGTCCTCTACGTAATCAAGGCAAGTATGCACGGACATGACCACCATGATGTCCAAGTTGTCGTGAAGCTCGTACTCGTAGTCCCAGAGCAGAATCCTTTCGCTGCCGGTCAAGTTCCAAGTGTCGGCTCCAGCTTCAGTCGGTACAACATCCCATCATGAGCCTCTCCAAGCTAGCAGAATTCGGCACCCGCCATGTCGCCAAAGGCATCGGACGACTGGCCACTGAGGTCATTGAAAGCGGCAGTGGGAGTTATGTGACCATGATGAGCGGCAGGAAGATGCTCGACTTCACCTGCGGCATTGGTGTCGCTAATCTGGGTCACTGCCATCCGGCCGTCACCAAAGCCGCTCAAGCCCAAGTCGGCAAGATGGTCCACGCGCAGGCGAGTTCCTAGTACTGTTGACGTCGCCGAGGGCTAATGAAGACAAAACAGGTAAACATTGCATTTCAGAAGCCATATCTCGAGCTGATCCAATCACTCTTACCGCTCATGCCGCACAAATCACTGGACACATTCTTCTTCTGGAACTCTGGCTCCGAAGCCGTCGAAGCCGCCGTGAAACTCGCCCGACATGCCACCAAGAAGCAGAACATAATTGTGATGCAAGGCTCTTACCACGGGCGTACTGCTCAAACCATGCAAATGACGCGCTCAAAGACGATATACAGTGAGGGCTACGGACCGCTTCCGCCGGGCGTGTTTGCAGTCCCATTCCCATACTGTGCGCAATGTTCGATCGCAACCCGAAGCGACGGAAAGTACAACGCCGAAAACTGTTGCATGGATCCCGTAGACCAGCTGGAGCTTTTGCTTAAGCGCGAGAGCGCCCCGTCCGACACGGCAGCTATCTTTATTGAGCCTGTGCTGGGCGAAGGAGGCTATGTCCCGGTAGTCCCAGCTTACCTGAAACGCCTGAGAGAAATCTGCGACAAGAACAACATCCTGCTGGTCGCGGACGAGGTACAGTCCGGATTCGGTCGGACCGGTAAGATGTTCGCCATCGAGCACTACGGCGTCCGCCCGGATATCTTGGTCATGGCCAAGGGCATTGCAAACGGCTTTCCCCTGTCGGGCATCGTCTCACGAAAGGAATTGATGGACCTGCAGAAGCCTGGCTCGATGGGTGGCACGTACGCCGGCAATGCAGTTTCGTGTGCGGCTGGAATTGCCGTGGCGCAAGCATTCAAGGACGAGAAGATTCTGGACAACGTCAATGCCCGAGGGAAGGAGATGATGGATATGCTGAAGAAAGCGAAATCCGACTTCCCAAATGTGGTCTACGACGTGAGAGGGCTGGGCCTGATGCTGGCGTGCGAATTTGTCGCTGGCAAGAGCTTTGCGTCAAAGGTGCAGGCCAAGTGCATGGAGAACGACATGCTGATCCTGACTACTTCGATCTACGATACGCTGCGGTTTATCCCACCATTAAACATCACCAAGGAGGATATGGCGAAGGGTTTGGGCATCATTCGACAAGCGATTGGGGAGGTAGCGGCTGGTGAGGATCCTCCCGAGACAAAGACTAAAGGTCAAGCGCCGGAGTAGCTGGATTGGAACTTGTACAGATGTCTGGAGAGCCATGATGAGTCGGAGAGAATACGCAAAACTCGGGTCTGAAAATCGCTAATACCTGAATAACAAGGCATTATAGGCGGTGCACCTGTGGTAGTAGTATGTGACAGGCATACGAGAGACGATGAGACGGACGGCGTCTGAGCCTAACCCGAGATTGGAGTGGAGATGGCTGCAGGTCGACCGCCCTGGTCACTCGAGAAGTGCACCACCTGATGCTGCGCTATCTCGCGCCTGTGTATAGTAGGCTTCCGTGACAGTCATAGAACTCTGTTCAAACATTGAATGCTTCGGTGTACCAAGTCTCGTCTGAAGTCAGAAATTGCAGCAGCAGACGTGGTCTGTATCATGTGTTCAGATAAGTCAGTGGTGAGGATCGAGGAATGCCCGGGATTGATTAAGGTAGGTTTATTGAATCCAGTCTATATTCGCAAGCCCTCCCAATAAACGGATCTATCTCCTTTATCGTCAAACAAAAAGTCTGTCACACAGACATACATTACCTTTGGCCAGTCTGGACTTGACTCAAATACCAAGTCCACCACCTCGAACTGCTGCGCATATTGTTTACGTGCAAGTGTACCTGTTTCCAAGCGTCAGCGGTTTCAAAATTCAGTGAGAGATGTATGGCCTTGAACTGGTGTCGAATCCGGAGGCCGAAGGTATTAAAGACTTACCCTCCATCCACTCTCAAGTCGGCTCCTGTGACATAGCGACTGGCATCACTGAGCAAATAAACGACAGCACCTTGCAGATCTTCGGGCGAACCCATTTTACCGACAGGAATTAGTGAAGTCCATTTCTGATTGAGTTCCGGGTTGTCGTCCAAGATCTTACGCGTCCTACGAGACATGTCAGTACATTTCATGCGCCACGGCTCTGCCAATGCTGAGGAGCTACTTACAAAGCAGTCAACATATATCCAGGGCTGATACAGTTGACTCTGATGTGCGCATGTGCCCACTCAACCGCCAAACTGGCAGCAAGGTGTCTGACCGCCGCCTTGGCTGCGTTGTACGGTGCCTGGGGTTGAGGCACATTGACGATAGCACCGGACATACTTCCAATCATGACGATGCTGCCGTGTGTGATATTGCGAGCCATCAGGTGACGGGCGACACCTGTCGAGAAGAGGTATGTGCCATCGACATTGACGCCCCACAGCTTCTTTATCCGCTCGTATGGGTATGTCTCTGCGGAGAAGTTCTCGGTGAAGCCGGCCGAGGTGACCAGGTGGTCAATCTTGCCGTGCTTGTTAAGGATTTCTGAGAGACACGAGTCGACGCTGGTTGGGTCGGAGACGTCGCAGTAATGTGCTGTGATCTTGGGCAGTACCTCCGGGTTGTCTGGATTCTCACGGCGGAACATTTCGACGAGCTCGATGGCTTGCTTATCGCCTTCTTCTTCTACACATTGACAGTCAGGCTGTGAAGATTGATTAGTTCTGGTGGTGGAGCTTACTGTTCAAGTCAACAATAGCCAGGTCGGCGCCGGAGCTGACCAGTGCCTGGCCCATGACCAAACCCAGACCTCTAGCACCTCCTGTCACAACTGCGGTGCGACCTTCGAGCGAGAAGGTCGGTAGTGTTCGCACGTATTGTACACCTCCTCTTCCGCGCAACGGGCGCTCTGGAGGCAAGTCCTTCTCATCGTCAGGGTACTCTACCACGATCTCTTTGTCTGTTCGCGAGGCAGAGCCTTCGTGGGGGCCGGCGGATGTGCCTGTGGCTTCGGTACTGGCTTTGTGGTAGGGGTCTGAGGAATCCTTGCGGCGGGGAGTGTGGGAGATGGGTTTGGACGAACTCGTACTGACTGAGCGGAATTGAGGTCTGATTGTGCTTGAGGTAGGTTTCGTCAAGCCCGGAGCGTAGCGAGTCGTGTGCCGCAAAAACCGGAGGGATTTTGAGGCAGTCATTTTGCTTTTCCTTGTTCTTTGCACGGTGCCAGCTTCTAAACTTTTTGGGGAGTATGGGAGTGAACGCTGTCGACAGCAATCACACTCTTATCAACTTTTGTGAGGTATTTTTTCCCCAACAAGTCTGGTCACAGGAATATGGGCGCGTCGAGACCAGAACGGGGACTAGTCGTGGATGTAACGGAGTCTCTCGGATATGCAGGTACAAAAAGACGGTGGGTGCGAGCTAGGCTGAGTACCACAGAAGAAAGTCGGCGGCACGGACAGGAGTTTGGTTCTTGGGTAGGAGAAATGCTGATAAAGTCGAGCTCGAAATGCTCAATGGAAAGCTGTTCTCTCACTTGTCAGGAAAAAAGAAGAATCGAACCCTCAAAATCAACGCGACGACAGGGTTGATGTCACAGAGGGGCTTTCTGGGGGCTCCCACGGCTCGGTATACCCAGAAGCGTCAAGATAAAGACAGAACCCATAGGCTCATAGGCTTGCAGAAGGTGGGACAGTGGAGAAGACGTGGGTTGAGATGTGCATAGATCGGGTACCTTTCTCAGATCAGTAGCTCAACCAGGTACTTCTACCCTCTGAGCACATGCGATTTTCGCAACCGTGTTTCAGGGAACCTCGTAAACGAAATGATATGTAGCTTACATTTGAAACAAGTCTGAACAGTTGATCCTGCTACGCCCAAGAGCGAGTTATTGTGGCATACTCGTACCACAGTCCTGTAGATAAAATGTCGAGAGTACTTGTAGCAATAATTGTTGAATGGCCATCCGGCAATGACGTTGCCTTCCGGACCCTGAATACAGACCCACGACACCTCACTATCACTGCCTGAAGCCGTTAAACCAGGCTTGAAGCCCATCGTTGGTCTGGCGGTCAGCTTAGGCGAGCTTGCGGCTATCGGTACTGCTGCCGAAAGGGAGCCTGCTCAGGCTCTCCAGTTCACCCTGCTGAGCGCAGCGAAGCAGTATAAGCGAGCAAAATCAACAAGAAATCCGCGGATCTGATTCGTTAGGCGAAACGCTTCTCCGATTGATCATTCCCAATGCAAAATCAAAATAATGCGTAAGATCTATATCGGCGCTCGGCAGGGTGACTTAGGGCAACCTTCGCACTACAGTATATTTTATCCTTTAAGGACTCGCGCGCGGTCGATGTGATTGGAGAGGCGATACGCTCGAATACTCGTACTTGTCACTACGTGCACTACCTGTATATGCCACAGATGCGAATATCAGCTTATTAAACAATGTAGGCCAGAAAAGCTGGACTTTAAGCAGCCGAAGGACATGGCCCATTTAGATGCCAAACGGAATCTAATGATCCCATTTCAGCTGGACTTGATCTCCATGCTTCCCTCCAGCCTTTAAAACCACGGCCGCTCTGTCGCCCGCATTCCTAGTACTCTCGCTACTGATCAACTTCTCGTCTTCGCCGTCCAATCCAGTGCGGGCTCAAGCTTTGCCCCTCACGACCCGGCCAGCACCCCGTCTCTCTGCGAAGAACCACCAAAGCCCCATTGAGCCGGTAATGAACCAGAGGATCAAGCCGGCCAAATCGAAACCAACGGCGACCTTCATGCGGTGGATGCCAGCTTCCATTTCGACCTTTTCTCCGATATACATGCTACCAAAGATCCCGGATAAGGCTGCCCAAAGAAGCACCAGAACCCAGTCCCAGGCGAACAAGATGGCCACGGTGTAGTATTGCATGAAGACACTGACAAGTCCATATGCGACTGCAGTGACTGCAGACATGGTTCCGCAGACGACGGCGTACACCTGAATGGTAGTCAGTAATCTCGCTACCTCAACCGGGAGAGAAATTGGATCGGTGGTAGAACGTGCCCATTTGCCATCAGAGTATTTGTGTTCGCGATTCGCTCTGTTCAGATCGACGCCATACAATCCAATGATTACCAGACCTTGGACGAGTTGTAGTGTGCGAAGACATAGATTGAGCAGATTTGATTTGCGAAAGTTGTTGAAAAAGGCGACCATTCTGGCGACTGTAGTAGTGTAAGCGGTTGGTCTGGAAGAATGATGGTAAGAATGATGGTAAGAATGAGGGTAAGAACGATGTGTTGAATGTGCGTACTGTTGACTAGCCTACAGGGCCTTCAAAGGTTTGATTTAAGTGCTTGCTGTTGCGTTTGCGAATGTTTGTATGAATGAATCTGAGACAAATCGTCGGAGTCGGCTGAGATCGACGAAAGATATGTGTTCCGGGGCAGCCAGTCGAGAATTACCAGGCAAGTACCTAAGTACAATGGACAGTGGACAATGGACAATGAACAACCACTGACTCGTGGATTTGGACAATGAAGCTGCTAGGCACTTACTTTGTGTCACTTTGTCACTTCCACAAGGATGGTGACATGCTTGGATAAGTGCTTTGTCTGCCTTGACGCTGCTTTGATTGAAGTGCTACTATTGGTAATTCAACAAGTGTGATAGCGGTCAGATTTCCAGCCAAAGAGTCAAGGGTAATCACAACAAATGTAGCTCGGCATCAAACAGCTCAACAATCAAGAGGTAATTAAATAACGAGATACGGCTTGCATTGCCCATGGGTTCAAACCTGGCTCGCAGGCTTGTTTGCATGTGCGTCATTTGGTATGCTGTGCCCTGAATTTGCGGGGAAGATCAGGGGTCTTTTGAGAAGAGAAGGCGGCTGACGGGCGTGGCTGTAAGCTGGTGATTGGTCTTCCTACCAATGCATCGACGGATCTTCCCCATCATCCCTTTCATTCGAGCCGTGGTTCCGGGCAAGAAAGTAAACCCATCACTGTGCATACGTAGTGGAGCTTGACCTGGTTTTATCTTGACAGCGGTATTGTTTGGGAGAGAGGGGAGTATGTGCAGGCTATGCTAATCGGGGCTGGTAAGGTGGGCTATGAAAGAAAAGAAACTAATCCAACAACACAAAAGAAAAACCAAACGGATGTCCAATGCAACCAATGCCGATGAGAGAAACGATCCAGAAACGTGAGGAAACGGACAAAGCCTCAAACCGGCCCATCGTCATCGTATTCCCCCACCGTCTCCTGTTCCACCAGCCTTATCGGTATTTACATTCGTGTCTCCTGCTCGTACTTGGTTGTTGGACGCTGTTGGAGGTGGCGCTGCCGCTGGCACTGGGTCATCGTAGGCATCTTCTAAGCCATCATCCACAAGTCTGTCCAGATGGTTGTCTCCAAACTCTGGAAGAGGTTCTTCCGGCGGCGTTGCTTGTTGAGGTGCTGAGGTTTTCTTCAGTTTCCTGTGTCCCTTCCTGCCCTTGAGTTTGGCCTTTTCCAACAAACGTCTCTTTTCGGCCAGTCGGCGTCGTTCCTTTCGATCCTTGATCTCGTACTGGCGAATAAGAGCGTGCGGTGGCTCTCCGAATATGCTCTCATATTCACAAAACTCGCATATCCAGATATCCTCGGGCGCTGGAGGATGCTGGAGATTATTGTACTCTTGTTGAAGTCTCCTCTGCCGGGCAGCCAGCACATACACGTCCCCTCTCCTTCTTCGATGTTTCTGCCCTTGAGCATTGGCATTTGTAGCATTTGGGGCCGCGGCCTGTGCTTGATGAGCGTTAGGAGTGGCCGCACTGGTATGTGTCCTCTGTGGGGCTTTCGGGTTGGTGGTCGACTGAGGCGGCGGCGCTACACTGCGCTGATGATATCCCGGAGAATACAGGCTCTGTTCTGGAAAGGTCACCCCTTTGGCTTCAGTCTCGCAGGTAAACGTGAACTGAGAGTTCGAATGTGCTTGCTTGGCCTCCTGATCGAGAACACCCACATTCTCCTGACCTTTACTGAGTGGCTTTCTCAACAACGCCGTGGCATTTGCTATTGCTGCAGAAATAATTCCTTGATCCTTTGAATCTTCGGCTACAAATGCGTCAGTCGTGTCATGTCTCGGATATATTTGACCCATACCTTTAGCATTGGTGCTCATATTCTGGTCATACTTCGAAGGTGCAGTGCGAACATTTGAGCCGTTCACCGAAACACCAAGAGGATTCCGGCCTGGTAGTTTCCTTCCATTACGCCCCCTACCAGCACCTTGTACACCGAGGCCTGGATTGACGCCTGCACCTTTCGCAAGGTAATGAGCATCCTCAGCAGAACCGTCATTGTTGATACCCATATGCGCAAATTCTCTCGTCAGGGTTGAGTGATGTAGATTCAAATTGCCTGATGTAGGTATTTTTCGTTTCTTTTTATTGTTTGTGTTTTCAAATGCTTCATATCCATCGGGTCCAGAAAGACCGCCCTTGGTATATCTAGGATGACGGCCACTTGTCGGAGACGAAGATATGTAATGAGACACGGGTACCATGCTATCAAGGTCGTCCAGATCATCATCATAATCGTCATGGTGACAATGATGGTGGTGATGTGGACAGTCATGGTCATGACTGTCCGAATCATGGTCATGGTCATGGTCATGGTCGTGGTCGTGGTCGTGGTCGTGATCATACCCGTCACTATGATGGTGGACTAGGACCTTGCTGTCGTTTGGATATTCTCCGTTCTCACCATAATGAGAGTATGTGGGTAGACTCGTCGAGGGTAGGGTGGGAGGATATGTGATGGCGTCGGCGGCTTCTTGGGACAAGCGAGACTTGAGGGATCTCTTGGGAAGAGGTCGAATCAATCGCTCGGGGAAAACGGTTGAAGGAGTATCGGGCGACGATAGATAGGCATTACCTAGGTGGCCAATGTCAGTTTCTCTCTCCATGTGCAAGGCTGGCTGTGAGTACTTGTTTCTACCGCACCAGGAGATGTAGTGCCTGCCATCTTGTGACTCTTCCTCTTTCTTCTATCCAACCGACAAAGATTTTCTCCGCCCCATCCAAACAGGACTGGCTGATCCGATGGTCTATCCCCTAGTCAAGTTCTCCTGTTAGCGAAGACTTCAAAGATCGAAGATAGAAAAGTATCCTTGGATCAAAAACGGCCTCCTTTTGCCACATTCGGAGGACACAATGGCATTGTGCAAAGTGGATTCATCGATATGAACGTACCCCCGTGTGAATTATTCAGCCAAATCTGGACACTCTTGAAGCACGACCATGTAATGGCAATGTCTTTCCGCGCAGTATCGACGGGGTTTATTGATAGCTTGAGAAGGATTGAGGAATATCCAATTGATGTGCTCAAAGTCAATTGGAAGGTCGACGTTGACGGGCAATTGGAGATGATGGAAAGCTTCTTGAAATGCTGCAATCGTGCAGAGCGCAGTCTCAAGTCCACTAACGCCAAGCCTGGCCAAAGCCTCAATGCTCTTCATCCACCTGTCTGTGGATCTACCTATATTTCTGACTGTTGTTGTCTCGCAATCAGTTGGGTCTCAGGGTCTGCGGTAAGAGATTGATGGCCTCCTTCACCATGAATGATGACGATGGCTTCTGGCGCATCTGTCAACTCAACTACATTTATGGATTTCAAGCCTGTCTACCCAATAGTCCTCCAGCTAATAGTCATCATGGTCTCGTCAAAGAAGCTCGCACCTGTCCCAGGTTGTGCAGTGGATAGGTAGTGAATACCTATCTCCCGGTCAGGTATCCTGGTCACCATAGAACCAAATCATTTCTTCGAGTTGCGAGTCCGACGAGTGGTATCCATCACATTTGCGGTAGTCCTCGACTCTGTCGATGCAATTCGTTTTGCACGACTGCTCGCGGTAGACCTAGACAAACCGCTTTCCTCTGGTTCTTCCGTTGCTTTCCTTTTCCTGTTTGTGGTGGAAGTTGAACCATTTGCTGTTGAGTTTATGATTTGCTCGGACACGCTCTGCTCCACTGGGCCTCTCGTGTTCTTGTCCGTGGCGCTACTTAGGGTGTGTGAGCCTGGCGTTGCTGACCTAGCATGGGAGTCGGCCACTTGTACAATAGCAGCGCCAGGTGAAGCCGAAGATTTTGAGAGGTCGGCACTCAGTCGACGTCGCTTTCGAGGAAGATCTTCCTCATCGACAAGTCCCTCGGCATATGCAGCTGACTCTGTTTCACTGGGTGGTGGTTTTGGCTCCATTTCCGGGACAACATCAATCTCGTCGCCTTCATCAACTTCAGCGGCTTCCGTTCTTTCCTCTTCAAGATCGGCATCAGCATCATCCTCTTCCTCCTCCTCCTCCTCGGCCTCAGAATTGTCCTGCTCAACATTGTGATCCCGTGACATTCCCTGCATATTCTGCAAACCCATATCCGCCAGACTCATGTCCTTGGCCCAGGATTCATCCTCCTCAGCCTCGCCAGTACTTCGACCCCAGCCATCATCTGTGATTGCAAACAGCTCCTTCCAATTCTTCATAAGTGCAACTTTGACTTCGTGACCTTTGTTATATGGTGGTGTTCTTGGTTGTGGAGGCGTCGCCCACAAAGTTCCCTTTATGTTCCGGATCAACAATTCCTCATCAGCCGGTTGAACGTTCAATGTCTCCGTAAACTTCCTTTTCATCCCTCTCTTTCCGACTTTCGCCTCGTCCTTGGCTTTTCGAGACTTTTTAGGATTACTGCCATCCTGGGGATTTTTCTTGAGGAGCGCCGGATCATCGTCCATGTAATCATCAGAGTAGTATTCCCAGTCACTGAAATAGTCTTGAAGCTCATATCCAGCAATCTCATCCTGATAAACAGGACTAGGGACGGCATGACCTGCGAGGTCGTCTGCTAACTCTGGGGCAGGATCTGCGTCGTACAAGATGTCGTCGAGGTCATCATAGGGAGAGTACGCGTAGTCCTCGATGTCGGACATTTTGAGAAGGTCATCAAATCATTGTCAGGGTAGAAGTGGCCAGACGCGGCAGAGGGACTCTCAAGTTCGAAAAGAGTGAACAGGAGGAACGTAATTGAGACGGCGTCAACTGTTTGTTCGCATGGGCAAATCACACAGCAAACTTAAAAAGAGATTCGATTAGTGGTATGCGCTAGAGACCCGAACATGGTCCGTCTGCGTAATTGAAGTGCAGCACCGTCGGGTCCAGTAAAGGTGTTGGCCAAAATGTGACAAGTCGATTGTCTCTAACAGCTGAGAACGCGTGGTTCAGTGCCGACTTAGTGAAGTCGGGGAACAGGCACAGGGGCGTGGCTTCTCCGCAGTCCAGCTCGCCGGGCCAATGCGTCGATAACCGAACACTTGAATGTCTTTCAGTGAAGGACTGACTGGTACTTGACAAACGACTGACCACTTTGCGGATGATCTACTTCATAAGAATATGAAATCTATGCACAGTTAGCAAAGTTATGCCGCATTGTCGTTTACCTCGAGCTGCCGCTCGTAGCGCAAGCTCAGCCCTCCGTCCTCCCCTCAAGACCCAACTTCGAGGCCTCCAAACAGACCAACACAGTACAAAGTCCCTAGATTCGATTCTGATCGCAAATCGGGGCGAGATAGCCATAAGAGTAAACCGTACTGCTGCCAAACATGGTATCCGGACGACGACACTCTACACGAGTCCCGACGCTCTCTCACAACATGCTCATTCTTCTCCCTTCGCTTTCAACCTCGGCCCAACCGCAGCTTACCTCGACCAAGAGAAGATCCTGTCTATAGCTAAACAACAAGGCTGCCAGGCTATACATCCCGGCTATGGTTTCCTATCAGAGAATGCCGACTTCGCCAGAAGATGTGCAGAAGAAGGGGTCACTTTCATTGGACCCCCAGCCGGCGCAATCGAGGATATGGGCGACAAGGCGAGAAGTAAAGAGATCATGAACTCGGCTGGAGTACCCTGTGTACCCGGATATCATGGTAGCGACCAAGCTCCCGAAACACTTGCGCGAGAGGCGGAGAACATTGGCTATCCTGTTCTGATCAAAGCCGTAAGAGGCGGAGGAGGAAAGGGTATGCGGATCGTCACGTCTGCCCAAGAATTCTCCGACATGCTCGAAAGCGCAAAAAGCGAGGCACGTAACTCTTTCGGTAATGATGAGGTTCTCGTAGAGAAGTACATCACAACGCCACGGCATATCGAGGTCCAAGTATTCGCGGACAAACATGGCAATTGTGTTGCCCTTGGCGAGCGAGATTGCTCTATTCAAAGAAGACATCAGAAGATCCTCGAGGAATCACCAGCTCCAAATCTTGATGATTCTGTCCGGAAGGATATATGGGAAAAGGCGTGTGCTGCTGCACTTGCCGTCAAGTATGAAGGTGCTGGTACGGTCGAATTCATCTTCGATAACGATACGGGAGACTTCTATTTCATGGAAATGAATACAAGGCTCCAAGTCGAGCATCCCGTGACAGAAATGGTGACAGGCCTCGATCTGGTACATTGGCAGATCTTGATCGCCGAAGGCAGGCCGCTACCGTTGACTCAGGCGGAAGTCGAGCAGCAGATCTCTGAACGCGGGCACGCAATCGAAGCTCGAATTTACGCCGAGAACCCAGATAAAGGCTTCATACCAGACTCTGGCAGGCTCCTGCATGTTAGACTACCTGAAGAAACGACTGACGTCCGTATCGACAGTGGCTTTGTGCAGGGCGACGAGGTCTCCAGCCACTATGACCCTATGATCGCCAAACTGATCGTTCGAGGTGAGGACAGATTGGACGCGCTACGTAAGCTGGCAGTGGCTCTGCAAGATTATGAAGTGGCTGGCCCAGTCACGAACATTGACTTTCTCAAAAGGATTTGCAAATCTGAGGACTTTATGACCGGCGCCGTTGAAACCGGGTACATTGAGAAGCATCGGCAGGAGCTCTTCCCGCAGACAACTATCACATCGGAAGTACTAGCTGAAGCCGCCATAGCTTCGTATTTGCAATCAACAAGCAAGAAGACAGTTACGGCAAACCCGTCGCTTCAACCATTATCCTCACCATCATGGCTAAATACATCGTCCGACTTCCAGCGTCGAACATTCCAGTTCCAGTCCGCAGATTTCGAGCCAGGTCCAGGCAAGACAGCGGAAATCCACACTGTTGAGATCCAGCAAATGGCTCCAGGCCAGTTTTCAGTAATGACACCATCCTCTCCAGCACCTATCGAGGTCTCTGCCTCTCTCGATCCCCCGACCAACATTTTGACCACCTACTTCCCCCATACGCGCCATACTTCGCGCATTATCTTTGCGCCATCGATGACCATATCCGCTGGTACGATTCATCTTTTCACACCTCATGGTGCTTTCCGCCTGACGGCACCCCAACCGCCATGGCTGGCCAAAGCGCTTGGTGTCACCGAGAAGGCCAATTCGTTAGTGTCACCGATGCCGGCCAAGATCTTGAGAGTACTAGTGAAGCCAGGCGATACTGTGACCAAGGACCAGCCACTCCTTGTCATTGAGAGCATGAAAATGGAGACAGTGATCCGAAGCCCTGCTGAGGGTGTCGTGGTCAAACGTGTCGTACATGCTGAAGGCGAGGTCGTTGGCAGTGGGGTTGAACTGGTCGAGTTTGAAGAGGAAGGAGTAGACACAGCAAACCAGGCCTGAAAACTCCCTGTCGTTGACAATAGGTGGAGACACCCATCGGCAATGCGGCCACGAGTTTCAAGTGTCTCATTAACCGACGATTCAAGTTGAGGGCGAGACGGTAAGGGGATGATCGTTGGATCGACACGCCTGGAACGACGATCAGCGCCTCGATCTGTGGAATCCTTGTGCGCAATTGCAGCTTCTAGAAGGCCTCGAGAACTTTAGTCAAACGCCACATTCGCAGTGTCGTACTGTAGTCGGGAGGATTAGCACGTGCGGTCTGCTCAAGATTTCGGAACAGCTGTGACAGCGCCTCGGATGTAGGCTCCAGGCTGCGATTAGCGTACTGTGCTGTGATTCAACAATTCGAGCTTGGTGCGTTGCAGACGAGCTTGAATGCAATGCAGGGGCGGAACAGCATCTCGTGGATGGACAAACACCTTCACTATGAGCTTGTCTCAAATTCAACAACTGTGAGATCGTGTGCAAGCGCTAAGTAGCGGTGACAAGGCGAGAGAGGTTCGACACGTTAACCCAATTCTCTGTGCGAGTACCTGGTCATCTTGGGAGGTGTAGAATCATAATTCTCATCGAAGGGCGCACCTCTCGAGGTTGCCATGTCCCGAGACTGACCCCGTGCGTCCAGAAGGCTCCTCGAAAACCGTCTAGAAAGATGGTCTCGGAATGATTCCAACCCGCAAAGATGCGCATCCACGCGAGCTGTGTCACACCCTTAGCCTAGGAATTGCATCACTCATCAAGCTACCGAGAGCATGAAACTTGATCGACGTTACAAGACTTCCAAACAGGCGTTTTGGGCTTGCGCCATGGCGTCCTGTTCGTGGTCAAGTACTAGGAAACAACGGATATTTTCCGTACTTGAATCAAAAGAGGATGTCCCTGCCGATCTCGAAGCTCGCATGTTCAAGCCTCACTCGTCATTGAAGGGTACCCTGCAAGGATAGTGTGCGACGATCTTCCTTCAGCCGGTGTCAAATGCCCGACGGATTTCAGAGCAGAAGACTGCCGTCGTTTACGACTAGAGGCTTGAGGTCAGCCGCAGGAGATGGTGTTCGGCAGTATGGACCTGGAAATGGAAGGGGCCAGAGGTGCTCCAGGCCTCTCTTCGCCTGCGTGACCCCAGGTGCCCAAGATCTAAGACCTGTTAAGTTATCAGTGTCACATAGGCTGTCGAGGGCCGACTGTAATACTTATAGAGACAACGAAGCTCCTCCGCGACATATGATAGGACCATTTTCGGAATGTTGCAGCGCTGGATAATTTTTGGCATGTCGGGGTCTCCTGTTGGCTGCAACAACGGAAATGGTCGCAATGGATGCCCAGACGTAAACAGTAGTGGGTAGGTGGAGAGCCAGTGGTAAGAGACGCAGTGTGCCTGAAAACCTACTTGTACCAGATTCCAGTGGAAACGGTATAGGCGGACAAGTAGGTGCCGTAAAGGAGGCACTAACAATGCCAGGAGAACGGGACATGGCCACGTTTCCACTTCCGCGGCCAGCGGGGAAGACAGTCCGTTCAAACAAGTTGCGATAAGTCGCCTTGGAAGGGCTGGTAGGCTCGTGGTCTGCAGGGGAAACCCAGGGCCATGCATGCACGGCTATTGGAACATTGGAATGGTCAAGAAGACAAGAAGAAGCCAGGGACGCAGCCACTGCGGTCATCGGACGACAGGGATCCACGAATACGAGTATTTCATCCCACACAACCAACATCGATCAACCCAGACTACTGCATAGTACGTGACGGTACACTCTTTTTAGACAACTGGAGCAGAGCTACCAGGTACGAGAGCATGATCTAGTCTCAAAACTTCCTTCCCAAGACCACGGTCCGCCGATATCGATCGGGAATCGAAAGGGAAAAAAGAAAAGCTCCGCCGGTCCCTCATTCGAAGTCGACGATACCCAGATACCCACTGGACCATCAACTTACTCGCTTGACATATCACCGGTGCACCGACCACAGGATGAAGGCGTAGATCTCGACAAAGCTGCATCTGGATTTCTGCCCAGCTACGGATACTCGTACTATACCAACCATCGTCGTAGCCTTAAATATACCTGGTCGCTGGTACCCAGGACAAGGCGCCCACTTGATCCAGCCAGATTGTTCACCGAGACAAAGCCCATCCAACGACTTCATTGCCACCACCATCCATCAACCTACCTAGGTATTTTTCGCTGTCGCCTCACCGACGCAACAGTCATCAATCACACCCTCGTCTTTCGCCGCTGACTGGCCTCCACGAAAAGGCTGCCAGACACTTTACGAAAGCAGCTGAAAGATACCCTGCCATTGGCCCTAAAGTCACAGCCCAGGCATTGCGATCAAACCAGTCAGAGCACCTGTCACCAACCACCACGGCTGTCACCGAGCCCATCTGACGGGTCTTCTTACTGTGAGGCATCAAGCTCGCCCGTCCCCAGGCCAAGTCATCTTTTCTGCCTACCTCGTAAGTATAAGAGGGAGACTTTCGACTGGAGTGAGACATTTCACTAAATCTCGTAGCGAACCGTCCTCCCGCTTTACTTTACGTTACCGCACCACACCACACAAACCCAGAATCTCAGGACCACGGATTTCAACTACTTGTACTTTGCTCACACCACCACTACCACCTCGGTCAAGAAGCACAACAACACTATTCTTTACCCTGGATCTTGTGGGATTATCTGTCTCGAAGGTACTTCTGCATAGCAGAAGGTCACAGAAGACGGCACAGATTGAGGGGGGTTCTGAGATGTAGTCGCAACAGCGACCAAGTGTGACCTTTTCCAACCCCCATTTTATTGTGGTGTGTGTGAGAGAAGAAGCTGCGGAAGAAGCCACCGTTGCAGACGCTGGAGGGCCTCTTTGGGGGTGGATAGAGACGGAAGGATGAGTTTACAGCCTAGGTGAGTTCGAGAAACGACTGCTTTAGCCGCCTTGTACGACTTTACATGAGATCTCTGGCTAACATGACCTGTTGCTTTTCAACAGGCGAGAGTATCACATTGTTGTGCTTGGTGCTGGTACGTATGGACTCTATGCATGCCCTGCAGTAGCCATCTTCTTCCGCAGTCCCGAGAACTGATTCCTTTCTTTGTGCTCGCAACAGGCGGCGTAGGCAAAAGTTGTCTCACGGCCCAATTCGTCCAGAATGTCTGGATCGAGAGTTATGACCCTACAATCGAGGACTCGTACCGCAAGCAGGTCAACGTGGATGGCCGACAGGTCATGCTCGAAATGTATGTACTGCCCTTTCAACAATTCCCAGGCAAATCCTTTGCTGTCCAATGCCATGTTAACCTTTGTCTCCGGCTGCAGCCTCGACACAGCAGGCACCGAGCAGTTTACCGCCATGCGAGAACTCTACATGAAACAAGGACAAGGCTTCCTGCTGGTCTTCTCCATCTGCAACATGAACTCCTTCTACGAACTGGCCGAGCTGCGCGAACAAATCATCCGCATCAAGGACGACGAAAACATTCCATTGGTGGTGGTCGGCAACAAATCCGACATGGAAGACGAACGAGTCGTGCCACGAGCCCGAGCCTTCCAACTCACCCAGTCATGGGGCCAGAAGCCGTATTACGAAACGTCAGCGCGGAGGCGGACGAATGTCGACGAAGTCTTTCTCAATCTCTGCTCGCAGATCATCCAGAAGGACACGAACCGAAGTCAGCAGTACGAGCAGCAATTGGCAACTCGTCGCCGCGACCGACCGAATCGACACGATCGACGAGGCAGAAGGACCCGCAATCGTGATCGATGTGTCATCTTGTGAGATTCTCGTTTGTGTCAGCAAATATGCATTTCGGTGATCGGAAATGAGATACCAACATCATCGGGCGTCAATTGTAGCTAAGAAAAAGTGTGGTATCATGGAAGGACAAAGATCTAGACTTACCGACTCACGTCGACATATCATAATCCAGCTTTCAATTGTTGTGGCTGCCTGTCTCTCGCTTTTCCGTGCTGACGTACCAAATACCCAAAATATGCCAGCACATAAAACCCGCGTCGTTCTATGCCCGACGCTCCTGTTCGTTTACATCCTGAAAACGCCAAACTTGGTACTGGTCTTCTCGGCGCTACCGCCCAACGCTGCCTTCAATCCCAGTCCAAGCACATGCCTTGTCTGCGCAGGCGGGATGACACCATCATCCCATAATCGAGCAGACGAGAACGCGGCGTCACTTTCTCTCTCGATGCGGTCTCGCAACTCCGGGTCGACTGATTTTCCCACCGTCTCCATGACGGCCGTCAACTGCTCAGGGCCCATGACTCCAATCTTCGCATTGGGCCACATCCACAGGAACCGTGGCGAGTACGCTCTCCCGCACATGCCGTAGTTTCCTGCGCCGGCGCTCGACCCTACAACGACGGTGAACTTGGGCACATCCGCGCATGCGACCGCCGTGACGAGCTTGGCGCCGTTTTTGGCAATGCCGCCTTTCTCGGCATCCGCCCCGACCATGAATCCGCTGATATTTTGCAGAAAGACGAGCGGGATGTTGCGCTGGCAGCACAGTTCGATGAAATGCGCGCCCTTGAGCGACGATTCGGAGAACAGGATGCCATTGTTCGCCACGATGCCGACCTGGTACCCGTAGATGCGTGCGAAGCCGGTAACAAGCGTCGTACCGTAATCTTTCTTGAACTCGGCGAATTCGCTGCCGTCCACGATTCGCGCGATGATCTCGTGCATGTGGATCTGCTTACGCAGGTTCGTTCCCACGACGCCAGGGAGCTCTTCGGAATCGTAGAGCGGTTCGCGGACTTCGACTGGCGCAGGCTGCTCCTTTGGGTAGTTTAGGTTAGCCACCGAGCGACGGGCGAGGACAATGGCGTGCGCGTCGTCGACGGCAAGGTAATCTGTCACGCCAGAAATGCTGCTGTGAAGCTGGCCGCCGCCAAGGTCTTCGGCGGACACGACTTCGCCTGTTGCTGCCTTGACAAGGGGCGGGCCTGCGAGGAAAATCGTGCCTTGTTTCTCGACGATGATTGACTCGTCGCACATGGCGGGCACGTAGGCACCGCCTGCTGTACAAGGGCCCATCACGACAGCGATCTGTGGGATCCCCATGCTGCTCATGCGCGCCTGGTTGAAGAAGATGCGTCCGAAATGGTCGCGGTCGGGGAAGACGTTGGCTTGGTTGGGCAGATTCGCGCCGCCCGAGTCGACGAGGTATATACAAGGTAGTCTGTTCTGCTGTGCGATTTCCTGGGCCCTTAAGTGTTTCTTCACAGTCAGGGGGTAATATGTGCCGCCCTTCACAGTTGCATCGTTGGCGACGATCATGCATGTTACGCCCTCGACTGTACCGATTCCTGCGACAACGCCTGCGGCCGGAATTTCGTCCTCGTAAACCTCGTGTGCGGCGAGCGGGGAGAGTTCGAGGAACGGGCTTCCTGGATCGACGAGTGCTGTGACTCGGTCTCTTGCCAGCATCTTGCCGCGCTGGACGTGCTTGTCCCTTGCCTTTTGTGGGCCGCCATTGGAGATCTTCTGGTGTAAGTCGGCGTATTTGGCCATTATAGCATTGACTTGGGTTGCGTTGTCTTTGTATTCCTGGCTGGTCTTGTCCACCAGTGTCGGAAGGACGGAAATGGCTTGGGCATGGCGAGGGTGGGTGAATGTCGCTGCCGAGCGTGCTCGTACTCGGAGGTGAGACCTCGAAGGGAGGGAGGTCGGTTCTCGAAGGACGCGGCAAAGGCTGCGTAAAAGGGAAGGCGTTGGCGAGTAATTCGGAGGCATATCGGAGAGCTCCTCCACGAGGCAAGGAAGAACTGGACAGATGTCTCACAGAGAAGAAGCTGGCGGTCGAGGATGGGCAATGGGCACCCTTTACATTGAGGACTGCGGTGTTGATTGCTGCAGCGTCTTAACCGAGGCACGCCGAGGGTAACCGCAAGCATGGGATTACTTGGCTTACTGCTCCGACGTAGCAAGTATACAGTGAAGCATAGAGCCACTGGTGGGATGCTCGGAGGGTCGATTACTCTCGCTCTGTTCATCATTGTGGCTACATTGGGAGTAATCCTCTGCTGTCAGGTGCTTGTGAGGTGCAGTATCGCCACAAGCTCTTCTTCATCTCAAGTTCCTAGGAGCCATTTGTGAAGTGCTTGAGCTACATGGCATATCTAATCATCCGCATCATGACTAAGCCGCCTCACATGCACGCAATCACACACTTATCTACCTGACGTGTTTTCTCATTCTCAAGTCAGACTGAGTGATTATATGTCGAATTGGATGCCAGTTCGCATGTCTGAATGGAACCGAACATTCAGGGCACGCTGACAAGGTAAGCAGTGTCCAGCCCGGGCCCAGATGTCTTTCAGTCTAAGGTACGAGTTAAGTAGAGCGCTCGAGTCAGATCCCGCATCTCCAAATCCGACCTCGGCTTTGAGCCTGGCACCCACCTGGTGCATCCACCATCCCGGACTTACTTATATCTCCATCGAGCCCGCACTTGTACCTTGAATCTACGGAGCTACCACTAGTGATTAACCGTCAACCTCATTCACATCTCCCAGACCAGACATCAATCAATCGTTAGCCTAAGAAGTAACAGTGCAATATGGCGCCCGCTACCGAGGTTGTGTTTATCCCCATGTCGGAGGAGAACTACCCCGACGACTTCAACAGCGCTCCTGGTAAAAAGTTCAAGGACATTCTTGCAACGATCTTGGCGCAGGATGGCTGTCAAAGACTTTACTGGGGCCGACAAGTTGAGAATCCTGGTACATTGACCCTCTTCATTGATTGGGACAGTGTCGATCACCACAAGAAGTTTATGGCCACAGAGTGAGTGAGAACAGGTCACTTCCGATTGATCCCAACTGACACCATAGCAGTAAATACGGGCCGTTCGTGCAAGAGATTGGCAGCATGGTCGCCGGTGATCTCAACATGTATCATGTTCATTTTGACCCTCATCCACCAACAAAAGCGCTCGTCGACACCAGCGCTCACGTCACCGAATTCATCACCGCATACTTCCCAAAGGGGTACTCTGCTGAGGACCAGAAAACGTTCACCGACAATATGAAGAAGTTTGTCGGTGTGGTTGAAAGTACTGCAGAGGGTTTCAAGGCTGCGATTGGTGGTTTCATCGAGGAAGAAGTCATTGACCCAAAAAGCTCTGAGCCATGTGTGGGCTATGTGGCGCTGATTGGGTGGACCAGTGTTGAAGCTCACCTGAAATACAGGGAGACTCAGACTTTCAAGGACAACATTCATCTCCTGAGAGGGGCGAAGGACTTGAAGAATGTGGCTGTCGTTCATGTCCCTGCAAAGGAAGTCCAAAAAGGTAGCCTTTGAGGATGGTAGGTTTTTGAGCGCTACTATATCGACACCTACCGGGACGTTCATTTCAAGACACGTTTAAGAACTCAGAAGGGTGCTCAGGCATATATCCACCCTTCCAACCTTACTAAAAACGTCCGCTGTCCTGACGTTCCCTCCGTGATAGATTTGTGCTAAAACTCCTCGGTCCTTAGCCGCAGTGCTCAAGTAGGTTGAGGCATTGAAAGCCCGAAGCCTTACGACTGCTGTCCGATAGCCTATGACAATCGGAAGGGCGATTGGTTCGCCTGGGATCACCAAGTCTAGGCGAGAGAAAGATTTGACTCTGGATTGCTTCCTGGTTAAGATATCCTACAACCAGTCAGGCGCCTTCGGTATCGTCGCAGCCTCCAAGACGTGTACGTCTGTTGCAGGTGTCCAAAGAAACCCGCCTCATTCATGATTCCTGCCATCAGAAAACGAACGTGTGGACCCAAAGTCCATGTAGTTCCCACTGCAAGCTCAGATATTGCCCAGCTGCGTGATAACAGCGAGAAGGGCGAGGAGTACTATGTATGCGGAGTCAAATATTGCCCCGCGCGTCCATTGGAAAGGAGTGTACTCACACGCTGATGTGGTGATAATGTAAGTAGCAATGACCCAGGCGGCCTCTGCAACTGCAACACCGTCGACTTCTCCATGATCTGAAAACATGTACCAGAAGCCAACAGCCAAGCTTAGCAAGATGGGCACCACTCCCCAGAAGACGACCTTGTAGACCGACCAACGAAGTTTGAACTCCAGGGTCAACCTGCCCATTTCCGGGTTCTTGGATCCATTGTTGAAATGTTGATGGATCCACATCAGCCAACGGCCCTCGTAATCGAGCTTGTTGCCGCTGAAATTTCGCCAGAGCTCCGCGAGCGCTCTGTGTGTTTCTTTATCCAGATCCACCTCTCTGTGATAGCCTTTGCTCGAGTCGCATTCGTAGATGCCGAAGCCAGAGACTTCTTTGAGTGACAACGCCCTACGAAATGGATTGCGCAAGTGCCTGTGCGCTTTTCGGATTTCCTGGAACAATCCCTCCGTATGCACAACACGACGCAGTGTTTCCTTGGGCACACTTTCATCGCCCATGAACCCTACTACAACGTAATAGTAGTCATGAAGCCACGGGTGCGCTCCGCTCGGTATCGTCCGTGGACGCCCTGAGTCCTTGGGAGATTTTTGTCTTTCTATGTCCGTCACAGTAGCACCGGTCTCCTGGCTTGGAGCACCAGTGGATGGGTCGAGTGGTTCGCTCCTGGAGTATTTCTGAAGTCTTTGGCGTGCTTTCGGTACCTTGTCATCTAACCACGTGGTTTCAGTGCCCCGCCATCCCTGATCGACCAGTACGTGTTAGCAGACCACCCTCATGTTGTTGCCAACGACTCGGTTGACCTACCAAGCGAGTAGTTGCCCTGGCGGTATCGATCCCGTTCTCGGACGTCTTATATGTGATAGCTTTCGATATGGTGAGGCCGAGAAACCGAAAAGTCTCTTCGTACGAGTACGAATGGCGTGTGGATCTTGCGCAACGGGATCTGTCCTTTTGCTCGTTTCGACTCCAGGAGAGCCAGGAAAATGCATGATGACTGAAGCCATCGTTTTTGATCTTGGGAGGTCTGACGACCACAGGTGGGGGCTCAAGATGAATCGCCATAGAGACTTGATGACTGAGTTCTGCGTCCGAGAGCCCGGTCATGCGCCGGTTTTGGCGTTCCTCGACCACCGAGTCATCTGGAGATCGAAAGGCACCGTTGTATGCAGAATCGCTGGTATGGACGCCAGGTGGTTTGTCGCTTGCGGTACTCTCGATACCATGTCGGGACATGTTAATTTCCATATTTCACTGTCGGTGCTCTGCGCATCTGGATCAGCGAGTCACTTCGCAACAACCAGGAGTTGCCCGCCCTTTGACGTACTCCATATCTATGTAGCGAAATGTCCTGCGGTAACCGCTGCTGAGCCAGATAAATCTGCAAGGCAGTCGAGAGACAGCCGCTGAGCGCCGGAGGTGGAGCTGATCTTAAGCCCGGCGTCAACCAGTGGCCATGGAGACGGGTCTCTAAGATATGAATATACTAAGCATTTGACGCAAGGTGGACTTTACAGTCTTGATATGAATAGTTTTCTGACAAAAGGACGTGGGAGGGTGTACTATGTATTCGCTGTTTGGGTGGCCCTAATCCCTTAATCTAAATCTGGTACGAGTTCGAGGAGTGTCCCACTATCCGTACTAACTTAAGTGCAGATCCCTCGTTCTAGGTGTCTAATGTGGATATGGCGCAGCTAGCACTTGTCGTTCTTAAAGCGGCACGAATACAAGCGCGCCCAACACCATTTCACGTTTGCTCGTGCTGTGCATTTTATATCAGTGGCATGTGATCAGAGAGTGGCTCTACGCAGAACTCTTCGACATGGCTACCGATGTTGTGCTCGAGACGACCATGGTAAGCGTTCCTTCCGCTCGTTTCTGCCTGGATTTCTCCGTTAACAACTTTCTTCAGGGTGTTGTAACCGTCGAGCTCTACAATGACCATGCCCCAAAGACCTGCAAGAACTTTTCGACCCTGGCTCAACGAGGCTACTACAACAATGTGATCTTCCACCGCGTCATACCGAATTTCATGGTGCAAGGAGGTGATCCTACAGGTACTGGACGTGGCGGCTCAAGCATCTATGGAGAGAAGTTCGCAGACGAGCTACATCCTTCACTCAAACACACGGGCGCTGGCATATTGAGCATGGCCAATAGTGGAAAGGATACGAATGGCAGTCAATTCTTCATCACATTGGCTCCAACACCGTGGCTCGACGGTAAGCATACCATATTCGGCCGTGTAAAGAGTGGGATGAAAATCGTGCAGCGAATGGGACTGGTCAAGACGAACAGCGAGGACAGACCGTTGGATGAGCTCAAGATCATACGTGCGCGAGTCGTTGATCCTTCAGAGGGCGATTGAGGAGGAGCGTCTGTTGAACCGACACTTATCGCACTACAAGCGAAATGCGACAAATGCTGCGGATATTGCGATCGTCGCAAAATAAGCAGCAGCTGATTATATTAAGTCTTGCATTTAGCGACGGGGCATGGTAGAGAAGCCTTCTGTTACACGACTGATGGATGAGGCCACATCAGCACGATCGTTGTCAATGCAGACTACAGGTATTTTACGAGGCAGCGATTTTGCATGATACTCGCCCTTACGGTAAAGGTTGGGGAAAAGCAGCCTATTGGAGGGCTTATGTCGATGATGTCCTACATTACATTGTCCACGAAAAGCTTACAGAAGAGGCGAACATCGTCGAGTCAGTGTTGTCTCGACATATCCGGTTATCTGTGGCCAGAGACAGTTGCTCGGTGGAGATCGATGCGAGGTCGAACGGTACCATGGAACAGAGACTGGGAAAGAATTTATCGCTCTTTCGCTGCAGTTACCCTCCTTGACAAGGCATCTTTGCAGCCATTGGCCGAGACTCAATCGACGTATCGAGAGCGGACACGGTAAAATGCGAATGCAGCCAACGCTCATCAAAACCTGTGGTGCCTGCCTTCTCCTTTCAGACTAAGATCTGGCAAGACCTGTTCGTGGCCCTCTGGGTCGAATTATTCCTTTGCTCTTGCTCTGATCGGTTCAGCTCTCATACCGCCATGGATGTATTTTCGTCTGCGCAACTCCTCCTTTTTTTCCCACGTGTCTCTCCCTGACGGGTTCGGTGTTGATATATCAAGGATTCAAATGTACCCGATTTGCATTGTTCCGGCTTGCTTAATAACAAGGTTGTGTCGATCATTAATTGTGATCAGCGACAGGGGTTTGAGACTCTGGCGAACGAATATTCGAGGCCGAGTACTGATCATTGGCGACCTTGAGCTCCCAGATACAGCCTTGCAGAGATGTCATCGAGTGAAAATTTTATGGAAACTTCCCGGATCTCATGACGACGATGTTTGCATGATATGGAGTAACTGGGAACAATCTGTGGTACCAACGTCATCTGCATACACAAACTTTGGAATATTGCTTTACATATTGATAACACCCCCAAGAAGAAAGCCCGCAACTACTGGGACATCATGCTCCTCGTCCTCGACACTCATAGGGGTCAGATTTCACACAATTGTATTTATTCACACATCATGGCGGCAGCAAAGAGGGTGGAGAAGAGCGGTCTTCTGGAAATTCTGCTTCATCTTCCCACGATTCGCAGTCTTCCACACCAACAGCGGTTCCCGAACATGGTCAGGACGTTGGCTCAGCCAGCAACGACAAGGAGGAGAGAACTCCTGATGGCAAGATCATCCACGACTGGAATGGCCCTAACGACCCCGATAATCCCTTCAGTTGGTCCACGACATACAAATGGCTGGTGACGTTTACGGTCTGCTTCATCTCGATATTGACGGGACTGCCAGCTGGCAGTTACGGTTCCGGAAACGAATACTACTCCCAGATGTTCAACGTCCAGAATAGGCCATTTTCGAACCTGTACTGGGCAACAACTTCTTGGAATATGGGAGCAGCCTTATTCCCGTTGCTGTTTGTGCCATTGACCGAGCACAGCGGGCGAATGCCAGGGTAGCTATTGCAACCATTGCTAATGCAAGAGACAATGACTTACTCCCAGGCAGGTATTTCATATCTTACATTCTGTTCGTAATCTGGCTGTTCCCGTCAGCTTTCGCTCAAAACTTTGCCACTCTGGTGGTCACCAGATTCTTCGGCGGAGGCGCCTCGAGCGTCGCTATCAACCTAGTTGGAGGCAGCATCGCCGATATATGGAAAGACGACAAGGCTCGCAGTATCCCAATGAGCCTCTTTGGTAATTTCTCATCCCTTGCCTCCCATCATCTGCTCGAGCGTGCAAGGTTCATGGTCCGTTGCTGATGTTTGACCGTCCAAGGATTCACGTCTGTCACAGGGATCGCTCTCGGACCATTCGTTGGCAGCAGCATTGTGCAGATTCACAAGGAGCAGCCTTGGAGATGGGTATGTCATACCGTAAATCGTGTGCCCTCTTCCCTCTTCTACTAACTTAGCGCCACCAGACCTTCTACATTCAGATCATCTTCAATGCAGGTTTGATTCCTCTGTTCTACTTCATTCTACGAGAAACCCGTGGAGACGTGATTCTGGGCAAGAGGGCCAAGAAAATGCGAAAGGAGACGAGCAAACCAATCTATGCCAAATCCGAACTCGAGAAGGAATCAACCTTGAACATGTTGAAAACCAGCTTCCGAAGACCAGTGAGAATGTTGCTCACAGAACCGGTGGTTACCTTCTTCACGCTATGGGTAAGCTTCGCTTGGGGAATCCTCTTTCTCTTCTTCATGAGCGTACCTCAGACGTTCTCGACCAACTACAACATGGATGTGTTTCAGACCGGTCTTATACAATTGGCCATCAGCGTTGGCGCGCTCATTGGCACGGTCATCAACCCCGCTCAAGATTGGCTCTATCTTCGCAGTGCCGGGAAGAATACTGAGAAACCTGGAAAGCCGATTCCCGAGCACCGACTGCTCTTTGCGGTCCCAGGCTCATTGTTATTTTCGGCAGGCATTTTCTGGTACGGCTGGACAAGTCGACCTGGCATTCACTGGATCGTGCCGACTTGCGGCGTGGCATGTGTTGGTGTTGGCATTTACAGCATCTATGTGGCAGTGGTTAACTACCTCACCGATGCATACGAGAAGTATGCTGCATCAGAACTTTCAGCGGCGAGTCTGGGACGAAACGGCTTTGGTGCTTTCCTGCCTCTTGCTTCTTATCAACTGTTCTAGAACCTCTGTTACGGATGGGCGGGCAGTCTACTTGGATTCATCGGACTGGCATTGAGTTTCGTGCCTGTCGTATTGTTGATGAAGGGCCGGGCCATCCGAGCACGAAGTCCGTTTATGAGGGAAGCCACATTTGATGACGAAGAGGCTGATCAAGGGGATCAGAATACGGCATAGGCATGCACAGATGGTGCTAGAAAGAACTGAAGATGTCAATAAACTATACAAATCAGTGACCTTCCAGCGGCAAGAGAGCCCCCCCTCTTCACGTTGCATCCTGTAGAGACTTGGGGTGCAGCTGACACGTTGATCAATGACCCCAGCATACTCCGTGCACGTAGGTATGATAACGCTCATCACGTCTTGCCTGATCAACAGTGCTTCGCTTAGGTCATCTCGAGAAGTTCGAATTTCGGACCATTCGGGAAAGGATTGCGTGTCCCCAAGTACGAGTAGAGGTCTGTTCCTTGTGCTGGAAAGTCGGCTCTGTGGGGATAGACCCTGTCGAGGCTTGAGCGATGTCTGAGAGATGGTTCGTGGGTGAAGATGCAGCTAGAGATGCACGAAGGTGCCACCGTCGAAGCTGGGCGGCTACTCGAGCATCTTATTGGACACATATCTGCCTCCCATTACCTCGTACTGTCTCCCTCGTTGGACTCGCTTACCAGTTGATTCTTCTGCTAATTGTTTCCATCCTGTCCATCACACTCGTCCATCCAATCGTCTTCTCATCGCTGGCATTTTCATCCTGCTTCTCCTCTTCATTCGAGCCAACTGCTGTCCTGCGATTTGCGTGACTTTCCTCCGAATTCTCGGTCCGCTCCAGGTCCACCCGCTCATTCTGCAGTCGATCTGCCACAAACCAATGCAAGCTCTCTTCGAAGCGCTGACTCTACCGCTGACTCTGGCCAGCCTGTAAGATCCGGCAGAATGTCCTCGATGCATGTGTTACTATCGCCCCCAAGGCTTGGGGACTGCTTGCATCTTCACTCTTTCGGTCAATATCACGGTGAGTAGCGGGGTGAATCAACTCTTCCAACCGCGGGCTCGCTCTTCGTCACCTCGTGCTATCTGCTGCGACTGCTCGATGCCCGTCTATATCGCATGTTTCGCCCTCCTCCCTTGTCCTCCTTGCTGTCCAAGAGGCATGAGGTCCTCCGTTTCTACGTTCTCTACATTCGCTATTCACTCATTCCCTCTGAGAAAGCCGGCTTTCTCATTGTAACAACACAAGAATCTGCGATTCTCGCCGAGGGCCATTGACTGGCCGTGGAGCATACGACCACTTCAGAAACAGGTTATCAGGGGTCCAACAGATTTAGCCCTCTCGACCGCAAGGCCTCGGTGCGACCAGATCCCCGACCTGAACTCTCATCAGCAATCTGCGACCCTTCTTAACTTGCACAGACGGACCTCGGTGAAGGACATACTGCGTTCAAGATGTCCTCAATGGCGACTGAGGCATTGGCGCAGTTAGCCAAAAGAGAAGAGGACTCATGGGACCGAATAGCAGACGGACTTGTGAAGAGAGTGAATATTCCCATCAACAGCACAACCCCTCCAGCGCTGGTGCAAGCAATTCAACAAGATCCGTTCAGCCATGCCGCGAAGTATGGGTTACTGTTCGTCTACGTTGGAATCATCCTCCTACTCAGCGCGACATTGATGCGACTGTACTACTACTGGGGCGATAAGATCCGCACGGCGCTGTACAAGGAAGAAGTCATCAACTCCGCGTCAGCAACCACTCCCATGGGCTTCTCACCAATGCACGGATATGTCGACTATGAATTACCCAGCGCAATCAGTGCGCAGACCGATGGATCGACAAGGCACTTCTTTCCAAGCAAAGGACCGCTAATTGCAGAGAAGACGAGACAGCAAGCAGCTGTGTCGGCCATTGCACCACTGAACAACACCATTGCCTTCTTCAGATGGATCTTCTACCGCCCAATGCCGGCGCTTCGGATTGGCAAGTTCACTTTTACCTTTCCATCTCTTGGGGTCCTTGTGATCGTAACAATCGCCTTGCTGGCGTCGTTACTCTACTGCTTCCTACCTCGACCGTTGTTCTACGCCTCAATGTCATATGGTTCACCTCCCCTGGCGATCCGAGCAGGTATGATGTCGGTATCTCTCATCCCCTGGTGCGTTGTGCTGGCCACCAAAGCAAATCCAGTTTCATGGATGACCGGAATTGGCCATGATCGACTTATCGTCCTTCATCGCTGGACAGCATATCTATGCGTCATCTTCGCCATCATCCATGCTGTACCTTATTGGTATCAGTCGGTTAACGACCCTGATGGCTACGCAACATTCAAGCTCTACTTTAACCAGCAGTACTATGTGTTTACAACTGGGATAGCCGCCATTGCACCTCTACTGTTCTTGACGTTGCACTCTCTACCAATCCTCCGTGCCAAGATGTACGAGCTGTTTGTCATCCTCCACATCCCAGTTGCTTGGGCTTTCATCGGACTGCTCTTCTGGCATTGTAACAACTACCTAACATCATGGGCTTACCTCTACTCGACCATAGCACTGATGTCTGTGTCTTTGTTTGCGCGGCTCGTCTTCTTGAACTGGACAAACCCGTTCCGGTCTTCTTGGCTCATTGGCGAAGAGTCTGCTGTAACCATCTTGCCCGAAAATGCCATCAAGGTTACCATTCCAACCCAGAAGAGGTGGCGGCCTGGCCAGTACGCATACCTGCGAATGCCGGGGATCTCCATTCTAGAGAACCATCCATTCACCATTGCTTCATTGTGCAGCGAGGACTTCCCCTCTCAGTATGGCGAGCAATATCGAGATATGACCTTGGTCTTCCGCCCCTTTTCAGGTTTTACACGCAAAGTGATGGACACCGCCATCAAGAAGGGACCATACAAGACGTACAGAGCATTCGTCGAAGGACCTTATGGCGGCATGCAACGCCAAATGGCGTCTTTCGACCAGGTTGTCTTCTTCGCTGGTGGTAGTGGCATCACGGCCATTGCCAGTCAACTTCTCGACCTGATCAAGCGTATGCGCGACGGCAAAGCCACAACGTCCAAGGTCCATGTCATTTGGGCCATGAAGCGTCCCGATATCATGGAGTGGTTCAAGGAGGAGCTCCGCATCTGCAGAGAATGTGCCCCTCCCGGATCCGTACAGTGCCATTTCTACATCACCGCTTCCAGACGCTACGAACCTCTTCCCGAAGTCAAAGAACACCGCCTTGGCGGGATCCGCGACAAGATCTCCGATGCCATCCACAACGCCGGAAGCAAGCGCAACTCGGCCATGGTGATGGAAGGCGAACCGGACTTGAAAAAGGAACTTGAAGACCAAATCACCGCCCTCCCACAAGCGTACCTCGCACCACCGCGACACCTGTCTCCGTCCAGCGCAGAGCAACTGCAGACATATTACCCGCCTCCGCCCAAGGAGGCCAGGATGTCGACCATCTCGCAGGCTCAAATCGAAGCCACACGCGCATTTGATTTCGGCTTCCCCCAGACCCCGACCAAATTCCAGAAGAACCTCATGCGCTTCGCGTTCTTGCCGACCAACGTTTCCAGTCGTCGTGACGGTTGGCGAACGGAGTACGGCCGGCCGGACATCCCTTACATGCTGAAGGGGCTGAGTAAGGAATTCGGACGACGGACGTGCGTGTACGTCTGCGGGCCGCCAGAGATGAGGACCGACGTCACCAACACGGTCGCCCGACTGCAGCGCGACATCTGGAGTGACAGTGGGAAAGATGAGATTTTCCTGCATGCGGAGAATTATGCTCTCTGATCGGATCTCATGCAAGGATGGTCTAAGTGGAGAGTATGTACAAATCCTACAACACATGCCTACGGTAGCAAGCGAGGAGTTGGCAAGATGACGAAGGACTTTAATAATTTTACCAAGTTTATGGCGCTTGACCATCATGATCATGGATGGGCCCAAGATGAGGACCAGAGAAGAAGTTCCTCTCATCGCATTTGGAATCCGTGGTTTCTCCTTTTTGGTGCTGGGTTCTCAGCTGGGCTCGGCTCAATTCACTCGCGATACCCCCTTTTTCTTGTTGCGTTTTCTTAGCGGTGTGGGATGTGAATGTGCCTTTGGCACTCGGAAGAGCCGTTTCGGCGAGGGATATAGTATAGCTCTTTTGTACAGCTAGACTTCCGAAAAAGCTGATGACGATGATGATAACTTTCCCAAGGTCCTATTTGCTCTACTACGTTTGTCCTATCGAGCATCTTCCGGAAACTCTGCTTTGGATCCAACTCTTACAGGCTACATTAGACACAAAAGACAGCCCAGGCACAGTACCCCTGTTGTATACCCACACCGGTGCGCGTTCTGCTCCTCTAGATACGATGTAGTGATGATCGATCGATCAACTGCAGACCTCCCAGACGCCCAACCGTCCTATACTTTCACCCGCGTTGCGCACGATGCACAATCTCCTCTGCCTGTCCGTCTGCGTCTTGTTTTCGCCATCCTCTTGCTTCCAGCCTTCAACCAGCCTTTGCACCCAGATTGATCCCACCGCCGTCCCACAGCCCTCGGCCAGGTTGTATCCACCGGAAGTGACGAAGCCGATCAAGTCACACACATCAGGGCAGGGTGGGTGTTTCGACCACTCATGCTCGGGAGGCGATGCATTGAGAAGCTTTTGAAACTCTTGCAGGGGCGCCGATGGAGCAGGGCCGTCGTCCGGATCGAGGTAGCCGGCTTCGTTTGCGTTCTTTTCCGACGAAGAATGATCATTGGTGGTAGTCTTGACAGATGGATCGCTCGTCTTGCCACCACGTTTCTTATTTTGCGTCGTTTTCGGCGCCGGAGGCTTCTCTTTCGGGATCTCACCGTCACCGCGGCCAAACGCACTGTTCGGACCAAACTTGTCCACAATCTCTTGTGGGGCATTCTTGGGCAGAACGTTGATTCGAGCGAGTGATTCTCGGGGATAGACGCGCTGTTGGCGAGGTAATCCGAACTTGTTGGTCTTTTGTTTGGAAAGACGACTTTTCGAGTTGGAGATGCTGTCGGATTTGGTGTCGAGAGCGAGCCAACGACTGCGCAGGTCATGCATTGCGCTGGCGCTGGAGAAGACGGACGAATCTGTCGTGCTCGTGGCGGGAGGATGCTGTGCTGGCGGTGGTTCGGTGGACCAACTTTGAGATTGGTCTTGCGAGGCAAGCTTCGGTTCCGTGGTTGCTGTGACGGTAGGTTTGGCGGCGGGTTTGGGAAGTGATGGAAGTCTGTATATTCGAGCTGCAGGTGCGGGGGTGCCTTTATCGAGCAGCGTGATGCGGATCGTCATCAGGGCAGGGATAGAGGGCAGACTGGTCGAGGAGAGCGTCTTCAGAAGAGAAATACTTGCGCCACCAGAGAGCTGAGTGTATTGTGGTTCGGAGATAAGTGTCGGCGGATGAATGTCCTCTTCGTCGCTTTCAGGACTGGAGGTGTCGCGTCGACGTGCTCCATCTTCTTTCGCCATTGCTTCTGCTTCTGCTTCTGCTTCTGCTTTTGCGGCCTTGCGTTGCCGTTGCGTCAACAGTAGTGGCTTCTGCTGGTTGGACTTAGCCTTCGCGTGCTCAGAACCAGGCTTGAAATCTTGATCAGCATGCTCTTTTGGACTTTCAAACAGAAATTCCCAGTCGCAAGTCCAGCCTTGCCCGACTTCTCCGTGCTTGCCCAGGCCTAGATCCACCCTGTCCCAAGCAATCCTGTTCTTTGGTGGTCTACGGATCCACTCGTCGAACCTGTTCTCGCTTTCAGTGCGCTCCCATGCCCTCCCAGCTTCGGTGCCAGGAAGATCGCCTGGAAACCATGGTATTTTCTGTTCGAAAGCCATTTGCTGCTTCTGCTTCATGCCTCCAAAACGCGGCGTCCCGCCAGATGAAAGTGGATAGTACATCAGCGAGCGCCATACCGGATCAACGCAAGTCCATGGCAGGAGGACAGTCCACATTCCCTGAGAATTGGAGGCTTTGGAGTTGGAGCGATCTTCTGATCTCGACGCGATAACAATGACAGGTATCCGCGGATCCTTAGCCGAGATAGCTGGTGTTTGACCCGGTGGTGCAAGTGCTCTTCGACGATTGATCGCTTTTTGTGACGGTAATGACTCGCTCACCCGCCAACGCTCCTTGTGTGATGTAAGTCGAGAGGATGTCAACTGTTCGTCCACGGGCCAAGATACTAACAACTCTTCAAGCTGGCTGGTATCGGGGCTTTGTGAAATCTTCACCTGTTTCGGAGGATGATTGAGTCGCGGATCTTTCATGTCAAATGCAAGCAGCGCATTTTGTGGCAAGGCAGCAGGATTATTCAATCCAGCCAGCAAAGTCCAAGCAGCTGCAATGGAGTCGGCGGTATCGGAGAACGGTCTTAGGACCCCTAGCAAGGATTCTGTTGATCCTGGGCCCTGGATGTCAATGCTGCCAATCTCGAAGCGTAAATCTTCCACCAGTACTTGCGGTTTCTGCATCTTCGCGACTTTCAACAGCTCTTGCCAGAACTGATGGAATGCTGAAGGGTGTATCCGTATCAAAATTCGATGGTCGAGTCTGGTCTTCGGCTTGGTCTGAGCCTGGGGTTCTGAGGTCGGAGCTTGGCTATTCTCGTCCACGTTCATCTTGTCTGCGGATTGAAGAGCTTCTTCACTCGACGCCCCCTTCTCGGGCTGAATGCACCATATGATCTTGACTGGAGCAATAGCTTGTCTCGCGTTGTCTCGCTCATAGACCCAACCCTCCGCAAACCGTGTCCCGGCAGTCCATTTCTTTTGCAGGCTTGAGGAAAGATTATGTGGAGAGAAGCCCAACGCCTTGAGCAAGCTTTCCAATCCAGATGTAGTGCCCTGGCATGCCACTGTCGACATATAACTCGTATCCCAAGCTATGCAACCATGCGCACCCGCTGCTCGATGGCTCGGTCGGTAGCTCTTCTCTGTCGGACTCAATGGTATCGCCATCCTCCACAAGGGCTCCGTTGGCCGTGTCATATGTGCTCTCTTGGTATGCCAGAGATGCGTAGGCAGCCACGTCTTGTTGACTTGTCTCTTTTTGTACTTTACTGTCGCCTTCGGAGGCTCTACCAAAGTGTTCTTCTTCAATCTTGGTATCCTTGTGCTGGAAATATGGTTTTCAGGGTCGGATTGTCTAGCATTCGAGATGGCCTCCTTTTTCTTCTGACGCACGGTTTTCCTCTTCTGGTTCAGCTGCTTGATGAGTTTCGCGGTCCCTAGCCGAAGTCTCAGACGTCTCGATGGTGTTCGCGTTCGTTTTGTGACGGTAGGAGTGTTGTCTTCCTTCATCTACCCAACCTAGTCAGCTCCGTCAGTTCACAGCGCTCCTGGCCGAGAAATCTGGGACCAACCTCGCGTTCTGCCCGTTTCCGCAGTCGCCTGGGCACTTTTTTGGCATTGTGACTCGCAGTCCTTCGACGCATGTGCCTTGGGACCTGCTGAAAGGCTCTTGTGTTTAAGGCTTTCCTTGTTCTACGCATACTCCTTTCAAGAGCACCAATCTCGAACTCTCTCGCTTTGATAAAGGATGCGACATTGAGATTTCCATTAGTGGAGGGCGCAGCATTGGCGGGCTGGACAGAGATAGTCCGAGCATCTTGGAATTTTTGTCGTTTACGCGTATGTGAGGCATTTGCATGCCTGTCGAAGGCTACCTTGCGTTTTTGACCAGCCGAAGGAGGTGGGGGAGCCATTGTCACAACATGGTAAAATGTTGTCTGGTTGAATCTGGATCGACCACCGCGTTTTTTTTCAAGCCATCAAATGAGTGGGTGATGGGAATCCGGGGTAAATGTACACGTGACTGTATTATGTCATCCTCGGCGCTGGGCATGATGGGCCCTCGACCTACAACCATCAACTCTTTCATTCAAAATCTTGTCCACTGCTGTCAATCCGGTCACAAATATGATCAGCATCTACACCTGGGTGCTTACGTCTTGACTGGCTTCGAACAAACGTGTTTCCTTCACACATTGATGCCATGTCAACTGAATGTTGGCGGCAAAGCCAACTTCAAAACAGCAGGTGGGATGTAAGTTACAGCCTGCTAGACCTTATTCAGGCCACTGCTTCTTCCCTCAAGTTAAACAACCACTTTGGAAGGCCTTGAAGTTGCGTGTCCACGTATCGGCAGATCCCATTGACGCCTTTTTCTGGGGAATAATGGATGGACCAATCGACCCAGGTCCTATTGAAGTTCAGGCTATCTGGATCGATCCACAAAACCCCTCATAACAAGTCAATGACGGTGTATACCAGACAGCATCCGGAGTGTCCGCTAACCATCTCTACATGCCGAGGTAGGTCTCTCGCCCGGGAGAAATTTACTGGTTTCGGTGCCTGCGCTCTCAAAATGAACTCCGAGCTATTTGAGAGGCCTGTCTTGTCGTCGAGTTTCTGCCTGTGGCTTCTTTCTCGAGGAATATGCTGCCCAACAAGATGTCCAGCCTCAGCTTCGGGTTCACAGCCTTGCTACTTCTGAACTCGATTTCACAGTTCACTGTTGCCCAAAGTTTGCCCCAGGTTGACCTTGAGTACGAGATTCACCAGGCAATCGCTTTCAACGTATGGGCTCCGTCACTTCTGCAGCCCTTTATTCTAACAAGGACAATCAGCAATCAGGCCAGACCTACAACTTCAGCAATATCAGATATGCTCAGCCTCCCGTAGGCGAGCTGCGGTTCGCCGCTCCTGTGCCACCAGCAGGTCGCAATCCGGCTGTCCAAAATGGCAGTTTCGGACCTGTTTGTCCGCAAGCAGCTCCAGCCTGGGGGTTGATTTCTCAAGCATTTGTCACTTCCTACTTGGCCGGTAACGCCAGTACCTTCAACTACACCGAAGCTGAGCTAGAATTACAACAATTCTTGGCAGCCAGTGCAAATACGACGTACAAGCCCGGCCCTCAAGAGACAGAAGATTGCCTGTTCTTGGACGTCATTGTTCCCAAGACTGTCTTCGACGCTGCTAATAGCCCTCGAAGGCGACGACAAAGTGGTGGCGCTAATGTACTAGTTTGGTATGTCTCTGTGTTGAAACACTTGAGCTTAGCTTACTGTTTGGTCAGGATTTATGGCGGAGGATACGTAGGGGGCTCCAAGGCCTCAATCAACACCGGGAACCCTTCTGGCCTCATCAAAGCCAGTCAGGCCAATGGTGATCCCGGCATTATCTATGTCGCAATGAATTACCGCGTTGGTGCTTTCGGTTGGCTCTCTGGGCCAACACTACAATCCGAAGGAGGGGTATCCAACGCCGGTCTTTACGACCAACGTCTCGCGCTCGAATGGGTCCAGAAGTACATCCACCTTTTTGGTGGTGATCCGAAAAAGGTCACAGTGATGGGGGAATCTGCTGGCGGAGGCAGTGTCGAACACCAAATCATTGCCTATGGCGGCCAAAAGCCCGTTCCTTTCTCCCGCGCTATCCTCCAATCTCCAGGCTTTCTCCCGACATATTCTCTCTATCTACAGGAAAACACCACCCAGTCATTCCTGAAGACGTTGAATGTTTCATCAATCGAAGAGGCACGCAACGCTTCCTCGCTCGCCGTCATGGCCGCCAACTACGAGTACGTCGGCTTAGCTCCTTACGGCTCGTTTCGATTTAATCCTGTCGCTGACGGCGTCTTCATCCCGACTGTACCTGGCGTAGCATTCTTGAACGGCGCCTTCGCCAAGAACGTCACGGTCATGGCGGGCCACAACACCAACGAAGCGCCTGGTTTCTCTCCTCCTTTCCTCGAAACCGACGCAGACTTCGCTGCATACCTCGAGCAGGCGTTTCCGGGCATCACGACGCCAGCACTCAACTACATCATCCACACACTGTACCCGCTGTCGAACTATCCCGCGCCGATTTACCGCACTTTAGCCATCGTCAATGAGGCGTTCTTCCAATGTAACACGAACTACGTCGCCCGGGCCTATGGCAACAGGACGTACAATTACGAATTCGAGGTCCCTCCGGCTTTGCACGGCTACGACGTGCAGTACTCCTTCTACAACGGCCAACAGACGAACATCACGGCAGACCTCTTCGCTCCAGTGGCACAGACCATGCAGAGCTACCTGGTCAACTTCGCCATGACGGGCAATCCGAACGGTCCTGGACTGCCGTATTTCCCTGTGCAAGGCAACAACGCCACGCAGATGGGGTTGAACGTGTCCATATCGGCGACTGGCGTCACGCCGAATATCATGGTGCAGAAGGATCCAACAGCCAATGTGAGGTGCGCTTGGTGGCAAAAGGGGCTGTACCTGTGAGAAGCTGCATCAGAATGGACAGAGAGGCTTGATTCGGCGGGTATACAGAATATCCTGTAGCTATCATACAGTGCACTATCTTCTTCGACACTCCTGACCCGGAAATATCGTCCGTGACTGTCTTTTGCCTCGTCTGCTAAATATTGTCACATTGGTGGGATCTGCGACGTACATGTATCATTCTCTGAGAGTCTAGATGCTAAGTATCGATGGATACGATACATCCCGTCATCTCACATTGGCCTCTCGCCCTATATATATCGCTCACAATGTGGCAAGGAGCAATCGATCCTTTCCGCTCCCAAAACGCTTTCGTAGTCCAAAGAACGTAGCTTTGACCAGCAAACCTTCAAGAGGAGATGCAAAATTACGCTTTGGAATACCCGGTTAGATCACACATGCATGCACTGCTTAAAGACCAACAGCATCCTCCTGCAGGTTCTCGACACATTTTCTGGATCGGGGTGGCCAGCAAGGCTAGCTTTCTCGAGATGTAGGTGTCGCGGAACTAAAGTGACATTCTCGTACACGAATCTTCCTTTGCGAGAGACATATTGTGGCACAGATCCGAGCTTGTCAAGGAAGTGTGCCAGTGGCTCACCTATTGTACCCCGAGTGACTGTGCTGGAAGCTCCTTGAATTGGTGGTCATTGCAGAGTGGCGCCACGGCGGGATTGAAGGTCCTGGGACGTATCGGCATTCTTGGCAGGCTGACGACCAGACATCTTGTTGTAGTGAATATCTGTTAGACGTCTATTGGCTTTCTGGGGTCATTTGATTTCTCCGAGATATGTATCCAGCGTAAACATGGGAGGAAGGACGACATTCGGCCGCGAAGGTCCGGGGGTGCCGTCTTCGAAGGCGTCGGTGGCTTGACTGGTTCGTCTTGTCCTACTAGGCAGACTCCTCGCCCTCGCCCAGTCTTCTCCAAACCCTCCCGAGCTAGCCGACGCCGGCGTTGACTCTCGAGTCGAATGCTTGGTCCCAGGCGAACTCAAAGGGCTAAGCTGATCTTCTTCGCCTGATGCGATTTCAACCAGGCGAGGATTCTGTTGCATCCTCTGGTAATCATTGAACGCTTCCCGCCAGCTCGTTTGCCACGGCTGTGCTAAAGGTTCGTACCATAAGAATTGCCGCATCGCATGGCTGACAGCCTGCCACGACCTGGCTTCCTCAAACCTCTCGAAGAAAGCCTGATATAACCAGAGACTCTCATGGCATAGATCATGATCTCGCTTCCAGGATGCAATCACAATCATCCAGATCCAGATCAGACAAGCTCTTTCCGCGATATTGCTGGAAGGAGTGAATTGGAGTGACCTGGTCAATTCTTGCCGTGCTCCGCGATATGGCGTGATTTTGGCCGACACTCCAGCCGGACTGTGAATGTCGAAACAAAAAAGTATAATGGCGAGACAGATGTTCTTCTCGAGGCTATGCTCGGTAGAAGCTGAAGCGTGAAGACAGGAGCATGTATCAAAAATGTCCTGATAGTCCTGTCCTTCGGGTATAGGGTCGTTGATCAACGGCAGGTGGAGGTTTGCTGCTTTTGCCATCGCAAATCTGTTCACCCTGGACAAGATTTCGAGTACGTCAACTCCCAGACATCGTTGGTTTGCTAATGCTGCAAACCCAGCAGGCAGAGTTCCGATCAATGCGAGCATATCTGGGTCGAATGGCTGCCGTGGATATGTCCTGTTCTTCTTTCGCTTGGCGAGCGGGAATAAGGGTTTTGATCCAGTCTCGAGCATCCAGAAGTAGTCAAACTGAATCAGATAAGCCTTGACCAATCCACGGCCTCCGAGGTTATCAAGTCCACCCTTTTTAGCCACCACTAAGGCCAAGCCGTTGCGATGTGTCATCTGGTCGGCCCTTTCCAGGACGTCAAGGGATGCCAGAGCCAATACAGTCATGACAGTGGCATCATCTGGAGGCCCTTCCACAGTTGAAAGATGATCATGCAAAACATGCACAGCTCTCCGCCGATGAAATGCGACTTCTTGAGATAGCTCCGCGGCGGGGTTTTGGCGTTTTTCCAAGTACGCCTGAGATAAAGCAATAGCTCCGTGGAAAGCGCTTTCATGCTTGAGTAGCAAGGGAAACATCCAAGTCATCATGGGGTTGACCATATTGACGGCTACCAACAACGGCTCGTGTAGCGGACCCAGAACTTGCGTATAATAGTCGAGCGCCCCAGGCACGCAATTTGTATGCTTACCAGGAAAAGCATTGAGCGGATCGTTGCGGAATCCATTGAAGTTGATTTCAACAGGCGACGGCACCGGCGGCAGTGTATGTCCCTGTGGTGTTATTGTAGAGGTCGTGCGTGATGTTCTTGGTCGTCTTCGTACGACCACAGAACCTTCGCCGCCCACACCGTTAGTCGCAGTGGCGCCGAGAGGAGCACGTTGAGGTAATGCATAGCGAGGTTGTGTCTGCTGGCGCACCGAGGTCCTGTATTTGCTCGAAATGTGCGATTTGACGGCACGTCGATGCGATGCGTTGTGGTTTGGAGTGTCGTGATAATCTACAAATGTGAAGCTGTTGGCCGCGTTGTCGTCTGAATTAGCCATTTGATGGGACCGATGGTTCTGACCATGCTTTCGCTAAACAGCCGACTCATTGATGAAAGCTGCTAAAGCATAGGACGTGTTGAAAAGTTATTGGGGGATTGTCCGTAGTGGCGACAAAGGAAATTCCTGACGTGGTGTGACCAATTGGAAGCCAACCCCGACACAATGTGCTCGTCTACGGCCAAGATAGCATGCAAATAGATCAAAGGACAAATCGGGAGCAAGGCAGAGAAAGGTACGAGGACATTGTTTGATTGTCGTCCAGCACCCCGTATGTGCTTCCAAGATTAGGCCGCGAAACCTGCAGGGTCCAAGAAGAGACTGGTAAGCGTCCGACGCCTCGAAGACTTCCCCCGCAGACTTCGGTTCTTGCGACAGAAAGGATGTGTTCGTATTGGGGTCGGCGACGTCTGTGGAGGCTGATTGGCGAACAGGGCCGGACTCGCCGGTAAGCTGGGATGCTGGGATGCTGGGATGCAGAAGATGCCCTGCAATTGAAAGGACCGGGTGGAGGTTGAAACATGCAGCAGTCACCGAGGAAGTGGAAGTTGACTCGTCAATAGCTGATTTCAGTTAGTTCCCACCAATCCTCTAGAGTACGTCTAGCCGGATGACTAAATGAATTAGACGACCAAATGAGGAATAGTCGACTTCTCTAACCGAACAAGCGCATTTTTCGATTTTCAGGGTCTTCGTCTCTTCATCATCATCATGACAACCTCCACTTCCGCCTTCCCCAGACATCTTACCCTCTCGTATAACAGGAACGTTAAGGACTTACAATCTTAATCCGACACTAGCCAAAGAGATCCATAGGTACTGGAAGATCCATCAACCAAAGTCAGTAATCACCGCGTTCGAACGGGTCAAGAACTCCAAATCTACACAGAGGTACGATGCAATTGCACGCAAATGCTACCTCGCACTCCGTACCAATATTGGCCTCCCAATAGCCAAGGGCTAAGCGGAGATGAAGCTTTCCAGCGAGAAGCACGATGTGAAGCTCTTCGCTCGCATCTCTGCCGACTGTTTCGTGCAGTGATTTGGTAAGGAGAAGCTATCTTCTTTGGGGTAATACAGAGTCGCCAGCCGATTGGACACTTGTGCTTGACATCCACGCCTCCGACAGCCACGGGAGGTGGCCCAAGCTACATCCAGCATACCACTGGTCCAATCCCGTCCACCATGCAGTTACAGTTGCATTTGGAATTGGAAGACCGAATGGACTGAAGGACTCCGGTCACAAGCTTATGTAAATTCACTGCTTGCCGTTTCTGCCCAAGATCTTCACGCTTCTTCATATCACTGAAAATATACACTCGATTCAAAAAAAGGCATCCTGGCCTCAAGTTTACATCTAAAATCTTCACAGTGCCGAACGTGAGAAAGACGAATCGAGTACGACCATCTCGGGGACGTTGAGAATAACTTTGAGCTTCAGCCGCAATGGAATTCACGTTGAGCCTAGGCCAAATGAAGGCTACAGCTACAAATACCTCATACTTCGATTACAAGCTACCATCAGATTCCTCCTCGAGCTCACCTGATGTATGTAACAATACGAGCTGCCGAGGTTCTGGGCATTTGGTGGCTGACCATGGCTAATCAGAGTCTCAACAATCCACTACAATTCGGAAACATGGCTCCAACAGGCTTTGATCCCACAAGTCAAACATGGGATTCCGTGGATTTCGATCTGTTCGAAACATATGCCGATTACAGTCAGTTCTCGACCCAAGCAGAGCAGCAGACGCCGCTCCATAGCCCCAAAGCAGGATCAGTCCCACTTTCCAAAGCAAGACGGAGAGCACAGAATCGCGCCTCGCAGCGAGCATTTCGCGAACGCAAAGAACGACATGTCAAAGGTCTAGAATATCAACTCGAGACTCTAAACGAGAAACACCAGGATCTACTGGCTTCATATTCGAAACAAGCAAGCAGCGTTGCACAGTTGTACAGACGCATCACCGAATTGCAGGCACAGATCAAAGCAGTCAAGACAGCCAACGGCCAAACTCCTCCTCCTCATCCATCTAATTCTAAGCTATCACCTGACAGCTTCGACGCATTCGCATTTGGCGGCAATCCGGGGCCCATGCTGTACAGCGGAGAGGATTTCGGTTTGGAGGAAAGCGGTGCAGACACATTCAAGTCGAAATCAGTCGGAAGTGAAAGTCTGCCATTATTCGAAGATCTGCTGCGTCTACCGTGACAGTTAAGCTCACGAAATTCATGATTTAGGCAATTTGACATACATTTGAGCGTTCGGGATGACTTTGACTGAGTGTCGATGTGATTGTCCGAGGAGGCAGGAAAATGGACATTTCAAGGGGCCACTTGCTCTCGAGGAGGACCTCCTTCGGAGATAGGATAGCCAGCATGATTTCCCATATTGTGCACAAAAGAAACAGTGTATGAAACATATCGCTGGGCATCTCTATTTTATATTCTTCTTCTATGATTGATTTTGATCTGATGCACAGAGTTCTCCCCGGGCTGTACGGATAAACTCTGCAGCTTGCTCGCAGGAGGCAGAAGCTTGCGATACTTCGCACCGGGCACACTAGACTTGATACCATCATAGCTTAGCGAGCACGGCCAGTGCACCCGAAACCTGTTCCCAAGCAGGATGTGTCAGCAAGGCATTTTGACAAAAACTCATATCAGACGGAGACACAGTCAAAGTATGACCCATCCCCCGAATATGGAAAACACCCCCTGGTAATGCGCTGGTGCTCCGTACATCGAACAACCAGAAAGGTGGTACGATAGAAGGTACAACGAGGTGCTGACTCACCGTAACGTCTCTGCCGGGCTCCTTCTCCGCGTAGACGACCTTGCCATGGTCGATTATCATAGCATATCTGGCGGTCCGCTCACCAAGGTTCCAGCCTATCGACTTGGAGAATTTGGCTTCAGGGTCGCTGAGGAAGAGCTGTCCAGATAAGCCAGGTCAGCCATCCTGTGCCTCTTGACACACCGCTTGCGGGTGCAGATACTCCTGCCAGCCCTAGGACCGCCAAGTAGAGGGCCCTCGGGGTAATGACTTACAATATCTTCCTCCCGGTTCTTAATCCCATTGGCCTTGCTCCATGCATCCATGACCCAAGCATCATTGAAGGCCAGCACGGCGACGATATCGACTTTCTTGCCCCTGATCTTCTCTAGATTCTCAATGTATCCGGGCAGATGGCGCACGGAGCATCCCGGTGTGAAAGCGCCAGGCACGGCGAACAGGACGACTTTCTTGTCCTTCCACTCTTTCGAGGCCGCGTAGTTCTGTGGAATGCCGCAGGCCGTTATGGCGGCGCTTTCTTCGGTGTAGGGTACGTATCTGAGCCGGGAACTCAGCATGAATAGATGCACGCGGCACTCGAGGAGAGCGTAGGCGGAGGGTTGCTTACGAGAAGACCACGTCGTCAGGGAAGCTGTCCCCTGCCTTGAGTCCGGACATGTCGACTGGTCAGTTGGGGCGTGACAGGATCTGTTGGGTTGCAGCAGGATGCAGGAAGTTTTGTAGGGAGTTCGGTAGGACAAGGAGAGGAGTTGCACAGGGTAAGAAATTGAGACTCGCTGTACTCCGTGTGCCGTCCTCGCCGTATGGTCTTGCAAATCGCGAACTGCGCCCAACATGATGTCGACCCCTCGTTTCCGTTTCCCGATGCCGGAGGATAGAGTTGCGGATCTAATCTTATCTCACGCCGCTCTGTCACTCAGGTCGCCGCCCTAAGCAGTAAGATAACTCGCGAGGAGGCTTGCTACTTCCCCATAGGATTCATACCCGAGGTACCTCTGTCGTATGCTGCAAGACCTGGTAGTCGCAGTGTCGAAAGTCTGGCTCCCACCTTGGAGTTGGAGGTCTTGTCAAGGTTATGTAAATTCAACAAGAAGCCGGTCCCCAGGGGCGGGGTCCTGAGGGGTTTGCACACCAAGGCGCACAACATGTTCGACATCGATGCCGCAGACAGCTCCCTCCAACTTGTACAGGTATAACATTTTCAACGTCCACTCCCAGGCCAAACCAGATCACCGGACCGGCGACGTCACCCAAGCAAGACCAAATGGACATCACAGGATTCGCGCTCATCACAGGGGCTGCAAGTGGCATTGGCAGGGCTTGTGCTTCGGCTTTTGTCAAAGAAGGCGCAGGAGGAGTTGCATTGTTCGACCTCAACGCACGGGCTCTGGAAGATGTTCAGAAAGACCTCGAGCAAGAAGCAGCATCTCACCCCGCGAGGCGCTGTCGAATCCTGGTTCAAGCGGTTGACGTCGTCGATGAAGATGCAGTCACGCACGCGGTCAATGCCACGGCCAAAGAATTCGGCCGAATTGACTACGTGGTTAACAGTGCTGGAATCGCATTCAAACACGCTGGGGGCTCGGCTGAGGCAGCTTCATCAGACTGGCATCGGGTTCTGGACGTTAACCTCAACGGCACATTTTACGTCTACCGCGCTGCTGCCAAGATCATGTTGAGACAGGACCACTTGCAGTCCTCGGTGGACCAACGGCCACTGCAACGTGGCTCAATCATCAACATCGCCTCTATCTTGGGTGTTGTTGGCGTGCCTTTGTCGACGGCTTATTGTGCCAGTAAACATGCCGTCATTGGCCTGACACGGACAGCCTCGGAAGACTACTCCAGTGAAGGACTTCGAATCAACGCAGTTTGTCCTGGGTATATAGACACGCCCATAATCACGCCCGGTGTGGTTGCCCAAGTAGCGCTCGAGAAAACACGGGTCTGGACTCCAATGCGTCGGTTTGGGACTGCGAACGAGGTCGCTGATGCTGTGGTATTCCTAGCTGGTGGTAGGAGCTCCTACGTGACAGGTACAGCGTTGATGGTCGACGGGGGTTATACCTCACGTTAATGTAACCACACAAGAGAGGTGGATTCGATTGTGCAGCCGCTGATGTGCATTATGAGATCTGACCTCTCTGAATTGCCAGACACGCGCATGTTGTTGAGAAGCCGAGTGTATTGCGTGCTGCCCTCGGCAAGGCTATGCCTAGGTACCTTCTCCAGACAAGGACCGCACTGCACTGGCAGCTCAAGAGTCAATCGACTCCGTGTCCAGCCGTGCCCGCACTTGTCCGCCGTCCACAGCATCTCCGCATTTCAAACCCTTGGCTTGTCCCCTCCTTCTCCCCCTCGTGGATGCCCACGGCTTTTTAACCATCTAAATGCCGCGACAGGGAGGCATCTAAAGGCCGTTCGGTTGCGTTCTAAGACTTGTCGCACGGCTTCCGCCATGATCGGTGCCGACCATGATACCGCAATTCCGCGTCCTCTTCGGCGTGACCGTGCTCGCGTTGCTTGCTGGCGTTGCCACAAGAAAAAGATCCGATGCAATAGCTCAAATACCGGGCCATGCTCTGGCTGTGCGCGCACCAGTATAGAATGTGTCCCTATCGACTCTCAGCGGGGCAGGTATGTGTACCATATCGGAGCATATCGATGCTTGCTGACCTGGACAGATATGCGCGAAAGTCTCGAAAATCCGACACACGTCGTCGCTCCCTCTCAATGGTTCAAGCCAACCAGGATGGAGCGACTGACATCGCCGTTGACGCCACCACAACCGACCATAGTGCTACAGATGGTGCCCTCCACGGTGCCTCGGAACCTCATCACAACATTTTGCAAACAACACGTGCATCCGCACCCCGAGCTCAGACTGATTTGCCCCCAGGAGGTCCAACATGGCCACCCCAACCAGGCCTCTCGTCAATGGACTGCAGTCCAGGGCTGTCAGAGTCCCCTGAAATGCTCTACGCACAAATAGCTGAACGAAGCGTGACCGCAAACGATGCACTAATTCGGCCTGCCGATCAATCTGTTTTCCTTGGGGAGGCTTTCAGCTTGACATATGTGGTCCACGACGTGCTTGCGCCACATCTAACGAGCTCCATGCATTATAAGAAGAGGCTACATTTTCCCATTTTTGACGGGGCTCTCAGTAAGTCTCGAGCCATCTATTCAGATGACAACACAGTCAACAGTCAAATGGAGCTTCTCAAAGCTCAAGGTCTTTTCTATAAACCTCCGGATGAAGCACTTGAGCGGCTGCTGGTCGCGTATCTCGAGCATTTCCATCCTGCTTTCCCTGTCATTGAGAGAACAGACTTTTCCAGCGCCCGGCAGGCGCAGCGACAATCACATCTAGTCTTGAACGCGGTACTCATGATCGCAGTCACATTATGCGACTCTGAGACCCTGAAGATACTTGGTTGTGACGATCGCCACGTCGCAAGGACCACTTTCTTCAAGCAGGCCAGAGCCTTGTATGACGCAGATGCAGAACCTCATAAAATCAACAACATCTGCGGCGTTTTTTTGATGAGCTTCTGGTGGGGAGGGCCGAATGACCAAAAGGACTCGTGGCACTGGCTGGGAATAGCGATAGGTCTCGCTCAGAGTCTTGGACTCCACCGGACGTGAGCTTTGTTGCTTCACCGAGAATGTTTGATCACTGACTTTGCTCTTTCAGGACGAAAAACTCCAACATTGACTCGAGAACGGCAAGTCGCTGGAAGTTAAACTGGTGGTCTTTGCGTGTTGGTAGCAATCCTGTGGGAATACCAAGTGAGTTATACTGATCTAGTGCACACAGATACGAGACATCCTCGTCAGTGGTTCAATTGGTCGCCCGCAGCATGTTTGCGATAATGACTGCGATGTCGAACTTCCAGAACCAGCAGATGTGGCCGATGAGCTCCCTGGCCGAGTCCCAGGCAGCTTAGATTACTTCAGTCAAGTAGCCAAGCTCTGCGCCATCAGTCGGTGGATGTTTGTCTGATTGAGTGTCTTTTCTGACGTATTTAGTGAGTCGCATCATAACTTCGAGATATGCTACACCTGGCGCAGAGAAGCCCAGGGACAACTGTGTCAGCTTGGAACAAACCTTGTCTCAATTTTACAAAGATATTCCCCCTTCTCTGCGATACGACGGCGTTAGCCCTGAGTTCGGACAGCAACTATGGCCTTCGATGTTGACCATGGCCTACAAGTATGTAAGCACCGGAAAGAGCCACGTATGGCCCACTGCTAAAGTTACCATTTCAGCTACGCCGTGCTCTTACTATGCCGTCCCAGTCGCAGTGCTCGCGGAGAAGGACAAGTCGAGGAATGGGGAAATGAATCGAAAGCTATCAGCGCAGCCAATGTGATCACCCGCACTATGGAAGACATGCTAGCTGTGTCAATGGTCAGGTTGTGTCAGGTTCATACGTGAGTAAACAGTCATATCGGCCTTTTGCCCGGTTGACTTAGGCTCGGTCTGCTTCTAGAATCCCAGCTCTCTTCAATGCGCTTGCCGTACATGTGCACGCCATGTGCAATTCCAATGCCATCGGGAGGGAGCTCGCAGAAACTCGTGCCCGAATATGCATGCTCGGACTCACCGCGCTTCAAAAGTCCTGGCCGGTCAGTGGCTGGGTTCTCAAGCTCTTCGTTAACATCATGAAGAAGCTGAAACGCTCCCCACGGGGAGCTTCTGCGCCCAACAGAAGCAGAAGCCTCTCAGAGACTCGAGAAGTCGACGAACTGAGGCACGAACCTGCTTTATCCCTCCCAGCAAGTATACCGTCGCCTTCGACGACGCACGGGCATCCCTCCTGGCAAAACGAGAACCCGCATCCCAGCAACAGAGAACCAAGTACTGCGCACCCTGGAAATGAGGCTTCTTCCGCTCCCTCGGAGTGGTCGGCACTACCTTGGTCCGTAAATTTCGAAGACTACGACGAGTTGATACCTAATATGTTTGCCTTTGATGATACATTTGCTGGCAGCATTTCGGACCAGGACAACTTTTTCCGGTCCCTTGATTTTGCGCATTCGCGAGAGCCGGGTACTCCGCATCTATGGTCTTATCTGAGCTGAGACCTTCTATGAGCATTGTTGTCTGTATGGGACGATTGGAAATAAGACGACGGCCATCGTCCGACGCACGGTTGACTGTGGGTGGTGTTCTGAGCTACCACGACAACAACAGTAGCGAAGGTATGTGTATAATCTAGATAGGAGCTGGCCACTAAATGTCGTCGTTATGAGGCATGCTACAGATAGTTGTTTCTAGCACGTTGAATATCCTAGTTACTTCGTACTACGGTCTCATGGGTAAATCGTGTAATGAAACTCGCTTAGCCCGGGTGCAAAACAGCTGCCGGTTGAATCGGCGAAGCAGCAGTTGGGCACCGCTTGAGCAGGAGGCCCTCTTACTACACAAATTGTCCTCGCTGCTGTTGGTCGTCGAATGGCACCTTAGCGCCAAATTACACGATTCACCCATGAGACTATAGTACAGTATGTCCCCACCGTTGCTCCCAAGACGAACGTCATATCGATCCTCGAGACACGAAGACCATGGGGATCTGTACGTGCTTCGCCCGTAGATACTCAGCCAAGTTTTTCCCGAGTGCATCATACGATGAGCTGGCTGCAACACCACGATCCAGATGATCCTTCAGGAGGAAGTGAACGGCTATAAAAACTCACAAGTCAGCGAAACATAGACTAGAAGTAGTTACTGAAAGACGGTGAAAATACGTACATTTGATATGAGGCAGCTCGAAGCGTTCAACGCGTTTGCCATTGTAGCTGTTTTGCAGGAGGCTCTTCAGACACTGGACGGACAGCAAAGATCTCAGCCACTCGTATTCGTCCTCGGAATGTACGAAGAAGCCGACGTTCGCATCGGAGCCCTTGTCGCCGGATCGTGCATGGACGATGGTGCCTAAGGGAAGTGTGACGGTGGGACCGAAGCTCTCGAGTGGCATTGGGTCGACCGCCTCTTCGATTTCCTGTTCAGGCACATAGTCCACGGTGTCTGTCGGAGTGTCAATCGCGATCGACTTGTCCGCAAAAGGTAAGTGCGCAACGTGCTTGATCAGACTTTGTGGCACAGTGGTGACGAAGTATTCGTAGTACGGCTTGGGTAGACCCGGTCTGTGTTCCATGCCGAAAGTGGCGCCAGGGTAGGCCGACATGACAATACATAGGCACGGTTTCAAGAACTTGGCCGGGGCAAGAGCCTCCTCGGTGCGTGCCTGCGCAAAGATGCGCAAATCAACTGTCGCAGCATCCTGGCTGCCTGGATTCTGGGCACAACTTCCTGTGGTCGTGAATTTCAGAGTGTGAAACTTCTCCGTGTCCAAGCAATACCGCAATTGCTCCTCGAGCATGCTCGCCTTTTGAGCAATGTCCAGTCCGGCCAGGTAGTAATGAACCTCTGCCTGATATCCCCCCTTTGCAGTGATGCCTACTTTGGTAGTAGGGGGCGGTTTCTCGAAGCCAATGTTGTAAACGTAAACGGAATTAGGAGCCGCTTGCTCCATTTTGATCTGGTCAAGAATGGCGACCACGTCTGAATTGTAGTACCGTTTCCCCTGAAGTTCGTAAAGCAGCTGTGACCGACATGTGTCAAGGGAGACTTCACCTCCACGGTCTGGACGATCCTCCATTCCTATGTGGAATGTGCCATCGTGCTGTACGGACGCAATCGGTAGGCTTAGGAGAGGGGTGGTCGATCTGCGCAAGGATTTGAAGCCTGTGAAATTCCCTCCCGTAACATAGAATGAGCACTCAATCATGTGGCCTGCGACGAGAGCATGGGCGAGCTCAGCGTAAGAGTCACGCGTCCAGCCGTGCCAAAACGCCGCAGCAGCCATTGTCGGTGCTGCATCAGCCACCCGACCGCAGACCACAATGTCTGCGCCGTTGCGGAAGGCTTCGACAATACCCCAGCAACCTAGATAGCATTGTGCATAGATCGGGTCGAACTCCCAGGAATCCAGTTGTTGGCCTGGAACAGCATGTTACTCGTTGTGGTCAGTACTGTATTGAACCAAGTACATACCAGTGGTGATGTTGCGGAACTTGTAGCCCTCTTTCCGACATTTCAAGATGGCCTCATAGACTTCGTCGCCCTCCACCCAACCGACCTTCAGGTCCAGATTCTTCTGAGAAATCAGCTCGACGAGCCGGTCATGCAACCTCTCCGTGTCGCTAGCTCCAGCATTCACGGCCAATTTAATTCCGTTCCGCGCAATGTCGGCCAACGCCGGCTCCACGGATTCCAGAAAGTTGACTTCAAAGGCGTCTTCCGACTCCGTACTGATTTGTCCAGTTCTTGCTGCCTTCAGCGACCCACGCGATGACATATTATACTCGGACATCCAGTCACCGACGATGAAGTCGATGTCTCTGCGTTCAGCAAGGACGCTCATGTTCTCGGGAAGGTCAGTGACAGCGCCCATGGCATTGCCAATTCGCACCGGTCGGCGAGTGCTTAAGGAACCCATTCTGATTGTATGCGAAGGGCTAGAATTCTCTCAAAAGCGTTGATATAGAGCAGAGAACGGGATACAAGCGAGATAAAGAACCAGAAAACGCCGTGATGCGACTCTTTCGCGTTAGAGTGTCAAGTAGTTACACGGCTCCTCAGGATCAACATCGTTCCCTGCGGAGACACAAGGTCTTCAATCTGAGGCTCCCACAGCCGGCCCATCGAGATCTGAACCTACCTTTTCGCAGCTCGCTCACAGTTCATGGTTAGAGCTGAGGGTGTGCCGAGGAGTGGAGAACCTCGGTTAAAGGAGAGACTTGAAGCTTCAGCAGCACAGCACGGCTCGAGCACGGCTTCGGCATCTTGGTGTAAAACTCCGGCGTCTTGTAAGATGCCGATCGTAGAGGCTCCTTGCATCATGCCGTAGGATCTATCAATTGTTTCGGAATCGAACTCAGAACCGTGTTCCGCTGTTGATAAAAGCATCTCTGGACATTAACTTGCGAATTCACGCTCAAGGCATCTCCCCAAGACTGCTCTCCGCGGCTCCCCGATCGACTTGCCAACGCAAAGCTATACCTTCTCATGTGTTCAACCCCCTTGAAAAGTAAAGGCCGAACAAAAAGAGACAATAGGGTGTGGAGAACACCCCAGATGTCCAGGCTTAAGTCTTGAGTCCGGGGCAGGCTGGCTAGAGCTCGTCCTGAAGGTTCATCGCGAATGGCACATGAAGGTTGACTTTTGTCTTGTCGGTAGATGGTCCTTTCTGATACACAACTCTTTCATCCTGTGTGCCTAAGGTGCCTAAGGTGCCTAAGGAAGCACGGTTTGACTACACGTTCACCGACGGCTCCCGGCAGATGTTGGCAAGGATCTAATCTTATCTCATACCTCTGCAACTGTTCATTCGCAATCAGTAGAAGCAATGATGCCGCTTTTCCTCCTGATGCTGCTTTAGCGAAGCACGGCAGGGATCGATTTCCCGCTTCATTCGACTCCGCGCCCTTCCACCGGGGACCCTTGCCATCTGACTTATGTATCTGCATGACCTGCCAGTCTGCGTCTCTATCCCCTAGACTTCTGAAGCGGCAAATACAATTGCCGCCCTTGACCCCTTTATGGCTCAATGATTTCCAAGTCGGGAAGCCTTGATGCCCTAATTCCGGCTAGCCTGGTTGATTTCACTGCAGAGTTTGTCATGCCGCTTGAGCAGCGAGGATGGAGTCAGTTCCGACCATGTTTATTGGTGGAGTTAGATGAGGGCTGGGATATTGAAAGAGAGCTCTGATGCAATCACCAGGGCGCGGCACAAGGATGGAAGTGCTTAGTTGAGTGAGGGACCCCACGGCACACGAGTGCAGATGGCGAAAAGATGGCCCTCAAGCCCTGAAGCATCATCCAAGGTCCTTGACGTATAAAAATGCCCAAAGACGGCACCGTTCTGACGCTGTCACTGCACTCTCTCTGGATCTGTACTTAGTATTTCATTTCCGGACCATAGAAAGACGCAAGCTCCCCCGCTGCTGACGGGCCTTTAACCTTGTGTCCCAGAGAATAAGCCCACTCAGAATATCAGACGGAATGGCCTCTCTAAAACCGCCTTTCACCCTCGAAACAGCAAGGGAAAAGGTCAAATTCGCCCAGAACATGTGGAACAGTCAGAACCCAAAGCAAGTCTCCAACGGATACTCGCCCGACTGTATCTGGCGCAACCGAGACCATTTCTTCCAAGGCACTGAGAAGATCATCGAATTCCTGTCCAAGAAGTGGGAAAAGGAAGCGGATTATCGCCTGCGAAAGGAGCTATTCGCTTTCACTGACGACAAAATCGCCGTCCAATTCTGGTATGAATACCGCGACAGATATGACGGGATGAAGTGGAAGCGCTGCTATGGTCTTGAGGACTGGACCTATGATCGTGAAACTGGCAAAATGAGAAAGCGACAGATGAGCGGGAATGATATTGTTCTAGGAAGGAATGGTGACGGGGTTGCTGTGCCTGAAGAAGGAATCCAGGGACGGTGGTACACGGATGGTGTCGACGTTGATGATGACATGGTGACTCAAAAGATCACTGAGGCTCACTGGTAGTGGAAAAGGCCAAAAGCAAGAAGAGACTTCGACAAAGATGCGTCAGTTGGTCAATTGAGTTGCATCTCAATACTACTACTATGTGGCTATGTTCATTTCCCAAACTCCAATCAACATCAATCGAGGCATAAATCTCAGTAAGGATCGTCAGGTCATATATCACATCGCTAAATACATGATTGGAGGGCTCGCGTGCCCCATGGTTTTAACACCCAAACTCTTCTTGGAGGTAATTGCGACGTTCATAGTTCGGGGTCTTCCGCAATAAAGAATGAAGCGTGTCGTGGTTCCTCCTCCTCGACAAAAGGAGCCAGCCTTGCCTTGAATTCTTCCAGGTCCATGTTGTCCTCTGCCACACCTGGACCACCGGGGGTCTTTGGCGGGATCAACACGTTGGGTACAATGTGAAGAACGCCGTCAGCAGCAATGCCATCAAGAACGCTGACGCGAGTAAAGCCATTGATCTTCATCGTGATGAGCCGACCGTATCGAGCAATATCAATGCTCAAGCTCTTGTCCTCCAGGCCAGTAGGCATGTCGACATGGATGAAGCCCTTTGGTACCTTATGATGTGGTGGGTGTGCGTCAGTGTCAATCTTGTAGATGGCGTCAGAGTATAGAGTAATGTTGTCGCCAGCATGGTACAACACCAACGCCTTGAGATATTTCAGGCCAAATCTGCTGAAAAGGAAGGCATTGATTCTTGGACCTAGACGTTTAAAGGCAAAATTGGATGGAGCAAACAGGGTGCCTCCTTTGTGACTGGAAGTGTCGTTGAAGGCAGAGAACAACCCGGTCTTCTCCAGGGCAAGATCGAGGGTGCTGAACTCGCCAGGAAGCGCAGAAAGGATGTCAACCACCTTTGGAGGAGGAAGCAGGAAGCTATCAATACCATGAACGACGCCGTTGGTGCCAAAGATATCAATCGCCACGACGCGAGCATAGAAATTGAGGGTGAGCCCTCTCAATGAGATCTGACTCGAGATTCGTTGCGGGACCTTGCCAATGTATTCGGCCTGAAGGGCTGTTGGGATGGTACGGCTGACCAAAACACGCCCTGCAGGGTAGAACTCTTCTGAGACGTGGTAGGTGAGGAGCTTCTTCAAGAATTCCTTGGGTGGCTTGGGGGCATGCTTGGGGATCTTCTCAAATGCATGGTCCGTCGGCGCAAATAGGGTGTAATTCGCCTTGGTGCCGTTGAGTAGATCGACAAGATCCGGGAACTCATCAATGGCTGCAGCTAGCTTGGTAGTATATTTGCTCTTTGAGATCAACTGGTAGACAGTCTGATTGGGAGGTCCATGATGAGGTGGATGGTGTGGTCTCTTGGGCTTCTTGCCTGGAGGATGATGTGGCGGACCATGGTGAGGAGGATGCTCTAGCAGGTCGAGATCTTGTTCTGCACTTTCTAACCATGCGTCACCAGCGAAGGCGTTGTGGAATTGTTCGCCATACTTGACGGCGGTTTCCTGGGTCGACTCGACCACCTCTTCGAACTTGTGCTTTGCACAGTGTGTAAACTTTGTGAATTCTTCTTCGAGATCCTCCCAGAACGTTTCTGCTTTGTGTACTCTGTTCCAGAAAGGGTGCTCTTGAGGCTTATCTACCTTCTGCTCTTCAATCGCTAGCGATTCGAGTGTCGCTTGATCGGGTAGAACGAAGGCCGAGGCCATGGCGGCGGCTGAGAGGATTGAGAGGACTCTCATGATGGCGGAGTTGAGGTTGAGAGTGTGGAAAACTCTCAGATGGACGGTATAGTGGAAGAATAGAGGGAAATCTGAAGTATTCACCAGGCAGAAGTCAATAGTATCGTACTCGCAAGTGCAGTCGAAGATGGTCAAGTCTATGACATGCAGAGTGTTGCGCGGCAGCCCGAATGAAGAGGCTGGTCAACGTAAGACTGCGGCACGACGATCTCACCACTGGCTACTAGTGGAGATGGTGGCGGTCGTTTCCAGGCGAGCCACGCTTGGGGGTGATGGGGGCTGTTTCTGAATGGTTTGATCCCTGTGATCCCCCACAAAGAGCTCTAGCTTTAAGCCCTGATGAGCTCTAGCTTCCACAGTTCTGTTCCACTCAGGCCACTATTAACGACATTAGTTAGTGCGTGTGCTCCTGAAGGGCGAGGTGACGTTGGCTGATGGGTGAGCTTTCGGATGTCTGTAGCTTCCGTTCCGACCTGGACCAAACAACGGCAGACGGCAGACAGCTCAATATATGGCCTTCTAGCTGATTCATTGACGACAAAGAGATGTTGACTTGTGAATCTACCATAATAAGTAGGCAACTTCAGTAACACTATGTCGTGTCCGCAAACGGACATTGGCGTGCATTGTGACACTTACTGGCTGCTTTCAGACGTCGGACAGCATAGTTCAGATGGAAGCAATCCACGCAGGATTGTTCAAGGAGCGCTTCCAGACGCACGGCAAGGTAGGTATAGTCTCGATCACATCTCTTCCTTCCGTGCTCATCGACAATAACATACTTCGTTCTTTCACGTCGCACGCGCGATGATGTCGTCGACGAAAGAGCAACGCCGAGAGAATGGTGCCTGCCACAAAAGAAGACATCTCAACTCACTGGGCAACCTCTCTCCGCTCTCCATCTACCTCGATGACCATGCGAACAAGACGAGGTTGAGGATTCTTCGCTTCTGCAAGTCGTTCTTTTTTGGATTCTTGCGCCCTTTTTGGTTTTGGTCTCCTTTTGGACTTACCCAAAGCAGCATTCTTCAATGCCCAGTGCGTCAGCATTCCTCAGCCAGGCCCGATCCTATTCGGATGTGGACAAGAAAAACCGGAATTCGGCAACATAAACCTCTCCTAGTTCCTGGATCGGTGGAGGCCATTCAGACATATATGTCATTCGAAAAGCGTTGTGCACAAGGTGAGGAGAACAAGCGTGGTTTGGGTGAAGCCGTGGCCGTTTGGCCCTCGCAGAGGATCAAGGTCTGAGAGGGAACGGCAGAATCGGGTCAACACCGCTATCGCGTCAACTGCGCCGAATATTCCTTTTCAAAATCACCGCGCATCATAGTTGGACATATCACCACGAATGCTCTCCCGATATTCCATTACTATACCCCTACTGAATGCTGAAAGGTAGGTGCTCCTTGGCCGTGAAGCTTTCTGTGACCTTGACTGACTTTCACAAAGCTGTCACTTGGCCGGACCTGCTGGTGAAAGTGAAGGATTGTCTGGGCCATGACGGCAAAGATGTCCACACCTCAGAACGTCTCTGATCACACAGCCAGAAACACCACAACCAACCATTCTAAGAATGAGAAGATCCTTGTCAAGAGAAATGTTCTGGGCGAGACTCAAGCCAGAGGACATCCTACGAGTGCCCCTCATCCACGAAATATGGCACCTCGCTGCGGTTCCTCCTCGCCTCGACTACCCCACCATGAATCTCTGAAGCCTGAAGCCAATTTGTCAGTCCGGGAAAAGGTGGTCGGTAAAATCTCTGCGATTGAAAACAAACGCATATCTACCATTGCTAATGAGGTCGCGGCTGAGGCCAAACGAGACTCGCATGTTTCCACAAACTCATCAGGCGCTGGAAAAGGCAAAAGAAAGACTCATGTTGGCCCATGGCAACTGGGTAAGACTCTAGGAAAGGGAGCGACTGGAAGAGTTCGTCTAGCGAAACATTCGATGACAGGCCAAGTCGCGGCAGTCAAAATCGTGTCCAAAAAATCAGCTGCGTTGGTCCAAAGTGCGAGTATGGCTCGTATGGACAAAGAAGACACCACGGCCATGGTTGCAGCAGGCCCACGTACAATGCCCTTTGGGATTGAACGTGAGGTTGTCATTATGAAGCTAATTGCACATCCCAATATCATCAATCTCTACGATATCTGGGAAAATCGTGGCGAGCTGTATCTTGTCCTAGAGTATGTCTCTGGTGGTGAACTCTTTGACTACGTCTCAAGCAATGGAGCACTACCTGAGGGAGAAGCAGTCAGACTCTTCCGTCAGATCATTGCAGGCTTGTCATACTGTCACCGCTTCAACATCTGTCATCGAGATCTCAAGCCCGAAAACATCCTGCTCGATAGTGAGAGAAATATCAAATTGGCAGATTTCGGAATGGCAGCACTCCAACCGAACGGGACCTGGCTCAACACCTCATGCGGAAGTCCACACTATGCCGCACCTGAAATCATTCTCGGCCAGCAATACAGAGGTGATATGGCTGACATCTGGAGCACCGGAATCATCCTCTTTGCCATGCTCAACGGCTTTCTGCCTTTCGATGGCGGCACAGTCCAGAATACACTCCGTCTCGTCAAAAAAGGAGAATATTACCTACCCCCAAATCTGAGTATCGAAGCTTCAGATCTTATCCAACGAATCTTGCAGAAGCGACCAGAGAAGAGGATCAGCATGGACCATATCTGGCCTCACCCACTTCTGCGCAAGTATGAAAAGTATCACGCAAGCCTGGTTGCACCCGATGCTCTGATCGGTCCTGCTCCACCACTGAGTATTGAAGCGCAGACCAAACGTATCACAAAGCGCTCCGACATCGACCAAGAGATATTAAGCAATCTCTCTACTCTGTGGCACGGGCTGAAGGCTGAGGAGCTTGTGAAGAGACTTCTTAGTGAAGAACCGAACCATGAGAAGTTGTTCTACTGGGCATTGATCAAGTTTAGGGAAGACCAACTTGAAAACTATCCTGGCGAGCCTCTTCAGTATTCGGCAAGTGATTATCACCACGTCAGCAGACCGGCGCCAAAGTCAAACAAGCGAGCTGCGAACGGCCGTGGTCACAATCGCCGTGCTTCCCAGTTCTCAATCATAAGTGATGAAGCTACCCATCGCGATAGCTATTACAAAAACCCAGCAACAGCAGCCAGCAAGGCCACGCAAAGCAGCTATGACCCTTATCGAGCTTCCAGAACACCAATTACTGAAGCCAACCCCGATTCTACTACAGTCGTTGTCCGACACCGACCAGGCAGTTCAGCCGGAAGCGTCAGACATAGAGCACTAGATCGAATCCAGGACAACGATGTGCCCGCTCTGCCAAGCTTCACGTCTGAAGACCTTGAACGGATCATTCAGAAGAAGCGAGCATCATATTCGACAGCGACATCTAAGAGCTCCCTTTCCACCAGCACTAGACGTCGGCCCGGAATCAGGAAGTCGTTAAGCTATAAGCGGCAAGTCAGTTTTCTCCATCGACGCCAGACCTCCTACGGACGTGCGAACACCAATCTTAGGGTGCGCTATGACAGTGGCTCAAGTGACCGGCCTCAAACTCGCAGCTCGAGTGATCCAAGAACCGAGTCACAGAGCACACCTAGTCTAGCTACGCCCTCTCAGCCGTACCAGCCTCGAAAATCGAGCTCAGAGATGGATATTAAGAAGACTCGTGTTACCAGTCATTACTGGAAGGATGAGACTCGTAAAGTGAGTGCTGAGTTAGGGAAGATTTGCGAAGAGGCCTTCAATCGATCTTCTATGTCTACTACGATGAGCGACGCAAGTCCACAAGTGCCTCTGGATTCTTCGGCCACGTCAATATCGGCGCACAATCGTGGAGTGCTCGAGAGCATCCGAAATCGCCCTCTGCCGGCAACACCGGTGCTTCAAGAGTTGATCGGCCGTCGCCACAAGATCATCGAAACTTGGGGCGATGCTGACAAAATTGTGTTGAATGAGATTCTTGCCGCTCTGGACAACCGAATCGATGCTGAAATTGACAAGCAACTGAGTCTGGATAAACGAGCCGCCTCCGATCCCACTCAAGGCACTATCACTGGCCGCCAGGGAAATATCTCGCCTACAAACACAATGGAAGACCTCAAGCGTGGCCGTGAAAAGAATCGAGCAGCTTCCGATCCTCTAAAATTCAAAACACCTTATGCCCGCCAGGAAAATACCATTCGTCTAGTTACTCCCGATCCAACGTCGCCACTAGCTCGACTCGAGCCTCTCAAGGTTCGGAAAAACAAGGCAATGCCGATCAACTCATTGAGGGGTGGACCAGTCAATATGACAGATGCTCAAAATGAGCGTGTTGGCTACGACCAACGCCTCTATACAAAGACGGGACTGGACACAATCGAGGAAGACCCAGCGTCTCCGAAGAAGGCTCCCCGAAAGTGGTCATGGCTTGGTAAACGTGGTTCGGGAGGGCATGATTTACTGGAAGCTATACATTCTACAGGAGAAGTCAAGCAAAGTGTCGACTCTCGGGCTTCCGAGGTTGTTCAACCGAGTGAGTCGACGCATTCCTCGATCCCTTCAAGGGGTAAGGATAGTGAGCCCGAATCAGGTGACATCGAGTTGAACGTCGAGAAGAAAAAACGCTGGTTCCAGAAGATGTTCGGTAAGTCGAAAGCTGAGGACAACTTATCGAACACTACCGTGGTCGAACATCGCATTGTTCGGGATCTATCTAGTGCGACAGACTCGGAGACAAGAGATGAAATTACCAACGAACCTGGTGACGACAAGGCTACGGCTCGCAAGTGCTTTCCTCCAGCAACGAGTGTTGACGCTGCTGCAGCGGCGGCTGCCCTTGGTCCCATTGAGATCAATCAAAATTGGTTTGCCAAATTCTTCCACATCAAGCCAGCAACTCGCGTTATTTGTCTTCAGATCAGCAAGGGCAAAGCTAGGAAAGAGCTCCTCAAGATACTCAAGGAATGGCGAAAATACGGGATCAAAGATGTAATTTCGGAGCGCAGAACGGGTGGAGATGTAGTTCGTGGTCGCGTGGACGCATCGAATTGTGAGTTTTGCCCGGGCGGTTGCAGGCTGTGCTAACATGAACCTAGATCTCCAGCTCAAGCCGGTACATTTCCACGCCTACCTATATTCTGTCCTCGAACATGGTCGGAAAGCCAATCTGAGCATTCTGAAATTCACACAAGAGAAGGGAGCAGCCAGCAGCTTCTACAAGGTTGTCGACACTCTTGAAGCGGTCTTGAAGGAGCGAGATCTCGTTGTGCTAGACGCGCAGAAGAAGAAGGGTATCGAGAAGAGTCTCAAAGATGCCGGTCTCTGATAAGAGAATTGGACTGTAACATACCGAGTATTTTTGGGCTTGAGCAGCTCGCTCAACGTCTCGTGTACATTCGCTGATCATTCTTGGAGAAGATTGTTGTGATCAGGACATACATTGGATGCGGACTGGTACCCAGGGCTTTTCGTGCATATTATTGGAAGCAATTCCAGGAAGAGGTATTGGCGACAGCTTTTCAGCATTGGGTTTTGTAAAGTACTACGCAGATAGAAAAGCGCCCACGTTTTAATATGCTTGAGGCTCAAAAGGTGAGCGTGTATATGATGTTGCTCCTCCGCTCATAGCGCTGGAATGAATGTCGAATGTCGTCTGCAATAATCTCGACGTCGTTGTTGTCGAAATGCCATCGGGGATGGATAGATTTCCTAATTGGTGAATTCCGACGAGCATCGTAGCCGCTTGCCGACATGGAACGGTTGTATATATTGTGTCAGTCCCTGTCTATCTGTTCTGACTCTATTTCGCCCCGAATCATCTTCTCTTGCTTCGATTACAAAATTGTTTCTCCAGGTCGGGGGTAGAAGGGCCTGCTTCTGGCTCGCCGTAGGCGTTATCACGCATTTTGAAGCATTGACACGGCCATCGCGACCCACGAGGGAAGCTGGTCGATCATTGCTAAGTCCATCCTGAGAAAGCAGGGAAGACAATCACGATGGCGGCGACAGAGAAAGACCAAGAGCTTATTCATATCGCCAAGGGCCTCGACCATATCCCCTGGTGCGAGGACTATGAGAGGATGATCTCGGGCATGTTGTACAACTCATTCGTACCTGAACTCGAATCGTCCCGCTGGCGCGCGCGAAAATGGTGTCACCGGTACAACACCGAATTTCCTGGCCTCGATGACCCGGAGTCGACGATGCAACAGGCAGGGCAGACACGGTACATGATGCTCCAGGGGATTCTGGGACGTGTGGGAGACGACGCGTTCATCGAGCCGCCTTTCTACCTGGACTATGGATGTAATGTACTTTTGGGTGAGAGGTTTTATGCTGGTGTCAAGTGAGTGGCTCTCTACGTTTTCTATCTTCCTATTTTTGCATGGATCAGCCCGTGGTTTGCCCATAGGCGTCGACTGACGGCTTTTCGAATGGGGGATTAGTCTAGTGATTCTCGACTGTTCCCTGGTTACGATCGGCGACCGGGTCATGCTGGGCCCCTTCGTAAGCATTTTCGCCGCGACGCACGAGACTGAAGTCGCTTCGAGGAGGGAGAACATCGAGTTCGCGCGTCGAGTCACGATCGGGGATGATTGCTGGATTGGAGGGCACACGGTCATTTTGCCCGGCGTGACGATCGGTAAGGGTTGTACGATTGGGGCCGGGAGCGTGGTGAGTAGGGATATCCCCGATTGGAGTGTTGCGATGGGAAGTCCGGCAAGAGTGGTTAAGACTGTGACCGCATTGGAAGACATAAAGGGTGAGAGGGCGGCGTTTACCACTGTAGAACGGCAAGGTTGAATGATTCTGGTGCTGGGGGATACTAGACAGTGGAAGGACGCGGAAAGAACGGGAGGTCACTGCAGAGAGATGGCAGAGGGGATTGTATGCGTACTCTTGACCTCTAATGGACAGGTTTGCCGTTGGACAGGGCAAGGAATATGGCATCCATGAGTAGTTACGTTGTCCAGCCTTCTGGAGAAGCAAGTGAAGTGCGTGAATCAAAGGCTCTTCTACCTCGGTTTTTGTGATTGTCGTACCTGCGCCATGTGGATGGCAGAATCTGCTGCATTGAGGTCAGAAGTGCACTGATATCGAGGGAGAAGTGTGTTGCAACAATGGACGGACAAGCGACAGGACGTCTTGGAGCTGGGTGGGAGCGTCGATATGCCAACTACTAACTGAATGCTCCGCCGTTGCTGGCTGGTGCGGACCACAGTAACCGAAATTTTCCGCGACCAAGCAAAGCATTGGAGCTTTCGCGGAGTGACAACAACCCTCCGAAACCTCGAAGGCCGCTACCGTCCACCTACTGCGCTTGTCAAGGATATGTCATAAAGCTATTCTACCGGGGACGATATTTGAAGTCGTCTCGAGCGCGACCACAACTATGGGTGCAGGTCAGTCCAAGCCGGACGAGTCAACCAAGCATGTTTTTGCCAGCGATACGCCCATACAATTCTCACAAGAGTATGCTCCTCCCGATCACACTTGCCAGACATGGCTGACGTAGCTTTACAGGCTCATCGACTCTCTACAAGCATCCGCAGAGGTATGTCCCGAAGCCCCTTGTGCCAGGACTGCTACTGGGACAGACATGCTCACGATTTCTCAACTCTACAGACCAATTCCACCCGCGCAAAGACATTAGAGCTCCACATCGCCCAGCGTGTAGCTGCCGAGCTCGAGAAGATCCGAAACCACGAGTCATCCGCTCTCGAAGAAGCCCGGAAGAAGATCACCGCCGCAAATGAGCAGACCGGCTCCTCAGACTCCTCAGAGCACTCGCTGCTACAAATCCCCTCCATATCTCCCAAAGACCTGCTAGAAAGTAGCGACGAGAAACAGAGGAAGTCCCAGACCTCGGCAAAAGTGCAGCAAGAGATTGAAAAGTTAAAACAGACACTCGGCCAGAGGAAAGTGCTGAAGGAGTTGCCGAACGAGGTGGAGTCGGCGTATGTATAACCACTTGCGCGAAAGCAAAAGCATCAAGGACCACGTCTGATTAACCGTGCGACAGGAGACAAGATGTTATTTCTTGCTTGCGGATAAACGACCGGAAACCACTCGATTGTTGGAAAGAGGTGGAAGTTTTCAAGCGGGCGGTCCGGCAAATGGAAGAGAATTATGTTGCTTCAGTACTATGAGACGTTCCTGGGACGCAGGATGGTTCGCCCGGCTCGCAGAGGAACGAAAAACTGTGTATATACCTAGAGAGAATGGGACAGAATGGCCGGATATTCTTTCCAACTACCGCAGTACTCTTTCTCTTCACCCGACACCCTCCGCTCTCAAGTTATCCTGCTTCGTCCGATGCTGTGAGCGCTCGGAACCGAACATGCTGGTTGCTTGCTTCGTGAGCGAGCTCGAGCCGACAGCGTGAGCTTTTCTGGACTTGCCGTGGCTGGCACACCGTCTCAGCGAAGCTTCTGTACGTCGTCATTCGTGATCGCGTGACTTGCTTATATTGGAACACCGTTGGGCATGCATGGCCAAAAGCTTTAGGTGGGCTGCCTTTCCTGCCACTTCGTCTCTGAACCGTCGAATTGGAACGCTGTCGGTTCAGGAGACTGTGAGCCACAGGCTTCTTCCAAGAGGGGGTGTTGAGCGGGTATTCATGTTCATCACCTTCACGGATGGCTTCGGGGTCCGTTCAGCTCCATTCGTACAACCCACGCTCCGCCAGGCCTAAGCTTTCTGTAGTATCGCTCGAAAAATATAACGCGCTTGAAGCCCCTTTTCGCATACCACTCCAATGCATCCTCGTTCTTCTCCCAGACGTGCGCATAAATGCAGGTCATTTCTGGACTCATTGCGATCGGAGTCGACAAAACTATGTCCAGCAAGATCGTGGCCAGTCCCAGGCTCCTGTATGGCGCCAGAAGAGCCAGCGCATGTATGTAGATCTGGGACGGCATTGGCCTAGCGATCGACGTGTCAGTGTTTGGCGAGCAGGGCTCCAGACGACATCTGATCCAACCCACAGGCGCTGAGGAGTAGAGAACGACCCGTGACGACTGGGCTACAGCCTGATCGGTGAGGGTCGATGTGAAGAATGATTGGCTGTAGTGTACAGGTAGAGTAGTGCTGGTCAGACGTTGAATGGCTGGAAGATGTGATTGCTGGATTGGGGTGATGATGGCTTCTGGGAGATGCGGGACGGTAATGATCTGCGAGAAGTTTTCGGTGTTACTGAAGCCTTTGCCAGCGTTGATGAGAGGTGTTTTGCAAGCAGGCTCGATTTCCGTGCTATTGAACTCCGCGTCCTCTTCGTTCTGGACGCTCGATCCGAGAGCTGTCGGACTTGTAGTTCCTATGCTGGAACACTGCTCTTCTAGTTTGCTGATGATGTTCAATCTGTCCGTCGCTACCAGAGGAGCAAGGCAAGACGCAGATTCTTTCTCGTTAACGGACGTTTGGCCATTCGTGTTCGAATGATCACGCGAGGAAGGGGAGGTAGCTGTAGGTTTGGGAAAGTAAGAGAAGAGAGTGGCCTGCGGCATTTTTCGCAAGGTATGCCCATAGGGTCTCTTAACAGGTACATATTCTTTTCGTCATCTTAGCCCCCATCTTCTGCTGTGTAGACCAGAAATCAAGCACAGTGCAAGGCTCAGGAAGATGGAGAAGAAACAGGAAGCCACTTTACGCGACGATGTAATGCGAGCGCGGGTCGTGCCGGCGCTAAGGCGTAGCTTATCGAAGAGTTGGATCTGCGTTAAGCCTCAAAGGCTGGTGGTGGCTCCATGAACCTTTTGCACTCGTCCCGCGTTTGCTTGCACCTTTGTTCGCTTAATCGTACTTGTACTCACGCCTGTTTACCCTGCTCCTTGCGACCGCTGCGTGGCTGTAAGAATATCTATACCTATAGGCTTGAAGAGTTACGCCTGGCCGCTGCGACGCGCGGGCTTCCCTGCAATCCCGATATCTCTCCATCCGGCCGCCGAGGCCACAAATCTCGTCCTCACGAGCCCTTCGATTTCCTGCGAGACCTTCGTCCTTCGTTGCGGAAACCTGCCTCTCGATACAGGGTTGAACGAATCGCTAGATTCCAACATCAAAACCACATCCCTTTTTTAAATAAGAAAAAAGAGCACACATGGCTAGCTAGCCCTTGAGAAAAATTGCTGGGTGCGGCAGAAAGTCGTGGTAGCTGAATAGAAAAGCACATGTGTGAACGCACCTAGTTCACTACAACAATAGTAAGTGAATGGGCTGGTTCGAATAGTATACGCAAGATGTTATTGTCTTTTCTGCCCATCATGCGTTTGACAGTGCCATGCGGTGCGCACACAGTCCTCCAAGTCTTCCATTACAGCGACTCTTCCAGTACATGGTACACTCTTGTTGGTCACATTGTATGGAGGACTGCAGGCTTGGATTGTATTCTTACTTCTTTGCCTCACTCAAAATGGCACCACCGAGAGCATATGGTTCTTTGTGTCCTAATAGTGTTCTTGATGTCGACTTGTGGAAGCGATTCTATGAAGATGAGGACATCACAGCTGACGTTCCACCACCAGCAAAGAATCCACCAGCAATGTCGACCACCAAACCCATCAGTCTATCTCCCTCCGACACGGAGCAAGCAGTGCGTAGGCTCGCGCTTGTCCCAAGTATTCATACTGACTGGTTCAGATCTCTTACTTGTTGGACCAATCCATTGAAACCATTCTGCATGACATACTCCTCGACATACATCAGGAAGAGAAAATAGCTCGTATGCAAACAGCAGTCGTCGAGATCGAGCAACGTGCCGAGAAAATGGGCAAGAAACTAGCCGAAGACGAACAAAATGGCGAAGCCCCCGATGAGGGAGAAGTCATTGAAACAGACGCTGCCGTGCTGCAAGGCTCACAAGTCCAACTCAAAGGCAACCCAATGAAGACCGTCAAGTACATCAGATGTCCCAATTGCCGACTTCGTCGACTTCTGTATCCGAGAGTCGGCTTCAACTCGCGTCCCGTCCCGGACCCAAATGAACAGTACTGTAAAACTGAACCTATGATCATTCTCGACAAGCATGACGTCCACGGTCAACGCAAGAAAGGAGTCAAAATGAAGGGACAAGCAAAAGGCAAGAACAAGAAGAAGAATGAACCCGCATCGCCGGCTTCTGAAAATTCCGACCCACTCACCCCTGCTTCGGGCCAGCCCAACGACTCTTTTGAGTTCAAAGAAATCGACTTTCCGGCTGCGAAATGCCCGAACCGAGAATCTCATCTTGGCGACCACTGGAAGTCCGTCAACGTCTTCGCCACGCACCTGAACGGAAGCTGTTATCTCAAAAAGGACCGTGCTGCCGGTAGAGAAGCAAATGCAAAGATTGGCGGTACGCCACGAGACAGCCGAGCAAACTCGCCGAAACCGACCAGCAACGGTGTCAAGCGAAAGGCAGATGATGACAGTCCGGGCACTACAAAGAAAAAGCAGAAAATCGGCGATGGAAAGAAAGACAAAAAGGCTGGAAGTGGTCCGAGCAAGCTGCGCGAAACGAATAACGTGGATGATCAAGGAGAGCAGAGTCCTCTGAAAGACGCCAGTGGTGACACGATCCAAGTCACGCCGACGAAAGGTGCGAGAGATGCGAGCAGCGAGCCGACGTTGAAACTCAAGCTGAAGGCTGGAGGCGGTGATGGGACGGCGAAAAAGAAGCCCGGCAAGTCTGGTAAGAAGGCTTGATCGATCATAATGTAAAGTAGCATCAAACTGGCATAGCATCTGGTGTTTCAGGATCATTGGTTGGACGGCGGCAGCTGTGTGGAGGCCGGGAAAGAGCCTGCAGCAAAGACAGAATACAGGTATTGGATCAACGATAGTTCATGTTGACTTTACGTGTTGGCGCTGGACTGTAGCTATTGAAATCGAATCGTCTATGGTATAAAGACAAGACTTGACCGGTCAAACAGCCCGTTTCACCATGATAGTAGAGGCCTTCCTTTAACTTCCGAAAGTCCCTTTCTCTGTGGATTTGCGTCAACAATGTCTTGCGCACGAGAACGCCCTACGCCTTCAACCTGGCTTCGACAATATTCCCAGCCGCGCCGCCTGCCCTGCTCTGCCAAATCTTTTCCAGCTTCAACCCAGCGTCTTCCAGAATTTTACTAAACCCTTCGGCTGTACGCTCCTTACCTCCCATGACCATTACACAGTTGTCCATCGCAGCAGCTGGCAGATCAGCTTCAGACACACGCTTGGGCATGACCATGTCGGCAATGAGCACCTTTGAATCGGGAGCCATTGCGTCACGGATCTGTGATAGAATCTTGGAGCAGTGCTCATCCGAATAGTCGTGCATGATACGCCGGAAGAAATATGCCTTCGCGCCCTTGATGGGTTGAGGGGTCCAGAAATCATGCACCATTGCCTGTACTCCATCAGGCAGTAATTTGCTGGTCTGCGCCTGCTGGATCGGTTCAGGAAGGTCTTGAAGGATCATCCGCTCCGGCTTGAGAGTAGGGAAGGCTTTGAGTATTTGCATAATCGACTGGCCTTGGCCGCCTCCAAGGTCGATGAGCGTGGCTCTGTCCCCGTCATCCTCCGGGTCGTATAGGCTTGAGAAATCGTAGAAGCCAATGATCGGGACCGAGTCTTCTTGGGACGCCAGGCCGAGTTGGAATGCTTTCAGACGGTCGGGGAACTGAGCCATAATGGCCCAGACTGGTACGCCATCCTGACCATGGCGGTGGGTGTAGGGATTGCGGAGAGGGTCGTCGGGTTCGTGAACGGGCACCTCTCCTCGGTCTTTGACGTATTGGTGGAAGTGCACGAGGGTCGAAAGACATTCGTCGTTCCTTTTATAGGTTTTCACTCAGGAAGAACGCCGGCGAAGCGAGTCAAAGGACTTACAAGAATTGGAAGAAATATCCAGGCCCGGGTACCTGGATGTATGCTCTCGAGAACTTCGTATGGACGTACTCGTACTCGGGCGTCTGGTCAAGGAATCCTGTGCCAACGAGCATTCGAAGCATGCGTTCCAAAAGGGAATCTTGAACGTTGGTCGCCTTTGACAGATCGGCCAGTGATATTGAACCTTCATCAGGGATTTTTCCAAGCACACCTAGGCTCAGCATGGTCCGGAGAGCCACGATTTCCAGCATCTGGCGACAGTCAATACCTGGACTGGGGATTCCGAGACTGGCATACATTCGCAGCATGATGCATAGACATGTCAGAAGGAGCCATCATGAGTCGAACAATCTCCTTAGCTACATGCGAGACGCTTGTCCGCGAGATGTAGCCCGCAGCACCTGGACTTGGGTCATAGCCCTTTGCGACTTCGGAGAGCTGCTGAACCAGCTGTTGCAGCTTGTCGCCATCATTCTGCGTAGGTGAAGACATTGTTTCCAATTTCTCGTCGACTCGAGTTATACGAGAGATAATGGGCACCGGGAACCACAGAGGAAAAGATGGCCGCAATCCGCGATTCCATAACTGGCGGGTGCAATATTTAGCCTGCCTCGCTGCAGGTGGGAGCTACAGGAGGTGACAGGAGGTGTCGGCAGTAGCACTGGAAGCTGTCATGTCAATCGACAGCTCACTAAGGTATGCATTGCTGCAGCTGTCTGCATTCATGCTCCCTACAGTGAACTCGTCCTCCGACTGGCGCCGTGCCTGGAAGCGAAGAACAGCAGTTATTGATGGTGAAGTTCACAGCCAATGATTTCTGGCGGGCATGGGTAAAAGAGGTGGGTTTCATCGCCTAGAGCTGCACCTAGCATGGGCGTCTTGCAGGGATGTAAGAAAAAGCAAGGGACATATGTTCGTACTCCGGAGAGGATTTGCTCTTGTCTTAAATGTGACTCGTATCATGAACTATTGCATTAATTGGAGGCGGTCAAGATATATAAGATGCCATGAGTTCTCAAGTCTCCTGAAGATGAAATAGGTGGCTTCCCAACCTGCACAGCCGTCGACTCTTCAAGATGGAGCTCTGTGAAGATTATATTATCATATCGGGATAGACCAAACCCTGTCCAGCACAATGGGTGGCATCAGTGGTGATAGGCTCAGTCTTGTGCATTGTCTACGGCGCTCCCGGTGGGCTCACTAGATAAGCACCAGGCTTCCTCTGGACCTACGGCGTTCTGTGTTAGGCACCCTCATGGCAGTGGTGCCGCTCCGAGATGCAGAACTTCAACAAATGGAACCAGCTCACTTGGCGCCTGAATCAAACCCAAGCCTGCACAGCCTGTCAATGGAACAGTTGGATCGGCAAAATACACACAGGCTCTGTGCGGCGTGCTTTATCTGTGATCGACCATCGTCGATTTCGGCACAGGCATTCAGGGTACATCACGTACATCACTGTTCAGCAGAAGGTCCGGGCGAGATCACCACGTGGTATTCCATCAAGCCACTGTCGCAACAAGGCCCAAAATCCACGCCAAAAATGTCAACCGAGCTCATCTACCACCTACCAAGGATTGCGCATCCAGTTTCCCCCGTGGTTGGTTCGATTAGGGCCTATCTGAGTCGCTGACCGAGGACTTCTCGGCCTTGAAAATCCTACATGGACTAATCAACTGGTATCTCACCGGGGTTCAGACCACCCGGGAACAGTGGGTAGTATGTGACTTCGTGGACTTCCCACACACTAAGCGAGGTGCGGTAACTCTCATCACTCGCCCTCAAGCATGAGATCTCCCAAATCTCCCTCCCGGGCCTCCCTCCATCAAATGTCTCGCGCTCTGCGAGTGGAGCCCGCCACGTGGATGTTCGTTCCTACAATAGTTCAGTAGAAGCGAGCGAGAACCACGTTGCAACCTTCCTTGCGTACCCTCTTCTGGCTGGGCGAACAGTAAGTACATCGTTCCCCGCTTCTCTGTTTCCCTTCATTGTCCTTCGTCTTTATCTACAACTTGGAGAGGCACTTGTAGCACACGGAAAAAGAGAGTGCGCCCGATCGCGAATTCATGGAAGAGATGGAAGCAGACGATAATTTCTCCGACGAAGCGTTCGATGCGCAGTCCACAACCACCAGCTACGTAACGAGGTCCGTGACTGCTCCTGAGCACCTTGGAAGACACGCTGACATGACAACAGTATAGCGAGTGAGATTCGGGAAGGTATTGAAGTGTACGGCCGGAGATATGCCGCATATGGACAACATTTCTATGGACTTCCCATCGACGAGCAAGAACAGGAGCGGAATGACCTGCAGCACTGCAAGATCCTGTTACTGTATGAAGGCCGACTTCATCTTGCGCCGATGACTGCACAGCCTCAGAATATCCTCGACCTGGGAACAGGTAATGGAACTTGGGCAATACAAATGGCCGACACCTACCCATCGGCTTCGGTCATTGGAGTCGACCTTGCAGCCGTCCAGCCAAACTGGGTGCCGCCCAACCTGTCGTTCGAAATCCTCGACGTCGAGTCAGAGTGGATGTACCCTAAGGCGAGATATGATCTGATCCACGGCAGGGAGCTCATTTTTGCAATCCGTGACTGGCCAGGACTCATCTCCCAAGCATACGACCATCTTCTACCCGGTGGGTACCTGGAGCTGGCCGTCACTGTTCCCCAGGTCAACTGTGATGACGGCACTTGTCCTCCAGAGTCTTGCTATCGAGAGATGAGCAGGATGCATTTCCAGATAGCCGAAGCAATGGGCATAGATGGGCACGCCGCTAAGAAGTGGAAGACCTACTTTGAGGCCCGAGGCTTTGAGGATGTCCGCGAAAGAATTTTCAAGATACCCACCAATCGTTGGCCGAAAGAGAAAAGGCTGAAAACCATCGGTGCTCTAGAAGTCGCCAACTTCTTGCAATACTCGTCAGCCGGGTTTGAGAGGGGTGCGGTCGGCTTGTTAGGCAGAGATCCGAACGAGTTGCAGATACTCCTGGCGCAAACGAGGAAAGAAATCATGGATCGCAATGTCCATTCCTATGTTTATTTGTGGGTACCAAGCAGATGATCAGGGACTGGATTTCAAGGCTAACGCTTTCAATAGTTATAATGTTTATGGTCGACGGCCTCAACTATCAAATCCGAGTCTGGAGACTCGCTGAGGACAGTTAGTAATACGGGACGCAAGGATAAACGAGCTATCTGACGTTCATACCACAGTCTTCCCATCTGCGGCTGGAAGATCCTCTGGGTGCGCTCTTCTCCTTCAGGAAAAATTTCGAAGATGGATGGGCCTTTCGGTTTTCAGCCAGGAGATTGCAGGCTTTCTGCGCCTGAACGATTATCAACGCTGAACGAATGCGCCTGCTAGCATTCAAACAGCTGGAGCAGAAACAAGAGTTGGGCTTCAGTGCTGCCAGAACACTCTGCTGCTGCTGCTGCATGTGGATTTCTGATTGGCATGAATTGAGCATGGAGGTCGCCTGGTCTACGAGTCCACCCAGAAGAAGTCCACTTCCGAGAGTCGATGTCGACATTGGCGAAATCAATTATGCTCTGCATAGGTCGAACACCGTTGCACAAGATGCGAGAACAGACGTCTCCAGGACGCATATTCACGTATACCTTTCTTGGCAGCTTGGGCCTAGTGAGCCTCAAGTTAATCCAGCGCCCTCTACGAAATGTCGGCGCGAAGACGGTCGGGTAGCTGACCTGACTTCGCCGGAGAATATCAAGTCAGACGTCGCACCGCAGCAGCATAGCTCCTAGCGTTGGCAATGGTCTTGAAAGCCACATGAAGGCTTGACTTGGTCAGATAGTGGTATTGCCATCTTGATGACTTGGGTACCAGTCCTGCCTTGTCTTTCAAGCAAAAGTCAAGCCTGGGCTATTGCAAGCCTTGTGAGCAGGGAATGTTACCTCGCGCCGGTTTACAGACTAGTCTCTTTCCCCAGAGACTCCGTTGAGGGCGAAGCATTGATGGCCGGATATGCTTTGCTCATGCGGCACAAGCCCTGAACAGGCCAAAACTCATGACAGAACCACACAGCATGTAGACTAAATAGAAAAGTACCACGTCTGTATGCCAGGTGGCAGAGACCTCTCATTAAGGTTATAATTGTGCAATGATCATTATTCTTGTTTAGCAAATGTGTCTGCAATTGGAATTTAGTAGCGAACAAACATTGAGTACCCAGTGGATGCCAGTGACGCATAAGCGACAAGGCTGAAGTGCTACGTCAGGACAAGGCTGAGTGAATTGCACCTTTCGCCGCAGGTCAGTTAAAGTGTAGTCCGACCACTTCTTCCGGTTTTCTAGTTATAAATTTACTACGATTCCCTCGTCGCGAACAATTTTCAGATGAAGTTGCAGCCACAAGTGTCGATACGATGAGTGGTAGTGCGCCGGAGTTCAGACTGAGTGCGACCCTCAAGGGCCACCAAAGTGATGTAAGAGAACCAGACTTGTTCCTTGCGCGAAGACTAAACGCTGAACAGGTTCGAGCCGTCCTCCTTCCCGACCCTTCTTTTGCAGTGACAGCGTCGCGCGACGGCACGACAAAGGTGTGGAAACGAACTTCGACCAGCCCTCCCACCTACGATCCCACGGAATCATCCCAAGGTGCACAGTTCAAGACGTGCTTAGCATATGTTCCTCCCTCCAAAGAATTTCAAGATGGCCTCATTCTCTCGTCCGGACAAGACACGCTCATTGAAGCGAGGCAACCCACTTCAACTGCGGACGTCAGTGCAGATGCGCTCATGGTTGGGCACAGTCACCAAGTTTGCTCATTGGATGTTTGCGCCGAAGCGAACTACTTCGTGAGCGGAAGCTGGGACAGCACAGCAAAAGTATGGGAAATAGGCAGGTGGGAAGCTGCATTCGATCTACCGGGTCACACGGCGACGGTCTGGTCTGTACTGGCCTACGACCGGGAGACAATCATCACAGGATGTGCCGATCGTGCCATCCGAATATTTGACGTTCGCGGCAAGATGCTAGTCTCGTGGGATGGGAAAGATATTGTCCGAGCCCTTGCAAAGCTAGCCAAGGGACACTCTACAGGAGCCGAGATAGCCTCAGCATCCAACGACGGTGTCATTCGGTTATGGACTCTGAAAGGGGACCTTGTCGCCGAACTGTTTGGCCACGAGGCCTTCATTTACTCTCTGGCTGTCCTGCCTTCTGGGGAGATTGTCAGTTCCGGAGAGGATAGATCGGTTCGGATATGGCAGGGAACGAATTGTGTTCAGGCCATCACACTTCCTGCCATCTCAGTCTGGGCTGTGTCTACCTCTCCTAACGGTGATATCATTGTGGGATCTAGCGACAAGCTGGCTCGAATATTTACACGTGACCCAGAAAGAATGGCTGATGCGGAAACTCTGAAAGAATTTGAAGAATCGCTGCAAGCTTCGAGCGTACCACAACAGCAAATGGGACAAATTAACATGACGGACCTACCAGGTCCCGACTTCTTACAACGAAAAGCCGGCACGAAAGAGGGTCAAAGTCAGATCGTCAAGGAGGAGGACGGTAGCGCTTCTCTATATCAATGGTCAATGTCCCAACAAACATGGGTCAAGATTGGACAGGTCGTGGACTCGACTGGTTCAAGTGGGAACAAGACGGCCTACCAGGGAAAGGAGTACGACTACGTATTTGACATCGATATCGAAGACGGCAAGCCTCCTCTCAAGCTGCCTTACAATGTTACTCAGAATCCTTACGAAGCCGCCACCAAATTCCTTCAAGATAACGAATTGCCCCTGTCGTATCTGGAAGAAACGGCCAACTTTATCATCAAGAACACTCAGGGTGCCACGCTCGGACAATCCCAGCCTGCTGGTGCAGATCCTTGGGGTACCGAAAACAGATACAGACCGGGCGAAGTTTCAGGCTATCAACCACCCCCGGCTCCTGCCAAGCAGATTCTACCGCAGAAAGAGTATCTGCCTGTTGTCATTGGAAAGCCAGGTGCAGCAATGGCACAGATCTCCAAGAAGAACGCTGACTACAATGGAAGCGACATGAGCTTGTCAGAGTCGGACATTGAGATATTGACGATTGTGGCACAGCAATTGGAGAAGTACAACTTCCAAGGCAGACCGTCCCTGGCCTCATCAGAGCTCGAATCAGCGGCGTCAGTGCTCTTGAAGGTTGCAACTCAGTGGCAACCGCCTGCGAATCGGTTAGCTGGGCTTGACCTTCTACGCTTCATCGCTGCTGCCGCAAAGGAATTCCCGGCTGCAAGTGCCGCTGGTCTTGATGCAGTGGCCTTGATTCTGTCAAGCGGTATCTTCGATGCTGACTTCCTACGCACATACAACAAGCTGGCTATGGTCGCCATGCGTTTCTTCTCCAATCTGCTCTATGGCTCGCCGTCCGGACGAGAATTGGTCAAAGAACACCTTGAAAGCATTATTGAGACTCTCAAGCCAATGTCGACCATTGTGACTACCGATGTTTCTGTTGCTGTGGCACTCACGACCCTGTATCTCAACGTGGCTGTTCTCATCACTAGCGATAAGACCGGCAATGCAGATGTCAATGCGAACTATGGTCTCTCTCTGGTGGAAGAGTTGACGAAAATCTTGAACGCTTTCCCAGCCGTCAATCATACTGTGACTGCGAGCCCTTCGGCACAATCGACAGAACCAGCCTACCGGACAATCGTGGCGCTGGGTACTGTGCTTGTCGGGCTCAAGCAGGCGGATCTGACCTCTGCGGCGAAGGATATCTTTGACGTTCCCAGTGCTCTCTCGCAGCTGCGGGCCAAGAAGTATATGGCCGAGCCAAGATTCAAGACGGTGGTGGGAGAGATCCAAGCTGTTCTGGGCTGACACTAGGTGATCGGACATTTCAACAATTCACGACGAGCTGGCCAGTGTTGATACGTCTTTGAGAATTTGTTCAACAAGCAAAAGTTGAAACTGCATAGCAGGGGCGCATTAGACTGCAACGAGATCATGAGGCCCAGGCCAAGTATTGGCTGTCTACCAAGTATCAATAGGTGGCTTCAGCTGCTTGTGGACAGAAATGTGAATAGACCATCTCTTCAAATCTTCCATTCCCGCTTGCATCCCCATGCGGACACCAAGTAGTGTAGTAGCGTGATTTTATCTTTGTACAAAAAAGAGATATCTGATGGTATACACCTCTGTTCTTCCTCCAGAGGTTCGTCGACACTCTCCAAGCCTAAAACGCCAGCGCTATGCCGTACAAATAACAGGAGGCGTGGACCAAGTTATACCGTCGCAGTCTTCTCTGGCGCAGATGCTTCCGGCAATGAGGCTTTCTGCTGCGTCGTCCTCGAAGGTTTAGCCTCGACCAATCCGATCTGTAGAGAAGAGAGAGACAAAGTCAGCATCATGTCGCAACCAGGAGTGTTAGTTTTCTTTTCCCCGGCCAAAAACCAAAGTCCAGGCTGCTGTCGTGGTCTCCTCTCGTGTGCCGTCTAGTGTCCTTCACCAGCCGGGCGAGACCTCATTCATGTTGTGGGGAAGGGGCACTTTGTTGGGCTGGGACCTGCTTGCTTACCATATTCAACAACTTGGCCACGGGTTCCGTCGGCTGCGCGCCCACACCGAGCCAGTACTTTGTCCGGGCGGTGTCAAGCTTGATGTCCTTGTACCGTTTTGGGGGGGTCGCGACAGAGGCGCTCGTGCTCACTCCGTCGGCGGCGGGCAGCGGCGTGTCGCCGGGCGAGGCCAGCGGTATCCGCGGGATCGGGTCGTACGTGCCGAGGACTTCGATGGGTTTCTTGCCGCGCGCGGATTTGGCCTGCGCGAGGACGATGTTGTAGACGGGCGCGCGTTTGGTGCCGAAGCGGGCGAGCCGGATTCTTAGCACCATTGTGAGAGAGCGGAGGACGAGCCGTTGGCGATCGAGAGGGGGTCGGAAGGGAGGAGGTGGTGGTGCTGGGAGAAGTGTCAGGCAGACCCGGAGGCGCGAGTACCAGGTGCAAGCGTAGGCGTGGAGGTTTGGTGGGTGAAGGTCGAGGAAGGTCGATATAAAATGAACTAAGTCGCAGTATGGGAGGGACAAGTCACCTGTACAGTATTTGCAGACAGCCTCGTCAAAATTCAGAGTGCACTGATTGGCCTCTGTTGTCTAGAGCTGCGATTGGCTGACAGTGGCAAGGCTTGTAAAGCGGCGAGAACAATGACGATATGCTTTTGATGGGCGACTGCGACGATGACATCGAGAGTGTACGAGGTAGGTAGTACCTATCCCTTACACATGAAGATAACTACGAGTAGCAGTTTAGAAGAGATAATAACTTCTTCCTTAAATACTCCCATCGCCGTTCGGACTGTCTCTTGAATTTCCTGTGGATACTATCATCACCTTCCAGAATCAGACCACCGTTCGACCTGTACTTCCTTGAACTTTACATCCAACTCTCTGAAGTCCAAGAATATCTTTATGCTGCGGACTCTCCTTCCACGAAGGACGATAAAACCATTGCTTACGGCACGGAAATTCTCAAAAATGGCGCTTAAGGTGAGTTTTCTCTGTGTCTACCATTCGATTCGCAAACATTCCGAAGCAAAGTATTTCATTTTGGTGTCAGGTCTTTGTTTCGACTCCCTCTTCCTACTTAGTGACCATGTGGGCTCGACAAGTAAGACTGACCAAACTGCCATCGACACCAACAGACCCTGGGACCAAAACCAGCCGCCGAGCTGGACAAGGAGCTCATGAGCGAAGATGGGGGTTTCAGCATCGATCAGCTAATGGAACTCGCCGGCTTGAGTGTATCACAGGCTGGTACGTCTTTCAACCCGGTCACACCTGAATCGCCTCCCAAAAAAGGAGAGCTATAGACTAATACGCTCCTCGTTGGGACAGTCTACAAAGTCCACCCTCCATCCGAGGGCAAGAACGTCCTCATCGCCTGCGGGCCAGGGAACAACGGTACGTTTCTCTACATGCCAGTGCTCATCCAAATCCCGTCATTCCCTCCGTCCCCCTGTCCGTCTCATTCCGTTTTTCTCAACCGTCCCCGTGTCCACACCATCAGGCCGGCAAATCCATGCCAGCACGTCTAACATCCCTCGTCCATTCCAGGCGGCGACGGCCTCGTCTGCGCCCGACACCTCTTCCACTACGGCTACACGCCGCAAATCTACTACCCAAAACCGACCAACGCGCCCATCTTCACAGGCCTGCAAAAGCAACTCCGACACCTACACATCCCGTTCCTCAGCACCGAGGAAGAATTCACCTCGGCCCTGAAATCCACAGACCTCATCATCGACGCCCTGTTCGGCTTCAGCTTTAAACCGCCCGTCCGCACACCCTTCGACACCGTGCTGTCCGGCATCATCAAGTCCTCCAAGCCCGTGCTGGCCGTGGACATCCCCTCGAGCTGGGACGTCGAAGGAGGACCCCCCGAGGAGGGCCTCGTGGGTCATGAGTTCATGCCCGAGTACTTGATCAGTCTTACGGCTGCGAAACCGTGTGTCAAGCATTATAAGGGCAAGCGGCATTTCATCGGTGGACGGTTCCTATCCCAGGACGTAGCCAACAAGTTCGGCCTTGATGTGCCGGACTACCAGGGGGTGGATCAGATTGCCGAGGTTCCAGTCGATATCAAGGTTGAGGAGAAATTGTAGAATAAGAAATGAAGTCATCCTGATCGTTGGAAAAGATCGGTGGATGAAATGACCCTGATATACCAATAACGATACTTTTGTACGATATTCAAAAAAGATATCGACGAGTGCAGCAACCCGCAACCCTTGTCCTGTTTCCCTTGCAATTGAAAAAACCACTACAGAGAAATGATATGGTCAACAATACCTGTGACTGAATACAGCGACCACTGACCACTCCTTTTTCTACCCAACGCACCACAGCTGGTCAGGCTGGACTGGTGTCCCCACAACAACTCGACAGGAAGCAGTAGCTACGTCCGCAGTCTCCTGCTGCCTCCACTGTTCCAGTATAGCCCAGCGATTCTGCTGCTCGAGCATCACATTTACGGGTAGCGAGGAATCTTGCAGACAAACGGTCACCGACTGTTCCGGCTGCCCCCTTATGGATGTCAACCACAACCCCAAGAGCAAATGTCTTCGTGTTCAGGTCTTGTTTTACTATGACGCCGAGTCGGTCACAGCCTTGCAGTGTATCTCTGAGTTTAGCCCATGCTGGCTGTCCATCGTCTTTAATTGTCCGCTGAGCAATCTGCAACAGGCTGGCCTTGCTGTGGTAAGTTTGTTCCCAATCTGCCCTCGAACAGGCTTGCCTTATCGAAGCCTGCCCTAGAAGGGAAATCCGAGAACCCTTGGTTGTCATATCCCAATACTGGTGAATCGTCTGTTCTGAGGTAAGGGATTTGGAGTGGCGCAAACACAGGGCTGGATACGGAGGGGAGGTGGTCCATCCTCGAACACTGAAGGATAGGATGGACACCTTCTCAGGCATACTAGAACAGGCCGGATATATGTGCACCAAGAGTAATGGGTTGGTATTGATGGTGGATCAATAGATTTGCCTGTCTCATGTCCGCACATGGCACTCTGCAGGCGCACTGCAGGCATATCCGTCGGTAGGCCATTTATCTCAGTTTGCAGAACTTCTCTTCAGGCAGCCACTGCAGCCTCATAACAAGTGATCCAATTAGACGTATTTCTAAGGTGCGTGCGGACGCTCGCATGCATGAGACACAGCCGCAGCCACCTCTAAAACAGTTGGAATCCGTGCTTCCGCTAAGTCGACATTGCACCGTGTATGCAGCATGGGCCTGCGATATGTGCTAGCGATTCATTTCGTTAGAATAGTTTGACGTAAGACAAGTCATTCGTAAACCCACAGGATTAGCTGTACGATACCGCGTGTGTTTAGGAATGCATGCAGGGCCATAAAGTCTAGACCTTGGAGCTGGAGGCAAGCGCTATCAGACCTGAGCGACCAGGAATGCACCTGCGGTTCTAGGCCTGGTGAAGCGAAGCGAAGAACCCGGTCAGGCTGAAGACTCGACAACGAGGTCGCCATTGTACCTGCGCTTTGTGAAGGACATCGCCGGAGGACAAGGTCTTCGCAGGAGGATTAGCGAAGTCTTGACAGGCTCGACAGGATATGAGACTCGATCTTCTAGAGCCCAACGCCGAGCAGTGGGAGATATTTCGACGATCTCCAAATGGACAAACAACAGGCCGGTGATTTAGCTACATGTCGAAACATCGGATACTTGAGAGCTGAGGCTCCTCGTACAGGTCATCGCGGGTTAGGGGAAAGAAGGGACAGAATTTGACGATGAATGCGATTATTTTCTAGCGAGTTGTCAAAAGGCTACTCACGCTCTATCTGGGCAGCAACATGCAACCAACGCTGATACCAAAATGGAAAAGCAAGATATCAAAAGAGGGAATTTCTAGCATTTGCGATTCGGATCGTATAGTCTTCATCTCGACATTCATTCATTATTGCTCACAATAGAAAACAGTCGCAGCATCAGCTGCTCTGTTCAGCACACCATGCTGGGTCATCAACCAGCTGTACCAAAAGCTCTGTAAGCATCCACGCTATCATGCCACGCTCCATTTGAACTCCAAACGCCAGTCACTGCTCTTATCTCCAGTGGGACTGATGGGGATAAGCCATTGTCGAGTGGCTGGCAACCATGACTCGGAGTGCGCTTCATGTGCTTGCCATGCACCGCCCGAAACGGCTCTTCTCTTGCTGACAGGCAACGCCGGCTCAGGTTGTGCTTAGTACCTGTTCACATCCTGCGAGTCCACACACTCTCTCCAACCGCTTCAATCCAGATCAAGTCTTTCATGACAGCGCTTCTTTAATCTTCGCTTTCTGGGCAGCAGTCAGAGAAGTCGGAAAATTGACCTTGACTTGCACGACAAAGTCTCCTCTTTCGCCTGGTTTCTTGCTGAGTGGCATACCAAGACCAGGGAATCTTTCTTCGTACCCAGGTTGAGTTGGCCCAGCACCTGATACGTTCAGTTGCTTCCCATCAATCGTTGTGACGGTCCGCTTCCAGCCAGTGAGAGCCTCCTTAAGATCCAGCTCGATGGTTGTTTTAAGGTCATCTCCATCCCTAGTGAGGGATGCGTGAGGCTTCTCCGTGACGATGAAATGTAAATCTTGAGTTCCACCCTCTTCCTGATCACCCACACCAGAGAACTTGATCTTGGAACCAGCTTTCAACCCAGGCTTGATGTCCATCTCCAAGATCTTATCCTCTGACGCCCGTTGTCCTTGAGCATTGAATGTCTTTCTCTTGATCTTCATTTTCTTGTGCGCACCCTTGTACAGATCTTCCAGGGTTACTGGTAATTGTCGTTCAACAACCGTGACTTCTGGTGTCTGGGGTCGTGGCTGTCTCCCACCAAACCCGCCGCCTCCGAAACCACTAGCGCTCCTTCTAGAGCCGCCTGCTCTACCACCAAAGCCACCACCCAGGAGATTGAAAATGTCCTCATCGTCAACACCACCACCACCGGCACCACCACCTGCTCCTCCAGCACCAGCGCGTGCAAAGCTGGAGAAGATGTCATTGGGATCTGAGAAGCTGAAGCCCGAACCACCATTAGTACTGAAATGGAAGGACCGGGTACCACCACCACCACCACCACCTGGCATGCCACCGAAACTGAAGCCACCAGGCATTCCTCCAAAGCCACCACCGGGCATGCCATCCATGCCCTCTGCACCTGGAGGTGGTGCTTGTCCTCCTCTTAGCAAGAATTCCAGGCCATATTGATCGTAAACCTTTCTCTTCTCAGGATCGGACAGGACCTCGTAGGCTTGTGAGACTTCCTTGAATTTTTCGGCAGCGTTGGGGTTGTCTTTGTTCTTGTCCGGGTGAAATTTCAGAGCAGCTTTTCGGTATGCTTTCTTGATTTCATCTTGCGTGGCAGTGGGGGAGATTGAGAGGGCGTCGTAGAGTTTTGTTTCTGCTACCATAGTGAATGATGTTGTCTATGATTGGGCGAATCGATTGGGTCAATGCGAGAAGTATTCTTGTGGTGGAAGAGATAAAGGGAAGAGTGGGAGGACTTAAGACGCGGAAGGACGAGGCTGTGTGACGGGAGGAAAGTGCCGGGGTGCGGCAATTAGTCGCGTCAAAGGGTTGGACAATGGAAGAATCGAGTGACTTCAATTCTGCAGTAGCTCGTAGCTGGTATGAAGCATTGAAGAGGAAAATGCAATGGAATGATCCAAACTGCGCAACAAGTGACCTGAGCCTGAGCCCGAACGATGTCATTGTCGGGTGGCCCACTCTTTTTGGAGGTTTCTAGATGCTTCTACTCTTTGGTTGGCTAGCCCGAGACATGAACCCTGAAAGCGACAGCCTCGTCAAGAACATCAAGAACATCAAGAACATCGAGACATCATCAATACCAATGTACATTCAATGGGATCTCAGTCACTGCTTCCATCTGCCCTCCACCGTCTTCTTCCTCACCAAAGGTCTGATCGCCATCACACCCACAGCAAGGGCAACCACGGTAAGCACAAGTTGCAGCTTATTGAAACCCTTCCCAAGCACATCAAACGCCATACTGGGCGTAATCTGAGTTCCAAACACATCATGTCCGTATGCAAATACCACACTGGTGCTTTCCAGTAAGCTTGGTGAAGCCATCACCTTCTTAATACCCATCACTTCCCTTGAATGGGTCAAGAACCACTTTGGGTCCAGCTCGAGGACTGGAGAATATCGCATGAGCCCTTCTTCCCGCTCCGTGCTTGTCGCATCACGATCAACCGGTCTTCGAGCATCCAGGACTTCGCGAGGAATGCCAATGATTGCATTCGAGTTCGGCAATGTTGCAAGCAGCTGTCTGCTGGTGATGCCTTGTATCGTTTGCGACACCGCCAGGTGGGAGATAGGTTCGGCGACGGTGAATGCTTGAGAGATGACGTGAGGTTGCACCCCAGCGTCGTGTGAAAAGGTCGAAAAGTTCGACCGAGCTGCCAATGCACCACGATCATTCGCGATTGACGATTCATAAAGCTCGGAAATGATAATCTGCGTTGACAAGGCCGAAGTTGCAGGATCTTGACTTGTGAATGAGTATGCATACCAGTTTTCAGATAAAACAGCAGGTATTTCCGATCCAGATAGGACCCCTTGATGAATCGAAGTGTGGAGAACGGCGCCAGTGACAGCATTGATCAGATACACCATCAAAGTGGTGTCGGACTGTGCAATCAGAAGCGCCACATTGGGCGACAAGTACTTGTAGAGTACAGATCTGTCTCCAAGTACTCTTCCGATAGAAGCAACTGGATCGTGTTCTGCTCGGGCCACGGCTTTGGTCACCTTCAACCCATTCTGAGGCTGTAGGACCCAAGTCTTCTCGACTGTCTGTCCAACAGTCCAACCGATTGCCTTTCCGTCCTCGTTGACAGTCACCACGACGTTGCCCTCGGACGGGTGGCTCGGAGAAAAGTCCGTGGCGGGACGTGGATTGCCACTGGAGTCAACCTTGATCGTTGCAGCTGCCGGGCTGCCCGGGATTCGCACCAAGTCGGCAATGGGGATAGTCCCTGGTTGATGCTCGATCAAGCTGCCTCGCGTGGCATTCAAGACTACAAGAGATCCGTCGGACAAATATGTTGACACTCTCCCATCAGTCACTGTGATCGATTTCATCTCGACGCCATCAGCAATGTGTGAAGAGAGATCCTCTTGCCATCTAAGAAGGCCACCATTCGATACATCAAGAGCAATCAATTCCTTCCGGGATGTGCCGACAACAACAACTTTTGAGCCGACAAGGTTTTTCCGTGCTATTGCTTCAGCGTCCGAAGATGGTTTAATGATTGCTGCTGGAAGAGATGCGAGAGAACTGGGCAGGGCTTGGAGATCAAGTAGATGTCGCTTCAGCCGATGCAAATATGCTGTCAAAGGATTGACAGATAGTTCAAGATCGAGTTCTTCTGCCAATGGATCTGGTCCTGCGTCCTCAACCCACGCAGCGATATTTGCGTAAGCAAGCATCTCCGGTCTCGCCCACTGCAGCTCTCCATTGCGAACCAGAGACCAGATCCCGTTGCTCGAGATCTCGGCGACCCGTACGGCGAAACTGGCTTTTCCCCGGCTCACAACTTCAGCAGTAGCATACAGAGGCCCGCTTCCGGCCGATACTTGAAACCCTGATCTATTCCAACGGCCAAGTTGCCCATGAGACTCGGAGGAATAGAGAAGAACCTCAGTGTCTGTGATCCGGACAAAATACACAGCTGCATTTGTGCTGGTTGCGGCAAATGCACTCTTCTCTGCAGTTGCTGGCAATGTGTAGGCTTTCTTCGCCTCGCCAGATTTGACGTCCACGTGGTAGACTTCCGCCCATTGTCGCGTCTTGCCTTGCACGTGAAGGAGGAAGTGAGTTGCCGCAGCAGGGTGGCACGGGTGATGCACGCTCACTCGGTCGATCTCCTCGCCTTTATCCTCTAAGGCTAATGTGACAACCTTTGAGCTTCCGAGAAGATTGAATTTGATGGACTTGAACGACTTCTCTGCTGACAGCAGGAAGGGGAAGCTCGAGCATGATGCTGCTGCGTAATGTCCCCCCATTCCCAGAGCCTCCGAGTCCACGGCGATGCTGGTCTGTTCGACCTCATGACCAGAAGCATTGTCCAAGGTAACGACTTTGGCCTTACTGCCAGCTAGTAGACCATGACTTTTTGAAACATAATATGTATGCTTTGAGGATGTTGCGATCGAAGTAGACGACCCTTCGGTGTGGCTTAAGTCAACATGTTGCCATGTAGGCCCGCTCCCGTCACCAGCAAGACGGAAGACCGTCGCATGCGCTGCAGAATGAGTTGGCACAGTCAAAACCACAACATCTTCAGAAGCACCAGTTGAACCCGAGTCCGTGGCTGGGACAGCCTGCACTCCTTGGATCCTTGTTCCATCTGGAACAGTATATTGCCAAACCAGTCTGCCGTCCAGAGCATTCCAGCATGCAACGGTCCTATCGTGACCACTTATTATCTGGCCGTCTCTTTCCGATGCAACCAAATATGAACTTGAGGAATTGTCGATTGGCTGGCCAGCCAGTGCTTGACGCCACAATAATGAACCATCTTTCGGATTGACAGCGCCTAAAACTGCCTTGTCGGATATTGTGTAGAGGAGAGAAGCGTTCGTGGAGGTGTGCGGTTTATGGAAGATGGTATTATGGGGTTGAGGTTCGCCTAAAAGTTCGTAGGAATAATCGATGTGAAAGGCATCATCGGCGAAGATTGCATTCGTAATTGCGAGGAAGGATGTCAGTATGGACAGAGCTCCATACAACCTCATCCTGAACCTCGGGGTGAGCTGTTGTTGGCGATGGCTGCTCGTGAGTTGAGTCTGGACATTTACTTGCCCGTGGATGAGGATAGAGTATGGACCAGAATGTCTCAGTCGCAACGAGGCAAGTGAGCCGAGACTGATAAGCTACTCGTGGTGTCGTGGCTACTGTACCAATACTTTCTGGCTTGCTACCTCTCTCTGACTTCCTCACTCCCCACCGATCTTCTGTATGGGAAGCTTTTGGCCTACTCGCAGGTGGACCTTTGCATCATGACCACAGAATCCAATAAAAGCTGGCCTCGCGAGGGCTACCGACCGGAGTGGCTGGCGGTAAGTTCATCATTCAGCCTTCCGCTGGGTGCCCTGTACCACTCGGTCTGTGCGTGGACTTGCAGATTGACAGGTCACACAGCTTGAAGATGCATCAGGGGGGAGATATGCCATGACTGGTAACTTTGCAGTTGATGTGCCGACCTATGATGCTGTCTTCGCGGCCTTCTCCAAACAATGGCCCGAACTCCCTGAAGAGATGAAAGTTTGTGAGTGAGTTTCACGCTGTGAAGTGTCAACTCCACCACCCTTGGTTGCCTCCAGTGCCTTCCCTGACGACAATTATCTCCAGGGGATGAAAAGACCGATAGCCAACATGGGGAGCTCGATGTCCGGATCTACAAACCAGCCTCGGACAAACCTCTACCTTTGATGATTTACTTTTCTGGAGGTGGATATATTGCCGGCAATCTTGATACTGAAGACGCTCACTGCCGTATCTTTGCTGCGAAAACGCCATGCTTGGTCATAAGCGTCAACTATCCGAAGGTTCCTTCGGTCAAGCTGGATGATATTATCAACCTTGGAACGCTAGCTGTACCTTGGGTCAGGCCTTTGCAAATTCGTCACTGGGACTTTGCTGACTTGACCAGTGCCGCGAAAAGGCTCAACACTTGGGCGATGATCCATCCAAGACTATTTTATGTGGAGGGTCTGCTGGCGCCTTCTTGTGTGCACAGGTAGCATACCGACTCATGTCGGAGGGAGACCATACAACCATCACCGGCTGTGTACTCTTGTTTGCAGTCGCTCTTCATTGGGAATATGATGGCAAGTACAAGCACATGTACACGGCGTGGGACGAGAACGGAAATGCTGGCACTCCTGTATTCGGGTTGGAACTTGCCAAATTCATCTGGTGTAAGTACTCAGCATCGGACCGAACGTGGGCTGGGGCTAATTCTGGGCAGCACATTACGATGTCGACTTCAGCAGTCCACGCCACTTCCCGCTTCTTGCAGACGATCTTTCGAAGTTTCCTCCATCCTATATCGTCACGGCAGAGAAAGATTGCTTCCGGGATGATGGAAAGCTCTTGGATTACCGACTACGGGAGAGCGGAGTGAGGAGCAAGCTCGACCACTATGAGGGTCTTCCTCATTATTTCCACGTCTTTCCTCAGCTCGCAGTTGCGCATGAGGCGATGGCCAAAGCGGTTGAGGGGGCCAGGTTCGTCCTGGAATAGCTGCGTTTGTACGGGTGAAGAAAGACTCAAATCTTCGAGCAGTCCTCTCCTTCCCCCACAAAGCAACGTGTACATGCAGCACCTTCAGCAAGCGCATGAACTTCATTCGTCCAAACACGCCGAAAGCAACGAAGCGAAGGCTTCGAGAGTGAATCGGAGCTTCATAGCCTCCGCTAGCCTCAATTCTTGCTTCGCGTACGGAGTAGTGTACGGTGTATAGCCAGTGTATAGCCAAACCATATGGCAGGACGCATGATTTTCAGATGAAGCCCGCTATACAGTATTGGGCGCGGTACCGGTCTGCTTCCTCGCACCAATCCCAGCAAGACAGCTCCCACAGTAGGTGGATGATCGTAGGTAAGGTTCAGCTAACGGGTGGGCTAGGAAAGTGCCTCTCTCTAGGTGTGACGCGTTCCCTAGACATCCCACTCAGACATACCTATTGGGTGCCTAATAGGTGCCTAGGTAGGTGGCATGGGCGACGGAGTAGTCTCCCGAGTCTCCTTGGCCTGGAACTAAAAGATGCTCTGGCGGCCATCAAAAATCATATTCGGTGCTGGGCGCCCGAGCGTTTCTTGTAGAAACATGAGAAGCCCGGCAAGACCCGCAAAAATAGTGGCCCTTCCACGGCTTCCATAACTAAACTTCCCACTTCGAGGGAGATCAAGGTTTTCTCTTTCCTTGTTCCCTTTGTCAATTCATTTTTTGCTCGAGACGTCGTCCTGCTGTTCAATCTTGCTCCAGGCGTCCAGAGTCTCCGTTGCTGACTGCCAGCAACAATCCAAAGGAGCGTGACGTGGGTTGTGGACCCATATCTGCAAACTGCAGTTCGCGCAAAGATCAATCTAGCGGGGCAAGGGGGGTTTCTGACGGACCTTGATCCCTGGCGCCTCGTGGCAAAGAGCGCGTCTTCATCGGTTGCTTGTGCTCGTCTTCTGTTTCCTCGAGACCTCTGTTGCGGTGGTTGAAGGCAGGGCTGCAGGACACAATGTCTCCTGAGGTAGAAGCCGTTGGTGAACAACAACATTCCAGGGCCATTGCCCCCGACCCTGTACGTCAATCGCTCTGATTTGGCCGTTGCGAGAGGAGCATTGACAGAGACTGTGTAGATGATCGAGGACGACGACGACCCCACATACGGTGATGATGCGTGAGTCTAGCTTACCTGCAAGTAAAGGAAGCCACACAGACAGCTAACATGTTCGATTGCAGTATGACTGAAACAACATCCATCTCGTCATGGATACGAGATTATCGTGTGGAAAATGGCCGGACTTATCACTCATTCAAGGATGGGAAGTACTGGTACGTCAGGTCTGTCTTGCAGAGCAAGAATACCACTTCTGGAGGACATTCCGTTATGGACTCCAGGCCGACACTGACTTGTCACTCCCAGGGGCTCCAACGACGAAGCAGCAAATGAACACCTAGATATCGGCCACAATCTATATACAAAATCACTCGGTGGCCGACTATTTCTCGCCCCCATCGATCCTAATCCCTCTCAGATCCTGGACCTAGGCACAGGTACTGGCTCATGGGCAATCGATGTCGCCGACACCTACCCTTCCGCCATTGTCATCGGCACCGACCTCTCACCCATCCAACCATCCTGGGTTCCACCCAACGTGCGCTTCGAAATCGACGACATGGAGTCCGACTGGACATGGCCGACAAACTCCTTCGACCTGATCCACATCCGCGGTCTGCACGGGACGATAACCGACTGGCCCGCACTGTACACACAATGTATGCGGGCCCTCAAACCCGGCGGCTGGCTGGAACAGGCCGAGTATTCTGCGCAATTTACCAGCGATGACAACACTGTCCCTCCGGACGGCGGCATTGCAGCCTGGAACCGCGTTGGGCCCGAGTGCCACAAGGTCCTCAATCGCGAACTGCAAGTCCTCGACGGCATGAAAGACCGCATGCTCACTGCGGGCTTCGAGTCCGTGATCGAGCACCGATTTAAATGGCCGATAGGACCGTGGCCCAAGAAGCCTGAGCTTAAGGAACTGGGCGCCTGGTCGCGTGCGCATATCGAGACCGGCCTGGAAAATTGGACATTGCGCCTGCTCACTAGCGTTCTCGGCTGGACGGCGGATGAGGTCAGGCTGCTATGCGCGAATGTCAGGCGCGAGATTAGGAATCCAAAAGTCCATGCTATTCAGCGGATGAATGTGGTTTATGGGCAGAAGCCCGGCGGGAAGATGTTTGCCAATACGTGACAGTCGACCGAGCGATTTGAGATTGTTTCGTTCCCGAGTGATTCATGACGGCCATGCGGACATGGATTATACCGATTTCAGGACGATCGGAATGGGGCGGTTTTCTTATCCTGAATGCGAGTCGAGTCCAGATCTTTAGGGGCGGGTTCATGAGACATGGTAACGACATGGAAGCAAGCATGAGGATACGGCGCCAGGTTTGGGTTTGCAGGCTTCAACATGCATTTGCGGACAGAAACGGCGAAGATTGGGAGGCTCAGGCTCTGTCCTGTGGAAATACCTGTTACACGGAAAGAGCATAAAAATGACGACTGGGGTTTACTAGGGATGTGACGTCCTGTAACGTCTTGTCATTCATGAACGGGTGGCGCACGTATAGCCAAAATGTTGTACATAGACATGAAGCAGCTAGCCTCATGCCTCAAAAGTCGTATTCATTACATGGCATAGCAAATTTTTGACCCAATCATGCCCCTTCTTTGACACAGCAGTCGTCAAAGATTGCCCTCGATCAGCGAGGACAACGGATATCGACACAAGGCCTTCCTGTTGAAGCGATCACAGGGCCTTTCTTCCTGTGGCGCCGCCTTCACAATCATTACTATTACTGCCTTGTCTCCCTTATCCTCAATGAACATGCGTCCAATTCCCACTCGGCCTAAACGAAATGGGCGTCTCTTCAGCTACAACGGCATCTTCTTCCGCTTTGGACGATCGCATCAGTTCCACAAGGTCTTGTATTTCCTCCTCGTCGAGGCCAATCCGCTTCACCACGTCGCGCATATCGGATTCCGCCTCTAGCATGTCCTTTTCGAGGTTGACCAGCTGCTGCATAAGGCTGAGCCTCTTCTCGCGAGCCTTCCTTGCCGTCGAGTCTTGCGGGATCCCGTCCAACTTCTCCCGGAGTTTTGTTGCTTGTTGTGTTGCCTTTTGCAGGTCGCGCTTGAGAAAACCGTACTTCTTGACGTCCCTCGGGCGAGGTGCTGGTTTCCCCTGCGCGGCCAATTTGTCTATCAGGTAATGATCTGGACTCAGAGGAACACGAGCCTGAGAAGCACCCGCGGCGTGCGTTTCTCGCGGAGATATTGAAACTCTTACGGATGTTGCAACAGGCGTCTGGCTCGTACTAGTATCTTTCTGCCGAGCTTCGTCATTACTTTTGGTTCTTTCTCCGCCTTGGTCAAGGACTCCAGGTCTCGGACGGCTTTGCTGAGGCGGTATCGCGAGCTCTCCAGATCGGTCGGATCCCTCCACCACATGTTGTCGCCATTCAGCCAAAGACCCGGACCATACGAACATAGCTCGGTCGGGGACGTTCTCCATTTTTGCGCGCGACGAGTTTCCGGCTTCAGGCCCGAACACGGAAATCGGCCTTAGAGATCCGCCATCGCTCCAGCATTCGAAAAATACAGGCGGATCTTGAAGAACGGCCCATGACCGGAAGTTCCGGGCCATAGTCTTGTGGACTCGAACTGCTTGCTTGGAATCTCCCACTTCCATAACGAGGAGTCTCGCCCCAACCGCTTTGAAAAGTCGTGTGAGTGGCCAATAGAACAGATCGCCAGAATGCACTGACGGCTCCTCATTGGGGACCAATGCTAGTTTCGGTTCAAATTTGCGGACACTGGACTCTGTCTTCCCACCGGCTGCATAGTCCTTTGGCGAGATGTAGGGTGGATTACAAACAATCACATCCCACGTCTCGTCTAAATTTTGTCCCGGTCGAGCACCAGGTCTGGAATTGAATACCTCACGAATGGTTCGTCCTTCGTCAATCTTTGCCAGGTTCAGTATGTCTTCCTTCATGAAGGACACGTCCGAGGCAGCGTCCGGGTGTAGCAGGTTCTTGGAAATGTTGTGTTGTAGATTTTCGTGGGCCACCTCGATGGCTCGCGGGCTCATATCAACACCGAGTATTTCCAAGTCATAATAAGACGGCCAGCGGTCTCTGCTAGTGATGTCTGGAATCGGTGGCTTGAGGATAGAATGAATAAGCAGTGCCATGCAGCCAGTCCCGGTGCAAAGGTCCAGAATTCTGACTTTTCTGCTGTTTTTGGATCCAGCTTGTTCAGCTGCGCGAACGGCCTCACCGATAGTACGGAGAAGAAGTCTCGCAACTTCTTCAGTGTAGACCTCAGTTTCCGGCCTGGGGATCAATACGCCACCGGGCGTTAAAATGTCCAGGCTTCCAAAAGGCTGGTTCCCGAGGATGTATTGAAGCGGCATACCTCGAGATCTATCTCCTACAGCTTTCGTCATGAGTTGACGAATCGACAAGTCGTCAGCTTCCGAATTCTGCAGATTGGACTCGGATTTGCCGTGCCGAGCACCATCGACTGTAGTAGAGTCGTCGCGCAAAAAATTGCTTGCTCTGGGTTCAGTTTTGGGCACGGGGAAGGTACTGTACGACATAGCAACCTCTCTCTCGCCGGTATCCTGAACATTGACCGCACGGCTTTGCGCATCGTCAACTCCAGGGTTAGTGATTCGGTTGGACTGTAATTGCATGTATTTCGGTACCTCAGATTCGAATCTGCGAACTCGTGGAGCTTTATGTGCCGAGTGTTTTCGGAAGCCTTGCGTCGATATGATCCTGTTAATGTACCCTGCAGTATGACCTGGGGTTGATTTTTTGTCTCCCACCCTGGACGTGGATTTGGCCTTCTTTTTCGCAGGTGATTTGGATTCCCTCCATGTCCACTTGGCTTTGGCGAGTGGACTATGCGACGTAGAGAAATTTCTTTCCGTGGGCATGCCATTGCCCTGGACGACGGACTTCGAACGCATTTGTCCATGATTTTGTACGAGGACTCCCTCCCGCAGAATATTCACCTCATGCCTGATCTCCCGACCTGGCAAATCTTGCTCCCCCGGGTCACCACTCGCACACTTGACATCAGGGTATTGGCCATGGTAAAGTCTGCGTTTTCGCGCGGCGACCGTTTCTCGAGCATAGTCTTCGAGCCAGCGAAGCTCGTTTCGAGCCGAAGGAAGATCGCGACAAACTCGAAGTAGGAGCGGCAGGAATGGATTCTCATGGGCAGCTCGGCGGATCAGAGCTGGAGGCAGGCGTGGCATCTGAGTTACATTGTCTACCCGCACGACCTGCGATATCTCGGAGACAATGAATAGCAGATGTTGGAACAGAATTTGGAGAATTCTGGAGGGAAAATGTACTGCAGTCAGACAGCTTTTTAGGCATAATTCCTGCGGATATCAAGGCGACGCTATTCTGTCAGACATTCTCAGACTCGCCTTTAGAAGATGCGCACTGATAAGTTTCTCCACCGCACTCATCTGCTCATCTGCTCATCTCCTCATCTGCTCATCTGAGTGCCTGCATAAAACAGTAGAAGACGTGTTGATCTATCGAATTAGTGCGCTCACACCCGTCGAACATCTCCGCCTGTAACTCCATACGAAGCAGATATAATGGATCATCCTCGTCATTCTGGCCTGCTTCTCAAACCTAAGCTCCAAGTTCCTGTTGGCTCTCTGGACCAGTCATCCTTGACTACCAGCACCAAATTCTTCTGTGTCATAGCCACCACAGTATTCTTGCAAAATGGGTAAAAAGGTCCTGGTCGGATATGGGGTCGATGTCGACGCCGTCAGTGGCTGGATCAACACACAGACTGGCATCAAGGCGGACGTGACTAACATTTCGCGTGGTGTCTTCGGCGCCACTGTTGGCGTAGACAGACTACTCAAGCTATTCAACAAGTACAGCATCAAAGCAAGCTGGTATGTTCCGGGGCATTCAATCGAGTCATTCCCTAAACAGATGGCCAAAGTCAGGGACGCAGGACATGAAATGTAAGTGGCCCTTGGGCTGTGTGTCACCGCTGTTTGCTGCTGACATGTGGTTGCCCAGCGGACTTCATGGCTATACCCACGAATTCGTGTCTCAATTATCCCCCCGGCAAGAGCGGGAGGTCCTGCAGAAATCTGTGGATGTCATCACTTCCTTCACTGGCAAGAAGCCGCGAGGGTGGACTGCTCCCGCTTGGACTCCTTCTCCCAGTACAGTCAAGCTGCTTGAAGAGTTTGGTCTGGAGTATGACCACTCTTTTATGCATCATGACTCCCAATTGTACTATTTGCCTTATCCACCAGAGTCGTGGAAGGAAACGGACTACAAGACGCTCTCGGCTAACGACTGGATGAGCCCAATGTCCACTCTCAAGCCATCATCAATTATCGAAGTCCCCGCCAATTGGCATGTTGACGATTGGCCGGCTTTCCAGCCATTACGGGGACAAGGCTCATCAGGATTTGTCGACCCGCATCAGATTGAAAGGTTTTGGCAGGAACAATTCGAGTTCTGTTACCGAGAATACGATCATTTCGTGTTTCCAATTAGCATTCACCCTCAGGTCAGTGGTAAGCCGCAGATTCTGATGATGCATGAGCGGTTGATCGAATGGATCAATCAGCATGAGGGAGTCGAGTGGTGCACGTTTGAAGACATGGCCAACAAGTTTAGAAAAGGCGAGATTCAGGGCGTCCAAGTCGAGGCAGGTGTCGACTTCTGATCCGGGAAGTGGCGAGATCCCTGCCTCCCAAGGACAGCTTGCGCCGTCTTTCATGGAAACAGTGCATGAGGGTTAGGCACGATGAGGAATTTTTTCGTTCCTTTGGCCTGAAAGCACGACGAAGAAAGTTGTTGCAGATTGTTGGGACACATGCCACAAGGACAAGACATGCATTGAGAAAAAGGCATAACTAATGTCTAGTGAGGATGGGTTTAGACAATATGCACTCCATGCGCATCTCTACCTATTCAGGTAGACCGCACTTGTACCTGGCGTCGAACATGCATTCAATAGTGCGTCCCCGTCTGCTGTGGCTGCCTTCCACCATTTCCATCCGGAGTCCCGGACCTGACTTCCCTGTCCAAGACGAGAATGGATTTCGGAAGGCGTCTTCCAGCTGCCAGCTTGCAGTTGGGCTCCGAGAAATGCTCACATCGTTCAGATCTTAACCATGTCGTGTCACCCACCCGGCATCACCAACAGTGCACAGCAGGATCGTTGGCAAACACAAAGACGAGGCAGATCCCAATAGCGATGGTGTCTGTGCGCACCTGAGGCAGAATTAGATCGTTATGCAGGCATCGCATGGAAGAAGAGGCGCAGAATGGGGCGGGGATTGGCGTTGTCAGCCTTCACCGCTTTTCTGGACCTCACTTTCTTCTTTACAACATCCTCTACTGGATGCCCAACAATCAATCTTCTGCAAGACCGGCTACACCGATATTCTTCTTCTCGTTTCCCCACAACGTTGAATCAGGCACCATGTCGGCGTCCAACAGTTCCGGCTGCACAATTTCTCCTACCGGCGTCAAATAGCTTCGATTTTGGGCCCACCAGGTCAGACCCAGTATAACACCGATATTCTGGTTCCGATTCTGATTCAACAGATGCCTTGTCCTGACCTTGCATGGTGCACTGCATCGCATGGCAGGGGAAACGCTAAGTCTTCTGTTTTCGCTCTGGACTGGGCGTCCTGACTACGGCACCAAACCGCCACGGAGTCACCGCATTTCCTGACAGCTGACACAACTTGGATCTCCCAGAGGATATCTGCTTCGGGCCAAATATGCGTGAGACGGTAAGATGCATTACGTCTGATTTGATGGCTCATGCTACACACCTCGCCTTATCCAACCCTCGTACACCGAATCCGAATGACTGGGGCATAAATGCTACTAGATCTATATATCACTCCTTTTCGTCCCATTCTGCCCTGAGACCACTGTCACATCTCATCCATCGTTTTCTCATTCAGTCTATTGTCTTGACCTACCATCAGGGAGCATCGACAGGGAAACGCGAACTCCCACTGTTCAGCAGACTTCGGAGCTCGGCTTAAACATCGCTATGGAACCTCCTATCAACATGGGACGAGGCCACTATGACGTTGCCGGGGTTCTCAAACCGATGGGTCCTCAAAGGCCATCTACAAAGTGAACAAATCAAGCCGAGAGGCCATCGGAGTCCGTCAGGTACGGGTTGCCACGCTTGCGGTTCGGCAGCCCACAGTCTGTTGCCCTTTCATGGGCTTCCGTGCTCGATGCCCTCGTTCTCGACTTCGATCAATTCGAGTCCTATCACCCTCCAACTCTGTCAATCAGATCTTCTCCATCCAATATAATAACGACAACGTGACCCAAAATACAACATACGACCACTCTAACAGCTCAAAATTACGACCTTCCACGACCCTCTCCACACAATCCAAATCATTTCAGTGTCATACGCCCCATCATTAGGGTCAATTGTCGGACTCCAACAGTACACCGCTACAGCTCTCACGCAATCACCTGGACCCAGCAACGTACTGCCCGGGTCTTACCTGTCTCTTCGATGCATGACGGAATACTTGCGCAGTCATAGTCAGCAAAAGGCAAGATCATGTGACGGGCTTCCCTGCCTGTGAGACGGACAATGAGACCTTACCTTGTGACTACGGCCACGACTCCAACTTGGCTTCAACTTGGACTTGGACTTTGGACTTTGGACTCAAGATGCTCTACAAGACCCATTTCACCGATAGGATGGTTAGATATCGTGCGTTGTGATGGTTGCATGTCGTACAACGCAGAACGTATGTAGCAGCGCCTCGAACCAGCTGAGCTGTCTCGCAGCCTCTCAAAATTGTTCACCACAATATTTTTGACACCTGGACCGCGCAATGATACTATTTTCTGCCAGGGCCAAGAAAAAGGAGCTGAAGCTGCAAACGACTGTTACTCGCAACGAAGTCGCGGGAGGTCAAGAGCTGAAGGTTACTACTACCTTACCTTATGTAGGGCCAGGCTCACTAGGCTGTAGGATGACATAACAACGCCGTGCATTCTTGCATCGCCCTACGGAGACTCCGTGTGCTAATCTCAGCCTCAACTTCTTTCTTTCTTTTTCGCTAATGCTTTGCTCTGCTTCGCTTCGCTCCGCAACAGTCGAGTTTGTTCATCGATCATTGCTTCTTGGAGCCTACTACGTATCTTTTCCGAGTTTCGAATCTTTCCAGCTACTAGTATACTAAGTTAGTATGTGGCATCCAGTTGGACAGAAACGATCGCTGGCTGAAGTTCTTCTTGAATGTCCATAGATAAGACTTGGTCGGGAAACAAAAGAAAAAGAAAAGCTCGCCATCGGTATTCCATACGGAGTAGACATGTCCATTTTTCTACGAGACCGTTAGGAGTACACTAGTCCTCTGAAACACTGTAAATTGTACTCCGTAGTCCGATTTGATTTCCAGGTCCCAGCTACTCAGTACAAAACGCCACAACCATGCTAAATGGGGTATCATGTCTATAGATCAAAAAAAGATAGTTGTCCTCTCGAGACATCGTGGTGCAAATCGAGGATATCCGGGGCAAAGGACATCATAGATGGCAGATGGCAGACGGCAGCTCGCAACTCGCAGAGAGTGAACGTACACCTGAAAGAAAAGCGAAGAAAGGCGCCGCTCAAGTCCTCTCCAACCTCGCAATCTCACTCTTCAACACCGCCATCACACTATCGGCCGCAGCCTCGATCTTTGTCCGTTCCACATGTGTCGCCTGGCCCAGCACCCAGGCACTAACATCGTCTTTCTCTCGTGATTGAGGCCGACCAATTCCGATGCCGATTTTGATGAACCGATCACCCATTGAGGGCAGCATGCTCGCGGATTTGAGTGACGACTGTATCGATTTGATTCCGTTGTGGCCCTTGGGGCTGGTCTCGCCTCGGCGCAGTTTGATCGTGCCGATCGACGACTCAAGCTCGTCGTGCAAAATAACCAACGCAGTAACAACGTCGGAGTCCGGAGACGCAGAATGTAGGGTGTTGAACTGTTTCCACGCCTTGATCGTGCCGGCGCCCGAAACGTTCATCAGGCTGGCGCTCTGCCAGAGTGTATATTCGGGACTGCCGCGGTCGGAGCCCAAGCTCGCACTGCCTGACCCGAGGACTTTACTTCGTGAAAGTGGAGGGAAGTTCATGTGTGCAGCCAACGTCTTCAACAACAGGTGTCCGGCCGAGTGTCGCGTGGTGTGATACGGAGGTGGATTGCCGATGGATGCAATCAGCAGTCGTACCTGGCGGGCAGGTGAGGGAGGCATTGCCGGAGCAAAGGGTCTGGGTTTACGGATCCTTAGAGGAGAAGGAATGATCGGAGAGAGAGGACCGTCGCTCCGTTCGGTCGTGGGAGGAGTGGTGGATATTATTGGATTGACCGGCCGTCGTTTAACATGTTGTTTTCGAGGAAATTGTGAATCGACAACGGGTATTGGATTCAGCAATATCGAAAGGTCTTGCTCGACAGGTTCTGCCCAGGAAATGCCTTTCTCTGGGTCGTGGTATTGGACGTAACTGTTTTGCGTCTGCGCTTCGCTGCGCCTGCGCTGGTGCGACCGTGCTGGGTTGGAGTTAGCCATGGCCGCGTTTGATTTTCTTGTGCGCCGACGATGGAAGTGAAGGGCATACAAGCTGTACTTACCTCGAAATGAGTGTCGAAGAGTTGGGCTTTAAATGAACAAGAGTCTTTGTATGACTGGGAGCGACAATGAATTACAAAGAGCTCTGCGTCATTTTTCCGGTGAGAAAGGGCAAAGAATGAGTCAGCCACTCTCAGCCTCGCCGTTTTCAGCCACGAACCCACGTGATCATCGTACTTGGCGGGGGTACACAAGTCGTCGAGTGTGTTTTCAACACTCGTGTCCAGGCGATATCAAATGTTTTGACATAGACTGATCCTCAATCCAAGCTTATGTCCAAGGATGTGGATGTCGAGTCCAGCTCGGGCGCCCTCCACGCGAGGAAAGTAAGTGGAATGCGTGTTCGATCATCAACCATCAACCATCATACCGCCGCTGTGTGACATCCAGCTTTCCGATATCTTCTTCATCGTCGTCCAGAGGGTACAGGCGATCCAGTGTCCAATCAGACGTGGGTGACTGTGACGGCTTTTGCGTGGATCCAACGCTACTATTGCTGGTCGAAATTCCTGCTATCTCGACATCGGTCTCTTTGTCCTTGATCGCCGCGCCAGAGTCCCAAGGCTTTGTCGCTGCCTCTTCCGGATTGTTGTGTATATTATGTTTCTTGTGCAATGTCGAATGTTTCCAGGAAAAGTTGCCCGAAGCTTGATCTGGCTGACTCACTTGTCTGGAGCGCGGTTGGCTGCCCAAAGGTATCGCTCCAGCACTGGTACCTTGTAGCTCCCTGGGACGACCCTCTTGCATTCGATCCGAGCTCGAGTCACCAAAGAAGGATCGGAGGTTGAAGGCTCTTCTTATCAAGGCCCAACTGTACGGCATGTTGCTGACAATCATGGCTGTGCTGGCCTCTCGACAATACCAGTATACCCATTCCGAGCTGTATGGGTGCTTAAAGCTTGCAACTTTGCTCAATATAGCGCATACCATGGTGAAGATACCCAAGCTGAACGGGAAGACCAGGAGAAGTTTCCGTTTGAACTCTAGGTGGGTCGTGAGAAAAAGGGGCAAGGGTATCGAGAGAATGAGGACATCGCTTGTCAAATTGAAGACCAGGTTCATGATGAGATGGTGCAGCGCCGTCGTGCATTGCGTGTTGTCGGTTGGGGTTTGCCAGTAATCATGAAATGGTCGACACCAGACTGCGAAGTAGAAGATCTCCATAACGACGTAGGTGATCACGACGTACGCTGCAGCACATTTGACAACCATTCCTTGTCTCAGATTTTGTGTAAGGCGCCAATAGAGCAGCAACAAACATACTTTTGTTCCCCATTGTATCGCGCACATGCATTGCTCGACGAGAAGCACGGTTTTGGCACCCCATGTTCTTTTGTTGATTTCGTGTGGTGTCAAGTCGACAGGATGGGCGGGATCAATGAGATTGGTGGATACAGTCAGGTCGATGTTCAGGAATACGATGAGGATGGTGTACAGGCACTGTAACTCTTAATATCAGGAGCGCAGTATAGGGAGGATATGCGCTCACGGTCAGAAAGACCATCAAAAAGTCCTCCACCTGCAGTCGTAAGAATGACTTGAAATGTAGTAGTCTTGCGACCCTACAGACAGATCAGCAATCGCCAGAGTCGACTCGAAGACTAGACATACACGCGTGCGACGACTGTGCATATTGCGACGGAATACCATATCCACGATTCGACTCGAAAGGCTGTCATGGTCGTGCGATTTGGCCGGGACTTTTGCAATGACGAAACTATTGGACTCGATCTGCATCCAGCCGCCGGCGTAATGGATCGCGTAGATGTCGCAAAGATTTTGCGCTGATGAACATGACTAGCACAGGATCAAGTCGCATGAGCGATGCTGAAGGATATTGGAACAGTCGCAGCGAGGGCAGGTAGCGTGAAGGTCAACAACAGTTTCACCTATCCAGACCTTTGTCTGAAGAAGAAACCATGCTGATAAGGACTCGAGCTAGAAGTTGTCATCGAGTCCGCCAACCCTGCCCCTCAGCAATTGTGGGTGACTTTAGCCTGGAAAAGGGGGGGACACGGGATGCTGACGATCGCTGGAGAAGCTGAAATTTCAGAGGCGATCGAGCTGATTTGACTGCAGAGGACCTCCATATCAGCGTCCGTATCCCGGGCTAGCAAGAGGTTTCCGAGGCCAACCCAAGGCAGGTCAAGGGACTAAAGGCGCCACGGGCCACGCCAAAGTGTTGCGGTAAATCTGAATTTCCTGGCATAGGCCAAGTTTGGAACGGATAAAGCTCAACACTTTTTGAGAGAAAGCATTTATCACACTTTGGGAGCTTACAGGCGCAAGAAGTAAATGTTATGTGGACCTTTATCACAGCACCAGCTGAGCCATTGGAAGGTATTGGTGTGAGCAGAGTTTTGTGCGTGTTAAGTTCAGGTAGGTCTCCCTGTTAAGCCTGTCCAAGCCTGTCCAAGCCTATCGAGCTTTGGACAGGGACATGATGGGACCCATGGCTCCGGATCCTGCAGGCGAGGACGGGCTGGTGAGGCTAGAACTCAATCCGGAGTGGCAGAACCTGATTGCGGCCGTCACGTCCTGCCTAGCATGAGCTGGGGGCCAAAGACTTGGTCATGGAGTGATTAGAGGCTTCCTCGTCGACTTCTGCATCTTCACGGTCCTTGCCTCCTTATCACATAAATTAACGGTCACCGTATATTCAGCCCAACTTCATCTTTCTCCTGATCGCAATTTCGGTTCTCGGTATCCTCCTTGCGAGACGCTTGGACATCCGAATCCGAGCCAGTCGACCGGTACCGGGCATTCCACCACGTGGTGATATTGCGATCTGTTGAGGCACGGGCCTCGATCATGCTCTGCACAGACAATCTCACACAGACCAAGAGATGCGATGACCATGGAGCGATCTCCGAGGGATCATTGACGGAGTTCAGACCGAAGCTACTAGTAGCAAGACTGACATCGATGATAACGGTAATTTACATGGTTTCGAATAGTAAGTCTGAGAAAACACTATTGGTAGTACTGGTCAGATCACATATTGACTTGATTATTATGTTTACATTATGAATATATACCTATTATCCGTATTCGCGTTTCCAATGAATGGGGGGTATCATAAAATCTAATGTGCTCATCAATCCTGGCCGTGAAGCCTGTCAATATCCCAAATGAATGGATCCTTCACTCATGCCATGTATGTGCTGTTTTGCTTTTTGCCGTCAAAATGCCCTCGTATATGAATGAGTCACCCAAGGACTCCAGAAAGCCCGGAGAAAAGAGAACATATGTTAGCCTGTAGAGCTTCTCAGTTTCCTGTTCGCACCAGCTTGCATCTTTCGTATAGCTTCACGGTGAAGGTCCTGCATTTCAGGTCTCCTCATGACTTGGTCCATTGCATACTGTCTCCGCTGCTGTTCGTGGCGTTGAAACTCCTCCATGCGTCGTCGGTTGTCGAGGTCCGCTTTCATTCGAGCTCTGCCAGTTTCCGCCGCGGTTACTTCAATGCTATCACGCGAGGCTCGCTGCTGTTGGGACAACCGCCAATCTGCAAGAAGGGATGCGCGTTTCGCAGCTTCCTGCCTGGGATCGCGTGCCGGCTGCTGCAACTCGTATGAGTCCATTCGCGTACTGGTACCAGATCCAGATCGATGATACTGTTGGCTCGCCGGTCTGCCGGACTGCGCAATATCGTACGCGCTGCCGTATGGGCTTGCAGGACCATGAGCTGAATATGGTCTTGTTCCGTCTGATCCCACACTCGTGGCGGAAGGCCGTCGAGTAGGCATCATATAAGGCGAGCCTGCGGAAGCACGACGACCAGCGGATTGTGGTGCTGCAAATTGAGCAGGCACGTTCTCGACGATAGGGGTGATGGCAAGAGAAGTAGCCACCGAAGTGTTGAAGCTACCACGATTGCCCTTGTTACCTGACACCTTGTAAGATTGCGTCGATGGAGACCTGGAAGGTGTTTTCATTGCGCTGCGACGTCGCTCCCGCTCCTGGTCAGAAAATGATCTCTGAGTGGTCGTTGATTTTGATGCAATGCCAACGCCGGCATTACTCGCTCTCACTGAAGGCGGTATCAGCCCTGCAGGCAGGCTTTGAGCTGAGGCTTCGTTGGGTGCCGCCACCTGTGTCGGAAGCTCTTCGTCGACGCCTTCTATGGTTTCCGGCTCATCATATATGGGGGCCTCGGCGGAGGTGATATGCTTTGCCCATTCATTCGTTCGATATGACAGGACAACATTGGAAATTTGACTCGGTACTTGTGCCAGAGCCGTTCTGGTCAGAGATTCAGCACTAGAATCCGTCACTTCCGATCCTTGAGACTGAGCTGCTCCGGATTTGCTCTGCTCTATTTCGCTTCTACCTTCGTCCTGGGCAAGGATCTTGAGGCTCTCGCGAAAGTCTCCCGAGCTAGCGGTGGCACTTGCTGGCGATGATATATCCAAGTGGGATTCAGTGTCTCCTGTCTCAAAATATCCCAAGCGGGAAGGCACCGATATTTTCCTCGTGTCAAACATGATTTCCGAAAGGTCACCGCCTTCAGATAATGCTGGCGAGATCACGATGTCTGGCGTCTGGAGTGTTTTGTGCTCGGCATCACCGTGCAGTAAGCCCACGTTGAGTTCCTCATTGTCTCCACCTACCGTCGCCGCTGCTGAAGATGCTCTGCTATGAGGCCTGCCGACATCAACAAGGCGTTCTTGCGACCCCGAGGCAACCGAAGTATACCCCGGACTCAGACGTTTTGTGAGTCCAGAAATCGACTGGGCAGACCGCCTCTTCAGCTTTGGAAACTCTACGCCACTGTCTGGCTGACTGATACCTGAGTCACCGTCATCGCCTTCGATCACTGGGTTGAGCGTGCTGGGGGACCTGGAGAGATCCCCACTGCTTTTGAGATCATCGGACGATTTTCCTCGCTCAAGAGCTTGGAGAGCCCTCTGCCGTTCGGCGGAAGCCACGTTGTCGGTGTCTTCTTCCGCTTCTGGTATCATGTCGACAGTGACAGCGCTTTGCCGTTTACTCTTGGAGCCATAGCCTGAATGATTTCGTTGAAGACCCAAGGCATTCATTTCTAGATTCTCTGTGGATGCAGACGGCGTGGGTCGTTGGACCGCGACCACGGAGACGGTGGAATATCGCTTGTCGGAATGGGCGTTCTGCCATAGGAGGGTGTTTCGCTTGCTTTGAAGCCGGTCGCCGTACTGTCTCTCCCAGGCCGCCTTTTCTCGCTCATTTTGACGTTCAAGATGTCGTCCCAATGCTGCCTCGACAGCTTGTTTCTGCTGATCGTCTTCTTGCTGCACCTCTGCTTCCGTTCTTTGCTTGGATCTGATGACTTTCCATAACTTGATCTGGGACAGAAGGCCAATGATCGTACAGATCACAACCACCGCGATCTCGACTTTGATACCTTTCGTCAGAGGGTACGTATTCGTATTTAGGGGAAACAGGTTGTCATTGAGATTCCAGAGGTAGAACCAGTATTCCTTCATCCCAGCCTTTGTGAAGCAGTCAAGTCCAAGCACGAAAGCGGTGGAGCCACCAAATGCAGTCGATCCGATCAACGCGTATGGTCTGGTGTAGATCGTCCAGGAAAGAGCCCATGCTACCAAGCAAAAGACACCGATGAAAGCTCCTTTCCCGCCGGAGCTGGTGACAAGACCTCCAGGCTGGAGTGTGAGCAACCACATGCTGAAACAGAATCCTCCCAAGAGGCATCCAAAACCTTCTGTGATCTCCTTGAAGATGAGAGCTCCTCCACCGAATACGGCTCCAGTCATGACTATGGCCACGAAAAATCCTCCTTGGACTGCATCGCTAACTGGAGGACTCATCACGTAGTCGACCAAAGCTGAAGTCGCAACACTGGCCAGGAACCCACAGGACAAGAAGATCTGGATCCCCCTGCTTTTGACACCGATGAGAGCATAGACTGCCCCCAAGATGATAAGGAAAACTCCTGCAATTCCCAGCGCAGGAGTAATCCTAGGTTCAAGAGGGAGCTCATCGCCATCCTTTACACTTGCACTGGCGGTTGGGTTGGTGGCAGTGACAGGATTTGTTGGTTTGGCCGATTCAGTCGTCGACGAACGCTCCGCGGTGGATGATGGTGATGTAGAGTGTGCAGTCGGTGGCTCAGATGATGCTGCTGCTGACGTCGGAGAGCTGCTCTCTGTTGAGATTGCCTCCGTGGGAGAACTTGGAGAGTCCGTCGTCAAGGTTGGGAAGCTCGCATCGGTCGTGTCTTGTCGCTTTTGTAGATGTGATCCATCAAGGCGACCAGCGACGACAGATAGTTTGCAGCTCAGAAGCGTAAAGACGACAATACGAGCTAGTCGCATTTTGACTTGTCCAGACAGTCGAAGAGACCAGGCTGGAGCTTTGGTTATGCAGGAGGCCGACACAATTCCACTGCATTAACAAGACGTCCGATTGTTACACGTCCACGTCGGCTTGCGCCGTTTCCCAGGAAGGGCTGTACATCAACGGAGCTTTTGACAGGCAGCTTGAAGCAGGGAAAATAGGCAAAGATTGACCAAACAAAACGTGCAATTGATGGAAAAAGCTTGAGAAGCTATCAAAAAGAAGCTCTCACCTCCCCATTCTACATCGTAACGCACAAAATGCGACTACAGATTTGCCGGGCAACATGGATACGACTTACTTCCGAAGTGCTGCAAAACTGGGATCCAAGCCTTAAAGCTGGGGGCCTGTCCAGCAAAGAGCTGATCCAATGATGTGAGGAAGCAAGCCACCTGGGCCTTGAATGCACCTTTCTGGACATGACGAGCCCGAAAAGCAAGCGAGAACAAGCGGAAAGGAAACGTGCAAGTTAGTGTCCGGAGGAGAGGCCCGCTAATGGTGAGGTGTTGCAAGGGTGCAGGATGAGCGGCAGGACATGGGGGAAATTTGGTTGGAATCAGGACTGTGGTCGATCGGCAGTACGTGGACGGCAGTGATTGATGCGCCAGTCCGCCGGACAAGTGATAGGCACCACCTATTTTCGTCCAACATGAGGTCGACCTGCATGCTGTCCGCAGGAAGACGGCACAAAAATGGGCGGCTGTATTTTCCATGTGCACGCCTGTGCTATGGAGGATAGAGCAGGTGTTTCTGAACTCTCCAATGCATCGGCCAGAGACTCGTGATGGGCCACGTACGAGTCCATAGTACGAGTAACCTGGCGTGTCTGGCTCGTCTCCGGATACGGAGTACTCCGTATGACTTCGCTGAACAAAGAGTTCGCTTGAAGATTGGACGACCTTGTTGGTTTGATGGCGAGATTAGGTGGACCAAAAAGAGGAGTTGGAGGTATTGGCTGATGATTTTCCGGGGAGACGTGGAAATTGAGCCTCATCGGCGCCCGACCACGTAATTCAGTAAACTATCACCAGCACTGCTCGCAAGGGGAGTTCGGTTTGTTCACTCGAGTGACTCGGCCCTGTCTCTAACACCAAATTGGTTACGACGGGACAGCAAACGACCTTTGGAAGTTTCGACCTTGACTGTCCCAATTCGAGGCCCGTGCTGAAGCCTAGCAGCCTCCAAATATTCTCCGGCTGGGCTCAAATGGGGATATCAGGCTTTGACCCATTATGGCCCAGATTTTCTCTTACCATGGGCGGCTCATGCCGCGTCGCTGGGAAGTGGAGGACGTGGAAGACGTGGTATCGAGCTGGAACCAACTCGCTTCGAGGATTGTTATCTGCCCAGATATCGATCCCATCGATTGTTACGTCAAAATTACGTCCACGATTGTCCTAGATGTGCGCGGAGACCGAGAAGCTCGCCAACGATGTTTCAGGATGTCTAAGTCCTCCACGTCGTCTCGTCAATTCCTTGTCGAGTCTCGCAATAATATCATATGCACCCTGGGCAAAATCATGCAAATCAATACTTCGGAGTACTTATCCATCTTTGGAGCACCCACACATGCGAATTTTGACTATCTGGAAGTTTGAACTCCGCTTGAAGGCCCAAGCTCCAAGCTGGGAAATCTGAAAAGAGCCCCAGGTGTTTGAAAGCCTAAACGGACATCGAACCCAAGGTCATGGCTACGTGTATCACTGAAATGGTTCCTAGACACTGCCTTTCCTGTCTGCATGAGCTGCTATGTAGCATCTGTGACAGAAGTGTTGTCCAACCAAAGTATCGTTCATGTTGTTCACAGCACTCACTAGACAGAAAAGGCACGTTGAACTTTCCCATCCGTCGAAGTCCCATCCGTCGAACGCCCACTTGCTCTGAAGTGCACGGCTGTGAATTCTCCATGCCCAGATACTCCTTGATATGTTTTTGAGCGCTCCAAGTTTGCATATAACATCTTTGTAGATGTCGACCTGAAGAAGATTCTCGCTCAGATCCGTCAATTGACAAGAAAAGTTGCACTTGAGACACTGCTTCACTATCGTCGAGTATACTGGGCCCATGGCCTTACTCGTCATCGGCTGATAGTAAACAGCTGTGAAGTAATCAATGAGATCCCGCGACATGCCGTCCTCAACACCAGGCGGCTTCGGCAGTTGAGCCAATGGCTGTCCAAGTGCCATTTCCAGGAGAAACACGCCGAGTCTGAAGAGGAATTGGTTGTCTATGGTGTTTCCGCCGCTGTTGCCCGCCAGAGCTACGCTCTCACCTGGCTCCGAGGGGACTATTACGTCGAAGCATGGCTCAAAATTCCGGATTGGTTCATCATGTGCAAGCCTTGCAGACTCTACCAAGAAAAGCTGACCGATATCCCAAGTTGAACGTAGCCACGGCGTTGAATGGAAAAACAAGGTGGCAATGGCGAGTTGATAACCGAGACAGAGGCGCTCAAACTGGTTGAAACCGAAGTCGCAAGTCTGGGATTGACTGTCTTGAAGCATGGCTTTGACACTCCTAGGGCCAGCCAGGTCGGAACAGATGATATGCTCTCGTGGGACAAAGTACACGCGAAGTCGGTTCTCAATGCATCCCACCAGTTCCCTCGTCGTGCAACTGCGTGAGAGCCGGCTAATTTGGCGACAGAGTTGAATTTGGGCGGTCGATGGTTTTATGTTTGGGTTGCGTAGTTGTCTCCCCAACTCGGCACCTTTGCCTCCTTGCATGGCCTCTTTTGCAGTCACAGGGAAGAAGTCGTTTCTCTCTGGTTCTTTGCCGCGACTTGAACCCTTATGCGCTCCCGTCTCAACGGAAATCCATGATTCAAAGTCCGTATCCTCAGTTTTCAGGCCGGCCGCAGAGTTGGACAGCGCCACGTGAAATCTGAGCGATCTTGTTTCGAGGTCGATTTGCGGCTGGAGACTGAAGAGACACCGATGGTGCCGATGGTCTCTGCACATCTGGCAGAATGTACGATGCAATTCTTCCGACCAGCTTCTGACCTGCTGATACTCTTCGAGACGACTTGAGATAACGGCGGCTTTGGGACGTTGTGGGATTGCAGGCGTAGAGCCTCCCGTCATCGTCGGCCTCGGGACGGTACGTCTCTCTTTATTCGCAGTGGTGATTCTGTCTCGGATCCGAGAGAGGGACTCGGTCAAGGCCCTGAGCTCCTTCAAGCTAGCTTGATATTGAGGTCTGGTAGCGGCTATCCAGCCAGGTGGACGGCTTGATAGCTTCTTCTCAATTTCGGCGAGTTTCTCCGATATCTCGTGGACGACATCGCAGAACGATGAAGCAAAATGGCCCAAGACTCTGTCGAAAGCTTCTGCTGTTGCCGGGGTCCCGCCATGCTGGATGTTTGACGTTGTTCAGCATCTCTCTGGCTTTTGGCCGTTAGATTTCGCAACTCGCAAGGAGTAGCAAGCAATCTTCTTCGTATATAGTTCTCTAGACTCGAATCCCTCTAGCAAGACTCTACACGTGTTCATACCTGTGTTGTATTCGCTCGAGCACATCGAAGATGGATCTGTAGCCTTGCACAGCTGAGAGCACTATCGGTGCCACCGCGAGAGCAGTTTCCATTGTGCAATGGTTACTTTCAATACAGAGAAAGCCAAGTCTGATTCAGCGACAGAGTCAACGATCAGCTTAAGACGGATTGTTTCACAAATCACGGCCCAGAAGGGCTTTCGGCAAAGCTATCAGTGTGGAGAGAGGGCAGGAGCTGCGAGCCGCTGGTTTGCACCTCTGTTGTCCCCTTCTATGCACGAAGGCTGGCCGGGATTGGTGGTAATTGTGACGAGGTTAGAAGATTGCCTCACCGGTTAATGCACGTTCTCTGCACAGCGAATTGCAGCCAACAAATTTCTTCCCTCAACACATCATCTTCTGATACCATATTCTCACACGGCCACATGAACATGGCGCTCTGTGACTGGTCAAAGGGGAGCACGAAGCCAGTCACACGGACGGGATCGCTTGCTGGCGTTTCATGACCAGAAACCGACAACCACTTTCCACTCCTCAGTCCACAAAATCAGCAACATTCTAGGTATCCTTTGATAATGCGCACTACAAGATATATCGACCCTTCCTCTTTGTGCATCTAGCCTGGCTGCAGAAGATGGACGACGAACGAGCACTCGAGCTCCCAGAGACGCGAGCTTTCGACGACTACAACGAACTCGGTCCAGACGATGATGCCAACGTACTGGACGACTTGTACATTGAGTGCCGAGGCTTGGAACCCTCGGACCCGTCTGAGGGACACAAAATCGCCGCAGGCTTGTTCGGTGGGTGTGTGTCAACATTGACAGCATACTTTGCTCATATCAGGCACCATAAGGATCCCATGCAATTACAACAACTTCAAATAAACAGGGTCGCGGAGACCCTAGGCCGCTTACGCTTATGGGGCACTGGTATCTCGCGTAAGGCATTTGAGATCTGTTTATCACTATCAGAGACAGTGCAGGACAGTGTCCTCGAAATTCTTTCAGTACTTGCGGCAGTTCTGCTTCAAGGTAAGTCAAACCTCTTGGTATGGTGAGTGAAAGTACCACATTTCCCGATCCTACCAAATCGCCGTGGACTGAGCTTAGTCATGCTAGGTCCTACCATTTCATTTTCGATATGCCAGGAAGCAGCCTGTTGTTGGATGGACTGCTGACGTCCATTACATACGCACGAATGTTTCTCAGGCTGCAGGATGGAGATGACCTCCATGGCCTCTATTTAAAGGCGGCAAGAGAGCCCTACACGGACTTCACATCCTGGATCGAGGCCATTGAAGAGAACGTCACACTTCTCTGCGACCTCGTTCCCACCATTCAGAGCATAGTGAACGAAGCATGTGAGCTTCAAATATCGGACACGCCTGCGACAAATCCATACCAATGGGCTGAACATCAGCTACCAGATAACAAGACGGCCGCTTACGAATTGCGCTCTTCCTTTTCCAGTGTCGATAAGAGTCCAGGGGCAGTAACAACGAGACCCGAGGCCACAATCTTCATCAAAGATTATTTAGAGGAAGTCTGGAAATATAAAAGAGCCGAGCAAGATTCAACACTGACACACAATTTGATAGCAAAGAAGTCGTTCGTCACTTTGAAATATCCGCCTAAACATATTCAGTTCAAGTCAATATGGCTGAAAGACGCGAGTGGAAGGGGATACAAAAGCTCGGAAGCTGTCTTGCTCGCATGGAAATTCCCAAGCAACCCCATGGTTCACCGTAGTGAATTCTATATCGTTGAAGCTCTTCCAGAGGATGTTGATGTATTGCTGGGAAAGGACAGCCATGCTATTGACGAGAATCTGAATGCGGAGCAAAGAGGATCTCCCTGTAAGTGCTCTCTCAGATGCACAAACATTTGTCACTGAGTCCATGTAACTTCTTCCCAGTCTCAGGTCTTAAGACCCACCTGTCTCGAGATTTTCGTGGCACCAGTGAGTTTAACTATTGTCTTGTTGCATTGATCCCGCTTTCACGCAGAGATCTGCCGTACTCTTGATCACAGGCCTGTGCTGCAAAGTCTTACCTTCCTCTCGTCTTTGCATCTTCTCCATCTCTCGTTATCTACCGAACTTGATGAACGGCAAATATTTGGCCTCACCACTAACGTATGACCAAATAGAGCCAAAGATGGCAGAAGTCACGGAAGGTCTAAGTAACCTTGACCAGGCGACGAATCAGTCTGGATCTGGGAAGACTTCTCGTGGAGGTAAGCGTAGTTGGTTCACGGCGTCGACGGGCTTCCTAAAGTCGTCTGATGGTACAACTGGTGGTTCGGGGAATCGTGCAAGGGAAACCACGTGGTTCTGCTGCCAGTGCCGGGAGGGACCGTATAATCTGGCCATCGATACACATTGTTCAAGCTGCCATAAAAGGCGTTGCACGAATTGCATGACTGAGAGGCGCAGATGAACTCGATGTACCTACAGTCACGATCTGGCCACGCTATTGGGTCTGGTACATGAACTTTCGAAGTAAAATAAGATGAAAGGTTGCAGGACATCTGGCGATCTCAGCATCGTGCATGGCTCTGGTATGCAGCGCCGATGGAGCACCTGGCCATTTCCGATAGGGTCTCGTCGCTTTTACTGAGGCATCAGGTGTGAACTGGACTCATGATTCTGGCTTCATCTGCTCGATTCCTTGGTAGCCTTCCTTATATTTGGCGCTCAAATAGCGCATGTCTTCGATCACCCTGATTTCTGTCAGTGATGGTCTCGACAAAAAGGATTTTTGGTGACATTACAGCTCTCTGAAGCGCGAGGTTGATAAGTAGGAAGCCGAAGACGTCAAATTGAAACGCAGCCGATACAAGATCAAACGGTCCTCGACATCTTCTTCCGGGGCCGAGATTGGGAAGTATTTTTGATATTCTCTGATGTAGGAACGGTAGATCTTGTGACGAGGCAAGTTCCACGCTCCCAGCTCGTCTGCAGCGGGTTAGTATCAGCAATCACCCAGAGCGGATAGACAGAGTCTCACACTCATTGTGGGCATACATACCACTAGCATCGAAAATTACGGGGCTGTCAGTTGTCACATCCATCGAGGTATTGCCATCCCACATGTCTCCGTGCACTATTCGCGGTTGGATTTGTCTGCCTCCTGTTTCCAGTGGTCGTAAGAGTCTGGGAATCACTTTTTCCAAGATTGCCTGATGCATTCGTTGCATTTCATCATCTCTACCATGCATGTCCTGTTCGAATTGAAACATGGTGTTCATGATCACGGTGAAGGATTTCTCCCAGGAGCTCGTCCACTCGTTCTGCTGCGTGCACACACCCATGTTGGTAGGCACTGAAAATCCATATTTGCCGTTCGGTGAAATTCCCTTCAAGTGTATCTCTGCAACCTTGGCTGATAATGATTCGGGATCCGGGACATCGTCCGTCATGTCGACAAAACTGGCAAGATAGAAATGGACATCACTGTCGCTTGCATAGGTGCCGACCGCGATTGGCGTCGGGACCAGATGGGGAGTGGCTTGTGCAATGGCGGATATTGATGCAAATTCGCCCTCCAAGTTGATCTTGCCGACGTGTGTTCTGGTAATCTGAGCACGCAGTTATAAGCTCCTGTTACATGGACCATCGAGCGTGCAATTTACTTACTTTGAGGAAGAAAACTAGAGGGTTGCCATCCGCCTGCAGAGTTCGGACGGCCGCCGTTCTCGTCCAGTATGAAGATCCATGAGAAAAGATACCCTTGATCTCCGAACCTGCAGGAAAGTCTGCGAAGCCAGTATCAGCGCAGGCACTCAATGGACTCGACGCTAATGCTTACTGGCAGCAACATTCGGATCAACGTATTGAATATACTTCTCCGGCGGCAAGTTGGTCAATCCGGCGACGATACTGCGTGCGCTCGTGGGAGGGTTGGGGCCAGCGTATTCGGGAAGATTGGCAAACTGAGGGTAATATGCACGGGCTTCAGGCATTATGGTCGCTGGTCTCCCAAGTATCTATTAGATACTCTTCCCAAGTGGGATTTTTCGTTGATACTAGTATCGAAGTATTCCCATTGTAGTCCGACGAAGTCCTTGGGATTTCTCTTCTTCTCACTCTATCAGGGTCTGACCTGAGACAACGCTGATCGATCTTTGGGGTTTGTCCTGGCCTTTTGAGACACGCTACTACGCACGTGGATGCTGATGATATCAAGAATGCAAGGGGCCTCTGTATTTCAGGATGCAAGGGGACCTCTGGGACTCACCACCGAAATTAATTCCATCCCTTCCTCAAGCTGTCCAATGATCTTGAAGTCTAAGCCTTTACTGATGCCCCATTGTCTGCATCCGGCGCTTCATTCTTGTCTACCGTCGTGGCTTCTCGTGTTTGGTGCCTCTTGGTTCGCCATGTCATGCCCTTTCTGTTCAATGTCCAGACTGCCGCTATCCCACCGACACCGCTCAAGATGCCGGCCAGAGTGAAGAACCAACCTCTACCTATAGCTCCAAATAGCGGCTGCATGGCAGCTACAGCACCAGCGCTCATTGCACATCTGATCATGTTGCCTGCCGTAGCAGCAGTACTCGGCATCTTGGGGAAGCCGTCAACGAGAAGCGCATTGAAGCAGTTCAGTATGCAAGTGCCCAGAAATCCCATGAAGAACTGAAAGGTCAATGGCACAGCCATGTGGACTTGCTCTTCGATCGCCCAACCATACGCGACCGCAATGGCAAGACTCGCCAGCAGGAGCCAAATACAACCTCTGCCTCTTGCCCTTTCGATCGGGAAATATGCAAGGTCGTTTCCCCTGACGCTGTCCACCTCTAGTCCAACCTGCTTCGCGACGAACCGGTAGTTGTAGTCCATGGCCTTACCGGTAAGATACATGCAGATGATTACCCCGGCTGATCCAGGGAGGTATGCCAGGCCGATTTGCAGCTCGTTGAAATTGTAAGGGTGCCCACTGTATGTGGATGGTATAGATGCCTGTACGGTGTACCACAAGGCGTAGAAGGACCCGACGATCCAGAGAATGAGTAATGCGTCGGGATAGGCCATGATCCTAATCGACATAAGCGGGCTGCGAAATCTTAAGTTTCTCCTCGGTGGACTTGGATGGCCGTCACCGGGGCCAATTGATGGATTCCCTCGCTCGCTCAGGTCAACCAGGGGTCCATTCCAAACCTTGTCCTTGATCTGTCCGTTCCCAACCACATTTCTTGCCGTCTCCGGGAGAAGCACGCCGAGGGCCGTCACCATCACAGCACCGAAAATCACCAGCGCCCAGAACGCCCACCATGCACTGCCTGAGCCCAGGGCGATCCAGCCACCCACGACAGGACCACTCGCAGTGCCTAGATTCCCCGCCGCCATCACCGGGCCGAGCATCTTTCCCCTCTCACTGGGCACGCATATATCCGACACAGTGCCATAGCAAATGCTGAGTACAGCACTAGATCCGAGGCTCTGTATGGCGCGAAGTACGAGCAAGCCAGCATAGCTGGACCGGTTGAGTGCCAGGCCCAATGAGGCGAGCGTGTAGAGTGTGAGAGTCGCCAAAAATAGAGGCCGTCGCCCTAGTGTGTCCGAGAACGTCGACAAGAGCAAGGGAGCCAGGGCCTGGAAGATGATATAGACAGTAATCGTGAGGTTGATCTTTTGAGTCGAGACATGGAAATTTGTGGAAAGGAGCGGGAGCAGAGGCAGATAGATGGTCGCGGTCAAAGGAGATGCAAGGGTTGCTGTGCCGAGCAGCAAGGTGATGATGCGGCGAACCGGTACACTGAAAACCGAATACACATCTGCCTCCGAAGTTGAGGGAGTTTCAGAAGCATCAGTCGGTGGCTCAGAAGCCTTGTTCGTAGCCATAGAGGCATCCCGACGCAACTTGAACCTCCAGTGTTCTCCTTGACCAAAAACTCTAGCCAAACAACACCTAGAGTGCTGCAGTCGGCATCCCACACACCTCACCCCAAATTGGGATGAGGCTGATGCCGCCCTGTTCGCGTCCAAATAGAAATGGCGCCATTCGGGAATAGATTACCGCCATCAATTCTCGAATGAATCAGGCTAGAATTACCGTAACACTCTGTGAATAAACGTAAGGGTCTTGTAGGATTAGGACATCTCGAGGGGAGATGTCAGACTATATACCTACGTACTACGGAGGTGTGCACCAAATGTAGTTGCCGCGCTAAAGTTGAATGACGAAGGATCATAACTGACAATTGATTTTCTCTTGTTCTAGGCAGCCTTAACTAAGCTCTTAACTAAAGATCATCTACTCTAGGCGGCCTAGCGCTAGAGAATAGGCGAGTTTTAGGGGTAGAGAGTAAGCTCCGATATCTCCGGGGACTGTCGTCCGGAGCAACGGAAAAGAAAATTAATGGTCTTTTGACGTCCTCGTCATCCAACTTTAGCGCGGCAACTACATTTGATGCACACCTCCGTAGCGTCAGAGGTATTACCGCCGCCGTTGCCAGAGGCCCTGTCTTTACAAGACTTGGCGCTCTGGTAATCACAACTCCGCCTATTCTACTGCGTAGTAGAATGGACGGCGCCACTCCTGAATCGACTGATTCATTCGAGAATGACGGAGCGCCAACCATGAATTCTCTGACGCCTAAACTGACGCCCCTAACAGCGCTGGTCAAGGACACCTAGGACGGTAAACAAGGCCTATTAACACTACCACCACCATCACCACCATCATCATCGACAACACCACTAAGGGCCGCTATAAGAATAACTAGGTACAACCACAGGGACAACCGCCAAGGCACCGCTGTGCTCTAGGGGCTGATCTGAGGTACCGGAAATCTCAATTCTTATATGGCACCCGCCATTCTAGTAGGGACCTACTTGTAGTCCAATATCAGTCTTACAGTACCCACGTCTAGCGCGCGCCATTCCGGAACAGTTACCATTCTTGCTCGGGCTGGAACAGCTGTGTACTACGTATTAACTTAGTACACACCGAAGTGCTCGGAGGTCAATTGGAACTCACCTCCAGCCGTGCCGCTTCTAGGCCCATCGCGAGCAACACCCGCTTGAGAGTACCTAAGAGAAGCTCTGGACCTGATGTTCGGAGCTAGAACAGAAAAGCCAGCAGTGTCAGTGGTACATTTGTTCGTAAAGAGGCTTCAGGACGACGCATTCATCATGGAATAGCAAGCCTATCCTTGCGCAGGGCTATTGGGACTTTATGGAAGAGGGTAACTACTTTTTGTTCCATACGAATACATGTAACTAGTACATGTACGTCGACTATCGTCGTGCTTCTATTCTGGCTGCTTGGATGCAGGGGTCTGCCTGACCATGGCCAACTCACTTGCTTCCGTCTCCACGACAGGCCCTGTATAGACTCTTCGGCCAAAGAAGAGGTAGTATATCGCACCGAAGACAACCCAGCCAGCAAGCACTACTGTAGAATAATTCATATCCTGCGGCGTTACGGGTTCGTAGCTCGGGAACGTGCTGAAGATGATGGCGAGTACCAGCCATACGATGGCCAGGGCATTGACAGATGCACCTCCAATTCTACCAAGTCGGAACGGTCCATACTCGCTTCGAGACAACTTTGGTCGTCCAAAGCACAACATGTAGACAATGGGAAGCAGGTAGGACAAATACATGCCGATGATGGCCATGGAAAGAATGGCGTTGAAGGCCGTCGTGTTGCCAAGGTAAATAAATCCGAGGAGGGCCTGGAGGACCGAAACCAGGACAATCATCCGAACGGGAACCTTGAGGTTTGAATGGACGTGGGAAAAGTATTTCGCACATGGCATAGCCTCGTCTCGAGCAAAGGCCCAGAATGTACGACTGGTGGAGGTCAGTCCTGCGGCGTTTGCAGCCACTGCTATCAGGCATATTATCAGCACCATGATAGTGGCGCCGACATTGGATTTGGTGACGTTGAGGTACAATTGCATGAAAGGGAAGCCAGTAGGCGATTCGAGAAGACTTTCCAGGTCACCAAGGGAGAACAGCAAGACAATGCAGTAGGCGAAGCCGATCACGCCATTGGCCACGACAGATCCCACCATCGCCAACGGCACGTTGCGATTACTTCTGGGCAATTCCTCGGCAAGATGTGCTGCAGCATCATAGCTAGCCGGGTCAGCGAGCCCCATGGCAGGGTTTGTGGTGGGTTAATAGAATGCTTACCCGAGAAACGGATATACCGAGCTCAGTAGGCCCACGAGCCAGGCAGCACCATCACTGCTCCAGCCACTCGAGTTGGCCACTTCGGCGAACACATAGTGAGCCGAATGTTTGGGCGCCATGACTCCAAGAATGATAACAATAACCAGGAAACCGACGATATGTAAGATACCTGTGGGAAAGGTTTCAGAGCTTCATACAGCGGTACGATGGAACAGTTGGTGACTTACCAGAAGCAAGATTAGTGTGAGGCAGGATCTTAGAACCCCAGATGTTGATTACGGCGGCGTACAAGAGGATAAGCCAGTAGAAAAGCATCCCTTGCCATCTCTGCGGTACGTATGCATCAGGATGGTTTAATGTGATCAGAGCCTGGAGCTGGAGGCCGGCAGCAAAAGCCGCGGAAGCCGTAAGGACGATCTGACCACCGACAGATATCCATCCAGTGAACCATGACGCTACAACTCTGGTTTTGGGAGGAGCCAGGACCGCAACCCAGTGATATTGACCTGGCCAAACAGTCAGTGAACGCAAGTGTTTTGGGGATTGAAGTTCTTACTCACCTCCTGCAGTCGGCCAGATGCTTGCAATCTCGGCCAGAGAAAGTGCAATTGCCAGTGTCCCGAGAAAAGATATGATGCTAGACCAGGTCAGCAAGGTGACTATGGTGACCTCTCGCTCGTTCCCGAAGGCTTACTAGTTATAAAAGAGACAGGGTGCACCGCCACTAATCAAAGCAGCTGCCACAACGGATGACAGTGCTTCCCAGGTTGCCATGAGGCAGAGGCACAAGCAGCCAAGCGACCATATTGAGAAATCGCGCCGCAGTTCCTGCTTGTGGCCAAGGGCCGCGAGGAGTTGTTCATCGTTGAGGGTTTCTCTGTTCATCCCTTGCTCCATGTCACCATTTTCTTGACTGACTGGATGCTTTTCGGCTTCCATGGTGGGTTAGAGTTGATATACCAGACTCAGCGCTATCGTAGCAGACGAGCTTTGTTCATCTTATGTACGGGGGCTGCAATTAGTATTTGAATCCCTGACGGAACAGCCTAATTCCCTTGCAATCGATCGACCTCATGAATACGAATTTAGGGCCAAACAAGCAGAAATACGGAGGCCTTTCTCCGCATTTCGAAGCGTAGATCTGGAGCTCGTACGGAGTAGTTAGTCCTCGGGGCTTTTTTCGCCCTTATTGACTGGCTCTGATTGGCGTCAACGCGACAGATCCCGGGGTCAGCGCAAGTCAGAGAGGACATAATTCCACTATGGAACTGTACCCATTGGTCTTGGGAAGGCCGGCGAATAGTACAGCAAAAGAAGCCACAAAGACAACAGAAGTGAAGTGTCCAGAGTGCCAGTCCACTCCGGTCTCGAGGATTTGATTCCGCCCTTATGGGATGCACAACCAATCATTTGCGATTGCGCACAGCTCGGATTCGTCTTCATTCCGTCCTTTGCCTCCCTTCCACTTTCTGCATCCATTACACGTCCTCGACCAAGACATGAAGGATCCAGAGACGTAAACCTTCGTATCATGGCTATCTGTGAAAGCTCTAGATTTGCCGGTTTGTGACTCTTCCCGCCCGGAGATGCAACAACGGAGGAGCGGAGATGATTACTCATGACACTCACAAGGGCTGCAGGTGGGCTCAAAACAAACAAACTTGGCCTCTGACGGTTCAAGGTCTTGACTACCAAAGATCTTAGAAGATGAGGAGATTTTTCTGAGGAACAGAAGCGGATTTCTTCCGACACACCACGCGTATGCTGCCCCCCTACACCAACCTCGAACACATGTTTGGATGAGGCCCGATCAGGCAGTTCCAGCCGGCTGTGTTGGCGCTCGACATTGGATCTTGCCCAGCCTTGCGCATGGGCTACTCCTCGGGCATGTCTCTCCCTGATCCAGCGCTCCTCTCTTTCCGAGCAGTTGTAGTATACGAAGCTCCAATTCTATGTCACAAGCATGTTAGTCATCGACAGATTCTAACCTGTGGACCAGGTCGGCATCCACCTTCAAGATAATGGAGACATTTGCCTGACACTTCCAACGGTATAAGACTCTTGACTTTTCTGTCTCGCTCCTCAATCTTCGCATCGGATATTGTTGTTTGCGTTCTCGAAATCCAGTTTCGCCTGCACAATGGCTCCTCACCCACTAGATCTCCTCTCCCTTGAAGAGACAAAGACTGCCCGTGATATCGTCGCCAGTCTCCATACTGATGCGGTCCTCAGCTTCCGAGAGATTTATCTCGAGGAACCTCCCAAGGCTCAACTCATTGAGTTCTTGACCGCTGAGCATGCCGGAAGAGATGCACTGCGTCCTCACCGGACGGCCTTGGTGCAATACGACGTCATTGCAGCTGACAGGATACCCCATTACCATGAGTCCGTAGTAGACTTGGACGAAAGAAAGAGGATCTCCCATGCGATCGTTGATGAGAACCAGCATGCCGGTCTGACACTGTATGTCTAACTTCGGAATCCGATTCTCCTCATTCTTTCCACTCACCAAGGCGGTCCAGGGACGAATTTGACGTTCTCGTCGAAGTCTGCAAGTCTTCGCAAATGTTCAAAGACGTATGTGCTGAGTTTACGCTGCCAGAGGGGTTCGAAGCCGTCATTGAACCTTGGCCTTATGGCGGCTTGTCGCCAGAAGAAGAAAACCGGCGCTACTTCCAGGGATTGTGCTTTGCTCAAGACATGAAGTCTGGAAATCCCGACTCGAATTTCTACGCGTACCCGCTCCCATTTATTCCCGTCATGGACTTTTACAAACGAGAAATTGTCCGCATCGATCGACTCGCGACTGGCGGGAAAGGGGACGCTTTGGACGCGAAGACTCATTCGAAGAATATTATCGACCATTGCGCCTCGGCTGAATACGTACCGGAGCTATTGAAGAACGGAGTGAGAAAGGACCTCAAGCCACTGAATGTCTTACAACCGGAAGGCCCATCATTTTCAGTGGATGGACAGCTTGTACAGTGGCAGAATTGGAGGTTCAGAGTGGGCTTCAAGTAAGTAGCAACGTAGATTATTGGTGTTCCTCTCTTGCTGACTGCTTTCCAGCCCTCGGGAAGGAGCCACGATCCATGACGTCCATTTTGCGGGAAGAAGTGTCATGTATCGTCTCAGCATTAGCGAAATGACTGTGCCATACGCGGACCCACGAGGACCGTTCCCAAGGAAGCAAGCATTTGATTTTGGAGACGGAGGGGCCGGGAACTGTGCCAACAACCTGTCCTTGGGCTGCGACTGTCTGGGCGTGATCAAGTACTTCGACAGCATCACTACAGGTCCCGACGGTACGGCAAAGGTCTCACCAAACGTGGTCTGTCTACATGAACAAGACAATGGCATTGGCTGGAAGCACACCAATTGGCGCACAGGACGAGCAGTTGTCACTCGATCGCGTGAGCTAGTCGTGCAGTTCATCATCACCCTCGCCAATTACGAGTACATCTTCGCCTACAAGTTTGATCAGGCTGGCGGCATCACCGTGGAGACCCGGGCAACCGGCATTGTATCTGTGGTCAACATCGACCCTGGGAAGACAAGTGCTTATGGAAATGTTGTCTCGCCTGGCGCGCTAGCCCAAAACCATCAACATATATTCTGCGTGCGGATCGATCCTGCTATCGACGGCTACAAGAATACCGTATTGACTGAAGAATCTCACCGCGTACCAATGAATAAGGAAACCAATCCTAGGGGCAACTACTACGAAGTCCGTCAGAAAATACTCGACCGCAGCCAATGGCTAGACGCGGCACCTCTTCAGAACAGGGTGATTAAGATGGTCAACAGGACCAAGACGAACCCAATAAGTGGCAAGCCGGTTGGTTACAAATTTACGCCTTCAGCAACACAGCTACTCTTGGCCGATCCAGACTCGATCCAGTCAACACGGGCTCTCTTCGCCCAACACCATGTCTGGGTCACGAAACAGCGTGACGGCGAGCTTTACGCAGCCGGTCGCTACACGCTGCAGAGTCAGAACGAAATCGGCGGTGTGGCCGATGCTGTCAAGCGAGACGAACAGCTGGAGGACGAGGACGTGATAGTCTGGAATGTCTTTGGTTTGACGCACAATCCACGTGTCGAGGATTGGCCTGTTATGTCAGTATATTCTCTTGTGACTGGACTCCTTGCCGTGAGATCATGAACGCTGACAATTATTGGTACAGGCCCGTCGAAATCCACCAACTTGCCATTAGGCCTAGCGACTTCTTCACGGAGAATCCAGCTATTGATGTGCCGTCGAACAGAAACGAAGCGTCTGTCCTCACGAATGGTGCGATTAATGGCGATACCAACGGCTCCAGCTGCTGCAGGTGAATGCGTGCCTATCACTTTTGACATTCGCAAGCAGATCACGCATGGATGCTGTACGTGATCGCTAGAAAGCTGTTTTCCGTTGCTAGTTCCGATGCTGGTGTCCGCTGTTTATATGACTGAGTTCCGGGTGCAAAGACTGTCGAGCAAGGACAGAGATCGTCCGGGTTGCGTCCTTGGAGACAATAAGAGCTGATTTCGAAACCTGACTCGACCACTCCGGCGCTGACGGAGTTAGAGTTGAGTTGATTATGTCAAAAGCAATGGGGATATATTATTTAGCTGCAGATACTCTACCACAATCGACCATAGGATACGTAATACAGGGCTTCCCGTCCGCTCAGCCGTACTTAAGCCGTATGCCGATGAGTTAGTAGTTGCGTCGGTGACGAGCAGCGAATCCTCATTGTTGATTGTTTTTGTTCTTTTTGGAGGGTTCAAGATGATCCGATCGGTCAAGGAGAGGCTCTGATGGATTTTCATATATATTATATATTTTTTGGCGAAGCTAGATTATGCGGCCTCATGGTCGCAGCTGCCTAGTGGGTTGCCTCCTCATCTCGCCATCCTACAGCTCTTTTTTTGAGCTAGCCTTTTTGAGCCTAGAATTAATGCCGCTATGCTAACGTTGCATGAACCACTCACACTGGGTGACTGACACGACTGGGCAATCCACGGGGCGAGGGGTTTATTTTAGGACCCGGATCTGGAACGTGCGCAAGTTGTTTGAACTCGATCTCAGCCGCATTATTGGTAGAGATGGCTGAATCAAGAAGTCTGAACACGAGCCATTCCCGTCCCTCAGAAACAAATTTTCACGGCAACCATGATAAAGCCCAAGCGCTCAGACCAGGAGCTTGCAGCACGTCAAATGTACAACCACTCATCACAACACTTATTGTTCTCTTGCTGCCTCCATGGTCCAGCGCAAAAATACAGCTCTGTGACTCTGCGTGACCTTATACCATTGACCGATCGATGAGCGAGAGGGATCATGTATCGAACGACAATAGTAACTCTGCAATGGAGGAGAAATCCGGCTTGTCCACGACACCATCGCCACGGTCGCCACTAACACCGATATCAGAGTCGACTTTCCAGCCGCCCTTGAGATGGAGCGACACGATCACCTCGCAACCAAGTCGACAGGGCTTATCACGAGTCTCGACGCGCCACAGACAACCATGGCGGCACTCAGTATCCAAGAGCGTGACCGATCCGTTATCGCAAACCCTCCGAGAATACAAACCCTTCCGTCAGCGCCGGAGACTGCTAATCAAAGCGATGTCCCACTGGCTCGCGACAACCTTACTCTGCGGCCTACTCGCAATGTGTCTCGGCGTTTTTGGACGTATGCTGAAGATGTCAGTGAGCGAGATCAAGCTCTTCAACGCATTGATTGTCTTGCTTTCGCTGTTCTTGGGCAACAATCTGAGCGGCACTCTCCGAGAATTCGCTCTCATGTTCCGCTGGCGCCTGCTGGCCTCGAAATACCGCTCACTCGAAGAGTTCGACTTGCTCTTGTCCTGTGAGAGCTTGCGCAAAGTCCTGAGGCTGTTCTGGACAGCCCGCACCCGAGGCCGACTCTGGTTCAGGCTCAACCGTACGCAGTGCCTCTGTGCATTGTGGCTGGGTATCAACATGTGTCTGCAGGTGCTTGTTGCGCTGCTCGGAGTGACATACAACCTCGAGACCTCTAAGCATCCGGGGGTCCAATTCGGTCAGCTCAGCGTCGCCAATCTGACCCAAATCAACGACATTTGGAGCGCAGACAATCCCGACTTCATGTCGCAGCTGGGCTCGGCCAATTCCTATGGTATACAGGGCCAGGACTATAATTTCATAGACGGCCCCGTCCCAGGACAGACTGGGCCGTGGGCATTCGGGACACCGAGCATGCCCACCATATATGGGAACGACCCGCAGTGGACAAGTATGACCTATGCGTTCCAGGATGCGAACCCGCGCAACCTGGCGATCACGCTCGTTTCGCATCGCAACATCACCACCAAAGCTACATGCAAGACCCACAAAGTCACTGACGGCGGTGACGGCATTGCCAGCCATGTCACGTACATAGACGATCTGGGCTCGCCAGTCACTCTGGAAACCCCCTTCACCGACCCCGGCGCCACGGTGTACATTGGCGTACTCAATTCGACCTGCGGCCCACGATGCACGCAAGTCATGGTGCTGCAAACCTCCAACGGCGGGACCGTCCCGACGCCGTCGTTCTACAGCTGCAACAACACCCTCTCGGTTGTGCAGGGGGTCGAGTCGTACCTTTTCCCCGGCGTGGCCAACAGCGAAGCGACATTCCAGCTCGCCGACAAGGAAGCGCGCATCATTGCCGGCGCGATCGGCTGGTCCGTCACTACGCCTGGAAATACGAGTTCACACCAATACGCACGGTACACGCCTTCGTCATACTGGAGCCCTGACCACCCCGTCTCCGCGTATCTAGTCGGCCAGCGCGTCATGGAGTTTGCCGTCCAGGCCATCGCGGCGATGGACTACAACGGACCGCAGCGTAATGTGACGGGTTGGTACCCCGTACTCGCGCAGTCTGTCAATGTGGAGTGGCAGTGGGCCGGTGCGATCTTGGGGCTTGTACCGGTCGTGCAGTTGATTGCGTCGGTATGCGTCATTCTCTGGTCGAACACGGCAATCATAAGGGATGAGAGTCATCTCAGCACGGCGAGGCTGTTGAGGCCGCTTGTCCAGAAGTTGGGAAATAAAGGGTGCTTGCTCAGTGGTGAGGAGATTGCCGAGACCTTCCCCGACGTGAGAGTCAAGTATGGCTGGAGGGAGCCTGATGATTTGGTGTTTCGGAACGAGATCGACACCAGGACTGTGAGACATGTGGATATACTCGAGGAGCAGGAGGGACTCGGAAGGCAGGGTATCATGCCTGCGGGATTTTATGATGGTCTGCCATCAGATGAGGAGGACGAGGACGAGGACGAGGACGATAATGATGATCACGTGGTGGATGAGAGAACGAGGCTGCTAAGGAGGCGCGGACGAAGGAAGAGGAGAAGGAGTATATGAAGTATGAAATCTGTGTAGAATTGTATATGTTTTGCCCACCTGGCAACTCAAGCAGTGCGAGCTTCGCTTTACAATTGTGTCTCGAGCAGTCAGACTTACAGTAGGTTGACGAAGCTTCAATCCTGCATTGTACCTGTAGTGCCAACAGCTGACAACTTCAGAAGGATCTCAAAGTTGAGGTCAATCATGTGCCTGAGGCCTAGGGCGGCTCCAATAAAATACATGCATGCAGGATCGACATCTTTCTCTTTCTCTTTCTCTTTCTCTAGATCGATCTTCGCTCTCCTTGCTCTTATTTGCCGTTTCCTCTTATCTCCAAGATTTCGATTGTACCCGACGTCATCTCGCTTCTTCTTTCTCATCCATCGCCTACAGTCCTGTAAGGTTCGTGCTGAAGCTACTAGTAAGGTGTTGAACAAAAGTCGTCATTGGGCCCGACGCTGGAGAATGTCGTGCGTGCAGCACCGTGTGACCGTTAAGGTGGATTTTGAAAATAATGGCTGCCCCTCTACTGTACTCTCCCTCTTGATACCTTCTGTCACCACATTTCCCTCGTGAATGTGTTAGTCTGTGGTATTCTCATACAGTCCAACATCCTTGACACTTCCATGATGCATTCTATATCAGCATCTGCATAGACCATACTATCTGTACGGAGTCCTAGAGCTCGAGTCTTGCCAGCTTGGACCATTGAGGTGCCGTCAACATTCACCGCCCTTACGAGGATCCTCTCCAAGCTGTTTGAACAATCATGAGCAGAAACATGGGCCGATTCAGCCTGAGAAGGATCATGGATAAGCAGACTCAGGTCGTCCTGTTCAGTTCCACGGCCATTGCACTATATGGGTACGATCAAGGTAAGAGATCTGCTGCACTTCCCTTTGTGTTTCCAATTCTTTCCCATGCCGCCCTGGTGCCTATCCCCTTGAGAAGCGCTCGATAGGTTGTCTCTCTGATATCGGCAAGGCAGAGGTGGTGCCTTTCTCGCAATATACCACTAACACCTTCTCCAGGAATGATGTCCCTCATCAATACAAACTACAACTACCTCTCGACCATGGGCATTGCACCAGACTCTCCCGTCGTGGGCGTCATCGTTTCCGTCTACTATCTAGGCTGTGCGGTCGGTGCCGTTCTCGCCTCGGAATTCGCAGACGCCAGGGGTCGAAAACCGGGGATCTTCGCTTGTCTGGCTACGGCGAGCCTGGGCAATCTGCTCATGTTCGTGGCCGGTATGGGCTCCCTAGGCGGCTCCAACGGCGCACTGGCGACCATGTTAGTTGGGAGGGTCATCATGGGATTGGGCGTCGGCGGCATCGACGCCGTCGTCCCCGTCTACTCCTCCGAACTCCAAGAAGACGACTCCCGAGGCACCGCACTGGCCCAGGAGTTCCAAGCCAACATCTTAGGTCTCAACATGGCGTTCATCATCAACGTATGCATCACACACTCACTCACCAAATGGAGCGAGTGGGCCTGGCGCGTCCCCATCATCGTCATGCAAATATACCCGATCCTTCTCTTCGCCGGTGCGAGCTTGTTTCCCGAGACTCCAAGATGGTGCGTGCTCCAGAACGACAACGAGCGCGCGAAAAAGGCCATCCGCCGCGTCTTTGGCGTAGACGAGGTCGAAGACCGAATCAAAGAGTTGACCACGGCTCACAAAAAGGAGCAGGAAGAAGGCATGATTTCGTACACCGACATGCTCTGGCCCGGCGGTTCCCAGTTCCATCCCACCGTTGTGACCGTCATGGGGCAAGTCAATCAGGCTCTCACCGGATACGGCGCGGTCAGCGTATATGGCCCGCAGATCTTCGAGCTCCTAGGCTTCCCCGTGAAAACGGCAGAGTACATCACCCTAGGCAACTACGTCTTCTACCTCGTCATGATGACATTCGCATGGCTGTTGATCGATCGCATCGGTCGGCGTAGGCTCATGGTCCAAGGCGCGGTCTGGCTCGCCGTGTCTTTCGCCGTGCTCACGCTCCTTGGCGGACTGGCATATAATCGGCTCCGGCTCCATATTCCTCTCCTCGCGACCGGCATCCCCGGCATTGTGGTTCTGTACCTTGCGACGTCAGTGTTCGGAATAGGCTGGCTCGTGCCCCCGTGGTTGATACCTACGGAGATCTACCCATCTACAGCGCGCGCCCAGGGAGCGGCTGTTAGCGTGATCGTTTGGGGATTGGCGAATTTCGCCGTCACCTTGCTGACACCCATCATGTTCAACAACCTCGAGTATTATTTGTTCTTGGTATTTGCAGCGACGAATGCCTTCGCCGGCCTGTGGACATACCTTTACTGTCCGGAGAGTGGGCACAGAACGTTCGAGGAGAATCAGGCGTTTTTCACAGAGGCGGCAGAGGAGGGGGCTTGGATCGTGAAGCGGGTCAGGGCTGGTGAGTTTAGAGTGCTCCCGGGTAAAGTGGAGGAGTTGGAAGAAGAAGAGGTGGTGGATGTTGAAGAGGGTGATAATGGCCGAAGAAAGAAGGAGAAGAAGAGAAAGACCAAGGCTAAGAGAGACGCTCATGACGAGACGGAGCCTCTCTTGGGAAGGTCTAGTATCGGTTGAGTAGGAATATCATGGAACGGTTGTGGTAGTGGAACCCAGCTTGTCTCATAGATGTACAGTGACTGTCATACAAAATGGGTCCGCGGCTATCAAGAGTAGATTGTGTCCTCCGATAGAGGATACTGCTCTTTCCGGGGGCTATTTCTGACGCGGGACTAGGTTCCCACGTCTTGGTACTTATTCAATCAAGAGGTTCCAGGCACGTGAGCGAGAGTTTGGTTTGATTCATCGATACGAGCGTATGTAAACAATAAGAGCCTTGGAGGTCCAACACAAAGAGATCCATTCCCCCTATAACAGTGGCCGTTAGACTTGTCCTGACCGTGCAGTCCGATAACTAGGTCTAAGCCTTCTATTCGGTGATTGATGTGCTCTCGTCCCATTTCTCCAGGGACCCCTTCACCGTGAGCAAGTAGTGCTAGATAGCAGTGAAGCAGTTACAATCGAGCTGTATCCACTTATGCCTTTTCAATCAGAGCCTCCAACTCCAGGGCGACACGCTTGAGCTCGGCCTTGAGTTCTTGAGCCTTCTCGCTAAGATAGTCCTCAGCAGAAAAGCTAGTGCTGACGGTGTAGGCACCATCATTGACGATCTCAGAGTAGTTGGACTTGCCACCACCGTTCCATGCCAGCAGGTTGACAGTGTCAGATGGCATGTTAGACAGAGCACCCTCAGTAGCTATGGCAATCATATTGGCCTTCATCTGCTTTGGAGTGATGTCGGCAACAGCATAGGCTGAGTCGTTGGCTGGCTGGAGAGACAAGAAATAGGCAAGGAGACCGCAAATGTGAGGAGAGGCCATTGAGGTGCCCGAGATGATGTTGGTGGCATACTTGCTGCCAATCCAGGTCGAGAGAATGTTATACCCGGGAGCAAAGATGTCGGTGCAAGTGCCGTAGTTGGAGAAATAGGCGCGCTCATCAGCCAGAGTGCTGGCTCCGACAGTGATCGCCTTGTCAGCAGCAGCAGGAGAGTAGTTGCAGGCGTCAGCATTGTCATTGCCAGCGGCAACGGCAAAGTGAAGACCAGCATCAACAGCTGCGTTGACAGCAAGATCGAGGACTCGAGACTTGCCACCACCCAAGCTCATGTTGGCAACACTGCCCTTGAATCCCTTCTTCTTTCCCTTCTTTGCAGCGCTAAGGGCCGAGGAGTGGGCTTCCGCAGCCCACTCAACACCTTTGACGACGTCGCTCATGGTGCCAGATCCATTAGATTTCAAGACCTTGACGGCGTAGACATTGGCCTTCTTGGCAACACCGAATTTCTTGCCGGCAATTGTACCCGAGCAGTGCGTGCCGTGGCCATTACCATCAATATCTTCATCGCCGGCAGGTATGGTCTTGCCCCAGCTGGCACGGCCTTCGAAGTCAACATGATCAATGTTGGTACCAGTGTCAATGACGTAAGCGTCAACACCCTCACCACCGTCGGCGGAGTAGAGGTACTTGTTGAAATCGCCGAAGTTCAAGGCGTCACGGTGGGAGATACGGGCAAGACCCCAAGGAGCGTTCTTTTCGAGGGAAGGAGATTCTTTGAGGGTGTGGACCTCGGAGTCTCGTTCAATGTACTCGACCTGCGCAGGCACGTGAGCTTACGTTGACACCAGATAAGGAGCGATAAGGAGCAACGGCGACGGATTGGAGTAGCAGTTGGCAGGAGTTCGCTTTCAGGACGATGGAATCCATGATAAAAGCTTGATGATGGGTGATTTGCACGATGGAAAGTGATGAAACAAGCAAGTACTCACATCTGGGTGTCTGCGGACGAGTTCGATGACATCTTCATCGAAGTGACCAGCGTAGCCCAAGAAGCCGCCTGGGATATTGTAGGTGTGTCTCAAGCCCTCAAAGACGGTGTCATCCGAGAAAGCCACTTGGCTGCGTTTCCGTAGCTCTTGCTTGCGTGTCTCTCGGGAGAGATGAACGTCTTGAACCCAGCTGTGATGAGCCGAGGCATCCCGCTCGGTGACGTGCTTTTTCAATACGACCATGTAGGAATTCGGAATCTCCTTTGCGTTAGAGGAGGAGATGACCGGAGCAGCATCATTGTGAATGGTGTCAACCAGGACCGGAGATGCAGCTGCAAGGAGCGGGAGGACAGATAGAGTGAGGACCTTCATGATGACGGGGCGGAAGATGTCCCGGTTCAAGGAGGTACAGAAACAAGAAGAGAGCTCTGCTCAATCCAGACAAGCAGAGCGATGGCAAAGAGACGACGGAAGAGATAGAAGATGAAGAGATGAAGAGATGAAGGATGAAGCAATGGGATAGAGATGTAAAGAAGAGAGTAAGTTAGAGAGAATGGATGAACTGATAACAGGCAGCGAGGTGATTCAGATGATGCGCAAGCGGGCAAGTGCGTATCGCTGAATCCGGCCTAGAACCCCACAGTTGCGGCAGCTACCCTGAGCACATGACAGTTTCAACCAAGGAAATAGCGAGTGCGAGTTGCCATAGGCACCACACGGCACCGATAAAGGCGTGGCGAACGCCCCGGGAAATGCTCACCAGGCCCTGCTAGATGTAACTTAGGCTCCCCAGCCACAATCAACCCGAGACTATTGCCGTCAGCCTCCACTAATACTCCGTATCTTCATTGAATGAATGACGATGAGGCTGCACCTTCCAAGTCGAAGCCACACTGTCGAGTCTGGGCTCACAAGATATAGCACTGATCTCCCAGATCTTGAACTTGGAGAATCACTAGAACCGTTCTTCCAAAGTGGTATTACATTGCGAAACTAGGCGTTCACTGGCGGGATGTTACCTGGGGCCATGACACAGATCCCGTCGGTTGTCAGCACTGGGATTCAACGTCACTGGGACTTGAATTCCGCAATTTCATTCCATAGTCAGGTACAGAGGAATTGCATGAACACTGTATGAAAGGCGGCACAACGAGACTGTTTCTTGACAAGCTATATTTGTACTGCCAGTATCGCTATTGAACTTATACCGCTCTTTCAAACATCACGGATCCCTCCATCTCGAGTGACAGACAACACCTCTCTGCCCTTGTAACCAGAATTCCTCCTCCAGCTTTTACGAATGCTGTGATAGATCCATGCTCGCCAAAGCTGATCTGTCTCCTCAGCAGTATCGATATCTAGCAATGCTAGCCCTTGCCTGAGGCGTAATCCTCAAAACCATTGTCCTCCACATGCGTTCGAGTCCGATGCAACCTGCGGTGTTCAGGCCAGATAAGAGGTGGTCAGAACATCATGGGCCTCACCGTTCAGACACATGGACGTGAGCGCGCCATCTCGACCGCTGACATACTGCGCCCGCAAGATAAAGACATAGCTGCCCTGGTGAAGAATCTGGACAGCCTTGACTGCACCTCCTTTGAAAAGTTGCAAGACAGTCTTGAACAATCGGTCCCATTACAGCAACTGCGCCATTTCCTCAAAGACGATGCTGAACTTCACGGTGCCAAAAGTGGTTTCAGACGTGCTGGTGGCCTACAAGCTCTTCTCCGTCTTCTTCGGCTACTGACAGACACGTATGGGGCCCAGGAGAATCCTTTGGCGACCATCAAGCCCTTTCTTCAAACACTCTCGCAATGGTTTGCCGTTCTTGGGGCTGCCCTGGAGGGCCACGAAGGAAATCAAAGATATTTCAGAACAAAGGTGGACGACGATGGTTGGCGGTCCCTGCAACGCACTCTTCAGCAGTGTCTCACCGTTTTGTCGCGTCAAAGCGGAGACGAACTATATGTCGAGCAGTTCTTCGGTATCCTCCTTGCAACTGCGGCTGGAGTGGAAGTCGTGGATGATCTCTACACTGCTGCTGAAAAATCAATCAACACTCAAATTTCGCAGCCTGTGTCAGAGGATGCTAGCAATATTGTAAGAGCTGCTGTGACCAAATCAATGTCGAGCGTGGACGAACTCGCGTTACCTGAGATGCTCACTACTATGCTTGTCCTCTGGTCTGCTGGCATCAAAGCGGACGCCATACCTCAACGATCATTGAGATTGGTGCTGCCCGTGAGTCTAAAAGAGATTCTTTCGATATCAAGACATAACCTTGTCGCTGCGCACACGGCTGGGACCTTGACAGCCATCCTCCAATTAGTCTTTGAAGAACGCCTGTCCGCGGTTGAGAGGACCCTTTTCAAAGAAGCTGCCCTCGTCCTCTGTCAAGAAGGTGTTTCGAGCCTGGAGGATGCCCATTACCTTTTCAATCAGGCAGCCCTAAGATCTGATGCAGCAGCATTTCTTCTTGATGCTGTTCAAGCATCGAGACAGCCACCAAGTGTACAATTCGATCTCTTGCAGCAAGGCTATGCTTCAACAGAATTGGCAAGCCTTGGTAGACCTTTTCCTCCCCTCGACACTGCCGGTTACACCCTGAGTCTATGGGCTCGGTTCGACTCATACGATAGCCAAGCTCATACCACTCTTTTCGGCGCATTTGACAAAACCCAGGCTTGTTTCATTTTGGCCTACCTTGAAAAGGACACACACCACCTCATTCTTCAAACAGCAATCCAAGGCAGTAGACCAAGTGTCAGATTTAAGTCGGTCGCTTTTCAACCGGATCAATGGTATCACATTTGCATTGTTCACAAGAGACCGCGAACGACGTCGTCCTCGAGAGCTTTTCTATTCGTTGATGGGGACTTCGTCGAGCAGCAAAAGGCAAACTATCCTACGGTGCCTCCAAATGAACGTGGACAAAGTACGCCCAAGATTCAGGCATTCTTCGGTACACCTCAAGACCTATCACCTCGGTCGGCTGGCACATCTTGTCTCTCAAAATGGTCGTTAGGTTCTGCAGTCTTGTTTTCGGACACATTGAGCGATGACTTGGTGGCCGTGTTCTATCATCTTGGCCCGAAATACCACGGCAATTTCCAGGACTGTCTCGGTTCGTTCCAAACGTATCAGGCCTCTGCCGCGTTGAATCTCAGAAACGAGATGCTGCATCCTGGGAAGGAAGATCAATCGGAACTCATCCTAGCGATCCGGCAGAAGGCTAGTAATCTGATTCGGGAGGATAAAATTCTCATCAACGTGTCTCCTGCTGCCATTCTGGATAATGACGATCGTAACAACATCGATGAGACGCAGCTGGTCAAATCTCTATCCAAACTGGCTGCGAAAAACCTGGTCGCTTACACACGTTCAGGTACCAGCGCTGTTGCCATCAATGGAGCAGTGCCTGCAATTAATGACGCCTTGACTCAAGCTCGAGGTGTCTTTCTGCTCATGGGCGACCCTACAGTGACCGTGCCGCACTCCCTCGACGATGCTAGCTGGCGCTTGGGAGGCTGCGGTGCTGTTGGCCTAGGTCTTGTTCAACGCGCTCGTACCACGGAAGAAGTTGCTCTGGCTGTTGACATTCTGCTAGAGACCGTGCGCCACAGCTGGAGGAACAGCGAGGTCATGGAAAGAGACGGGGGCTATGCTATTCTAGCAATGCTTCTAAAGGAGAAACTCGTTCTCCCTGCGCAGAGCAACGGAGAAACAGGAAAGACGGCAATTGCTATCCCGACTCCTCGGCTCGATAGAAACGCTCTCAGTCTTCGGGTGCTGCAATCGATCTTATCGTTCACGGGATATGACCATGAAACTCAGTCGAAGTCGGTTATCAACAATCCTCTAGCTTACAAAGTCCTTATAGCGGACAGCAGTATTTGGAGATGTGGTCCACTTCCAGCACAACAATTATACTTCGAGCAGTTCCTGGTCTTTGCCGAACAAAGTGAGTTCAACCGCTTCAATCTAAAGAGGCTATCGAGGATGAGGGTCTTAAAGCGACTCATGGAAGCTTTGAAGTCGGAGCCTGTTTCGAAAGCAATCATGCCAATGTACATGGCTGCTTTCAAAGTACTACTCCCTCGATCGATGTCCGCAGAGACGCTACGTTCGTTCGCGCTTTTCATCACTTTCTCTGTCAACAAGCGTAACATCGGGCTACAGTTCCGCAAGCCAACTCGGCGAGAAGCACGACAGAGAAGCTCATCTGGTGGCTCTTCCAAAAGCGGCAAAGAAGAAGGAGCCTCTACATTGACGCATTTCGAAATCGGAGTCGAAGTACTCCGCCTGTATTCAGATTTGCTTAGCCGCAAGGATGATGATACGATGATCAAGAAATTTGCGAAGACAGTCACAAACAAATGGCTGCTTTACTTGCTTTCGGAAACCTCTCCCGAAGTCGTGGTGCTTTCGATGAGGATAGTATCTAGACTGCTGGTTGTCCATGGAGACAGCTACGTGAAGAAGTTCAAGGATAGCGCCAAAACATCTGGTTTTACAGTCATGGCCTATCGTCTGAAGAGATGGTGGCATCTCCCTGCACTGTGGCCAACGTGCTTTGCCATCCTGTTCGACTTGGACGTCTGCAATCTCGATTTGGACCGGAATTTCGATCTGTTCGGATTCATTGATCTCTTTGCAAGCAAGAAGGAGCTTTCAGTCGTGTATCCTGAAATCCTTGAGGTCATTATGGCTATGCTACAGAGTGGCCTCAAGACCATTGTCTCATCGAAGCGACATCAGACATCAACAGCTTTAGCGCCTCCACTGGATGACTTCGACCAGCCTCCGCAGCGACTATCTATGTCAACGATGGCCCCACCAGACCCTCTTCTCACCATTGTGACCAGCCAGCACATAGAGACCTTCGACACTGTTGTTCGGTTCCTGGCAGATCTCCATACTAGATCACGCAAATTTCGAGACTTTGCAGCTTCCTCCTCCTATGTGCAGCACCTTCTATCGGTCCTCTTCCCTGTTGTCGTGGGCTCTGATATTGTCGAGGCGAGAACCGAATTGGACGCCCGAGATTCCACGCTGACATTTGACGGCGCTGATGTAATTGTTCGGCCTCTGTCGACCACGTCGCCCATAATCCGTACGACTGAGACAGAAATAGCGTCCGCGGCGGCACGAGGCAAGACCCTCCGCAGAGGCTCCTCTTTTGTTCTCGTAACACGAGAGCAGGCTCACCAAAATGGCAACGGCGCTCGGCCTGTCGATGCAACCGGCTCTGATTGCGCTGTTCGGAAGATAGTTGAACTCAACGAGGGTCATTCGATTGTTCAGAGCTTGTTGGAGATAGTCGTGGCCGTTTTCCTGGATCAAATTCTCATGAGGAAGGATTTTCCGGGACTTGGGCTTTTTCTTAAAACACCACCTGGATTTATCGAGCACCAAACTTACTTTGAAACATGGCTTCTCCGGAACACGGTTTCGCAACTGTCAAACCACCTCGCCCTTGATCAGAAGGTTTTAACCGAGCCAAGAGTGCTCATTAATTTGGCGCGCCTTTTCGGCCATCTCGAGGAAGCCTTATTCGAAGGCTGGTTCATTGGTGGCGCTGAGCCTGTGTTGGATTTGTCAGGGTCGATCTTGGAATATCTGCAGCGACCCGACATAGCGAAGATGAAGAGCGTTCGCCTCTGCACTCAGACGGTTGCCATCATACGCGCCGTTGTCTTTCGCACTGTACTGCTCGGCCTGTCTTCGATCAAGGACGATGAGTCACTCCCATTTCTGGAAAAGCTGACCTATTGGCAAACGGTTCTCCTGTCCGCCGAAGAAACGCAGTCAATGCATTTGCAACTCGTTTGCTATTTGCTATACGCCCACTTGGTCTCCTCAACCGAGGCTGTGCGACAAACAGCGGCCAACCTCTGGAGGATTATTCTGGTACAAAAGCCTGACGAAGCTGCAGCAATACTTGGCCAGGCCGATACAAATGAGCAGAAAGGTCTCGCGACAAGCTTCGCGAAAGTGGTTGAGCTCGACAACGAGACGTTCCTATACTGGGTTGACGAGCATAGGGACGAACTGGATTCCCTGTTCTTTGACACACTCTCAAAGCAGTGGGATGCCTTTGTCGCCAGCGAAAATAAACGCACCGAAGAAAACGGGCGTATGAGGATTACACGTCGACGCGAGAAGGTGAAACAATGGGTACGAGAAGAAGCTGACCGGGACGATCTGATCCGACGACATGAGATCGCCTTTGAGAATTGGACAGCCAATATATACTCTTCCGAATACCTCAAGCATCAAAGATTGCTCCAGGACCAGCAAGACGACCTTCTATATACGGAAGCTAGTTTCAACCAAATGCAGAGAGACACCAGCAGGCCAGGCGGACTGTTCTATGCTGGGAAGGCTCGCAAGTGGCGCCTTGACCAGACTGAGGGACGCAATCGGATGCGCATGCGCCTTCATGAAGATTTCAGCAAAGCCGAGAATGATCAGCAACCCAAAAGAAAGGGATCTGAAGTGCCGCAGTTACGACTCGATACTAAAAACACGAAGATGTCTACAGTCGAAGCTATTGGTGTCACTCCCGGCGGCGCTACACCTATGGTTGCCACGCCCAAACGAGTAGACACCGGCACCGAACCATTTCCTCAGATCGAGGAGGAACCCCAGAATCAAGGCCAGACCAACGAGTCAGGTAACAATGACGAGAGTGAGCAACAGGTTGAGGCAGTTGAAGGTGACGACAGTTTCGAAATGGTTGAAGACCCGAATGTAGAGACGGAGGATTTTGAAGACAAGAACCGAAAAGTCATGCGAAGTCTTCACCGAGGTGACCAGGTGAAGCATGTGGCCAATATCTCGCGAGTCCTCGGTCTGGAGGCTGTCGAAGGTCTGCTAATCCTGGGCAAGGACTTTATCTACCTTCTCGATAACTTCTTCCAGAGAGCAGATGGCGAAATTGTCAATGTTTGGCAAGCACCGGAAGAAGAACGCGATCCTTACGTGCGAATGATATCTGGTCGAGATGTCACGGATCGAAGGCATATATCCCGAAATGATGAACACGGCACTCGCAGTTGGAAGTGGTCGGAAATCATCAGTGTCTCGAAGCGACGCTTTTTGTTCCGTGATGTCGGCATGGAGATATTCTTCAGTGATGGCAGAAGCTACTTGTTGACCGTCATCTCGCCACCACTTCGCAATGACTTGCACAGTCTGGTGTCAGCCAAATCACCATCGCCGACTGCACTCAGCGCGGCACATCCTGAGACTGCGTGGCGGTATGAGACTCTCAGAAGCGTTGATGACGAGCCGCAGACCTTGGGGTCCAAGTTCGCGAATGTGTTCGGTCAGCAAGCGAGCTATCTTGCTGCGACCCGGAAATGGCAGAAGGGAGAGATGTCGAATTTCCACTATCTCATGCTCATCAACACGCTGGCTGGCAGAACATACAACGACCTGACCCAGTATCCTGTATTCCCCTGGGTTATAGCTGACTACACCAGCGACGAGCTGGACCTCTCCGATCCGAGGAGCTTCCGTGATTTGTCCAAACCAATGGGCTGCCAAACGCCTGAAAGAGAAAGACAGTTTCGGGAACGATATGAGGCATTGGCGGAGATGGGTGACAGCAGTACGCCAGCTTTTCACTATGGGACTCACTATTCGTCCGCTATGATTGTGACTTCGTACCTCATTCGGTTGCAGCCATTCGTCAAGTCGTATCTTTTATTACAAGGTGGAACATTTGATCATCCAGATCGCATGTTTTTCTCAATTGAAGGAGCTTGGAAATCCTCATCCCGTCTGATCCCGACGGACGTGCGCGAGTTGACACCTGAGTTCTACTACTTGCCAGAATTCCTGATGAATGTTAACGATTTCGATTTCGGTACCAGACAGAACTCGACCGAGTCTATTGGCAAGGTCGAGTTGCCTCCTTGGGCGAAAGGAGATCCTCAAATATTCATTGCCCGACAACGAGAAGCGCTGGAGAGCCCATACGTGAGCAGGAATCTTCATAAATGGATTGATCTCATCTTTGGTTGCAAACAAAAGGGAGAGGCTGCCGTGGAGGCGGTCAATGTCTTCCATTATCTGTCGTATCAGGGTGCAAGAGATCTCGATGCTATCACCGACCCTCGAGACCGGCTAGCAACGATCGGAGTCATTCACAACTTTGGGCAGACGCCGTATCAAGTCTTCAGCAAACCTCACCCTGCCCGGGAGCATATCCGACATCGATATAAGCGGCTGGATACTGCTGCCGAGTCATTGACACGAGTTCCTTCGACTCTTCTGGAGACGGAAGAGAAGGTCGCTTCTTTAAGCTTCTCGTGGAAGTCTGACCGCTTGTTGTGCTCGGGCGCTTTCAGGCTTAACATTCCGCCGGATTTCGAGATGTATATGGAGTGGGGCTTCTCTGACAACAGTGTCCGCTTCTACTCGACGGAAAGCCGCAAGCAGATTGGTCTCTTCGAACATCTACATGTAGGACAATTGTCCAGTGCGCTCTTCACTGACTCCAAGACCTTGGTCACGGCAGGAACAGACTGTACAGTGGCTGTTTGGACTGTGGTTGACAGTGGGAAATCTGTCGAGCTACATCCTCGAGCAACGCTGTTTGGTCATCGAAAGCCTGTCGGTGTCCTGGCCATATCCAGGTCTTTCAACGCATTGTTGTCAGCGTCGACCGATGGCCAAGTGATGTTGTGGGATCTTAATCGGTGTGAGTTCAATCGCATGCTAGCTGATGAGTTGCCTGTGACCTGCGCTGCCATCAATGATGTGACTGGCAACATTGTGCTTTGCCACGACCATGAGATCAGCGTGTATACCCTGAACGGTGAACGACTTCTACGACAAGACTCTGGGGATCGCTTGCAGGAGAGTATCATATCCTGCGCTTGCTACGAAGGAGCGGGCAACGAGTGGCTTGAACGAGACCTAGTGTTCACGGGCCACAAGAGGGGACAAGTTCGTATCTGGAGCAAAGTTGTCCGCGGAGGACACTTTGAGCTCGAGCTTATTCGACAGCTCAATCATGCAGACAATAGCAGGGATGACGGAGCCAACGTGAATGCCGGAATCAGTTGCATCTTGCCCATGCCTCAAGTGGTGTATACCGGGGATGAAGATGGGCGAGTGGTGAGTTTTTCCTATCTCCGCGAGGGTGAGAATAGCTGGCTAATCATGATTGCAGTACGAGTGGAACTGTGTGCAGAGACACTGAGACTCTGTTGCCGCAAAGATATCCTGCAGAAAGTAGACTTGGTTTTGTGAGATTCGAGCATAGCGAGGCGCAATGCAGCATGATGCGTGAGCTGGAATACGAGATGGTGGTCAAGACAATCGACTTTACTGGCCGATCATCCATGATTATAGAGACGATGACTATATAAAAGTTTGAGACTTTTTTGGAATAGACAAGCACCCACACAGGGCACTGGCAGCAAAATTGTGCTCGATATGCTGAGCGGATGCCATCGACTTCACATGCATTGATGTCTCCGTCTGCAATGACGGACCTCCGAGACATATATAGAGCCTGATATCTTCCGCGTCTCGTTGGTGCATTTTCTGCAGGAAGCCGCAGTTGCAGATGCGCCAATGCAGGAAGACTCAAGCCCAAGCCAGCTGAATCTGCATGTGCAAGGACCATCCTTCTTCAAAAGTTCCGCGCATATCCACGCGTCTTCACTTTCTCCATGTGTTTACCAGTATTATGTCAAATCATTGCACCATCCATTCAAATGTTCACGTGCGTGAGAGCTGCATTGGACCCGGATGCCTCCAAGTAGGAAGAGTGCACCTCGACAGGGAATCTTGGGCTACGTTGGTCAGGCAGGAGGGTGAGACGGGCCAATCGATGTGATACACGATCTCTCCTCCTGTAGGGTTTTCGGAGGACGGCGGGAAGGAGTTGCTGTGTTCAGTACCGCAGGAATGGAACGAGGAGGGTTGCTGCTGTATCAGGTCATCAGTAATTCCAACACTCGCGTAGTCTATACCATGGTATAATACACCGAGTATAGTGATTTTGTGAAGCTCGGAGGACTGTGGTAGACTGAGATCCTACTGGAGATTCTGATGCTGGACTGAGACAGCGACTAAGCCGTGATGGGATTCGCGGCTGATATTGCCCGAGCAACAGTCGCTTATTATGTTTGTTGTTGACAACCACTCAATGCTGTCCTCTTACTGGGCTTTGCTAGGGTTAGTGTTAGTGAGGTCTTGCTGGGCACCTCTGCATGGCATGATGCTCCCTTCTTAAATTGCATTGGTCTCTGTCTGAGCCCTGCTTTTTCTTCTTCTCCTCTTCCACATTCTTCCATCCCACAGACCACTTGTTGCTCCGTTCAGCGTGCACCGACTCTTCTTCTTCTTTTCCTCCCAGTCAAGTCTCTTACTCTCGACTGCCGCAAGGTAACCCGAGAGTAGAGACACTTCAACTCCGGCAATCTGGACTTTGACGCCCGAGTCCCCATCCCCGTCAGTGTCTTCCCGTCTACGTACAGGAGTGACGCACAAGCTTCTACAGAAACCACCGTCACCAAGGTAGAAGCCGACTTTCAACAACCCTCGCGCGTCGGACGGGAAGATACTCGATTCTCTCGGGAAGAGGTTGACATCACTACCAGAGAATCTAACCGTCCACGCCGCGAGCACACTACTCAACGAGAAGACCTCCGTATCTACGAAGAGCGTGACCGAAGACATCCTGAGATCGAACTCACCCGAGAAAAGTATGGCAGTACCAAGAACCCTCAACCGTGCACTGTGCTTTGACCCTCCCTTTCCCCAGCTTTTCGACGCACCGACACCACACCACGTTCTTGACACGACACTGACAAGGGACTTTTGTTTTAGGTACCGCGGACCCGCCGAATATACCCGCAACGCCAACGTCGATCTAGACATCGACCGCCGCGACACTCGAGACCACATCGAAGTCGACGTCGACCGCCACCAGCACCAAACATACGACAGCCGCGCTTTTGAGACACAACTCGACATCACCGAACGAGACTACCGCCGCCGCCTCGATCCAAATTACGACATTGAATACGAGCGTCGTCGGCCCCTGCAAGCAGACGCAGACATCACCATCCAAAAGGAACAAGTCACAACCGAGACACGAGACAAGATGGGTTACTACGACGATGAAGGACAATACCACTCGTTCCGCCGCGGCGTCGAGCGTGCTGCAGACCGCGTCCTGCACCCATTCTCGCACGGCCACCATGGCGACCGAGTCGAGCGAGACGAAGTGGTGATTACCGAGCGCGACAGCGGCTCCAGTGGTGCAGGGCCAGTGCGTGTGCGTGATGGCGCGATCGAGCAGGTCCGCTACGTGGAGCCACGGTTCGGCAGCAAGGGCGTGCCCATCCAGTGCCATTTCATCCGCGTTGGGGACATCTTGCTGCTCCAGGGCCGACCGTCGCAGGTCATTCGTATCAGCATGAGCAGCCAGACAGGTCAGTACAGATACCTCGGTGTCGACCTCTTCACGAGGCAATTGCATGAGGAGAGCAGTTTCATCAGCAACCCAGCGCCAAGTGTGGTTGTCCAGACGATGCTGGGACCGGTGTTCAAGCAGTACCGCGTCCTGGACATCAGGGAGGATGGACTGATTGTTGCGATGACGGAGACGGGCGATGTCAAGCAGGGACTGCCTGTGGTTGATCAGGGAGGATTGTTCAGACGGATTGAGCGTGCATTTGGAGAGGGTAGAGGCAGTGTGAGAGTCTTGGTCATCAATGACGGTGGGCGGGAGATCGTGGTGGATATGAAGATCATTCATGGTAGCAGACTGTAGATGGCTTGAAGGAGACCAGAGTTGTTCAAAGGGTGGTGGATGGCATGGCTGATCCGAAGGAGTGTGGTAGAGTAGGTGGTAATAAACATGTAGGATGGGATGGGATGGTGTTGGTTACACTCAGATATGCATTTCCTCACTATTCACGCAGGCTCTACTCCGTATTGAATGTGTATTTGCGGGCCTTTATGACAAAGTCTTGCCCATGATTTTCCTTGAAGGTTAGTGGTGGTTCGGAAAATCCCCCTTGTGAGGTGGCCTCTACCCTGTTGGTCTGTGCCAATTATTTTACGCACAAGCTTGCCTATCATACTTTGAGTCCAGACGGAAAATATGATCAGGCTATCTCGCAGCTGCCTGTAGACGCCTCGACGCCTAGCGAGCCTCACGAAGCCGGGAGACCTGGCGCGCTTTATTCTTCGAGGGCATACACCCTTTGCCGCGTTCCCTCATGCTCCAACCGACAGTGATTGCTTAACCCTCTGCGTACTGAGCATCGACGCGGCCAGCGATCCCCAGAATGACACCGTAATGTTACAAATCGAAGAAACAAATGTGCCATCCACGATTTTCGACCAAAGCATGGCGCCTTACCTTCGCCCTGGAGACAATCGTCAAGCACGCACATACGACGACGACGAGAAGCTCAGACTCAACATGGCCCTCTGCATTGGCATAAAGGTACTACTACGTCAGCCAAAAGCTTCACCCTGAGACTTGATCCGTCAGATGTCGGCAATTGAGCACAATCAGCAGGAGTGGAAGTCGACACAAGTTCCAAGGACACGATAGAGAAAGAAACTAGTATTACATTCTTCCAAACCATGCTCCTCCTACCAAGCCTGAACCTATAAGTATCCATCCCCGCCAGCCAGAACCTCGTGCTTGTACCGTGTCACACGTTGCGTCTGGCATCATTGTTACCGTTGCCGGTGCCGCCATTACCGTTCGCTTGGCTGGAATTGTCCTCATCGAGGTTGACATCAAGGGAGGAGCTTCTGGACCGTCCGACGCTGCTGATGCCACGAAGCTCACCACTGATGTTACCTATTCAGCAATTGATCAGCTCTGCATTCAAAGACTTAGCACAAACTCACCATTCCTGTTGATCAGTGCAGTGAAGCTATCTTGATTGACGGCCACATGAGTTCCTTTTGATCGGTCAGTGGGAATGTTTACTTGACGTTGGGGTGGCTGGAGCATGCCTGTACCAGTCCAAGTCTCTGCAGCAAGACCAGATGAATGGTGATAGCTGCGGGAACTGCCTCCACCGACGCTGTGGCTAGACGAGCCGTTGTCGGTGGTATGGTTGCTGCTTGCTTTTTGGGCTGCCATGTTGCGTACTCCGGGGCTCTTCCTTCCCTGGGCTGATAAATGGGGACCTGATGATGCTGATTGAACTTGAGCAAGTATGAAAAGAGACTTGGATCTGGCGAAGGTGTACTCACGGGACTTACCAGGTATTTATAGCAAAGAAACCTCCTGCTCCCCGCCATATTCTTTGGAGTGATCGGTCGAAACCAGCATGGTGCAGCACCGTTCCTTAACGACACCATATCCGCGACGAATTAGCACGATCGAGATTGACGAGCATACAAGTGCTGATCCCAAGGAGATCAAACTTGCGGTCTGGACCGGCTGGAGAAGGTGACGACCGCGACAATAATAGCAGCACGCACATGCCATATGGTTTGTGGAGCCCAGCGATATTGTACCTCACAAAGGGAAAGAAGTACCGTGCAACGATGTCTCGCCGTGTTCGAGACCAGGAACGGGAAACAGTGCAAATGAGGAGCGAGCGTTGAGCCGGGAAAGCTGAGTGGAAGGAACACAATGCCCCCGCCCCCGGGCCCGCCTTCAGCATGCCCAGCTTCACTGAAGACATGGTCAACGAGTAACAACTTACCCTGACAGTTACAGGACCGTGGCACCGCGACCGATACCTTGAAAAAGACGTGATTTTGCTCGCGGTCAACTATGCTGAAGCGAACCCCCAGACCCTCGGGTATCTGTTGTCTTCGTCGTCGCTTGAATTTCATCTTGCTTACTTGCATCGAGCATCAGGGGCCCATCGATACCTACTTTACAAATGAGATCTGGCCAACTGGCGAGTACTCCGTATCCCCTGGATCAATGGCAACTGCTGCCGGCAGATTTCAGGGGCTGAAACTGAAAAGGAGCGAGCGATTCTGGATTCGGCATGGAGCTCACTAAAACGTCGTAAAAGTTAAAAGGAGCTTCAAAAATAATGGTGGCATGCCCAGTTTTGTGAAAAGATGACAGTGAGCCATCAGACTGTGGGAGTTTACAACGAACACGCCGGCTGGCGCGAGCCGAGAACTGGCGGCTAGCGTTCTCAAGACTCAAATCTTTCGATACCGCGGCTTCGACGGCCCATCAACGATCATAGGCCAATCGAATGGAGGCCTGGACCGAACAGGGGTGCGACCAACCGCGCATAAGCGACAAGCTTCAGCGAAAAGACCGACAGTGTACGAGTACGGGGTAGGATAGTGATCAACTACCTGGTGAGCCTGGTACCCAAGGGCCTACAAGACCCCCTTTGTTTTCCATGGTCAGTCCCTCGTAGCACCATGATGGTCTCGCGGGCAGTTCCGTTGGGCACCTCCAACCTCTTCCAGATGGCCCGTCCATCCGCGAAAGCGATGGCTCAGTGTCTTGTATTGGGGATGATGGCATCATGATGGATGGGGTTTCATCATCCCCCCGTGTTATGCAGCGGCGCCCATCGTTCTTCAGCCGGCTGACCCTCTTCCGCCAACCGGGCTAACTACATAGTAGTGAAGGCTGACCCACGCCCTTCAGATTCTCGAGTCCTTGGGGTCATGCAACACGTGGCAGGCTCCTACTAAGTAAGAAAGCGAGCTCAGTGCAGCGTTCTGGACGCTACCCCTGGCCTGACAGGTGCAGAAGCCATAAGATCAGAGACGCAGAACTACGTAGGATCGAATATGGGACAAAATGATAGCGCCTTGCCAGGCCCCCAGCTCTCGACTTGCCGGGAGCACGACATGGGCTTGGGACTCTCAGGCTCCTGGAATCGAATACGAGCTCCAGCCTGCACTGAGCGCTCTTCACACGACACTATTCTCTCGCGGTACGGACTGGACCAACGGACAGTGTGAAGCATTTTCAGATAGTAATACATAACAGTTTAGTACATTGGTCGTCCTGTTCACCGATTCCATCCTAAGTCGTCACAACCGTGTGGACGCACGCTGGATTTCAACCAACCCAAGAGCTTGGGCTCATTTTGTCAAACAATAGGCATTCCCAGCCACCTAGACAGCTATATAACGAGAGGATCCCCTGAACCCTTAGGCACTGAACAGAGATCTCTTCAACCTTCTTTGATGCATTTTCGGTGGCCACACCAAAGCAATTTGCCTGTGAAGAAGTTTGGCTCGTCCATTTTCTCATGGTCTTGTAGATCATAGGCACCGTATGCCTCCACTATCCCGGTGTCAGTTTGCGTCCCAGCACACAAGGCAGCTGCTTACTATCTTCATGCGTCAAGGTCTTCTTGAAGTCTCGCAACAGGTCCATGGTCGAGGTGGGATAGCGCGTAGCTTTCTCTAGCTTCTGGACGTTGTCGTCGCCGTCCTTCCAGTCCATCATGAATGGGTTGCACGGGAGCTGAATCCTCTGATAGTGCGCTATCACGCTTGCGGCCGTCTGAAACATCTCTTCCATGAGGATCGGATTGGTGAAGGATGTCTGCATTGTCAGTTGCTGTCCGGAATCCGGAGTTCTTGGCGCTTGCTTACCTGGTTTTTGGCCTTTGCGAAGCGTCTTTGCTGGTTGGCAAGCATGGAAAGACTCTCCAACATGAAGAAAGCATTCACCAAGAAGGGCAGCATGTGATGCGGCTTTCCGCTGTCGTACAACTCCTGTAAGCCGTCCGTGATCTTGGACTGTAGCTGGCTTAGACTTGAGGCGACAAGACCCGAGAACTGGTAATCCAGCATGCACGCATTTGTGAACGAGACTCTTTCAGGTGTCTCGTTGAAGCCGAGTGCCGCCTTCCCGGATGACAAGTTCCAACCACCTTCGAGAAAACGAGCCATTGTCCAAAACGTCAGAGTATGGTTCAAGAGAGCCCTGTGCTATAGCTGGTCAGTCATGTGATTTGAAGTGCTGTGTCCATGATGGGCATACCAGGACCCCATGTTCGCTCATTTGCCACTTAATAGCAAAGGAGAAGAAATTTCGTGTGACCACAGACAGGTGCTTATTGCCTACCGCAATCAGATATTGTTTTGCGCTGTTTTTGGCAAATGACAGGATGTCAACCTCTGCCTTTGGCAGCAACATAAACTGATGACTGTACAGATACTTTTCTTTGTCGGGGATGTCGTGCTCTATCAAGTCGAAGGGCTTGCATTTGAGCTCCAAATGAACATGCTCGAGCTGGCAAATCGAGAAGCGTACCGTCTCTGCGCTTCCCTTCACGCGGACCCGATTCAGATAGAGGTGCGAAAGACCAAGTTTATGGTAAGGCTTCTCGGCCAATGGATCAGTGGTTTGTCGGTAGAATATCGCCTCAGTCAAGCGCTTGTACTCGGCGCAGGGATATCTAATACCGCTCCTGTTACTAGCGCATCTCCGACAGTGAGGCCTCCAATTTGAGTCAAGTACCACCACACACTGTGTGCCCATCAGTTATAGTCTTGTTTTGAGCTGCTTTCACTTACGCCCTTGGCGTGGAAAATGCAAGAATAGCATTTCCACCCCTTTTTCTCCCCAGAACTTGTTGAACTCGACATCAAACTCTCGCTTGGTGAGGTTGAGGTCCCCACCGGTAGGACAAGCTCACCACGATGCAAAGGCCTGCTCGTAGGATCAGGAGCCGGTTTGCTGTGCGGAGGAGCTGATCGCGTGGCGACGTGTTGTCTGCGTGGACCTATGAGGTGGTCCTCATTGTGGTGGTTTCGACTCATCTGCGGATTTTGCATCCTTGGCACGCGGCCGGCCTCTCTGATTGGGGCAGCGTAGGTGTTGTATGGGTGAAATGAGTGAAGCACAACGCCTTCTGCGGGTTGCATGGGTAGGCGAGCCGGGTTGCTATAGTGAAACTCGTTGGAAGTCGGTAGAGCAAAGCTACCGTTGTGAGCCCCAAGATGGACCGACGGGTTGGCGAAAGGCGGCCTCGGAGGGCGAGGCTGGCCAGCAGATCTCAGTTCAATTCCTTCCCCAGATCTCCCGAAAGGATAAAGGTCGTTATTTGCGTCGAGAGGAGCCAACTGCAGGTTTGGTTGCCAGTCTTGGAACATATATCCGCTCCTATGAGGATAGCCCTCCATGTCCGTGGCAATGGCCCAGCCGCAAGGAATGGAGCTGGATGAAATGCCCTTTGTTTGAGCTTGCATTTGGCAGGCGAGGTCTTGGTAAGTAGAGGGTTCAGTCAGATGTTTTTGCTGCAAACCAAAGCAGTGGCCATTTCCTGGATATAGTCCAATCCCAGGCGTTGGCATAAGACGATTGTTCAACACCGGAATGGCAGAAGAATGAAGTGCAATTGGTTTATGTATTTAATACATTTGTGGCTCGAGGTACTGTAGATGCAACGAATGTCCTGAATCCCACTCTTTTGACATACAAGATTGCCATTTCTCTTTCGCGTTCCAGACCCCAGGGACATTTGAATAAAGATCTGAAGTGGAGTGCTTTAAAGTGTCGAGACTTTCCGCGTCCTTGCACCCAAGACAACAGATCCTCCAGATGTTCCAGAGTAGGCATGGTGAAGGTGTTTCCCGGAGTCAGGTACTTGAAAACCTCACAACCTTCGTGTACGGGTACCAAGTTAGTATGCCGCGTCCCCGCTGGCGCGGACGGGGGGGACCCGCTCAGTTCCAGACATCAAAGACACGGCATGGAGGACGAAAAAATGCTGTTCGGCGTGCATTTTCGTGATAGTCCTCCAGAGAACGTCGAGATAACCTTCAAATGAGTCGAGAAACGAAACTTCGTCCCGCAATGGGATCTTGTCTCTCAACAGCACTCTCAAGTCAGGTCGATATTTCTATGGACTTGTTGACAAGTCGAGCCTGTTAACATCTGCTTTTGGGGCATCCAGAGGCAGTCTGTTTGTGGACGAGGCGCGGAAAGTGGAAAGAGCGGTGAGAAAAAGCGCTTCTGACAGGTGGCCAGGCAGCTTTATTGCTAAATATCCAGCTTCGAGATTCTGCAAGTCCTCACAACGACTGCGGCGGTGACAGATGTGATTACCGACCGACCCGCCAATGACCGCAAGGATTTCCTATTTGATGCAGTGACCATTCCTCAATCACAGAAAGAACTGGGATGCCACAAGGGTCGTCTGATACTCGTATCTGCACCTCACCCAAGAAAGCAGCCAACCCAAGCTAAATTGTCGGATCCAATCGAAATCCAGCACGACACCATTTTTACCCTTGGAAAAGATCGGGAAATCCATGGTTGGGCAACCCTGCAGCATCCGTGGTCCGCGGCTGTGCATGGCAATGTCACCCGGTGGCCAGGGGCACTCTTGAGACTGCCCTGTCTGGTGCCTATAGCATGTTGTGCCCGTAAGTACAGGGGTTCCTTGCGTCCAAGCGAAGCGGTCATCACGCACCGGGATGTGGACAACCAGCCCCCGACTACTTAGCAGGCGGACGTTTGCGAAGATATGAACAACTCGGCAATGCTGCTGCACTCTAAAATGTCGCAGCCCGTCACCACAGGTGGATTACCGCTATGCCGTGCTCAGCTCCGGCACCGTTTGGTCGCATGAGTATGCAGCCGAGTTTTAGACAGGCATTGATGGGTGGGATAAGTTTTACATGATGTTTTGGAGCAGTTTTCAAGGCAGAGAACCTTTGGTAAAGGCGAGGACACAGGGTTGATATATAATAGTTTGTGCTCGTCAAGCCGCGTCCATAATGGAATTGCTGCCTGAACAGATTCAGCCTTCTGCAAGGCCTTTATTCTCGGCTTAAATGCTTGAGTGGGCAAACATGTATGATTTCTTAACTGGAATTGTTACAAGTCGCAGAGCTGCCTGGCACGACTCGAATGAAAAGGGTCTCCAACCACGAGGCTTCAACATTTCAAACGCACTTCGGAAGAACTACGCTTTTCCAGCTGCGGGTTACATTGATCTGCCCGACACTGGCGGCTATATCCAGTACGGAGGCACAGATTATGTTCCGGAGCAGAAATGTGGGCAATATAAAGTATACAAGTCGTCAAATGAAGAGTCACCACAGCCGGGAGGGTGGCAGATACAGGGTGCCTCGTTCGGAGTGCGCTACATAGCCGCGCCTCGACTCACTGGAAGTCTTCGACCTCTCCGCATCAGAGTCGTGATACCCGATCAGGTGGACTGGCCAGCTGAACTTTGGAATCCTCTAGACGCCCGCGACAGTGTCCATATACGCGGGCCGCATGTGCAGGGCTTGGGGATATCACAGCATCTTTGCAAGGCTCTTGGGTCATGGTGCTCGCGATTTGACGATTTTCGACAGACGTACAACAATATGCCATTTGCGTCGCTGATACGCGTCGAAAATATAACGGCCAACATCAGTGAGATGCGAATGTCTTTTGTCCCTCGACCCGACTACTCGGCATTAACGTCGTCCTCACGGCAGCTCCAAGTCTTGTGGAATATGAGGGACGATGAGATGCCGCCTGTGGTTGAGCTCAAACACCTGCGCCTCGAGCGCGAAATTGCAGACGATGTCGCTCTGGTACGTATACCTAGCCACGACGAAGGGAGGACGATGTTCGCTTTCAAATCGTCGTCTACCCGCTTTTCAGCGGTCTATCACGAATTGAAAACGCTGCTGGCGTTGAAACCACATCGCAACATCATCCCCCGGCCTTTGTGTTTGGTCGTTGAGCGCGACGAAAGCACAGGTGCCGAGAGAGTGCTGGGGTTTTTGCTGAAATACTTCCCACTTGGCAGTCTCTACGATATACTACCTCGACGACGTGAGGCAGGGACGTTAAAACTTGAAACCCAACTCCATTGGGGAATAGACGTAACCTCAAGCCTCATACATGTGCTCTCCGAGCCGGCAGAATTTTACTCTGACCTGAGGACCGACAATGTTCTGCTTGCGGTGGATGAAGCTTCTCAGACGGAGATCGCTGTACTCATTGACTTCGAGCAAGGACGTAACCTGTACAACTGGGCACCGCCAGAAATCTACAGGACCGAGTGGATTGCAGAGATGGGTCACAAAGACTTCGCCCGAGCCAAGGGTATACCCCAGGAAGTCAGGAACAAATATCATGGGATCCTCACGCAAATCCTCTCGGTGCGAAAATATCCTCTTCCATTAGCTGCCCAGCCTGGCATCTACGACAATGCTCCCCAGGGATGGTATTTCCCATGGCTAATGAGCACCCGCCTGGAGAAGGAAGCCGGCATGGTCTATCTCCTGGGCAAGCTTTTGTATTGCATTTTTGAGGGACGGGCAAATACGGATATTGTGCTCGGTCAATCATACGTTGGGGAACAGGAGCAGCAATTCCCGGAATTTCGTTTGACACCTCCACCTTTGCAGAACTTGATCAAGTGCTGCACGTGTGGTGCACGTGAATGGCTGAACGATCCCATCCGTATCTACCGTAGAGGAGGTAAGGTGTTTCCTCTTGGGCAGGCTGGCTTGCATGGCCAAGGCGAAGCCACCCTTCAAGAGACGCAGGAAGCCATTGTAGCATTCTGGAGGGAGGAGATGAAAAAGGCGGAGGACTTCGTCTTGGCTCGATACCGGCACGACAAGGGAGAGGCAACCGAGGATGACATGAAGCTGCTGCACTATTTGCATCGGCCTACTTTGGCAGAAGTCCATCGGCAGCTTGTGTCGTACTCGGAGACCTTGATCCCTCTGAATTGACTTGGGGGATGCAGTAGTGTGAGCAAGTATCTGAAATCTGTCCGTGTATTTCCTGACCAAAGTGTCGTAATGCCTGACCCTCTGAAACCTAAAGAACGCCGGCTGAAAGTGAATCGAATTGGGGCATATTCTCGTGAATCGCAGTAACATTAGAAAGAATCTCCATGTGCCACAGCAAAACCAAACCATAAACCCAGCGCCGTCGCATGTGCTGATGACAATGGATATTCGTGTCAACGCATTCAAAAAGACCCCAAGCCAGCCGCCGAGATCGACTAGCCGCATGAAGAAGAACTCTCTGCCGACTTCATGGACCACTCCACGGCCTCTTCCATCGAGTCAACACTCCAATGATCAGATATATGGTCAAAATCCTCGAAGGTCCGTTCCCATTCCGGCATCAGGCCCCGGGGTACGGGCCAGCCTCGCTCAATATCACGCAGCCACAGCCTCAGCGCATGCCGGCTGTTGTGTGCCGAATCATGGAAGTTGGCGCGTGCATGCATAAGTGCCATGTTGTTGACAAAGACCATATCCCCTGGCCTAATATCGATCTTCAATGCATGCTTAGATGCACAAGCATGGACTGCATCCAGGGCGTTCGCTTGCGCCGAAGTCAGTGCTGGGATGCCGGGGGTGCGCGGAGTGGCATCAGAGCCTGTCAAGAGCCGCCTAGAGAAGTTGAGGACTGGCCGACCAGCGGAAAAGTGAAGGATCGCGCGCTTGTAGTAGGGTGGCTGCTGCCCGAACCTGCGTGGGTGAGAAACTAATCCACTGTATCACCATCTGACGTGTACTCACGTGTCAAAGGGCCAATCTTCCTGGGACAGGACGTGAAGCACATCGGGCTGCGTCGACGCCAATTCGTTGTAGACTCGCCATGACGACGATAGAGACAGCTCACCACCCATCTGCGCGATGCTGATGTAGTACAAACCAAGGATCCCGCAGATGACATCGGTGTGGAATGGCTGTTAAGGCATTAGTGTGGTTGTACCTGGCGACGTCCTTGTACCTACCACGCCGTCGTTCGAGAAGACAGGTCTTTGTTTCTGCCCCTTCAATGCTGTTACGTCCATGATGTGGTCTAACACTCAGCCTTCGTCACTCGTTGGAAGCGCTCTGCTTACATATTTTCGCCCCAGCCATGTTCTGCCTCCCAACCTCAAAACCGAGTTTCTTTGCTATACCAATGAAGATCCTTGCTTTTTCCGTCAGTGTATACTTCTCACCATCAAGCCCGCGTATAAGATGCAGCCCGACACCATCGTGGAGATTCGACCTGATCTCTTCCAACCAAGTCCCGAGCGCAGGCAGAGGGTTGTGACAACCGTTAAAGCCGTCTTCCAAAGGGTGGCCTACAAGACGAGAAGTCAGCAACGTGCACGTAAACCTCCACGACGAGTCGTCGCTGGGAGGACATTGAACGTGCCCCGTGAGATTGGCAAGCAGTGTTCCAGTTCGAGGATGTCAGCGTCTGTCAGCTGTCGCGTATATTCGTGGCTTTGCAGGTCGCCAGCAGTCCAAGCAAGGGGATGGCTTGTTGGCTGGGGCCAATGTGATGGAATTGTCTGTTGTGCTACTCTCACATGATCCTCGAGGGCGCACCGAGCCTTGTGAGACTGCTCATCATATTGCCATCCGATTTCTGGATAGCCCGGCAGGCGTGCTTGATTGTCAATGCCATACCGCTGGGGGAGTTGGGCTGGACCGTAGTCAGCAACAGTGTAAGGCTTGGAGCGCGTAGACATTTTCTCCGAGACGATTGAGTTCGAAGGTCCCGAATGCTAGACCCAGAAGCCGGGCACCCGCGATTCACGCCGTATAAATGGTGAGATGATCAGGCAAGTAAGTTAGAGCCGCTGCAGCGGGTAGCACGCGAGCCCACTGGGACAGTAGTTGGAAAGGGCATTTTCAGGCAATCGCACCTGCAAGGCGCCGATATTGGGCACACGTAGACGGGATAGCGAGGCCAATAGCAACCCCTAGATAGAGACCACCCGCATGGTCAGATGAGAACGAGTGTATCGGCTTCATCTCAGTGCTAAAAGGGGGGATGGACTCCCCAGAGTCATGCAAGCACTATTGGTGTCCTCTTTGTCGTCTCCGCGCGCCTAAAGCAATTTGGAATCTCCTTGCGATCACGATTCTGGTGAGTGAGGAAATCCACGACAGCGGTGAAATGCGGGAAACTTCCCAAAAGGCGCAGGCAAACGAACAGGGAAAGGTCTCCTACCTGCAAGTGATTGATAGTGGCATGACCCGCCATCCACCGGGCTGCGATTCAGCCGTGGCCGATACGTCCTTTCATGAGTGGCTACTAGATGAAATCCGTCAGTTGATGAAGAGCGCCTCGCACCGGGCCTTGACGCCACTAGAACACTGAGAGCTAATGAATCGCCTGCCGCATTGTCCTGTTGGTGTTTGTGATGTTACACAACCGTGGCCGATGGTTGCCTTCGGCATTGCAAATGCAAAGGTCGAGTAGTGGGCGTTTCTAGCCAGTGGATAAGCAGTGCCAACGAACCATGGCCAGGGTCAAAGGACTTGTGTTTGCAGCGACTGGGCAGAGCTGGCAGGGAAAGCTTGCCGGCGATTGGCATCATGCAAGCAATGGGAAAGAGAATAAGGAGGCGGGGAAGGATCTTGTCGTAGAGATGGGTGATCATGTGCGGGTTCCTACCAAGCAGAGTAAGGTAGAGGGTAAGGGGCAGTTGGTGCGCCAGCGCCTCGAGCTCAAGCCATTGCGTCACCAATATTCCAGGATCCTTTCCATTGGGGCTTGTACGAACTCCAGCATGCTGAAGAAGGTACCAGTATCAGGTCGATTTAGCATGCAACAGGTTGCAGCAACGAATATGGCTTCTGGGATAACCAATTGTTCGAGAACTCGCAGAGTGTCGCAGCCACCCCAACGGCCCTACTCGAGAAATCACATCCAGTGCTCGCCCATGGAGAATGTGTCCTCAGGAGTGTTGCCATGAATTGGTTCACTCAAGATGAAAATCGGTTTCCCACGCCGTCGCCAGTTTTCGACGCGGCAGAGCCAGCGTCGTGGGCCTGGCGTTGCATAATATGCGATGCTCACCATGTTGTGGACGTCTCTACATTTTATAGGCTTGTCGGGTACGACTCACTAGGCCATACTAGCTTAGCCTTAGGAACTCGAGGATCGAATACCGTGCACTAGTCTGAGGAATCGACCCATAGGGAGTTCCATTGCCCCTGGGTCCCAACGTGCCTGGGGACTCGCTTCGGGGAGATTGTTTGAGAAGTACTCCGTATGACTAAGAATATTGATCGAAAGGTACGCTTTGTCAGTTGAATGGGGATGCTTGTCGGAAGGGAGGCGGACGCTGTATTGGCGATGCTTGATGTGCCTGGAATGAGGAGGTCCCTGGCATGTTCGATCGAGGTATCGCTGTGAGAGTGAGCTGTCGATGGCCGTGCGTAAGATGTGTCGAGGTGTAAGAGAGTGTAATGTCTTAGGAGCAATATGTACCTTAGTGCAGTCCAGGCGGCACGAGCCAACATCGCCTCGAATGTATGGAGGATCCTTCTGTCAGACGATGCCACTTGCTGAGTCCAGGAGCTCGCGGTGTCCAGTGCGCTGCGTGCCTACGTATCAAGAGCCAAAGTCTCCTGGGTTGGGCGAACTGGGCAGCCCTGAAAATATGTTTTATTCAAGCAAGAGGACAGCGATGGCTTGGTAGATTTCCAACTAGTGGTAGGTTTCAATCGACCGTACAGGGTAAAGAGATGGATTAGTCTACTAAATATGTGACAAATGAATATGGACATCTCTCTGAACGCCATATAAGCCAGGTTCATATGACAGGAAGCCCTCATCTTCGTCTCCGTCTCCGTCTCTATCTCTGTCTCTGGCAACACCACACAGTCTCCGCCCCCGACTCTGACGTGGGAAGCGGGTCGTCGAAGCAGATGTGCAGTCAAGCTGGAAGTGCTCTGCTTGTTGGTCGCTGGGACAGAGTCGTGCACTCGTTGTGCATAAGCGAGATCCCCTTGAACTGTGCTTTATCAGGCAAGGTAAAGCTCCCACCCGTATCATGCAAGATGCTGGTGACTGCAAGCTGGTGATATGCCAATGAGAAGCCATCCTAATATGGACTGTGTCGAGGCCACCATCCTTGCAGCCCAAGCTGCTCTTTGATTTTGATACTCAGTGCGTTGAGAACCGGCCTCAGCCCGTAGAGACGTCGGGTCCTGCAGCAGAACCGGTCCTTGTGCAATGATCATCCTCCTCTTCTCTGCACTCATCTCCTCATAGCACCATCAGACCAATGAGCACCACCAATGTTGTAGTGATGTAACTGTATCGGTTCGTGGATACCGACAAGTCTGCCGCACTCTGCAAGTCCGTCGTCGTAAAGATCAAAGAGCTGGAGATCTGAGTCGAGTTGAAGCAATTGCTGGCATTGACTTCAGGCACGTCTTCCGGCTCGGCAAACGTGATATCGACACAGCTGTACAATGCCGCACCATGCACCGCCGTCTCAATGACCTGAATAGTTGCATTGTCACCAACTTTGACCGAAGCGTTGGCGGGAAGGGGGACTTGAGGAAGGCAGAATGTGCCCGGGTAGGGATCTTTCGTGGGACCGATGATTTGGATGCCATTGACCATGACATTGGACATGTTTGGCGGGATCGTTCCAAAGCCCATGTTGAGGTATATGAAGGCAGTGCCGTGGCCAGTAAACCAGCCTGGCTGGAAGGAGACTGCGCCACCCTTGATGGGCCATTTGGTGCGGTTCGTAGAAGTGGGCATACCTCCGCCTAGACGGTATCAGCTTGTGGTTCACGACATACTCTGCTTTTCGCACGTACATGGATATGACCATTGCATTCCATACGGCCAGATGTAGTTGTCTCCCTGTAGGGCAGTTTCTAGCCCATTGGACTCTTGTACCGTTCCATTTGAATGAAGATTGTCACCTCTCCATCCCGGATAATTTATGACAATATGTGCGGATACAAGACCGAGGAGGGAGAGGAGGGTGAATATCGATCGCGAAAGCATGCTGGCAAGTATGTGGTGTATATTTCCGATCAACGGGCGTCACAGAAGAGGGCACAGTCAAGTGGTCTTCGAACAGCAACAGCTCGACAGCTGTCTCTGAGGTGGTGGTCGATTTGAACTCGAGGGTAAGCAAGGCCTTGGTACAGGCCTGGTCGACGAGGTGAAGGTCTCAGAGGGGGCAACCATAGCGGCCATTGCGGAGGTTATAGATGCTTCGTTGTACCATGTATGGCAGTATGCAGGGTATGATTAGCCCGTCGAGGACAACCGCCCAGAGAGTTGGAAACGCCCTGACTGGACATGGCCATGAGTGACAATGCTAGCGATGCATGCGGTGTTGGAATGATCGGACGGTGATGGACAGTCTGATTCGAGATGGGAAGAAGGCAAGGTTCCCCGTTCCAGCGGTTGCACTGATGGTCGCAATGGCTTGAGAGAAGATGATTGGATGTAGCGGTCACAAAGCACTTCTCTAAGCGCTGACACTGACAGGGATCATGCAGGAGACCCCCGCCAGTCATTATCATCCCGCAGTCCGGGTGTTGGTAACCAATATTATCGAGTCTTCTTGTCTGCTGGCAGTTCATCAGCTTGCCAGAGGAGATTTGAGGACTTCATCGAGCACACCACTAATGAAAGCCTCAGGGCGGTTGCGAAGGTCACTGAAGGCCTAAAGTGTTGAGACTGGCGGCATTGTGTGATTGTTTCAAGACAATGACTGATCACGGTCTTTCACGGTCAAATGCCTTTTTCCCAGGGCTTTGTCGGCTTTGTCAGCCTTGACCCCTTGCGTGCACAGTACGACGTCTGCTCTCACTCGTATACCACTCGCATACAATGGTGTGCCTGAAGGAGTCAAGAACTCGACAAGCTCACCCAAGCCGACAATGGTTATCGATCCCATCCATCGAGTCCTGTTATGTAAGGCCGTGGGCTCGGTTCCTGACCTCCCCACGAATCAACGCCTCCGGTAGAGTATTCTTTTCCTACTTTACGACACGCATATTCTCGACTCCATCCTGTGCGCCTGTGTGATATACAAGCTTCCTCAGTCTCCTGCACAGTCATCACGGTTCTTCACGGTCTGTATATCCTCATTATCCATCATCTCATTGTCATGCCTGTGGTCTCAGACTTGCCGTTCTCTCGACTTCTCCTTCCTTTTCGTCCGTGAATTGCTCGTTTCGTCAACATTTGGCTCAACTAAGCCAGTACTGATCGACCAGTCGTCCGCCGATACAATGCTACTTCGTACCACTCAAGAGGAAAGAACTTCTCAGAGATTACAAATCGTGCAGTGAGACTCTCGTAGGTATAAAGGAAGTCGATCACTTCCTGGCACAAGGGCATTCTCCCTGGACAAGCATCCGAACACATTTGAGTCCGCGATCACCCCAGCAGCCACATCGACCCTACCAAACAGCAACCCCAGACACAACTCAATATGCCCTCCTACCTCGTCACAGGCGCAAACCGTGGCCTCGGCGTACGTCCTCTTCCCTCTCCATCCCTCATCCCCTTCGCGCCTACGTAACTAACCCGATGCCGGTCTCTAGTATGCATTCGTCCAGTACCTCTCCCGCGAGCCGTCCAACACCATCATCGGGCTCGTCCGCAACAAAGCCAGCGCCGACGCCTCCGTGTCTCGCGACAACCTCAAGAACGTAACCATGCTGCAAGCCGACATAACGGACCGCGCCTCTCTCCTCTCGGCACGGGAGACAGTCACCTCCATCACTGGCGGCAGTCTGGACTACCTGATCAACAACGCCGCGTACATCGAACGGGTGACCGAGGCCAACGGTCTCGACGACTTTTCGGACAACCTGGACCCAGAGATCCTGGACGCCGAACTCCTCAAGTCCTTCCGCGTCAATGTCATGGGCGTCATCAACACCATCAACACCTTCTTACCACTCATCAAAAAAGGCAAGGCCAAAAAAGTCGTCCTCATCTCAACCGGCATGGCCGACCACGACCTCGTCAATAACGGCGGAATCTGGAACGGGGCGCCCTACTCCATCTCCAAAGCCGCCGTCAACATGGTCGTGTCGAAATACAACGCACGTCTAGCCTCCCAGGGGATCCTGTTCTTTGCCCTGTCGCCCGGCGTGGTCGCAACATACGGAGATGACGAGCCCGCTGCCGTGGACGACCTGAGGAAAATGGTTCCCGGATGGCCTGGCCCCTTGCAACCAATCGAGTCGGCCGAGATGTGTGTGAGTGTCATGCATGACTTCAGTCTTGAGAAGGGGAATGGAGGAGCATTTGTCAGTCATCACGGGAATAAAGAGTGGTTGTAGAGGCATTGCCGGTTCTCACATGACAAAACGGCCCATAGTCGAAATGCTTCGATCCATGCTGCAGCCATGCTTTGTGTTGGTTGCCTAAGCTGGTGTCGCTTCGAAACAAACGAATCGCTTGTGCACAAAGGAAGCCTGGTCTAGAGAGAAAAATAAAACGTGGTATGGCTGTCTGTGTTTCTTATATCACGCCAACAATTGTCCAGTATCATATTGATCCACCTCCGACATAATATACATTTTTCATCCTCATGCTTGCTAAGTCCGCCAAAATCTGCCTCGTCCTCAGGGCCCCGAAAGGTCCATGCATTATCTGCCAGCCGGACTTTTTGATGCTTGAAACAGCTAACCGCCCTCCCTTGGGGGATGTTCAGAAGACGGGGAAGTACTGTCATCTTCCACCTTTCATGAAAACACATATTCAATGGCCTAGTGAGGGCCCGCTAAACAGAAATGCATCCCAGCACTCATGCCCAACCTGTTGCGATGGAATGCTGAAGCCGTGCCCAAGCAGCATTGTCATGGTCCAGAACTTGTTCTGAAATCATCCATACCCAATAGTGATCAAAGGCCCTTCATTTCACGAACTCACAGTCTTCCCACCACAATCTGGGATTTTCAGACCACTTTTCAAGTTGCGTCCTGGATCCATCAAACCCCATTTGTCTTCCCAGTCCTTGCCAGGGGTATTATAAATCTCTTTCCAAGGCTCATCAAACGCTTCAAACCTGTGAAACAGCAGTTAGAACATCACTGTCGGATAGAGACTGCGTGACTTACCAAAAATATTCCGTACCATTGGACAATGCTTGACAGACCCAGTCGTTCATAAAAGTATTCATACCATCAACACTAGCAACAGACCCGCTCTGTCCGGCAGTGCAGTCTCCAGTGCTGCCGCCACAATCTTCTCCACCAGCACTGGGCCAACCAGTCTCACTGATGAGCTGCTTGACATCTGGCAAACTCTCGGTCAGAACCACATCATGAGTTTGCCAGAAGTCCCACGTCCAACCAGCAGCCACATCAGCCGTGACTCCAGCAAAGAATGGGTGAATATTGGACATGACATAGTCCACAACCTGGACAAGTTGTGCATTCCAATTATCTCCCAAGTCGGATGTGGCAATTGGCAGATCGTAGCCTTTTGTCTTGAATTGTGATCTGACGTTGGTCAAGATGTCGATCAGTTCTTGTTCTGATTTGGACTTGTCTTCGCCAGCCCGGTAGAGAGCTTCGTTACCGACAATAACGCCCTTGAAAATTGAAAGGTCTTTTGTGTCTGCCAGGATCTTGTACATCTGGTCCACCTGCCGGTTGGTCGTGGTTTGGTTAGTATCTATCCAAACTCCCATCCACACTTTCATGTCGGACAACTCCAGTCGATCGATCGCGTGCAGCACCATCTCTGTTTGATTGCAGTCGGTACCGTAGAGACGGACAACATTTGTCAATTGCGAGAGCACTGCCATATCTCGTGTGACATTGTTTTGAGAAGGAGGGTAGGTGAAACACAACGGGTATTGAGTGCCCCATGGAGTATAGTCTATACCTGGGAAGACTTTGTGGAGATCTTTGTTGTTCATCAACGCCTGGATTTCTGCCGAGTCTTTGCCCAAGTCTCCATTGGCTGCAGTGTCTGAGTCTGCATTGTTGGTGTCGCCGCTGGAAGAGCCACTGGAGCTGTCGGAGTTGCGAGTCCCCAGTACACCTCCAACAATGCCGGCAACGATGGCCAGGACGATTACCAGGCCAATTGCAACACCGACCCACCATCTCATCTTCCGCTTGCCCTTGGTCTGTGATGCTAACCAGGCACTTTTCTCCGCTTTCGAGCCAGCACCAACAGGGTCGTATGTGCCACTCGAGGTTACGTTCTTTGCTTTCCGGCCAAACAGACCGCCCAGCGCACCAGCAGTACCCGCGGCGGCAGCTGTAGGTCCTAGGTTGCTGTTGCCCTTCGATTGACCCGGTCTCTGTTGAGCATTGGGTAAGTCTTCGTCGCCGTCGTCAAGGATGTTGTTGGGATTGATACTTGCATGGCTCATGATGTTGGTCGAATTGACCGACTGGTTGTAGGGGGTCTGGTAGGGAGAATCTTGGTACTGCGAGTATGACATGGGGTGATGGGAACCTCCGTTGTAGTCGTCGAGTGGTATGCTTCTACCAGAAAAGGCCGAGGATCTTGGACCTGGTGAACCAGTTGGGGTGGCAGCACCAGGTGTGGCGGCTCCAGCAGCAAGAGCAAACGAAGAGCCGTAAGAATTGCGCGAGGGCAGCTGCGAGAGAGGCATTTCCTGTCGATGCGGACTAGGTTCTCGAGCATAGCCCTGATTGTATGGAGAATAGGACCGAGGCATCGACCGTACTGCATCTAGACCGCTTTCTCTCGGACGACCATCTGCCACACCTTGTGCTACTGATTGTAGTCCACCTCCTGTGACTTGTTCTCTGTAATGGTCTACTGGTCCGTTACCATCTGTGTATGGTCGGTAGGGTTGAGAGAACCCGCCGCCCTCTCTCGACATGCGGGTCGGGCTGGTTCTATGGGGAGGAGGAGGGGGTGCGGGTAGGTCGTCAAAGTCTTGAGGAGGCTGTTGGATCGCGGGGCCTCGGGTGGGAGTAGAGTCGCTTAGGAGGTAGGTGTCTTGAGGAATGGGACGTCGTCGTGGGGAAGTTGAAGGGGAGGTAGGTTCTGGAAAGCGTTGAGGTTGTGGTGACGGAGAGGCATAACGGGGAGGAGGAGAGGTGATGTCTCTCGCAAGGTCGTCTTGGTAAGCGTGAGGCTGATATGGCTGGGGCTCCTGCCCTTGCGCATTCACATTATAGTTGTCATTTCTTTCAAAGGAGAATGTCCTTCCATTGGACATTGTATTGCGGCTGCGGCTCCCCGATGCGAGACGGGCCCTTGCTTGCAAACGAGAGTGTCGGCGTACACCAGATCTAATTCAAGGATTGAATGTGCAAAGGAGATGGCCAAACGAGTGGATGGATGAGTTCGATCAGTCAGTGAAGATCCTGGACTGTTGATAGCCCCTTGCCAACACTCCAGGCGCGGTGGCAGGATCTGTACTCGTATAGCGGGCTGCGGGTGCAGTATATTCTTGGACCGGGGCGCAGTCTGGATGGAGTCGGGGGCGGCTGAAACAAGAGTGGCACAAGATGCGCCGATGATGGTGAGATGGTGAGACAGAGAAAACAAAAAGCCGCAAGCCAGCTCTTTGGGATGAAAGGAACGAGATCAGGATCCTATTATCCAGCGAGAGAATGAAAGCAGCTGCATCATCCGGAGGTCTATTACTCGTACAAGTTCCATGATAAACTTGGACATGGGGGAGTCTTCGTTGCTCAGTGAGACACAAGCCGGGCGCCAATCGAACAGGGATGATGGCTGATGATGGGGTCTACTAGCTTGTAAGCAGAAAGATCGCCTGTCTGACAGGGAGAATACCTGTGACACAACCCTAGAAGTCGAGTTTCTTTGGTCAGACATCACAGCTAAACATCATGATGTCTGATATCGGTCACATCGGTCTACAGTATAACATCACAGTGACTGTCATGTACACAACAGACACAGAGAACAGGCCTAGGTACTGCTTTGTCTGCCTTATTCGAGTTGGCGCACCCTCGTCTACAAGTACTTCGACTGAAAGGAGTTATTCAAATATCGCTTGTCATATGAAGATCATTCGGAGCATCTTAATCAATTCTCTGTCAATCGGGCTATGATCTGCTACCGCCATCATCCGCTATTCCCTGTATTCTAGCCAACAACCAGGTATTAGGAACTCCGTCTCGACATAGCGCCACAACCGATCAAACCAATCTCATCTCATCGCTTTCAGTAGTTATCAGTATTCACCACTCGACCTTATCTTCTCCCATATCTTCCACTGTGCTGTGATCGACCTTGACCAATTCCAGCGTTTCCTTACCATCTCCGGTCTCGTTTCCATTGGCATCTCCAAGCAACAACTGACCTGGCTCATAGCTGGCCTCAGTATCGCCCGTGTTCGCCTTGACCATTTGGAACCCGTCTTCGCCGTTGGCTCGAACAATCTGCAACCACTTCTCCTTGCTCTCATTCACCTCACCGTCGTACGTCAAACTCGGCTTCTCTGGTTTCCATCCAATCTTTCTAGCTGTGCCAGGAGTCGCTTTTGCCTGCATTGTTTCGGAATGCATGATAGCTCCACGACGCTTATGCGGTCGATGAGCATCATCGTCGCTCGACGTACCTTCATCGGCTGAACTGTCGCTATCGCTTGAGTCGTCCATCTTGTCGTCGCCATCTTCAGAGTCCGATCCGTGGCTAGATGTCTTGACGCGCTTCATCGGGCTGGATTGGCATGTAGAGCTGCTAGGCATGATCGCTAGCGGCATCTGGGCCTGCAATCGCTGCTGAGTGGGTTTGCCGTCAGGAGTGCATAGACCAAGGTTAATCAGCTTCGGCAAGTCCATCGCCTGCAGAACAAACTTGGCGTAGAACTCCTCTTTGTCGTCGTATGGCTCATAGGAATGCATGTGAAGTCGTTTGAAACTCTGTGATTTTCGGTCAGTGGTGATGGCAAGCGTACCGTCAGCGTTTCTGTCTTCCGTGTCCTGGTCCTTGTTTCTACGATAACCCCCTTCATAAATTCCAACGCCGAGGTCAATAAGGCGATAGATTTTCACCTCGACCTGGCCGCCCGGTCTGCTTCGCTTTGCGGGTGTCAAGTTCTCCAGAGCATCAGCAATCTCGTCCACTTCTCGGTCGATCGGACTCTCAGGGATATGACTGTCCGGCGAGAGGTCAAGTCGTGATAGAAGTGTCTCGATGCCTCTGTCGGTGAAGATCCATGGTTGCACCGATACGTCGATGGCTCTCTGACCTGTGCCTTTCGAGAGTATCTTGTATCGACCTTTCATCACGACTTCTTGTAAGTCTGGGCTAAGGATCCTCGAACACTCTTGTTCCTCTTCCCCGTTCACATAAACCTTGAGGGCAAACTTGTAAGGAAGTTCGTTAGAGTTGGCGCGCTGATTCTCTTTAGCCACGTTGCCGTTGGGGCCGCCGATTGAGCTGTTGTTGAAGTTGCTTCTCAACTCATATCGTGGCGCGTACACAGAGGCATACCGAATCTTGACGTAGAAGCGCTCTCCATCTCTGGCTAGAACTTTGCTGCTCACAACTCGGCTTCGTGATGCGGAACCGCCAACGGTTTGATTGCCGTATTCGACATAATCTTCATTGTCAACACTCACCAGTGTCACATTGAATCCGTGCGCTTGAGGCATTGTTGAAGTTTCGATATGATCTATTGCCAGCAATAGATCAGATCAAGAACCTTGAAAAACTGGAGCCGATGGGTGTGATGATTTGTTCATTGTCGAAGAAGAGGGACAGGAAAGCCTTCAAAGATCCATTCGTTCTAATGTAGCAAAGCACGCAGTGTCCTCTGTTGTCCTAAGTGGTGCGGTCCGGCAACTAGATCCTTGCCTTGGAGTAAACAAAGGCAGGCGGTATGAACTTCTTTTGTGCTTAGTCGAGGCTAACGTGCACGGCAGTGTGACTTTAGCATGCGCTGCTTTTGAATGTCAGTCGAGTCTTTGTCGTTAAGCCAATCGCTTTGTCCACTACAAAGCAGTCGAGGCCACTTGCGACCTCTTTGTAAGCCTCACTCGAACAATGATGCGTGTAAATAACGACAACTTCTCAGCGGCTAGGTACTGCGATCTCATAGCCCAAGAGGACTTCCGTCGACGCACCTTCCCATCCTCGATTACCTCCTGTCGACAACAAGAATCGACACGCTGGGTCGAGATATAGATGAGACACTGTGCCAGTTCGATGGCCAGGAACGATCAAAAACGGTACTGTTGATCGCTGGGCTTGAGATTCCTTCAGGTCGTACAATCGAAGGATATCATACGAAGCGCATATAAGATGACGGCCGTTCGGCATAGCCTTGACCGAAGTAACCGCACCACTTCCATTTGGGAAGCGGAAAACTCGTTCTGGTGCTTTGAGTCCTCTCCGTAGGTCATACTCTTCCACCGTGTTGTTACGTCGGCCTGCATAGATGCAATTACCATCGACTGACCAACATGCACTGAGACACCACGGTGGCGTGTTCCGCGGCAAAATCCTGGCAACTGGCTTAGACTGTCTCCGATCCCAGACCCGGATCGCGCCGTCTATAGATGTCGCAAGGAATGTCGAGTCTGAGGTGGGAGGTGCTTCGGATTCCTGCGCTTGCTCTGGCTCATCAGCCTGTTTCTCCAAATCGTCTGCATGAGGCAAGCCATTTGCAAGTGGCTGTTCGTCCGTATTACTTATCCCGTTGGTCGTCGCATTCGGAGCATCCTGAGATAGTGTGCTCATTGGAGGGGCTGGTACGGTCTCGCCGGAGGGTTGACTGGCATCCGGCATTTCATGGTCGACCACTTCTTCTGGCTGAGCTCCATTGGCTATCGCCCGAGTCATTTCGTCGTCTGGCTCGCCGAAAGCATCTGTCAGGTCACCTCCGTTGCCGATTACGCCTGCAGCTCCATCGCCAAAGAGATCATCATCGCCATCTCCGAACAGCGAATCTGGCGTGGCAACATTCGGCTCTTCCCGAACATCCTGACTCGGAAGTTGTTCGTTCTTTATTCCGTTCGCTTTCACATCAGTCGAAGACAACGTTCCATTGGTTACGATCACTTCTCCTGACTCAGCCGGCACGGGGACTGAGGAGAGTGGACGCGACTCGATGGCGGATATCTGACTAGCGCTTGCGGCGAAGGTCGTCCTTACTTGACCGGTTTCTAAATCCCAATCCAACACACTCTTGTCCCAGCTACCGGAGAGTAAACTCTTTTCATCCGAGGATAATGTTAAGACAGATACTGCAGAGGTGTGCTTTTTCAGGAGAGCAATCTCTCTGCCCTCATCGTGTCGGATCGACTGCATGCGGATTGGGCCTGACGCTGTGCCAGAGAGCAACCAGAGAGCTTGGCTCTGACAGGCAAGAGAGTAGACGGGAGACAAGACCTGGGTTGTCTGCGGCCTAGCATCCCAATTTTCCCAGTAAGTCATGAGAACTCCAGCTTTGACAACGCTGTCCACGAAAGGATGGCGCTGGGCCACTGTGAGAGCGAGTTTGAAGTTGACAGAATCCACCCAATTGAACTTGCGAATATAGCCATCGGAACCACCAGTAAACACCCAGCGCATATCGCTTGTGGCGCAAACAGTGTTGATGGAGGTGCTCTGGGGAGCAGCGATTGTTGGAACAATATCGTAGGTAGCCGCATCGAGGTACTCGGGTGCTATAATGGCACGAGCTGCAGCCTCCCGAGCCTCGTCGGCTTGTATGGCTGCAGATTGTTGGCCTTCTTGTGTGGCTGGGGGGTCACCGGAGACTTCCTCATTGTCGGACTTCTGACTGCCCCCAGACTGGCTTCCCGCCTCATCATCGTCGTCCCCTTCCCCATCTCCTTCAGCTTCGCCTTCATCTTCCCCCTCGCCCTCATCAGCATCGGCTTCTATGTCAGCATCGCCATCGCCGTCGCCGTCGCCGTCGCCATCCCCCTCATCGAGATCCTGCATGGTCTCATCATTATCGTTGTCATTGTCGAAATCGTCCTGGGATCTATCGTCATCGTCGTCAAATGCAGGCATGTTAGTCGTGTCACATAATCAAAACTTGCAAAAAGCTCGAAGACTGAATGCGACTAAGGTAAACGAAGTCGAATCGAAGAGTGGCATTGATGGAATGATTTCTGGTTCGTGTCTCAACAACGCTTTGCCTGTTATGGCGTTAGCGTGTCATTTTACTGCCTGAGAGCTGCGGCCTCAAATGACTGCGTCAGACAGAGGTGTTTAAAGCATAAACTGCCTGAACTGAAAGAGTAAGTCTTTTGTCAGACTGTTATCTTCAGCCTCCACAACTTCCTTCAGCCTTCATCAAATCATCTATCAGTGACAATGTTTGCTCTCTAAGCACACAACGATTCAATCCGACCTGGAACCATCAAGGACAGCGTTATGCATGGGGAAGATGTTGTCTGATGGTGGAGTGCTCTTGTGGAATCCTACTATTTCCACTGCTACGACCAGGTACCTAGGTGCTTTGCGGCGGGCTCGCCGACCGTGATATCAGGTGGGTAGGAAGTGGTTAGGATCTACCCAGTATCGAGCATGATCGAGGAACGGTGGTGATTCCTCTTCCCTGGGACGCAAAACTACAGTACGTGTGTGCCCTTTCAGTCCGAAAGTTTCTGTGGCGCGCACAATATGGACCGAATACTTGGGCCTTGAGGAAAGTACGATGCTACCCTAACATACCCCTCGCACTTGCGATTTTTATGATTTCACCATCGACTCCTTCCATACAAGTCATTCGGTTGTTATTGATCCCTTCAAATGTCGAAACTAATGGCTCCTAGCTTCTTTGTAAGTCGTGACTCTACCCCATATTGAGAGATCAAGAAGCCTCCCAACAGCCGAAGAGCCAGTCCTTTAAGCGCACTGGTGAGAAGTCTATCTCTGACGATGTCATACAGCAACCATCGCTTGTCTCAACAACAAAAAATAGTGGAGGTACGACAGATAAAGATCTCGAAATCGCCAGAGTGCGGACGAAGCGAAGCGTTGAACAGACGCTACGCACTTTGGCACGTTGGCGTTATGGAACGTTTGCTGTAGTGGCATTGACCCTTAGCTTCACCTACTGGCAAACAACAAGAAGAGATGAGGGGGATCGGCGCGTAAGTGAATGATCTTGCTCTTCTCTCAGTTCACCGATTTCAAAATTTGTTCCTCATATCTGTCCATCGTCTTGCTCTTTCCTCCTTGCAAGTCCCTTTACTCTGACCTCATTCTCGCAGAAGTAGCTATCATCCTTCGAACGTCATCCAAAACGGCGGTGAGTATCTCTTCCCTCTGCAATCAACCATGATCCTTGACATCGCGGCTCCCTTTCTTTTGCCTACCTTTAATTCTCAGTGCTGACTCTTTTTGTGTCTGCAGAGATGAATGCAAATCTCACGGAACGCTCTCGAAGGGGCCGGTTCCCAAATCCTCAGGCGTCCCAGACTTCCAGTTCTGATCATGGTCTTGACCTCAGCTTGAACCTCGACATTCGCGAGTATGTCCAAAAACAAGAAAATATCAAGCATTCCTCCGACAAGGATGAGTGGCTATCGCAACCAGAGTTCCCTTCTGTCGATGAATTGGCGAACGAAATGCCAGCACTCTTGGCCAACAAGATCGAAGCTCCCTACAAAAGCAAGAACAAATATTTGAAGATACATTACGGCTTACAGCGAGAGGATGCGGTGGGCAGCTTGCGTGACGCTCTTCAAGATTTCCGAGGTGACCCTACAACAAATGACACGCACAAGTTCTCGGTCTACGATCAGGTAATGACCCCGCAATGACTAGGATGTGTAGTCTCTAACTGAGGATTAGGTACACGTTATGGGCTTCACCTTCGCCCGTCGTGGACTTGCTGCGAGAATCAAATTCTCTACACGCCGTGCTGGAAAACGCATTAGCTGGCAGACCAGCAAGAGATTGGTGTCAGGATCAATTGTCGCTTTGATCCGTGCCAAAGACAAGCTTACTGATCTGAAGGGGCTTGTAGTAGCTGTTGTGGCTGCAAGACCTCTCGCCGGAGTCTTAGCTGAGCCTCCTGAAATCGATCTCTACTTCAGCAATCCTGCGGCCATACAAATTGACCCTCAAGAGGAATGGATCATGGTCGAAGCAAAGCAAGGCTACTATGAGGCGTATCGCCATACCCTGAGAGCATTGCAAAAGCTCAGCCAAGAGACGTGGGTCTTGTTACCACCCTTGCTTGCTCACATATTGACAAAGAATAACTAGATTTCCCTTAGCCGACCACATCTGCAAACTGAACCCTTCCGTTGACCCGCCGGTCTACGTCCAGCAGACTCCTATCATCGACCTTAGTGCAGCTGCAAAAGGCGATCAAAAGAAGGAATATGAAAGCATAGATGTCACCCAACATTGGCCGACTGCGCCGGAAGATTCACTTGATGATACGCAGTGGGGAGCTCTCCAGGAAATGATCACGAAGCGGCTTGCAATTATTCAAGGGCCCCCTGGTACAGGGAAGACTTTCGTTTCCAAGATTGCGGTGGAAATACTACGACGCAATCGAAAAGCCGGGGATTCACCAATCATCATCGCCGCGCAGACAAATCATGCTCTAGATCAGCTCCTGGGGCATATTTCCTCCTTCGAGCCAAACTACGTCCGCCTTGGTGGCCGAAGCACGAATCCGGAAGTCAAGAAACGTGCCCTATTTGAGATCCGGCAAAAGGAAAGAATCCCTCAGATTCCTGGTGGTTTGTTTGGGCGGTCAAACAATCTCATTACTAAGCAATCGAAAGCAATGAGCTCCATTCTCGAACCGTTTTCAATGCCTGGACAGGATCCATACTCTACAGACCAAGTGTCAGGCCCTCGGATTCTTCAGCAACTTGGCGTTTTGAACGCCGCTCAAGCCAAATCCCTCGAAGAGGGTGCCACGCAATGGGTATCCACAAGTAATACGATGGATGGCCCGATACAGCTATGGCTCGATAGAGCTCTAGTGCCATTTGAGGTAAAATATGCAAAGGACAACTTCGGCTTCCAAGAAGTAGAGGACGAAGATCTGGAGTTTGAACAGTTGAGAGAAAATGAGGATTCGAATGGTGTCAACGACGAGGAAGATATCGAAATGCTCAAAGGACCGTGGATCAATATTCGCGAAAGATTTACGGTCCCGCCAGCTTCATCCAGCGACCTTGCGAAAGCCACCAAACTTCTGGATTCGGTGTCCGATTTATGGAAGGTTCCTGATTACCTCCGTGGTCCGATGTTTTCAATCATCCAGTCTAGAGCAAAAGCAGCCTTGGCCAAGCGATTCCGAGAAGCAGCAGTCACCTATGACAAACTGGTCCGTGAAAACCAGGTCGGTAAATGGGAGCAAGACGCCGTGTATCTGAGAAGAGCTCCGATTATCGGTATGACGACAACGGGGTTGAGCAAGTATCGTGCTCTGGTTTCAGCCTTGAAGCCAAAAATCATCCTCATCGAAGAAGCAGCCGAAGTTTTGGAGGCTCCTGTGACTGCAGCTTGCATTGAGTCGCTTGAGCATTTGATCTTGGTTGGTGATCACCAGCAGCTCCAAGGTCATTGCAGTGTGCAAGAGCTGGAGGGGGAACCCTTTTACCTCAATGTCTCGCTGTTCGAGAGACTTGTCAGCAACAATATGCCATACAAGACCCTACTCCGGCAACGCAGAATGGACCCAGACTTCCGACGACTCATCTCAGACCTCTATCCGAACCTGAGTGATCACCCCAGCGTGCTGAATCGTCCAGTGGAACCTTGGGGAATGGGCAAACTCAAATCATTCTTTTTCGAACATTCGTGGAGTGAGTACAAAGATGAGTCGCTATCGACCTACGTAAGTATCATCACGTCTAAGATCCGCACCATCCATGCACAAGATTACTCCAGCCTGCTGACCTTGCATAGAATGAGGAAGAAGCCAAATTCGTTGCCGGCTTCTACCGTCACCTGAACAAGAATGGCGTCCGCCCTGACCAGATCACTGTCCTGACTTTCTACAACGGTCAGAGAAAGAGGTTACTCAAAGAGCTGCGGGCGTACTCCGATATTACGGCAGGCTACCTCCAGGTGAAAACTGTGGATAGCTATCAGGGTGAAGAGAACGATATTGTTATCTTGTCTCTGACTCGAAGCAACGAAGAAGGCAAAATCGGCTTCCTGGCCAATATCAACCGTGTTTGCGTGGCTCTATCGCGCGCCAAATATGGCTTCTACATGTTCGGCAACTCTCAAGCACTGATGACCGCCAGTGACCTGTGGTACAACGTCATTATGCGGATGTCTTCACCTCCCAAACGCATTGGTGGGGTTTTTCCAATCCATTGCAAGACGCATCAAGCAACGATTTGCATGGAATATCCGGAAGACTGGAAGAATACTGAGGGAGGATGTTTGCAAGTATGCGGAATGCAGCTCGCTTGTGGTCACGAGTGTCCGCTGCGATGCCACCCTTACTCTCACGACAAGGTACAGTGCCTCCAGGAATGCACCGAGGTATTACCGTGCGGCCACCGCTGCGAACATCAGTGTTCCGAGCCCTGCTATTGTTGCTGCAATGGTTTTGCAAAGTATCAAGCTCTGAAGCAGCAGGAGATTTGGGTCGAGCCAGAAGCCGAGGGCATACGGCGGGGAGTGCAGGAGACGCGGATTGCCCACGGACTCAAGAATGGTCAGAATATCCCCTTCGATGGCAGCTCCATTTACTCACAGCCACAGTTACCCCTGGCACGTAATGCTGGACCGTCGTATCTAGATGCGGCTCTAGAGGCGTCTCCTGAGCTTTCAGCAGCGGAGCCAAAGCACAAGTCACCTGGCAAGCTGAGTGTGAGCGGTCAACGGACTGGAGGCTGGAACCCAACACCCGCGGATACGATCAGAACACATCACTTCTCACCGGAGAAGCAGCAGGAGCGAAGAGCAGGATGGGCCGATTACGCCAAAGGCGGAGTCGTTGCAGATGATAAGAGACGAGTAGACTTGATAGAATCAACGAACCAGACCATGCCCACGCTCCGGACAGATGGATATCACGAGCTAAATGCCAGTGCTGCCACTTTTCAACCTGGGCTCAATCTTCACAGAAGTACCTACCCATCTCCTATCAAGCAGGAGAGAATCAAAGCTATGACAGACGGCAGGAGCAGGTTCTTGCAGGACTACCGACCCGAAGCGTCGCGAGGGCGCGAGGTGTCGCCGTCTGATAACAAAAGCGCCAAGTCGAGGCGGCAGAGCACAAAGAGTCGCGGTACTCAACTCTATCGTGGTAGAGGTAGAGACCTGATGGAGTCTGGACGGCTCGACCGGACGGTCTTGGAATCGGCTGGTATACGATTGTTATCCAAGGACGACAACATGGCTCAAATGCGAGGTGGAAGCGGGGTCATGGAGGATTTGGTTGAGCTGGACGCGTATTACCATGAGAGTGAGAGTGAGCAACTTGAGCTTGAGCAGGAGCTTGAGCACGGCCGTGAACGTGAGGGCAGTCATCCGTCGGCGAGTCTTCTCTGACCGATCCAATGTTGCGCAGACATTGCACTGGCGGGCTTGGGCTGGAATCAGTGAAGTTGGTCATGAAGCAGCCATCTCAGAAAAGCTCGAGATACTAGAATTTTTGTTGGACGGTGCTTTCAGCGTGGTGTGGTCATGGCAAGGGCAAGGCTCGTCTCGGACAATTCAAGAGGCATGCAGATGCCCATCAAACTGTCTTCAGGAGTTGTTTAAGGCATTGTTTCATCTTGTTCCTGTGCATGCGTATGAGTTTTGGTCCCTTGCCCCGGACCAAAGATACCACGCACTCAGATGGGTCGGGTGACATTGAAAGGAACAGGGGATTCGAGATTATCATCTCTCCCAGACGTCCAGACGAGTGAAGGACGAGGTAGGCATCTTATTCCGCCAATGTTGACTAAGTCCTGCTAGTTAGAACCGTCGCAACAGTTACGATGCCGTGAGTGGCCACCGTTGTACCGAGGACAGACATTGTGGAGAGGAAAGCATCGCTCATCATCGTCATGATTCCACATTTCGACAGTCGACAAACGACAAACGACAAGCTTGCCATGTCTCCGAGGTCAGTTTTGGGATTTGACAGCTGTTAGTAAGTTCGTAGGTATCCTCGGTATAAATAAAGTCAAAGCATACAAAACATCATCTGGACTCCTCGTTGTTGTACGAGTACCTAGAACAACGCCCCACAAAGTATCCCGACATAGTATTTTTCACCTCGCATCTCGGGACCTTTACTGTGTTAGTAGCAGAGAGAGTACTTCCACATTCTACCGTTCATATTTATTATTCCTCCAACCACCAATATCCAGGCTTTTGAAGAACTCCCAGTTCAAATATCAACATCAACATGTCATCGGCAACTCAAGTCAAGTCCTTCCGCGAAATGCTGGGCGCACCAACGCTCACGGCCTCGCCCACGGATAGCACATTGATCATCATCGACGCCCAGAATGAGTGAGTAGATATAGGCCCCTATCGTCTCCTTGTTCTTGTTCTTCTCCTCCACGTCCACCTCTACTTCCACCTTGGCCTGCCCAGCCCGCCGTGGTCACGGCACCACCACCTCCACGAACCTCTCCATCTGACTGGTCATGACAATGAAATAGATACGCCGAGGGCCACCTCAAGACCGTCAACGTCGAATCCACCCGCAAGGCCATCGCGTCGTTGCTGGAAAAGTACCGCAGCGCTGGCGACGGGAAGAACATTGTACATGTCGTGCATAAGACTCCTGAAGGTATGTCTAGTCTTGCGTCCCGTCTTACCTCCTGGCTTACTTCACCTCATCTCACCTCATTTGGATGCCTTCCCTCCCTCCCTTTTGTCGCCCTTGTCGTCTTCTTCTTCTCTTCCGTCCGCTCCGCTCTGTTTCCTTCCAGCACTCGCCGCCACGGGTTACAGACAGATGAAACGGAACGACATCCCTCATAACCAGACCGTCAAGAACATGCTACAATAACATAACGACAACATCCCACCCCAGCACATTCACAGTCTCCCTGCCTCGGGGCATCCCTAAACACACGCACAGGCTTTCTACCTCACACCTCTAACCACAACTCAACAGGAGCACCCGTGTTTACCCCCTCGACCGCACTGGCCGAGGAATTCACCGAACTCACCCCTCGCGCTGGCGAAAAGGTGATCCAGAAAGAACTGGTCTCTTCCTTCGCCGGCACCGACCTGCACGAATACCTGTCCAGTCTGGGCGAGCGGGGCAAAAAGGCCGTGTTGACGGGATACATGGCGCACGTCTGCGTCAGCACCACCGCCCGCGCGGGTGCCGATTTAGGGTATAACATCGTCCTGGCCGGTGATGCGATTGGCGATCGTGACATTCCCGGCTTCTCGGGCGACGAGGTGACTAGTGCCGTGCTCAAAGAGCTGGGTGATGCTTTTGGAACGGTCGTCAGAAGTGAGGATGTAAAATAGTCCAGTCAAGACAAGACAAGATAAGACTGCCATCATCTTTTTTTGTCCTTTTTGGGAAAGATAAAAAGGGGTCCCAGTCCATCCCATCAAGGCTCAGGTTCAGATTCAGGTTCGGGTTCGGGTTCAGATTCCTCTTGCTCGACATCGACCTCCTTGCGCCACCAAAGCACAGACCCGTGGAAAGGGAAGTTTTTCAGATCTACGTCTGGCAATTTCGTGTAGTTGCGATGCTGTTTGAACTTCTCCGTCATGCACATGTTGATCTCGGCCTCGTCCTTTGTAAAGTTTCCACTCCCCACCGAGAGTAGTCTGCTTTCTCGGAGGAGATGGTCCAGGGATCGGTGCAGCCATATGTGCGGATCGTAATACATGATCTGATACTCGACCTCGAGCTCGGCGGCGGGAGAATAGGCGAATGTTGAGCTTTTGTTTGCGTTTCCTTTTCCATTTGCCTTTGCCATTTCCGGGTGCAGCGCTTCAAACCCTTCGGGATGCGTGACGACCTTGATGCCCAGCGTTTCCAACATGGCCGTGTCAGCCCAGTTGTAGTCCGGCTCTTGAGCGTAGCACTGTGGACGATGACCCCCTTGAGACTCAGTGATGATGTCCACGGCCATCTTGAAAGCGGCGACCTGGTAATACGCCGTCTCGTGTCGGTCGATCCAATGGATCCCATCGCCGCAGAGACTGCCCGAGCCGAAAAGGACACACGTTTCAATCCTATTCTCGGCCAGTCCTGCCGCCACGCTCGAAGAGGGTTTCGCTGTTTTCGCCACTATTATTCTCGCCAAAACATCCCTCAGAGCCGCGTGGTAGTCTGTCTCGACGAACCTGGCCGCGATCTTCTTGTACTGCGCCTCCATCTTTTCTGGTGTCGTTCCTTTGGCCGGACTCATCGGTCGCGAAGGAGAGCCATATATCTTCTTAGTCACGAGCCGGGTTTCGTCTTCGTCGTCATGAATGCCCCAAGTGAAGACGATTCGTGGTCCGTCGGCTGCAGCTGCAGATGTAGTCAATTCTGATTGCGGTGAAGCAGTTGTTATTGTTCGACGAGGTGCGGTGTGCGGGTGCGGCGACGACGGCGACGGCGAAGAAGTGATCCTCGTCCAGCCGTCTTCGTCCAGGACTTCTTTTCTCTTCTGAATCGGGGCATTCTTCTTCTTGTTGCTGCGACTTGTGTGAGGCATGGCGATCTTTCCTTGGAGGTAGAGGAGGGTCGCGCGGAATAAATGCCTCGCTGGGTGGATGGTGGTTTGGATAGGACGAGAGACTACTTCCCTGGCGGGTGGGTGGTATTTATAAGTCAGGTAGGACGACGAGAACGAAACGAAACAATGTACGGTGCGTTAGACGGCCATGTTCAGAGCTATTGTGTCGAGGTGCTGGAGGTGCTGCTGACGGCTTTCAGCAGTCCACATTTTTCTTTCAATACTTGCCTGAAAGTTTCAAAGATGGCGGACCAAAAACGCAGAACTATAGGTCTATTACTGCAACTTAGCTGTTGAGGTCTCTGAGGTTCCTGAGGTGCGCATGCACTGCATGGTGAAACGGACGTGACAAACTATTTCGTTCCGGACATCAGCCGACGAGGCTGAGAGTTGACTGCAGCCTTGTGGGACATACATAGTAAGTATCCGACCACAGTGACATTGAGGACAAGTAGTTCGAAAGCCTACCCCGTACAGCGAAGCAATCGGAAAGGTATACAAGACAAGATGCCAGGCATCCTGCCATAAAGAGGTTGTCAATTTCACCCTTACATGCATCCGATACCTCTAATAGGGTCCTATCCATTCCCAACCAATCCAACCCAGTCCTATCATGTTGATATCTTGTTCAATCCCAATATCAATCCCAATATCAATCCCAAGCGCGCAGTTCCGCAACGCAAACGCTATTTGGTATCCTGAAGTCAAGTCCTGTCCTCAAAGGCCACGCCGGGCTGTACAAAAAGTCCACCGAGCAGAAGAATAAAGGAAATAATCATCCAGGTCCATCGCCCAGGAACACAATGAAACAAAGTGCTACATCGAGTGCCTTTGTGAAGTCGCCCTTTCTGTACAGCTTTGTTGTCTGCTGCTTTCTCCTTCCCAAACAATCCCCAACAGGTTTCTCTTCCCCGTTCCTGCCAGACAAAGGAAATAAAATATACCTTGGTGACATCGGCCGTTGGTGGGCGTGAGATCATGCCGTAGTGTTGCTCGATAATGAAGTCGACGGAAGAGCCAAGAAGATTTATCCAAAAGACTTATTCGCCGTGCCCATGATTCCCTCCCCATTTCCTTGCCGTATGCTTCTCCATCCAGCCGTTATACCAAACAAGGCCGTAATGACACGGGTCGAAAGTTCCGCCTGCAAAATAAAAGTTGTGTTGTGGGCCAAGCACACAATGCCCACTGTGCTGAACTCAGACTTTGCGCCTGGGTCAGGGGGTTTGCGGAACAAAAAGGTAACCTCTTGGACAGCACTCACATTACGCGTGGGACTGGTCTTAAAAGTCTGTCGCGGACCGTGTTGCCGACGGATGCCGGAGCAGTAGCTCTGCAGGAGGACCGAAATCCGCCGACCAAGTGACTTCGTCGTTTTCGAGAGGCACGGATTCGATGGCTCTATGTTGGTAATTGACACCTTGTCAAGAGCTTGAGCTGGCGCTGGACCGTCACAGTGGACGTCCATTAGCTCCGTAGACAGCACGAACATCGACAGCGGTCCAGGATACTCTGTAACAGAAGGTCTTGACCAATGATTCTTTTGTGGTCAACTCCAGTCATCAGTGTTTCTTGGAAAATTCGAGACGTTAAGGCTGTTCTTCTTCACCTCCGTCCAATTGACCCCATGAACTCGCAGCAAATTGCCCGGTAGAGGCGTAAACTACCAATACCTACAACAAACAGTCCCTCGAAAAGGGAAAAAAAGAACAAAATCCAGTATGCCCGAAAAACCTGTGGGTATCGCTCAAACAATTTCGACTTTTTTGTTTTTCATTCATAGATTCATTGCAGAGCCCGCACTGAAACCGGCGCGGGCTGGAATAATGTACACTCGACATTGTCGGAACTGTACTTGTTGGGGTATCATTGCGCAAAATTCGAAAACGGCTTTCGTGGCATGTGTCGCTCATCCGAAGAAAGACCAGTATCTCAGTCGGTTGCAGCAGGAGGAGTCATAGGTTGAGTGACGGGCCTTGTTCTCTCGAGCCACTTCCGCTTGCCTGGACGGGTTTCGAGATGGGCAGGAATGGTGGATGGATCCGATGCGGCCTCCAGGAGGGCATTGCGTTGTTTGCTTCGATAGGCGTCCACTGAAACATATTAGCTATGAGACCTATTGATGGAGTCCGACAATACTCACGAGCACGAGCGAGGAATATCGGGCGTTTCGAAAACACTCGACCTTGGCCCCACGCCATGCGATGCCCTAGTTCGTTGATCTTTTGCTCGCGGCCACGCTTGCTCTTGGAGATTTGAGGGACGTCGACTTCCGCTTCACCGTCGGTGGTTTGCACAGAAACGACTGCTTTGCCAAGCGTAGGTGCACCACCATCAACTTCCTCCCCTTCCTCCGCAAACCTATCACTGCGGGTCGACTCAGGGGCCGTCTGCATCTGTACCGGGAAATAGGCGCGGGGAAAAACAGAGTTTTGTTTGCGGAAGGAATCGGGGATTTCGCTCATCTCGATTTGATCCAAAGTGACTTTGACTCGAACCCGGGCATTCTTCTGAGTGTCCTCCACGAGAATGAATTTTCGTCGTTTGTTTTCCGGTAAGTCGCCGAACAATGCGTTATCCTCCTCGTTCTTAGCTTCTAGGTCTTTTGAGGTCATGGCAGCGGTCCCTCCTGGTCGTCCAAGGTGATGTAACCCTCCTTGCATTGGTGGTGCCATGGACGGTGCCATTGAAGATGGTACTTGTGGATAGTTTGTGTAGCCGGGGAAAACGTGGCTTTGACGGATGTCGTTGGGGCTAGGCATATGTTGGCTAGCCGAGTCTTGACGATATCCTTGAGGCGCAGTGTTGTAGGGCGAAGCTGTTGCACGGTCAGTATGCTCACGAGAGGTCAGAAGGCTTCTGGATAGCGACTGAAACATACCTCCAACAGTGTTATGTGCGGTAGGAGAGACGTCCTGCTGGTGATGTAGAGTTTGACTCGGGGCGTTGGCTAGGGCGCCCGGCGTCCTAGTGCTCGGAGCCGGCATGGAATTTGGGCCAGGCAGCCCTGTCGAGACGGGACCAGCTTGACCAGGCGGCTGGCTTGCAGCTGAAGGTGTCACTTTTGATCTGTTGTTCATCTTGGCTTGCCGTCTGACCCGCCGACTCCTCAAGCGTGGATCTCGATTGCTATTTCGCCAGCTGTCGACGGCTCTTTGAATCAATCCACGCTTCCCCCTCAAGCACGGGTTCAGTTCTGCCAACGCCCAACCGACTTGGTTGCAGTCGGTTTCATAGGCAAGTCGATTGCCCTTGTACTGATCCTTCGCCACACAAGCCCGCGGATACACACAATTCTCGGCCTTGAACTCTTGTGACATAACACTGGGGTCCACCGATTCCACATCACACCGAATCGTGTATTCCATTTTGACGCGATCTCGAGAATATTCGAAGGCAATCCATTGTACACCGTTCCCGTCCTGTCGGACCACCAGAGGGGTTGTAGCGGGGATCGGCCCCGGAGCGGCGTTTGAATTGGGCGGCATGTTTGGTGGCATATTGGGTGGCGGCTGTTGTTGCTGCTGTTGCGGCTGCTGCGCTTGTTGTAGGGTTTGCTTGTAATCTGATAGGGAAGGATTCGGAGGATTTGGGGTAGGTTGTTGCGGCTGCTGTTGCTGAGGGAGCATTCCAGGTCGCGCTTGCGGTGTCTGCTGATACGTCTGAGTTGATTCTTTCAGCCTCGGGCTGCTTGAAATAGTGGGATGATGCTGGGAGCCTGGGGGAATTTGAGGTGTCGTAGACTGATATGACAACATGGGTTGTGACTGCATTTGATGCTGTTGAGGCTGTCCGTGATGACCGCCATATGCGGGTTGATGTACCTGGTTCATCGACTGATAGGGCGGATAGCCATATAGCGGTTGGCTCAATTGAGAGCCAGGTTGGCCATACATCGGTCGGCCGTGGTCGTGCGACTGGGGTGAAGTCACTGAGGCTGGTGAATTGGATTGCGGCGTATATATTGGAGGGTAGGGCCGCTGCATGGTCGCTGTTGCTGCCATAGAATCGGGTTTTTCTGGCGACTGGTCAACATTTTGCGCCCACAGCGCCTTTGCAGGACATCCTGACTTACCAGCGGGATAATAAGGTCCTACGCCACTACTTTGGCTTCTCGGGCTCTGGTTTGGCTGATAGTAGTTGGGCGCGTCGCTGGAGGCTTGGTGTCCTGGAAACGGCGGTTGACTATTCAGAAATGGCGAGTGAATATTGGACTGCGGCGTAAAGACGTTGGGCGACCCGTAAGACTGCTGAGGGGTCTGATTGTTGTTCAATGGTCGCGACTGCGGGTTGTGAGGCAGCGAAGCAACGTTCTGATAGGGTTGTGGTGCTCGATGCTGCATTGAGGATCCATATGTCAGCACAAGCTCGATCCAAGGTAAGGTACTGTTCAAGGTAAAAATGCCACAAAAAGGAACGGCGCGTTGACAAGACCGGGATGCAATGTGAGGCAAGTCAAGTAAATCAAATCCGGTGGACGGCAGGGAAGACCGCAGTTAATGCAAAGCCGGGGAAGTGGCCCTGGTCATTGGCAGTAGCATTTTCGCTTAGACATCCAGGTTTGCGGTGGGTAGACAAGGGCAAAGGGACATGGCTCTGTGATCCAGCATGAAGATTAGACGTAATTGACATACAAGCTGCAGGCCAGAGAAAAGGCTCGTGCTCGAGGGTTCCCGGGAGGGTCAACCAAATGCTTCGTTCCGGTAGCTGTAACAGGGCCTGTTTCATTGGCCGAACGCCAGGGTTGGGGAGACGACACAGTGGAATGGTCGCGCAAACAAAATCCAGGGATGCGACGAACGTGCAAGGCTTTAAGACTGATGTTGAACAATTCCCAGGGTGGATATGGCAGTTTCAAAAGCGATGAATGAGATGGGTAGGAAGGGGTAATAATGCGGGCATGTGATAACGGGCAAGGGACAGCCACAGGGTCTAGAAAGTTGAGCAGGGGTAGAGCCAGCGTACCATGTACTGAAATCTATAGCCGCAAGTTGGCCAGGATAGTTGAGGCGAGAGGGTAGCGGGATTGGAAGGACTGGGGTCGACGGGAATATGAACGTTTTCTGTGTAGAAGCAGGTATTGGAGGTGTATGGCCGGTGTTGTCAGAAGATTCGAAAAGGGCAAATGGAGACGGAACGTCAGACGTGGCGGTGCAGATTTGAAGGGATTAATGGGAACGAACAAGTTTTGGCGAGGATAGAGACGGCAAGTGAGAAATGACAGAGAGAAGCCGATCGCAAGCGTGCAGGTGTGTGTAATGAAAGTGCCGGACACGCAATAATGAAATGCGGGTGGATTCGAACATTGAGTCTTTCGAAACTCGCAGTCAGAGTCTTGCAGCAGCCAAGTGGGCCGGCGGTGCGGGAGCTTAAGTGACTGGGAAATCTGAAGGTCTGGGACGGTTGGTGGACCGCTTGGGCGGAGCGAAGGATTGGCCACCGTTGACGATGAGCAAGCGTGGATGGTGTTGGTGGTCCGAGCGTGTCAACTGAGGCCACCGAAGGAGGGATCCATTATTGCCGTTCAGACCAGGAGGGGGCAATTCGGGTACGCGATCCCGGACCAGGGGAGGCCCGCCGCCATGACAGGATAAGGGGAGATGACCCAGGAGTCAGACTAAGGCACCCCAACCAGGACCAGGGCCGCAGGGAGCAGGCCAGGGAGCAGGCCAGGTCGGCATTGGGCCGTGGGAGCTCAGTCGATCCAAAAGAGCTCCAAGTGGCGGACCAGGGCAGCTTGTGCATCCAGTCGATCATGAATATGCTGCAGGAAACAGTGGAGGAGAATGTGTGCGACTTACAAGTACATCAGCCCTGTGGCCGTCAGGACCAGAAGGACCAAGAGCAGCAGTACTGGGAGCAAGGACGGGCAGTGAGTCTGAAGGCTGAGGTAGATTGTGGTTGTTATTATTATTGTTGTTGTTGCTCGTGTGGCTGTACGCGATTTGCCCATGTTGCGGATGTTGAGCATGAGCATCGGCATGAGCATGGGATGGAGGATGAGGATACTCGTGTTGGTGCGGATGTACTAGGCGGGCATCACGGCTGCCCGCAATTCCAGGACCGTTGGACGATTTCTCCGAAGCGACGGCGTGCTTTTTGCTGTGGGTGCGCGCCATGCTGTGGACCGAAAGGCAGGGATTCTGAAGAAAGTTCGATGTAGCAGGGAAGTTGGAAGGGGTTGAAGAGGTCAAGAGATTTTTGATTCAAAAGGCGGCTGAGTGGCCGAGGAACCCAGGTTCGTCGGATGCCAGGATAGAGACGATTAGTCGATCCGAGGGGAGGCTCTTTTGACTACGGTGGTAGCTCGTAGTGTGGTAGTGTGGTATTCGCAGCCGAAGTGCGCCTGTCGCGTGAGCACTGAACAGAAGTCGAGTGGTCAATATGGTGTACTCCGTAATGGATGTGGGGATTTCAATGGGACGAGGGAGAGTGGTAGGGACGAAGAAATGGATCTCTTGCTGAAGCACAAAGGTTAGTGAAAGCCTCAAGGTACGGAGGATGTTCATACATACATAGTAGTATTCTGTGCACACACGAGTGACTGTACGGGGTACAACAGCCACAGAAACTCACTCTCAGTCTCTGAGCAGTACCAGGTAGTCAGCGAAACCGATGTCGTGGCCAATCTCATCGTCAGGCGTCCAGAGAGAGTGCGCGTCGAGATCCTGCGGCGTAGATGAGATTGCTCGGGTTTCGCCTGCTCCAAAACAGATTGCTTTGCAGATAACAAGTATCCGTACGAGTGAATCAATGATTCCTTGATTATTCCTTGATTTCACAGAAGAACCAACGAAGAACCTGGGTAAACTGCGAAGAACAAAAGAATTCTGTCTGACCACTATTTTACTACCGTGTTCTGAGGTTTCAAGGGCTTCTTCTGCAAGAATCAATTGTGCGTCTTCTACTTTCGCTTATTAGCACGCCACGTTTCCTGCCTCATGTGCGAGAATGGATCATGCTGGTCGCAAGAAGTTCAAGAACAACAGCGCCACACTGAAGATATTCAGTGGTGTTCAGCCGGAGTTGGACAAGTACGTCCAAGTAGTTCTGTGGATAGACAATGATACTACAAGAGGTGTAATAACACCACCACCAGCCATGCAAGTTCGCAGATGTGCATCTGGAAATGATTGAATACCCGTTGGTATACCGACTAGTGTGAGTGGAGGCTGTCAATGCGCGGCCATGGCTCGTGGGCAGATCCCTGCAATTTCCAGCTGCTTGAAGATTCGAAACCAGCTAACGAGACCAGCCAACGGCGCCGACGATCATCAGCCATGGGTGTTATGGGTGGATTCCAGTCACTCAGTGCCAGTGAGTGGAGGAGAAAAAGCCTCTGGTTTGTTTTCCACTCGCAACACCCTCCCGCACGCAACGCGCAAAGTCTTGCATGCTGCACTGCTGCACACAGTTGGGGCCATCATGGGCCTGCGCTTCTGCACCTGTCGCGGTGTCAATCACGCATCACTGGGAGATCCATCACCCCCTCCACCAAATCGGTGGCGCATTGCCACCCGGCTCTATTTCTTTTTTCGAAGTCCCATGTTCCATCTGGGTGGTCCGGACTCACTGCGAGTTTGGTTTGACAGGAATTCCCCCTGCAGTCAAAAGTCCAACAAACAGCTTGCCAAACGAAAAATCAAAGTGCCTTACTGCACCCAGTGCGCAGCGACACGCTGTACAAGCACCATAACACCGTCAGACACTGCGTTGCGGGCAATCCGCGCGCGGTCGACTTTTCAATCATCCCAGATCCTGGATGGTTCTTCGTCGTCGGTACTCTTGATTCGATCCGTGCTTCGACGTCTCCGCTTGGTGGCAGCGGTTGCTCAAGCACTAAGCCCGGCACAGCCTTAGGCCCCGTCCTGCAATGCGACAGTGATGAGTGTGCCATGTGTGGCCCGGCATTGGTCCTGGAAATGGCTGTTGGCGCCGTCGATCAGCACTTGATCTTTTTTCGGTCAAGTGTCGACCCCTCGCTGGACTTTATTCTGTCAGTGCCAGCCAGCTGCTCGGTCCTTTCATTGGAACATTGTGATGTGTCGCTGACGCAAACCTCCGGACATCTGCCATCGCAACATCATCCTTCCATTGGTCTCACCATGATGATTAAATGTCAGTGCAGGCTACAACTGACGACACAGAAGTCAGGCTGGAAATATCAGCCATCACTTCTTGGAGGTAAAGAGTCGAACTAACGCAAACCCATCGAGCCAGTGTCAGCCGGGCCGGCAACTGATTTGGAGCTCATACCCTGACCACACTGACATATAGCAAATGGGCATGCTTGTTTGAGGCATCTGCCCAGGGTATAAACGGTTGGCGCCTGCATCGGCTAACTTAGGCACTGCTCGAATCTTTTCACCCTGGCCTTGTCCGTACTGTGGTGGATCTGGTCTGTGTCCCGGAAAGGCACTGACATGATCGACCGGGGATAACAATTACTAAACATCTTCACGAAGAAATACAAACCCTGGCGTGAATTGTCGTCGTTACACTCAGCCTTGTTGATAATCATGGAGGACCGACAAAAGGACTGGATCTTTCCATACAGAGTACGGAGTACGGAGGGGTACTCTGTAGTATACCTGCATCTGCATCTGGGCCAATTACCAGCCTCCCCAGGGACCTGGAACCGGACCTGGACCTGCGAAACGTGCGTCGTGAGTGCACAAGCACGTATAATAATAGAAGTATAATCGTCGCCCCTCATGTCCAAGGGCGAGGACTGAAGACAGATTGGGCTGCTGGTGGTACCAGCTTTCACGAAGTCTTAGGCAACGCTCCAATTGCCTGTGTTTTGGCCGTCAATCAGAACAGAACATTGAGCAAATTCACGTCCTCACCTCCCGCCGTTCGCCTCCTTAGGTCTCTAGCGAGGGCGAACATTTGTTACGCGTCATGCACGTCTCTGGTCAAGTGGACTGTCTCGGACATTTTTACCATCTCATTCGGGAACGAGAATATCTCGGGCACATATCCTCCTGAAGTCAGACATGGCCGTCAGAGCTTCTGATCTCTAAGGGGCTGCATCCGAGCTTTCTGATGACAATTCCGTGATTGCGACTCCTCCGTCGTTCTGCGATTGTCTTTTGATAATCAAAACAAAGAAGCGACCAGAGTACCTGCATATGAAACCCAGCTGCCTTTCTTGGAATAGGCCTGAGCAAGAGGTCCTGATTTCATATCGGGCAGCTGAGCCTTGAATCTTGATGGCATTATCATTTCCTAGGTGACGGCTGTCCCACAGTTTCGTGGTGCACTTGGTGGCTGCATCTGGGCTTTTTGTCAAAGCCATGACTGGTTCTTCGAAAACATGCCGCTCATCTCGGATGTGCAAGCCAGCATCTCGGCCATCAGTTTTTTGCATCAGCTGAAGCACACCGTGATTGCAGGGTCAGAGAGTGGAATTTCACAGCCTTACAAGCGCAGCTGGCATGTGCTTCAGATCAGATCCAACACTTTCGGACTTCTAGAGTTGTGTCCGTTGACAAACAGCTCCAAACTCGAGCCTGCAATACGAGTCGCGTGCGGATCCCCCCAAGCACGTCTCTGGTCTGCCGCAGCTCCCCAGGTAAAGATGCCGCCGAGGTCAAGCGCCGAGGTATTCGCTTTCCCCCTGACCACTAACAGCGGCGGAAACCTCAGTGTTGTGGCGGCCATTTGCCAGATGTACGTGATTTAACCTTTCTCACTTGTCCCGTTGGTGCGCTTGGGCTGCGTCTCAAGCTTCCCAAGCGCTCTCCAGCACCTCCGCCCAATGGGGAAGGTCTGTGCAGTACTCGTAGATGGGTCGAGTAAGTATTCAGATGTTGCCGTGGACGTCTAACGGCTGCATGGGTCCAACTCAACCACCTTAGTGACAACGATTTTTCCGCACGCTTAAAGTCGGACTCCACGACCCTGTGCTGGCAGGCAAATTCTCCTGAAGCCAAACAAACGAAATCAGTTAGCCATGCAGTCCAAAATCGCGCCTTTTGATGGCTGAGCCACCAACTTTGCCCACTTGGAGGTGGCCGATACCAGGTAGTACTGAGGCTTTACTTGCAGTCTACTCAACAAGTTGGCAGAGGTCAAACAATGCTTGCGAAGACTTGCCCTCTGCTCTGTGGGCAATGCGATAGCCAACCTCGTGGCCTACATTGGTATAACCTCAAGGTGGCTGTGTTATGAATGGCAAGTCGAGGGAATCTCCTGAATGTTGCATATCCGACATAATAATGGTGCGGGCCGACGGACGAGCTGCAAGTACCTGCAAGCCGATCCGCATCCCCGACAACATATACTGTGACGGTATGGTCGGCCAGCGATCCCCTAGACTCATCAAATGGTCATCCCACCATGCAAAGCATGCCGGCAAATAGTGTGAGCGACGATCGGGATAGGCAAGGATTTCGAACTCATTCAGTGTATCGTAGCAGATCCTAGCTCCATTTCCCTTCGTGGATGGCAATAATAGTCGAGGAAGTTCAGAGGTTTTCCATATACTCGGGATCTGTAATGTCGGGTTCTTTCAGGCGAGACAATCAGCCGTTTTCATTGGAACGTGGTCTCAGTTGAAAGCTACAAGGTCAAGAGAAATGGACCACAATAATCGACGAAGAAAGCGATCTGCTGACCAGGTTTCCTTTGCGGATAGTTGTCATTGGCGGATTATTTGCCGGGGCACCAAAACAACCTTTGTGGCTTTCGAATGCACATCAACTTCCCTGCAGAGCTCCCCTTGCTGGTCAGAAGACTAGTATCTTTTAGCTGGCGATGTTGGTGGCGATCAAGGCAAGGCCAAGGAATGGCTAGCGATCGGTTGGGCAAGTCGATTGCTCTGAACCGTGAGCATCCGCAAGATTACCATCGACCACAACCTTCGGGTGCCGAAGTAGTATCACAGTACTGGAGAAATAGAAATGCTCGATACGAAGATGGTTGTCGACGGATAAGGTGTTCGTACAGTGCGACGTCGAAAATTGGACCAGGAATCTACGAACCGAAGAATAGGATCCAAGGGACCATGTCTGCCGCCGTGTTGCTGGTACTGTATCTTCGGTGACGTTTCGGACAGCTGCATGCAGTGGGCTTGAACACAAAGCGTGTTGTTCTGGTGGTCTGGGTCGTTTGTTAGTGGTTGAGCGGAAGGATAACTGCAGCTTCCAGGCAGGTCCGGCAAAATGCTATCTTTGGACTTTTGTCTTCCTTCGCTTAAACAGAGGCCGTTCCATCTTGATCTTTCGGGCCATATCCCTTAGCTGAAGCTCTAGTCTTATTGCTGTTTCGTCGGATATCGAAATGTTCTGGCCTTACTGCCACTCCTGATGTGCTTTTAAGACGGGGCAGTCGAAGTGCAGATGATTGACAACAACGTGGTGCGCAAGCCCTGGACCCTGGTCTTGACGTGAAGGAACTCGTGGTGGACAACGTGCTGTTGATCATCCTCTAACGGTACCACGAGCCTGCCACGAGCACGGGGAAAGGTGGTGTTCCCGCCCATGAGACAAGATCTTCAGGTACTAGCTTTTAGCAGGCAATAGTTTGTCGCTGGTGGGGTTGTGGTGTGGTGGGGGAACGGAAGAGGAGGTTGGAAACGAGTGCTGTGATAGCCATGAACCCTTTGCGATCCTGGTCTGCCAGTTGATGATGGATGTGACACATCTTTTGGTAGCACAGAAAGGCGTCGCTGGTCCTCCGTACTGCGTAGTCGTCAAGATCAAGTCTTCGATTCGTCTCGGTCCAAGAATTTCCGTCGCTGGAGAAATGATGGTGTCGACAAGAACCAACAAGGGACGATGATGTCAGGAACATACCCAGAGGGAAACTTGACGCGCGAGAGTTGAAGATAGCCTAGCTTGCACACACCTGTGAAAACAGCAATAGTCAGACAGGATCAGATCATCTCCACGGCTGACTGAGGTCGACCTTTATCTCACTAGAACCACGGCGCGGTCGATACCACGCAGTATTGCAGTTGCTTCCCCTTTCTTGATGTTCCTAGAGCTGTTGCGGTTGGTATACTTTGGGATAGCCAGACCGCTCGGAGTACTATGGTCGTCTCCGACTTCAATCCTGGACATTGATGATGACGCGCACAGCCAGCTTATCGCAGGGTATTGACTGTGATACTTCATATTTGACAGCTAACGGTCCGTTCAGTTGCGTTGAGACTCCTACTCCTAGACAGGGCTCCTATTCGCGGTCTTGAAAGCTGACTTTCACCTTCGGACGATCTTTGCAGGACATCCACCATATTTCCAACATATTTGCGGATAGCATCCGATGACCCTGTGTGAGATTACAGCTGTTGTCAAAGCGAGACACGCAGGAAGGAGAATTATTCAATCCTCTGGACACCCGAAATCGATGAGTTCATCGTACATGCATTTGACACGTCCACCCACCGATCCCGCCCTCCGAAGTTGGCGGTCAATGAAAGATCCGAGACCCAGTCGCCTTGATTCTTTTCGGACATCCGTCTCTGAGGTTCTGCAGCTGTCAATGGTTCGAGCCAGATCATGGGTGTCTTCGAACGTCCCCCTTCAGGCGGTCAGGGCGCTGAGGAGATGCGCACGATGCACAAGCGCAAGGACATACGTATACAGTCCGATATATGTGATGTGATGGAAGGGAAGCAGATCTCGAAACTGTGGCGTCACTTCTTTGATATGCTACAGATGGCCTCTATCTAACTACCTGGTATACTGTCTCGTCAAGAGCTTGTCCTCCTCTTGGCTGACTAACATGCTGGCTGCTCAATCAGAAATCAAAATATTGCTAACTTGCTTCTCAAATCCAGACCAGCAGTCACTTGTCGTTCATGCTTCATCATGAAACTTCGTGTCCGCGTTGTTATACATTAGTCGCGTAATTGCCAGCGTTAGGTTCGACTCTGATGTCTGGGACAGGTATCCCCTGAGGCGGTTGCGCTGGCTGCATATGCGCTTGTTGAGGAGGCATCAGACCAGGGGCACCGGGATGGACAGGCGGCTGCTCGGCCCAATGCTGGTTTTGCTGCTGCTGGAGGTAGACCCTAGGATCTCCCTGAAGCCCTTGAACGGGCTGGCCTTGCTCAATGGCCAGAGCCGGCCTCTTATCATCATCCGTAGCGTAGTCATCGCTGCTGTCGTAGCCTCTATCTTTCTTCCGCCGTCGCCGTTCTTCCAACTCAGCTTGCCATTGTCGCTCTCGGGATTCTGTGACAAGGGTTAGAGAAGTGCACTCAGGGAGGAGAAGCCGGGGTTTCTTACCTCTAATTTCTTTGGTCTTCTCGGCAAACTTCATGATTTCTTCCTTGGTGACCACGCGAAGAACAATGACATAATCATCTCGCTCCTCGAATCTTTCGTGCTCCTTCTCCAGTGCTTCCGGATTTACCAAAGCCCGGCTGATCTTAGTCCATCGCGCGTTAGGGGGTATCCCATCCTTCTTCGCGTCCTTGAGAGGTGCAACGCCTTCGCGCTCTGGATGGGGATCTTCAGGGAAAGGAACCGCCCTCGGAGGCTTCAGAATGCCCTTGGGTTTGGCCTCATCCTTCTTCTCCACTGGCTCGACAAGCTGGACTCTCCGCGGTCGCTCATCTTCTTCCTCTCCGGGTGAGATTGTGCGCTGCTGCAGGCCTTGAGCATCTCGGTCGCCATCGCGAGATGCTGCTCTTTCGCGAGGCCTAGGAGGCTCCCGCAGTTCCCCTTCCCTGTCCCTGTCAGACCGTTGTTGGCGGTGTTCTGGCCCGACAGAGTCTTCTGTAGTATCAGATTCGTCTTCCTGTGCAGATTTCTCTCTGTGTCGGTGACGATGATGTCTTCGTCGTTCACGCCTATCCTCTCGGCTCTCGGCCACAGCATCTTCGGGTTTTGCCTCGTCCCTACGACGTTCACGCCGGTCAGGCTCAGACACTTTGAGATCTCGCTCGACACGGTCAGCGAGTTGGTCGGGACTGGGATCATCTCCGCTACGATGATGTCGCCTTCTGCGATGCCTCTTCTCCTTGTGGTCGTCACTGTCAGTATCGTCATTGGGATTCCGAGATGTTTTGGCGGCAACACCGGCAACACCGGCCCCAACAGCTGCCGCAGCGACAGTGGACAAATGCTTGCGCACGCCCGATTGCTGTTCCGGGCTTGGATCGCGGCTCCTCTGTTGGCGGCGATCATCGGTCCCCCTACCAGCTTTCTCGACTTCACGAGCTCTCTCGCGCTCCCTCTCTTTCTCACGTTCTCGGTCTCTTTCCCTATCCCTGTCACGGTCACGATCCCGATCTCGGCGATCGAGATCCCGAGGGATTTCTCTGTCTCGCTCTTCGCGATGCTTACTTTTGGGGGCTCTGTCATCCTCCTCATATCGCTCTGGCCTCGACTTCGGCGGTAGCCGAGATTCACGCTCTTCTCTTGCAGATGTGTAGCCGTCATCACGATAATGATGGAGAACTGGGGCACGAGTGGAAGCGTGACGGCGAGGGGCATCCCCAATGCGATCGTCTGGCTCGCTGAGGCGTATGCCCGAATGTCTGCCGCTGTCGGTTCTGTCTATTCTGTCCAGAGCACGAGAGGAGGCAGGTGGCGGGCCAGGGTCTCGTCTCACCGATTGTCTGTACTCTGGCAGGCCGATTGTACTGATCGGACGCTCCCGTCTGCCAAAGCTCTCCCGGCGTTGGGGCGGTCGCGAGGATTCTTGCAGAAATTGCTCCTTGGGTGTGGTGTAGGAAAATCCATGTTCTTGCAATGGTGCATCCCTTGAATAAGAAGGGTATGCATTGTAACCACCACGGCGGTGATACTCGGGCTGTCTGCTGACTCTGGGGTAGCCGAGTCGATCCTGCTCTGCCCGTGTGGCGCTAGAATGCCGATGGTGATGGCGGCCTGTGTTTGAGGCTGCCGGCATGAGATAGCGCTCCTCCCTCGCAGGAGGCAGGACAGGGCTTCGCGGATCGTCGCGGGAAGTGCTGATGACCGGTCGCACTCGAGGTGGTGACGCAGGCCTGGCAACATACGTACTGACAGGCCTTCGAGATTCCGAGCCAATGGTCGAGTTATTCCTTGGACGGACAGCGTACTCTGTGCGAACCACTGGACCTCTTCCAGGGTGATTGTCGTCGAGATATGTTCTGTTTGTAACGCCCTGTGTGCTATAGCTTCCGTGACGTGCACTTGGATAGGGATCGCCGACCATCGTTCGTGGCTGGGAGGAAAATCGGGTATCGAAGGAGGAGGAATAGACCATGCCTGTTGATGCTCGAGGATTGGCGTAGCGCCGAGAAGGTGAGGAAGGACGGTAACGGTTCTCGGTCATTTTGAATGTACTTCACTTTCCAAGCTCTTCCTATAACACATACATTTGATGCATCGGTAACTCGTCAAGAATGGAACAGAGGCTGACACTGTAAGAGACAGATGATGAGTCAAGGGGCCCAATGCGTAGACTGGTGATGTTCGATAGCGGCATGCAAGGAAAGAAAAGGATCAATGCTCAGTGAGGACCATGAAGGGGCATCGAGGGGTCATCAGGCTAGGAGGAGAGGGCCTAGGATTTATAGCATACCTTTTGGGAGGATAGGCCACAAATGCAGAAACTGTCAGCGCAGGAGGGGGAATGCAGCAGGCGAAATGCTCAGATGATGTGGAGGCAATGCTGGAAAGAAAGACAGAAGAGCAGGAGAAAAAGGCACACGGACCAGGGCAACACAGAGAAGAGGCCAGGACAACAAGCGTCTCGTCTCTCGATCGCCTCGGTGGCACACAGTCTGTCAGTCAGTTTGGATTTGATATGGAATCAAGGATGCAAATGAGCCGAAAGGTGAACAACCGAAGGAGGGAGGATCACGAATTACGACGACGTCATGCCTTATAATAAGACACTGGCGGTCTTTCTACCGAGCCACTCATTCTTTTTGTATACACAAACCCCCACCACCAGTCTTTCTCCTCTCTGCCTGCCACCTATCTACATACTTCTTCTTCTTCGTACCCAACTCTACGGAGTATGCCAGCAGTATACAGTACTTCTTCTCGTTGTCAACCTGTAGCTCTGCTCTTCGTCCTCTCCTCAATCGACTCATGAGTCACATCGGCAGACCATTACCCATTTCCTCACTCATCCCGCGTTCTTCGGCACCTGGGCAGGTACTTTGGGCACAACGAACGCTTGACTAAAATATGGTTGCCTTTTCATTCGTGAAGGTGGGCAGATTTACCGCTCGTTAGTACCGTTGCCGTCGGGATCCAACCAATTCTGAATGGTTATTGCTGTATTGCAGCCAGATGTTTGTCGATCAAAAGAACTGCTGCCCAATCTAATTCCCACCATCGTCGTTTTGTCTTGTTTCCAACATTGCCCCTTTTGATTGTTGCCTCAGGACATTTGCTCGTGCTTGTATTCTCCGGATCATTGTCCTACAATACAACAGAAACAGTCGGTTCTTGCTAACTTCGCTCGAGAACGAACCGGTGGTTGCCTTCTTGCCCCGTTGGTCCTAGGCGTTCAGGTTGCCGGCAAGATCGGCCAACAAGGATTCTTCCCATATGATTCGGGCGCTGTATCACCACACCGGTTGTCTAGGAATCAATTGCAGACCTTCCGTCATTTCGAGTCGAAAGAATCTATGATGCACGCTGATGGGTCTTTTTCCGAAGCCTTGGACGACTTCATTGACCATGCACCCATGCAAGCTTCTGGAGCCGCACAGCAGAATCGACAGTGACGAGATCCGAGAACTTGGTTGCAGTCGCGTGATGAAAGACGCCAATGCTGCTTCAGGCTTCTGTACCATTTCTGCATCACGGGGCACCTGACCCCATTCAGATCTGCTTCTGCGTCTTCTCTCCATGCGCTCGATATGGCTGAATGGAAGTCGATACCAGGCGTCATGGATCCGAAGCTTGGTCCATGTCATGTGCTATTCTATACCTCCCTCCTGTTCATGCAGGCTGACTACCTACCAGGGCTTGCACCTAGTACCATTGCTCGGCTGGGGTCTCCGTATCACACAGCTCTATGCATCGATATTTGGTACATGGTGCAGACTGTGATTGCCATTGCATGATGACCGAGACTCCAGCATTCACCCATCTCCAACTCAAGAACAGGGACTTTCGGATACCTTGAATGTTATACTGTCGAACTTATCTGACCGCATTCACCATAGGATTTCTAGGCCGTTAGCCTTGTTGCAGGGCGACAACTTGCGTCAACTTTGTCCATCTTGCAACGTCACTGTGGCTGTGCTTTGGTCGGAGATAGCCTCGTTGTGACTACCATTGCCATGTCGCGTGTGTCTTGAGGGAGTTGCCTTTCTGACAGTTCACGTGCCGGTCCTTTTGATACTCCTTCAATGCATCACGACGGCAGAAGCTCTTTGCATTCTGATGTCTCGCCCTGAAAATCAAGAGAACAGCATGATTTTTGGCTTCGGCTCACGGCTGCCTGCTATCACAGCCTCTGCACGGTAATTTTAATGCTGATTTTACGGACACAATCATGATTGGTCTGCGAATGGTGATTATGGACAACGGGAGGTCCCCCACGGCGCAACGTCGTCGTTGCCCCGGACCTCTGAGAGTAAGCATGTTGATAATGGCCTGGGAAGCAACGAAACATTTCGCCATTCTGGCCATTCTGGAGCGGACCTGTACGGCGTCTTTCTGTCAGTGCAATAACTACCCACGCCTACCTGCTTGCAAAGATGCTATACTTCAGGGCTGCCAGTGGGATCACCAGCTTCTGCTTTACACATTGTCCTTTGCTTGGAATGGAGAATCAGAGCATTGATCCCATGCTTCACTAACAAGAAAGGGGCTGAGCGAACAATATCCTCCATCGCGATTGTTCGCTTCATATTGACAACCTCTTGTACTGGCTCGGTTTCGCCGTCACAATACTACCATGCTTTGCTCAGGGGACAGTTTCCTCCAACAGTTTGATGAAGGGCGACGTCCAACAGGCCCTGTACGGCAAGTATAAGTATGTCTTTCAGGAGGATGGAACACTTGGTTGTCACCGAGCACTCGCACATCTGTTCTCTACAGCATATTCCAGATCTTCTAACTCCTCAGAGCATCTTTGAATCCATTCACTGCCTCTTCCGACACCTTCATTTGAGGACCATTCCAGTCGCAGTTCGCACTGAGCGTTATCCTTGATCAAAATGCCTCCAAAGTTGTGGCAATGCCATAAGTGTGGACACGGGCCCTACACGTATGCGAATGCTACTCGGTGTGTGAATTGCAACCATGATTACTGTGGGAGCTGCAAAACAAACGGCAATATCCCATCTACGATGAAAGCTTCAGATGGCTTTCGCCGTCGCATCAAGAGCAGTCAGTCCAAGCACACCGATCAGATCCAAGCTGCTTTGTACGGCATCGAACCCTCGACTGGCTACAACACCTCTCCCAGTCCGGCGAAATCAATTGACAAAAGTCATTTCCGACTCAAAGTTAGGCCCTCTATGGCTGGCTGGTGGAAATGTCACGAATGCAAATATGTGAACAACCCCGCGCTGAACCCAAAGAGATGCCTTGAATGCTCCCACACCAAGTGTTCATACTGCACTATCAGGGGGCATTGAGCAGGGACGTTGGCTGGACTCCAAGCTGCGTTGGCTCTGTGGCTTAGGCGACTTCACCAAGCCTACCTCTGCCCACCGACTGCCTTTACCTGACGCCGGCGCACTTCCCCGGTCTTTCACTCGCTCACTACCTCGCATTTGGTTTCGTATCCCATCGCAGCATCACAGCACCACAGCATACTATATCGCGTCAAGACTCACAGCATTAACATTTGGACCACCCCCAGTCGTTACCTCAGACATCTATCTTCCAAGCTCACATCATCCTCCCCCTTCCATCTTGTCCCAGCCAAGCATGTCGGGTCTCACAGAACAACCACAACCACCTTTGTACGGGTTATCGCTTGATGTTCCATCCCAGCACCAAACCAAGGACTTGCATTCGCTTCTACCCTGTCGTTGTTATGAAGGAGGATTCCAGAGTAGCAAAGCTTGATTCTCGCAGTCATACTTCGTTCATTCTGTGGTCCTCGATTACAGGTTTTTTTAATGCTATGCTTTCATTTCTCAGATACTGTCGTTACTATGAAACCTTGCTTTTAATATACAAACTCGCTTGAAATGAATCGAATTCCATGATGCTCGCGGATTCAATATTACGCTTTCTAATGTGCTTTTCTGTCTGTCCCTGCTTTCTCTTCTGAGCTTACGTTCGGACCGTCACCACTCGGCTCTCCGCTCTCGTTGACTGAAAGCTCGTCATCGCTACCACCACGAAAAGTGGCATTGTTCGGCTAGGAATAGTCCCGTCTCGCATCAAGTAGTCCCTCGTGACGACCGACGACGATGTCCCGCCTCCTCTAGCGTGATGGAAAGGATTTGATAAACTGTTGACATTACACGTTGAACAGTAAGGAGTAATAGTATGACTTCATCGTCTTTCATACCTCTCTATATAACTCACCTTTGGGGGTTGTAGGTGTATCATTGGAAGAAACTGTCCGGTCCGGTACCGCCTCAGCCAAAGATACTTTCAAACCCTTCAACAACGACCTTCCCACCCTTCCCACTCGCAGTGGTAGTGACAGTGCCATTCTTCGCGCCGCCCTTTCCATAGACAACGACCTGCGGCGTGCCGGGCACACCCAAATCCCCACTCCACTGCACCGTCACCGTCTTCGCCTTTCCGTCCGCAAAAACATTGATATCATCCACCACCTCCTTGCCATTATAATACGGGAACGATGCCTTCGCGTACTCGCCATTATAACTCGGGTACACCTCAATCGTCAGACTCGGACTCCAATTCTCGGTCCACTTGTTGTTCCCTTGATACACGTCGCCCCTGACCACAATGCTTCCCTCACGCACATATACGGGACTCTCCTCCCATTCCAATTGCACTTGCGCCGAGCTTCCCGCCTTCTGCACGACCGTTTTGTTGTAGTACTCCAGGTAAGCCCTGCCACTCGCATTCCCAGGGAAATACACCTCCCGAGCTCCGCCCTCGCCCGTGATCGGCGCGACGAAGAAGGAATCCCCGAAAAAGTACGCGTCCGTCGTATCATACACGCCCTTATCCTCAGGAGTCTCGAGGAACAAAGCGCGCATGACCGGCACGCCCGTCACGCTGGCTTGGTACGTGAAGCTCCTGATATACGGGATCAAAGCATGATGCTCGTTGGCAGTCCGTCTGAGCACGTCGACCAGCCGCAACGGGTACGGAGGGTACCAAGGGGTATGGTTAGTGCCGACCATGATCTCGTACACGGGCGAATACGTCGAGAAGTGCATCCAGCGCGCCCACACCTCCGGCGTCGGCTGATCGGCTACCAAAGCGTTTTTGCGCACGTACCCGCCTGTATCGGATGACCAGGTCGAGAAGCCGAGTAGGCTTGCCCGGATACCCGAGGCGATGCTATACCTTAGGCCGGTGAAGTTGGCGTGCGAGTCGCCATTCCAAATGTTCGTCAGGCTACGGGATCGGTCGACGGCAGAGCGCGCGAAGTTGTAGAAGCCAGATTTGCCCCATTTGTTGGCCATGGTGGTTTCGCAGATTTGTTCAAAGAGTTGCATCTGGATGTTCTGTTCGTAAACTGCATACAAGACCGGTTAGCATGAATCTATTGTGGCAAATAAATGCAAGGGGAAAGCAAAGACTGACCAGGCATCTCGCCTTCCTCACCACGATCGATCTTATAACCCTTCACACCCACGGAAGGAAAATAAGACATCCTATTCAGGAAGTACTCGTACGCAGCCGGTATGCTCAAGTTCAAAGCTGGACCGAGGAAGAATTCTGGGTTAATTCCAGGAAACAACCATCCATTCGCCGCCGAGACGTTGTACAGCTCTGTGTCCAGGAACGCGCGATTGGCGACCCAGACTTGAAAGTCGAATCCCCACGTCGAGAGGTTGGCAATGAATTGATCAGGCGTAGGATAATATTTCGGGTCGAAGTCGAAATTTCCCCAGGAGTAATTACCCGTGCCGTACGGACGGTCAGCGAACATGGACGTTGCTCGAATCTGATTGTAGTACAAATGGTTAATGACATCGTAGTAATTTTCCTGTGCGTTTGATACGGTGCCATGGAAATCCTGCTCAAAGTTGTCGGACCAGAAAGTCGGCCCGTAACCCGAGTCTGGAGGCATGGTGATCCGCGCAGACAGGCCTGTGTATGTCTTGATGATGGATTTGTAGTCGCCTGGGCTAGCCGCCAGAATGATATAGTATGTCAAGCTGCTGGTGTTGAAGATGAATTGAGCTTGGCCGGAGTCGAACTGGAACGAGCCCATGTCCAGAGTGTCCGCATAGACCCCGAAGCCGGCACTGCTGTAGAATGCCGGTGCTCGTGCGTTGTCCCAATTGATACCCAGGGCATTACCGACGCCTTTGAGATCGAACTCGACACCGTTATTGGTCAGCGAGTCGTTCCACGGGTATTCCCAGACACCGTAGAAATTGTCACTGGGGCTGGCAGTGAAGCTGGCGCCGGTGAAGGCGGCTGTAGCATTGTATTGGACCTTGACGACGTTTGGCTGAACTACGGTCCAGTCTATAATCCCTCCGCTACTGGCGACGGTGCCATCACTGGATGCAGACACCGCACTGGCTGTGTCGTTAGTGCTTCCGCTCAGGATTGCGTTGTTCGTCACGGTAATACCCTGGTCAGACTTGACCGTGAGAGCGAACGGGTTTGTGCCAGAGACGGTCACAGAGACGTCCGCCAGAGCCAGGCCAGATAGGTTGAGGGCTAAAGTGAGTAGCAAGACCATGACTGACATTAGAGGACCAATTCGTCTATCTTCGGCAAGTGAAGCTGGGGGAGAAGACTGGTCTCATGTTACATACTTCTTCTTACCTGATGGCATGGAGATCATTACACCGAGAGCCGAAGCATAGCTGTTATCATTGGGCTCAAGCATGTCCTCAGAAGAGCTTTCCCCATGCTTGAACGATATAGCCTGTAGACATTTTACCGGTGACTAGGCTGGAAGGAGTAATGAGCTGAGCGGGTCAACTAGATGCATGAGAGCCAGGAAGGAAGGTCCGAAGCAGGAGAATGCGGATATGTTGGAGGCTGAAATGCGGAGGGACCCCGCACAAGGTGAGAAGGACGATGCAAGTGATGGAGAGCTGCGAGTGCTGCAAGAACCAGGAGCAGTATGGTCGACTGGTGGACGTTGTCGCTCGTTCGGCAGATGTACATGCAGACTGGCAAGACGAGAAGAGAAGCGGAGGATCAAGACAGAGAGGATTACGGAGCGACAGTCGACTCCGAAGTGCACGCACGCCTAGTGCAAAAATGCTTCACCCTACAAGTTGTACCAGTCACCCGGAGCAAGTCAGCCTCAATCACTTACCAGAGTGATCTGGAGAGTGATCAATAGGGGAAGATGATGAACAACTCAAAGGACGGTGTATCGTGCTCTCTGCGATGACGACCATGTAACAGTCTCAATACTACGGCCTGACACATATTGTAAGCAAGACCTGATTTGCGGTAGGACGCTTTTCAAGGCCATCAAACCTCTCCAATCCACAGCCATCTTCACAATCATGGAACCTCGATTGACCCGGTCCAACCTTCAACTTATCCGTCGTCGTCGTAACAGTCTTTCCGACCACAGACTGCTGAGGTCCATGCCGGAGGGACTATTGCCCCGGAACCCGCCTCGACCTCCGACCTGTCGGAGCAGCGTTGAGCAGCCGGGTCAAGTCGACCCTAGCAGTCAGCCGTTACCTACTCATCGGGCAATGCTTCTCAACCGCACCAGCTGGAAGACGCCGAAATGCGATGGCGAGTCAGTCAGAAACTACCGGGTTGAAAACCCCCAAGGTTTGGCCAAGTATAAGAGATTGTGACTTGGTTGATGCTGGCGTCATGCCTTCAACAGCATATCACCGAAAAGCAAAAGGACGAGGTCAATAAAGCAGCCACTACTCGTATCCCGACGTAGTCCGATACAAACGGGCCAATATGGCAAAGATCATTGCAGTCCTCGGTGCAACTGGAACACAGGTATCGCCCCCCTCTCGTCCAGAGCTGAGCTGAGCATAGCTGAGCGAGCTAATCTAAATCTCACCCCCATGCCAGGGCGGATCCGTTGCTCGCACCTTTCTCGACATCGAAGGCTGGTCCGTCCGAGGAATAACCAGGAACCGCAATTCGGCCGCCTCCCAAACCCTAGCAAACCTCGGAGTCGACCTCGTCGAAGCTGACCTCGACGACGTCTCTTCGTTGGAACGCGCCTTCTCCGGTGCCCACGCCATCTTCGCCGTCACCGACTTCTGGCAATTCCCCACCTCCCCTAGGACACACGACCTCGCCAAGGCCGAAAACATCACCTGGAACGAGGCCTGCTACCGGTTGGAAGTCCAGCAGGGGATCAACATCATTGATGCGGCGGCGCGATGTTTTGCCATGACAGGCACTCCCGAGAGACTGGTCTACAGCTCTCTCAGCGGCGCCAAACGCGCGAGCAAGGGCAAGTACACCTGGGTGTACCACTTCGACAGCAAGGCGCGCGTGGTCGAGTACCTAGCCGAGAAGGCGCAAGATGGTGAAGGAGCGGAGTACAAAGCCCTGCTCGCGAAGACGAGTTATCTCCAGTTGGGCAGTTACATGGACAATTGGATGAAGAACCCGCTCGTCATGCCCCGGAAGGTAAGCGTTGCACTACGCCCCCATCATAGGCCCTTTTCTTATCATGTCTTTCTCCAATTCTACCACAATATGGGTAGAAGTAAAAGTCCTCGTGTCCTGTTCGATGCAAAGGGCTGTCTTTGACTGACGCGAATCGTGATACGTGAGTACAGCAACCCGACGGCTCATACACATGGCTCTGGGTATCCGGACCGCCTGGGTCCACAACGCCATTCGTCCATCCACCCACGGACACAGGCCCGTTCGTCGAGGCCCTCGTGCTCAAGACCCCTCCTCGCACCACGCTGCTGGGCACGTCGTCCGTCATGCCGTACGCTGAATTCGTCCGCTTGTGGGGCGACATCCACGGTGTCAAGGCCAGTCTACAGAGTCTCAGTGTCGAGGACGTGGATAAGCTGGTTCCGGGAGGACTGGGCCGCGAGGTCGGTGAGACAGCCGCCTATACGCAGGAGTTTGGATGGGATGGTGGGGAAGGGACGCTTCTGCCAGAGCAGGCGGGCGTGGGTGTGAAGCGCTTGACGGATGTTGAAACGTACATTAGGACGACGGACTGGAGCGCCGTGTTTGCTCAGTAGCTTACAGACAGGCTAACAGCGAAGCTATGCAATACAATGATTCTTCTTGCCTGTCATGAACTGCATCGACGCGGCCATTGTGGTTCTGGCATGTCTCAACTGCAGTATCATACGAGCTGCCATCGACCTGACTTTGGTTCAAACGGATAGAACGTATTCCATTCAACGCCCTAGATGGCATGCCTGTCCAGTCCTCTCACCCAACAACGCCAGCGCTAAGTAGTCTTTTCCTCAAACACTTCCGAGGCCTTGTTACCCTGTTCTGCAGGCCCTTTTCCTCGATCGGGAATTGAACCAAAAATAAAGAAACAGCAGAGCGTGCATCGTAATCATAACCATAACAGTAACGATTTCATGATCGGAAAGAATGATGAACAGTAGGAATAGCAATGCAAGGGTCGTTACAACGCCCGGCCGTGACATAACCACATCGCTGAGATAGAAACAATCACCGGCTCCCAGCCTGGTCGCTGTCCCCAGTCGTCCCGATGCCTTCCTCCTCGGCAAAAGCAGTCGACCTCCGCCGCCTCCTCTTCCTTTTATGCCTGCCTGTCCTGGTTATGTTCCCTTCCTTCTCGTTTTCATTTACATCTTCCCTCTCGCTCTCTGGTTCCCGGTTCGGACACCAAGAGCGGTCCATGTCTTCGCTAGGAATGCTTAGCCCGGCCTCTCGGGCCAACCTGTCCACCACAGGACCCATTTTGTACATACTCCTCGGATCACTGTGATCGACCGAGGGTGAGGCAAGCAGTGGAAAAAGCCAGTCAAACACGGTGTACCCCATGACTTCTTTGAAATTACCGAGGGGCCCAATATCGAACGGATTAGCGCCGGGAGGAGTTTCGAGAATTACAAATGTCCTTGCCTCCTCTGATGGGATCGCTGTCGGAGTCGAAGACGGCGATGATGCAGCGCCTTGTTGCTCAGTTGTCGACGGTATTCCTTCGCGCGCGATGGCTGGATGCGGTGGGAACTGCGACCTTTGCGGATCGTATACTGCTTGTGGCGCACTTGGCTCTGTGCCTGGGCTCGTCATGGTCCTCTGACTATCACTCAGCCTCGCGCCATTCTGTTCCAGGATTTCAAACTGCTCGCTAGCGGGCCTCGGGTAGCTAATCAATCTCCAATCACTCCGTCCTGAGCTTTGATACCGGTCCAGCACCGTTTTCGGCACATACACAGCGAGATACCACACCTTGGTTTTCCGTGTGAAGTTTTCAATGGTACTCGAGTTCAGAAAGGCAAACTGCAAACTGCTCCCGCACATGCCCGCGCTGAAGACGAAGAACAAGGCCGCAAAAATCAATACGAGAATCCAATGGACGTTGAAAAAGCCGCCACTCTCGCGTTGCCTGCGCTGTGCGAAGTAATAGCTCACGACGACCAGCGTATGCAGGCAGAACAGGGCGGCCCAGAACGTGAATTGGATGAAATATTTGAATGAGGTTTCTGAAACGATGCCGCCGACCCACGGGCAGAAGTGATCCATCTTGAGCACGCACCGACCCAGTTCGCTGCAGTGATGCGCCCGGTCCGGCTTATAGTTGTAGCATGTGCTGCAGAATGGGGGCCGGCCGTCCCAGCCGCAGATGAAGATGTCCTTGCGCCAGAAATTCTGGGCAGGATATCCTGAGTCATGCTTTAGACGGTGTCTGCGAGGTGTGTAGCCTTCTGTGGACTCGTGTTCCAGCGGTTCCTCTTTATGACTTGGTGTACTCGCGTTTTGGCGCGTGCGCTCTTTTTCAATGAAGTATTGCGCTCCACGAGGCACGAGGCCTGGGTTGGTCGTGATGGTCTGAATCAGGCGGGTGAGACATGTCAGAGCGATAAGTAGGAGGAGGTAGTATATTGTGAGAATAGCGATAGCCGTGCCGGTATGATGGCGGACGAACAGCGATGGCTGAGGGTGGATGAGGTAGTCTAAGCATATCTTCTTGGTAACGACGTATGAGGAGTAGCCTATGATACCGAGGAGGAGCAAAGGCACGATTCGAGCGGTGACGATGTTCCCTCGCTTGTTCTTCTCGCCAGGTCGCATGCCATTAATCTTCATGGCGAGAGGAGGTTCGCACGGCAAGACCACATCGAAAGGCTACCAGCAGAGGTCCGACATAACGCCGTTGTTACCGTGACACGGTCATGTCACAAGCAAGCGAGGACGTCCGGATTAAAAGTTATAGATTGTGTTAAGTCGGCGGTTGATTGGAGATGCGGTCGAAAGTTGGTAGCGTCGTCATTGGAAACCAGGGAACGAGGCAAGGCACGACAAGGCTGAGGCCGGCCATGGGCCCATTCTCACGGGGAAGGTCTGCCGAACGTTTCCTCCGTCCAAAGTCCCGACCGACCTTGAATCTTTGACAGGGCACAAGGACGAGCCAACCACCATGATACTGCCAGTGGCAATTGAGTGATGTAAGCCTGTAGCAGTTGGTGGACTACGGTGGTGTGCATCCGACAGTATCCGTATTGCTCTGAACATTGCTTCATGGCTTAAGAGATGACGTAACTTTTGCCACGATAGCCTCACAGGAGGGAGTGCGATAAATGCAATTTTTCCATGTGGTCAATCGCTCTATTCCTCATAACGAAGACTGTGGTTGATATGTATGTAGTAGCATCCATAGTGAGAGAACCCTTCGTACTCATCTCGTATTCAATCTAGCATTTTCAAGTCGTCCGGAATCCCCTCCAAAACCGACTGACACAATCTGGAAACATCAGGGGCAGTCCCGAAACCTAGGAAGACTTCTCAATCCTTTCCCGAAGGATACCCTTCAGTGTGACAGCGTCAGCGGCAAACTTGCTGATACCCTCACGGAGCTTCTCAACGGCCATCTGTTCCTCGTTGAAGTCGAAGCGGAAGGTTGGCTCGTCATTAATGTAGGTCTTCTTCTGGATGTCCAGAGAGCTGGCAGACGACGCGTCAAGTTTCTTGGGCACAGCGTCTGTCGAGTTGTACAGGTCTTCCAGCAGGTTGGGAGAGATGGTCAAGTAGTCGCAGCCAGCAAGTTCGGTGATCTCACCGACATTTCGGAATGAAGCACCCATGACGATGGTGTTGTAGCCGTATTTCTTGTAGTAGTTGAAGATGGACTGAACGCTCTTGACACCAGGGTCTTCGTTGGCGGGGAAGTCCTTCTTCATGGCGGCCTTGTACCAATCGAGGATACGACCGACGAACGGGGAGATAAGGAAAGCACCGGCTTCGGCGGCAGCAATGGCTTGGACAAGAGAGAACATGAGGGTCAAGTTGCAGTTGATACCCTCTTTTTGCAGGATCTCCGCGGCCTTGATGCCTTCCCAGGTGGAAGCAATCTTGATCAAGACACGAGACTTGTCGATGCCGACAGACTTGTAGAGCTATTATCTGTCAGTGGCGAATGGCGTTCCGAACGGGATATTCTTACCTCGATGATGTGGCGGGCCTTTTCAACTGAAGTCTTGGTATCGAAAGAAAAACGAGCATCGACCTCTGTCGAGACCTTGCCGGGAACAATCTGCAGGATTTCCTTGCCGAACTCGACCAAGAGGCGGTCGAGAGTGGCATCGACTTGCTCGTCAATTGTCTTGCCCTGGAAGCCCGCGTGTCAGTCTTGCTCTTCGGTGAGAAACAGCCCACTTACGTGTTTCTTGCCATACTCGACCGCGGGGTCTATCAGTTTGGCATACTCGGGCTTCTTGGAGGCGGCGAGGATGAGAGACGGATTGGTGGTGGCATCTTGTGGCTTGTACTTCTCAATGGTGTGGAAGTCACCGGAGTCACTGCAACTCGTTAGCAAGCTGTGACGGTAAAGGCAGGATCAAACCAATAGCTGATGCGCAGCTGGTGGGATGTTTCGGGAGCGTGGATACTTACCAGACAACGGTGGTGCCGCATTGCTTGAGTTGATCGAGAGAGGAAGTCATGGTTGTAATGATATATGCTTGAATCGACTTGTGAAGCTGGATTCTGGTGGAGCTAAGTCTTGAGGTTTGAGATTTGAGAAATTGTTATGAAGAAAAAGTTGAGACGGGATCAATGCCTTAAGTTAATGGCGCAGACTCGAAACTGACCTGTGACGGAAGCGGGGCAGTTTTCAGCAATGGTTCGCACTCACCCAAATGGGCTGGCATTGGTGGGGGATCACGAATTGAATTGAGCCGGGAACTGCCAACTAAGGAAATCTTGCCACCTGCACCTGCCATCCAATTGCTTGCCCCAGCAAATCCGAGTACTTGTCACCCAAACTGTGTACAACTAATCGGCCTTGTCTGGGCGCTGAGATTTCTGGAAGTAAATGGTAATTACGGAGCACTGTGGTACGAGTTGGCTTTTCTGTCCTGTTTTCACTACCTACGAGCTACGAGAGGTATCTGGTACTGTATATCGACAACTACGAGCCCGCCCATGGAATGATTGTCGTGTTCGTCGTGTCTGTCTCATCGAGTCTCAACACACCCTTAGTCATGCCTTTGCATACCTAGGTACTCCGTATATTTCGCTTACTTGACCCGATCATGGTGACTCAGCGAATCCCAACCGCTGTCAAGTCTCTGTTGTCCCAGAGAAGCGGCAACGTGAAGTGACCACCGGAGCACAGTCGCCCGAGCCATCGGAACTCTGCGTCAACGAATTGACCTGGGCATCCAGTAGGGTGTTCACTGGTGTTGTTTGTATGGGGCTCCGCTGTACATCATTCCGGGCCTAGCCATACTTGCCAAGTAACAACAGCCTTAAATGCCTCATCCACCTCATCCCATGGCACCCAGCATGGTTCTTCTGGCCTTGTTGTACCTTGGTACCTAGGTATACAAATGTCCTGCCAGAATCTTGATCCCGTTGACACAGCTTATTATTAAATTAAATACTACGCACCATCCTTTGCAGGATTATGTGCTTCAATATGTACTGTATTTCCGCCAAATCAGCTAACCCGCTAGTATTTCTTGCTTGTCCGGAAACCACCACTTTGTAGCATTGCCTTTTTCCTCCCACTCGTACATTCCGTGTTGATCCAATAAAACATATCAAGAGAGAAACACAAGGGAAGACCTCGTAAGTTGGTGCCTCAGGGGTCAAACAAAACTCACGCAGAAGGAATGTTCTCACTCAGTCGAGGATGCAAGAACTCAATCTTTCAACCCAAAGGCTTTTCGCAACATTGGAAACCTCTTCTTCTTCCCACTTCGCCCGACTGGTTCCATTGGTACGTCTCTGGTCCGCATGCTCCCTTGGTTCAGCCGGGCTGAGCCATTTCGCATTGTCGCCCCGTCGGCTGTGTTGGGTCGATCGTTCATATTGTCCGATATCTTTGGAGGTAAAGGCCAAGAATCACTCATAACCCGTTGAGGAGTGTGCCGTCGTTGGAGCTTATTGTGCGGCTGATGTGTTGGTTGCGGTTGTTGAGCTGCTTCTAAGCGAGCACGAGTCTGCTCAATTACTCGGTCTCTTTCAGCTTTGGATGAGAAGCCTAGGTTGGAAGGCTTGGATAAGTCGGTGGGTGGTGGTGCTTGCGGAGACTCGACCATGGGGGAAGGTGCTGCGTCCTTTTGTTTCTTGCCTCGCAGTCGGCCAAATAGACCTCGTTTCTTTTCAGTATTTGGTGACATAGGTTCTGCGCCCGCAGGTGTCATCGTGCTTTGTGGAATCTGAAGCCTAGCTGGCTGCACCGGCGTACGCGGCTTCTCCTCGTCTGAGCTATCTTCCAGATCCGTGGAGTCACCGTCCCCTGTTCGTCGTGGGATACCGCGGACAGGCGTCAAATCGCTCTCATCATCACTGTCATCACCAAAGCGCGAACGCCATTTCTTAGCCCGTGGTGCCGTCTCCTCATCGTCAGAATCCACAAACCGAGACTGGTGTTTTGATGCTGCAGCAGGAGGCAATGGGGGCACACTGCCCTGTCTACGGCCAAACAAGGACGACGATCGCTTAGCGTCGGTCGATCCTCGCAGTGTAGGGACCGAGCTGTCGACAGAACCTCTCATCGACGCCCGCATGGTGCGTTGTCCTCCTGGAGGAGAGAACGGTCGTCGGCCCGCAGGTGAAACGGACCGGACTCCATTTCGTCCTTCGCCTCGCAATGTGGGATCTGGGGCGCCTCTCATACTTCGACGCATGGTATACTGGCCTCCCGTTGAGGATTTACTTCGGCGAGCCTTCTTGAATGAGCTTTCTGAATCACTATCGTTCGTTGCCACAGGTGGAGCGGGCGCCGTCCGCGGAGACACTGCAGAGGCTGCCGCAGAAGTGGAAAGTGGAGCGGGAGGTATGTGCTTCTTCTGTAGAGCCGCTCGCGGCTGAGTAGGAGTTCTCATAGAAGCTTGATGCAAATATTGTTGTTGAGGAGCGGTGGCCGTAGCAGGCATGGAATTGCGGTTGCGCATCGACTTCCGCATTGTCGGCTCTGCTTCTGCTGGAGCGGTCGTCCTCATCGATTGTCTCAACGGTCCAGCAGAGGCGGCGCTCGCCCCGGCTGTTCCTTGATCAACTTTCGAGTATGCAGGCTGCTTCTTCTTGCGAGGCCGAGAGCCAGGCAATCCCTGTTCAGTAATGACAGCGGCTGGGACGGAGGCCGCAGCAGCAATAGCAGCCGGCGTCTTCTTCTTCCTGGGGTTTGGCGCAGATACGGGCGCTGCCATGGCTTGTACAGGCTGCTGCTGCGGTGCTGGCTGGTCAAGTGCAGGTTCCACCGCCATGGCTTCCGGCCGGGCTGGCTGGGCTGATTCTGTCGCCTCTGATGGTTGAGATGGAGCTTTCCTCGTCTGCTCTGCCAAATCACGCCAACGCGCCTGAGTCTGTTCCCATGAACCCGCAGAAACCGGCGGCTGAGGTCGCGGTTCTGGTGCGCGGGCAAGCGGGCTGTCAGGAGGTGTGATGCGCGTTGGCACAGTTGGCGCCATTGGGCTAACCACAATTGCGTCTATAGAGCCGAAGCCAGTGCCGTCAAGCTCAGCAGGATCCTCTGCAGCATCACTGTAGATGCTCTCGTTGTCCGACTCGCTGTCGGTAGTGCTACCGATGCCTAGGCCAGGCTGACTGGAGTCGTCTTTCTGTGATTCCTCCAGTTGCGCAAGTGCATCGCGAGACACTGGAAATCCTCCTGGTAAATCGACCTGCCATTGATCGTCTGCCTTGGGAGTAGGAGGCGAGATGGACACCACCGGCAATTCGGCCGGCATCTCCGCTTGCATAGGGGGGGTGTCCGCCGTTGTGACCCGGTGATTAATACTCGGCATCGGCTCAGGGATTGCGACGGGTTTCTCAGTCATTGGAACGTTCTCTACAGGAACGGACTGTGGTGCTTCTTCGGTCTCTGAGGTGTCACTCTCGGAGTCAGAGAAAGAAATCGTGCCTTGTACGGACGTTACCTCTGGCGGTAATGGCTCGTTGGAATGATCCCTGCTTTTCTTTTGCGCTTCTTGTGATAGAATCGCTCCAACAGCATGGTCGCTGGAAATTCCTGTAGAAGGATAGGTATTTACCGAAGATGCGGTAGATCGTAAGGACGGCGTGCTTGTTGTCGTCGACACCGATGCTGGTGGGGATCTCGACACCTGAGGCGCATTGGCGTCGTTCGCATCGCGGGACTTCTGACCCCGTACGCTGCCAAAGGAAGGAAGTTGGGGACGTGGCTTCAGCAACTCTTCCATGTCGTCATTCGAAGGGATGGTATTCAGTGTTGGTTTACTCTTCCCAGCGCCCAGCCATGACTTCTTTTCCTTGCTTGGACTATCCGAACTTTGAACGCCGTCGGAGGTACCCACGATCTCGGGCTGTGCATCGAAGCTTACTCGCACGGATTTTTTCCGTCTCGCAGGCCCCTCTGCGGAAGCGCTGGAAACGTCGGATGACTCGCTCGGAGTGACACTAGAACCCCGAACGCGAGGCTGATGCAGGTCACCACCGCTGGGCGAGTGATGTTTGAGCGCAGATTTTGCAGGCGAAACGGACCGAGGAAGTGGTTCATGTTTGCGTCCAGCTGCAAGGTCCGAAGACAGCCTATCTGAGAATCTCGTGGACCTCGAAGGGCTCAGAGATGTCTCCCTCACCGTGCGAGGCTCCGTGACCTGAAGGTTAGCTGAGACTGCAGGTGCAGATTGTGGCTGCGGGGGCTGGCTGTTTGCATGGGCCTCTGTTGGGACTGCCTGGTTGATTGGTTTTGTGGGCGGAAGTGGTTCTTCAATCTTCCTCGATACATTGGCAGTGTTGATTGCACGTTTATTTTGCAGTGGTGTAGCATCGTGAACGGCGCCTAGCTCTTGCTCCGTGGGTGAGTGGACTTGCGATGGACTCGCCCTTCCTGCTTCCTCGTGCTGTTCTCCCTCCCAGTCTTCCCGCACAATAGAGGGTTGTTTTGCCAACACGCCAGACGCTCTTTGAGCGCGTCGATCTCTTGTCTTTTCGGCATTTGAATCTGAATCAGAGTCGGTTCGAGATGACGCGTCGGAGGCGGGAAAATGGGTACTTTCTCCAGAGAGCACTGCTTTCTTCTTTTTCCTCCGGACTTGCGGCTCTTGTTCATCTCTGTATTGAGCCTCTGGCCTCCCATGTGGCTCAGGTTCCGGTTCAAGAGGATGCACCACGGGCTTGCTTCCCATTGTTCCGCTGTGGAGATGACTGCCCTCGGATGATTCAGGAACAGCCTTCTTTTTCTTCTTCTTGACGGGTTGATTGGCGGTCTCTTCAAGGCCATACTGGATTTGCTCGACCCGCGTGGGAGAGATTGGTGCAACGGCCGGTTTCCTCATGGATCTATCCCCATTTGCTATTATTGGTGATTCAGGGAGAGGCGATTGCGGTCGAGGTGATAGAGGCCTGGAAAAATTGACAGAGTTCCGGCTGTCAGTACGCTCAAGCTCAGGCACCTTTGGTAAGTGACTGCTCTTCTGGGTTGCTGCCACCGGCTGAGAAACACCATAGCGATCCAGGCTCTGGCCTCGATTTGTCGGTCCAGTCGGGGGAGGCGACAACACTCGAGGCGGAGGAGCGCCTTGACTGGAAGCGCGCTTCTTCTTCTTTGCTGGCACCACCGGACTAGTAGTGTACTGTTGCGGTATGTTTGGCAGCGGAGGCGCCAATGCAGGTTCAGGCCGGGTAGGTTGTCTCGAAGGGGACGGCGAGGGAGTTCTAAACGTCCTCTCAGTCATGGAACTGGCACTTTGTTGCCGTTGTAGACCGCCTCTTGATCTTCCTCGACCAGACCCAGTAGAAAGTTGTGAAAGAGAGGCTTGCCTTTGAATCATGCGCTTCGTCTGAAGCTGATCGATCGGGGTAGGCGTAGGGGACAAGTTCCTGAGGGCAGCAGCAGCAGCGGAAGCTGACAGATTACCCTGCGAGACTCTGTTGGCTAGGAAGGCCTGAGACGCAGCCATATGGGCAGATGCGGAAGCAGGAGTCTGGGGCCGCTGAGATTATACGTCAGCAATTTGCAGGAGCAGGATGAGAGATGACATACCGAGGCCGACTGCGACCTGCTTCGCCGATGGAAGAGACTCATGTTGGCGGTTGTGGTGTTGACAGTTTTCGACCTCGAGACTCTCTGCGCGGGTGGTTCGGGCGCAACGAAAAGATGTCGCAGGTGGCTTGGATTGCTATCGGGACGCTGCTTGACGTCGATTTGTGGCGATAATGTCCCCCATTGCGCACCACAAAGAGTTTTGAGAGTGCTTCACACCGAAGGTATGAAGATCAACAGGGTTGAAGAGGAAGTAGGGATGGTCACGGATGGTCAAAGATTATTTGAGATCCAGGAAATGGAGATCGAGCTTTGGTGACGGACGGGCCCAGCTCATCTCATCATACCAAGGAGACCGCTTGGATACCCAAAAGATTCGTGGCGCAGTCCACAAGCAGTTATTCCAACGTCATCATCTCATCAATCACAACAAGAAAGCCACATCACGTGCATATTGGTCTCTTCGCCTACTCCATCAGGTACGTTACCATTAGCCACGGCTAGGTGGTAGGTAGGGAAGTTGGTGATCAATTCTATAATATGATTTCCATTGGATGCTCAAACCTTTAGAATCTACTCGTCAAGAATTCCCGAATACAAGTCGAGACCTCCCCAGGCTTTTCCATCGGACTCCAGTGTCCACAATCCAACACCTTCACTTCAAGATCAGGTAACAATCCAGCTTTTTGCGGTATTTCAATCAAATCAGCGCGATTATTCGCATCCTGCGTACACCCAACAAACAAAACTGGAACATCAACCTTGTGTCTTTCTAGTGGGATCTTGCACTCAACCTCGTACTGCACATTCTCAATCATAGCCCTATACCACTGCACCGGTGCTTCAAACCCGTCTTTCTCAAACTGGTTCAAGAATGAATCCCTCCACCTCTTTTCTTTCGCATACGCCTTCAACGGCACGCTCTCCGTCCCGGTGAGATAGGTTCTCCACGCTCCCGGCACACAGAACATCTTGAACACCCAGTCTTGCACATCGCCATGTTGCGCTTCGTATACTCTTTCAAGATTCTCGCGCATCAAGCGTGGACCATCCTCTGCTGTAAAGAAGCCCCAATAGGTCCAGAGCGGGGCACCGAACATCTCTTTGAGGAGACTGTTGATCGCTTGCAGGTCGAATTTAGGGTCCCCAGGCTTCGATGGCGGATGGTAGGGGACGTTCAACAACACAATTCCAGCCACACGATCTGGGTAGAAAGGGTAGAACCGTTGGGCCATGACGGCGCCCCAGTCGTGCCCAATGGCGATGACTTTGCCAATGCCTTCGGCGTCCAGTATTTCTCGCAGGTCGTCGGCCATTCCGCTGTAGGCATACAGTGCAGTGTCGAGGGGCTTGGATGTGCCAGCATAGCCGAGCATGTCCGGAGCAATGATCTTGTATGGGAGATCTTTCAGACGAGCTATCACGTCGTTCCACAGGAATGCGCTGTCGGGAAAGCCATGGCAGAAGAGCAATGCTGGGTGGTTCTTGCTGTCGGTTTTGCTTGGGGAGGTGTAATAGGCATATTCGAGTGAGCGGCTTGTTGTGAAGGTTTTGGCTTCTAACTTGTCCATCTTCGTCGCCTACTACTGCCGTAGCACGCAAAGAAAGAGATGCTGAAGATTAGCAGTGGTGGGTTTGAAATCCGCTTCCCCAACTTCCTATCAGTATCCTTAAGCCCCAGCTTCGTGTACTCCGTAGGAAGCGGGAGAATTCAGTGTCACGCTCACTCAGGCTGTACCTGGCATCCTCAAGGTAGTCGTTGAGAGGTGCAGAGTACATTTTAGGAAATTAGGCCTCCAGGCTACAGTAGCTTCCTGTTCGATGATTCATATTGGTGGACCAGTGCGCCAGTCGTCAGAAGAAAATGAGGACACTTTTGACACTTGTTTACTGTACCTACCACACCTACGTACGTATCAAAGGACATCTTATAAATGGCATGCATATACGAACTCGGACTATCCCTTTTGCAGTTTACCCAGGAGCTGCGCTAAGATCTATACCACTATCTTCAGTACCTACAAGTCAACTGCACAGCAAGACATTCGTCACCGGCCGCGCAGCATAAACGTTAGGTGGGTTCTGCCTCGGTTTACATATAGATTACAGTACTATCACATCTCCAACTCGATGGGATTTCCATCTCGCTTCCATCCTTCTGCTTTCAATATCAGCCAGGTATCCCGTACCGTTCACATCCATGGCCTACACTCATCAAGACTCCCCTCCAGATGCTCCTGACCCAACAACACTCCCTCCACTCTCCCTCCCACCAGGCGTGACATCACGCTTCATCGACACCACTCCCCACAGCCTGGTCTTTCACATCCTCGAGTCCCTGCCCTCCAACCTTAGTCCCAACAGCAAACCACCCCTGATCCTCTTGTGCCATGGCTTTCCCGAGATCGCATACTCCTGGCGTAAGATCCTCCCGCTGCTCTCAGCGCAAGGCTATCACGCCGTTGCATTCGACCAGCGAGGCTTCGGGCGAACACATTCCCGGCGCCCCCTAACCTCTACATCATTCGGCCCCGTCACTCTAATCCGTGACGCCGTCACCCTCGTCCACGCACTAGGCTACGACACGGTAAAATGCATCGTGGGCCACGACTTTGGCGCCGTCACCGCGACATTCTGCTCACTCGCGCGCCCTGACCTGTTCCGCCGTCTGGTGCTGATGTCTCATCCGACCAAGGGCCCGCCAAGCCTGCCGTTCAACATCTCGCCATCGTACGGGGCGCCATCGCCTCCACCCGCAGCTCAGCCAGACGTGCAAAAGGCACTCGCTGAGCTCGACCGGCCAAGGAAGCATTATAAATGGTACTACTGCACTGCTCCGTCGAACGAGGAAATGACTTATCCCACCGGGCAACCTCTACACGAGTTTTTCCGGGGCTATTTCCACCTCAAGTCTGGTGACTGGGACGGTAACAGTCCGCACGCCCTCACAGGCTGGACGGCAAGTGAATTGGCCAAGATGCCAAGGTACTATATCATGGACAAGGACGATGATATGCGTCGAGCTATCGCTCGGGACATGGCCAATGAAGATACGAAAATTGTCGCAGAGCGGTCACGTCGTTGGCTTCCTGACAACGAGTTGGCCGTTTACGCCGGCGAGTACGGCAGGACGAGTTTTCAAGGCGGTCTTAATTGGTACCGCATTCAGACCCAGCCTGAAATAGCTGGGGAGATGGAAATCTGGAGCGGCGCCAAAATAAGCGTGCCCACGGTCTTCGTCGCTGGCAAACGGGATTGGGGGACGTTCCAGGAGCCTGGGGCAGTGGAGGCGATGGAGCAATCGAAGAGCGTAAAGAGCGGGATGTACAAGGGAACTGTGCTCGTGGAGGGAGCAGGGCATTGGGTCAATCAGGAACAGCCGGAACGGTGTGTAGAGGAGGTGTTGAAACTTATTGGGGGCACCCCGGAAGCAGGCTGATTTAAGCCGTAGTATAAGGGTCAGTAAGACCAGGAAGGCGGTGCCTGAGATCTGACGACTAGGAGCTTCAGCCTCGTCAAGCTGAGTAAGGAGCGGATTGCTGGACCGCCATTTTATGTGCTTTATGAAAGTGTACGTACGTCAAAATGAAGAAGGGGATGGACCTCCCTCACCCGCTGTACTGTGATATCCATATGGCTGTCCTGAGCACTCCTATCCAGCCTAGTGTTGCCTACCTCGACATCTTGAGCATACATGCGACCAAACTCATACTACAATGCTCCCCCGATGGTGGTCTCGAACCACTTGGCTTCTACCACTACAGAAGTATTCCAGGCATCCCAAAAACTACCTACTAGGGAGCAGGCCGAAAAGCTCGGAGACACTCTTCTCGGAGTCACTGGTGAATTGTAGCAAAGAAGTCATCCTTTTCAGGTTGCTAACCTCAATGTGATTGAGTTTAACATACTATCGGCAAGATCTGCGTCAATATCATGCGAAAAAGTCCCCACCATATGAACTGTGCCAGAGTCCATGTATTGAACTCCTGTTCCCCTTCTTGCGCCTACGTGCATCAGACCCCCGACGCCTTGCTGGAATGCAGAGAAAACAAAAATCAAAGTGGCTCTTTGAATAATAGCGCGCTGTACAGACGGTGACGTTGAACGGGCTCGACCACTTCTTCAACCACCCACGTCCATAGCCGACACTGTAAACACCCGGTGTTTGAACATTCAGGTATCCGGTTCAGTCATCTCAGAATCCAATCGGTCTTCTCGAGACTTGCCCTTGTCATGCTCCGTGTCGTCATCTTCTTCGTCGTAGTTCTCCTCGTCCTCGGAGTCATTGTTCAGCTCTTGATCAGATTCACTTCCATTGGCGGCATCGTCAAAGTCATCAAAGTCATCAAAATCCACATCCTCAGCGTCGCTATCATTCCAGAAATCGTCATCCACCTTGTCAATCACTGGCTTTGTAGATTCATGGGTTGGCATGATGAAACCTTCAGGTATGTCTGCTTTGGAATTCACGACATCTCGCATGACCTTGGCCTTGAAAGCCTCCTTGTCGTCTCTGAGCATTACACTTGCATCGACATTGGCTGGGGAAGAGATCTCGGCATCGTCAAGAAGAGACAAGATGGAGATGAGGACCGACTCGACTCGCTGAGCGGGTGACCAACGTTCGCCAGCCGTTTCACCGGACATCACGTCTTCACCGGGTGCATGAAGGATTGATATGCATAAGCGACCGTCAGGATATACGTTGGGATGCCATAGTGGCTTCATGAAGCGGAAGTCTGCAACAGGTCAGGATGAGTCGAAGGAAGGGTGGCGGTGTACTTACCCGGTGGCTTGTATGGGTACTCCTTGGGGAAGTTCATCTGAGCCTTGAAGTATCCGCCATAATAGAGAGAATCCGGGTTGAGAACCATCAAGGCAAGATTCCAGTGTAGCATGTTGTCTTCATCGATCTGTTCTGCATAAGCCAATAACTCCATATACTATTGGCGGGGTTACCTACATCGATCTGAACCCATTTCTCTTTGACAAGAGTCTTATACTCTTTTAGCAGAACTGCTTGCGAGGACATGCTGGGCTTATCTATCGGCGTGGTTACTGATGGGACGAGTTGACACGAGGTGTAGGTCGAGGCGGTGTCGGGAATGAGAATGGGGAAGAGCGGTATCGGGAGGCTTCAGAGGCGGATGAGGAGTGCTAGGCAGGTGAATGCAGCCTTGTTCAAGTGTCCGCTAGGTGAAATAGAATATGTTCTTGGGAGTTTTTCTCATGTAGGCAGTGGTTGTCACCGACTGTACATTGTTCAGAAGATCGCAACTGACTCGGGACGGCAACAGATACGCGTGGTGAATGCGTCAGGAGGTGACAGCGAAAGTTGACATGAATGAATGCAGGGGTTACAGTATTCAAGTATCGAGAAGGAGCACTGTGTCGAAATGTCAAAGAGAAATTGGCGTGTTTATGGTGAGATGAGTGCATAGAGTAGGTATGATTACATATGAAGGAATGTAGGAAGATGCTGCTGCAGTATCAGACGACGAGGGACTGAGGACTCTGAAGCGAAACGCATGGGTCAGGCCTGGATTCATACGAGGGGTGAATGACGAATTACTTTGCGCCTAAGACCCCTGTTTGGCGTTTAAGTGCCTCAGTTCCGGGTGGCAACCACGTCTAACTTGCCTAGTCAAGCCCTAGCGTCATTAAAACTTGGGCACCCATTATGCGCCGAGTGCCCCAACACAAGAGGCTTGGACCAAAAGTGGCGCTGTGCGTCAGAGGCGACAAAAGACGCATCGTCGCCGTCAAATAATGTCCGCAAAGTCAGTTTAATTTGTTGTCGACGACCATAGCGCTTTCCCCAGACTTCCTCTTTGCCTCCCTGCCTTTTTTGGACGTGCTGTGCTGGTGGATATCTGCTTTTCAAGGGCTGCTTTCTTGCATACTATCGACCTTGTACAACATCTTCTTGTATATTCTATTTCTGCTACGGACATGATTGCGGCATTCCCCGCATCCAGGTGAGAAGCGGTGGAGGTCCTTGTTGTTGAACATGTTCGCCAGGTGTAAAGCACCCATATGGCGCGTCGATGATTTGACGCCTTGTTTCCAAGCAGAGTAGGTTGAGTAGTATCCAATGTCGAGCTCTCCCACTGATCCACGGTCAACAGCTATCTCCAGACACTATTTCCACTGCTAGCATGCGCCATATCTATCCTGCTGTTAACCGTCGAAACCGTACGCCAAAGGCTGAAAAGCCGGCGTCGAAAGCATACCCACCACCTACTCATCGACGTTGATGAAGATGACGAGGTCTCGACAGATGAGGACGGCGATGAAGATAGCCTGGCGAGGCTCACACTGCAGAAAACCCAGAGTCATGGCGGTATATCGATTAAAGACGTCGACAGACCTACTGGCGAAGTCCTGCTTGTCACCGTTGAGCTCCTACTGGTGCTAGGACAACTGGTCGTCAACATTGTCACAATCCTCGACGAAGGGAACCGCAGGAAACGCGCCTCAATAGCAGAAACCGTCGTGTCCGGATACCTTGCAACACTCTCCGGAGCTCGCCTGCTTGCGTCAACCACGACTTGGGAATCTCCAATCAAGAGCCTGTGGAATCACAGTGCTACACTGTATATTATACAATGGCTCAACTTGGTCTGGGTTTTCCGATCAGTCCTCACCCACCCAGTCGATGGCCTGCTCCAAGCTTTGACGATTGTTTCCTTCAGCATTACAACCATCCTCGTCGTCATCGCACTATGTTCTCGAAAGGGGAACAAAGGCGTACTCTTGGAGCATGAAGGTGATATTGAGCCATCTCGCGAGCCGCTTGCCAGTGTTCTCTCTTTGGCAACCTTCGCTTGGGTCGATCCAATCGTCTGGAAAGGCTACAAGAAGACATTAGACCTTGCCGACGTCTGGAATGTAGCTATTTCGGACAAGGCTGAGACGGTATTGGCTCATTTCCGCCAAATCCAGAAGACTCATTCACTTGCCGTCCGACTTCTCCTGCATTTCAAGAAGGAGCTTCTTATTCAGGGCGCATGGTGCGTGCTAGCAAGCGTTTTCATGTTCCTGCCAACACTACTTTTGAAAGCTATTCTTGAGTATCTTGAGAACACCGACAAGATCCCTCGCAGTGCGGCATGGCTCTATGCTATACTTCTCTTTGCTACTGGCGCTGTGCAGGCCGTTGGCGATGGTCAGGGACTGTGGATTGGGAGAAAAATCTGCATCCGACTACGTGCCATCATAGTGGGTGAGATCTATTCCAAGACACTGCGAAGGAAAGCAGCAGCAAGTACCGACTCCGAACTTGACAAAGACAAGACTCAGCCTAAAGACAAGCAATCGCTTTCCATCAGGATCAAAGCAATTTTGAAGAACAAAAGCCCAAGACTCCAGAAGGCTCCGAACGCTGAGGACGCTCCCACGAAGGCCCCGAATACCCAGGCTAACAACGGAACAATCATTAACCTCATGTCTATTGACTCCTTCAAAGTAGCCGAGATATGCGCCTACTTGCACTTCCTCTGGGCTGCTGTACCCGTTCAGCTTGTCATGGCGGTCGCCTTGTTGTACAAGGTGTTGGGCTATAGCTCTTTCGCAGGCATCATCATGATGGTTTTCATACTGCCACTCAATTTGTACATCGCGAAATCATTCCAAGCTGCGCAGAAGAGGATCATGACCGCTACCGACGGTCGAATTCACGTCACGAATGAAGTCCTCCAGAACATCCGAATCATCAAATATTTTGCATGGGAACGGCGCTTCCAGAACAGCGTCAATGAGAAGAGGCATGTCGAGCTATCAGCTTTATGGCGAAAATACGTGTTATGGGCCAGTGCGGCAACTATCTGGAGTGGAGTTCCGATTCTGATCACATTCACCTCCTTCCTCATTTATACGCAGATCGAGAAGCGGCCTCTTGTACCATCCGTTGCCTTTCCGGCTCTGTCGATGTTTTCGTTGTTGCGAATACCTCTGGACCAGCTTGCAGATATGGTGGCTCATGTGCAGGAATCGAAAGTATCCGTGGACCGTGTCGAAAAGTTCCTTGACGAAGAGGAAACGGAAAAGTATGTTCAATTGCGCCAGAGCAGAAGGAGAAGTTTGCCAGCTAGTCGCATCGCTCTTGACAATGCGACCTTGACATGGGGAGCTTCTGGGCCCGAATCAACTGAAGCATTTCGACTGATTAACCTGAGCGTGGATTTCCCCATAGGCCAGCTCAGTGTGATCGCAGGCCCAACCGGATGCGGCAAGACATCCTTGCTCATGGCTCTACTTGGAGAAATGCAATTGCTCAGCGGCAATGTCTATATACCAGGAGGCTCGGTTCGGCAGGATCTGCGGCCAGACCCGATCACAGGCTTGACTGAAAGTGTGGCATACTGCGCTCAACAAGCATGGCTTGTGAATGCTACGATCAAGGAGAACATTTTATTCGCCAGCCCTTACGACGAAGACCGTTACCACGAGGTTATCTCAATCTGTGCGCTTGAGCGCGACTTGGAAATACTTGATGCGGGTGACATGACTCTGGTTGGAGAAAAGGGCATTACCTTGTCTGGTGGTCAAAAGCAAAGAATTTCACTCGCCAGGGCAATTTATTCCAACTCGAAACATCTGCTGCTAGACGATTGTCTAAGCGCGGTCGATGCACACACGGCAAAGCACATCTTCGAGGAAGCTCTCACCGGCAGTTTGATGGCACACCGCACTTGCATCCTGGTTTCGCACAATGTTTCATTGACTATCCCTTTCGCGAGTCAAGTGGTCGTGCTGGGGAATGGCAAGATTACAGCTCAAGGGACTCCACAAGAAATTGCTGACAGCGGTGCGCTTGGTGATGAGCTTTTGAAATCCCGACCTGTATCGAGAGCAGCTTCCCAGGGACCTTCAAGAGTGTCTTCTAACCTCGAGGAGGAGACGTCGAAGCTGTCCGGAGGTAATGGCCATGTGACACCCGGTTCGCGTGGCAGAGATACTGCCAGAATCAAAGCGAAACTCAGCAAGGCGGAAAAGGAATTTGTTGATCATCGACTTGAGGCTAAAGCGACTGGAAGTGTCAAGCTATCGACAATTAAAATGTATCTCCAGGCTATGGGCCCTTGGTACTACTGGATTTTCGCAGCTTGGGGTTTCATAGCTACTCAGCTTGGATCTGTTGCCACAAATCTCTGGATCCGGCAATGGGCGAACGCCTATCATCTTCGGAAGACGCATTCGGCACATGCAGTAGTTCAAGGCTTTCACCATAAAGCGATGGTGTCAACGTCCAGCTTCGGGGGATCGTTGGTTCAAATACCACAAACTGCTGCCACCGTGAGCGTTTCCTGGGCTCAGGCACTCCAAAATGTGGATGCCTGGTATTACCTTGGGATTTATGCGGTCATCGGCGCGGTCTACGTCTTCATTTGTTTCTCGAGGGAGCTCATTCTCTTCTGGGGCTCACGACGTGCCTCTTGGCTTCTCCATGAGAAACTGTTGACGAGTATCCTCCGGGCCAAATTCAAGTTTTTCGACTCGACACCTCTCGGCCAACTAACAAACCGATTTTCCAAGGACATTCAAGCACTGGATCAAGAAGTTGCACCTGTCGCCATAGGCATGCTTCACAGTGCTGCTTCTGTTCTGACCATTGTGATTCTAATCTCGGCGATCACTCCAGGCTTTCTGATTCCAGGTTTCTTCATCACCATTCTGTATGTTCTGACTGGTCTCTTCTATATTCGTTCGTCACGCGACCTCAAACGGATTGAAGCCATTCAACGAAGTCCGCTCTTCCAACACTTTGGAGAGACCTTGTCGGGAGTTGTTACCATTCGAGCCTATGGAGATGAGTCACGTTTCATTCAGGAAAGCCACCTTCGTGTCAACACTCACAATCGACCATTCATATATTTGTGGGCTACTAATAGATGGCTCGCTTTCCGGATTGATATTGCTGGAGCCTTGGTCTCGTTCTTCTCGGCGATGTTCGTGGTGCTCAACGCTGGCCACATTGACCCTGGAGCAGCAGGTCTGGCATTGTCGTACGCCATTACTTTTACACAGAATGTCCTCTGGCTTGTGCGGCTATATGCTGCCAACGAACAAAACATGAATGCCGTCGAGCGACTTCAAGAATATATTAACGTCGAGCAGGAAGCGCCAGCAGAAGTTCCAGAAACCAAACCTGCATCTAATTGGCCTTCTCATGGAGTGGTTGAGTTCATCGGTTACAGCACTAGATATCGGCCGGACCTCGAGCCTGTGTTGAACAAAATAACGTTCCGCATTGAGGCCGGGCAAAAAGTGGGCATCGTGGGTAGGACTGGAGCTGGCAAAAGTTCCCTCGCTCTAGCCTTGTTCCGAGGTCTCGAGGCCGAAGAAGGCAAAATCCTTATCGACGACGTCGACATTGGTCTCATTGGTCTGCAGGATCTCCGCGAGGCTATCACAATCGTACCACAGGATCCCACACTCTTCAGTGGCACCTTGAGAAGCAACCTTGATCCGTTCGAGCTATTTACGGACGAGGAAATCTTCAATGCCCTCAGGCGAGTTCAGCTGATTCCTGGACCAAAGGATGGCTCGGACCGCTCCGCATCTGGAAGTCCTTTTGGGCCGTCGAGCAGATCGCCGACTCTGCGAGAAAATCCGACGCCTGCAGACAGCCATGCATCGTTCTCAGCAAATGGAACCATCAAGTCTGACTCGACCTTGGTACAGGAGGCGAGCAATTCCAAGGACAACAAGAACATCTTCCAAGACCTCTCGTCTCCCGTGGCTGAATCTGGTTCCAATCTATCTCAAGGACAGCGGCAATTGTTGTGCCTCGCGAGAGCGTTATTGAAGGCACCAAAGGTGCTAGTGATGGACGAAGCTACTGCATCGATCGATTACGCAACAGACTCGAAGATCCAAGATACCTTGCGCGAGCTGAAGAACAACACGATCCTTACCATCGCTCACCGATTGCAAACCATCGTTGATTACGACGCAGTGTTGGTTCTTGACAAAGGCGAGGTCAAAGAGTATGCCTCTCCCTGGGAGCTGATTCAGCAGGAGGATGGGCTGTTCAGGTCCATGTGCGAAACAAGCGGGGATTTTGATACATTATATCAATTGGCGAAGAAGGCATGGCAGGATAAGAGATTGGTTGATGACTCCTAGCAGGGTCAGCCGCAGTTCTTAAGGTGCCCAGTCGCATGAGAAAAGTAATTCTGGGTCGTTTTTCAGCGTGGGTGGGTGCCGTCGATTGCAGAGATTGTTTTGTGGCGGCCAAAGTCGCCTTGCCACTGTAAATTCGTTACGCACAGTATGTACATATTCTGAAAATGGCGTGGAAGCGTCAATATTGTTGCAAGAGGCACATTGCCGAATCAATAATTGTTAAACGAGTCTCTGTTCATTTGCTCGCTCTGCACCGTCCTCTCTTTAATCGCATTTTAAAGTCTGCTAGCCTCGAAACAGTGGACAGGTACTACTTTTCCAGGCACTCTCGAGTCTCATGAGTGTTTGGCAGAGGATGAAAGCGATGCCTTCCGGAGGCGTAAGTGGTGACGTTCGCGCCAATGTTCAGCAGATATGTAATGCTAACAGCTCCCTTGGACTTCTGTGACCTAGCTCAAAGGCGAGATGTGCACCGAGTGTGCAAACGGCTTCCGGCCCTCTGGAGCATGGCCGACTTGCCAGGGTTTCTTTCCCACGTCAAGATTGCCGCGTTTTCTGAATCCACTCAATCGCGTCGATAAGGTAGGGCACCTATATGAGAGTACCGCATTGTCAGTTATTGTGTCTCATGATGCCGTGGTGTTGAAGATGGTAAGGGGGTTGTGTGGGCAGAAAGGGGTCACTGTATGGTATCTTACAAATTTCTGCGGATCCTCGGTGGCCGGGAAATGTCCCAGACCTTTCATGCTCTGGAAATTCGCGCCGGAGATCTTCTTCGCGGTCGCCTGGCTCATTTCGGGCGTCGTGCTCCAGTCATATTCGCCGGTGAGGAAGTAGATGGGGCACTTTTTCACGTCGATGCTGGCCACGCGGTCTCTGGCGTCGAAGCCGCCGAAATAGAAATCCAAATCGCCGTGGAAGATGCCGTAGGCTTGGCCCGAGTACATGTGCTGGCCATCTCAAGTCAGTCTCTCTCGTGTCTCCCGCCAGATGCCATCATGGCTGAGTGCGGTGTGGGCAGCAGTGGAGTATTGGGACAGGGAAGCAAGAGAGGCAAGAGTCAAGAGGCAAGGTGTACTAGCGAGGGCCCATGTAGACGTACCCAGATCAGTTGCTTGTTCACCTTTGGACTCTTTGGGGCCATCATGCCGTAGACTATTCAGGCACATTCACATGTTAGCATTCGGCGGGTCTTCTTGTCCTTTCAACAAAAGTGACATTGGCACCGTGCAAGGGAGTACGAGTACTCGGGGTTAGGGGACGTACTCCAGTCAGGATTGAACAACGCCTGATTCACCACAGGTGACTTATCGTTGAACTGTCTGTCCATGGTGAGGTAGTCGCATCCCTGAAGCGGGATGGTGCCGCCCGCTCCCACTTCATCTGCGCGAATGGCGACAGCAACACATACTTGACCAGCCATGCTTGCACCGGAGACGATGGGCTTGTCGAGCTTGAGGGCTTTGATCACCTCCCGGATCGTGCCTACGTATGCCTCTTCGTTGTTGGTGTGGTTACCTGGGATGTCTGTGCCAGATAACATGCGAGTCAGCAGGGTGAGATCCAGATCCAGTTATTAATTGACTTTGCGGCCTTGAGTCGTTTGTGTAGGACGTAGTACCGCAGTACTGCATCTGGAGAGGAAGAAGAGAGGACTTACGATTGCTCCCGGGAAAGCTCCTGCCGTGGGCGGGCAGATCAAATGCGATCATGGTGCACTTCTCGCGCATGCGGGCGTCGTTCATGACGCCGTGGTACTGTCGACTATCGCTGCCGGCGGTGTGCAAGAAGACGATCTGCTGCGGTCCATTGCCGGACGTTTCGTAGAAGACTTTCGTGCGACCCCACACTGGAGCGTTGATGTAGATGTATCTGCCCGTGATGTGGTCCTCGTCGGTCTCGGGCTGTTCGTCCTCTTGGAGAGGGCCGTGCTGGCCGTCGCGCAGAAGCTCAAGCAGGCGAGTTGCGAGATGGCCGTACTGTGCGAATTTGACTTGATTGCCGTGGACACCGACGCCTTCTTGCTTGATGTTCATTCCCTGGTCATAGGTAAGACTTGGGAAGGCCAATGGGTTTAAAGGGACGGGAGAGATGGGTTCTTTACCTGGAGACCAACGAAGCTGGTATAGGGGGCTTTTGGATCCGCGTCGAAGAACTTCTCCCATTGCTGGGGTTGTGCCCGTAGGACGAAGTCTGCTTTGGAGGCTGGACCGGTCGAAGTGCTAGTTTTGGACCCCGAATCGACCTGGACCAGAATGGCCTCATCTGAACCTACGGATTGGACGCCCATGGTCACTGGTTCGATTATCGCCTTGGTGTTGATGAAGGCTTGCCATTGAGGGTCTTTATCCAAAGCCTTGTTGAGCGACGACACGGCTTTGGACATGGCCTGAGGCAGAGATGTCCATGAGTGACTCGTTCCATTGGCGCCGCTGACAGGAGACATTTTTGATGTGGCTCAAGTGATATTGCAGAGTACTCAAGTGGTAAAGGAAAAGTGCAGGGGGAAAAGGTATTGCACGTAGAGCTTCGAAACCTAACCGTCTCAATGATGGGACGTCCTTCACCCTTTTAAAGAACAAGCTTACAATGGCAAGCCTTCTCCGCAAAATGAAGAAGCCGACGGCACACCTCGAAGGTCTCAAATGGGAACAGTCTGCGTCAAAGCACCAAACGACCCATCATCTTCGACACGAAGCATGCGGGGGAAGAAGCTTCTTGAGGCGAGATTCGGACGCCAGCATAGGAAAAGCCCATTTGTCCGCTCACTCCGCTGTCCACAATGATGCTCAGTTTGACAGCAACGGAAAAACCCCGCAAGCGTTGGGAATACTGTGTAGCCGAGCATGGCCTGGGCACGTTCTGGGATGAGGAGTGCTCGTCAATTGGAGAGCTTATAACCGAGGGAAGACTGAGATCGATCGGCATCTTGGGAATGCGTGATGATCCTGATGGATCGCATAAGACGGTCGAGGGCGTGCTTCTAGGAAACATATTGTGGAACATACCATCAAAATAATGAGCGTCGCCGCTGCAAACAATCAAAAGTGTTTGTTGTTTCAGGATCTGACCGACAAGGCTACGAGGCTGACCAATCTCCGCACAAGGAATGGGCTTCACTAGGCTGGAACTGAAACTGCGAGGGTTTTCGTGATCACCACTCTCTTCTGTAAAAGGAGAGGGACATCGGAAGAGCTGCCTGTGCGTGGGACGGTACGCCTCAGAACTTTGACGGTGCTTTACATCAAACTCTGATTCTTTGTTTTACATCATGGTGTACCATTCTAAGTATATATGAACATGAAGTGAATGAGCATCGTCATGCTCTCCTAGCATCCGCCTCTTTCATTCTGTTGGTCCTGGAGTATCGGTGAGCCTTGCAGATAGGATACTGATCGGGAGATGTGAAACTCTCTAGCAAGACTGCATCGTCAAGCACGGTATGATCGAACCATTCTCATCTTGGCAGGTGGCGAGTCGGCTCCTCCGTCAGGATTGGTAACGGCACCCTCGAAGCCAAGCAAGGTGTTCCAAGTATCGGCTGTAGTCTTGTCGCGGGTCCCCAGGGCCTGAATCTGGGCTTGGGCATCACGGCATAGAGACTTGGCGGCATCGTTGGCCTCGCAGACGTTGGTCAGTTGGTCGCAGATACGGTTTGTGATGATGTCTGTTCAGATCAGCATCACGGCATGAGCGAAAAGATGGCGAGGGTGAGACTTACTCGGGTTCAAAGCCTCCTGCTGTCCCTGAGCGCAGAGAGGGTCAATGGGCAAGAATGTGAACTCCGTAGCTGGGCGGCCACCGAGTCCGCCTTCGAATTTCATGGTAGGCACGCATAGGCCGAAATCAGCGCCTGCCACAGTTGATGCTTGGACCGACGAGTCGCCTGATGCAGCAGCTGTGGTTGAGACAGCCTCTGCAGCGGTAGTAGTGGTGGAGACTGCGGCAGCTTCGGTGGCGGTGATGGGGGCTTCTAATGACAGTCAGTCTTTTGTTCACCAACACAATGCAGGTAATGTACCTGTGGCAGTTGGAGCACCTCCACATACTACGACAGCGGCAGTAGTCGAGGCAGAAGCAGCCCCAGTGGAAGCAGCAGCGGTGGCAGCTCCGGCGTCAGAAACAGCGGCATCACCCGCAGGTGCAGCACCCGTATTGCCAGCAGCATCTTGAGTGGTGAAATTGGTGAATCCATTCTCAGCCAGGAGATCGGCAACACTCTTGCCCGTAGCGTCCAAAGGAGTGACTTTGGTCTGGGCAGACAATGCATTGGCAATATCTGAGCCAACAACAGCTGGATCGATCAACTGAGTGATACCGCGGAGGACATCGGTCGCTGGTAACGTAGGGTCATTGCAGATGGTAGGAATTGACTGGACGAACGGATTGAAGTTCTTCTCAGCTGCCACGATGCCAATAGCAGCAGCGATAGCATCAGCTCCTGTCCCGAGCTCGGAGATGATTTGGTCCCCTCTCTTAAGCTTGTCACAAGCATTGGTCGCAGCGAGCAGATCGCTGACGGCAGCACCTGCAATGGTAGCTGCAACACCGGGACGACCACCCTGGACGGCGGCAATGGCGGGAATTGGGATTTGCTCTTGATTGAATCGGGCGTGAGCCACAGCAATAAGAGCCGCGAGGGTGGCCGCTTGGAAATACATCTTGACAACGCGATTGATGATAGAAACCAGGTAAAGAATGTATAGCCAGTTTGAGAACACAAAAAGAGAAACTAGCTCGCCAAAACGAAGGTTGAAAAGAATGGACCGACCAGCGGATGAACAAGAAGAATCAAGAACAGATGGTTGCAATGGAGACGAGGTCGCAACTGCTGGAGGACCACCGCATCTCCCTTTATATACCTACCTTGACCTTGACGTCCTTCGTCCCGGCAAAGCATCCAAGATCAAGGTCAGTGCTCCGTCCTACCGCAATAAACAAGCCCTCCCAGACTAAATGGTGGCTCCCAACCTGAAGGCGAGTCTGTCGAGAGATAGTCGATATTGGTTCTGCCAAGAGTACTCCTGGGTGACGTGCGGCAGCGATAACCGTCTAAGCGAACGAAAAAAGGCTGATCGATAACGTCATGGATATCTGGTAAGGGCTAATCTGATGTTAGCTGTATCAGATCGAGGAGAGAGCTTACCAGGTCAGTCGGTAAAATTGCGGACGCTTGTTGGCAGAACTGTCCATCAGGATGGTCGCTTGAGAGAAAGGCATCGATGAGGCAGAGGTTGTCTCATATATGGCGGACGGTTTCACGTGGGAGGCTAACCCAACCCTAGGTCAGAGGTCGAAACGTATTGCTTCAACCTCGGACTGGACCAAGCTGTTGCTTACCTGGAAGCTCCCCGCAGAGGTGCAGCCACGATCTTGACTCTGCGAAAAATGATCTCAGGAGCTTGCCATGTGGCCGGGCGAGCGCGGTTTCAGGAGTTCAGCGAAACGCCCAGTGACAGCCGACAGGAGACCGTTGAATAAACAATGATCCTAACCTGCTGGCATGACAACAGGCTACGAAGGATACCAGACACATACTCCATTTCGAGCAAATTTCGAGCCTTGCAAGGGGTATGTGCACTTCGTAATGGCGAAGGTTGCTTCGAGTCTCGGAGTCTCCTTGAGAGCACTAACAGCTCCACCGCTTAGCCAGGAGGCATGGTGGAAAAGTGAGTGATATTCAGTAAGAGGTCGCAATTATCTGTCAGGCCCCGGCTATCATGTTATGGAGACTGGGCGAGGACTGTTGTGTTGTAAGAGGAAAAGCAGGGTGTGAGGAAGAGCGTCTGAACTCAGCCTCGTCAGCCTCGTCAGCCTCGTTCAGCCTCGTGGCTTTAATCTTCACGTGACCAAATCAACGTCACGCTTTGATTGGAATTCATTGTTTGCAGCCCGCGTCGCAGTTTCGACCGCAGTCAATCGGACCATGCATTCATATTCCACAAACTACATTATTGTCTAATTTTCAATGCCAATATTGTCGCCTAGAAGACATCATCCGACACTTAAGTCTTCCAGGCTTCCAAGCCACTCCCAAGCGCCATGACGGACTGGAACAAGTTCAAGGTTACAGACCTCAAGAAGGAGTGCACCTCGCGTGGTATCCCTCTTACCGGTCTCAAACTCAAGCAGCAATATATCGATAAGCTTGTTGAATACGAAGCAGAAAATGTTGGCGAGGAGAAGGGCGCTGACTCTGCGGGTCAGGAAGAACAGAGTGAGGCACATGCCAATGGTGCAGTGGAAGAGCCTCCCTCTACGGCCGATGACACAGAAAACGGCGAGAAAGAACGTGCTTCTACAGAGAACTGGAAGGATACAGAGCAGCAACCTCCGCCCGACACTGCCCAGATCGGCGGCGACAATCAGGAGCCGCGTGACGAGCTTATGGCCGAGGATGTTAAGGCTGATATCGAGGAAAAGGACCAGACGGAAACGAATGGCGATATATCTTCCAGAGGCGATGCTGAGAACGAGAAACTACCGGAGCTACAGGCGGGACATATTCGTGTCGAAGGAGACGAAAAGAGCCTTGAAGAGGAGGTGAAAGTCTCGGAACAGCCTCCCGCGCAGCCGGAACCGGGCAAAGCCGGATCGCTCGTACCACAATCGCCCAATGTCGAAGCAAAGGTTGAGGCGACGAAACAGGAATCAGCAGAGGCTGCAGAAAATCTACCCACAGACGCCGGCGCCAAAGAAAGCACACAGGCAGCTCAAGATTCCCCAAGTCGAGGAGCGGAGTTGGCTCAGTCCGACTCGAGCACGCCTCTTCCAGCTGGCGAAGTCGTTGAAGATCAGAGACGGAGAAGAAAAAGAAGCGCTACTCCTGTGCCAACGTCTCAGGAAATTGCGCGGAAGAAAGCGCGGCTGAGCAATGATGGGGAAGACTCGAAAGCCGAACAGATTACAGCATTAAAAGAAATGCAAGCAGCCACTGAAATCGCCAAAGAAATTCGCAACGAGAATGACGAAGCTATCGTGGAAGGGGCAAATGAACAAGCCGGCGCACCCACAGAGCCAGCACGCCGGCCCGATAGTACCAGTCTTCCAGATACCGTGCCAGCAGAGACACACCGCAGGGCACCTTCTCCACGACAGAGGTCACGCAGCCCTCCAGAAGAGCGTGATGTCCCACCTGCGATGCACTTAGCAACATCGTCGTTATACATCCGCAACTTCAAACGCCCCCTTCATATTCCCTCTCTCCGCAGCCACCTCGTATCACTAGCTAAATCGAGCCACTCCTCCTCCGACTCCGATCCCATCAAGGTGTTCTATCTCGACAGTATCCGCACCCATGCGTTCGTCTCGTTCTCTTCAGTGTCTGCGGCATCACGCGTCCGCATCGCCATGCACGGCACTCGCTTTCCAGACGAAAGTATGCGCGAGCCCCTGTTCGTTGACTACATCCCTGACGACAAGGTGCAAAGCTGGATCGACCAAGAGACAGGCGGTGGGCTTGGCGGAGGACGTGGCAGTGGCCGACGGTTCGAGGTCGCCTACGAAGAAGGTGAAAACGGCGTCGAGGCGATGTTCCAGGAAGTGGACACGAGTAAGCCGCAACAGCGACCACCCGTGCAGCCGAGAATGAGTTCGCGCATGTCGATCGATAGGCCAGCGGCGGGCGGTATGCATCCTGACCGCACGGCTTTTGTCCCGAGAGAATCGCCACGGAGTGACTATCGAGATCGCGATCGTGGCCGCACTCCACCACCGACTGGTCCGAGGAGATCAGAGACCAGCGGCCGCGGATTTAAAGCTCTGGATGAGCTCTTTGAGTCTACGACAGCGAAGCCAAAGTTGTACTACAAACCTGTTCCTGAGTCCGTCGCCAGTGAGAGACTTGGTATGTTCCGGAACCTAAGGGTTGGGCACGCGGCGATGGGGCGTAGTGGGGACGAGGGCATGAAGAGGTACTCGTTTGAGCGGAACAAGAACAGGGAGGAATGGGTAGATAAAGGACCCGAGTTTGGCTTTGGTAAACGTGGGCAAGACCGACTGGTGGGAACTCGAGGCCGAGGAGGGTACAGAGGGCGAGGGGACTCGTGGCGTGGTGGGAGCGGAAGATGATCGATCAGGAGATCATTTAATCTTGAAACGCAGCGGAAGTGTACGAGTATGAAAAGAGGATCATGCGCTGCCATATGAGTTTTAACACGTGTGAGGCGCTCTACAAAAGCACTCGCGCTTGATGTAACAGAAGGCTTTGCAAATGGATCGCAAGATACCCTCAGGACATAAAAAGTCTAACGTCGAAGATCAAAATTGACCAAGCGTGGCGCTCTAGTCCGTTTGCCTTAGAATGTGACATAGCTGTTCGATTGGCCGGGATGGTGTGTTGCCGTAATGTGGTATAGACGTCGTGAACTGCTTCGAGATATGCTCCAACAGACGCTGGTCTCTCCAAGCATTAAACATATCTCGATACAATGACGGTTGGCACGGGCCTGACCGTCATCGACATCGCGCGTAAATCTGATTGTTCTAGGTCACCTCCAAGGTGGCGACGTAGGTTGACTGACCGATACGCCTGGCAGTGAATAGACGATTTTGCCTGAACCCGCTTTTGCTTCCCAAACGGGCGTCATTGGCAATTCTGAGGCGATCGCTGTTGCTCATGGAGAGGACAACCGATGTATCCAACGTGGGATGTTCCACGGCGGCCTCCAGACCCGTTCATTCATGCCGATATGGGAGCGGCTCTTGTCTTCACCAGTCATCACCCCACCCATCATCCTTGGATTTCGTCTGCGATGAGGCCGGCGTCTTCTTCATGGCACTCGTGCCAATGCTGCTGTTCGACTTGGACGACGCCCCGGACGCGCCTGCACCGAAACTATCCCAGAAATCCTTGCGTTCTGGCTCACCGCCTCTCGCCGCGGCGGCAGCACTGGCCTTGTCGTCCTGGCCTTCGACGAACTTGTTGAATGACTCGGCCGCGCCTTTGGCGCCTGTTTGCAGACCCTTGCCCGCTGTCAGTGCGGCATTGCGTGCTTGTGCCGCGAAATCTGAACTTGCAAGCTGCCCACCCCACTAAATGTCAGTGCTGTTGCTTTTTTGCGCTTCAACGACCCAAACATGAGGGCTCAAATCGCCGGGGGGCTGGAGGCTGGAATGAATACGTACATTCTTAGCAGTTGGCTGGATATATGACTCGTGCACCAGCTTAGCCTGTTTGCCTACTGTCGCGCTGAACCAGCCGAACCCCTTGGTCAACGCGGCCACGGGGTCTTTCGAAAACTCATCGGCACTGGGGATACTACCACCCGACGAAGAGGACTGCTGCGTCTCGACCGGCGCGCTGCCAAAGCCGGCGTACTTGCCGCCCTGGCTCGGTGGCAGACCGTCTGGTCTTGAAGCATTCGCTTCCCCCATTTTGGCAAAGTACGCTTCGTTCTGCGCCTTCTGCTCTGCTGAGATGCCCGGCGGCCGGCCAGGCGCAGGCGAGGCCGTCCGACTGCCCGGACCGCTTGTTGGGTTGTTGGTGTTGTTGGTATTCCTCACTCCAGCCGGCGTGGCCGACCGACTCGCCTGCTTCTCCTTTATAGCTTGCCTCTCTTTCAGGAACGCCGCTTTATCGAAGTCCCTCTCCTCGACTTGCGCGGTCAGCCGCTCTTTCCACTCCTCGCCTATCTCGCAGTCGTAGCGCTCTTTGATGGTGCACTCGTCGAACGGAATGGGCGAAATCTTGTTGAAAAAGTTCTGCCACGCTCTGTTGCCGCCGTATTGCATGCGTAGGATCTCGGCTTGTTTGAAGGCGTCCATCGACACGGACCGGACAAAGGACACGTGCACGCCCAACCCGCGGTGTGTGCCGGCGCATTGGAGGCATATGAAGGTGGAAAATTTGGGAGAGGCCTGCAGAAAGATGAAAGCACGAAAATTAGATAGGTAGATCCCTCGAGAAAGGAGAGGGCCGGGTGTCGAGAACTCAACTCACCCATTGCGGTGAAGGGGCGCCGCAGTCGCAGCACCTGTCGTTGCCGGCGCCCTCCTTCTTGCTTATTTGTGCGAGCTAGACATGGTCAGTGAAACCACGCTTTCAAAGGGGACAGACGCTTCATCTTACTTTGCTCCTTGTCTCCGGGTCGACCTCCCACATCGCCTTGGACGTCATCTTGGCTACGGTGTATTTGAGGGTAGTGCGAAATGAGGGGTGCGAAAAGGGTGTTGATGTGCTCAGTGACTCAGCTCCTCCCGAGGAGTACCTCTCAGGATCGCATATTCGGGGGGATAATTGTGAAGTTTTCTCGCTATAAAAGGAATATCGATTTATACGTGGTAGTCTCGTGCGCAAAATGGATATAAAGCGATGTTGGAGATGTTTGTTGGTACAGTCTAGATAAAGTCACTCCGTACTCCGTACAGTCCAAGCGTTCTGGCCCCGTCAACCACTACCCTCCACACTGACACCGGCAGGTCCTCAACTCAAATGATGGGACACCTCACACTTGTTCATATGGCACCGCCACGTAATTCTGCAATCAGTGCTTTTTCGCGAGGACCTGTTATCCTCTCGAACCGGTCTACGCTCATGACGAAAGTGCCTCGACCGCCAGTCATGCTCCGCAGGTGCTTCAGATACCCTACCATCTCTTTCAGGGGCACTTTCGCCTTCACACTCCTCTGAATGTTCACCTGATCGTGCTGCTCTCCTGATATCGAGGATCCGGACTCAAAGGGATCTTTGGGGGCATAGATCTTGCTCACATCGATCTTTTGAGGACCATGTCCTTCACGGGAGTTTTCTTCTTCATGATCTCCCAGAGACACAATCTGTCCTCCGCGACTCGACGAGATGTCCTGAATCACACTGCCGAGGCTGGCTTCATCAACGCTGATATCGACGTTCATGACAGGTTCCATGAGAAAGCAGGGACTCGATTTGGTCGCATCTCTGAATGCAGCTATCGTGGCAAGCCGAGCTGCAGATGTGAGCGATGAGTATGTCGTCTCAGAGCCAAAGATATGCTCTTCAGGTACTAGAGTCAGCGTGACTCTCGTGTCCCTCATGGGATACGAGTAGGAAGGCCCACGGCTTAAAGCTGCGAGAGCGCCATTAACATATGCTGACTGCATTTCTCTAAGATTGAGATGTGGTGGCAACGACACATTGTCCGAATTGATAGGCCGGCCTTTTCTGTCCAGGGTTGGCGTCTCGATTACGATAAGATTTCCGTCCTGTTCGTAGCTGAAGACATCATCACCCACGCCACTGCTAATGTCATCAGTGTCCTGCAGTGGCTGCACGACTGCTGTGCATCCTCCTTTGCCCTTCGTAGCCGCGCGATCTCCCTCCAGTGTTTTCGTGATTGACTTCGAAGCCTGAGGTAGTGTTTCGCGATATCCAATGGCGATCTTACCCATATTGGCTTTGGCTTTGAGCTCGTTGACTAGCCTGTCTTGAGCAATCTCAAGATGTAGTTCTCCCATACCGCTGATTTGAGTCTGACCAGTATCTTCGTCCTGGGTGACTTGCAAGCTGGGATCTTCTCGCAGTAATAGCGCAAGCTTTTCGTGCATGTCTTTCTCCTCCCTCAGACTGTTGGGTTCAATGGCAGCAAAGAAGACTGGAGGGGGCACCTTGATGGGTCTCAGCTGGAGTTTGTTCAATGGCTCTGGAGGGGTGGCTTTGTTGCCCGTGTAAGAGATGAGTGTGTCGCCCGTTCGAGCATATTTCGAACCTGCAATCACCCCAATCTCGCCAGCCCTCAGGGTTTGGACAGGCACAGATTCTGATGCGTACATTCGCAATAAAGTCGTTGCTCGCTCGGAGTTCTGCAGGTTGGTGTTGTACAAGAGTGCGTTGCGGTCAATGGACCCCGAATAGACTCGGATGTAGACGAGGACGCCCTTACGTGGGTCGTTTACGACTTTGAATGCCAATGCACAGCCTTGTAGAGTGTTCGCTATCGCGGACGGCGGCGACGGTGGTCCCTTCCTTTTTGCTTTTGTGCTGTTATCGTTCTGCAGTGACAGGTCACCTTTGATCAGTTGAGAAAGACCGCCGTAGCTAGAGCCCAGACTGATTTCGGGATCAGGGCGTTCGACTGGACTCGGTAACAGATTGCTGATCGCGTCCAGCAGCGGTTGCACTCCGATGTTGCGGAAACTTGCTCCAGCAAAGACTGGAATGATGCTGCAATTTTCGGCGAGGAGACGACGACGCAGACTTTGTAGGATTTGGGCAGGAGTGACGTTCAAATGGTCCTCTTCTGCCTCGAAGAAAGCTTCTACAAGCTGATCATCATGTTCACTCAGAAGTTCAACGAGAGCAACCCTGGCTCGGTGCAATTCCGTGGCAAGGTCTGGATACTCACGTTCCAACTCCGATAGTGGCAGACGTCGAACGACCTTTCCATCCCCGCCCGGCTCATACAGATGACCCTCGAGGTTGATGACATCGCCTACGCCTGTGAAGCGTCCCTTGCCACCTTCGAACCAGGGTATTTGACACACCGCTGGCCAGCCAGATAGTCGCGAGCCTATCTCGCGTACAGTCCGTCCAAAGGCAGCACCGTCGCGGTCAAGCTTGTTCACGTACGCTATGCGGGGGATTTTCCATTCCCCAGCCTGAGCCCATACTTGCTCTGTCTGTGCTTCAACACCAGCAACTCCATCGAGAATACAAACTGCGCCATCCAAGATGCGTAAGGACCGTCGCACTTCAAATGTGAAGTCGGCATGTCCCGGAGTGTCAATTAGATTGATGTTGTGAGGAAATTGACATCTTGGTTGAGTGTCACTCCCTATGTCGAAATCCTGAGAGATCTCGGCTGCTTGTTTGTCACCAACCGGAGGCCACTCGAAAGTAATAGCCGCCGATTGAATGGTGATCCCTCTAGCTCGCTCGGCGGGGAGGAAATCAGTCACGGTTGATCCTTCGTCAACGTCTCCAATTCGTCGAGTGTGACCACTATAGTATAGCATGCGCTCAGTGGTGGTCGTTTTACCGGCATCGATGTGAGCTATAATGCCAATGTTTCGTGTTCGGAGAGCATCTTGAGAAGATGCTGATGCGGGAGCTAGATGGCGACATGATGATGAGATGTTCCTTGGCCGTACAAGTGATAGCCTAGGCGAGATTATGTGAGGTCGAATAGAACGGATTAGAGCAGAGTGTGCAGGAACTCGGCCATAGATGACTACCATTCCCCCAGTCGCAAGAACAACCCAATTGAACGATACTTAGAGGTATGACACACAACACAGAGCAGACAAAGGGCTTGTAATGAGCGACTGAAACAATTGATACCAGATATCAACCTGGAATGGACGAAAACTCAGCGGCGAAGCGGTTCTTGAAAGAGAGCTCGTGATGGCTCGTTCCAGCCAATCGTGACCGGTGCCGGAGATACTGGACTCCGTCTCCCCGCTCAACTCTTCGATTTGTCCATTCTGGAGTCTGTAGCGTTCACATCTTTGCGCTACAACTACAGACATTACAATGGACTATTCAGTTGTCTCCTCGGAAGCTGATGCTCTCCATGGTGCGTCTCCTTGGGGCTCGTCATCCCCTCGCGCAGACAGAGCCTTTCCCAACGCTGCAGCTTCTCCCGAATCGCCTGCTCCCTTCCGAGGCCATTCCCACAATCAATCGCAAGATAGCATTCCAGACTCTCCTTACCTACCCGCCGGTGTGGCTGCTACGACTACGGCAGAATCCCCAGATCCACAGCCCACGCCAGGATCACCGGATAGAGCGCAGTCTGTTTCACAGGATGGTCAGGCGCCAGCATCAGGTCAACAACCGGCTGGTCAAGCTCAACCGCGGCCTCAGGCGGCCAGATATCACGGCACAAAGCCACAAAGACCTGTACCTCAGTATAGACTGCAAGCAAAAGTGACAGCTCTTGAAAGGACAGGCCGCAAAGACCCAGTCATCCGATTTGACGTCTATGTCCGTTTCCCTCGCCTGCGCTCTAGCAGAACTTCGTGCTGACAGCTTTACAAGACCAATTTACCCAGATTCCGAACCACCCAATTCCGTGATGTCCGCCGAACACACTCAGAGTTCGTCAAGCTGGCCGACCATCTAATATCTGCCAACCCCGAAGCCCTTGTGCCCGCTGTCCCTCCCAGCATAACTTCGGCGGGCGCAGGAACCGATGAAGATGAAGTTCGAGTCAAGAATTCTATACAGAGATGGTTGAACTGTGTCTGCAGTAACGACGTGCTGATGCGTGATGAAGAGATGGTGTTCTTTGTCGAAAGTGACTTTGGATACTCGCCTGTCGTGAGGATGAAGCAGCCCGCCACAGGCGTGCGTCGGAAGGTCTTGAAGCAGTTTGCGCCCCCGCCAGATGATACACCTGAACTCCATGAAGCCAGGCCGGTGGTTAAGATGTTCTATCTCGGGTCGCTCGATACAAGCCAGAAGCTCGAGAAGGTCGTGAAATCAAGGAGATGTAGGTCCCCCTTCCCGCAACTCTAGGTGTAATCTGCTGACAACATTCAGCTCTCGGTCTTGCAGAATCGTCCTTGGGCGAGAAGCTCGGCCAGATGCATGTCCAAGAGACCCACGCAGGTCTGTCAACGGCATACCGCAAACTTGGCCGTATCATCCAAACTTGCGGCGACTACCACGCAGCACAAGGGACCGCAGAAGCCACCACGCTCGGCGACTCGCTAGCCTATCATTCCTCAGACGCCTTCATTGTTAAGGAAACCCTGACGAATCGGCACATCCTTCTGCGCGAGCTCGTGCAGGCCGAAGCGTCCCGGCGCAGCAAAGAGAATGCCGTCCAACGCCTCAAGAGTAGCTCGAACGTTCGCAGGGACAAAGTCGACGAAGCCATCTCCTCGCTCGACGAGGCCATGAGCCAGGAGAACTACCTGCGTTCCAAATCCCAGCGCGTCACGGCGAACCTGTTGATGGAGAAGCGACGCTGGTTCGACCGCACGAGCAACGAATTCATGTTCAGCCTCAGAGAGTATGTGCTGCGCCAGATCGAAGCGGAGCGCCGTACCCTCGCGACCCTGGAGAGCGTCAGGCCGGACGTCCGCGCGATCGACGCAAGTGGCGGGCTGAGCAGGCTTGGACGAGAGAGTCACCCCGTTGTCAGAAGGGTCAGTATGGCCAGCAGCCAGGGCGCCAAGGGCGATGCCTGGAGCGGCGTGCCGCGCAGCAGGGACGCCATGACTAGGAGTCTGAGTGGCAGTTTCGGCCCGGGCAGCATTCCCGAGATCGATGAGAATGGCACCGATGGACAGGGTCAGGCTGGTGGTGCCGCCGCGGCTGGTAGGCCTAGGAGTGCTACAGGCGCCAGTCTGAAGGAGGACGAGGATGATGATCGTGTCGATGCGAGAAATGCGGCGAGTCGGTTGGCGCAGAGCACGTTCTGAATCTACTTCGACTTCCCTTCATATTGTTCATACCTAGGTAGGCTTAGCCATGAAATATCTCACGAACGAACGAACGAACGGGTCAGCGAGCAGAGAACCATATGATATGATAAAACCACTTAGTATTAGGGGGGAGTATTTACTTTTTGTCTGTCTTTCTGTCTCCGTGTCTGTCGGTGCTGTGTTCCGTCGTCTGATTATGATTATCCAAGCTCACACTCAAGTTTCAGCTATAACTGTTCTTGAAATGTAGCCGGCTCCCATCTCTCCCATCTCTCAGCTCGTAGGGCGGTCATCTCAGTCGCAATCTTTCTCTCCACATTTTTGGGCCGTCAGCTCCATCCAATCGGGACTGCTGTAAATCTGACGAAGCGCATCCGAGTATGACATGAATTGTAAAAGACTTTTCGTGTTGTTTCGGGGGAAACATTTTCTTGCGAACCCCTTGATTGTTACAGGGGTTGACAAGGTTCGTCTGGGAACATTAGGGGAAGAACAAGTAAAGAGCGGTCGTTTTCGCAGAGAGCACTGTACATCGACATAGGGTGACCGTGTTTGTTGCTGGGTTGAGTTTTGGTGTTTGGTTTTTGGCAGTCTGGATCATTTCATTTCAGCTGCATTCCTCATTCAGACTCAGTCGCCGATGGCGTAGTCCTGGAGACCTTGATCACGCAAATCCGACTCTTTTTTTGAGTTTGGCACCTCCTCTGATATCTTTGTGCAAGTGGGTGATGGTATGTTCAAAAGCCTGGTCCAAGGTTTCTCAATACGTTCTTCAGCTTTTCACCTGCAGCTTCGTTGGCCGCACCTGTGAAGCGGGTATCTGGTGCATAAGGCGTCGCATTAGGATTGTATGCGGATGTACCGACGTTGTTGCCATAGCCATGCCCATTCATGCTCATGTTCATGTTCATCGGCTGTCGCTGATCTCCGTTCATGGGTCTTGGGTTTGCATTATCGGCAGGGCTAGCTCGACGGCTTCCGACTGCGCCCCAGGGAGACTGAAATGGTGCGAGACCAGGAGCGGGAGACCGTCCTGGGATATACACGGTGTCAGTATTGGCAAATTGCAGCTTCTTGATCGTGGCGTGGAGGATTTCGCGCTCGTGTAGAAGATTGGCTCGTTCGGTAGACATGGTTTCAGATTGAGACTGCAGCTGGGTCTTTTCCTTCTTGAGTGACTCGATAACTTCGACAAGAGTTGCCTTTTCATGCTGGGTCTGCTGGACCAAGGTGCGCAGGAAGTCATTGTCAGATCTGAGCTGAGCGACTTGGCCGATTTCCATGGAGGCAGGGGTAGCTGGGCGGCTGCTGGAGCGGTCTCCACCAAAAGGTGAAGGAGAGACTGGTCGAGAGGAGTCTGCGACGCTTGAAGAACCAGTGCCGGTGCCGTGGGTATGGTTGAAAGACGACAATGAGGTACTGGAGCGGTGGTGTATTCCCAATTTGTTCAGTTCACGTTCGAGTGACTTGCCAGCTTTGGCCGGCTCGCCTGGAACGACTTGCCTAGGAGCAGAAGTATGATGGCCAGTGTCGTAGTGAGAATAGAGACATTCGTCGTCAGAAAAGCGGCAGTGGCCCTTCTCCCACCACCAGAAGCAGGTCAAATGTTTGACTGAGCGGCGGCTGTGGCTGTGGCTGTTGGGTGTTTTTGGGCCATCTTCGCTGGAGTGAGGAGATGGTGAGGGTTCGCGGGAGTGAGGTTGAGTGCGTGATTGGGCCCTGACTTTCTCTTCAGATTCTTCTTCTCCCTGAGGGTTACGGACGACAATAGGGACAGAAGAAGACCGAGATTCACCTCTCTTGCGACCTTCTGGCTCGCTTGTGCGAGAACGGCGAGAGGGAGTTTCTTGCATGGGTGGTGAAGTTGGAGCAGAGGTTGAATTTGAATATGCCGGAAAGGATTGCTGTAGAGGGCTGCGGGCGATGGGATTGCTGCTATGTCGAGTAGATGTCGACCAAGGGTGACCACGGTGGTGAGGTTGAAGTCTCGACGAGGCCGCCATCGAGTAGGAAGGAGAGCAAATATGTTTCTGTTGCAATGGCGCCAAAGATGACTCTCTTGAGGGAGGACGGTCCGACATGATGCGGAAAGTCAGACGATGTGGGATGGTGATTGCTGGTGGAGAAGGGCAAGTGAGAAGCTGAAGAGGCGCGATATAATTTGGCGGTGTAGAGATGTAGAGGGCGGTTGAGAAGGTGAGTTATAATTCAAGTGAGGGATGTGTGAGGCAGAAAGAATTGAAGGCCCAAAAGCTGGCAAGAGACAAGTGAAGAAGTGAAGTTTGTAAGTGTCGTACGTACTTGTTTGCTTCTAGAGCCTTTTTGCTCTGTCCTTGTCTCGACCGACTGTCATTGCCATTTCTTCCTATTAATCTTCATTCTTTCCCGCCTTCCACTTCTCGATCTTTTCATCGTAACCAGGACTGAATCCCTCCCATCTCCCTGCAGAATCGTCTGGAAGGACAAACCATGGTGCCTTGTCCTTCAGGAAGATGTGAACTTGGATTCCGGGCAGAGGCGGATCAGCTTCAACCACAGTCCCCATACAGATCCCGATCCGATCATTCTCAAAGTGATATACCATGCTTATGCTTGAGCCGCATTGCTTGCAGTGTCCTCGCTGAGCAATATCACTGCACGTCCACGTGTCCGGTTGTTGTGTCCATTCAAGTTGTGAGGCTGCGAAGTCTACAAAGGCCAGAAATGGACCACCAGAAAGTCTTTGGCAAGTCCCGCAATGGCAGCCGTTCACTGCGAGAGGCTGAGCTTGAGTTTGATACCGAATGCGCCCGCATGCGCAACTACCTTTGATCATGATGGAATACGATGGCCCGATACTGCCGTATCAATTGGAATGAGGGGAGGTTGACAAGTGGAGGCTAGAGGTGAGGATGTTTCTTCCCGATGCCGATACAACACCAGAGGCTAATGTCAATCTTATATGTCCCGAACTGTACTGTCTTTGTACTGGATTGTTGAGCAGGTGATATGAGGAGTGTGCTGACGTTCCGTTAGATTGGTTGTAGCGAGGCGAAGCGAAGAGGAAGCGAGCGATCCCTTGGCAAATGACATCTTTTCTTTCTCAACCTTTGTTCTTTTGCCTACTTGGTATTCTTCACGTCACTGTGACATACCTAGGTAGGTATACAGCAATGTCGTTATTTTGATCAGGATGGTACAACGTCTTCTCCAACCACACAGTATGGACTTCACTCACAAAGGTCTCTAGTAGAATCACTGAATGAGTCGCGAGTATATATACTTAAGCGAGGTCCAGACAGTAAGCCATTTGTCATGATGCAGATTCGCAAACTCCCAACATGCGGTTACTCACTTTCTGTGCTTGCCTTGCTTTATTGTGCACCACTACCGTGAACTCAGAGACGCATTTTGGAGATGTCAGACGTAGATCCATCAAGAGGCTATCCAATGCCAGCAATGGAACGCCTGTCATTAATGTTGATCAAAATCCCACTGGAGTGCTCAACGCAACAGCCTGGTCTTTGATCGTGAGTGCTCAATCCATCTACGAGGTGGAGAGACTGAAGCTTGGAAGTATACATATCCGCTGGCGATATTCGCGAGCTGGGCTGGTGGTGTCCTTCGTAATCATACTGTCAACACCATCTTCCACCAGACCAATCTAGCTTCGCCAGGAGATCCAGGCGTCATCAAGCCTAATGTCGATACACTGTACTCCCGAGTCGTGCTTGATTTGTCCAAGAGTGACGTCGTGCTCACCGTGCCCAACATTACTGATGGAAGATACTGGGTCTATCCGGTCTACGATCCGTAGGCTACTAGTTCTAGAACGTCAATACCTAGCTACTGACAAAGGTTCAGATTTGGCAACAACCAGGCCGAAACCGGCGTCGTCAATGGTAACAAGGCAGGGAATTATTTGATCAGGCGGGCTGACGACGTCTTCGTGCCACCGGGGTACAGCAACGATACACGCACCTTCAACTCATCCGCCTATCAGGGTGTTGTCAACCTTCCAGGATCTTGCGGCACCCTGTTCATCCGTCTCCTTCTTCTTCATAACACGACAGAAGACCTTTAATGCCGTCCACACCTACCAGAATGCCTCCAAGTTGACCCAGATCGCCCGTGCAGCACCCTTACAGGCCAACACCAAACCTGCCCCATCCCTCCAACCACTGGCCCTCAACAACTCTCTTCTTGGCATACAAGGCGCCCTTCTCAGCAACTCCAGTTCGCAGCTCGCATCATCCCCTATACTCAACCGCAAATCTACTCCGAACGGTACCGCGTTGCGTCCATCCTGTCCTCTGCCGGTCTCTATGACGGTCACTACCAACCACCTGCGAACCTTAATCTCACGCTGGCGGCCGTCATAGCCAACGCCTCAATCACAGCGGACGTCGAGAACCCCTCCATATTCGTTCACAGGGCAATGACTGGCAGCTGTCGGTGCCTTCATATCAAGGCAACTTCGGAACGCACTACGCTTCGGCAGTTTATGTTGCTCTAGCAGGCTACCAGCGGCAGACCGTCCGTCAAACATTATATCCAGGCTACAAATCTCTCGGCTTTACATCTCAATTCCAACTTGAGCCCAACCAGTCTCTTCTCGTCACGTTTTCCGGCAAGCCAAAGCTCCAAAGCTCAGGCTTCTGGTCTCTCACTGTCTATGGTGCAGATCAATACCTTATTGCGAACGAGCTTAATCGCTTTGAGGTTGGCGACCGTACTTACAATCTCACCTATCCATACGGCGATAACATCTACGGGCCGAACGCAAACAGCAGTAGGGATGGATGCTTCCAGATCCTTGTTCAACCAGCCAATATGCGACCACCCGCGAATTGGACAAACAATTGGCTGCCAACGAACAAAACTTTCAGTTGGATCACGAGGTGGTATGTTCCGGACGCGGCAACGACGAATGGATCCTACGTATCCAAAGGTGGTGAATGTGACCGCCATCAGGGCCTAGGTATGAAGTAGATAAGCTGAGCCCAGAGACAGCAGGATTGCTGAATACTTTCGTCCGTATCGCAAATCACAAGGTCCGTAGTATTATAGATGGTGCAAAGGAGACGACTGGTCTGATGTCCTTGGTTGTTGTACCGATGAGGGTGATGAGAGACGAGATTGAGGTTAATGGATGGAGAAGGGAAGAGCAACTGATTTGATGCCCGCAACCTGCATATCAGGACATTCGGTCTGGAAGCAATTGCAGGGTGTTCCTTGACGTTTGGTATCAAATATGACAAGTGCCCAATCATCCTACAGTCAGGACAAGGGGGAGGAGGTGTCACATGTTGTTGACTTGACAAAAGGCCAGACCAGACCAGGACACTACCGAGGACGGAAACCGAGACGGAGACTCGGCTCCCTATCTGCGACGACTGTATCCGCCGGCGCATATGCAGATGTTCAATGTTTCATGGGCATTTGGCGACAGCCGTTGCTCTTCGCATAGCCTAAGTCGACCACATTGAGAAAAGATTGGCGGCGGCACGCGGCGGGCATCGCCGAGGAAATCCATCATCTCGCCTCACGTACGAGTGCCCTGGTTGTGTTTGGGTACGCTACCTAGAGCTTTCTTTCCTTTTCGGGCGTCTTGAGATAACAACACCTTCTGATCATGGGTAGCGCAATACCTTGGACGTGGGAGATGCATATTTCCGGTTTCACAAGCGGAGGCCGGGTTGTCAGCAACCGGATAATTCATTGTTTACGAGCAGTGTCCGTCTTGTGCAACAACAGGCCTAGTTACTAGTCGTCGCATCTCTGGGATCTTCCCGATCCCTGCATCGCAAGCCAAGTCCTCTTCACGGGACCCGGTAACATGGAAGTGGCGTTGCCTGAAAACGTGGGATATGTCGGCAATGATATGTCGGTAGAGGTTTAGTATGGTTGAAGGTGTGGGAGGTGGACAGGCTCTCAACGTGAGGCTGGGGCCATTCGTATCACATGGACAATGATTGACCAAGTCGAGAATGGCGCTGGGGGGAGGTGTGTAACCTTGAAACCGTTGAGATGCAGTGGTTCTGTTGGAATAGAATAGAAGTTGCCTATGACATACGAGTTACAGTGCACGTTACTCATGTGGTTACTCATGTGGTGGAGGGCAAGTGAAATTGCTTGATTGACTCCGGGCAGGAGTCGACGTTAATTGCTCACCTCGAACGGGTACCTAGGTACTTACCTTAGGTACTTAGGTACCTAAGTACTTGCCCAATAGTGCCTAGATGGGAAATAGAGCACATAGAGATACCCAACTGGGGGACCCGGCCACACACACAGTGGGTGCGCAGTACTCCGTATCTCTCTTGCAATTCTGGTGCAGCAACGTGAGCAACTCATGTGTTATGCTCACTTTACGCACACCACGTCTTCGAGACCGCCAGCATTCATGGCGCCGAGATCCAAGCCTGGCCTCGATGTTTCGAGTGCATCGCCCACTATCGCCTTTGCTTACCTAGGTACCTAGTAGGGTACCTTAGTGAGCCCAAATTCTTGGAAGTTTCCCTCATGGTCGGCAGGTCGATCTACGAGACAGATCTCAACCCTTCTAGTTAATGTTCTCGACTTTTCTGGTCGCTCGGGCGGTCGGTTCCACCTTTTTTTGTTCATCCCTGTTCCCTGTTTCCACCAACAACATGAGGTACTCGCTTCTCTCGCCTTTGCTTGCTTCTTTTCAAACACATACCTAATGAGCGGTGAGCATTTCTGAGCCTCCTAGCCCCGATGGCTATCCTTGCTCGTTTGTATATCCGACTTACAACAATCAAGCTGTCGACAGAATCATTTCTCCCCACGCTCACTGCTGGTTTCTGCCGACGGGAGAGTACCTAGGTAGACCTCCACGCTGATAGCTTCAGAGTCCATGATGGCATCACACAATGATGAAGATTGAGAAGTCCCAATACTCCACTTATTCCCTGACTACTTCTCTCCCGTCGAGCCTTGAATTCCATATAGCATCGCCATCCAATCGAGCTAAGCTGCTACCCGGTCCTGTCATCAGTCTCTCGTTGTATCAGATACTCCATCTTCCACCTCGTGATCCAATGATACTGTCCATGTCACCTCCCCCCACTCCTTTTCTGGGTCTCTTTTTTCATCCACGAAGTCTCCATCTCACGAATGACCAAGGCGGATCGTGGCTATGACATTGTCTAGCCTTGTCACATCATTCCAGGCCTTCGCTTACCCCGTCCACAGAACCCCCTCGGTCTCTTTGATGTGCGAAAAAAAAGAGTGAAGACATTTTCCCACTGCGACTCTATTGATCCCCTGCTACTTCAGTCCTGCAACACGACGTTGTGTACCTGCATTGGCTCTGCCATCATCCGCTTCCACCCTGTCTACCTCGGGCCTCGTCTCTGGTCGGCTGACTGCCCTTTCATCCACTCAAACTCCTTCCAACGCTCACTCCTCTCCTCTTCCCGGATTCTATTTCTATTCCTTGACCTCGTTGGGTCCAAACCTCTCGTCTTCCGTGCACGACAATTGCCAGCGCATGTTTCGCCAGAGCCAGCAGGTCTCCCGGGTATGCCAGTCGATTCCTCTCAGTCCTCCCCTTGCGACTACACCACAAGTCGCATCCCATTTATCTCTGACCGCAGCCCCTAGCCGAAGGGCGGAAAGCTTGGAGTCAGACTTCCGGTTCTACCCAACGGCCGTCTTCCGCGCACTTTGTTGACTGGTCACCGTCCGTTTAGGCATTCGTGGCGGATCCTGTCTATCCATTCCACAAGCCCTCCAGAACCCGTGAGAGAAATCATCCAAGCGGTCACTTGTCCACGGCAGCAGCCATTGCCAGCTCATTTCCACCGATCCGAGCCAGTTTTCGTATTCCAGCCACGCTACCGACAACTTGATCAAGGTCATTTGCCACTAGAGGAGTAAAATATCCCACTTGTTGTTCATCCATAATACAAATTCGCCCTCACCGACCTTTGGTACAAGCCTGGGTTGTTTCCTTCACTTCACCTCGCACCTGCTGCGGCAGGCAAACTGCGTCGCTGCTGCCCGCCTTCTTCACCTGTCCACCTCTCTTGCCGGACATTGTCACCACCATCGCTTGCTGCCAATGCAGGTAACTCAAGGACATGTGGTCGCCATTCTGTTCTGTTGCGGTTGAAATTCGGAATTTTGGAGCTGGAGGAGGAACACCTTACTAGTAATTGTCGCATGTCATGACAGCCATTCTACCGCAAGGACTCATCAACACTACTGCAGCCGTCGATCAGAATGTCTTTGGCAATATCGATACCTTTGCCGAGAACACCGATACACTGCGCCAGTTCTGGAGACGTGAGTGGACCCGGCGTTACATATGGATACACACAGCCGCTGACTTGAGCCTCAGACTTCGCCGTCCAAAGTGATCTCTCGGCAGATGATGCGTGCACAAGATCCCGAAACCTCTTTTGGAGGGTTTGGAGCAATCCAGAGCTTGCTCGCAACTTGAAAACTCCTCGTCTAATGCAGCTTTGGCGTCGGTGCAGCCAGGGTTTCGATCTGACTCCGATTGGAGAACTTCATCTGCCTTGCGCAACCCAGTCACAGGTACGTTCCCCGGCTGGTTCTGCTCCTTCTTCACTAATATGCTGCATCAGGATGTCACAAGACAGCCTCAGCTACTATCGGCTGAGGAGCCTCAACCAAGTGCGGAGACAAGTTTACCAACAGATCGAAACATCCCACAGGGACTGGAAGGGTTTCCATCTTTGACTCAAGAGACACGAGAGGTGCAATACACCCTGCCAACTCTGCGGGCTTCCGGGCCAGGTCAACAATCCGAGCGAACTTCAGGCTCTACCTCAAATACCACGTCCGGCTCGTCCTCAAGGCCTGTCTTGAGCAGGACCACTAGTGGTGGTCGCTCGAGGATCCCTGTCGTAGCAACCGCGGGGAGGGCTAGAACGAGGCCACAATTAGGTCGACGCAAGTCGAGTTCACACAGGACATCCACCGCTCCCAATGCTCCAAGGTCACCTCTAGCCCCTCCGGACACGCCACGAAGAGATCTCGCTTCGCAGAACGTGACCACCCCTAGCGAGAGTCGTGCAAGTACAAGACGTCCACCACCGGGTTTGCCAGATCCTTTGCGTAAGTTTTTCTTCCCGTACTTTAGTTCTATTCTGACCATTCCTTGCATTAGACGCAACAAGTGCAGCGAATTTTATGTTGCCGACTGCTTCTTCCTGGCAAAGCGTCGATTCAAGGACAGCGACGCCTCCCCTGGCAACCACTGCACCTGCACAAGGTTCTTCAGATTTGGTCGAACGCGATTTCCGTGGCAAGTTTGTCGAGGCTCGGAAGAGGTTGTCCAGCTTCACCAATCTTCCAGCTCTTAGTCGGATGTCAAAGACTAAAAGTGTGGTTCGCTTTGCCGATGACTCCCCCCAAGACGACGATAAGGGGAAAGGCAAGGAGGCACCAAGCAAATTCCCTGGCGAGAATGTTGACCCTTCAGCATTGCAACCAAGTATGCCAGGATCATCATCTGCTAGTGACGATGAGGAGTCTTCCGATGATGCGGTGGAACTTCCTAGGACGAAGAGCCAATTGAGTCTTCTGATTAAGCATAAGAGAGAAGAAACAGGAAGTTTGGATCTTGGTCCCGAAGCAAGGTCCGGAGAAACGAGCGGGAAGTCAAAGGAGAAGGATAAAGCCAAATCCAAAGAGGAAGACTTGTTGTCCATGGGACGGAGGAATGGAGTGACCAAGGCGGGAGGAGTCCAAGTCCCGGCATCCCAGAGAGTTACAGGAGATGATCCAGGACGCTTTTCCCCTTCGAGTCCCGAGCCGTTATTCTAAACCACCGAGGCGAGCGCATTGTCGGGTTGAACGGTGCATTTGTATCATGACATGAAGTTACGACGAAACGGCCGAACCACTTGTACCATACAGTACCTATACCGGTGTTTGAGAGGGCACTCTCTTGCTGAAGTATACATACGCTTGAATAAGCACAGGCGTTGAGAGAGGAGCCCAAGACCGGGAATATGATCAGGAACACGATAAACTTAGAGAACAGAACAGCATAGCTGCTTGCAGCAATACGTACCTCATGCCATCAAACAACTGCATCAAAGTCCTCCATGGTCCTACTGACGCGTGAATGGCGTGGGTAGTCTTCGGGACGTGTTGATTGGCCAAAAGATAAAGTGGTTTCCAAACACGTGATGAGAATGGAGTCATGGCAAAGACTTGCTCTGACCCTCCAAACAATTCACCACTCAATCAATACCTGGTAATCATCCGCCAAACGAGACCGTATTTTCTGCTCCAATTTCGATGCACAAACAAACGAGTTGTGACCTCTGAAGTAACCTGGCACTCGACCTGGTATGGCTTGCATTACCTTATCGATCAACAACATCTGTCGGCACCATTTATGCAGGGTCCCGAACATGACCTTGGAGTCATTTCTTGAGTTGAGGGGAAATCGAAATCTCCCAGCCCGGCGATATTCATGTCCGCCGCCCAAAGCCCGCTTTTTGCCTTTCCTTCAGCCAATGGAAACACTGGCCACTGCAATCGGTCTTTCGGTCGAAGCAGCGAAAGACACAAGCGCAGTCACTCGTTGCAGTCTCATCTGCTGCACAAGAGAGCACACACCTTTTCTCCTCTTTTTCTCGCTGTCTTCTGTTCTTTACACGACGACGTTGTCAGAAATGTGACTATGCTGGTTTTTCTGCTGGCAGTTTGTACTTCATCGTCCATAACCTTTTGATCGACATCCTGGCCGCATCTCGACAAACACAACGAATTTCCCACTTCCTCTGACAGCGTGAACCCTGCCCTTCAACCACCACCACTCCTGCCCCTCGCTTACTCCCTCTGTGGCCTCTTCGTACAGTTTTCGACTTCTGACCAGCTCGAGGAATCAAAATTTTGACGGCAAATCAAAATGAGCCCTCGACGATCCTCCCGTGCCCGCTCCTTGCAGCAGCCGCCTACCGTTCCTAATCACACATCCTCTACCCCCTCAAACAACTCCAAACCTGATCGAGACGCTCGCACAGGCAACCGCAACACCTCTCCAAGAATATCTTCCACACATCGATCTGAGTCTGTTGATGGCGTAGACTCGAACCCTCGTGCGGAGCAACTCGCACCGCGTCGGAGCAGAAGAAACGGTGAAGAAAAAGAACCGGCAATCAAACAACAAGTTGAACACGAGGATGAAGACGCTGGAGCCGAAGCTACTGAGGAGGAGGTCACTCGCTGCATATGTGGACAAGCTGAGTATCCCGGGCCTTCGGCTAGCTTACGACAGCAACAACCCAACCCAGACGCTTTGACAGACGACACTGGAAACTTCTTTGTTCAGTGTGACAAATGTGGTGTCTGGCAACATGGTGGATGCATGGGTCTACTGGATGAGGCCTTGTTACCTGATGAGTACTATTGTGAACAATGCAAACCGGAATACCACAAGATTTCCAGAAGCTCCAATGGGTGAGTACAACCATGCACTACCTTGTTTGCTCCAGCATATACGAGGCTTCTTTGTATTGTCTATAAGCTGCGCATCCCACACTGTCCATACTGTGCTTGACCAAAGACGGCTGACAACGAGATTAGGCAAAGATCCTCCCGCTACATTCCAGTACCCGAACCAATTTCCACGAGGTCTTCACCGTTGACATCCGGTTCCGACTTATCTCGCAAGAAGGACAGCAAAAGCAACAAGCTTGAGAGCACCAAGAGACGGGCAACCATGAACAGTCGTGGCGCATACGACGAAGATGAGATGCTAAGGCGAGCTATTGAGGAGAGTAAAGAGATGGGAACTCTGGGAAAACGAGGACGGGACGATTCAGAAGAGTAAGTCTGCGTTGATATCTGAGCTGGGGCAGAACTAAAACTGGAACAGTCAAAAAGGAAATCCCAAACGACAACGCACTGGCTCGGATTCGTCTTCTACCGTCTCGAAACACAGCCAATCACCTGATCCATCTGGGGAGGAACCCAACAGCAGATCTGGCGCAAGCAGGAGCAACAAATTGCGAGGAACTGCAGCACGAAACAACCGAGAAAAGGAACTACGAGAGAAGCAAAAGGAGCAACAAGCTGCACAACGTGCAGAGGCAGCAAACAAACGAAATGCACGATCAGAACGAAGAAGAGGAGAGGGTAAGCAAGACTGTACCAGTATCATCACGTTATATCCTGACAAGTGTAGATTCTCCACCTCCCACACCCAGCCTCTCACCTTCGAAAGCTGCGCAGGCCAACGGCAAGAAGGCCGACAGCCCTCCTTCTGGGCGGTCCAACAATAGCCGCAGGAATACAAAACCAACTGCAAGAAGAGGAAGGCTGGGAAGAAACCAATACACCCGCGACCAGGTCAACGGTGAGGATGGTACACCTGCACGGGACGGGTCACACGACGTCAACGGCAATGGAGGTTCTCCACCCCGCGGCATCCATGGCGAGAGTGGGCGCAGTTCGAAAGCCAAAACACACCCGGCAAGAACAAGCTTGAATGAGATGAGAAGACGTGTTGCGGCGATATTGGAGTTTGTCGGGCATATGCAGACTGAGAGGAGCGTGCAGTCACATCAGTCGAGTGCAAGTTCGAAGGGAACCAGTACACCGAACGGAGTCAAGGAGGCGAGTGCTCTGCCAACTGCAAGTCTGGTGCGGGCGGTGGAAGCGGGCCTCAAAGAAGCGGAATCAAGAGATGAGGAGTCCGGACTCAGTCTGGTAGATCACAAGGAGTTTGGAACTATGGGTAGTCAGGACATGATGGAAACATTGACCAAGGAATTGGTACAATGGCAGAGCGTCTATGGGATTTATTCGAGGTGACCACCGGGCAGGCTGCGAAAAGTGCTGGGTCTTGGTGTTTGGTTATCGCATGGGCTTCGAAAGCTGACGAGCATGAAATGGGTCTAATGAAATAGGTCTAATGAAATGGTGCTGGGAGATGCATATTGTGAGTTCTGGACCATCACAGGCATAAGCACAAGGCTGAACGAAAATGTTTATAAGATGTTCGAGACTAAACGATCCGGAGGCCTTGGTACTTAGAGAACTCGTGCAGATCAGCGAAAGTGACGCGTTCGGATTTCTGATGACGTCACTGCTCACAACTCTTGGCGATGTCGGCTGATGAACACCGTGACATCCCAAGAGAGAAGGTATAGCGCGGTGTCCAATCACAGCTGAGTAAGACATTAATCAGCAGGCGTACCGGGAGGGAGCCATTGCAGCCTGTCCAGCCGACCATTTACTGGTGACTGTGTGTTCAGGTGGTTTCCTCACTCTATCCTACTACTCTACGCTATACCCAAATTCCAGGACAATGACCGCGCAGACTCAAGGACCACCCATTGAGGTAGCAACAGAGGTCAACAATGCTGGTGCTGCTCCTGCTCCCGCTCCCAAGAAGAAATATGTCCGAGTCATCACGGATAAACGCCGTGAGCAGAATCGACGGGCACAGAAGGCGTACAAGGACCGACTGAAAAGGAAATTGGAGGAGCTAGAGGGCCGGGCTCAAAGTACGGCCGGCGCGCAGGATGCGTCTTCAGCGAACGTTCAGCCTACTCCAGTGACTGGTCGACTAAGGCAGGCCCCTGCAGCAAGTGTTCAACATGCCTCTTCTGAGGCAACTACTGATAGTCAACACACTTCCTCTACCCAGCCAACATCTCCTGACAATTCAGATCTTATCGAGCCGGTCTATTCCTCAACTTCAGTTCAGGCCCAGTCCAACCCAGACCCTCATGTTATAAACCTCGGAGATGCATTCGTCGCGGCAGGAGATTTACCCTTCGCTACGGGCTCCGTGCCAGGACTGGCATTCCTCGGGCAAGATCTCTCGACGCCAGCACCGACACCGAAGTCGTTTCCGGACACTGAAAATGAAATTGGCCATGACGCCGGACTAGTGCATCACCACGTGCATGAGAACTACGGCGAGTTGGACCTGCGGCATATATGGGCCTTGCCTCCTCGTTCGCCGTGGCAAAATTATACTCCGTCCGGCAAGAAGGACAAGAAGCGCTCATCAACGGGCTCAGCGACGGCATTGATCCGCGCACCGCGAAGCCAAAGCAGTTACTACTCTTCTCCTGGTGGGATTGGCATCAACAGCGGCCCTCGATCTACCTCTACCGGCATTTCCATGCCGGTGCCGATCCCGGACCCGTACGCAAACCACATGCGCCTATGGGCGGAAGATAATATCGAAGCGGCCATCGCCATAGCCTTGACAATCGGCATCTCACGTAGCGAGTATATCAACGACCACCCGAGCAGGTTTCCCGGGTGCTATGTCGCACTCAACAGACCACGTGACACCGCCGTTGCCCGCCCGGTAAAGTATATGTTCGACGGCGCAGGGCAGGGGTGGCGCAATGGTATGGAGGTGACGAAGGAGCTGAGCGAGCATATGGATCTCGTGAAGCCTGCCCTCAGGCCAACGCCGGGACAATTACTCGAGCCGCATCCGAGTTATTTGGATTGTATTGTCTTTCCGTGGTTCAGAGAGCATGCGGTGAGGGCGAGTGTGGCTGGGAAACTGGACCATGTGGAGTTGTTTATGGATATTATGAATGGTGGATTGGTCTGTTGGGGTGCTGGCAGTGGGATGGCAGGGAGGATAGGCAAGAGGGGTGTTGGGAAACGAGGGATGCAAGAAAGTGTGGCGTGGGATACAAGGAGTTGGGAGGCACGGCGGTGGTTTTTGAAGAAGTGGGAATGGTTGGTGGGGACGGAGGAGGATGAAGAACGGAGAGGTGATGTTTTTGGCATTTGGAGGGGGAGTCGGTGGTGGTGGAGGATGAGAGGGGAGGACGACGAGAGTGAAGACGATGAAGACGCGGAGGCGGATGAAGTACAGGAGGAGAGTGAGGAAGGTATATGGGAGACGGCAGGGGTGCGAGAAAGACTTTGTGATCAACAAAGGTTGAGTGAGATTTAACGACCATTGTCTGTGATGGAGGGGAGGAGAAGGAAAGACTGCCTAGGTATAACGACTCCCGTCCATGGGATGGAATGTACACGTCTGGGAATGGTGTTGGGTAAATACATGGATCAAGGTGGTCTTTGCTATATACTCCAAGATAATGCATTTGTTACCTCTGGTACCTAAGTTATACTAGTAGTCGCTGTTTCTACCTTTGCTGTCAGTGCCAAGACCTGGTCTAGTCTACGGCAGAATTCCACCCCTTTTGGAACTGCGATGATGCCGCAATTGTGCCAATTCCCATGGACTTTTTAGAAAGTCTCTGCGGGTACAACTTCTAATACCACGCCTAATGAAGTGGCCGCAATTTCGAATTGACTCTACGCTTTCACACCCCCTATTAGTGTCGTTGGTGGCCTGTACTATTAGCACGAGTAAGAAATCAAGAGTGTACGGATTAGACAACTACAACTCACGAACCCTTGAATCCAGAACTCTCCAGATCATTCCGACCGCAAGATAGTACTAGTATTGTTCAGAGAGCGGCTTGTACGGCGCACAATATGGCGGACCTAGAGAAATCCGACACCGACGCCCGGATCTCGATACCCGACCAACTCGCGTACTGGGCCCAGATCAGTGCCGATGACAATGGCATGCTGGGCGGCTATCCGCAAATCTCACGGATCGACATACAATTTTCCAGGACTTTTCTGCGCAAGTTACAGCGTATGTACCCCGACAAGAGCCAGGAGCGAGGGGCGACGACGACGACGACGACAAAATACGCGTTTCGACATTGTCTGGAAACTGGGGCAGGGATCGGGCGGGTGACGTTCAATTTGTTGTCGTCCATGTGTGAGAAGATTGATGTTATTGAACCGATTGAGAAGTTCACGGCCATGTTGACGGCGAAGGATTCGCCACTCGTTAAGGCGGGACAGTTGAGGCGCGTGTGGAACGTGCCTCTGCAGGAATGGACGGCGGACTCGGTTCCTTCGTACGAGTACTGCGGCGACGAGCGCGGCGTGGATATGGATGCGGATGCGGATGTGGATGTGGACCGTGATCATCATCCCAATCCAAGTGAGGAGCAGCAGCAGCAGCAGCAGATCGGTTCAACCGTGAAGGCAAACGCAAACGCAAATACCAGGGGTAAAAGTCACGACGCGGAAAGAGAAGAAAATCGACAAGGAGAGCAGGGGGGTCGACGTTACGATCTGATCTACAACCAATGGTGCCTCAACCACCTGACGTTTGCAAGCCTGGTTCAATTCTTCCGCAGTCTGATCCCGCTGTTGGCCAAGGGTGGCTGGATCATCGTCAAGGAGAATCTGTCGACCGAGGCATCGGGCGCGGATACGTTCTGGGAAGAGGATAGTAGCGTGGCGCGCAGCGATCGGAATTGGAGGGCGAGTTTTGAAAGGGCCGGGCTGAAGGTGGTTTGGACGCAGTTGCAGACGGGCTTTCCGAAGTCGTTGGGCTTGTTGCCTGTGAGGATGTATGCGTTGAGACCGCTGGAAGGGAGGGGGCTGAAGGGACCGTAGGGATCGTAGGGGCCGCGGGAGAACAGAAAGGGGGTAGGGTAGGCCGGCGGGACAGACAGACAGAGGGAGAGACGGAGGGCCGACTTTCTCCTCCCAATAGGATTTGGTGATTGGCAGAAGGGAAGGCATTGGGGGTGGGTGCCGGAAGACAGGGAGGGAGGTGCGAGGATCCGTGAGTGGCGTGGAGCATTGTTGAACATAAGGGTTTATGAGGCATTTCTGTGTACATGAGCATTATTGAACATAAGGGTTCATGGGGCATTGGTGCGTACGTTGGCATTATTGAACATAAGAGTGTATTGGACATGGGGGTTTCATTGGGGTGCATTGTATGTACTTGCGAAGTTTGTCGACGAGGCGAACTACCCATCGACCCATCCATGAAGACGGCAAGACACTGTGTGTGTCTGACGACCGTTGTGGACCAGTTGTTCGTCTCAATGCTTGGGTGGAAGATTTCGCTGTCGTACAGAGTACAGAGGTCAATGTATAAATAACTAGTGCTTACCTGCCGCCGTCCTCTTCAGTTGCCATACATGTCCTTGTGACAATGTGTGCTATTCTCCTACCCTCTGATCATATCACCTACCGTTGTCTTGCTGTTCCACCTACACACAGTGTCATCACTAGGTCAGCTGGCTCAAAAGATCCATTTTCTCAGCTATCGTACGGGAAGGGCGGGAAAGGCTCAGTATCTGTCGAGTTGTCCTCGACGTCCGCATCTTCAGACTCTGGCTGGTAAATCTGTTCATCGATCTCCTCGTCCTCGTCTGACTCGTAGACCTGGCCTCCTGTCGCGTGTTGGTATAATTGATCATCATCTCTTGGGAGTGATTCGGAATCATGTCCCGGAACGACTTGCTCAGCATCGTCAGCCGGTCGTTGTGGTTTCGGAGCAGCGCCATACAAGTCCTCATCTTCGAACTCGTCCTCGAACTGCTGCCGGGATGGTCTCGGTTGATGATGGATAACAGTTGCCCCGAACTCTGACGATGCTCCGCCCGGTCGCACACTACTGTCCTCATCGGCCTGTGCTGAGGCAAACCGCGCTTGTTCGCGTTGGATCTGGTCAAGTCGAATGCGCAGGAACCGATTCTCGGCCTCGCGCTCCCCAAGCTGCTGGTTCAGTCGTGCTATTTCACAGCTTGAAGCAGAGCCAGGCTGCAGCTGATGTCTTCGGGTCAGCTCCTCCTGCAACCGGTTAACCTTCCAGCAGTTCACGTTGTTGTTGTGTCGGTATGCTTCGCGTTCCCGGTACAATTGGCCCAACTGTTGGGCAGCGAAGTTGACGGCTTGATTCAGCCGTTGCACCGCAGCGAAAGGATGGTCTTCGGTGGCATGGTCGTGCTGAGGAGAGTCCCATTCACCACGAGTTTCACCAGGCAGAAGGACCTGGTGTGGCGTGAGGTAATTCAGGCCGTGTGGACCGAGGTCAATTTGTTCCCCCGGTACGGGTGCCGGTGCCGGTGCTTGGACAGGGGTGACCGGCGCTGCGGCAGAAACACGAGTTTGTCGAGCATGTGGTCGTGATCGTCGTCTAAGAATCTCATCCCTCGCCGATACGAAAGAAGGGGTGTTGTCTAGCAGACGATCAGCAGACTGGTCGTTTTCGGACTGTAGGCGCCATTCTAGCTCACCAACTCTTATTAAGTGATGGTTATCGACACTGGAAAATTCATCATAGTCCTCCGACCAGCGGGCAGCTGGAGGAGACTCACTCACAGCACTCGCAGCAGCCGGCGCTGCATTCGCTGCATTCGCGGTAGGCTGTGGTGGCTGCACCGCCCACTGTTCGGAACCAATTCTCACAAGGCGTTGATTGTTGTCATTCTCGAATTGCTGGAAGTCAGTATCATCCCATGGGCGATTGGAAGATGGTGCTTCGTCCGTGATGTCTCGAATCAAACTCGGTGTTGCTTCGGACTCAGGAGGAGACAAGAGTATGATGGGTCGACCAGCAGACAATTCTCCTTCAGAGCTGCTGATGGGTTCAACGGGCACCGACTCGGACTGAGCTGGAGGGAAGCGTACAACAAGTGCGACGTTGGGTTGGGGAGGTGGCGACACGTTCTGGTCAATACCTCGGCCAATGCATCGCACAAACTTCCGCGGGCGTCTGTTGATGTTGCGTGGAATTGGTGCCAGCTCGCCAAAGGTATCTGCGCTTGAACCGCCCGACGATAAATATCGGGGCGACGGAGGTGGACTTGGCTGCGTGCCTTGATCGCGATAGGTGCGAGGAGCTGTCTGCGTAGCAGCATCTCGCGTTTCTGGCGGATGGGCAGCAAAGAACTGCGCCTGCACCGAGTTTGATACACTCGGCTGAGAGTGGTGCGCCGGAGTCTTCCCTGCTTCGTTTGCAAGTTCGGGAGCAGGAGCTTCGTCAGCCTCACTGTCGTTGGTAGTCTCGATAATGTTTGGTGGTGGAAGATAATATGCAGGTTCTTGCGCATATACTATCAGGCTTGGGGCCGACACTTGGTTTCTCACCCACCCACGGTTCTGTCTCTGCATGAGACCGCTGGGGCGTCGTGGGGAGCCTGTCAGAGACCGTGGCGAGTCTGCAAGGTTTGGACTTGCCAGATCGGAAGGTATGCTTGATGACTTGACCGTCTCGGCATATACTGATGCACTGATTCGAACAAGGGGTGCAGGTGTGTCGGGTGAAGGCGAAGGAAGACCTGGTGCATGAGGACCAGCAATGATGACAACACGTCGGCGAGATGGTCTCGGACTGTTAGCTCCAGCAATATCAGAACGGATAGGACTAGTCATACCAGAATGATTGGCAGTGCTCCAACCGTCTTCGTAACTGCCATCCAAGTGATCTAGCATTCGTTGGCGAGCATATTGGTCTGTCGAGGGAGTGGTCAAGTGGCTGCCAGGTCGATTTTCGTTGGTTTCATTGCTTGAGCGGCCACTGCTGGCATCGACCAAGAATCGTGAATGAGAAGCGGATGATTGTCCCAATGTCTCGCGCAGCAAGTTCAAGGAAGTTCGCGTGGCCTTCAGGATTGAAGAAGTCAGTTTGGCTTTCGATCGCCGGAGAACCTTCTTGATGTTAGCCATGCTGGAAGGAATTTACTGCTTACCAGAAGCGTAAAATTCGGCGTGGGTGGAAGGTTAGGACAATAAATCTCGTTTCTGATTGTAGTTGAATCGTTGCTGGGTTATGGACAAGTGTATATTGACAGGTTGATTGACGAACGATCTCAGTCGCAGTATTGAGCTTCTCTGGGGGTGCGGACAGCGCCAAAGGGAAGAGGAATGGGGGAATATATGCACAATAGGCCTGGGACGACGCGATATTGCTGCCCACTGCGTGAAGGCAGTGCTGTAAGTGCGTAGCCCATTGTGCGTACTAACACAGCGTCGAGGAGTTGCGAAGGCAGTATGAACTGCCCATTTGCACCACAAGTTGTCCCTAAAAGCGGATCAAGGTAGATATATATGATGTATATTCGTGAAGTGCTCGGATCTGAACCATGCTTGTGGCGGTTCATAAGCTCCAGACTGATCCTGAGGATGTTATGTCTGCCCAAGCACCATCTCAGTAGTATCACGGCTGAGTATGCAAGTCAGGATCAGATGTGCAAACCTTTGTCCTGCTTTTGGCGATCTGAACTTCCCGGAGCAGGTCATGCTGAGGTAGAGGGCAGGTCTTCGTGGACGGTCCACTTAGCTGATGATAACAAAGGGTGATTCCACATTCTTTGTCACCTGCGCTGTTCGAAGTGTTCTGCGAAGCCCTCAACAAAGGATGAAACAAGCGGCAAACAAAGGTTGAACGCCTGCAACTTGGTTTTTTCTGCATGGGACCGCGTGTGCCCCTGCGGCACTGAGGACTATGCGACTGGAGTACATATCGGAGTCCATGGTCTGCATGTTGTACTTGACTGCTTGTGGAGAACAGAAGGAGAAACTGTTTTTCTTGATTGAGAGAGGAGGACGGCCGTTATGAATTAACCGAGGACAAGCGAATGGGCCCAAACTAGTTCAAGGCTAGCGTCAGCCTTGTGGCTATCTGCGAGGCTGAGAAGTCCAACACAGGTGATTCTTTCGGCTCTTTCGATCCTTGCTTCCTGGCTGGCGACGACAATAACAAGCGATGTTGTCTGCGTCTTCGTGGACTTTGCGGTGCCTACACAGTACTTCCAAAGTCACCTTCGGGCAGATGCTGACTCTCGGACTCAGGTGTATTTCAAGTCGGCTAAATGCCACCGGCTTCACGCCGTTTTCAGCCGTTGTCCCAAGTAGGCAGCTGAGAACTATCCACGCCGGTCCCGCCTATTTATCCTCGAAATCATGACGATTCTCATTTTCTTGTGCTTGGAAATATACTTGCATGCCTACTGCTTCAAATAGTATTGCGACAGCACATTTACACACGTACTTGCATTCCAAACTGCCTTGAAACCGTCTTGACACTAGCGTCACTCTAGATTTTGCAGTCACGAAGGAAAACACCCATCCGCACACCATCATGGGTCGCACAATTGTTATCACAGGTAAGTCTGACCTCAACTTGGACTGGACTGGATTGGGGGAAGCTCATGTTTTCTGGGGCTAGGTGCAAATCGAGGCTTGGGCTATGAGCTTGCGAGGCAGCTGTCGGAGTCGGCCGTCGTCATCGGCACGGCCAGAAATCCATCTAACGCCCAGAAGTTACGAGAGTTGAAGAACGTCCATGTCGTGGGTATGGACGTGGCGTCAGAGGAATCGATCAAAGCTGCGGCGGAGGAGATAAAGAAGCTCGCTCCAGACGGCATCAACGAACTCTGGAACAATGCCGCTCGCAATGGAGTCAAGGGTCCTGTGACTGAGGAGATTGACCCCAAAGAGTGGTTAGCAGAGTTTCAAACGAACGTGATCGGACAGTCAATCGTGACTCGTCTTTTGCTGCCGCTGTTACGGAAAAGTCAGAACGCAAAGGTGATCTTTATGTCTTCTGGTTGCGGTTCTGTCACCGAAAGAACTGGTGACGACACACTGGTCGTGTATAGTTGCACGAAAGCAGCGCTCGATATGACTGTCAAGGTTGGTGATTCGAGCTGGAAAAAAAGCTCATTCGCTCAAAAAGCCTTACTGACAAGTCATACAGTACTGGCACACAGCACTGAAGAAGGAGAATATTGCAGTGACCGCGATGGATCCTGGATGGTGAGACGACTTTTAATTCGAACATGAAGGGCTCAGCTAATTCAAGCCAGGGTACTGACTGACATGGGTGGCCCAGAGGCGCAGATCGAGCCGGAAGTTTCGATAAAGGGTATGATCAAGGTCGTTGAGGAGCTGAAGCCTTCGTCTGAGCCAAAATTGCGAACATACGATGGTTCAGTTCATGCATGGTAGTAGGCTAGGCCATAATATTCGAGTATCCACATTGACAGACGATTTTCTTATCATTCTGAGATCGTCTGTCAAATCCCTCGAAGCTATAGTACCTGTACGCTGAAATGTGGAGGAAACCACAGTTTCGCCATGAACGAAGTTAGAAGATGGAAACCCGCAATGACATTCAATACTGTTCTGCCGAGAAGTCTTTCAAGGGTGCATTCATCAATATGTTTGCGTTCATGAAGATTCCCAACACTTCGTATCAAAGATTGCGCCCTTCTGCAAACCTCAAATTTCGCCCTGCGGTTGCGCTAGGAGACCTAGGCATTTGTCTACGGCGCCCAGAAAGGCATAGGATGAAGCCAGCTCATCAGCGGAAAAGGGCAAAGTGTCGCAGCCTTGTCGTGTGCTGAGGATCTCGGCGGCGAGGCTACCATTCCGGCAAAGTTGCCATTCCTGCGGGCGAGTCAGCCACAAGAAGGCCAGGATTTACTGCGCCACATCTGATATTCAAAAGTCCTTTGGGAAAGAAGTGATGGGAAACAAAGCAAGATTGGCAACGACAATCCACGACTTCACACACAATTTCTGAACGATTTAGATCTCTCTGTCCATGAACACGACTTCACTTCCCTAGTCACTGTCTTCTTACCATTCGCTAGTGCTAATCAGGACATTCAATTGTTTACAGCTTTTTCACACATACCGCGAGTTTGCGCCCTGTTCCTATCTACCTGTTTTCTTGGATCAATTCATTCATTCTCATCAATCGTTCGGCCATCAATATTCGACTCAGTGGGTTTTCTGTCTCTTTTTCTCTCGGCGCTGGCTATCTGTGCCGGAAAGCTCGACTGCCTTTGTGCTGAGTCCGGACCCACCACTGAGACGGCTTCATCATGTCAGGTATGGCTTCACACTCATGTTGCACGTCGAATATTCATGTCGCAATGGACTTCTCTCTGACTTGGCAGCAGAAACACCACGAGTCGTCCCACTCACATGTCATGGCCATTCACGACCGATCACTCATCTGAGTTTCTCATCCATTGTCGACGATGACCAGTATTATCTCATCTCTGCCTGCAAAGGTTCGATTACTTCGGTTTCCTCGAACTCACATTACATGTCTAACCATGCACAGATAACAATCCTATGCTGAGAGACGGTGTCACAGGTGACTGGTAGGTGCTGGCTTATGCCAGGAAACATCTCTGCTAAGTCTGTGCCAGGATTGGGACCTTCATCGGACACAAAGGTGCTGTCTGGTCATCAAGATTGTCCTCCGACGCAAGAATCGCAGCTACAGGATCAGCAGATTTCTCGGCGTAAGCGCGGCATGTTTGAGATATTGTTTGTTATGCTAACACACCAGCAGGAGGATCTGGGATCCCCAAACTGGAGAATGCCTACATATCCTTGAGCACAGCCACATTGTTCGCTCTGTCGCATTTCCAATACAAGACAATCCGCAATGTGTTGCTACCGGTACTCAGGACAAGAAGCTCAAAATCTTCGATCTCACGAGAGGGAGTAGTGTCGCCTCACCAGCGCAAGCCAGTGCTGCATCCCCAGTTACTCCCAGCACCACCTCCGAAGGTCTTGAGATTGGAGCAGGTGAACACGGCGGAACCATCAAGTCGATTATCTGGAACGTCGACTACAACATCCTGACAACTGCATGTGAGGACAAGACGATTCGGTGGTGGGATCTGAGGAGTCAACGCATGATTACGAGCTACAAGACCGAGCGTGACATTGGGTCGTGTGAGCTATCCACCCACAAATCTGGAGACCCGGACCCAGGTATTATCAGTGTTGCAGTCGGTCACTCCGCTCTTTTCTTCGATGCCGGACGGCCAGGACAATTGGTCAAGCAAGTCAACTTCGACCATGACATCGCAAGCGTAGCCATAAATACAGGAACTGGCCGCTTTGTCACTGGTGGAGGCAAGGACGTCTGGGTTCGCGTGTGGGATTTTGACCAGGAAAAAGAACTGGGTATGTTCTCTGAAGATCTCCTGAAAGACCGGCAATGCTAATCCTGTCAACAGAGGTTCTAAAGGGTCATCACGGGCCAATTTGGTCGACTGCATACTCTCCCGACGGCAAGCTGTTTGCAACCGGAAGCGAAGATGGCACCATCAAGTTGTGGAAAGCTTGTAAGGAGCCTTATGGACTCTGGCGCTGATGATGACATAACCACTGCACGATGCGGCTTATCCAGCACATGGAACGCTACACTTTTACCTTGTCGCGAGTAGCGGCAACCTCAAATAACGGCGATGTTCAAGAAAATTTTCGGATGTCCCAATGACTTTACAATGTCTCATCATCGGTCATGTCAGGAACTGAATGACAGTGGAAGCCGACATCTGTCACTGGCGAGCAGCCATACGAGGGCGAGATGATCACAGGGGGTTGCTGCTTTGAGACGTGCTTCTGGATCGACGGAGCATCGGAGCTGACGGCCATTGGTAAAGAATTTGGTGCCTGGACCTGAACCCTGCAGCAAGCTTGGAACAAGGATTTAGGAGGAGCCTGGGGCTTGCCGAACGGGAAGCTTCAGAGGGGACCGAAGCAGCCTTCCGGTGCCACTCAAAGCGGTACGGGCTCTTGAGGCTCTCTGTGTCTACCAACCTGCGTCACGGCATATGGAGAGAATTTAATGCGATGAGCACTTGGTAGAGAGTAGACAACGATCAATGCATCGCTATGGTACCCCTCATCAACCTAGCTCTCACTGTCGATTCCGCCATCGAAGCACTGCTAAACATTGGCCCAAAAAGTGCTTTTCTTGGTCACCGCCATTCTGCGTTTTGGACAATCAGTGATAGCTGATTCGGCGCAGCTGAGAGCAAGTGGAAGGTCCGCAGATACCCTAGCCTAGTGACCCTAGTTGACCTTTACGCAATGCCTGTACCTAGCTAACTCAGGGCTTGCTGTACGAGCACGACGAGGTAGCTGCCGAAATTCAATCTACTGGCGTAGCCCACCAATATTTTTCCCAGTCACTCCACATTGTACGGATAAGTTAGAAAGGACCGACTTTCTGTTCCCCTCCCAGAAAAGTAACCACCGTAGCAGTCCTTCAAGCAAACATTCTCGTTCTTTCTGCCACTATCTTTAGCGAGACGTGTGCGATCAACTGAAGCCGTCATTCGTTGCCTCTACTTACCCTCCGACCCTCATCCGTTCGCTACCGTACCCCGTATCACGCACGTATTGACTGCTGCGCTGGTCGCCCCGTAGAACCAAGTACTCCGCTTCCGTACACAATCCGACATTGACGTCGCGCTCCTCCTCCTCTACACATTGTCTCGAGCTCGATTGCCTTGTACGCCGAGCTCGAAATACCCGAGTCTTGGTGCACGGCACAATGACTGGCGTTCATGGCGCAGATCAAGAAAAACTGGAAAAAATCACAGACCAAACCCTTGACCGCCGTTCGCACAATGAGACACCTTCCCAGAAGACGGGATGGCCTCGATGGCAACGGAAGGGCAAACAGAGGAGCACCACAGCAGCGGCATGTTCATGGGTTGTCGACCACCAGATCAGTGAGTGTGCAGGAAGAACATCTCTTTCAACAGCGCAACTGACATGAGATGGCAGGCATATCGCTAAACCTCGTATCGATGCTCTTCTTCATACACTTTTTCTTCCCTGCCGCACGACACCACACACAGAAGTTCTTCTGCATCTCCTACTACAACCCCAACACCGGAACCTTCGCCTTGGGCTGGGACGACATATTCTTCGTCTTCTATTGGCTCATAGTCTTTACCGGTCTACGTTGTGCCATCATGGATTATGTCCTGACACCGCTGGCCTCGTTGTTGGGCCTCAAAAAGAAGAAGCCAAAGGTCCGATTTGCAGAACAAGCCTGGCTCGTGCTCTATTCCAGTACGTCCTGGAGTGTGGGCATGTATGTCATGTACAACTCCGACTACTGGCTTGATCTGAGAGCACTATGGCGAAACTGGCCGATCCGCGAGATGGACGGCCTAGCAAAATGGTACTACCTCGTCCAATTCGGATTCTGGCTGCAGCAGATTGTCGTGGTCAATATCGAAGAGCGGCGGAAAGACCACTGGCAAATGTTCATCCATCATATTGTCACTTGTGCATTGATTTTCACCTCCTACGGGTACCACCAATACCGAGTTGGCACGCTCATCCTCTGTCTGATGGACATCGTTGACATCCAGCTCTCATTCGCCAAAATCCTCAAATACCTTCATTTCGAAACCGTATGTGACGTCGCATTTGGCACTTTCATGGTCTTGTGGCTGGTCAACCGACACATTTTGTATTTGTGGGTGTGCTGGAGCATCTACGCACATATACCCGAGGAGATCCAGTACGGATGCTACAAGGGCAGCGTGGAGGACTTGCAAGGGCCATATCCCACGCCGAACGACTGGGATCATCTCACTCAGCCATTCCGGGACCCCGTTGGGCTTGTATGTTGGAACAACAATATCAAGTGGACGTTCTTGGGCATGCTGCTTGCTCTTCAGTGCCTTATGATCTTGTGGTTCGTCTTGATCTGCAAAGTCGCCTACAAGGTCGTCACGGGACAAGGTGCGGAGGACAACCGGTCCGACGATGAGGACGAGGGAGACGATGAAGAGGAGGATATCGAGGATGAGAAGACCACATTTAACGGGATCGGTCAAATTCAACTCTGCCACGAGCCTAGACCGTACCTGGAGAGCGAGGTGTTGAGCACGGATCCGAACTTTTCTCTCTCGGGACAGACCAAGTCGAAATCAAAGTCCAAGGGCTCGAATTCGCCTGTACGGAAAACAAGTTCGGAAGCGATTTCAGGCCGGAGGAAGGCCAAGCACGAGGCCGGTCATTCTTCAAGCGTCAATCTGCTCGCGGGAAGCAGTGACCGCAAGGAACTCCTTGGACGGATTGGGTGCGATAAGGGCTCGCCCTCGGATTGAGACTCTGGGATTCTGGGAGGGATGGGTTACAAACGTTGCTGACGTTCCCGTCCCAGTTCCGTGCTCTGGCATTCAGGAACGATATCCTTAGTGGCATGATGACGAAAGATAGACGAACGAATGAATGACTGGATCAAAAAACAATCAGACTGGTGCGAATCAATTTCTATGCTCTTGTTCGTCCGGTTTGAGGCTACCAGGTATACAGATGCCCGAGGCAGAGCGTAGGGACTTCCAAGCGATGACCAGCGGAAAGCATTAGAGATCTCATGGTGACCGAGAGGAAGACGCAACCAATCGAGGAGAACCTGGAAGAATTCCCTTTGGTGTTCATCAATCTACGGAACCCCCGTGGTGACTCTATGTTAAGTACAAGCCAGAACCCCAAGAAACACAGGACGAGAAGCATCCTCTATGAGTTCCTGCGATTAGATTTACAAGTACAACCCTTCCGGCTCACCCTCACTCTTCGTCTTCATCACACTCTCCCTCGCACTCCTGAAGTCGGCCATGTTGACTCGCATTCTGCGCTCACGCAGCGCTCTCAACCCAGCCTCGGAGCAAATAGCCTTGATGTCTGCACCACTGAGGTCATCCTTTTGCGCAATGAATTCATCAAGATCCACGTCCTCGGCCAGACTCATCTTGCTCGTGTGCAGCGTGAAGATCTTCTTCTTGGTGTTCTGGTCAGGGTTCTCGAACAGGATTTTCCGATCGATACGGCCGGGACGGATCAGCGCCGGATCCAGCGTTTCAATCTTGTTCGTGGCCATGATGACTTTGACATCGCCTCGGTCGTCGAAGCCGTCGAGTTGATTGAGGAGTTCGAGCATGGTTCGTTGGATTTCTCGCTCGCCGCCTGATGTTGACTCGTATCGCTTTGTGCCGATGGCGTCGATCTCATCGATGAAAACGATACTGGGTGCGTTCTCGGCGGCGACTTGGAAAAGCTGGCGAACCAGTCGTGGGCCGTCACCCAGGTATTTCTGAATCAGCTCGGAACCAACGATGCGCAGGAAAGTTGCGGATGTCTGATTGGCAACAGCCTTTGCAAGCAAAGTCTTCCCTGTTCCCGGAGCGCCGTAGAGAATGACGCCCTTTGGCGGTTTGATACCCATCTCTTCGTAGAGTTCCGGGTGTAGTAGGGGTAGCTCGACGGCTTCGCGGACCTCTTGAATTTGGTTTTCCAAACCACCAATATCTGCGTATGACTCCGTTGGTGCTTTGTCCAATTTCATCACCGAGACTAACGGGTCGGCGTCGTCTGTCAAAACACCAACAACCGACACGGATTTGTGATGGAGCAGGATAGAGGCGCCGGGTTCGAGAAGGTCTTTGTCGACAAAGGACATGATGGAAACATAGTACTCTGGGCCAGTGGCGCTGGAGACAATGGCATGGTCATCATCGATCAGTTCTTCCAAATTGCCCACGCCCATGGGACTGCCTCGCATATCGTCGACTCGACTTCTTTCGTCCGCGTTTCGATCTAGCTCTGCACCTTCCGTAGCAGCGGCAGGAGTTTGTGTCTGGGCTGCCTTGGTCTTTCTTATGCGCTCTTGGTTCTCGACGTATTCTTCCTCCAAAAGAAGGTGGTCATGGACTCTCTGCATCCTTAAATATCGTAGTTTGCATCGAGCTGTAGGATAGATTGTAGGTAGCTTCGCCGCGGCATTTGGTCCGGCTTGCTTGCGCTTTCTCCGTCCGATTCTGGTGGTTGGTTGTGGTGGAGGCTCGTACTTGGGCTTCTCCTTCTATAAGTTATATCAATATCAGGTCCGTCAATTCAGAGGTTATCACAGACCTTCTTGTCCTTGTCTTCTTTGCCTCCTTGCCCTGGAGGGCCACCTCCCAATTGTGATTGTTGGTTCCCCTGTTACATGTTAGATATGTGTCTCAGCAAGCAAAAGAAACGGCTACCATAGCTCTGGCGAAGAGTAAATCTTGAGGCTAACGGATCAGTGATTGATGATAGATGGGAAAACAAGAGGGTGTTGTTCCTGGGATAGATGGACTGACACGAGCCGGCGCAGCAGTTACGACACCCGTTCACGCCTATCTTAAAGCGGCGCTAACCATTTTGGCCTCCATCTCCAATGACAGTGAATGACTTTCTCTCCAAATCCAGATTTGAGGAAGTGAGGCTGCGCACCAGAGGCCACAGTTAGGCATCAAGTCCGTGTAGGCTGTGTGACAACGATTCTTTTCCACCCAAAGAGCTCCTAGGACCAGTCTCTTGGTTCTTATTCCGACACCCAGCCTGGCTACTTGCGGCTCATCCTGCTTCGATGTGATTCTCCCGAACCGAACATTCTTGCTGGCGTCTTAGTTTCAAACACTCTTGTCGGTTGTGAATATAGCTGGCCCCAGTCCAGACTCTTCACTGTCATCCAGTGTCCTCAACTTCACCGTTAATACCTTTACACATAAGCTCAACCCACCTTGGACGACAAAATCCTTCTACAGTCCGACTCTCCATAATTTATCCGATCGTACGCACATTATGGCAGGTCATAAAGCAAGACGGATAGCCAAGGATCTAGCAGACATCCGGGCAGACTCTGCCTCGAGCATCTTCGCGGAGACCGTTGGAGACAGTATTACAGACCTCAGAGGTTCCTTCAAAGGCCCGTCCGGGACACCATATGAGGGTGGCACATATGAAGTTTCCATCAAAATCCCCAATGAATATCCTTTCAAGCCACCAGTCATGAAATTTGTCACGAAAATATGGCACCCAAACATCTCCAGCCAAACGGTAAGACTCGGAGTGATTCTGCACTATGACCATCACAGCTGATTTGCTCAAAGGGCGCTATCTGCCTCGATACCTTAAGTACGGGCTGGTCACCAGTTCTGACCATCAAATCCGCCATGATCTCTTTGCAGTCGCTACTCAGCTCCCCCGAACCGAAAGATCCCCAAGATGCCGTTGTCGCTCAGCAATTGATTAAGAATCCCAAAGAGTTCGAGAGGCAAGCCAGGGAATGGGCAGTGAAATATGCAGGGGCACCGAAATCGTTGATTGGAGAGAGCAGTGGAGGCTCAACTGCCGAGTCGATTGAGGAGGCCGAGAAGGAGAGCAAAGAGAGAGAAGCCGCTGCGAACATGGCAGTTTATGACGGTTACAACAAGGACTTGATTGATCGATTTGTGCTCATGGGCTTTGATGTGGAACGAGTGGTAGAAGCATTCAATTACGTGGGCATTGACCGCAATGGAGGACAAGATTACGAACTCGAGGAGGCGTACATGGGCGACATCACTGCTAGACTTCTGGGTGAACCCTGACTGAGGACAGGTCGAGATCGAGGCTTTGAAGCATCAAGCGATGGTGTTAATTGGTTTCGGGCTGCTGCACAATTATCATGAATGTATATCACGATGGCTTATGACCATATGGGACAATGAGAAATGCCCTGTTTGACTTGACTCGATTGATTGCTTGACTAGAGCAACGGATCTCGTAGATAATGCATAGAGGAAGCGACTTCTTGGTGTGTTGGGCATTTTTGGTTGTTCGTGCTGCTGTTTACCAGACCCGGCTTTGGCTTTGCCGAATGAATTATTCACGACTCTTTCTTTCTATCATTCATCTCCACTCTATACGAAGCAAGTAGTCGTCGATTATCTAGGCACTGAGCATTATCTGCTAAGATTTAGGCTTATTGCTATGGGTATCTCGAGGCTATCATGATTGAAGACGATACCTACAGAGCGTCGTCACAATATCGCCTCTGGTCATACACTAGACAAACCCTCGCTCAGATACGCCAAACCACCAACAACCTCGCGTCCGAACGTGTCAAAGCTGCGTTCCGGAGAGTGCAGGCTGCGAAATCAACTGAAAATGGATCACTTTCCGATCGCGAAAACGTTGACCAGGCCCCGGTCGACGTGCAGACCTTGACAGTCGATGAGGAGTTGAAGATCGTGGAATGGGGTTGCTCAAAAATCCAAGATATGGGTGAGGCTATGAATCCTCGCATACCATCAAATGTCGTGGTACGTCGCTCCATGGCCTATGGCCAGGTTGAGCTCGTGTGCTTCATTCCAAGGCTGTTCTCTCAGATTCTCATGCTCCATCACAGGCTACGGCAATTCAATATCTCCGCCGCTTCTATCTTACAAATTCGCCCATGACGTATAATCCAAAGCAGATTATCACCTGCGCTCTCTACCTGGCCACGAAAGCGGACCATTTTTACATTTCGTTGTCCAAGTTTGTGGCAGAGCTGGAAGATTTGACTGAAGACGACGTCAAAGCTCCAGAGTTCCTGCTACTACAAGGTCTCCGATTTACGCTCGATGTCCGTCATCCCATGAAAGGCCTGGCAGGGGGCCATATCGAGATGAACGTGATGGCCGAGGAAGGTCGACTCGGAACGATATCGACTTCGACAGGCTCGACGAAGAGGATAGGCCAGGCTGCTGACCTCGCGAAGAAGTTACTGGCCACTGCTGCTCAGATGACAGATGCGTATTTCCTCTTTACGCCCAGTCAAATTTGGCTAGCTGCCATGATGGTCGCGGATAGAGAACTTGTTGAGGTATATCTGCAGCAGAAACTGTCCCAGCTGCCGATCAACGATGCTGCCACGGGGTGGAAGGAGAAACTCGTGTCAACCATTTCCGCCTGTGCTGCACTACTTGAATCGTACCGGTCACCTGAAGACGATTCCACTCAGCGTAAGGAGATTAGACGGATTGGAAAGAAATTGGTCATCTGTCAGAACCCCGAGAAAACAGATATTGTTGCTGCGACAAGGGCCAAGGCTGCCGAGAAGAGAGAGGGAGATGGTAGTGATGCGGAAAAGGCGCTCAAGAAGCGAAAACTAGAGAGGGAGAGACTGGAGGGGGACGGTAGTGTCTTTGGTCCAGACCTGAGAGACATATCTACATGATTACAGTGGAAGGTCTCTTAGCCCAGAGAACATCAAGCAGACCGGGGCGGGGAATGGCAGAGGCTTTTCCCTCAGTCCTGTCTGTATCCATAATGATGGCAAAAGGCATTCTCTTCTTATTCACATGCATACCATTGCTCTTCTTCAGAGGCTTACCGGATCAGCCCAAAGCGGTAATTTTAACAGTTGGTCGTCAATTCTCCACCTCGATTACAATAATTTTTGGTTTGACGTGGGGTGATCAGAGCATCCATTTCTCAACAGGCGTAAGAGATTTCGATTGATATTTATTCGCTTGCTGTTGATTTCCTCAGTGATTTCGACGTTTGGCGAGAGCCAGCAGTATCCTTGCGAGTCCTGTTGAAAACATTGCCTAACGCGCTTCAGAACGCTTTCCACTATGGCTGGGGGGAAGTTCAATGTTGGTATCATTGGCTACGGGTTGAGCGCCAAAACCTTCCACATTCCTTTCATCAAGGCTGTGCCCGATCTCAGTTTGTACGCCATCGTTCAGAGAAGTCCAAAGCCCGATGACGATGCGAGCAAAGACCATCCGAATATCAAACTATATCACTCAGCAGATGATTTGGTGAAAGATGACCAGGTTCATGTCGTGATCGTCACGACAGCACCAGATTTACATTTGCAAATGGCCAAAGCAGCACTACTTGCGAAGAAGCATGGTATGTGTCCTGTCTCGGTGGCGATGTCATGTACTGACGGCATGTTCTAGTTGTCGTCGAGAAGCCATTCACACCTACATCCACCGAGGCACAGGAACTCGTGGACATAGCAAAGGGCCAAGGGGTGCTCCTCACCGTCTACCAGAACCGACGATGGGATTCGGATTTCTTGACGGTGAAGAAGTACGTCCAAGACGGTACCCTAGGTCGAATCGCTGAATTTGAGACGCACTTTGACCGCCATCGGCCAGAACCCCCGACGGGCACCTGGAAGGCACATCCAACTCCTGGAAACGGCGCGGTGTACGACCTCGGGACTCACCTTATGGATCAAGTAGTTCATCTTTTTGGCATGCCCCAACGTGTGACAGGTTTTGTGGGATCACAGAGAGAAGTCAACCCAACAGGTCTCGAAGACTCTTGCACGGTATTGCTACATTATCCCGGTATGCTAGTCACGGTCAAGGCTGGCGTGGTCAGTCCTGAAGTCAATCAATTGCGGTTCTGGGTGCGGGGTGTCAACGGGTCATTCAAGAAATTTCACTTGGATCCGCAAGAGGATCAATTGAGAAAGCAAGGACTGGGCCCGGGGGACAAAGGATATGGACTCGAGCCTCAGGAGAGATATGGGACCCTAAATATCTGCAAGGATGGTAAGATTGTGAGTGAGGTTGCTCCGACCGTGGAACCACCAACCTATGTCGAGTACTATCGTAGATTGGCGGCTGCGCTCGGCGGTGATGCTTCCCAAATACCAGTGCCTCCTGAGGAGGCGGTAGGCGTGATCAGACTTGTTGAGCTTGCCAGAGAGAGCTCTAGGCTCGGGAAGACCTTGGATGTATAAGAAAGCACATGTACTTGGAGAAGGCTGTAGGGGCGCACAGATCAGGTAACTGAAGAAACTATCATCCTTTCCAGCCGCTGCACAACTTCCTACTACGACTTTTCGAAGAAGATCAAATGTAGAGAAAGGGCGCCTGCCGGTAAAAGGCCTCATCCGCAACGGAGAGTTCATGAGAGTTGTGCGAAAGGGAGTTCAAGTAGTCGACCGTACAATGAGGCTCCGTTTCGGCGGATCATAGCGAAATATAAACCACATACACTTGTCGATATTCCCTTCGCAGTTCTAGTCTTCGTACTTTGCCGATTCTCGAAAGAAAGGATACCATCAAGAAGGTTACGAATGCCGTAAGCAAATCGGTATTCCCCCGCACGCCATCGTCAATGTACCATGGCCATCCCCGGGTCCTTCAGGTCTCAACCTCATCGGGTCCCGTCTCCGGCGCACTGGTCTTTCAGACGCTTTGCTGCCAGAGCGACATCTCATTGAGCCAGACTCTACGTCATGTGAGGTACCATTCCACAGCGGTACCGCGCTGCACAGCGTGTGGATTCAGTGCCGGCACGCATGATCTGATTCATAGTCAATCCAGACCGCTGGAGCGACAGCTGGGTAGGGCATCTGGGTCGCGTGCGTCTGGGTCAAGTGCTGCTGTTGTGCCTTCTTGCAGGCTTCGGAATGTTAAACAACAGCAGTTGCAGAGCTATCAGCTTCGACACGACTTCCATACCGCCTCAATGCTATCAGCCTCCCGAGGCAAAGCCATACACATTCCCGCTGCTAGCCTTCCAAGCAGACCAACGGCTTCGCCCTTAACCAGCCTCCCTCGACCTCCACGACCGGAGCAGTCGCTGGCTTTTGACTCGAAAAGATATCCGCGAAGCCCTCTTGCGAAGACGACTCCGGCGTTAGGAAACAGGAAAAGGGCAGAAAGTCCGGGTGACGAAAAGCAATCGCTCCCACCAAATCCTGCCCAGGAGATCAAAAAGAAGGAGGAGCTCAGGCTGCAGGAGGAAGCAAGACAACAAAGAATATTACAGCGGCAACAGCAGTTGAGGCTCAACATCCAACGTGCGTCGGAGCTGGTTGAGAAGCTTGATACAGAGCTGCTCAACCCGGCTATCATGCAGACCGAACTACTGCGGACAAGGAAGATCGCGAAGGAGGCGCATCTCAACAGAGTGGCCGACCAGAGGGCACAAAAGCTTGTCACTCCAATCATCAAGCAATTGGAGGGCATCTCTCGCGACACTGATATCCTCGAAGATGCATTTGCCAATCTGAAGAAAGAAATGCAAGACTATAGGCGTGGGCTACGGGCTGAAATGGACCACACCATGGAGCTGTTCGCACAAGAAAAAGCAGGGACAGATACTACAGGAATGCTTCGAAAACTCGCCCGGACGCTTGACAATGCCTCGTATACTATGCGTACCGAGGTCATGGGAGAGATCTGCTCTGACCTGCAAGAGCGCGGCTTATGGAAAATGCCTGACCGCATCGACGTTCGTACTTGGCGAGAGTACAGCCCTAGGGGTGCTACTAAGCCACACGTCTGGCGCGCTTTGATGCGTATACTGAACTTGCGTATCCAGTATGAAATTCTCGATGGCGATATCCAAGCGGAGTTGCATATCTATCGAGCGCTGAGGCGATGCTCACTCCGCTATGGGAGGCACCCGGAAATATACGGGTATCTGCTTCGTCACTTCAAGTTCTACGAAGCTCTTACTGGTATTGGGCGCGCCTCAGATGGCATGATCAAAATATTACGTGATACCCGGTCTTGGTTCTCAACATCGTTCTCGGGCGACTTGCGAGTAAAGCTCCTAGATACATGGTATCATCGACGCTTTGTCTTGCTGGTTCAAAAGGTTGCCGAGGGAGCTGCCCGGATCAGCTCGGCATACCACGACCACCTTGACAACCTGACAGTGGTCGGCGCCACATCTAATGTGCCCCTACAACTAGCTCAAGTGTCTGATTTTGGCCCCTTCACGGTTTCCATCCACAAGTTCAGTCAAGTAGTCCGCGATGCGGCCAACCTAACGGATGCTATCGATCGACGTGGGTTGCTTAATGGCTTAAGCATCGAACGACGTTTCTCGCGGGAGGGAATCCTCAAGTGGCTCACGACAGCTAAAGAACTGAGACGTATTCTCTGGAAGGACGTGGAGACAGCTATCGCCTGGAGAGGCGTCGCGAATATATCGTGTGGAATTGTTTATCGACCACCGAATCCGAGCCTGACGGTGGTAGACGCGGCTACCAGGACATCGGCTATGCCTCGACCCGACACGAGGGGTTTGCCTGCCACTACTTGGGCGAGGTGCCCGTGGCGAACGTCGACGAATCTATATCCTCAGGAAGCATCAATCCCCATCAACTTTGTCACCACGGTCTGGGGTGCCGCTACAGTCCTCTACCGCCTGTCAATGAGCAAGGTCATTGCTGTTGACATTGTCGTGAAAGGTGCACAGACAGAAAAAGCTGCTTCTCCCGCAGAAGTTGGTTCCGCGGCGACCCGCACGCCATTATTCAGTCTGCCCTTTGATTTCATGGTCATGGCAAGCGAATCTGAAGTGACGATCTTCCATCTCGGGTATATGGACCCGGCAGATATTCTCAGTCAAGGGACCTTTAAGTCGACTCTCGGCAACCCTTCAATTATGAAGGTCGGCGTTAACATGGACTTTCAAAAGCAAATGCTGGCAGAGCACCTTGGTATCGAGCTGGTCGAATTTTATGATCTCCAGCCCAAAGCGCGTGAGCGCGGCAGTCTCGAAGATCCCAACTGGACCATTCTTTCTGCTTTGATGGCTCAAGCATTCGGCATTTCCCTACCGAGAGTGGACCTTTCGAAGGGCCATGAGGCTGTATTCAAAGATCCACCTCTCTTCTTCAACCGTAAGCACTTTATCCGGGAGCTTGCTTCATCTGCTGACATTACCAGACCTCGCTTCTCGTGGCTACGGAGCTCTGCAGTGGTACTATGCTGCTTGTCGTGCATCGCGGATGACGGCTGCCGGCGCTGCGGCAGGTCTACCCCAAGATCCGACGCCTACATTTGGTCCGGTGTCGTTGCACATACCTGAGGAGCGTAAAGGGCTCCAGTCTTTCGATCTACCAAGCCTCACCCGTAGAAACTACCTGCAAGGTCTCGCTAAAGCAATGACCAGGACAATGATTGAGAACGGCTCCTGCTTGAGTCATCTCAAGCGGTTGCCGGGGCCATCCCGACGCGCTATCGAAAAAGGGGACCTCGATCTCCATTCTTATCTGCTTTTTACTTCATTCTGTCAAGACCTCGGGACGATCGCAATCGACTTGAAGGTGCAAAACCCGGCTGCAAACATCCTTGCGGCGGTTGAACGATATCAGCTCCCGCTTCTCGACGAAGATCAGAGGATACTCACCGCCGTCAGAGGGTTTATTTCAGCGCCGCTGTCTTACACAAAGCCAATATCCTCCTTCATTCGTCATCGGGTTACCAAAGAGCTTGATGCTCCATCGAAAGGCACCAAGCCTACGTCTGATACCTCAACGGATAGTAAGACTGTGGCCCGTAAAATATCGATGAAAAGCACGGTGGCCAAAAAGGCTCTGAACGTGGCTTCCAGAACTGCGTCCCCGAAGCCAGCTACTGCGAAGTCAGCCAGCCCGAAACCAAGTCCCAAACCTGCGGCGCGACCCAGCAGGCAGACTCTTCCGGGAACAGTAAAGTACACTCCGTTTTCGACTCAGCCAGCGAATGAACCACCTCGTCCCCCAAAGAAACCTTCAGTTACACCCACAAAGAAGCCGCCAAAGACTGAACAGTCCCAGTCTTTCCCATCCCGAGGCAAAGACCTGGAAGTCGATGCAAATGGCCCTACCGATGCGGGCGGACGTGCAAAGAAGAAGGCAGGACGATCGAAAAAGTCGAGACCTGCCGCTGCACCATCTAAAGGACCGGATCGGCCCATCCATACTGACATGCCAGGCAGGCCGTCAGAGCCTGGGCACGTGAAAGAGGAAGCGGTGTCCGCTGGATTTTGGGGCGTAACGTTCGAGTCGTAATGATACGAGACTGCATGCAGTACGAGAGCCTATAAGCTTTGCGCTTTCAGCATGGGGTGTGCCATGCATTTGAGGCGAAAAGAACGTGTTCAGTGTCGCTTCAGTCCGTCGAGACGGGGCTGGGATGATACATGGAGATGGACAAGGCCATGCTATGACGGTGCGACATGGAGATGAGTGCCGTGCAGGATAGATTGATGGCAAGCACAGAAGGCTATATATTTGTACGGTACTCCGTACTGCCAGACCACATACACGCCGAAGAATCTAGTCCAACTACACGCTCTTGTCATTCCAAGGACGCAGGAACCGTGTGAAGTATACAGTAATATTAGGACCTCCCCCACCTCCTCCAAAATCTTCGCTGCCTTTTCCCCGAACCGCCTGACTCGTCCCTGCCTGCCACACGCCAGTAGTAGACAGGCACACCGCTAGCCACAAACGCCATGACGATGACCGTCTGAAGTGGCTGCGCAATCACGGCGCGGCTGACCAGGAACAAGCTCACGCAGCAGAAGATGATAGGTGTGGTGATCCACGTGCGGTACGGCCTCTCGAGATGGGGCTCGCGAATGCGTAGAACGATCAAGCCTAGCACTGTGAGGAAGTAGAAGGTATACCCGGCCACTCCGTAGAAGGTGATCAGCGTGTTGAACTCGCCTAGGCAGATGTACACCATGCACAGGACCATGTTGAGCAGCATGGCGTTGACGGGCGTATAGCCCAAGCCGATCGACTCGTCGCCAAAGAGGCGGGCGAGCGTCTTGCTGAACCACGAGCGCTTGCGCAATTTGTTGAGCGGCATGGGCGTCTCGGGCGAGGATGAGGACGAAAAGCCGAATCCGATCTTGCCGAAGACGGACGGTATGTAGCCCTCGCGTCCTGCGACGTACACGAGCCGGCCGGATGTGAAGGTCGTGGCGTTCAGGGCGCCGAAGCATGATGCGCCCACGATGAGCGCGAGGATCAGGCCACCGATCGGACCAAAGACTTTGCTACCGAATTGCACGGCAACAGTGTTGGATTTGTTGATAGTTTCGAGAGGGAGAACGAAGATGTACGATATGTTGGCTAGAAGGTAGCAGACTATTACGGCTGGCATGGCGGTGTGTAAAACGCGGGGGAGATCACGGCTCGGATTCTTGAACTCCCCAGTCACGTAGTTTGTATTGTCCCAGCCGTCAAAGGCCCAGAGGCCAGCATAGAGGGCCACGGCCCAGTTGGAGATGTCGGTCGATGTGCCTTCGAACCAATGGCGTGTACGCCAGTCTGTATTGGCTGGGCCGTTGAAGGAAAGGCCGGTGACGGCGACGATGATTCCGATGATCGTGACCGCAGCTAGGGCGATGAATTTGAGAAACATGAATAGATCACCCAAGCGAGCTGCAAAGCGCGTGGAAACGCAATTGAAGAGCGTGACGATCATTAGGGCCAGCAACGCGGGGAACTTGTTGATCCAGGGATTGACGTCTTCCACATCAGCCCCAATGGCGGCTCGTACCACATATTCGCCTAGTATGATGGCGATGATTGCGGCGCCGCCCGGTTTCAGGACCAGGATGGCTGACCATGTGAAGAGAAAGCCGAAGACTTCGCCAAATATTTTTGCTAGGTATACCTGAGCTCCGCCATTAAGGGGAATGGCGCCTCCTAACTCGGCGTATGAGGAAGCTCCCGTCCACGCCAGCAGGCCCGATATTGTCCAGACAATCAGTGATGCACCCGGTGAGCCTGCATGAGAGTTGACCTGCGCTGGTGAAGAGAATATGCCCGAGCCTATGATCAAGCCGACCACCAGGGATAAGCCATTCAGGTATGTCAAGGTCTTGTTCTTCTCCAGGTTCTGCAGTGTTCCGCGTCTGTCTATCGACAGCGAGGCAGCTGATGGATTGCCCAACGCAGTGTATCCTCCAGCGGTCGACGAGAGGGGGAATAGCGCAGGTGTGAAGTCGAAGGCCGAGGATACCGAGTATGAGCGTCCGCCTCGGAGGGCATCGCGTGCGGCAGGGTTTGCGCTGTCTAAGGGGTCTTCGTTCTCGAGGGACAGTCTCCGAGAGGAGGATATGCCGGATCTCGAGGACGTCTCAGATGTGGGCAGATCATCTTGTTCAGAGTCGGCCAGCGAAGCAAGTTCAAGGGAGTCTCGACCAGGGAGTGGCTTCTGGATTTCGGAGAAGCCAGGTGGAGGCATAGTGGTCGGTGCAGGAGATCAGCGAGATCCGGGTATCATTGTGGCGTCTGATGGTGATGACAGTACATTTGGGATCGCTGAGGCCCGGCGAAAGGAAGAGCACGACCACGCAAGACACAGATTATGTCTCGGATGTGGTTCGCAGTTGGCCGATGTCACGGTACGGAGGTCCTTCGAAGTCGATGAATGATGCCCAGGCACTAAAAAGTGTTAGCGGAGTTGCATATTGCCCTGAATGGGTTAGTCCGCAGATCGCCGCTTTTGGGGGATTAAAGCATTAGCTCAGCACTAATAAGAGAACCGTTTGGCCCCGGCGTTTGGTGTTTGCATTCGGGGTTTGTTCCTGGCACTGATCTGGGGACTGTTCTGGGGACTGCTCTCCCGTCCTTTGGTGTTATCTCCATCTTCGGGATGCGTGATATACCTTGACACATGCCGTTGCTGTTCTATGCCTCTGGACTGACGTTTAAAACAGCCTTAGACTCTACTGCCGTGGAAGATGCCGCTTGAGCATTTGCCATCCGCTCTTTCTAGCATTCCAATGTCCCCTTCCCTATTGACTAGGCGGCAGGGCAGCTTCCAGCCTTCGCATATGAACTGCTTGGCATGGCGAAGCAAAGGGCGACTGCCATTGATGCTTGTGAGCTGCGACGAAGTAGCATCCACGGAGAAGCCTGGAAAACGATGGCATACATCTGTCAGCTGAAGGAAGCATGCGTAGCTCGGAACTACTAGAGACGCCTCGCTGCTGGTTAGTGACGGAAGAATACAAATATACCACAGGCAGCACTGCGATCCCGTGGCACAGCGTGTCTTCAATACGGCCTATGTTATCATCACGATGCTGCTCACTTTCCGTTGAAGAGAAGGTGGAATTCCACTGGCCACAGCAAACGCAAACGCGCACTGTCTTGCTGCATCTGTCTGCATCATTGCTCTGCTGAGAGACAACGGCCTGAGGTACGTTGTTACAACATCGTTGATGAGCCTGATGATGGAGTGATGCAGCTGGATTTTTCTACGCCTGAGGCCTCATGTAAATGTCGCAGTCTGACTAAAGCATTCTTGACGCAACCGGGCTACCACGATCTATACTTTGTCTCTCATATGCTCCTTTAGTCTTCCGAGTGCTGCGATCAGCATCACGGTGCCTACTTTGTCCGGAGCAAATGCCTTGCGAACGGATCCTTTTCGTGCACGGAAATGAACCAGGTACGCCTTTGGATACCACTCAAATCCGCGCCCTACGCTCGCATGTGCGAAGAGTCAACCTCGAGAGGCTGCAGCAGAGGAGCACACAACGAATGGAAATCTTTCGATCCCTTTCTGTCCAAGATTTTTCTCCGAATGGGAATATCAGACCCGAGAAGCGAAGATTTCCTGTGCGTTCCGATCCTGGACAGGCCTTTTCGCCGTCACCAGGACCAGAGGGACCCAGCGACACCTACTTAGTACACTGCCTCCCCTTTCAGTCTACCCAAATCACGGACAGGGCTGACAAACCCCTGGCGATATTTGACGGCGAGCCCTGCTTGTGGGTGGGAGCCGACGACCAGTGCTCGCAAGCAGCAACCGGAGAATATGCGGCTATAGATGCAACTGAACAGCATCCTTATGTACAACAGATTTCGGCAATTGTACAGCTAGACGAAGTACTGATGGATCGCTTGCTCAGGAGTTGTCAGTAATTCCTTATTCAGCACTGGATTCTACTGCTCACACGTTCTAGGTGCATTTCCGATTGCCGTTAACCCGCTAATCACTGCGGAGCACGAAAGGTGCGATTTGAGGGACCTCTCCGTCTTCCCAGATCTCCTTGAGAACTCCGCTTTCCTGTACGCCTTGGTATACTCTATGGTGCTGTCAGGAAATTCTTGGGAGTGCACCATTGAAAGCCTGTACCTGAAAGGCAGAGCCATTGAGTGTCTACATGAAAATCTTCAGCAACATGATATCACCTCGCAGGCGTTGTCCGCGTGTACGATGTTAATGCTAGGTCATGCTGCTGTACGTCTAGTCACCGTCTGACTGGATTTTGGTTGACGAGGCATAGTGTCGTTCTGGCGAGTACACCGAGTATGCAGCTCATTCAGAGGGGCTTTACCGACTGGTGAAAGTCTGCCGCTCCGGTGGCGCGCCCATGGCCACTGACATTCTCCGTGCTGTGTTCTGGTAAGTTGTTGCTCCGCGAATCCGGGCGGACATAGCTAATCTTCTTATCAGGCAAGACATTACGTGTGCTGAGGTCATTGACGCGGTGCGGAGATTTTGCGATGCAGATTTTCCGGCCTTGTTCGACCAAAGGCTGCAGCTTACTCACAAACCTGAAAGAGACCTACCGTTTGGGTTCGCTTTACACCAGGAAGCAATTCCCCACGACGTCATTTTGTGCATCCAGGACATTGCAAGCATACAGACAACAATAGCAACGGAGGCTGTTGAGCCCGTGGCTGTCGATAACATCCGAGCATCGATAGTATCCCGCCTTGTCCTCCTCCAACAACCTTCGCAGACCCTTGGACCCATAGCCGAGTGCTGTCGACTAGCAGCATACATAGTCTGTTACGTAAGCTACCAGGCGGCCTCGAAGGACTACTTTATTCCCGTTCGCCTGTCAGAGAAGCTACTTCTCATTCTTGATAATACCATTCCGAGCGACATCTGGTCTTGTCGGCGCGACTTGTTACTGTGGCTGGTGTTCGTGGGATCATCTGCTTCTCGAGCCAATCTGCAATCGACCTGCCCGATAGAACCTCGGTATCAAGATATCCTAGAGCGTGTCCTACAGTGGGCGAAGACCTGGGACGATATGCAGGAAGGCAAGTTGATCCTTGAAACTATGAAGACTGGATTTGTTTACGCCGATGACTGGATCAATCAACGGTACTGGATTCCTTATTGGGCCGACCTCGAACGACTGATTTCGGAAAGACAGTCGGCGGACGAAGAGAGGGCTCAATGCTAGTAAGCTACGCTTCGATATCTGGCGACTTCAGGTTGTTTGCTTTCGAATGAACTTTGGGGCCAAAAGACTTCTTCGTCCTACCTTGATGCAAGGCTATGCGGCAAGGGGGTCACTAGCCGAAGACCCAGTGGGCTCCCAGGAAGGCATATTGCTATGGTTGTCGTTGGAGCTCCCAGCCAAGATGAGCTAGACGTTGGGCCACTGCATGACAGCTTCAGTTGACGACGACTTCAATATCGAAGGGGAGAGCTTGGGTGGCCATTGGGTCATAGCGAGATGAAGATGACAACAACATCCCAGCAAAGACGCTTGAACGAAGAAGTTCTCATGCGTTGGACTCATAGTCGGACTCATAGTCAAGTACTTCGTGGTCCGATAAACTATTGGCCTCAGCAAGTACGAAGACGTCTCGCCCCTCTTGAGGTGACCTATAGTTCAAGGACTCTAAAGCAGCGTGATGTATCTTCATCCATTCTCTAAAGCGGCACTACATAATGTTAAGAGTTCATTCTTGTCTTCTTTACCTGAATTCACTCCTTCGAAGGAAGCGTTGGTGAGATCTGCAGCGAGCGCTCAATGTTTGCAAGGTGCTCAATTGGAGCACCGCGCAGCCTGAGATATGCTTCTAACCCACCCTCCTTGAGGGCACGGGCACGCTACAACTCCACCGCCGAAAATCCCAAGGAAACTCCCGATGTCCCTAGATCTCGCTTGTCGAAGCGCGGCTTGTTCGTCGCAGCGTGGACAGCCCTAGTCGTTGTAGGCGGGTGGCAGGTCTACAGGTACAACCGCAAAAGCGATGCCTTCGTGGCTTATACGCTCGTCTCCAAGGAGCCAGTCTCTTCGACCGCCAGCATATTCCACCTCGAGCCTAAGGAAACCTCTTCAAACTTCGAGCTGTACAAAGACGCATGGAGAAGAGGGATATGGAACGTACATTTCAAGCAACCACAACTACAGATCGTGCGGGCCTACACACCTCTGCCGCCTGTCGACGAAAGCACAGGCCGGGAGAAGGATGAATTGCGGTTCCTGATCCGTAAGGACCCTCACGGCGAGGTGTCAAGCTATCTACACAGGCTACCCATAGGAGCGGCGATCGAGATGCGCGGGCCGAATCTAGAATACGAGCTCACACCGGACGTTCGGCAAGTGGTCTTTTTCGCAGGCGGAACCGGCATCGCACCGGCATTGCAGGTCGCGCATGCGCTGTTCGAAGGCAACAAGAGCGAGGGAGACAACAAGGGCTTGAAGAAACTGCATATTCTTTGGGCGAACAGGATGCGAGAAGATTCTCAAGGTGGTGTCAGTGATGCTCCGCCGGAGGAGGCCGTGCCGCCGAAACCGACGTGGTCTGGGTTGTTCTCGAGACCGAAGGCAAAGGTCTTAGCACCCCGAGTGTCGCATGATAAGGGCTTGATCGTGAAGGAGTTGGACGCTCTCAAGCAAAAGTACCCTGGTCAAGTCACGGTTGAGTACTTCGTCAATGCGGAGGATACCTGGATTGACGAGGACGCCGTTTTCAGAGCACTGGCTCGCTTCGACGACAAAGCTTTTAGTGCCGGGACGGCCAGCACGCCGTCGGAACAAAAGCAAATCCTGATCTCGGGACCGCCGGGGTTCATCTCGTACTTGGCTGGACCGAAGGAATGGAGGAATGGCAGAGAGGAGCAGGGCTCGGTGAGCAGGATCCTGGCTCATGCGATCTCGAAAAACCCGCATCATGTCAAGGTTTGGAAGATATGATATCCCTAATGGTATTGATGGGGGAGGAGCCGTTGATCGATTTGTTCTCACGCAATATGCAGGCACTTGGCGGGGATTGTCCTGAAGCTGGAGGGCAATCCCTCTGCGTCCGTGATGGACAGTGTGATGGTCGCAGCAAACACGGTGACACCACTGCAGAGTTGCGAGTGCAAGTGCGAGTACGGGAGAAAGCCCAAGCCTTGCATAGTGCTGAGCACTGGCCTGAATGTCCGCAGGACTTATTGCAAGACGCGAAGAGCCCAACACACGGTCTGCGGCTGGCACCAATTACAAAATGTCGGAGCTGCGACTGCACATGTTTCGTGCATGAGCATGTCACCAGGAGGCGCTGCACTGTGCAGATCGACTTCAAGCGCGAGTCCTGGGCTGGTCAGGGCCCGAGACCTCTCGATCTCTCCGTCAGGGGTTAGAGGCGAGGCTCGCGCGCTTCGGTCCATGCCCGTCCTGCGCAGGAGCAAGGCTGATTCAAGAATGTGTCTATATCTGCGTCTGCGACGGGTATCCACGTCAAAAGGGGTTCCTGTGTGGCGCTCGCGTGCAAAGCAGAGTGCAAAAGAGATAGCGTTGTTCAAGGCCAATGTACGATAGGGAATGGAATTTCCCCAAAAGTGTGTTTCAAGGAACGACTTGACGACGCCAGGTCATCCTATCGGGGTGTTATTAATGTATGTAATGTGTGCTCGTCGTGGCTATCTTCATATTCGCCAATCCTCGAAGGATTCTTTCTGCTGGGCCGAATTCGACCTCTAGACAAAACAGGAATACCCAACCTTGACGACCGAATCTCTTGTTACGCTCGCTTGAAAAACTAATCCAACATCAGAGCAGGCATGATCTGCAGCCTGGCAGCAGTGTGAACGAAACGCCTCATCGACATCCAAAAAATGCAAGGCAAGAGTTTGAAGGATCGTCTCATCGTCTAGGCGTAGTCGGAATCTGCACACCATTAGTCGGGCTCCGACTGCCATCACTCGAAGTCGCTTGGTTCTGGCCATCCATCATGCCCTGCATGAAGGAAATGTAGTCGTACTTGGGCACCTCGCGGTCCGCTTCCATATCGGGACCTTTGTGCTCCGGCATACTGTGTAGCAGATCCTCGATCAAATCGTCCGGTATCAGGGAATGTCGGAGGTCCATCTCGGTGACGTACGGCTTTCCATCCGCCACCTCCCGGAAAGACTGGAAGACTTGTTCGGCGCTATTCTGATCCTCAGTCACGGAGACCATGAAGCGAATGAATTGCTCAAAGCCCACTCCACGACTCTCCCTTTGTCTTCGTGACATGGGCGACATTGATGGGTCGATGCCGCTGTGGCATACTTCGACGTACTTGTCGTGCATTTCTTCTTCATCGTAGACCAGTCCAAGACTGGCCAGTGCTGCACTGAATTCCAGTTCCGAGAGCGTATTGTTGCCTTCGCGGTCGAAGTGCCGGAAGACGGATTCGAATTCTTCAAGCTGGATGGGCGTCAGGTTGGTCATGTTTCTGGCAACCATCTGGTTCTCGAGGAACGTCAATTTCTTCTGCACGCTCATCTTGACCAGACTCAACTCGTAGAGCAACTCGTCGTATGTGTAGGTTGTGTAGTCGTTCTCGTCAATGTTTGCTTCTTGACACTTCTCGTCTAGGATAGCTATTCCTTCCAGATATTGCTCGAGAGGTGCCAGATTCGCTGATAGACGTTTGGCATGTTGTAATTGGTCTTCCACATCTCCTTCCAGCCCGGAAATGGCGAGGGAAAGTGTGTTCAACGTCAATGCGAAGTCATTGGCCTTGTCGGCGAAACTCCGTCTCAGGCCATTCTTGATATCTCGGATGGTCTCGTTGATCAGTTTACTCCTGGCATGCTCGTCCGTGCCCAGCGTAGCCCATTCATGGTCAAGCACCTCAAGTCGAAGATCAGCTGGTGGCTCATAGGGTCGTAGGCGGTATGTCGACAGTTTCGTCTTGATATTGCCGAGTAAGGCTGCAAGGTCTGACTTCTCAGCCACCCACCTTCTTTTCTGGTTCCTCTTGAAGCTGGCCAGCTCATTGGCTTGAGCTTTGGCGTCGGCGTATGTGCCTTCGAACGTCGAATTGTGCCATGATTGGCGCTGCTGTCTGATATGTTGAAGAAGAGCGCGCATCCTCTTTTCATACGCCGTCTCCATCTCCCAGGCACCTTGCATGTTGCTAACAAACTTTTCCACTCGCCTGCCAGCATTTTCTACTCTTTCCATTGCGCTGAAGGCATGGAACCAGTAAGCAATGTACGTCATGAGCGATCTCTCGTCGGGTCTGGGTACATCTGCAACATCTTCCACGTCAAGCAGGTCTGGAATGCCAATCTCCTTGGTGGCAATATCGAAGGCTAATTGCATGTTTCCTTTGTGGTCGGATTTGTCCAAAGTGTCAAAGTCAATCAGATCAGGGCGGTGGATGTCGAGGAGGGCACAGAAGGCAAGGCCGTCATTCCATGACGAGGAGAAATCGCGCACTTCAACGCCCTCATAGCATGCGGTCTTTCGCTGGCACCATAGTAGCAGACCCTCTTTGGCGGTCATACCCTCCTCGTTGATGTCGGAGATGGTGAAACGTAGAATGAGAGTCCATATCAGGCCAAGAATGATCTTTCTATTGCCGTCCACAACATCTTCCGCGCCGATGTTTGTCATCTGAATGCCACGGCTCTTGATAAACTCCAACGACTTGTTGACATTTTCGAATTTCTGCACCCGCAGCCTGGGGTTGGCGGCATATCGTCCAAGGGACTCGCTGCTGAGGACTTCAAGCAGGTGAACAAGGATGATTCCATCGGAGAGGTCGGTGACGAGGTTCTTGACGGCGACGTCGCGAGAGGAGATTTTATTGTTTAGCCTGCGGGAGTTAGCAGGAGAATTAAACATGCGGACGAGGCGGTATACCATTTTGTAAAAGTCTTCTCTTGTACATTCACCCATTGCTTCTCCAGCAGCACCATGGCTGCATGTCAGATGGGAGTCGTCGCAGTGTTGAATGAGCGCTATCGCTATTGATGTCCGGTATGCTGGTATACGGCGGTGTGAGTGGTTGTTTCCAAAAAGTACCCAAGACTTGTGATTGACTGCAGAGCACAGAATATTTCCAAAAGGTCCGAGTGTCAAGTCTAATGGAACGAGGGATAATAGTCTTGTTCTATGGAGATGGGATTGATTCAGCTGAGGGGTGTGAGAGAGTGTCAGTGACGGTCTCCTGGTCCAGACCAAACCACAATACCACCAAACCGCCAAACCGCCAAACCGCCAAACCGCCAAACCGCCAAACCGCCAAACCGCCAAACCCCGGTTCTCTCGGTTCTCTCTTTGTTGATGCCCGTCGGCGGAGTGACCAACGGAATCCGCCAATCACCATCCAGACTCCTCCTCGCGTAAGGCGTAACGCGATTCAAGCACACGCATCACACAATTGGAATTATTGCGGAAATCATGTCATATCCTACAAGTAGATGATCTCTAGAGTTATGGAGGCTTCTAGGCTGACGCTGGGAATATTGGGCCACCGCCGTCTACGTTGTGCCCGACGAGCAGGTACCTGACCACAGCATGTACAACACGAAATGTCGTCATGACTCCTTCGTGGCTTCAACAACAGTTTTGGAGTCAATTGTGTTGAATGACGGCCTTCTTCCGTAAGCATCTGTAAATTTGTTCGATATAGCAGTTGCGTCGTTCCAAGTCCAAGGGACCAGTGAAGCCATGAGTCTAACAAACGGAGCTGCCGAAAGCTCCTGCTGGGTGACACTGGTAACAAAGCCTTCATACTTGCCGGGAGCTATCGTACTGGCACACACTCTTGACCAGCACCAGTCGAAGCATCCGTTCCTGATACAATACACTTCTTCGGTGGGCGACGAGGCTGTCAAGGCGCTCGAGGAGGAAAGCCGCAACTATGGGCGAATCAAGCTACAGAAAGTCGAACTTCTACTCCCACGAAAAGATCAAGAGAACACAGGAAGTGTCGCTGAACGATTCAAAGACACCTTCACTAAGCTCCGGGCATTCGAGGTTTACAAGCTAGGATATACTAGAGCTGTTTTTCTCGACGCCGACATGGCTGTATTTCAGAACCCAGACGAGCTCTTTGAGAGCTATCTTCCAGGCCGGGACTGGCTAGGTGCCAACCATGCCTGTGTATGCAACCTGGATCATGACTCTTGGGCTCCTCCAGAATGGCATAAGGGCAACTGTGCTTACACGCCGCTGACCCACCCTGATGATGTTGCGACACCCATGACCCCTGATAGTCGCCCAACCTACCACCTCCTCAACAGCGGCATGTTGTTGTTCTATCCAAGTGAAGACCTCTGGACCAGGATGCTGCATTATTTCAATACCACTGACCGACTGAAGACATATCAGTTTCCCGATCAAGACTTCTTGGCGGACTTCTACGGTGATAAATGGTATCCCTTGTCATGGAAGTACAATGCTCTCAAGACTATGAGATATTGGCATCCACGGATCTGGTCTGACGATAACTTGGTGGTTCTACACTATATCGTGGACAAGCCATGGGAGAGACAAGTCAGCCCTAAGGGTGTTGCTGGACATCTGGGACGAGATGGAGAGACACATCGCTGGTGGTGGAATATCTATCACAATTGGAGAAGACAAAGAGAAGAAAGCCACAACAGTCCCCTTGTACTTACAGCCATGGACACACTCGTGGATACCAAGGAGCCATTTACAGAGGCTGTTCCACTGCCACAAGATGTTGGGAAGCCGGAGGATGTCCTACCATATCCATGAAACTTGCCCTGTTCTCCTCAAAGCGTGACTGGTTCTATATGGACCGGTCTATGTTTCTTCACAAAAGGAGAGAAGCACAAGCGACGAAGTTGTCCTTAGCCTGGATCACGGCTGGCCTGGGTGGTGGATGCTGCCTGTACCGAAAAGAAGACAACCTTGATCTGGATCAATTTGGCCTATCCTCTACAATATGGCACCATTCACCTAGGCCCCTTCCAGACTCTACTGACATCTTATCGCTATCCAGGTTCTAATTTTGAGTCTACCTAGTATTTGTCACTGTCTGCCTCCATCAGCCTTGTTCCGCCTTGTCGAATGATGGACCGGTTCCCCTTCTTAACTGGACCAACTGTCCCAACCACTCACCCTCCTCACCGCCCACCTAAACACTGTCAATAGAAGCCCATTGCCATAAACGCCATCCCATTACTGGTTTAGCGTTCACGGATTTTGTTTCCGCCGTTGTGGGAGCAAACATTCTATATCGACCAGGCTGCACACTCACCTTGAATTTGGAACCCTTTTCCCTCGTCTTCTTCTTCACATCCCCTATCCACAACCCGAATCAAGATCTCCAGCTGTACAAAAACATCCAGACAGTGTCAAAATGTCCGCCAAAACTTATCCCCCCGTAGGTCATCCTTCCTGCATAGCCCTCGGTGTTCCTCAGTGTCTCTAACTTACCGTCAGTACAAATTCATCTTCTTCGACTGCGACAACACCCTCGTCGAGTCTGAAGACTTGGCCTTCAACACTACTGCGAACCTTGTGAATGAAATTCTTGAAAAACATGGAAAGACCGAGCGTTACACCCCAGAGACGCTCATCCGTGACTTCTGTGGGTTCAACTTCCGTAGTATGATGCCGGTTCTGTGTCAAAGACAAGGCATCAAGATGGACCCCGAGGAACTCACACACTATGCCAAACTCGAAGAGGAACGTGTCGTTGCTATGTTCGCCGAGAAGGGCAAGCCGTGTGATGGTTCTCTCGAGGTGCTCGAGAAGCTCCACAGCGAAGGAAAATACAAGCTGGCCGTGGTGTCTTCGTCTGCTCTTGGCCGCATCCGGGCACAGATGAAGAAGACAGGTCATGACAAGTTCTTCGACGAGGACTGTGTCTTCTCTGCCCAGAACTCGATGGACGTTCCAAGCAGCAAACCAAGCCCTGCCGTGTACCTTCATGCCATGGAGAAACTGGGGGCCAAACCGAATGAGTGCCTCGCGGTCGAAGACAGTGTCTCTGGATGCAGAGCTGCTGTGAAAGCAAGAATCCCTACCATCGGCTATGTTGGCGCTTACCACACCGGCATGGCCAAACACCAAATGTTGCTTCGACTCATCGATGCCGGCTGCAAGGCCATCCTTTGGGACTGGGAGAACTGGAACACTATCTTTGAAGAGATGGCACCGTACACCAAGAAGAAGTAAGGCTACCCAGTGTCGCAAGACCCAAGAGGCTGCGACCAACCGTCTTCTATGGGCCTATGACCTTTCGAAAAGAAGGGAGATGCAAAAGGTGCCACCAATCGTCTGTTATGCGCTTGCAAAACAAAAGAGAGCTGCAACAGGTGTCACGACTCACAAATCGTTTTCTATGAGCTCGCAAAACAGAGAGCCGCAAAATTGCAAGGCGCGGCGCAACGTGCAGAAAAAGGGGGAGCTGATATCACGGACATCGCAGACATGTCAACACCTACATGAAAAGAGCCGGCCGTCATTTATGAAAGAGAGAGACGCAAACGCATTGAAACATGGCCAGTAACACAGCGCGCACGCTGACGCAGATTATCCAGCACCATATTGAAGATAGAAGAACAGAAATCTTCCACCAAGGAAAAGTGCGAACAATTTTCAAACGGAATCATTTTGTTACGTGCTGTCCAATTGCCCTCCGTTTTCCTTTTCATGGCCACCCCTACAAACGACCTGGTCATCCACGAGCTAACATCTCAATGAGAACACCTGTCTCCGCTGGCTCGCCCTCATCGTTTGGCCACGGTGCGGAGGCTCACGATCAGGGGCCGCTCCATCGGTTTGCTTCACCACTTTTCATTGTGTTTGGACATGAAATGATTCACTTTGTCTCTTGTCTCAGAGACAAACCTTCTTTGTTCTGCAGCGCGGCGTTCCCCTAGGAGAGTGCCATGACCTCTCAATAAATAGAGCTGCTGCTGCCGCTGCCGCTCATACCACGGTGAGAATCCAACGCCGCGTCGCGCTGAGTAGATCCATCCACGTATGCGGTAGTGGTGATGCTCAATTTGTATTTCCCCCTTTGCAAGCCACATTCCTCACACCAAATCAAGCTAGTTCCAACATGCAGCCTCATACCGGAAAACGCAAACGAGCTCCTCCTCGGAGCCAGGGAGACACAAGTGCGGCGGCGACATGGAATCAGATATTAAAAAATGGCCAGCCTCCAAAACCATCGGAATTACCTGCGCAGCTGATGAACCAGAATCGTCCGCAGGCTGCATTATTTCAACCTTCAGATCCCGCCGCCGTACGCTCGATCCCTGCTCAGCGGAGAGTAGCAACACCGGTCTTTCTAGGAAGGCCGAGGCCGAAAACACCTCCTTTCCCCTTTGCCGCCTGCACAGTAGGGCTCGATCCTGCCAGACTGCCATCAGAACCAGACCCGATTGCTGTGGCTGAGATCAATAGAGTGATACCGGAACCTCCTCGGAGAGCTAATGGCAAAAAGAACCTCGCTGCGATGGTGAAATTGCTCGAGACGGACGGGATGGGGTCATACGATGTTCCGCCTGCAAGGAAGAAACGAGAATTGGACAAACAACATGTGCAGCAGACTGATACTGGAGCGCGACAAGATCAGCCCGAGCTGGCGGAAGACATGAGCGGTGCAGACTTTGATGCGCTTTTCCAGAATCTGGCGGATTCCGGATTGGTGGATCTTCGCTCGGCTGATACACATTCGGCAGGGGACTAGTTAGATACGATCTAAGGAAACTTAACATGCACCTCTCGCAAAGTGATACTTCCACCACCAGAATTTGGAATTTGGATAACTCCTCACTGTCCCTGACATTTGGGATGGGACTTGGATGAGAGCATTGGAGTGGGACTTGGAAACCGCAATGGCAGTGCGTGGCAGGCAAATGACAACCTTTCAGGCTGTTCAAGGTGGAAATGCGATTTTTCAAAATCTCATAGCAGATACCGACCTCGCTTCGAGATTGGAAAGCACAAGAGATGAAGCTTGGGTGCGAAATGGAGCCAGGATTGCCAACGGAGACCATCAAACTCGTTAGCGGACCATGGTAGCACCACAGCTCCTTCATTGCATTCCTGTTCCTCGGTCATCTGCACATCCTGCCATTGCTTCGGTAAATAGGGCTATCAGACAAGGTCGAATGAATCTCTGGCATTCAGTCGGCTCTGGTGAGCGCCTACACTGTTGGACCGACTCTGTCCTAGGGTGTCATAGACAGGACGAATAGCTGAGTTCGCAAATGGATAGTAGAGCTCCTGAAGTCAAGATCGTGGTCCAGTACATCCTTCCTCCAGATCAATGCAATGGTATTGTCTTTCCTGCGCGTTCCATTGTTGAAGGGACACGGATTCTCTTCTCCTCTTGACAGCAACCTAAAGCTCAGGATGGTTCTTTCGCTCCCCTATATGCTGCCAGATAATCCATTGAATTGACCGTCGCATATCGTCGGCAAAGGGTGGTATCTTCGGTAAGGACTTAGCGTGGTCTGGGCATTCCGATTGTCTTCCACTTCGTCTTCCTCTTGCTCTTCCTCTTCCTCTTCCTCTTCTTCCTCTTTCTCTTCCTCCTAGACTCTTGTAAGATGGTGCAGACTCCTGTTGCCTCCGTGGCTGCAGTGTTTGGTCATTGCATCTCGATGGCCCGGGCTAAACCATACAATCATGCAACCATGCGTTCTGGGCCTGACGAGATCTACAGATCTACTCTTCGAGGCATCTCAGAGAATGGCCGCTGCCAACTTGCCCTGCCATCAATGTTAGGGTTCTCCTTCAGTATGGAGAAAATGTTGGTTGGAGATGGACCTTTCCCTTTGTGAGAAAGACGCTCTGCGCTGCACCAAAGCACAATGGCAGTTCACTTCTGTGGTTGTCCGGCGGTGAAAGGGATACCGCCTCACCACCTCGCTAGCGCCAGGCACTGCCTGTGCCATGGACTAATATCGCGTCCTGGGTGTCCGAATTTGGGATTTGGACTTTCATATCCACCTCACAAAGAGTACGACAGATTTCTTGTAACAACACCTTCGATCGCGTCTTGTTGTAGGTAAAGGCTTTGATACACTCTCATCCAAGCACGAGCAAGGCTGACTCCTGCGCTGTCAGTGAATGATCCCCGTCCGCGCGACCATGGTCAACATGGCAGCGAATGAGGCGAGAGATGTCCAAGCCCAATATGGCCGCGACGACATCATCGACGACGTCGCGGTAACCCTGCGGAATCACACGGAAGACATGGTAGCTCATCCCCATCCCATAAATATCTTGTCAAATCCACTGACTCAACTTGAGACCAACAACAATCTCAACAACACCACAATCGACAACACCGTCAACTTGACTCAAACTCTGAACAATCAGGCAGTAGACACTGTATGTCATGGACTCTCTGAACACCTCATGTTGAAAGTACTGACATAATGCGAGGACAACAACCTCCTCTACACCGAGTCGACTTTCATCACCGCACCCTCTCTTCAAGCCTCTGTCGAGAACAATCGGCCGCGCCCAAGTAATCAATATGATGCTCAATATCTTGCTCAGCGCGTTCTTGCTGCTGCCACTCAATTGGTTGGAGGTGCCACCAGTGGTCGAACAGAACGTGATCAGAGTCCTCCTGCTGGCCATGGTTATGTCGAAGCTGGCACATATCTTGATTATTCTGATGGCCGAGCTCCCAATGCCGGAACGCTTCAATCGCATCATGGCAGTGAGTAAATTGAAGAATCTGGCAACACTGTCATCTGATGCTGACTTTGATACCGTAGGCACGCGTGTTTCCTCTGGGAATTCGCAATCCATGGGTTATCTGCCACGTCGTCAGTATGCTCCTCGTCACACGATTGAGGGCTACGCCTATCTTCCAACCAGCGCTGGATACCAAGATCTGGGAACTGGAATTCAGCCAGTTGATAGGCCTGTACTTCATCATGCACGGCCTTCTGGAAGAACTCCGTATTCTCACGCTTCGGGACTTGGAGTTCGTCGACCAATTCCAGCCACTGTGGGACTAGACATCAATGTGGGATTTCCAGCTACTCCAGGTTATGCTGGTCCAGTTGGTGACATAACAGTTGGTGACCTGGCCATCGATCCCAACCTTGAAGGTGCAACGGGTTATGCTGAAATAAATACCAATGGTGAAGAATATCCTGGTGCCTTATTCGACAAGTTGCTTGAAGAGAATGATGCTGGTGTTTACGACAACATGCTTGAAAACGATGCTGGCGCAGTCGCAGTCGCAGTTGATGCTGGTGCTGGTGTGTACGACAATATGCTTGGAAACGATGCTGGCGCAGTTGATGCTGGTGCTGGTGCTGATACGGGTGGTGCTCCTCATTCAAATGTTCAAGACGACATGCCTGCTCCTCGCAGCCGTGGACGTCCAAGAGGTTCGAAGCGAAAGGCGCCTTCGGATGAACAGAAAAACAACAAACCGGCTACTCGCGTTCGCATTACTCCTCCTGCCCCGCCAGTCACCTTACCCGATGGAAAACCCAGTCTCACAGCGTCTTTGGGCGACCCTGCTGTCCCCTCAACACACCAACGCAAATTGCCCTCACTCGTCGACGCGGCTGACCCCTTCTGCTGTCATTTGTGCTATCACTGTTTCATCCAAAAATCCACCCTCCGAGACCACTACTACGACACACACAAGGAGCAACTTGGCCTCACCCGCAAGAGCTTGAACGACTATCACTATGCGAAGAGAGAGAATATGAAGACTCTTTCTTGGTACAACGCTCAGGGTCTCGACACGACTTACAGAGGTACGGATCGCAAACAAATCAATGCTCGTCGTCGAATGGTCGCGGGCTTGAAGACAACTGATCCAAACTATCTGCGAGACGTGTACAAAGACACGACTGCTGAGAAATACAAGTTGAAGAAAACTTGAGAAGTGCTTTTTCTCGCGGTGTGGTCGTTGGTCGTTCAGGATAGAGAGCGGCCGTTCATTGGTCAGAACTGTGATTACATAAGTCCTGGATAGCATGAATCATAATTATGTAATCAGCTGAAATTCCATGACTCGAACATTCTCCTTCCGTTTCCACTACTTGTAGTCTTTTTTCCTAGGTTCTTGGGGTTCGACATTCTGAGGAAGTTGGACTGCTCGGTTCGATACGCGGCACGGAACTCGTGGAGATTATTAAATTTTGTCTATAACAATATCCCGCCCACCGAGACGACGAAGAACCGATGGGGAAGCTCCTGTCTTAGTTTGCAGCTACAAATTACAACTCCATTTTGCAGGGCAGTTTCGAGGCGCTTATTGCTCGTGGCGGTGACATCGGACTTGACGTCCTCGGTGGATGGAGGGGAAAGAGGACCACAACGAGCAACGGATTTTCGACTGGCTTGAAACCCCGAGTGGCACACATTAGCTTCATGCCGGTCAAGCGCAGGGAAAGTCCTTGCTGTTTATAGTCGTCGTTCGGAGAGGCTTTGGTGCTTATAAATGATTAGCAAATGTTACCCTACGAGGGAGCTGTCTTTCATAGTCCAAGATTCTCAAAGTAGAGCCGAAGTAAACTCCTCCAGGTGGTCTTTCTTAAAGCTGGGCGAGCTGGGCAGCTCCCACTGATGTTTTCACTCCCCTTTCGGGTCGCGTGCTTTTGACCAGGTCGTTGGGGAGTAGGATGACGCGTCGAGCAGTGTCCTTCACTTCCGGGGTGCCTCTAATGATACGCATGTCGTCAACGAGGAAGGGAAAAAGTAACTCCACGCGACAGGTTTACGACGGAAGCACATTCAGAAAACATAGGACCATCGTTGTTTAAATAGCCGGGACTTGTTCCAACGTCAGGCAGGACATATGCCCAAGGATTGGGGGGAAGGAATTTAGCACATTTAGTCAAATCACTGCGAAAGGTATGGTGTTCTGGTTGGAACAGAATTTAGTGGCACGTCACCTAGTGCTGACTTGACGGCGATTGACCTTGTTCAAAGCAGCGGCAGTCGTTGAGGAAGTCTCATCCTAAACAAGATAGAAGTTGCCGCCATCAGAACTGGTCAACATCCGGAGTCACAGCTAGCACAACCGTCCATCTTATATTGACCCATCTCCTTTTGATGAATGTCGAAGCGGCAGTTGGACCTCGCATCAGATAAGAACCCCTCCTAACACTTGGATCGTCTCTAACTACTACTTAAATATCAGGATCTCCTGCCACTTACATTGTCCCCGCGCTGTTTATCGTCGATGCCGTTCCTACCTGACAGATGATCGTCAATGCTGTTTATCGTCGAACGGCATCCTAGCGCCAAATTACACGATATTACTCAGGACACCGTAGTACTTGTATTTGTGTTTGATGACCTTTCTTCATTGGGTGGCTGGCTGGCACAATATGTAGATCTAACCCTATTTGCTTTTCCCATCCTCCACACCTGCCCCGACCTGCTTGCTATGCTTGCCGAATGTATCTTCAAAAATCAGGGGTGGAATGCTCATGACTTGTCGGGGAAGCCGAAATCGACACCGAATTCGGGATACACGAATCGCGTTACGCCCTTCTGGGAGATCTCGGCCAACGAGGCAAGATCACCGTCTGAGAGTTTGACAATGTGTTTGTTCTCGTCGATCCGAGAAGGTGTGACGGATTTGGCAAGTACCGAGCTTCCTCGGGCAATGTGGTAGCTCAGCAGAATGGATCCTGGGGTGGTTCCCTTTTCCTCGGCGAGCTTGACAACGTGAGGGTCCTTCATCAATGGACTACCTGTGCTGCCCAGCGGGCTGTATGCTGTGATGTGGATTCCCTTTTCTTTGCAGTAGTCGACGATTTCTTGTTGAGGTAGCAATGGATGGTTCTCAATCTGGTTGACGGCAGGGACGACATCCACATTCGGCACAAGCTCCTCCAGATATCGCTTGGAGTAGTTGCAGACACCAATGGCCTTGACCTTGCCGGTCTTGAGCAACTTCTGCATGTCCTTGTAGGTGTCTACATGGGATCGGTCACGGATCAGATCTCGACTCCCGTCTGGCAATTTGGGAAATTTCTCGTGGTTGCCGTTGGGATTCATGGCAATAGGCCAATGCATGAGGTAAAGGTCGACATAGTCAAGACCCAGCAGTCCCAGGCTGATGTTTAGGTTCTGCTCCACCCTTGTGTGATACGTGCACCATAGTTTTGTCGTAATGAACAGCTCACTTCTCGAGATCCCTGTTGCTGCAAGACCCTCTTTGATGCCGTCACCGACCTCTTTCTCATTGCCGTACACGTAGGCGCAGTCGATGTGTCGGTAACCGGATTTGATTGCGTGTGCAACGGCGGCGCGGACCTGGCCTTCTGGACTCTGCCATGTTCCTGCGAGATTGTGTTAGACACGCAACTCATAGCGTGGAGGACAGGAGTAAACATACCCAAACCCAATGCGGGAATGTTGGCGCCAGTGTTGAGCTTGAAAAGGGTGTCAGTCATGGTGTCAGGTGAGTTCGGGATGTCGTGTATCAAACGGAGGGATTGAAGCTGGAAGATTTGCAGAAGCGAACGCCAATATAAGCGAATGTGGGCTTTGGGAAAGCACAGTTGGGTGACAGTCTGCCTCTGCCCAGGTGTCTAAGGTACTAGTAAGACCGTTGAGAATTAAATCATTCGAATGCTGTGCCGCCGCGGAGCGCAGTCGGCAATTGAGCAATAGCCTGTTATCGATAAAGGCGGCTATCGGTTATGGCTGGCCTGGCCTCCCCCCTGGTGCCCCGCCATTGGCAACCGCAGCATTTCCCTTATCGCCTCGTCGCTCCCAATAATACCGACAGACCGTCAATGTTACAGTTCACATGCAATGAACCAACCACTCATGGTGAAAATGATTTTCCCAACCTGGGGATCTTCTTTCCAACTAAACGACATGGCAGCTCAGGTCACACAAGTTCCAGGGTGCAGGGTCCTAACCGATCTCGAGCCTTGCCCTTTCAGCTTTCGAGACAATCCTACTGCAAGCGGGTCGCCGTGGCGTCATCTCAGGGATCACGCATGTCCAGTCACTCGAGTCCAGTGTCGCCAGTGTTTGGTGTTCCAGAAAAAATAGAACTTTGGAGACAAACCCAACCACCAAAGCTGGAGGAGACGGCCCACTCAGCGGACCGCAGCCTGATCCGCCTCAGCTTCAGGGCTTCCTTCCAAGCTGGCCTGATATGGTAATTCCCACCGGCGCCACTTCAGGAGCTTGGAGCATCAAGTCACATTTTGAATTTTCGCCATGTCGCAGAATTATTGCACGGTCTCCAGTTGTTTGAAAGACAGTGATATCTCGTTTTCCTCCGGCTGTATGGATACCGCTCACCGCCGAGCCTCTCACAGCCCTGGTCTTCGAAAAGACCCTGGATTTGCTGAATGCATATCAAGCGTAATCACAGGTTACACAGCATCAAACTACTGCCGCGTCTCAACCTCCGGGGTTGTCGTGGCGTTTTTGTGTAACATTGAACCAGGTCAATATCAAGGATGTGATACATCGCCTCTTCTTCTTGTCTACACCGACTTTACGGACGTCTAAAAGAGAATCGAATCCGGCGCACAATGCACCGAGGACCTCGCCTGCCTTGTGTGACCAAGGAGAGATCTCTTGTGATTCTTCGAAGGATGAGTGACGAAGTCGTCTCGTGGAAGGATCACCCACCAAATGACCACAGCAGCAGCGGATGTTTGCCTTAGGCACATGGAATGAACAAAGCATTGTTGCGGCCCGCTGCCGATGACAGCTTAGTGTAGGATCTCGCTCCAAGCTAACTTGGGTCTTGGGTATCATCCTCCAGATAGGGCAACTTTCAGGTTCGACTCCTCGCTCCGCTTTCTCTGCCATATGGATTTTCCGACCATGTCAAACCTGTGCGTGTGGAGTAGATCATGGTTCGCGATCCATACAGGCCAGCTTCCTTCCATAATTCACTTGTCTGGTAGGTCATTGGTCGCTTTACTGCCTGCCGTATTGGTGTGAAGACCCTTTGCTGCGAATGCTTGCAAGGCAGGCACGGGGCAATATATAGACCCTTCAGTTCACAGGAATCCCCTGGTCACTCGCCTAGCCAAACCATTAAGTATATAACGACCATCCCATCTACAGGTTCGATCTCAGATCCGTTTCCATACGCAAAAGAACTTCCAAAATGGCCGACGTCCTCATCCAGCAACCCTCTCACCTTCCTCAGTTCCGCACTGACCGTGATGGTGTGGCCTTCGAGGCTCTCTGCGACGAGATCGAAGCGGCGGATATTGCTGCAGACCAAGCTACGAAGCAAAATGTACAACATAACGAAGAAGAGTGGAGCCCTTCCCAATTCGATGCAGAGAAAGACAAGACTCAATTCCGCCAATACGAGAATGCCTGTGACAGAGTGAAGAACTTTTACAAGGAGCAACACACCAAACAAACAGTAGCCTATAACCTCAAAGCCCGGAATGATTTCCACTCCAAGACCCGAGCTGAGATGACCATTTGGGAGGCCATCGAACGCCTGAACACCTTGATCGACGAATCCGACCCAGACACCGAACTCAGTCAGATCGAACATCTTCTGCAGTCCGCCGAGGCTATGCGTCGTGACGGCCGTCCTCGCTGGATGCAACTCACCGGCTTGATCCACGATTTGGGCAAGCTCTTGTTCTTCTTCGATGCTCAAGGTCAATGGGACGTCGTCGGTGACACTTTTCCTGTTGGTTGTGCCTTTGACGAGAAGATCATCTATGGCAACAAGTCCTTCACTGAGAATCCAGACTACAATGACTCGATCTACAGCACCAAGTACGGCATTTACTCCTCAGGCTGCGGCCTCGACAGTGTCATGCTCTCCTGGGGTCATGATGAGTACCTCTACCACGTTGTGAAAGAGCAGTCCACCCTTCCTGACGATGCTCTCGCCATGATCCGATACCACAGCTTCTACCCGTGGCACCAACAGGGGGCCTACCGCGACCTCATGAACGAGAAGGACCACAAGATGCTTCATGCCGTCAAGAGATTCAATCCTTACGACCTTTACAGCAAGAGTGATGGGAAACCATCCGTCGAGGAACTCAAGGTATGCTCCCTGCCTATCCGAACTGTGAGACATGTTGCTGACTAACTTGTTAGCCGTACTACCTCGAGCTGATCGACGAATATTTTCCCAACAAGGTCATCAAGTGGTGAACACCTTGGGTCGCCGTCACCAATACTCAGCATGTTTTGAGCGTTTGTCTTACTTTCATATGTTAGGCGAGGGATATAGGAGCACTCGTCTTTATGTCCAAGACCATCACTGGGATAGAATCCTTGATCCTGGACGTAACCGGAGGTCGTTGTTGAGACATTATCCGTATGTTGCAGCCTCAGAATAATATTGACACATCACCTACCGATCACCTGGTGATCATACAAGCATGTGTTACATTTCATTGATGGTTCACACTCGACTTCCTCCGCGCACATGTGCATTTACCAGATTGTAGATTGGAGAGTCGCGGCACCGAATTCAAGGAAATGCCGCCGAAAAGTTGATCAGAGGCTCCGTGATTCATTCAGCCACGAGCATGTTGCTTGAGGCTCACCCTTGATTCCTCATAGGCCAAGCATGACCAGCATAAAAGAACCGTGCATGTTGTGGCAACAAGACACATACTGTCCCAGTCCTCTGTCATCGGCTCGTATTACAGCACTCCAACCCCGCGAGAGAGACAGAGAAACATTCTATGTATCACAACGTATCACAACCTCCAGCCCGGTTGTTTTTTCCGGTCCCCTGATCCGTGTCGACATGCCACAATATCTCGTGTATTTGCCAAGTAGTACCTAGGTAGTGAATTCACGACCTGGCTCAGCTCCTCTGAGATGAAGGTGATGCCGCCCCCGCGTGGCGCGAGCTGGTCACCTTGGATGGATGCTTACCTTACTAAGCATTGGCCTGTGAAAGCGGCGCCTCACGATCCTTGTTGACGTCGTCCGCCGTAGTTCGAGAGCACCTCACGATGTGATCACGGATGTCCGTTGTCCGTGTGTGTGAAATTTGCCCTGCTCACCCACCAGGCACCCGTGGGTAGCAGTTGATGTAAAACATACCTCTACAAAGATGCCGTGGTTTGCCTTTACAAGTAGTTGGAATCGGGTAGTAGGTTGCGCCGAGTGTTGGGGGATTGGCTAGACTCAGTCGTGAGTTGCGCCGAGACCTGGGGCCACGGGAAAGAAAGCTCTACTATACTCCGTACGGAGGCTTGCAATTACTTGGTACTTATGGGTAGCTGGAGTCGGTCGTGAGTGGGCGCCGGTGACTTGCTAGCTACGGAATACAAACACCCTTTTAGGAGACAACGGGGTACTGTTCCGATCGGTCTGGTCGACTTCCAGCGCTATGCCTCTTCCCCTGATCCACTACCTGTACCCCTCCGGATTGCCCAAGTACCTTCCGCAGCATGAGGACGGCGAGCCCAGCTGGGCGCTGGTGACTGGTGCCACTGACGGGATCGGTCGCGCTCTGTGTGTCGAGCTGAGCGCCCGGGGCTTCAACGTGGTGCTGCACGGGCGCAACCCCAGCAAGCTAGCACGCGTGCGCGATGAGCTGCAGGCCCAGCACCCGCAGCGCCGGTTCCGCACGGTCACGGCCGATGCGGCTTCGTTCTCCCAGGCGGACATCGATCGAATCACCGGCGAGATCGCGGATGTGCCGCTCACGGTGCTCATCAACAACGTCGGCGGCACGGGCGTGCTCTCGTCCAACTTCATGCATTTCAAGGACACGACTCCCGCCGAAATCGACGGTGTGTTTAAGGTCAACGTGCTCTTCGCCCTGCAGTTGACGCGCGCCCTGCTGCCGCAGCTCCAGCACCAACAAGCCCCGACGCTCGTCATGACCTGCGGCAGCCAGGCGCACGTAGGCCAGCCGTATATCGCCGCGTATTCCGCCACCAAGGGCGCCCTGCACGCCTGGACACGCGCCTTGGCCGCCGAGCAGCGCGCCCTTGGTGGCTCGCAGGTCGATATTCTTGAAGTGGTGATCGGCGCAACGTATACACAGGCGTTCGAGGGTGACAGCAATTTTCCGACCGGGTCTATCCATGCCCACGCCAGATGTCGTGGCCCGCGCGGCGCTCGCCAGGGTCGGCCTCGGACATCGCTCCGTGTATGCGTACTTCTGGCATCGCGTGCAGACGTTTTGCCTGGACCTGCTGCCGACCAGCGTCGCGGATGGTCTTGTGGCGAAGATACTGAAACCGAGCGTTAAGACGAAAGCAAGATAGAGAGAAAGTTATTACCATACGGGGTACGGATACTGGGGGTATCAAATAGAAAAGAATCGAGAACTTTCGAAAAAATGTACTAACACTGGTCGTGACGTTACGATGGGCCTGATCACGACATTGAGCGTGGGAAGAGAGGGGTTTACAGGACCAGGAGACGGCATGTTGCCATGCGGGCTTCAGGAAGAGATCGAAGTGCAATGAGGACTAGTATTGTGGGACGACTTATCATTTCATTGCGTCCATGCTCGGCCTCTCTTTCATATCTCAAGAGCAGGCAGCATTCCATAGTCGTGAAGTAGAGCCCAGCTCCCTATCGTCATTCCAGTTCCAGTTCCAGTTCCACTTCGGCATCATTCCATTGCCTCTCTAGACGACCCTTTCTGTCCCATATCATCACTGATCTCCAGGAGACACACGCAAGCACCAGCTCGAACAGACGAAAACACACCACCACCAAGAGAACGCCCAGCCCAACACATGTTGCTGCTTCTATTGCGTTTGACACTCTGACTGCTGTTGCTGTTGCTGTTGCTGATGGTAATCTTGTGGCAGCAGCGGCTGCTGTTGCTGTTGTGGCTGCTGTGGCTGTTGATGCTGCTGCTGCTGCTGCTGCTGCTGTTGTTGTTGCTGCTGCTGTTGTTGTTGCTGCTGCTGTGGTTGCTGTGGCTGCTGCTGCTGTGGTGGTGGTGCCGGGAGGAGAGGGGGAAGATTGGCAAGGCCGGCAGCAGGAGCACCCCTCGGGCGATGTCGTGTAGGTCTGACCATGCCATTGCGGCTGGCTTCAACATGCCACCTGTCGCGTACGGCCTTCAGAGTCCCCTGGTTGGTGGTGCCGTTCTTGAGCAGGTCGAATCGCTCCCAAGCATTTGCTGGAGCCGGCGCCGTGGCGAGGCCGAGGAACTTGTAGATTTCCATCTCGATTTGAGAAGGACCGGCGGCGAAGAGACGGGTCCCAGTTACTGGGTCGCTGAGCGGCACCCATGGGCCGTTGTCAAGGCGGATTTCGAAGGCCATTGCCTCGTCACGTCCGCTGTTAGGCGTGCGCCTAACGCGCCCATTGTTGGCGTCGTACAAGATTCTCACTTGCACCCGCCGGCTGTTGACCGGGGTGGTGTACTCGAAGACATCGCCCTGTTGGAACGGGCGGGCGATGGGATCGGCGGCGGCGGCGGCTGCTGTCAAGTATTCAAACTTGACTTTGTCGGGCTGTTCGCTATAAACGCATATGTTAGTTTATCTGACAGGAGAGAATCGACCATGTCGATATAGGGCTGCGTAATGACGAGGGAGAGGGATAAAGAGCGAAAAGACAAATGAAAACATGATTGTGAAGGAGGATAGTAGAAAGATATGTTTTGACGAAGGCGGGATGGGGAGGGAGTACGGTAGAAAGGTATGCTTTGATGAAGGCGGGATGGTGAGGAAGGACGGTACAAAGGTATGCTTTGACAAGGCGGGGTGGAAAGGGGGAACGGTAGAAAGGTATGCTTTGAAAGGGACATGATGGGAGTGATGGTGATCCAGCTTCACAAGTATGGATAGACAGGGTGACTGGATGGCGTGTATTCTGAACAAACAAGTGCTTCTTGTGCAACTGACGATGCCCTCAGAACAACCGTCAACAGCAAGGGGATGGATATGAATTGAGACGACGACCCAGGATATCGGAGTTGCATGGGAGCTTGTGAAGAGCAGGCATCATCGCTGAACAACATGGTCTGTGGAAGGTGTGCGCGCCAGTCTCATCTGGTTCTTGAGAAAACCGCCGACACGGCGTGTCTTTGTGCATGAAAAGACATCTTGTGCTGCTCTGAAGGGATGTTGTCGTCCACCTTGAACAATGAGGGAAGGAGTTAAAGAGACATGCACTTACCAGACCATGGTGATTGAAGTTTAGCGTTGTGTGAAAATGGTAGGTCAAGCGAGAGGCAGCGCAGACAAGGAAGGTCAAGCGAGTCGTCGGATAATCATCGGAAGAAGGTTGTGGACAGTGAAATGGGAGTAGATATACTCTGTCCAGAACCATTCACAGGGTGAGGTAGAATTCTCAATAGGGAACGCAAGGACAATGGTGAAATCTACTCAAATAGCTAGGCTGGATGGTAATGTCACCCTCTATTCAGATTCCTATTCGCTGGAGCGGGTCTGCTAACCATTGACGCGACAAACAGGCCTGATGCTGGCTGCTTCAGTCGACGATGAACAGGTATGTCACCCTACAAGCAGATGCGGATCAAGTGCGATGAAAGATTCAGGCTGATAAGACTATGCGCAGGTCGAGACAGAGCTGGCCGAGGTCAAATCCCAGGCGAAAATGATCTTCAGACGGCTGAATCGCAATTCAGAGCAGCAGGCGAGCATAGAATCTGGCCAATACACATTGCAGTACGGGCAAGATCCTTGAAACGGGTCCGCAGTTTGGATTACTGAGCGACGGAATCTAGCTACATCATCAAAGACTCAGTGTGCTTCCTATGCATCTGCGACCGCTCCTATCCTCGAAAACTGGCCTTTACCTACCTCTCCGACCTGGCGCAAGAATTCACCACGATTTACCCTTCTCAGCAATACCTCTCCGCGACGTTACGGCCTTACGCTTTCGTCGAGTTCGACACGTACATCCAGCGAACGAAGAAAGTCTACCAGGACAGCCGAGCGAGCGCGAACCTGGATAAATTGAACGATGAGTTGAAGGATGTTACAAAGGTCATGACCAAGAACATCGAGGATCTACTGTATCGCGGAGACAGCTTGGAAAGAATGGGCGAGATGAGCGGCCGGTTAAGAGAGGACAGCAAAAAATACCGAAAAGCCGCAGTGCGAATAAATTGGGAGTTGATGCTGAAACAGGTCAGTTGCGTGCACGCCCTTCGCGTTGTGGTACTGACAAAGACGACAGTACGGACCTTTCGCCGCTCTTGGATTGATCATGATTTTTTTCTTGTGGTGGCGCTTCTTCTGAGCGACTTATTGGCGAGTCTTCGATGATCGTATGGATAGTAAAATTGGCGGCTACCAGTCGCGCACAAGATACCCTGTTTGCGGCTGTCTCTGGTGTAGGATTTCGACAGAAGTTCTTGGTGTTGAGCCACTTGGGAATGTTTGATTACGAGAAACAGCACTTCATATTTCATCTTCTTCCTCGTCGAAATCGTCCTCGACACCCATATCATACAGGATCCTTCCACCTTCACCTCCACCACCAGCTTTCTGAGCATCGAAGTATGGCAGCACTACGCCTTCTCGCTCCAATCTCTGGCGCTCAGTCAGGCCAAGCTCGAAGGTCATGCCTGACAATTGCTGGTCAACATTCTCGTCTTCTTTCGGCTTACGGAAAAGAGGATGATCATCAAGCAATGTGATGATCTCCCGAAACGCTTGAGGACCGGAGCTCGGTTGTTGCGCTTTGGTTGTCCTGGGTAGGAAGTACCATTCCAGTACACCTCTGCCGCTTTTTCTGCGGTGCTCAAGTTCCAGGACAATCCCGCGTTCTTCAAGTTTCAAGGTACTTTTGGGTTTGAAACCAACCAGCACTCCCTCAGTCTCCTCGGCCAAACCATAGGCAGGTGCCACAAGCGACTTTGCTCTTGCAGCTTGCTCGGCCAGAAGAATGGGCAGTGAATGGACGGTTATGATTGTTGTGGCGAGGTATGACAGGAGGGAAAGCGGCGATGGAAGATATGACGTCGATGTTGATCCTGGCGAAGAAGGAAGTGGTATATCAGTGTGATGGACTGCCACCAGTGAAATTTGTAGCTGGTCCTGCGCCTGTTGCGGTCCTCGGGCTTGTTGAGGCGGCTGTAGCAAAGACGATAGGAATGCTGTCAAATTCAGACGCGAAGCTGGATTTGTGGATATCGAGGCCAGTGTCGTTAATGAGTCAACTATGATCAGATGTCCTGTATGCGTTAGTATATCTGATGGCCATGGCGTTTCGTGTGAAAATCGCTTACGCTTGCTCCCAGAACGTGCCAGCAACTCCATCACCTCCCTAGCGATCCTCTCTGGGCTCTTGCCCTCGTCGTAGCACGTGACAAAATGGTCCACATCTCGCGGCTTGACAAACGTCTCGAAAGCCAGGAATATCGTACTTGTCTTTGAGAGCCTAGATCGGCGCAAGTATTCACGCACTAGAGGCTTTGCAGTTTGCTCTAGAGTATCGAGGACGAGGGTGAATGGGCTTGCGTGATCGCGTTGATTGAGTAGTTTGGAGATCAAGAGGAGATTGTGCGTACGGCGGTGGGAGAGGTTCGTTAGCGCCATGTAATTTCTATCTTTGATCGTCGCACACTTCCTGCTGAAGACTTGAGAACAACGCAAAGGCTGGGCAAAAAGCCAATGAATGAGGTGTGGGAATGTCCCTTTTCAGTCCAGCCTTGCCAGACTCGAGGGTTTCCAGTTGCGTTCCCTTCCGGCTCTTAGAGATCGGAGTCTCAACCACGGAATGAGCTTTTTGGAGATCTTGTTGCGCGTCTGTAATCTGTAGAGTTATCACGGTGATCTTCGTTTCCGACTCTATTGGTCTCTTGTTGCGTTTTGGGTGGTGATGTCGACAATGCCATTGTCTTGGCGTAGCAAGCAATAGTGAAATCTACTGGGAGGTCACGTGGGTGCCATCCGCCCAGACCGATGCCGCTTTTAAGACACCCTGCTTGCGACTCATCCTCTTCTCACCTCTGCTCACCCTTCGGCTTACGCTTCAACTCATGAAGAGTAGAGAACCATCTATAAGATGTTAAACCAATGTTCTATAAATATTCCCCTTGATGCTCGACAACCCTTGAACAACTTGGAATGGATAGGTACTGTAACAGTTTACACCGTGTCGCTGATGAGGACGCTGGCCTCGGGAAAGCCGGTGTTTCGTGCTCAGCGCCAACTAGTGCATCAAGCAGAAAACCATGGCTGAGTGGATTACTAGAGAGACTGCAACTCCGGCCAATGGCACCGTCACGGCGCCTACCACCGCCGCATCGAGAGCACCACCCTGGCGCCGACTGTCGATGTTCAAAACGGCTGTTGGATCCCTCAAGACAGAAGATTTCGTCGGTCTCCAGCAAATCTGGAAGAACAAATCCCATCCCTGGAATATTACTTCTTGAACAGTAGATGAGCCTCCCTGATGGCCCTTCTTGTCGCCTCATCCAGGTCCTCTTCGGGAAGTCCGAGGACTGTATTCGCTGTCTCCCTCGTCACTGCATAGTCATTGCCACTTCCCGGTGCAAAGTTGGACGCGCTTATCCATTCCAACGCAGCGGCATGATCTCCCTGCCGAAGTCCTTGGTAGGTGGAGTCCAATACCGCCTTGAGGCTCACGCTTTGGGTGGTCCACTGGTGAGGGGAGGTGTTTGTGTTTCGCTGACCGAGGAAAAACGAGGAGATGTAGATGTGTTTGTGGGCAAAATCCGACAGCGCGGGCGAGCTGCCGTCCTCCGGGAGAGATAACAGACTGGCTACCGCGCGGCCGACCTGGAGCTTGGTGGTAGTGGTCGTCTTGGCCGTTCCGTCGTCGAAAAACGTCACCTTTCGTCGGTTGATGTCGATGCCGTACCTGCCGGTGCTGAGGCTCATTTCGAACCACTGGTTGCTGACGACCGCCACCCACGAGCTGACTCCGAGCTCGTCGATGCGGTCGCGTACCGCCTGTTTATTGCGATAGACGCCGGCGCGTTCGTTGTATGGATGAGCGGTGTCGGACCCCCATTCGTTGGGGAGGATCCAGCGCACACCAGCATCCGCGGCAGCTTTGACCAACACGAGCTGTTGTGTGTCCGGGGCCGTGTTCGCCATGGTGATGACGAGAGCTTCCTGGCCCTTCAAAGCATCCACGACGCTCGCCGGCTCGTCATAATCCACGGTCTTCACGTCCACACCCGCATGGGCTTGGGCCAAGTTGTTCGTACGTGTGAGCACCGTCACGCAGAACGTACCTCGGGCGACCAGTGCCTGAAATATGTGCTGGCCTATCCGCCCCGTGGCCTGTAAGTCGATTAGATTGTGTGTGTCAGAGATTGGAGATGGTTCCCGAAACTTACACCGACAATTGCAACATTCCTGATTGAAGCCATCTTGATTATTCAGTTTGTGATTCCTCCAGGAGGCACCATGAATTACCTGGGAGATCTTGAAGGCTGAATTGTTTGATGCAGGGCGTACTGAAGCCTCAAGTAAGGAAGCGACATTAGAAAAGGTGGCCTTGAGCTGACCGCATGCGATCCGAGACCCAGGGAGTTTTCGAGTCATCCCTTGCCGTTCGATGCTCTCCCGCTAGCCTTTTCCCACCGGTCCTTCGGAGTGCCATCAAGCCTGTACGCCCGGAGCCAACGAAGTCCATCAGTGCCCGCGCAATGATTTCTACGCAAAGTCAATCTACCATGCAATTAAGATCGGGTTCTCAGAGAAAGGCCCCTGTGGATTGACTTGGGCTGCCACTGCGGCCGCTTCTAGCTTATTTCGGTTGACTACGAGTGGACCGTCAAAATGCAAGCAGACCAGGGCTGCTGGTGGTCGTCCCTGGTACCAGATATACACAGTCCTGCTTCGGTGGATGGCGAGGCGGTAGCCACGGTACCTTCTCGTATATATGCGTCCCATGATGGTGGCGCGTCCCCGACCATTCTTCCTGGGAGTCTCGATACAATTTCACTTTACTGAACGTTGCTGGCGGCGTCCATCAAATTGGGACCAACGATGACCACCAAGTCGCTCCCCACTTCCATGCAGGCCATCATCGTCAACGGCACTACGGCGGCTCTGAAGTCCTCATGGCCGATTCCGGCTCTGCGTGACGACTATGTGAGTCAAGGAGTATCTGTCGGAAAGAGGACGTGCCGTCGTTGACGCTCGAAGATTCTGGTCGAGGTCCATTCCATCGCACTGAACCCCACCGATTGGAAACATGTCGCGTACGAGCTGGCCGGTCCAGACAGCATGCTCGGTTGCGACTACGCCGGCACCGTGGTGGAAGTTGGTTCCAAAGTGACCAAGCTATTCTCGCCGGGTGATCGCATCTGCGGCTGTGCGCACGGAGCCAACTTTGACCAACCATCGGATGGCGTCTTTGCGCAGTATGCCGTGGTCAAAGGTGACGTGCAGATGAAAATTCCCCATTCTCTGACCTTTGAACAAGCCGCAACTCTGCCGCTCGGCATCGTCACCGTCGGACAGGGACTCTACCAGAAATCGTTGAAGCTCGACCTCCCGAACCCCGGTGGCCCGAAAAAAGATGAATGGGTTCTCATTTACGGCGGTTCTTCCGCAACCGGTTCTCTCGGTGTCCAATTCGCGAAACTGTGTGTTTCACCGTCCTTTTCATGTTCGGTTCAAGGGACGTACTAAAGCTACCAGGTCGGGCTACAAGGTCATCTCCACGGCTTCTCGGAAATCCCGGGCCTTTGTCGAGGCCTTGGGCGCCGACAAGGTCTTTGACTACAACGAGGCAAACTGCGGTCAGGAGATCAATAAGTTCACCAACGACGGGCTGCGGCTTTGTTGGGACACGATATCGGTGCAGAGTTCGGTCGAGATCTGCAGCCAGGCTCTCTCGTCTTCATCTTTCGACGACCAAAAGTGCGAATTGGGCATCCTCCAACTCGGCGTCAAGCCGCCACGAGAAGATCTTGACGTGACGCGTACGTTGATGTACACCGTCTTTGGAGAGACCTTCCACCACAGAGGTGGTGTTGAGTATCCAGGGTCGTCCGAAGATTTTATCTTTGGGAGGAAATTTGTGGAGCTCGCGGAGCAGCTCTTGGTGGAGGGCCTTCTGAAGCCGCATCCACAGAAATTAGGGGAAAGCGGACTGGAAGGTGCCCTGCAGGGTCTGCAAGACTTGAAGGATGGCAAAGTCAGTAGCCACAAACCGGTCTACAGAGTTGCAGACACGCCCACGGGCTCCGATCTGCAAGTGAAGCTGTGAGAGTGTATAACATGGCCGACCGCAAAGCTAGGGCTCACTAGGCCGCCCTCAGCCCGCCGGTGGCCTCTCGTCCGGATGGTATTGGACCAATTCATCCAGCGCGCGTGGAGTCATAGCAACAGAAGATGAAGGAAATCAACAGCGAGATGACAGTAAAGTTCATCATCGCGGGAGGTCCGGATTCGATGCCATATTGCATGTGCTGTCTCTGCTACTCTGGAGTGGATTTGATAGGGACCAGTCTGCCCATGCTTGCAATCAATCCTATCTCCACCTTGACCTTGCCTTGCTGTAAATCGCCTATGGACATGCTTGGACTGCGTTTGGCATAGGGGTCTCAGGGTACAGTAACACTGTCCCCGGTCACTATCTTCAATATGGCTTAGAGCCGCGTATGTACGGCGGCCCACGTGGACCACTGTCTCATGCAACTTGGTTTTTGAGAAAATCGATCATTGCACCAACACTGCCACAATGCGTAATATCGACTCGACCTTTTATATATTGATCTGTATATCAGATTGAAGGGCTGCATCTCAGGAATCTAGTTACTATGGGGCATTTCTAGATTTAACGCTGTTCTAATGTGCGCTGACAGTCTAAAATCTACCTCTTTGAGTGAGAGTTCTTTTTTTTTTGATATTTCGAGTGCCAAGACCGTCGCCTATAAGCTCTTAACTAAAGACGTCTAAACTTATAGGTATCTTAGGTAATGAGATAGCCTAAATTTTAGGCGTCTTTAGTTAAGAGCTTATAGGCGATGGTCTTGGCACTCGAAATATCAAAAAGATAAAAGAACTCTCACTCAAAGAGGTAGATTTTAGTCTATAGACGCACAACAGGATAGCGTCAGATCTAGAAATGCCCCATAGTAACTAGATTCCTGAGATGCAGCCCTTCAATCTGACATACAAATCAATATGTAAAAGGTTAAGTCGATGTTCCATGGATGTGCTGGTGGTGCAATGATCGATTTTCTCAAAAATCAAGTTGCATGAGACAGTGGTCCACGTGGGCCGCCGTACGTATGTCATCACTTTTCTGGTTAGCGGCGGCCGAGATCATGACAACTCATCCCATCCCACTCACTCACCACTCTCACCCAGGCCTTTTTTGGGTAGGTCGACGGGGCTCCATTCTCCCTGTCAAGACAACGCACGCGAAGGAGGCCGATCCGATGACGACGCTTGCAATACACGCCTCTGTTGATCGTGTGAGATGAATTCGATTTATATAGCTAGCGGCGGCCGCCCAGAATTCCGAACACAGGCAGAGACTCTGTCTCTTCGTTTGGTCCACGAACCCCGTGGGTGGAGGCCCATTGCAGTCGTAACATTCCACTTGCTTCCTCATCGCCTCTGACTACGTCCGAAATGGAGTCCCCCCGATCCGGTCGAGCCCAGCGCGTGTGCGGAACGTGCAGAACCCGAAAACGAGGCTGCGACAAGCGGTTACCCAGGTGCGGGTTCTGCTTCAGTCGAGGCTATGCCTATGCCTGTGATTACACAGAAGCGCTCGTACCCGACGCTTCGTCCACTGCTGGGCTCCCGTATAACGGTCCTCGGAAACTCATTGGGTCCCTGTCTCTTGATAGCACCGTCAAGGCCCAAGTGGACAGCATTTTCAAGGCGATGGACTTGACACCGCAGATGGTCGAGCAGCGGTACTTCCGAGATTTCCACCCCAGTCTACCCATAATAGCACCACAGACCTCTCCTTGCCGAATCCACCACGGTCTTGAACGAGCTCCGGCCGATGCCGCCATTCTCGTTCTCGCCATGTTGCTTGTTTCCCACCAGCTCCCCACGGCCGACTCGTTGTACTCGGCACTGCGGAAACTCGTCGTGTCGGTGCAGGACTCGAGGGGGGCGTCAATCGCTGTGGTCCAAGCACAATTGTTGATTGGTGGTTTTGAACATGCCCATGGATGGGTGGAAAAGTCCTATGTCTCTGTCGGGGTTTGCGCCAGTCTGGCCCGGATCCTTAGGATCAACGTGAATCGGACCGGTGGGTTCTCCGCTGACAGTACGCACAAGGGCCTTGCAGACCAGGAGGCCTGGAATTTATGGTGGGGAATCATCGTGCTAGAAAGGTCAGTGAAGCTGGGCTGGGAGCCACCACCGGCTCGATACTTACAATACTCTGCTGCAGCGTCGTTCTGTCCGAACTGCCCCACGTGTTGGCACGGTCCATCGCAGAGGATCTGGAGGAAGGTGTCAGCCTGCCGTCCGATCTTGTCGAATTGCCAGGCACCCCGACGTGGTCTCCATCCCGGGACGCAATGTTCCATTCTCCCGCCGAGAACGTCAGCAGGTTTGGACGGCAAGTACAGGCCGTGTTGCTGCTTAGTCGAGCCGTCCGGCTTTCGCGACGTCCGCTGGAGCCTGATGGCAGCCTGTCCAGACTTAAAGCGCTGGACAAGCAGACAAAGGTCTTTATCGGCCTGCTGCTGAAGGAGGGAATTCAAGCGTCCAATTCGCGAGAGGGTGCCCTCCCCATTGCCGTGAGGTAGGGCTCCAATCCTTCCTGATCTGCTCCTACAACACATCGGAAGCTCAAGGCCCAACAGATCTCTTTTCGTATTGCACGAAGACTTTGTGGAGAACAGCCGGCCTCTCCTGAGCGCCGACGACATAGATTGGTCGTGGGCGACGTTGGATACGGTTGTCACCATGTTGATCGATGCGGCCTATGATCACATGAGGGAGAGTGCTTGCCCTCACGCTCTCCTCCTGTGCTGCGCAGCCAATCTCCGATCGAGCTCGAAACACATGTCTCGTTACAATGTTGGCGGCTCCAAAGACCTCGACGCGGGTGTCCTTCGTGACCTGGAAGTTGTAGTTAGCGCCGTGCGGAGGTGTGGAACTCATGTGTAGGCGCACGATTCACCCCATTTTTGGCCTTGAGACCTGGCAAAGGACGGAGTTGGAGTTTGCGACAAGCGTCGAATCCCGATTCTTGGTGTAGGACTCTAATGCGTAGAGAACTGATTGATTATCATGTCATGGCTAGAGAGAGAAATCCATGAAACAATGACAGAAATCCAAGTAGGCAGCTAATTAGTTGGTAGTTGGGCAATTGCCCTGTCGCCCCACTTGGAGCAGTCGTGGCTCGTCTAACATACTACTCTCGAGGTCCCTGATAAACCGTCTTCTCCAGATCATCCCAGAGGGTGATGATGGGTATATCGCCAAAAGGCAGAACCCGGGCGCGCAGCATTTCAGCAATGCCTTTCCCACGGTCAACACCACCAGTACAAATTTGCCATGCCGCACCACCAGGCACTGTTTTCCGAACGACCCGTCAAGGTCGGTGTCAGCATGCCTGCCATGGAGAATCCCTGCCTGGGGTCGCCCTCGACCGGATACAAGTCGGCCGTACCTCCGCCGCTTTTCCAATAATCGGCATTCTCTTTGGGGGATTGTATCACGAGAGCCCGATGCAGCAGGTGATCGCGCTCTGACAAGGTTCCATCGGAGGCTTGATCGTGTATCGAGGCCCGTCGGTTTCTCATCGACTCTCCAGGACATAGTGACATATTGTTGATGTCCGAGAGGCTGGAAGATATGATCCTGAAAGTACTCCTCACGGGAGACCCCGGTAACGCGCTCGACGAGCAGACCAACCCAGACATAGTTGGTCTGGCTTCTTAGTCAGTACAGCCTCCGGAAAGAAAAACATCGCCTTGTCCATGGACTTACTCCGTAATGCCATTTTTCACCGGGTTGGTGAACCTACGGCTGCAGGAAATCTCTCACATGACCTGAGAACTCATCGAATCCCACCGGTCGTGAAAAGTCACGTAATCCTACGTGGAAAAAAGAATAGCTGAAGCCGGCTATCGACCCTTTAGTACTTTACTCTCTCTCTCTCTCTCTTTTTGACAGGGTATCTGGCTCACCTGTGTGGCTCAACAGCATGCTGAGCGTGGGGTTTTTTGATTTTCTCCTCCAGCCGAAAAGCCCCGTTGAGCTCGACCAGGACTTTGGTGCTCTGCAACTCCGGCAGGTGCTTTTCCAGCTGGCGCCGTCGTCGAACGTGACTCGACCTTGCTCGACGAGTTGCATGCACGCAATGGCCGTCACCACCTTTGTGCACGATGCAACCCAATAGGTGCTGTCAGGGGACATGTTGTCCTGCGTGTCCACTCCCCGTTTACTGCCCGCGGCGTCGACCTGTTCATCTCAGTGGCGGTCCACGCCGACGAACGTGGCATCGGGTATGTTTGAGCCCGGTGTCGACTCACAGGCGGCGTCGAGCTTTGCCTTGAGCGAAGACTTGGTCTCTGCGCCAAGTTGCAAAGGCATCTTCTGAAAGGCCACTTTCACTGAGGGTTGCGGACTGGGTTCGCTGCGCCGTCTACTCCAGCAATGTCTAGGGGAGAAGAGAAAAGCTTTTTATGGTCCTATATCTCAATTTCAACTTGAGAGAACACAAGCTCCGCAGACGGATGGGGATCTGGAAGATCGTGTGACATTGATCGGGAAGCTGCTCAAACAAACCAGGCTCTTGTACCTCGATACAGCAAATATATCAGCCTCGACCACCTCATCTGTTTGAGGGTAGAGGCGGCCGTGAAAATGATGATCTCCCCATCCTGAGTGAAAGGCCCTGGACATAGCCCTTCTTGTCTTGAACTTTGAACTTTGCGGACTTGTGATCCAAGGTTCCACATGCAGGCTCCCCATCGACCTACCTGTCGTCCATGGCCGCCTTTAACCCCTTACAACCAAGCTCGCCGCACTCCGTAAGCGCTCACCAGACAGTGCGGCTTTTATTTACATTCTTACTAATATTCGAGCGCTAGGGATTAACGAGTATTCTTCTTAGCTTATCGTACTTACCCGTTATCGACTCCGTACGTATGCTTGTTAACGGTGTCAATGGGCTCTAAGCCTGGGACCTTGCATGGACGGGTCCGTTGACAAGGACACATCAAACAGAAACGCGGCCTGCTTTGCCCAGGTCTGTGAACTTGAAACTTCTCTCATTATTACCTTCTGTCTTAATGTGACTGATCCACCACGGATGACATCTGCCGCCCTGCCCAATTATTGCAACGCAACCCTGGCGACCCTATAGAGGTGATCCTTCTGGCTCACTTTCAAAACATAAAAACGTCAATGAAAAGTCCCAAAACGCCACTTCCTCACTGAAGCGGCAGCTCTTCAGCCGCAATTCCACATTTTGTCATGGGACGAAAAAATTGGTCAAAACATTATCATGGACCTCAAGGAGTTCTTAGCTTGATTGACTTGTGAGCTGCAACTCATGCTGGGCCAGCCGTCTCTGTCGTCGTCTCGGGTGCGCCGCTCTCTGTTGTCTCCGCTGATGGACGAGACTTCTCCAAGAGCATAGAGGTGGGCAATCCACGTTCACTTCTGTAGATCAAGACCTGCAGAACGGTGGAGAAAACGCAGAAGGAGCTAGAGTTCCCAACATTAGCGGTGCTCCTGATGAACCAATCGAAAGGACCCGTGTCATACGTACACAGCAATAATGCACCAAGACTCAAGGGCGTACTTTAGTGTACAACTTTGAACACCCGGCGGTGAGTGTTTGGCGCAGTCCTTCCAGTTATAGTCTTCGGCGGCAAAGATAAACGCCGTCACCCAAAGGTGAGAGTAGATATAATCCAGGGGGATGAGCTGGACTGTAAAGCGCTTGTAGAACGCCAGGGGCATGGTAGGTAGGAAGAAACCAATGCTTGTACAGGCAATGACCTCTTGATATGTTGTATGCTCATTCCGGGAATAGTCGTGAATGAAGTAAGACACAATGGCCATGACGATGCAGGCACTGGCCCATTTGATGAAGTTGGAAGCGAAAAGAAGAAGACGTAGTGGAGAGTAAGAGATCTTGGACATCCCAGCAGCATTGTAGTGTGGGAATCTCAGGCTGCGACGGAATCTCATATTGCTCAAGACGTTGAAGAAATGGGCAGATGGTTGTTGGGAATTTTGAATGTTGGAAGCTGAAGCTTCGAATACCCCTTAGCGGACTGCTGTGATGATTTATATGTACCGTTCGGACACTACAAGCACAGTATGCCATGAAAGGCCTGTCGCGTCCCCATATCGCCCAATAAGTTACGATGCTGGTAGCGGTATACGGAACTGCTCAAGACTTTGATGCCTCAGGTAGGGACACAGGGTCACACGACCGGTTTGCGCCTGATCATGAGCTTCTGTGATAACTTGTTTGATGATCCCCTCTCGGAATAAATCTGTTGGCCCCGTCCGGCTGAGAAGGTAGCGGCGGGTATGCCGGGACTGCCAGGTCTGAATTTACGTTGAAACAATCACTGGTTGTGCTGAGTAGCATGGTGATGCTCCTCCGGCGGACAGCCGTAGCCGTGGCCGTAGCCGCATCAGTCTTGGTTGAAGTACCGAAGTCGACGCAAGCGTGAACAGGGATTTTGGCGGAGTCGCAGGAGGAGCGGACGTTCGGACTGTAGCTGCAGCATAGAATGATCGAACGGGATCAGCGGGTAGAATGTCGAAGACGGTCAATAACCATAACATGATTTTGCGCCTGCCTTTTTTATACCCCGGAAGGGGGTAGGGCAGATTATTACGCACAGCCAACGTAAGAACACGGCAGTACAGGCATAAGTCAAAATCAACCGCTCCACCAGCACCCGTCAGCCCCGGCTCTGATATACTCCACCCAACTGTCCGAACTGAAGCCCGAGGCTAGTTCTCTTTCGAATTGACCCTTTCCGCTCGGCCAGCGGCTCTCGCAGTGGCACCTTTGACTAGCTTGCTGAGGTCACCCACGGGGAGATTGATGGGAAAGTCGACGCTTGCAAACAGCTGGGCAGCGAGTAGATACCAGCCCAGTAAGCATACGGCGAAGACCAGCCCGCCAGCGGCATGTTGGCAGGTCAGAGCGGTGCTGGCGTTGCCTTCGGCCAGTTGCCAATAGGTTGCTGCCATGAGAGAAAAGGCTGGGACGAGCGCGACAAAAATCAGGACGAAGCAGATATTCGTCCGTAGCGAGCAGAGGAGATAGATGAAACACAGTGCTCCCATGTATAAGTGAAAGAATGCGAAAGTACTTGCAAATGTGGGGTCTGTGGAGCTTGCAGCCGGGTGTGTGGGATCGTATGCAATCGAGGCGTTGTAGAAGGGGGTCAATGTCGCCGCCCAGCTCAGCCAGAAGGCGCCGAATGAGCCAAAGACAACGAAAGGAAAAGTATTGCCGAGGATGAACTCTAGTACGGATCCAATGACCATCAAGAGGCCGCCGAAGAAATAGTACACACCCCTTTGGTACGAACAAGATGTCAGTCCATTGGTTTGAGAGAAACGGGGGAAAGGGAATCGACTCCAGGCCTTGACCTACACTTCTGCAGCTCCAGAACCGCCGGACTTCCTCCAACCCAGTAGGACGTTCGAAAGAGGACTAAGCGACAACAGGAATCCGCAGAGCGCTCTGTTCAATCAGTGTTAGTATCCCAGTACAAATGTATCACAAGAACTGCTCACAGAGGTGTTGGGTTGCCCAAAGTGGACCTCAAGTTACTTGAGACGCGATTCGCCGGTGAAAGGTAGATCTTTTCAAAGAGTTCAGGGCTGATAGAGATGCTTCCGGCTGTTCGAACTCTGCGTAGTGCGCTTTCTCGGTCATAATCGTCGTGATGCATATCGTATGTTGGCTTAGGATGCTCAGATAGACTGGTCATGTCATTCTCCTCCATGATGAAAGAAACCAGCCGCCCGAAATTGATCGATGTCTGTGAAGCCAACAACTCCCATTTCCGAAGTTGGCCTCACTCGTCAAATACTTTTGCTGGCCTCGCCTCAACGGAAGTTTGAGAACAGAGGGTCAAGGTAAATTCCCGCCCGTGCCGGAGTATGGTCGATCCCAAGCTGAAGGGCGTCACAAAGCCCGGTCTTTACAGCATTCAATGATGGAGTTCCCGGTCCACTCATCTATCGTGAGATAAGCCGCTGACAATTCGTTCACGAAGCTGATGCTCAGTATGCGGAGCTCGTGCAGACGGATCCTCGATTTTACATCAGATCACAATGCTCATGTCCATATGGATTATGCACTGTAGCCTAAATTGGGTAAGAAGAAATCCAAGTAAACATCGAATTGACTACCAAAGATGAGGAAAGACGGTCCGATGCCCTGATTAAGGTCATCCTTCACCCAGAATTTCAATCCCAATGTCATTATGGTCGTAGACAGACACATAGTGAAAACCATTTCGGCCTTCCTGATAGTAACGGCCAGCTTTGAATCTCCACATACACATATTTGCTGTAAGACTTTGAAGGTTGGCAAATCCGTTCGTGCAAAAGATGGTGACGATAGCTGGCGGATCCTTCGCCTTTGTCTCAAGCCTGAGAATCAGGCTGTTTCTTATCTGAGGCCCCTTTGAATCTCGTACTCAGATCTCCAGTTGGGAGCCGAAGTGGAAATTCCACCGCCATGAGTATCATTGCAAAGAACAGATACCAGCCGAACACGCAAAAGACAAAAATGAAAGCTCCAGCAGCCTGTCGTATATGTCAGAGCGTTCCTGTCGCGACGTACTGGCCATGGGCATCTAAATTGGCAGAATGCTGCGGGTCGTGATACATGATCGACTCACCTTTTGACACTTTGCAGCGACAGCCGTCTTGCCTTCCGCTAAGGTCCAATAAGTGGCCATCAGCATGATAAAGGCGAGATCTATGAAGAAAAACACCAGGACAAACGTGATGTTAGTCCGCAGAGATGCCACCAGAAAGAAAAAGGTCACAAGGGCCATGACCATCCAGAAGAACGCTAATCAACAGCAACATCAGTAAACGTCCAGATAAAGGAAGGCAATTCTGCATTCTCACCAAAGCTTGAGTAGAACTGAGACGTTCCATCAGCCTGCTTGGTGTAGTAGGCTTGAGCATTGAAATCGGGTTGGAGCGTTGCTCCCATTGCCAGCCAGAAGGCACCTTGGAAAATAGGCAGTCAGTAATCGCACAATGGATGAGCACTTGCCGGAAGGACTCCTTGCGATTGCACTCACCGTAGCAGGCGAAAACGACGAAGGGAAAGGTATTGCCGATGATCCATTCCAAGACACACCCGAGGACTTGGAGCATTCCACCAAAGAAAAAGAACAATCCGCTGCAGAGGTTGATGTACTTAGCAGGTGAAGCTGGGTGGTACAAGGTAGACATTTGATACTCACATTATGGCCGCTCCGTCACCACCAGAGCCTCGCCAGCCCATGAGGTTACATCCCAACGGCATAGACGCGATCAAGAAACCCATCAATGGCCTCGAATCACCCATCAGCGCACACATCCTGAGAGACTCTTTGCTCCATATATAGCTTACATCGGTGTTGGGTTCCCAAAAGTACTGCGCAAATGCCCTAGCCTGTGTGTGTAGGGAGAGAGATACATCGACTCGAAGACCTCTCGGGGGATGACCACGCTGGAGGCTGTCTGATAGCGGGTCAAATATTCATTTTGCTGGTCGTTTGCTTTGGTTCCTCCCATTGATGGATCGCCGTTCTGGATGTTACTGGCCACACCAGCATTGCCTGGCTCGTTCGTAGTCATTATGAATCGACAATTGTGACTGAGAAGCAATGTGATGTCCTCAGAAGCAAGGGGTAAGCTGCGGAGAAGGTTGACGAGCACGGGGGAGAGATACCTTATTAGCAAGGCAAATTTCCCATTCACTCTTCCTTTGGAATAGTTGGCCTCCTCTCGCTCACTAATAGATGGATCAGGTGGGCAAGGACTTGGTCGCTCTTGACGTAGTGGGGACGAATTGGTCACCTGGCCGGTCAGTCCCTGCGTAAGAGGACTCCCACAAGGTCTTTCACCGCATTTGGAAGACTCAAAACCAAAAACCGACTCAGATCATGTCGTCTATCACATGATCTACCGGAATAGACTCTTAATTCATGAGCTAGGTGATGCACCACCTCCACTTCGAGCTAGTGGATGTCATGTATCTCGATTTTCGGGCGAGTTTGAGCTTCTCCGTCGTAGCCGTCTCAGCCATCTGCAAGAGACACAGGTCTACTCCGTACTTGCTTCTTTCTATTAGCTGATCGACACTTAGCACGTAGAGCTTTGAGCTGTCTTGTAGTCGTTCGAACCTTATGGGGCCCCGGATGGGGCATGCCTGACTGCTCCAGCAATGCGGTAAGTGCGTTTCACGGAGTTCGATTTCCGTGGCAGCAGGCTTCTTGCTAGCCATTCTGCTTTCAGGCTCCTTTCAGTCTCCTTTCGAAGTTGGCCTGTGACTCCGGCACATGGTCGACCGCACAGTTCTCATTGTTGAAAGCAAGCGTGGCGGGCTTGATTGTGGTGTGGCATTCCGTTAGACGATGGAGTTGAAAGTGCCTCAGAGGGTACCCTGGATTCGCTTGTGAACAAAATCGTTACACCTTTCGATGACCCAGGGATCAGATTCACCAGTTTGCAATGGCCACGGAGAGCGATCATCTTCCACTATTAATAATACACGGCTAAACAGTGTACGCAGGTGGTGGAGTCGCTGGAATCACATCGCCATCGCCACCAGAGTCTTCTATCACAGCTTGTGAGATCCCCGCCACTCCGGAAGTCATACCACTGGCACTGCCTGTATAGTCTCGCCACTGGATGCCAGCGAGGTCGCACCCGTAGACATCGTCTTCCTCCACGCCCTCACTCAGCCGCCTCTCAAGCTCACTGCTATACTGTGGTACAACTTGGATGGGGACATCACGTAAAGTAAACTTGTGCTTCTTTCTTTCGTATTTCATCCAAAAGAAGACTTCGAGGCTGTGACATCGAGCAATGTTGTAAGTTGAAAAGTCAGCGCCCAGTAACCCAGCCGGAACAGACAGATCTGCATTATCACAGAGATTGACAGATGAAGTTGGCGTATTCCCCACCGGTTGAGATGCAGATGTATTGGTATAGGCGATAGATAGGATACCTGATCCTTTCCGAGTGAAGATCCGTTTCTTTAATGAGCTGGTATGGCATCCTGCTCGCACATGCGTATGCTGAACTAGTGTGAGTTTGAAGGAGTAGATGATAAGATTCGGACACCGGTCCACTGCTGACGACAATAATTCCTGACCAGCCGGAGAACTGTCCATTGTGCAGGAAACTGGGATGGACAGCGATTGCTGCTCTTTTATTTCGAGTTTCTTGGGAAGAAAGACCGAGAAGCGAATATTGACTTCGGACTTAGGGCACAGACCCTTTCTGAAGATTGGAAGCAGGCGTTGGACGGATCGATGTGAGGATTCCGCAGAAGGGGAAGGCATTTTGTGACGATGAATAATATACGGCACATCACTTCCAGAATATGTAGGAGAGGGCATTTCCAAGTTCTGTACAGATATTCTCTTTGATGCCTGTACCTTATTGTCCTTGCTTTTTCGGTGGTTGGGGGCGGCAGGCCGCTGCAGGAGCGTGGCTTCAAGGACATATTGCACAGTGCAAACAAATTTGCCAGTTTGCACCATAGTCGGTGGTAGGGGGTGAACATCCAGGGCTAGATCTCCTTTCCATGGGTACTTTGGAAAGAACGACTCTTTCGACCCGGGTATTACAGCTCGAGGAGCTGCAAATAAGGGAATCCGAAAGGCAAAGGGCCAAGCGTAGGTCCCTTTGTATTGAATGGAATCGCCACCATATAGACTCAAGTGCCGGCTGAAGAGATAGCTCTTAGAAACATAGTCTGTTCTGGAGACTACAAGATCACCGTAATTCTGGTTTAGCAAGACTTTAGTCAGACCTCTGAAGTCGATATCCAAAGACTCAATGATTTGCTCTTCATGAGTGGTGAGCTTGACCACGCCCAGAACCGCGGAACCAGGTGTAAATGGCGTCGCCTCATCGTGAGAAAGGCGGATGGAAAGCGCCATGAGAGATGCGATGGCTTATTTCTTTAAGAATATTCCGACCTCATGGCCGTCGACTTCAGCTATTAGCTGATTTAGCTCCAGGTGTTGTAGTTCAAATTATATATCTCAGAACCAGTCAAAGCACTTCTTCCAAAAGGAGAACGTTTCCTGTGACAAAGCTGTACAAGACTACCCTTTGGTCGAAGGTAGCCCATGCGCGGCTGACCAGGCAGGAGGATGGATCAATATGTCTTGTCGTCCCCTAGTCTGCCGCCGGACTATAGGCCCATAGGCTTGTGCTCGTCCGCCCGGCTCTGGCGGCAACAACAACTTGGCTCTTTCTGAAGATTTCAATCATATGACAAATGAACTTTGTGACAGGCCACGTTACCTAGGTATGTTGTGGCACTCAGATGAGTCACGCTCTTGTCACAGTCTACGGGTGTAGAAGATGTCATCTGCGTAGACCCTGGAGAAAAACACTGTGTTCCTAGATTCAAGAATGTAAGACCTTCATCCTAGATCAGGCAAATGGTATTTACATTCAATCCAGCTCGATCAAAGCCTCTGCTTTCAACCGAGGATCATGCTTGATCATCTCCCCGTCTGGTTATGTTGGAGGCACCGGAATATGACCGGATCATCCGCAGTCGCACGACGGCTAATAACCCTCGTCCACTGTTCAAGGAATCCGAGCCTTGGGTCGTCGTCCGAGAGTACGTGGGATTGTGGGTTGAAGAACTTGTATGTTGTTAAATAGTCAGCGCCAGCTTCAAAGACCTGCACTCGCCATTGACTGGGTAGTTGGCGCAGCCGCGCAGTGGCGTCGTGCAGCCCGTAGACGAATGCATCGCCGATCAGGGCAAAAGTTTGGGGGTCTCCCGACTGTGGCCGCAGCAGCACTGGAACGCCATAACCGAGGAATACACAGATGATCTCGCCTCACGCTTGTTAGCTGGCTGTGAAATACTACCGTTACCTTCGCGCCATCAGGCGCCTCTACGCTACTTTACTACGGTTCCCGTAGACTATATTCCGCGAAGGGTTGGAAAACCCTGCTCGCAGCTAGGAAGTGTCAACGTTACAAACTGCACTCACCATTGTTGGCCTCTGCAAAACCGTGGATCGACTACTGATCTGATATCTCAGGTCTATCAACTATCAATAGGACAAAGTTGGGTTTGCGAGATCGGGCCATTAATTTCATCATAGATTGTCAAACTGAGGTCTCTGTGTCAATTGATGGTGGTAAAACGCTCTGTTCTCTGTTCTCGACGTTGCGCGTAGTGCGTCTATATTAAAGAGCGACAAGAAGGTCTAGACCTTGTTTCAGCTGCCATTGCACATTTTCCAGCTCCGTATGTACGGTGGCGACGGTTAGCCCCGTGGTTAGTGCCAACACCTGTTTCATATAGATGTACTACAATTACATGGTCTATATAGTTGGCTAGAGATATGCGCCCAACGCTACGAGTACGCTCAGCACATAGAGGTCCATGTGTGACTTCCGGTGTGCAGAGTTTTCGACTTTTCCGTCGGTTCCATTATGTGTGCTGGTTCCATTTTGTGTGTCAGTTCCATTAGCTGTGTGTGTGCCATTATGTGCGCCGGTTTCATTGTGTGTGTCATAAGTGTCGTGGGACGTCAAGTTCCAAGCACTTAGCGGAACCTGCTTAGTTGTGTTTGTCGCCGTGTAACCCGGCCATTGCGGGGTGAAAACCACGGACACGGTCTGGTTTCCTTGCGCAACGTCGATTGCAAGGACCGTCACGCCGGTATTAGGTAGATCTGTGCCTCCTTCAGGAAGGGGTGGATCCGAGGGGGCGCGAACAGCTTGTAGGGTTTTGAAAACAAGGTCGCCCGGCGAGGTGATTTTCGCCACTACCGTCTTGTCGTTGAGGGTCAGACCTGGAAGATGAGGCATGTCAGAACGACCCGATCAAACAGCGACGCAACTATGATTGGATTGGGACCACTTACGAGCTTGCTTCGAGTCGTCGGTCAGCACGACGGTTGCGTTCGTGTGCACCCTCCATTGACTTGACGCTCCCCCGTTGACAATCTCGTCTTGAATCAGGACTCTTTTGCGCCCGTCAAGTAATCTGATGCCTCGTTTGATGGAAGTTGCCTCGTAGAACGACGTTAAATCAGCAATGTAGAAGGCCGTGCTCGAGTTTTGCGTCGACGAGGATCCCCCATTTTCAGTCGAGTTGAACGTAGTCACTGGGATTCCGTTCACGAGTTGGTTGCTGCCGTTGTAGAGGAGGGTGTTCTGGCCTTCAGTGCCACACCTATAGTACAACCAACGCCGGCTATCTTGGTTTTCACTCTCGAAATATCCAGGTCCATTGTAGTCGTTCTGGCATAGGTCACCAGCCCAACGTTCTCCCAGGGCATCGAGAACAAAGTCGCCAGCGTCCAGATCCCCATCTAAGCAAACCATGTCAGAGCTTTTATCCCCGGATAGAAAAAGTCTTCAGACTTACGTGTTTGATGGCCCATCAGGGTCGAAGCCTTCATTGCCACATACAACCCGTTGTCATCAGTCCAGCTTGATCGCATCGACGCCCATGAAGTATTGACGTAAGAGAAGTAATGATCCAGCTCAAGGCCATCGGACCACTGCCCCGACGCGGTTGTTGTATCATACCAGAACATGCTCAGAGGGTCCGCCGCGTCTTCTTGATCGCGTTGGAATTGGGTCCACCTGGGTTCTGCACGGTGTTAGTCTGATGTTGCGTCCCCATTGTGCTTAAAATAAGTGACTGAGCAGCACACTTACTCCCTAGATGTCTGCCATAGAACATCAGAGGATTGGCAGTAGCAGTGATCTTTTCTGGTCCTGTAAACAACTCAGCACCCAGTTCCCCGGAAATCGAAAGTTTCAAGGGTTTATACACACCACAGTCACCATAGTTGAATTTGTCAACCATGCCCTGGCTGTAAATACGGAACAAGCCGGTCAAGTCCACGGCCGGGTTTGCCGAGAGAGTTTGTTGGTCGGAGCCAGTTGCACTGATGAGAGCGGCCGCAATTTGAGCAAAAGACTGGATCCCAAAATACCTGTGGATAACGTGAGCACACGGAAAGGTGATAGCATGGCGGTGACGGACCAGTAATCAGGCGTCTCCAGCCAAGTACCGTCGCTGCTGATGGCGTGGGCACAGTATTGCTGAGAGTTCGCAATCGTGTCAGGAAGGATTTGTGCCGCGGTACCTGTTGGATCTTCGTTGTAAATGGCGAGGGCTCCGAGGAGCAATCCTGCATTGCTCACACCTGAGGACAGGATTAGCTCTGGCGGTATAGCGGTGCTGAATACAACGCACAATTCCAGTTTCCACGCACGACCGTCCACCAACCAGTTCCTTGGTCAGCAAAACAGTCGATGCCTTTTTGTAGTCCCAGTTCAATGATTGACCACATGATAGCATCACGCTGTGAAGGGGTCCATGCATCATACAGCCAGTCGTATGCATAGGCAAATGCCGCCGTGAACTCGGCCGTATCGAGAAAATGTCTGTGCCGAGTGAGAAGCTTGCCGGGAAGGGCGTTTGGAGGCCGTTACCTCGAGTTCCAGTTATCACCCGGCACGCCAAAATACTCGGTGCCGTTTCCTGCAGCGTGTTGAAGCTCCTCCCATGCTCGATCGACCCATTTGGTGTCATTGGTCAAAATGTACGCATATGCCCAGTGCTTGATCCTCAACTGAATGTATCTGGCAACCTCTAGGGTACAGCCGACGCTGACATCGCAATCGTCTGGATAAGCGATCACACTTTCATCGTAGAACTCGTTGGCTCGGTCGAAGATGGTCTTGTTCCACTTTTGCAGATAATTGTTGTTCGAAATCTGAGCTTCCAGGCCGTTCCACTGTTCACCTGAGGCGAAAAGACGAGGGTGCTCCTCAACCACAGACAAGGCTTGACGCGGCAAGTTGTGCCCAAGCGGCTGATCGCGTTTCCCGCTCTCCCCCCATATTGACTCGGCGTAGACCAACGACGAAGGCAAGAGAAGAGACCAGAAGATCAACAACACCAGGCTACAAGTCGCCGGCCACGCGCAGCATCGAAGAGCACTTGGCTGCATCTCCCGTATTGGCGAATCCTTGGCTGGAAAAGAAAGACATGGTTTTGGCGCACGGCAAGGGAGCTTGTTGTAGATAACGTACCGTTTAAAATTACATCGCGTGAGCTCCAATGCATATGGGTCCTAGATCTAAAACCTTGATCTAAAAATCTTGAAATGTTGTGTCCATGGTGGGGACAGGGGTACATATGGCATATGCCAACAGGCACAGTGACAGGGCGCCATCAAGCCACCTCCGAAATGAGCGTGGAGCTTGAGGTCATAGTTGGCTGCTGGTGTGTTTATCCGCTCGAAGCGAATAGTGGAGCTCCTTTGGTAGCTCTTTTGTGGGCAACCCTTGAAAGGCAAATGGTGGCTGTTAAAAGCCAACACACGTGATGGTTACTGCTTAGGCACTTATAGGCACGGCCTCAGTAGTTCTAGGCACAAGTGGCGAGCCCAATAGGGACAAGGCTTCATATTTCGGCTCGTAGTCTTCTGTCCCTTCGTTCGGCTGGAGGTAGAGGGATGGTCGATAGTATCGCTGGGGTGCGTCCACTATGAGATTGCTCTGCTTCAGCTTGTTGCGTGACACAGGGTTAAAAGTCAGCGACCCGCGCGCTGGTTAGTTAAAATATGATGGAGGGAGGCGAGGTTTGGCACTAAAAAGCGCGTGTCGGCCCCTTTCTATTGGCAGCATTGGCATGCACTGTCCTATGAAGTTGTTTACTAGGACTTACCTTACCTTTAACTTTATTATCGCTCGAGATGTAGCAATATCATACTCACAAACCTTATCTACACAACCTAGGTATTAGGAACACCACATTAATCGGCGCTGTTCGTCTGGCGGAGAGCCTACGTAAAGCACGTCGCGCGGGAGAGGCAAATATCCTACCTGGTCGAAATGCGCCTCGTCAGGCAGCGATCTGGCCTGCAGTCACATCCTGACGACTCCTGGTAACAATAAACGACCAAAGAACACGGAATTATGCCTTTCCGACTACGTGGAACACCCAAAAATGGCGGGGAATGATTCGATAAGTTAGAATAATATCCCGGAGTGTATGTTCTTGAGCCGTGTATCGGTGGATCATTCGATACCAATGTGTCAACAGCTGCTGCCGCTACTGATCAAGCATCTTCCGCACGGTATGAAACGGAGAAATGTTGGATCAAACAGTATCGACTCAGACCCACCGTACATTGCCAGTATACGACGTCCAATCGACATCTCTGGAAGGATCTCACGGATACGCCTTCGCTATGCATATCTTATCTTCCTTCGAGAGCTCGTAGTTCATTTTTGTCCCACTCCATTGAAGGTCCACCTCTTTGGAATAGGGTACAGCATTCGAATCAGGATCGAAGAAACCGTGCCGTAACCGACAGCCCGTGGCCAGTGCGAAGATGTTCAAGTCCACCTTGCGCCGGGACCAACCTTCCTTGTCTTGTGCGTGCTCGTCGTACACGACCTGTTTGTTCCACTGCAAAGGGAACGTGAGGTTCATAGCCGGCCAGACGTTGAGTGCTCATGGGTGAGGCCAAGTGCGTGGCCGAACTCATGTAATATGGTTCGTCTTCTGAAATTTGCGCTCTTACCGGGCTGAACCCTCGCAGGATTTCTCGTCGTCTTGCCTTTTTCCGCCATCGGAGCGCACTTATTTCCCACCAACGACCAATTGCCCTTATCCGGGTGGAAGTCGATTACAATTACAATTTCGCACGGCTTTTCTGTCTCCACGGCGTCTGGGAGATGTGTGTAGTCTGAGAAAGGGAATGGTGGCCCCGGTTTGAAGCTTCCAGTGTCGATCCAGATGAACCGGACATTTGCGTATATGCACCACTCGACCGCGGTCTTCTTGACCTCTTCCCTCTGAAACGGCGAAGCGCTGGGCTGGAACCCAATCCTAAGCTTAATATCGAAGCCCGGCCATCAGATATCCTCGGGAAAATGGACTTCGACAGTGCCTCCAGGAGACGGGTGCTGGCTGGTGGACTGGGTGCTTGTGTTGGCTGCTGTGGCACTGCCGAGAGCTTCAGCTTGGCTGTAAGTCGAACAGAAAGCTGTGAACTCGTCGTCTGCACGTAAATGAGACAACAATCCCGAGTCTGAGGGCGTCGCTGCTCGGTCGGGCTCTTCTGAACAGCATTGGAGCCAATGATTCACTTGGCTGGGCGCTGGTCTTTCCAAGGGCTATCAAATGTAGGGTGACTTTTGGCCATTCTTTATCCGCCTTGTTAGTAGAGTTTGAAGAGATCAAGATCCACCATTGAGTACTAGTATCTCTTTCGTAGGTAAATGGCAAACATTAAAGTCTTGGTATGCAACTTTCTTATCATTTTCCTACCTCAATCATCTCTAACACGGAAACGATTTAATTTTGTTGGCATTCTCTAGTAAATCAGTGTACCGGTTCGTATTCTCGCCTAAGCCGAGCGATGTGACCTGATCGAACTCACTTATCTCCATGCGTGCGCTCCAACATGAACACACAAAGAGCCTAGGTTGGTTCTGAAACTAGCTGATGCAGGCCTTGCTCCTTTGGGCATAACATACAGCCTGGAACTGGATAGACCTACGCCTATCGACGCCCGACTGACGTTGGCCGCTGGCTTTCTTTTGGAGAGTACCAGTCTATGGTATTTTTACCTACAGCTGAATGGTCGGAGCAAATATTTGAGCATTTGCCGCAAAATCTAGATCGAACCTCGAAATGCTAGGATGCGCCGACGATCGATATTAAAGCTATCGCTTCAGCCTGATGTCCGTGTTCAGACCTTTCTTCCGCTTCTCAGGAGTGTCTGCGCAATGCTGAGTCGTGGCTTGCGAGCTCCATCCTTCCGAGCGAGTTGAGAAGCTGGTCATCCCGGCGGTCCTGTTGATTGACGACTCGCATCTAAGCAGCTGTTCGACACAACGTGCTCAGCGTGGTTATCAAAACGCTGTTTGATCGTCGGTTCAATTGCACGAGTACCTCGAAAGGTGAGTGCGCTTGCGCGCAAGTATCACAATTTATCTTGCCAACCATTCGATCATGCCTCCTCTTGACAATCCGCCTTCACAGAATTGTACCGATATTCTAGGTAGAGCATCCTGATAGCGCTTGGTCACGCAATCATGCACCCTGAGTACGCTGCCTTGGGCCCTGTTCTAGCCAAGTTAATCCTTGGTATGAGCCCAAATCCTTCCGAGTCGCGGTTCCGGGGGGGGCGCCTTGCCTTATTACCTTGAAGAGATGCAAGAGCCCGTGTCAGTATAACCAGGGCAGACAACAGATTTATTAATATCCCTCCAGCACATTCAACGTGTGTTGGACCCTCGATTACCATCAATTCGAACTCAGACGCCCAGCAGATTGCGAGCTGACAAACTTACAATGGAGACGTTACCATCAACTCCTCGGCGTCAGGGCAGATAGCATTAGACGGCATACAGGAGACCAATGGAGACTTGACCTGCAGAGACGCTAGACTACTGACAGCGATTACCTCCGACCAGCTTAACACGATTACCGGCACATTTGGGCTATATGGCCTCACCATCATGTCAACCCTTCAGTTCGATTCGCTTACCGATGTTAGCAGCATCCACTGGGACTGTCTTCCTGCTCTACAAGGGCTCAATTTTGCAAAAGGAGTCTCGAAACTGAAATATATCTACATTAACAATGCTCAGCTGAACAGTTTAAGCGGATTCGCGCCGACTACTCTAACTAGTATCGAAGGCGATAACAATCCATATCTTGCAAACGTTAACCTGAACGGCGTGAAAAACATTAAATGGGCGACGTTCTCGATTAATGCGGCTAATCTGGTGGTCTCCTTTGCCGACCTCGAGGAAGGGGAGGATTTCGGTTTTAACGACATGGGCGGCCTTTCTCGACCATCGCTGCCTAAAGGCTCCGGGTCCATGGGAATTTCTCGTAACCTTCTCGAGAGTCTGGACATGGCAGCCTTGACCGGGATAGGCGGCACATTAGAGGTGGCTGATTCCCCTTTTTTAAGCACTCTGTCTTTTTCCCTCCTTGTCGCAGGTTGGTGGCGGGTTGTACATCGGGAAGAACATCAGGCTCGACGCGATTGATGGATTTCCGCAGCTTCAGACTGTGATCGGAGCATTATTTCTGGGCGGAACGTTTGATAGGTATGTCAGATGGGCCCTTCTCAGATCAGGCTTTGATTTAATGTTATCTGCTGACTGAGGGCATAGTGTCTCGTTCCCAAGGGTTACTGACGTCGGGGGTGACTTCAATATACAGACGTCTAGTACCAATAGCACTATCTGTGATCTATTCAATAAATATCATGCTTCCGGCGTCAACAAGGGAGACATCACTTGCTCAACCCAAGCAAAGTCGCCCAGCTCTAATCTCAAGTGCGAGCTCAACCGCTAGTGGTGGCACAGGCACGACGTCAAGCTCGGCGTCAGGCTCACCGTCAGGCTCATATTCATCTTCATCTTCATCTTCATCTTCAAGCTCACCGTTAGGCTCATCTTCGGGATCAGGTTTCTCGGGTGGAGCGATAGGGGGCATTGTTGGAGGGGTTGTCGGAGGCGTGGTACTGATCATACTGGGGGCATTATGGTGGTATTACGTCAAAAGGCAACGCAAGACTCGGCAAAATTCTGAAATCAAAGATACTACTCAAGGTGCAGAACTCCCACTCGGTGGCCACCACGAAAAGCCCGAGCTCTTAGGGTCTGTACAGTATACGGCTCAACTGCCAGGAGACGATACAAGCACATGCTACCATCAGTCTCCTCGAAAAATACCAGGAAGGGAACAATATCCGAGACACGCCCGCAGGCGTTGCGTCAGAGAAACCTACGGAAGCAGATCAGCCGTTGATGAATAGTCGAGTTGAAGGACCCGGGGCATTGGATTGGGCTCATTACATGCCAGAATTGGAGGGGAGTAATGTTCCAGAGCTGGACGCGCCGTCGCATAGCGGCCAGCAGCGGCCACCGGACTGATCCGAAAAGAATAATAACGGCGCTTACCTTTCTCAATGCTGTAAACCTTGAATGCGTTGCGTTTATCATCCAAGGTCAGCACGCGTACCTGGTCGTATACCACTTAGCGTCTGACGTTCCGCAAGTCTCCATATCGCCTCTTCATAGCTTCACTCTTCCTGTCCACCCTCACCTGAGAGCTCCAATGCGGCTCTCCTTGGTCGGATCCGTCATCAGACGACGACTGACCTTCCTGGTGGGGACTCCGCCTTACGGGTAGATGTTCGATGCGTCTGTGATTGGCATCCCATGTCGGGACATGTCTTGGATTGTCTGGGAAATTCGTCCTCTTATACGGCCCCTCCTTGTTCAAAGTCATAGAATTGACTCTTTGATTTAGCTCTCGAATTTGCCTCGCCTCCACACCTTTCAGTTCGTGATCAGATTTGACTTGGACTGCGTCCTCTGTGGCTGGCCCTTCATGTTTGTACAGCTCTTCAATGAGCTCTGGTAATCGAAGCTTTGCTAGTATGAACAGCTCTTCGGCACTGATGCGCTCCTGCGGTAACTCCACATTCGCTTCCTGGATCTTCCACCAATATCGCCTTTGATGTACCTCCGGTCCGCGCTTGATGCCTTCGAGCTTGGGGCATTTTTGACAGAACAGGATATCACTAGCCATATGAGAAACGCTCCAATGGATTGTCTCGTTTGATCCGTGACCAGGCCTTCGCTTGATAGCTCTGACTTGGCCCTGAGGAAGACCACCGGCTTTCCATCCAAGAGTGCGCGAGTTGGGGAGGTCGGATCTCCGGTCAGCGCTTTGCACTGCATTCGGTAGGTATGCCTTATACTTCTTATCCAGAGTTGTGGTCTTGATTTGCGTGTACATTGGGTGAAGGAGAACTTTTTCGAGCATGTCCCAGTCATCCGACTGGAAGTCGAAGCGGAGGCCAGTTTTGGCAAGTTCGCTGCACATCCAGATTAATGTCAGGTTAGCAAAGTTGTTATCTGAATTGTCACCCTTGCCGCCACCCACATCAGAGTGAAAGCCTCTGAACCAGCATTGGCGAAGCGTTTGCCTCTGGGGATCGTACTGTTTCCACACCTCGGCGGGGAAATTGATTCTTTCTTCGTCCAGCGACAGTGCCTGGATAGCATATCGGATATTTGGTGTTACTTGACTTCCCAGCTGTTGGGGCTTCTTGGTCAAGTACCAATTCCGGACTTCCGCAACGGTGTCCCAGACCGCACAAGCCCGTACTGAAACGTCCTTGTGCAGGCAGACGACTTTGTCGCCGAAGTCGATTCGTTTACCCGCTTGATTTGCTCTGATCCAAGTTTCGTACAACCTCTTCAAATCGTGATGAGTAGAGCCTTCCCAATTGGGCGCGAACAGGCCGAGATCGTGAAGCCACTGAGCTACACAACGAGTAGTGAAGGCGCCGCGAGAGAAACCGATGAGATAGATTTCATCACCTGGGCAGTAATGCGTTGCGAGAAATTCGAGAGCTTGGCAGATCCGTTCACCAATTGCTGCAATTGTCAGCCTTGTCACGGGAGGTTGCTTGAGACACGTTGATGACCTTACTTGAAGCAACAGCTTGGTCAACGTGATGAGCTAGCAAGTCATCTGCTGTACCCACGCCTGTGAGATAGTGAGTAATTTTTTGTTTGCCCTCGTTGTCTTCGGCTGCGATGAATCGCTCAATTCTCGCAACGTTGGTCACAGGTTCCTTTCTATTGCGGTCGTCTGTCGTACCATCGCAGCAGACGACCAAGCGCTTATTCTTTGGGATTCGAAAAGCCTGACGTGGTCTGACTGACTGATAGTTGCTCTCCTTGTTTCCTGAAATTTTGTTGTGCCGGGTGGCTGACATAATGCCGACTTCGATCGGGAGATTTTGGAAAGGGAAGATCGGAATTTTAGGATCGAAGGATGGTGAGAAGAGAAGTTTGACTTAGCTGGAGTCAGTCATCGCTACCACCGGTGAGGCTGTGGAGGGGTACTGTAAGTATTGCTGCCTGATCATGAGGGGTACCGAAGGTAAGCGAGCCTGTTATCAGAGGCTTGAGGACGCTTGACGATAGTGTAGATAAATCGCGTGCGAGTGAACGACCAAGAAAAAGGATAGACAGACCACAATCTCAAACAACGTGAGAGGGTTTTGCTACAGGCCCGCTGAGGGTATCAGCAGCATGCTACCACCCAGATGTTGGGATCGTCCCCAGTTTGTCTCGAGTCATTAGCGGCCGCCATCAAGTCCCGTTGTCGAATTTGACGAGAGGAACTCGCATACTTGTTATTAACTCCAGGGAATTGAAATGTGTATAGTGGTGTAAGAAACCGAACCGTGAGGAGCTACCTTTTAGTCTTAACAATAAGTGAACGTCAAGAGCAGTCTCAGTACAGGTTCAAGGTAAGTAAAGGCAAGGCAAGTAAAGGCTGTCACCTACCTACTAGAAAGTATAGCCGAGCCCTGGGCCAGAAACTGAGTTCACTGGAACCTAACGCCCATCCCAAAACAGGGACCCAGGAGGTCAGCCTCTTCCAGGCGGGTCGGGGGTTGATCAGGGTGCTCAGCCTTGTCAGCAACAGCACCGCCACGCCTCAGAGACTGCTGACTCGGCTCTCATCTTCTCGGCGTGCTCAGGGCTGAAGACGGAGACGGGTTTGGTGAGGTTAAAATCTTCCAGTGAATATCATGAATATGAGAGCCGCGGCCTATTAATACAGAACCAGAGATCTCTGATGGTAGCAGCCAATTGTATTAGACCAACGGAATTGAGCCGATACTATGGACCAACGCTATACGGCTCCTTAGGCTCTAGTCTCTGATGGTGTAATTCCTAGAGGATTTCTTCCAGGACTGGCTGTCTCGTGTTTCTTCTTGTCCTTGCCGAAATGTGACATAATACCCCGGAAATTATGTCTCGACGGCGACGGAGGCTCGGCCTGCTGCACCACTCCTGTCTCGGTATCGAGTCGGTCTTCAGGCTGCTATGCACTTGCACTCAATGAACGTTTACGGAACAAGTCAGGCAATCGCAGGGACTTGCGGCGCTCCGTCGTGATTGCTTCGTCGTCCTGCGTGTGACGAGTGTCGGCTCGCAGGGCGACCCCAGAAGAATGGCGCTCCGACAAGCCCTGGGCCCGATCTGGAACCGATGCTAGGTTTTCGTTTTGGCGAGACATTGCGGTGCTATGGGGCGCTGCAGGTGGACTTGAGATTTGTACAATCTCCTCTGCCGGTCCGTGTAACTGAGACAAAGTTAGCCTTTGTTTTCACGCCTCCAAGTCGCCTAGCGATTATGGTATGTTAAGGCATTTCGTTCCTGTCATAGTACTTACGTCGGGATCTAGTCTCCGCCATTGGAGGATCCTGTCAAACATTTTGTCCCTAGTTTGAGTGTGTCTTGTAAAGGTCAATAGTACAAACAGTAGAGGACATAAAAGGCTCGAGTGTGTATTATCAGTACTCTCACCAATCTTTCCATCTTCTTGGGCTGACAAGGCTACAGAAGCAACCGGCATTCGGCTCTGGCGGCTGCACTCAAGACGGTGACAACGGCTGCAAATCTAACCTCATGTAACGTCCATGTAACATGAAGCCTAACAATCTTCACCTTGGATTGGCCGGAAAAGGTGAGCGGGTGCTATCATAGCACGCTAGTCCATGGGTACTAGTATTGTCTGATTGCCCTGGAAATCCGATGGAGCGAGACAAACGGAATCCAACAATTCGGGGCGCTTTTGAGAGCTTCCCAGTGATGTCAAGCTTGATAACAGGTTGATCATCGCAGGAAGATCGGACACGACAAAGCAGAAAGAGCACCTAGAGATTGCTATTGGCCAAGCACGGATCTCCCAAGAAACATTTTTCTGCTCAGGCGTGCGATCCGGACGATCCGCGATAGAACGGTCCCAGCTAGCTACCGACTCTCATTCTTGCGTACGGAAGTCTAGGACTGACTCATCTTTCACAGCAACATGGCGTCCACTGATGGTGTATCTGAGTGGTGAAGCTTTGAGTCGATGTTTCGGGATGCTTAGTGTGGTGAGATATATATATACATTCATAGCCCGGTTTCTCTTCTCGATGTGGAAAGGCCTTAGGTCAGCAGTGATACAGGAGCACTAAGACAGCACATTAACCCCAGAAGATTATAGCAAAGAACACCATCATGCAGCAAGCAACTGAGAACAACAAAAGTCAACCCATTCGGAAGAGGGCACGAACAACTCTTACCCGGTTCAAACTTGGAAGAGTACCGTGCCAGCCTGCCACTCATCATCTCCCGCTTCACGGGTTATCGACCACCTGAGGCCGGGCCTCCATATGATCCTTTGCCATTGCCGCCATTCACATAGTTAGAGAAAATTCCACTACGACTCGAGGTCTAGACTTTTGCTTAGATCGGCGCCTTCGGTGGCATCCTCCTCATCGAAGCGATCATGTCGACCAGCACCGCTTTCCGCGACGTATATCACACGCCAACCATAATCACGTCCTTTAGTGCGTCGGCCGTTCTTCTTTTCGGAGTCATCGAGTCCCCAGTCGGGCAACCGCGAAATTTTGTCCTCGGCCATTTCATCTCAGCCCTCGTCGGAACCGCCATCACCAGGCTGTAGGTGTTGAACGCCAGCTACCAAGGGTATCTTGAGAACGCAGGGTTTCACCCATCGACCTTTGTGAACGGAGGCCTCTCGATGGCAACCTCCCTCCTCGCTATGCTGATCACGGGCACCGCTCATCCTCCGTAAGTATCCCCCAAGCTGCTACGAAAAAGGCGGGCCCTAATGAAAGCTTCACAGCGCTGGTGCCACTGGTCTCAACGTCGCAGTCCAATCACACGTGGTAACACTATCCTGGCGCTATCTGCCCACTATCCTTGCCTCATCGCTCATTATGCTCGGGTGGACCCTAATCATCAACAATGTCGGGCGCCGCCGTTATCCGCTTCATTGGTGGGCACCCGGTCCGACGTTTGTCTGTGTTGACGATGACTCGGAGCTGGAAAACGCAGAAGAAGGAGAAGTTGAACGAGAAGAGATGGAGGAGCGTGATCTCGAAAAAGAAAGTACTGCTGCTAGCGATACACTATCTGAGGATCGTAGAAAGCATGGAGAAGTTGCGCGCAGTCGGTCCCTCAGAGACATGGATCCGGAGAAGATCCAGATGGAACCAGCATCTTTGCAAAGCGCTTTCGATGCGTCGCCGGGAGAGTTCTCGAACCGTCGGCTGAGTTCTAGTGGAGAGCGCTATCACTTGGACTAGACACTTCGGGAGGGAGAATGCCTGGTATAGCGAAGCCCCCAGGGACAACTCCTGGATTGAGATGGTGGATGAAGATTGTTCCTGTATTACCAACATTATGGGTAGATGATAGTAGGGATGGAAAGAGCTTAGCAAGAGACGTGGTACAAGAACAGCGCTATTCTGATGGAGTCCGAAGCCGTTGCTGCCCACATAGTGTACTTGAAGGAAAGCAATATATACACGCACGCGCAGGATCGGTTCATCTGAAACTAAAATGGTGATTTTCGTCGCACTCACCTTTTCTCTTCCAAATTAGTGACCTCAGCAACTTTCAGGTCCCGTCCTCGGTCCTCGGTCCTCGTGAAACGTTCATGTTCAGTGGAAAGACGTCGAAGCTCTTGTGATTGCTTTCTCAACTCTTTCGAAAGCTCCTTCGCAAGCTCGAGATTGTCTTCAAGGTCGTGGTGGTGAACAATAACATCTCCTCCGTCGTCCTCAAACTCATTTTCTTCACCCTGTTCATTTCGTCTGAGATTCTCCTCTAGACTGTGGTGGCGATAGAACTTGGAGTCACTTCGGTTTTCGACCGGTGGAGGCACCGACAGTTCACTCAAATTTCCAAGTGGGTCGGATTGACGTCGCCGTCTGGAATGGTGAGATTGTCGCTCACCCGAGTCTCTGTGTTGGAATAGAGAAGAAATTTTCTCCCACATGACTATGTTTGCTCCTTGATGTTCCTGTGACAAGATGTTGCTGGTGACATCGACGAAGTGTGGTACAAGGCTCGGGCAGACGCTATCATGCCTTTTGTATCAATTCACCCTCAAGGTGACTAGGTCATGGCACTTCGCAGGTCCCGTGCGGTCCGGACGGCCAGCTCGCATGCAAGCTTGCGTGACGTAACTGACCCTTTGTTATACAAAATATACCATATCCTCCTCCAGAACCTTGTCACCAGTTCTACACGCTTTCAGTCAGTATGAGCAAGGCACAATCCATTTACAGTCTCAAATCAGTCGGCTCTCCCGGCTCTTTAGACTTTCGTTTGTATATGGAACGAAAAGGGTCACCGATTTCGATCTGGCATGACATACCTTTGTGGGCCGATGAGGAGGAAAAGGTTTTGAACATGGTGGTGGAGATCCCACGATGGTCCAACGCAAAGTTCGAGGTACGTTCCGTCGTGCGCCGGCACGGCTTGCCACTGTTGGCGCCTAACTACTAGACATCTGGACTGGTCACCAACATCAAGGGGAAAAGATCTCTAGGACCGAAGAATTCAACCCGATAAAGCAGGACGTCAAGAACAATAAAGCCCGCTTCGTACGTAATGTTTTCCCCTATAAAGGGTACATCTGGAACTACGGCGCCCTTCCGGGAGTGAGTCATGGCTTCTTTTTTGCCCCCCACAGTCCAGCTTTCTACCGACAGGGCCACTGATGGCATCAGACTTGGGAAAATCCCTCTCATGTTCACCCAGACACTAAGCACCCTGGTGACAACGATCCCCTCGATGCTTGTGAGATAGGTGAACAGGTCGCGTATACTGGTCAGATTAAAAGAGTCAAGGTCCTTGGGGCAATGGCCCTCCTCGATGACGGCGAAACCGACTGGAAGATTATTGTCATCGATATCAATGATCCGCGCGCTGCCGAGGTGAACAATATTGCAGATGTACAAAAACACTTCCCAGGTCTTTTAGAGGCGACATGGGAGTGGTTCAAGCTCTACAAAGTTCCCGATGGCAAGGCGCCGAACAAGATCGCCTTGGACGGCGAGTTTAGAGATCAAAGGTGAGGATTTCAGGCTGTCTCATCTCGTGTACCATCCATGTGCCGCTCGCTACTAGGCTTGCAGCACAGTCATGCTCATCTGCACCTAGAAAGATACTGATGAAGCCGTAGCTATGCCATATCGATAGTCAACGAATGCAAAGCAGCATGGGAAAAGTTGATCAACGGCAAGGTACTGGCTGAGGATATAAGCCTCATTCGGGGCAATGAAATGGACACAATCGCGAGCTCAGCCAACTACACAGGCAACGATGAATGTCAACCGTCAGAAGAGAACTTGGATAAATGGTTCTTCTTGAGGAAGTAGCTCATGAGCGTGCGCTCCATCTCTCAGTCTACCAACGGCCTGCGAACGTAGACAATATGAAATGAGATATAAGTCATCAAGAACACAAAGGTCGAAACTTCACGAGTGTACAAGTGCGACCGTTTTAGCTTCAGCGACGCTGTCCGGCCGACTCAGACTTCCAAAGATCCTAGTCCTAGTGCGTGCTTTTCGTCGAGGTTAAAATGTTCTATCATTCAAAGCCTGCGGAGCCACCATCAACCTCTAGTCTATGAATGGGCATGTCGGAACGATTCTCCTGCATACGAGGATCCCAGGTTTCTTGCCTCTAATTCCTCCTCGATATCCATCAGGCGGTTGTACTTGGCAACTCGCTCGCCTCGGCAGGGTGCACCGGACTTTAGATGGCCGCAGCCAATTGCGACGGTGAGATCGGCAATGAAGTCGTCCGTCGTCTCCCCAGAACGATGAGACACAAAGACTGACCAGCCAAGTTCATATGCCCTTTCCGCCGCCGCAATAGCTTCGCTAATCGTGCCAATCTGGTTGATCTTCAAGAGCAGAGAGTCACATGCGTCAGCCTTTGCGGCCATCTCTATGCGTCTGATGTTGGTTGCCAGAAGATCGTCGCCCACCAGCTCGATATTGGCGAGCTTAGAAATGATGTGAAAGGATTTCCATGAATCCCAGTCGTCTTGCGCAAAGGGGTCTTCCAACAGCACAATCGGATATTTGTCGACCAGACTCCGGTACAAATCTGCCAGTTCTGTACTGGTGTATCTCTGCGGCGTGTCAGACTTGAACCCTAAGTCGTAGTCACCGTCTCGATAAAACTCCGACGAGGCTGGATCAATGCCGATTCTGAAACGTCCTTCATGCCCTGCAGCCTCGATCGCGGCCATTATGAGATCCAAGGCTTCGCTAGGCCGAGTTATGGGTGGCGCGAAACCCCCCTCGTCACCAATGCCAATGGCTGCCTTGCCAAACTTCTTGATGATGATGGATTTCAACGCCTGATACACCTCGGCCGCCCATTGGATACCCTGGGTGATGGACGCGGCTCCCGTCGGCGCAATCATGAATTCCTGAAATGCCATCGTGTTGCCAGAGTGGACACCACCGTTGAGCACATTGAAGAAAGGCACCGGCACGACGTACTCCTTGTGGCGTGATTGAAGCTCGCTCGCCAGAAAATCATACAGTGGAATTTTCTGTGTCAATGCGTCGTTAGCATCCGCCTAGGATGGATGTAGGCCCCGTATCGCTCACCTTCGCAGCTGCACATGCTCTGGCGCAAGCCATACTGACCCCAAGGATGGCGTTAGCACCCAAATCGCTTTTATCCGAGGAGCCGTCCAGCTTGATCATGAAATAGTCGACGTCTTTCAATCCCAGTTCGAGGTCAAACTGCCTGCCTGAGAGCGCAGGACCAATGATCTCTTGCACATTGCGTACTGCTTGCTCAACTCCATTTCCTCCGTACGCTTCACCACCGTCCCGCAGCTCAATGGCTTCATAGTCCCCTTTGGATGCGCCCGACGGCACGATCGCACGGAATTTTCCATCTCTGGTTTCCACTTCGACTTGCACGGTAGGCTTGCCGCGGGAGTCTAAGCGCTGAGATGCTTTCACTGAAGTTAATATGGTCGGCATGATCTCAAGGATTTGAATCACCGGCGCGCGCAATGCTCTTTGAAGCAGGCCAAGTGATCGATTTATCAATCAATCCAAAGAGATCAAACACTTGTGACGCAAGGACTTGTCGCGCCACTTTGGTCAGGACCATACCACGATCTCATGATTTTGTAGTGGTGAGACGGCAATCACGGTACGGGCGGATTGTTGCTTTGATTTTCACCGGCCAATCCCCCTTCCAAGGGGCCCACCAGATCTACCCACAGGCACTGGCACGAGGCAATCATGATTCAAAATGCTTATGCATCAATTGAGAAACAGTATGTGGTCCCCACTAAACAAGTCGAAAGGAGATCCATGTGATGTCAGTATATGCGCCGGACCCTCCAAATTCCCTTGCACCACGCTGAAAATTCCTCCATCCGCTATTCACAAATTCTTGTCCCACACCTTCTCATTGTATCCGGGCGGCGGAGTGAGGGGGTTACCGTCAGCCTCAGAGACATTGTCGACTTTGCGCATTGACGAGGAAATGTACGAAGCAGCCGACAAGTCTGTCGAGATCGAATGTCCTCGTTCACTACCATATGAGGCATCGACAAAGTCGTCGCCGGCCATTTCCGCCTTCAGCGCCACAGGCGACGGTCTGGCGTATGCGTCTGTGACCTGCTCTGTCACAACTGGTTGTCGAGCCTGCGACATTGCCTGCTGTGCTTTGGCGTGCATTTTGGCTGCTCTGTTTTCTTTGACGCCCCTGCAAGATGTGTCAGTATATGCCCAGAGAAACATATGAGGCTGAGAGGACAAATGTGGGCACGACATACCTATAAATGCCGAATGCAGCACATGACAAGCCACAGGTCACGATGCTGAGTGGGATGCCGATGGCAGGGTGCACTGTTCCAGGGGGTCGGCGGGAATATGCTTGAAGATAGTAGTCTTGCTCGTATTCTTTGCAAGTGCAATGCTGGTTCGGAGGGAGGGTATCTGCATGCTTGCAATGGCCAGAAAGCATGGAATTGTTGTGGCAGTTGCCTCGGTCGCTAGACCAGGTCGACTGGTGACAGTGGGCCGGCGATGGGCCTGCTTGTCTCTTGCTGGAATGGCACATTGTGATTGTGGGAGGACCTCGTGAGCTGATGCAATGGCTCAGGTTGGAGTATGGACCGAGGACTTGCGCTGGAAATTCGTGCTGACCATGTGGTCCAGACAGGGTGAAGGCGCACTCTTAAATGACCTTCGAGTATCAGACACCTTGTTGGTACGTTTGAGTGATGCAAGAAGAACAGACTCGGATGGATTTGTGTATACAACTCGCGATCTTGCACTTTTGCGTGCGTGCGAAAGCTTGAAGTAGGGAGCCTCGTCGAATGGGTATTGATCGGGTTAGGTCAGCTTCGCGTGGCAGCCTCTAGGCGAATCGTGGGCTGTCCGGGGCGGCACAATCATGACGACGATGACTGAAGAAACCCTGGGGTTTCGCAAATTGGCCCCCATTTGGTTAGCGAGGTAGATCACCAGAGGGATTGGAGCATCACCGCAAAATCATACGTCCGTAATGTTGACAGCTTGACGGATGTACAAATCGCCCACCTAAATGGAGATGCGTGCAAGTCGTTCCAGGTGTTTCGGAAAGATCTTCCACCATGTGGTCAGCGCAGACATGGACAACTCGAAGTCTGAATTCAACGGACACCAATTGCCGATATGCCAGGAGCAGCTCCTCACGATGCCCATCATCTATGAAATGTTGAACCTAGCCTGCGTCGCTGACCCCAAGAGCATGGGATTTGGATCAGCCTACTTAGGCTCGTTACGTTAGGGTGAGGCTCACACTGGCTCACGAGGCGTTGATGGCTATGCCTGGTTAGGAGCCGACTATTACCAATAGCTCCCGTGCTCTATCTCGCATAAGTCGGGAGTTCCAACTGCTTTATGCGTGTTTGCAAGGAATGCCGAGGGAAGGTCTGGTGAGTGTTGGGCTCAGGAACTTAGGCTGTCGCGGCTGTCTCTACCTTTGAGTCGATCATCTGGCATGTAGCCACAATCTGCTCATCCAGACAACGCGACTCCGGGATGGTGCAAAAGAGAGTCTCAAAGGAACTCATTCCACTTCAGGAAGCGTGCCATCTCAAGTACGGCCAACAATTTTGTCAGTCTTGGTCCTGATGGGGAGGCAGATTATAAGTCTGCGATTCAAGGTCGTGTAGCGCGTCGGCATTTGTAGTTTTGGAGGTGTCGTGGCCAAACGCGCGGGTTCTGTCTAGGCGACATGGACGATGATACCGTAGCGCATTGCCAGGTAAAGTGATGCGCAGCATCCGTTATATACGGCTGAAGGATGTTTGCTTAAAGACTGCGTTCAATGCCCATGAACGTGCTCCTTGACTCCGGTGCAGCAACTCAGAAGACAGAACGCGTCTCTTGTGACCCATGCTGGGGCAGGCGCGGTGACAGCACATCAGCCCACTCGCCCAGCCTCTGATGCCCGACACCAACGGCGAAGATGGCCAATCCGAACCTTGTACTTCGGACTTTCATGTCTGCCTGATGCCCGGAGTTGCAGATGCAATGTGATGAAACCATTGCCCAAGCGTGGCGCCCCGGCACGAGCTCTCCTTCTCACGATTCTCCCACACCAAGTTCTGCAACAACATGGCTCAAGCACGACAGGGCTATCATCTGCTTGCGGACTTCATGTCGTGGGCTTCTGATACTGCCATTTTCCCTCGTTTCAAGTCGTCAAACGTTCTCAACCTGTTACTGCTCCAAGCGGAGATTAGCAAGCTGGAGGAAGATCTCAGAGATTTTGTGGACCTTGACCAGAAGTCTGGTCAGCCTTCCCGTGTGAACGCTTCACTTGATTGGGAAGCGCTGTGTGATTTGGAAGAAGATCATCCCACGAAAAAGACCTTGGAAGAGCTCCGAGAGAAACTGAGCGTATATAGTGAGTAGGGAAGCTGGCACCTATCATATTCACGGCCTCACACGGGTCAGACCAAGCCTTAATCCAGCAAATTACTCTCAATCGACAACGAACTCCGTCGTATGAAAATCTGGACATCTTACGCGGCTGGTTGAGGGATACACAGGGCGGCAAATCCGAGCTTCGTGGTCCAGGCGCCATGACATGGTCCGAAGTGCCTGATGGCGGACGAGCTGTCGAAGACTTATTGGGGCTGTCATCCAGTCGTCAAGAACGCACTGTCGTGCATGCCTTCCTTCGGGCGTTGTTCCTACTCTTGAAGCGTTTTGCACGTTCTGAAGCATTCAGCGGCAGAGACTCATCCAAAATCGTGGCCGAGAAGTAGGGCTTTGCTATCACTTGGAAGGCCGCGGGCGATCAGATCTCTTCTTTTCTTGCAGCAGTTCTCATTCTTGCTCCAGTCATTGCACTACACTTCGTCAGCAACCCAAATGCTCGACTTGGAGTCATCGTCGGCTTCCCGATATCATTCGTATTGCTGACTCTCTTCACGACCGAAGCGAAGCGGAGCGAAGTCTTTGCGGCTACTGCAGCATTTGTTGCAGTCCAGATTGTTTACGTTGGCGCCGCATTAGATCCAAACAAGAAGGATTAGTGAATCAAGCTCCAAGTATCCTTATGAAGGGTTCTTTCGCTTCTGAGCCGAAAGGACGATAGAGGCATTTCCAAGCGTTGATCCGTACCTGCAAACCTCGCGTTGCGACCGCGTTGTGGTTAGGTTTTACAGCAAGGTTGATTTTATAACCTACACCATAGTCGGCAGAAAGGAATCCTATGGGCTCAATGGTATGTCAGGTTTTCATCGTTCAATAGCGATGGCAATTCCCAAGATGACTACTAATAGCGTCACTATTCCAGCACACCATAATGTTGAGAAGCATGCATGACTTCTAAGGCTAGAATTTCCGACAAAGAAGATTTAGCCTCGTGAATTCGGCTGTGCCTGATGTTTACAGTTGCACAACTCGGTGCTGCTGTTGCACCCTATCAATATACAGCGGAGTATTTTGGACACTTCCACACGTAGAGCCGTGCAGTTTAGCCTCGTCTCCCAAAGCCGCATTCATGCATTCTCGCCATCATGGCGCCAATATCCTCCTCCTTGGAGAACCTGTCTAACTCTTTGAGCACTCCGAAACAGCTTGCCTCATTGAAGTCGTCCGAAGAAGAAGACGCTCAGTCTCTACGTTTCGCACAATGTCAACTCACCTCGGCCGCCGGCATCCTCCTGCGCCTTGCACAAGAAGTTATTGCACATGCGATTGTCCTCCTCCAGCGATTCATAGTGGCTAGCAGAGCAGAAGATCGTGAAGGTTTCGGTCCACGAGCATACTCCGCGGCAGCTATCTACCTTGCTGCCAAAATTTCTACTACACCAGTCTCGGCTCGATCAGTTGTCAATGTTTACGCTTACCTCACCTCCAAAGCCTCTCCACTCAAGTTTGTCAATCCTACCGAGACACTTTCGGAGATCCTTCCTACCGAGTACTATGTAACAGAAGGAACCTACGAGAGAGAAAGACAGCGCTTATCTGTCTGTGAGAGCATGATACTGGTGGGCATTGGGTTTGACACCCGAGTGGCTCTGCCACACGGCCTGGCTTTGGCATACATGCAAGCTTTGGGAGTCTCATCGACGAATCTAGCGCGGAGAGTTTTCGAACACTTGAACGCAGGTCTGCTGTCACCGCAGCTTCTCTACCTTACACACCAGCCGAACGCGCTCGCCGTGGGTGCAATCTATTTGGCTGCGCGAGAGACTGGCGTCAAGCTTGTTAACAAGAACTGGTGGGAGGTCTTCGATGTCGATAGAGAAGACCTTGGATTTCTGGTTCTGGCTTATGGAAGTACTGCCAACTTTGCGGAAGCTGAGATGGAGAAGTGGAAACAAGGACCACTGGCTTTGGGTTGAGACTGTTCGCTCTGCCTCATCCGCTCTCTTCTGCGGCCGCAAACTCAAGGCCGGCCACCCTACTCCGGCGTCATAGCATGCTACCCTGCGATCTGTTCACCGGCTGCCCGTCGAAGTCCAGATGGGATCCCCGTGTTTCGTCATGGAGCTGTTGAAGCTCCTGCTCAGTCGCGCAACTGGAAAGTCGATCGCCACATCCACTGAAGCCGAGTCTGAGTGGACGGATGGACAACAATTCGGGACTGCTACAGCGCTGCTTCCGTTGACGAGGTGGACAGCTGACTGTCCTCAGTCCGAACACCGCTCTAGGCAGCGCACCTGGCTCCAGATGGAGTTCGAGGAATATCTGCACTATGTTCGCCGGTGTACATGGCTGCGGTGAGCAGAAGCGCCTGGGCAACCTTTGTTGTGTCTGGTGTCAATTTGACATTCTTTTTTTCCCTTCTTCTTCTAAAGACCTCGAATGGCTGTTGGTTTACGCTGGACATAGACAATGCAAAGTTCCTTCGGTGTCTAACACCGTGATACTCTGTTCTTTTTTGTGCAGGATAAGATGTAATGGACGCGGGCTGAGTTGAAGTGCAGAACGGCAATCGAAGAACAGTGTTGCCCCTAATGCTTGTCGGCTGCACACTCTGGACAAGACTGTCTACAAAGGCCCTACAGGACATGCACTTTCTGGAGAGAATACCGGAAGACATGGTTATACCTAGAAACTTTTCCCTTATATCCCACGAATGCAAGGAAGAAGGACAGGAGGTTTCGTCATCGGAATCATTGTAACATTATGCACCTGCGATCTGCTTTCAACGCTTGATAAAGACTACGTTGGGCATCTTCGGGTTTGCGCGGTGCCCGGTTTGACCGTGTTCTCTCGAGTCTCGATCTATTTACGTGGGGCGCTCACTTATCGCGTCGTATTCGGTGCTCATCTTCTCAGCCATCACAAGCTGCTCCAGCCGGAAGGGCCTCAAATAACAAGTCGATATCACGCCTACGAGATCGACTTGGCTGAATTTGCGACCAGGCCAAACCCTTGGTCCCACACTCCATGCCAGAAATGCAGCCCCTGGTGCGGGAGGAGCAATCGATTCTTTGCCGGTTTTCGGATCGACCTGAATAATCCATCCTTGAGGTTACCACTCGAGAGAGTCGACTATCTTCCCACCAGCACGGATCGCTGTGCATGCCGTAGAAACCCACTACCTGTCGACTGTCGTAATCAATCAGCCTGCATGGGCCCTTCGTCACTCGAACGCTCCATGTGCTCCGTCTCCATATCTGGCTTCTCCCTCACTCCGTCATCTTTGGCTCCATCTTTCCTCACGGGACTTGCATTGCTTAAATGCAAAATCTGCATATTCTCCTTCTTCAGCCTCTGGAACGTCTTCTCAGCTTCCCAGACCCATGGCTTGTCGGACGCGAAGAGCAGGTCCATTTCCTCAAGCGTGCGTTGCTTCGTCTCAGGATAGAGACAATATACGACGGGAATTGTCAGGAAGTTCACGCATCCGTGGATTAGAAAAGTGTATTGTGATAGTGCTGAGATTGAGAAGTTAGTACGAATTCACAGTCAGTGGTGAGGATCAAGTACTAGTAAAAACGAAGGGGAGTGGGATCTGAAAACAGAGATACTCACTTGAGAACCAGACTGGAACGAGCAGGGAGACGCTTCCACATCCGAGGCCCCAGTCGACAGTGCCGAAGGCGTTACCTTTAGCACGGACCTGTATTTTCGTAAGCGACCTGGTCGAACGGGACACAAGGAATGAACTGGCCTCTAGAGGGAATGTTTCAGTGGGGTAAACAAAAGGGACATCAAGCCAACTTGATGCAAAGATGCCAGTGAAAAAGAAAACGAAGAAGGCCGAGGCAGCACCCCAAGCCTGTGCTTCAGAGGATCCGGGTACTTGCTTTTTCAGCATCGTGACCATGCCGGTCTGTTTGAGCCGAATTAGCTCGTTACAATCATCCACTCTGAGCCTGGGAACTTTACCTCTAAGAACATGCAGACCCCTAGCATGGCAGCGCCAACCCATAACATCCAGCGACGTCCGACTCGATCAATCAGCACCATTCCGATTAGGGAACAGAGACATGCACCGATGTTATTGATGCCAGCTAACAATTGTGACTTTGTGTTGCTATATCCTGCCAGAGTAAACATGATAGGAGAGTACACGGTGATTGTTGTAATGCCGGTCCTGTGTTCAGAGCATATAAGTAAATGGACAAGCAACGGGTTGGAAGAAGGAACGAACCATGCTTGAAGGAACAAGAGCCAAAGCGAGAGTTGGACTCGACGCTCGAGATGCAGCTTCCCGCTTCCTCGGCCGGTCAGCATTGTCCAATAGTTGAAGCGTCGGCCGGTCTCTCTTTCAAGCTCGACAGCGCCATGGATATCCTCAAACTCTCCAACCGCCTCGGGATGGAGGGGGTCTCCTTCTCCTCGCAATCGACCGAGGATGATCTTGGCTTCCTCGAAACGTCCAACCTTGACCAGCCAGCGAGGGGATTCAGGCATGAAGAAAAGTAACGCCACAAGTGCGAACAGTGGACTAGATTTGATCGTCAGCACACCTTTCGAAAGCAGAAATCTGACAGAGAGAACATACACAATCTGAAAGGCCAGAGGGAAACGCCAGCGAAAGCTCGTATTACCCCCGTCCACGAAGCTGACGCCGTACTCAAGCCAGTATGCAGTGATAAGCCCGACATAATTGAGCGTAAACTCAAAGGACACGAAGAAACCTCTGTGGTTTTTGTGCGAGGTTTCGGCACTCCAGACTGGAAGCACGCCGTTAAATATGCCAGTACCCATGCCTGTCACAATGCGAGCACATAATATCCAGGGCGTGTTCTTAGCCCCGGCCTAACAGTTTCCTTGTCAGCAACAGAGTTCCTTCGGTCACTAACTGGTGCAGGATGGCACGGACTTGTAGAGCAGCGCCAAATATGGCGAAGAAGCAGCCCAGGAGAACAGTGCGTATGCGCCCGACGTGATCACTGAGGGCACCGCCCAGCAGAGTTCCGATTGAGGTGCCTAGATAGTAGATTGCCACGATTCCGCCTTGTTCGGTAGGCTTGGTGATGATGTTGTTCCCTTGATGGTCAGTGTAGCCCAGGCCCATTGTGCGCTGCGTGATTGCATCAGCATAGGATCCTGTGGAAATGTCGGCAAATACATACAATGTAATCTGGAGAGACATTCACTCCGGCCATAACACCTTGGTCATAGCCACTGAAGAAAATCCCCAACCCTGCAACGACATTGATGGCGGTGATGAGACGTAGGCCCGTCAGCCGGCCATGGGCCACTCCTCGAGCTTTCAGAATCTCCCACATGTTGACCCTTGGCAGAGAGGCTCAAGAGTTTAAGGTTGCTTTGCGAGCTGCTGATGGATGATAAGATATTTGGTTGAAAATCACTGACCGACGACGGCTTAAGCAGTCTTTAAGGATCAGCGACGCAGCTCACTTCTCCAGACCTATAGACCTATCCCCATGGGCAGGCGGCCCACAAGCGGAGATCTGGGGTCGGAGGTCAGGTACCGGGAGTTGTGCGGCCTGGAGGTGCTGTATCTTTTCTCGTGCCGTCGAGTGATTCAAAGTGGTGCACATGTCTTTACTAGACCCATTCATTGCGGCTCGCCTGGAAGCGAACCCACCAATACGTGATGTCTATTGCCTATCACGCTTGAGCCATTCCCGGCCACGTGCGGGTTAGCCAGGGATTGTGGAGTTTAGATGCCCGGAGATGAAAGTAGCTGAGGGGTTCTGAAGCTTCACTTGCCGCTTTTATTACTTGACCTCGAGGGCCTTTCTTCGTCGTTAGGCCCGCGGAAGAACAAGTGGCCTTGCCACCTCGGAGGTGTTCAGGGAAGTGCAGAAAAGCCTAGAACTAGGTCCATGTTTTTCGTTGACAGATGCATGGCTACAGCCATGCCTCCATGTGGCATTCGTCGCCAAAATCTAGAGGTTCAAAACCTGTAAAGCTATCGAACTGCTCATCGGGAAAAATGGCAGCTGACAACGACGGAAGTGGACCAAAAATTGCTTCCAAGTTGGTTTCGGGATCCATCTCCAAGATCTGCTGACCATTGGTATAGTCTTCGGGCGATGAATCTTCGAGACCGATTCTAAGTGGCACCTCGCCTTGCGTTCGGGGAGCGGGAGCGCCGTACTTGCCCATGAGTGACTGCAACATGTGCTGGCAACGGAGTGCGCTAGACCAGGTCCCTCCCAACTCATTCAGTATCTCCATGCACGTCGAGAGATACTGTCTTGCTTTGAATTCATAGACTGAATTACAAGATAGGACGTTGCTTAGGTGGATAGTCGATGCAGTGAACACGGCATGAACAGCTATATTGACAATGTTGCGTAGAGAGTATCGAGATTGGTGCGCTTTCGCTAGGGTGACGATCTTGACGGCAGACCCGGTACAACATCCTAAGGGACTCTCTAGTTCTCCGGCGAGTTTCGATGACGGGTAACAAATCAGTGGTCGAAAAAGTAGGATGCGGCTAGTATGATAAAGCATGCTTGACCAAAGTTAGCAAATAAACTTCCACCGAGACACAGCTTCAGTGGGCAACTGACTGCATGATCAGGACGTGGGGTAGGAGATGAGACGTTGTGTAGCCGTGGTTGCGAATCCTGAGCGCGCTTGGAAGCTGCTGCAGCCAAGATTGTAATTGGCAATTATGAGCTGTGATAATGTCGAAATGGTTCGGAGTCACGTCTTTTGAGGTAGGAGGGTATCTTTTGACTGTAAGCGTATATGTCTTTAGTGGTTATCAAAACTCACAAATTCCTCATGATTGATCCCAGTATTTCTGCAAGCGACACTATCTGACAGGAGGTCAAAATAGTATGCGCAACAACCGGCTCTTTAGCTTCCAGAGACAAAGGATCGTCGCTGTACGGGATCCAGTGAGGATATTCGGTTTCGGCGTTGATCTGCTCCGAAAGTCGAGGCGTTGTCTCGACGAGGTGAGGAGGTATCGATTCAGGCCTTCCAAGATATGCACTCCAACCTCTACAGTTCCATGTTAGGCCGGTTGAGGATGGGTGAATGAAAGGTGACAGTACTAGTACTTACTTGTCGTAAAGGTAGCATCCCCAGAATGTGATGAGACGCGCATCCGAATCTTCCTGCGACATGCGCCCGCTTTTGACCAGTTCTTCACTGCTGAGATGCAAGCCGAGATCAACGGCGATCCGAAAGCTCATACCTATCACGAAGAATTGGTTACCATTGGCTTCTTACTACAACGTTGGACAATGGTTAAGTCCAGTAGTTGGAAGGGACATACCACTGTAAAGCCATCCGAGACCTGCATCTCTTCCGCAGCCCGCTTCTCGGCTCCCCATCAAAGCCAGAGCCTGTACCGTAGTGATACCCGGCCGCTCTATTTCACCCTCCAGGAGCTGCCTGGCTTTTGCAAAGTATCTGTTGCCTGCACTCGACGGTTGCTGAGGATCTGTCCGTACCTCCGGTCTCGTCGTCAAATGCGACGCATGTGCGAGGATGGCATTGAGAAGAAGAGGCGAGTAATGTTTCATCCGGACTTCTTCTTTTGCTGCCGGCAAAGAGGACATCCGAGCACGCACAGCTTCTAGGTCGCGCATAAAGAGCCGCTTCGAGAACAGAAGAAAGAAGGGGTGCTGCCATGTCCAGTACAGTGCAAGAAGATGATTCTCTAGCGCTGTATTAGTGTAGATATCTGGCGCCGGATTCCGAGCAGTACTTTGGTGCATGAGCGGGCCAGTGTCGAAGTGGCCCGCGTTGACCTGAGCCGAGAATGTCATATCATCGCCAAAACCCAGTTCTTGAGCAAGCTGGGACTGATCGCCGGGCGGACCACTGGCTCCTGATGGCCATGGATCAGCAGGAATCCGCGGAACGTCGGAGACGAGGTTCATATTGCTACTTGGGCCGAAGTATTGGACGTCGCCTCGCTCATCGATGTCCAACCTGCTGACGACTTTCGATAAATCGTTCATGAGAGAGGAGGACTGGAAGTTATGTACAACCTCGTAATCAAAGTCGTTGGAGCTTTCGAGAAGGTTGTTCATGTCGTGACCAGATGCTTCTGCTCCTTCAGCAAAGTCGAATTGAAAGGCACTGGAAGAGTCACGGAAGCTATCAACTCCCGAGCCTTGCCCAAATGCGTTGGGGGGATCTCGATGAGCGCCACGAAGGCTTGCGAGAACACTCTGCGCTTCTTCCGGAGTGCCATCCTTCAATTTTTGAACGATTCCTTCAAGGTGTTGAACGCGAGAACGCAAGGCTTCGACGTAGGCTCCGGAGGGACGCCTTGAGATCATTAATCACCCAACAAAATACACGCAGCTATTAGTACCTTACCGCCTTCGGTCATCGTGGAAATCATAGCTGCACTTTGTTTTGTAAGTACGGCAAGTGTAGCACTCAGGAAGCGTTCCGTCGCACTGAGTGGAAATCGGGTCAGAGGGGGGCTGAATGACCGGACGAAGCAATTCACCTTGGTTTTCCGCTTCCGACACGGTTGACAAGCTGTTGTTATACATCCACCTTTTCGTGGCTTCAGTTTGTCTTTGGATTTTGCGGTTGTCGCCTCATTGCTTGGACGTGAAGACATTCTTTAGGAACAAGGGCTCAGGACTCGAAAGATTGATGGTAGATATACTGATGTTAGATATATGATCACGTCGGCGTGAGACGAGGAAAGAACGACACAATGACAAAAGAAGGACTATTAAATCGGTAAGAACTAAAGGAAAGATTGTCGCAAGCACATCGGTAGTCGGATGGAGAATCGACATCAACCATCTTGCCGAAGACGTGGAGTACGGAGGAAGCTGTCGCTGCTTTGACAGAGGAGGCAGGAACCACACCACCCTCGCCTCGAGAATCACTAAGTACATTGGTATGGCCATTGATTGGCGCCGTTACAGCCTCGGCCTCCACAACCTCCACATACTGCACCATCGTGCCTTGATATCCCCATCCCCCGCGTTGGACCCAACTGTTCGATCCGCCCGAACCACTTTCACCTGTCAGAATAAGTCCATCCTCCTTCTGGGCCGCCAACCTGTTTCCAGAACTCTCGTATGACAACGTCTTGACCAGTCGGGGCTCTACGCACTACAAAAGGCCCGTTCGAATAAGCCTCGGTCACCCACAGCGGTTATGTACATCCAGATCTTAGGGGACTGACTTACCAGCAAGAAACCTCTTTCCTCCCAATGGCGGCTCATCGAGCGACGCTGAAGGGTTTCCGTCCACCATCTTCCCGCCTGCTTCGAGCAGAATTGCCCAACCCGCACAGACATCCCATGCATCCCAGCCGCCTCCCCAGCACAGGTCCCCTGCTCCCGTGGCCACTGTGCAGAGATTGAGTGCCGCACTTCCGAAGGTTCTTAAGTCATGCACAAACCCCCCCTCCTGCCTGCTGAGGTTTTTGAAAGTTTCAACCGTAGTCTCGAAATTGACGCCACAACGCTCTTTGCCCCACTCTACCAGGATGAGGCATGCGCTCAATGCCTCGAGAGGAGTGGTGGAGTGCCTCATTGGCAGCTGTCTCTTACCCCGGAAGTCTTCGAAGAAAGCACCGCTGCCAACTGCCCCAGTGTAGAGATGGTGGTAGAAGGGATTGTACACCACTCCTACCACCGGTCGCTTCATATAGCTGAGGCCAAGAGAGATCGAGACGTAGGGGTGGCCATGGACAAAGTTCATCGTCCTGTTTGGGTGTCAGCGAATGGATATTTCCAAGAATCGGCGACCTGACCCATCAATAGGATCACAGATGAATGTTGGCTCGTTAGTCAACGGTTCGTTCTTGTTGGATTCTTCACCGATGAATCTGTAGCTGGGATACTTCGCCTTCAAAAGTCCCATCACTGTCCTTTCCACAGCTTCGTCTGTCTCTGTGACCAGATCAGTAGCTGTCATGGGTCAGCTGAGCGAAATGGAGAACTGGACCATGGTTGTAGGCTCACAGTTGAGCTTCTCTTTCACTGCGTTATTGTTCCTCTGATGTATAGTCTCTGCTCCAGCCAAGATCATCTTCCCCCCAGCGAGGGCGACCTGAACGAGGTCGTCTAGGACCTTGCCGTAGTCGGGTATGCTTTCATCCATCGTGTACCGTAACGTGTTTAAGAGAGCTTGCAGGAGTGTAACCGTTTAGATGGCAGTTTTTCGTGTAGATATCCATCAGGAGATAGCCGTCGTCCAATCCTGCAACATTCGTGAAACAGGCCCATAAAGCGGCCTGCAGAGTTCATCATGACGGGCTTTCGAGGCCTAGAACTGAAAGACTGTAGCAATCTCATGGTTCAGATCGTTGCCGATCCCACGGACTTCAAGGTAGTTACGATTGCATTGAGCATAGGCCCCGCATTTCTCATTGGCTGCAAGGTATTAAAAAAGCTAGGAGTTACCGCTACCTGTGTCTCCGGGAACGTTGTATTTGTCGTCTCTATACCCACAATATGTTCCTTTCTATGGCTAGATCCGGGACATTCTCACTGTGCGACATGTCCGGGCATTGCAAATGCCACCTGTATCTCCGGGAACTTATCACTGGTGGATATATGGAGCACTATCAACATTACCAAGGTGAGACGCCTTCAGTATAAGAGGCCGACTCCCATGTCCTTTAAAAGATGCTCGATTGATCAAGTTCTTCATTGCAAATCAGCAACTGCGATCAAATTTGGAATCTGAAGCAAACAACATTGCACACCAGCACAATGGGAAGCGTTCAAGAGATCAAGCCATACAGGGTCAGGGTGCTGGGCATGAACAGCGGCACGTCAATGGACGCGGTCGACTGCGCACTCTGCGAGTTCTACCAGGAGACCCCGACGTCTCAGATGAAGATGAAGCTGATTGCCGTACGTACCATTCATGAAGTTGACCCTCGAGAAACAAGTGCTTAACTTACCAATAACAGTATGAAGAAATGCAACACCACGACCCCATCAAGAAGAGGGTCTTCCGCCTGATTCGAGAGAACAAGACCACTCCAGAAGAAATGGCTCAAGTCAACATGGCACTGGGCGTCGATTTTGCCGACGCCGTCATCCGCATGCTGAAGAACCACAATCTGACACTTGACGACGTCGATGTGGTCTCCACTCACGGCCAAACCATCTGGTTGCTGTCCATGCCTCGTGGTGAGCAGATGAAGTCTGCTTTGACCATGGCGGAAGGTTCTATCATGGCCAAGATGCTCAACAAGACTATCGTCAATGACTTTCGAGTCCACGAACAATCCTACGGTCGTCAAGGAGCACCCCTGGTTGCATTCCTCGACGGTCTCGTGCTCCATCACCCGACCAAGCTTCGAGCGTGCCAGAACATCGGCGGGATTGGTAATGTCGCTTTTATCCCGAGTGATGCTGATGGTGGCGTTGATGAGATCTATGATTTTGATACCGGTCCGGGAAATGTCTTCATCGACCATGCCATGCGTCACTATACCAATGGCAAGCAGGAATATGACAGAGACGGACAATGGGGCAAGCAGGGCAAGGTATACCAAGACATTGTCGACGACTACATTCACAACCACTGGTGGTACCAGCACGATATCCCAAAGACGACAGGTCGAGAGGTTTTTGGTGACGAGCAGGCCCTGGAGCTGATCCAAAAAATCGAGGCTGCCGGCGGCAACAAGTACGATGTTGTGGCAACACTGACGAGGATCTCGGCACAGGCAATCTGCGAGCACTACAAGAGGTTCGGACCGCCTGGAAAGAACATTGACGAACTGTATATGTGCGGTGGCGGTGCACACAACCCGAATATCACGGACTTCATTCAGAAGACGTATCCAAACACAAGGCTGACTTGGCTGGATGAAGTCAATGTTCCAGGAGATGCAAAAGAAGCCATCAGCTTCGGTAAGTGGTCCAATTCCGACGCAAGTACGATGAGTCACCATCAGCTAATTTGATCCCTAGCATGGATGGGAATGGAAGCCATTGTTGGAAGACCTATGCTTGTCCCTCAACGCGTTGAGACTCGTGACCCTTGTGTGGTGGGCAAGATCACTCCTGGCGCCAATTTTCGTCCCTTGATGACAATGGGTATGGAGTTCGGCAAAGGGTATGAAGACCCCAAGACCGGTTATCTGCCTCCGGTCCGGAGCTTGGAGGTCATCAAAGGCTGGACGGGCAAAGCTGTCCATAACTTCTGATGAGATACATATACTTTCCAGTCCTCTATTGAGATTGACATAGCAATACTTGTGGTCTTGACTGTTCGCTGTTTCGGTGACGTACAATAAGCTTGCTTTTCTCGGATAAATGAGGAAGCTATGTATCGGCGAACCACATTGAGATCACTCAGCTCGCCACAAATGCCGTCGACGCGACTTGCGAAAGCTCCAATGGCACGCCTTTCGGCCAGGCCGAATTCGAGGAACTCTACCACAATCTGACGCACATCAGCGCGGGCGTCGCCTTGGGAGCCGAGCTTGACATGAAGGCAACCGTTCCAGGGCTGAATCTTTCCGCCGAGACCATGGTTCCGCGGGGATCTACCAACGATCGCGACGTTGACGCAATGTCTGGCCTTCCAGACCGATGTCGCCTCTGGCCCTGCGTTTACAGCCGCCACAGCAGTCATGGCCGCGGTGCAGGCTTCTGTGTCGAGCGCAACAGTTAGTCAGGGCGGAGCTAGCCCGACGGCAGAGAGTGGTGGTTCGAGCTACAGGTTTGATTCCGATTGTTCGTGGGTGAAGAAGATGTGCCTTTGCCCGGTTGTCGTCGTCGCTGGTATATTTATCAGCTTGGAACCATTCAATTGGGTGACTTGTGAGCTCAGTCAAGGAGAGTCGGACACGGCAAAATGCAGAAACCAGGGCACAAAAGTAGTCGGATCTCGATCGGATCGCATGGTTATATTCAGTGGACAGCTGGTCCAGTCTGCTTCTGTATGTAGGTAGCAGAGATCGTGCCTGGAATTCTTTCACTAGCCAAGCAGACGAAATCTGGCTTGAAGAGTGGAGAGACGAAAGATGCTCGAGTTGGAAGACCGCAGGAAACGTCATTGTATTGGGGTCGTTCCCATACCGTGCGATTCAGTCCGTTGGCGGACTCTACATGATGCTCAGTGGCATCAGGTCCATAGATGTCTGCTCTTTGCTCATCCACCGACCTCAATCCCCAACGTGGTAGAGGAAGAAACCACCACATCGCCCAGGGGGCCTCGTATAGTCCATGTAAGCCCTATTTTGCAAGCTCTGGGCGCGTAGCTGTCATACAGGTAATCTTAAAACAGATATGCACTTCTGATCGAGATTGTGACTGGCCAAATGGCCTCTGTATGAGCGTCTCGTGGGCCTATGATGACCATAAGCGCGTAGGTAAAGGCTTCGCCGCATGTCTGATTGCCAGCTCCTGCATACTCGACGCAGAAGAGGTGTAAACCGGACTGCCCACAATAGTTCTGTAATGACCAGGTCTTCACAATGAAGTACCACCGTTTTGCTGCCACTTGTGACTGATCTGATTCGTAACGTCTCGATAAACCAACTGTAAATCATCTCGACGGACTCAGTGGTCTGTTGAATCCTCCCACGCGGTTCATATACTGTCGGTATTCTGTCTTCTTTTCCTTCCGGACACCGTAGATCTGGTTGCCGGGAATCTTCTGGTTTTGTGTAGTCTTGAATGTCGTGAAACCCATCATCTTTCGTAAAAGAGCATCCTCGTCGTCTTCATCAACTGCCATACTGTCACCATCGGCGGATGGTTTCCCAGCGTCTGTTGGACCTGGTTTTGCTTTTGGTGTTGACCTTCCCTCTTCTGCCTTGGGTGGTTCTCGAGGCCGTGCCCGATCATGGTCGCTTCGTCGAGGAGGAGAGCGTGTACGGACAGAGCCACTTCCGCCGTCTCTGAAAGGTGATCGCGAACGTGATCGACGATGTGAGCGCTCGGTTCGGAAATCTGTGTCGCGTGAGCGGGAGATTACGTCTTTTAGAGTGGCTCGAATACCTTTTGAAGACCGGTGCTTGTCTCTACTCCTGCTTCGATTCCTATGACCATCGCCGTTTACATTGCGGTCTTTTGCTCCTCTGTCACGATCTCGTTCCCCGTCGCGGTCCCGGTCCCGACGTGGCCGCTCTCTCGACCTGCTGCGCTCTCTCCTCTTGTCATAGTTGTCTCTTGACCGTGATCTCTTCCGATGATCATCTTCGCGTCTGTGGTGGCGTGCTTGGTCTCTGTCACCCTCGTAGCGTGGCCTTGGTTTGGCGTCTCTTCCGCTGGAGCTGGGCCGTTCATCTGTCCGTTCATCTGTACGTTTCGCACGTTTTGCAGGAGGCTCGTCCATGACTACGACGTCCTAACAGCTTATCACCAAGCAAAGATAAATTCAAGGTTGCAGGCAATGGGGTGGATCTAGGCAATTATATGGTCTTGCTTGCCTGGCAAAAGATTCATTTTCTCGATTGCGCTTTGAGTGTATTATGCTGTGCCGTAGTGGCTTTACGGCGGAGAATCTGGGTGTTGGGCGCAACACCCCCCTCACCTTTTTCCAGACCTCAGCCTGAGTCGTGCGTCAACCGCCATGCATACACAATCAGACGTGCGCAGCAAACGCAGCAAGAGGCCTTCAGACATCTAGAATACTATAGCGCCCATCACCGTCGATCCACCGCAATCCCCTGCAAATGTCGACTGAGACGCAACGATCATGGAAGCCCATCTTGTCTCAAAAGAGCGATGGCAGCCTCGTCCTCCACGCAGCAAAGGCTCCGAAACTCAGGGTCAAGCCAGGCTTAATACACAAGGCAGCCATGTGCATAAGGCAGAGCTATTGACCTCTAAGCGATCCTCATCATGTCGCCAGTCGTTGCCGGCATTCGATGGCTGTGCACCATAAGTTACCCGGTATGCTGACTAGGATTTGTACGGAGTAATAAGTACAGTACACACATGCTGGGACCACCACAATTATGAACCAAACCCAGGTAAGCAATCAATGTGAGCGCTCTCGTTGATTTTTATATTGGCCCCAGTGACGACGTACCACTGTGGATGCCCAAAGCTAGCCTTCACGAGTGCTCGTCCAAGAGCTCATTAAGCAAGCGGTAAGCTCCGTTAGCGCATCGTATCCTGGATTCACCTCGACCTTGCGGAGCGAAAGGCGCTGCATCTTCGACCCGTTTGCTGCACATTGAAGATGAGCTGCAAATCTGAGTACACGCCTTGTCAGCCGTGTCGAGAAACAGATCGACGAAAGCCACATTTTAATTTTGCAGCCGCCGAGCTCTGAAACACCTGGGGCCGAACTCTGGGCTGTTAGCGTTGTGCCGGCGTATAGACCCTCAACTCCATAACCCCTGGAGACACTGTCAAGTCCAATGATAAAACGAGTTCCCCGACCGAGCCGTTATTTGACGTGGATCGAGCACTCTCGCGGTCCTCTGGGTCTCAGCAGCGTCTGGACCATTGGACCGCATCAAAGAAACCGCTCTACGAGGCCCCCCAGTCCTATGTACACCTCTGCCCGACCGTTGTGGTCTTGTTTTCTACCGATTTTTGTTGAGTCGACACCTCGACAACGCGACAGTTGAGGAAATCCTCTCGCACAGGACAACTTCTATTATTTTGAAGAGTCGCGCGGGATAAATCCTTCTGGACTCGACAAAGGAGATCTAGCACAACGCAATGGACGGCCTGCAGGTGGACGATTCTTCTCGCGAGAAGATGTACATGTCGAATGACTCGAGCAAGATGGTCGCGCCAAATAGCTATCCCATCAATACGCCTACGTCTCAATATCAACCTCCGCATCCTCAACCTACACAGACATTGCCAACATACCAGAATGACGCCCCTATGCCACAAAGACCACAAATGCCTTGGGGACTCTCTCTGCGAGCATACACGTTCCTAATAATTGGTATAACCGCTGTCGTCCTAGGCGCAGCTTTGGGGGGCGGTTTGGGAGGAGCCATCGCCGCGGTCGCCAATGACAACAAATCTTCGTAAGTACAACCTGCTTATTGAGACTTCACTTGTTCTCGAATTGATCTTCTGGCTAGCCCAACCGCCACAGTCACAGCAACAGTCACAAACGCAGCAGCGACCGCAACCGGCTCATCAGCCGCCACAGCGTCTGTGACAGGAGCTGTTAAGAACTACTCTCCCGTGTTGCCCGCCCAAGTCAACACAACGGCACTGGACTGCACCGATCAAGCCACCATCACCTCGTACTCCGGAGACGCATACACGCTCAGCTGCAACACAAACTATGGCGGTAATGACATTGTCAGCTTCATTGCTTACACGCTCGACACATGTATCAACGCGTGCTCGAACATGAACAGCATCGCCGGGAATACAACGTGCCATGGCATTATGTTTAACGCTAATATGGAGCACATTTATTCTGAAAATATGGGCAATTGCTGGCTGAAGTCACTGATGGCCAGCGCTTCAGAAGATGGATTACCTCCGTCTGTGGGAGCAGTACTGGCGACGTCGTGACACCGCCTCTCGCGGTTAATCGTTTGCATTTGTTGTTTGTCAGATTCGGGTTTATGTGATGATGAACATTCTTGCCATGGGACAGAAGCAACAGAGAAATGCTTTTTTGTGCCTTCCAATAACCTGTCCTCAGTGGTGCTCGTACTCTCACATCCTTTAGACACGTGGACGAACATATGGGTACGTCGACTGGAACTGGGTTACACGTTGGCATTGCTCCGTCATACGATCCTCGTCTAGCGGGTCTAGTGACTGCATGCTCTTGTCCAGATTCCCATGGCTTCATCGACAGTCACATAGGCAAATGGGCAACCGGCTGTCCGTAGTTGGCATGTGAGCAAGCATGCGAACATCACGAACGAGGTGTCGAATGTTAGTTGACTTGATTCTGGGGCGGGAATATGATACAGTATTGGTGACTTGGATATATAAGCTGTGCCAATACTTATCATAAGCCTGTCCGTAGTGTCGAGAGGTAGTGTATGACTGCTTGACCACCATCTGACGAGGCTGCATGGTAGACGAGGCTGTGCGGTTAGAGACTGAGATACGATTGGTTCGTTGGCTTGCAGCTGCAAACAGAGCAAACACAGCAAACACAGCAAACACATCGTCAGTGACTTGTCAAGTGCAGCCTACAAACGAGTTCACCGTTCCTGGTCACTCTTTGATCCTCGACCAGTCCTCCCTCTATCGTGATAATCAGCCCTCCATTTCTCAATCAATCTGTCAGTCAGAGTTCAAACTCGAGTAAAAACACCCACGGAGACCCTCAAGTCGAGTATCTGGACTTCTTCACTTTGTACCCCCGCCCGACATGAATCTCCTTCACTCCGCACTGGACAAGGTCAGGGACCGCTACGCTCCTATCTCACATACTTCGACTTTCCGAAATACAGGTCAAATCACACCTGAAGAATTCCTGCTTGCTGGCGATTACCTGGTGTACAAATTCCCCTCGTGGTCATGGTCAGACGCCTCCAGCCCGTCAAGACGCGTCAACTACCTGCCCGCGGGGAAGCAATTCCTCATTACGCGCGGTGTGCCTTGCCACAGACGCCTGGATGACAACTTTGCCGGCAGCAACGGCGCTGCTGACGACCTTGTCCGTGATGGTTTCCTGGGTGGTCCAGATGACGAAGCAGCTGGTGAAGATGAGGGATGGCTAAGAACAGGAGGCACAAGCGAGAAAGAGCAGGAAGGTTTGAGAGGAGAAGTACGATCTATGAGTGAAAGTGGACAACTAGGCAAGAAGGCCAGCGAGGAGGAAGACGATGACGAAATCCCCGATATGGAGGACGAGGACGACGATAATGAGGCCATCATTCGTGACAAGAGTGAAGGCGCTTCAGCGTAAATGTGACCGTCTCACATTGTTAGGACGAATACTGACAGAACTACCAGGCCTTTGCGAACATACACCCTCTACATAACCTACACTCCATATTATCGCACACCGCGCATGTATCTGTCGGGCTATCTCTCGCCCTCGGAGCCACTACCTCCACACCTCATGATGGAAGACATCGTGGGAGACTACAAAGACAAAACTGTCACATTAGAAGACTTCCCGTTCTTCGACACCAGTGTGAAGATGGCCTCGGTCCACCCGTGCAAGCATGCCAGTGTGATGAAAATCCTCCTCGATCGAGCCGACGCCGCTCTAAAACTGCGCTTGCAGAAACAGTCGACTGGGGGTGGCGCAGGAAACGTCTCCGGCATGGAAGGTCTTATTGACGACACTTCGAAAATGAAGCTTGCCGATAAACAGAAAGAAGAAAAGCGAGGACACGAAGCAGGTGTCAAGGCTGCGACTGGCGGTGCCGGTGGTGATGAATGGGAAGTCCTGGATGAGCAAGATGCAGACAAGGAAGACGAGAGCGAAAAGGTCGCCATCCGAGTCGACCAATATCTTGTCGTGTTCTTGAAGTTCATGGCAAGTGTTACGCCAGGTATCGAGCATGACTTTACAATGGGTGTCTGATTGAATCAGAATCAGAACCGTGATGTGTTTGGCATGAAGCATGGGACATGGGTACGATTGGCTGACGAGAACGGGGCATGATATAATGCAGATACGACACGAGCACAAGAGGATATACGTGGCTCCTTCAGCAGATGGCTCTGGGAGCTTCCCTTGACTTTGATTGAAGAGTGCTCTCAATTCCGCTTGAGTCAAGCATTCCATCCAATTTGGCTGAATAGTGAAGGGTATGAAAACGATGCATGATGCGTGACAGAACAATTTATATTCTATGGCACCATGCGTGACTCTTCCATGTGCTTGTGACTACATTAATAGCTCCCCGAACGCCATACCAAACGAGTATATCGATTCTCCTTCATCAGTACTGCCCACCCGGTCCACCCATGCCAGTCGGCCTCTGTGCGTAGCCGGAATTGCCGTAGCCCGGATTACTATTCCCATTACCAGCGCCAAACCCATTAGACCCGTTAGACCCAGGTCCTGGCCCTCTGGCAGCATTACTCGCCGCACTGTCCGCTCTGTCTCTCGCCGAAGGAGCAGGAGAAGTCGGCCGACTCACTGGCTTGCGTGCAATTTCCGGCGGCGCGGGCGATGTAGGTCTGCTCACGGGCTTGCGTTTGACGGCCTGTTGTTGTTGCGGCGGGCTGTTCCCGTTCCCGTTACCGTTCGGGCCGTTATTTTGACCCTGAAAACCCTCGCCGTTCGTGGAATGCTGTTGCTGTGGCGGGCCCGGTGTGGGTGGGCGTGCTTGCTGCTGCTGCTGCTGCTGGCCTCCCTGTAATGGCGGGCCAGGGCGTGACTGTGGAGGAGGACCACCTTGCGAGGGCGCTCCTGGGCGACTCTGCTGTGAAGGAGGATGCTGAGACGGTGGTCCAACACCACTCGGCCGATTCTGAGGAGGCTGTCCTTGGCCTTGTTGCGGGAGTCCGGCTGGTCGTGGCTGAGGAGCTGGGCCTGGGCGTTGCGTATTCGGCGGTGGACCTCTGCTCATTCCAGACAGTGGTTGTGGACCTCCTCCCGCTTGTCCCTGTTGCTGCTGGGTCTGCCCTGTCGGTGGACCACCACCACCGTTGGCTCCCGCTCCCTGAAATGCGCCGCCGTTCACCTTTGTCATCGGACCTTTCACATCACTCTGCACGCCCGGATTCCCCCTGTGACTGAGCCACTTAATCACGTTGTACCCTCCGACACCCCAAAGCCAGATGGAAACGGCCGCTGCGGTCGTGAAGAACAATACCGGCAGGAGAATCAACAGTGCCAGGCCCATTGCCGGAACAGCGAACAGCAACCCCCCAATCACGCCCAGCAGTACACCTGCAAGGATCGAGAAAATGAAGACCGACACCGTCATGCAGCAGAAGAGGACCAGAGGCAGACCACTAAGTGCAATCTGCGACAACAGGAAACTCGCAAGGTACGGCCGCTCGGTCGCGAACTTGATCAGCCAGTTTTTGTATTGTTCCCGTCTTTGCGGTGGGAGAGCCCGGTCGAGGATGGTGCTGCTGGTGCTGATGACTTTGGTGATGGCATCTCGCAACAGGGTGGTGAGACGGTTGCGGGTAGAAGAAGCTGCGGTGCTGCCACCAGCACCAGTACCAGCTGGAGAAGGGCCCTTTTCGGAGGACATTGTCGTTTGCTCCTCGAAGAAGTCCCGGATGGTATGACAGATCTCGTCGAATGTGGTCCAGATTCCGGGGTCGCGGTGCATTTTATCTGTCCCGTGGTATGCTAAAGGGTGGCCTTGTATCCCCGGGGCCAGGCGTCCCTCACTGCCTCAGCGTTAAAAATATCGTGCTGCTGCTCGCTTCGTAGTGAGCCTGACTGTCATTGGCATGTCACATCTCAGAGACTTCAGTATTCGGTTATCTCATCACCAGCGACAGTCGCGTTTGGAGCGAAAGGAATGGAATGGAGAGTGACACGGTCGTGCCATTTCCACGACAGTCATGTCATCGTTTGTGGCGTTCATGTGGCAGCTTCGCTTGTGGCTGTGGCTATGGCTGTGGTCGCTGTGGCGGTGCATTTTACGACTTCGGACACAAAAACATGTGCAATTCATTTTCTGCTTCATTTTGTTTATGCATTTCCTTCTTCCAGGAAATATCAATGCTCAATCATCCAGACAACACCCCCAACCAGAATCCCAGATGCAACAAGCTCAGACTCATGCTCAACTCGATCCTGATGCTCCGAGACTAACGTCAAAGCCACTGATGCCGCTCATTCATTCGTCTTTAGACTCTCCTTTTTCCAACCATTCCTGCATCCCGACTTCCCACCATCGACAGCAGGTCCATCTCCCACAAGCCCCATCTTGGTTTGTTATCATTCTCCCCGGCCCTTGAGCCTTTGAGCCATCCTATCAGTGCCGGTTCGCTCCGTTCATCATGTTGTCTTTGCTGTATTCATGGTCTTCGCACTTCTCGACAATCTCCAGCCCTGCCTCATTCTCCTGTGCAAGCTCTCTCAGCTTCTAAGGGATGATTTTGTCCCATATCCCATATTGACATACCCTTGGACTTGATTCTTCAGCAAGCCTCTTCTTCCTGCCCCTTTTGAGCTTCTGTTGTATGCCCAGAGTCTTCCTCAGCTGAGCACAGTCTCCATTCAGGACTGCTTGTGTGCTTCTTGTTGAAATTTTTCTTAACTTCTTTATTCCTTCAAAATCAAATCGACCTTTGCAGACTGACAACCATCCAGGTCTTCGCTGCTATACACAGCTGTGATATGTTCCTGCTCTAGTGCTCGATATCGCCGCAACGGCTCTGTATGTCCTTTGGTCAGCCGCTCCAATACTTCGGGTTGCTGTTCTCTGGCGGCCGTTCTCTGGCAGTCGGGCTGCCTCTTTTACATTCCTAGTCTCGTTGTCAGCACCGGCGAAGGATCATGGGAGTTTCCAACATTACCATTTCCTTCGGACAGCTTGCGGGTGGTCTCCTCAATGTGACGCAATGCCTTCTCTTTCAGCGCTCTCTCAAAGTCTCGACCTTCTTCCGTATTCGAAGTCTCTGTCCATGCGTCGCATAGCTTCGCCTTCGTCTCATGGAGCTCCTTCGCGAGTTCTTCGACACGAGCGGCTTTCTCGTCACGTTCGTCTTCCATCTTGGAAGCCTCGGCCCAAGCGTCGCATTTTTCCTCCTTTGCCCCATCCAGCTCCTTTTCGAGGTTTTGATTCTTTGTTTCGAGCTTCCTAATCTGCCGCCCGAGACTTAGGATTTCGGCATCCTTCTGTCGGCGAAGTTCTGTCATCGCGGCAGCATTGTACTCCTGAGAACTCGTCTTGAGCTCGAGACGCATGATGTTCTGTCGAAGAGCATTGTTGGCCTCGGAGAGCGACTGATTGTCCTTCTCGAGTGCTAGGTATCGAGATGCTAGTGCCTTGTTTTCGGCAAAGAGAGCCTGGCATTGATCTTCAAGCCCATTGTTATTCTCCCGCAAGTTGGCAATCATACCATGGACTTGGACAGAAAAGGCTTCGTTTTCTGCCTTGATTTGGTTGAGTTCCTGCTCTTTCTGTAGCAGTCGGTCAACGAGGTTTTTGATGGTTGCTGCTTGAGCGTGAGCCTCGAATGGTTCTATTGGCGAGGTTGTTGCTGTGTCGAAAGTGTCTGGCGGAGATGGAGTGGCTTCAGGGCTGGTGCCATATTCGTCTGGACTTGCAGCAGGGTCGAAATCATTGTGCCCGGTGGTCGGCTGGGGCCCAAAGGGCAGGTGGGAAAATGGATGGTTAGCAGGACCAACGTCCTGCATCTCAACATCCGGCATGTCAGTATCCTGCATATCAATATCCAGCCCCGCAACTACTGCAGCTGGAGGACCGCCGTAACGAACGTCATTCAGACCAGCGACAACGGCAGTTGGTGGACCACCATAGGCATCGGCATCATTCAGCCCTGCAACCACTGCAGCTGGTGGACCACCATAAGCATTCGCAGCAGAATATGCGAATGGTTCATAGTCGTCAGCGTCCGGTGCTGGGGGGTAAGCCCTCCCGAATTGGTTTCCATGGACTTGTGGTGCATGAGGATAGGCATCTGGCACTTGCTGCCCAAAATCCTCTTCAGCAGGATCCATTTCGCCAGAAGATAGCCACCCTTCAGCCGGAATTGGAAAGACCATACCCAACTGTGCCTTGGACATGGCCTGGACATACCGGACCATTCGGTCGTAGAAGCATTGAGGGATCGGACTGTCAAATTCAACCATCTGATGGGCCTGTATCGACACCAACCAGTCGGTCCAGACCAGATTGTATGGTTCGTGGACGAATTCCGGAGGAAAGATGACCTTCCGTACTGCTGCATCTGGTCGGTGGTACACATTGCGGCGGACCTTGGACTTGGTGTGTTCAAGGATGTGTCTCTTGCGATCGACCTTGACTGCTGGCTTGTCGACCTGGTCGATACGGCGCTTGCTGCCAGCGAGTGGTGCCGGAGTGTATTTTGGTGCATTCACACCGGGGAAGACCAAGAGCTTCGAGTCGTTGGCATCTGTGGAGGTGATCAGTACCATGCATGGAGCACGGACTGGTATGAGGGCGTGGTAGGTCAAGTCAGAAGCCAGACGCAAGGCTCCGAGGGCAGGGAGTCTTGGCAAGGCTCTTGCATTTTGTGTGGATGATGAAGCTTCATTGGCAAAAGGAGGGAGAGGACCGATGAACACAGTATTGCTATTGACTGATTCAAAAGATGACACAGTGCGGGTATGGACAAGTGCCAGTGTCTGAGTATCGACGACTTGTCTGCTTGTTGGTGCTATGGGAAAGTCCACGCCAATGATTTCTAGAGGAAGCAGTGGTCGAGACTGCTCCCACTGTGCCAGACATTTTGATGGTGATGTTGTGCTTTGGTACTTGTTTTGTGTGGTGTCGAACTCCCTCAAGGACGACTGCAGACTCTTCAAGATGCCTTCGTACGTTGCTAGGCCATTGTGCTTGTTGTTGACTTGGTTGGCAGGCATGAGGGACTCGGCGAGGTCAATAAGCCGCAGTGCTTGCAGCTCAGCTGTGAGAGTGCCAGAAACTGTCTTGATTGCAGGCAGGGATGGACAGGGTGTTGTGGTGCTGGCAGGCTGTGGTGTCGCAATATGTTGCTGAGGGATGATGGTCAGCATCATTGTCCGGCAGCCACATCAAAGGATTCAATGAAGCCGGATTGGTGTCATCATCTGTGCTCACCTTCGGAACCATTCTTCGAACTGCTGCTCCAACGCGTGTCAGAGGGTAACCGATGAGTTCTGGCACGGCCTGGAACGCGCGCTGCGTCATTGCCAGTATGCCTTGCTCCATACCTTGTGGAGGAGGGTTGATGTTGTCGGGCTCGCGTTGCTGCGCGATGGGGACCTCCATCGCTGAAGCGAGGTGGCAGGACGGATGGTGATATAGTATGCAAGGATGTATCTTTTCTGATAGTACGAAGGGTAGAGGAGATGGTTATTGGGCTTTGGGGATTGATGGTATGCGGAGTGGTGATGGTGTTGGTGGTGGGAAGAAGAGAGGATGACAGGATGATCTAGTTGATATTGTGATCTTGACACGGCGAGGCAGCGCGGCAGCCTGGATCAACAGTGAGTGAATATGTATATACGGTGAAGACCTCCCAGCAGTTGATGCGAGGCAGTTGGTGGTGGTGGTGGTGGTGAATCAGCAGCCGCTGCCTCGGTCACCACGATCGCGCAATGTCTGGGATCAGCTCGCAACAGGATTGAATGCCAATACTAGTATTCACCGCAAGGCCGACGGCTCGAGACAGCCTGCATCTTCGTACCTGTGGTGTTGAGGTGTCTGAGAGGGCGTTGGCAGTGAGTCGTATCATGCCCATCCTGCCGTTATTTCGTCGACCGAGGCTGCCCCAGGTGTCCACGCTTTGATTCCCGAGTCTTGCCGGACCTGATATGGCGAAGAGATGCTGAGAGCCTCCGTCCTAGCATGATGTGAGTTGAACAAATAAGCAAATCGGAGGCTGTCATTTGATAAAGAAAGAGATCCTCGCGACCATTTCAAACCAAGAGAGGAGATCTGGATTTTCACCGCTGGCAAAGACCATGGCTCAACCTGCTACTGAATACGTATCTGCACGCAGCATCGCAAGCAGGAACCTGTCTGCCAACGCCGACGGGTTGCCGAACTTCTCGAAGCTCGCATTAGCTCAGACCTTCTCACCCGCAGCCCGGCGAATGCAGTCCACGACGAAGCCTGGGTTGCTCAGATAAGGCGCATGACCCTCCTGACATCTCTCCACATCAAAAGCACCTTCTCCCGCAGCAATGATCCTCTCCTGCACGGTAGGTAGCAAGGCACGGTCATTCTCCGTGAGGATGTACGTGCTCGGAATCTCCTTGAAGGCCGTCGTGGTGGCAGGGACGAGCAAAGTTCCCAAGGAGTGTGTGCCCATAATTTCCAACGCAGCATCCACATCCTTGGGGTCGCAGCGGTTATACAAGAGCTCTCTGCCGGCGTCCTTGTCGCCCGCGACCATTGTACCGTCCTGATCATGGTTGTTAGCAGCCGCTCTAAAGCCAACGGTCCTCGGAAAGAAGAAGCAAGCAAGCAGCATGCAGGCAAAGACAACTTGCAGTATGGACCAACATACCTCTTCGATCTTGCCCGCCTGCATCCGTCGCATAGCCGCCTGGATTTCCTCTTCCGTGACGGGGTTGGTCGCATCCTGAAAGGTTTGTCCTTCCTTGGGTGCAACCGCGCACATGTAGATCAACCGCGTCACACCCGTTTTGAATCCTTGCTCTTCTCGGGCTTTCTTTCCCAAGCCCTTGACAGCTTCTCCCATTGGAATACCGCCATACGAATGTGCTATCGTAATGACGTCCTTACCGGCGTCCAGCTTTCTCAAGACTTCGTTCCGAATCGCTTGTGCGTCCTTTTCCCAGCTTGGAACTGGTGGCTTAGCGTCGACTGAGGCCAATGGTACGCCTACTGCTTCGTATTCGTGCTCATGTAGCTTCTCGATGAGCTTTTGGTAGTGCTGTGGCCTGTGCCATGCTCCTGGCACAATGACAACAGCAGGCTTTGACATTGTAGTGGCGTAGAAACGTGTTTGTATCCGAGGCTTTGTCAAGGTCAAGAAGAGTGGCGATCTGGCAAACCCAAGCATTCCGAGGTTGCGTTATGTGTATAAAGACGCACATGTCAAGATTTTGCGAGGCGATGCCTTGTTTATATAATATGTGGCGGTTGCGGCCAAAGAGTCGAAACAACACATCTGGGGTCGGAGCCACATCTTTCAGAAATAGTGGAAATAACGCAGATGATGGAGTCGTCCAAGAATTCGGAATCTGGAACTTCTGCTTCCTTGTTCAAACGCTCGATTCATTTTAACTGGCGTGAACTCGCAGTCAAGGTTCAAAGCATTTGGAACTCCGCCTGGACTGCCCTCACATTGCAGTGAAGCGCAATAAGTAGACATCGCAATGGCTCATCCTTTGGGAGCAGCTGTATCAACTCCAATGCTTTCGAGTCGGCCAAGGAATACTGCGGAGATCAGAGGTGGTCCGTGCATTTGCAGGGGTCGGAGCCGATACTCGTCCACCTCTTGACAGCCTGCCGAGATTTCCTTCTAAACCGACCAGCATTCGGATATAATGTCACCGTAACGCTGCATCAGTGATCGAAGAGCCGTACCGGCAATTCGCGAGCCCCCGATGGTCACTTCGAGGGAAACAAGACCCTTCGTCAGGACCGCGACGTGACGATTCCAGACACCATCGAAGATCAGACCAGCCTCAGAATCGGACTGTGCCTCAATAGTCTGTTCGATGGCTTTCCCCAAAGCCGTTACTACAATGCTAGGGGTCACATGGCATGCGGTGATCGGAACGTCGACGCCCAATCCACTGTCTGGCTTCCAGCTTCCGACAGTCGGTAGCACGAAGACGCATTCGACCGCCCGCGTAAGTGACGCAGCAGCTTGCTGCGGAATGGCTCGAATTTTCGAAATGAGATGCTGGTGGAAATACTCGCACTCATTCAACACAGACTTCGAGCTCTCCACGAAGACCAGCAGTCCGAGATTCCAGAAGACTATTAATGATACTGTTTAGGATTCGTCAGCAGCCTGGTCATGCCAGAATCATGACAGCAAGTAATGACAAATGGGATGCATACATACCCCAGAACTTGGTTGATCCCACAGACAGAGGCGTTGATTTGGCCGGACAGTAAGCCAGAAGAGTGTGATACGATTGTTGAAAGGCATCAATGTCTGCCATTGTCGAAGTGATGGCGAGTACGGACTCCGGGATGCCGTCCTTAACGCCGTTTGTTGAAGTCAGATTTTGGTTTTTGATCTTAATAATTTGCCTCCAGAAATGAAATGCACCTGCAAGAGCTCGCCGGCATATATCTGGGACATTGTTCTCCGAATCTATGTCCAGAAATTCCGATATCGCAGGTGCGGGCTTGGACTGTCTGGGTATCTCTGGCAGCTTGCATTGACGACTTGTCATCAGTGATGCCACAGTGTCCCGAAGATATCCGAACCATAAAACAATGTTCAGGCTTGACTCTATAAAATTGCCATATCCAGAGAAAGGCCCGAGATTCGCACAATACCTTCGGACGATGGCATCCAAAGTAGAGAGTTTTCGAAGGCCAAGATCGAGGAATTCATGCTTCCAGCCAGAATAACCAACGGCATCAACCACTTCTTCGGGGATGGGAATGGTGTCGAATAACAAAGTGGCATAGACGATCCTGAAGGACCGGACGGACTTGGAGTCGTTGATCAGGGAACGAGCCTGAAACCACGCATCAACAAAATCTTTTGCTTTTGCACTTCCTTTTGGCTCTTTGACATTCGGAGGCTCGGTCCATATATCTTCGTCGAAGGTCTCCATATTGTCGCATGACGAACTACGATCTGATAGCCATTGAAAGGAGAAAACCTTTAGCACTGTTTTTAAGACCTCATCAGATTTCCTTTGGGCACCTGTACTGAGGATGTTGCCGTAAAGGTCGCTAAAATGGTCCAGGAAACGGACAGCTCCCAGCACCGTCAATTTTTGGGCTGCAGCCTGCGTTGCTGAAGAACTAAGAGGCCAAGTATTGTCGGAGGTCTGCTTTCGCAAGGATGATGGTGCGACGCATAATGGGGGAGTGGTCTGCAACGACTGGGACGATGACGGCTCCCTCAACTCGGAAGGGGATGGCTCGATCTGGGCTCGCAAATCAATGTCATCAAATCGATATCGCGAATTTCCTGTGTACATGTTGCACTTGCAATCGAGAAATATCGACGCAGATCCCGCCGTGATCGTATCATAAATTCGGGCCAGATGATTGTCGAGTAACGTCATGTCTGATTTCGAGTTCAACAGGCGAACAGGGCTGTTTACTGAGCAGCCGACGATAGACCGTGATACATGCCGTGAAGGGACTTGCGGGATTGTGCTTTCAGCGTCATGCCCAATCTCCATTAGACATGGAAATGGCAGGTCCGATGAAGTGGCTGGCTCGAGCAGGCCATTGCCCTCAAGACACCCATCAAGGTCGAATTCAAGCCATGACCCCAGTCCGCCATCGCCAGCCTCTGAGGCGGCTGACAATCCATTGGTTGGAATGTCAGTGATAGTGTCAGCACTAGTAGCCGTAGCAAGATGGCCCGACTGTACTGCATGGTCAGTCGTACTTGGGCAATCAAGAGGACTCTCTGCGCTGCGTCCTGCTTGTCTTTTGGGTCGTTGAGCTGACCGAGTATTTGCAAAGTTGAAAGTACACGGGTTTCCCAACCGTTCGCAGTTATGGCAGATTGTACGACCGCCATTCTCCTGGTCGTTGGAAGGTCTTACCAAACATCGACGCTTCGAATGTCGGCATTGATCGCAGCTGGCATTCTGGCGACGGGAAGATCTTGTAATCTGAGAACTCGGCATGAGAATCACAAAGAAGAAGGATGCTGCTAACCGCGAAGTAGCAAGTCAGCAGTAACTGTTGAAGTAGTATTTCTCAAATCAACGTGCATAGCCCAAGTAAACAGCCTCGAGGACGACGTGTTTTATCTCAGCCGCTGTAAGACCGGCCCGAGACTGCCCGAGGGAGTCCAAGCACATTCGCGGGTCTTCCCGGAGTGTTGATGGATGTGAAAGCACGGTGGCACTCTTGATGTCTTAATTGCAATGGCAGATTTCAAGCCAAACATCTTTCCAATTCAACCTCTTTCTACGATTTATGGAAGAGGACCATGGCCTTGAAATTAAGGTTGATAGATACGCCGCTTTTAGTCGCAAAGTAGCTCATCAACCTAATCGGGAAAGCTGTTTACATATCTAGAAGCAGCATGAGATTCTCTGGTAACCCCTATTCCCTGCCCTGCCTCGTTCAATTCCACCGCCTGCGCCCCTGGATTTGCGCCAGGCGAATAGTGCACGGCGAAATCACAGCTTCACGAGCAGGCTCTCGGGGTCTATCTTGACCATGTACCAAGGTCTGGTGCAGTGCGAGAGTACTAACTGGAGACCTCCTTGACAATCAGGACAGCCGCCGTAAAGGTCTATGTAGGCTGAGGGTTGTGAAAAATGGCATCTGCTACAGACATAATCACCTATATCGGTGTCCCACTCGCAGTCCTGGGCGTCCTGCCGATTCTCTACACTTTTGTGCTCGCAATACTTACGCAACGACGTATCCGTACTTCACTACTCCATCATGGACACAGACCGGTCAGCCGGACACGTCCTAATGAAGGCTTCACGATTCGAAGTTCTCCCATGACCAGCCTTATCGAGGTCGAACTACCTAGATATACCATTGCACCTTTGGAGCGGCATAACGATGAGTACTGGAAAACCACGAGCGAGGGTCAGGACGAAGAGGAACACCACAGATTACTGGGTCGGACAGAGACTACCTTGAGCATGGTCGAGGAAGGTCGTGTCCGAGGATTCCTGCGGGGTGGTAGCTGGAGAGCTTTCCGCTGGAAGAAATTGATTGTAGGCAGGAAACTGTATAGGATACAATACGAAGATGAACTTCGAGAACCACCCGCCGAGGTTGACTTTTCTGAACTCGTCCACTTTTTACTTGATTGGGGTGCGGTTCCAGATGCGATGGGCTGGGAGAAGCTGAAGTCAGGCGGACTATGGACACCAGCTGGAACAATACTATTGAGCAAGCCTGGAGACGAAGACAAATCAGAGAAGCATACAGATTGGGTGTTGAGAACAAGCATGCCCGACGAGAGTGATGGCATACTGAGCCTCACCATCAGGTGGGCCAAAGACATGACAACAGTTGCAGACACAAGAGGTGTCTCAAGTCTTCCGCCAGGCTGGGGCCGGCTTTGTCAACCGAACGTGCTCGAGGCCAACGACAAGCTGAAAGAAGAGACACGAGACCTGCCAACACGAATTGAAGAGATGAAAGGAGCGAACAAATACAGCACCGACAGCTCAAGTCTACGCTTTCGAGCCGAGGACAATCGCGTTCAGAGACTCTATTGGGAACAAAAGAATATCGAGACTGGGTTTATCTGCGAACCGTTCAAGACGTACGAACAGTCTACAGCGGCACTGTGGTTCACATGCGCCGCTTCATCACTTCTTTCGCGCAGGCAAACGAACGGCGGACTTTGGACGTTCGATCTTCCTCCAGAAGTCTGTACTTTCGTCCGCAAAGATTCCATGCCTTGTGGCGTCATGGTAATCCTGGGATTATTAGCTGAAACCGATGCGCCGCAATGGTCATCAGAGACCGAAGGCTCAAGACGCGATGAATCAATGAATTTGTCAAATCGACACTTCCAGCGCTTTCAAGCTCGACAGGCTGCAGAAAAACTCGAAGCCATCATGCCTCCCGAGCAAGCCAGGATGCACAAAATGAATCGTGAAGCCGCAGCACGACAACAGCAAATCAATGATATGAATGAGTCCTTCAAGATGCGCGAGGAGCGCACAGAACGAAGGATGCGAGAAGCCATCACTAGTCCTTGCATGAGCATCAAAGCGGTTTCTGAAGCCTGTCTAGCCTGGCTGATCGAGCAGGGTGAGGTAGGCCGGGAATGGACGGTTGATCAATTGGTCGAGGCAGTCTTGTATTTGCTCGTTGTCGATCAGAGTCAAAGTGAAGAGGGCGAAGCAAGGAAAGTGACAAGAATCCTCGACGAGTGGATGTCATGGGCCAGAGCGGGTGGAATGAAGAAACAGCAGGTCAATCTGCTGGCGGACAATAAGACGGCTTTCTGCTTCGCTGCGGCTCTGGTCGCTGTAGTGAGTGAATCGACAAATTCGGATACTGGGCATGGCAAGGCTGGTGTAGATATGCTTGAGTGTCTAAGACTATGGCGGAAGGTTCGCTTGGGGTAGTCAGGTTTATCAATGTATAGAAAGAGACGATCTCAATGAACTCATGAAGCTGTCGTATCCCATTGTCTGCTTTTAGCATTCCATACCCAGCTCTAGTGTAGCGTCAGAATGTTTGATTATCCGAGTCCGGACTCTTGTGGCTGTAGATAGCAGTCACAGCATCGTCCACAGCCACGTTGACGTAGAAAGGCCACGTCGGCGAAGCATGCAAAGGGCTTGTCAATGTCGACATCCTTCCCATTGATGGAGCTCAATTCATGCACGGCACAAGATATGCGAACCTAGTTGCTTAGTACTACGTACTTAATGCATTCCAACAGTCCTAACCTCCACATCGAAGCGACTGTCTCACAATACATGTGCGAGACATGTCATCGTGAAGCGTCCTTGCTCTCCATATGTAGACAATACTCCCCTTCTTACCAGCGACAGTCCCTTTGAGCATTACTATGGTCTCATGGGTAAAATTGAACTAGATTCTATTCTTATTCTTGCTTTGGGTCTGGAAGAGAAGATGTCATCTGCTACATTGACGAGATATGCCTTAGTCATCATGGACCGGCCTTGTCGAGCAATGCTTGGATGGAGCAGAGTCCACGTGAATAGTAATGAAAAGAACAAAAGCCGTCAACTTCATATTGTCTCAGTAACCTGTCTCCAATGGTCGGTCACTTATGTTAGCATGACCTTAACAACAAGAATTGCTGTGCCACCTCAGTCTCGTAGTGGACTTGATGCTTGAACAGTCGGAAGGCTCGGCTATCCTACCTTTCACGTCAATTAGTTTACCTCATATATTAAAAAACCTAATCTCTTGTCAACAATCAGCACACAGACCCCGAATCTCGATACAGCGTTTCGGATGATTAGTGGCATTGTTGGTTTAGTGGTAAAATCCGTCGTTGCCAATCCTTGCAAGCATCTACAGATCGAGCAAGGACAAATTCGACGGGCCCCGTGTTCGATTCACGGACAATGCAGACCTTTTTTTGGCCTTTTTATTGCTTTTTCGAAAGGTTCTGGGTCATATTTGATGGCTTAGAATGCATTTTTAGTTCATACGAAAGTATTGTGTACACCAGGGGTCGATTTTGAAGTGGACAGGAAAATTGTGCTGAGGTGTGTAGCAGGCATCATGACTTGCCGAGGAAGCTACTAGGATAGCAACTTTGCCGAGTGTGCACCTTTTGAGCGCATTGAACCTGATGCACCTTTCATGGTCCCTAGTAGTCAATTCATTCTATTTACGGACTATTGAGGTCGTGATGAAAGATGCGAAAGAGGTCGATCCTTGTCTTGTCGGGCATTGGCACAATTTTTGTGCTCTTTGAGAACGGGGCATGGCTCATTAGGTCGACGTATCGTACTACGGTCTCATGGGGTAAATCGTGTACTGAAACTCGCTTAACCGGGGTGAAAAACAGCTGCTGCTTGAATCGTCGAAGCAGCTGTTGGCACCGCATTGAACAGGAGACCCTCCTGCTCCATAAATTGTCCTCGCTGCTGTTTGTCGTCGAATGACACTATAGCTACAAAGTAGTTAGGCATCGTATTGAATAGGAGACCCTTCTGCTATATAAATTGTCCTCGCTACTATTTGTCGTCGAATGACACTATAGCTACAAAGTAGTTAGGCATCGTATTGAATAGGAGACCCTCCTGCCACACAAATTGTCCTCGCTGCTGTTTGTCGTCGAATGGCACCCTAGCGCCAAATTACACGAGAATTTCACGACTCATGATCGTCCGAGCACAGCCTTCATCACTTCTTTCAGCTTCGATTCACAATCATCTGCCAACTCCATCGACCGCCATGCGACAAAGCGATCAGGTCGTACAAGGACACAGCCATCTTCTTCAACTTCTCGTCTTCGTTCCCTATAAATCACGGTCAGCCATTGTCCATCATTTTTCATGTCTCACTTACCAATCACGATAAACGTCCACCCATTCCTGACCCCAGCCGATGCTGTGAGCATTAATCTCAACACCAAGCTCGGCGCCAACTTTCGCTGCAGCTTCGATCCACTTCTCACCACCGATGCTGGTAAGCAGACAGAATTGACCATGGCCAGCAAGGTCGATTGTTGATGTATGCTCCTTCTCCGGCATGGTCTTGTTCAACCATGCATGGGGTAGTCGATGCCCTGGATAGGTGCTGACTTTGTGATGCAGAATAGGATCTTCCGGCCATTCAGGTTTTTGCCGACCAGCCTTGATCTCATCCTCTACGTATACAGCAGCAGACTCGTATCGGTGGTTCATCTCAACACCAATACCGTGAAATTCATGACTGGTTCCTTCAATGGCGGCATTGACTCGTTTGCGCCGCTCGCGAGCTTCTGGCGTCGCGGATTTCAGGCTGTTGAAAATCTCCATCCTCTTCTCAACAGTCTCTTCCATCAAACCCATCTCCTTCCAGACCGGCACATGATCTCGAATGCCTTGGTTGGCTCGAGTGATCACACCCACCCCAACTGGCTGTCGCTCTTGGCTGAAAGTCTCCAGTATTGACGGAGATGCTAGACCTTGTGAGACGTACTTAATCTTCCAAGCCAAGTTGAAGGCGTCTTGAACACAGGTATTGGAGCCCAGCCCGTTGAAAGGAGGATGTCGGTGCACAGCATCGCCCAAGCAGAAAATGTTGCCATCAGAATAGTATTCGGCCACGATCTCGTTGATGTACCACTTCGAGACATTGATGATTTCAAGTGGAAGGTCGTCTCTGCCAACAATTTCCTTGCACCTCTGCGCGTACTGCTCCATGGTTGGCTCTTTCCACTCAACTCCCGGCTTCGGGAAAAGAATGAACATCCATCTGAATGACGGTCAGCAATAGCCAGTGACAACATGTAAGATACTTACTCATGCCATGGCTTGACCATTCTGATCAATCCACTCCACGCGAAGTCGGAGTATTCTCGTTCGGGCTGGAAGACCCAATGCAGGTTCCCCTTTCTGGCCTCAACGTAGTCGCTCAAATCCACCTTGACCAAAATGTTCAATGCCAATCCTTGGCCAGGCTTCTTGATCAAAGGGATCTTGAGCTCTCTGAGAACTTGACTCCTTGCACCGTCACAACCAAACAAATAATCCGATCTGACCAGAAATTCTGTCTTGGTTAATTCATCTCGAATTCTGCTAAGGATTTTGCCATTGCCTTCCTTCTCAAAATTTACAAAACTGGTCTTGAACCTCACATCCCATCCTTGTGCTGCGGCGCGTTGGACGACAATTGGCTCGAAGATTGTCTGGGGCAGATCCACATGGTGACAAGGGGTTCCGCTTTCGTACTCTCCCCTCCGCTTAGGGTCATTGCCCCAGGAATAAATCCGACCATATTCTTCACCAGTCATATCATGGCACCATCGAGTATGGACCATACAGTCTCCTTCAACCGCCTGGCTGAGACATGTCTCTTCCAGATCGATGTCTCTCAGACACTCGAAAGCAGCTGGGTTTGTGATATGAGCTCTGGGGGTCTGTGATGTGGACGATGCTGCCGAGATAAGCATACCCGTCATAGAGTATGGAGGATGTGAAAGAAAGCATGCTAATGAAGCGCCAGCCGGACCAGCACCAACTATCAAAAGAGGTGTCTCGATGACTTCTGGCCTTGTTTCTGGCACGCCGTTGGTCACGGTCGAGTGTGGCATGGCGATGATAATGAATATAAGCGACTGAACAGATCTGGGGAGAAAGGAACAAACCCCTTTTGATAGCAGAAAGAAGCCTGAGTTGTGCATGTCAATCAATTTCCGTTAGGGATATATACATGGTCTGGACGAGCTTGCGCCTCGGAAATACCCCCTTTCCCCAGACCAAGTGATCTCGACGGGTATGTGCATTTCGATTTTCCAGGCTAATGAGGCCCGGTCTTGCCCAATCATTGCGTCAACCCGTGTAAGATCTGGGGCTGTATCCGGTGAAGTGAGTGGCCTGGAGAAGCTATCGTGGAGACGTCTATGGCAGATGGAAACGCCCAGCTGGCTGTCGGATGCTGCCCACAGTGGCCTCAACTCCATTGAACTGGACTTCGGAAAATGCTGTTGAGATGTAGACTGATCCACTATTGACTCCTGTCAAGTCAGTGCTCGAGAATTATCATTGAAGAAGTGCTTGCTTGACAAGAATGAGATAAGCAGAGTGAGCTGTACGAGCCACTGTGTAGAACACCTTGATGCTTGATGGCATCTCATTTGGGTGTCATTCGAAAACACGAGGTTGAATGACATCATCTGGTTCTTCGGTTCTGACTGCGTCTTGCTCCTCTTCGCGTCCATCTCACTACGATCAGACTCCTGCATACCTAGTCTTCGAAGAGAACATTCTGAAGCAGACCTGTCTATAGCTTACCTCAATCATCTTTCCATTACACCGCTCCCCCAACTTCCTGCTTCCCATAGCCGACTCATCATGCTACTCCGAACGGCTATCCGACCGTCCGCGTTTCGCTCGATAGCCAAATCAATACCTGCCGCTCCAATACGGTCACCATTCAACCGTCCCGTGGCCATAGCATTTGGACTTTCCCTTGGTGCCACGCCTTTCCTGCATCCTCGAACCACAGCCAGACTAGACTCGTCGCCTTCTTCCCCTCAAGCTGCGGAATTCAGTAGCACTCCTTACACTCATTCACGAGATGCCAGAACGCCCTTGACAAAAGATGGGAGGACTCTCAACCCAGCTGCTGTCAAGCAGATCAGCTTAGGGGCAATATTAGGACTAGGAGCAGGAGTGCTGCTGTCCGCTTTCTCTCGGATGTTAACACTGATTATCGGCCTGGGAATTGTGATCTGGCAGGTCAGTACAAAACCACATTAACACTGTATTGGGAAGCGCATGCATTGAAAAATGGCTAACACGGCTGTGAGGAATAGTATGCTGCTCGCAAAGGCTACAACTTCATCCCCGTGGAGCGCATGCAGCGGCATGTGAGGAACATTGACCTGCGCAGTGCCATTAACAATAACGTGGCCTTCAAGATCAGTTTCGGTCTCATGTTTGCTTTGACTGCGTTTGGAGAGTTCTGAATGACATGATACACGCCCGATTGGTCTTCGGTTGGTATGTCTCGGATACATAACGATATCTTCCTCGACTTGAAAAAGAAAATAGTAATTCCAAGGCTCGCTTTGGGCACGTCCTGTGGACATCGGCGTGGACAGAATTATTCACTAATTATTGCCGGACTTCGAGGACATGGTGTTGTCGTCCACAAAGCTTGCAAAACCAGCCATGCGTCAATGATCTATGGTCTGGAGTTGTGTCAAGAAGATTGCTACGAGTCTTCGAAGCTTGACTTCGGCTTCATCGCGTCGTTGCTGAGAGGTGCAGCAACTAAATCAATCGCCTTCCGCAACTGTCAGCCTCGTCGGTCTCATAAAGCTGCGACTGCTTAAGCACATGGCATAAGACCAAGAAATCGAGTCTCGAAAAGCGATGAATGTTCTGCACCATATATTCCTCCTTCACTTCTTTCCTTCCGTCACGATCAAGCTTGAGAGTTGCCCATGAGCTTGTCTTGCTCCTCCTCACCACTGCCCTCCGAGCCCTGACTGACGCTGGTCCTGCTTCTTCGCCCATGATGATTATCCCGGTCATCCTCTTCGGCCCCTCGTACCATCCCACCAACGTCAACACCAACACCGACATGTCCCGCAGGCAAAAGATTCAACCTATCCTCCTCTTCATCCAAATGCCCATGTACTCTCCAAAAAGCCCAACCCGCCACGGCCGCAATGACCCCCATAATCGCATAATTCCAGACCAGCAATGGATCCGTCGCCAACCAAATCAGCGCTTCACCAATCGCATTGGCCAGCGCCGTCATGCACAAACTGAACGCCTGCACCATACTCCTCATGTTTCGAGGCGCCTTGGTGAACGCGTATTCCAGACTCGTCACGCTCGCCAGGATCTCGCTTATGGCTATCAGGATGTAGATCGGCGCTTGCCACCAGATGCTCACGTCGGCGGGACGGCAATCCGCCGACACTGACGCGGATCCGTCAGAGTCATGCAGACGACCGTGACCCTCGTTCGGATACCGGCCGCACTCGTTGTGCGCGTAGATGTAGCTCTGCAGGACGGCTGCGTAGAGCATGGCGGCCGCGCCGAACCAGAAGCCCAGCGTGATCTTGCGGATGGGCGTTAAGAACTTGGCGCGGCTGCCGCCCCAACGGCGCAGGGCCGGATACACGGCCAAATCGCACACGGGGATCAAGATGATCAGGCACAGCGGGTCGAGATTGCTCACGATCTCGGGCGGCAGGCCGGTGTGGCGCATCGTGTCGGCCTGAGACGTCAGATTGTTGTTAATGTTGTTGTATGTGAGCCAGTACAGCGGGAACCACAGGAAGACGGTGCAGGCCTGAAAGCCCCTCCGCAGCTCGTCGACCCACGCGTCGTCGAAGGTCATCCAGCGCGGCCGCTGATGGGAGGGGATACGTGAAGGTTTCACATCCTGCCAGAAATCGTGGTGGCGGAGGTTGTGGATTGTGCGGAATGGGTTGAGGGACCAGCGGCCCCGGGTGGCGTGCACGAGGAGTTTGATTGCAGGACCGAGAACGGAGCCCTGCGGTGGTTGTAGGCGGTAGTTTTTCTTGAAGATGATGAGAACTAAAGGGCAAAGGAGAAAGAGGACTGTCGGAAGGATGAAGGCTAGGTAGTAGCCTACGTAGAGTGCGGCGTAGGACATGGAGATTTGTCCGACCAGGGCGCCGATGTTGATGAACAGGTAGAACCAATTGTAGATCCGGGCAGAGGTTTGGGCCGGGTCGACAATGACGCGTCGACCAGTTGCGGTGGTGTGGACGCGCAGCTTGTCGTCGACGATCTGTTCGGCTATCAGGGGGGAAATGTTTGGCTTGAAGCCGCCAGTGCCCAAGCCGAACACGATTATGCCGACGATGAAGGTGGCCAGGGCGGAGTTGGTGTGCTGCAAGGACGACGGAGTAGCGCCGGCGACGAGGATGATGTGTCCTGCAACGGCGCAGACAATGGATATCATGATCATTTTGTACCTGGTGGGTATTAGTAACACACATCCCCGGGGTATGCAATAAGAGAAGCCCTTTACCGTCCAAGGTACGTATCAGCCAGCCAGGCGCCGAGCAGCGGTGTCATGTAGCACCAAAAAGAGAAGAATGTGCTGAGGGCAGTGGCCGTCTGTTGACCCTGACCCAGGGCGCCGGGATTGTTGTCGGTGTCGCCGCCCGGATTGGGTGCTGCACCGGTGGGAGTCAGGAGCTTCCGTTGTACGAAGTTCTGAAACAGGATCTGAGTGCCGTAGTAGGAGAAACGTTCGCAGAGCTCGACAAACGCGACGGTGTACACGCGCCATGGGATCCTGTCGGCGACTCGAGGTAGAGTCTTGAGTTCCTCGTCGGCGGGGGAGGAGTCGTCGTCGTCTTCGGCTCCATCAGAACTTGCGATCGCTTTCACGTCGGAAGGACTGCCCCTGAAATGTATTGGTTCGAGATCTGATCGCTCGGAACTTGTTGAGACCCGTGAGTACCCGTTCGGGAGGGATCTCAATTCAATGGGTTGCATGCTGATGGTCTCTGATATAGTGTGGTCGTATATACATCCATCTCAAAAGCGTATCCTAGTCATTGTGGAAGATATCGTGGTGTATGTGTCGTGGAGATCGCGAATGTCATATCGGCTGATAAGAACAGGTAAAATCGGACAAGGCACAAGCAGCTGGGCGATGTTATCAACAAAAAGGAAACATGTCGTTACGTGGTGCCATTGAGACACTAATCCAAGCTGATCAGGGTAGACACGTTGAGCGCAATATGCAAGTGGTCACCAAACAGGATAAGTTGCAGCACTGAGAGACAGTAAGCTGTTTGATGTCGGGTCAAAGATCTTCCGGTACCCATGGCGCCTATAAATGCTTAGCTGGAATAAGCGTTTTAAGCTTGACGTTATCGGCGACGATAGGCAGGCACTTAACAGGCAGGGTAGGGCACCCTAACCAGCGGTGCCATGCAGCGAGGATACAGTATACTCTGCCATGAGGGAGAAACGCCGTTTTATATCTCAGAAGACTCCTCATGCTCTACCTGCGGAAGTATATCCAGAGGCGGAGTTGACGGTAGTTGTGATAGAGCCTCCCTAGAGGACATCTACGTGAAATTCGGTATGGCGTGCCGCTACCGGATATGCCATCCAGCTGCTCAGAGCCCCATACATCACGGATGGTGAGTGGTACACTCTGATACGATAAGAGGTACCTAGGTACTTGTGGGACATGAGCTTCAATTCAGCGTCATTAGTACGCGTAGCCACCGTCATCACTTGACTTGCCGACCTGCTGCACAAGAGGGTGGTAAGGCATATTTAGACGACTCGGGTTGACAGGGGACTATCGTTGTTGAGCCACCTTTGCTCTGACCACAGATCGTGACATTCAGGCTAACCTCAACCGGACACTCGAATCGGTGCTCATTTTCTGGGTCTACCAGCGTCTTATTTGATATGGCAGCAAAGAACGTCAAGGAGGCACTAGCCGAACTACGCGTCGTCGCCCAACGCTCAGGGTCCCCAGGACAAAGATTTGTACGATCACAAGAATGATCCATACTCAGATGAGCACGGCAAACGACCCGAACCATGGAGAAACGGCGAGGGTGCATCTATCATTGGCCCACGCAACATCGCTCGAGAAATGCAGTCTCCAGACATGATCCGACCCCCTTCCACTGACCACGGTACCCTGCCAAATATGAAGTGGAGTTTTGCTGACTCCCATACACGTATCGAGGTACGTAGTCTTGGATCTGATCCTGACCTGTATCGATATCACACCATGTTAGGAAGGCGGCTGGGCCCGTCAAACCACTGTCCGCGAGCTCCCAACAAGCATCGAGCTCCCCGGCGTAAACATGCGTCTTGACGAAGGCGCCATCCTTGAGCTCCACTGGCACAAAGTAGGCGAATGGGCTTATGTCCTCGAAGGCAAAGTCCGTGTCACCGCGCTCGACAAGGAAGACGGCAACTATATCGGCGAAGTTGAAAAAGGCGACCTCTGGTACTTTCCAGCCGGGCATCCTCATTCGTTATAGGGTCTTAGTAAAGGCGGTACTGAATTCCTTTTGATCTTCGACGACGGCAATTTCAGCGAAGACTCAACGTTCCTCCTATCAGATTGGCTTGCACACACCCCTAAGTCTGTGCTCTCCAAGAATTTTCGTGTTGCGCCTCAGATCTTCGACCACATCCTAGCAAAGGAGCGGTACGTCTTCCAAGGCTCGTTACCTGGTAGCATGGACGAGGAGGATCGAAGAAGCAAGGTGTGAAGAAATCTAAGCTCGAGTTCACGCATAAAATGCTCGCGCAGAAACCAGAGAAGCTGCAGGGTGGCGGGACGGTGCGAATCACGGACAAGTCGAATTTCCCCATCAGCTCGACAGTCGCGGCGGCACATGTCACAATTCCTCGCGGCGGTCTTCGAGAGATGCACCTGGCATCCTAATGCTGACGAGTGGTCGTACTTCATCAGCGGACGTGCAAGGGTCACCGTATTTGCGTCGTCCAATTCCGCACGCACATTCAATTATATGGCCGGCGATGTTGGTATTGTGCCAAAGTCGATGGACATTTCGTGGAGAATTTGAGTGACACGGACGAAGTTGAGACGTTGGAAATGTTCAGGGCACCAAAGTTCGAGGACTTTAGTCTCGAACAGTGGCTAGCAGCGACGCCCGAGGGAAATGTGGCCGAACATATTCTGCAGGCAGAGGAGAGAGCAGGTAAAGCGTTCGTACAAGCGTTGGAAGGACAGAAGAAGCCGGTCAAGCTGAAGTTGTAGAAATGTCTCGAGACTAGATCGCTTTTCATTTCTGAGGGCCTCTTCAAGCAAGCACTCCAAATAGTAGCTTTGTCCTCGTCCAGTACTCTGACTCGGATCGGGATGTTTGCTTCGACTCAGATGGGCTCGCGTTCGACGATTCCGAGCCGTGATCCAACGCAAGTCTGAGATACGCCTCATCAAAGTCCGTTTCGATGTATTTGACCTTTTTCTCCGCGTCAAAGACATCGGCTGCGACGGCTTTTTTGACCAGAGCAACGGCAAAAGTGCACCATAAATCCGTTCCACCAATATCACTCATTATCTGACACAATCGCCGCAGAGTCATGAACGCCTCGGGGGAAGGCATGTTCTCTGGTAATTGCTCCTTGTTCCATTTTCGTATTTTCCTGCCACTTCCGCTGGCTTCAGACAGCCGACGGACTACTTCAGCCGCTATGACCTGGTGCAGTTGAGGGACGCTTTCGGCGAGTTTCGTCGTTTCCACCTCGTCCGTAAAGGCCGTTTGCAGGATTTCTGTTGAGACTCTGATCACACGCACCAAGTATACGGCGTGGGAGATATCCGAAGGCTGCCGAACCGCTTCAGAAGCAGCTGTTGCCAGTTTCGCCTCGTGTTTCGATATTGCATTCCGTAATGAGCCTTGCAGAGTCTTGTTGTAGTGTGTCGGGTCTTCTTTGCAGAGCATCTGGACAAGGAGTTGTGCATCTTCCTCCTGGTCTTCGTCTGGTTCTTCAACCATGTCTCTCCAACGGATCTTGAACAAGCCGTCGATCTGGTCCTTTGTTGTATGCACATCCGAGATCCAGGCATAGAGAGACTTGGTCGCCCTCGACAGCCCTGCACTGAGACCTGAATGCCGAACTTTGACGCACTTGATCATCTTTGAGCCTCCATTGTGCAAAGGTGTCTGGACTGTTTCAGGGTCCCAGATGGATTTGCCTCGTTTACCGGCATTTGTTGTGTCCACCAGAGTCTCAGTGATTCGGCTTAGTTGTGAACCTTGAGCCTGGCAGATGTCGTCCAACTTTTTGTTCAACGACCGCCGAATGTCTTCTTTGATATCTCTGCTCGCGGGAGTGGAGAAGAATACCGGCAGCAGGATGTTGTAGAGTTCATTTCGCAAAGCCAGGACCTTTGTAACATCATTCACCTCGGAAAGATGCTCATCAACTGCTTTGACAAGTATCTGACATACGTCCTGGGACCAAGCTTCGAATTTGGCTTGCAGCTCTTCTGCAGTTGGGGCACTCCGTTTGAAGTATGGGACGAATGATCGGATCTCATCGCTTAGCAACGGCCATATCCTGTCGAGATCCAATGAATCGCCTTCTCTGATAGTAGCGTCAGCCAAAATGGCCTGCCCTTGGAGGCTGTTCGCCGCTTCAGTGACAAGACGTCCTGTCAAAGTCTTGAAAGTCTGGAGTGAACTGAGTTGATAATGGAGAGCCTCGGCTATAGTGGTTTGTGTCCGGAATGTGTCCAGTCGCCGTCGTAGCTTCTCGAGTCTGAGTTGGCGGAGGTGGGCAAGCGCATCTTCTGAAGAGACACCGGTCACCAAACAGTAGGAGCAAATCGCTTCGAGCAGGACCCGAACGCTGGAGTCAGGACTGATTAGCTTGGCGTCGATCTGTCGGAGCAATTGCCGTCGAAGGGCGCCAAATCTGTTCTTCAGGTGCTCGAGGCTCTGTGACAACGATGTCTCATTGCCCAAAGATCTCAGCAGTAATCGCGATAAGAGTATCAGCTTGGAGCATTGCAGGGTTTCTTGGCTTCGCAAGAAAGTAGCTGAAGTCGTATAGCATCTTTGCAGTAATCGAAACTGTGCCAATGTGCCCTTCTGGGGCGGTGGCGGACGACGGGAGACATCTTGTTGTGGTGGCCTACAGTTGTGACTTATAGTTGAAACATGATGTTCGACCAGTTTTGTCTTTTCTTCTAGAACTACGATTGCTTCTGCAGTTGCGAGAAGCTCCCGATAGCTGCCTCTACATAGATCGTCAGAATGGGAAGAACTTTGCGCGAAAATGGCTATCAGCTCACCCGACCAGACCTCGAAGCTTTTCCTTGTCTCTTGAAGCGCTGGCGCGAAGCTGCTTTTCGATCGCGCGTGTTGTAGGAATCCGATATTCTTCGAAAGCTTGCTGCCATCTCGTTATAGTGGTTCCCGGGTCCATAGCCACCAAAATCAACCCAAATTGGTCTTTCGGGAATGCAGATATGACCAGATCAACACAGGAATGGCATCATTATGTTTGATCAAAGAACACATTAGCCACGTTTCTGAGTAGAAACGTAAACCTCAGCAAATGGTCGATCACGTGCCAAAGCTCGGTTGCTGCTTTAAGAAGACACGCACCTTCTTCAACATCACACCCCTTCTCCTAGATTTCAATTCTCTGAACAGCCCAGCAAGTTGATATTATCTGCTAAAGAACAACATGTGAAAGTATCAGGTAGGTAGTGACAGCGAAATGATGCAACATTTACAGTTGGTAGGTCACAGTCGCTGGGATGCTGCACTTCCAAAGCGAAGGTCCTTCACCTCACTTGCACCTTACCTTACCCTTACCCGTGCCCACCTTCACCTTCGGCTTACACAAGATTATCCTGTTATGGCGAAGGACGTAACTACTGTTTGGTCTCTCTATCTTCTTTTTTAGGATCTCGCTTGCCTCTGTCTTCTCGAGGACGTTACCAACATCTTCGCTCCGTTACCCAGTCTTCCCGTCCTTCTTCTCCAACGCATGAGGTTGGACGCTTTCTCTCACGCCGGTACAGCGTCATTTCGACAGCATATTTCATCACAACATGGCGCAGGCTAGCGCTTCTCCCGAAGTTACCACACTTGAGTCTCCACCTGAGCATCTCTTGCGGGAGATCTGTCAGTATCTGGACAGCCCAAATCTGCCCAACTTCAGTCTTGTCAACAAGTTTTGCAAAGGCATCAGCACCTCATGCCGAAGATGGAAGATCAAGTCCGAGGTGTCCACGCCCGCGAAACTGCAACAAGATGTAGAGCTATAGATGTCTAGGCTTGACTCCTTCAATCGAGCACGCGTGGTGAAGCTAGTGATTGAAGATTGCTTGTCACTCGCCTACGCTAGTAGCGACACTCGCCAGGCCATATGGACAAATGAAGGCGCCATGATCTCACCATCACCTTCCGAATCTCACGGCTGGGCACCCTTAATAACGTTCTTGCGAGAACTCCATGCGCTGACCCTACTGGTCTACGAATCCCGTTTCCGGTTCCCCCAGTCACTTTTCGCGACATTGCAGAGGCACCTGCCCAACTGCCAATTGTCTCTGATAGATTTCCAACTGGTCGACTCGAACCCAGGAACTCTCCAATTGTACGAGAAAGAACTCTTGACTTCACCGCAGCTCTACGGGAACCGGGTGTGGCGGCACGCATGCAACCGCGAACCGGGAGGTGCCTGCAAGGCAGGGGTGGTACTGGCGCTCGCGCATGTCAACAAGCACCTGAGACAGATCGGTGTGTATTATCACAAGTGGCCAGGATGCCGTGAGTGTGAACAGCCACTGGTACCACGAGCGCTGGTCTGGAAAGCCCGGATTCGGTCAACGCAACTTCGCAAAACACATATGACTCAATCACTTGGCTGCAACTAATGGGCGACTTTGACTGCGGGATCCCACTCCAGAAGAGCGCCAGGTTTCCGAATCTCAAGAAACTCGAAATGTCAGAATTTCCTCTTTGGACTTTCTGTCAGCATGAGGAAAGTCGGAGTGTGGACACGCTGGAAGAGTTGACCGTCAGCTTCGGTGATCAATCTGGTCGGGACATTGAACCGTTCAATGCATTGATTCGTCGCCTTCCACCTCTCTGGAAACTAACAATCAACACAAACTTCACAGCTCACCGGGCTCATTGGCCTACCTTCGACGCTATACTAGCCTAACATCACAGCAGACTTCGTCTCCTCGATCGAAGATGACAAATTTCATAGGACCGATTGGATGCGGTCACAGCATATCGTGCCTGGAATTGCGCAGATCTCGAAACTAAGCGGCTGTTTCGGTCAGCTTGCAGACCTCAGTATCGCAGTTCGACGTTCGGGAGGCGACAGAAACGAAGTCTTGATCTACCATATGCTCGGTGGCCTTCCAAAACTCCAGACGCTAGAACTTTGTTTGGTCCCTTCACCACCTCGCATCTTCCCCTCCGATCAATGGGAGTCACAACCATTTACGGCTGAAGCCCACAGTCCGGTCCGAAATGGCCATGTGAAAGACTTGCTCATCAATATTGCTCTGGACGAGGCGCTCGCACGGAGCATCTTCGACGCTATATCCTCAGCCAAAGGCTCATCATCCCATCCGCTAGAGCGTCTGACAGTTCACCCGTTTGGAGGCCAAGTGGCCACATTAGGCTGGCCCAGCGTGATCGACACGGACTTGTTAATGGTCACAGCAGTCATCGGGCATTTGTGGGAAGTAAAGAGAGGAGAACGTGATGATGATGAGACAGATGCTATTTGCGCATAAAAACGATTCCTGGGGAGATTATTATCGCCTGTTTTGGCGAATTGTGGACTTGGGTGACCGGCAGACACCGCGACAATGCCTGCCTGAAAGCATGGAAGAGGTCTTCTCCCGTGTTTGGCCCGGTTGGCAGCAGACGAGTGATGATTGGGAAAATGAGTTGCCTTCATCAGACAGTAAAAACAGTTCCATCACTGCCCGATCCAGACAGACCAAGTCATCATTGAGATGTAGCATTAACATATAAATTCTGCAGCGCGGGATCCTCCTCCAGCGCATCCAGCACTTTCCCGACCTCTTCGCCTTGCTCCGCCGTCAACTTGACCAGACTATCCTCATTCGGATCATACACGACCTCGGCCTTCTCCACACGCAGACCGAACTTGTCCTGCAAGCGTTGCGCCACGTCCATGACAGCGTCCGGTGGAGTCTCGACGACGAGCTTATTGTCCGCGCCGTCCATGCTGATATCACTCGCGCCGGCCTCGATGGCCTCTTCGAGCGCCTCGTCCACGCCTATTGTCTCTTGCTCTTCAAAGACAATGCGGCCCTTCTTTTCGAACAGGAAGGACGTCGGTGTCATGGTGCCGCCGGCCTTGGAGACGATCAGCCGGATGTCCTGGAGGGTGCGGGCTTTGTTGTCCGTTTGGCATTCGATCAGGGCCGCGACGCCGCAGGGCAGCATGGCTTCAATGAGTAAAGGTTCGAGAGCCGCGCCCGAGGGCGATTTGCCTTGGCCTTTGAGGATGGCGTGCTCGATGGAGGATTTGGAGAGTTGGCCTTTTTTTGCGGCCGCGATGGCCGCGGAGAGGCGGGAGTTGAACGATGGGTTGGGCCCGCCTACTACGGTATCCGCCCGGTGTGATATTAGCTTTTCAGTTCGTTGAATTGGTCGCTCGTGGTCGGGCTAGTTGGGTGGGTCGGTGTAGTGAGTGTAGTGAGTGCGCCGCGGGGAAAGGGGAGGGTATGGGCAGTACATACGTCTTGAAGCAATGATGATGTCTGATGAGAGCTGCGTTCTGAGCTTGCTCGTCCGCGCATCGGTCTTGGCCTTGTCGTGTTTGATCTTGGACCAGCGGTTATGGCCTGACGATGCTATGGGGGTCGTTGAGAAGTGCCTGTACATGTGCCTGCGCCTGCGCCCGCATGGTGTGCATGCCCCCAGCCGATGGGCTTGAGGAGTCCATGTTGGGATGGAGAGGCGTAGACTCCGGGGACGAAAAAGGTCCGGGCCCATGCAAGTGCTTTGAGTGAGGTGATGGTGACGAACGTTTGCTGTGAGAGGGAGTGGAAGGGTCGTCTCGTTGTGTAGCTCTACAGTTAGGTACCTTATGCACGAAGGTGACGGGATTTTGAAGGCCGCGGATGCTAATTTCTGATTGGCGGACGACGTGGATGGGTTTGAGGTGGTGAAGACGCGACTAGTATGCCAACATTCTAGGTGGCCGAGTACGGGCATTCTGGCTTTTGGCATAGATGTGGTCACCACTTAGAGGGACGCTGTTGAGCATGGACACCGCAAGAGACATATCGCTATTGCTCTACTAGTAGGACCAGGGCGCACACCATGGGCAAGCACCGACAGAACACTAGACAAGCTTACCTTACAAAGTATAGCAGAGTCGGACGTTCAACAACAAAACAACAGAGCGATGAAAAGAGCACTTTTTCATTCGAAATACACAATGCAAAACTACTTGATCTTCGCCATGTTTAGGCGCAAAAAGCCCACCAACTCCACCGGCTTGACCTCGTACTCTGAGCGGGAGGGGCTTCTCACCTTCAACCCTCTCTCCCCAGCCCCTCCCCTCACTATGACCAACCAGTAGTTGGCATTCTCGCCCCGGTAAGCTCTTTCCAGCTCCTCGAGGGAGCGGAACTCCTCTGACAGCTCGGCACTGAGGCCGGCAGCCCACAACGACGACACCACCTCCACGCACGCGCTTCTCAGCGTGCTTGGATCGAAGCTGGTGACCAGGATGTCACCGTACCTCGGCAACGGCTTGGTCTCGGCCGCGCCGGCGTGTCTGCCAGCTTTCTGGTGGCCCTTCGCTTGGCCCCGAACGTAGGCGATCAAGTCCAGTATATTGAGGCGGAAGCCGACAGCGCGAGTCGAGCCCTTGTCAGACTTGGTCTGGTATTCTTGGATGAGTGCGTCGTACCGGCCACCCACGGCCAACAGCTTTCGGTGGACCTTCTCCATGCATTGGAAGAGCAGACTACCGCGGTAGAGGTGCTCGCTGTTGTTTCGAAGCGGAGCGACAAGGACCTGCGTCTGTACGTTCATCTGCTTGAGTAGATGCACAAGCTCGTCGAGGCGCGCAAAAAGGGATAGAGCCTGGTTGAGATGGTCGCCGTGTCCAAATAGCTGCATGAACTTGGTCCGCACTCGGTCGAGGTCGCCAACGACATTGAATCGTGACAGGTCAGTCACACAGGTCTCTGCAACGTTGATCGCCGTGCTGCGGAGGCGTTCGCGCACCTTTTCCCAGTTGCCATCGCTGGTGGACAGGTATGACAAAGCCTGCTTGACTTTGGGAACGTCATTTGGCTTGATGCGGCAGTAGTCGAGGACGAGGTCGAGCAGGTCGGCGTGAGTGATGTAGATGATCCATTCACGAGCAGCCAGAGCTGGAAATTCATGCAGGATTTCGTCCAAGACCTTGATGGTTTCGGCCTCCTTGAGAGACAAATCCCTGGCGCTATGAGAAACGAAATCAAAGTCCACTTCTGGAACTTGTCGGGGTTGATTCCCGGGTCCGGTAGCACGATAGACGAATCCGAAGCAATAGGTCTTGGAGTAATTGCATGCAGTCTGTCCGAGCGTGCGAGCGAACGGGTGAGTCAGGTCTTCGGGTAATTGCACAACCAAGCCAGAGGGGTCGAGAAAGACGGCCGGGTTGATGGTAAATCCAGCCTTGGGAACGATTCCTTGTCTAGGTGTCTCAATGGCGCCGTGTTTCCGGAAGATGGTCTTTAGTTGATCTGTGGTAGAGATCCACAGCATAGGGTCGACGGAGACCATGCTCTCTCCAGATCGGTCTTCCCACGCCAGGCTAGCTATGGGGTCATTAGGCTTGTGGAAAAGCTTGTTGACTAGACCTTGGTACCCTTCAGGACTCTGTTCGGCCAATCGGTCGATAAAACGTTGGAACTTCACCTCTTCCAAGGGTTCAGGGATCATTCCACTGTCCAGCAACTCTCTTGCGGTCGGTCTGTACCGTTGATCAACATTCACCAGCCGCGTGATGATCTCGCCTTGTTTTTGATGGATTTCTTCATCGAAAAATTCCGGCAGTTGGGGTGGCTCCCTCGTCAGGCCTTCAAGAAGGAAGATTCTCTCGGTCTGTGTTTTCAAGGGGTAGCACATCTCGAAGAACATGACTCCGAGCGAGTACATGTCGGCTCTACCATCATATTTGTGTCCGCGATTCAAGAGTTCAGGAGCAGTGTAGCCTTTGGTGCCGACGCCGGTGGAGTTCGTAATGGTCATGCCCGGGGCGGACACATGTGATCTCGACACAGTCTGTCCCGCAGTCGCAAGTCCAAAGTCACCAATCTTGGGGTTGTCATGAGAGTCTAGGAATATGTTTTCGGGTTTGAGATCGCGGTGCACGACACCCTGGGCGTGGACGTAGGCAAGTCCTTCGACGATGCGGCGAAATAAACTCCAGACGGCGTTGACATCCGCAGAGAGACCATCTTTTAGCCGATTCAATAGAGTCTTTCCTTCGCACAATTCCATTTGAATGTACAAGGTCGACTTCCGGTTTGGCGGAGTGCGAGATCGTACTTGGACAACTGAGTTTGATGGAGATTCAGTGCTGTCGAAAGGGTTGTCAGTGTCGCCCATTAGCCCTGGGCTTGTTGGGTTTCGGTTTGCAAAAGGGTCTTCATCTTCTTCGACTTCCTGACGATCGGGTTCTGGGTCTTGATCGAACGGGCTCTCATCGTAGCCGTCTTGGTCGTCAACGGATGGAGGATCTTGGTATCCAAATAGATTGCCGTCGTCGCTGCTATCATATTCTGGGCCTTGATTCCGATAGACCGAAGGTTCCATGAAGTCGTGACCAGTGCTGACAGCAGGGGCCTGTTGCAGCGATCGAGTTGGAAGTCGTCTCTGAGGCACGCCCTCAACGTGTTCTGCATCCTCTCTTTCGACCCAAGAGTTGTAGTATCTCACAATGTAAGGATGATTTAGTCGAGCAAGCAAGGTCACTTCGGCCAGGATTTCTTCCAGCTCTTTCTCTGAAGTGCTTTCGATCTTCTTGACTGCGTAGAATTGCCCGTCTAGTTTCAGGCGTGCTCGGTAGACATTCCCAAACCCTCCTTTGCCGATCTTTTCAACCTCTTCGAATTCGTTGTGGTACCGTGAAACAAGTCTGTCGCTGTACCGTCTGCGTCGGCTGGGAGTGCTAGGCATATTTGGATCAAGACTTCGAAATATCGGCTCACGTTCTTCGAAAAAGAACGCCTTTCTAGTCAGCTCGAATGCAGTTGGTCGCCTCTCTGGCTGGATCTGGAACATCTCCTCCAATAATCTCCACACGTTTGTCTCGAAGTCGCACTCAGCGAGTACTCGGCCTGGGGAGGTGTACATTTCCTTGACATCTTTGTCGACAGCCATTTGCAGGATGATCACTCCAAGCTCCCAGATACAAGTCTTGCTCGTTCTTTGGGGTCTGCTGGAGTTGAGTTCGGGAGCCATCCACAATGGTAGGTCTTGGTCGGAAGGTTCGGACAAATTATGAGCTGCCAAAACAAGATCGCGGAGCTGAGTGCCATAACCATCGGCCAGCTTGACCGTAATACCTCCGCTAGCCGAGCGGAACAGCATCACATTCCCAGTGTGTACCGCAGGATGGACGTAACCCTGTTGGTCGAAGAAGAGTAATGCATCAGCCAGCTGACGAGCCCATGAGCGAATTCTTGCAGCATTCAGAGCCCCAACTATGCCTAGAAGGTCAGATAGTGAGCCCTGTTCAGCATATTCTGATAAGATGGCGAGCTTCCACTCTCCAACGCCGTTGCCAAGGTCGACATGCTCGATTTTGTAGTTGATCAACTCGACGACGTTCGGATGACGGTGCTCTCTTGACGACTCCAGATCCTGTTCGACGGTTTCCATGCATTTCTGGAGTTGAGCTTTCGGTGCAACAGTCTCCGGGAGATAGATGATCTTGAGGAGAAGTTGAGGCGCTTGTACTTTGTCGGTGTCAACTCGTGGAGCTACAATCATCACCTTCTTGTCCGTCCGCTTCAGGATGACTGATCTTCCGACGACGGCTTTGAATTTGAAAGGTGCGGAGGTGGCTATGTCTCGTGAGGTCATGGACTGGTCGAATCGGATAGGATCTTCGGGGACGTCGTAGAGGTCTGCATTCTCTTCGCCAGTGACTTTCCGAGAGAGCGTTGTTTTCAAACGGCGTTGTTTTTCGTTTACGACCTGGGATTCCAACAGTATTCCCTGCTTCTCAGCTTCTTCGGCTTGTCGTCTTCGAGCATTTTCTTCTTGTTCCTCAAGCTGTTTCTTAGTACGCGCTTCTTTGACAGCACGCTCTTCCTCAAGGCTGAGCTCCGCTTTCTTGGCAGCCTTGTCAAGACTGACTTCCGTAAGAAAATCCATAGTGGCGCTGATGACCTCGTAGACAGACTCGCTGCCTTGATGTTGACGTGGATACGTAGCCGTAATATGTTCGATTTTCCGTCTTATTTGCGGATCTTTCGGTTGGACCTCGACGATGTCGATTTTTGGCAAAACCTTTGGATAGTCGTGTGGAAACTCAAAGACCAGTTTGGCGAAGTAGTCACGGTCTTGGAGAGGTCCGATTCTGACTTGGAAGGCTAAGTTTTCTGTCTTCTGTCGCGGTGTCAGATCGGAAAAGACCAGGAATCCGGGGGATCTCTTCACCTGCCAGGCATCCTTTCGCCCGCGGATTCTCTCGAACTCATCAGGATAAATTGCTCTCGTAGTCAAGAACTCATTGCGTTGAACTTCTGGATACTCTGCAACCTCTTCCTCGAATCCACGCTGAGACCGCCCAAATGATGGTGGAGGTGGGAGCAGTGGATCTGGATTTGGATCCTGCGGTGCAGGGATTTTGTTTTTCTTGCGTGCAGGCATCTTGAAATTTCAGATCCGCAGAGGGCTCTGATGTCGTCTGCTTGTTCTGCGTTTGTCTTGTGAAGCTTGGCAAGATACCCCGACAACGAGGGGTATATGTACCTAGGCAGTCGCAGCAAGAGCCGCAACCACCTATATCATGTTGATTCTATCATTGTCGTCGGTCTTTGTTGTTGTTTTGGGACAATGGAGAAGGAGCAGAAGTGGTTGTCTTGACTCACTGACAAGCAAAGCCTCGTTCCGCCAAGAGATACACGGAACGGAACTACAAATGGCCGACGAGCCGACTTTCAATCTTCAACTTGGTGATTCAGTGCCTCTCTTACCATAAACCACCCACTTGCTTCCTTTACAGATTGCTCCCATCTCCTCTCTTTCAACAAGGAACCCTTATCCATCCTTGTTGTCCGACCACTGCACCTCGAGCGACCCTCAGGTCAGGTCCGTCAAGATGGTGAATATCACGGAGAAGATCAAAGAGTATGACCCTCTCTGCGACACAGTATATCTGCCTTCTGACCCCAGTCCAGGATCGAGGCCGAAATGGCCCGAACTCAAAGTGCGTTTCTGCGTCTTATCGTATGGGGGTAGGGGTACTGACGGGATGCAGAGAACAAAGCCACAGGTTCGTGACCGACGGCCTCGGAATCTTGTCTCACAGACTCTGACTAATGACAATCAGAATATCACCTTGGTCTGCTGAAAGGGTACGTGATATTATTGGACTAGGTCGTTGTATTCGTTACACCCGTCGAAAAGGTTGCAAGGAAGGAAGACATCAATAGCCATTGCATCCGGCCTGCCACGTGACACAGCCTCATCACGTGGAATGGCACGTCGTTGGCCTGAATTGCACATAACAGGGTTGCACATCTGGCCGCTATGATGGGGACAATGGCTTTCAGGTTCAAGACTGAAGCTAATCCGGTGCTACAGCAAACTCGCACGATTACGAGCTCAACTTCTCGAGCCCGGTCCCGGCGCCGGCTCAGGGGGAGGAGCAGGCTTTGATGTCTCCAAGTCTGGTGATGCCCGAATAGCCCTCGTCGGCTTCCCTTCAGTCGGCAAATCCACCTTCCTATCCAAGATCACAAAGACCAAATCCGAAGTGGCAGCTTACTCGTTCACAACACTGACGGCCATTCCCGGCGTGCTCGAGTACGGCGGCGCAGAAATACAAATTCTAGATTTACCGGGTATCATCGAAGGTGCCTCAGAGGGCAAAGGACGAGGTCGACAAGTCATCAGTGCTGCGAAGGTGCGTGGGGCTGGATTGAAACGAAGTAGTGCCACCATCGCGATAACTTATCTGACTCATCTAACATTCAGACATCCGACCTAATTCTGATGGTCCTGGACGCCACCAAACGCGCGGAACAACGCGCCCTTCTCGAAGCAGAACTGGAAGCGGTCGGCATCCGTCTAAACCGAGAACCACCGAACATCTATCTTAAACCGAAGAAAGCGGGCGGCATGAAAATCACATTCCAGGCACCACCCAAAAACATCGATGAGAAAATGGTCTACAACATCCTGCGTGATTACAAGATGCTCAACTGCGAAGTGCTGGTCCGCGACGAGAACGTTACGGTCGACGACTTTATCGACGTGATCATGAAAGACCACCGCAAGTACATTCGGTGTTTGTACGTGTACAACAAAATCGACAGCGTCACCGTGGATTATCTGGACGAACTAGCCCGCGAGCCTCATACGGTCGTCATGTCGTGCGAGCTGGATCTTGGTGTCGAGGACGTTGTCGAGCGGTGTTGGCAGGAGTTGAGACTCATGCGGCTGTACACCAAACGGCAGGGTGCGGAGCCGGATTTCAGTGAGGCGCTCATCGTGCGGAGCAATAGCACAATTGAAGATGTGTGCGACCAGATCCACCGGACGTTGAAGGAGACGTTCAAGTATGCGCTCGTGTGGGGCGCCAGTGCGAAGCATATCCCACAGCGGGTAGGTCTGTCGCATGTTGTGGCAGATGAGGATGTGGTGCAGGTGGTTAGTGCCTGGAAAGCGTGAGGCGTGACGGTGCTAAGTCAGTGTTTTTCGAGCTACGGAACGAGGACCGTTGTAGGACAAGATCTGAAATGTGCGAGCTTGGCGATATATTACAATTCATCTTGGTTCTGACAATCAGTGGATGCCTACCTGAGTGCTCTCCTTGGATCCAAGCTGTTCACGTTCGCACTGATGGCCTTGCCGTCGAAGACAAATTCGCTCATCAGTTTTCCCGTAGCTGGCCCATTCTGAATACCCCAACATGTATGCCCAGCGGCAAGATACACTCCTTTCGTGTTTGTGAGCCCGACCAACGGCCCAGATCCCGTCTCGACCTGGGGCAAGTAGCAAGCCTGTCGGACCAAGACTTCACCGTCACGCATTTCGTCGGAGAAACTGGCGCAGTAGTCCACGATATCCTGACAGCGCGAGTCGTCGACCTGTACGTCTGCAGTAGATTTCGGCAGTGGCACGAGGTGATCTCCTTCTCCGCAAGCGTACAATTCGTTGTTTGGCCGAGCGTAGATTTCCGGACTGACATGCATGGCCCTCGACTTGACGCCCTCCTTGAAATTTTTGGGGAGTGCCAGCTGCGTGAACAGGCAGTATCCGGAGACAGGCCTTGTAGGACGAATGGTGACACTGTGTGCTCGAAGTGCACCGATCGGCGAGCCTGGCCAGACAGTCTTTGTCCACGGGCCGGCAGTGACGATCACATCTGTTGCGGGTAGAGAATGTTGGGAGCCTGTTGATTTTCCGGTGTACTTGACAGTATGCTCCCCTGAGGGCGAAGTCTCGATCTTGTCGACACTGCCAATGATGACCTTCGCTCCTTTTTCCTCGGCAAGCGAGGCCATTGATGTAGTAAATTGATATGGGTGCACCTGCGCCGTATCCTTAGGCGAGCCCATACTATCGTAGCCTTGCACGCATTCTTCAGCTACCCAGTCGAGGTCGTCCGGCATACCCATTTTGCGCAAGTTGGAGTACGAGTCTTTGCTTCGCTTCTGGAGACTCACGTTGCCATCGCTCGATACGTCTGGTCTATGCAAGCCTCTGATATCTTCATTCTTGGAGTCCCCGTTCTTAGTGATCTGCGGTTGATTGGAGACATGTCGGCCGATCAGGTCGATTTGGCCCACACCGACACCACGATATCCCCAGCGTTCAGCACCACCGTGCTCTTTCGCCAATTCGGCATGTAGCTTGAAACTCAGTGGCACTAGGCATGACGGATAAGCCCACAGCGCCAACAGACCGCCTGCTTTTCCGGAGGCGCCGCTGGCTATTGATGTAGCTTCGATGAGATGGATCGAGTGCTGCTCCGGGCTGTATTTGGGGTGGCGTGTGAGGAAGTATGCTGTCGTTGAACCGATTATGCCTCCCCCAATGATAACGATATTCTTCTTCTCCGTGTCGGCCATTGTGATGTGACGAGAAGACTGGCCAGTGACCAGACAGCGGAGGAGTGAATGTGCAATCTTGTCAGTTGATACTCGATGCAGTAGGGACGCTGATGATGCCAATGGACGTCTTTTCAATCCGAGATTGATAGCATCATAGTTGGTACTAGTATTTCCGAATCACGGTGGCGATGACTTCAACTTCAACTTCATATTCTCATTCAGGTAGGTCAGCCGAGAGAAGATACACGCGACGCTATTCAGCATTCCGTTTGTAGCTCCTTGATGCTACGTCCGGATTTCACAATGCTTGCCTATGCCTACTGAGAATAGCCATACGTAGAGGGTACACCATCTAGTTAATACCTACCCAGGTATCATTCCCTTCCGCCTGCTTCCCGTGATACCTGGTAGGTACCGTACCCGGGTGCCACATTACTCAGGTATTTTCGCTGCTTTCCCAAAACCCAGCCACGTCACTCTCCTTGGGTGCAATTAGTTCGCATATGGAAATAATCTCCAAAGTGGAAAAATGTAGAAATGATTTGGACGATACGTCTGAGTGCAGGTCGTCCCAGTCTATACGACAGGTATTAATCTCTCTTGTGAGAGCATCCTCCACAATCATTGAAAGTTGGATCTCGATTTCCAGCGATGGTTGGTAAGGCTGACGAGTCATGTCTGGCTCAATAAAATGCTCAATCTTTATTGTGCGATCATTGTCGGGGCTCCAGCGTACCATGACGGATGGCAATCTTCCAAGAGAGCACAAAAGTAAAGCGCCAGATTTCTTTTCTAGCTGATTGCAGTCTCGAGCATAGGTGAATTGCTTGATTTGGCCATTCAGCAGCCTCACCCGGAGAAAGTCTTTGCGTTTCATGTGATATAGATTCTTCATCAGGCTTCCTGATACATTTACTTGGATAACGTCTTCGTATGCCTCGACCTCCGGTTGCAGGACGTTGTCGTCTGTGGTAAGAATTATAAAAGGCTTGAAGGAGAGGTGGCAGCCCTTCAACTGCATGGCTGCGGCCCTGTTGAGGGGTAATCTTTGTTCGAACCTAAGGCTGGTGATAGACAGAGCTTTTATCAAAGCAGCTGCAGCTGATAAGTTTAGGCCCTGCCGATGGGTTGCGTCCTGAGTGCCTTCTTCTTCAAGGTATTGCAGTGCTCTAACAGCTACCTCTTCGTTAGAAGACGTATAGTCAATCTCAAGTCGTCGACTGGGATCGAGCAGACCCACCAAGCCGAACACATAGTCTCGCGGATCGGTACAACGTTTCCAGTGGAATTCTTCTATAAGTCTGCCTAGAGAATTTCTTGTGGGGAAATCTTGCATGTCCCCCTTATTTGGACTGAGGCGTGTTATGGGATGGTGATCCAGTAAGGCGGTTCCAGAATTCCTGATATTTGGATCCCGTTGCCTCGCAATCCATGAAAGATAACCTGGTTTTGAGTTTTCGCGAGCCGCTTTGTACATTGCACGTAAGCAATCTTTATCCAGCAGAGCCTTGCCGAAAACAATGCATGCATTTTGCGCAAGTGCAGTTTCTTGGACGATCCAAAGCCTTTCCCAATACGAATTGTACACGATACTCATGATCTGGTTTTCCAGGGACCGAGATCTAGGGTCTGAATAGCCTAGGACATCGATCCAGGCATCCCAGTCTTTTGGAGGGAGATTTTCAATGCTGTCCTGTAGACTGTCTGTTCCTGGAGTAAGAAGGTATGTCTGTAGACTCGTTGATCCAAGCCAGATCAATACTCTGGTCGCTTTTTGGAAGATTTGCGCCATCTTGGCCACCTGCTGGCTCTTTTCCTGTTCATCATTTTGATTGATACAGATGCTGTCGATCCATAGTCTTGACCTCGTCAACTCGTGGTCACGTAGATGTTTCAAGCAGCGCCATATGTTGTCACGCAATCTCAGCGTCTTGCCGTCTACGATAATATGGCGCTCAGGCGATTGTGATCCCCACATATAGGATACAGCCTCGTACCGACCCTCTACTTCGTTGATTGAAACAAGCTCTAGCTTAAGATGAATTCTTTTCCTGTCCTGTCTGGGAATAATGCTGAAGAGACGAATCTGAGAGGGATCGTCTATTCGGTGGTAGTGATATCTCTGGCTGGTCATCTTGAGAAAAGCCAAATTGACACGAGCTGGTTAATCGTGGATCTGAGCAAGACGCAGCATGTAATATACTGTACGTAAGTTGTAACCTAGATGTGTGGCACGCTCGAGCGTGCACTAAATTCACAAAGATTTCAAGTTAACAATCATTTTTTGCTTGCGCTAGGAGCATACTGGAGGCGTGGCGATCACAGGTAATGATCACGACGGCGCCAACGTGGCGGACTCTGATTCGCGCTGTGGCCTGCAAGAACTTGTGTCTAGCAAGCGAATATTGTGCATTGGTCCCAAACAAAAGTCCCCGCGCCTGATGCTGGAACATCAAGATGGGCCAGTGTGGCCAGTCTAGTCACAAAGAACCAAAGGCGATGAGGCCGTCGCGACAACCAACAGCACAAGAGGCTTGTTTGGTCCGCAGTAGCCGACGATGGACTTGAATTAGTAATCAGGCCTGTATCATAACTCCCGAGCCCCCCTTGCTCCCCATTCATCACAATGTACGTCCATTGCAGGCCACAAGCACGATGGTGAAATGGCTCGAGGAAGACCGAGAAATGTCGTGCCGCCATGCCGCTACTGCGACAAGCAATTCCAGCGGCGCGAGCATTTGGTGCGACATGAACGCACGCATACGAGCGAGAGACCATTCGTCTGCCAGTGTGGGCAATGTTTTACCAGACAGGACCTTCTGAAGCGTCATGTCAGGTTATCACACGCTCAACACTCCCACCCTTTACCAGGTCATGCTTCGGATGAGCACAGCCTGACTGATTTCCAGCCTGACGATGTAGCCATCCAAGAATCTGACCTCCTCTTCGATCCAGAGCTCTTCACGCAAGATATGCTGCCGCCCACACTATTCGACTTCGACACGAGTTTGTCGCTCACTTACGCTCAACCTCCGCAAACGAGCAGCTTTCCTCACTTCAGTTCTAGGCTCCCATACTTGGAGGATGCCCAGCCCGCCGATACTGATGACGACGATACTGGCGGAGCCATCAAGGAGCACGCCGACGTTGTGCCATGGTCTTTCTCCGACTCCGCCTACGAAGGCTTTTGTCTTGATATCGCGTCCTATTCGGAGGCGCTGCCACCGGGTTGGAAATTGCCATCCCGGAACGCCTTGAGTCGGAACCTGGAATCATACTTTCGCTGTTTCCAAGAACATCTTCCATTTATCCACTCTGCAACATTTTCAGTCGCAAAGACAGACATCGATTTACTGATGGCCGCAGCTGCTTTTGGTGCTCTATACCGGTTTGAGAAGGCCTGTGCTCACGATTTATACTCCATGGCAAAAGCCATAATGTTGGAGAAGACACGCTGTCAAGACCTTCAATTAGGTACTGAGCTGCTGTCAGACAACGATCATTCGCGCCTGGACGCAAGGAACCATCTTGCAAAAATACAAACACTGAATCTTCTCATCGACTATGCGTCTTGGGCCAGCAAAGAGATTCTAGCAGACGCGCTGTCCATGACCGACCAGCTAGTCAGGCTCGTGAAGCTAAATGGGATGTCTGAATTGGAACAGCAGCAACCTGTAGAGGATCAGCTTACAGACGCCACCGCTGTGGAACGATCTTGGTGTGGTTGGGTCGCTGCTGAAGAGCGAAGGAGAACCTTGCTATCTGCCTACGTGCTTCTCAATCTGCACAGTATTGCTTTCGACAGAGCTCCGCAGTTGTTGAATCGCGAGGTCTGTCTCTTCTTGCCAAGCTGCGTGGAGCTGTGGAAGGCCCCCAACTCAACACAATGGCGTCGGAGCAGTTCCCAGCATCAGCTTCAATTCCAGGAATCCCTGCGGTCACTTTTCGACGGCACCGTTTCTCCAGTATCTTCGTTCGCGAACTATGTGCTCATTCATGGTTTGCTTCAACAAATAGGCGTTGACCACTGTGGAGCCATGGGAAAGTCTCTGCAGCCAGACACTGTTGCAGCTTTTGAGACAGCATTACGCGCATGGCAATCGTCTTGGGAACTCACTCATGAAGCTACACTGGATCCGCTATCGGGCAAGGGGCCACTCGGACTAAACGCAGCTGCACTCCTCCGTCTGGCCTATATTCGTTTAAACTCGAAGCTGAGGCCATGCCGGATCCTGCTATCAAGAGATCCTTTGTATCTCAGGAGCGAAAAACAACATTTTGACAGATCTATTCAGTTGGATCGAGCTGTTCTCCACGCTGCACATGCTCTGAGTATACCAGTGCGTCTGGGCATTGAGTTGATTACCCATACCTGTATCCCCTTTCGGAGCGTCGAACATTCGCTCAGCAGCCTCGAGTGCGCATTACTGCTCAACCAGTGGCTTCAAATGGTTGCGATGGTCGTTAGATCTCATGGGCTCGGTGAATTGCGCAAGACCGAGCGAAAACTCCTGGACATCGTCACAGGGATCATTAAAGAGACATCCTTGGCAGACACGCTGGATATCTCCGAAGACAGCGCATCACAATACCACCGGATGGGAACAACGACTTCAAAGCTATGGGCTCAAATCTTTCGGGGTGTGCATGTTCTTGAGATCGATGAAGTCATCGGCTCCGGCCTCCAACTTCTTGCAGACGCTACTTAGCCCAAGTTGATACACACTTTGCCAATGTGCTGGCCAGATGCTACATATCTCAAAGCCTCGATAATATCCTCACGATTGAATCCAAACGTCTTGTCCACCGGCACGGGCAGGTTACGGTTTCCCACGAATTGCACAGCCTCTTCAAGCTGCTGCTTCGATCCGCCCAAGATGCCATGAAGGGTGGCGCCCTTGGAAATTGCCAGTATCGTCACGTCAGGCACCCCGTCTTGGGGTATACTCGTCAAGAACCCGACCAAGGAAATGGTGCCTCCCATAGTGACACACTCAAGACTCTGCTGGATTGTGCCAATACCGCCATTTTCTATGACATGGTCGGCCCCTTGACAATTGGTGATGCGCATCACCTCAGCAGCCCAATTGGGATGAGTCCTGTAATTGATAGTGTGGTCAACACCGTATTTAGCCCTCACTTTCTCGAGCTTTTCGTCGCTTGACGACGTAAGAATCGTGGTCGCACCAGCAGCTCTTGCGAAGATGAGAGCGGTCAAGGCAACGCCTCCCGTGCCTGCGATTGTAAGTTGCTGTCCTTTTCTCGGGTCTATCGTTCATACCTTGAATGAGGACTGTCTGGCCTGGTTTCAATGGCACGTAGCCATAAAAACAATTCCAAATAGTTGTTCCCGTCCCCACCAAAGCAGCCCATTCGCTGAAGGTGTGAGGTGATTTGGGCAGCTTGATCACCGTGTGGGCCGGGAGTACGATATATTCTCTGAGTACGCCATCTTTGCCTCCGCCGAGCGTGTTACGGTCCTCTTTCACTGGACCATACAGCGCCGAGGAACTAATGGGTGCGACAATGTTGTCACCGATAAAAATATCCTCGACTTGGCTGCTAACCCCGACGACCTCACCAGCCATATCGGAGCAAGGAATGACCTGGTCCTTGACCATGAGGGGGTACTTGTCATGCGCAATGGCGATGTCGCGATAGTTGATGGAAACACTGCGAATCTTCACGAGGACTTCGTAATCGCCAATGGTTGGAATGGGCTCTTTGAACGCCTGCAGCCCATCAAAGCCATTTCTCGAAGTCAGCCGGAAGACTGTCTGCGTCTGGGGAGGCATGTTCGACGGGATGAAAGATTTTGATTAATGCCAATATGCTATGAATCGGAAAAGAAGGATTGATCAAGTTTCAAAGCTGAGCCTTGCTGTAGATCAGGAGGAGGAAAAGGGAGGAGGCAACAGTTCCTTTATATACTTTCCCTACCCAGTCCTGAAAATGAGGCGCTCAGACGAATTTAGGATGTGGACTTCAAGCCAGTTCAGTCATTGCCAATTTGTCATCCGAAGACGAATACCTTTCGGCAAGCGTGTGTTGAGTTATGGTCTTTGGGGTAGAAATTGAGTCGCTCCCGAATGACACCAGAAGAACGGGATCCTCATTCCATGCAAGCGGTAGACTGCTGCCTATCGACATCAAAAGCTGTCTAACACCTGATGGACTGATACTCGTCATTACTCAAGGAGAAATATGTCCTCTACCACATCTCGGCGCCGCATTGGTGGACTTTCCACTCCAGTCCATCACTCCACAATTTCTACCCCAACAGCGCCGGTGAGCGAAGAAAATTGGACCACTTCCTCTCTCGAATTTGAATCCCCTGGGCGATGTCTATTCTGCACAAGGGCGTGACTGAAGGAGGGCGGCTCTATCCTACCTCAGCAGAGCAACACTCTCCAAACCTAAGTGGTTTCCTGAGTGGTCAGCAGTGGGTGTCGCTTCGGTGGCCTCGTAGCCTCGTCGACGCCTCTCCACAGGCAAGGCTGTGACATCCTGCCAAAGGCCGCAAGAGCGAGGCTGTGACCAGTCCTCACCACGCGAACGTGTCCACGGCCGACATCGTTCCATCGATCTGTAGGCCCATAGTGTCGAAACGCTTAGCTGTCAATAGACTACTAGTGTGTAGTGAATTTCCTTCCCAGACCTTTTTGATTATATTGTCGCTGTTCATGCCGGCGGTCGACTTAGTGAGTGCTTAATAATCCCTTGACGTCTTCACCCCGGCATGAACATCGAACGTCTGACATGTCGAAAGCAGGGCGTGCATCCAACTCCTCGATGAATAGAGACTTGAAGAATACCTGACGTTGAATCAGTGAACCCCGCCACCGAAGCTATGAAAAGCTTCGCCATGCCGCACCTGAATCTGAACCTGAACCTACGTGTAACTTGTTGAACTGAGGCGTCGCTTGTTGATCACTCTGAAAAGACTACTCTACCTTGAGGTTCTTACACCTCACCCATCTAGAAAGCCACCAAGTCACCATGTCGTTCAATAACTTCGACACACTCCCTCACGGCGCATCGAAATCCATCAAGCCATTCAAAGTCGACATCCCACAACAAGACCTCGACAGTCTCACCACACTCCTAAAACTATCCCCCCTTCCACCTCCCACATACGAGAACTCCCTGCCCGAAGGAGGAGAACCTCGCCTCGGTGTCCGCCGCGACTGGCTCTCGACGGCAAAAAGGTACTGGGAAACGGAATTCGACTGGCGAAAATGCGAAAAGCATATAAATTCCTTCCCACACTTCAAAGCACCCATCTCCATTCCCATCCACGCTGCTGATGACAACGAGCTGGGCGACCGCGGCCGCGACCGGGGCAATAGGGGCGACTCCGAGTTCGAAATCCATTTCGTCGCCCTCTTCTCTCAACGACACGATGCCATCCCCATACTCCTCCTACACGGCTGGCCCGGCAGCTTTCTCGACTCCTCCCGATCCTCGACCATCTCCGTTCGCAGTACACACCCGGGACACTACCGTACCACATCATCGTGCCCAGCCTGCCGGGCTACACATTCTCCTCACCGCCACCATCAGACAAAAACTTCCGCCCAGACGACGCCGCGCGGGTCTTCGACACACTCGCCGCCACCACGCTGGGCTTCAAGTCGTACATGGTCCAAGGCGGCGACCTGGGCGGACGCATTGCTCGGATCATCGCAGCGACCTACCCTAGTTGCAAAGCCGTCCATCTGAATACGCACCCCATGCCCGCTCCCGCTCCCGATGAGCTGAAAGAACGAAGTCCAATCACCGACACCGAACAAGCCGGCCTCGAAAGGCACGCGTTCTTCCTACACAACGGCACAGCCTACGCCTTCGAGCACGCCACCCGGCCCGCGACCATCGGCGCCGTCCTCTCAAGCAGCCCGCTCGCCCTCCTATCCTGGATCGGCGAGAAATTCCTCGATTGGACAGACGAACCTCACCCGCCGCTGGACGTCATTCTCGAATCCGTCACGCTGTACTGGCTGACGAACTGCGCCGCCACGAGTCTATACTCGTACCGTGCATTTTACGGGCCCAACGCGGATAGTCACGGCTCGAAGAAATGGCACATCTTCGACAAATCGCTCGGTTACTCGTGGTTTCCTAAGGAGCTAAACCCAATCCCGCGCGCATGGATCGAGACGACCGGCTATCTTGTGTTTTATAGGCAGCATGAGAAGGGAGGGCATTTTGCGGCGCTGGAGAGGCCGGAGGAGCTGTGGGCGGATATTGACGAGTTTGCGCAGAGTGTGAAAGACGTGTTTCAAAAGTGATTGACTGATCACCCGCGGGTGTTGTGGGAACTAGGAGATTTGACAAGCAAGATACTAGGTAGCTAATTTACTATACTCTGATAACAGACCTCCTCGGGCCTTGATGGCATGGATGGTGCTAGCTACATGGCACGGAGTTGAGGTTGATTTACCACTGCCAGTCCAAACACGTCTGAGACATGTAGCCTCATGTTCAGACCACCAATCTTCTCTCAGCGTCTCGCACAATCGCACACCAAACAACTCTCGCAGTTCGGATCTCTCGTCGACAGGAAGCCATATCCAAGTTAGTCCTGCCTTGGATGAGTTCAAGCAAACACTCGGAGCCGGCACCAGTCATGGTCAATCAAGTTTTATGCCATCGCACCTCATGCGACGTACAGTATTTCCAAGCTTCACCATTCGAACATTCTCCATTGCGGACATTCATCACGACCGTAAATGCCAACCTCTGATTGTTTCCGGGTCTACATTAACATCAAGGTATTCAGATACACGGTCCCACCACCACAGTCTTTCCATGTTCAGTTCTGAAGATTGCGTGTCATTTGGCAGGAAAAGTTCTTTCAAGTCACCCACGTATCCGTCCTCTTCCCAAACGAGGCGTCGGATGAGCGGACTGTTCAGCACGACAGCCTGCAAACGTATTAGGAAATCTTCTGTGATACATGTATCTGAGCGTACCTTGAAGCCCCCATACGCGTCCTTCATGGCCCCATCAGGCTTCAAATCTGGACCCGAACCTCTCTTGAAGATGTCAATGAAGTATTCGTGACATACTGCGTTTATCACTTCTTCCCCATCCTCCTCCTCCCATATCCGCTGTTCGACGATCGGTCCGCGCCATGGGCGCCAGTACGCCTTTCGCATTTGAGGATGGAATTGGGTCACCGCTGCAGCCGTGGTCAACAATCCGCGGAGGCCTTGGTATATCTTTCTAGCAGACTCTTGGAGGAATTCTGCACTCGTCGTCTTCCACCTCAAACTCGTATAGCTAGTTGTAAGTGTGAGTTGTTTGAGATTGAGCAGATACGGACACAAGACCTTAAGGAACATAGCTGTGTACCATCAATTCGGCCAGAGCGACGGAGGTCTCCCACCGAACGGAACGCCGAGAGCCACCTTCTTCATTCTGTGAGCACCCGTCTTGAGGACGCCGCCTTCGGGGCCTGTTTCAAAATCCGTGAGGAACGTTCTGATTACCCCCGCTTTGTGGAAGAAAAATATATTTTCGCCGTATAGAATTTCCAAACCCTCTTCGGCAGCCTTCTTGTTCAACCGCAGAATGCTCGTCACATTCTTCACCCCAATAGCTGAACTCTTGTTGCGATACCATTCTTCTACGTACTCGTCCGTTTCGTTGGAGGATTTATAGACTTCGGAGTCTTTGACGAGCAGATATCGGAAAATATGTAGCCTGAGCTCCGTGGGAAGCCCCATGAGCTGCAGCTTGGGATCGTCAGAGGGACCAGATACTTCTGCGGGCTTTCAGCCTTAGTACAGCGGGTCAGTGACAGATCTGATGAGACTTACATGCACGGTCTTCTCGACTGTTGGCGGGTCGCACGGGATTACGTTTGCTTGTCCAGGAGGAGGAATAGCTATTGTCGCATCCGCAGCAGGAATAAAGTCGTCGTGGCCCAGCCAGGCTGTGTCGCTTGCCATCCTGATATACTGACTTGTCGCGATGGGTGGGTTGGACAGTGGTCGAAGGAAAAGGGTGGTCGAAACTAGGTACGAGTCGGCATTGCGGTGCTGTCTTCCTTTTATAGCTTGCTAAAGTTCCGCCGGTTGCATGGACAATCGAAGGCATCACCATTCACAGCGGCTCTCAAGCTTGTAAACAACGGTTGGTGAGCTCATTCATGACTGATCAGATCTGTGTCATTTGGTAGAGTCTTCACTCTGGTTCAGATTCACTTAACGTCGGCTTTCCCCAGCCACGTAGCTGGAATCTGCCTCAACATTACACCAAGGGATGGCAAGATCCATTGCAGATAGCCAGTGATCAGAATTGATTCACTGACTTGCGTACTCACGAAGGTAATCCACGCCATTTGGCTGGATTGAAGAATCATTCGAACGATCACTTATTGGAAGGTAGCAGCTTGGACGCAATTCCAATACAGAAAAGGGAGTGGAAAGCGTTTACCATTTCCAAGACTCAAACGTTCGGTCATTCCTGGCAAGTACCAGCAATTTGGTAGTGTTGAGGAAGGAGCTTCGGGGTGCTTGAAGGTTTCTCAGGCGAACATGGAAAGAGGTGAGGTCCAAGGAATCTAAATGAGGTCGATGGGCTTTACAGTAATGAGGTCCATGCCCATTGTTTTGAGAGAATTCCGCGTTTATAATGCCTCTTTTGTTATTGGTTAAAGGCCTCGCTAAGCACTTACAAGCTTCGACCGGGTTTGGACTTCGTTCCGGGGATTCACCGCGCCCAAAGAGTCCGTAATTGGCTGATCAGGTAAGGGTTCACCTACCCAAGGTAGGTACTGTAGGAGACCTATCATGCTATGCCTCGTACAAGCTGGTGCGATGCCAGAGGTACCCTCCCTTGCCTCCTCTGAATAATGCTTGACTCAGCTCAGACCTCACCCGTACTTACCAGATCTGCTGCCACGGCTTGAAACCAATCGCAACAGTCAGGCCACTAATCACTCCAGCAGAAATACGGCCAGGTTATTGACGAAAAGATCAAATCCACTCATCTCTCTCAACAGACTTGGTAAGCCGATTCATACCGATGGCATGAATCCCAAAACGCTCGGTAGAATATTCTACAGCAAATCCTGGAGCCGCTCTTCTCCGACCCTCGATGTGAAGCTCTCCGCTACAAGAAGACGACGAGGTACGTTTAATCTACACGACAACCATCGGCAACGAGCATTATCAAGCCAGCCGAGCCGTTCATTTCGTGAGCTGCTTCGGGGAACAACTACCCTCGCACCATCCGCACGATCTATAAGCAGATCCATAATGAGTGGCCGCGTCCCAATTGAGTCACAGCGCGTCGACGCCCCATTAACTGCCTCAGCAACGTTCCTGGTGTTGACGATCAACCCGGATCCGAGCGCCATAAAAACCGTCCGCTCCGTCCTCTCCAGCGTCGACGACTTGACCAAGAACGTCGCCTTCCGCGACCTCCAGGCCCTATTCGCCTGTACCGTTGGCATCGGTAGCGACGCATGGGACCAAGTGACTGGCCTCCCTCGCCCGGCTGAACTCCACCCATTCAAGGAAGTCAAAGGCAAAGTCCACACCGCCGTGTCGACACCGGGTGATCTCCTCTTCCACATCCGCTCACAGCGGCGCGATCTCTGCTTCGAGTTTGAGCGGCAAGTCATGGAACTGCTGGGCGACGCTGTCTCCGTGGTCGACGAGACGGTTGGGTTCCGCTACTTCGATGCGCGCGACCTTTTGGGCTTCGTTGACGGCACGGCGAACCCAGTCGGTCCAGCCGTCAACGCTTCCATCGTAGTCGCCGAAGAAGACCCCGGATCCGCAGGTGGCAGCTACATCGTCGTGCAAAAGTATTTGCACGACATGAAACGATGGCGCGGCCTGTCTACGGAAGCTCAGGAGTCCATCATCGGCCGCACCAAGCTGGACAACATTGAGCTCGACGACGCGGATGAGGGGATGCAAATGTCACACAAATCGCTCGCTACCATTGAGGACGAGAGCGGTGAGCACGATATTCTCCGCGACAATATGCCGTTTGGCTCGCCGGGCTCGAAGGAGTTTGGGACGTATTTCATCGGGTACTCAAGGAAGTTGTGGGTGACTGAGAAGATGCTCGAGAGGATGTTTATTGGGAACCCTCCTGGACTGCATGATAGGATCCTTGACTACTCGACAGCCGTGACAGGGACGACGTTTTTTGCGCCGGCTGCGAATGTGCTGGCCGGTCTTGGTGACGACTGATTTTGGCTTTCCATGAAACGACCTACATGTTGTGATATGCGGTACTGATGGCTAGTGGGATAGGATACCAACTATTTTGAGCACAACAATGCCCCTAGGGTCCAACATTAGCCTGCTACCTGTTTTTAGCACCAGCAGTGCCAGGCCTTAGCCCGTCCAGCCATGTGCGTAGTCATGAAAGTGTTCTTGGGCAATTGTTGGGTGGTTGCTAGCTCGTATGGCTTGTTACATTCATCGTCTGGCTGAGCAGGAAAGAAGAGGCGATTTTCTGGTGCAAGAGCAGGCGATTAAGCTGCATGCCTGCATGGAAAAGGCATGCGACTACTGTACTACTCGAAGCGACTTGTGATCGGCACGATAGCCGTATGTGCAGCCCTACTCGTAGATTTCTCTTAGCAATAGTTGGAACCTGTCGAGCTGAAAACAATGCACATCATCTTGCGCAGGAACTGTTATTGGAAGAGAGGAGGTGTTGGGCGTTGTCGATCTGCTGCTACGGTAGGGACTACTGGTATGAGTAGGATGATCGTAGGTAGTAACATTGAACGTGGCATTATTGCTCGTACTATGTACTCACTACTAGTAGGCGACTCTCATCCAACGCTCTCCAGTGGTCTGTCCGTCGTATTCTAATTCGAGGTGAGTGACCGTTGCCAGCAGGATCATCAGTGTGGATGATGTTGCATTGTTGCATTCAAAACGATGAAAGACGGGAGACGCGGGAATTGCCATTTTCTCATTGCTATTGTTGCTATTGTTGCTATTATTGCTGGTACTCTGCTTTTCCATTCAAGTTCAATTTCACGGAGCGCACGGAAGGGTGTTTCGCATTGCCTTGGAATGTTGGACTGGTCGTCGTGGCTTGCGACTTCGCTTAACCATGACTGACATCATTCACGACCTACGAGAAAAGGAGAAAAAAGATGGCTCAAGCGGAAGTGCTTGATCAGCCGCCTCGCACCAGGCCCTACACCCTACACGACCTAGATCATTTCGGTAAGAATTGCTCGCCCGGCAATTCCTCCATCAGCTTCTGGCAAAGTTGTCGATCGTTGCATGATGTCTCACGCGGCAGCCACAGGGACACAACGTCTTCTCCACGATGATCGACGTCAGTCGAGGATCAATGCAAGGAACAACCCTGGTATATGAGAATTGCCTCGAACGCCCACTGGTCCGATTGCTCAATACTATATCTCCTGGCGCTTCGACCGTCATTTCTCGCATTATTCTTTCTCCATTACAGCTAGCGACAACAGCCACAGCCACAAACCAGCCGAACTTCATTTTATCCTGCCGTGCCCGCCTAGCAATGGCGGTGACCCTCAAAGTTTCACCAAGGCTTGACAAGGACATGGACAGTATCGCTAAAGCCCTATGATGTCGCACAAGCAATGCGCATGTCGAGGGCATCCCCATGTGATCTCCGAAGCCGTTTGATGATCATCAATACGCGTTCCCTTTCCGGGCGTGTTTGCCCGGTCGTACTCAAAGTCATAAAAAGTGAGTTTGTTTCAAGCCCCGAGACTCTCAAGTCCTTCGCAAATGCCATGACCATGGTAGGGGACGGCACAGGGAAATTCGCCCCAGCCTCGCAACCGTCATTGGTGGAGGACTGCCGCTATTGGGCCTCCACTGCGCAATTACCATCTCTGCTCATGAAAGTGCATTCTCAATAATGGACCAAGGCCGGCTTGTCCCCTGTGACTGACGAGGACACCTTCTCCTTCGCGAAGCGATCGCCGCAGGTACAAGCCCGCTAAGAGCAGTGACGTCGATCATCGAATTGCAGGGTCCTGGGGTTGGAGCCTCGTCAGAACATCATCCACGTCGTCCCTGTTGTTGGCGAACTATTGCCATGAGCCTGGCGATACTCGTACTGACCGGGCTGGAATGATCGTCATTATCTCAGGGGTACTGAGCTGAACGACGCGCAGATCCTGGTTCGAATGTCTCAATGACGAGGAAGTCTACTCGTACAAGAGCTTGCTTGCTGGAGGTTCGTGTAATGGACCTAAAGGTATAAAGTCGAGAAAGAATACCTCGAGAATTCAAGCCCTTCAAGCTCTTCATCCTCAGCAACAGACAAAGGCACAAATCTTCAACCTCTCTTCTTCTGCCTCTCAGAACTTCCAGACTTCACTCCTACCAACTACATCACTCGTTCCAAAAGAACCTTCCAAGACTCCCCTCAACAATCACAATGCATTTCTCCACCATCGCTGTCGTCCTTGCTGGCGCAACCGCCGCTGTGGCAACTGCCATCCCAGCGCTCAAGGAGCGTCAGTCCACCCTCTGCACAGGAAGCTACAGCCCCGTCTGCTGCGCCACCGACGTCCTAGGTCTCGCTGACCTTGATTGCGCTCCTCGTAAGTTCTTGTCTCCAGTGCTATGCTATGCTGTGCGCAACGTATCCAAGAAGACACTGACATGTTTGCCCGCGAACAGCTCCGTCCACTCCCACCGACTCAGCCGACTTCACCAGCATCTGCTCGGCCATCGGACAGCAAGCTCAGTGCTGCTTGTTGCCTATTGTAAGTTCAAGTCTTCAATATTCATACGCCTCACCCTTTGACTCATCGGATTTTGCCAAGTGGGACGGTGACTAACATGACATCTCTCTCCAGCTCGAGCAAGGACTCATCTGCACCACACCCATCTAAATGACTCTGAAAGCTTGAGTCGTTCCATGAGATATTGGATCGATGGCAAGGGCACAGACAGGAAGGTCAACACCCAATAACTCCTTGAGCAGCAATGCTGTTTTGTGCCTTTGGGTGGTGCTGTGATGCATGTCGTGGGAAAAGAAAAATGTTTTTTTTGGGTCTTTCTCTCATGTCTTCCGGCAAGGGGAGGGGAAAGATCGACGAATCTCTTGTTAATGTTGGCCATCATCACGGGTTGCATGTGTATACTCTTGTGCAAATAATACGGTCCTTGAGAAATTCACAGAAGAACCTTCACCGTGCTTCTTACGAATGAATGCTAGACCTTGTCTGTCAATGCTCTACCGTAGAGTAGTTTTTCACGTGATACCATGAAGTCATGTGACCGCAGTCCATCTCGAGATCTTTGAGCTTCACCTCCAAAACCTCTCCTTGAAATTCCATCTCGGGCAGGACGTTATGCCGAGCTTTCGGTGTTGAAATCTATGAATGGGTATAGTTGTTGCGCTCATACTATTACAGAATGAGCATGGTCCCGTTCACTAACTGTGTGGTAAGATACAGCTCACATGGCCGTCCGGTTGGCCTCTTCCTTCTCAGTCTCAGTTTTCTCCTTGGTGTTCTCAGCGGCGTCATCGACAATGGCTGACGTGGACGTGTGCGGCCCTACACTTTGAGACACAGTGCTTGTGGCTGTCTCGGCCTGTGCCCCGGCCTCGGGCGCTTCCTTCTCAGTTGATTCCTCCTTAGCATTGGCCTCTTCAGCTTCGCGTTCAGTGTCAGGCTTCTTGGGTGGCAGGTTCTTCCTGACAGTGCGCCACTCCATGCTAGCTGCACCCAGGGTAGAAAGGCATGCCATGATCAAGGCGACCTGAAAGCACACACGCAACGAGTTGTTATAGGCCTTCAAAGCCTCGGCGTGGTACTTGGCGGGGATGAAGCTGAGGAGTTCAGTGGCGCCGGTGCTCTGGATAAGCTGGGGAGTGATACCCGGAATGCCAGCGAGGCGGTTGGCAAGTTGATTGTCGAGTACATTCTGACCGACTGAGACGAAAACGGCTCCAAACAGGGTCTGACCAAAGAACATGAGCGACGCGCCAACGGACACATCCTCACGCTTCAGCACCGTCTGTGCGGCCAAGTTGGGTGCCTGAGAGCAAGAGCCGAGCCCGAAACCGTACAGGATCTGGAAGCCGATCCACAGGCCTGCGGTGGTGTTGGTCTTCAGAATGGTGAGCAGACCGGAGCCGATTGCCGCGAAGCAGACACCGAAGATCATGAACGGCGTGTAATACCCGATGCGAGAGACCAATTGACCGGTCATGATCGACGCCATGACAATGGGAATTATCATGGGAAGCAGGTGGATGCCGCTACTGATTGCCGAGGCACCCTTGATGGCTTGGAACCAGATGGGAAGATAGTATACTGGACGCGCTGGCATTAGCAAGCGCTCCGACCCAGAACCACAAAGTAGGAATCCTTACTAAAGAGTGTCTGATGCGCGCCTGTGCAACAGCTCGCCCAGAAGCCGGACAGGATGCTACGCTGGATGAAAATGCGTGGTTGCACCGTGGCCTGCTCCGGCTTCCAGATTTGGATCAAGACAAAGGTGATCAAGAGCACAAAGGCAAGCACAAGCAGTGCGACGATTCTTCGCTCACTCCACTACGATTGATTAGCTCTGCTGGTCCGAAAATTGGAGGAAAGGCTCCGCTGAGGCCAATCTAGGCCCCGGACTTACAGCAAACGTGGTGCCGCCCCATTGCAGCGCCAGGCACAGGCAGACGATGCCCGGAAAGAGCGCAAGCAGACCCAAGATGTTGAGCTGCTGTAGCTTCTGCTTGAGAGGTTTGTTGGTGCCGGGACGATCGGGAACTTGGAGCAAGAAGAAGATCAACACCATGGCCACACCTCCCAATGGAAGATTGAGGAAAAAGCACCATCTCCAGGTGACGTTGGTGGTGAAGGCGCCTCCGATTAGGGGGCCGGTCACGGAAGAGACACCGAACACAGCACCAAAGAAGCCCTGGTACTTGGGCCGCTTGTGTAGCGGAACAGCATACACGATGACGACCATCTATTGTAATTGACGGTGTTAGTGAGTCTGAGTCCAAAACGACGGAGCAGGCAGGAACAGCAAGGCTTTGATGACCACAAGGAGTTAAACACTTACGACGCCCGTGACAATGCCTCCCGATCCCAGGCCTGCGATGGCCCTGCCGAGGATGAAAGCGATCGAGTTCGGCGCTGCACCGCAGAGAGCTGAGCCGGCCTCGAACAATACGATCGAGGCCAAAAAGGTGGCTTTGACGCTGAAAACTTGGTATATCTTCCCGAACACGAGCTGGAAGGCGCAGTTGGTGAGCAGGTACGCCGTGCCATACCAGCCAATGTCGTCCGCTGAGTTGAAGTCGTTGGTGATCTGAGGGATGGCGGTCGAGACGATAAATTTATCCTGCGAGCCGGGTCAGTCAGTCTGCAGTTCCAGAACAAGGTGAATTGCGAACGTACCAAGGAAGACAGGAACATGCCGACGAAGATGGACATCATCAGCAGTGCAAGCTTGATGCCAGTCGGGTATGTTATGTCCCGTTGCTTGCCCTTGGGATCCATGCTGTTGGATGCATTTGCGCTGGAGCCAGGTTGGTCCCTACGAGTCGCTGTCTGGCATTCTGTCCCAGATGTAGCCTCCTCTTCCTCTTGTGGATGCTTTCCCTTCTTGCTGAACAGCATGTTGGTTCTGTGGCAAGTGACTTCCCACTGGAAGCCAGGGGTCGATGAGATGTCGGCGTTCTCGTACTTTCACTTTCTGTTTGAGTCTCAATCAACGCGGGAAGCAAGCACTGTAAGTTCGATATACACAAGCGAATGGTAGGTGACCAAAGAAAAGACTACAATTGAGCAAAGCATGTTAAATAGGCCACTTGATCTCGGCCCCTGGAGATTTTGGAACCCTTGCAGGATGTGACCGGGCCCGGGTCATTTGTGGCAGAGGAATGGGCTCACCGACCAACACCCGTTACGGCCTCGTGGTAGACAGCAGAAGAAGCTGCACGGCCGGCACCAACTTGTCAAGGCTGAGTGGCCCGAGGAGGTGTCCGAGCTCGTCGGCCGCTCGAGATTCCAGACCAATAACGCTACGTAGACCACTCGTGCCCTGGACAGAAAAAGTGGTGCCAACCATCCGCTTTTGGATTTTCGGCCGTCGACCTCGGAAAATCCTTCAATAATCATCCGAACATCTCGACGTCCATATTTGCTGGCTCCCTCCACGGAGGGTCTCTTTGGCCCAGGTTCTTTTATTCTGCTCCTCCAGCTGAGTTAGCTATGTCAATTACACCAGCGACGCCCGCCCTGCACAGGTACGCGTGTACGCTCTGTGCCCGCCGCAAGGTCAAATGTGACAAAAGCAGTCCCTGTTCCAACTGTCTCAAAGCGCGGGCACAGTGCTTCTATGAGCCTCCCGCCTCCAACCGACCTCGGAAGCGGCCCGCAGACGACGATCTGCTGGCCCGTCTGGCTACGTATGAAGATTTGATGCGGAAACACAATGTCGACTTCAGCCACTATGACACTTGGATACCTTCCGGGCTTGAAGTGAAGCAGAAGGAGAGTGAGGTTCGAAGTCGAGCCTTGATATCCTTCGCCACAAGGCACACTCCTTCGAAGACTTACTCCTCCGAAAACAATGCTTCAAATCTAGAACGGTGAGATCATCAGGTCCAGACTGGCAGAAGGATCTGCATTTAGCGAGCGCAAAACTGACGTCGTCTTTAGGTGTTTATGGTCGGATCTGAGCACAGAGGTCTGTCATGTCGAGAACTTTCAGATTATTGAAAACTGACATCGCCGCTGCAATCAGCTCAAGTACCCTCCCATACAAACCCTGCGTCATAAGGATGATCCCTCCTTACATCCTACACCATCACTGTCGTCCATTTTCTCTAGTACACAACCCCAACTCCACGAGCTGCATCCAGAACCGAAACACATCTATCGTTGTTGGCAAATCTTTGTCGAATGTGTCAACCCACTCACAAAAATCGTGCACGTTCCCACCCTGCAACAGCGCATTCTGGATGCAAGTTGGGATACCGCCAATGCGTCGAAACCGCTGACCGCCATGTTGTTCGCGATCTACACTCAAGCTGTTACCTCCATGTCCTCAGCTGATTGCTTGGCCACTTTCGGCGAGACAAGGGAGAATCTGTTGACTCGTTACCGAGTAGCGACCATTCGGGCACTCATGGAGGCCGACTTTCTCACGACGAGGGATCTTGAGGTTCTACAAGCATTTGTCCTCTTTCTCCTCGCAAATCCAGACTCCGACCTGACGTCGACGCTGACCGCCACCGCCATAAGGATAGGACAAAAGATGGGTCTCGATCGGGAGAACAATGACTCCAAGGTCTCGTTCTTCGAGAAGGAAATGCGAGTCCGACTCTGGTGGAGGCTGCTTGGCCTTGACTCCCGAGGCCACGCCGTTACGAAGCCGCCATTGTCCGAACTCTGCGACGTCCGCCCGCCACTCAATGTCAACGATGCGGACTTGCATCCAAATATGGTCGGGGCTCCTGTCGAGCACAACGGCCCAACCGAGATGCTGTGCATCTTGATGAAGTATGAGGTCTCCGACTGGCTCCGCTCCTCACCCACGGCTGCCAAGGTTTTCGGAAGTATCTTTCAAGGTTCTGGCAAAGGCGATATGTCGATGCAACTGCAAGACGATGCCGTCAATGAACTTGAGGCCGTCTATCAGGTGAAGTACCTTAGCAAATGTGACAGACGAATACCTCTCCACGCCTTGACGTACGCCATGGCGAAACGTGGTATCGCTCGCATGCGCTTCAAGGTCCACCATCCTCGCGGTCGAGCAGCCGGCAATGGTGGCGAGTTTTACACGTCGAGGGAGGAGACCGACATGCTCTTCGAAACGGCCGTGACTTCGTTGGAGATGGTCGACGTGGCCATCCACAGCAAGTTATCCTCTCATTTATTCGCCCACATGACTACTTCCAAGTTCCAGATGGATTCGTACATCTACGTCATCAGCGAACTCCGGCGGCGGTGCTCGGGAGACCGGGTGGCACTGGCTTGGAAGCTGGTCGAGGATCTTTACAACGAACATCCTGAGCTGATCGACGATACTGAGAATACCTTTTTTGCCGCACTTGGTGACCTGACTTTGGAGGCTTGGGAGACGCGCAGAAAGGAGCTGGTTCATGGTCAAAGAGTTCGCGAAAACGACGTGACGCCGCAGTGTATTCAGTTGCTCTGGGACAAGAGACAGAAAGGGCAGGAGGATAACGTTCAATTGTCTGCCGTCGTGGGTCCTTCGGGTCTTGACGCGGTCCAATGGATGGACGATAAGGATGTAGCTTGGGATTATTGGAATGAGTTTCTGCAGCTGTAAGACGACAACCTGGATTGATGCGTACTTGGCCTGTTGTCCAGGCCCTCTTGGAGCATGGCGCCGGCGCCACGGCCGAGGACGAGGATGGGTCAACAGCGGTCTCGTTGGTGAGGGAACGAAATCTGCAGCGACATACTCCGGAAACAATGAGACCTCTCGAGTCCGGTTTGGCTGAAAGTACGAAATGGTCCGGGAACAGTGATTGTGTTGACACTTGGATATGCTCACGAGAGCTCGTAAGTAGAAATGTTGTTGTACTCTCGACCAGTCCAGTGTGATTCCTTCAGACATTTAGACCAGCACGCCCAGAGAAGAGCTGTTACTCTGTGTACCAGGCCAATGTATCAATTGCAAATACACTTGCGAATATCTCGCAGAGACAATGCTGCTACTTGTACGGCAGAGGGCATCTACACAAGCAGACTGTAAGTGTCCCTTGAGCCCAATTCTGCCAGCAACCGCGTAGGCAACATAGACAAGGGAAGCTGGCTCACGAAAACATGACTTTCGCTATGGATCAGGTACTGGTACTAGAATATGTGAGTGTCATGGGCAAGCTTTGCCTCATCTAGGTCATCGAAGATCAAGAAGCCCAGTCCTGAATAACTACACCTGTTCGGTGTCAACGCTGGTCCTTTCATTCTGACCGCTGCTTCGCATCCTCATCGCTCTCTGGATCATCATCACTGGAAACTGGAAATGCAGTCTCCCTTGCATCCTACAAGGCTTCTTCAGCCCACTTCGCTTGCAGGCGTTCCATGATCTCGCACAATATGGGATCATTTTCAGGGTCAGTCTCAAAGTCATGGTCGAAAATTCCTGCTTGCAAGCGGCTTTGCCAGTGCCCCCCTCTCATGTATATTTGCGCCATGAATTTTGCCGTCGGAGAAGGTAAAATATGGTCCTTCCCGACGAAGGCATACAACCTCCGCGACCTCGGCAGGTGACAATTTGTCTAGGTGACCAGAAACAAGAAGAATGCAAAGAGCGACGTGATCGGCAGACATTGTGGGCAAATGGATGTGGAAATGTGGGTTGAAGTGAGGATATGGGGGTTTGACCTACTATAATTCTTTCAGCAGCCCTGAATTTAATGCCGCATCGTGCCGTTCCAGTTCTGTTCGTACCCGGTCAATCGTGCCTTTCTTTACCAAGGTCTTCAATGACGTCCTGAAAGCGGCTCCCATCTGATTTTTAGAGACCTTGAGCTGATTCAGGATCTTATTGAGCTCGGCCGCTGTTTTATAAGCGTCATTTGCGACCTTTTGCAGCCCGGTGGCGCGTGTGGGTGTTGTGAGCGCCTGCTTTCCGAATGTGGCCTCCAAATCTCTGTTTGCAGCCGAGAGTAGTGTCGCGTATTCTTCAATCTTCTTGTTCTCATCCAACGATCCTTGCCGGTATAGCTGTTTGCACACCTTTGCAGCTTCAATCCCCTGTTCCACGAGTTGTAGGATATTGCAGGCAAGCCCGAGAGCAGTGATTGGATCCATCGTGGTTCTTAGGACACGGGCACTTCTTGATCTTCGGTTCGATTTCGTGACAGGAATGTCATTGACGGCGCTGGATGGAGTTAAAGACGTCGACGTGTCTGTAGGAGACGTTCGCCGTTCTCAAACACGGAACAGGTTGCACGCAAGTCTGAGGAAGGGGGAGAATCGACAGGAGACATATTCCCATCAGGCTGTTCTCACAGTGGTCTGAAGACGGTCGCAGAGCGCAGCCACGCACCCTGGCTGTGCTGTCCAGGGTTCGATTGGCCTGTATCTACATGATTTCTGGCCATGCTGTGTGACCTTAGCCGTGGAGTACGCCTTGTCTGCGGCTGATGTCTGAAAGGTTGCATATTCAGCTCGACCTCTAGTGGCTGCTGTATCAATTTCGCGAGGTGTTGTTCGGTGCTGTGACAGATGGCTTCCGCCTGGTTGCGGTGGGCTGCAGCACGTGAGCCTGTCACAATTGCTACCACGTGAGCAATGAAAATCGAGCATGCATCTACCAGGTAGACACTACTTAAGCCTCTACATATTGGCATCCACTTCGTATCAGAACTCCGACTCACAAGTAGTATGGACTGTTGTGACAGTTCAGGGTCTGGAAGTATCTTGGTATGCCCGTTTCGTCCAAAAATATCCCCTTTTGCATGCTGAATGCCAGAACCAATGCCTACAGTACAGGAGCGCCTTGGAAACAGGCTGCTCACTGCTGCTCACTGCTGCTCCCTTACTCGAGACTATTATACATCTACGTTTTCCGTGTAAGTCCCCATAGCATGTGCAGGCGAGGTCTTTTACATTCCTGGTACGTTCACATTGATAGCAATCACAACTATTTTTAGCACTTGGTGAGTTGCGCACGGGCGCGATAGAGCACACACTATCCAACAACGAAGGCCCAAGCGTGACTGAGGCGTATCAATTATCAATTCTCGGCACAAAGCATTAATTGACTTTCGTTCAATGGTGTTCTCTTTGTCGAATCGAGGTTCCTCGAACCGCTCGGGATGCTCACGAGATGCTCTACACACGGCCTCGAGCCATCAAGTCAAGTAGTGCGGCCATGTGGGCTTTGAAGGCCCACATCGGGATGGTTATAATTCCAGAATGGGACAGCCCATCATGAACTGCTGGCTACGACGAGCGGGAGCCAATATGTAAGATCTTTTTGGTTAAGTAGATCAACTTGACCGGTAGGTGCACGAGAAAAGGTACTTATCAAAGACCCCAGTCCTCCAATCCCCAGAATCAGCATAGCACTGGTGTGCACAGCGGACAAAATGCGTCGACACCAATACACTGCTTCCCTCCTGCTCACGGTCGTCGCGTCTCTTACCTCGGCGGCCCCAACAGGCGGACCTCTCGAACAGATCCAATGGAACGAAACCGCTCCCGGCGCAAACCCGCTCCTGCAATACGGAACTTTGGAAGTCCCTATGGACTGGACCAACCCCAATGGAGAGCACATCACTCTTGATATCACGCGCTTGAAGACGAACAGCTCTTCTAAGATTGGAAGCTTGTTCTTGAATCCCGGAGGACCAGGAGGAAGAGCAGGCCCTCTTTGTGAAGAACAAGCGGAAGGATACAGTATATTCAGCGCTGCTCTAGTAGAAAGTTTCGATCTCATCTGTCCAGACCCCCGCGGTGTCGGAGCAAGTTCTCAGATCTCCTGTGACCCGGACTTATGGAGCCAGACACCCTCCTATTATGTAGATGACGAAGCATCCTTCCAAGCGGTACTCGAATTCAACAAGAAGCTAGGCGCCGATTGCCTGCAACGGAGCGGACCAGTGCTTGGCTTCGTCGACACCACCAATGCTGCTAAGGACCTTGAGGCGATCCGCCTAGCTCTGGGTGAAGACAAGTTCGACTATCTGGGATTTTCGTACGGTACTCAACTCGGCGCCGCCTACGCAGAACTCTTCCCCGACAAGATCCGAACGATGACCCTCGACGGCGACGTCGACCATTCCATGGACGAGCTAGACGGATTCGTCATGTCCAACTGGGCAATGGAGGACGAGCTGAACCGCTTCTTCGCCTGGTGCAACAAGAACGAAACATGCGCTTTCCACAGTGATCGAGACGCCGCCGAGGTTTGGGACGAGATGATCGCGAGCGCAAACAAAAATCCCATCCCTGCGCCCGGCTGCTCAAAGTCTGCGGACACGGCTTCTGCCGGTACATGCCGTGGACAGGTGACTGGGTACAATATCATCTTCAACCTGGAGAACCATTTCCAGGATCCGGCACGATGGCCGCAGATCTCAAAGTACATCAACCAGACCATCCACGGGAACGCCACATACTTTTCGAACCCCCTGGGCGGCCCCAACGACCTCGACTATCCGAATCTCGCCATCGGTTGTCTCGACTGGGGTTCCAACTCAACGACGTTCGACGAGCATGTGGCCCTACAAAATCTAGGCGAGGCCATGTTCCCTCACTCTCTGGGGAGCAGTATGTGGCTGCAATTCTCCACCACGTGTATTGGATGGCCGTTCCCTGTCACGAATCCTCAACATCTCCTGAATCCGGCAAAGATGGCCCTGGCGCCTCCGATCCTGCTCGTCAATTCGGATCATGACCCTGCCACTCCTCTGCCCTGGGCTCACGGACTACACAGACAAATACCCAGCAGCGTTCTGTTGACGCGCACGGGCGATGGACATACCAGCTACATGACGAACGATAAGGTCCGGGCAATGATGGATGATTACATGATCAACATGAAGCTGCCCGCGCCGAACACCGTTGTTCAGGAACCTTCCATGACCTGACCCGACCTTAACAGATAGAAATTTTGAGAGTAGAACTTGCAATCCTGATACATCTTCACCGTAACCATCACACCCGTAGCGTTCGTTATATATCTGGATTCTTATCAGTTCAAAACTGTCCATGGGCTCGGGCGCGATCGTCCGCCTTGCACTGAAAGTTCCCCTTCCTGCAAGACAAACGTCTCCGTAGCGTTGGCGTTTAGATGTACGTACCTTTCCGCCTCGAGTTTTAAAAACGTCATGTCAAAATGCTTTTCAAAGTTGCTTCAGCCGTAACATTTCTGTTCTTCTCGCCAGTATACTGCTAGCCTTATGATGCGGTCGATACAGCTTCAAAACGATTGATCAAATCTAGAAAGCGCGCGGGAAGCTCCTCGTATCGATGACCTTTCGGATCCGAATGTTTCAATATCCCGAAAACAAAGATTATACAATTCAAGTTCGTCGCTCCATAAGTAATTACAAAAAGAAACTCGTCAAAAGCCTTCAACAACCTTTCGTTGCGCTATTTCATGACATCCTCACATAATCCTGCGGATTGTACCTGTACTGCTGACCCGGCGTACCACCACCGCCGCCACCACCACCGTTCATATTGGGATCAGGACTCCTTCCCCCCTGCGGCGTCATCGCCCGGTTATTCGGCCCAGGACTGTCGTGGCCCGGCAACTCCACGGCGAACGATCTCTTGTCCAGCCCTGGCGAAGCCATGCCGGCCCCGCTGCCGCCGTCTTGGTCGTGCGACGTCGGGTGACTACTCACGCTGCCGGCGTAGCTCTGTCTGTCACTCGCGCTGCTGTTTTGGAAAGTCGTCTGGCCCGCCGACGGTGACGAGGCCGACAATTCCGACACGGCCGTCGAGAAGCGGTTGGGCGGATGTAGATTTTGATTTTGGCTGTAATTCTGTGGCGGCTGCGGAGCATAGTGCATGCTCCCTGGCATTTCGATCGCGAGCCCCTGTGGTGGCGGCACATGGTGTTGTTGTTGGCCGTACTGCGACTGGCGGTTGTCCTGCGCGTAACCGCCCGGCCCGCCGTAGTACTGCGACTGCCGCCCGTATGCGGATTGAGTCGTTGATTGACTATAGCTTCTGCCCATGCCGGGCGGTGCGAAGCCGGGCGACATCGGCGGCGCACCCACACCCCCTGGAAAACTCCCGGTGCTCGGCGACAACATGCCCGGCGAGTACTGTCCTCCTGCGGTTTGAAACGTCTGCGACCGGTCTGCCGGGTTCATCGTCTTGAGTTTCCCATCTTCCATCATGGCGCTGAGCATGCCGGAGTCGATCAGCTCTGCTTTCTTGACCAGTCGGTCGACCATGACCTTGGACGCGGCTTTGAGCTCCTTTTTCACGAAGGATATCATGGCCGGGTTGCACTTGATCTCGATGTCTTCGCGCATGTACAGGCCCTCGGGCGGCGCGCCGGACCCTAGTTCTTTCGTCTCAGGAGGCTCGCCTGGCTGGTTGCCCCGGATCTGCCATTTGTTGCGGATGTCGACGCCCATGGGCGCGTAGACGTGCGTTTGCAGGCCCCATGGCATATCGTGAAAGCAGCCCTTGAACGAAATCTTGCCGGATCCTGCCTTGCCAATGCCAGGCACGTACTGAATGCGCTCGCTGATCTCGTACCATGTCGAGAAGTACTCGTCGGACGGGGCGTTCTGGGGAGCTTTGACGGGTTTGTAGCCCGTCACTAGAGGGTTGAGTTCGATGATTTCGCCGTGCGAGTGGAGCATGTCGATGGCCAACTGGCGGGGGATGTGTGAGGGTATCGGAGTGATATTGGCGTACACGGATTTCTTCTTCATGGCGGCGAGGGTAGTAGGAGGCTCGAGGGTGGTGGGGGAGAGACGGAAATGGACGATCACGACGGCGCTGAAGAAGTGTCAAGATGAATTGAAGCCGCAGAAGAGGCCAACGTCAAGGTTTGAGTGAATTTGTCGCAGGCAGACAATGGGTGTAAGATTGGGCGCAGGCTATGGCGCAGAGCGACGAGACTAGGTTGGTGACTAATGGCTGAAGCTGACAAGACCTGGCGGGCGGGGGATCTCCTATAGTAGGTATATAAGTAGAAGTGAGATGACGGTGTGGAGGTGACTCGGATTTAGTGCAGAAGTCTCGCCAGGCACCGTAGAATACGAGATAGAGGTCCTACTCGGTATACCATATCTACATGTCACATAATTGCGATGGTCTTTACGACTGATCACAAAGACGTGGCCAAGCATAGCCAGCACCGTGGACGGGTGTTTGGTGACAACAAGGTGGATGTTGACTTTCTTGGGGGATTCTGGGGCAGTGGCAGGGCAGTGCAAGGGCACATTTCCGGATCCACGGGCGCCGATGGGGCCATGATGGGCGCAGCACGGGCCTACCACCATACTGTTACCCAGTACGGAGTACCTAGGTACGGTATTAACCACCTGAGGCACCCAGAGGTACCTATTAGCGGAGGTACGGGAGACACGGAGGTATAGTTTACCCGGAAGCGTGAGTGCAGGCTAGTGGGCTTAACCATGAGTAACCTAACTTAGCGTGTCTAGCCATTCCTAAAGGCTTAGCGGCACCTAGGGGAGCGGTACTCCGCGCTTCCCACCAGACACACAGTCAAAGTACCTTGTACGGAGCAAGGAGAGTAAAGAACATGATTCTTCACACCCAGACAATCCATTTGTACCGTGTAAGTACAGAGACACGTCATGGGCTCCTAACCATTATAGATATTAGCTGGAGACAACCATCGACCCTGGATGACTCGACCGCATGGTCTTGTATCGGCAATGGTGGATAAATCCAGCTCATCATGGTTGCTTCTTTCCAAGCCCCCAAATAACTTCGCCCAGACCTTATTTGTCATGTCACCACATCCACTTAGAAGTCATCGTTCATATATCTCTGCAGCCATTCGTTCCTCCCAATCGCGGATCGAATCTTCTTGCCATAGATCCTGCGGACACGTCAGCCTTCCGTTAAGCACGCCATGAAGTGTCAAGTACTCACCACAAAGGGATAGTCAAGAAGCATACGAACAAGAACAGTGATCCGAGGACACAGAACACCTTAAGAGCGCCGTCTTTGGCCAGCCAGTTATTGACGAAATAGGTAAGCCCGAAGGTCAACAGATTTCGAGCGTTGATGGCCACAAACGCTTCCTCGTTCAGTTTGGGGTATGAGTCGATCACATATCCGAAAACGCAGGTTGAGGCAAAGGCAAGACTCATGTTCGCAAGGCCGAAGGTCAGAACAGGGCCCGTCCAGTGAGTCTCATAATGCACCGTGGCACCAAAGCCGAAGAACCCGACAGTTCCCAGGATCGCCACAACCACCATAAGCACCAATCTGAATTCGGGCTCATAAATACCCTTGTTCTTCTTGGTCAGGTAAACACAGATCCAGTCGTTGAGAGGTCCAGAGATCACTTCTCCCAGTAGAGTCAGGATAAAGGGTGACAGACTGATCAAGCCGACTTGCGAGACGGTGAAGTTGTATGGTGGCGCCACAAATATCACCCCATTGACGACCGAGAAGACAACAATCCAAGTCAACGTGGTACCATATACCAAAAAACCCCAGAACACCGCGGGATAAAAGAACAAGACCACCGGACGGCTAAAGACTTTGAAGAGAGGAGCATAGCTGTAGCGGCCGGTAAAGACCCTCAATGACCGCAAGTACGAATGTTTCGGCTCGTCTGCGCCGCGGGTGGCCGAGTACGAAAGATGCTTGTTTTTCTCGCCGTGGGCTTGAGAGACGTCATGTTCGTGACCAAGACCCATGTGGACATGTGCTGTTCCAGCTTTTTCCGCGTCGCCAACAACTTCATCTTGGACCGGGACGACTACAAGGGCGTCGCGACGGTATGAGGTCTCTGGCACAAACAACAGGACGCCGAACAGGAGGACTCCGAAGAAGATGGCGCAAACTCCAAATGTCCACTTGTAGCCGTCGTATTCGATGATGTATCCAGACACCAAGGCTCCGCCAGCGATGCCGGTCAGAAGAAACAAGTTCCATACTGCGATTCGAGTGGCACGTTCGTGAACAAAATAAAGGTCTCCAATCGTACATTGAACCAAGACCTGAAAGGCACTAAGTCAGTCTGTACCTCCGGACCTTATCAAAGTATGCTTACCTCATATGGTGCCATGCCGATACCCGAGACCACTCGACTAGCCAAGAATGAAGTGTAGTTGGTAGCTACAGCTCCCCAGATGCTGCATGCTAGCATGATGACGCTGGCCAGTATGTAGATTGGCCTCTTTCCGTACAGTTTGGCAAGAGGGTTGGTGATGAAAAGACCGAGACCGATGGTGAGAATCAACCACGCAGTGGCTTGAGATAGAACCTCGACTGTAATGCCCAGTTCCGCCGAGATGGGGACGAATCCTGGGGATAACATAGGACCGAACGCACCAACAACGGCAGCGCTCAGCCCAACGATGAGAAGAATCATTTCCTTCTGCCATTGCGGCCAATTCAGGGGGTCGTTTGGCGAGTCTGACGGTTGAGGAACCAGGATGATGTTGGAGAACCTGCCCTTGCCGTGCTTTAGCAGGTCTCGGGGCACTTCCGAGTATTCAGGTGGGAGATCGTCCTGGTCGCTCATGAAAGAGGTGCCAGGAACGACCTCCAGCTTCTTGCAATCGATGATTCCGAAGGGCATCTTGCTTGATCGTTGCTGAGAAAGGAAGGTGTCTAGGAAGTTCGACTTCAAGCGGCAGAAATCACACCTTGTTGTATCACTTGAACTGCACTGCGCTCTCGTCAAGCTCGAGCTGTGTCGCTGAAGGGGTGAAATGGTGACTTTTAAGGATGAGGCATGTGCCCAAGCTGCGGCAGTGATTCCGTCGCAACTTCGGATGCCTGCTCCAAACTAGACCACGCCCGGAAAACTGTTGGCGACTGTTGTTCTTCACTGGGTTTTTCCTGGCATGGGGCGCTTCCATGCTATGTGTCGGAGCGCAGCCTCAGCCATGCATAAAGTCTTTCGCAACCAATCGCCATCTGATGCGGCCACATACAGTTACGCAAAAGCATCCGGAGTATTCCCATCAGCGCAGCTTATTGTGCTTATTGAAACGCCAACCGCGGATCCTCTTGCCACAAGCGAATAGAGAGCGGGAAAGCCCCATTCAGTTGGTGCCCCGGACACCTCAGATTTACCCCAAACAAGCGAGAATGGGAAGGTGGAGGTATGCCAGCTTCGGCGGCACTGTGAACAATCATGGTCTCCCTGCGTCGAACACATCGGTGTCTCATCCGGCTTTCCATGTCTCTCGTGCACGATCCGTTGATCGCACAATGGGGCGTGCTCGGTAGTTGAAACAACTGCAGGGAGCAGATCTCCCCTAGGCCCAAGAGGGTCTTTTTTGACGACTTTGATGTGCTATCGTGAAGTCGAGACTAGTAACCACGAGGTGGTGATGACAACGTGTGATAAGGCCTTGATGCGTATATCTCTGCATCGCGCGGCATCGGCTGAGGTTCAGTGTCCGAGGTCATGATTTGCTACCTTCTCACTGGAGCCTCGAGTGAGAATGAGAGGCTTCGTGAACATCGAGATGTTGAAATACTAGTACTGTGCAGTACTAATATTGCCAATTGGTGACTGACCATGTTGTTCTCGTGGTCGTGAATGAGAGACGCGGTGTCGGCAGGAAAAGTTATATATTTGGTCACGTGTGTTTGCTTGTTCCTTGGTCATCACTTTCTTGCAGAACAATTGCTCAGTCACTCTTGAAAGGTTGTCATCTCTTCTATTCATGTGTTGTATACAATCATGCTAGTTGGTCAACTTCTTGGGCTATGGCCGTACCCAGCCTATTCTTGTCCGCTGGCTCTGATACCCCATTGGTCTTGACTTCCTTGCCTTGTCTCAAATTCTTCAGAACATCATCGACCACTTCATAAGCATGAGGCTCAGCATCAAAGTCCAACAACCATGTCTCTCTCTTAAGGTGCAGTGATTTGGGATCTTTCCAAATCTTGTCCCAGTCAGCCTTGTGCCATTGCTCGCGCGTCGTGATACCGGTCTGCTGAGCCCTGTGGACGCGTCCGTACCGGATAGCTTCATATCCTCGAAGACCAAGTTGAACGTCTTGCTTGCCAGCTTTCTCCAGCGTGATCGCTAACGTCACCCCGTCTTCCATAGACTGACTAGCACCTTGAATTGACGTTGGCAGGAACGGGTGTGCGGCGTCACCAATAAGTGCGATTCGAGCTTTCGGCGAAAGGAAGGTCGGCAGAGGATCCCGGAAAACCAGCTTATAGTCGAAGAGTCGGTCTGGGGGAGTGGCGTCGACGATATCATGAACTATCGGAGCCCATCCTTGCAAGTGCTTCTTGACTTCTTCCTTGTCTCCTGGGAATTGCCAGTCTTCATCAATATCAGCCTCGTCTTTATGCGTTAATACCCAGCTGAACTCGGTTCCGTTCTTGACCGATGCTGCCAGGAAGTGCTTGTCTTCTCCGATCTGCCAACATGTCAATTCTGTGTTCGAGAGACTTCATTCAACGTCATCCACCTACCCAACCGGTGTGTGTGTCGCCATTGACCACGAGGTGTTTTGTCCTAGGGTTTTTGGCGAGGTCATCCGAGTTGAACCAGGACCTATAAACTGCATAACCTGAGGGCTTTGGCGGATCCTCGAAACCCAGCACGATTTTTCTTCCGGCAGATTTGACACCTTCTGCAGCAAGAACACAATCCGCAACCAGCCTTTCACCATTCGAAACAACTCCTGCTTCTGTGTCGGTCTCAAAATAGTCGGTGACTTGTTGACCAAGTCGAATCTCGATCCCTCGATCTTTGGCATGGCGGTATACCACGTCATGTATTTGACCTCTGTGCCCGTTGATGCGTCTACCCCATTGCTTTTCAACATCCCATTCCTGTCTGGTAGCGAAATTGCCCATCCAATCATGGAAGTCGAGGCCAGTACTTTTGTGCGTGATAGGGTCAAGCTGTTCTACAACACCTTCCCATCGTTCAAAGATATGACCAGAATTTGACGAGAAGCTGATGACGTCTCCGAGAGGCTTGAGTTCTTTGACCTTCTCCAGCAATATCACTGAATGTCCCTTTCGATCACATTCGATGGCAGCGCATAAACCGGCGAAACCTGCACCAACGATGATGACCTTGATGCCGGATGGCGGCAGCCTTGCGAAGCTTGGCATATTTCGTCCGTCCTCAATCTGTCCTTTGATTTTGGATTGTTGTCAGAAGTATGCTCCAGATGTGAGCAAGATGGAGTGGTGAAGAATACGTGGTCTCGGGACGCTGACTTCTAAGATGCTTCCTGCTTCGTTCCACCAACGTTCTCGTTGCCGCGTTGACACTTAGGACCCCATTGAGAAACCAAATCCATTGACTAATTCCAGGCTTCTACGCAAAGCTCGGAAAAGAGCATCTGGGGTTTCTCCGGCACGTTTGTACGCAACAACTGCCGAGGAGTTTGGATCATGGAGTTCACATTTTGCATACAGAATAATGGGCTTTCTCCGCAACCATACAACGCCCCACGATGTCGCTTTCCCCAGTGTCCACCAGTGCCACCGTCACAAGATGAGGAGGAGATGCCGACTTATCCACCCCTCGTTTCTCCGCCTGCCAGTATTGCGACTGGCCGCATTGGACATCGCCTATGCAGGTCACAAGCATGACCGCTTCTCAAAGTCTGATCACATCTACCGAGAAGCTCTTCGGCACGTTGCCCTGGTCTTGCCGGGCACCTTTGAAGAAGGGATTGCTGAGACTTAACCACCGAAGTTCATCCTTGGCTTGACTGATATTCAAGCGGGCTTCAGTCTTGTCAAGGAAATCAATTCAGGTGAGCCGTAACAATGGCGTGGTCTACCATTTTCCTCTTCTGGTCCGGCTTCACAGGTGTTATCTTGTTGACACTTCTTGGAGTCCTCATTCACGATGTCATCCTTTGGAAACGAATGCCCCCAGGCCCTCCACCTCTGCCGTTCGTTGGAAACAAATTCGACATTCCAAAGAAATATCCCTGGATACAATTTCAAGACTGGTCCCGCAAATATGGACCCATCTACACTTTATGGTTTGGTCGTCGGCCAACAGTCATTGTCTCTGATCCCAACGTGGCTGTGGATTTACTCGAAAAGCGTTCCAACAAGTATAGCTCTCGGCCGCGGTTCGTGGTGATGGGCGAGTTGCTATGGGACAACTCGGCCATTCTCGTGCAGCCCTATGGCAAAGCATGGCTAGTCCGAAGGAAAGCCCTACATTCAGCGCTCACTCCCAGAGTGCTTCTCAGTTACAGACCTGTCCAAGAAGCAGAAGCCGCCCGACTATGCTATCAGCTTTTTGGACGACCTAACGACTTTGAGCCGTTGCTGGACCGCATGACGGCATCAATCGTTTTCACAATCGCATATGGTCACCGCGTCGATAGTCTTCAATCGCCCATCATCCGACAGCGTCTCAAGATGATGCACAGAGCAGCCGCCACAAACGTCCCCGGACGTTATCTAGCCGAATCCTTCCCCGTCCTCAAACACATCCCGGATGTGTTTGCGCCTTGGAAGCGGGAGGTCAAGAGCTGGGGCTTAGAAGAGGCGGCTGCCAATCGTCAATTGCTCAACTACGTGCGCGAAGACATCGAGGACGCAAAGCGACCGGGTGCTCCACCACTACCAAACAGTCTTGCCAAACAACTCATCGAAGCTCGTGATGCTGATCCGGCCACCTTTGGACTTCTCCGTGATCGCGACTTCGCCACTTTGCCGGCATCCATCTTCGGCGCGGGTGCCGACACTACAGCTTCGACACTATGTTCCTCTATCCTCGCCCTCATCACGAACCAAGATGTGCTAGACGCGGCACACGCTGAACTTGACGCGGTCATCGGACCTAACCGTCTGCCCGCATACGAAGACGAGTCGTCACTACCATATATTCGCGCCTTGTGCAAGGAAGTCCTACGCTGGCGTCCAGTTGCTGTTCTCGGCGGCACACCACATGCCAGCTCGGAGGCCGACACTTACCAAGGCTATTACATCCCCAAAGGCACCAACATCCTCGGGAACTCGTGGGCGATCAACAGAAATGAAGACTATTACCCCAATGCCGACCACTTCAACCCTTTACGCTTCCTGGACGTTGATCCGCACGCTCTGGGCTACCTGCCCGAAAAGTACCTAGCTAGCACGCCTGTCGAGAAGGGTCGTCTGGCGCATCCCAGCAAATCGGGCCACAGTTCGTTCGGGTGGGGCCGGCGCATTTGTCCCGGCGCAGACCTGGCCAACGCCAACCTTTTCATCGCGCTTGCAAGAATGCTCTGGTGTTTTGACATTAAGCCGGTCAAGGGAGTCGTGTACGATACATACGATTATACTGAGGGCTTCAATATTCGGCCAAATCCGTTCAAGTGCGAGATCACCATTCGGAGTAAGACGCATGAAGAGGTACTTAGGACCGAGTTTCAGAAAAGTCAGGAATTCCTTGTCAACAACTTCCCGTTGTTCAAAGAGCATGAGATTGTTGTTTAGTTGACTTCCTGTGGGAAGTGCTTAAGGAATGCTTTACGTAAACGCTGTAGAGACCTCATCGGGTACAAACGATTCTTAAGATAGATGAATGAAACTCACGCTCGTCCGCTCGAACTTGCATCTGCAACGACGCTGAGCGCAATCTATGCTTTTGAACCTTGCCTTGAAGAGGAGATCGTGGTAAACGAGGGATGAGGAAGGGGGATGTCGAGGAAGTGCCAACAAGAATGCGGGGAAAACCACCAGCTGACTAAGTCATGAATGACTCAGCAATGACGCAGTTGAAGTCGACTCACTCATCGCGTCCAGTCGACGATCACAAAAATATGTTTGCGAAGGAAGACCAACGAACTCGTGAATTTCGCGCCGGTTTTTTCGTCGCACACAACGATCATGGCCGACAAGGCGAGTGAAATAAATCCCTTGCTTCGGCGTCCTCTCTACCGTAAATTGCCTCCCTACACTCTCAAGGCTGTCTTGCTGACATTCGGCAGTCTACGATCTACCACCTGAAGTACTCTCTACCCTCACACTCGCTGGAGGTGAACAGCCAAAGACCGAGGATACCCCAGCCTCCGTGCCCGCGCCTTCAGATTGGCAAAATGGTGTTCACAAAGATGGCATTGCGTCTTCAATATCCTGCGCCTTGTGCAGGGTCTCATTCAGCAACGTACAAGACCAACGGCAACATGTCAAGTCCGACTTCCACCGCTACAACCTGAAACTCAGCCTGAAACAAATGCCTCCCATAGACGAACCCACCTTTATACGCATGATCGGCGACCTCGATGAGTCCCTGTCCGGGTCGGAATCTGAAGACTCGGAGGACGAAGACGACGAGAGTAGTAGACCTGGGGACACGACCCTAAGCGCTCTTTTGAAGAGGCAAGCAAAGATTTCAAGTCAAGAGCAAGATAATGACACAAACACCTCTAAGCAGAAAGGGTTTGGGCATGCCCCATTACTATGGATGACAAGCCCAAAGGTCGGGGATGATGTCAGGTTGGGTGTATACCGAGCAGTATTATCCAAGGAAGAGCAGGAAGCCGCACCGACAAGCCTGATAGACGTCATCAAGAGGAAACAGCTGAAACCGGTTACGGCGAAACAGACTGGCAAGGGGCAGGAAAGCGTCGTACAGAAGGAACCACACTTCTTCCTGTGCATGATTGGTGGTGGTCATTTTGCAGCCATGATTGTCTCACTGGTTCCCGAAGTGAGGAAAGGGCCAGGAGGTATAGAGGAGCGCCATGCTGTGGTCCGAGCGCACAAGACCTTTCACCGATACACCACAAGACGGAAACAAGGTGGCTCCCAATCAGCCAACGACAATGCGAAAGGCAATGCGCATTCTGCGGGATCTTCGATACGACGCTACAATGAGATGGCCTTGGAAGCAGATGTTCGGAACGTCCTGTCCGAGTGGAAAGGCATGATTGACACTGCAGAATTACTCTTCATTCGAGCGACGGGACCAACCAACCGAAGAACACTATTCGGACCTTATGATGGCCAAGTCCTGCGAAGCAACGACCCGAGGATACGAGGCTTCCCCTTCAGCACCCGTCGCGCAACACAGAGCGAACTACTTCGATCGTTTCAAGAGCTCACCAGATTAAAAGTGGGCAAGTTGACGAAGCCCGAGGACGACAAAGCACCAGCAGAAAAGGCTGCGCCGAAAGAACCCAAGGCGAAACCTCCAACACCCAAACTCAGCAAAGAAGACGAAGCAGCGCAACTACACACATCTCAACTACAGGCGCTAATTCGCCGATCAAAGGCACCCGGCGTGCTATTATATCTTTCCAAGAACGACCTCTCGCCAAACTTCACCTTCTTCCCTTCCTCTGAGCACCATCACGCTCCTACACCACTGCATCTGTCCGCATCGACAAATTCTCCCGCCCTTGTCCTGGCTCTCCTTATCAAAGCCAAGGCCGATCCAACATTGACAAACGCCGACGGCAAAACAGCCTACGAAATCGCTGGTGAGCCAAAGACTCGAGATGCATTCCGAATAGCGAGGCACCAACTCGGCGAAGACGCTTGTGACTGGGCCAAAGCACACGTCCCATCGGCGCTGAGTCAGGAAGAAGCCGACGCCAGAACGAAGCAGGAGAAAGCAACAAACGAAGCGGCCGAGTCGCAGAGGCGGCAGGCCGAGCTCGAACGGATTCGGCTGGATGAGGAGAAAAGGAAAGTGGGTAAAATAGAGAGAAAGGCCGGGGCTGGCAAGACGCTGGCGTCGTCGGCCGCCCTAGAGAAGACGGCAAATGAGAAGAGAGAAGAAGAGATGAGAGGGCTCACGCCAGAGATGAGGCTGAAGATTGAGCGCGAGAGGAGAGCCAGAGCCGCGGAGGAGAGGATGAGACGATTGCAGGGCAAGTAGTTGCGCTGTTACTCTTACAACTTATGCCACTGAAGGGGGGCTGCCCTTTGCTACTCCGTGCGGTACAGTCCAGAGGAACCTTCTTCCTTCCTCTTCCATGTTTTATTTCTTGCCATCTTTTCTTTCAATTCTCTGTTGAGATTCTTTCTTTTGCGTTCTAGTACCTGCAAGCCCTCTGTACCGAGTAGGGGAGCATCGGGGGATGCTTGAACGCCTATACAGGATGATGACGAGAGATGTTACCGTTCGTAAAATTGAATATGTACGCCCAAGATTCATCATGCCCTTGCCTTTTGTTGTTGCGTTTCTCATATACACAGTCCGACGGCACTCACTCACGTTCTCCCGAGTCCGAAGTTGAACCATCCTATCCCATCCCATCCAGGTCCAGGCCCGTAAAATGAATGAATATTGCCACGAGTCTTTCCTTCGCATTGATAGCCATCCTACCACCTTCGCATTTGCTCTATATAATCAGTGAAAGGAGACAAGCCTAGTAAGCACGTCGATGGTAATCCCTTGGCGACCGCTTCCTCACGACATTCTCCTTCTTCGACTGGATCTCGGCCTCGCGCTTGCCTATGAGGCCATCGACGATGGTAATCACTTCGGCGATGATGTTGTCGTTGTTTCCTCCGTTGTTGTTGTTCTTGTTCTTCTTCCCACCGCCATTGTTGTTGCTTGTTGAACTCGACGAGCTGCTCGTGTCTGTGCTATTGGAGCTCGTGTCGACGCTGGCAGTCGCGTTTGCCGCTGTGGCCTCCACGTCGGTGGCATTCGCACCGCACGTGGCGGCGATGGCGTCGGCCGTGGCGTTGTCCATTGTGGCTGTCTGGTTCAACGCGGCAGCCATGGCGGCAGAGACGCAGTCAGCTTGGACGGTGGCGGCATCGGTCACATTGGCTGCAGCGTCGGTCGCGTTAGCTGCAACGGCCGCGTCTTGGGCGGCTTGGATGGCGGCGGCGTCGGTGGCATTCGCGGCAGCTGCGTCGGCGACGGCGGTGGAGTTGTCTGCTGCGGCCGCTGCTGCTGCATTAGCATCATTGTTGTTCTGCTTCTTCTTGCGTGCTTCGAGATGCTTGAAGCCACCGGGTGGGACGACGTAGGCATGGACGGCCGGTGCGAAGATGCCGGCGGCAGTCAACGCGAGTGCATTGATCTGTGGTGTTTGGAGATGTGCGAGGACACTGGGGAACGCGAGAAGATAGAAAGAGAAGATGATGGTAGCGAGCCGAGCCATGCTGGAATGAATGACAGCCTGTGTCTTGAATGAACGGACAACCTGTGTCTAGTTGGATTGATGAAGGAATGAGAGAGGTCAACACTCTTGAGCAGAAACAAACGTCAATGAAAGGCAGGACCGGCCTGGATGGGAAGACAAGAGAAGGACAACGCGTGGTTTGAGGATGAGAATATTCAGAAGGAAGGATAGAAAAAGTTGAGCAAGGCTCGTTGATATAGAAAGATTCTTGCATCTGGACATGTTTAGGCCATCCCCCTTGCGAGTGCTGGGCTCAAACTTGCGTGAAGTTCCGGCGACAGAGCACCACTTTTCTCTCACGGTTTTCGCATCGAGACGGTGGACTAATGAGGCTCGGCGGCGCTGTCACGTTTGGACGCAATAGACGATCAGAATGTCCACAGCGCGCCGTTAGCACACGGCAGACAGACTGGGGAAAGGAGAGTACTATGGTACGAATACCGTACTCCGTAGTATGGTGTACTATGGTAGGCTGGCTTCGATAAGCTCCGCAAAAATAACGCGAAGCATGGTCAAGACTTGGATGGACGTAGCTTCCAGGATGCTTCGAGACGACTTTACCCTGGCCATGTCGATTGATGCTGCATGTGATGTGGCAGGCTATGCATGGGTGCGGTCGTCACAGTCGATGTGTTGGGAAAGGATTGGCCGGGAAAGTCGAACCGTGAGACGAGACGTGAGTGAAACGGGTGGGTTCGGCGAGGCTGTGGATTCACCACAAACAGGGGTCTTGAGGCTGCGAATGTTGCAGGTTGAGGCACCGGCCTTGGCACGCGTAGAAAATCTTGAAGTCGTCGTCATCGCCAGCAGACTGTCCAAGGCAGGTGATATGAAGAAAACAGAAAAGGAGTCGTGATCCTTGAAAGGGGATAATATCGCTCAATTGGGTATCTCTCGTCATTCGTTAATAAGGCTGTTGTACATGTTGTCACAGTTCATTTCCAGGTTCGAGTCTCATTCACCACCTAATCTTCGGCCAGCGCCTCTGCCACTCCAACCATTGGAAAACCCACTAGTCCACCCTCTGCTTTGTGGTTGAGGCACATCTTGGCCTGGTCTGAAGCTGGTGCCGTAGCCTTTGTGACTGAAAGCACTTCGATCAGCGCCAAAGTATCGTTTGATGGCTGCGGGAGTTTGGACGTAGTTTCTGCCGCCTTGAAAGGTCGGATACAGTCTAGTAAGGAAATCGTACAGATGTGCTGCAAGGACACCGACTGCTTGCTGCAGTGCTGCTGTGGGCCCTCCCATGATCAGAGTGAGGGTAAGCATCGCCCATGGAAGCAGCTCGACGGGGATTTGGAGGATGATGAAATGGGCCTTCTTGCCACGGTTGTCTTGGGCGAAAGTGTAAATGAATGCGAGGAGAAGAGCTTGGGTGAAAATCATGGATCCAAGAATCAAGCCTCCAACGACCTGTTGCCAGTCAGTATGTCTGAAACAGAGAATTACTCAAAACAGCCAAGAGATGAGTTATTGTCGAGATGTAGGAAGCATGAACCGCCATACGTAAATTGGATGTATCACGAAAGCTTTCTCATAGTAGCCACCACCATGCCCGCACCGCATATGGATCCCAGATTGATATTGCGAATGATGGATCCATATGTGCCACAGGGGTAATCTTCCTCCAAACCAGGAACCGCTTCAGCTACAAGTCGCTGGGCGGGCAGAAATGGGAGGTGTAATAATAGGAGAGGGGAGAGAAGGGGACGGGAAGGGTGCCGGAGAAAGGAACTAGCGGGTCCTACCAAAATGATAGTAGCTACAAAGGCGACATAAGTGAAGAAGTCGCCCGGTTGGCTGAAGCGTGGCGAATTGAGCTCCAAACCCGAAGCGTATGTAAACACTGGTGACTCGTCAGTAACTTGGCATGCCATGGATGATGGTAGTTCGACATACTGAAATACAGGTCAAAGACAAACGAGAATCCTCCCCCAGTCAGGATAAACGACGAGAGTAGCCGCCATAGCTCCGGAGGGAATTTGAAGATCCATGGTGTATAGTAGACTACGCGCATGCCACTGATGAGGCCGCTGTGGACGAGAGCGGATTCTACAAACATGGCTGCCACAATTGTCCTGTCACAGTGTTAGACGAGGATTCTTCCACTGGAGGATGGCAAGGATACTGACCGACTGACAGGTGGTGCACTCCAAAACCTATCCATGATGTCGACACCGCCGCCACTCATACTGAAAGGTAGATAGAATGCAGAAGGTGCAGTAAGGTAATTGAAATGAGCAGATGTCGACACGCTGGCGAAAAATGTCACGACGAATATTGCCAAGAGATTTCCAAACTATCCCTCTTACAGAATAGTGCACTCTCGACTCCGCAAAAGAACTTTTTCTAACCATTCGCATTTTGGTCGCCATACAACTAATTTGATATATGCAATATTTCTTACTGCTGCAATATCGAGTTCGTGCAGCCTTGAAGGAGCATTGCATGCTCTGCATCATTACTGCCGACTGATAGTTGCTCAAACATTCGAACGAGTGATCTTCTCGAGTTTACTGCTATCCTCCAATCTCCGGCGGAGGTATTTCGAGGACCATGGCCTCCAAGGTCGAAAAGCTAGAGGAGGTTGACTATGCCATCAAACCAGAAAACGTTACGTCGGTGATTCCGACATCAGAATGGCCACTACTCCTGAAGAACTATGACAAGCGTTAGTATCCAGAGCGCCCACCATCGAGTCTTTGTACTGACCGGTCTATAATCTAGTGCTCGTACGAACAGGACATTTCACTCCCATCCCCTGTGGCTGTACGCCATTGAAGCGCGATCTCAAATCTTACGTCTCCTCGGGCGTCATCAACCTCGATAAGCCCTCCAATCCCTCTAGCCACGAAGTGGTCGCGTGGGTCAAGCGTATACTGCGAGTAGAAAAGACCGGCCACAGTGGTACGCTCGACCCCAAGGTCACCGGATGTCTTATTGTCTGCATAGACCGGGCCACTCGCCTGGTCAAATCACAACAAGGAGCTGGAAAGGAGTATGTGTGCGTCATCAGATTACACGACAAACTGCCCGGCGGAGAAGCGCAGTTCGCACGAGCTCTCGAGACCTTGACTGGTGCCCTTTTCCAACGACCACCATTGATCTCCGCCGTCAAACGGCAGCTACGTATCCGAACCATCCACGAGAGCAAGCTTTACGAGTTCGACAACGACCGCCATCTCGGCGTGTTCTGGGTTAGCTGCGAAGCAGGAACATACATCCGAACACTCTGCGTACATTTGGGGTTGCTGCTAGGCGTCGGCGCACACATGCAAGAGCTACGAAGAGTACGATCCGGAGCTATGGGAGAGAGCGATGGCAACATGGTCACACTACACGACGTGTTGGACGCACAGTACGTCATGGACAACAACCGAGACGAGTCGTACCTACGAAAAGTCATTGCGCCGCTCGAAAGTCTCCTCACGACGTACAAGCGTATCGTCGTTAAGGACAGCGCCGTCAATGCTGTCTGCTACGGTGCTAAGCTCATGATCCCCGGCCTGCTCCGATTCGAAGCCGGTATCGAAGTCCACGAAGAAGTCGTCCTCATGACAACCAAAGGTGAAGCGATCGCGCTGGGCATCGCACAGATGTCGACAGTCGAACTATCCACTTGCGACCATGGAGTCGTCGCCAAAGTCAAGAGATGCATCATGGAGAGAGATCTGTACCCACGAAGATGGGGCATGGGTCCTGTCGCTCTGGAGAAGAAGAAGATGAAATCCGATGGCAAGCTCGATGTAAGTCACCCTTTCTCTTTCACTCATGCTGTCTAGGCTCTTTGTAAGCTAACAACGTGTCCTAGAAATATGGCCGCCCCAACGAGGCTACGCCCGCGAAATGGACATCCGGGTACACCGATTACAACGCGCCATTGGAAGGACCCGGCTCTGTCGCCGCGCCCGTCACAGAAAAGACATCTCAGTCCGATGTGCTTGCTGCTCCGCCCGTAGCACCGAACGGTGCAGACGCAGAAGCGATGGACCTCGACGAGACTGCTGTGGCGCCCCCCACCACCAACGGCGACGCCGCATCTCTGGGCCCCAAAGAGAAGAAGGAGAAGCGCAAGAAGCACGACGGTGAGACGCCCGAAGAGCGCGCCGAGCGGAAGCGCAGGAAAAAGGAAAAGAAGGACAAGAAAGAGAAGAGGAAGAGCGGCGCGAGCAAGGCCGGGGACAGTGATGAGAGCGACTGAACAAAATTGTTAAGTCCCCCTTGTAGTTCTCACGGCGTTGATGGCGCGGGAAGGGGAGTGAAAAATGGGCTGGGTATCGGTCGTGTTCACTTGTACTTGAGGTGGCAATCACGGGGACGAATGCTTGCGAATCTTATGTATCGAGCCGGTGGTCCTATCCTAACGCAACTTGCAAAAAATTGAAATAATCATAAGATGAATGCCAATCGATCAGAATCATTGAAATGATACAAGATTCTTTTCCGCCACAATGCTAGATAGAGCTGTGTCCCAATGAGCAGCTAGGCTCATTGTATGGCACAGACACTGAACACTGATCGTTTCTTTTGATTGTGAAAAGTCCGCTTTGCGAGATAGTGCAAAGGGACAGAGCAAGCGAAAGAAGGGCGGATGACCAAACAGTCCCGCCCAAGGTGATTTTATTGAAGGTGGCAGTGTAGCGAAGGAGTATATATGCCGCCTATCTTTGAACAGAAGTTGACCCAGTAGTCAATCGCATTCCACCCGGTCCTCTTTTCGTATGCATCGCTGTTTTGAGAATCGAATCGGCGCACAACAAAGGATCTCCATAAAACTGGTCTTTCGCTTCATTGGAGAAAAATGAATCGTCATCGCTTCGTGATGGTCGTGCTCGTGTGCATGTCACGAGTGAGAGAAACTGCTGCCCTGGAAGGAGGAAGAGCCCATCGTCAAAGGCCAGGATTGAGGACGTGGCTAATAGCCCTCTTCACCCGCCTTACACACTTTGATTTCTCGGCCCCATTCGGATTTGAGGACTTGGGAGGCGGTGATACGCCGACCAGGATTCGGGTCCAGGATGGAGTAGATCACGTTCCGGCAGCGTGCCTGAAAATGTATGCGTTAGCAATCGATCCGTAACACGAATTATGATGGGTCACTTACCCTGTGCAACGTCTCTATGGGAGCGTAGCCGTCCTCGTCTCTTCTGCCCTCGAGGTATCGCTCGTAGAATTCGTCCTCTTCTTTTCTAGCGACTCTCCACAAGTGACGACCCGTCCGCATGGCCATGTAGATGACACCACATGCCCAGACATCGACTGCTCGGGGGTCGAATTCACCACCCTGATACTCTTCAGGGGCAATATAAGGGGCACTCCCGCAAAGCCCGGCGGTCATGTGGGCTTCCTTTTCCCATGCCATTCGGAAACATTCGCCATTTCCGAAATCAGTGATCTTTAGGGCACCATGTGTGGTCAGAAGCAGATTCTCGGGTTTGAGATCGCGATGGGCAACACCCATTTCGTGCATGTATTCGACTCCGCGCATTAGCTGCTTGAAAAAGCAATCCGCTTCCAGAACCTGTAGTTGGCCAGCAGCAAGAACTAGGGTATAGAGATCGCCACCCGCACAATATTCCATGACTTCGCAGTAATCACCCTTGGCGTCTTGAAGGAGGTCGAGAGTGTGGATTATATTGGGGTGCCGGAGCGACGATGATATACAAAATTCGCTGGTGAGACGCTTCTGGTACTTTTTGGCTGTTTCTTGCGGACGACGACGAAACTCCTTGACCGCGTAGAGCGACTCTCCACTCACACTGTTAGGATCAGGCTTGTGCGATATCCTGACAATGCCGAATGCGCCGCGACCGACGATCTCCTGGCATTTGCCGTACTTTTCGACCAGGTTGGCCGTGGCATTAGGACCGCCCTTCTTGTCACCAGCCAAACTGTCCTTCTCCGATCTGAGTTGGTCAACCCAGGATGACATGAGGGACAATTGCTGCTCGCCATCCGGATCCTTCTTCTTGCCTCCGAGCATTTCTCGGAGCATGTCGGACAACTTCTCCTGACGTTTGGCTGACTTGAGGTGGTGTTCGTGAGTGCCATCTTCGTGGAGCTCGAATCTCTTGTATTGAGCATACGTAGGATCGGAGGGAGGTTCGCCTTTCGTCTTCTCTTTGGCAGTGTTCAGTATTGTCATCTTCTTGTCTTTCTGATCGCCCGACGATGTCCTAGCCGGCACCGGTCTGCTTGAATGACCGTTGGTTCCCTCGGGGTGAGCATCAGGTTTGGGTGAGGTTGCCTTAATGGAATCTGCTTTGGCCGCGTCGACGTCCTTCTGCTCCGTACGAGAGAACATTCGGGTGAGGCGATGCGTCATTTTGGGCTTTTTGGCAACAGGCGCAGGGAGCTGAGCAGGGGTGGCTAGGCCCGCGGCGGGCACGGCGGTACCGTTCACCGTTAGGTGAGCCGTGTCCTCCGCCAGTCGTGTTATCGAAGCAGCGTCATCTTGTGAGATCTGAGAGTGGGTTAACGAAGGTGAGGGAGCTGGCTGTGTGGTTTGGATCGAGGAAGATGAGCGATTCATGTGAAGAGCGTAGAGAGAGGTGGGGGTCGAGTGTCGGGCGGGCAAGGTGCCCAAATCTCTGGGCTTTTAGTGGCGGTAGATAAGGTGTGCCTCGCTTGCGACGCTGTGATACAATGCGGTCGTGAAGTAGGATGACGCGAGATGAGAATTTAAAGGTGTTTTTCTTTTCTTTATTTCCCTGGATCTTCGTCTTTTCGTAGGAGGAGGATAGTGTAAGAATGCGGCGATGTTGGTGGCGGGATTTTTGATCTAGGTAATAAAAGAGTACAGCCACAAGAGCAGGAGCAAGTGCGATGATGCGGCAATGTGGACGAGTAGGCTGCCGTCAAGACTAAGCCGGGGCCTGGTGATGAAAAAGCGATTTGCGATCACTTGGTCAGAAATCGAGGCTTGTGTGGTGCTGTGGGTGGTGATAATTTTTCTCGTTTCCGGGCGTGCGAACAGGTGGGTTTGCAGGCCTTTGGGTGGCTGTGTCCCTCAGGATCGTGGGGAGGAATTGGACCTCCAGGCGAAACAGGCTTGCAGGTGACTCGGTTAGGCCTCGTAGCAAGATCGCAGGGGCACCCAGACGGGCGTCAGAGACTCGGAATTGGGGGAAGCAGAGCAATGAATCGCCCTTGCCGACCAATTATTAATCAAGATCTGCCGCCTGGCCGTAACTTGGCGAATATGCGCAGCAAGTCGTATGATTCTTGTCTCTTTTTGCAGGGTCTGCTGCTGGATACGGATCTTCCTTTGGAATATATTCCACGAAGAGATGCTGATTGTGCGGGGGAAGGCTTTTTGTGGGAGAAATTTTCAATCGGTAGACTCGAATGGGATTGACAATTTGTGTGAGGGATATAACTGACTTGGTCCTGGGTACGGTAGCCGGTGGATTCTGTGATATGGGTGGCTTTTGCCGCACGGCTGGGTTATGGAAGCATGCCACAATAACCTGTGAGTGCCTGGGGGAAACGGGCAGTGTGGTATCTGTTCCGGGACTTATAACATAAGCTGAGTACAACAGGATGTGAGCAGTAAAGAGGGATGTGAGAGTAGTAGACGGCAGTGTTGATGATGAGAAACAGTCGTCAACCTGCCACACACGTGAACAAATTGAAGTGATTGCCGTACCTTCAACAATGACATTGATCAATTGACTGTTTTGGTGGATAAAATGATCCTGTCACTTGGGCCCCCTCGGATGAGGGTGAAAGAGCAATCTGGATAGGTAGGCACGGGTCAGCGCCCTCGCGCCTAATGAGCCCTCCATCTCAGGCCGACCTCAGGAAGGGTGTTGTACCTAGTCGAACTCTCTTCTATTCGCACACGAATGGATTGCTCTTTTCATCTGCCGGTGTCATCTCATCTATTGGAATTGAATGGAATTGGAGTAATTAAACAGCCATCATGGAATGAAGACGCCGTGCTGAGAGAAGAGATCAACGGTCAGAGACTCTAGACAGAAGCCAACTCATCTGTCACTGCTGGTCAGTGACCTTCTCACCCTGAAAGAAGCACCCTTCCAACCGTTGAATTATATCAATTTGATGGTATACCAAACCCCTTCCCTCTAACCCTCCACCAGGTGCGAGGTCCATCAGACTATCAGACCATGTGGACTCTCGAACGCGGTGAACCCATCGCCACTCCATCTGCAACCATGTCATCAAAACACCTTCCCACAGTGGTTCCGAGCATCCATACCGAGGCTCCCATGTCTTCCACATCCACCACATCCTACACCGCTCACGACGCTCGCTACGAGCACAGCAAGATCTACCAAGCCAAGACTTCGGACGCACAACCCGATGTTCTATCGAGTTGGCGACTGCATGCGCTGGCCTTTGTTCTTGGTGAAAGCCATGTTCGAGTCTATCATCGTCTATCTTTCTAACATGTGCATTCCCCCCTTGCTGTCTCTCCCATCACGAACACAGCAACTTCCAGTCGCAACATAACAGGTCGTGATACAGCAGACGCCACCACAATCATCCAACGACAGACACGACAGAAGCAGCATGAAGCTTCGTGATGCTTGACAACCCGGCGCTCGCCGGCAAGACGGAACCCCTGCTCCTCAGTCAAGACTCAAGACTGGCATGTGTGGACCTATTCCGTCATCAGACTGCAGGGGCAAAATCACACTTCCATACTTTCCACCTCCATCCAAGACCAAAGCCTTCTGTCCATGCAACAAGTTGATGGAGGGACCAGCCGCCTCCGCATCTCAAGCGGCAATCCGAGAACGATGGACTGATGTTTCCCTCGGTTCATTGGCTAAGAAGTGCCCCTCCATCGTGTGGTTTCGGACCACAAATGCAGCGATGCCGCTTCTGCATGGCGCGATGGCTCGTACTCGCAGGTAAGACGGAACCCACCTCGCAGACAACTTTGCCGTAGTTTCTTGATGCCCAGCAACACCATACTATCACCATTTCTTGATCCGACGGGGCAAACGTCAAGAGTATGGCTGACGTCTGGCAGGTCTCCTGGTTGCACCACCAAACAGCCGAGCATTCTCATGCATCTTGCCCTTTATATCTGCCATTCCGAGCTCGGAATTGCCAATCATTTCAGCACGCCTGGACATTGCTTTCAAAGCAAAGTATTTTCCCGAACAGAGATCAACAACGAGCTGCTGCCGTGGCACCAATTCTCAGGCACTTCTCTGAACACGCGAGCGGATGCATGCATAATTTTTTCGTGGAACAATATGGTTCGACTCAGCCTTATGGCATGTGAAATTCGGGCAATGCTCAATTGTTGCTGAATATTGTTCATTTGGATGTTTGTGTGTCACGACTTCGTAGGATGGCACCTGATTCCGAGGTGAAGCATACTCATCGTGCTCCCATGGCTTGATCAGCCTCCGTATGCTTTGAGTTGCACAAAACAGCGAGCCCACACAACCGGAACAGATTGCCTCAACAAATCAACGACACGGTATCTTGACACCATTTATCAACAAAGAACTGCCGTCGGCCTCGAATGGTATTGTCTTCGTGCAAGTGCCCACTATGCTTGTTTACATCATCCGTCACACATTTCGAAAATATCACGGAAGTTGTTCTTCGCCAGTGGCAGAGCGATATCCTCAGGCCTGGAGCCACCGCTCGACCGTTTCGAATGTCGCCAACCAATCCTTCGTCCAGCGCCACTTTAATTTTGACCTTCGCACCGACAATTCTGATCTTCGTCGAACATGCGACGCACTGTCAAAGTCCGGCTGCCAGCGCGACTTTGTCTTTCGAGTTTGCCCGGGCGCCTCTTTCCCATGAAAATCGGTGTCCGTTGTTATTGGAGGGGTATCACGAAGTTCGCTACACGTTGTCTGAGGAAGTTGTGCCTACGATGGTCGTCTGCCATCACAGCACATGCGGTGTAACCCTCGGCATTGTGTCATTGTCTTGTCCCGAGACAGTCAAGGGCGGATATCCCAGAATATTGAATCACAATTTGGACGTAAAGATCCCGACAACATCAACTGGGAGAGCCGGATTCTGAGGTTCATGTCTCAAATGCCTGAGAATAGCCAATTCTGTTCGTCAGTGGGCCCTACTACACTGTTTCGCTCCCTGCCAGGCAACGTGGTTTTTGCTGTTTAAAAGCTTCGTCTGTGGTTACAAGGCTGAGGTCAACGGGAGAGAGCCTTATTGTGGCGTGCAGACTCTCTTGGGCTTGGGAAAAGGTACATCTGCGGTCAAGTCCCCGTCATGACAGATACCTCACCTCGAAGGTAAGTTGGGTGGATCAGCAAGGCTGAATATGACGAAGTTGGGCAGAATCCTACCACCACAGGCGGCCGGTCTTCTGCCCAATGTTCTCTGCAACTAATGGGCACGTGGAAGCGTATTCGGCTCTCACTGCCACATCGATATCTCAAATACTCTACGGGTGTGCCCTGCAATTACGTAGAGGGCTGTGCTCAAGCTGAAAACCAGCATCGACGTCGCATTTGTTGGCGACAAGCCTTAAGGCTGGCTACCACTTGTCTGCTTACGAAGCGCAGGGAATGTCAGTTACCTAAGCACCGTTTTACTTTTGCGCCTCAGTACTCGTAAGGGTGACGATTTGGGTGAGTTGTCGCTCAAGCTTGAGCCTGACAGCCCTATCCTCGGATTGGGAACCCTTTAACCAAGTCCAAGTCTCACTGGCAGCTGGATGTGTCTGGACATGATGGCTGCCCTGATACCTCAGGGCTCATAAGATGTGAATACCAAGAGGGCACTGATTTATCAGGGGCCAATGCCTCAACCAGCGCTGTACAATGCGTTGGTTGACTCCGACATCTCTGTTTATAGAACATACCCAGAGAGTGTTAGGGCCTTTGTCCCACTCTGGCACGGCGTCTAGGGCACGCTTTTTTGGAAGTAAGCTACTGATTGAGCAGGTAGGCTCTGCATCAAGGCAGATGCACCGTAAACCTTCGAAGTCCTGTTGTGAGCACCAGGCAAATCCCTCAATCAAGCTTTCTCAAGTCAAACAGAGGTAGGGAATCGACTGGCCAAATATCGAGCACTGCTCAAGATTATGGGACATTCCGAATCTCCAAGGAAAATGTGGCCTTTTTCTTCATGAATATCACCGACCCTGCCCTTGTTTTATCTTGCTCCTTCGCTCAAAGCTATATCCTTCCTATAGTGTCAACATCAAGGCGCAGATACAGGTCGCACAATGTCATTGGAAACATGGGGGATGACAATGGCGGTCAGCTCCATCAGAGAGACTCGAATAAACGATATCACCGCCAATATAGGGCATGGCTCGGCGGCAGCAAGTTTGTATGCATAGTGTCGTCGAAAACGTCTGGAATCCACGGGCCTTGCTCGCTCTGAGCCTCTCTGATTTGTCTGGTTCGCTCTGTCGCGGTGGTGTCTGGACCCAGACCCTCTTGAAGGAATCGTTCCGCCTGTGGGAGCTCCGTCTCAGCGACTGAAGATCTTCGTTCCTCTCTGACCGGCTCCCCAGTTCAGAGACATAGTATGTGACAGTGTCCGCGGTAGGCTTATTGTCACTTTGGTAGGGGGCTGCCCGGTGCACAATACAGTCCGCAGCACGTCGCTGGATTCATGATGAATGACAATGGGGTCCCCCACAATCACAGGGACCATCAATAAGCCTATAGATGCCTATTGTGCTGCGAGTGTGGCAGACTGACAATACAATGAATAGGATCGATGTGAGTGACGCCGACTGTGCTTGAATAGAGGTGTGGTAGCATTGTTAGGTGGATGTCGTGCCCCAGTTATATAATGCTGTCACGGGATCTCGGTATACCTTCCCCCTTTTCCAGCTTACGTCACGCAACATGGCTGAAGACGCCTTGGCAGTCTACCAGCGGCACTGGTACGACCGGCTCAAGGATTACTGGGACGATATTCCTGGCCTGATACCCATCCTCGACATCCTCGAAGAAGGACCGGTTGGCGACGAGACCCTCTTCGAGTTCAAAGGACGCTTCCAAGGACTTGCATACGACTACATCGAAGGGGTGAAAGATGTCGTGGGCGGGGTTCAAGAAGAACGTGAACCGGGCAACGACCCAGGTGATGATGAAGACCGGTTAGAATAGCCAGCGCTGACACCTGACCGATCTAACAACTTGCTATAGGACATGTCGAGAGGACGAACGACCGGGACTACGAAGTGGAGGAGAGGTGAGCGCATCCTGACCGATCTGAGGTGAGATCTATTGGCTGATGCTTGCAACAGACGTTACAGGACGATGGAGTCAGCAGCGAACAGACTGCAGAAAGAAGCGAAGGGGTATCTCGACAGCCTGCGAGGTAAGAAGACGTGACAACGCAATGAAATGAATCTGAACTAATCGCACCTTCAGCAATGACGGCGTCACAAATGAGGATAGCCGAGACGATCGACGCATTCTACGGAGACGCTGGTACCAGAGATGGAGTATCGCGCTCATACAAGCAGGCCGTCGAAGATTTAGACGCCGAAACCATCAAAGCACTTGACGGACCATACCGGTACTTCTGCCTCAATTCCAGATCCAAAACTGCGGTGTGCTGACTCTCGCGACAGAACCACAGTCCTCGAGCCGATTTCTCGCTTCTGCGCCTACTTCCCCGACATCAACGAATGCATCAAGAAACGAAACAACAAACTACTCGACTACGACGCCTTGCGAGCAAAAGTCAAGAAACTGGTCGAAAAGCCAGACAAAGACGTGACCAAACTGCCACGAGCAGAGAAAGAGGCTGAAATGGCCAAACAAGCTTACGAACAACTTAACGAACAACTCTTCACCGAACTACCTCAACTCATCGACCTCCGTGTTCCTTACCTCGACCCCAGCTTCGAAGCCCTGGTCAAGATTCAACTCAGATTCTGCGCGGAAGCGTACAGCCGAATGGCGCAAGTTCAGCAATACTTGGATCCAGATACTCGGGACCAATACGCCCGTGGAGACTTGGATAACCGGGTTGAACAAGTGCTCTCAGAAATTCGAGACTTGACCATTGCTGGCACTGTTTGAACTTGACCTGCTACAACCGACTGATCACTTGTCTTGCTCCATCACAAAAACCACAAAGCACAAAAAAAGGGGAAGTCAAATGCGGGAATCGCTGCTCTTCAGCTGGATGATGCACGAACTTGGAGTGCAGCGGGTTGCTTTTTCTGCATCATAGCATAGCGCTGGCGTTCTTGCACAGGAGGTTAGCAGACCAATCCTGCGGGAATGCATGGGGTTGATAGAATCCTCCATACAATCAAATGATCTGAAACAAACCAGTATGCTTCTTTACCGTGTGCGCGTGCCAGTATCACCGGCCCCCAAAGAACCCACCGCTAATGCTCTCTTTCTCATATACGGGGTACGCATTCAGCATATCTGCTCTTTATGGCAAGCCAGGACCCTGCGGATTACTACAGGTATGCATCATCAAAATCAATCTACATTTTCGGTGGAGTCTAGATGGCACCCAGTTCTTTCAGCTTGCTGATCATACCATCCACATCCTCAACCTTGCCTCCACCCTGTCTGGTTGGCGGCTCCTCGACTTTGATCGTCTTCAGCCTCGCCTTGCCATCGACTCCATAGTCGGCCAACGTCTTTTTCTCGAGCTTCTTCTTCTTGGCCTTCATGATGTTCGGCAGACTCGCGTACCGCGGCTCGTTCAGCCGTAGATCCGTCGTGATGATCATGGGCAGTTTCGCCTTGAGCGTTTCCTCACCACCATCGACTTCCCTGGTCACCGTGATCGTATCGTCGCTGATCTCGACTTTGCTCGCCTGCGTGGCCTGCGGCCAGTTGAGCAACCCCGCGAGCATTTGTCCCGTCTGGCCTGCGTCGTCGTCGATCGCTTGCTTGCCGAGGATGATCAGGTTGGATTGTTCCTTCTCGGCGATCGCCTTGAGGAGCTTGGCCACGCCCAGTGGCTCCAGAGCCTTGTCCTCGGGCACGTCGATGTGAATGCTGCGGTCGGCGCCCATGGCCATGGCAGTGCGCAGGGTGTCTGCGCATTTCGCCGGCCCGGCCGACACGGCGAGGATGTCTTCTACGGGCTGCTTGCGCTCGCGCAGGCGCACTGCCTCTTCGATGGAGAGTTCGTCGAAGGGGTTGAGCGAATGTTTGACATTGGCGGTTTCGACGCCCGTCCGGTCCGATTTTACTCGTGGTTTGACCTGGATTTTCCCAGCAGCTGGTCAGCATCCCCAATGGTACAGAGTTCATTGTACGCAAACAAAAGCATAGGCATTGACGATTTGGCGGCGGACAGGAATGGTAGGATAGACATACGGCATAGTCGATGACTCGTTTGACCGGGACGAGGATTCTGAGTTTCGACGACATATTGTAGAGGCTTAATGCGATATGGGCAGCACCAGATGCCACTCCCACCCTCTAGCAGCACCACAACAAATTCAAAAGAGGCTCAAGAGCTCAAAAGTCGTGGTTCTGAATGCACGACGTACTAAAATGTAGTGGTAGTTCTACCGCAGGCCTCAAGTCGGAGCGCAATCGGCCCTGGACATTCGTTGCTTGCTCAAGCCTGGACCTCGGGAGCGATTGCGGACAACCCGAGTGAACCCGCCTGTAGGCAACCCGGGTAAGGCTTTTGGGGCATCGCCCACGGCTACATCCTACGCTCCAGCAAGCCCTTACGTAAGCCGCCTGACCAGTCGAGGCTGAACACTCTTGGCGGCCCGCCAAGACCACACGAAGAAACAGGGCCGGCACCAGTCCGGCGCAGGCCTTTCGACGAAAAGATAACCTCTCAATCATCAACATCTTCTCATCAGTCTCGTCATCCCATAGACAAGGTCAAGATGCCGGTACGTTTGAGTCTCCGTCCCATGTTCTATATCACGATCTCCTTCAGCACATAGTCCTCGCCTTGTCTGCCGCGGCACAGAGCGAGTGTGAATATCGGGCCACTTCCCCTCGAAAACGATGTATGCGCATGAGAAAGAACCACAACTAACAAATACTGTGCCAATTAGAGCCACAAATCCTTCCGCACGAAGCAGAAGCTCGCCAAAGCGCAGAAGCAGAACCGACCTATTCCTCAATGGATTCGTCTGAGGACTGGAAACACCATCAGGTTAGAACTACCCGCACATCTATCATCCTGTCGAGTCACCTCCTTCCCCATTCTCCAATGGCGACAGATACACCCTCAATGCTTAGAAAGGCGCGGTGATCTGTGCTATGAGTTCAAGATTTGGGAGCCGTGGGAGGATGTCAAGCACAACCGCACAATGGACAGGGGGAGGGGAGGAACAGATCAATTTGAGGCAGCACTGGCCCTCGCCCTGGATGGAGATTGAGAATGATAAACGTCTGGACAGACTGTGCTAACGTTGAGTCTTTGAACAGATACAACGCCAAGCGGAGACATTGGCGCAAGACTAGACTCGGAATCTAGATGATTCGCGTACTCAATCGACATTCGCCTCAAACTCATCGAACCAAGCTTCCCGATGTCGATATGCTATTGAGGAAAGGAGTTGTCCTTGAGATGGAGTGGTTGATCGGGAGTTGATGGCCGAAAGCAAACGTTGATGATGCATGGGAAAGCATGATGGGAGTCTCCTAGGCGTTGCTCAAAGACGAAAAAAATCAAGGAATACCGCTCGAGAATTATCATGCTCGATGGCAGCCTTTCGAAAACTCTTCTATCCCACATAGCTACCTTCGCTGTGGACAGAGGAAAAGATCAATCAAACGCACAATTGTCTCGAGACGTTTTCAGTTCTTGAACAATTCCATCATTCTCTGCTTGGAGGCATTGTGAAACTGCAAGTATGTGTGCCAGGGCTCAACTTCATCCGTAAGGTATGGATTGCTATGTCAGAGCGCAGCGCAGGCCGCTTTAACCACTGTAGCTGCCGCTCTGCACCTTATTCTGTACCGTGTCACTCAAGCGCGATCGTAGACATGCTTGCTAATGTTCTCTGCTCGAGCCACCAATGAGCGCAAGCTTCTTCGTCATTCGAGAGACTCTCCGAATGATCCCTCCTAAAACAGCAATGACCCCATCTGAACGCCGTTCATGCATCTCATGATAGAACCGTAACTCCCGAAGCATGCACCGAGATTTCAGGATTGCGGACGAGCAATCTAGCGACTATCATTGAATTAGCACATGGTAGTAATAGGAAAAAGCAGACTCACTCCTCGGCCCACTCATTCTCACGGCGAATCTGATCCTCCTCCTCAGGGGTGAAGTCGTTCTGGATGTTGAAGGTCTTGCGGATCTCCTCGGGAGACTTGCCCTTGATCATGTTTGCGACAGTCTTGCATCCGACATCAAGCAATGCCTTGATATCAAGGTAATTGGCGGCCTAGGGAGCCGTCAAAAGGAGTCTTGCATGGTTTGAATCTCGTAAGCATACCAGAATGATCTCGAAAAGCATCTCTTGATCCACCTGCATGAACTTCTGGTCCCACTCCTCTATGTCGGTTGTCTTTTTACGGGAGTCGGAATCGTCTTCGTTGCTGGAAGGAGGGTCATGCTTGTGATGTTGGCACCACTCGATAACTTTCTTGAGGACTGCAGCGTTGACATTGGGGATCGGAATTGCTTCGTCCATGGCTTCTTCTCCGAGATCGCCGACCATGTTCTTGATCAAGATTGATCTCTCTGCAACGTCACGGTCTGCCAAAGTCAGTAATGAGCGGATCCTGAGATTGCGAGATCGACTGACCAACGCTGATGTCTTCGCCATCGGAGCTCTGGAGAGTCAAGGTTTTGTTGTTAGACATGGTGATGGTGTTGAGGATTGATTAGTTGTTTGGAGCAATGTGAAAGTCTGAGTTGCCACGGTCAGTCTCGAGGTTTCGAGTTTGCTGAAGGAGGAGAAGAGGAAGAGGTTGAAGAGGAGTGAACACGATATATAAGCAATTGTCTTGAAGGATGAGTGAATCTCTGTGGAATGCAGTGGTGAGGTGCTGAAGCGAAGTGACTCCGCAGGCGCCGCTTCACGCTTGGCAACAGCCTGGGACCATCAGATCGTCACTCACCCCGCAGCCTTGCCTCACTTTTCGAGATTGACACAGTCCTCACGTCCTGCTCACCAGCAAATGGAACAACTGTTGGAATATTCAATGAACGGGCAATCCACTTACACAATCTGTAATTCTTTTGGTCTGGTCTTCGTGATGACAGGATCCAAGTATGTACGGTGAAGTTTGGGAAAGCAAGTAGTGACCGGACAGGGGGCGGGTAAGAGTCCTCCGACTCAGATGAGGACCTTTTCACAGCGCGCTGGGTTGGCGTCAGCACAGTCAATTCACTTTGACAAAGCTTTCAGGCAACAACTGTTCTTGACTTGCCATCTGTCCTGATTGTCGCAAACACCTGGACGGCCAGAGAACAGGCACAAGGCACGGCACGTGACTGTGATCTGACATCACTTTGCCGCATTTGCTTCCGCATTGGGCATTTCGCAATCAGAAAGTTGGTGAGGCAGACGTGAAGCCAGATAATCTCACCTTATCGCGAGTCGCAATCTATGCTTTGGCCTCTTTCGACCCTGTTTGCGAATCCGATCACTCTTTGCCCATCCGGCCCAGTAGCTTACCTGTGTACCTGTCGTCCTACCTTGCCCGTTGTCCTCTTTGTCCTCTCCGCAAACGACGCGTCTTCAGACGCGCTCACTCACCATTCCGCCCCCCAAGATCGAGAATGAGTCTGGCAAGAAGCAGTTGGAGCTTACACTCATACAAAACGATGAAAGAGCCAAGGACTTACCTAGCAAGGTGAATGCGACAAGCATGTGGCGGCTGGTGTACCTCTTTCTGCTTTTTGTTCGCGTCTACCTTGCTCTCTGCCCGAGCTACCTCCACCCAGACGAGATCTTCCAAGGTCCGGAACCTATTGCTGGTATGCGCAGGCAGGACACCAACATCAATCGCGCATTGGACTGACTGTTTGGCAGGATACCTGTTTCCCTATCCTAGCCATCGAACATGGGAATGGACGTCGTCCCACCCAATCCGCAGTGTCTTTCCATTATGGCCCATATACGGCTTGCCAATGGCATTACTGAAATGGACCTGGGCGCAAGAGGATGATGGCCTGGTCGACCCTCACACCATATATTACGCCCTTCGTCTGGTCATGTTTGCGCTGAGCTTTGTTCTTGAAGACTGGGCAGTTCATGATCTGGTTCGCTCTCCACGGCACAGAAGAGATGCTGTCGTTCTGGTGTGCTCTTCGTATGTGACCTGGACGTTTCAGACACATACGTTTTCCAATGCCGTCGAAACCATTCTTGTGCTGTGGAGTCTGGTCGTGATCGAAAGGATTGTGGGTGAAAATGTAGGTCATGTGTCTCTATATAGAGGCATTTACTGACTTCTCGGCAAGAAACGATCAGCAATAGCCTCCTGCATTGTGCTAGGCTTTCTTCTCGTCTTTGGCACGTTTAATCGAATTACTTTCCCAGCCTTCGTTGTGATACCCGGCATCCAACTGTTGCCACACTTTTTACATAGGTGAGAAAAAGTCGTTTTGATTACCCAAGGCAAAGACTGACATTGGCAAGACCTTTCTGCCTTCTCGCACTTGTTCTTTCCGGCACATTCTGGACTCTGGTTGCTATAGTCATCGACACAGCCTACTATTCCGACGCTGCAGCGACCAGATCCTTCCGAGCCCTATACGACCACGTCCACCATGCCCCTGTAATAACACCACTCAATAATGTACTGTACAACACTCAAACCAGCAATCTTGCCCAACATGGCCTGCATCCCCACTATCAGCACTTCCTGATCAATCTCCCACAGCTTCTTGGACCAGCGATCATTCTTCTAATCGCGTCCGGCTATCCTTTCAACCTGCGTATCCTCAAAGCAACACTCAGCAACGCGCGCCTCGCCTCCGCCACAACAGGAACCCTACTTCTCAGCCTCTTTCCGCACCAAGAACCGCGCTTTCTCCTTCCCACAATCCCCCTATTCCTGAGCTGCATCCGCCTTCCCACGAGCACCCTCTGGAGACGCATCTTCTGGGTCTCATGGATTCTCTTCAACACTGCTCTCGCCATTCTCATGGGGATATACCATCAAGGGGGTATCATCGCGACCCAGCTCGCGATCCCATCTCTGCTCACCCAGTCGATCACCCACACGCAATCTCGTACTCACAACATCGAAGTCTTTTGGTGGAAAACATACCCTCCACCCAATTTCATCTTGGGCACGGAACCGCGCCATCCCTTGACGAACAGCAGTCTGAATATATCGACCGTCCCGCTCATGGGCTTTCCCCAGTCCGAACTCGTCTTCATGCTGATGCAGCACATGCCAACATGCGACCCCTCGCTCATAGAGCGGTTGATTCTGCATAAGGAGAAAACAGACGTATTTGTCGTTGCCCCTTTATCTGCATGGCGTCTCCAAGCCACTGAGCCGCCCTCGTCGAATTTCAGCTTCTCCGTCGCGTTCAACATCCCCCCGGCCGAGCTTATCATGACGAATATCTTCACGTATCGGCAGCACATCAACCTGGATGACATGGACTTTGGTGATGACGGGGTGCTTCCGACACTACAACGTGTGATTGGTAGAAGGGGCCTAGGAGTATGGAAAGTAGACAGAATCTGCGGGCCGGTCGAGTACGTCGACAAACATACCGGTGAGCGCGTGCTGCCGAACAAGGTCTTGGAGCAAGAGGTGGATGCGCACATCCAGGAGCAACGGCAGACGCCGTCTTCTGCAGATTCAATTGGAGAGACTGAGACAGATGCGGTTCCTACCGTCACGACGACGCTTGCGAACACGCTTACGAGCCACTCAGGTACCAGTGCAGATGTATCCTGAGAATGTCCTTTGGCAGCCTCGGTGGCATTGGCAGTCACAGGGCAAGAGAAGGCTACAGGACTTGCCAGCAAGTGAAGCTTTTGAATGTCGACAGCAAGGCTACCTAAGCACTACCTAGGCAGTTAATCGTGAGTCTACACGCTACAAATGTCATCTGCCACTTAAATATTCTCTATCTCTGGGACTATGCCAGACGTACTACACGGGGCACAAATGGACTTTTTTTCTCAACTACCTTGCACATGCCAACGACACGGCTGGATCGTACTTGGGCTCCCCTCCTGAATCCGACTGTAAGATAGAAAAGGAATATTCATGAAGAGAGCAGAAGGCCAAAGCTGAGAACTTGTTACGGAAGGATGCTTATAGTTATCATAAGCGAAGCGCTCTGCTTTGAGGGTTACTTGGCCTGGGGAATGATTTAAGCTATCCTGCCTAAGTACAATGCATCCGCTGAAATCTCAAGAATCGTGCATCCCAAGCACAGTTTTTCACTCGTTGGCTGCATTTGCTTGCTCTCATAACAGTCATTGATCGATAACCCCGGTCCTTTGTAATTGGGCATGATGGGCCGTCTTGCGTCATGGATCTTGCTGTTGACCGAATGATGAAAAGGTCCCAATACCTTTGCATCAGCAACTCATCACTTCCTCAGACCAGATGATCCTGTCCCCTGGTTCCGCATACTATGCTCATTGCTGCTCGTCATCATCGGGTTGCTCGAAAAGGAAATTTGCCGCCAACTCCTCATTCTTGTCGCACGCAAAGTATGCCTGGATGACTTGATCTCGAGTAAATCCTAGTCTGCAGAGTCGCTCGATAGCGTCGCGTTCCTCTGACGTAACACTGATAGCTTGCCCACCAGGTGGAAGTGCACCCTCGTCACCTTCCTGGCCCTGGATTAATAGTCAGCAACTTGAGGGATCAGCGGAATATAAGATAGGACAGACCTCTGCAAGCAATTGAAGGAACTGGTCCGGATTGAGACTGATCATCTGCGCTAGTTGTGGGTTACCTTCAGCGACTTGTTGTAGGATTGGCTCAAGCATTGAAGGCTGTTGTTGGACAATTTGACGCAGTTGCTGGAAGTGAGGACTCTGCCGTAGGTAGGCAAGGTCCATCTGTGGATTTCCCTGACCTCCGGCTGCGGTAGCTCCTGCACCACTTCTTGCTGCACCACCACGACCTTGCTGGTTGGCCTGCGCTGCGGCTTCAAACAGATTGACAGGCTCGTCTCCGCCGGTCTGTGCTGGTTGAGCGGGCCGGGCTGCAGGAGGCGAAGCAGGAGTACCTTGGGCGCCAGCTGCAGGTGTAGGTTGTCTCTGCTCGGCTCGAATATTTTCTGGGATACCGTTCAGGAGATATTCGATTGCTCGATCTGGATTGAAGAATGCAGCTCGAAGGGCCTCATCAATCTGTGCTCTCTCGAACCCCATAGCTTCCATCTCTCGAATTGTTGCCTCATTTCGGTTGCCCATCAAGAACGCCGAGGGGTCATTGAAGCCGGGTCCGCCAGCAGGTGCTGCAGCGGCTGCCTGGCCAGGCGTGGGTGTAGAGGGCTGGTTTGGTGCAGCGGCTGCCTGGCTTGGGGGAGCAGCAGGTGCGGCGGGGGTGGAGGTGGAAGTAGAGGCGGCTGGAGTAGAAGGGACAGCAGGTTTGGGAGCGGGCGCGGCTTTTGGCTATACCAAGTCAGAGAAGGAGTCAAGTTCGTGAAGCACTGCTGGACTGACCTTGCTGACCATACATACGATGAAGCCTTTTTCTTCAATCTTGTAGGATTCCACAGTGTTGGCATCAGCCAAAACCTTTCCTGCGCAACATCAGTATGCCACCAATACAGCAAATTGATATTCTATTTACCAGCATAGATGAGCTTTTGAGTCGACGCCTCCCATCCTTTCTCCGCGGCAACCTTCTCCTTCACCTGGGCGATCTGGAGATGGGAAAGTCAGTCAAGGGCGGTCATTCCATTAAGGCTTGTCTGCTGTACCGTGTCTGTGGGTTCGGCATCGATGGTGAACTTCTGTTGCTTCAGATCCTGATAATGTTGTCAGTCCGGTAATTGGGGCACGATTACGAGGGGTGAGATCGACTGACTCTAAATGAGAGCTTCATCTTGCCCCGCGACAAGCACCGGTGTGGTGACAGAGAGCACGATTGAACAGAACGCGGTTGGTGAGAACGCGATTTCAAGAGCGTTACAGTTAATAGCTGTGAAACCTTTCAAGTTGGTGAGAGACGAAAGGAATTGGTGGAAAAAGATGGCAATGCGGCGATATGCAAGAGTTGAAGGATGCTCTTTTGAGAATGACGCTGCTTCCATGCCTGCCTGCGCCTGTGCCTGTTTCTGCGCTAACCACAGTAAGTTAGGTGAGTAGACAACTCATTCGCCGCCTTTCACGTGCCGCTAAGAATATGTCGGCTTTACACAGTATTCAGGAAGGTATTGTGGGTATGGTAACTGTGACTACCTAGTCGCTCTGTGTCAAGTCCTCCTCTGGCATACTTTACGCGGACGGCTTATCAATTCCGTCATGAGGACGATTCATTCAGACCTCCATAAAGAGACCCCTAGAACAGATGGTTCCAGCCAGCTTTCATGCCAGAAAGGCAAGATGCCAACATATATCCCAACCAACCCGATTCTCAGGGACTCGCATCACCTGCTTTACTCTTGCGCCTCTTCACTTTCGTTGCTCCATCAGGCATTGAAAAATTCTTTTCTCCCATCTTGGGTGCTTTTCCCGGCCCAGCAGCAGGACTTGCCACGGCTGGAACCATCGACACTGCTCGGGACTGATTCGGCGTGGCTGTCCCAAGAGGCTGGAGCTGGCCCTTTGCCTGGCTAGCAGCAGCCTCCTTGTTCTTGGAAAACCTGAAATTTCCCGGCTCTCCCACCAGAGATATGTTGTCTGCATATTCCTTCCCATACTGCAAGGTCATGTGGAGGGCATCCCATACCGTTCGACTTCCGTTTTCGTTGTTCCCTGGAGACTGCGTCGTATTGTTCTTTTCGGCTGTAGATGATTGAGTTCCTGGCATCGGTGTACTTTCTTTGCTTTGCTGGGCAGCACCGGCTAGTGCCTGGCTTGTTGATTTCTGAACCGGCTTGTGATATGTGTGGCCATGGGAGACAGAAAAATATGACATCTCGGCTGGAGCAGCAAAGACCTTCTCCAGCGCAGAGACCGTGTTCAACTATAGCGCTGTTAAATTCCAGTCCAGACTCTCAGCAGGACCAAGTCAAGCTTACCATCCGATAATTGAGGACGCTAGCCACAGGAGGGGCCTGATAGATCACATCATTGACAATGTAATAGTATCCCAAGGTCGTGACACCGCTTTCTGACTCGGTTTCTCGATTCTGTTTTCGGATAACCCAGACATTGGACTTTTCAGGACCATTCGGTCCGTCCAACGTAACATTCTCTTCAAGAGGATCATGTTCGACGACGTACTGTATCCCACGTTGATGTCGAAGGTTTGCCTCGAACTTCGCCCGTGTACCTAAAATATCATTCTGGTTGGGAGTACCGACCCACTGGGTGATCAGAGACTGATTGCCAGAGACCTGGTCAAAGAATGGTGAAGTTGCGAAGTAGAACAGCACTGAGGAGGTTAGTTTGATCCACAGCGACCAGCTTTCTCTTACCATTGTTGGAGTGCAAGTAGCCTCCATTCCAGGCAATCCAATTAGGATCAAAGTGTGCCTTTTCAGTCAAATCACCCTTGGAGTCGGCCATTCTGGAGGTTGGTCACTTTTTGACAAGGCGTGCTCATCTTGACGCACTCCGACAAACACGCAAAGCCCCACTAGCTCTCAAGAAAGCGAGAGGTGTCGTGAATATGTCGCCCTTCCACAGAAGCCTAGTATGCATCAGCAGCAGACACGAGTTGAAGGGCAAGGCTCACCTCGCCATCCTTGCCATGTACGGAATCCCCGTGATCAGATGCAAGTCTCGCTTGGCGAAAGCAAACTACCATCCAACAATCAAATTCTCGTCTTTTGAAAAAGTTTCCATGTCCTACAGTCACAAGAACAACCTGATCATGTTTGTCAAAGGCCTGTGATCAATGCCGGGTAGGTTTGCTTCATTTCGTTCTGTTTGGCGTGGCTAGCGGTGGCTTTTATATGGTGTTGCTGGCGAAAACCATTCTAATTCTCTTCCTGACCTTGTGGACTATTGTTTGAAACCTTGCCGGCTTCCCCCAATAAGCCAATGGCGCAACCAAAGTCCATCCTCTTCATTGATGCTTACGACTCTTTTGCCGAAAACATTGCTGCTCTTCTGCGCCAGCAGCTCAACGTTGAGGTCCTGTTGATCAAGATTGACTGTGATATCTCCAGGCAATACGGCTACGGCCATGGGGACTTCTTCTCGCGGTTTGATGCCATAGTCCTGGGACCAGGCCCAGGTAATCCTTGCAATGAGTCGGATGTCGGGCTATTCAACCAGGTCTGGGAACATGCGCCACTGCTCAAAATACCAGTGCTTGGGATTTGCCTAGGTTTTCAAAGTCTCTGTGCACAATATGGACTGCCCATTGTTCGAGCGAGTCTACCCTGCCACGGACACGCAAAAGAGGTATTACATGTCGGCCTGGACATTTTCAACCATTCGCAGAAAATCCTTGCCACCAATTACAACAGCCTTGTTGTACGAGTGAAAGACTTCAAGCTAGATACCAACAGAAGCCGACGAACTTCGACCGGATCTCTCGAGAGCTTCGTCTCTCTTCAGAGTCTACAGTCTGCTGATTCAATGTTCTCGAAACCTTCAGGCAGCAAACCAATGCGACGACCAGCTGACAATCTGGAACTTCTAGCATGGGATGAGGAGGACTGGGTCATGGCCGTCAAGCATAAGGAATTCCCTTTCTACGGCTTCCAGTTCCATCCAGAATCATGCAAGTCAAACGTCGCATGTCATGAACTGATCAAAAGATGGTGGGCTTCAGCGACAGCTCACAATGCTTCAAATAGAAGAACACATGCGGCGAAAGTATGGGTCCCTACCCCGGTCAGCTCGTCAGACGATGACAGTGACCCGCCTTTCAGTCTCGAAGACTACCTACATAACCTTGGCACCGCAAATACTAATGGTGCCATCGTCTGCACCAGTGTACCAGTCTACCACGGAAGCGGCGGTATTGACTCAATGTGTCAGCAATTGTCTCCCGAGCGCTGCGTCGTCATGTTAGAGTCGACAAAGAGAGGACGGTTCAGCATCTATGCCTTTCCCGACGAGTCAAATTTTCGGATCGAGTACGGTGCCGGTCAATGTCGGGTATATGAGGGTTCGTTCACAGTACCGACCCATACGTACCGAGTTGACCGGACTGAGATGATCAAGGTCCTGGAATCGTTCATGTGCAGCCAGCACATCAATGACGACGGTTCCCCAATCCCGTTCAGAGGTGGATTCATAGGTTACCTATCCTACGGTTTTGGCGTCGACTCACTTGGCTTAGACGTCCCATCTAGCGAAACTGGCGGATCAATTACGCCAGACATAAGTCTGTTGTGGGTGGACCGTAGCATAGTTGTTGACCATGCGACAGGTCGCGCATACGTCCAGTCTATCAGGGGACACATTGGACAGAGAGTGAAGAGCGACGTCCGATGGGTCGAAGCAATAAGTGGAAGGTTCCTTGTTCCCCGTTCACGAGGATTCGGCAGCGGCAGACCAGCATCCCCAACAACTAGCCCAAGCGAGACCATGAAACTGCACGATACGCTGCTGTCCTCGACCGTCACACTCCCCGAACACGACCGCTACATCTCGCAAATTCGGGACTGCCAGTCCGAACTCCTTGCTGGCAACTCCTATGAGCTTTGCCTCACCACCGAAGCCACGGTCAGTACGCCAAAGACTGATCATCGCGATCCCAACCCCAATTCCTGGTTTCTGTACAAAAACATTCAACGCCACAACCCTGTCCCGTTCGCTGCCTACATGCGCCTCGGCAAGACAACAATTCTCTCCTCCTCCCCTGAGCAGTTTCTCTCATGGTCCCGGGCCGGCACGATCGACATGATACCAATGAAAGGCACCGTCAAGAAAACACCCGGGATGACGCTTGAACAAGCCACCAGCATCCTCTCCTCTGCCAAAGAATCCGCCGAGAACCTGATGATCGCGGATCTAATCCGGCACGACCTGTACAGCACCGTTGGCCGTGACGCGCTCGTCGAAGTCGTCAAGTTGTGCGATGTAGTGGAAACAGAGACCGTCTTCAGCCTTGTCTCACATATTCGCGCTCACGTCCCTTTCCCTGCCGGGAAGTCTCGCCAGTCAGCTGAAGTCTCTCAGGAAATGACCAAACACGGCATCCGCGCTCTTGCCCACACACTCCCGCCCGGTAGTATGACAGGTGCGCCCAAAAAGCGGTCCTGCGAGATCCTGCACCGCCTCGAACAGCGAGACCGAGGTATATACTCCGGCGCAATCGGCTACATGGACGTCACTGGCAATGGTGCATGGTCGGTGTGTATCCGCACGGCGTTCTCCAACGAGGATGAAAACATTCCCGCCACTGATGACAGTGATGAGATGCAGAAGTGGCACATCGGCGCCGGTGGAGCCATCACCGTGCTTAGCGATGAGGAGCAAGAGTGGGAGGAGATGATGACCAAAATGGACAGTGTGTTGCGAGGGTTCCGAGTGCATGGCGATCCGGCCGCTTTGGAAGCAGCGATAGAGCGCTTCAACACACTTTTGACGGAAAGTCCAGCCTTCACAGACGAGGACAGAGTACTGGCGACGATCGAGAGTCTTGAAGAAGCCTTGGAAGCTTGTAACATCTGAAAATGTGCTCTTTCAAGGCTACGACTGTGACAGACGGACCTATGCGCACTGATTGACCTGCATTGTACCACTATGACTTAGGAAGATATTGGGACTGGCGGCATGCTTTGTACGACTACGACTTAGGAACCTACCCGACAAGCACTGGCAGGATTGCTTTTGTCCGGAAGCTTTTAGGGCTTGGACCGACATGAACGACATGTATCACGACGACGGGCCAGTTCGCCGACTTCAACACGGCGCAACATAACCCTAGATAATTTCTGTAACATCATCTTCAACTTCAATGCTACATTGCGCTTGTATGATCTGTTTTCGATCCCATGCTTCCGTGCGCCATGCCTTCTCGACTTCAGGGTCGACTTCGTATCCAAGTACAATAGCGACGGTGATATCAAGACTAGCATTCGACAATACCGCATTAATAGGGCGACCAGTATACTGTCATCAATATCACGCATAGTCATCTGAAATCAATTGTGAACGTGAAAATTTAGCCTCGCTGAAATATCCTAGGAGGCAGTGAATCTCGCTGTACGCTCCTGCCGACTGCGGACCTACTTTGGTATTATTGTACCTCCCTTTGATTATTACACCTCAACACATATACCCAGGCAGGTACCTAGTCATCTTACAACATGCTTTGTTAGGAACCGCGTTATCTCCCCCATGCTGAAAGTCTCCGAAGAGCGAACATGAGGACCACTACGAAGAATCTGGCCCCATCCAATTCCACCTATCATGGGAAGACCCAGACCTACATTACGCTACCTCTACCGCCAGTCATTGTTTGACTACACCTCACCTGCTCGCTTCCCTTCTCTTTTTTACCAAAAACGCAAATGCCAGCGGAACCATCGAATCCTGTACATCGCTATGGTCAGGGATCTCATGCCCGCCGTTAGCTCAAATACCTGAAAGAATGGCTGAATGAGCTTGGAGTGGTTGCAGAAGAAATGATAATCCAAGGACGCAGCCTGATCCCTGATCAGGCTGTGAGAAAGCTGAGGGAGGAATGACGACTCTCCACAAGCCTAGGACACCAGGAAAGTGGCCGGGAGCAGCTTCGACGCGGCTGATGGGGGCTTGAAAGTCATGATAGCTCGATTCAAGATGCATTCCTGAATGGCTGAATGCAAGCCCAACCACAAAAGTACCGTATCCATCTCCAAACGACCCTGCATCGTCCACGACGGCACTGGGCTTAAAAGCATCGATTAATTTATGCCATGGATACCAACACTGGTCACTGCGGGATCTCCTGGCTACTACAATTACTCCGCCACGTCGGTACCTGCATTGTCAATCTCCGTAAAATGCGCCGGAAGCGACCAGCAGTCTCGGCCGGACACTCCAGGGTACCTTCACGAGTTTGCTAACAATATCACGAGCAGCTTCAGGATGTGGCCATCGCATAATGGGGCCTCGATCAAAGTAATAATTTCCAACGGAGTTTCATGGGAATGCTCTGGGATTCAGGGTACTTCGGTTGGCAACGTCTCTTACGGTTCGGATACCACTGGAAATTGGAACCTAACATCCATCGACATGCTTCATCTAGAACGAACCACGTTTGATCATAATACTATGAGGCTATATGGCAATATATGACACTATTAATAGCGGATTCGCTTGATATAGCAGCTCGTGCCGGCGGATGGAAAATTGGGGAGTCCACCTCTGCTGACACCGCGTACTCCGGGATGCTTGTTGCAACTCGCATGGTCCTTGCAGCAGCGTTACTTTGTTTCGGCACGAAGAGGGATGTCCCCTCTCCGAGCTCGACAGCTGGGGAAGTCACTGCATTCAAAGCGATCTCCAAAGTCCAAGTGTTGAACAATTGGGCTCTACTGACAACAATTGCCCTTTTATACCTACTCGCCGTGATGGCGCTTCACCATTTATTCCTGCTGACTGAATTCCGCATGCACTTAGCCCTCCTTCAAGTGATGGAGATGCAGCAAAATACACCAATGCACGTCGCACCCGTTCTTTCAGGACACTGCGTGGAAACCAAGAAGGACGCTCAGGCAGACATGCAAGTTTTGATCTGTGCCAGTGTGGGATTGAACCATTTGGGAATGCTCAGGTCCAGGGGCTCCACGCTGGGGGATGGATGGAAATCACAAAAGACACAGCATGTACTTAGTCTCACGCACACAGGCACTACAACAGCAAAAGCAGAGACAAAGGGAGGACGTGCGTGGGGCTAGTCGTATATTACTGATATAACATCGGCCGGGTCGTTGCATGATTTTGGCCTCTAGAGAGAGACCATAGTGGCTGATTTCCTTGTACCCAGATTAATGGATTGGAAACCAGGCGAGCATGTAATTGAGATTTGGGTGAAAGAGGTATCAATAGGAAGGACGGAACATGATTTCAACTGTATCGAACCTCTCTACACTGGCTGGTCGCGGTAGATTGGAGATGAAACATACTCGTATTGTCTGTGCGATGTTGTTCTCCGTACATGGAAGCTTTCAAGGGGTGTGGTAGAGTCATTTTTGGCACTGGACATGCAGATCCGACGAATTCTCCTGTGTGAAAGACTTTGGCCCTCACGACCGGGCGAGACACCCATGAGAGACACGGATGACGATCGCTCACATGGCTCGCACAAGTAGCTTTCACTCATTTTTATATATTATGACACTTTAGATATGTGTGTAGATTCGAAGATCAAATTGCTAGTCATACACAGGGCGCCATGTCCGAAACATTTCCGCCCCCACCACCTGCCCAAAACCTCGCGCAGTCAATAACTAGTCATCCACCCGTCCATCCATCTGTCCGTCTGTCCATCTGTCCCTGGGCCAGGACAATACGGCGCAGGATGAGTTCCGGGTATCAAGGAAAGAGAGAGAAAGTGTGTTGTAGTAGCAGCAGCAGCAGCGGGAGAGACCGTTGAGACTTTAAGAAAGTCATAGGGATCCTGATTGGTATTGGTGTAGCTGTGGGTGTGGGTGTGGACAGAGATTGTCCCGATCGTGAAATCGTCAGGCGACGATGCCGGCGGGGCGGAGCTGCTGTTCAACTCGATTCGTTCTCGAGCTGGACATCCCGCAAAGACAAGTAGAGGACGAAGAGGCAGGGAAGGCGGCGGACTTGGCCAAAATATCCAGATATCAGACTAGGAACCATCAACGTCGACGTGGAGTCCGGCTTGTCGAAAATGCCAAAGGGGAAAGCAATTCTAGAGCCGCGGCTAGGCGAATATGTGCAGAATTGTCGAGTCGCGTCTACCGGGTATCCCAGGACTGAGCGGGCATTTCAAACGGTCGATCCATGTGGTCGGCATTCAAGTTCGGTGACGTCGTATCCGTTACGGTTTGTGTCTGTGAAAGCAATCATGTTAGTCATCTGGCACCATACGACCAAAGCGATCGTTTTCGATGATTGATAGAAAGAGAGTACTGCTTACATCACTAGCCTGGCTCGACAGCCACTGATTAACATGGACATCGCCCGCTTTCTGGTTATTCCCCAGTTCGCTGGGAATTTCTGTTGGACTCATGGCTGTCCAGTGCGAACGTCGGTCTGCGACGCTGCCGGTGTACTGAGACATACCAGGCTCGCCGCCCATCGTGGATCCAGGTGGTGGAAGAGCATTCCTGCGCCGACGGCTGCGGTAGAACAGTAATGCCAGTCCTCCGACAATGGCAATCAAGCCGAGAACGCCACCCACCACGCCACCGACAATGGCGCCGGTGTTGGTGCCTCCACCGCCATGTGAGGCTGCAGCTGCAGAAGAGGTGGTCAAGGCGCCGCCCGCCGTCGCCGACGAGGTTGCTGAAGCTGTGGCACTGGTCTTGGGGTCGCAAGATGCTTGGAGTGCGTAGCCCCCTCCTTGGGCGTCGAAGTCGGTGCGGATCGCTGGTGCCATCTTGAATTGTGCGCGCTTGTAGTCGCCAATGAGATAATTCATGGTCAGGTACGGGATGCCCCAGTTCAGCACATAGCCATCATTTGTGGTGTTCATGACTGTGGGAATAAGATATGTATCGTTGTAGATTGAGTATTGGCCATTTTCGTCATAGGTACGAGGCAAGTAGAACAGTTCTTCGGTAGGAATAGTAGTCTTGTAGCCATTCTGCAGAGTAACCGTGAGATTGCCGGTGGGTGGGTTGGATGTCGGGTACTGGAGATATCCCGAAGTAGCATTATAGACGCCATTGCTGACGGTCTGGAAATTTTCCCAAACGTTCTGTGGGACATTCAGAACTCGTTCCGATGGTTGGAGGTTGATTTGTAGAGATTCAGACGAGTTGGAGAATAAGTTGTGAGAACCAGTGACATCTTCGTATTCGATGCCAGTGATGACCACGCAGAATTCACATTTTTCTTGCGACTTGAAGGTCGTCAGATCTCCCTTGACACGGGTGGTGTCATAGCCGCCGAGCACTATTGAGCCATCGACAGGATGGTTTATTGATCGGCTTCCTGTCCACAAGCCGAAGACAGTTGACGGGATTGCCCCAGACTCGACTGCAATTTTGAGAAGATCCGAGTCGGAGCCCAAAGGGAAGACCCCTTGTCCACCATATCCAGGCTGATCGTACATGGATGGATACCCGTAGATGGATGCATTTCCAAAAGTGAGGAGGTCATTGAAGTGAACAAAGGATAACTGGTTCGGATTTGACTCTTCGGTGCCATTCCACTGCGCTTCTGAAACTTGCGCAAATGTCTTGGAATTCGAGTAGTCGAAGACGCCGCCGTAAAGTCCAGCACACGAATCATTATACTGCGGCGCGCAGTTGGCTTTGTTGACCACGTACAAATTGTCGTCGGTAGTACTCGGTCGAAGCGATAGTATTTGAGCCGGTGAACCCATGGAGATCTGGACACCTCTGTTGATGGCCTTTTGATCAGTCGTGACCGTCACATTTTCCCAGGCGAGGTACATCGGTGGGGCGCCATTCCGACAGTTCGACATCGTGGCGATCTTCGGTCGAATCGACAAAGAGACCGCAGGATCTGGTTTCAGCGTGTCAGAGAGTTGAGATAGGCGAAGGATCTGAAGCAGAAAGACCTCGAATCCAGCGGCGAGACACAGAAGGTCAGAAACACGGCAGCCGGGGATGGAGGAGTATGAGAGGGATTCGAAGCGAGCCACAGGGTCTTCCGGACCAGGCGTGCCAGGTCACCAGTTCGCGCAAGATGTCCCGTAGCGAAAAGGCCCCATCTCACCAGCGGAGCGGCTGCTTACGGAGTTTTTTCTGCTATGAAATTAAGGTCGATCTGGCTTGCAGGAAGGATTTGGCGTTCTCACTAGCATGCATAGATCGTGAGCCGAGTCCGGACAAGGCTGGTCCGGTGTACCTCAAATTGAGAAAGCGGCTCTTCAACAAACTCAGCAACATGCGGGGTTGTCAGCGGTACCAAAGATGATGGACACAACAACGGCATGAATAAGGCAGATCGCGTTCCAAACAGCAGACTTGCTGCAGGATCCGGCATCGTTTCCTCGACGTGAGACTGTACCAGGCTGGCTTCGCAGAAATCACTGCTACCGATCCTCAGCGGACCCTTACCGGGTTATCCCATGCTTCTTGAATCAAGGTGTAGCCAGCTTATGACGGACTGTTTGACAAATGTGGAGGACACGAACTGTCAAAGCTCCTAAAAGGTCAAAAGGACGAATGACATGAGCATGTTGTATCCACAGAATTGACGGCCGTTAAGAGTACAAAGGAGCGGGAATAGCGAACTCGACTGTTGTTGTGCAACTTCAGGCCTCCCTTGATAGTCGTTGCTGTCATTTTATCAGCGAATGAGAGGGCGCCTTCCAGCCACTCTCATGGCGGGATTGGCTCGCTTAGCGACATTTGAAAGGATTAGCCCTTGAGTTGGGGTCTGTGGAAGTCGGGAAAAGGGGGCCAAAGACGGAAAGATTAGGCTGGGCGTCAGCTAGACCAGCAGCCACATAGTGATAGTCCCGACGGTGTGCATGCACATTGATTTGGATGAAACATCATGGCTTGGCCGGCATGATGAGTGCAACAAGGCTACAAAAGCGGCTGCGACTCTCTCAGCTGTTGGCCTGACAAGGAGCGAAAGAACGAGGTGGCTTTGGGCGAGATTGATATGGTGGATGTCGAGATGGAAATCGAAGTCGGTTGCAGCTTCTTTAAGAACTTTCATCAAGAGTGGAACTAGCCAGGAGGAGACTAGCTCGTTTAGATCAAAAGCTTCCCTTAAATACCATCATCACGTGTGCTGTTAACATTGTGGTTATAGCGGCGGAAGAGATTGATTAACTAACTAATCTGAGAGGGAAAGACTGGCCGCTATATACAGTCACTCGTAACTGAGTGCAAGGAGCGGGGAGTACTAGACTAGGCAAGTATCCCGACGCTAATACCACAGCATCACCAACTTGACCCTGAATACGACCATACCTTCTGTGCTTCTCTGTCAGTGAATATCTGAACCACCGTCCAACTGACTACTGACGCCAGCTACACACAAAGCAGCATGACTCGTTCCTCCGCTATCGGCTTCAGTCCTTACCGCCTTTCAATCTTCGTCCACAGCGAGGTGAGCACCCGCTGTAAGATGCAGGGTAGACTCCCAGATGTCTGGTCCGAGACTCTTGACAACCCCTCTGAGACTGCCACTCAACTCGGGCGCTTTGGACACCGAATGTAAGCAATGTATGTGAGACACAGCTGATCATGCTGTGGATGGATGGTGAAGTGGCGATGATCACTTTGTAGGTACCGAGGATAGGCAAGAAGATACGAGACTCTGGTGGTGTTGCAGCATACAGACTCGATATGCTGGTACAGCCCCTGGTCGCTGGACAGTGTTGTCTCTGTCATAGAGAGTCTGCTGAAAGATATGGGTTTGTCGTTGATGTCCGCAGGAGGGACAGGATCAAGGATACCTAGGTATGTAAAGGCAAGTCCAGCATACGACATGCTCGTCCTGCGACTACCGTTACTTCAAGCTCGTCGTTCAATGCGAGAGGCACGTGCTGCCCAGAGAGAAAGAGAGAGTGACTCTCCAATCCATCTGCACGTGCCTGTCTTTTGCTTGAGTCAACAAGGCTTCTCTTGTCTCCAGTGGTAACCGCCTTCTGAACAACTCACAAAGGTCGCTTGACCAAAGCTCCGCCTTCACACCACTAACTTTGTACGGCTTCTTCGCGCAAAAACTGTTCACCTTAGTCGATATCCATTTCACAATTCGACATACAGCCGTCACCATACCATCGACCCTGTTTGACTTGACACTGGGCATAAAAGGCTGGTTTCGAGCTTTTCAACTCTTTAGCCATGGTTATGCCTGTGCGCTACTCAGAAACCGTCCGTCTGTACCTGTCTGATCAACTTACAAGACGTTTACTCAGGAAAACAATCTTGTACCAAGACAACCAAACCATATCGCATCAGTACCGACGATATACCTGCTTCCCCCTGCTTGAGAGATGGATCCGGATCGAGCCACTCCCTGCGCCAGCCCAAGCTACAAGATCTACCTATCCGACGAAGCCATCAAATCCATCATCTGCCGCAGTCTTCCCGACGTCAAAGAAGACCACATCACCATCGAACAGCTTGGCTCGGGCAAATCGTTCAACAACCGCATTTACTACGTGGAACTCAGCCAACCCACTTCAATCTGCCGGCCTACCTGGAACGGTGACGGCGTCGACGTCTCTCGAAACCCCAAGCGTGAGCAAGTATCTTCCCTCGTGCTCAAGATTGCGGGCTTCCCCTTCGGCGGTGCGAAGATACAGAACGAACTCGCCTGTCTCCTCCTTCTCGAAAAATACTGCCCTTCAATTCCGACTCCCGCACTCGTTGCATGGTCCGAAGACGGCCGTCGTATCAAAACTCCCGTCGACACTCGAGGCTCGCGCGAGCGTTCTCTGTCTGTACCCATCCAGCTCAAAACCTTGACCATCGAAGATGGAGACTCAACTGCACCCCGTGAAGAGACCACCGACCAGGGCTGGCTCTTGATGACGCGCGCCCCGGGTCGAACCATAACCCATGCCGATCTCTCCGGCGTCCAGGGCGCGAGCATCATGCACCAAATCGCTGAACACGTTGCAACATGGCGCCACTCCCTGCCTGCAACCCGCGCAGTGGGGAACATGCGACTGATTGGTAGCAAATCCATCCCTCCAGCTTCTGCGACGCTGTACGACAAAGCCATCCTCCCAGGCTTGGACGTCTACATTGATGGGATCATTACGAAGCCGACATCACAGTCGCCGTTGAAAACATACCTCGACTACATCACGCATATGTTCCGCGCGAACCTTCGCACGCTCAAGAACTGCAAACTCCTCCAGCGCAATGAGGAACCCGTCAACACCCTAGTCCGACAATTCATCAAGGATACCCTGCCCAAGTTGACCCTGCTCCACGGCAAGAGCAAAGCCACCAACATGGTCTTCACGCACTACGACATCTCGCCACGCAATGTTCTCGTCTCGCCTGTCGGCCACGCTGCCGACTCCTCCTCTAACGTCGTCGTCAGCGCCGTCATCGACTTCGAATTTGCAGGCTTCTACCCCGCGGCCGAAGAGTTCACGCACACCGTCGAGAACAGCCATTCGGAGTGGGCCGTCAATCTCTTCGGCGAGTTTCTGTCCGAGTTGGACCGTCGCGAAGCCCTGCCCGCTTGTCTGGCCGAGAACGTCTCGTGCGCACCCATGGACGGCGTCGAAGTCGAGTTCGGCGAGGACGAACATATCCCCTTTGGCGGACCGGACTTCCACCAGGCTGTTTTGCTCCATCGTGTCGCGGCGAACATTGCGCCTTGGTGGATCAAGGAGAGCAGCGAGTTGAGCGAGGACGAACTCAAGAGCGAGCTTGATGGAGCGAAGATGAGGATCGAGAAGGCGGTGAAGATGCTAGGCAAGATGGTCGAGAAGAAATAAGGCATGATAACCATCACCGACGGGGCATTTTGACCAAGGGGCATACAAAGATGTGTGAGCTTAGCTGGGCACCGGTTTAGGGAGTTGCCACGGCGTGCGACAATGTGAGCTGGGGAATTCAGTTCAGAAGTGATATCGAGCTTTTACTGTATCATTGCTGAGTCATTGGACTACTAACGTAGTAACTTACTTACTACCTGACACGTACCATGAAATTGCATCAGTCATAACTATTTAGATCTTGCTCTTCTACTGAATCCCCAGTGCAAGCACATGGGGTATCTTAGCTTAGGACCTTCTCGACTCTCCACCCATTCTTACTCTTGACGTCCATGACCTGCCGGACTTTCACTGGCGGCAACGGCCAACCGTATCCTCCTGTAGCCTTTGCGCCTCTAAGCTCGACGAGCACCCAACATTCCCTCCGTTTCGGCGTGCCAGGAATGTCCTCGACCTTGCTCTTCGGCACCGGCTTGCCATACTCGATCAGTGCGGTGTCCCTGGCGAGATACGCCAACTGTGTCCCGTCAAGCGGCGTGAGTGGGAACATTCTAGTCTTCGGCACGGGTGCCGTCCCACCAACCGCAGCGGCCACGGTTCGCTCCTGCGCGCGCTGCAGATGGCTGTAGCAGATGTATTCGGGCAACTCCTTCACGTTCATCCGGGCCAGAACGCTGGATGGATGGATGTAGACCGCGCGCTCGACCACGGCCGCGGATGCGCGATCATGCAACGGCACGAGTGGGAGGTACGGCACGTCGATCGCCCGGCGGGGCTTGCTCGAGGCACCCATATCTGGCGGGTTGGGGCTTCGGTCGTATCGGATGGCGACTTGGTCGATGTAGCCGCTTGCAGCGATGGTGTTGAGAAGCTTGGCTTTGCTCGACGTGAGTTTTGTCGCTTTGTTCCGCATTAGGACTTCGCTTGAAATGCTGCGGTTGTTGGCGCGGACAACCGATTCGAGCTGGCTGCGTAAAAGGGCAATTTCGGCCATGGCCTTGGGTCGCAGGAATAGATCTTTGCACAACTGCTCTTTGTCAGCGGCGCTCAGATACATTGTCACCGCGGTGAGAAGCTGCAGGGCGTCTGAGGCTTTGTCCGACTTGCTGAGCGTTGCGCGGGCACGGCCGAATGCTTGCTTGAGTTTGTCGCGCTCGTCGTCATCTTGTTGGTTTTCGAGAGTATAGACTGCGCCATGCTGCGATGGGGAGGTCAAGTCGAGTTGGGCTTCGGTAACAAAGATTTCCGGAACGGCGAGACTGGAGACCAGGGTCAGAATGTGCCAGAGGACACTGTGGTCCGTGACGCCGGCGGTTACGATCTTGCCCAGCCGAGGAGAAAGAGGGTAGATGGAGAGCTGTTTGCCCAGATCAGTGATGGTTCCGGCATCTGTCAAGGCACCTAGATTCTTGAGCAATTGCTCGGCTTTGTTCAGAGTCGCAGCAGCTGGGGGCGTTGGGAAAGGGAAGGCTGCAATTGGCTTTGGGTAGGCGAAGCCTTTTAGTTGCAGGACTATGCTCTCGGCCGGTGCTCTGAGGATCTCCGGCTCAGCGTGCTCAGGGAAGAACTGTTCATATACGGCCGACGTGTACAGACGCCAACAGTGGCCTGGTCCTGTACGACCTGCACGCCCTGCTCGTTGCTGCGCGCTGGCTTTGCTTATATAGTCGATCTCGAAGCTCTGGACTCCAGTGTCGAGATTGTACTTGCGCTCCTTGCTTCGTCCTGTGTCAAAGACATATCGAATGCCGGGAATAGTTAAACTGGTTTCTGCCACATTGGTCGCCAGGACAATCATGCGTGCTCCCGGAGGTGGGGGTTCGAAGACTTTGAGTTGCTCGCTTGTTGGCAATTGAGAATACAAGGGTAGTATGTGAACGGATGTGTAGGGCTCTTGTGTCGAGGGGACTGTAGACTGCGCAGGTATAGTGCCAGTCCCATCACCACCTTCGTCCTCGTCATCGGAGATATCAAACTCATCTTCTTCTGCTTCGTCTTCAGAGTGAGTCAGGATCTCCATGTCAAAGTCATCCTCTCCAGCAAAGGCCTTCGGATCCTCGATTTCCAAATCTTCAGCTTCTAGTGGTGCTTCGCTCGCCGCGACTTGAACGCGAGGCAGCGCCGCGCCGCCTGTGCCAGAATCATTTCGTGGAGCAAGAAGTGCATTTAGCCGACCACCAACTTCTCGGATCTCATTCTGTCCCGTAAGAAAGACAAGAATACCCCCTCTGGGAAGTTTCCTGTGGGCACGCCTGACCTTTTCAATCACCTCCTCGACGTAATCTCCCCTTGACCTCAGCGCAAAATGTGTAGTTACTCTGTGCTGACGGCCTTCCGCTTCAACGATTGGTGGTCTCGTGGTAGGCGAAAAGAGCTTCTCGTGAAGGAAATCTCCAATGTTGAGCGTCGCCGACATGATGATCAACTTCAATGGCTTCGGGTCCGGGTTGAATTGACTCTTCTGCATGCGTGCTGGCACGATCTTGCTGAGCATACCGATGAGAATATCTGTGTTGACGCTTCTTTCATGAGCCTCATCGATCACAATCGCCGAGTACTTCTTCAGTAATAGGTCTTGCGACAACTCTCGCAACAATATTCCATCAGTCATGAATTTGACCGCAGTATTAGGAGACACGGTGCTGTCGAATCTGATTTGATATGAAACTCTTTTACCAAAGGCACCTAGTTCTGTCGCTACTCGGTTCGCCATGCTGACTGCAGCTACACGACGAGGCTGAGTTACGCCAATCATTCCTGGTGTAGGCCCATCTGGTGATCCATACCCAGCTTCGAAGAGGAATTGAGGAAGCTGCGTAGTCTTTCCGCTGCCTGTATCGCCTTTGACGAGGATCACCGGGTTGTTATGAACAGCTTCCATAATTTCCTGTTCCCGCTGTAGGATGGGAAGGGCAGAGCGGGTCTGCTGTATGTCTTCAGGCCTTTCGACATGAACAGTATATGCCATGCGATTTGGCTGCAATTCAGGTACTTTGGGGAGGGTGCCAGGTTTATAGGTGTGAGTAGCTTGCGGCTTTGGCGCTGGAAGGTCCGGCTTTGGCAAAAGCTGTCCTTCACCTGCACTGTACGATGGTGTATGTCCAACAGACTGGTTCAATTGCGCCGTGGCCCAAGCTTTAAAAGCAGACTTCCTTGGAGCTGGTTTCTCCTGATCAGACGTTGTTGAAGTGTCACTTTCAGACTCTTCGTCGTCAAGATCAGACTCATCTTCGTCATCACTTGCTATTTGGGAGGAGTCGGATTCCAAGTCACCAGTTCCCGACATTGACGAGGCACCCGAATCCTCCTCTTCATCAGATGAATAGGGGGTATCACTCGGTTCCGTATCGAATCCTTCCCATGGCAATTCTTCTGGAATAGCCTCTGCCACTCGTTTCCGCTTGTTGCTCTTTCTGCTCTGGATCAACGGCAACCCGTTCTCATCCAGGGCCAATGGCTGCGCCAAACCGCTCCCATGGGATGTCGCAGCGACGGTCGGCAGTTTTATGCCAGTGCCGTCCTCGGTCTCGGTAGCAAATGCATCCCTGTTTTCGGCTTCGAAGGAATCCTCGCTTTCAGTGTCGGACTCTTCCTCTTGCTGCTGCTTGTTCGCTGCGCCTTTCACCGGCGCATAGGCAGGCCCCTCTCCGGTGATAAAGTCGCCAAATGTCCGTTTCCCTAGATTCGTCGAATTCTGCGTGGCAGCATCGTATTTCTCCTTCTCCTTCTCCAACTTGCGTAGTATGTCGAGTGTTTCATCCTTTTTAAGTTTGTTTTCAATGTACTTGTCGAGGCGCTTTTGCTTTTTGGAGGATATCTTGGGCGGCTGCTGTGACCTCAATTCTTCCCTCAGTTTGCGCTTTTTCTCCTCCCGTTCAGACTGGCTCAATGGGACAATGATCTCTTGGTTGGATTGACCGACTGCTGTCGCGGAAGGCTGTCCTGCGCGTTCCCGGGCAAGGACTCTGTGCTTTCGTTGTCGGGGAACATATGGGGCCATCGCGGCATACTATTATTGCGAGAGAGAGAGAGAGAGTCCCAGGGGTCGAAGTAAGCCGGATTCAAGAGGCCCATTCGAGTTTGCCTGTGCCGCAGTGAATGTAGAATCCGAGTCCAAAAAAAAGTATTGGCCGGCAGAATGTTTGGCGGTGAGAGAGATCACGTGGGGTCTAGGCGGTGAAGAATTGCACTTGAAGCATCCGTCGATCACAACCACCCGATGTCTATGACCTGGAGCTACGAACACCCAGCACTCTTCTTTCTCTTTTCCTGTATTTGAATTGTGGAAAGGGTAACACATCTCTCTCGTGGTTTATGGGCTTGCCGCAAGACTACGGCTTGTCGGAAATGGACGAGACAAAAGTCACGATGCCGTTCCCTGCCACTACGAGACAGCTAGCAGGCGAGGTCAACGGCGTCAAAACGGATATCATGCACATGTCCTTTGCCGACAAGATCATGATCACCATCACGCAGAATGGTAGACTATCGCAATGGGTATGTCTAGACTCAAAACAACATCAGCATTGTGACTCGACTCAAATGTATTCTCTAGGTCACCGTCCCATTACTAAGCGACAACCCGACCCATTCAGACCCATACTTCCAGACTGCTCGCTCCGATGAAGACAACCTGTTACCATCAGCTCGCTTCTCACCACGAATCCTGCTTGGCGCCGGTGGCTCTGACCGTGAAGCCATGGGCCAACTCTACGCGTCTCAGATCGCCAATGCCATTGTCACGAAATCGCCCGAAGAGAGCCGGTCTCTCATGCTTGGACTCGGTCTCGCCAAAGTCGAATTAGATCGAGAAGTCTTTCTACAGGTCATTGACCTCGTTCTATCGGTGCTCTGATATAGCAGTCTACGCAGTCTGCTCGTAGCGCTACCTATCAACAGCATCAATCAGACATGCCGACCTGGCATGCCAAATTCGCCTTTCACTCCCGGAGCCAACCGCGTCTGCAGTCTTCGCACTAGCGTGACTTCGGCGGCCTTTCACCTCCTCGACCGAGGCATTGACCTCGTAATCCCCTTGCGCCAGTGCAATGATGCCCAACTCCGCGATGCAAACGCCGCCGGGATCAACTGCGGGATGCAACGCACGCTGCAGGACGCCGGTCCATGCAAATCGCCTCGACAGGTCCAAGGCTATAGTGTGAGGCTGATGTCGAAGAGCGGGCTGAAGTCGAAGAAGTAGCTTCAGGGTATCTTGTGTGCGGTTGTGGATTTTGACCGACAATGTGGCAAAAAGCTCAGGCTTCATGGTGAAATGAGAGCGGCCGACCTGCTGCACAGGCTCCGCCTCACCACTTTCGGGAGTGTGGTCTTCAGCCGGGACGAGGTTGTACTCAATATCCACGTGGTCCAACTTCAGCGTGTCTACCATCCTAGGGCTCAGCCTGATGGCCTTCCTAAGATCGACATTTCCATGTCGGCCTGACGTCTCTTCCTTCCACGTGCCTCGTAAGCATTTCAACAGTTGCTCACGATACCAGAACGCCTCTCGACCGGCTGCTTCAGCTTCAGCGCTGAGCTTGGGGGTCGTTAGAACAAACTGTTTCTGGGTGTCGAGGGTTGGAATAGGAGCATAAGGGTCCTGGATGAAGAGGCGAGGTATGAGCAGAATCACCCGGGTGACATGACCTGGCTGCAGAGTCTCCTGGACTGAGAAAGCATTGCCCCACAAGTCTTCGGCAGATTCGATTTCAGAGTCCGGCTTTCGAGCTTGGATGTCGACACTGAGAGGTTGCGGCCAGACATTCCGAAGGTCCAGAGATAGCAAGCAGTAATCCTGTGCATCTGGTCGAGATTTGAGCCAGTGCGATAACTGTGATATGTCTGTGCTGTGAAGTTCATCGACCTTGTCTCCGTTGTGAAGATGCCCATTCTGTCGGATTTCAGGCTTCCATGCAAAGTCGTTATGAATAGGCAAAACATTGCACCGTAGAATTTCGACACTTCCGTTAACAGTCACTGAGATAGGAAATCGCACTTGTCGTGTGTAGAAGGTGCCTTTGACCTCTGCTGTAGACGACCCAAGATATGCAAAATCGGCTTGAACAGTAGCGCTGACAAGACCGGGGCAGCCAACAATCGCAATTTGGTATCCAATGCTCTGACCTGGACTTAACATCTTGTCCGAATTCGTCTGTCCTTTGCTCTCGACAGAGACGGCTGGATTGGTTGCCAGCTGATTTTGAAGCTCGTGCAGCTCGGCCGGATTGAGGTCTTTGTTTGATAGCGCATCTTGCAGCCTAGAGGTAACAGAATCATCTGTTGTGACGAGCACAAAGTCGGCGGCAACGCCACCACTTTCATTTACCAAGTTCAGCTCAAAGATCCGGCGTTCGCCTTCGAGCAGCATCATAGCCGCAGTCCCCTGATCCGTCGATCTGAAGACCAAGCGTGGCTGAGGGCTAATGACTTTGAGCTTCAACCGAGCTGGGACTGGCACTGGACATTGGAAGGTGTTGCCTCCCGTGCCGTCTTCCTCAGGTCTTGCGGTTTGGTTCCTTCTTGCTTTGAGTTTGCCCACGGCGTTCTGTTTTGAAGAGGATGGCAGTTTCCACTCGTCACGGAACAAGAGGAAGTCCTGCACGTAGCAGTTGCGAATACTCGCTCGACAACCGGTGATTTCCAGGTCACCACTTCCTGAAGGTTTGCCAGTCAGAGTAAACATCTGCGTCGAAAATGGGCCCAAGACGATGCTGTGCTGCGACGCTACAAATCTGCTGCCGGTGGTGATGAGCTGTATCTGGTCTACCTCTATGTCCACCTCCAGTGGATTCTGCAGGACAACTGCAAAAGTAGCCAATTCTTCAGCTACTAAAACAGGAGCCGCCGTCGCGGATTTGTCCTTTGAGAAGGGATTGTAGATAAAAGGATCCCGTACTGTCTCGACAACGCTGCTGCCTTTGATGGAGAGATCACTGGGCTTGTGAGGAATCAGTTTGACGAAAGTGTCGCCTTCAAAGACTTGAATCTCCCGGACCAAGAAGTCGTCCCAGTACTCCGCACGGTAGCCATGTACACCCAATCGCGACGCGGCTGCAACAGCCCGCTTCATGCTGTCCAAAAAGCGCGCTTGCTCGTCAGCAGTGATGAGTGGGACAGCTGTGCAAGGCCGCTGTGTCGGCATGGTAACCATTTGCTTTGCAGTACGGAGGATGTTGGATGTAAAGTGCAAGCCTGCCGGAATATCTGGCAAAGCCTCGCAGACAGTGACGCAGGTTCGCAGCATTTCCAACTTTAACAAGACGTCTCCAAAACCGTGTTCAGTGGCCCATATCCGGAGCTTCTCTTGTATCTCATCCATATTTGCGGGGACGACTTCCAGCGGAGTAGGGACTGGAGCAAGTGGCAGACCATAGGCAGCGGCAGCAAGGTTCAGGGCGAGTCTTGTACCTAAGGCCATGTCGGGAATTATTCCCTGGACAGCGTTACTAACAGGCGGGAGTCCCGCTGCAGGGTGCACGCCGACCTCAGAAGCTCCGATCTTCCTCGCCTCGATCAGTTTCGGCACAAGCTGTTGCAATAACATCTTGAGATAGAACGCATGCTTGCGATCTAGGCCCAAGGTAGATAGGCTGCTCGAGACTGCCACAAGAATACTAGTGTAATGCCATATGTTGTTACTTGACTGAGCCGCTTGTAGCGTCTCGATCAGTATGTTCGCCAGGCCAGCCTTGGAGGTCGCAACGGGTTCGCCTGGAGATTCTTTTAATTCTGGAACATCAATCTGTCCGACCACAATCTGGTCAAGACATTGCTTGTTTAGGATGGTTCCATTTCGTTTGACACACACCAACAGATTCACAAGCCTGATCCGGGACTCTCTCAAGACATCCTGTAGGGACCCACCTAGATCTAGATTCGAGACTTTTGCGTAGAGTTCAAGGATGGTCTCAACCATTGGCGGCATCAACTGAGCAAGAGCCTTGCCTGAGTCTGCTGACTTGGGGGTGGAGTCTGCCTGAAAATAGCCGGTTCTGTTTGGAAGACTGCGACAGACTTGAGGTATGGTAAAGTCGGAGTCTGCCCAGGACAATAGGATCATACATACAAGCAGGCTCTCGAGAGCCTTTCCATGCCACAGATGATCGTGGCCATTCTGTGCCATGGAAGCTCCTTCCGAAAGACAGTCCACAGCGTGGCTCCACAACCCGCTCTGTAGCCGGAACATGCCCTGGATGATATTGAAACGGCCTCGGGACGTATCGCTCGGTGCATCACCATCCCGTAAGACTGGTGTTGAAAATGGTGATCGTGTCGAAGAAGGAGTGTTACTCTCATCGGCCGGAACCGGTGTACGCCCACCCCTCGGTGAAAGCGATGAGCCACCACCACCCGGCACCATGCCAGGTACCATGCTGATTGGCTGGTCCCTCAGCTCATCAATAGCTTCTGTGACTCGCCCCAAGAACTGTCTTGACAGTTTGAGCATGACATTGACAGCGATATCTTCGCTATCGCTGTCATCATCTGGCATGGAGAGTATGCCAGCGTCCATAGCAGCCGAGGCCTGCCTGCCACACCAGACGAGTTGGCGAACAAGCAGACCGGGCGCTGAGACAGCTTGTTGCGTAAACGCATCCTTGATCGACTGGACATCAGTAGCCAAGTCCTGCTGAGGGGATCCGCTTCTAGAATCTGTCTGTGATGCCCTTGCAATCCTTTCACCATCGATCAGACCTACCAGGACTTGACATTGGCTGTTGATCTCGAAGGGGTAAAGAAGTGGCCGTCGCGCATCCTGGTAAGCGGAGACATCGTAGAAGATGCGACCCTCCTTGCGGACTGATTGATATCGTCAGTGTCGGTTTGGAAGAACAGAGTATGCGCTATCAACAGTACCTTGAGCCGACCCCGAGGGCTCGACGTGTTCGAGCTCGACTACCGTAGAACGCTGTAGTAGCTTGACGAATCTTTGAAAGCGGTCCGGTGTGATCTGACCAGCCGGTACGCATAACACATTGACTTTTGCTCCAGCGATAGGATCAAAGGGGTTGTATCCCATAATGCATGATTGCTACGGGTGTTCTTACAAACAAAACCCTGGCGTTGCTCTGAAGGGTCAGGTCCGGGCAAAAAGGCTTCACGTGCTTTCGCGTTGTCTAATTAGCTAAGCAAGGCACCTCCCCCATCGACCACCTCGGTGTTAGGTGGCACTGCGGGTGTCACCTCCAGGCTCCAAGGCTAGCTCCCAGGGTCCTTTGATCTACGTCAGCAAGCGAAGGGAAGCAGCCTTGCCGAAGGCCGCAGTCGCCTTGTACCAAACATTTGTTTCTAAAGTCCGCCGCAGGCTGAATCGCCACACTCATTCCCTTAAGACCATGTTATAAAGGCTATTGTCTCCTTCTTTGCATTTCTTTTTTGTTTTTGCATTCCTGTCAAAATGGATTTCGATGCCTTACGCGCTCAGACGCTGCGGTCTGGCGCTGATGAGGAGGCGGTTACCGTCAACACAAGAGCGTTGATCGACAAAGTGTTGGCTAGATATTCAGGAGAATGGACCGTCCTCAGAGAACTCCTGCAGAATGCTGCAGACGCCTCAGCCACCAAGATCACAGTCAAGTTCGAGACACTACCCTCTTCCACCGTTCCTCTACCCGCAGATTCGTCCCCATCCAGTCTATTGAAGCATACAGTGCAGCATCATACCTTGAAGAGACTGGTCGTTACAAACAATGGGGTCCCTTTCAGTGAAAATGACTGGAATCGGCTGAAGAGGATAGCCGAAGGCAACCCAGACGAGACCAAGATTGGTGCGTTCGGTGTGGGATTCTATTCTACATTTGCAGACTGTGAGAACCCTTTTGTTTCGTCAGGTAAAGAGGCAATGGCATTCTTCTGGAAGAACAACTCCCTCTTCACGAGACGGCTGCAACTACCAGAGTTCGAAGCCAGCTCAGACACAAACTTCGTGCTGGACTATCGAGACACTACAACTCCACTCCCTTCACTCCTCCCACTAGCACAGTTCCTCGCCAACAGTCTGACATTTGTGGGCCTGGAGAATATTGAGCTTTGGGTGGACAGTTGGAACATTCTGTCTCTCATGAAGAAGACGTCTCCGAGTTACGACATTGCCATTCCTCGTGACATCGAACCCAAGACGAGCGAAGGTTTCATGAAGGTGACCAGGGTGTCGAAAGAGATTGCCCAAATTGATGGACAATGGATGGCCATTGTAGGATGGAAGGCCACCAAAGACACAGCTCGTGCTGCCGACAGAGATGCTGCTCCGTCGTTTCGCAAGTTCTTCTCGCGACTTGCTGGGACTGTTTTGGAAGAGACCCAACCTGAGTCTAGGCCTGAGACACCAGCCAACACCGACTTACTCGCCTCAAAAGTTTCCGCCACAGTGTTTCTGAATGTCAACACCGCGACGATCAAGACTTTCACAGGTCAAAAATTCAACGAAGAGCTCGAACGTGCCACCAAGAAACCACCACCGAAGTTCACAAAGCTTGCCATCTTGACAGCGCCATACGTTCCAGATGGGAGTCTCGCAAAGGCCTCAGCTGCTGGCGATGTTTTCGGCACCGTCTTACCCGGTAAAGGAGGCAAGATATTCATTGGATTTCCTACTCATCAGACCACTGGCCTGAGTGCTCACATCTCGGCACCATCAGTCATCCCAACTGTTGAACGAGAATCCATCGACCTGAACGCAAGATACGTGAGAACTTGGAATATGGAGATGTTACGCGCTGCTGGCATTGTTTGCAGAATAGCTTGGTCATGCGAGATGCAGGAGATCAAGGAAAAGACACTGCGAGAGGCCAATGGCAGATCTAAAATTCGGATCGAAGAAGTCAGCCCATTCTTGGATGAAGCCATCACAATCTTCAAAAACTTCACTTTCCGAGAGTCGACTCCGTCAGCATCAATAGGCCAGCTCTTGGAAGATGCTTTTTGGACATGCAGCAAACAAGCATCGATCGAGATCGTTTCGACTTGTGGTGTTCTACCCACTCATGATGTGCGCATAGCGCCAAAAGACCTGAGTTTCATGAAAGGCATTCCTATTCTACCGGAAAAGCTGGCGTCAGAGGCAAAGGTCCTCGTCAACAAACTTGTAGATTTCGGCCTCATCACCGAAGTGACCGTCTCAGACATCAAGATGGCTTTGGAGTCCAGCCCTCTCACGGTGGTCCAAGTTTCCGAGTTCCTCTCGTGGCTCACAAAACAGGCATCACAGGGGCAGCTTGACATGAATACCATCAAGAGCCTTCTTTCCGTGGCCGTAGTCAATGATGAGAGCGCTCAAGGCAATACAAACCCACTGCTTCAACTCGGAGAAATTCATCATTTTCTCAATGCAAGCAGAACACCCGTTCACCTGCCTGTACCAGCCACAGTGATGCCTTATAAATTCACCAAAAGCATGAGCAAGAACGAATTAGAAAGCCTGGGCTGGGAAGAGTTACAACTTGTGCCTTGGATGCGATGGCTTGTAGCGCAATCTGGAAATCGACAAGTCCTTACCGAAGATCAAGACATTACAAAGTCCGTCGAGTTCAGCACTCAGGTACTGCCACTTCTGTCGAAGCAGTGGGACTCTCTGAGTCAATCCTCGAGGACGTCCCTGGTGGAGTTGCTGGCCAAGCAGACGGTCGTACCCACCAAGTTTGGCATGAGGAAACCAGGCGATTCTTACTTTCCAAATGTCAAGCTATTCGATGACCTCGCAACCATTCAAGGCCTTGGTAACGTCAAAGATAAATTCTTAGTGGCTATAGGTGTCAGAAAGACCGTGGAATTGGGTGTCGTTTTCGAGCGACTGCTTTCGATTGATCCCAAGTCAGCGAAGAGCGACAGCAGCAAGCAGCCTCAGTGGAGTCACATTGACCTCATTCGCTACCTTGCGTCTGTGCATGACGATATCCCGAAGGCCGATATTCAGAAACTACGGATCACTCCAATTTGCCCAAGGCATGTCAAGGATAAAGAGGATGGAGATCCTACGAAGTTGTACAAGGTCTCGGATCTGTTTGAGCCGCGCCATGATTTGCGCGAACTTGGACTTCCGGTCCTGGCCTGGCAGGGTCCCTACCGAAGCAATACCTCTGAGGGAAAGTTCTTGAGTCTCTTGGGCCTCCGCACCACGCCTGCTGTCGAAGAGCTTGTCAAAATTATGGCTACTGCTGGTAAGAAAGGTCCTAGCTATAATCTCGACCTCCGCGACAGAACTTTGGCGTACTTCCTCTCGCATCATCATTCTCACGGCTACGGGGGCTACGACTATTCAAGCATTGCGGTGCCATTCTTGCCTCTGGATAACAAACCTGACGAACTTGCTACTCCGTCGCAGTGTTTTGCAGATGGAGGCTCTGCGCTGCTTGGTTTTGACGTATTGAAGCGCGACTGGGTGCCGCATGCCGCAAAATTTGGTGTACGGCTTAATCCCCCAATGGAACTCTGCATCAATGTACTTGCCAAACGGATCCCCACCACATACAACGATGCCCGTGCCGTCTTCACCTATTTTGCTGGACGCCTGGCTGAGATCAATACAAGCAATATTGCAAGACTTAGCGACTTGCACTTTGTGCCTATCTTTTCGAAGAACAAGGAGAAGTCGGCGCCCAAGATGCACACATCACCCCGTAACTGCTTCCTGGGCGAGAGTGACGTCTTCGGTGAAATCTTCAACTATGTTGATTTCGGCATCGAAGCAAATTCTTTCCTGATGAGATGTGGCTCGAAGCAAGAACCGACTAAAGTCGAAATTGCTCAGATCCTGGTCAAGGAGCCGGCCCGTATCTCGGCTACATTTCGCAACGTTGAGAAATACATGGCTCTGCTGCGTAGCATGGCTGACAGTGCAAAGGATCTCAAAAGGAACAAGGATCTTTGGAGTGAAATGAAGAGAGCACCTTTCTTGCTTGCAAGTAAGGAGCTTCCTGCTGCACAGCCTGGTGTAGACAAAGACGCCGGCCGAGAGGATGATGCGGACAATCTTGATGAGGACGACGCTCAAGGTATCCGGGAGTTTCAATTATGCAGTGCTCAGGATGCTATTATCATCGACGACTACCTTAACTACAACTTGTTCAAGACAAACATTCTGGCTGCACCTCAAGAGGAAAGTTTGGAGGATTTTTACTTTGTTTTAGGCTCCCCGTTGCTCAGCTCATTGGTCGAGGAAGCGGCTCGTCATGGTCCTCGAGCACCTGACCAAAAACCTGCAGAGAAATTGCAGAAACAGATACTGGAACGATCCACCTTGTTCTTGCATGAGCAGCCTCGAGATACGATCAAACATGACGCAAGATGGTTGGAGAAGAATGTCTCCGTTCAACTTGTATCCTCGATCTCGTTGAGACGGTCTCTAAAGGGACGAAATGTCAGCCACACCGAGAAGCGTACTGCTGTTGTGACACATGCCGACCGTCAGTATACACTTTGGATTACAGGAGCAAAGCCGGATCTGTATCAAGTAAGTCAAGCCTTGGTGCATATCCTGCTTAATCGACCAAAGCTTCATTCGGCAATCACTCTGGAAATGCTGTTGAAGACAGATCTGCTTGAGCTCCGTGCCCGCGGATTCAATGTCTCACGTATCCTGCGTCAGAAAGCGGCTGAACAGCGTCTGGCCGAAAGCAAGAGACAACAAGAACTCGAGGAGCAGCAGAAGCGGATCGAGGAAGAAGAAAAAGCATGGAAAGCGTCACAGGAACAAGCTACAAGAGAAAGGTCTCAGCGCAAGCAGCTGCCAGGAGGCTTTCCAGACTCGCCAGATAATCGGAGCCTTACGCAAGTGCCGGATCCTCCTACGCCCACGATTGATGATAGCCATCGAAGACATGGCCGCAACCTGTTCAGCAACCTCTCGCGTCAGCTTGGACTCGGCAACAATCGCCACATTCAGTCGATGCTTTGCCAGAATGTTGACGAAAATCCTGATGCTGGCGCTGATACTCAGAGAGCACTTACCAATGGCGATCAAGAACCACCTCCACCATACCAGTACAATCAGCAAGGCGGCCCTCCTGACACTGTCGCCGCACCTCACCAACTACGCGAGAACCTGCTCAATGCCATCAAAAAGTCCCGTGCGCATAATTCCTCGGACATCTTCAACCCAGGCGAGACCAACGTTCTGACAGAAAAGAAATCCTACTGCGACGAGCGGCCTGCGCACGATCTCACCTTTGTTGCGGACATCAAGTATGGTATTCAGATGTACCTGTCGCCTTCAAGCGTGAGTAACTCGTCGACTTTTCTGCAGCAGCACTCCGCCGGCCTGACAACTTTCGCGAACCTCCTCAAGGGTGTTGGTGAAGTGTTCAGCCTCAACCCGCGAACACTGAACATCTTCTTCGATCCCTCAGGCAAGACGATTGGCTTCAACCGCAATGGCAGTATTTTTTGCAACTATCGATACTATTGCGATCTGCATGAGAAGGATGCTAGCGCCGATGGGTATGCGGATGCGTTTGTGTACTGGTGGGTGATTTTGTGTCACGAATTGGCGCATAATTTGGTCGGTGATCATAGCTCGGAGCACAGTTTTTATACCGAGGGGTTCGTCGCGCAGTACTTTGCACGGGTTGTGAAGGTGCTCGGCAACCAGCAACTGGGAAGGTCATCGACTTCTGACAGAACGGCGCCGCTGGTTGAGATCTGAATGTACAGGAAGTCGGAGTATTGTGAAGGTCTGGGTATCGAATGGAATTTCAGGGATAGAACCATTCGCGTGTAGATTTTCATGAAGCACAGCGTCGGCGTTGGGTTTGGATTTGGATTTGGGATAAGAATCGAGGGCGTTCATCCATTCATGGATTTCCACAGCAAGAGTGTACTCTAGCATTGATAGAAGTATGGCATTAGAACGTGCATATCAAACAGCATACCTTCCTACCTAAGATAGGTAGGCTTTCTCATGCCCTACCGCCTCAGACTCAACCGCCCAGTCATGCCATCCTTCGGTCGCGCCGCGCCATGCAGCACCTGATACGGCTTATGTCCCTCGATAGTCAACCTCTCGACGCCGGGTTTGCCATCTTTATACTCATCCACGGTCTCAATGGGCGTCCACGTTTCGATTTTCTGCCCGGCATACTCGGCCGTGAAATCGAGATCCTTGACGACAAGCGCGAGGGCGATCTTTGTCTCTATCATGGCGAGTTCCTGGCCGATGCAATTCCGGGGACCCTTTTCAAACGGTCTCCACGCGTCCTTGCCCGCGGGCGTGTGCAGCTTGGCGTCCGGGTAGGGTGTCTGGGACGGGAGGAATCGTTCGGGCACGAATTTGATGGGGTCCGGAAAGTACGCGTCGTTGCGGTGGATCATCAGCGCGACGGGCCAGATGTGAAATCCGGCTAGTGGTAACGACTTGCGGCCGGTTTTGGGGTCCGCAGGCAGGACTGTGTCCTTTGACGCGGCGATGTCGGCGGGGCGGAGGAGTTCGCGCAGTGTCGAGGCCGGCGGGAACAGGCGCAGGACTTCCTTGATCACGGCGGTCATGTACTCCAGCTTGTTGATCGAGTGCGGGTCGGACATGATCTGTTCGGCGATCTCGGCGGCGGTGGCGGTGGAATTGGAATCGTCACCCGTACCTGCGCCGGAGCCGGAGCCGTAGACACGGTCAAGCTCTGCGACGAGCTTCGCGTGCACGTCCTTGTGCAGGTGGAGGAGGTACATGGAGTACGAGATTGTCGCGGACGTGGTGTCGTGACCGGCGAAGATGAACGTCTTGATGCTGTCGATGGCGAGAGCGCGGAAGTAACTGTTCATACCAGTACCGATACCGCCGGCATTCTTGCCCTTGCTCATTCCAGCGTTGCCCGCTGCCGCCTCTTGATCGTACGCGTCGAGCGCGAGTTCGATGACAGAGCGTTTGCGGTCTTTGAAGCTTTTCTTCTCCTGAGTGCTGGCCTTTGCCGTTTGTTGCGCGGCGTTGCGATTGCGCGCAGCGACGCGTTCATCGATCTCGGCACCAATGAGGGAGTCGAGTTTGCGCATGTTCCACCAGATACGCACCTCGCGGCCGAGGTTGATGTCGTCCAAGGGCCCGACGCTTGTGGCCGAGGGCATCAGATCGATTTGTCGCCTGAACGTGGTGACAATGGGATGCGGGCTGGGGCCGGTCTGCGCATGAAAGTCTGTGTCCATGACGATCTTGCCGATGATGTCGATCGTGTAGCGGGTCGAGTAGGTGTCGAGGCTGATGAGTTCGCCTTTCCGAGCCTTTTCGCGGAGGATGTCGAGAAAGACGAGCGTTGAGTCAACGATGAGCGGGACGAGGCTGATTAGGTGGCTTGCTGAGAAGCCTGGATTGAAGATTGCCCGGAGCACCTTCCACTGCTGCCCGTCTAGGCCGACCATGTTGTCTCGACCGAGGAGCTTTGTGAGGTAATTTGTGGTGAGATGGGATTTGCGCAGAGATTGGCCCGTCGTGATATATTTGGAAGCAAGTTCCGGGTCGGCGACGAAGAGCCATCGTGGTCCCAGTGGCCACCAGTCGACATAGAAGACATCTACAGGCGAGACTCTGGGTCACTGGTTGTGCATGGAGATGGGAATGCGGACGAATAGACTAACCACCCAAGTCGTACTTCTTCCTCATATAGTTTGACCAGTTTTGCACATGGGTCTGCGGAGGAAACAGTCTCTTGCATTCGCCAGCAAGTGGGAGATGGCCCCAAAACGTGCTGGTCATGGGTGGTTGCGGCTGATGGTGTATTCCAAGTCAGCCAAATCCCAACCTCCTTCTAGAGGTCAAGGGTCGCTTGTAAGCCCTGGACAGGAGACCTACCAGTCCATCGAGCTCTCTTCGTTTCTTGTACAGGACATTGAGGAAGTATGCAACGCCTGCTGATAAGAGGCCCAGAACGGTCGCAAGTAGCCGCAACATCGCTGCATCCAGGGCTCAGCCAGAGCCGTATTGAATAAACAATAAAGCTGGGAGGCCAGAGTCTGTCCAAAGAAAGGCTGGTGTCAGCATTTCCGGGTTGTAGTTGCTGGCTGACATATATCTCATGGCACAGTGACCTTCCGTATGGCGCTTTCAAGGCCCCCAGCTAAGCTGCATGAGGTACTTTCGGCTTCGTATTCGATGGGTTGGCAACATCCCTAGTAAGCTACAGATACGGTACTGGAGACGCCGTGTGAGATAAAGATGTTGTGGTTAAAGACCATGCCCCCATTCCAAGACGGATTCTACATTCATTCCGCACCTCGACAAGTATCGAGGAAAGGATATCTCCTTGCGCGGCAGTTTCCGGAGACTTTGAGTACGCGCGTAAAAAATCCGTTAAAGGGTCGTCGCAGGAAGCTGGCATACGAAGCAAATGTCCTATGCAAACATTGTGACGGCCAGCAACTTGCTTGGTTTCTTGAGCACCACAATGAAGCAGCAAGAAAGCCTTAACCCCTCAAGCCCCTGTACTTCCTAGGTACTGTACGATCTGTCCTTGTTCCTTCAGCAAGACGATATCCTCCTCATGCATACTGCGCTACTGCTACTCCATCAACTCTCCTATCAAAAAGAGCGGCTTCTTGTTACTAAAATTGGGGATATCACCCATGACGACCTTGCCGTCTTCACCTGGTGAACTGTCCACCGTCAAAAACTAACTTAACGCACACTCCTTCTCTCCCTCTCTCCCTCTCTCCCTCTCTCTCACACACACCAAAGGGGGCCCACTTACTATCCAGAGCTTCTCTGATCCCGTGTCCGTCACCATCACCATCCCAAATCAGCACCCCTGCGACACTATATTCAGGCCTCTTCCCATGGTAGAAAGTAGTACTGAACGACAACCCGGCGGATCGAGGTATTTATCTCCCCTTAGGCAAGCACTGTAGTGGATGGTCCTGGGATGAAAACTAATCCCTGTCGCACGCTCGATGTAAGCCCTTCGAAGTTCTACTGATTATCAAAGCGACCCCCAACATCATTGTCTCGAGTTCGACTCTAGCAGTATACACGCTTTCGAGAGGATGGTCGAGGAATAACGAATCAGAAACCTGTAAACGCTCAATGGGGAAGGGGTTGTACATGATCCGATTCGCCTCGCTAGATTCGCTAACAGCATGAAGAGATGGTCATGTCATACAGGTCGATGAATAGCAGGGACGCATGGCGATGATGGCGACAACTAGAGCAGGTGATTAATTATACAAAGAGACAGGAAATCATTGAAAACACTTTATTTGCCAACGACATCCACTAGGATGCCAACTACAACATGGCACGCTCTGCTGGTATCTCATAATCGACTTCCATGATCACAACCATGTATCAAGCCACTGCTGCAAACTCCCGTATGCTGTGCAAAGCCTGCTCACAATTATTCACTGTTCATCTAACGTTCCCTGGATTTCGCCATTTGCGTGCACCATGAACCAACCCAAATCCCGTCGTATCATTCCGTGAACGAAGACCAAGATCGAAGAACGCCGCAACACCAACCAAGAATCCCTCTGTGCCCATGGGTGGCCAAGCTAAGAAACCACGTCGGCAGCATTGGCGTCCTCTTCCTCAAGACCGGTGAGAGTGCCCTCGTCGAAGTCGTCAAAGTGCAGACCAGCGTCACGACAGCGTTGTTGCCATTTGTTGGATTCGGCCCAAGCAGTACGAGCACTCTCCTTCATGCGGTCAAGACGGTTCGTCAATTCTCTCAAGGCAATCTCGAAGGTGGCACGCTCGGTCTGGAACTGAGCCTTCTCGGTTTGCATCTCCAAGATATACTGGTGAGTACGTTGGAGTATAGCTCCCTTGTTCTTCTCAGAGCATGGGACAATCTTGGCAATGTTCTCAATGCCCTCGTTGATGACCTCGCGGCGACGACGTTCGACTAGAACCTGTCAGTATACGTGGCTAGGTGGTGAATTTAGTGCAGCTTACCTTCTTTGTGGTTGTCCTTGCGAAGTTGGTGCCATTCCGAACTGCCCACAGGTGGTTTGTTGTTCTGATTGCCACGAGCATCCATAGGAGATTGCGCCATGCCACCCATGTTGTTCCCCATATTATTTCCCATGTTGTCCATGCTGGCGCCCATGTTGTTGCCCATTCCAGCCATGGCGGGAGGACTGTTCTCGTCAAAGGCTGACGACAACGCGGCAGCTCCATCAAAGGATGGTGGCTCAGGATATGCAGATTGGCTCATAGGCGCAGCGAGAGCAGCTTGCGCGGTTCGCGTGCTGTCGTCTGTACCCGAGACACCTTCGAGACCTTGGAGGAGTGCGGCATAGTCCTGGTGTTCTCCGTTCGTAGTTTGCGCCTTGGCTTCGCGACCGCCTCCCTGGTCACCTGGGCCTCTCTTGCGCTTGTTGTTAGGGTTCATCTTAGGATCCGGAGCTTCCATGGACGAATGGCAGTCGGCGACCTGATGTACAAAGGTTTCCACTTGAGGATGTCTTGAACGGGCACTCGAAGCCTGTCAAGCTGGTGGACGGTGGTCCGACAGGGCAGTGTAGAGTAGGGCAGTGAGATGAAAGGGTTAATCTGTTCAGCATCGAGGTTAGCCATGGTCAAAGTCGCCTAGTGATTGTAAACAAGATCCGAAAGGGTGAGCTCAGGTGCAGATGATGGGGATGTGGATTTTGAAGGGTCATCTGAGGCAGGCTGATGGGAAGCGAATGATGATGCGAGATTCAGACGCGCTGCTCTCGCTTGCACTTGACTGCCCTTCAGCTCGAGCCAGGCGACGCGCTTGAAGGTGCAGTGAAATTTTCAGTTGTCGCTGAGAGCATAATGAGCGAGGTGCAAGCGACATCACCAATAATTGAGATGATCGCGATGAAGGCGACGGGCTCGAATGCGCTCCTCTGGCCGCGCGATGATGGCAAGCCCGCGCCTTCAGAACGGAGACGAGGGGATTTCCACGTGAGCTGGTCACATGTTGAGAGTTGAGATGGGGAACTTACAGTCAGTCGGAGAAGCAAATGTGCTTGTGAATCACCAGGAACCGGAGGAACTTGTTCGCACAAAGCGAGATCGAAGGTGAGAAGGGTCTGTGAGTGCTTGACTATTCAGCCAAACAAGGACAAAAGCATTCAGTGTGAATTGCTGTGTCGGAACTCGAGATGGTTTCTAAGAGTATGAGAGAGCAAGGTCAAAATGTCATGTGACACGTCGCGCTAAACACTACAATTCACGCTAGACCACCTTCAATCTAGCCCAAACTGCACTGTCTGACTTGCTTGTCTGGTCCTATTTCCAACTCACATATCCAGTCTTTTCTCTTCATGTTGTGAGGAAACGTCCTCTTGGTCGAAAGGAAGACAGTGTCCAGTGTCATATCGCGGTGTTCTATTACCAAAGGACAGTTCGACCCCTCAACCCACAATCTCCTATACACGAGGGATGTACATGCCTTGCCAGTGTAAAGCATCGAGGTTGCGGATTGTTGCTTGCTTTGTCAGACCACAAAAGCCTTTGGCCAGGCTCGCACCAAAAGTCCCAAAGTGCATGTGATCATCAACTCACACTGGGTGCCCGTCACCTTTTCTCTTCAACTCCAGCTGATGGTGCATCTCGTGACTGTGGCTGACAACCCCTCCATCACTGCAAGTGTGTGCTGCATCAAATTAGTAGAGTCGCTTCCCAGTATCTTGAATGTTCACCCCTGGGGCGATCCACCGGCGTGGACATCCGTGGTCCATGAAAATTAGTGCAATATTCTGCCCCCTGTAGATGCATGTGATTAACATGAGAAGACAATAGCTTGAAGTCCTTCGCTCGGTCCGTGTACAAGTGTGAGCGACAGTTGGTCGAGACAATTGTCGGTGGTTTTTGTCTCCCTCTCACTAGCCTTCAGAGAGGCTCCACACAAGCCTGACAGTCGTCCCCATTGTCCAACAATTGAAGGTCTGGATGCTTCGTTGGCTGCAAGTACTGCTGAGCTCGCTCTTTATTCTATGGCGGCATCTCCAGACTCAAGACCGGGTTTGAGCGTGATCGCGTATTTCGGTGGACTCTGCGTATCCACAAGGAGCACACCCTCTTGTGCTCGGCCAAAGATGTCCCATATCCTCACTTGGTGTCCCTTCTTCATCCCCATGACACAGCTGCTGCCAGCGTACCTTACCTCGCCAATTCTTGGAGTGATACCTTCCTCTCCCGTCCTATTGGCGCAGATAACAATAGCTTCGGTGTCAGGGCCTTGCGGTCCGAAAAGCGGGCTGAGCCTGTCAACCCAGTAATTGATGGTGTCATGGTCCGGAGTCATCACCTGACTCGACACCTCCTCCGCGCTCAGCCTCGTGAGCCAGGCCATGCTAACGACAACAATCCTGGCACGGGACTCTCGCGCGTGATTGCCAAACTCGTAGGCAGTCCAAGGTGCTTCGAACTTGTAGGGATTCAGGTCCATGCAGATCCCTGCCGCAGCCTTGACCTGCTGACCCTTCCCTCCTATTGGTAACACACCCGCCCAGAAGCCTGAACCTTCTTGAGCCCACGTCTCGTCGGTATAGTACAGGAAGGACTTCCGGTAGTGGGCGACGACGTCTCCAGCAGAGCTAACAAAGACAAGAGAATTGTAGGCAATGGTGCCTGCTTCAGCGGTGATGTGCCTATCGAAGATAGTGTTGTAGTTGCCTTCTTCAGCCGCTTCCGGATATCCAACGGCGACGGTACATTGCAGACGTTTGGCGGTTCGAGCGGCCCACCTCGTTGAGGGACCTGCTGCTGTGGGCTCAAGGAAAGGTGCAATGGCTGCAAGGGAAGGGTGGTTGTACCCTGTCGCGATTGTCAATTCGAGAGACTTCCGGCCAGCGCTTATGACACTAGCTCCAGGGCTACCAAAAGCAGGATATGCCTCTCACTAATTCATTGTTTTGACGTTGTTGATTCGCAGTGATGACTTACCAGTAAATGCAAGCTCAGGCAGAATCAAGAGATCGATATCCTGGAGTAGACCTTCTCTTTCCTCCCGCATGAGCAAACTCTCTGCCCGGCTGAAATTTGCTGCCACCTCTCCCAAGCGTGGGAAGAACTGAAGCGTAGAGATTTTCATTTTGAGTCAGCCAGTGGGCAGCAGTCCCAAAGTGGACAGCAGAGATATCTGGGCCTTTTCAGTAGCTCATGGCGTTCAAGAGCCGCTGTGATCAATTTTCTGACCAGCAATGGCCATCCGATAGTCGCGGTGAAGATCAAAAGGAAACATCTGAGTTCACCTACGTTCGAGGTACGGAGTACACCTAGAAGATAAGCCAATTTTCGTGTCCTACCCATTTGCGTCACCGTCCATACTACGGCGGAGGTTTGTGCTGCCTATGGCATAGGCGAGGTTGAATCCTTGAGTCCTTTGAGTCTGAAGAATCATTGGCAGTTTCCAAGTAATCGTAGAAAGGCTTTTAATTGCCGATTCCAAGTAAAGTCCAGCAGGAACTCAATATACAATACGACTTACTGAGAACGATGTCCTCTCTGTGTGGTGCTTTACACGTTCCCCACTACTCGTCAATGTCCTCTCCAGCCTTCTCTCTCTTCTGCTTCTCCCGCTCCCGCTTTCTATCCAATAATCTATTCAGCTTCTTTGCAACATTGAACACTCCACCAGTTCCCGTCCCGCAGGCAGCACAGGACGGGTCCTTGCGATATCTTTTCAAAGCACATGCCTCGCAGAAGTAGTGGCCGCACTTGGTGACAATCGGGTTTTTGTAGGGCTGTTTGCAGATGATGCAGGCGAATGGTATGCTTTCCAGCAGGGCCTCATCATCCTCATCCTCCTGCGTTTGACCACGATTAGCGGAGGCGACAGTCTTCCCAGTCAGCTTCTTGCCCTTGGTATCAATCTCCCAATCCCGATCGAGTTGCCAGCCTTGTTTGTAGTCTTCTCTTGCATGTAGGAACTTGCAGCTGTCTCCAAAACCGCAAAAACCAGTCTGTTTGTAGTCTTTACACACATCCGGGGCAAAGTCGGTTACGGTTATTGTCCTGACATTGCCCGATTGTTTGACCGGCCCAACTTGCTTGCCTAGACGGTCCGGGTTTTTCTGTATGAAAGATTGGTAATTCGCAGCACCTTTGTATGTGCCATCGGACGTGACGGTGTCTTGTAGCTTCGATGTAGGCTTCTCTTTTCTATCATTTTCCTCATCATACCAATCCGCTCTCTTAGTCGCGTCGTCTTTATTCGTAAGGGCCACTATTGCGGCGCCGGAAGTCTCTTCGGCTGCTGCTACCCGGGGATTAGGGTTGTGTGATGAAGATGCTGTCACACCTAAATTCTTGCGCCTTCGCTTGACGGCTCTTCCCTCCTCGTCTTCTGAAGATGTGAACCCTGAGTCCGAATCGCGCTCTGGAGGAGGGGTAGCCACCCTCTTTCGAATTGTGGACTTGGGTTTCGCATTGCGCTTCTTGAAGGTCACCTGAGGTACATCCACGGCAGCTTGAACGTTGTCCATGATTGGGTGTCAAGTGAATGAAAAGTGAAGAATAAGAAGGACAGCGCCAAATATGAATGACGAAAAGTCGGGGCAGGGCAGGGCACTTCCAGATGCAGATGGCAAGATGATTCTAGCGCAAAAGATTGCTTGCATAAGCCAAGCATTTCTAAGCGGATGATCTGCAGCACTAAACCTTAATGTTCTCGCCACAGCTTCCCCTTTCGTAGCTGCATTAATTCCTCTAGGTGTCAGCAGTTCGAATTTGAATGCTTTCACATCGTTCAATGCACATACATTCGATGGATCATTTTTGACCAAACACGCTCTTTACGATGTCTCTGCCGTATCCATGATTTGAACAGCGGCTCGGGTGTCTCCGTTGACTCAATAACTCGGGAAGGCTATGTCCGCGCAAGTTGACCCCAGCCCACAAGCTGAGAGCTCCCACAGTGGTCCTCCGGCAGTAGCAAGGCCAACCGCAGGCACAGAAGGCCGAAATCGGCAGAAGGTCGTCGCTTTCAAGGTTTCTCACGTTTTGCTCAGCGTCTTCTTTCTCTGGCTTACGTACTTAGACCCGTGCCCCGTGGAAGAATCATGCTGACCGGCGCAGAATTGTTCATGTTATTGGCATTCTCTTCTTTGCGAAAGGTTTCCTTCTCACCAGGCTCGTTCTGGACAACAAGTCCGAGTGTGCTGTACTTCCAGATGGGCAACCGTCCAAAGAGACAAACGGATGCTGGCATCCAAAGACCTTCGAGCGAGCTGTGATTATAATAGTCGACGCGTTACGATACGACTTTACCGTTCCTTCCACAGGCAAACATTTCCTAGACGAACCTCAACAGAAATTCTACCTCGATAATCTGCCCGTTCTGTATGACACTGCCGTTGCCCAGCCGGAGCATGCATTTCTACTACCTTTCATTGCCGACCCTCCCACGAGCACTCTCCAGCGACTCAAAGGCTTAACAACCGGCACCCTTCCTGTGTTTATAGACATTGGTTCGAATTTTGCGGGTACCGCCATTGAGGAGGATAATATTGTGTCACAGATGAAAGATGCAGGGAAAACAATTGTACATTTGGGAGACGATACATGGCATGCATTATTTCCTGGATATTTTGACCCAAACATGACTAAACCATATGATTCATTCAACGTCTGGGATTTGCATACGGTCGACAATGGGGTCATTGAGCATATCATGCCGCTGCTCGATCAATCTCCTGTTCAATGGGATGTTCTCTTTGGCCATTTTCTAGGCGTTGACCACGCCGGTCACCGCTATGGACCCCAGCACCAAGCAATGGCCGAAAAGCTACGACAGATGAACGGGGTTATAGAGGAGATCATGAAAAAACTCGGCGACGATACTCTTCTTGTAATTATGGGAGATCACGGTATGGACGCCAAGGGCGATCATGGAGGAGAGTCAGATGACGAGGTGGAAGCTGCCCTGTGGATGTACTCGAAGAAGCCACGATTTGGGAGGACACACCAGGACGCTATGATGCCGCCAAAAACTGCCAAAGAGAGACCTGTAGGACAGATCGACTTGGTATCGACGCTTTCAATTCTGCTCGGTCTCCCAATACCTTTCAATAACCTTGGCAAGCCCATTGCCGAAGCCTTTGCAGGACCTGGAAGGACAAACTGGAAGAACCTTGTAAGAGTCGAGCATCTAGCACAGACCCAGATTGCGCGGTACCAGGAGCATTACTCCCAATCCCGAGACCTCGGACTCGATGATGATGTATATCAAGATCAAACCATGCATATGAGACGATCGGCAGAAGCAGTGGTGAATGGCTACTGGGAGGACGCCTACGGTGCTCACGTTGATTGGCACAAGGAAGTCATTGGCATGTACCGAAAGCTATGGGCCAATTTTAACTTGGCCGACATGCTGTATGGAGTGGTCATCTCAGGCCTCGCTCTTAGCTTTCTGCTTTTCTTTGCTCGCTTTTCCAAAGCAGACAGGTCCATCGTTACAACCAGTCTGCTCAGGAGTGCTGGCCTGGGAACTGCTGCTGGCGTAGCAGTCGGCCCAGTGTTGGGCGTTGTGCTACCGACCTATTTTACCGCTGTCGCCGGTCTTGTGTTTGGCGCCACTGTTGGGGGTATTATCAGTGCTGGCGTGTGGTGTTATCAAAACCGAGTGGCCAAAAAGTTTCATTTTCCTTCAGCATGGGGTGGGATGGCTGTCATTTTCGTTGTCAGCCAGTCAGCCGGATTTGCTTCCAATTCCTACACCATCCACGAGGATACTATTCTCCTATTCTTCTTGACCACCTTTGGCATCATGTCCATGATGTCTTCACTGCGACAAGCATATCAGGCAGACCGAGTTTTGGGTGTATACCAATCAGTATTGTTCATACTCTTGGCTCGACTTGCGTCATTCTCGCGTCTATGTCGGGAGGAACAGATGCCAGGGTGTCGATCGACTTTCTACGCCTCTTCAACTTCCTCGACCTCTGCGCCGTGGCAATTGTTGATCCCGTATTTAGTGGCTTTGATCTTACCCGAAATCGTCAAGGCCTTTTATCGTGGCACGGCCTCTTATGCTGGCTCGGCGGAGTTCTGGATAGGCTTCTGCTTGCGCTTGGGGTTATTACTTGTCGCGGCCTACTGGACACTTGATGCTGCGGACAATGGCGAGTGGTGGAGAGATCGGATATCCTCGTCAACTCTTCAAACGATCAAAATTACGTTGGCCCGATGTGCTCTTGCCGTTGCTGTCCCAGTTGGAATGGGTACTTTTATATGGGCCAAACCTTGCATCGATATCTCCATCGTCGAACCGACAGCTCCGGTCGATGAAACAGATGCGCCGGCGCGACCGCAACTTACCATCTTCGGCTATGCAAATGCATATGGCAGCCGATATTTCCTCATGATCCCTACTTTGGTCCTGACTGTGGCTCTCTTGCTTCCACCTATGGGTCAATTCACGATTGCAATTTGTGCCTGGCAGGTCCTTTGTCTGCTCGAAATCCTGGACACGAATGCCCTTAGCATAACTTCGACCTCGCAATCCGGCATTGGACCAATCATGCTTGCTCTGCTCGGGTCCTACCACTTCTTCAAGACGGGACACCAAGCCACTCTCGCATCAATTCAATGGAACTCGGCTTTTGTACCTCTCCGCACCATTCGGTATCCCTGGTCTCCGCTGCTGGTCATTTTGAACACGTTTGGTGCACAAATCATATGTGCCGCGGCTGTTCCTCTGACTGTGTTCTGGAAAAGACCATTGGGTAAAGCTGGACTCAAGGGGTTGTGGAACGATGTAGTCAATGCATGTCTCACGCATGCGCTGTATTATGCTACGATCCAGCTGGCGACCACGTTGTGGGCAGGACATCTACGGCGGCATCTGATGCTGTACAGAGTATTTATGCCAAGGTACTTGATGGCAAGTGGTGTTCTCTTGATAGTGGATGTTGTACTTGTCGTTGCTGCTCTTGCTGGAGCCCGAGTCGTTGGGTTGAGTGTTGGGGAAGTGTTTGGCTATTAACATCAGTATCTACGAGTATTCCAGACCAATCAATGGCTGTTGGTCTCATCATGTAGTCGTCCTTGTCGTGTACTCCGAAGGGGTGATACAGGAACAGCACTGTCTAACCACAAAGGGAATCCACCCCTTGAACTTTCCTTAGTCACCTCGTCGTCTCGTCACCCAGCGCCTGACAGTCATTCAGAATACGCTGAGTCAGGCTGGCACCCGGTCGCCTCGCACCACAAGGACTTCTGAGGAGGAGGTGGGTGAAGTTGCTGTATTGAGGAAACGTGCTGTGGAAGTCTGTGGTTTCGGTGGTCATTTAATCCGAGCTGGTTACGTCATCCGGGCGTGACGGAAACACCTGCATTGAACCCCCACCATCATCCACCATCATCCACCATCACCACGTATCTCAACCCATCACAGTCGCCATTAACCGACCGACGAAGATCGATCCATTGAGACTATTATATCTTCGTGGTCCTCACTTTTTTCTCTGGAAATTTCTTCTCACTATCTTTCTGCCTCTACATCTTACCTCTCTCACAAGCTTCTTCGTTGTCTGAGAAAGCTTTACGAGTACAACTGTCTCAATAAATTACTCCCGTCCACATCATACCCCTCACTTCTAGTATATACCTACCACCTTAACACCACACGCAGTCAAAAATGCCTATCCCCGTGCCAAAAGCAACCGAGTTGAAGGACCTCTTCTCCCTAAAGGGCAAAGTGGTCATTGTCACCGGCGCCTCCGGCCCGACTGGCATCGGCACTGAAGCCGCGCGTGGCTGCGCCGAAATGGGCGCCGACGTCGCCATCACCTACTCGTCCCGCCGTGAGGGAGGCGAGAAGAACGCCAAAGAGCTGTCCGAAAAGTACGGCGTCAAGTCCAAGCCCTACAAGTGCAACGTCGGCAGCTACGCCGAGGTCGAGCAGTTGGTCAAGGACGTCGTCGCCGACTTCGGCAAGGTCGACGTCTTCATCGCCAATGCCGGCCGCACCGCCGACGCCGGCATCCTCGACGCCCCTGTGAGCCAGTGGGAAGAGGTCATCCAGACCGACTTGACCGGTGTCTATCATTGCGCGAGAGCGGTTGGCCTGCACTTCCGTGAACGCAAGACGGGCAGCTTCGTCATCACGGCCAGCATGTCTGGACACATTGCCAACTACCCGCAGGAACAGGTGCGTTGTTTTGCCCCCCTCTCTTCTCCTAGTTTCCCATACACCCTCCGGCAAGAACATCCCACTAACACTGCATTTGCAAATGAACAGACATCCTACAACGTCGCCAAAGCCGGCTGCATCCACTTGGCACGCAGTCTCGCCAACGAATGGCGGGACTTCGCCCGCGTCAACTCCATTTCCCCCGGCTACATCGACACCGGCCTGTCCGACTTCGTGCCCCAAGACATCCAGCAGCTCTGGCACAGCATGATCCCCATGGGCCGTGACGCCAAGGCCACCGAGCTGAAGGGCGCCTTCGTCTACCTCGCCAGCGACGCGAGCTCCTACACCACCGGTGCCGACATCGTCATCGATGGCGGGTACACTGCTAGGTAAAAAAAGAGGGGCAGCCACACAAAAAAGCAGCAGGAGGTCGTGACATTCATTACCAGGGCGAAGGGGGGAAGAAACAACTGAAAAGGAGATAAGAGCTGTCACAGGGAGTTATGGCTGCTGCCATGGTGATGCATGTGGTGATATGCTAAAGTATGAGGAACGGGAAAAGGTGCAGGCACAATGAGATGTGCTGTGCTGTGTTGTGACGTGGTCGAGTAGATCATTGCTGCCAGACGGGCAAATCCACTTTTGATGGTCCGCTGGCTGGCATGATTGATTGATCGAGTCCCCCCTTAAATGGATGGTCCGATGTCATTGCTGATATAGAAAATGAAGAAGTGGCAATCAAAGTCCATGAATCTTGACTGCGAACGCATTTCGTTAGTATCGTTCTCAGTTTCTGTAGAACGCCACTCATTCGTATGGTGGCCGAGGCTGCTGATCTACAATTGATGCGATGTAGCTGGTCAAAAGATGTTTGTCCGCAAGCGTAGTAGCATCACTTTCGAGACCTGAAAGTTGCTAACAATGGAGAGCCTGGCCGTTTCAAGCACCGGTGAATGTCAAGGGCAAAACCTTCTCAATGTTTCAGACGCCTCCTTCGGCGCAGATCTCTGTTTCGATTCCATTGGCAACAACGCCCGTCGCTATGCTATGCTGTGCTAACCGCAATGCTCAATGCTCAGTTCCAATTATACAGCCTCAGGGTAGCTAGCCCCCGGTCAAGGTCCACCATTGCCATATGTAAACGCCGTGCTCCTGTCTAATATCCATCGTCCGTAGATGGCGTGCCCAGAACTTTTGGATCGCCATACGCTCCATTCGTGATATTTGAAATATCCAAGCTCACCTCTGCTCATGGCAAAGGGTCAGTATGATGCTTGCGCGAAAATGCAAGAATGTTCGCTGAAATTTTTGGTCGTTGTGCTCATCTTCGTTTCATAAACATATCATCCGCATTGGTCTTCTTCTTTCGAACCATCGGCGGCCCATGGTTCACGGCTGGAGGCCGACCGCCTGGCCCCCCGGGTGGTCTGGGAGGTAGGCCTGCAGGTCCCGTTGGTGGAGGACGAGAAAAGCCCTGGCTGGTAGTAGCACCACCCTTCGGCACACCACCAGCAGGGCCATGCATGGCGACCTTATCTCTCTTCGGCAGATTACCTCGATCAGAAGAATCACTCGATGCATCTCTCTTTCTCTTCGCCTGGTGTGCTGCACCATTGAGAGGCGAAGCCGTGCTCTTTACGGTTGGAATCTTTGCCCCGTGCTCACCCAGCTGCTTCTCGGCCCGTCTTTCTCGTGCCTTGTCCCTAGCATTTCCAAAGCGAATCTCCTGTTTCTGCACCTCGGCTTGTTGGGCTTTGGTCAACCTATACTTAATAGGCGCCACACATTTGTCAGTAGTGTGCCCAACTTCGCCGCACGAGATACATCGAGGTGCAGAGCAGCTCGAGTAGCTGTGTCCGCCGCTATGACAGCGGTGACAGTTTCCCATAGCAGCAGCTTTGGCCTCTTCGTTGTCGCAGTTGAAGCTGAAGTGCTCATAAGAGCCGCATATCGTACAGTTGGCCAGATCGTTCAAACCAGTCCTACCGCCTGAAGGACCGTAAACACCCGATCTAGGTTGATCGGACCCAAAATGCTCACGGTCTGTGTGGACTTCTGGCCCTGGCTTGGGCGGCAGCGGTCTCGATTCGCTCTTGAGATCTGGTCTAGACGGCTCTCTCGTGCCCTCGGGACGTGCCAAATCTGAACGTCTCAGCTCAGCACTCGAGGATGTCGAGGCGATGGAATCATGAGAAGCACTACTGCCTGGCCTGGAAGGTAAAGGCGTGGTTTGATTCGACGAAAGCCTTGAACGAGGTTCATCTCTTCTTATCGGTGTTGGTTTCGGTGTTTCCGCAGCTGAGTTTTGACGGCTAGCAGGAGGTCGTACAGCCTCGGATCTTGGTCGATCAATGTCCATGCCAGAGTCGTGGCGGGAAACTGAGGGACGGCCGACCTCGGAGTCTCGTCCATCAACTTCCATCATGTCCACGTCGTCTTTCATCATATCCTCAGTCAAGAGTGGCCGTCGAAGCAGGTTCGTAATGTTTCCTTCCGTGTATACATTTCTGCTCTTCGCATCGTTGACAAGCGCCCGCCAAAACTCGCCCTGCATGAGTGCCTGCGAATTACCAAGGACCCACAGCGAGCACATGGCTCTCGTTAAACCGACGTTCATACGGCGGATGTCTTTCAGGAAACCAATACCTTGAGTAGAGGCTCGGACACAAGAAAATATAATGATCTCACTTTCTCGGCCTTGAAAAGCATCGGTGGTGTTGAATTCGACCTTGGAAGTGATATCCTCGCCATATCGCTGCTTGAACCGCAGCCTAAGCTCCTTCAGCTGACCTTTGTAGGGAGTGATGATGCCAATTTTGCGGGAGAAATCGTACTTGGGTACGTCACTCACCAATCGATCATAGAGCTGCATTGCAACATTCAATTCAGCAATATTGACGAGCGAATGACCCTTGGTAGCAGCCTGGCTCATGCCCTGCACGTCAAAGAACCGATACGGAGCGAAAATGTCGCTGTGGTGCCAAGGTCGGTGTCGGAGTTTTGCCATGCCAGCACCATCTTTGAGCCGAGAGTCGTAGAACGTCTTGCTCGGGAAGAGACTGATTTCTGGATGCATACGATACTGGGTATCCAAGAGATGCACGTCTTTTTTGTGATTGTTCTCCATACGGGCAAACAAGCTCTGCTCGTATTGGAATTTGGCAGCAGCCCGAGACAGGACGGTCGGCGGTAGTTGTTTCGGGTCACCAACCAGGATGCATTTTGAGCATCCATACTTGAGTGGAATGAGCGCCGAAAGTTCGATTGACTGAGCAGCTTCATCGATAATGACGGTCTCAAACTCGATATTCAAGCCTTGGAAGATTTCGTGCCCACTTCCGCTGAGGGTGGCGCACAGAACGTGGGCTGAATCGAGGATCTCCTGCTGAATTCTCTTTCGGCTGAGCTCCATGTCACGAGTGGCAGTGTTTTGGCGTTCTCGCATGTCGTCGATCTTCGCACTCAATCCATTTTTCTTGCGTTTCAGGGCGTCCATGAGCTGCTCGTCGGAGCTCGGCACCGTTTGGCCTTTGCCACGCTGGTCGTTGATCCGATCACGAAGCGTGTTCAGCTCTTCGGATACCGCCTTGTGCTCCATCATGACCGAATGAATGTCTTCCCGAGGGTCTTTTGGTGCTGCGGAGTTAAGTTTAGCGTTGACGAGCTCCTCCAGTGTAACGTCTTTCACATTTGCGTTGATAGCATCGGTTCGCCCCAGACGCACCACCGACAAATTTTCCAATGTGCCGTCCATGAGCGTGACACCCAACTTCAATCTCATGACAAGTTCATCGACAGCTGCATTACTGGGAGCACATACCAATATCTTTTTTGTGGCTGGAGGAGCCGTGATGGGACGACCTGTTGCTGTATTCAATCGAGGAGCATTGGTATTCGTCTTCTTAACGAAGCCCGTCATCATGGCACCAACCAGTCCGCAAATGGTTTTCGTCTTTCCGGAACCTGGAGGACCCTGGATCAAGGTAAAAGCATCATTGTCAAGCGCTGACTTGATGGCTTTGGCCTGGGCTAGATTGACGTTGTACGTCTTCTTGAAGGGTTCGAGATCCTTATCCGAATAGTCCAGAATTGGCGATGGTTTGGCTCTGATGATCTCCTCGGAGAGATCGTAGTACTGCAGTGCCATCAACGCGCCGTATTCTCGCTCCAGTGGCGTGAGGGAAAGAACTTGTACACCGTAAACGGTTGCGTTATCGTTCAAGAACGGCCGCAGAGGGTTGCCTGCCGCGCAGACACGATAAACGACCTGGACTTCACCCTTCTTTCTGGTAATCTCCTTCACACGTGCTAAGCAATGTGGCTCGCTCGAGTCTCGATCCGGTTGCTTAGATTTCGACAGGAGAACAACATCCGCGGTCCCGATTCCAAGATCTCTGCCTTCTGCCATAGACATTTGAGAATTGATCTCAACAAAATTGTCAACGATCAACGAATTGGCAACTTTCACCTCAAATGGTTTGAAATTGCCATCTTCGCGAGCGGCTCGGAAGCTTTGCCAGCCTTCGAGTACGAGGAGCGGTTCGAAGGTCTTTTGATAATCCTGGGGACTCCGGAAGGTTTCTGTTACCAAAGTGTAATCATCCATCATCGAATTAGGAGGAAGATCGGTGTCTGCAAAGAAATCCCAACTAAGGATCGTCCGGTGAAGATCAGTCAGATCGGGGGCAAGCCGGGCTCTGATATCGCGCTGCGAGCGAACTTGTTTGACTTTTCGTACTGGACCAGCGGGCATAGGTTTCCTCACGCCGGCTTGACTGCGCACCGTCGGGCCTTGGGCTGTAGGTAGCTTGCCAAACAATTCTTCGTCTGAATCCGTCTCAGACTCAGAGTCCGACGAGACCATAAGACTGCTAGCCCTGGCAGCGTGGTCCTTGCCTACCACCCCAATGCCTGCGAGACCGGAGCCTTGACCAGCGGTCTGCTGACCAACTCCCACTCGGCCTCTGAGCTTCAGAGCAGCTTCCTTGTCTCTTAACTTCTGAGCGGCCACCTCTCGTTTGCGGTTTTCAATGAAGGCCTTGGCTTCTTGCGCCTTCCTGGCTGCAATGTCTATCGAAGCTGACTTCGCAGCGTTTTGCTTCACAGGTTGCGGTCGCGAAAGCAACGACCGTATCTGATTCTTGTCTTTGACAGTGACGCTGGTCTTGTGAGTGTTGAGTGTCTTGCTAGCGATCTCGACAAGATCTTCATCTGCAATGTCATCGTCGCCGAACTCGTCGACACTGACTTCTCGAGACCCAGGCGTAGAAGCTTCGGATCGAGTGACAGCTGCAGAGTCAGTCCATCCTTTCAGGTCGAGAGTGGACTGCTTCTTAGGGACGTGTCTCTCGATTTGTCGGCCCCAGTAATTTTCTAGTGCTCGGACTAGTATTGCCTTCTGAGACGAAGTAAGAATAGTCTTGATGGACTGTTTTGTCGTGACTTCCTGGATGTATGCTAGTCCTTCACTTTCTGTCACCAGAACCTGATGCCCTTTCAGACGGTACAACATATTGGTGATGAGTGACACTAGGGTATCAGCCAGATATTCGTCACGTAGCCTCAGCCACTTCGACATAGCATCCAGTGTACTCAACGGCGACCCTATTCCAGGGTCATCTGAATCCAGTAGGAGCCTCGGAATTTCTTGAGCCTTATCCGGCTTTGCCCTCGTGATGACACTGGAGAAGAGATCGTATTGCTCAAAAAGAGCTCCAGCGTATTGCATGGCATCTCGACAAACTTCAATCATGAGGCTTTTGTTATGGAGCTCTAGTGACCATCGTTCGGTTTGACTGTAGATAACCCTAAGAGCAATCCACTGGTACGACCAATAATTCTGGATAGCAGAAGCATCTCGTCCTGAGATCTTGGCTTTTCTCAATTGGCCGTCCATAGGATTGCAAAGAATGTCAAGGATTTCCATGCCGGTCTTGAGTATCCGTGGTACAGAAGCAAATGTTTTGTAGTTAGCTATTCGCCGGAAGGTCCAGCAAACACCGTAGATTGTGGTCCCGAGGAATGCTCCAAACAGATGCGCCAACGCTTCCTTCCGGCCAGATTCTCCACTGATGTTTTTGACCACATCGATGGCCGCTAGATACGTGCTCTGGTCGGGCGAGAAGAGAGCAGCAATGAGAGGCATGCTGGTTTCTTGGGCTTTGAACAAGAGGTCGAGATGAGATGGGCTGAACTCTGAAATCCGTTCGAGAAGTTTTCCGAGCATTCCAGTGAGCTTGTCAAATATGGAATTAAACGACTTCTTTTCTTGTATCGCGCTTGAGCCTTCCCTGATACGAATTTGTTCAAGGCCTGGCAAAGCCATTATCCCCAGTAGCGCTGCCGAGGAAAGGTGAGGATCGCTATCTCTTAGGTTGTTGGTGATGGCAGTCCAGAGTTCCGGTGTATACGAGCTTGACCCGTGTCGCAGATGTCCCTTTGTGCTCAGAATTTCAAAATCCGCCTTCAAGCATTGACATTCGAGCGCGACGGCATTTTTCGTCAGGGTTAGAGCATTATTTCTCGCTTCCGGCCCCACCGCCTCTGCCAGTGCCGGGTCCTTGGGATTCAGGATCTCGTCCAGACGATGACCAATGAGATTCAGAGTGTCGGACAGGACCAAGCGTTCGACATTCTTTTGGTCGTCCTGATTGCCAGTAAAGCACATCACTGTACTCAGAAGGACGGTCACCGCTGTTTCGAAGCATGTCAGCCGGGCAGCAAGTTCAAGATTCCGGTTATCGATGCGGTCGAACAGTTGAGCAACAATGGTCTGGGCAGCCGCTGGTCGATTGGCCGGCTTGAGAGACAACAAGAACGAGGAGATCCAAGAAATCACGTCGTTATCGGCCTTGATATTGGGCCTAGGGTCGGGTTTGACAAAGTCCTGGAGGTGCTTGTTGAATTGAGGGCTGGCAAAGACCTGTTCAACAATGGTCTGCGAAGAAATCGAGCCCATTGCCTGCCAAAATGCATCAGGTGCTTTGTCGAGTATATCTTGCAAAGTCTGAACAATAAAGGGGATCGCTCCCGACCGTTTGGCCAGGTGGTTGAGGGCAGTGGTACAGATATTCGGCTGCAAGTCGAACAGCTTGTATGTGATCATTCGTTCGTCGAGTTTGCTGACTACGAGCTTGAGGGCAGACCATAATCTGGTAACGTCGCTCGGGTCCGAGGTTTGTTGTAGCTTCTCTTGAAGAAAGTCCTTGATCGCCCAGTCCCATTCAATATCCCTCAAGAATCTATCGAGCCGCTTCCAGATCGAACTCGCCCAATTAAGGCGTACCGAGTTGGTGGAGAACAAGAATCTCGTGGCGGCTGGCAGTATTTCCCGCATCTTAAGCGGCCTCTTGGCTTGAATTGCCTTGAACGGTCCATCAAAATGTTGCTTGAGCAGGGTTTCGTTTTGCAGAAACACTTCGCATATGAGCGCCTCGTACAGGGCATGCAAATCCTTGGGTGTCAAGGCTGAGGTCTGTCTCTGCGGTTCCGGCAGGCTCTGGAGAGTCTTGTCTGCAGAGTCGAGACCTCGAATAATGCGCTGGACATCTCGTCGGTTGATGATGGAAAAGAAATTCTTGATGTCTTCCTCCTCATACTCTTCTCTCAGGGCAGTCAAGAAGTCCACTTTTGCTATGTAGTATTCGCGAATGCAGATGTCGCATTTGGCCAAGGCCTCGTCAAGGGTGTCCCAGATGAAGTTTTGATATTGTTCGCTCTGAGATCCGTCGTAGGCAAGAAGTTGCAGCGATGAAATGAACTTTTTTCTCCGGGCCTTGGTCTCTTCAATTCTGGCATTTCTCTCCGGATCATCCTTGCCCTCGACATCTGCGTCCGGATCCCGCTCATCTTCGTAACGGTCGGGGTCATCGTCGTTTTCTCGAGGACAGAGAAGGTGTTTTCCAGCAGGGAGTTGCTTGATCTCTCTGAAAGTCACAGGTAATCAGCACGGCAAGATCTTCCACTAGGACATTCCAACATCTACTTACTGCAACGTCGTTATGAACTCCGCCATGATTGTGCTTCAAGTGAGGGGAGAGCACAGGTCGAGATGCTCTGAACGAACAGGAGGTCCTCTCTCATAGTCATGGCAAGATGATGGTGAGTGTGAGAGTGATTTGGTATCTGTCAAGGATGATGGTGATATCCAAGCATGGTGTGTAGTGGGTTGAGGCAAAATGTGTCGTTGTTATGCTGGCTTTGGCTCAGGCTTTGCACAGGCAGCGAGTGTCGGATTCATTCAATTATTTCTCCGCAGGACCCGCGCAGCGCGTCAGTCAAACACAGGAAAGTCGCGTGCTGGCAAAGGGAGAGAGGGCCACCAGTTAATGGGCTTGGCGTGTGTTAATCATCAATGGCCCATGTGCTTCTAGTTACAGTAAACTCACTACGCACCCACCAGCTCAATTTCAGGATGATAAACGTGAATGATGGTAACACCGGTGAGTGAGATCAATCTTTCTGTTTACTCTGGCAAAGCTGAAACCTCAGTGGATGTTCACTTTTCTAGTCAACTTCCATTTTACCCCGGCTGGCGGTAGATTCTAACCATGTACAAAGGATAGGCTCGCTCTAACATATTCCAACCACTCGTTCCCTGAGTGCCCATCCCCGTCTAGTACAATCGGACACCATGCACATCATAATATAAAAAAGGCCGTGAAGTCATGAGATGAGAGGCCCAGGCATGCCGCGATTCAGCGCCCATCACGATGTTCTTCGGCAATATCTTCAGTCCTCCTGGTGGCTTGGGCTGACAGTGGCTGCGAATAATTGGACGCCGAATAACCAGACTCGTATCTGTTCAGCATCGCGGCGCTCGTGAAATCTCGGCTTTGTTCGAAACTCGGTCTGAGCTTGTCGAATGACTGCCGTTGTCTCTCAAACGAGGAGCGAACTCGCTCCAATGAAGGTCTTCCGGCTCGGACTCTTTCTGGAGTGTGTTCCTCGCCAGCATATCTCGATATGTCCAAAGATGGCCTCGTCCTATCTGTGCCATCGCTGCCAGTCTGACTGTGGGGGTGTCGGGTGGGTGCCTCGGACGGTGGGTAGACGATGGGTCGTTGAGACTCAGCCATGCTTGGATAGCGATTGTGACCACGGTTCCCATCCATCTCCGTCGGAATCTCCTCTGGCCGCTCGGACGACGTTGCAGATATATCCACAGCCTTGGGCGGCACGTAGGCTTCGTATTCGTCCAGATACTTGAATTTACCTTGCCTGACCTGTTCACGGACAACATCAATGTCGTACGGCCTGAAGTTCTTCTGGAAAAATTTGATGGCGAACCGAGGAAGCAGGCAGATGACCAAAGTCAACAGTGATAATGCCCAGAAATTCAGGGAACCAAACACCTGCGCGCCTGATTTGTAGAACTGGTCGGATGCCTCGAAAGAAGAATAGATGCCGGTCCACGCGAAGACGAGGAGGCAGCTGACGGCAACAACCAGTAGCATGATCCAATCCCATTTGTAGGTGTTCATAAGGATGTAGGAGTTGATCACCACAATGGCCGAGCAAGCAACGAAAACACCCATACGCGTGCGGTCGGCAATACCTCGTCCATTCTCGGTCTCGAAGGTTGCCGGTTGGAAGAGGAGATAGGCCATGAAGAAGCAGATGGCAGATTGATAGAGGCCATCAGCCATGTACAGCCTAGACTTTCAGTCAGAGAGCGTCATTGCTTCAAAATAGTCAATCTTACCAAAATTTGGTTTGTGTCCATTCTTTCCGTTCCATGCCCCGTCTATACAGTTGAGGCACCGCCAGAGAAACCTTGTCGCTGACATCTTGGTCAAGGATACCCATGAGGCCGACAGGGACCGAGGTAAACACCAAGTTGACCAAAAGGATATAGGTATAATCAAACAGATAGGAGATGTCGAAGTTGTTGTATATCTGGTACCAGAACAGCGCGAAAGTCCATACCAAGTTCTAGAGAGGGGTCAGCACGTGTTATTGGTCGCGACGCGTGGACGACATACCTTGTAGAAGAAATTGGCAATTGACTCTGCCAAACGTCGATAGGACCAACGGCCGTGTACCAGAACAAGACGCTGCAGAAATCTGAATTGGCCGATGGCATAGTCAGAGGACATGGCAGCTTGGCGTCCTTCTTCTCCCGCAATACCAACACCAACATCGGCTTCCTGAATCATAGCAATGTCATTGGCACCGTCACCAATGGACAGAGCCATGATGTCCAGTCCGTTCCGGACGAGTTGAACGACCGCAGCCTTTTGCGCAGGGCTGACTCTGCAACAAAGTACAGACTTGCATTGCTTGCACAACAAGAGAAAACGCTGCCTCAATTCGTCTTGCAACACCAGCTTGAGTGATTCTCCGTCAATGATCAAGGCGTGAGTTGGAGCTGGAGGCTCGTGGACGGTTCGAGCAATTGCCAGTTCTTCATCAGAACCAGTCAATCCGAATGTCGCGAGATGCTTGTCCAACAGATCGCCAGCATCCTGCACAGTACCCTCCGGCATGTCGAACAAGATCAAATCCATCTCGTTGGAGAGAAGATTGCACGAAAACCCGATGTTTATGGCAGTCTCGACCTTGTCTCCGGTCAACACCCACAACTTGATACCAGCTTGTCCAAGAAGAGCAATTGTGTCAGGGACGCCGTCTTGGAGACGATCTTCGATGGCCGTCCCTCCAATGAGTAATAGTTCCCGTTCAATACGGTCGGCGACTTCTTCCAGGCGATCTTCTCGGTCGGTCAATGCCTGGGCAGCAAAGTCGTGGTCTTTGCTCCATTCCTGATAAAACTCTTCATCAAGGTCTCTCTCAGCCACACAAAGCGTTCTGAGACCTTCTCGTGCGAACATCTCCAGATTCTCGGCGGTGGCTTTGCGGAGTTCCTGCTGTTCGCCACGCTTCAATCGAGAGTAGATCATGCTATCGGCACCTTTGCAAAACAGCTTGATCTTCCCATCCGGCATACGAACGATAGCGCTCATCCGTTTGCGCGTCGAGTTGAATTCGAGGGTGTTCAAAATACGGTATGTCCGATCGTCACCCAGCACATTGACATGGAGATCGTCATTGGTACGGCCGAGGACGGTAAATCCCATGTCACGCGCAGTCGCAACAAGCGCAGCCTCATCCGGAGATTGCGCCTTGAATTCGATCTTTGGCGGGTCGCCCGGGGTTGTTTCTGTGATGACTGTATGACAGAGAGCCAAGGCAATCATGAAGTGCTCGCAAATCTGCGCTTGTTCCGCGCCAGACTTCCCATTAAGGTCAGCCACAAAATCGGGCGACACGAAGGTGAGTTCATCATCGTGAAGATAAGGATTGTCATAGGTTTTGCGCAGCTGTCTCAGAGTTTCAACCCTGGCTTCGGCGATCTCTTGATTGACACGGGCAGCTTCAGCTTCGACATCCACGCCTTGTCTTCGACGCATGCCTGCTTCTGCCTCAGTGTAGGCTTCACCGTATGGCCGTCCGTTGATGGTGCATTTTTTGAACTCCATGACGTTCTGAGTCAATGTTCCAGTCTTGTCTGAGAAAATGTACTCGATTTGGCCCAGGTCATCAGAAATGTTCCAAGTCTTCGGTGTGCATGGATAATCCAGTTTCTCGTAGTACATGTGGACATCAGACCAGATAAAGAACGCCTGGATGGAGCGGACGATTTCCAAGGTGATGTACAAGGAGATTGGCACCAGGTTCTGGAACAAAATTACAGCTGACCAGAACGTGATGAATCCATCCAGCGGGGGACTGCCACCAATTGAGCCGAACTCGAAATAATCCAAGGTGTTGCCGCCGCCGGCCCAAGTCACACCCTGCACAATACCCGACACCAGACACATGAAGAACAAGACGATGAAGTTGTAAATGACGTTCCAGTTCAGGTCACGGGCCATTCGCGCCCTCTTGCTAGGAGTCATGCCGGAGTTGAGCATAATTTTGGTCTCTTGGCCAGTAAACACGACCACACCAAGAACCCACTCGGTATTTTTCAAGCTGCAGCCACGGAGAAGAAGATTGTTGATACTAATTGGTTCAGCCATCTCCCGGGGAGGTGCGCCCGGATTTCTGGGATCGAACTGCTGCCACTTGGCGACGGCGCTGTAGGAGTACAGATTAGGATGGGGTCCTTCACTTTCGATAACGAACTCGGCATATTCGCAATCCCTTGCATGCTTCACCTTACGACCGGCTTGCAAAGCATGACGAACCTTCAGGTTGGTCTCGCCGTCCAGATTTTTAGTCTCAATGTAGCAAGCTCCATCCGGGTCAGAGGTTGACAATACGACAACATCAGCCGGGATCTGCTCGTCATTGTAGATACGAATAAAATCTCCAACTTGGACACTCTTCCAGTAATCCTTCTTGAATCGAGCCTTGTCCGGAACTTCTTTGTGAGGATTGATGATACTGCCATAGTCCTTGGCTGGCATGAGATGGCTTTTGCGCTTCGAAGGGTCCGTGACTCGTAGTGCAGAGGGTGCGTTTTCTCCTCGCGCTTGAGTTTCTTCTGCAGTCTCGAAAGAAAATCCACTAGTGGGAGGCTCGGACAATTGACCGTTGGGGGACAGGCTGGCGCGGTAGCCTGGTGACGGGACCGGAGTCATGGCAATGTCGTCTCCCTGGCTGTGCGTCGAGTGAAACGATGTTCTCTCGGAATAGATCGAGGTTCGAATGGTTGGTCTTGTGGCGGTCGAAGATCGACGCTCCAAGCCAGAGCCATCCTGGTCCTTTTCCGAGCGCTTCTGCTTCTTGGATGTGCTGCTCTTGATCCAGCGATAAGCAGAGATAACTGATTTGGTGCATGCTTTCTTGAATCGCCTCCACAAAGAGACATCATCCTGGGATGAATTGACGTTGTTCCAGTCTACCAGCCGGTAAACCGGAGAATTGTTGAGTTCCGTGTCCAGGACCGTTCTGCGCCAATCCTCGAACGCATCCTTTATCGCGGTCACGACCAGAATAAAGATTAGAGGGACCGATCCAAGTCCAGGGTTGGATGCACCGAAGATAGAGAAAATCTAGATGGTTTAGCAGCCTTGCCTAGAGTAGAACAAATGATCTGACTTACACTGAGAATAATGATAAATAAAAAGTACACGTTGGCGATATTGTGGAATTGAAACCACAAGTTTTTCGGTATGAAGCTGAGAGGGGTGTATTTGGACGTCCTGATTTTGTTCCTGGAAAACTGCGCCTTGATATGTCCGTCTTCTGTCAGCGCTTCAGGCGGTAGAGGTTGATTGACATAAATTTTGCGGCCTTGCGACTGTTCTTGCTGCTGCTCCTGGCCCATTGGACTGTCGCCCTTGATCTGGCCATGGTTCTCCTGGCCAGGGGCTTTTTCTTCATAAGTCGAAAGGGTCACTCTCGGTACCCTTGCCAGCAAAGACCGCCGTTTGTTCACACCGCTTTGACCAGGTTTGCGCGTTGTCGCCCAGCGCATTCTCTTCACAGGTTTGGAAACATCCGGTTTAGAGGCGTCGCTCTCTCCGGCCGTAAAATGTATCCGCGCCATGGTGCAGAAACCTGAACCCCCAATGGGCGCGATCAATAGTCTCTGGTCAAAGGACGACGGCGCCGACTTAGATGGTTTGTAGAATCCAGACTTCTCCTACTGTTCTTAACTGTCGACAGAATCTTCGTTGAGGCGAGGAGGAGATTCCGCGTGGTATGAGGCTGCGCGAGGGGGTCGCTCGGAAGGGTCGGCTCACGTCAGCTACGATGGAAAAGACGCATAGCTGAACAGTCGGCGACGAGACAGCGAGGAGGAAGGCGGCGAGGAAGGTCGGTGTCTGTAAAAGTCTGTAATTGAGAAGCAATGGCCTGCCTGATGGAAAGGCTGGTATCTTAGGGCGGGCGCCCGCTCGGAGGTTTCGTTATCCACTGGGATGTACAAAATAAAGGGTCCTCGGGCTCGGAGTTTCCCCAGTGATTCCCTGACCTGTCAAGCAGCAATAGGTACCTAAAGAAGGCAGGCAAATTGTTGTCAGGAATTGACCACAATGGTCCGTTTGATCACGAGGGAACAACGTCTTTCAGAGTGCAGGATGCCTGTCTGAGAAAAAGGGAAGGCCTTTGAGATCAAGATTACTACAAGTGAGCCCGAGCGCAGGGGCGTGTCGTTTCGAAGAGGCGTGCCGGGCACTGCTCGCGAAGGGGGCCACCGGCGGCCAGTGAGAACGTGCCAGAGCTGCGGCGCTTTCTGCTTATGCACGCGCCAAGGAATCAATGGCCTCGAGCCTGCCCCCTCGACGCCTGCCCTTTTTTCTTCGCAGCCGAAGCCGGCCGCAACTCAGTGAGTGCTCAAAGTCAAAGAGCCAATGCCATGCCAGCGTGCTAGGTTACTCTGCGAGCTTACCAAGCAGATATCTACCCCGTCATCATCAAGATCCAGCGCATGCTCTAGCCTTTAGACGGCCTTTCGATTGGTCGCCGTGGTTAACACAAAGGAAGTACGAGTTACCACGTACGAGCACTGTTACGCTATCCAGGCATACCCGGACGGACATAATCATATCCCCCGAAAGGGTGAAAAAATGCCTAGCAACGCCTTGAATCCTTTGAGCGCCATCATTTGTACATGAGCCATGAAGCTCGGGATCGCTCCTGTGACCGAGAGACTGTTTCTTCTGCTCATGATGGTAATGTTGCAAGCTATAAGCATGCAAGATAAATCCTACGGGATCTTCTATGACTGCCGTACCGCTCTCACCCGTAAGGGGTAATCAGCTCTGTGGCTGAGTCATGACTGTGCATTGAAGCTGCATAACGGCTTCTCTCCTCTTGGACAATGCTCGCGACAATCATCTTCATCATGACTGAGCCCACAAAGATACGACGATAAATACTGTTATTCCTAAGCTCCAATTCTTAATACAAGTCTTAGAAGGAAAAAAAGTCGAATGGTACACCGACACGGCCGAGTACAAGATGTCGTCGCCTACAGTAGATTCGAAACGCGTAAGGGCCGTGCTCCGAGCACTGGCATTCCGCTGCCCGCCTTGACCGCCGCGTCTTTAGATCCGAGTACGGGATGATCTAACAGGAGGTGCATTAGTGGCTATCCTTTGTGGCAGTGTTCTTATAAGGCGAAAATAAAAGATCTCTGCTGACCCAGCCGCGTTACTCAGCGACTAGAACTGCCTTTCTTGCGAATCATCAAAGCGACGTTATACACAGCCAGCTCCTACAGAAGATAGAGTAAGAAAGACACCGAAGGTTAGTCTGTACTGGGGAGTGGCTCCCGAAGAGACTCTTCAAAACTACCGGTCTTTGCAGGCATCGATCAACGGCGAAGCTGAAAGCCCGTGGATAATTGCCTGCTACTGGTTACTTGGAGCATCCTGCAACGGCGCTGGCTTTCCCGTCGTAACGCAAATACACACTGCATTGCATTTGCGGCAGACACTGCGTCGCACTCGACCTCTGGGATTCTAGATCCATGGTTTTCGCTCCGGTTGACATTGCTGAGGTGCTGATAATTGCAAAGTCAGCGCCTCGTGGCGGTTGACGAAGATGTACCTAACCTCCAGCTCATGACGGTGGCGAACATATTCGCCAAATATTTGTTTTCAAGTTGAGAAACCTGATGTGAGTTTCATTCGTTTCAGGAAATGTAGCTTTGCAATTGGCGACGAAAACGATATGCTAGGCTGGCAGCAACTGTCCGGAGTCACCATGAGCTACCGAATGTAGTGCTCTCCGTTACTCTTCCGTGCAGTGCTTTCGAGATCATTTTTGCCGACAGAGGCAGATCAGAGGCAGACAAGAAGAGTAAGATATCGATATGCGAGGGCTCTATCATATCGGATTGACCAGTCGCTTCATCAACTTCCCGCGATCGGCATCTACAAGAGCATCCTGAAATGGTCGTTTGAAAATGATCGTGGTACTGTGCGCTGTGGCAGTTGACCATGATAATCTGGGTGAAATCTAATCTCGCGACCGTTGCTCGTTTTGTGAAGAGGTACTCGGTACGGAGTACTCTGAAGGCAACAACAAATATGATCTGCAGCATAGGGCACTAGGCTAGCCTGTGCAGGCGTGGCACGCCCAGGGGCGTTATCGTTGTCTGACCACCAAGCAGATCATGGCAACATGCAAGCCAGATGTCAAGGCAGAACCCCTGCAATTGCAGATTGCCGTGGTTATTTTCAGTGGCTTTTGAACTGTTAGCGGGCAGTAGCACCGGGTCTTCCGGATCAAGGTATCTCGCTTATTTGCTAGTGACTGCGAAGCGCGGGCGGAGCGCTGGGTATCCGAACCAACGCTCGACATAGGGGCCAACTCGTGGCATCGAATATTCTACGCGCACCGGCTGCTCTTGTTGCAACTGATGGTTGGAGATTCGGTAGATGTGCTGCGCCATATAAAACAACAGTTGCCGAGCGAAGCAATCGACGTGGGCGAACCGGAATACTTGCGTGGAATAAATGTACAGTAGTCAGTAGTGCTGGCTACGTCTACCACAGTATGTACCCGCGTGGGAACTTGACTGCCGGAACATGCAATGCTCCGTGCGCTGGGTCGTTTCCGGCAACTTTGATTGCTACTCCACCTGAGGCGTATCATCAGTACTATCATCCATTCATTATCCGACCGAGATGTCCAATCAAAAGTCCCATTCATTATGGTGGACTGCCATGGCGACAACTTGAAGCAGAATCTGAATCTCCATTTTGGCGCCGGACTTTGGCCAGTTTCCCATGTTTTTTGCGACGAAACGGTGATGGGAGAAAATAGTGCTTCAGCCGTTGCAGCCGACGCTTGCATGGCATTATGTTTCGCGAGAACACGGGCCTAGATCAAAATCCAATCTAAAAGCCATGAATCTCTTATAAGTCGAAAAATAGAGTTATGCAAGTCTCAGATGGCCGAGTGGCAAGTGCCAAGCACGGGACCCACGGTGTCATTCGCCAGGGCATCACAGGCCGGCCGTGGGTGACCTTTTGATCAGGTTGGTGTAGGTCAATCGTGGTGTACAAACAGACAACCGTAACGGCGATAGTCGTCCTTGAGTGGCCAGCAAGGTATACATCTGGGGATATTCTCAGAGTGACAACAACCAGTCCGCTGGCATTGTTTCAGAGCAGGGTATCCAGGGATACGACAGCACGTGGTAGCCTTGAGCCGATGACTGTGGTCAACCGAATGGCTCCTGTGAATGCTTTGCGTGCCTGTGGTGCTAGCACAGCAGTCGATGACCACTTGCAACGCAATATTGCTGCATGCGGGACGAAGACGATTATATCTTCAGCGAAGTAACACAGAACAGTTCTCGTGGTGAAGAAACGGCTGTTCCTGGAATCCTCACCGACATTGCGAATCCGAAGCCGCGCATAAAGAATACTGATAGTCGACATGAAGCCGCGTACGTCGTCCACTAGTGTATCGTCAGAGGAGTAAAAATGGACCACAAGTTGGTCCTCAGGAAAGCTGATGTGGATATAGAATGACGAGGGTAAGACTCGTGGCGTTGTTTAGATGGAAACTAGTCGATTGTTCAAGCCAAACTTGTGCTCCCAGTACCTTATCTGGGGAACAAGTTCAGGTTCTTGACAGGCTGCTCAACTTGGCCAGTAGCGAAGCGGAATTCCAACCTTCCAGATATTATTGCTCTGATCACTGCACAATGGCAAGCAGCCTCAGTCTCACTCCACATAGTCCGGAATACTATATAGTAGTCGAGACATTAGACTTGACTGGCGAACAGTCCGGCCATTTTCCAGAACATCCAAAATACAGGTTTTTTTTTCCACTGTGCAGCCACGTCGGATATCGGAGAGGCAAGAAGAGTACAAAGTGGGCAATGCTTGGACCACACGGATCACCAGTGTTCCTGGCAGGGGGCCATTCAAGGGTAGAGAAAAAAGAGGAAGAGTCTGATGAAGAAAAAAAATCGAATCTCTGGCATATTGGAGAGAGCAAGTCCCGCATAGGTATACTCGGACAAGAAAATGACAAGGCACGAATAGGGTGACCACGGTGACCACCAAGCTCTTCAAAAAATTGAGAGTCGTGACGCGAAGCTGTCTCCATCAATTATGGGCATCCGGCTGCTTCTCCCAATGCATAAGGAGACCTGTACAACAAAGTCACAGTACTGTGATAGATGATTATCTTAGCTGGGCGACTAGGTTATCACACTCGTGTCCGCTTACGGTGCAACAGCCCAAAGAGGAGGAAATTATTGAGTGCTGAGAAGAGATGCTCTCAGAATCCCAGATGGTGCCTGGGAGAATCAGTCGTAGTGCCCGTTCTCCGTCCGTAGCTAGGGCCCAGAAAGGAGTCCACTCGAGTGCAGTGCCCCCCCAAACTCTACTGGTTTTCATCCTATCCCTCGCCCCGTTTCGAATTGCGCATCACAATCGTCGCGCCCGCTGCCACGCTTCTCAACCGTCCTCCCTTTCATCACCGCAGCCACTGCACCATCACCGTCGTTCCCCTTCACCTACGTGCCTATTGTACCACCATCTCGCCGCACCCTGACCACGCTCGTTATTTCCAACAAGCAATCCAGCACCCTGTGCTGCTTTCAATGGCATCGATCCTGTAACCATCATCTTCTTTCAACCCTCGTCCTGCGCTGCGACATTCTCCGGTTACGCCGACCACTCACTCCGCCTGCTTGCCTGTCGAGCATCTTCGACCTCGAATCTTCCTACCAATTTACATCCGGTCCTTCGTTTCGATTCGATGTCGTCAACCATCTGTTAATATCTTATCCTCTCGTTTGCCTCCCCGGGGCACACGTCAGCCGGCGTCTTGTCCAAAAGAAAAATTGCAGTCGTTTTGCTCGGCGAAGAAAAAGGATAATTTTGGACAGCTCTAATTGCGACCAATTCCAACACCTTCCGGCCGTGCCTGCTTGGGCCGCCTCCTGTAATATCTTGAACAGGTGCTCTTGGAAGTCACCATGGCACCTGCTCCACCTCGTTTGAGGATTCTTTCAGGTGAGTAGGACTCGACCTCTACTGACGCCATGCACATGCGTCCCCCCTCCCCGGGTTCTTTCTCCCTTTTGCCTCATAGTCGCACGAGATGAATCGAGAGCTAAGACGTTGCTGTGTAGTTGGTGGAAACGCCGTTTCTGCTTTCCTGTCCTGGCGACTACAGGCCACAAACGCCTGCGATGTGACCTTGGTCTGGAAAGCCAACTATCAAACGGTCGCGCAATATGGCGTCTCTTTCAAGTGAGCAACTTTCACTCGCCTGGTGTGCGCTATTGACACGCACTCTAGATCCCAGATGTTCGGCAATGAACGATTCAAGCCTCGATATGGTACGTCTTGACCGCGTTCTCGCTTCTTCCGCACAGCTAATGGTGTTTAGTCGTCCAAACCCCTGAAGACGCAGCCGGCCAGCAGACAGCCTTCGACTATGTCATCCTTTGTGTAAAAGCCCTACCCGATGTCTACAACCTCGCCGATATCATCCAATCCGTTGTCACTCCCCAACATACCTGCATTCTCGTCAATACTACCAATACTCTCGGAGTGGAAAAACCATTGGAGGAGCGATTTCCGACTAACGTCGTCCTTTCCCTTGTCTCTGGAGCAGATCTAGTTCAACTCGGCTCGAGCGAATTCGAGCACCGTGGTTCTACAGAAATATGGGTTGGCCCTTCCAGTCAAAATTCTACCATACCAGAGTCAATCCAGAGGGACATGTCTGAAGCCCTCGCCATGACTTTGACGACCGCGCAGGTCGACTGCCAAGTGTCTTCAAACATCAAACAGCAACAATTCGAGAGGATGATAGGGTATGCAAACTCCCCCGTGGCCAGGGCAAAAAGCTAATTGCCATCTAGACCTATCGCTTTTTATCCAGCGAGCGTTCTTTTTGAGACTTCAAATCTTGGAGACTTAATACGAATTCCAGGCGTCCATGACCTCCTCTCAGATGTTATTGAGGAGCTGCTGTCGGTTGCACACGCCCAGGGCTGTACGTTTCCCAACAACTTCACGGAGACAACGATCTCCACCATGATCGATTCTTCTCAAGAGGCTAGTACAATGTATCAGGATTTCACAGCAAGGCGACCCATGGAGGTCGAGACATATCTCGGATCTCCTGTGCAGCTAGCGAAATCTGCCGGCGTCAAAGTCCCGCGTCTTCAGACACTGTACACCATGTTACGGCATGTGAACACCGTCAACAAAGATCGACCAATTGCATCAGCTGTTTCTGCAGCTCCTGTGCAAGCTCCTGTGCAGTCTCCTGTTGCTGTCCAGCCACCTCCTCGGACGATATCGCTCTCAAGTCCTCCTCCGCCCCGACAAACGAATGGCTCGCTTAACGGACCTCTAAGGCCCATGCGTGGCCCTCCTCCTATGGGCCCTCCTGGCCGACGTGGTCCCCCTCCTGTTAACGGTTTTCGAGGCCCTCCGAACATGTACCCGCAACGTCCGGGCCAAATGCAGCGTCGGCCGTCGTACGACGAAAACAACCTCGATGAGTTCAGCCACGTCGTGCTCTACGATGAAATGGCAGACGGCGAAGGACCACCGGCAGGGTACGGTGAAAATGGTGGAGGCCCATCTATGAGAGAGCGAGAGCTTATGCTAAGAGAGCGTGAAATACAATTAAAACAACAAGAGATGGCCATGAGAAGTCGAGGCGGACGAAGGCCAACACACATCCGTCATCAAGACCTTGATGACGATGACGATGATGATGACTACTTCGACCCCATGCAAGCACGTGGCCCACCACCCCCTTCGATTGACCCCGACAATTTTGATATGATGAGTGTAACCTCACGAAGGACAAAACGAGCTCCCAGCCAGGGCCAACTTCGCAAAGATGCATTTGCCAATGGAGGTGGCATGCGTCCTGGGTCTTATGGCAGGCCAAATATGGGAAGGCACCGAACAAGCGCCTCGATCTTGTCTGATATGCCAATGCTCGGGGCGAACATCTTAGACAACCCTATGATGGGCTTTTCTTCCAACCGCTACGGCAATGTCGATCGCAAGGAGATGGCCGATGAATCGCGAGCAAACTCATTGACGGCAAGCCGCCTTCAAGAGATTGGTCTTAATGGCGGCCCAGGAATGACCGGGGGGCCGTATCCTGGCCCGCCTAGTAGACGGACTAGTCGATCACCTGGAAATCCGTTTGGACCGGCCGGGCGAATGCCCGGGCGACCGTCACCGCCGAACGATCCGTACATGCAATCTGGTCCTCCACGCAACGGCCGGCCTTCGCCTCCTGGGGCAATGCCAGCACCAGTCCCCAGATACCCTCCTGGCCAGACCAACATGATTCCGCAACAAGTCGAACAGGCCGGCATGAACAAACCTTTTCCACCACCAAAGCCACCCGTGAAGAGTTTGACAGGAAGCGCCAGTGCCAGTGCAGGCAGCGGTGACAGCGGAAGTGCCAACATAGAGTCCGAACCGTCCGCTCACAGCAGCACCAGCAGCTTTGCTCAACGGCAAATGCTCGGTGCGCATTAGCATCTCTGTCTTATGGGTCTAATTGAACATTTCCCGTTTTCCACGCTGGTTTCCGTGGACATTTTACGACTCGGGGTCTGCTCTTGTGCAGAGAATCGCGTATATCTTTGGTGATTACCCTGCTTCACATACACTTTAATGATCAGCTTTTCAAATCTTACGACCAGGGAGGCCCGAGATGGGTTTTCCGAAAGCGCAAAAAGCATTGAGATGAGTTTGGGGTTGGCACACGTTTGAATGGAAACAAACCTTGGAGCACCCGGCCTTGATTCTTCGCGTACATACAGCATTGCAAGGAGAAAGGGGAGCCCCTTTTGTGCACATGACATGGTACTCTTGTGGATGGACCTGGGATTGTGTGGGAGCAGAGGAGATTGGGGAGCCTGTTCAAGCTTCGTCCACTTGAACACGTTCCGTTTCGATATTGATTGGAGAAGACGGTTTGTATTGCATACATTTGAGGCATACACATTCTCAGGCACGCACACGATAGGGCTCCGATGAAATAATTATGCTACAACTTTCCGCATGGGTCATGGGGAGAGTCAGGCAAGGGGAGCAAATGGACAACATGAGGAGGGTACAGGGTTGGCTCCCGCCGAGCAGGATAATTAATCAAATGCAAGCAAAGATTCATGAAGGCAAAACCTCTTTTGATGCTGCCGACCTCAGCTTGACGAGTAACGAGTTTCAAACACCAAGTATGCTGAAGCCACGGTTGCGCATGGAGTAGTGCAGAAGGTCCAGCATGTCGCCTACAGCTTCTTTCTGGCGTGCTATGCTGGTCTGTCCTAACACCAAGCAAGAGTTCCTTCGTGACGAGTTACGGTGCTATTACGCCATGATGCAAGTTTCTCTATGCCTTGCCATACGACACACGGGTGACTATTTCGTCGAACGTAGTCAAGAATGTCGTGAACGAGAGGTACTTTGCAGACATCGCTGACGAGGCTGTCATTCAGCCTCGCCACACCCACACGTGACAGACCACATGTTTACACAATCGTCCTGGTTCCTGTGCGAGTTTGGTTATGCTTCTTACTCAGATAGTCACTTTTCTGCGAGCATTCAGTCTTCCCAAGGATTCTTTCAGCCTCAAGCCCGGATAGCACAATGGACCGAAACAACATAACCTCGAAACAATCCTTCTCCCGCCCTTCTTCTGTGACCTCGATGAACACGACCTCGACGAACAAGAACCGCCAATACGCGCACTTGCACGCGCAACTGGCCCAGCTCAATGCCCACTTGGCTGACACTGAGAATCTGCTGAGGATGACCGCCGTGCAGGCACAAGATATGCGGTTTCTAGGTGGGTATGTTGGCGGACTGTTCATGGGGAGCGCGAAGGTGTTGGGCGAGGAGAGCGTGCAGGGAAGGGGAAGACAAGACGGTGGTCCAACACAATAGCGGTCACGAAGAAGTAGGGCAAGCGTCGACTATATACCACGCGTCGAACATACATCCGACCATCACAAGGGTTTGCGCCTTGGGGCTTCTCGGTCTGCGGACGATGGACGGAAGGAAGTGCGCGAAGTTCAACACTGCATTGAGGACCTGCAAGTCCACGGAACTGCAGAAAAGCATGCGTGGAGATCCTGTCGTATTCAGACGAGATTGAGAGATTTAGGCCTGCCTTTGCCGAATTTGGCACTATGGCCTCTCGCGAGTTGAGTGGTCTCTTGCGTTCATCTTGGGGCGACCGCTCTGCGACATATCCACAGTCCCAACTCCTTCCCCGGCTGCCACCGAACGTGAATGAGACACTCGTGCTATTTCACTACAATTCCAATGTCCGACGGTCCGATCCTCAATTCTCTCATATCACCACCACCAGAGGCAGAAGGAGGGATTCTCGGAACGCCCAAGGACACGACTACTTCTTGGATGAAGCATTGCTTTGCTGGTTTGCTCCGCCCGAGCGTTGAGCACCACTATTGTTGCTGACGTTGGCGTTGCGATCACCCGCACTTTGGGCGCGGGCCGCGAACCCGCTGGACGACATGTCGCTGCCGGATTTGGCCTGCGATGCCCGTCTGTGAGCACGATACTGCCAAGGCAAAGGTACACGTACCTGACTGGATTGGATACGCGAGGCATCGCTCTTGGTCATTTGGTTCGACATCGTGCGAAGTGTGTTTGAAAAGGCGCTTCTCAATGGCATGAGGCTGTGTCAGTCGTGGATTGGAGTCGTCCCTGTAGAATAAAGATGGAGGAGATATCTACTTGAGACGGAGAGAGCAGCGTCTATTTATGCTTGAAAACTGCCGCGGCTTCACGCAACTGTCTTGGAATGCTCTCCGGAAAACATGCAGTCTCAATGTCTCGGCGAAACCAGTGCTGGTCGAAGATGTTCTTTGTTCTTCAGCTGTCCATCGCTCCTGGTCGGCGGGCCCCCTAGCTCGATCTCTTGCAGCATGCATGACCTCGCTGTTCACAATGAACACGCCCGATCATCCACACAGTTTGCATCATTTCAGTCCCAGTCAAAACAACGTATTTCCGGGTTCCAGCACGATGATCCCAAGGCATCCAATACTTTTCATCATTCGAAGTCTACCACGATTTTCCCTCTTGCTCTCTGACTCATTGCTCTTTCATACGCCTGTCAATCACTGGTTAGCCTAGGCTGGGATTCGTACAGCAAATGCGCTAAAAAGCCGTACGGCAGAATGGGCAGTAACACGGACGTACCATTTTCACATCCTCGAACTTCCACACGCTGTCGATCACAGGCCTGACTTTGCCAGTCTCTACCATTTCGCAAACCCTTTTCATGTCAGTCCTGTTCGGACTAGCTGAATAAAAAAGGCTTCGCCGAGGCGTGCCTCCCAGAAAGGACGGCAGAAATCGGTTCACTTGAGCCTGTAGCACCCAGTAAAGAAGAGAGAACCAAGATAGTGACACGAGCACGCTAATTCCACCGAGAAGAACGAATACTCCACGCTTGGTGAGGTAGAAAGGGGAAGAGGTAAAAAGCTCATTGGGGCTTCCTGCTATGTCGAAGATGGCGTTGAAAGGTGTGGAAGAGTGGTGCTCTTTCAGATATTTGTGCAAAGGGTCGTGGACTTTGTAGTCGATTGTCTGGTTACAAAGTTAGTGGAGCTGAATGGGTTGAGTACTCGGCGTGGGAAAGGTCGAGGCCTATCATGCCTACCTCATCGGCACCGAGACTCTTGACGAATTCCTCATTCTTGCTTGAGCAGGTCGCGACCACGGTACCACTCTCTCCAACCACAGCTCTCGCCATCTGCACGCACATACTGCCCAAGCCTCCACTTCCTCCAGTTACTAGGACTTTGTCTCCTCTTTTGACTCCTGCGAGTTCAAACGCTTGGAGGGCGGTACACCCGACGCCCGAAAGGCCCGAGGCATCGATCATTGAGATGGTCTTGGGCTTTCGTATCAGCAGACGGACATTGCTGACGAGGTATGACTGCATGGCGCCATTGTACTTTATGAAACTCGGACCATCGCGCACTCCGATGACCTCGTCGCCAACTCGGAGTCCGTCCGTGTCTTCTTTGGCTGTGGGCCCCTTGGCGACGATTGTGCCGGCGAACTCCATGTCAGGGATCCATGGATTGCTGGTTAGATGGGGAAACAAGGTGACGCCGAGAAGAACGCCTGCGTTCATGGCTACAGCTGAGACTTTGATCAGTGCTTCGCCAACCCTGAGGGTCGAAGCTCGTGGAGTTGGGTAGTCGTGAGTTATGGTCAGGACTTCTAGTGGGTTGCCCCGACGTGTGAAGGTCAGGGCGGAATGCGTGCTGGGGATATCTGGTGAAGCCATACTTTATGAGGAGCTTTGGGTCTGGTACGGTTGAGAAGGAAAGTATTGTGATTGCCCGGGATGAGTCTCGTTCAGCTCTGAGTAGTTTCTGGATGGCGGCGCGACGGGTATGGAACGTCAGGGCTGGTACTGTACTATATGGAAGGGTCGTATCTCAAGGCTGAAGGGGTTCGTGTGCCGCTGCGTATCCCGCGTCTGCCTTGAGGACTACTACAGTATATACAAGTAGGTGAGCCACACGAGAGTAAATGAATTTGGCAAATCAGGCAACAGTCAATTCGAGCGTTGCGGAAAGCGATGGTGCAGGTTTAATTCAAAACTAGGCTATATACAACTGGCGTCTGCGTGGTGACAAGGGAGTAGGGGACTACTCATGAAGACTAGCATTGTGAGATGGCTCCGTCCGCATTCCGGACCAAATCCAGGCTCAAATACACTACGCGGACAGTACGGAGTACATAGTGCACGGGTTTTGTGAAGCTAGTCCTGTCGATGATCCAATATGCACGGATATAGAATCAAGAGTGTTGTGCATTTTGGTGGATAGTGATTGACGAGGCTGCACAAAATATTTGCGTGCTCTGAGGATGTTTCAGTCACTTGTGCATTGCTCTTCTGTCTTCCCAAGCCTTGCGCGCTGACTTTGGATTGTCTAACACTCTCTAACCTACCTCGTACAGTTATCAATTGCAAAGACAGAGGTAGTCGTCCAGACAATGTTGACTTCAGCTCTCAGTAATGGGTGTCTACTCGTGTTGTTGCCGACTCGCCTTCAGCATTGGCCCCAAACCGCACGCGAAAGAACCCCATGCCTGCAACCCTGCAAGCACCTTGGTCGTCCAATCATTCCTTGGTCGGGGGGCCTCACGAATTCGAACTCGGATCATTCACTAATGGCGAGGCTGGGCAGCTGAAACCATCGAAAAGTATCAACATTTGCGCCCTCGCACATCATCAACTCTCAACAATGTTTCGTGGTCGCTTCAAGTCTCAACATGACTGAACTGTCCTGCTCGGAAAATGGCCGCATCAGCGATAGAAGCGCGCCCTCTGCGCATCAAGCTTACAAAGGCCGTCAGCCAGAAGAAGGACGCCGACTTACAGAGACTTCTACTCGACGGCAACTCCAGCCGGCGCAACGACGAGAATGACCTTCGCACACTTCTTGGTAAAGCCATAAGTATCGGCTACGAGAATGGCGCTAGACTGCTCCTTGAGGCTGGCGCAAAGATCGATGGCGTCGGTAGCCATGGGCCGCTACATGGTGCCATTGCAAACACAAACGACAAGACGCGAAACGCAATCATCACTTTGCTTCTGAGCCATGGATGTGAACTTGAAGCCAAAGATCATCTCGGAAGGACTGCGTTGATGGCTGCATGTCTCCGCGGCCAAAATGATGTTATCATCACTCTGCTTACGCGAGGAGCGGATCCAAATGTCGACGATCAAAGCAGGAAGAATGCCCTGCAATTAATGGCTTCGGAGTCGAAGCGAAACACGAAATGGAGTCCGGAGGCGCTATCGATGCTCTTACCGAAAGTCAGAGACCTCAACAAAAGAGATAGCGAAGGCCGCGAAGGGCGAACGCCTCTTTTATGGGCTGCTGCAAGAGGTCAGCTCGCGCTTGTTGGAGCATTACTGCAGATCGGGAAGGGAGTCGTCGACGTCAATCAGACGAATGACCAGGGACATTCGGCTCTTCACCTGGCAGCCAGACACAATGAACCTGAAATGATCAAACTGCTCATCTTTTCGGGTGCCAAAATCGAAGCACGAAGCGACGGGGATTGGACACCTCTCCTGATGGCCGCAAAGGAAGGGAACGAAAGCGCCATTGATGCTTTGCTGACCTCCAATGCGAACGTCAATGTTCGCACCTCCTCCGGAATGACCTCCCTTCACTGGGCTGCTGAAAGCGGTAAGCTGGATGCTGTCAACCGCATCTTACGAGAGCGACACGCCCACAAGAACAGCAAGGATAGCTTTGACAGCACGCCTCTCATCCGCGCCGCTCAAAACGGTCATTGGGACATCGTCGATGCACTTCGACCTTATGTCCTGGAAGGGCCGACAAACTTCGTCGCACGGAAGGCTTGCCAGCGATTCCGGGCGGCCGTGGTCAATTTTTTCGAGGACCGGGAGGCCCACGGCGGTATCAAAAACAAAGTCAACAAGCAGACCGTTTGGCAAATTCTCTATGCCAGAGACGAGAAGAATCCCGACATGCCTGCGATACCCATTGCTATTGACCATGTCGAAGGGATGAAAAAGCCATTGTTTCGCTGGATCCACCTGCCAGCAAACAATATCTCCTGGCTCGAGGTCCTCCTCACCAAGTATTACCTGGAAGGCGAATGCAGAGACGTGACAGTTCTGAAGTCGCTCCTACGACTACTCGGAAGACAGCAGCACCGAGGTTCGGAAATCCACTCGCGCTTCATGCGCCCGTCATGCAAACGCATCTGGATCCCTCCGAAGCGATCGGCCGATCCAACACACCCTACGTCTCACAAATCCTCACATATCAGCCGCAAGGTAACGCCGTCCACGCCGCCGCCTTCGTCCAGATCCACGGCACCAGCAACGGCGGCGCAGACCCAAACCCAGCTAGAAGAAGACATGATGGTGATGTTTATGCCATATCTGCATTGGGAGACGGACAGAAATCGAACGTTGTTGACTCAGTCCATACGAGAGCCCGCAGGAAACACACACGCACTCGAAGAGTCAGAACTGTCCAAGATTCCCAAAGACATTCTCCTCATCCATGGCTACGTTGGAGGCTCGACAGATCTCCACCCTCGCAGAACATTGGATCAGTTCAAGCACCACAGCACCAAGACCGATCTCCAGGACGCGGATCAGGTTGTGTACCGATATTGCAAGAGAAGGAGGAAGGAATTGAAGATCTTCATGGTGGACCAACTCTGGCTGATCAGTATTGGCAATCTACTCATCTCGTGCTTCCCAGAACGGTGGAGGCAACCCCATCGGGATCCCTTGAATCTCTTTGAAGGCGTCGTCGAGGACATCAATTCCACAACGCGGCCTCCGGTCAGAAATGTGTTTGAACTCGCCACTATCATCACCGAGAGATGCACGGGACTCTTTGACCGACAGCAGTGGGATAACGATGACCTCCTCTTCGCCGAGATGTTTGAGTTGAGTATTGGCCGCTTAACCCGAAAGGAAACAAAGCTGTTCCAACGCTTCAAGGAAGCATCGTCGCATTGGCTGAGAGCGCATGACGGCGGGAAAATGCTTTACAAATCGCAACTGGGACTTGAGTATGACCACGACCACTCTTCGGGCTGGTCATCGTCCGACGGAGAACAACATGGTCACCACGGGGGTGGTGTCTCCTCGCATACAACGACAATGCACCAGGGCCCTCACGAGGATTCATGGCATGACCGCCACCAAGCGTCGGACTCGTTCGTCAACGATCTCCTGAACATCGACAAGGAGGCCGCCCTGCTGGTCGAGTGCAAAGACGTCGAAGACGAGCTGGACATCCTGACCAGCGTGCTCGGCCAGCAGCGCCAAGTGCTCAACGATCTCGACGCCACCCTGCGAGCGGCTAAGAACATAGTCCGCACGCAGCGCCTCGACCTGTACGGCAAGGTCAGCGAACAGCAACGGCTCGTCGACCTGGACATTTTGGATCTGGGACGCATGGCGCGACAAGCCAAAAGCGTCAACGACAATCTGACCCAGGTCCTGGATCTGAAGCAGAAGCACGCAAATGCCGTCGAGGCCAGGTTTCAGCGCAAACAGGCCGAAGAGACGGCCAGACAGGGCCAGACCATCATGGTCTTCACCATAGTGACGATCGTGTTCCTGCCGCTGAGTTTTCTCGCGAGCTTTTTCGCCATCAACGTCATCGAATTCCCCCGTCCCCCTGGCACTGCTGGGACCGGAGAGCTCCATCTGAGTTGGGTGGTCCAGTACATCCTTGGTATCGGGTTGGCCGTCAGTGTGCCCTTGATCGGGCTGGCCTTTGTCGTTGGAGATATTCAGGCTTGGTGGGAGAATCGGAAGCTGAGGAAATATCACCATCGCCGAAACGGGAACGGGAGCGGGAATGACAAAGATGACAAAAATTCGCACAAAGTCATCGACGTTGGAGATAATGCTCTTTTCACGGATGTTGACGACGAGAAAAGAAGGAGCGGCTTGAGCTGGGCTCCGAGGTTCGGGTTCTTGAGAAGACGCCGCCGCCCACTCCTCTGGCGGGACAAAGACAAACAGCCTGACCTACCGGTGTCAAATGCCAGTCTCTCAAGCCATGTGAACGATTCGAAGCAGCGGGTTGACGAGGTACTGCACCCTCAGCGGGCGAATGGCAGCAATCAGACGCAGTCGCTGGTCGCCATGTCGATTCAGGCTCAGAGAGGCCGGCAACCGATGTCCTCAATGGAGTCGTCCAGGCAAGGAGGTGCACGGTATCCGAGACGACTGAGGCGTGTTGGCACTGAAACGACCGAACGGTCGGCTGCGACGGAGGATTTAGAGGTTGGCGGCGGATTTGGGATTTAGCAGGCAGATCACGTTGAGGGTTCGTAGTGTAGTATACAGATTCAACGAGTGTCAAATTAGCACTGTTCGAATGGCCGAACTAAAAAGGAGCGTGTGGGGCCAAGGAGCTGACAAAGGTAGTAAGCTGGTGCAGGGCCGTGTTCATGGCAAGACTTTGACCGTCTTCCAAGCATTCCTGACGATATCCCTTCCCTGCGTTCCATACAGCGCCTGAGCATGCTTGATGGTCAAATTGGCGAACAACTTGAACGCGGTCTTGATGTTCTTTTCCACAGCCTGGTTCGTCAGCTCTCCTTCTAGGTCGAAATAGCCCCTGAACTCCGGATCCACCAGCGTCTTGTACCAGATCTGACCGGGCTCCTTCCAGGCATAGCCTTTGTATCCGTCCTCTTCTTTAAAGCCCACGGCAACGAGAAAGAAGGCATGGTTGGGAATGCCCGAGTTGATGTGCACTCCACCATTGTCCTGCCACTCAGGCAAGTTCTTGTATCCGTCCATATCCTTGCCTTGAGGGTCTTTGCCGCCGATGACGTCCCAGTCATATGCTTCTCCGGGTTCCTTCATGCTTCGCAGTGCCGGAGCCTTAGTGTTGAGGAACACGCCCTCGCCCACAAGCCAATCCGCATCCTTGGCCTTTTGGAGTCCGTCTGCGTGGAATTTCTGCTTCACAAGAGCCCCAAAGACGTCGGAATAGTGCTCGTTCAGCGCGCCCGCCTGAAACCGATATGGCAGATTTGCAGTGTATTGTGTGACGGCATGGGTGTACTCGTGGGCAACGATGTCGATGGCTTTAGTGAAGTCGTCGAAGATGACGCCGTCGCCATCCCCGAAGTACCACTCACTTGTGCGTGGGTCCCAGAAGGCATTCATGAACCCTGGCGTCACGCCGCTGTCGTCGTCGAAATGAACTGTGGCGATGAGATGCAAGCCCTTGTCGTCGACCGAGTTGCGGTCGAACTCGGTGGAGTAGAATTCGAAGATTTTCTCGAGGTCGGCCCACACCCGGCTGACGTCGTCATCAGTGGCCGCAACGCTGTTTGCATCGGCAGCGTCCTCGTGCACGATGACGCTGCCGTTGCTTTCGTTCTTTTGATTGGCATCGCGGATCACGCGGTAGAAATGCTTCGGGACGGCGGAGCCGATAACGATCCCCTGGAGCACGCCCTGGGCTTGATTGAGAGCGTCGATCCGCTGGACGTTGAGGCGTGCTCGTTCTCTAGTGTGCTCAGGAAGCTCTTTGGCTTCTGAGATCTCCTTGTAGATGTAGCCTGGGATGATGGACTGGTGGCTACGAGAGAGATGGCGGCCGGAGAGAGGCGCGGACCGAGTGCGAAAGCCGGGTACGTGACTGTCGCCGATGACTTCTCTGGCTTTGTGGATGAGAGCCATGGTGCGAAGAGTGTTGCCGGCCAAGGCACGTTGGCGCTCAGTCACATCAGGGTGGTGGCTGGAAGCGATGTGCTCCAGAATGTGAGGTGGGATAATTCCACAGCATGCTTGGGCACAATAATGCATGGGTGATAAGGTTGTTGGTGTGAATAGATGGAGATTGAAGTGAGAATCGTAGGTTCAAGAAGGCAGAGGAAGATATAGTGTGAGGTTGTCAAGGATAGATGAAGGAGCATTGGAAGTTGTCGACTTATAACCATTCTCGACCTTCAACCGCTCCTGCCGTCGTTGGCTGGAACACGGAAAAACGAGGTTTGAAGGGCAGGTGTGCATCAAAGGTTTGCCTTTCGACAGCTGAATCCATGCCTGCGAAGATGCATCCTGGGGCTCCTCGGTCTGCATTCAAGTGGTGTACTCGGCCGCCGAGGTGAAGTCTGTGGTGATTTCGAAGGCCAATGAGGAGGCACCTATGCACTTTCATCCTCGTCACAAGACAAGGTTTAGTTTCTGTTGAGCTCGTACTCCCGGCGCATGCATTGTGAACTTCGGAAGAGGTGCCAAGAATAGGCATTCGTGGACGTCTGCATTGTGATCAGACTTGATCAGGGAATGGAAGCTTTTCGGCTCACAGTAAGGCTGGCAGCCTTGGCATCATATCAATCCAATATTTCCACCTGTGTTGGCCAATCACCCGCGGCTCGTAGCTGCGAATATTGAACTGCACGGGGGCAAACTGAGAGGTTCGCGTCATTGTTCGAAGGCAGTCTGTTCTCCGTGTCCTGTGACCCTGCCAAAGCTTTGAACAGACCAGAGTCCGCCTCGTGTTTCTGCAATGGTGGTGCGAACACGAGTGGTGGAGTTTGAGAGGAGATGTGTGAGCATGTTTCCTTTCTGGTGAGAAGCGTGCTATTCAAGCAGGAAAACTTGATTGCTCTGTTGTCAAGGGTGTCGACAGCAGGCCCGAAGTGAGTGGAAACAGCGAATGGCTTGCTTTGGCAAGAGGACACCGGGTCGTATCGACTCGCAAAAGGCTCAGCCCGGCGCTTGAGGAAGCCTAAAAAGTCCGTGATTGGGAGGAGCTTGTCTTGATCCGCGAAGATATCTTTGAAATACGTGCAGAGGAGGAGCTGGTCAAGCCAGAAGCTTTGAGGTGCAAGACAGCTTTGGCGACGGCCTTGGCCTCGGTTGCAGCCTGGCTAGTTGAGTGCTTTTGACGGATGGCTTGCGTAGACTTGTCGTTTTGGCTTGCCAAGAGGACCGGTGAAGCACGAAAACCATCAAGAGAACGACAAGCCTCTCCGAAGGGGTTGTGAGAAGGGTTTACCAAATAGCTTTGGAGGACTTGGTCGTGGCTTGATGCCCAGACATCGTACAGCCTTAGCAGATGCAGTCAGGCTTGGCAGCTGGAGTTCAATACGGGATCAATTGGAGGATATTGCAGGGCCGTGATAGATTTTGACCCTTCGTATCCTGTGTAAGTCGCAGAGAGTGCTTGAACGGAATTGCATAGTAAGCAGAACGAGAACTTTATGCTGTGAAACGTGGCTCGTATAGGAGCAGGTGACCATCAGAGTTATTCATGCGAGCAGCACTTCTTTCGTGTCGTTGCGAGGCGGAATCAGGCGACGGACATGGTGTTGTTGCATGGCAGGCAGACCGAGATATAAGACATAGTCGAGGTTATCGAGGTTGTCGAGCTTCTTGGACTGCAACTTTATTAGCTCAAATATAATACTTGCCACACATAGTGACCACTTCAGACCTTGTTTGTGCTTCAATTCCCAATTATCATGGAGTCCCCTCTCAACAACGAGCAACTTGCTGAGCATTACGGTCAAGACGTGCCTGCCAAACGAAGCGCAGCTACCACAGACAAACCTATTCAAGTCAGCCTTCTGGATATTCAGCTCGGCGAAGATTATGAGCCCAAGCTGGTGCGCGAAAATGGCAGAGTCAAGGTGATCGTAGAAGCTGGCGCGAATGGCGTCGACCTCGCCCACGAGTATCCGAAGCCTGATGTCGTCCTCGCCGATGAAGCAGCTAACCAGGTCAACAAGGCTGTGAAAGCTCAGGAGCCTGATCCATTCTTTCCTGCGGGTGGAGCCGCCTTTCCTGCCGCCAAAGATGAGGAGTCCCACGCTATTATCAAAAGCCGCCAGTCTGTTATATTTGGCGAGGATGACCGCGTCGTGTATCATGACACATCATACCCATGGCGCTGCATTGGGAAGATTCAAACAGCCGTGAGTCGAAGCTCAGGTTGCATGATCGGGCCACGCCACGTCCTCACTGCGAGCCATTGCGTCAACTGGGCTTCTGACGGCAGTGCTCGGTGGATCACCTTCTCGCCGGGATATTACAATGGTGCAGGACCGTGGGGCACCTTTTATGCAACCAAGATCTACTCCTGGATGAAAAACACTGGCAGCTTGACTGATCAACAAACGGCCTTCGACTATGTCGTCCTCGTCCTCAACCAGCGTGTTGGAGACACCATCGGGTACTATGGCGGCCGTACTTTCGACAACGGTTGGGTCAACACCGTGAGCAACTGGGTTCACGTTGGATATCCAGGGGACTTGACCGACACAGAGCGTCCTGCATATCAAAACACTGTCAAGATCACCAGCAAGCAGGACTTCAATTTCAACGGCCGCACCGGATCTGTCTTGGGTCATTTCAGCGACATCACAGCCGGCATGTCGGGTGGCCCTGTGTTTGGCACTTGGTCTGGTGATTCCGGCCCAAGAGTTGTTGGTGTGTGCAGCACTCGAGAGGGACCTCCCATCGCCGTCCCGGATGGTAGCACTGCGACCGACAACGAGTTCGGTGGTGGCCCTGCTTTGACAGAGTTGATTACATTCGCGAGGAACGAGATGCCATAGCTGAGACTAGACTGGTCGCAGGAACACGAGGAGGGTTGTGAGTGTCAGGGACAGACCGTCGTTGATTGAATTGCAGCTGAGGGTCTTTTGATGTACCGGACTCTTGGCTCGCTTGGCGTCTGAAGTCCCGTCTCTTGGCACTGGCCTCCTCCCGCAAGTCAGTCAGAATCTGGTGATCGATTCGTGCAGTTATTGTCCTATTACCTTGCATCTCGTATTTGATGTGCCTCTCAACGTTCTAAGCGCTTGTGTCCTTCAGCTACAAATGTCGAATGACACATCGTAGCAGACACCGGTTGTCCTCAATGGTGCCGTCGAAGACGTACGAGATGTGTGCCTAGATCAGCACACCCATCCGAAGCCCACATGAGTACGCGAATGCATCCTGGCCTCGTATGGGCAGCTCAATGCCGTAAGAATTCGCTATGCGCCGGCATCTAGCTGAGCCGTACATCTGGCCTATTGATGTGATATCAGACACCCCTCTAGAGTCAGTAGGTGTCTCCCATCCCCAAGCTTATACGCAGACTTCATCTCATCTCACCTCGCTCATAAACACTCCCCTGGCCAATCCAAGTGGGATTTCTCTCCTCAATATGATGCCGGCCTTGCCTCAACATCACGGCTCATTCTAAATACTAGTACACGACGACCATGGCTCAAACAATATGCAAAGTCCACCTCGTCCGGCACGCCGAGGGCGTCCACACGCTCTTCCCCGACGGCCGCACCATTCCTGACGCCCAGCTCTCCCAACGCGGCTACGACTCCGCCGAGGACCTGGGCAGACGTCTGATCAGCGAGCACTCCAACACCATCTGCACCATCATCTCCAGTCCTCTGCGCCGCACGATCCAGACCTCCCTCGCGGCTTTCCATCGCGCCTTACACACCAAGTACTACCCCACGAACTCAGGCCGTGGTGCCCAAGACGGGGTCCGTCTCGTGCTAGATGCGAATCTGCAGGAAATTGACGACCTGCCTTGCAACACGGGCTCGCCGCGCGAAGAGCTCATCGATCAATTCCCCGAACTTCACGACGAGATCTCCCTGCTGCATCCTCGGTGGTATGTCAAGTCGGGCCCAGAGTCGCCTCTGCCGCCGCGCGCACGGAGAAAGGAGCAGATCTTGAAGCGACTGGAGCAAGCCTTCCAGGAGTCGAGTGACTCCAAAAAGACCGATGTCGTCGTCGTGGCCCATGGAGGAGTCATCGAGATGCTTGTGCGCGGCGCTGATATTGACATTGCGCAATGGAAGACGTTCGATCTGGTTAGGACCAGCAGTGGGCAACTCGAGCTGGAATGAAAGAAGCCAAACGTAAGTATTGTTGTTGTTATAGTAGTAGTCAATCATTATTGGATAGCAATCACACTATTACTTCCTGTTGATATGTCAAGGTAGAAGCCGCTTCGTAGTCCATTAATCGTCCATAGAGTCCTGTTAGCCTTTGACCAGAAATAAACAACGCTCAACACCCGCCCTTAATCTCCCTCCTAGATATAAGCAAACTCCTCCAACGCCTTGTCCATCTGGTCCGTGCTCGTAAGGACGTGATTGACGCTCAACCTGGCGGAATTACGCCGTCTCCCGTCCTCGCTGTCCTCAGGTTCCTCTTCCTCATCGACATGCAAAAATGAAGGCTGGTACCCATATCGAGCACCTGCACTAGACGGGCTCAAGAAGCTCATCTCCTCCGGCAATCTGCCTCTCGGAATTTCAGTCGACACTGGTGGGGGGTGGTGCAATGCCTTGGCCGGAAGTGTTTCACCACCGTAAATGCCGGAAACCATGCTGGTCGTGGGAGGCTGGTTCTCCTTGCCATGTTGCATAGGCGCGACCTTACGCAACCCCGACACAGGAAGTGCCGCCAAGTCATAGTCCCTTGGGTCGGTCATGGAAGCATCGTCAGCCGAAGGCTTGTTGGTCGATCGAGGCGACATGGCCCCCGATCCCGAAGCGGTGCTGTTGTTCCCGCCACTGTTATAACGCCTATGTCCCTGTCCAGGCTTGGTGACTCGTTCTTTGCTCACTCTACCCATCGGCGAGCCCGAGCTGGGTTGTCGTTGTTGTCGCCGAGGTCGCAGCCCACTTGTTAGACTCCGTGCATATTGCTGGCTGATGTATTCATCGTCCTCGCCGGGCGAGGTCTCAACGACGTCGTCAAGGTGAGGACCCTTGATGCCTCGTGCACGGTTCATGGGCGCAATCACCCTGATCATCATGCGAATTTGGTTGGCTTGCCATCGTATTCTCTCCTCCTGCTTCATGATCGTTCCGTAGTAGTCCTCAAGGTTTTCATGCAAGGTCTTGATGAGGCTGATGTCGCCACTGTTCCATCTTCGACGCTTTATCGGTCGACGCGAGGCTCTATGAGGAGACTTCCGAGGTCCACTAGCCGGCGTGGACTCATCGCTTGAGCTGCTTTGTTGCAGACTTTGATGTCTCGCATGTCGCTTTACCTTCCTGGGTGAGGAGACAGGTTCCGCAGAAGCTTCAAATTGTTCTCCCTGAATGCTAGAGTTGTACTTGTGTGACCTAGCAGGACTAACTGGTTGGGTGGCCACCTCCCTCAGGCTTGATGGGCCTCGCTTCTCTCTGGGCTTGAGTGGACTGCAGGGACGACCACCCGCATTACCACCGATGCTGGGCGTTGGGCTCATAGCACCCGCACGGAAGCGTGCAGTTACCGGATCAGAATCGACGACAACAAAAATATTGCTTTGCCCGAGCACTTGAACAGGTTTTCCGGTTGCACCCTTTCTCGACAATCGCCGGACTGGGCTGGTCAAGCTATTGTAACTCTGGCCTCGACTGTGTGAAACAACAGGCACATTCGCGAGACTGCTACTAGGACGTGAAGCTGGTACAGCTGGAAATTGATCGAGTTGGTCAATACCATCTTGAGCTTCGCCAGGAGTAGGGCGGTCGAACGATGTCGGGGGTGTAGTAGTTTGATGATGCGCGGAATCACTGCTATGATGGACTGATTCACTGCTTGTAGGTCGGTCAGACTTGGGCGATTGATTTCTTGAAGTTGCAAGATCTCGCATTCGCTTTTCCTTAACCTTGTCGGCTCGAGCGCTGGAGATGCTGTGACGAAGATTCCGCGACGACTTTGTGGAAATGCCAGAATCCGTCGATTGACGAGAGATGAGTGAAGATATATCTGTCGACTTTCTATTGGGCCATTTTATCTTGTCCTCGGCAGCTCTTCGTTTTCCAATTGAATCCAATGCTTCGCCCATGGTCGAAGGAGGAACTGCTTCCGTAGGTGGCGATTGACCCACGACTCGAATGGTTGAAGGTGACAAGATCATCGGCGCTGCTGCGGCTTGCGTTCTTTTTCCACTTCGGGAACTTTCGTTGCTATGACGAGGACTGGCACCGCGAACAGTACCTGCTGGCAAAGCTGGTAATGGCCGCTCAGGAGGTATACTTGGGGGACCACTGTGCCTTGACTCAGAGCTTATAGACGGGAGCTTTTGTAAATCATTCACCGTCGCAGATGTGCCGCTTTGGACTTGTGCTTCGATTTTTGCAAGAGTATCGACACTCATGGCTGATCGGGGACTCCTTAACGTCTGGCCAGTTGTAGATCCTGTCGAAGGCATTCGAAGAAACGATCGATTCACGTTGGAGCGTCCCACTGGAGAGGCATCTCGCGGTGCCTGGCGAGAGCTTGATACCGACTGCCCTTTCGATACAGATGCATTTGCCGAAGGCTTTGCGCGAGCCATCTGCAAGATGCTGACCAGATTCGAGACAGTCTTACTCGAGGCTCTTGCTGGCGCTTCAGGACGGCGCAGAGTTTTCTGAGGGGAATCTGTTGTGGTGATAGTGATGTCTGGTACTGTCCGCTGGCCACGCATGCGGTCGGGAGGCGATAGCTTGGTGAGGGCGTCCTGGAATGACATGTTTTGACGAGAGTGGTCTCCATTAAGTTTCGCGGACAGTAATGACGGGAGGGTCTGGGATTTCGGTCCGACCGCGGGCAAAACGGATGCGGCAGGTAACAGCCAGTCCTGGTTAAAATTCATGCTACGCAGAAGCTCGCGGCACTCGAGAGAGAACCTGCTGTCCTTTTCTGGGTCGTGTAGGGACGGTACTGGAGATGGCGGGCGCTGCTGATCGAATCCAGCCAATGCTCGGGAATCGCGGTACTCTTCTTGAGGTGTCTGAGACTCTGTAGGTAATAGAGGCAGCTGCTTCGAAGTGATCGAAGGTCTTTGCGACTTCACTGGCTGGGCGACTCGCACTGTGCCAGGTATGGCGACTCTATCTGACCCTCGTAGAAACTTGACCTCTCGGTGCTTTGTTGGCGTGACTTTGCGCCCTCGAGAACGCGACCTACGCCGCTTCTTGGTAGTTGTCGGAGGAGCCATTGTTACAGTAGCTTTAACTGTCTGCCAACAATGAGGGGAGGCTGATCGGCACAGGCCCCCGTCTTGGAGCTCGACGCTGCTGTCGCTGGTGATTCTAGGGCGCGCAGACCTTTGCGAGCCAGTCGCCTGAAGAAGAGGCTTCTTCGTTGCGCGCTGTTGCTCAAAGGAGGCCTCGCGCATGGTGAGCACTCTATCTTCTGTTTCAGCAGCAGGCTCTGCAGGCGATGGCGACACGGGAGGAATTGGGTCTGGCGCTATACGGCCACGGTTGTGCACCTTGGGCCATCTTTTCGACTGCTGAAATTGAGGCAATCGGGGTCGAGTATGTCGAGGGGACAGTCTGACCTCTCCATATTTGTGGATTGTTGGGCTAGGACAGGATTCGTCCTCGTCCATGTGCCGTTGATGACTCTCTATCGAGAAGTGCGGCAGGTCTGGCAGGCTTTTGTCTGCAGATCTGGTGTACATACCATGTCGCGCTCCTTGGTGTGTGACCATTGCTCCACGTGGAAGCCTGTCTGCTATTTCCAAGTAGCAGCGATGTGCCGAGTTGTCGTTACACTGTCACAGCAAGCATCCAGGCCGCCGTTGTTGTACAACGTTATTCAAAGAATCACGACGGAATGTTCCAAACGAAAGGACCAGGAAGGAGTGCGCAATATCTAAATTGAGGCTTCGGTTGTCGGGTTGATGCATAGGGTCAAAGCGTTGACAACAGACCCTTGACGGGGGAACATTCCTGCTTTATGCTGGAGGGTACACGCGCCAACGGTCAGAACACGAGTATAGGAAGCGGGGGAAACCAGAATCGTCGAGGTTGGCAAGGGAAAGAAACCATTTGCCTACGAACACCCAGTCGCAGAAGGCTGGCATTCCGTGGCACAGGGACTTCGGAGAACATGGAATATGGACCTGGTCTCCATGAGTTGAGTTTGACAGCTGGCTGTCAGATGCTGCTGTGGCATGAAAAGATGGTCCAAGTAAGGGTGTTGCTTGAGCCAAGAATGGACACCTAGCATGCCGGCGCATTTTCTGACAGGTATGCTCCGCACACAGATATTAAGGGAAGAGGATGAAGTCACTGTGCAGGTCCGTTGGATAAGGTTCTTTTTGAGACGGTAAATATGAGGCTAATTGACGTTCTGGTCATCACCAATGGCTTCTCGGTCGTGCCGATCTCTCCTGCTAACGGACCTTCGACAACATCTGGTCACGCCATTTAAGGACAGAGCATTTGCAGGTGTAGGAGGAATGCGCTGAAGCACAATCTCTGTGTGCTCGGGTCGTCGAAAGCCATCCGAAGTTTACTTCAGAAACAGAGCCTCAGTGGGTATTGTGGGGAGCGCGGACGCTGGACAAAGGGGGTTGGTCAACCAGTACGTGATAGCTCTGAGTCCCTTTTCAGCCACAGCCGGGGATGCTCCGGAAGGGACGGACGCAAGGGTCATGCCGCACCACCAGGAAAGCGATAGAGGGCATGAGAGGGCATCGCAACACCGAGAAACAAGGGCAGAGGACGTAATCACCTGCCCATAGCGTTTGGTGGCGGAATTTAGGGGACTTTGACGTTGAGAAGTTTGGTGGGGAGAGGCGGCAGCAGCTGATGTCAAGGACAGAGTACTCCGTAAGTCGTCGAGTAGTCGACTTCTTTAGGATCGATTGTGGAAAAGAGGCTGCATGTCATGTCATTCTTAACGGCGCCATTGTCCCGGCTTCATTGGCTCTCGCCTATCTCTTGATATCGGTGGCGCTGATCCTGGCTGCTGATTTGGCTCAAATAGTGGAATGCGCCCTCGACGTTATCAAAAGATGGCTTGCTTTTGCCTTTCGCTAAGACCTGTCTTTCAATGGGTGTGCGTGCAGGTGCATTGAGGCGTTCGATAACTATGGGATGACATCCAAGGGGGGTCTGTTTTGAGACAACTGAGGAAGGGGGGATGTAGATGTTCTGTTGATGCAAGTAAGCTGTTCCAATGTTGGAAAAGCAGTACCTGGTTCAACCAGACAATTGTTGGTCGCGGACCACGTCCTCACACCTGAAGACTGGTCGTCCTTTGTGGGCAAAGTCATGGAAAGTGTGCAGAAAATTCCAGCAGGCAGCGATGGCAAACAATGATGACAGGTTGACAATGCAGCTGGATTCGTCGTGTGATGGATGATACGGAGTCCGGAAGGCTCGTGATGATTTGGTGGTGGAAGTTGTGGTGGAGGAGAGGCAAGACTTCGCAGAAGAGTCAACTTTCCAGGGTTGGATCTTTAGCCGGAATGATGCCGGTTTGCCGCTTGATGGGGGAGCTCACTAGGCGTGGATTTCCCCTCTCCTTCCCTAAACCTCTCCGTCCAAGCGTTGATGGGCGTCTTCTCTCCATCGAGTCCATCTGCCCATCCGCCCATCCCTCTGGACTCATACCATACAATGCCAAAGTCTCATCGTCCCCAGCGTCTCTTTTTGGGCGTCTTCTCATCTGGTAACAATGGTTATGCTGACAAACATAAGCAGTCTTCAGCTGTGAGAGCCAAACCAAGACCGCTGTCTACCACAGAATTCAAATCCCGGACCCTGAGTCAGTGTGGGTTCGTGTCCTGCCAGATCTCCTTTCGCCCCCTTCGCCAATCCTCGCGTCCTGCCATCCTCATTAGCCGCATGAAACCAACCTTGACAACATCTAAGATCTACATCCCCATAACCATTTTCGACCCTGGTTCAATCGCATCAGACTTCGGTCATCCATCCGAAGCTGTCCATCGCCTGCACCTTGCGCGAAACCATGACTCGACAACGCCGTCATCTGCTCATGTCTCGGAAGCTGAAGCCCGCAACGTGCCTGTTATCTGCCTGGGTCAGGTGAACAGTCCGCATAGTACGGGGTTTGCCGTGCTAACATGGCAGAAGCGGCGAGCTTCGACTGTTCTCAGGTGGGTGGAAGAGATCTAATAACATCAACGACAAAAGGTTCGGGGCCTCAGCAACATTTGAGAACCTCTTACCCCACGGGATCATCAGGCATCTTCCGGATCCTCGGTGGGCAAGTGATCATCAGTGGCGAACTGTTCAGGAACGCATGTTCCACGTGAGAGCAATCCTTCAAGAGCATGGAACCAAGGATGAGCATACTGGAGAAAACGGTCAGGCCAGGTCACTGAAGCCAGGTAACACAAACCTGAACCATGGAGATTACGCACATCCATCCCTGTTTCGCGTGTGTGAAGCTGCTGATCTCCTGTTGATCAATTTGCCAGGCCACTTGTCACCCACGACAGATTGACCAGACTATTTGACAGCTCTAACTCTTTCTTCAGACTCCTGCAAGCACTTTAAGCCTATTTCTCCTTGTTCGGATAGGGAGATGCAGCTCTAGTCTATCACCAGCGATGCTCCCTGAAACATAACTGGCGCCATTTCCGCTCCGCCAGTGATTTCTTAGCTCTTGCCTTTCAAGACATATTATTGCAATGGTCACTCCTGACATGGACCCGATCTTGATAGCGGTGTCTTGGCGACTACTGATTGTCAGTCGCGACAAAATCGCTATGCTGTGCACGAAAATCCCCTCCCCTGGTTGGCATACAGCCATAGGAAGGATGCACAAGGCTCGAGCAAGGGACACGTCACCTGTAGTCACCCATCCTCAACTGGGCCGGTCCCATAACTTCACATATCAATGTACGTACAGGCAAGTCATATTCCCTTTCGCTTCATTCGTTTCTTCTCACATACTGCCGTCTTGGATGGCTGGCGCAACGGTTACTTCCGTCATTGGCCAGCCGTGCTCCTGAGAAAATGCTAGCTCTCTCGTTGTACTCACACGACCAACGCCTGACTCCGCTCTTCAGAAGATGCTCGTGCCAATGGGGTATCTAGCTGCAAATGCCAGAATTGCATATGCAGATTGAGTAGGGGTACAAGCACGACACACTACATTCTATGCAGGCAGATCATGTGCGTATCCCGGCCTGGTGGAATTGATACCTGCTCTGGCTTCGATGATGGACAAAGCTTTCATACTCAATCTGTGCCTAGTCCAGAAGTTGAGACTGTTAGCATCTATTCAGTATCAGCCCCTCAAGCCGCGGGTACGCCGTTCAGGTCCATGCCTAGGCAAGCTGTTTCAGGTCCAACACCATCGCTTGCAAAAGGACATTGCCGTGAGCAAACCCTCGGGGAAATTTGTCATATACTCGGGATGAAAGCCACGCCCAATGGAAAGTCATGGTCGCTGGCATTGACAAAGTGTATTGAGGTATTTGAAAAGATTGGCACAGCCCCAACATTGCAACACCGCTCACTAATCCGTATCAGGACGCATTAGGCGACCCGCATCAAATGGTCTGCTTACTTGTACCTCACCAATATCTCCCTCAGCCTCAGCTGGCAGCAAGCGTCTTGCGCTACTGGTTCTCAGCAGTTCTCTGAGACCTGCAAATGATGCAACCCACTAGAGTAACCCTCTGTGTTCACTGGTCCGACATCAACGGTGTCTCCGCTCATGTTCAGGACCTCTGACTGCGAACTGCGATCCCGCTTCTCCGCGTCGTAAAGTGCCCTCGGACTTCATAGGCTGAGTCATGGCCAGCAGTTTGGATTCCAAAAAGGAGCTCCAGAACCAGCAAGTGGCTCCAGGGCATCCGTCATTCAGGTACAGCTGCTCTCTTGAATTTAGGCTTTGGGGGACGAAGATCTCACCTTGCAGATATGATCACCCATGCATATACCTATGGTCCTATCGGTGCTCTGCAAGGCCCCTGCTCCTCTCGAGGCTGGTAGGAGCAGTAGCGGCGAGGGTGACAAAATCATAAAAGCCAGAAGAGGTGAAAGGGGGTGATTTTAATCCACCTCTCATCGAAATTGGGACGTGGATTGAGTATAAATCATACATAACCCATTTGAGGCAGCAATGGACGACGTGCAGGCAATCAAAATCAACTTAACAGCTTAAACCCTGTGAGTCAACCAAAAGAGAATGGTCGGTGTCCCCGGTCGAAGCAAAGGGTGCCATACATGTCTGAAAAGGAGGATCAAGTGCGGTAAGTTCCTGTTCCTGAGTCCACCCTGCATATGGTGTTCCCCATCAAAGTTCACCCCAGCGAATCTTTTTCTAAACCACCAACTGCGTTCGTTCCACAGATGAGTCCAGGCCGACCTGTAAGCGTTGCGAGAAGGCTGGGTACGTCTGTGCAGGATACGACCGGAAACTTCAAATGCGGTTTCACACATTCGAAGCGGGATCTGCAGAGAATCCCGCAGCATCAACAGTATCGGCAAGAACAACGAAAGATGTTCCTTTCAGGTTGTCGACAACCGTGACTGTCCCGCTGCAGAAGAATCTCGTCCTTCGCTCTAACAACGAGGGTCCGGCTCCACCAACGAGCGTCTTACCCCAGGAACTGAGTCTAGTGGCGTTCAGGGACGACGTCCAGTTCTCCTATCTCTTCGACAACTTCGTGTGGAGCAGCTATGGTTCTCCGTGGCTGCAGATGGCCGCGGCAGGGAGGCTTGATGCATTGTCTCTCGAGGCTTGTCGTGCGTTTTCCCTCAGTATTTTCGGCAAGCACCATCATCAACGCGATATCGTAGTCAGCGGAGCCATGCATTACGACCACACGGTCCGCGCCCTTTCGTCTCGGCTCTCGCGCGTGGGCTCGCCTGGGAGTGAAGGCCTGATCATCCCCATCACGATTCTCCTGATGCATTCGGTGAGTTACGATTCACACCTCTGCTTACTCCGTACGTCCAGTCGCTCGCATCGCTTACACAATAGAACAACAGTCCACGACTCCGGACCCTCAGGCGTCTGCTTTCCACATCCAGGGGCTGTTGAAGCTGGTTCAGATCTGTGGTCCCGAGAGATTTGCGGTCAACCCTTTGAGGCTGGCTTTCGAATCGTGTCGTGCAACGCTGGTGAGTCGCACACGTTCCGAGGTCCACCACAGGACAGACATAGAACATGGCTAAACCGACATCAGATCACTATCGGTCTGATCACGAAAACCCGAACCTTTCTGGAACAATCTGTCTGGATAGACGAGCCATGGTCGCTCTGCGGTCAAGGGAATAAAAGTCCTCAAAACCAGCTCGTCGACATCCTCGTCTATGTTCCAGGCTTCCTCGAAGACCAAGCCCAACTCGAGCAACAGCCCTCCGAGGACTTTCGACTAGATCTGGTGCAGCGCATTGAATACCAGGTTGCAAGACTTTACAACTGGCGATGGCACTGGGAGGAGATCAATCCCAACTCTGTATGGGGAGTTGACCCAACAGTTATTCCTTCGCATCAACTTCTTGCTGTAAACCCACGACCAATTCGAAATACTCTGATCTTGTCGACGTTTTCGAAAGCCATCGAGATCTCCTTGTACAACGCAGTGTTGTTGTGTCTATTGGGTTTGTTGTGGAGCTTGAACCCCATCGATGGCGACGAATATTCGCCCTCCCCGATGGAGCTGTCGTCGCAGTCGCGGACGCAGACTCCTCTCCACCTCCCAGGCGAAGTCGACTCGCTGATCAAACCAGCCATCGAGATCTGCCGAGCCTTTGAATTCCAGCTGTTGAACGTCAAGAATAGCAGGGATACGGCATTGTTCTGGCTGTTTCCTTTGGGGCTGGCAAGCAAGGTCCTCGAAGACAACGCCGAGTATATGGCTTGGATCAAGGACATGTTGGACTCATCCCAGATCACAAGGGGGTATGGGACGAAAGGCCAGAACACCGCAGGCTTTGGCTTCTACAAGTTCCCGCAGATCAAACGGAGGAAGGCTCACGTGCGACCCATGATACAGCCACAGTACGATTCTGATACGCTGAAGCGATATTCAGATAGCTCGTCGCCAGACAGTGGCTGTTGGGAGTGAGCTTGTGAAGCAGGACTCTCATTTTGAGCGTGGCGTTTTGGAGTCTCTCTAGTACCTTTGTCCGGATTCAACGCACAGGTAGACATTCTATCAGCAGTGCAGGCTTCACTTCAATAAATTTGCTCAAATCGGCATGTCATTATGTAGTACGATTTCCAGGCGGTCGCTTTTGTTAACGCCGTGTTCATTTCCTTGCAATGACCACCCATGCTTCGAAAAGTAGACCCCCAAAGGAATCCTTCTCTTTTTGCATTGCCGCCGCCACGGCATCGGGCCATTTCGCCAATTCTTCCTCGCTCCACTCCCTGGTGGCCGCGTTCTTGAGCGACGATGTCGTCAAGAATTCGTACAGCCCCCTCCAGTCATCACCACCCTCGGCGACCACCTTTTTCAATGCGAACGTTTCGACGGTGTCGGAGGGGAATCCGGCGTCTTGCACGAGCCGGGCTGTATACCCTTCTTCGAGGTATTGAGGTCCAGCGGCGGGGATCCGGTGTGCGTTGGCCCATTCGTCGCCTTTGACGACTCGCTGAGCGGCAGAGAGTAGATCCTCGGCGGCGAACCGTTTCCAACACGTCACGACGGCCGTCCCACCGGGCTGAAGCGTCCGACGCATTTCCTGGAGACATTTGTCGGGATGGGTGAGGTTGAAGATGCTGAAATTGCAGATGCTGTGGGTGAAGTAGTTGTCGCCGTAGTCCTTGAGATCTGCGGAGTCGGTCACGGCGAGCGCAACGCTCTGCCACAAAGCATCGTCCTGATGCTTCGTCGCCCTGATGGCCTCGCATGCTTCGATCATTGCAGGCACGTAGTCCGTGACCACGATCTTGGGTGTCGCGGCGGAGTTGTGCTTGTGGCACCATGTAATTAAAGCCTCTGCGGCGGTTCCGGGACCAGCTGCATTGTCATGGACCACAGAGTCTGAGCTGATTGATAGACCATTGCGATGGTCTAATACCTCGTTAAAGAGATCTCGCGTCGTGTTTCCCGTGAACTGAGAATACTTGGGCGCGAGCTCGGTGAAGTAACGGTGTTTACCTGCTTCGGGATTGGCCATGGCTTTTGTGCGAGTTGATATATATATATATATATATATATATATATTTCAGATGGTGTTACGGCGACGACGATGTGTTGAGAATGGCTTTGGCACAGGGAATAGGGTGATATGGAAACAAGGGAGTCAATGTTTATATGATGAACCTATGCGGATTTACAGTAATGCCACAAACATTCCACGTTGCTTATCTACCTATATTCTCACATTCAGGCCTGACCGTGCCAATACCGGACTACCGGTGCTGACAGAGACGCCTAGCCTGCTGGGAACCAGACAAGCTGGCCGCAGGTGGGGAAGGCCTGAATGAACGAGGGCAAGAGGCCACGCACGGTATAATCGCTCTTGACCCGGCGCCAGAGCACGTAGGGGGTGATCGATGCCGGCGTGGATTTTGACCGAGGAACGATTGACGAGAAGAGAGGATGGGACTTGCACTGTGCGGTGACTTGATGGTGATTACCTAGGTACCTACGAGGTAGATCCAACAACCTCGATTACTAAGCTACTAGAAATGACCACTGGTCTACGGAGTACCTAACCAAGTTACTTGTGTTGTACTGTAGAAGCTTCAAGCCCGTCGTCGGTAGGGACAATAAATGAGTTTTCATCATCATGACATGCGAAGTCACCCCTGACTTGCGCAAGCAGAAAATGCTCGCCTCTCATATCCGAGAAGATGGTACCAAGCCCACTGAAGGCACATCGTTACAACTCGAAAAGCACGGTATGGCATCTAGCTTGCCTTTCATAATTCATTTATTCTCAAACCAAAGTTACGTAGGGACTACGCGCGAGGCTACTACAAAACCCACGCGATAGATTAAAGGTCAAGAACGCCCTTGTCCATCGCTTTGCTCCATCTTCTTAGGCAGCACCTGCAGCATAGACTCGTTCAGGCTCTTGTGCAGTCGAAGCCATCATGTTCCGGATGCCTTGTGTGAGATCAACACCCACTCTTTCCTTAGCCAGCAAATCAACCAATAGAGGACTCGGCTTGCTATCACGGTGAGGCTGGAAAGCCGATTGACTCTCCTTGTACTTCTGTACATTGTCCAGATACATGTCGAAAAGGTACGACGAGTCAAGCGGGCCTCCTTTAGCTTCGGGATGGAACTGGGTCGAGAATATAGGTCGAGAAGCGTGGATCATACCTGCAGTGAAGTTAGCATAGGATGCGTTGAGCCAGGCATGAGCAACTAACCTTCGTTGGAGTTGTCGTTCAAGTTGGTGAAATATGGCTTCCAATCTTTGGACAAGGTTGAAGCATCGACAGCATATCCATGGTTTTGGCTGGTAATGTGGCATTTCCCAGTAGTGAGATCCAGGGCTGGGATATTGTGTGCTCGGTTGCCGTACTTGAGCTTGATGGTCCTGGCTCCAGCGGCCAAAGCCAACAACTGATGACCAAGACAGATACCAAAGATTGGTATTTGAGAAGTCTCCATCAACTTTCGAAGGTGATAGACGGTGTCCTGGCAATGAGTCGGATCACCTGGGCCGTTGGAGATAAACACGCCATCGAAATGGTGAGCAACCTTGTGAATCGGGTAGTCGAACGGGAAGCAGGTGGCGCTAGCTCCTCGGCTGACTAGACTACGAAGGATGTTTTCCTTGACACCGCAATCGATGACAGCGACGTGAGCGTTTGGGTTGGGAGCACTGGCGTGGAATGGTGCTTTTGTGCTGACTTTCCGCACGAGGTTGATTTGCTCAGGGTCAATAAAGGCCTCATCCTCATCCTGGTCGTATTCCTCCCCGATAGTGATTTTGGCCAGACTAGAACCTTGCTCTCGCAGGTATGTCACAATGGCACGGGTGTCCACCCCAGTGATGGCTGGAACGCCTTCTCGTGCACACCATTCACTCAAGCTCTCGACTGCAGTCCAGTGAGAGTATTTCTCTGCCACATCTGCCACAACCACACCCACAGCCTGGATATTTGGGCTTTCAAAATATTTCAGAAGGCCGTGCTCGTCTCGAACACTTGATGGCACGCCATAATTGCCAATCAATGGCTGGGTGAAGACCAAGATCTGACCTCGATAAGAGGGGTCGGTCAATGACTCAGGGTATCCCACTAGTGAAGTTGTGAAGACGGCTTCTCCTGAGACGTTGCTTCGGGCACCGAAAGATGTGCCATGGAAAATAGGACCATTTCGGATGGTAAAAGTGGCTCGTTCGTGGGCAGGAGCGGTTTGCTTGTAATGCTTGTGTAGAGGAAGCTCTTGTTGTCGGGGCGTGTTGTTCGACACGGTTGCGAGCGAACGTGCTCGCAGAATCGATGTGCTTGGGACGATGGTGCCTGCCTTGGGCACAAGGCTCGACTGTTTTAGGAGTCGAGAAAACATGTTGAAGAGTTATGACTGTTGTATCTTTTCTTGACCGCTAGTTGGCTTGAGCCTTCCACAAATGATCTATTCCACCGGTTAGAGACGCCAGACTCGAAAGGACGGAGGTGAGTAAGTACCACTAATGTAATCCTATGAGCAAAAACTGTTAGCAGAGGTTCAAACAGATACTGCAGTGACGTGTTTTCTGTTGTCACACTGGAGTGAAGAGCTTATCAGTGGGCTGTTGAGGGGCATGAGGCTCTTACCTGAGAGGTGAAGATGCTTGGGAAGCACATGAACGCGATGCCCGGTGTTCAGCAAGCAGGAGTATGCACGAAGATGAACCTTTTCAGGTCCTCGAAGGCGTGGAAGAACTAGTTGCAGTCGTTCTGCACAAAATTTCTTCCTTTGCTGCAAGACGCAATGTGGAGTGAAAGGAGGAAAAGATTGGTGCAAGATTTTATCAGGCGCAGGCCCGGTGGATCTGGAGCTCGCTCGGCTCGTTGCCCAGGCCAATCGCTGCTGCTGTAAATCACAACAGCAAAATTTCTTGCATATGACGAAAATGCAACAGATTTCTATTCCACTCGGTTGAGATGTTTGAAAGATAACAAAGTCCAGCACCCCGACTATGATGTACAGAATACGTCGTTCAACCTGAAAGCGAGATCTGGCCATGTCCGTCCCCAGCCAAGGCTCTCTCTTTTGATACTTGTAAGAAACAACAACACTTTCGCCCCCGGCCCTACACGTGATCGCAGTGTTCAACTGGCGACCAAGTATTCCATCCATCTGAAAACTCTTTGTCACTGCCCGGACAGGACCATATAAGGACATCATCGTCTGTGATTTGGAATACCAGCATATTGGATATCCGCTGGATTCTCCATGTCCAGTGCCGGAGGCGGGCGATCCTATATCTGGCACATCTGTAAACCCCAATCACCTTATCGGGTAATCTTCTGGAGTTTGCAGTTGTTGCATCTTTTGTGAGCGCAACTCGGACATATTTCTGTTTTGATACTGATTGCACTTTTTCCGTCGTTGCACTGATCATCAGGGTTAGCTTTGGCCGCCATGCAGGGTCATGGGCTAGCGTACACAAGACCATATGAAAATGCCCTTCTTTTTCGTCTTGACAAGCGGCATAGTCACCCGAGACTTCGCACGCGTTAGACTGGTATGGTCCAAGGTGATGGAGCTGCTTGCTGTTGACAGTGGTGAGCATGTCTTCAGGATTGCAGAATCGCTGGGCTTGAGGTAGGATATGACTGCGACCTACACCACAACAGACAGTCTTTGACTGATATTCAAGATGGACGGAGGGCGGGCGAAAGGTTTGACGGTCCACTAGAAGCTCCGAAGCGAGTCACACGATTTTGAGCGCGTCGACAGCAACTCGTGAATGAGAAGATGAAATTTGAGGCCGGCAGACAGGTAGGTTGAGGTTTTGTATCCAGAATGTCGGCAATGGAGTGGTTACACCGACTGAAGTCTCGCGGCTGTCGGAGATCGAGTCGCGTAGTCAGGTGGAGCAATCTTACTTGGGATTTTGACTTTCTGCAAACCTGATATTCGCGTTATTCGGAGCTCTATGCGGATGTCGATGGCTACACACGTTACACAAGAATTTTGGATGGCAAGGGTCTCAAGAGGAAGCTCGGATTGTTTGCTTGTTGTTCGATCCAATGCAACCCTGCGCGTATTGAGGTGGTGAACTGTGCTCGGTGGTGAGGAAGAGTCCAGGGCGCAGAAATTGGAAGCGTCCGTCTGTGTTCAGTGGTCCACTCATGTCTTGGGACCATGGCGAGCATCACATGGTCAGTACGAAGTGGCTGGCCGAAAGTGCCAAATCGGTAGCAGTCCATAGAGCAGAACGGATCCTTGAGGGATCGGTCCAAGGCCCAGTCGCAAAAGGACCCCAAAAGGCACTAAATCTCGGGACAGGTGGCTGTCGGCAACGAGATGGTCATGTGGAGATTCAGGAACGAGCACATCTGGAAAGTCCACTCGATGGCCATTTGCCATTTGCTTTAGACTTACCAAAGTGTCAGGATGGGAATGGGAGGAGTCAGCAGATGTGAACCCAAGACGACTCTAGTGATGCGGCACCACAAATCCCCGGCATGGTCCCTGGCACGCCGTCAGAGCCTCATTTGCTTCCCCAGCGTGGTACGGATACGAGTAGAGGTTCGAACGGAACAACGTGGGAGGCGTGGGATGACATTCGTGACATCACTTTGCGACTTCTCATCCTGCCTTGGTGGCTCGCTGGGTGCCTTGTATTCATGCCCCATCAATTGACTTAGTACATGTTATTTGGGCACCGGGTTATTTGACATGGGCAATGAGCCATGTGTTGGCATCATCTATTCTTCCGAGTCTTTTCGCCTACTTTGGTCCCATCTTCTGATCCGAGATCAGGCGCACGATTTGCTGGTCGACAACATTGGGCACATCGTCATCATGTGTTTGCCGAATCAATAACCACGTTACCCTTCACGTTTCTTCGAGTGGCTTCGAGATACTGTATACGTTACACAGGACAGCCCCACGTATGCCGGCCTTCACGATCTTGGGTGACCATCCCGGGTTTATCTTGCGGCGCCTAACGGGGACATCCGACAATTGACGTTTTATGCTTGACCATCATTCTACTATTTGCTTGATTCAAGAATCGACTTTCGTGACCCATGATCTGGAGTCTGGACTCGCTACTATTCACCCTGCCCGGCCCAAACCGGTGTGGTTCATAATACCGGCGAGGCAAAAGTCCACAAAACTCGGACCTGACTGAACGGACTTCTAGTTAGCTTCCTAACTGCCCAACTCCTCGTCCTCCTTCTTGCCACGGGCTCGCGGGCTGGGAGCCCTAAGTGTTTCTTCGTCGCTGTTTGGCTTTCTTCCCAGCTCCACCATACCACCTCCAGCACCACCATAGGGTATACCATCGATGAGTGGGGCTTCTTGACCATGTAAGAATTGGTAGTAGTAGTATCTATCTGCGGGTTAGAAACCGTGCATGAACACCAGTTCATCATGACTTACGCTGCGACGAATAGAGCGCCTCCGACAATATTTCCCAGAAGTGCTGGTATGATGCCTTTCCAGATGTACAGGCCGACGCTGATACCGGGCGTGCCATGCCAGATAGCTATTGGGATGAAGAACATGTTCGCGACGACGTGGTCAAAGCCGAGTGACACAAAGGCAAAAGTCGGCCACCAGATCCCTGCGTGACAACTCAGTTTAGAGCGCTACAGGTGCGACCTTGCTGTGGACTCACCCATTATTTTGCTGAAATACTCACGTCCAGACATGCCGAGATAGCATGCCAGACAGACGAGCCAATTGGCGCCAATGCCGCGGAGAAAGACCTGGTGCCATTCCGGTGTGACTTGCTTCGTCTTTGCAAATGACTGGACTTCTTTCATGTAGCCCGCTGAGTCAAAGGTGCCACCATAACCGGTTATGATGGCTACCAAGAACAAAGAGCCGGCAAGATTGCCCCAGAATGTAACGGTCCAATGGATCAGCATCTTGAGGACGCTAAGGCGACGGTGGTACACAGCCATCGCAGTAAACTGTCCGTCGTGTCAATAAAGGAAGGCCAATCTTGTGTCGGGTCTCGGTTATCATACCATAAAAGATCCCGTACAGAGCTCGGCTCCGGTGAGCACTATAGTGCAAAGTCCGTAAGGAAACACCAAAGCCGAGATGGTCCGGATCAGGCCGGGAGCATTTTCTTGGAACCACGGTGAGGCATTGGTGCTGAGAGCCGTCGCACAGGCAAACGACAAGAGACAACCAGCGGAAACTGCGCTGAAGAAGATCTTGTCTAATCGCTGGTTCCCTTTGACAACACCGGCGCGAGAGACGATCTCGGCGGTCTCTTGAGGAGTGTAGCAGTTGTACATGGTACCTGATATACTGAGTCTGGCCAGAGAGGATAACGTTGTGCCAATGAGCAAAGGTAAGCAAGCGGGCTGGTGTTAATTTCTATCAGCGCTCGACTGAACGCTTTTGATGCTCTCGAGAAGGCTGTCTTAAGCAGGGGTGAGTTAACGCCAGCAGGTTCGACATGGGTTATATGTTTTTTTGGACTCTTTCGAGCGCGTCTTGCTGCCATCGCTGGCCGTATGATCAGCGGACGAAGCAAGAGCCAAGTTCAGTATCCCCTTGGCAGTCTGTTATCAATGTAACATGTCTGTGCGAAGGGCTTTCCGCAATGCACATACGTTAAAGCTCGAGCTTGCCCTTGAAGACGGCACAGAGCGTGCAGTATCTTACCATAGGGGGACGTTCCTCCAAACTACCAATCCAAGATCGGCATCAAAGGCTCAATATCTCGCCCAAAGAAGCAGGAGCTTGCAGCTTCAGCATCAGTAGCTTGACCCCATACACACGGAGAAACTGGACGTCTTGCTCCATCAAAGATAAGCACGAGGCTGATGTCTGGATGCATCATACATGATTGACAGGGTGGCTTTGAAGATCAGCAAGCAAGATTATTAGCCTGGCTTGGCTTGAGGTCACTGACGTATGTTGGCATAAATTGGTTGTTACCGCATGGATATTACGGGGACGTCCAGGAGAAGAGTCAGCTACGAATACCAACTTGGTGGTTGAGGCTCTCCGGAGTTGCGGAGAAGCATAGTCGTGATGCGGATCGGATTGTCGAGGCACGATACCATGCTGAATAAGGGCTCTCTTATCGTGAAATCCAGTGCATTGGGTCTTAGCGCGAACAGGTAGGTACTTCGGATTCGAGATAATTGGTGACGATCTGGACATAACTGGTAATGCATCAAGACACTGCTAAGAGACTGTGACCTGCTTTGTCGCTGGGGATCGGGCAGTCCTGACTTCTGGATCTCGCAATGCTTTCGAGCAATCACTCGGCGTGTCGGCAGCCCATGGACAATGAACAGCCTCCGGCTAGGACCCTTTCTGCAGTCGCCAACAAATCAACTATAGCAGAAAGACAGAGTCACATGAGAGTCGACATGTCTGCCTTGCTGGCCTTGCTGATTCCCTTCTTCAAGCGCATAAAGGTCGTCTGTAGAGGTGAAAACTGTTCACAACGTTGGATCTGCGCAAGCCTTTCAATCCTGTTCGTTCGTCATCTTTCTGGGATAGTGGGGCGGCCCATTTAGATTTGCAAAGTCCAGGAGCATTGGTTGTGAAGGCCTTTGACTACCATACTAATCCTCGTGGATAAATCTGGCCTTTCAGCTCCAATGCAGCGCCTGCAGAAACCGGCCTTAGCCACTGCCAGCCCGCGATTGCTGCCCATCAAGGCTTTGCGCGTTGTCATGGCACAGCCATGCTTGCTTACTGCAGCAGAAAGGTCCTCGGCTGGGACTCAGATCTCTTCATCTTCGGATTCTTCCTCTATTTGCTTGTCCATGATCTTTCTCCATTCCTCCATCATCTTCGTCATATCGCCGGGAGCCATGCTAGCGTCCACAACCTCTTTAGGTAATTTGTGCGCGCTATATTTCGTCGCGGCAAACTGATAAGCTTCGGGGTCGTCGCGCTGCACAAGCCGGAACTCCGGATCGAAAATCGAATCACCATCTGGTTCGGGGATTGATAGTATCTCCAGCCACGAGAACAGTAATGGATCCGTCCTCGGCGCCCAAGGATTGATGTCGATCAGCCAGACTCTCTCATGTGGAGGAGGAATGTAGACGTCGAATACAAAGTTATCATCCGGGAAGTCAGTCAGGCGCTCGAGGAAGCGCTGGATCTTGGCCTTGAACGAGTTCCGCAAGTCGAAGAGGAATTCGAAGTAATTCATCTCCCGCTGGCTGATAGCGATGAGTTTTCTGTTTCGCACAAAACACCGAAATTCCAATGACGGATTCAAATTGAAGGACTTCCTCAAGACAAGGTGGTATGGCACATCAGCCTGATCGACGCAGCCGTCAAATGCTTGCTCGAGATCGTGTGTGATGAAGTCGCTGGACTTTAGGAGCAGGTAAATATCGTTTGGCGTCCGACATTCCATGTCGTTGGTTGTTGCTATCCATGTCGCATCCTTCGGAGCCGACCAGTTCAATTTCGGCACGACCTTGCCTCCAAGTTCGGCGATTATAGAGCGGATACGCTCGTGGACGTCGGCCCATGCACCCGAAGGGTCCTCTTCTTCCTCGTCCTGAAAGCCACTGTCCTGGTCGTTGAGAGTGTGTTCCGGTGGCAAGACAATCCCGTCAGCTCGCAGATAAGTCAGAAATGGCTCAGAAAGCGGTGCAAGCCTAGCTTTCGGCGTGAGTGAGCGGAAGCGAGGTTGCCATGAATGATATGAACAGTTTAGGATATGTGAAGCTGTGACCGGGGGGAAAGGCAGCGCAGTCAACGGCTTGGGCGTTTCTTCTGCCATCTTCTGACATAAAAGAGACTACCAGGATCCGTCTACACTCGATCAATATCAGAGCCCGGTGACGAGTCCATCTGACAGGGGCAAAAAGAAGCCTTGGGTGGAATCTTCGAGTTCAAAAGTCGGAAGCGACTCGCTGAGTCATCCAGGACCTTCACTTGGCTTTGATCACGTGACTTAAGTGCTTGCCAAGCCCGCCAAAGCAGCGCGCCAACTTGCTGTCTCGCTATTCAGACGGGATCCTCGAGATGTTCAGGATTTGGATGTCTCTTGGCATCGAGGCTTGCAAAACCCAGTGCCAACCTCAATTCAGGCTTCCTGAAGGTCAGCAGACTCAGTGCCTGCCGCATGGCTTCCCGGTGCAAAATTGTGACTCTATTGATAGCTTGCCAGCTGGATGCGTTGTCGACAGCCCCAGCCGAATCCCATCATCGATGCCGGTTAAACGTGTGAAAAGGACACGAGGGCTGAGCCTTACTGACGTGAAAACGAAAAGAGAGAACGCTGCTGCTCGCTATCTCACTGCAGCTTGCAAAACCCCGGAACCGTCTCACAACCATCATGCCGCGCCGAAAAGAGGCTGGCATCTGGACGAATTCTTTGTCAGTGACACCAATAATCAAGATTCTGGTCAATGAGTGACCCAAATTGCTTCAATCAGCTTGAAGCTTGTGCTCTGTCCGCCGTATGCTTCTCGCCGCCCTGTAACGTCAGCTCGCACCTTGAGTGCAACTCCTCCACGTCAATGGTTGCAGACCAGCTCTCGTGCCAAAGTCATGGGATCGAAAAGTTGTTGTGCTATCCTGCAGCTGAAAGCAGAAGAATCTACCGTGGCCGTTAACATTGGAAATCATTGGCTGCCAGAGCGGCATACTGCTCGTGGAAAATTGCTGTCAACGTTCGAGCGCGGTAGGTAGCCGCATTCCTGGGCCTCCCATTACAATCGTGATCGGATCACACAACTCTCCATGGTATTCGTCATATGTCAGGGCCAGACGGTGCCCCCGAATGCTTCCATTCGCCTTCTCGTCCTGCTGCGACAAAAAAGGCGGTGTCGCATTTGGGTCCAGACTGAGGTGCGTATGGCACTGCATGTGCTTCGTTTGCATGTCCAGACTTCCAGTCCAGTTGCCAAAGCTGGGAGAGCGCTCCGAAACGGCTGGCACAGATTGGTGCGGATTCGAGGCAGTCAAACCTGTAACAGGGAAGCCTTCGTTCTGAGAGCGAAGCATTGGATATGGACCCGTGGCAATTGAAGACCACCTTGAGACAACTTTGACCTGAGCCGGATTGCTCACCTATATGCAGATCGACCATGATGATGCTAACGAACTTTTCCTCCGTGTTCATGGCTCGTCGCCATCACGGCATCACACAATTATTTCGCGAACGTTCCTCAAAAATCACCAAGCCTCCCGAGGGATCGTTGGACATGCTATGCTGGCGGGTATGCAGGCTGCCGTGCACAGTAAGGTAGGTGAAGGGGAGGAACGAGAAGATTATGTACATCACCGTTGAACTGGCTGCGTTTGGTTTGAAAGTAGCGGGGTACATGTGAGACATCAGAGATTTGAAATCTGCAAAGTAATCAAGGGGACTGTCGCCGGTGTCTGAACCTTCTATGTCTAGTATCTTCTCCTTGTGGCTTCTTGGAAGATCGATTCTCTACTATGGTCTCATGGGTAAATCGTGTAAATAATTTGGCTAGGGTGCCATTCGACGACAGACAGCAGCGAGGACAATTTGTGTGGCAAGAGGGCCTTTGGTTTCATTTACCAATGAGACCCACACGAGACCGTAGTACAGTACTAGCGCATTCGTCAAACCCACCACGAGTTGGGTGACGAGTAGCTACTCGTGCTACTGCGTAGCTTCGAACCGAAAACGGCAAGAGCCGACCGCAACACCGAACATTCCCAAGTAATATAAATACGGATTAGAGGGAGTTATCACCCGGTTTCGATTGAGGATTGCGGCTTTGAGCACTGTTGCCGGAGAGATCAATCCGGAGCTTATTGGCCTGCCAAGACGCGCCAGCTTCTGTTGTTTTGTATGGCCAAAGAGATGACAGGATTCCCTTGGGATCGATTAATATTTGCTCAGTAGTTAAGAAAAATCCTTACGGAGTAATACTAGTCCACGTACGTATCAAGCTTCCAATCCTTATACTTGTCGGAGCTATCACATTGTGCGACACTGATACGATGCGCAGCTGCAATGAGTACGTTTCGACTTCCGTTTAATGCCAACCGAACAGGCCCTCCCAACTTTCTACCTGCACATATAGACACATACAGTGCTAGCAGCCACGCGGTGCTCAGAGACAAGGGAGAGCATCGGCGGATCGAGCTACCAGGATCTAGTACGGGACTTCTAGGAGAGACGACGCAAGCCTTTTCGGGGACGTCTTCGCCTTTCGCTCCGCATGCGAAAGCAAGAAAGCTTAGAAGCATATCTGGACAGGTCGAGGTCCCACCATCGAAATCAAAGAAAAAGGCTGTGTTTATCTGGCAGTGTGTGCGTTGCTGACTTGTTGTCCTGTATGAGTAAGACCAAAGCTGATACTTATATACAGTGCCAAGACGGGAAAAGTGCGATCAGTATAAAAACAGAGCACTGCCCGACCTGTTCCCACGCAAGGTGCAACAACTGCAGGCTCCAGAAAATCACCCAATGACAAGGATTGAGAAAGAGGATGCGCAACCCGCAGTACGGCTTCGCTTGCTCGGTGCAGACAGGGCGTTCGCAGCAGGGGGAGGACGATTGGTGGTACAAGGAAGGAGAAAGGCGAAAAGTGATGCGAAAAGGCAACAACCCTTTGGCGCATGGTATATAAACGCATCAAGCCCTGGGATTGGTCCTTCCAGGAAGTTGGGCATCAGTTTGGTTTATACCTTGGATATGAAAGGCGTGTCGAAATCGCAAAACATGTGTTCCCAGCGCAGTTGTTCAACTGCCTCTCAAGCGTTCGTTTACCTCGCCATCGCGTGGGTGATTTTTGCATTGCGGCCTGCGCAGACTCATTTCAATTCATCTTATCTCGATGGGAAATTAACCAAAGGTCACATTTGCTGACGGTAGTGCCTCGACTGTCCTGGGCCGAATTATCTTGTTTTTGACCAATGTCTGCCTCAACCGCCCAGCAACACGAAGACCTCGGAGAAATCAGGGAGGTAGGGACAGATGAAGCATTGGCGTGGTCACTTGATTGTAGTCCTGCGGTATGGAGAGTCTTCTCGTCTCGCCGCGAGCTTAGTGGCATTCGGGAAGATGAGAATAAGCCTTGGGTCGAGGTGCTGGCCGCGTTTATAAGGGATGATCGTGGGGCTGAGGCCGACAGCAGAAATCAAGCTGGAGCGGACGAGGAGGGGAGCACCGTTCGGACGTTCATGCACGACCTGGACACCTCCGACATATCACAACCGCAAGCAGAGTGTGTTGAAGACTATTGCTTCAATGCTACCCTCGAAAAACTGCAAGCCGGACAAAAGCTTCCCTGTAAAGCGTGGGTTGCTGAAGGGGGAGATGGATGGTACAAGCCAGCAGCCGATTGGCTACCACCACACAGCCTGTATGATGCGTTGAAAAAGCCGGTAAGTCAAGAATGGCCTGGAGAACAAAAGCGTGCTTACAGATGATTCCAAGAGATTCGGATGGAGAAAAGATCGAGCCTCACCAGCCGCAGCCGCAGTTGGGCAACTTGGGGTAGAGTTGGTGGATCCCTCACCCTCACACCTCTTGACCCACCCGGCCTCGGGAACTCCGACCTCGACGCCGTCGTCGTATTCCACAAACAACGAGACGAGCTCGCAGACGAAGCAAGACGAGGCACCCGACATAGAACGACGAATGACATTCATCTATGACCTAGATTCTTGGAACATCTGTGCACTTGTGGCTACAGCATCAGAAAGCCAAGCGGCTGCTCTACGCGATGCCTTCTTTAAGTACTTGACCTTCCGGAGTTCCATCGAAGCAAGCTTGTCTGATGGCTGGCCCACCTTTCGACTATCCCTTCACCTTCCGTACTATGCATGGCGGTGTTCTTCCAACCCAAAGGCAGATCCTCGTCATGACCGGAGGAACCACCCGCTCAGGCACCATAGAGACGTGTCTTTCCTCAATTGTGAGGGTGGAAAGGCCTTTCTTTATGAGGCGCAAATCTCATTTGTGCTGGCCGGAATTGATGAGTGGAGATGGGTTGCATACTGTTTCGTCGATTCATACTTCGACGAGGATGGCGAAAATGCTGCGCAATATCACAAAGACGTCTCCGATGGGTCACATACCGACCCATTCGAGTATGGTGTAGCCGACAAGCATACCGAGCAAGCCAGTGAGTTCTTTCTCAAGGTCTTCAGAATCAGGACGAAACAGATCATGCAGGAATGGGAGCGTGTGGTTAGGAATGTGGAGGCAAGCATCCGCCAGCATGCACGAGTGAGTCTCCTCCGCATTTCTATTATTTGGCTACGGGACTTCTGCAAGTGCCCACTCGTGAAGACCCCGCAGGAACAGGGTAGGTACAGCTCGCTGACGAGGTTTCAGAGCCATGAAAAGCGTCCGACAGAGTCTCCGGGCCCATCAGCTGCCGACGGAGTGATTGAGGCTTATAGCGATGAGATCCAAAAATCCCTGAACTGGGTCGGGAAAGCCTTGTCTGTTCTGACGGAACTCTCGGAAGTTCTGGACAAAACCTCTGATGCCTGGGACAATTTCCGCCGCTTTCAGGTGGTCAAGCTTCAGCTATTATCTTCAGCGAGCCGGACTGGACCCTCGCTTTCCACCATACGGACATCCTTCCTCCGATTGGAGCTGCTGAAAAAGACCGCTGAATTCATGGCTAAACGCTGCAGTACTATGAAGCAAGAGGTAAGCCGTCGCTGTCGCGATCCCCTTAGAGCATCGCTCGCCGTCAAAGATGGGAATCTAACGGTGGCATTATGCACAGCTTCAATTCCAACTGAGCCTCCACGACATGGAAGTCGGAGATCAGCAGCGCAGGTTGGCAGAAGCAAGTAACAAGCTTGCTCAAGCGAGCAACCAAATGGCTCAAGCGAGCTACGATATGGCCCAGACGAACAAGAAATTCTCGTTCACCATGATGGTAAGCCAGAGATCCCACAAACCCTACCGAGCATTGACTGAGCGGTTCCGGAAAGTGCAATTTCCCCCTTGTCTTGACAGCGGCCATCTTTTCGATGCAGCCTGGGGTGCTGCCCTTGCCCATGTCTTCTGCTTCTTTCGCATGCTTCCTCGTTGGCTGCGGAGTTGTGTGTCTGGCCACCTACCACTGGGATGTATTCGGGAGTTTCTGCCAGCAGCGCTGTGTTGGTTCTGCAAAGCGTCTTTACTCTTGTTGCAGTCAGGCCATCCGTGGTACCGTACTACCGCTTCCCTCTACCGGTGGAAATGGCTCTACAAACAGAGATATTGAGAGTGACGGATCAGAAATGCACTCCATCGACAACACCCACCAGCAGCCACACCAGACGCCCCACCCTTTGTCTGGACGGGGAATCATGCGCGATGATACACTCGAATAACCTCGGTCCGCGCATGGCCACCCGTATTGGAGAAACCAAGGTCACCAAATAACTGGGATCGGAAGTGTCACTTCACGCGAGCTACGTTACATTCGATATCCAGAAAATGGTGCAAGGAGCATGTTATACTGTGGTAGCTGGCATTGACTCTAGATTATTCTCAACAATGCGAGGTGTGAACTTCACACGACCACGAGACGCCATCTACAACAATTTGGTTGTTCTGCCGTGCATCCTCCACAGTCTGTTGCCGCCGCATAAACCATATGGTGTGCACAAGGATGGCAGCGTCCCCGAGGACTAGGCGGAATTCACCTTGGGCACCTGCTACTCCCCACAGACATCTGACGCCGGTCTGATAAGGAGACGTCGATGTCGAAGCCAATGAGTCTTGGAGAAAGCAACCAGGCAGGCCTGGCTTGCCGGCAACACAAGTTTGCGTCCTGCGGCACCTGCGCAACGTGTACGCGTTGGCGGCGCATTGATTTGACGATCCAATACCATGTGTCCGAACAGCACAGTCATCTGCAGGATGCTACGCGACAACTGGCGCCCAACCACCCCACCAGAAGGAATGCTATGATTCGTCAGGATATTCACAAAGCGAAGGCAACTTACGCCGACATACGAGAAGCAGTATTATACCCGTTGTTGCCCGGCTTGTATACAGCTCCCATCGAACACCTTGTTCCCAAAACTCAATGCTGCAGGCGCGATGGCGACACTTACGGACGATGGTCTTTCGGCAATGTTGGAAGCTTTGAACGTGGAAGCCACCTCCCCACTCTTTCCGTCTGCTGACAGCAAGAACAATCCGATGGATATATACCTCACTCGCCTAGCAGATATACTCGTTCAACTCACCAATTGTGATCCCCAAGTGGCACTTGACTCGATACAGTGGCCTAACGAGATATGGGACCTTGTCGTCGTCCTTCCTCGTCTTCGAATTCAAGATATCGACAGTAAGGATCCTGCTGCTGAGCTGAAACAAAGGGTATGCGGTCCTTGCCATCCTTGGGGTCCGAGCAACTCTTACTAACTCACATATCAAATTAGTTCCCGCCATCGCCTCTTTTTGCGAACCCTGTCGAGGATGGAATTCATCTGCGGTTTTTGCTCGCTCCGATCACGCTCGCGCGTGTACTTATTCCCTACATCCTTGACCGGGGAGATACATATGGGAAGATTACCCTGGAAGGTCATGTCGACCTTCCATCCACGGACCGCCCGGGCAATAAGATTGTTGTCGAGTTCTCATCTCCAAATCTTGGAAAGGAGTTCGATGGCAACCATCTGAGAAGCACTATCATTGGGGCATACATCGCTTCTTTGTACGAAGCAATGGATTGGGACGTCTGCAGGATGAACTTTCTCGGCGACTGGGGACGACATATTGGACTGTTAGCCGTTGGCTGGCTCCGATTTGGTTCGGAGGAGCTCTTTGAGACCGATCCACTCCAGCACTTACTTGGTGTCTTCTCGCAGATCAGCAAGCTGCTGAAAGATGAGCAAGAAGAGGCTAGAAGATTGCGTGCTGAAGGTCAAGTTGATCGAAGTGAGGTGACTAACACAATCTCCGCAGAGAAAGACGCCTTCTTCAGAAGTATGGAGAATGGTGATCGAGATGCTGTGGACTTGTGGCGAAAGATTCGCGAAGCTTGCGTACGGAGCTACACTGACCTCTACGCACGGCTAAATATCGCCTTTGACGAGTACTCAGGAGAGTCCACAGTCAGCCATGAGACTGTCGCTCGAGTAGAGGCAATACTGAAAGAAAAGGATGCGTATCGCGAAAGCGAGGGAGCTTGGGTCATCGACTTTGAGAAGCACGGCTACAAAGGGCAGAAGACTGCTATCGCTCGGTTCAGCGATGGAACGACCACCTATCTGTTGAGAGACATCGCGGCGGCGTTGGAGAGGAGTGATACGCACTCCTTCGACAAAATGATCTACGTGGTCGCGTCCAAACAAGACTCCCATTTCCATCAGGTCTTCACCGCTCTAGAAATCATGGGCTATTCTGAGCTAGTTGCAAAACTCCAGCATATCAGCTTTGGAAAGTTCCAGGGCCTGTCACCACACGAAGACAGCAGAGGACTCTTGTTGAAGGATATTCTCGACCAGTGCCAAAGTACAATGGACGACTTCTTGGAGTCAAACCCTGACGACTTCGCACAGGTTCGAGGAGACCAAGGAGCCCGCAGCCTTTCTAGTCCTCTTGCTGCGATGGGTCTCATGACCCAAGAACTGTCCATCCGACGCGGCGCCACCTTCAACTACGATACCCATAAAATGGCTGATCTCGACATTTACTCGGGCCTAAGCCTCCACTACTGGTTCACTCAAGTTGACGCAAGGCTTCAAGGCGCAACTATCAATCGTGAAGCTCTTGAAAAGGCAGATTATTCGATTTTCGAAGAAGAAGCATACTCCGACATCCTCCGTCTCCTCATCCAATTTCCTGGCATGGTCAAGTCTTCGGCGAAGAGTTTAGAATCATCCATCATACTGAATTATCTATTTCGCGTTACCGACGCTCTGCCTGCTATTTTCGACAAGGAGGAAGTTGCGGAGAGCTCGAAACTGAACATTGCCAAACTGGCATTGTTCGAATGTGTGCGCCAGACTCTGAGCAATGGAATGGCGATGGTCAGTTTGGTGCCAGTGCGAATGTAAGCTTTGCTCGCTTTCATTTTTGTTCTATTGCTGACTTATGGTCCAGGAGTACGCAGACCGGAGGCATTGAACAGTCAGCGCAGGAGGAACAGGCCGCGCAGGATCAACAGAACGAAGAATGTCAACAGCCCGATCAGCCTGCACAGACAGAACACGACGATCAGCCTGCTCACGATACACTAGCAGAGCAGACTGAACATATAGCGGAGACTGGGGCTTAGGGGTTTTATTGCTTTGCTATGGATTTATTGGATGGTCACGCCTTATGGTTTCTTGATGGAGTTTTGCAATGGTACTGAGCGGTTCCTCTTCCTGCCTAGGGGTCTTCTTGTACGACTGCCAATCGTTTTGATTCCAATTTGTAGGGGTAGGGATTTTAGGCTTGTTGAACATGGTGCAATTTTTATTTCTTGCCAGATGTATGCCTACTCTTCCAAAGTCGCTGGTACAACTAGTACTTCCTGCTGGCTACTGTCACTCAAGTTCGCCTTCAAGTTGTAGACACATAGCCCGGAATTCGCATGATGATAAGGCAACGGCGCCTGCTTGCTCTGGATTGGGCTTCAGTGCAGGAACGACCTCGCCGCTCGATCGCTTTCCCATACCTGAATGTCAAGACTGCACGAGCCAAATATCATGGAAAACGTCGCCTGTTCGCCTCGTTGGGCTCTGGCGGCTTGGTCTGGGTACTCGTCTCGCACTACATTACTTGCATGCTCCAATCTCCAGTGTGCTTCGGCCTGACGACAGGAATCCTTCTCCGCAACGGGTCGTGCTCTAGACAACGGGTATCGACGGGATAAGGATCTCGAATTCTGTCTGATAACTCAGGTGCATCCTGATTACTCGGATTGGTTGCTTCGCTTTGGGTAGCCACAACAAACTGCCAATCACCCTTTGAGCTGACATCGACCTACTGCTACTGCTAGTAGCGTGTACACCTCCCACGGGCCGCGGAATACGAGGACGAACACATGGCCACCCAACAGTCAACGCCTTACATTGCCATAAGCAAGCGAGCAATAGCCACGAGTGGAAACATGTCGCCCCTCGAGACTTCACACCGTGAACAGGCTGGTCACAATACTGCCCAAGGCATGACAATTTCCGCATATTGTTCCAAACTGACCCAAAATTGGCCATTGGACAGCAGCCCGAAGGTCTCCCATTGGCAACGCGATGCGATTCAAGGGTTTCGTGATTTGGTGCATTGAGACAACGAATACATGCATGTCGGTGGTCGTCGAGTGAGATCACACTCCGGCGACAGGGTTGATGATAACCCCTCATTCACAATGCACAGCAGCCTCGTCGAGCCGTCCCAGCGGCCAGTAGGGTCGCGCCACGATCTGAGCTCATGCGGGTGTGCCCAGAGACTTTCTGTCCATTGTCCAGAAATTCAGGCGCTATGCGGCTCTGCCGTCGAGGAATGTGAGCACAAGGATATTTCTCTTGCTGTCAAAAGGAGTCGGACGCCTGGTAGCCTTTCCAAGTCTCTTTCCAGCATCACACGCAGATGGTGATCTAGGCCTTGAGTCGAATAAGGTGGGCGGTTCACCATGGACGCCCAACAACGTCGGCTCTACATCCAGTCAGTTGCCCCCCTTGTCACTGAAAGTCATTTATACCCTGACACAATGGTTGTAGATGGTGTCAGAGCCAGCGGGTCTCGCTGTCGGTGTTCAAGCCCGATGGCGAAACCGAAGCGTTTCTGGTACCTGGAGATCTCCTCCGGCGACGCTCACGGACATTCCGTGAGTCGTTGACTTGTTATGTCTCCGGCATGCCAATCCACGATACGTCCGTGGAGACATTGGAAGATTTCTTCCTGTGGACCATGTCGCCTCAGCCTCATATCGACGAGCGAGCATCCTTCGACCAAGCGGTAAAGTTGGGTATCTTCGCGTCGAAATACAAAATCCCTGCACTAAGCAATCAACTCACGGACATGATCCGAAGCAACCTGGCAAATGGGGAATGGAAATTGCAAGCTTCTATAGCCGATGAGATATACGAGGCGGTGCCAGCGGGGGCCCCGTTGCGTGAAGTCGTCCGCGCGGCGTTGGGACAGTTGCCCAGATCGATTACTACTGATCTTGAAGAGGGTAGCCGAGAAGAGTGGAAAGCCACCATCTTGAAACATGCACAACTTGCTTGGGATTATATCGAGGCCAGCGGGTCGGAATGGACGAAGTCAGCATATCTAACTGGCGTCTGTCGCTTCCATGACCATAAAGGCATGGGCTATCAGAATGGCTTGTCCGCGCCTTGTGACGGATGTGCGTATGCTCAAGATGAATGTTTCCCAAGAGTCGATCAAGAAACACCGGCGGACATGGATCAGGTGGATCCGCTGATCGAAGAGCCTGCCGAGACGGCTCCCAGCAGCGACGAGACATTTCACACAGCCGAGGAATTGTCAGTCCCACCGCCAGCACTGGAGCCAATTGAGGAGGAATCTGCGCCTCCCGAAGAACCAGATATTGAGCCGACACCTCCCGCAGATGACTTTGACACTCCCGTACCAGAGGTCGAGGAGGCCGCGATCGAGGAGTATCCACCAGAGCCAGCAGTGGATTCAGAGCCGGAAACATTGCAGGCGGTGGCACAGAAGCCGGCAGATACGGGTTTCAATTGGGCAGATGACGAGCCAGCTCCATCCGAGGTGAACGAAGTACCAGCGTCTGAAGTCAACGAGGTCGCCGCATCTGAAGTCAATGGCATCGCACCATCGGAAGTTAGCGGCGTAGCCTCGTCGGAGTCCAATGGTAGCATCATTTCTCAAACGTTGGCCAAGGAGATGAATGGGGCTGCTGTGCAGGAGTCGGTGATTGTGGAGGAGGCCGATGTGCCTGTAGGGGCTGGAGGCAATGCAGATGGTCATGTTGCGGAGGAGAAGGGTGTTGGTGCTCAGTCCCCGGTGGTCGAGGGTGAGAGCTCGAGCAAGAAGAAGAAAAAGAAGAAGAACAGGGGAAACAGTGTGAGTCAGGTCAAATAACTCAGTGTCGTTGCCGGAGGATGAAGAAGCGCAGCAGGGGATAGTGTCAGCCAGGTCAAGTAGTGTCGTTCTGCCGAAGGATGGAGGCGAGGAATGAAGATGGAGGACGGGAGAAAGAAAGGGAAAATTGCACTCTGAGGGATACGATGGAATACCTAGGTAGTGTAGGGTTGAATACACTCGCTTTGATGAGCGTTCGCAGAAGTTTGAGCCAATCAAAATGTATGCTTTTTCTTTTGGCAGTGTATCGTGCTCTTAACCTTGCTCTTCTCTCTACGCGTAAGTCAGTCAAACAGTAGTGTCGTGCTCTTAGCATTGTTCTTGTTCTGCGCTGGAAGGATGAGTGAATCAAGGCACGCCGAGGTCTGCGACGTATCGGCATCGATATATTCGACTGCCTCATACTCTAACCTTGCTCTGTTCTGTATGGATAAATGAATAGAGAAATGCATACGTCAGCGAGATGTAGGCATCGATACATTCGACTGCCTCATACTCTAAACATTGCTCTGCTCCGAAGGGATAAGTGATTCCAGAAATGCCAGACTAAGGGAGGGTGTAGGCATCGGTATCGGTATTCGCCTGCCTCATACTTAAACTCGTACTGCTATGTAAGGAAAACGGAATCGAAGAATGCCCAGGTCTCCGAGAGATAAGCATCGATATATCGGCCTGGCACATCGAATATGTCGTGTCACCGCACGAGCGAGTCTCCATGCGATTGGTGTGCTTCTTGATGACTGGTATCGCTCTTGTTGTTGTTTCCTCCCTAGAGGGCATGTGTCCAACAACAGTGAGAGAGTCTTCCTTCTTGTGGCCACTAATGAGGTTGTGTAAGTGACGTTCTACTGTGTAGATGCATTCATTCAATGGATCTCCACGAAATATGGCACTAAACTGGATTCGGAGTGTCAACAAAAATGACGCGCTCAGACTGACATTCGAGAGACCACACTGTGCAACAGCGTTAACGGGTGACTACATGATGAGCAGAATCGTATAGCAGCAGCATTCGCTACATCCTTTGTCGTCGCATGTATACTTTTCAACTTCAACAACTCTCCTAAAATGCCCGGCGAAGAAACCATTCTCGACGGCCCTGTCACCCCTGCGCCCGTCTTCGCCTACCGCGCGCTGAAAGGCATCTTTTTCGCCTCGCCCGAGTCCTCCCCCGAAAACGAAAACAAAGAGAACCTCACACCTGCATATGCGACTTCGCCTTCGCCTGAGAAGCGGAAGATCATGGACGGAGCAGTGCAGCTGACGCCCTCGCAGAAGCGCAAGCGCGACAGCGGCGGGGCAATCCTGTCGCCGACGAAGGGAATTCTGCGCACACCAGGCCTCGCGACTCCGAGGACGAAGTTCCTGAAGGATATTAATGTCAAGTTCAAGAGTGTCAGTCCGGAAGAGGCGGAGAAGCAGAAGAAGATTGAGGCTGCAACGGTGGGTGCTGGAGACAGATTGTCAAGGACAAAGGCGGGAGAGTGTGCTGTTCGAGGCTCAAGGCCGATGAATGACTTTACTGCGCCTGCGAAGAAGGCTCCTCAGTCTCCAGTAAAAGCTGAACAAGGAACTGCAAAGGAAAATCGGGTGGTGTCTAATGGCACGACCGCTCTCTCGTCTTGCGCCTTCGAAGCGTACATGGCACAGACGGAGAAGGAGATGAAGAGAGTTGTCAAATACGGTCAGAAAATGCGAGAGTATGCGCGCAAGAAGGATGCGGAGAACCAGGAGTTGAGGGGCATGATTGAACAGCTGCGGCGCGAGAATGAGAGGTTGTTACGTGCACGGCCGTGCCATAGCGATCAACCAGCACCAGAGACGCAGTCCAGACACGAGGCTGAGAAGAGCGATGACAACATTGCCAGAGGGCCAGAAGGATATGTCCGTGAAGAAGTGGACCGCGTCGAGGCGAGGAGTCAGATCCGGGTCGGCCAGAAGAGCCGCGCAGATGGGATCAAGGAGTCGCACAAGGTGGATATGTCAACAGCGAGTACAAGCGCAAGAGTTGCGTCTGTATCCTCGAATGGCCAAGAGCAAGACCGACGCTCCGGAGTACCTATATCGTCTTCTGAGCGACGAATTGGATCTGCATCCGTGGCTGAGCCTGCGAAGACCGGCAGGCGAACTGGCCAAGAAGAAATTCTTCTGCCCATGCGCTCAGCTTCCGGCACGGCAAGTCATACAAACATGTTCACCAAGGACAACACCAACACCAACACCAGCGCAGTCGCAGCGGGAAGCACACGTCTCGCACCAGATCGCCTTGCTGCGGCCCGGGAGCGATTACGTCTACGTGCCGAATCGAGAAGGGTTAGTGCCGAGCAGCATGGTCATGGCCATGGCTATGCAGACGGACAGAGGGACGCTATTCTGATCGAGATTGAGCCGGATGATGCCATTGCTGGGTCGCGGAGTTCTCACAGGGCTAAACATGAGAGTCGTGAGCAGAGCCTGGTGGACTGGGTCAATCTGTGACTCGTGTGTTTACAGGACGATAAGGTTGACCGAATACCCACATGAGAGAGGGGTGTAGTGTATTACAACAACAGGTCACACGAAGCATGGGTTCAGGCTTCTCTGCATAGGACCACAGGACTTGAAAGAAACGTCTATTGTTGGCTTCGAAATTTCCCGCTGCTCATCAGTCGTCTATAGTGTCGTGAAGTCTACAAAGAGATATATTCTTCTGGTATTCGGGACGATAGAGCGAACATCCGCGGTCCGTCATCATTCACAAGATGCTCTAGCCCAGTGATTCTTCAAGCGGCCGCGCTTCCGTTTGCGTGCCCTGCGCTCGATTCGGGGTCGTATATCGAAGTTGAGCCTCTGTCCGCTCTTCCTGAGCTTTCTGGAGAGCCTTTCTCTTCTTCTCTGCTTCTTCCTTCTCACGCATCTTGATGGATGAATAGTTCAGGGTCGAGATTATCATGACTGCCATCGGTTAGTCAATGTCACAAGCGTCACGCATTCCATACACTTACAAGCACAAAACCCAATGGCCAAAGCCGCGCGACGAGTCAAGACCCATCTCAGGCCTTCGACCTCGCTTTTTGCTTCGCTGTTCAGCAGCACAGTGATTTCGTAGTTCAACTCCGAGATTTTGCCGTCGATCTTGCGTTTGTCTTCTTGTAAATTCAGTTTCCGGTCGTTGAAGAGCCCCTTCAATTCTTCTTTCAGTGTCATGAGATCTTGCGTTACTTTCTGGTTCAGGATGTCAAACTCGTGCTGTAACTGCGCTCTCTGACTCCGTTGTTTCAGTGTCTCCGAATGTCGGGTCGTTTGGAGCGTCGTCTTCAACTCCGAGCACGCTGCGCGGAACAAATATGACTCATTTTCAATGTCCGATTTCGAGACGAGACCTTCTTTCGCAACGTCCAAGTTCATCGACAGCATGAGGCGGATGGCTTTCATCAGCGTTGTGGCTTGGTGGACTGTGTACGCGTTTTTGGCGGCCAGTTGCTGCACCAGGCCGTACGTATCGAAATGGTGCTCATAAGGCGGAGGTTCGAGGTGTGGGTGCCGTTGCCCCTTTCCTTTGATTTCGGACGGAGAAGGTATGGACAGTACAATGTCGAGTTCCCTGTTTTCAAGCTTTTCCTGCTCTTCTGGCTTGATTTTCGACTTTCCTCCGCCCATGGAGGCTTCGTCGACGTAGTCCGATGTAGTATTTGACTCTTGCGGCAAATCTTGACCAGTGCTTTCCTCTGTGTGTTGCTGCTCACGGCTTGATGATTGGGCTATTTCTTTGGGTTGTTGCTGCTCTTCTTTCGGTGTCGAGGACTCCTCGGGTTTGGGAGGAGGAGGAAGACCTTGACTACCAGCCGCGGGCCCATATCGCTGCGGGATTGCTTCCTGCTGCCGGCGAGCAGAGGTGTGCAGTTTCGCTCTGCGAGGGGGTTTCGAACTGGTAGGACCACGAATTGATTGATAGGTTTTGGGCTCGCAGGCGCGCACCGCACGAAAGAAATTTGGGTATAGAAAGGTGAGGCGCGGAGTTGCCATAACGGCAGCTTGGGTTTATACTTCCGCTCTTCGCTGTAGGCTATGTGTTGCGGTTGAGAGGCAAAATGTTGTGCGGCAGTGAAATCGTGATAGTAAATGCACGTTGTACTCGCAGATCCGGTTATTGTTGGCAATCGGTCATCATTGGGCCATGTGGACGGAAAGTATAGCCGACTTCGTATCTATCACGTCGGATTTCAATAGACAGGAGAACAAAGCTTCGATGCGGTCTACAGAGACTTCCAATCTTCCTTCCAGTATATCGACCACGATCCCTGTATGTCTCTGGCTGGATGTATTTTGTAGGAAGCTCTGGGCCGTGTGCCGGCTAAACATCTCGTTCCATCTCTCTCGCGTATCAATGAATTTATGTACGGCGGATATGGCATAACCGTTGTGACAATCCCTTCCACCAGCTACGACATGAGTTTCCAATGTAGCTGCGGCGATGCTTTTACCTGTCGAAGCATTGAGCCCACCGAGGAAAGGCCATCAATGGAACAGGTAATTGAGTGAGCCCGAGCCGGGGGCTCAACGGTTCCATTCACGACCATATCCATGGCGAGAGCGCGTCTCCAAATAGATAACATCTAAGACTTCGCATCGAATGTATTTCGAGGGCTGTTGATACAAGCTCAATTCTCAATGTACGTCGACGTGCTCACGCCAACGAAGCACGACCCGCCCACCACCGTTCCTCTTCGGAAAACCAGGCATGTACTACCGCCGTTGTTTGAACATAATGTGTCTCGCCGTCGTGACTCAGCTGCCACTCAAGCCCGGGCATGAAACGTAGATGGATGTCAGCAACTTTCATTCTCGTCAAGGAGGCCGAGCGAAGGCTGATAGGGAGAGGGCAAAGGTGGAGCAATGCCATAGCGATTATCCTGTTGCGAGACACGTTTTGTACTTCCTGCAAGACGACCCCTCTTGAAGGCTACTTCGTCGCCTGGCCGTAAGTGTCACCGGAGACCAACAGTGTTGCAGCAGTTTTCATGCTTCCGTCGTTCCCGACCACTCAGTAGTAACAATCTGCCAGATAGTTCCCAACTCAAGCATGGAAGACGTCTTCAAGCACAGGAAACTGGTCATACACTGTCTTTCCAGACTCCTTTTCGGCTGGGCTCAGATCCCAAGCTGAAATAGACGACCCGCCTTTCGAACACTCTCAGTATGTGAATGGAGAGATCTTGGTAGAGCTTCGGCGTATTGGAGCACGTAACTGCGGAAGCCAAAGATCTTCCGCGCGTCTCGACGAGTAACCACAACTACAGGGGTTGAGTATTCGTCTTTCGTAATGCAGTATTTCAATGCAAACAACACGAAGAATCTTTGCAGGGAAAGGGACTACGAACCCCGGGACCCTTTCGCGACAGAAGACCGAACATTGTGAGAATCATGTTCAGGCACTCTATGCCTACCGAGTCAAAGCCGTCGTATCAGTGAGCAGGTCAGAGCTCAGGAACGAATGTCAGTCCAGGCCGACCCTTCCACTGCCATATGACGGGAGGCCATGATCATGCGGGAATTGTTCAGAATCGCCTTGCTGAAATCGATTTTGTTAGGGTGCAAGGCAGCCAAGGCCAGGGCAGAGATAGATAGAGCGGAGGTATCTGAATGATGATATGTACCTTACAAGTTGCCAGGTTCCTGGTACCCATGGCTCGGGCTCGTCGGATAACTCAATCCGGAAACACAGCTCTGGAGCATGGTCCACTACGAGCTAGTAGGAGCGAAAGTGACCGCGAGGCTTCCGGTTAAACGTTTACGCATGGATGCCCTCTCCTGGCCCTCTACACAGTTTAGGTGACAGTCTTATTAGATCTTAGGTGCATGATGGGTGCATTCCGAGCTCGGCTCCCCCACAAAATGACACAGCAGCCGAGTTTACGCCTTTTGTTGCCATAATAGTCAATTTGTTTACGCCTGGCAGATGTGGGAGCTGAAGCTCGCACCCTTACGCCTGGTCGCTACAGGAGAACTCATCCATCAACCATCTGACTACGGAGTATCAAGATGCGGCAAAATGGCTCAACTGAAGCAATGAAATAGCCAGCAACTCTAAACAGCATAGTTTACCCGTCACTCTCCGAACATTGGCCGCTTATGCGCGAGTGATGCCTCTTCGCTCTTGTCGCTGCGAGGAGGAGTGTCAGTGTGGAAGGTCTCGACTGACAATTGGGGCCTGGTCTGGAAGCCTGGGAGCCTGGGAGCACCTGACCAAGGTACAAATGAGGATTGCGAGGGCGACGCAACAAGGGTATCTCTCAAGAGAGGGCGAGTGAGAGCTTCAGAAGACAGCAATCTCCACTGCCTCCGCGATCAAGTAGGAAGTGCCGTTGGTCACTTCACCAAGGACACAAGGACTCGTTCCGTGTCCCTCACCTGGGCATTGCAAGAGGACGAGGGCACGGAAGTGAGATGGTGGGGCAGTAGTCAATAGCAGCAGGAAGAGGAGGGTTCCGAGCTTGGGTTTCAACTGCTCCGCAAGGAAAAGAGGGGGAGCTCGTGGTAGCAGGCCACTGGCAGCACGCATGAAGAGATTTGTGTGGTTCATGATGAGGACGAGGAGATGATCATGAGGTTATAAAAGGAGTTGGCATTCGTCCGAATGATTTTCCACTGTTGGTTTTTTCTTTATCAATCCAACTGCACTGTAAGAAAAGTATCTTGTTGTGTACAGCAGCTGTTTTTATCTAAGCGAGGCTTTGAAAAAGGTACGTACCCCTCCTTGTGCTTGTCTTTTGTCTTCAGAATGAGGGATGCTGCTACTCGTTCGGGGGGTTTTCTCCGGGAGCATCGGCATCGAGTCGAGCAGCTTGCAATAGCTGTTTCGAATCGTCCATCACTTTCCCACATGAATTGTTATCACTACGGAGTACAGATCTCCAACCTCCAACACAACATGGCGACTGAACAGAATCCACCCCTCCTTCCACCTTCCACTGACACACCAAGACTCTCCTCAGCTCCTCATCCCAGACCCCAGTCCGTGCATTGAACCATCTCCCTGACGTAAACTGATTAGCTTTCCAAGGTACCGTCTCTTCCAGTCCAGGCTTAAAGCTCTACCGGCAGCTTCTGATTCAAAACTCCAGGATCGCCAGTCTATCTCTCTCAGACTTCTACTCAATCCATCTCTCATCTACAATCTTTCAAAATGGTATTTGCCCGTGCAGCTGCGCGCTCTTTGCCGCGTGCATCATCCCTCCTCTCCTCCACTTCCCCGCACTTGGCTCGTCGAGCTGCCCTGCCCTCCTTTCAACCATCCTCGATTGCCAGACGCACGCTGACAGCCACCGCTTCTCGCCAGGGCAAAGTTCTTTTGGTTCTGTATGATGTATGTCAACACCTATTCTTCCTCTTACACACGCCTCGTCTGACTCTATCTAGGGCCATGAGCACGCCAGAGACCAACCTCAACTCCTCGGCACTACAGAGAACGAACTCGGCATCCGAAAATGGCTTGAAGATCAAGGACACACCCTGGTAACCACTTCGGACAAGGAGGGTGAGAACTCGACCTTCGACAAGGAATTAGTTGATGCCGAAGTCATCATCACCACTCCGTAAGAGCTAGGCCATCCCTCAAGGAATACTCCTGCTGACGCCGGTGCTCCAGCTTCCACCCTGGTTACCTCACTGCCGAGCGTCTTGCTAAGGCCAAGAAGCTGAAGATCGCCGTCACCGCCGGTATTGGCTCTGACCACGTCGACTTGAACGCTGCCAACACCACCAATGGCGGTATCACTGTTGCTGAGGTCACTGGTAGCAACGTCGTCTCTGTCGCTGAGCACGTCGTCATGACCATCCTCACTTTGGTCCGCAACTTCGTCCCTGCCCACGAGCAGATCGAACGAGGTGACTGGAATGTTGCCGCTGTCGCCAAGAACGAGTACGATCTCGAGGGTAAGGTTGTCGGTACCGTTGCCGTTGGCCGTATCGGTGAGCGTGTGCTCCGCCGTCTGAAGCCTTTCGACTGCAAAGAGCTTCTGTACTTCGACTACCAACCTCTCAAGCCCGAGGTTGAGAAGGAGATCGGCTGTAGACGCGTCGAGGATCTCGAGGAGATGTTGGCCCAGTGTGATGTCGTCACCATCAACTGCCCTCTCCACGAAAAGACACGCGGCCTGTTTAACAAGGAGTTGATCTCCAAGATGAAGAAGGGTATGTTGCACCTTCCCCATAGTCTATCCGTCAAGCTAACACTTCGATAGGCGCATGGCTCGTCAACACTGCTCGTGGTGCCATCGTCGTTAAGGAGGATGTTGCTGAAGCCCTCAGGACTGGCCAGCTCAACGGTTATGGTGGTGATGTTTGGTTCCCTCAGCCTGCTCCCAAGGACCATCCTCTCAGAACCGCCAAGAACCCATGGGGTGGCGGCAATGCCATGGTCCCTCACATGTCCGGTACTTCCATCGATGCTCAGAAGCGTTATGCGGCGGGTACCAAGGCCATCCTCGAGAGCTACTTCTCCGGCCGCGAGGACTACAGACCTGAGGATCTCATCGTCCACAAGGGCGACTATGCCACCAAGGCATATGGCCAGAGAGCGAAGAAATAGACGGTCTGGGATGTGCGAATCTTGATGCTATACTGAAGCCTATCAACTTAAAAATGGGTGCTGTTATGTCCAAGGATGACGCTGTGCTCACATGTATCTTGCACCATTTTGAGTACTACGTGCAGTGGCATGTATAACTGTGGAACTGGACAAGCTGCCTACAATACCCTAGACAGCTTTTTGGTTAATATGAAAAATATTAACAAACTATTTATCGGTAACAATGCTTTACGACCACCCAGCGCCTTGACCTCTCAAGTTTGAGACTTCATAAACCAAGTATCATGATGCGGGAATGCTTTCTACGCAATGCCATTGCATATTCTGCCCTGGATATCCGTGCAACAAAAAGTTCTCGCCTCACCGCCTGTAGCACTCCTTGAGGCCTTCCTACGGGTAAAATCGGCCTTCATACTGTAAGCAGAGGATCTGACGTCCCATGTATATCGCTAGTAAGCTTAGGCGTTTAAGGCCTTGTCTCGGAAAAGTTCCTGTGAACACTGCAAAATAACTAGCCTCTGGGTGAAATATTAAGCGAACAGCTGTGGGTTGTTCGACGTGCACGGGCGTGGCAAGAAACCGCGAGTACCGTTCATGCCGTCAAACGTGGGTTTGTCTGACACAAATTGGGCCGGCCTGACGCGCCTTGACCCTGATAAGATGGCAAGTCAGACGCAAAAGACGGCCTGACGGGCATAAATCTTGCCATGTCGAGGCATCTAAACCTCACCGCAACAAACAACACACCAGTTTCCATAACACGCAGAAGCACGTATCATGCCAAGGGAGTCTCTGGTGGCTTCCAACACGACTTGAGATAGCGGTAAGGTCACAGTCGGCACAACAGTGTGGTATGCCGGCCTAGCGGATGAGCACTCAGTTGAACAAGATTCATCTGTAGAGCATGGCTCATGCATGACATTCACAACGACAGTGTTGATCGCTTTAGACATGGAATCACGGTCTCATCCTATCGCTGCGCTGTGTAATGGAGTACCATCTGAAGGGCAATGTTGGGAGACGCTGCAGCCCTCGGAAGACTTTGGTCTGAAACACGGTGAGCAACACCTTTTCGTCCTTGGAGCTTTCCTATGAGCGTGTACAAGAAAGGGAGAACCCAGAGAAAACAAGCCGTGAGGAAGCCAGTGAAACAGGGTTGCGGTCATGCTGCACTGTGATGGGCGTGAGAGGTGTCGTCTCAGAGGCCATCGCAACTCCTGTTGTTCGTTTCGTCATCTGAAGGCATGTCAAGGTAAGAACTACGTTGGAAGGGAAGGTCCGGCTGGAGTGGGATCAAAGAGGAGCAGTACAAACAACACAGAGTAAGGTAAGTTGAACCTGTGAATAGATGGGTGCCTACGCCTGTTGGGTGGCACCTAATCTCTGCCATTTCAAGCGCTAACGAGTCCTTTGGTAGCCGCGGCTGCGGCTTCGAGGACAATGATAAATCCACGACACAGAGCAACATTACGCCGTGCTTCAAAAATGCAAAACAACAATTTCCATACGCTCATTCTGCCCAATGAGCCATCTTTCGTCACCTGCAATCCGTCCCATTGCGCTCACTTCTGCAGTCAAACTGTCCTCCAACGTCACCCAGTCAACCTCATTGTCCTCATAATCAACGCCGCGTGTCTTCAGTCTCACGGCCAGCTTGTTCTCCACGCTCTGGCCAGAAAAGCACGTCTCGATCAGACTCAACCTCACATCGGCGGCCCTGTCCACGACATCCATAATCGGCAGAAACCAGCGTTCGCTCTCCTCGACCTCTGCGCTCTCCATGCTACAATGTCCTCGATATGGTGGGAGATTACCGTCCCATTCTCTGTATAGCCTCGGACCTTCGCCGACAAAGGGGAAAGTCGTCGTTTTCGCGCACCACAAGCGCTCTGCTGGGTCGAAATATCCTTGCCCTGCCACGTTGACGTTTTCACGGACGGTAAGCGACATGGTTCCCGAGTCAAGATGGAGAGACATCAAGGCCACACTGGCATGCTGCCGTATACCCACGAAGTCCATGTCCGTGAAGGAGAACCTCGAGACGATATATGGTCCTTCCCCAGGTGGGCGGGATTTGCCGGAAGGGTCTGTGGAAGGCTGGTAAGATGATGGAACCGAGATGTCCCACACAGACAATGACTCGATCGGCAATTCCTCGTCACCAGTGTACATGCTCCGATTTGGTTGCCAGAAATACACGGCATAGTGAGTCGAGGTGTGTGTCGAGAAGAAACGATCGTGGTAGTTGGGTGGCAGGCCGAGGAAATGCATTTTCCATTCTGAGCGCCAGGTTATTTCCCATGACATCTCATTTTCGGTGCGGCGGATATCAAAGCAATTGGCGAAATGTCTATTGACTTGTTCCATGGCATTGAGATTGTGAAAAGGATCCTTCTCCGCCCATTCGATGATCAATGTCCGGTCTTTGAGCCGGAGGTTCCGAATGATCTTGCCTCGATTGTTGAATGGTATCGGATACGACTTGCCAGAAGCCAGATCCAAAAGAGCGAGCGTCTCCGGAAAGTAATTTTCGGCCGAGCATTGAGCAGGAGCATATACGAGGAGGCCATCGTCATACGACCACATTGTCGGTCTGAAGAGGTATGGCTTGGAACCGAGCTTGTTCAAATGGATCGCAGCTGTCTCATAATACAAGCGCCCTCCAGGTTGACTTTCATGGTATTCCCACTGGCCAACACTGTACCAGTCGCCAAGTTGTTCGAGTGGTGCCATAGGATACCTGACCAGGGTTCTGACAATGCCTTTGGATAGGTTGTGGTATCTGGTCGCAATCAGGAGGAGGATTTCCTGCCAGTCTAAGGACAATTTAGGCGCAGAATGGAAGTTTAGTGCCCCATCAGGAAGTGACCGGATTTCTCTGGCTCGCGGATAGCTCTGCAAGACGACTCGGATGTATTCGCCCTTTGAGAACGCAATGCGCCATGACCTGCAAACCCGCTGGCAATTTACAACATCCCATGCAGCTAGGTTGGAGAGTATCAGCAAGAAGACGTCTTCAGGGAGTTGTGGGACTGATGTCGCTGTAGTGGAGTTCTTTTCTGCTTCGGAGGAGCACGCACGCTCATGTCCCTCCGAAGCTGTCGACATGCCGGACTGTAAGTAGTGATGTCGTGTCCGTCAAGTATGGTGCTTAGCACTGGGGGAGAGGATAACCGGATGACACAGCACTTGCGCAACGCATCGAGAAGCTCAAACCTCTGGTCATAGTCGAATCAAGGGAGGGGAAAGCGGGCAGAAAGTCGACCCATGTGGACAGACCCTCGAGGACGGCCGGTCAAGGGATTGTTTATCCGGTATAGACACTCTAGTCGGTCATGGAATCCTATCCGGATCTCCGATAACGATCAGATGGCCTTGGTTGTACCTCTTATCGACTACATTAGTATCCTCGAGGGACGAAGGGAAGTCGAACGGTACTGACCCGCTGTTAGCAGGGAACGGGGAGTCTGACTAATCAGATCTCGTTCGGCAAACCTTCTTTACCAGCACACACTGCGTATAGCGCCTCGGTCTTGGATCGTGTCTGTATGTATCGCCGCCCAGTGGTTGGTTATCCATCGAGCCATCAAGCCCTCCCGCCGTGTAGGCGATTGTCGGTCTCGAACTTGGGTGCGGGGAAATTTCTTCCTAACAATGCAATTTTTTCAAACAGCCCACCATGATCATGCATTGATTTTCTAGCCACCTCTCCAAGGGCTTGTCTCAAGGCGTATCCGGAGCTTTGATCTAGTCCCATTGGCCGTGAACTACTCGCAGGTGGTATCATTCCCGCATATAGCCGGTCTTGTCATTGTGTCTTTGCTTCAATTCCGGATTCTTGGGTCTCGTGTCTAATTGTCTTGGGACTTGACTTTGTAAAGTAAAGTGGTGACTCAACACTCTTTTTTTCTCCTCTCTTGTCCTTCGACCTAGTTACAGAACAACTTGTGTAAATAAATATTTTCCTCCCAAACATTTCTCTAACTCGCCACCTTTCACCCCTCGGCCTCGCCCTCGATCCCAACTCAACCCTCAAAATGGGCGATAACAGCACCATGCCGAACACCGCCACCTTGCCCGCCTCGTCGACCAGCGCAAATGGCTCCTCCTCCTCGTCTCCTTCGTTCACCGTCAAAGCCGGCCTCGCCCAGATGCTCAAGGGCGGCGTGATCATGGACGTGGTCAACGCCGAACAAGCCCGTATCGCCGAGGAAGCAGGCGCCTGCGCCGTCATGGCTCTCGAGCGTGTGCCCGCCGATATTCGCAGAGACGGCGGCGTTGCCCGCATGTCGGACCCGCAACTTATCAAGGAGATTCAGGCTGCCGTCACGATACCCGTGATGGCCAAGGCCAGAATCGGACATTTCGTCGAGTGCCAGATCCTCGAGGCGTTGGGGGTGGATTATATCGATGAATCCGAAGTGCTCACACCGGCCGACGATACCTTCCACGTTGAGAAGAACGAATTCCGTGTGCCGTTCGTTTGTGGATGCAGGAACTTGGGCGAGGCGCTGAGACGGATAGCCGAGGGTGCGGCGATGATCAGGACGAAGGGAGAGGCCGGCACGGGCGATGTCGTCGAGGCCGTTAAGCATATGCGTACAGTGAAGAAGGAGATTTCAAGGGCGCAGGCGGCGCTCGCGGAGGGTGAGGGTACGCTTCGTGCATTGGCAAGAGAGATCGGATGTGACCCCGTCCTGCTCAGGCAGACTGCCGAGCTGGGCCGGCTGCCCGTGGTGAATTTCGCGGCCGGTGGGATTGCGACGCCCGCGGATGCGGCGTTGATGATGCAATTGGGTTGTGATGGTGTGTTTGTGGGAAGTGGGATCTTCAAGAGTGGGAATGCGGCGCAACGGGCAAAGGCCATCGTCCAGGCCACGACACATTTCAGGGATGCGAAGGTGTTGGCCGAGTGTAGTGCTGGACTGGGTGAGGCGATGGTCGGAATCAACTGTGGAAGCATGAAACAGGAGGAGAAGATGTCTGGTCGGGGCTGGTAGACTACTAAGGTCTGAGTCTGACAGAAGTGTCTAGGGCAGCGAGCAAAGACTCGAGGCCTTACTCGAGCCCCAAGATTTCGGAGAGTACCGAGCGTGCCAATGGCGGATGCAATGGATAACAGGGTGAAGACAAAAAGGCCCACGAGCATGAGGAGAGTGCAAAGCAAAGGGGCATTGCATGGCGTCGGGCATCTTGAGCGTATCTCAGCTGGTGGTAGACGTCCAACCTGGTCATTCATGCATAGGAAGACAAAAACTTCTAGACAATTGTCAAGAAAAAGAGCTTGGTAAGATGCCTCATGTTCGTTTCTTCATTGCGGATGTCATCGTAATGCCCGATATGTCTCGTTTGCCCTCATACAGAGAATCCGGACATATTATCTAACGCCCTTAGGTACCTACGAAATCTCTCGTGCTTGGAAAGCATGAGTTGATACCGTTGCAGCGTCTCCTGGCCAGTATCTCTGGATGCCATGCTGCGTACCAGGTCCGCACATAGACACTTGCTGGTCTTTTTCCTTGACCAGTCTGATTCGGTTCAAGAAAGATCCTCCAAAACTGCCTCCATCTCTTCCCTTCCCAGCGGCACACCCAACAATTGTGTGCCGGTCGCGTCCCTCCGACTCGTAATCAGCTGATGGTCGTGAAACTCCTTCAACAGAAACTGGAAATTCATGCTACTCGAACAAATAAAGTCCGTACTCGCCTTTTCATATAACGTGCGATATTCGACACCCACTTCCTCTGCAGCACTTTCGCCCTTCGCTCTCCCTGCGGTAGTCCGCCTCCCTGCTTCTGTCTCTGTCTCTACCTCGTCGTCCTCGTCCAACCCTGCTCCCGCGCCTCCGTCGATCCCATCAACGAGGATCGCCAGTATCTCCGACAGGAGCAGCCTGTACAAATTCCTGGCATTCTCCGGCAAACTCTTCAACACGAAGCCAATGCCTTCCTTGCCACCGATCCTCATCCTTTTCCGGCCGAGCAATTCATGAACATCGTCCACCACATTGATCTCGGCGCTGTACGCTGCGAACGTCGTGCAGTCATGGTACACGAACCTGAACCGATCCAGTAGACTCGAGTTCCACATCGTCGCGAATGTAGGGCTATCCGCCGTCGCAAGGAATGAGACCATATGGTGGTCCGCAAGCCGAGCGAGGACGGACTGCACACCACCACGACGCAACGGGCCCGCGTCGATCGAATTGATCATCACCGTCACCGGGACAGTCAAGTGCTCGAAGAGCGTGTCGAGCATCTCGTGCGGTTGCCCGACTAGCCTGAAAGTCTCATCCTCGCCGACAATGGCTGATGCGACCGTGTTCAGTATGTGCCGAACATTGAGTTTCGGCGTGTACCCATTCACAATCACGATTCGAGGGCGAGAGGCCGGCTTGGAGATTTTGTACAGATACTCTGCAAACTTGGTCACAAGTGCTCGTTTACTTCCGTAGCCGTAGAGACATAGGCCAAACCCTTCCGACAATTCAAACTTCCACTGCGGAAACGAGCGCGCATGCAGGTTCATCAGCCGCGCCTGGTCTGCGTCGTGGCGGTCTGTGTAAGACTGGATCTGCTCAAAGTATTCGTCGTGCGTGAGCAGCTTGACGGAAGTGAATTTGTTGTTCGAGATTTGAGGAGGCCCGGCGCGGTTCTGGAAGAAGTACCGCTCTTCAGGGGGGATGTTGCCTTCGGGCGTAGGGGAGCGTTTATTCCTCGCGCCCTTGGGCCGGCCGCGGCCGCGACTTGGTGTTTGGACAGGCGTGGTTGCCTCGTTCTCGTCTTGTTCTCCTAGAGGAGCTTCGACGAGAGGTTCTTCTTCGTCTTCGAGAATCTCGCGGGCCAGCGCAGCTTGGCCGTCCCAGTCATCCTCCTCTTCGTCTTGTTCGGCGAGAGCGCGTGCGCTTTTGCGTCGGGCGGAGTTGTTTGCCTTGGATTTTGAGGGCGTGCCATTGGTGTGCTTTTTGCTCCTTCGTGGTGTAGAGAAGAGAATGCGGCCGTCAGCTTTAGGCGTAGGACTGCCTGCGTCGTTGCCCTCTTCTTCTACTAGAATTTCTGCTGCAGACTTTCTTTGTCTTCGTGATGGTGTTGCCTGCTTTTTCGGTGTGCCATTTGCCTTTGGTATAGCTTCGACCTCCTCCTCGTCGTTGTGGATGCCGTTTGTAGGCGGTGCTTCGGTGGTCTTTCGGCGTCGCTTTGAAGGCGCTTCTGCTACTTCAGGGGAGGCTTCGGGTTGCTTTCTTTTCGCCATGGCGAGGTGAAACAAAAATGATCACGATCGACACATGTACTCGCCAGGCACGCGAGCCCCGATCTTGTTGCGATCAATTTGTTCGCAGCCACCTGCCTTTCTGCAAGCAAAGGCAGAGGGAGACGCGATGAGGGCTGCTCAGAAGGCCTACTCCGCAATCTGGCGTTCCTGATTGGTCACGCAATTCACCGCAGCTTTTTCTTTTCTCAATGGCACGGAGGAGTCATGATCTTCAACTAGTTCGATGTATAAACTGATGAGTCAAACCATTTCATTGAAAGGTTGGCATAAGTGAAGCTCGAAGGGATCACCATGAAAAGGTGAGAGAAATCACAGGTCGGACGCGAAGCAGAATTTCCACCCCACCGGCCACCTGGATCCGATAACAGAGCTGGGAAGCCGTCATTACTGGTACTCCAGGGCACTGGGGACACGCGACGGCAGCCGAAGCTCAAGCATACTCACTGTGAGCTCGAAGAAAGCAAGCATCCAGGTTGGAAGTGTCACCTGCCTGACAATCGAGTGTACCTCAACGACTGGAAGGGCGACTTCGACTTGCGTGGGACGTTGAGCTGATATCAAGGAAATCAACTATGTCAACCGGACATTGTATCTCTTGGACAGCCTCCCTCAACATACCTAAGGCTCATATCGCCAATATGGCTTCTACAACTCCTTCCTCTGCGCGATCAATCATACGCACCTTCATCCGCCACTACTCTGCCCCAGTCGACTCCTCTATTCCAGCCAACAAGCTCAAATATGTGCCCTCGTCAGGCACATATCCCAAAGGCTTCCGCGTGAGCGGCACGCATGTCGGCGTCAAAGCCTCCAACAAGACCCAGCCTGACCTGGCCTTCATCACTTCCGACATCCCTGCCTCCGCCGCCGCGGTCTTCACCACGAACAAATTCCAAGCCGCCCCCGTGCAGATCAGCAAGGCCGTCCTTCAATCCCGTGGCGGCGCCAACCTGCGTAGCATCATCATAAACTCCGGCTGTGCCAACGCGGTCACCGGAAAAGGCGGCATGGATGATGCCCAGGCTATGTCCGACACCGCGACGGCTCAATTCCAACAATCCGCCCAGCCCGAAGACCATCTCGGGTCTACCAGCCTTGTCATGTCCACCGGCGTCATCGGCCAGCGCCTGCCCATCAAGAAGATCCTCTCAAAGATCCCTACGGCCTATTCGAACCTGGACAACGACCACAATGCGTGGCTCACCACCGCGAAGGCGATCTGCACGACTGATACCTTTCCCAAACTACTCTCCACGACATTCACCCTGCCGTCCACAGCCCACAAGGACGCAAAGTATCGTCTGGCCGGCATGACCAAAGGCGCCGGCATGATCCACCCGAACATGGCCACGCTCCTGGGCATCCTGTGCACCGACGCGCCGATATCCCCGGGTGCTGCGCAGTCCCTTTTGACGGAAGGCGTGAACAGATCATTCAATTCGATCTCCATCGACGGCGACACGAGCACGAACGACACCGTTGCACTTTTGGCGAACGGCGCAGCAGCCCCGAGCCCAGATACGCCGGCCATCCCCGACGACGCCAACTCGGAAGATTACATCGCAATGGCCAAAATCCTGACCGACTTTGCCCAGCGCTTGTCTCAGCTGGTCGTCCGCGACGGCGAAGGCGCCACGAAATTCGTCCAAGTCAGCGTTCGCCATGCGCCGACTGATGCCGACGCAAAGGCCATCGCGAGCACGATCGCACGGAGCCCCTTGGTCAAGACCGCCTTGTACGGCAAGGACGCTAATTGGGGCCGGATCCTCTGCGCAATCGGATATACGCCCAACATCTCCCCTGATGCCGTGGTCCCGAGTAAGACGAATGTGAGTTTCGTGCCGGCTCAGAACTCAAAGAGCAAAGATGAGGGCGTGCTGAAGCTGCTGGTCAACGGCGAGCCCGAAGTCGTCGATGAAGAGCGTGCTGCGAGACTGCTCGAGGACGAGGACCTGGAGATCGAGGTCGATCTGGGCACGGGCAATGAGGAGGCAAAGTATTGGTTTTGCGATTTCAGTCATGAGTATGTTACTATCAACGGTGACTACCGGACTTGAATGATGGCCGGGGGGAGGGAAGATACTGTAGGATGCCTGTTAGAGAACGATGGAGCGGGAGTAGTTAGAATCGCCGGACTGGTGGGCCCAAGAGCCTCGATACTCGATGAAACAGCAGATACCTCGTCTATGATTGCGCTGGCTGAGAAGCAGTACCTAGAAATAAATTGGTGGATGACCTTTACGGAGTACGATTTTCAAAGATTGTGCTAATTTTTTAACTTCCCGCGAAAGCAGTACGAGTACAGGATTGTCGTTATAGCTACTGTACAGAACTTTCCCGGCCATTCTACATCTCCCCAACTCAATCCCATGCTATGATGCTATGCATGAAGGCATTGCTTTTGTTGTCATAAACCCTCCCGAGCCCCTAGGGCTTGCTTATAAGCTGAATTCATATTCCAGCGTAACTAGGCAATCAGGCCCTTGAGACCCTGGCCGAAGTCGCCCTCCTTGGCGGCAATCTCGAAGTATCCATATATAATGGTGACAGCAAGGAGAATACCAGTGCCACTTCCCAAAGCTCCAAGCATATCGCTGGCAACGGACAGAGCTCCGATACAAGCACCACCGAATGCGGCCGCAGTCGGAATGACGCGTTTCAATTCCTTGTACATGCTCTGTTCACGATGTCCAGCCATGACGAGACCTTGTTCCTTGAGTGTCTTTGCAACATCACGCGGGGCAGAACCCGAGACTTCAATCCAAGTCTTGGAGAAGACAGCGCAGGTGACGATGATGAAGGTGATGTAGATAACCGTGTGAATGGGGTCGAGGAGGGCTTCGCGGAAGCTCAAAGGAGGAGACATGTAGTATGCGATACCGCCGGAAGCATACAGCTGAGAAGATCCCTCTCTTGGTTCCCATGTACCGATCAGCTTGACCAACAAGTTGTCCGAGAATCGAGTGTAAAGCATTTGGCTGATCATGAATATGTTGGATGCTAGGGCTGATTGCAGCATGATAGGCATGTTGGACGTATAGAAGAGACGGACAGGGAATGAACCGCGCATGCCACGTTGGCGGGAGGACTTGACCGGGATCTCGACGCGGAATCCTTGAAGGTAGATGACGGCCGCGAAGACGGTCAAGGTAGCCAAAAGGTTCATAACGTTGGGGAGATGTTGTCGGTAGAAGGCTTCGCGGAGAGCGCGGGTCTTGTCTGGCCAAGTCACCAACAGGTGGAACAAGGCAATGACTGCGCCTTCGAATTCTTTGCCTCGGCCGGTGTCAATAGTGGTCGGGGAGAACGCCTTCCAGATGATAGACTCGCAGATGTTTGTAGCAATGAAAAGCGAGATACCAGATCCAAGCCCGTAGCCCTTTTGGAGTAGCTCATCCAGGAGAATGACAACCAAACCGGCAATGACCAATTGAACGATCAAGAGAAGGCAGATGCCAGCCCCCAGGTCGCTTGGTTGGCCATAGAGACCTGTGAGGACGAAAACGCAGGCTTGACCAAAGGAGAGGATGATGGCGAAGAGCTTCTGCGCAGTTTGGTAGAGCTCGCGGTCGGACTTGAGGTCGAGGTTCACGTCAATGAGGTGAGTACCGGCGAGCAGCTAGAGGTCCGTCAGTAAAAGTAGGCTCGACAGGGCGCGTGTCTACATGCCTGGAAAACCATGCCAGAGGAGATGATAGGTGTGGTCCCCAACTCCATCAGCGTTCCACGATTACTAGCCAGCATCATACGAAGCCAGTACAGGGGATCAGACGTGTCGGAGGAGACAATCCCGTACAGAGGCATTTGACTCATGACCAAGAAGATTAGGAGTGTACACTATGCCGGTTGTTAGTCTCGTGCTGCTCTTCCTGGGCGTGTCCTAGTCTCTTACTCCTGTCCACATCAACTTCTGGTTGAAAGGAACCTTGGATTCGGGCGCGGCCACCTCCGGCAGGAGGGGCGTGAACGGTTTGATGAGATCGAGGAATCGAACTAATCTTGACTGTTAGTATTCTCAAATTGAAGGGGGAGTACAGTGCGGAGAGGTTGGCTGCACGTACGACCGCTCATTGTGGCTGCGGGTTTTGCGCAGGAGGATAGAAAAGGTCTGAAAGGCTCTCTGAGTCGTAGAGAGCGGCCGAAAGGAGATTGAGAGAAGTGGTTGAGGAAAGTAGGAGGCCTTCTTGGAGGAAGAAGAAGAAAGTGGTAGAGGTGTTGGTCTCCTGAAAGCTACAACCACTTCATTCTTTTGGACACATCGACATCTCCACTAATTGCGGATTGTGAGCGTTGAGCTCATGCCAAGCCCTCCCATACATTAGATACATGCTGCTTTTAGCCCCAGCGACGACGACCTCTTCTTTTCGTCCCCGACGAGATCTATGTGGCCTTTTTGCAAAGACAACTTCCGGTGAGACGACGTATAGTGTTCAATCTATATACTCACAGGGATATATTCTCGTTACTTACAAGACTTGTACAATCTCATCTCGATCCCTCATCTCCAGAATATCACTGCTGTCTATCGCCGTGCTAGCCAGCGCAGCGTACAGAATGCCGCGGAACAAGAGCAGAGTTTCCATAGCCTCGAGGCGATCCCGAGGCTGCCAGATCGGTTCAGTTGGTTGTCTCACTCTCTCCCTCGATTGCTCACGCTTTGCTCCTCCACCATCAGCTGGTGGCCTTGATGCCTCTCTACCTCTTCCAGGAGACATCGGCCGACTTGACGATGCGATACCTGGGCCCGGAGGTGCTGAAGACGCGTCCGTGCCACGTCGAAAGAGCTCGACCCACAGACCATGTTCCATGGCGAACAGCAAGGCTCTGATCAACTCTGAGATGTCTTCGTCAAGCTCCAACTCAACTTCATCGCCCTCCTCTCTGTCGATGACCGAGAATGGCTTCCCGTTGTGTGGATATATATATCTTGCGACTTCGCGGGCGTAGCTCCAGCCCCTATCGCAGAGCGCCGCACCTTGCTGGAGATGCATCTCATAGAGATCTGGGCATCGAGCACAACGCCCCATGTGCTTTGTGAAGCGTGACATAACGTAGTCTTCGTCCTCGCGTGGCTCCCGCACGCGATGCCCAGCAGGGTCAGTCTCCTCAGTCGAAGCCGACTGCCCCTCGTCTGTGTTCCACTCAAGAAGGAGCTGAGCAGCGTTCTCGTTGTCTGCTGGGATTGAATCGTAGAGATAGGCAAAGTCTGGGTGAGCTTCTCCTCGGGAAACGTTGTCTCCTCTACCACTGTAAAGTACCAGCTGTTTCTTACGGTCATCATCGGTGATTTCATCCAACTTGAGGTTTGCATCTGCAGGCGATGGTGAGTCTTGTAACCGTTCGCTGTCCAGAATTGCAAGTCGAGGATATGGAGGGCCATCTCTGACCGTCAGCACGTCCTTCGCGGTAACACGTAGCTTGGCCAGTAAATTCAACGCAGCGCACAAGGAATCCTGGCCTCCAAAGGATCTCAACCAACAATCGATGGTGGCTAATTGCCAGGCAAGCCATTTGCGGGCCTCGGTCTTTTCAGGCACGGTAAGATCGTTAATATATTGAGCACCGTCACGCCAGTGAAAGCACAGATCCAGTGTGTCGGCGGATACCAGTAAGTCACCATCCGCTGCGGATAGTGACCTTTGCTCTTGTTCTGGTGGATATCCAAAGAACTGGCTGGGGTGAAGAGGGAAGTCTTTCAGCGGAACACCTTGACCGGGGAAGACTTCAGGTCCGAACCAAGTTTGCTGAGCATTGCCCGTCAAATCGTCGTCTATGAGCGGTTGGGATTCCACGCCAGATTTACCAAGACTCAGGTGGTGAGCTTCAATTTTGGAATGCTGAGCGTCGATGGCAACTTGCCGGCGTGATGTATGGCACCTGAATAGGAGGAGGCTTTTCCCACTTGCAGGCAAGACTTTTAATGCCTCGATCACGCTTCGAGGATCATCACGCCAGCTCGGGCTGCTTCTTATCAGCAAATGCACATGTTCGTACTGACGGAACAGTCTCAGCGGGAACAACAAGTTGACCCGAGGTCTATCGGCAAAGAGCAATACCAACAGCATCGACTGTATATAGCTGTTGTGCTGTACCAGAAACCGCGGCCACGACCCTATATCTCTGATGTGGTTAGCGCAAGAGACATGATTGCAACGGGTTTGCAACTGTAACTGCAACACATCAAGGAGGAAGCTCAGGTTAGTCCTCACGTCGATCTGACCCTTGGGAAGACATCTGATCTCCAGAAAGGGCTGCTGCAGATAACGAATGTGGCCAAGTGCTTCCACACAGGCCCAACGGGTGTGCTCCAAGCGAGGAGAATTTGTTCCAAGGCGCTCTTTGTAGCTCTGATAAGTCGCTACTAGCCCGAGGCTGGGATGCTGTCTGAACACCATTTGAACCTGCGGACCTTTCACCAGGGGAAGATCTTGCCGGACGTAGTAAGATGTACATCCAGCAAGCACCGCCAAAATAATGAGGGCCTCGATAGTTGCAAATGCAGGCGCTGCCGGGACGTCTGCAGGCAAATGATCGGTTTTGCAATATCGCGTTCGCAGCTTGACCGCGGCAAGGTCGACATGCCATAGCAGCATCGCCCAGCTTGCCGATACATCTTCGCTATCAGCAGAGTCGTCTGTAATCCTTGCTTTAATGTCCCGAGCATGGTGCTTGAGATTGAACAAGGGCAAGATGTGCCGCTTCCGCCGCCTTCGTGACGCCTTGTCGGAGTCTTGATGAGGCTCGTCATGCTTTTCATGGTCCTCGGCAGCAGCTCGGTCTTGACGGGCCAAGCATTGTACGCAAAGGATGAAAGATTTCCAGACCCTCTTCATGCCAGAGACCTGCTGTGGAGGGTGGTGCACGGGCAATGACAGTGGCGATGCTGAGATGATTTGCGGGACATCGATGATTGGAACTTGGACCGTCGTGCGGAACCTCCACTCTGTCCAATCGAAGCGCGTCCGCGCCGTCCTGCCGTAGGTAGACCCAAGCACATTCTGACTCGCTTTCAGTCTTCCTGGCCCAGCGGCAAGCAAGCCTTGTAGCAGCGCAAGCGATGCGACCAGCAAAGCGAGAATGCTAAGAATGGCAGTGAAGGCAAAGTTGAGGAGGTTCCAATCAAAGCCGCGGCCTTGGTCCACAAGCTCGCCCAATAGGCAGTCGGTACTATTTCCTGGACATGTTGGCATGGCAGTGGTGGCAGTGGTAGATCTGGTCGACATCAATTTATCTCGTTAAATATTGTATGAGATTCCCTTCGACAATCTCGATGATCAGACTGGAACATCCTGCTCATTCATCGGTGTTACTCTCTCAGCTGCTCAGCCTGACCAGCCTCGCCAAATACATGCCACGTGACTTCAGCACAAATACGAGAATACTGCGCGCTTACCCTATATTGGTATAGGACTCGATGCTCAGGGGGCGATCGTGGGTCATGGGAACACGCGAAGTAACGCGTGATTAATGGAATCTAGGTAGCTTCCCTTCTCGCCGCTCGTGCCATCCTGGCCACATAAAATTTACACGCGCCAGGCACGCCAGGTTTAATCAAGATTCCAACGGTCGTACATGAGGGCACAATGCCACTTGAACGGATTAGAAACCCGCAAGACATTAACGACCTGTGACACCTGTCATTCCACCTATCAATCTTTACCGAAAATCCTAAGGGCATGATGCAGATGTTTCAATCTTGCATCCCTCGCTCCATCCGCACAACCCTGGTACTTCTAGGCATCACACGATTGTACTCACTAGGATCGCCAGGCCCCTATCAGCTACTTCAGATCATCAGAATCCTCTCCGCAGGCACTGGAAGCTTCAACACAATGAAGATTGGAGATTGCATGCTCCTTACCCAACCCAGATATACCAACTGTCTTGGCTGACAGTCAATCTTCTTGGACGTAGCCTAATGTCCTTACGTTCACGCGAGGATGGCGCCACCAACCGCATACGGTTTGGCATGATCTAGACGTTGATTGAGTGCACGGTAAGTGTAGATTAGGTGAGCTCAGATCAACTCCTCCGCATTTTGGCTGTGACTGAGCGATCGTCTTTCTTTTAATCATCCATACCGGCGAAGCAGAGTCTACAACAGGAACCTTATTGCTTACGCTTATAGGCCCTTCGTCCAAAATGTTGGTCCTCGAGGACTATACGGCGCATTCAAGCCTAGAAGACCCGCGAGCTGCATTCATGCTCGACATCAAAGAACACACTGCCTCAGATTATCCAGCCTACCACACGCTAGCATCCTCTCCACAGCATCATACAGCTCAGAAATCGAGCTTTTCGTGGGACCCCTCCAGCGACCCTTCGAGCTCATGGTTTTACACTTCTGCAAGACTCATTCTCTCGGTTGTGTCGAGCCTGTTTTCGATGCTGGCACCAGGCAATTATATGGCGGACAAAAGTGGAAGACATACGGCAAAGATCACATCTCTTGATGGACTGCGTGGGATCGCATGCCTCTTTGTCTTCCATGCTCATTACGCATATTCCTTTGGCAACTGTCTCGAAGAAGCTGAACCTGAAATTCTCAGCAAGAGATTCATGTACCAACCGTTCATCTCGCTGACGTGGTCCGGAATTGCAATGGTCGACGTCTTCTTTGTCATTTCCGGATATGTTCTTGTCTCGAAGCCCTTACGCCTTCTCTATTCACAAAACGTCGCAGGGGCCTTGTCGACGATATCTTCGGCAGTCTTTCGGCGGGCATTCCGCTTATACCTACCATCCATGGCTATTATCTTGGTCGCCTCGATAATGACGAGCTTAAACCTATTCGAAGCCGGCAGTGTGTTCTACGACCAAACTCATGATGGCGTCCGAGGACCTCAGGAACAGCCGACCAGCCGTGTGGGTCCCTTCATGGTCCAGCTTTACAGCGGATTCAAAGACTGCTATCGTCTCGTCGATAATACAGTTCCTTGGGGAAAGGCAAACTTTCCCTATGAAAGCGAGGAGATGGCTCGCCCCTCTGGCATCATATATGACAGACATTTGTGGACGATACCGGTCGAATTCAGATGCAGCATGCTGATTTTTGCGATTTTGGTCGGTACCGTGAGGATACGACCAAGATGGAGACTTGGTATACACCTGATATTCTTCCTGAATTGCCTTTTCACGGAACGATTTCCGGAGTCGCTATTCTTAGCAGGAATGATCCTTGCAGAAGTCGACACTATCCAACATCAGAAGTCAAATGACTCTCTCTATGCAGTGCGACCACAGCATACCCACGAACTCAAGCTATCCGGTGAAGGCTATGCTAGGCCTTGGCCTGTCACGCGCTTCCAGCCCTGTTTTCGAGAGCTTCTGGGGCTGTTGATGTTTGTGCCTGGCCTGTTTCTGTTGTCTATTCCGCCTCAAAGGACGGAGCAGTATCCGGCTTTCTCGTCAATTTTGATGATGGTTCCCAGGTATCTCTGGGAGAAAGATCGATTCATCCGAGCAATCGGAGCCATCATGGTGACCTGGCCTGTTGCCACGTCGTCCATCATTGCCCCGCTCTTCACCAACGCTTTTGCGAACTATCTGGGTCAGATATCTTTCGCCCTTTATTTGGTTCATGGCTCTCTGATCAAGTCAGTCTGGTACTGGCTTCAGCCGAAACTGATCACCATGATCAATCCTGACGTCACCTCAGTATTGTCTACACAGCAATTCATCAACCTATGGCTGTCGGGGTACATAGTCATGCTGGCTTTGGTCCTGCTGTGCGCTCATATATTCCATAAAGCCATTGACGAGCGATCGGTTACGTTTGCCCGGTGGGTGGCAGGAAAGCTTCAAGCCAATAGCTGACAATAAAAGTGTATCACGTACAGAATACTAGTATTATCTTCTAAAATACCCTTCTTATGAGTATGTAGCTGCATACAGACTGCCTGGCACGCTCTAACGTCCAAGAGGCTTTCAATGACCGCTGTGAATACGATTTACCCGCCCTCCGGCTTGAGTGGAGCTGGCGAAAGCAGCTTGGAAGCCCGAGGCATCACAGATAGTAGAGATTTTGTTCTCATGCGGACCATGACATCAAGGACCCGAATATGTCAGCCCTCGTGTGTCGAAATTGCATGATTTCCCTGCACGTCAATGGGTCTCTTGGGCGGGGATCCTCCACCAGTCCGTGCTGTGACTCTGCAAATCCACCGAAACCGAGTTCCATCCAACGTCCACCCACCCACTGTAAGTTCCACGACCACGTCAGGGGGCATGACATGGAACACTGCCATATCCCAACCAATGCGACATGGGACCACCGGATTTTCATAGTTCGCACCTGCATGTTGTTTCAATTCGACGATAGATGTAGTAGGGCCAGATTCTTGGGAAGAATCAGAACTGCTTTGGACGCTAAGAACACTTGTTCTGATAGTAATGAGCGAAGCAGCTCACGGATATGTCAAGAAGCCCAGCCCAGCTGAAAGTCTGAATTACTCAAAGTACTTATGCTTTCTACATACACGGTAGGAAGATGATGTTTGACTCTGCTACTCCCACTTTACGAAGAGCCGAGTCTGCAGCCATCTCCCAAATTGTACGATCTTCTTATCCACCCTTGAAAAATAGTCCCCGGCCCACAGGACAAGAAGCGTAAGTGCTATCGCACCAGGGAGAAAGGCGAGAGTCGAGTCTCCCAGATGCCGCGCCTGCCAGACCAGTATGACAGGCTTGTATACCGCGTGAATCAGTATAATGTGCATGGCGTATACGCCGAATGAGAGATCACCAAGATATTGTGAGAAACTCCACTCAAACGGGCGCTGAAGCGTGGTGTTGAGGTCAATGGCCAACACAACGCAGCAAGCAGCGATTGACGGCCAAAACGTGTAGGCTGCTTCCCCATACCAGGTGGGGATCAGCGCGTGAAGATACTGCCAGGGCCAAGGACCTGAGAGGCCTAGGTCTGGTGGATCAGGCTGGCCAAGGAGGAACCAGCCTAGTATCAACAACCCGTATGACGCGACTTGGGTGGCGCAATCTACCCAAGCCTTTCGATTGGGGCGCAAAAACTCCTTCTCATCGCTTTGTGCAGACATGTCGGGAACCACCTCCAAAGCGGGGCGGCCATGTCGTTCGGGGTGTCGGATCAGGGAGAGCTCCGCGATGAATACACCAAACATGAACTCGACCACGTAGGCGACGCGCCAGTAGTAGCTGAAGAAAATCACAATCCACAAGAATACGAAGCGGGATCTTGTCGTCAGTTTGCATGCCGCCGTGCAGAAGACGAAGATGACGATGCTGCCACGGTATTCGACCGGAATTGTCCACATCTGAGCCAGGTACCTTGTGAAAAAGACACCTTCATGTATCCAGCCCTCGATGTCCGCGAACGGATTGCTGCTGTAGACAAAGTTACGGAACCAGTGCAACAGCTGAGCTAGGATAGTACGTTGTCGAAGGTCTTCGTACGGGACGAACCAGCCGAGGTAAACGAAACAGGCTGACACCAACGTTGCAAAGCCCGTGGCAAAGTAAAGCCGTAGGAAGCGCCGAAAAATCGATGAGGCAAGAGTGTCGAGCAGCTTCGCAGATTCCTCGTTTCGAATCAGCTTCACGATCCGAAAGCTCAGGACGTAGCCTGAGATGACAAAGAAGATGGCCACCATGCCTGCGCCGCCAATCCAGGGGACCCGAAGAAAGTGGAATCGGAATATGGGAGATTCTGGTAGATCCCAACAATGGTAGATGTAGACTAGCAAGGCTGCGTAGCCACGTAGAGCGTCGAGGTAAGAAGTAGGGGAACGTCTGGCTTGGTACATTTGTCGGCCACCAGGCTGAATGTAGCGTGGCAGGAATGCCCAAAAGTTCGTCGATTTGAGCGTAGAGGTCAGGAAGGTTGTCCATTTTGTTCGAGATCCAGCAGTGCCCGCATCAAGGTCTTCGTCAGGCTGGGGCATTGAATGTTCCTGGAGCGAGACATCATCATTTTCGTTGTGTACTAGTAGTGGAGCAGCTTGGTCCATCTCTGAGAAGATTCCGCCAACGTGAGATGTGCCGGAAACATATGCTGGAGGTGGACGACGACGATCAAGAGCTTCTTCAAGAAAGGAGGATGAGGAGAGAGGAATAACCGACAGCTTGAAAGTTCATCGTAAAGCTGAGGCAAGTGTTGAGGGGCAATATCAGATCTTGAGATCTAGGGGCAGTAGAATCCTGTAGTTGGGTGAATACTGTCCCTGGGGAAAGGAGGGATATGCTGTGGATTGGTACTAGTATCCATTGCAATCTGTGAGAGACAGCCCTGGCAGCTCGAAGCACCAGATCATCTGTCTTTTTGAAAATTGCAACGGTCGTACGACTGCATGTTATGATTTCAGGTGGGTAAGGCGCGTTGAGTCAACGGCGACAAGATTCCTAGCGCGCGCACCGCTCAATCGACCTACATTTGCCCTTTGGAGACAGATCCGAGGGCAGGAGGTCAGTGACAATCAAGGTGCGTCAGTGGCACAAGCCGACGCCGCTCAGACAATTCTGTACTCGTACAACAGGCGTGAAGAGCCCAGAAATGGAAGGTCACTGTTCACTTTTGGCGTGACAGGATGAGGCGAGAAGGGGTTCCGGCTAACTTACCCCATCCAATAGCCAAGGCTCTAATACTGACTGCCAAGTAATTAGTTGGAGCCGGTCCAGTGTCACACATCATTCAGCCATTATTATTGTTCCACCGCTGTGCCTCTCTGCGATCTCCCAAGGCTGCACACGACCCTCACAGATTTCAATTTGACGCTTTGCCAATTTTACATTATCAGAAGTCATAGCAGCTCAACATATTCCTGCTTTAAATCGAATGCCAAGTCCAAGAGCAACACAAAACCCCTGTTCTTTGCTCGCAACGGAATCCGCCCAAAAGAATCCAACATCATACTCCTCCACCCTGGGAACCAACACGTGCAGTCACCATCGGCACATCGAAATTCCCCCTCGACAAGGCTCAGAAAAAGATGGTGTTGCCTTTGCTGTCCCGCCACCTGCCCGCACCTCCGAAGTCTCACACTTGCCCTCGAATCCCGGCCCGGCCTCAGGGGGGCGACCCTTGGCATGCGGCTACATTGACGCCAGTCGCAATGCCAGACCAAATCTCAAGCGCCGTAATGCCATGCGGGCACTTCTCTGTGGCAGCTTTCTGTTCAGCTTTGGCCAACTCATCAGCTCTGCCGAGATCATAGCCAGTCACTTTAGCAATGATGGCATCTTCGAGACTTAGCTGTTGTCTCTCCTGGTCGCTTGTCAGAGTCGAAAAATTCGGATCCCATGGAACGTCGAGGGGCTGTGAATCCAAGTCCGAGGCAAAGCGCTCTCGCAGTGCAATCACCTGCGCATGATACCAGTCCCGCTCTGCCTCTAGGTACCGGATGCCGGACATCTTGTCGGCTACCCATCCTCTGATGCAGCTCAGATCGAGCTCGAGAAGCTGGACTTTGGAGTCGTATTGACACAGTCGCCGGTACAAGGCCTCTCTTTCGTGGGTATGGCGGTCTAGCTCCTGTCTCATCATTTTCTCGATGACCACCGCAGTGTCGCCGTACTTTTTATGGAGGCACTGTTGCTTCCAGCTATCGGCCGTACCCGTCAAGCTGGCGACCTGATCCTGCAACTCCTTGATCACATCCTGCAAGGCATGGAGATTGGCGTTTTCCGCATCCATGCGGATGTTCTCCTCCTGCACCTCCTCCATGCCCTTGTTCAGGACTTTCGACTCCCTGGCATGCTGTTGTTCGATATCGAGTATCTGGGCCTCGAGGCCGTGATTTCGTCTTGAGAGAGACTCCAGCTCCTGCCTCACATTCTCTTCATGCACCTTGGAGCTCTCCAGAAGCTCCATGAGACCAGGGTCTGTTTCAAGGAGTGCCAGGTCCCTGGCGATTCCAGGGATTGTCTCCTTCCAATTTTCGATCTTTTCTTGCCATTTCTCAAGACTCGTGAAGAGCCTTGCTCTATTCTTCCTCTCCAAGATCACCCTTGTACTGAGGTCCACTGACTCTGCCTCTTTCTGCTGCAGCTGTTCATTCAAGTCGCGGTAGGCCTCAGTGAGGTCTGCACATCTCTGCTGCGACATCTCGAATGCTTGCTGGAGGTCCCGCAGTTCATTGGGCTCAATGATCAGGGGGTTCGTAATAGCCGGAGTAGGATCCTTGACATATTCGACTGTTATGTCTCTGGTCAAGGCCTCAACTCGGCTTCTCAACTCATTGACTTTGCCTTCAGCTTGGTCTTTCAGCTGAACAAGGTGGTTGTTCTGCTGCTCCAGGCCAGAGATCGCATCATCAGCCTGCTCAATTCTTTCCTCCAAGACAACAAAACGCTGCTGCAAATACGCCCCTGTCTGCTCCATCTGTTGCACTGTCTCTTCCAAATTGGCACGAGCTTCGCTAGCAGCCAACGCAATCGCTTGGTATTGTTGCGCTTGGTTGGCGTAATGTTGCACATGCGCAAGCGCTTGGCCTCGCTCGAAGATGAGCTGTTGATCACCGAGGACCAAGGGGGTGCGCTGAAGATGCTGGACTTCTTGCAAGGCAGCATTTGCTGTTGCCTTCTCCTGGGCAATCTCTCTGTCCTTAAGGACCAGCTGCTGCTTCAGAGTTTGGATCGTTGCGTCAGAGTTGTCTTGATCGACCTCGAACCGTTTGCGCTCATCCTGGACCGCTTTCAACACTTTTTGGAGCGTTTCGACTTCCTCTTCCCGTTCAAGTACTTGGAGTCGAAGATCTTGAGTCACCGATTGCTGATGCTGAAGACTGTCGGTCAGCTGCTGAATCTCCTCTTGTCCTTTGGCCTCGATATATGGGGCTCGAAAGTGTGCAGCCGCGACATGTACGCTCTCAGATGTGGCGGCTGTCGACGCCGATGGTATTCTGGAAGAGTTGGTGGTACGCCCAGCGTCATGAGAAGACGACGATGTATCATCATCATCATCACTTTCATTCTGTGCATTCGTTTCACCGTCGTCTGCCTCTTGATGTTCCGGAACAACTTCTTGAAGCTCGATTTCTGCTTCACCCGTCTCTTGCAGGCCATTGTCTTGAACGAAATTTGGAAGTCTAACACCTTCGTCCGATTCAGACTCTTCATCCTCTTCAGAGAGTTCTTCAGGTTCGGCCAAGCCACCTGAAGTCGCAGGGACTTGCCGGTAGTCCAATGGAAGTCGATCAAAGTACAGGTCTATGATCGAAACTAGATCCGAGTCATCAGATACCCCGGCTGTTTCATCGTTCATCAACAATTGAGGGAGTACAGCCGAGCCGACGACAGTGGCAGCATTGTCGGTGACATGTTCCTCAAGTTGCTCGACAATTGGTTGAGGTTGGACAGGCATTGAAGCCGAGTTACTGGTCAACACCAACCTTATGCAAGGCCTGGCAACAAGTTCTTGCACCATATGCTCGATGATTGGGTTCGGCAAGACATGATCCGGATCCATGATCCGGGCCATAGTCAAGTTGTCCAAAGACAGGCGAGGGCTCCTCGGCACATCTACCAGGGTCAGGCACTGCTCTTCGCTGGCTTCTGGACCATGTCAGCTGGTGTCTGCATGCTATGCTGGTATTCGACTTACCTGTTGTGGTGTTGGTCCCTACCACTTGGACATCATAAGGTTGTCGAGGTGTCTCGGCCTGTGTGACTGCCACAGACCCTTCACTGTGCTTTGCGAACTGAGCATGCGCAACGCGTCGGAGGATGTCTTCTGCAGAGGCCTTGCTCTTGCCCTGCTTCATGATGTGGGTAAAGAACACTCCAGGTCTTACGCCCCTGGTTGATCTTGTTGCACCTGTGCGAGGTGGAACGATCTGCGCGCGGGCGACGTCGCCTAGGCGCGGTCCCTGAATCGTCGGGATGCCATGACCGAGGCGCAACCTTGAAGGTAAGTTGCTGTCCTCGTCCCTTGTCATACCACTCCTGGTTGCGGCAACAGCAATGGCGACTTTCAGCTGCATGATTGTCAGTCCTGGTCATCAACAAGCATGTTGATGTCTTACAGGTGTTGAGGACTTGCCCATCTTGTTGAAGCTGGTTTTGAAGCCCATGTTGTTATGTCAAGGTGTGTTTCTTGTGTAAGTTGGGAGGTATTCAAAAGTGGTTGCTTTCGACTTTCTTCTCGCCGCTGTCGTAAGGTATCGAAGGGGAAGATGTTGATGATGCTTTTGAATTCAGTCAAAGACTCTTGATGATGATATGGAAGATCTTGCTGAATGTCTTGAGGGTGGTGGATGGAAGAAAGCAAAGCAAGAACACGCATTTGCGAGCGAGAAGATAAACATGTTGTGGTATCTTCACACGAGCACTGCGTCGTATTCGGAGTCACAGCCTTGTCGTCCAGCAACACTTTCACGAACGGGGCAGTGAAAGCTGTAATGCAGCGCAGCGTGGTTGCCTGGGTATGCCTTCACGGTCGCGCGAAAGTCGAGGGCGTGAATATCAGCCTCAACTCTCCTCGCATGAAGTGGTACAGCATGTGCAGAGAGGTCATCGAGAGCACTGCGCCGCGAAGGCTCGCATGATGAACTGCGGGAGCTTCATGTTGCCCAGCCTTGTGTCGATGAGGAAATACCATCAAGAAGATGGCAATTTCCCCAGAGGTAAGTCTGCGAGTCTGGCCATGGGAGTTCCCACAACCTGTTGGTGCTCCACCTCTTCGACCAGCCCATCTGATCCCCGCGATTCTGGTATTCCCAGAGAGTCCGTCCATTTCTAAGCATATATTCATATATATATATAGATATATCTCTCTCTCTTCGGACGAATATGTTACGCAAGACTCGCCACCGCATCTCAAGATAGGGGGAAGGGGGAAGGCACGAGGAAGTTGAACTTGGCCGCCCAGAATCGCACGTGAAGCCGGAGGAGAACGGCGGAGCCCGATTTCGCATTCAGGTCATGGCCTCCTAGATTCGTGGGATTTGGGCAAGAGGCTTCTGCCCTTCCTGCAGGGAAAAGGTTTTGACAGGATGTAGCATCGCAAGCAAAGGAAGATGAAGCGTGATCCGATGTTTCTTTCAGCCTATCTTTGTCCCGATACTCTTTGTTTCCAGCATATGTGACAGAAACCCCTCGGCCTACATCCGGCTCTACAAACAAAGAATTTTCCCCAAGGACAACTTGTTGAACGACTACCTACCATTCCACTTCCTCCACGCAAGATGTTTGATGCTATGGGGAAGATGATGAAGATTGTGGGCAAAGCTGTCGATCAGCACGCCTAACTCTCCGCCAGGAATCGAGCTTACAAGTCAACAAAATAGAATACGGGTCTCTGCAGAGTTCTATCAACTTCAATCTGTCTCCAATCAAAGACTCATTCCGCAAAATTACAGCGGAGGTAGAAAACAAAGCAGGTATTTGATGTTCCGACTATCTAAGAAACTCCTGGGCAATGGCAACTTGGCGGCCCTGGCTCTGCAACCCCTTGCTTCCGCAGCCTTGTATCAACCCATGCTGGCACTTCTAATAGGCTGATGATGCCTGGTACTAGTGATGGGGGACATGGTTGTAGTTTGTAGTTCGTAGTATACTCGTCAATATATATCTCTACCTAGACTAATGTGTATTTCTCCTGATACGTAATTGGCCCGTTCTGATATTTCAATGCTGTGGTTGTATTATAATTCCACCAAAAGTCCAAGTATTCGGGATATCCCGCCTTCGCCACACCACACGTCTCCACGAAGCTGGGGATCTGTCCCACGATGCCCGCGAATTCATCCAATGGACACGAGAAGCCAGGCCCGCTTTGACACTGTGGCCAAGGCACAACCGCCTCATTGAGCAGAGCCCGGACGAACACCCCAGGGCTGCTCATGGCTGTGGCGTTGCACGAGAGTCGTTCTAGAACAAGGTGAGCGCCCATGGGGACTATGTCGGCGGAGTTGTACGGATTTGGGAACGGGATTGAATTGTTTGGCAGCGGAGATGCAGGGACATTCAGACCTAGTGCTGCAAGCACGGGCGTGATGTACGCATCGTAAGCGAAGTTCCAGGACATGCTCAGATGCTCGGGACCAGCTTGCAAAAGGGCAAACGAGGCGTTGGCAAACACTTGGCCGACTGCAACCTGATAGGGATCGCCAGGTCTAGGGTGTTTTTGGTCAGTTACTTTGAGATTAGGAAACAGGATAAGAGGTTGAATTACCCTGCGCAGTAATAGTAGGACAAATCCTGGATGTACCCGAACGCAACCCATTCGTCGAGGGTGAATGCGTTGATCCAGGGCGAATATGGTCGAGCTTGAAGTTCAAAGGTGCCCACGCTCATAAGCGACATGATGTCGGAAGAGTTCAGGTTGAGGCCTGGGTTCTGGGAGTTGAACCTCTGTACGGCGACGTCAAACTGTGGCAGAGTCCTCTGCGCCAAAAAGCAGGCTACCAAGCCTGTGTCTGCGAGACAAGTCGGGGTAAGGCTGTCGGCGCCCTGGGTGTAATTTTCAGATATAATGTTCATTGCCGCGCTGGTCGAATAGTTGTAGCCGAAGAACCCCATGCCGAAATATCTTGCTGTTTCTACTACGCGTTCGTAGCCACCGGCGAAGATTGGGATGGTCGACTCTTCGTCCCATAGATGTCCGTACCGAGAACTGTACTCTGAGCCTCGCTTGAAGGCGTCTAGAAGACCTGAATATGGACCGGAGAAGGTCTCCTGCTCCAAGTGGGCTAGATTGGAGAGGTACGAGGTCCATCCGTTCAAGAAAGATAGATCGCCCTCCCATCTGGTGATCCCGGAAGCGTAGACTTTGGCCAGCGTGGCTTCGATCTTAGCAGCGGAATAAGAATCGGGATAGCGCTCGCCGTGGCGCATCAGCATGATGACCTGGTCGACTGGACATCCTTCAGGCGGGTTCGGGTCAATTCCGTAGCCCACGCGGTCGGTGTATGGTCCAATGCCGCCGGTACGCTTGAGGATGTTGTAAGATCATAGAATGTCTGGGAGAACTGTTTGTCACGGTAGGCGTTGTAAGGCCGAAATGCTGCAAATGCGCTCGAGGCAATAAGCCCTGTCGCCAGCAGCTTGATGAGGAACATGGTGTAGCAGGACAATCACTGGCGGTCGAGAGGATGCTGAGTTGTAGTCCAGAAAGCATGCTTCTCAGCTCGGGGACCTCTGTTCATATAGCCCAACCACGTCCATCTTAGGATTCCTTCCATGCCATGCTTGCCGAGCCTTAGAGTTTACGAAGGGTGTAGGTACTCGAGTACTAAAAGACGGGTATACATGTAGAGGTATGCAAGGTTGCTCGATGTAGGAAATCGAGCAGACAAGTGAACATCGAAGTGATGCCATTGGATCCCTACAGATTTTGTGAGCCATTAGCGTCAGTGTCCGGTCTTTGAATTGAGGACATGTCGTTGAATTTGGAGGACCGGAAATAGTGCGATCGGAGTGCGATGCCGAGGAAGCTCATTATCGGTTGTGCATTCGAAAGAGTTGCCGCAGGGATCGATATATAGACCAGACGAGACCGTACCTTATTACCTGGTGATACAGAGCGGGTAATGAAAATGTAATGACATCCGTGACGGCCTGTCAACCAGCGATCGTCTAACAAATTTTGCGCATACAGTAATCGCAAATACGGCATTACCACACAACCGAAGGTCATGGATGTCCTGGGTGGGACGCGAAGAATTCAGAAGCATGAATAGTCACTCAAGAAGTATTCTCGTCTGCATAGGCTGGACCCTGAGTACACGCTCAGGCAACGATGGGATAGAAGACAATGTTCCTCGGGCATGATCCATAGCATAATACATCCAATGGACAAGTTACACGGCCATTCCTGCACACAGCGTATCAGCAGTCCACCGTATAGCATCGCAGTACTGGTCGAGAAGTGCACCATGTGACCATCCACGATCCTCCATTCTGAGCACAACCACGTCGACATGGGATGCTGCTACAATGCGGCCGTGGAGGCTCCCTCACCCTCATTTCATCCAGCAGAACGCATTTCGTCACTTCCACATGGTGGCTCTACAGGCGATCGATAGCCTCAGTAGCTCCGGTGAGCCCTCGACAATGTGAGAGCATCGACCTGCCCATAGGCCTGAACCGACACATCAGGCTCGAGTATGTTTCTCTCAACAACGCTGAGCGTTCCTACTGATGATGAATATAGTGTCGTCTCTCCTTCGCTGCCAGTTGCTGGACACAATGGCCCACGGAATCTTCTCGTTCACCTTCCGCCTCGACCGTCGTTGAACAGTACCTCCCTCGATGTCCTACCGCAGCTACATGGTCAACTCCTACCGAACATATCTCTTGTGACAATCAACTATCGACTTGGACTCGGCTCCGACACCTCAACCGATGAAAAGACGTCTTTCCCCACCCCTGTCCACGACGTCTCAACTGCACTTGGTTACCTGACCTCCTCCACCTCGCCCTTCAATGAAGGCCATGATGAGCCGCCCCGGATCTGCCTCTTGGGAAGCCACATCGGCGGCGCCCTGGCAACCATGTTGGCATTGACGGAACCGAATGACATACATGCCTTGGCGGTACTTGAGCCGATGGTGGACTGGGTCAGCTTGGACGAAATCGTCGAACGACTGCACAGTGCCAGGTCCATACCACGGAAGAGACAGAAGCAGAAAGTCACGCGGTTAGGTGTCGACGATGCATCCGTGCTCGCAGCGGCGGAAGACCTAATCAAGTTACGAGCGAAGCTGTTCCCGACCCCATCGTCTTACTTCGACCCATTTGCGAGTCCACTGCTGTTTTTGCGGGCTCCAGGCAGAGACACACCATTGGGGCAAACAGTAGGCAATCAGTTGGTGAATGAGATGGGGTTAAACGACGGATTTGGCGATAGCGATGACCTTGGTCCGTACGATGACGACTGGCACCAAGGTGGTCCCTCGCGTTCCACATTAAACACTTCATTGTCATCTCCAGCTCCAACAGGCTCAGAGTTGCGATCCTCTTCTGAGATTAAAGTGACGAGTGACGGCGAAGCTACGCTCGTCTCAGATATCATTTCTCCACCGACATCAGCAACGCCTCAGTCCCAAACCCGGCGACGGAAAGTCCTTCAACGCTGGCCACCTGTTGGTCGTCCTGAATCTGTGATGCTCCCATATGTTAAGGTGTTTGTGCAAGCTGCTTCCAACCCTGCAGACATACCTGGTTCCGAGGCCGAAGCTGTGGACATGAACCTCGGACATGCTGCTTTGTTGCGGGCGCAAGGAACCGAGCTGGTCGAACTCATGCGCAGGGCATGCTTCTTCGGGCGAGAGAAAAGCTTTGCCGAGGAGAGGGTTCAGCTCTATGAAGAGTCTCCCCGTGCTGGAGAGCCTGACACCACTAGTGCTGAGGAATTCAAAGCCGCGGCAGATTTTGTCACCCACCCAAGCCTTCGCTTGCAATCGAAAGCAGTTAAATGGGCCGAGCAGATGCTGACTAGAGCATGAAATCCAGATAGCAGTACTGCAATATATCCCGTCCAGGCCGAAGTTAACCTGAAGAAGATGTTGCTTGAAAATGATCGCATTGTAATCTCCCAACCTCAATAGCCCTTTTCATAGATATTAAACCAATCGTCTCTGACGCCCGGGCTTGTCCAAATCTACACATTGCGGCATGCGTCCATCATTGGATTGCTGGCTCCTCTTCAAATGATTAGACAATCTATACCTCTGTAAACGCCATAACTCAACCGAACTCCTCCACACAACTTCAAGCAATGTTGCTGTTCTCCTTGTCAGACATTGCCCCATGTTCGTTGCCCTCCCCTCTGGACTTCTGCCGTTCAAGGTCGCTCTTTAGACTGTCTAGATACCTTGCAGCCTGCGCCGAGTACTTACACTTCCGCCTAATCACGGCACCATATTTGTAGAAGAAGATCGGAAACGGGAAACACGCCAGCGCAATGAACCCAGGCACCGCAGAGGCCCAGTGTGTTCCGAGATTCTCGTACATGTAGACTGTGAACAGAGGAAACACGGCACCGAAGATCGAGCGGAGAATCGAATTCGCAGCCATCACCGACGCGGCGTAGATTACATATGAGTCGATCCTGTTCAACACATCAGTTCTCACCCCCTGCACATATCTTTACGGAAGAACATGAGGCGTTGTGTGGCAATGAGATACTTACAGATAATTTGTGCACGACATGAAGATCAGGAGAAAGCCCGTCCCGAAAGGCACGCCGGCCAGGATTGGGACGATCCAATGCACGCTGGGAGATGTGGTCGCAGCGAACCAGGCGAGGCCGATGATGCCGAACACTCCCCCGACGATAACTGGTGGCAGTCGAGCTTCCGGCGGTGCAAAGCCTCCGGTCTCCCGGTGTAGGCGAGAATAGCGCCTGTTGTCAAAGATGATGAGGGCGATGCCGATGAATATTCCCGCCATTATCCCAAGGAAAGCGAGCCCGCCAACGCCTGCGTTCCAGCCATGGCCTTCTTGGAAGACGATGGGGAAGGCCGCGAAGCAGAGATACAGTGTCCCGTACACGACGGCCATGTAGATCTAGACGTGTTGTCAGTAAAAGGACGTCCAGCATTGGTTGACGTATGCAGTACACTTACCGAGAGTAGAAGCACGACGGGCTCGCGGAACAGAAGTGCCCAAGGCAGGACCAGTGCATTCCTGACCATCTTGTGGAAATCGGGGGGATGTTCTAGGTCAATCTTCGTCATGTAGATCTTTCCCGTGACTTTGCTCAGCAGCTTCCCTCGATTCCGTAGCAGCACCGGAGCGTAGGTTTCTGGAACGAAGATGATGCCGAGAACAGTCAGACACGCAGCATACAATGTGAGCAACCCGAATAACCAACGCCATCCGGCACCGTCGCTGAGGAATCCGCCGATGAAGGGGCCCAGTGTTGGGCCGAGAAAGGGGGCAGCGGAGAATACTGCCATAGCCACACCACGTTGCTCGGCTTCGAACATGTCGGCAACCTGCCCTCCTGGTACGACCATGACAGCCGAGCCGATTGTGCCAGCGAAGGCACGAAAGACAATAAGACTCTGGATGTTCTGTGCCGCTATGCACACCCCGGTCCAGAGCGTGTAGAATACCAGGGAGATCAGGAGGATGTTTCGACGTCCAAGCACCTCTGAGAGAGGAGCAAAGACTAGAGGCCCGGTGCCAAAACCGAGGACGAAAAAGGTGAGACCGAGCAGGAAGACTTCTTGGCTGCAATGGAAATCTGCCATGATGTGTTCGGTCGCACCGGTATAGGCTGAGGAGGCCAGGGAGACGCATAGGCACATGAAAGATATCAAGCTGCTGAGGACGACCTTGAACCGTAACGGATATGCCTTTGGATTTTCCTCATCAGAGTCCAGCCATTGAACGATATATGGGTCGATGGCCGTTCCACTTCCACGGTACCTGAACCCAATGATTCGGTTGAAGTCCGTTACACATGGCCGCCATAGTCTCTTCTTCAGCGTATATTGTGACCAATCTGTGACCGGTTCGACGGCTAGCTGCTGCGATGTCTGGCTCTGGCCGTCAGAGGTACAATTGACGCAACCTTTCTGGCCGCACTGTTCTTCCTCATTCGGGCTCAGAGCTCGCCTCGGTCTTGTTTCTGAGAGTGTTAGGGTCTCCGCTGGGGTCTCTGCTTCAAGCACCATGTCTGCAGGTCAATAATGCCATGAGGCAGAAGATACAAAGAACCATGTCGCAGGCTCCGGGCAGAGGCATATATATGCAAGGAAACACATCTCTTCATAAACGGAGAAGCCTAGCCCGCGGACCTTTGAGAATGTCATCAGGTATGCTATCATCTCGGCGTCGCGAGTCAAAACTTGGCCTTCTGCACCCGAATACGCCACAACAAACCCTTGGACGGGATGAAAGAGGGGAGGTGATGGGAGGTTTGTTGTTGTTGGTCGGAGGAATTCACTAGGAACTCTCGGAATACGCTGATACGCACATCATCGCCGGTTCGGCAGCTTCGGCCACATATCACTCCCGATCACCGTATCTTCTCTTCAACTGTTTCATACGGACGAGAAGGAGAACCCATCACTAAGACCCTCTGGACATGCAAGTGGAGCAGTGATCAGGCCGGTCGAGATTAATAATATTACTGCATGACGCGGCTGCTGTACTTTATGAATGATCCTTCAGTCGGATACTGACAATCTCGACCTTTTGAGCTGAAACACGAAGAGGTCCGCCATTCACGGGAGCCAAATGCCAGACGAGAAGAAAATCCCCGCCTGCAAGGAATGTAGGGAGAAGAAGCTGAGATGCGTGTTTGAACGGGTAGACTGCTGCCACAGGTAAGAGACTTGGGCTACGCAGGAAATGGGACGCCTTGTTCATTTTGCGTCCGACAGATGTGCAAGACTGGGAAAACAATGTCAGCTCCCCGAAGCCAAGCGGAGAGAGCGAAAAGCACGATGTGACTCATAGGCCCGACCATTTCGTATCCTGTTTGCTGACAACGCGAGCAGTACGAGGACGAGTAGAGCATCTGGAGAGCAGTTACTCTGAGATATTGACCCTCCTGAGACGGAATGTCCAGGCAGAGGGATCACCAGCTCCCAGCAGCTCACAGTATCAACCTTCCTCGATCACTGACAGACGGCCACAAGATACAGGAAGTACCTCACAACTGGGGGGCTCCCAATCAATCTTTCCCGCTGTTGTCGGTACTGAAATGCTGCCGTTGGAAGAATGCGACTCCCTCATCACCGCATATCGGCGAATGTCTCAGACCAACTACCCGTTCGTTATTCTTCCCGAGTCATGCCGCGCTGCGTCTTTGATCGAGGAACGACCCATGTTGGCCCAGGCCATCTTCATCGTCGCGTCTTGGAGGAACTCAGCACGTCAAGCCACGCTTCGAGCCAGTTTCCTCAGAGATTTGAGCGACAAATTTCTTATGCAGTCTGAGAGATCCCTGGACCTTCTGCAAGGCCTGATCGTGTACTTCGGCTGGTACGCCAGCTTCACTTCCTCACCCTCCAGTCATTGACACCTACCACAGGTGCCACTTCTACACGATCACCTTTCGGTCTGAAGGCTACAGACTGGCCACGATCCTTGTGACCATGGCAATTGAATTGGGGTAAGTCTTCCTGTCCCTGCAAAGCAGCACCTACTCCAGCCTCCCTTTTCTTTGAGTCCTTTAACTGAAGAGCCTTCTGACACCATCTAGCATAACGCAAAAGCCTCTGAGCGTAACTCAACATGACCTCCTCCTAAATTCCAGCTCCATCTATCCACAAACAAATGAGGCCACGTCTTCGAGGTTCTGGAGCTATGAAGCCCGGAGAGCCTTTATCGCTGCTCATGTTGTCTCAACTTTGTAAGAGGGACGACCTTTTCGCTCGTATCATGACAAGTTCTGACCATCGCAGTTGCTGTCTAGCTTTTCGAAGACACAGCTTATTGCCACACACGCAGTATGTGGAAGACTGTGCTTCGTCGCTGGCCAGTGACCCGCAATGCCCCTCCGACTCGACTCTCATCTACTGGGTCAAGAATATGGCCCTCGCGGAACTGGTCTTGATGACCTTCGATTCCGGCTCACGGGAACGGATCTGCGAATTGAACGACGACAAAATCCAACTACTCGTGAAAGTCCTGGTGCGGCAACTCGATGAATGGAGAGCTACCCTTCCGCCTCCTACATCAGTAAATGGTAAAGCCTTCTCTCAAAAGTGATCCCAGAGGGAAGCGGACTGACTTAAGTACAGGGCACCTTCACCGCGCATACCATTGTAGCCGGGCATACATCCACGAAGTCGGCCTGTACGGTCTCGTGCAAGGCCAGACGCCATCCGTCACTCGCATTTCTATCATCTACGAATGCTTCTCGGCGTCCATGAAGGATCTGTCGGACATCCTCGAGCTGTCCCTCGACGAAATGTCCGAATGGGGCGTTATGGACTGGCGTCGTAAGTACTTAGTATCCCTTGCCCGAAAAAGCCTGTCCCGTCCCTTCTTGAAGCATGATAGGTTTGGAATTTTTGGGCTTTTCGTTCCTGTCGACACTCCACCAGTTGGGCCATGTTTGACGAGAATTTTGTAGAACTCAACCTCGCGGTAATGCTCTGCACCAAGTCCTCCATCATTCTAGATTCGACATACTACGGCGGTGTCGAATCTTCTCAAAGAGCCTCCTGGCTGGCCAAATGTCTAGAAACTCTCTGCCACCGGGCGAAAGCACTACACGAGATGGCCATGGCCGGCGCCGGCGCCTCTCCGGGTCACCAAGAAAAAGACCACTTCTTGAAACGCATCGCCAATGAGTGGTCCAACGTCAAGATATATCATCAGAACTGCGTTCAGAGAAATCAACCCCAACCTCAGCCTCAAGAGCAAGCGCAAGTGACGATGCACCCCGGCCACCAATCGCAGCCGCAGCCGCAGCCGCCCTCATTGCAGCAGGGACTACTGCAATCCTCGGATTTTCCCTTCGACGTCGACGCCTTCAACGACATGTACTGGTTTGGTCTGGGAGATGGCGAGGCCTCCTCGACTTTCACCACGGGCTGGCAGATGTGATATTCGGTACAGTACGACACACTGCAGACCCCATCGTCCAAAGCCGACCGATATCGACCAAGCGTGCCTGGGAGCAGACTTCAAACGCAAGAGGGGAGTTGTGTGCGGCCGAGGGGAATCCAGTCTGCTCGCCAAATGCGTGTAAATTCGAGAAATTGACTTGCAAGCTCCATATCCGTCAAGGACGAGACCTGCGCGAAGCTGGATTGGAATGGGATGGAAATGGCACAAGCAGGGGATGATCAGAAACGGTACCCTATGCTCATGCTCATGGATCTTCATCGACCGAAGTACTATACACTCCCCTCAGGTACGGAGTACCTCCAATATACACACCGCAGCCAGGTCCCCGCCGTCCATTTCCATTCTATCTATCCAGCCATCCCATCCCATCCCATCCCATCCCATTCCATTCACCCCACGGCGTCCCTTGACATCAAGCCCGACAAACCGTTGAACCATCGAATCATTGACCCAACTTTTTTAATAAAAGGCATACCGTGCAATACGATTTTCATTTCCCCGGTCGTGAAACACATGCAGTCATCCAATAGAGCTCGATTCCCTGACCAGGGGAATCCTAGTGCAGTCCCATACTCGTCGTACACCAATCCACGAGTACACTATAAAGACAAACGGGCCCCACCATCTACCATTCCACGCGATGCAAGGCGATGCAAGACCACTGTAGTCCGCCATTTCTTTTGAATTACCGTTCTCGGCCGTACTGTGTTGTCCATGCGACGGACTCGTCCAGTGATGACAAAGCTCAACTATTATCACCATCTCCAGAGATGATATGGATTATACCCAGGCTCTTGCTGCCACCCCTTCCCCCGAAGTTTCGGGCAGTAGGTCACCGTTCCCGTCTATTCAAAAAGTTCAGACTCCCCGCCTGCGGCATACTCAGCAAACTATCCGCGCGTTGAAACACATCGCCCTTGAAGAATTGATCCCCGTACGCGCTTGCCGGCGTGCTCGGCACCTGCATGGACATCTGCATATCCATATTGGGCACAGTCGCTTGTGCGGCAGGACCCAGTGCTGCTGACAAGGGTGTGGCTGGTAAGGGCACCGAGACCGGACTTATTCCGTTGGTACCCGCGCCGTTCAAGCCGTTCGCTCCAGCGTAACCATTGACGTTGAATATCTGCTTCGGCATTGTCGCTGTGTTCGGTGTGTATGCTGAACTCGGTCCCGACCCTGGCACTGGCGGAACGGGAATCAATGGTGGTGGAAACGGGCTCTGAACGGGATGCTGTCCAATGGATGACGTTACGGTCTGGTATGCTGATGCATTTCCATTGACGCCAGTGCCGTTCACATGGGCGTAGCCACTTCCGTTCATCGTCGGACCAGACCGCTGACTTGTGATGGTATTGAACACACTGGGTGGCGGCATCGCCGCCGTCGCACTATCAGTGAGATATCGCCAGGGACTTGTCTCTATCAAGCGTCCTGCTTCTCGGCTTGCCTTCTGCACAGGTCGGAGCATGATGATCAACTCTTGCGACAGCAGCCGCAGAGATTTCGCTTCACGCATATCAGTCAGCAGCTCGATGAAACTCATCAGGAAATTCTTGCAGAGTGACCAAAGAGAGGGGTCATTCCGGCCCGTCCCAGGAGCACTTGGCTCTGTGAGTCGCATGTTGACGAGCCTGATTTGCAAGGCTTCACTGACGTCGATGCACAACTTGCATCGGTAGACAAGCGTCGACCACAGATCGTGCACTGACTTCGGCTGTCGAGTCTCCTCTGCCGCCTCGAGGCACCGTAGAAACTGTGCTTTGGCGATCGGGATAGTGTGCAATGCGGCGTCGTAAGCTCGAGAGAGTGCCAGGAAAATCTGTTCAAACGCAGCTTCTTCCTGCGCATCAGTCAAGCCTGTTGCAGGATTGACTCGAGCCGGATAGGAATTCGCCATCGGCAAGTTAAACACTTCTCCTGACCGAGGAGTACTTGCAACTGACGAAGGCAGGCCATTCATCATTGCAGCTCGTGAACTCGACCTCGATCTGAAACCGTTACTCATCAGAGTACCACTGCTCGAAAATGTTGATGATGTGCTTGTCAACGGTCCATTGTCGAGTGTGGTACCAGTCAAGTGAATCGGCGTTGGAAGAGAACCGGAACCTGCAAGTGACACAGGATTCGGGTGATATGCTGGGATGTTTTCTGCAACCGGATGTTGGATGGCCGTGTCACTGCGTAATCTCCCACCTTGTCTGGAAGGCAGATTTCTGTCTCGGGTAGGCGTGACTGCTCGTACCGGTTGTGATGGCGTGCTGAATTCCTCCGGGATTGTCTGGATCGGATGCGTATTTCCACTCGACAACTGCCTTCTATGACCAAAATGTTGTGTAACGTTCACGTCCGCCCCGAAGCTCTGGATTGCGTTCCGGACCTCAAGCATACTGCCGTATAGCAATAGCATCAAACTGCGGACGTAGCGTGCATCAGTTCCAGCAACAATTTTTTTGACATTATCCTGGAGCTGAGCTGTCACATGCGTGTAGGCCATGATACACGTCGCACAGTCGCGCCGGACGGTGGCTTCAACCATCTGAATGGCATCTTCATCCTCAATGTCGACCACGTCAGCTTGCTCCAGTGCTTCATTGAGCCGGTCGACATGGGTTGATGCATTGAAAAAGGTAAATTCTAGCGTACTTCTGCGGACATCTTTCCCTCTTATGGCAGCAATTAGGCCGGAAATTTGTGGATGGATTTGGTATAAAGCGTATAAGATGCCTTTGGCACCTTCAATGACAGGGCTCTTCCATTCGCTCTCGACTTTATGTTCCGGTAAGCTCGATAATCGTTTCACAAAAGCAAGCCTGTGCCGTCTGGGATCGCGAGGGCTATTGGGGCTTGACGAACTGGCACCACCAGGAGATGACAAAGCTCCATTGCGTTTGAGGACGGAACCATGACTGAAACCTCGAAGATGACTGTTTCTGTTTACTTTCAGCTCGTCAATGCTGTCCAAGTCTGGCTTTTCTCTTCTCAGCATGCCCATCCTCTTATGACGAGCTGCGGCTGATGCTTGCAGAACGCTCTCGCTGTTGCTCCGATTTCTTTCATTGTGGTTCTGGCTGATCAAGGGCGCGATGCCCGGGCGTCGCATTGCTATGGACTGCGTTCCAGAAGCCATCCGGTAATGTGAGCGTGTTGGCACTGGTGGTGGGTACGGTTGAAGTGGTGACGATTTGTTCCCTTCTGAAGCCGATTCAACAGTTCCAGTGCTCGGAATGACAGGAAATCTGCTGCTCAATGTGCGCTTGAGAGGCTTCGGTGTTTCCATAGGACTCTCATCGATTCGTAGCGAAGCTTCAACGTCTATCGGCACCAGCGTTGACGGATGTGCTTCCCTCAGATATCTCTTGATCTCGAGTGTAATTGCTGTCTCTCTTTCATGGTCGGTCATCTCTGAGAAAGATACTTCCGATTCTTTGGCCTCGACCACTCTTTTGAGTCTGAAGCGCAAAGGGTTCTCGGCAATCTTTAAGATTTGTAGTTTGGTCATCTCGCATAATTCCGTAGGTAGCTCTTCCACTCGATTGTGCACAACCGAAAACACCTTCAATGACTTGAGATTTTTGATGTCACTGGAGATTTTTCGCACCTTATTGCGACTGATATCCAGGATCTCCAGCTGGTGGAGCTTGTACACACCCCGAGGTATCTCCCGAAATACATTGGATCGAATATTGAGGTACCGTAGGTGGGAGCATTCAGAGAATCGTAGCGGGATGTGCCAGATCTGGTTATGAGACAAAGACAACCTTTCTACCTCGTCTTTGATGAGATCAACCACGCTCTCAGGCAATCTCGCAATATTGGAATGACCCAGGTCCAAGGTCAGCTTTGGCTTGACCACGTCCCTGACTGCTTCACTGCCTGCAAGCGCATGTTCAGTGTCTTGTCTCGCATCTGCTACCTTTCTCTTGAACAGATCAGTTGTGTCTTCGAGGGACAATAGGCTTAGCTCGTTCCTCGCGCTTTGTGCCACTGGTTTGTTCTCTTCTGGTCTGACAGGTGAATCGTCCAAAGACTGCAGCGCGTCTGCACGTTGCGCTTGCAATCTGGTGTCTTCACTTGCAGCCCGAGGGGGACGGTCGCTGTCGTCAAAACGAAATGGTCGACCGATTCGAGAGGCATCTTCGGGACGGAGCAGGACGCGGGAGTTGTTAGGCTGGGGCAGATCTGATTCCATGATATTGGCAAGATTGTCTCTGAAGCCTAGGCCAGAGACGTTGTCAATGGCCAGCATCGAGGATGAGGGTCACGCGGCGGATGGACCAGCGCATCCACAGCATACTCCAGCAAGCCTCTCAAGTCCAGTATGAAAGGTAGGGGTCTGGTTCTCGTTCAATCACGCTCCAGGCGTTGTCACACCATCGCATAAGTGTTTGCAACGAGCAACTTTGTCTCGATAGCCAGCTGGAAAGCAATTTGCAACGTATCGTGGGGTTGGCTCGTGCTCGGACGAGTACACGGTGTGGTGTTCGTGTTCTAGGGCGATTGACGCAATGGAGGACAAAGGTGCGTCAGGAGGACTGTGCTCGTTGATTAGAGTCTAGAGGCGTTTGTCGATTGATTGCATCGGAGGTTGTCGGCATGTAGAACGTCGGTGTTACTGTCTTCAGCAAAACGACAGGGAGCGGAGAGGCATATGATGACCGGATCACATTGATACAACCTCTACAGAGATCGTTGCTGCGGCGCTCAAACAGCACGACGCAGTTGGCGCGCTTCTCACGTGACTGTTCCTGCATGTGGTTGTAGCGGCGGAAGAGATTGATTAACTAACTAATCTAAGAGGGAAAGACTGGCCGCTATATGTAGTCACTCGTAACTGAGCGCAAGGAGGGGGAATACTAGGCTGGGCAAGTATCCCGACGCTAATATCACATCCTCCTCTACTTCCTTACGAGTACCTACGAGTCACGTATTCTTATTGTTCTACTAAGCCGTAGGGCTCGTAACGCATTATATCTTCTCTTTTTTTTTTCTATCTTATTTCTCTCTCTTTTATAATATATAAAAGGTATACCGTCTTCTCTATTATATTGTATTTTAGGGAGTAATAGTCTATTAAAGTTAAGAATGGCTCGTAACGATAGCGACGACGCCGCGCGAGGTATAGAAACCCTTAGACCCTAGTCCTTTCGTAAGGTTTAGAAGTTCTTATTTTAGTTTTTTTATAGTTTCCTTAATTTACGCTATTTATAACTAATAAATTTAATACGCGATAGTAACTTAAGTCGTTACGTATTCTTACGACTAGAAAAGAGTAGATATATCTTATAAAAGAGATAGGAATAAGTAGTAATTCTTTAAGTTAGCCTTTAATATTCTATCGACTAGTTAAATATTATAGATATCTCTATATCCCGTAGAGAGTATCCCTTCTAGCTTAATACGCGTAGATTCGCGTAGGTTCTACGGAGTTCGAACTCTATCGTCGTTAATCTTAGACCCTTTTTATATATCTCTATAACTATACTAGTATAGTTTATTAATTAGACTCGCTAGATTCTAACTAATAATTAATTATTACGCTCGTCCCCTTATATTACACTATAATTTTAAGAAGATATACTAATTTATAGTTATTATAGATTGTTTCGAGAGCTTTCGCTTCGAATCGATAAGATTCTTTCTTTAATCTTTAATTGATACTTTCGTAGTAATCTATAATAATTTATAATAGCTAGTAATAATATACAATATAATATATTAACTAACTTTACTATTATCGTAACCTTATATCGCTTAGGTTAGTTAGTTATTAACTATCCTAATATATAACTTATCGTATTTCAATATATCCCCGATTAGACTTAATTCGTAATTAATTGTAAGTAAACTTCTTTTCTTTAGTTCGAAATTGTTTATTAATGTTTATAATAGATCGTACTAATTATACTAAGATATACTATATATAATTAATCGAAATCGTTAATAATCCTAGTAAGTTTCCTCTTTATTCCTTACGTATCTATTAGTAACTAATAGTAATAGGCTATATTTAGTGTAGAAATATATAGGGTCCCTTTTTCTCTTATTGTTTAATCGCCGGTAAATTTAATAGTAGTAAGTACTTTATATTTCTTTATAACTATTCGTAACCGTACGAAATAGCTTATATATATTGTTACTAGGGCTAGTATATAGTTAACTACTCTCTTAACTAAAGTAAGTACTATCTATTTCGCTTCGTTATATATATTAACGTATTAGAACGCTACAATACTACTAAACCGCGTAAACGTACTAAGTAAGTTTCCGTTAGTTTTTATATTAATTCGTAACTAATAGTAATTATAGAAAAGAGTGTAAAGATAAGGGTAAAGGTAAATCGTAAGTACTTATAATTTATATAAAACCTTTCGTAACTAATCGTAATAGTACGTCGACCAACGTAATTAATAACTACTTCTCGTCTATATTAGTAACGGCCTAAAAAGGTTCGTAAGGGTCTATAATCGCGCGTATTTATTTGTTACTGTAGGGTAATCTCTTTCTTTTTTAGAAAGAGTGCGTATCTATACGAAATACGGCGTAATAGATAGTAATAAAATAATTATATAAGATTTTCGTTTATAAGATATTATAAGGTTCAATAATAATTATAGTTCGTACTTTTTTTACTCTCTATCCTTTAATCTTTTCTTTATAGATTAAGGTCGTAGTTTATAACGAGTTATATCTCGTTAGTATTAAGTAATACTTACTACTAATTTCTTTTATTATATTAGAATAGACGTCGCTCTTTTAACGCCCTCTATACTATTAATTATAATAATAGATCTTAAATCGAAAGAGTTCGTAACTAAAGGATTATAATAATTAGATTTAATATTCTCTACTAAGACCTTAAGAGAAGATTTAGGTGTTAGTTCTCTTTCTTTTAATATAGTTTTATTTTCCTAATTTTAATTAATTTTAATTATATCTAACTATAAGGACTAGAACTATAAGGTTAGAATCTCCTATTTATTTTAGTTTTTCTTCTTTATTTAATCTAAATATACTTCTAAACGTTTATCTAGATTAAAAGAAATAGTAGCTAACTCGTCGTAAGAAGGAGTATTATTTTACTTCTTTTTAAAGAGTTTAGCTACTTTTAAACTAATAGTATCGATTTAAATAACTTATTTATATAACCTTCCCTAGATTTTTAAAGAATTCTAGAGCGTTTTAACTCGATCCTCTTATAATTTAGTTAGAATAAGTCTTTAGCCGTTGATTAATATCCTAAGTTCATTATCTTTTGGGTTGGCTAGATAGTAAGTTCCTAACGGTATAGTCTTTACTATCTAATACGGATCGAACTAGCGTTTTTCGAATTTATTGCGTTCTTCGGCTCTAACTAGGACTTATTGATTAATAGGAAGAGAACTCTCTTTAACGAGTTCCTTTCGAACCTTACTAGCTACGATAGCGCGATCGATTAAGCGTCGATTCGCTTATATACGAGCGTATTGTAGTATCTCGATTCTTTGTAAGGTTATCTTCTAATCTTTCGAGATATCTAATTATCGAGGATTATTATTGTCGATAGAAAGTCTTAATTAATAGCTAAATAAGAGGTAATACGAGGATTTCTTAGTTGTTACGTAGATTTTAATTTATATGGTAAATAAGGCTTAAGGTAGATATTAGTTCTATAGAATAGTGGGTTAGTTTATAAGGAGACGTATTAACATTATCCCTAGGAATTCGTTAAAGTTCTCGATCTTTCCGTTTATTCGCGGATAGTATAGTATCGTTACGCGATATCTTATCTTTAATAGCGAGATATAATAGATTATTACCTCTCTTGTTAGATTTTATTCGTTATTTAAAAGAATCTTACGTAGTGCTCTATAAATTATCGTAATATAATTATAGAGGAATTTTGTAATTATTTTGGCTTTAGTATCGAGTATAGCGAGAGCTACTGACTATTTAGTAAGATATTCGATTGTTGTAATAATTTAACGGTTATCTACGAGTGTTTTTGGTAGGATATCGATTAGATTAATCGCTTATCTATCGAAGATTTATAGTGTTTTTTTATTGAGGGTTTATAGTTATTCTCTCTCTTATCTTAGACGGCTACGTTAAGAAACCTAATATTATAGGTAACTATGTATAAAGGTACGTATATCTTCTTGAAGAGAGGACTACTATCCTCGTCTCTAGATAATATTAAGAATACTAGGGTATTCGAGATATCTATATTCGATATATATTTATTCGAGGAAGTTCGTACGAAAAGGTATTAGAATATAAGGACTTTGGATATTGTTCTTAATACGATAGAGTATATTATCTTTAATAGTAAATAAGAATCGATCTTCGTATAGTTTCGAGCGGATATATATAGGTAGCTGTTATCCTTTCTAAAGTAATTTAATTATTGCTTTAGCCTATTTATTCTCTTTAAGGCTTTATAACGTAGTGAATTAAGCTATAAGGTTTTACGATCCTTATTCTATAAGATTAGGATATTGACTAATAGTATCTAGAGTAACTATTAAAGAATCTTTCTAATAATAAATCTTTAAGTTATATTTAGAGAAATTAATAATTTAACGAACGAATTGTTTCGTAGGGTTTTGTATTATTTAGAGATATTTTAAACTTTCGTAATCTATAAAGATTATAATCGAATAGTTGTTTTTAATATAAATACGCTATATATTTAAGGCGTATTTAATTGTAAGTAATTCTTTTTTATGAATAGGATAATTAATTTTTATGGGCGTAAGCTTCTATTCTTTGTAAGTAATGGGATAAAGTTATTTTAAGTTATAATTCTCTTAAAGTAAGACTCTACTAATAGTCTATTTACTAGTATCTATCTTAATGAAAAATGGTTATATTATATTTAGCTATATTAAGATAAGGGTATTCGTAAGGGCTTATTTTAAGGATTAAAAAGTATTCTTTGTCGTAGTATTTTATTTAATTTTCTGAAATTTACGTTTTCTTTCTTTAATATTCGCTTTCTATAAAAGTAGAAATAATAAGACGTAAGTATATATAAAACTCTATATATATCTACAATAGTATAAAGCTAGACTAAAGAATTGTCGAAGTTTATATACGTTAGTTAGAATTGGCTATTAAAGAATGATATCGACTTTTATCGTAAGAGGTTAGATCTATTTGTTTTTAATCGTATAGTTATAGAATTTAAGTTCTTTTATAAGAAATTAATACTTTAAGGGTTTAACGTATAAGGAATATATTTTAAGTATCTCGAAGATATTCGTAAGATATCGTAAATACTTAGGGAGATTATTAGAGTAGATAAGTATATTATTAAGATATATAATTACGAATTTTACGATATATTCTCGTAGAATATAGTTTATTAACGCCTAAAATATAGCTAGTGTATTGTAGAGCCTAAATAGTATAGTATAGTATTCGAACTTTCCTTCTTATATATTAAATATAGTCTTCTTACGACTATTAGAATATATTTAAATTTAGTAGTATCTTTATATAAGATCTAGTTTCGATAGAAATTTAATATTCTCGATAAGATTAAGATATTTCTAAATTCGAGATAGAGAATAACTATTTTTAATCGTAATAGCATTTAACGTTTAGTAATTAATATATATCCTCTATTTATCTCTTAGTTTTTTAATAAATAGGATAGGGAATCTCTATAGAGACGTAAACTCGCGAATAATGCTTTATTATAATATCTATATAATCTATCGACTTTACTCCGCGATATATATTAAGGAGAGAGGATATACATTAATATTAATCGGCGCGAAATTACTCGTAAAGATACAGTGATCGTCTTAACGTATAGAGAAAAGGATAGTAGAAAGTTCTTCCTTAAAAATCCTCTTAAATTGTTTTAAAAGGGTATATAATAGTTTATTTTAGTCTATAATCGCTAGCTAAACTAGCTCTCTAGGAGTAGTAGAAAAATCTTAACGAGGATACAATCCTTTAATATACCCTAGAAAGAGATTAGTTATCTTCTTTCCGAGAGCCCTAAGAGTTATATAAAGATTTAATAGCTAGATAGTATTCGTATTAGTACGAATTAAGTTAGATAGATTTACGTTAATAGGAGAAAGTATATAGAGTATTTTAGATTTATTATAGACCTAAATTCTTATTTATTACTAATTAATTTTAAGATTAGTAATTTATAACTATTCGAAACTAAGAATTAAATTATACCCTAGAATTTTAAGTATATAGATCGTTAGATCTATAGAATACTAATAGATATAGAGTATAAAGCGAGCTCTTCCTAGACTAGCGACGTATATATTACTAGCGACTTAAACCTAATATAGTAAAGAGTCGATTACAATCTCTATCTATAGTTTACGAGCAATATTAGTCGAAAAGTACTACTCTATAGCCCTCGAGTTAACTAGGACTCGTATAGATACGAAAGTTTAAGTTATACTCGTAATGCTTCGTAACTAATAGATAGCGATATTCTATAGATATATCTTAAGGGTATAGATTTATTCTACTTTACGTAATTAATTGAATTAGTTAGAATTCTTTTGATTTTGCTGTTAGATTATTAATTTAGTCGTTTATAGTACTTCTTTATCTATCTATAATTTCCCTTAATCGTTATAAGGTCTCGTAATAGTACGTAACTTTCTAGAACTCTTTAGTTTCCCTTTATTTTTTTATTGTGGTTGAAACTTTCTAACCTCTTTACTTTACTAGGGTTATCGTATACTAAAATCTTCTTAGCCTCGATAGGGCGGACCTTTACAAGTGATTAATATTGATTTCGTATAACTACGGAACTAATGGTTAATAAAGCTATATCTAAAGTAAGTAGTATTCCTTTAATACTAGTCCCGTTATTCTTTTATATCTTTACTAGATATCGCGGTAGTATACACTATAGTAAAATATATTAGCTTTCGTATATTATTTTAACGAGATATTCTAGAGAGAGTAAGGATACGATCTATCCTACGTTATCTTACTCTTTTACGGATATATACTTTAGTAGTCTTAATCTATTATTATCGATTAATATACTTAATATATTTAAATAAAGCTAGATTATTTTATTTAGAGTATTCTATTATTTCTATTTAGATAGTATTATTAAGGCTAATACGAAAATACTTCTTAATTTTTAATGCGGCCTTTTCTAATTAAATACGAGCTATAAGGTAAATTAGATTTTAAGTATATTCTATAGTAGAGCGGTCGCCCTAGATATATATATACTACTAGTTATATAGTTGGGATTACTTATTATTATCCTTAAAGATCTTATATAACTAAGTAAGGTAGTTAGTAATAGTAAGTATAGAATCGTAAGTTAATGTATATATTTAGTGTATATATTCTATAAGATAGGTAGACGCTATTTTTATTTTCTTATATTTATTTATCTAGTATCCTCGTCGATCGTAAAAGTTAATTTAGTTTATAATATTTTGTATATAGTTATTAAGTTAACTATTACTACGGTCGCTATTATACGCGTATAGTTCGTGTATCTTTAGCTCTTACGAAATAGAAGTATTATCTATAACGCTATAATATTATTCGCTAATATATATATATATTCGTAATATTTCGTTAAGTTATCTAATAGTAATACTATTAGACTAAATAAAGAGCGAAATACTATATAATATACTAAGAGAATTAGTATTAATAAGTATAGAGTTCTTATCTTAGTTACTAGGGTTACTACCACTATTATTATTAATATAGCTAACCTTTAGAGAAGAAGAAAAGTTTATTCTATAATAGAAGAATCTAGAAGAAAGAAGAGTTAAGGTATATTCGTCTATAATAACGAGGATCTAGTAAACCCCCCTTTATTTTGTTCTCTTCTTTTTTCCCTAATATCCTTATTAGCTAAAAAGTCTTTTTTTCTACGAGACTTTAGCTTCTTCGCGTCGTTATATCTAATTATCGTATATTTTAGGGGTTTTAGGGCCTTAAAGTCTACCTTACTAACTCTTTCTTCTCTTTTCGAAAACTAAATATACGTAATTATAGTATAATACGAGTAGTTTTATTACTACTCTACTAATCTCTTTAGTAAAAATCCCTTACGTTAAGATATTAGAATTAAGGTCGTTATTGTTATTAAAGTCGTCGTCGAGGGCTATCGTCGATATAGAGAACAATAAAGAATCGAAGTAGTTAGAATCGTTGCGGGTGTATAAGACCCGCTAACTACTCTTACAAGAGAATACGGTCGCTCTTGTAAGTAGGTTCGTTGCTATCACCTATAGTTGTAGCGGCGGAAGAGATTGATTAACTAACTAATCTAAGAGGGAAAGACTGGCCGCTATATGTAGTTACTCGTAACTAAGCGTAAGGAGGGGGAATACTAGGCTGGGCAAGTATCCCGACGCTAATATTATATATATGACACTTATCTTAGCCGGCCGTTAAAAGCGTTGAAGCGACAAAGATCATGCTTCTTGCAGTCAAGCTACAGTATCTCGATCTGCACGTAGTTGTCAATCTTGATTCTTCAGGTCTGCTCGTGTCAACAATGCCACGATAAAGTAGGATATTTAGCCACACTCTTGCTGACTTCCATCCTCCATCAACCTGCTCTCCGTTCCGTACCCATGCAACCCTCCGTCCAAGATCCATTGCTCGTTATCCTCGTTATCATCCTGTACTCTTCGCCACACACTCTTCCTGTCTGTCTCGCGCGCCTTGCCGTTGTTGACTCCTTCAGGCGCTTTCCACAGTGGCCGGATCAGCTTCCCACTTACGAGAAGAGGATTTTTGCTGAAAGCACCTTTCCCTCCGACACTCAAGTGCTGGTCTATACCTTCAATCTCCTCGTCGTCATCGGCCTCAGGCTCGTTCGCCTGGTCGGAAGACGCCGCTACCTTCTGACGTTCATACGTCTTGACCAGTTTGCCGTTCTTGATGCTCATAGACATGACTGTCTTCTTCTGCTCCCACTCCGGGCGATTAGCTTCCTCCATCTCCCGTAGGTATTGCTGCTGTTTCTTCAACGCGGCAGCACGTTGCACTGGACTCATCCACTGCGTAGCACCTGGAACCAAAGTCATATCGTAGTCGGAAGCTTCATCATGGACTCTGGTACGTTGGGCATTTTCCCGTTGAAATGCCAGTAACTTGTCTCGGTGTGCTCTTGCTCGTGCTGCAGCCGATGAAGATTCGTCTCCAGAAAGTGCCTCAGGTGTCGATCCGCCAAACATAGGTGTACCTCTGCCCGATTGAGCCTGACCGACGTTGTGAACAGCCATCTTTTCGATCCCACGCTCTTCCTTTAATGCTTTGATCATGCTATCGACCTGTTCCTTGGTCAAGATTGGTGCATCGCAGAACGAGCACGGCTGGAGTCCTTCTAGAGCACAGATAATCTTTCCGCAATTTAGACAATTGGGCGCAGTCTCAAAGAGTGGATGTATCGAAGCATTGCACGTACACTTTCTCCTCTGGTTCGATAGGGTGGGATTCGTAGACACTTCTAAGGCTGCAATTGCAGCAGTCAAATCGGCCACATTTGCTGTTGTGGTGGTGGTTGCCGTTGCTCTCTGGGGTGTCGATGTTCCGGATTGAGGTTGTGAATGTGACGCATATGCTGCTTTCTTCGACTGCTTCGAACGGACATTCGCAAAACCGAAATCAGAAATCAAATTACCAGAGGCAGAAGGTGGCAGTTTTGGTGTCTTTTTGGCCGGAGAGTTATCGCTTGACGACGCAGACGCCACGATATTAGAAGTCTGAGGCACTTGATGTGCATCAGGGGTCTGCGACCGTGGAGGCGCAGTTTGCTCTCTGGACATAGGTCGTTGACCTGCTGGGCGATAATCGTCTATGTCATATTGCTTGGTGTATCCGCCGGACACATTACCATAGCCTTCAGGAAGTCGTCCAGGGCCAGCAGAATGCAGCGGAGGTTTTGGCTTCCTGGTCGCGCGCTTCTTCTGGCCAGGGAAGCCATCTTCATCTGCTGTCGCTGTTGAACGGTGCTCTTGGGACTTCCGATCATGTGTCACGTTTCGTCTTCGGGCATTGAAAGACGAAATGAATTCCAAAGCTTGCGGAGAGTCACCCAGCAGATTTTTCAGATGATCAGCGCTTGCTTCTTTCGAAAGAGTCGAGGTGTATGTGACAACTTCCTTGAGCGACTCATCGTCGATGGGAAGCAATCGTTGAAGTCGTGGCAGCGCCCAGATTTGCAAATCGCCACTCATTTCTGACCAGGGCCAGGCCGATAATGTTGTCTCAACTTCGATGGCGTCTTATGGACTGACCTGTGACGATCTTCCAATGATTTTTGATGCAAAGAACGCTGCTGTGTCAATGCAAAGTGTTTTCTAAGGTGTCGTGAAGGTGCAGAGGCGAAGTGACGAATATATTATTAAAATTGGAATCTTAGGTTCATATCACCCACCATCACCACACGACTTCACAATTTCACGAGTCACAAATCTTCGTACCGCTCGATGAGCACGTTAAAAATGTTTTGTTGTTTTGCCTGAAGTCCTGCTAGTGATGCAAATACATTTATCGTCGTCGTTCGTCAATAAAGACGCTACTACAATGGTACAGCAGAGTCGTGAGCCACCAAGGCAATGAGAGCAGCTCCTAAACCACTTCCATCCTTTGCCAAACCAATTCTTATGCGCTTCTCATCTTCACCAAGGCCCTCAATTTCTCTAAAGGCTTCGCGGATATACTCCTCGAAGCCCGGATAGTACTCCACCAAGCTGCCATCCACACCAACATCGACAATTTCGTCTTCTTGGAGTTTGTTGGTTGAGATGATCACGCCAGCAAGAGCAACTGCGCTCAGTCTGGCTGCTCGCTTCCCGATCGCATGTACGAGCATCTTGACAGCTACACAATCCTCGGTAGACGCTGCCTCAATCTTGAGCTCTCGCTCTAAAGTTTGCTTGGTGATGCGCAGATGGTCGGATTGGTCTTCTTCCACGATCGACAAGAATGAGGTGTCGATGCCCCATTGCTTAAACAAGGCACTGTCTTCACCGACGGTGGTTGTACTTCTAATATCATTGTCATGCGAGGTCTTGTCCTTGAAAAGTGCAATGCGCGCATCGGGATGTTGATGTAGGCTCAATAGTGCCCGTCTCAGAATCTCACCCAAGAACATGCCTGAGACCCGCTTCTCGAACATCTGAATGCCTGGGTTCACGGACTCCCGATCCAGGTCAACGTCGAATGGAGTGTTAGGCAGCACTCTCAGCCCATTGTCAAAGCTGCCCCATTCTGAATTGATGACCATGAGGCCGGTAGATTTGTCGTAATTAGCGCCGCCTCCAGCTTCGTCAATAGCCTTCATTTTCTTGACCCTTTCGAGTTTCTCGACGTATGCGCCGTTCGTGCCCGTACCGAAGATAGCACCGATCAAGGTCTTTGTCTTGCCTGGAGACGTGTATGATCTAGCCATCAACGTTCCCACCGTATCATTGACCAGCGCTGCGACTCGGACCGGCAGCTTCAAGGCGTCTATCTCTTTTTGTAGGAGTTCGCAAACGTCCATGCCAATAGCTTCAGGAATGTCGAATCCTTTGGTCCACCGCATGAGCTTCCCCTTGTTTATGCCTATTTGGTTGACGGGGAAGCTAAATGTAAAACCGAGGTCAAAGAACTCTTCTTCCACAGGGTCGTTTCGATGCTTCTCGAAGTGATTTTCATGATGTGCTTTGAGGAACGCTTCTATTTGTTTGGCAAGGAAATGGAAGAGGTCGTGGGCGGATTTGGCTTCCATCAGCGATCGAGGCACCGCCACTTTCGACTGCTGTAACGAGAACGATTGATTTCCGTGCAGTGTGATCGAACATACTCGAAAGTTGGTTCCACCTAGATCGACCGCCAGATAGACACCCTAATTACTGTCAGTCGAATCGCCAGGGAGCTTGGTGTCCTACCTTTTCTGTGCCATTGGGCACTGAGGTAACATAGGTCGGGATCTGGCTCAACGTAGCGCCCTCTTTCTCGAGGCCTTCCTCCATCTCCCGAATGAACTCCTTGACGCCCTTGTTCACATCTTCGGCGGTATACTCAAACTGCGCGACCATACGCTTGGTCTCGGCCTCGAGAGCCATGTTTGTCAAGGCGTGTGTAACCGGCAGTTCAGCAGAGAACAAGGATTTTGGCTTGCACTGTGTGCCAGGTTCTAGTTGTTCAAAGTACGCCTCTTGTCTGTACACACTTTCACCAAAGGGACTGAGAGTATTTCCAGAACGAGGAGGAGGCTTTTGTAGAGGGCGTGGGCGGACGTCGCGTGATGTGAAGAATTGAACACCAAGAAGTAACAGTAGGACCAGGCCGGAGGCAAGGTAAAGGAGGGGAATGCGCGATTTGGACGACAGCTTGACTCTCGTTCGGTATTGTCCCGTTCCAGGAATCCAACTGAGGAAACTCTGCCAGGCAGTGTCCTGGCGCAGTGTGTTATTGCTATGAGAGGACTGACGGGACGCCAGCTTTGCTGCTGTGGCCCCGAGGCCTATATGATGGAGATGGTGAGGGGCTTTAGAGAGGGATTCAAGGATATCGAAGAGGGGCACAGCCGTCAGTGGCCAAGGAGAGGCAAGGATAGGGTAGCATATGCGGATATGGTTCGTGGATGCAAGGTAACGAGTACGAGGAAACGCGGAGGATATGATGATGTAGTAGCATCGAATGAAGTCAGTCCAGAGCAGAGTGACCTCGGTGGCTTGAAAATTTTACCATTCCTTGAGCAATCGCTAAGCAGCGTGGCAGCCCACAGGCACCCAACAGGTTTCCGGGCGGTAGAAAGGCAAGAAAGATGGGCTCGCAAGGCTGGGCAGACATGAGATCCAGGCTCGCTAGGCGTCACCAGCATCAGGAAGCGGAGTTGTGTCCTCGTCGAATTCGATTCTATCACCCACTGCACCCACAACATCATGCTGAAGCGGATGCTCCTTCACACGGACCAGGTTGTGATGCACAATTGATACATTACCGGTACAGCGACTTCCTTACTTTCATCCATTTTCCAGATATTTTCGAATGGTGTGCGATATCGACACCATATCTGCTTTCTCACAGACCCAATTCCCTGCCAATATTATAACGCCTGCGTGCATGACGAGATGCATGATATCTCCCAAACGCCGTCAAAGTGCTCATAGCAGCTCAATCAAAAGAGCATTTCGTTCGAATCATCTTCCAATGCTTCCCTGTCCCTCATCTCATAATCATTCAGTGTCTTCCTCCTCTTGACTTCCATTGGCCGACCATTCAGGTTGGTCATATCAAGCTCACCCATATCTGATGTATGATGTCGACCACCCCAAGAAAACCGCTTCATGATACTCCCTCGACGCTGTGGCTTTGGATCGGAATTCGATCGTCCAATATACGAGGACGACGATGCGGATGATGACGATGAACGAGTAGTGGAGAAATATGACCGTCTATCTGATGGTGTCATCATCGGAGTATTGTGCTTTTCTCGAGGTGCTAAGTGGTTGACCACGGCATCATAGAGCATCGGGTCCTCGTTGCTGCTAGAACTGATATCACTCGGATCAAGATCACACCCTTGGCCAAACAGCTTCATATCTGGGTCTGTTTGGTACATCATTTTCATGTCGAGCACATCTTCTTCTCCCCAAGGAGCGACACTGGCACGTCTCTTCCACATGTGCCACAACAGATGGTCGTTACCTAGCACGTCGGCCAACGAGGTATTTGATGGGCTCTGCTTGAGGTCTCCAGACATGGATACTGGACAGTACTCAGAAAGGATGTTCTCGCTCGGGTTGTGTCTTAGGTCGTGATAAACTTGAAGTAGATCTGTGTCGCAGAGGTTGTTGGGATAGGATTTTGCGCGGGCTGCTTGGGATAATGTATGTGGACGAGGGAGCCACTCCTCCTTCCCAAGTGACAGGGCATCCAGTTTATGTTCTGACCAACCGGCATGGTCTTTTCCATACGGCCCAAGCCCTTTCCCACCATGGTCATGGTCAACTTCCTCCACCAAGTAATCTCGTCGCTCATGCTGCCTCAGCGGATGCGTGCGGATGACATTCTGAGTAAGCCAGCTCGACTCACCAATAACGTTTGAGTCCTCGATTATACGCCTTCCTTCCATAGGTCCATTCAGAAGCAAGAGCATTGACACATCACTTATTTGTGATGGACTAGCTGCGTGGCTCCTATATTGGTGGTGTGGTACAGCTGAGTCGCCGGTTCCAAAGGACGAGTTCTTGATATCAACTGGTTCATGCCCGTCGGAACCACCATCCACGTTGCAGAGGTCAGATATTGTTGGACTCTGGCGGCCATTGACACCTCCTGATGTGATTTTGTGGGTATATCTTGTACAGTATTTGGCCTGTTGATTGAAGTCCGCATCGAAGTCAAATAGATCCTCGTTGTCAACGTCTCCATAGGCCAGATCCTCCCCTTGAGCGGGATTAACACGATTGTTGGATATCCTTCTATCTTCCAACGTCGCCGTGAGACATGCAATGTCTTTGTGTCTTGCTCTTTTGGTAGAATCATGGCCCTTCCTGGAGGACCCGGACCACAAAGGCTGCAGTCTGCGGGCACATTGGGGATCTCGAACGCCATTGGCAACAGTCCTCCAAAGGTTCTCCTCCAAGTGTGGCCCAGTGCTGCCATGTCCATTGAGCATTGACCGTTGGGAGAAAGAAGCTAGCCATTTGGAAACAGCTGGAATGTATCGAGACTGCTCGTCAAATCTTTGGGCATATTCCCGAGCAAAATTGGAAGGGCAGACGTCAGACAATGAAATCAATTCCGGCTCAGTGAGACTTTTGATCCCTGGTGGAGTTTTAGTCGGTCGAGATGCTATACTGCTGCGGACTCCAATATCGAGTAATGCTAGGAAGGCTTCTTCCTCCAATAGCAGCATCTTTCGAGGCTTCTGCTTTAGGCGGACTTCACCCAGTGATGTTGCAAGCGCGTGCATGCCATTTTGGCTCTCAGCTTTATGAACAAGTCTGCGTTGCTGGCCAACTTCAAGGTCAGTAGGCAATGGGAATTCTTCTGCCGTGTCAATGGAGGGCGATAAAGGCGTTTTAAAACACTGGTGGTCGTCTCTGACACCGACCGCGTGATCCTTGATCCTGGGACCAACATTGGTATCGTCCGCGCTCATGAAATGCAGATGCAAACGGACAAGTTGAACAGATATTGACGAGATACCTTCAGGACAGAGAGCAGATGGGCCGTGATCAGCGACCGACTGAATGCATGTCAATGAGCCACCTAACAGCAAGCGGATCGTCCTACCTTCAAGGAGAACTCCATATCCATGATCCTCTCGGAGGCGGTAACCTGTTCACCATCGAGTTGCACATGCGAAACCTCGTATCCGAGCTGTTTCCACAGCTAATTTGGTCAGGCTCAATCCAGTAATCTTTCTCGCGGCTTACCTCAGTTTCTGCAATGTGATCTGCAAGGAGAGAACATTTGCTAGTGATTAGTCTGGGATCGAGATCCTCTGAGAAAGAAGCGCGAAGCAGCAAAGGAAGATTTCTAGATCGCGGAAACCATGAGAGCAAAGCATCTTGCAAAGAAAAAGAGCCCAGAGGAGCATCTGGCCACTCGCTATTGGATGAAATTTGTATCGTAGTCCTGGTATGGAGGTGAATTTTAGAACGGCGATGAACAAATAGTCTCTTGCCTGCCTCGACATTGTGCATTTTGAGCTTGATCATCACCAGTTCATGCAGTGGCCCCAAGGGATGAGGAAGACGTGAAAGATGTCGCCGTGTTTACCGCATCACGAAATTACTCTACTCGTCCACCCGGAATGTTCCCGTGACTGTCTCCATCCTGCGATCAGATCTGCGCATCTCAGTTGCAGATGTCAACTTTTTTCGCCGACAGTCGGGTACAGATTATGTTCTGCTCGAGTGAGTCATTGGCAGACTGATTGGTATACTATCAGTTTACTTCATTGTCTGCAGGATGGAACAGCAATAGTCGGTCCCCTTTAATCGAATGCACCTCTGGCCTCTCGCATCCCAATGGCCTCGAACTCACTGCTTCACCTGCCCCGGACTCAGGTCCTCCGGCGAGCATATCCCGCTCTAGGCGTCACCAGACGACTGCCTCCACGTCCTTTCCACTCGACTCCGGGCCGTTCTACAGATGGAGTATTCAAAGCTCTCACCAGCATGCGGGTTCGCAAGCCATGGATCGAGGCGCTCCGGGAAAAGAAAGAGGCGGACAAGCATCCGGTGTCTGAACCAGCGCAGTGCATGAAGGCAGATTTGACACCGAAAAAGATGTCTGATAGCTACACCAGCGTTGTGCTACCTCTTTCAGTCAGTGCTCCCGAATACAAGACTCTCATTCCTTCACTTAACTTACCAATGCTCTCCTGGCCCTGTAGCAAGATCCGTGGCTTCTCGATACTTATGCCAATTACACTGGACAAATACGTACCGGCACCTTGTTAATGGACCTCGATGCGCTGGCGGGGGTCGTTGCCTACAAGCATACCGGTGAAGGCGTTACTACCGTGACTGCCGCGGTGGATAGGATCACCATCAAAAATCCCATTCGAGAGATATGCGATTTGCAGTTGAGTGGCCAGGTCTCCTTCGCGACTAGTAGGAGCAGCATGGAGATCACTCTTCAAATCGCCAAAGCACCCGCAGAAGGTCAGCAAGTTGCGCCCGAAGACGTCTTCATGACCTGTGCCTTTACTATGGTAGCTTTGGATCCAAACACCAGAAAGCCCGTCAACATTGCACCCTTAGAAGTCACCACACCCGCCGAGAAGGCCCTGTTCGCCCAAGGGGAGGAGAACTACAAGAGGAAGAAAACGTTGAAATCCTCGCATATCCTTGCCAAACCTCCTGATGCAGAAGAATCTGCTCTCATTCACAAGATGTGGACCGATTCTCTCGCCTACGCTGACTCCAAGAATCCCAAGAATCAGCCTTCCAATGTGATAGCTATGTCCAAGACACAAATGCACAGCACTCAGATAATGCAGCCCCAGATGCGCAACAGACACCGTAAGCTAGTTGCATCTATGAACAAACACTGACGTCGTCACTAACCAACGGTCTCTCACAGATTTTATGATCTTCGGCGGCTTTCTCCTGAAGACCACGTTCGAATTGGCCTTTACGTGCGCGGCCGCTTTTTCACACACTCGACCCACATTCATCAACCTGGATCCCAGCACGTTCGAAGAGCCTGTCCCCGTAGGCTCGGTTCTTTATGTTGCGGCAGGTGTGTCATACACCGAGCCCGATCCTAGTGGAGGTACTCGCATTCAAGTCATGGTCCGCACGCATGTGCGACCAGTCGAACATCAAGACCAGGAGCGAAAATCGACGGGGACGTTCTTCTACACTTTCCTCTCACCAGACAGTGTCAGCGTCTTGCCGCAAACTTACAGCGAGTTTATGGGCTGGGTGGCTGGCCGACGACGAGCCCAGAATTTGGCTGCTATGCTTGCGACTGATCCTCATCACTTGCTCTCAGCCTCACAAGTCGAGCCGCTGACAGAGTGAAGCAGAAGTCTTGCAAGGGTATTCGACCTAGTCGGGCTCACTTGTTAAGGCAACAGCCTTGACGGGTTGAAACTTTGAGAGAGAGACTTCTTGATGCGCAAAATCCCACGATAGCCAAGGTGTCTGAACTCCTGTCGATCAATCGGAATCGAAAGAAGCGCGGCCAATCCTTGTGATGTGGCCATCTATCACGACGACTTCGTCGCATCTAATGGAGCCTGCCCTCAAATCGACGGTATATTACCAGCATCAGTCGGTCTGCTGCATGTCCTGTCATGAAGCGAACCTCATCCAACGGGTGCCTCCGCCCAGGATCCATGCAATGCACGCTTCTGACCTTACGCATGCCTGTCACTGACGGTAGATCCACGTTATGTGCGTCCAGCAAAGGTGCGAGATGGAGCTATGTGTGCATCCAGAAGGCACGAGATGGAACTACCTGGAATTGGACGATATTGAAGGTTCTGGCCGCGATCTTACCGTCAAGAGATTCGAAGGGACATCAACACGTTATTGTCCATCCTCTCTGGCACTCAGGTATACCAGCAGTGGCAAAACGAGACGCTGTCCTAAGTTGGGCCTCTTCTGGAGACATACAACTAAAAGTGTTGAGCCACGTCTACCCTGTACACAGTATGGGGCTCGGAACACCGGTCAAGTCTCTCAGCCGATCGTGTTGATGACGTCGCTGTCCACAGGCAAATGCATTTCTAGGTCTGATGCAGGTGTGCGGTCGAGGGCCTTACAGGGTAACTGGGGAGAATCCACGTCTGACAGTGCGGAACTACCCTTTTCGGATCAAAGGTGTCAATCAATGCTGTGAATCGGAACAGAGTCCTGCGACAACTTCAGAGAGCAATAGTCATAGGTCATTGCCAGTAGATACTAGGGAATAATCCCTGCCCTTCAGGTTGAAACCCCTGGGCTAATGTAACCCAATTCGGCCATTCATCGCTAGCGATGTCGAAGCAGACGCCGGGATTACCACTGCCCATCGAGCCCGTCTCCGTGATCAAGTCCGCAGGCATACCCTCTGCCGGCGTCGCTACAGCCACATGGCCGCTGCCGTGGCCGTTGCCACCTCCTCCATCCCACGTCAAAGTACTGTTCGGATGCCAATGCCGAACCTTGTCTCTCAAAGAGACAGCTTTGAGCCTCAGGGCCTCTAGCACCGCCGACTTCGGCCCAAACCCGGAGGTCGTCTCGTTCCACAGCTCAGTAGAGAACAGCGTGTCTACGGCTTGCCATGCTCTGTCGACATTGGGCCCCTTGGGCTTGACGCACAGATGCCACAGAATGTACATCGTGACATGGTACTGAGGGTACGCTTTCCTGGCCCAGGCGTACTGCTTGAGAAAATCGTCTTCCAGGCCGTAGTCCTCGCCGGCGCGGCCGTCTCGGCTGAGCAGGTGCCACCAAAGGCGGCGGCGGATCTCGGACTGGAATGGGGACAGGCCAAGCCGGCCTCCATCGCGATGTATGCCCAGCGATTCCGCAATGCGAATGGCGAGGCCGTTCAGAATCCAGATGCCTTTGCCGCGGTTGTGGACCCGCAGAGCTGACTAGATGGCGATTCAGCTGAGGGTGTGAAGCAGATGAGTGTGCGTGACGTACCAGATATATGGCCAACGCATGAAGTCCGGTCAACGTTGGACGATCTAGAAAGTCCCCTTGAGCGAAAGATTGCTCCAGACCGATCTTGAAGTTGAATAGATGAGCAATCCTGTCTCCTCCCAGAATGACCTGGGCTTCTGCGTCGTCGAGCGAGACCACTGCCGCGAAGTAGATGGCTAAGCATAGTGCGTGATAATCCATTGGCGCTTCATCGGGTTTGTCGATGGTCGAGTATACCTTGACTTCGTCCGTCGGAAGATGTAGTAGTTTCAGGCCTGCACAACCGTCCACATTGTTGATGTATATGTTCCATAGTTTCACGGCCACCGGTTTCGGAGGGTGAGATGCGGAAGGTGCCTGTGCGAAGTAGGGGGAGGACAGGATGCCCAGCGCGCTGAAGAGAAGCTGACTGGTCCACAGGTCTAGGAGTTGTCGTTGGAGGTGTTGCGAGGGCAGATCCAATGTGTCGTTCCTATGTCGATGTTAGCCATCTCTACTGCAGTTGATCAGCCAACGGACGGGGAAGAACATGTCTCCTACGGAGCTTTGCCATGCCATCAACCCGTGATTCAATGTACGTGTTGGCGTGCTTTCGTTGAAGAGAGAAGAGTCTTTTTGCCTGAAAGGATGCGCCTGTTGATATCCATCGGTCTCACCGAGGGCACATCTCCAGGCTCTCTTCTTTGTTGGACTTGCGATTGTACCAACATACTGTAACATGCAATGAATGCTGGCAAGACTCACCTCCTCTAGAACTCTGGACAGCAAAACCTCGTTGAAGTACTGACTCGATGACCCCTTTTGAACGAGGATATCTTCTCTAGATACCTCCCCTGCTTTTCCATGCTGGGTCCTGGGTACCATACTTGTGGTTTTCGAATCAAGAGTCGTTGGCTGTGTAAGGTGGCTTTGCCCTCGCGACTTAGCAAGAGATTTCTCAAGGCTTGATATTCGGGAGGCCATCTCCTCCATGATGGTCTTTTTCGTCCGCCTCATCCGCGGACCAGATGAAGGATAGGCGCATCCCTTGCCAGCGCGGGCGCATGCAGAACATGGATGCTTCTTGTCACATCTGATCTTTTTGCGATTGCAGGTAAAACATGACCGGGGATGTGATGTTGATGGGCTAACCTGCTCGGACTCAGGAGACCGGCTGAATCCTGGCTGGCACATTGGTAACTCGGATTCCGTGGTTGTGGGAGCAAATCTGGTTTGCTAATGGACGACAGCCTAGCGGAAGCAAGGCGTTGCGCCTAATCGAGATAGCCCAGATGGAATGGTCACTCCGACAGCCTTTCGACTAGATACACGCAGACAAAACAATGGCAATGTCCGCGATAGGGTACCTCTGAGCCCGAGCATCCGGGTTTTGCGATGCTCTGGAGACTGAAGTCCTAGGGCGATGAAGAAGCTGAAGTCGAGCATGACTTGATGCAGGAATCTCGGACTTAAAGCGGGGTCTGCCATGCTACACCGATTCCTCGAATCGGTTCCCCTCCCCTACGTACACAGTACTTATGTAGTCGTGGTGGTGTGGGTGGTCTGTGTATCGAAATCGGCCATTGTTGCAAAATAAGTCCGTCCCGAAGAAGTGGCTCTCGATTTCGGTCTATTCCTCCAACATCCCGTTTCCACAGGCATTCGTCAATCCAATCCGAGCTCAAGTCCATCGCCAATTCTTGGACTGCTAATAAATATCGCATGATCCTGCGCCGGGAGTGAAGAGCTCGTCCTAAGGCCGGGTCAAATTGAAACATGCATACTACTTCAGGGACAGCCGTCCAACTTCGTGAGATGCAAGCGGATACATCGAACGTGTGCCGGTGCACAACCCGCGACCGTGGTAAGCCAGGAGTGCAATTGAAGTCTCGAATCGAAGTCTCCTTCCGATGATTGCAACAATTTGTCCACTATCCACATGGACAGAGATCCGTTGCGCTCTGAGGTATGGCGAAAGGCTTTCCAGATTCGTTGCGCACGTCGAGTTTCTCCCGAGGGGTTCTGGCTGCTTCGCACCGCTGAGCACTGAGCCACATGTGCTGCACTGGTCCGACAGTCTATTAATGGCGTGTCGGTTATCTTTGCTCCTTGAAGCGATAGTGCAACGGCCTCACAAGACCCTCTGGTGGATTGATTTTGAAGAATAACCATTTCCTCCTTTCTCAGTCATCGTAGCGTCGACTTCTCCGTCGTCTCTGCCGGTCGGGATCCCTCGACTCCCTCCTCTTCCGTCTTCTCCTCTCATCATCTGTATCGACCGGCGGATACCCATCGGGCGGCGCACTTCGTCTTCGCGGATCCACTCCCGCCATAGGCGGCGCTGTCCCTCCATTCACATCGGGCCTCTTCGACCGCCTCTTTTCGTGCTTCGCGCCCGGTGGCTTCAGACCATTCACAAAGTCATCCACCCGTGGACTCTGCCTCAGCAGCACCATCTCCGTCTCACTCATTCTCGCTTCCGGGATCTTGTCCTGCCCACCTTTCTTCCTCGACCCTCCACCACGATCTGTCCAGACAACCATCAACCCATCACCTCCACTCCCCGGCACGAATTCCGTATCAAAAGTCCAATCCTTTAGGGCGGGCGGTTCATACACGCCCCGATCCTGCAGCCCAGGACCCTGTAACCCTAGTCTCGCCCGCACACTGGCATGGATATACTCATTGGTATTCCTCAGCCTCTTCCCCGTTGGCCTTCCACTAGGATCCACCCGATAATACCCTCCTGGTGTCCTCGTCCGCGCGCCTGTCAAAGAGTATATCCCCCGGAGGCTATTATATATCTCGCCAAAACTCCACCACCGCGTCTTCTGTCCCGTACTCTTGTAATAAGCACGAGTCTCCTCCCACTGGCCCATGAGAAAACTCGGGCGAAAATCCAAGAACGGTTCGAGCTTGCTCATCATCCACGCGAGTGTGATGTTGGCCAGTTCCTGATCGTCATACCCGCCGCCGATATTACTATGCACGCCCGGGAACCAGCACTGCACCAAGTTCGTCCGGTCGTTATCCTTCTTCTCCCAAACCGCCGGGGCGAACGGACCCCTCCTCTCATCCAACGCCAAAGCCTGGAACGCGTTTTCAACACACGAATTCAGCCTCGTGTCGTAGAACTCGTAAGCATGCATGCCTCTCGACTGTAATCCCAAATTCTCCAACCACCCGACGCGCGGAATGCCCAAGCTGCCGACCGTATCCCAGCAGCACACCGCTTTGATGGGCACATGGAGCGTGGTCAAGCCTCTCCTCGACAACTCGTGCACGTAATGCGCATCGAAGGGGCCTTTCCCCGGAAACGGCGCGTCCGGAAACTTCGACACATACCGCTCGTCCGCGCGGTGCTGCCAGTCCTCGAAAATCTCGTTGAAAAACGGCAATCCCGCGCGCGTGAGCAGGCCCAAGTCGCCAATCAGACCGCCCACAGATCGCGCTGTAAACGCTCCTCTCGAGAATCCGATCAGAAAGATCTCGTCTCCCGGCTTCCAGTTGATCGCGACATATGTGTAGGCTTCGCGCATGTTTTCTTTCAATCCCATCCCCGTCGCGCCACCGACCGCACGCGCTGCGGCTCCGCCGCTCGTTCCGACGCCGGCCTGGTAGTTGACGATCTGGGGAATGCCATCGCGTGAGGTGTCCTTGATGGCCCAGCCGATGCGGCTTACGTTCGAGGGCGGTTGTTTTGTTCCATCGCGTAGGATCCCATTGTCCGCGTCCAGCCAGGTGCCGTCACAGGTCACGATGAGGCGCTTTCGAGGTCCTTGGATCGGCCGCTCGAGGGTGCCGGGCATAGGGGCCAGTGTGGCCGAGAGTGGAGGAGGCTCGAGACGCGATTGTGGCCGGCTTGTTGGCGCAACGCTCATTGGAGGAGGATGGGGGAAGATGGCGGACCCGTGCGTGCTGGTAGGGTAGCCTGGAGGAGGACCAGGCGGTGCGAGGCCGCTTGCGACCGAGGATCGTGCGTTGGGAGGAGGACGCGACATGATGGGCAGTCGTGGTCAGTGCGCGTATGGAGTGTTTTCTAGCTCATGTCATCGAAGACGGCAGTCAACTTGTTGTGCTTGTGCTAATTGTTGAGTGCACGGAAGGCCGCCGTCGTCCAGAGATGCGGTTTTGCAGTGACAATTCCATCGAACTCGAGCTGCGGGTCAAGTGAAGCGCGCAACATGCGCCAAGCGACAGAGGAGGATAAGGCACACGAGTCGAGGGACGAAGAGTAGGAGAAATGGTGAGCTTCATTGTAGAATGAATTGCGAAACTATGCAATGCTTCATGTCATCCCCAGCCTGCGAGTTGTTGCATCTTGTGACTGCGCCCCACCAATACCAGCCTCCCCGTCACCATTGGCAGTGACAAGTCATCAACAAACGCCCGATAGAACACTAGTTCATGCAACAAGGCTCGTCTCTGGTCTCGCCAAACAAATTCAAGTTAATGGGGTGTTCCCTGTGGCTATCCGAGGCTCTCTTACTCCGTATTATTGCGGCCAATCCTGACTTCCCAAAAGACTTTGTGCTGCCAGCTTGTCAAGTGCTCTTGTGCTATCATGGAGAATAGGTCATATAGAGACCGATCGGACAGGGATTGTAATCTTGGAACCACTCCAATTGACTGTCCGAGCTGCTCATCGTTACGCTGATCAGTCCAGGCACACAGATCGTTGACCCGAGGGTGTAGGAACTGCCCGGTTGCATGCTGACGGAACATGGGAACCCGTGTGGATTTGATTGCAGTGGTTGATTGTTGTATGTGGTCATTCCTGGGACCGCGCCAACTCCAAGCATAGAAAGAGAGAAAGAAAATGTGCCGAATCCGATCAACTTGAAGCGCGATGTGGTTAACTGGTCCTGCATGGGAAAGAGGAATTGCCATGTACACATCTGTCCCTGACGCGCCTGAGGGATGTCGAAGTTGAAGACAGCAGAGACATCCCCAACACTGATGTTTGGTGTGAGAGTATTGGGATATGAAGTATCTGGATTGCTTGCTGAAATTGGCATGATCATATGAGGGAACTCGAACTCCGGAAGCGGTGGGAGATTGCCAGGGCAGGTAGACTGTCTGTGATGGAGGCCTGTACCTCTGAAGAGATTAGGAAGAGAGGGCAGGGCAGAGATGCCACTGCATAGGGTAGTAAACAGGACAAGCAGGAGATGCATGCTGAACGATACAAGGAGTACAGTAGCAACGGCGAGCTTGGTGAAGTCCAAAAATCCAGAATTGCAGAGAGTGTGTCTGTAGAGGTGTTGGCCAAAGGAGTAGAGCGTCAGGGTTCCGAACAAGCAGCTCAAACTCTTCATATGTCTCTCGAGGAAACAACGAGCTGGAAGAATGATCCAAACATGGGGAAAGAGCAACGGACTATCGTACCACCAACGTGTGCACAGTGGCTGTCAGACAATTTGGAAGAATTACCTGCATGGCAACGGGCACCTATCCATGGCTCTGGATCTGTGCAAGGAGGGTCAAGTGAGCTGATTCTGCATGTTCTGCATACTTTTCAAACTTGGGTAGTCTTGTCACCATTCGAATCTGCAAGGCATATGACCAACCAGACAAACCACCCGCCTGCAGGTCCATCATGCAATAGGCCTTGCAAAGTCCAGACGCCCATCACTATTTGAATTGCTGATCTCAATGAGGAAAATCTCCCAGATTGTGCAAGCTGATATCCATTCGATCACGAACAGTTGGACTCTCGTCCTGGTGTGGCTCGTGACTTGAGGCATCGAACCCGTTGACTTGGATGGGTGACTTGCGAGAATCACCATTCGCTGCTGGCACCACATTGCCTTGTTCTGTGACAACAGCTCCATTGGTAGCCATGGTGATCTGGTCTTCTCCGGCGACACCTTGGGCGACAGCTCGTCGGGCTTCGTCCATAACCTTTGATTTCCGAGTCTGCCCTCGAACTCTTTCCAGATGCTCGAAATATCCTTCGTCAACTGGAGTGATGTAAGACCCGCAGAAGACGCCCACCTCGAAATCGGTAGGTGCATCGCGGCTGTTGGCTTCTCGAGCTGCGTCAATACATGCGGCTTTCAGATCGTCCAATGTTTGGTAGATGACACTATCTGCCCCGATGTGCTTGGCAATCGCCTCTGCCCCGTGATGGTTGTGTGCGACCAACTCCAGAGGCGATGCCAAATCAATTCCGTAGATGTGGGCATGAGTGATAGGAGGAGCACAGCTGGCAAAATGAACCTTCTTGGCACCAGCCTCTCGTGCCATGGTCACAATCTCCCGACTTGTCGTACCTCTGACAATACTGTCGTCCACTAAAAGGACATTTCGATCCCTGAACTCCATTGCCATCGCATTCAGTTTCCGTCTTACACCCTTTTGCCTGGCCTTCTGTCCTGGCATGATAAAGGTGCGGAAAACATATCTGTTCTTGACAAATCCTTGACAATATTCTTTGTCCAACATTTTGGCCACCACTGAGGCCGAAGTCACCGAGGTCTCGGGTATGGGAATGACCACATCGATGTCGGCTAGCTCTTGAGGACTAAGCACTCTCTTGACCTCTTCGGCAAGTCGGGCACCCATATGTTGTCGACTGCGGTGTACGCTGATCCCATCCATGACCGAGTCAGGGCGCGCAAAGTAGACGTATTCGAAAATGTCGGGCGCATATCCCTTGCGCTGCTGAACTTGCCGGAAATGAGGCTCGTGGCCCTTCTGGAGGATGACGGCCTCGCCAGGCAGGATGTCACGAATAATATCAAATCCCAGTTGAGCCAGAGCAACAGACTCTGAAGCCATCATGTAGTCCTTGCCAGAACCGTCCACGGAATCTCTCGATCCTAACACCAAGGGCCGAATGCCAAAAGCATCTCGGAAGCCAATCAATCCATAACCTGCGATCATAGCCGTACATGCCCAGCCACCCTTACATTTATCGTACATCCTGCTGAGAGCCGCAAAGACATCGTCATCGTTCACACGAGCCTTGCCAGTCTCATTCAATTCGTTGGCAAAAATGTTCAGCATCAACTCACTGTCACTGTCTGTATTGATGTGTCTGTGAGCCTCGATGTCCAGATGCCTTTTCAACTCTGGAGCATTGATCAAGTTGCCATTGTGCGCCAAACAAATACCGTACGGGCTGTTGACGTAGAAGGGCTGGGCCTCGGCGTTTGCGCTACTCCCGGCCGTTGGATATCTCAAATGACCCACGCCCATGAAGCCCGGCAGGTCAACGATTCTGGCGCCGTCATGGAAAACTTTTGCTGCCATGCCATTTCCCTTGCACTGGTATATTCTTCCCCCTGCTGCACACGTAGCGATACCGCAAGCATCTTGACCACGATGTTGGAGGAGGTAGAGGGCTTCGTGTAGGTCGATCGTGACAGAGGTGGACGAGGAGTTGGCGAGGATCAAAGCGATAATGCCACACATTTTGGACGCAGTGTTCAGCTGATCTGGCACATAGTCAGCTCCGCACTCTTGATCCAATATCTCTGAAACTCAGATGTGCCATGCGCGCCCGATCAGTCCCGACTTTCTCAGCAAAATCTTTATGTAGTCTAACATCTAAAGAATAAATTGGGTTCATCCCATGGGCAGAGGCTGGAGAGAGACTGTGCAACATACCTAGGCAATCATCCCATACGGCGTTAGAGTGGTTCGGGTGTTTTACACGCCGTAGCACGCGACGAAAGGTGTTGTTGAAATTGGAAGGATTCGAAGACGAGATCACCTCAGACTGAGGGCTAGTGAATCAAAAGGGAGTGTGGCAAGTGTGAAGCAACCTCGCAGTGGCTTCGGGTTCGGGGGCTATGGGAGATCTCGAGGAGCGGTAGAGACATCATGCTGGAGAGTTTAGGAGGAAGAGTGCTTGACAAGACTGCGCTGGGGCACTTTTCGACACGGTGCCGGCGACCAGAAGACGGAAGGCATTCTTGGAGACGATTACCCGCATTTGTCTCGTTGCGAGTGGTTGGTTTGAATTTTCTGTCCAAACCGAAGACGAAAATCTTTTGCCCCACCATCTTAGCCTCTTTGTTATCGCTTATCGGCGCCTTTAGCCGTGAGCCTCAAGCATGGGAAGTTAACCGAGTGACGGGGGCGGATCATCTAGTTCCGATAAAGGGGTTCGGCTCAGCCTTGTCCTGGTTCCTCCGCATGGCGTTCTGAACCGACACCATGTTTGCCAGTAGTTGTGCACATCCAAGACAGCATCGGAAGAATCCCAAACGTCCATTGTTCTATTATGCGATGGATATATGTTTGCTTTATTGATTGGTCTACGTGCTAATCGTGCTTGTTGCTTCTTCTGTGTCCTGAGACAGGAACAATGGATTGCGGATAAAGAGTCCATCATGCCATCTCAACATGTTCTTCCGAGACAACCCTCATAAACCTGGATGCTTCTTTCCAGGTACTTCCTTCCTGGTGAGGAGGATAAGACACCAGACAAGGACTTTGATGCACATCTTCTTTATACTGTCCCACTGGATAGGGACCGGTCATGATGCGGTAGAATATGGTAGCTTTGTGGTTCTGGAAGGTAGACATCATCTCGAACAATGACCGTCTTGCAAGAATACGATTCATGAGCCTGTGAACAACGTATTTCGCTCTGGCAACCTGTTCCTTGCATGTTGCGTTCCAGAAGTCCACACGTCCCTTTCCTTCTTTGATCGCTTCGGCAACAGAGACATCTTCTCAACACCTTCGCTCTTCCAATCCGTCTGCCACTTACATCCAAGGCTTTTTCAACCGGTCTCGCCCGTGCTGTCTTAATTGTGATACAGAAACAGCTGCCCTTCATCATTCAACCCTACCTACTCACACTACATGTGAGGTGGTGACCCAGAGCCTTCCCAAAGCGAGCTCAGATTTCCGCCTGTTTTCCTTGCTCCGGGCAGACACAAATCGCGGCTTTGACTCCCTTTCTTCCTGCTGGAGTTGTCATTTCCCTGCTCTGTTTCAGACACAGCATCTTCTCTTCAGCACAGATCGCCCGCTCCAGTCCTTACCATCCGTCCATATCAAGAGCTTCTCTCCCACCCTCATACTGTTCGATCTCAAACATAGGTGCAAACACATCGTGAGGGTTCGAAAATCCGCAGTCAACCTTCCTAGCAGCACACAAACAGAGACAATCATTCCCTGAACTCCGCAACCTTCCTATAATGTCGAACAAAGTCAAGCATGGTGCAATAGCAAAAAGAAGCTCTACTCCTGGTCCAGGCAGCAGAAGCAACGGTCACCCTCCTCCGAACCGGAAACAAGTTAGATTCGGAGATGTAACAATACAAACAAATGCTCGACCCTTCATGGAGCTGATCAACAACGAGCAAGCTGGTTCGCGGCAGCAACCATTGGTCATTATGGACGACGAAGGTCTGGACAACGAAGACCTCCACATGCTGGACGACGAGGATCTCCACATGCTGGACGACGAGGATCTCCACATGCTCAAAGTGTACGGAAATGACTCCCTATATATCAACATTCCAGACATCCTAAAAGTCGAAGATGCAGATCCAGCTCTCGTGCTGAACCACTTGAGAACATACCGGGAAGTCTCAAAGGAGAATTGGAAAGACGATCCAGGCCGCGATGTGGAGCTCAGAGATGGCACATTCATGCGCATCCTGGCCATGGACATAGACGACAGTGGTGAGCGTTGGGTTAGAGGCCGAAGACTCTTCCCACAAAACACACGGGACCTTTTGATGCCACCGACTGTTAGAGAGCTTGTATGGGTTTCGTTTTTCGACCTCAGTGGCAATGAACGCAAGAAAGAAGTCAGAGTCCGCTTCTCAGAGATTTCGAGGACATGCAAGATCGTCTTTACCAATTTGCCATGCAAGGTCTTCAGCAATCAGTGCATGCCAAATGGCGAGGAGGGGGGATACCTTTTCTGCCGCTGGCGGAGAGTGCTTTCACCAAAGGAGAAAGATAATAAGGAGAAAGATAAGAAGATCATGGTCCACAAGCACAGATTTGGGGAAATCGCGCGTCTCCAAGCCCATCACGCAGATGATGAGCATTTTCAGTTCAATGGAGCATCTATCTGCTCTCGGACGGACCGTCCCGCATTGCGACAATACTGGCGCGGACCAAAACACTGCACACTGAAAGGGACTGCACTTCTAGAAGTCGCAGACGACATATTAGAGCAGAAGTACACGTTCGGAGATGCCTTTTGCGGTGCTGGAGGCGTGACTCAAGGGGCAACAAGTGCTGGACTTGAACCTCGATTCGCAGTCGACTTCTGCGCCTCAGCTGTCCAGACATACCGCAAGATGTTCGCTGGTCACCGTGACTTGGATATTCGAGGCGAGGATATCTATAGCTTCATCAGTGTTGCCAAGCGGACAGCTCGATACGTCGTCGACATCCTGCATATGAGCCCACCTTGCCAGCCATTCTCACGCGCCAACACTATTCCAAATCTTTCCAAGAATGAAAAAAACACCAATACCCTTCTTGCCGTAGGCGACCTCCTTGAGGTCTGCAAGCCACGTATCGTCACACTCGAGGAGGCCGATGGGTTCTTGGACGAGAAACATCGACTGTGGTTCCGCAAGCTTCTCTCATTCTTTGTCGAAATGGAGTACAGTCTGGAGTGGAGATGCGTTTGGTTGAAACACTATGGCGTTCCACAGTCGAGAAAGCGGCTGATCATAATCGCTTCTGGGTATGTCTGTCCGCTGAGGCCTTTAGACGATCATCCTGAACTAATGTGGGCCTTACAGACCTGGAGAAGAGCTCATTGACTTTCCTGCACCAACGCATGGGTCGGAGCCAGGGTTGATGCCCCTGCCAAGCATAGGTGAAGCAATTGCAGACATTCCGCGCGATCCTAAGCTCCATGATCTTGAAAAAGCCACGCGCTTTTCAGAAGAGAAAGCAGAGATTGATCCGACTGGCGTCGCCGGCACTCTTACGTGCAATGGTGGAATGAACGTGTACCATCCAAGTGGCGAACGCAACTATACACTGGGCGAGTTGGCAGCTTTGCAGACGTTCCCACCAGGATATGCCTGGTCTGGCACTGAGGGGGACATCAAAAAGCAGATTGGCAATGCTGTGCCTCCAGCATTCGCCCAGAAGTTGTTTGCATGGATTAGGAGTAGGATGATGGCAGCGGATGAGGCTGAGATGCGTGGATAGATGCAGATAGCTGCCTGTAGGAGATGAATGACATACCCATATTTGACTGTGCAGACCTGCGCGACGCCCTTGTGAATAGGAGAATTAGCCCACTGATCTTAGGGGCACACCTCTTCCATACATGCACAGACACCGTGTGTACCTAGTGGGTGACAGACGTATAAGACCTAAGTAAGCAGCGCCCATTATGCGCCTGTTCGTTCCACAGTCAGATGCGCGTTGTCCATTGCGAGAAGCATGCTTATTATGGCTTCGGCGGACGAGGTCTCCAAGGTCAAGAGGACTGCATAATGAGACAGGCGTGCTTTAGCTAGACAATGCCGATGTTCATGTCCAGAGAAGCTCGGCGTGTACTGGTTGTTTTATGGAGGAACTACCTAGTGATGACCAGGTTGATGAGGATTTTGGGCTGCGAAAGCTCGGACCTGCTCTCAGCATCGGGCGCAAAATCTCATTAGAAGTCAAATGTTTCTCATAACTACAGAAAGCTACAATATCGGAGTTTGTGCACAGAGTTCCTGAGTCTGCAACAGTGCTCTTTCGCTTGCTCGAAAATATCTCGATCATGATGAGACTATGCTCCGCTTCATGTCATGTTTCGCCTCCAAGAGGGCTTTCCGAGAATCGTCAAACAGGGCTTCTATAGGTTACAACGGGTAGAAAAATGGACTGTCTGCGAACTCTGCCCATCATTACTCCCAAAAGCATGATATTGCCTTCAGACGCCTCCTTGATCTCCCCTGCAGACGACTCTCTAGGTTTGCGCTAATACTAGACACTGGATGCCTAGCAGCTCCTTGGCTCTTTCATAACCATACAGTTTCTGGTAACTGGACCCAGGCACAGGTACAGGCAACACTCGGTCATGTGCTCATGGTCGCTGCTGGGTTCTAGGCTCCTCGTAATCCATTGCTGCAGTCTGCTTCTCCGTATTGGGCGGATGCGCCGAGGTCTGAACCCGTTTTCATGCGATATCTCCTGATCCGTGCGCATGCCCAGGGCCGGAGGTGACGAGGGAAGGGCGCGCTGACACCTGGCCTGGCACGATCGCTGCCCTAGCAAGTGGGATCGTCTGTATTCGAAGTCATTGTCCTAACAGCAGCACCTCATCTGCTGCATCCACATGATGATCACTTGGCGCGTATCGTCTATCTCGTGGTGCCATCACCGCCTAGGTGGTCTTCATTGAAACGCATTGATTGCGTAGGGATCGCCACCTGAACGTAGGACTGAGCTCATGTCGTATGGTTTGAATGTCCTCGACGAGACCAATTGCATGACTTTCGCGAACGACGGGGACAACCTGATCTCCTCGTCTCAAGTCTTCATCAACGCATTTTCCAGAACGCCTTTCCATTGAAGCAGTCGTTGCTCGGCGAAAGTGGCGATTTTGGTCATCTGTTCAACGTCAACGAAGGGTCCGCCGCTCTTCTCAATGCGTAGAATCGACAATGGTGTTGCATTTCCGCCGGCGTCGACAGTGATAGTTCCAGTCTCAATGCAAGCCTCCTCTTCGAAGCCATCCATGTCCATAAGAATCCAGTACTGATCATCTCCACCGTTCACAGTGACTAGTCTCTGCTCTGGGATAAACACGCCAAAGGTGCTGGGAACTGGCATTCCCCGCAATCTCAGCTTCTGTGCGTCTTCAACCTCTGCCGAACAAAGCACTTGTTCCAAGTCGGGATCCCACCACGCTTTTGGGAGACTGGTGTCTCTCAGTGCTGCATAAAGCGCGAGCCAGGCAGCGTCAAAGATCGAGCCACCATAGCTGATGCACATCATATCAATGTACAACGTCCAGTATGCCTTGAGCTGAGGGTCCGCGTTGATTCCCAGTTCGGTGTCCTGCGTCTCAGCAGGTGGAGTATAGATAATCTCGAGGTCAGAAGTTCTGACGAGTTGTGACGTATGCAGTAGTGATAGCAGACGTTGTGAGATCGACTGTGCCTCGACTGAAGGAGCGGTGTTGGCAGGGTGCTTGGGCGAACAGCCAGTCGCTAGCTCAATATTTGGAACCAACAGGTGATAAAGTGGAATAGCACCGTATTCCTCCTCTTGTTCTCCATCTACAAATCGATTGTCACGCGCCACCGGAGCCGTCGGATTATATGTAGCCGACGTCTTTGTCACTCTGAAGCTGGGAATTTCGCTGACTGGTAGGACTTCGGCTCGGACTCCGCAAACGATTGTTGTTGCACCAATCTTAACCAGAGACGAACCATTACAGTGTGTCAGAGAGCCGACATTGAGTTGAACAGGTCGAACTTCTGAGGGGGCGCGATTTGAGGGACGTCGAGGAGGACTCTGCTTCAGGTGGGCATGGAGGAGAGCATTGGGCGAGATGAGAGGCATTGCCGAGGCTGGTATGGAGAGTATTGGGTCCGCCAAAAGGCTTGCGGAGGGCATGACTGCCAGTGTATGACCTTCAAAGCCTCATCTCATCACGAACGTCTGGGTTGAAGGGGGAGATACCAGGTATCGTCTAATGTGTAGAACGCAATCACTCTTCAATTACCGCAGGCACGTCAAAAATATTCTGCCGGTCGATCTTGAAAGCGGTAACAAGGTCTTGGCGTCAGGAAGGCGGTGAGCGACGCTGGCCATCGAGGCCATCTCCTCGCTTTTGAATGCTCCAGTATCATCGGTATTGCACTTGTTTGAAGCCGCATTACGCCCAGTGAAATTGCTGAACGTCATACGGAGATCACGGTACACTGTCTGCCTACCACAAGGGTCAGATACTCTACGCGATACAGAGTACTGAACGACATGTAAGGAGCATAACTGGTCTCAACCCATGGATCTCGTTTTCGGACGCTGTCTGAGCGAGCATAGATACCGATCAATGGACAGAAAGAATGAAATCCTGTAGCCATACCACAATCGACTTAAGGCAATCAGCTCAGGGACGATTCAGCATTTTGAGGTCTACAAGTCCAGGCCGGGACCATCCCTGCGAGCGGGATTGACCCTATTGGTAACAGTTTCAATCCCCGGAACCGTTCCGGCTTTTTGGGGACGGAGGTCAAGGCGGGGACGACTCAATACTGTTTCCATTGTAGCTCGGCACCTTCAAGGTCATCAGCAATCGAGCGCAGACGACAGTGCCGTTTACAATTCCCGTTCTATGTGTCCGGCTCGCCGGTGCTCATCTGGGACCAGCCGCGGTTTGCTACCTGACGTGTACAGCCCGAGGCCCATGGTATAAATCTTTGAACGATTCTTGTCAGCTCGTTCCACATTCTCGTGAGTGGTATCAAAGACAAGATGGTTGAGACTGTGGACGTGCTCATCTGTGGCTCCGGCTCTGCTGGTCTCTGCGCGGCATTATGGCTGTCGATCTTTGGCATCAAATCTGTCAAGGTTCTTGAGCGACGGCAAGGTCCTATGACGATGGGGCAGGCCGACGGCGTACAATGTCGGACGGTTGAGGTTTTTGAGAGTTTTGGCATTGCTGAAGAGCTTCTTCGCGAGGCGTACCACGTCCTTGAAGTGGCATTCTGGTCGCCAGACGGAAAAGGTGGTCTGCACCGCAAGGGTCGCACGGCTGACACTCAACCTGGTCTCAGTCATCAGCCTCATGTCATTTTGAACCAGGCAAGAATCAACGGGCTGCTGCTGGAAGCTATGCGGAAGGCCAACGGTCAGGAAGTTGACTACGGATATTCTGTCAAAAGCGTTGAGATAGATCCAGAATTGGCAAACGACCACAGCTCATATTGCACCACAGTGGTCGCCGAAAAGGACGGGAAGGATCATATCTTTAAAGCCAAGTACGTCCTGGTAAGTACTATATCGCCTGTGATGAATGTGACGACGCTCTGCTCACGCCTGACCAGGGATGCGATGGTGCCCACAGCAAGGTGCGCAGGTCTTTAGGGTACCAAATGGTTGGCGATACAACCGATGCAGTCTGGGGAGTAATGGACATCTATCCTCGAACAAACTTTCCTGACATTCGACGAAAATCGACAGTCCATTCCGATTCTGGTATGATCCTGATCATACCACGAGAAGGTGGCTCACTGGTACGCTTCTACATCGAGTTCCCGGCCGGTACGAACGTGAAGGAAGTCAAGCTTGAAGACCTGCATAAGAAAGCTCAACAGGTCTTCAGGCCGTTTACGATGGACTTCTCCGAAACATATTGGTGGTCGTGCTATTGCATTGGGCAACGACTTGCAGACCATTTCACCAAGGATAATCGTATCTTCTTGACAGGTGATGCTTTTCATACACATTCACCCAAAGCCGGCCAAGGGATGAACGTTAGCCTTCAGGACGGATACAACATCGGCTGGAAGCTGAGTCTGATACTGAAGGACAAAGCCACTCCAGAGTTACTCAAAACATACGATCTCGAACGTGGCAAAACAGCAGCCGACCTCATCGATTTTGACAGATGGTTCACGAAATTGTTCGCCTTGAAGGAGGCCGGACAGGAGAGCAAGATGACTCCAGAGCAATTCAGGCAGGCGTTCATCAAATCTGGTCGATACACCGCCGGTCTGACCGCAAAATACGAAGATTCTAGCATCACTTCAGCCGCAGGAAGCAGGCAGAGTCTAGCTGAGAATATTGTCGTTGGAATGCGGTTCCAAAATGCGCAGGTCGTGCGGTTTTGCGACGCAAAGGCGATGCCACTGGTACAAGCGTTGAAAGCAGATGGACGATGGCGTCTGATTTTCTTCGTTGGCAAGATTGGACAGTCTTGTACAATTGCCAGGCTGGAGAAGGTGCAACCCTTTGGATTCCCTTCTGAGGATGTAACTGACGAGCGATATGCAGATTGCCAAATACTTGGATTCCGCCGATGGTCCAGTCCGCAAGTATACCTCTCCTTCGGCAGACGTCGACAGCTTCATCGAACCGATCGTTGTCTTCAACGGAGAGAGAGTCAAGCTTGAACAAGAAGAGATACCCGAATTCTTCTGGCCGGCGACAGGAAAGTGGAAGATGCGAGGTGAGAGGCAAGGCAAGCCACGCAATTCGGACGAGTGCTAATCGTCCTCAGATCTTCATAAGACTTTCGTTGATGACGAGAGCTACAATTCCGGCCACGGCCACGCCTATGAGAAATATGGCATTGATCCAGACGTCGGCGCCACTGTCATCGTGCGCCCTGATCAATGTACGCTTTCTTCCCAGAACATGTTTCTCTTAGTGGGTTGCTGACTATTCCAGACGTCTCAAAAGTCATGTCGATCGACGATACCGAAGGCATGGGTCAGCTATTCGACGCGTTTTGCGTCAGGCAGACTCAGAACGGCGCTCACTGAGTCTCGACAATCCATTGGTTTCGTCCATGTACCAAGACTATATTCAACCAAAACTCTAACCCTACTCTAGCCACTTCTCCTCCGCAGCAGACTACCCACACCCAACATGTTCACAACAGTATGCTGTCCGACCACCCAAGCTGCAGTGTACAGATACTTTGGCGAAAACACTGTCCAGATAAACAAGTGCTCCCTCAGCACCAAACACGCCACCATAACCGCCAACGTATGCAAGCACGCAAACGTCGCCAGCGTGGTCATCATGAAAATAAACCGTCCTTTGCTCAACTGCGCAGCGCTGAACAACTGACAAACCGCAAATGCCCACCAGATCGGCGCTGCCCAATTACTCACAAACGTCAAGGCGCCCACCGCAGCGACGTTGTACCCACTCACACCATTATACGCGTTCGACAGATCTATCGTCGCGATTGAGTTTGTGCCACCGAAGGTGAAGAACGAAGCGTACTGCGAGAGGAGTGCAAGAATAGATATCTCACCGACACTGTGCTGGCGTCCGCGTCGAAATAGATACAATTGAACATGAAAGAACAAGTATAGCGGAACATACACTGTTCGTGTCTGGGTGATAAGGAAGATCGAGACCACGTCCTGGAAGGCGCCGAGGAATGAGCGGAGATTTTCTGCACCCTGCCACGGCGCCTCGTAATATATTGCGCAGCCCAGCAAATGTACCAGTCCGAGAAAGACGACTCTAGCCAGACTGACCAGCGGATATCGTGAGACAAATACGACCAGAGGATTGAGGATCGGGAATGATTGTAACAACTCCGGTGCGTCGGCGGCCGTGAAAGCAATCTTGAACAGGAATGCGGACATCGAGACCAGGACGGGGAGGAGGCCCATCTGTCGTGCGCCCATCCACTTCACGGCACGGCCGCTCAGGTTGCGCGAAAGGACGGCGTACGTGAGGACCACGAGGACCCAGAGAATCCAAGGATTCGGCGTGACGAGATTGGTGAGCAGATCGGGCTCGCCGGCGTATTTCTGGCCTGTCTGGCGCCAGCGGCGGATCGCGAGGAGAAGGAGGAATGCAAGCACCGAGCCCAAGGGCCCGTGAATCGCCCTTTGAGACGAGTACCGGGCATCTTTGCAGAACAGGACAATGAGCCACGCACTCAAGATCCAGTACCAAAATTGGTGCTCTTCCTCGACGTAACTGCTGGCGAACATTGTGATCGCGTAGATGAGCATAGTCAGAACAAGTATGATGCCATCAGCCCCGGAGTCGAAGACGGCACGGGCGAAGCTGGGAAGGCATAGTCCTAGAGCGAGTGCGGATAAAGCGATGCCTGTTTGCATGCTGGTCAGGTCATAGTTACTCGCTGTGCCGCTGAGAAGATCTTGGGCCTTGTACAAGAACTCCTTGAGACCCGAGATTGAGCCTCGATGAGCTGAGGTGTGAATGTGTGCATGAGAGACGCGCTGCCATAAACAGGCGAGTATTTCGGCATCGTCTCCTTCAGTCGTTGAGCAGCCAGAGGGCGTATGAGCGAAAACAGCTGGAAAGGTAGCTTGTGCGATGGTGTGGATCTGCACGGCATTCTCGTACACCAGGTTGTATTGATCTTCCTGAACAGTCCAGAGGTCGAGTAACCGCGCAATGACTACACCGAGGTTATTCTGCGGTATTGGAAATCCTAGCAGTGCAGCTAGAGTCGGCACAATGTCAGACTGCTCTACGATGTCGTAGTACTTATAGTCGACTGCATCGTGAACTGGGCTGTGCTGGCCTTCAAAAGCAGACTTGAACTTTGGTGATATGAACGTTAGAGCTGTGGAAACTTCGCCTGGAGAGGATGCGCCATGATTTCCGCCCTCATTCATCCCGTGGTCCCCGAGGAGGACCAACAAACATGAATTCAGGTGCTCAGTCTCTTCCATTGCAGTATAAATTCGCTGCACAATGCTATCCATTTCTGCTTGTTTGGCGGGCATATTTGGCCCTCTCGGGCCAGTTTTGTGACCAATGTGGTCGAGCCCGAGAAAATGCAAGGTCATCGCAGACCAGTCGCCCAATTCAAGCTCTGAAGGAATGTGCCTTGTGACGTTGTTGTCGACCTCGGTGTAGTCCGAGACGAAGAAACTCGTGGTCCCGTCCGCTCGGTGGAAGAACTCGGGAAAGAGCCGCAGCCAAGTATCGTCCCCGTACATGACAAGTTTGCCATCTTTCGCTTTCAATTGAGCAAGCCATGAGTCTTGGTCCCTAAGGGTCGATGTGGTATCGGACTCGGCAAAATTGAGGACAAGGTCCACGAAGCTCGGCACTGTACCGGTGGTGATGGCTTTCACTCGTGGCATGGTGATGGTTGGAGGGCTTGCATGGCCTGTGAATGGTAGAGCGGCGCCAGACCTGATCAGGCTTTGCGTAAAGGCGAAATGAGATGCATTGCCGTAAACGAAGTCGCTCCGTAAAGCATCGACGACCATGAACACGACCCGATTGAATGGAGCCGATCTGGACAGGGATCCTTCGGGCCATGTTGCGATTCCAGGCAGAAAAGCCTTGTGAGGAAAGAAACCCTTTGCAAATATGAGAAGAGAAAGGATCAACAGGATGTTCGAGAGGTATATCGCAGCCTTCCCGACACGACTGCCCAGTCTCATTTTTGGTTAACCGTGAACGACCACGACTGCTGGACACTTGCACAAAACCCCCCTTCAGTCGGATAGTGGCACTCGGCCCCTTGATCTTAGGGTATCATGATTACGATGTGAATGAAGGGTCAACCAGGGTGCGAACGGAGGAGCGAGACATAGCTGATCCGTGTCAAGTTCACGACAATAGTCCCCGAGCATCCGAGGCAGAACAACGTTTAGGAGTTAATGCGCCGCCATATACAGAATAGATCACGTGCTTGATTAAGCCCTTCGGCTCCTCCTCGGACTCCCTTACCTGCCCACAACCTACCAGGTAAGTTATTATAGTCCATGAGCACTGATTGACGGCCACCTCACGCAAATGCCTTCTTGACCGCTTCCGCCATCTCCCCCAAGGACGCATACTCCGCTCCGATCTCAATCAACCCCTCTGCCTGCAATCTCTCCTTGTTCCCTCCCATGCCCGCATCACCAGCATACCTCGCGATCCACACCGCGGGTCTGAACCCTAGCGCCTTCGCACTAACATGATCAATATCCAGACCCTGTGCGACCATCAACGTCTCGCCCTTGGACATGTCGAAATCTTCCTTCAACCGCTCGACAACGTAATTGTAATTTCTCGGATTCGGCTTGTATGAACCAATCAGCTCAGCTGTGTAAATGCCATCCCAATGTACGCCTTTCAGCGGTCCTGCCAGCGTACGCCCAAACGACTCGTTGTCCACGTTACTCAAGACAAACAGCTTATAATGCTTGGCCAGGACTTTCATGGCTTCCACAGCGTCGGAAAAGCTGGCCACTCGCCAATACTCTGGCCAAAGGCTATGCGGTTCTCGCCGGCAGGTTGAACGCTAAGCTCGGCTGCGATGCGATTATACACGGCTTCCAAGATCTTCGGATATGCAAGTGTCGGGTTCTCATGTTCGACGACTTTCTCGTTGGCTGTGTACATACGCAGCAAAATCTTGCGGGTTTCTGGTGTGTCTTCACGACGCGGATCTTCAGCGGGTAATTTCTGGGTGAGACTCAGAAGCTGTGGGTAGATGCCGGATTCCCAATCGATCAACGTGCCGTAGATGTCGAAGAAGATGCCCTTGAATAAGCGGAGGTCGAAGGCCATGGTGAAGCTAGGGATCACGGCACAGGTAAAGAGGGTTTTTAGAACGTGCGCATTCGATTGTGGGATTGATTCGCGATACAATTTATTTTGTATCTTGCTGATGGTCCTAGGCTGGGCACGCCCAATGACTGCGATGATGCAATGATCGAGCTTGCAGTGGTATGCCTTGGCTGATGTGAGAGCGAAGATATCGAGCTAGAACGGTGTCTGGTCGTAGTAGACTTGTCACAGGGTGGATGCTCCACACTGCTCACCATTGACGCGGGGGAGTCCAATCACAATGACGGCGATCTGGGGTGACTATCACACTCCCCTGTTCTCAGCAATTCAAGCGGCGGTAGACTGAGGTCAAGAAATTTGTCCGACCTGCCTTTTGTGGTCGAGTCTGTGATCGCATCAGATTGCTGCTAGTCGAGATTCTGTGGGAGTCTCCTGCAGATGAAGGCTCCGTTCTGGCTGCTCACTTGTACAGCGCTTGACAAGCAGCCTTCCTCATATCGGAGCCCTGTTGACCGATCACCTAGCCTTGCTGCATCCTGCATTCATGGAGAATGGGAAAAACCGAGGCGCCGTTGACACGCGGTTTCTGGACACCCATCAACCTGCAAGTTGGATTCTGCTTGATGTCCTTGCCTAAACGACATGTACGCAGGGGTGTAATTCGGTATGCGAGCGCTCGAGGATCTGTCTGTTCATGGCCTCGTCCAAGTTGGGTGGCGTTGGGCAGAGGAAGTCGCTGATGGTAATATCCTCCATACCTACGCCGTTCATAATGATGTCGTCGATCGTGCGAACGTATTCAAAGCAAGATGAATAGGACGAGATTGTCGGAGAAGAGGTCAAGTCGACTGGTTTGCTCTTCCAAATCCTTCATTATACCATCGATGAGGTGCAGGCTGGATGCCATATGGTGCGGCGTTCGCCTGAGCTTCATCACGGACATGGTGTGGAAGGAGGTTGTGGGAGGTGAAGGAGTTGAAGGAGACACGGTTTGTTTAGTCAGCTACGTCACGTATTTTATGGTCTTCGCGAATTCACGTGATGCAAATTGACATTGAATTCGAAATACGGATATAGATCGCATTGAATGCGGGACAAATGAGCACCCAAGGCTCTTCTCATGGCCACCGCAACAGCCCCTGAATGCAGCTGATCTCGCTGTCTTTCCGCAATGAAGAGTTCTACTCATGGCCCAGCACCATTCCTTCGAGTTCGAGCCCGTGAACCGCTTTGGCGGCGCGAGTGCGGCCATACGAAGACCCAGAGTATGCGCAGACAGTAGGTAGAGACAACGTTCGCCAGACTAAAGCTTCTCAGGAAATCACTCACTTCTCTTATGACGAGGATCACAAGTTTCGACTCGATGCATCCAGCCTGCGCTATTACTACCCTCCGACCCTCCCATGCGACCTCAACCGAGGTTTCGAGACCTTCCGACAGCTCGATGATTCCGCCGACGATCATCTTGACGGACTTTTGGAAGCTATTGTAGCATATGAGAAGGAGAAAGGAGCCAAGACTGAGATTGACATTATAACATGGCGAGGCATGATGACCAAGGTGTGTGAAATGCAGAAGGAATTAGGACAAAACGTGCTCACGAGGTGGACAGATCATGGTAGTCCCATACTCCAAGCTGGACTCTTGGGAAATGAACGCAACACTATTTCAGGGCACTATCTTCATCGAAGAAAACCATACCAAGAAACTCTCCTCGCGACAGGAGCAGTTCTCTGCGGCAGCTCGCCCGAACGCCATGTCCCAGGATATCATGAGTTTCTGGGGTTACAAGTTTGAGACCATCTCGCTCTTACCGGAACCCTGGTCGCTCGTATCGCGCGAGCATATCGAGTCACGCGAGGACCAGGTCGTGAGCAATTATGCACAATACTGCTCGATCGTGCGTACTGGTCTAGGCAAGATCAAAATGATCATTGGCGGAGAAGTAGACGCCGTGCTGGACTTCAAGCCAGAAGACAAATCCCAGCCGGTCAATTGGGTCGAACTGAAGACCACAGCCGCAGTCGTCAACGAGCGCGAACAGATCAAGTTTGAAAGAAAGCTGTTGAAATTCTGGGCTCAATCATTTCTGCTCGGCGTGCCTAAGATTGTCGTCGGATATCGAACTCCCCAAGGGATCTTGGAGCGGATCGAAGAGCTCGAAACTCAGACAATACCAGATAAAGTCCGACAAAAGGGTAAATATCTGTGGGATGGCCAGATCTGCATCAATTTTGCTGCAAGCTTTCTCGAGTGTAAGCATCTTCCTCCCAAAATTGTCCGTGTGACAGGCTGAAAGGTTCTAGGGTTGAAAGGCGTCATGACTGAAGACGGTGTCTGGCGTATCAGAAAGCGGGAAAAGGTTCCTGTGATTGAAGTTTTCAAGCTCGAAGAAACTGGTCACGGAGATATCCTCTCGCAGGCCTTTTTGGACTGGCGTAGTAAGGAACTGGCTGCGTATCCCACTCAGCATTCGGCAGGGACCGCGCATATCAATGGAAATGGTCAAGTACCTGAGCCTGGATGAACCATGCGGTTGTCACGGTACAGCTCAACCTTCTGCCTAGGCCACCCAGGAAGGATTTGAGGCCACTGGACTCTAGAAAATCAGTCCTCAGCCGCGGTCGAAGATGCAGTATGAGGCTGCCCCGGCTCTTGGCTGGCTCTCGCTTCCCGCTTTCGCTGAGCTGCAACAGCTTTCTTATGCCCTCGACTTGCGAGATGACCATTCCATTCTTTTTCGGTCATCAACGTCTTATCGCACGTGTTACATGTTCTCGCAACACGGTCGCTCCCTAGATTTTGCTCATCAGCAGCGGAGAGCATTTTAGCTGCCAGCTCGGAAAGGCTTTTGTGGTCAGGGAGCTTTTCACCGACCAGAAACGACCGCACAAGTCTCTGTGCTTGGGCTGCCACTTCAGTATCCCAATTGTCAAGATTTGAGCAATCGAGGAGAAACAGCATGCCGAATTCATCAGCTCCTTCCAATGCATTGGCCAGTCGGATCCGAATATAGCGATTCTGACGCTTCGCATATCGCCTGGTGCCGGCTTTGACAGACTCAATGGCCTCGGTCAAGGCGCGAGATGCTTGAGGAGACTTGGGCTCAGGGGTCTGCCCTCCATCCAGCCAGCTTGCCATCTCTTTATAGCCGATGGACACCCATATCCCTTTAGTCTTGTCCACTGGGACACCTTGCTGGAACAGTTCTTTTTCGAAGTTCGTCAGAGCAACTGCATCATCGATCAGGCCACGATTGACCATCGCATCAACCCGGTCATTGAGCCGCACTTTCAGCACGGCATCTTCAGCTTCTAACCACAGCAGCAATGTTGGGTAACGCAGAGCAGCCTCTTCATTAGCCATGCTAGCCTCTTGGCCAAGCCGAGGGCGTTCGGCATCATTGTCTGTTGGCCGACTAGGTGGCCTTCTTTCCTGCTGTTCTGCATAGACTTCTGAAGCCTTTCGCCCAGTCTTCAGCCATATCTGGAGCGATCGCTGGATTTTCCGCCTGTCTTTGGGATGCCATCTCCTCGCCATGTCGGGATCAACTTCTTGCAACGCTTGCAGGATTTCTTCGGTCGGTCTCGACAGGATCGGATAGTCGTCTTCCACTCCCTCCACTTGATCATCATCAGGTATGCTTTCTGCAGCCTCGTCGACTAAGGTTGCGTCCTTAAACAAGAGAGCATGGGTGTAGTAGTGCGTCCCACCAACGACTATGGGAAGCTTGCCTCGAGTTCTGATGTCGTGGATAATGCGATTGCTTTCTTTGACAAACTGGTTTACTGTCCACGGCTGCTCCTCCAGCCTAACAAAATCGAGTAGGTGATGAGGTACACCATTGCGCTCGTGCTCTGGAATCTTGTTCGTGATGATTGGCAACCCTTTGTACATTTGCATAGCATCACCGTTGATGATTTCGCCATTGAATTGTGTGGCTAACTCAACTGCTAGCTATCTGTAGCGATTAATATAGACTGTAGACACAGGGACAAGCATGTTCACCTTTGACTTGCCCGTACCAGTAGCGCCAATGACCACCACCAGCGGATCCTTTGGCGGTCCAGCCATCGTGGTTCTGCCTCTTCTGAATATCAATGAGCGTATCAAGAACATCCCAGTCTCAGAGCCTGCGTCGAAACCCCTCCATCCAGGCGCTCACATGCATAGTATGTTTTAGCGACAGCAGAGAATGGGCAGTCGAAAGCAAAACGGCGAATGACTCAAAGCTCTGATATAGTCGAAAATCTGGGAGTACGGAGTATCCTCATCAGTGCCTCATCTACAATCTTTTCAAGGCGATGGTGGTACAAATACTGTGCCGTATATCTGTACGGCTAAGTGAGTGAAACCTGATACGTAAAAGCGCAACTTCTCCAAACTTCCTATCTTGCATTTACAAATTTCACAGAACCTTCCATTCGACTTCAAGACTACCATACTCACCCTCTAACTGCCTGAGCGTCGCCGTGACCAACATCCATTATGGCAGAAGTCGTCCGAGCCCGCACATCTTTCGCACCCTCATCACCTTCCCGCAAACGCTCCGCCTCCCCGGACGCCGCACCTTCCACCACTCACAACCCCAGCGTCGGTACAGCGCTCACTACCGCTAACAACGAAACACCCCTCTCCTCCTCCGAGCCACCCGCCAAAAAGACGAAGCTGATCCGCCGCAAACGCAGGCCGGCCCGCCCTCAAGTCGACCCCTCAACCCTCAAATCTGAACCACCCCCACAGACCGGCACAGTCTTCAACATCTGGTACAATAAGTGGTCTGGTGGTGACCGTGAAGACGCACAATTATCCAAGACCGCAGCTCCTTCGCGCTGCAACATCAGGAATGACTCTGGCTGGACGGCCGCCGACAAGACACCCGGCAGTTACTTCTGTCTTTTCTTTGCGCGGGGCATCTGCCCCAAAGGCCATGAGTGCCAGTATCTCCACCGTCTACCGACTGTGTACGACGTTTTCAATCCCAACGTCGACTGCTTCGGGCGGGACAAGCACAGCGACTACCGCGACGACATGGGTGGGGTCGGCAGCTTCTTGAGACAGAATCGCACACTCTACGTTGGCCGGATCCATGTTACGGATGACATTGAAGAGATTGTGGCGCGACATTTCCAGGAGTGGGGCGAGATCGAAAGAGTAAGAGTGCTCACCGGCCGTGGCGTTGCCTTTGTGACCTACGTGAACGAGGCGAACAGTCAATTCGCGAAGGAGGCGATGGCGCATCAGGCGTTGGACAACAATGAGATACTTAATGTTCGGTGGGCGACCACCGACCCCAACCCACTCAGTCAGAAAAGAGAAGCAGCGAGGATTGAAGAGCAGGCTGCTGAGGCGGTAAGGCGGGCGCTTGGGGAGAGAACTGTAAGAGAGATTGAAGGACGCGAAACCAAGGAGGAGCGAGAGCAGAGACGGATCCAGTCTGGGTATGGACTGGAAGGGTATGAAGCACCGGAGGAGATTTGGTTCAATCAGCAGAAACAGTTGGAGGGCCAAGGAATGGGAGAGAGAGGGCTAATAGAGGCGCCTACACCTCAAGAGGCCACCACGCAAAATGCAGCGATACCACAGTCGGAACTGCAGTCAGTTGAAAAGGAAGCAGCTGACGGAGGCGATGGGATATTTTCGGGCTCTACGCTTGCTGCGTTGAGACGGAATGCATCGACCGCAAGATCACTACCTGCGCAAGCCGTGAGACCGGCTGCCTCTGCTGGACCGTTGGTTGCGTATGGTAGTGATGACGAGAGTGATTGATTGGGCACATCGCGTATAACGACAGCATTTTAGCGTCTATCAACACTTCAGTGGTCCGAATTCACAGACTTCTTCGATGTTTGCAATGCTACGAGATGGTTCCACTCAAGCCTTCGCGCAGACAGGGAACAGCAAGCCTTGCTATATCTGTTCTTTGATCTAGCTGATCGTAACAGGATGCTGCCACTTACAGCGCCACAAGGAGGCTGGTAACTACCTTCAAGGCCTTACGTGGTACTATCCCAGCTTATGGTGAGCTGACGCGTCTCGATCAAACACGGAATTTTCCCCTCTCCTGATTTAATCCTACACGTACGAGTTAATAGGTGATGCGAAACTACACTTCTGAAGATTCTTACCTGGGCAACCGAACCTTGCGGATATGATGGGTTCAGCATTGTTTGCGCGTCGGTTTGCCTCGCCAGGCATCAGGAACGTGAGCTGCTGTTGGGCCTCTTCTGAGCCTATGGAGCTTGATTGGTGCCTTCGACCTCGCAACCTCATTACTCAACCTGCGTTGTCCTGGGTTCACCCGTGCCTCGCCCGGGCGGCATGAGATGACATTCGAGGCGATCCGCGAAAGCGGTATACGGAATGAAAACCACGGCCTCGGCGCAGGGCAAATTTAAGCCACACTCGAGGACATCTTGGCCTTGCCAAAGCAGGACTATCTGCCATAAGGTCTCCGACTTCTGAAGCAATATCATATTATTTTCCGCAGCCGATATATCATCTGAGGGCAGTCATGGACAAAAGGATATCGCAACACCAGAGTATGCTCCACGTGCGTCTCTTCACATCATGTAGTGCTATCTTCACAAAATCTGTCGCCCTGGCAGTTCGTGTACCTCAGAACCAGTCTTTGGTTTGATACCCTCCAGCTCGGATGGTCGGGAGAGCTGGTCAGAATAAGGAAGCGCAGATTGAGGGTATGACTGTGACTTGTTTGAAAGGATCTGTGGTATCAATGGCTGAGAGGTGTTGGCCTGTCTGCCTAGGCGGCGACGGTATCTGACCAGGAGCGCTGCTAGTGTCATGATGAGGATTGCTGTGACGGCGACGGCGATTCCGATGCCAGCCTTGGCCGCAGTCGAAAGGCCACTTGACGATGTGGGAGCTGACCCAGAACTGTCTCCAGCCTGGGTCGCGGTGCTGGTTGGAGTGGTCTGGGTCAGAGAAGGACTACTGAGTGAAGTTGTCGATAGGGGTGCGGTCGTAGACGTCGAACTTGTTGTGGATGGGGTTGGGCTATGTGTGGAAACGATCGCTCCGAGTCCGTTCAGGACTATTCCACGGTCTTCTGAGCAGCAGGAAGGATCGTTGTCGCAGCAGAAACTCCCGTCATCGCATTCGACCGCACGAGGTAAGAATCCTGTGCCTGGTTCTGTTGCTTGTTATCAGCCTATGGAGGAGGGACATGAAGGAAGTGCAGGTGACGACGAACCATATTGACAGATATTTGAGCATTCACTCCACGGGAAGACGGCACAGGCAGGAACGACGTGCTGGCCATTCTGCACACAAAATCGATTCGGATCACAGAGGTCTGCTGTCTGGCAGCAGATGCGAGAGCCGGAGCACTGCGTGTTATTTGAGAAAACCTGCCCGGTCCAGCCATAGCAGTCGATCTTCCCCTGGAACTCATCGTCTTGGGCCAGGACGTCTCGAAAGGCGGCCCAGAGGAGAAGACTGTGTATCCTCAAGGAAAGCATCTTCTGCGGCAGGGTTGGAAGAAGTCAGTTTGTCGAGATTGCTGGAGCGAAACCGAGGGAATAAGGTTTGGTCAGAAGGGACAGTGATGTACTACCATGCAAGGCGAGAGAAGGCGAACGGAGGGTATCCTACTCGTCCAGTAGCTCTGAGCGCTACGAGTACCTCCGTACACAGTACTGCCAGGACATTGTTAAGGGGCTATTTGACAGACCATGGGCCACTAATCGCCGCGGCGCAAACACTTGATAACATGTTAATGCAACGCTAAACAGGGGGATGTGTTCGAGATGCAAGGCATTTCTTTCGAGTACAAACTGTAGGCGTTGCTCGTCGAGCTCGTGGCTCGGCCCTGCTTGACAGCAGTGTTTCTGGAACATGTCTAGGCAAGCTTCGTACCAATTGTTCGTAGATTTGCTACATACTGTACATATCGTGGTGAGCATGGCGAGGCCACTGGCAAGCCGAAGGAGCAACGGACGCTTGCATGTTCCCGAGGCTCCGTAAGGCCACCCCAGATATTCAGCTTCACTGTCCACTATGTACTATGGGTACACACCATTGTCCTTGCTCGGCAACTTCGCTTATTAGACGCCCAACTGCAATGGCTGGTAAGGCTCATGATGGGCACTCTGAAACCCCTATGCGACTCACAAGGCCTCGTTTAATCATGTTCCCCACAAGGCCACGTCTTCGCCCGCCGGGTCCAGATGGGGGCCGCAAATATAGGTAGGTGGCGTCGTGTCGTGTGCTCTAGTTATTAGTGGCGCTGGGCGACCTCATCGTGCAAAGAAGCCTGAATCGAGACTCTGTCTGATCTAAATCTCGGCGTGACTTCCTGAACTCCCATCGTCGACTTCTTCACCAAGTCGGTATGACAGCTACTGACGATGAAAAGTCGTCTCCCGGGAGCACTGGCTGCGAGAAGTCGGTCCCTTGCCGTCGCAGCCTTTGCCATCCTCCTCCTTCTTTCGCTTTGGACCTGGAAGTGGCCGGCAGGTGCTCCTCGCCCTGATATTCCACCTCACACCAGTGACGGTCTTTCTCTCGACTCACAGTATGCATATGCCTCGGCTGCGGAAGCGGCCTCTTACATGCGCACCAATCCACTGGACAAGTCGCAATTCGGCGAGATGGGAAAGAGAATGAAAGTTATCAAAGAATGGATTATTCACAAGGAGACGGCGAACCTGACACCACAGGAACATGAGAAGTGGTCCGAATTGATCGAAACGGTGGCTGTAAGCCTGGTACCGTTCATTCAAGCACCGGACTCTTCCCCCAACAGTGAACCGCTGGGAAACCTTCGTAAAAGATACGTTCCCGGCTCCAAGGGACTCGTCATCACCACGGGCAAGCAACGCTTCCGGTACGCATGCCACCTCATCACCAGTCTCCGACACGTCCTGGGGTCGAAACTACCGATTCAGATTGCTTACTCGGGCGAAGACGACCTGCCAAAAGCTTATCGGGAGTTTATTACTAGCCTGGCGCCAGACGTGTCAACCTACGATGTGACGTCTGTCTTTGACGATCGAACGTTAGACCTGCCGCACGGCGGCTGGGCCATCAAAGCCTTTGCCATTCTTGGGAGCACCTTTGAACAGGCCATCTTGCTCGACGCAGACGCCGTGTTCCTCCAGCGGCCCGAGGTCATCTTCGACGAGCATCCTCAGTACCTGGAGACCGGTACGCTACTGTTCCACGACCGTCTCCTGTGGCAGGGCGCCTTCAAGGAACGTCACGCATGGTGGGAAAAGCAGCTCGAGAATACGACGCTCAGCGACACGATCAAACATTCCAAAGTCTATGTCGAAGGGTATGCGGAAGAAGGTGACTCTGGTGTCGTCGCTGCCGATAAGTCGCGCCTCGACGTCTTCATCGGTCTACTACACATTGCGTGGCAGAACACAAAGGAAGTTCGCGAGGCGTATACATACAGACAGGGCCACGGCGATAAGGAGAGCTGGTGGTTTGGATTCGAACTGACCGGCACACCTTACTCGATGGAACAGCATTATGCGGCCATCACGGGCCACGTGAAACTGGACAGCAGTAGTGGAGTCCCGGAGAATAGAGTCTGCAGCTTCACCATTGCCCATGTCGACCATAAGTCCCGCTTACTCTGGTTCAACGGGAGCCTTTTGAAAAACAAGGAAACTGACTCGGTCGAATTCGATGTTCCGACCGAGTGGATGGTCGACGGCACGTGGGAGAAGGGCGCTACGAAACAGGACATGAGCTGTATGAGTGGTGCAGAGGTTCGGTCCATCGATCAGACTGTCGTCAAAATCCTGCAGGACTCGGTAGAGCGAGCACAAAAGGTGGACGACGACCTGCGCAAACTTATCCCAGAGTCTGTGCCCTGAAGATCCTGGATGATCAAGCGATTATTATGACAATGGAATAATGTGGCGCAGTGCTCACTTTTTCTACGACGACTCTGGATATCTTAGGTTGGCGTGAGAAATAAAAGACGGTCGCTATATAGGTGTGTACTGTAATATCATCATCTGAAGAAACTTACTCCTTGAAATGGCCGATGGTGCTGACCACATCGGTGCGCAGTTGCTGTCGTTGATGCCATTCACAGCTCGCCATGCTTTATTCCCACCTCGCCACTGAGATCCGGCATTCTCATGATCACCACGACGAGACTCGTCCAGCCTGTGAAATGCTGAGTTCTTTGTCCGGCGCCCGTCTCGGGATTATACTGCTCCCACGCAAACCCGGTGGCTTCCCACTGGTCAAACACGTTCTTGACCAGATTCGTCCTCAACTCGGTATATATCTTGGTCGCTTGCGTCTTGACCTTGGCGGGCGCGTCGGGTGCTTGTGCTACCGCCAACAGGTTCTTGAGGATGAGATAGTTCATGTTCATCCAGATTGGGGAGCGCCAGTAATTCTCGTCCGTGCCGTAGAATTCGTCGGACTTGCTTAGTGATCGGATTCCGTAGGGCGACCAGAGTTCATCCTCGGCCCGGATGAGGTTGAGAATGTGGGGAAGGTTGGGATGCGTCGCCGGCATGAGGCCTGTCATGAAGGGGAAGAGCGAGATGTAGCCTTTGTGGCAGACATGCACGGAGTCCTCGTAGTCGTCGATCGTGGCATCGCAGTAGGTTTTGTGCTCGGCCGACCAGTGTAGATCGTCGATATTGCGTAGGATGGCGGTACTTTGAGTCCTGAAGTCTCCAGAGTCGTCGGTCTCGGATAAGATTGTGGACAGACGGAGGAGAGTTTTGGACATGAGTCCGACCCACGAGATCAAGTCAGTGTGCAGCTCGCCGGGATGAGGGGGCTGAGGGCGCGGATAGTCGTCCAGTCCGGAGGTGAGGATGTGTTGCGGCGTGCGACCTCGCCAGCGGTAGGCTTCTTTCGTGGAGAAGGCTTCACGGTCATAGGATTTGATGTCGCCAAATTGAGTGCGGCGAAACCAGTAGTACTGGCGTTTGAGGAGAGGGTATAGCGAGCGCAGCTCCGAGTCGATTCGAGATTTCTGGGCGGAATATTTGGGATCCGAGAGTTTGTCCATCAGGACATCGATGATCAGGAACAGGGTGGGCGGGTTGGCATAGTGAGGATATTGGACTTGAAACTCGGGCGGGACTTTGCTTCGTGCTTCGGGACCAAGTATCTGTTCTCTAGCAATCCAGCCGTCTTCGTCCATGAGATTGAACCAAGACTTCACGATTTCCATGGTGATTTCGAGGTCCCACTCAGCAATAGGAACGAGATGGAAGCCTTCATCCCACAGAAAGCCACGGGGAAAGAATGGTCTGGACGGGACGCTGGTAAAAAGTTCACGAGCGGGATCTTTGACGACCTCCGCTCGAGCTCGGGCTTCTGCCGTTTCCTCCCAAAAGCCTTCGTTGTCTTCGTCGTACTCTGGCGCATAAGATCTATCCACCAGGGAATCCCCGTAGAAATACCCGATACCGCCGAAGAGGTTGGAGAACATCGACTCTGCAAAACTGGTATAAGCAGGTTTGGTGAAAGGTGTCAGAGGCTTGAAGATATTGTCAAACTTGGCTCTAAAGCTGGTGGACGACTCAGCAATAGCTTTGGTCAAGGTGTCGGTGGAAATCGAAGGACCAGAGGCGGAATTGAATAGGACGTCAAACTCGAATTCACCAACGAAGATTTTCTGAACCATATGGAAGTTACCTGGACCAGAATCTTGTGAGATGGCGAATGCTGCCCATGGTGGTGGCATGTTTTCCTGCCCATACTCTTGCAAGAATTTGTCTATGTCCTGCTTCATGCTAGCAAAGACAACATTTTTGGCCTGCCAAATGGCATCTGGTGGCAATTGCAGGCTGCAAGTGAGAGGACTATCCAGTGGTTTCTCGTCCCACGATGGATGGGTCTTGTATGGCATTCGGTTCTCGACTGGATCCGTAAACACAATGTCGAAATCTCCCAGGTCGGTCGTAGAGCCATGCAAGGTCACCTTTTGCTTTGTATCAATATCATCGTCTTCGAAGGCTAATTGGCCCAGTCCTTCCATGCCAGCATAGAAGACGAGCGCCGTAACAAGGTTTGCGTGAGCATCTTCTCTCGGTGTGCCCTTTATCCTCGCAGCCCAACTTCCTCCGTTTTGCCCGCCTGGAATCTTGACGAAGTCAATTGTCAGGTCGATCTTGTTCCCAGTATCGTGTATTGTCTGACGACCTCCATTCCGAGCGTCGTACTCTTCCCAGCCATACCCTGCCATTCCTTCATTTTGTTCGCAGGTGTGACGGAAGTTAGTCTGGGCAGTAGCAAAAGTTTCTGTGTTGGCCCATAGCAAGCCTGTCATCAAGCTGTTTGGCAGGCGAGGGCGTACTCCAAAGTAGAGGTTTGGTCTGTAAGGGCCCCATAGTAAGGTGTCATTCCCAGCGGCAGCCGCATGCGCTGAGATGATGCAGAGGAAGAGGACAGCGGAGAGACAGGAGAGCAGTCTCCGTAGTAATGGAGAGCCTCTTGAGAAGCTTGACATTGTACCTTAGGGCCAGTCGGAATGGCCTTTGTCGTCGAGGCTGCCAGCACCGTCGCCCTTGTTAAGTTACTTTTACTGGCGCAGTTTGGAAACATTTTTGTGCCAGCGGTCGATCTGGCCTCAACCGACGTCACCAGGATGCGTTTCAGGGGGAACGAATCAAGAGGGCGTCGGGAGGACTCCCATCATCGCCAAGCACGGCGCCCGGAGTGGGGGATAATACCGGGGATGCAGCCGCCCGGGAGAGCTTTCACGGGCTTCCTCGAAGGATGTGGTTAACTACCTACTCCGTACCTAGGTAGGCAATTCCTTTGGTGACGGCTGTCCCGTCAATCATCTGGCGGTAACCTAGTGTGAACAACGAGGCACAGGATCGTAGTCATAGCATGTTACGGACTACAGATATATGAGAACGATACTACCTATGGATGACTCAACCGCTGCCTCTATACACAGACCGCACCACTCTCGGCTCAAAGCAACAGTTTCCTCACGAGCATTCGCAAAGACTTAGTTGAAAAGGAACCCATTGCCGTGATCGAGCGGCTCTTGCACCACTTGCATAGCAGGCACGGCCATGATCCTCTGGTTGGGGAAAATGTCTGACAGTGTTCTTGTCAGATACCTGCTTGCCGGGCTAACGCATGAGATTGTCGAAGGCTGGTCTTCTTGCTGTGCTTTCGCTATGCACCTCGTTACAGACCTATCCATCGAAGATATCGCCTGCAGGAACCTCCAGGTCATGGTCATGACCGCTTCGTCTCGTGAGAAGTGGAGAATGACTCGATGATTTCAGGCTGCCCTTGAAGGGGATCGGCCCTGCCAAACATCCGAAGGTACCATTTCCTTTCTTCACCGTGCTGCGCTCTTGGTGGCAAGCCCATTATCACCTGAACAGACTTTGTGTGCGCTTTGAAAGCCCGAGTGGCAGAAATCTCTTCCGCATCAAAATTGGCTTGATGATGCCCAAAATCGCAAAGGTCAGTCTGCCTTTCGCTGAGCTCGCCAATGTCTTATGCCTGCGATGTGCCTCTCAATCCACACTGCCACCTTCAAGGCCCCTTTTGACGACGACTTGTCAACGCTTCCAGCTGACATAGCCAAATCTCGACGGGCCGGCCAGGTGGTACAAAGACGCATCGGACTAACCAGGTCTTGCCTGCGCATCTATCACTAAACTCTGACAAACGCAAGGCAAGACATGGCGGCCTTTTGATTCGGGCATCCAAGTTGTTTTGGCCTTTTCCCAGAGCAGCGACTCTGTGCTTTTTCAGATGTTCCAGGCGCAGTCGCCGCCAGGCTGATTCTGTCCTCATGGCCAGAACGGTCCAGCTCATCCATTCTTTGCGCAGCCACCCTTTCCTCCTTGTCCTCAGCTGCTGGTCCGACGCCTGCAGGACCTAATCAGGTTGACTCCTCATGTGGGCACAGCTCCTGCTCTTCCGTTCCCTATCATGGTTGACTGTGACTCTCACAGCCATGGGAGAGAAGACATTGGCAAAAAAGGTTGGCTTGGTCGCGCTAGCACTGCCACAGCGGGCGATGCCAGTCGCTGTTCGCGGTGTCGCGAATGGAAGGAGCGACGAACAGTAAGACGGACCGATTTCCCAATGAGTGAGCATGGAGTTTGGAATGGAAATTGCTGCCAGACGATGGTGACCTACCAACCCAGCTTATCGCGTTGGGTGGTGAGAGTGGACCGGTCGAAGTTTTGCTTAAGGCAACCGCAGACAGCCAGGCTAGGTGAGACGCCTTCCAGGCTGCTCAACGGACTCGCCGTGCGATTGCGTGGTCTAGTCAGCTCCCAAGCACACGGTGTGAACTGGCTTTCTGTGACTTCAGGTTGGTGTCTCAGACCCACCTGCGCCTGTGTGCCTTTCTCCTGTCAGCCGCCTCATTGACCTTTTGCAGTAGCAGCGGTGGCTTGGTTTAGCGCCCAGCAGACGCAATGTGAATCTAGAGACGAATGCAATCTTCCAAGGTCGCCGTCCGGACTTCAAACTAATCGTGGATCAACCACTTTCTATCCAGCTTTTAAGCAGCCTTCCGCTAAGGTTGCATCGCTACATGGCATCACTTCTCCAGAAGTCCCGCTCATGCCGGCCGTTGTCTCCTGCCAAATATCAGTTTCAGTGACCGGTCAGTCAACAAAGAAAGCTGCAGTGGATATCGACCAATCACAGAATTGGCTGGTCGTGGTTGGGTGCTAGCTAACCTTCCCGCGACAATCGTCTAATTACTGCAGTGTGCAATATCTACACCGGTTATCAAAACTCCCTGGACCCTCGGCCACTACAAGTCTGCCACTGGACGATCAGTAGAAATTGCGGCTGGTTGGCAAGCCGGCGAATTGTCAAGTGACACTCTTTTGCAGGAAACACTTCAGCCTTGGGGTTTTTCTTGACCGTATGAACGGAAGTCCAAGGGGCTACAAGCATGTCGGTCTCGATTGGGAATCCGTGACATGACATGACGCTTTTAGTACAGCTTCGAGCACATGTCAGATCGGGCTATCTGAAGTTTACAGTAAATATGAGTTCGAAGAACATACGAGTCGCAGACGGGGTACTTTCCTCGAAAAGGGAAGTACTAATAGTCAAAAGGTCGTGTATGTCGTCTCGCGCCTTTTGTCGTATATATATAGGTTTCGCTCCAGATCTACCTTCTGGGACCTAAAGCTTCAAAGAGTCATTAGCACATACTCTTAGGGATCAGTGATCTGGAATGAACCACCCCCTTCGAAACCTTTCCAAGCCCATTACCATTACAAAAAAGTACTTTTGCTCGCAAGAGACCAAATGTCCAGGGTACTGGACTAAAACCACAGAACTTTCTTTGGACTTTATGCTCGTGTTCCCAATAATAACTTTGGTCCCCGCCCAAAGTTTCAATGCTAACTAGCTCCTCCCAGTCGACAACAAATATCCTATGCTAGCTACTCTCATTTGACACAAAGATTAGAACTATGATAGCTCCTCCCCAGTCCGGCCCAGACTGCTAGACAGTGGTCTCGTAGCTATTCCAGCCCTGTAGCCAGGTAAAAGGCCGTCGACCTCCTCTCCTCCCTCCTGCCACTGAAGGAAGGCTGGACCGGACGGACAGTGGTGGTTGACGGCAATTGTCTCTCGACCCAAAAGCCATGAATCCTCCCGGATTGGGATCAGGCTGGTTAAAAAAAAAGCAAGCAAGCAAGCATTAGCCAGCCGTGCCAGGGGGGTCAATGGCACCTTCTCCCCTAAAAAGCCATGTCAGGAGGGCCCCGGGTGGTTATATACTAGCCCCTAACTTCACTTTGCAGTATGACTAGGTAGGCGGACCCTTTGCGCTCTCGAGTGCGAATGTCTAATATCCTTGTAATGCTTCAAACTTTTTGGCATATATACTCTCTCTCGCTGTCTCTTTCCTAATCTCGTGATGAAATGATTCAATCGATTTGCCAGCCCATAGGCTCAACAGCCAGCGATCGCCCAAAGTCAGATGAGTACCTCTGTGGCCCAACCATGTTTTGATCGGATATCTCAGGAAAACGGTTTTACGAATTGTGAAGGTTCAGGGCGGTAAGGTTGAGCTACTGGACCATTGTCGAGTCTGTCAGATGTTTCTACTTCAGTCGGACCCCCTTCGAAAAAGACCGTGAGCAGCTCTCTTGAATACGGCCAAGATGTGGCATGCATGAGAGGCAGGAGCAGAATGTGACGAGACAGAGCAATGTCGCCTTGAGGAGCATATCCAGGATTGGTACCACGATAGGCGCAAGAAAGAGCAGATGTCACCGACCACGAAGGTTACAGACACGACGATCCTAGACAAACATACAAGGTGATGACAAGCTGTAAGTTCCGGGCATTGAAAGGAGGGCATATAGTTGGTGAACCCCTCCATTCTTGCCAGATACTAGTTCATGGATAGATGGTAGAGAAACTCGAGTACATAATCATTCGATCGAGGTATGAAATGAAGAGCTTCGCGGCTCTGATTATCGACCCCCTTTCGTCATTATCTTGATCTTTTCTGCCCGTGACGCTGAGGAGAGTCATCGAGAGAGTTGCCCTTCTCCTTTTCGTGTAACTTTGTAGGCGGATGAGTCACCATCGTCAGCCACATGGGTTTCGACATGCTCGACGGTAGGTTTTCGAGGGAACAAGTAGGCCTGGGCAGCCTCCCATGGATAACCGAGGTCCTGTCACTTGTTGAGAAACTGGAGCGGTCTCGAGGAGTCAAGAGTTGCCAAAGTTGTCCGTAGACAGACCGATGCCGGTTGCTATTGAAGTCTGCTACAGCGATAATGTCAGTCACAGACTTGGGAGACTAGATGTCTATGCATACCTACCGGTTCTGACACAGAGGGGAGGTTGTCGAGGTCATCGTCTGATTGCTAGTGGCGGACATGACTTGCATCTAGGATGCTCGCATTTCAGACACTTGTTGTACAAATCACGCAGATAAGGAGTGCGTAGATAAGGAGTGTCTTTCTTTGACAGATCACATTGGCAACAGTACCAGTGTGTTGCAGGCGCGAGTCGATGTCGTGAAGACTTGTTTCGATCCATGAGCAGCGCAAGTGTCTCAAGGCCCAAGTTGAAGGCAACCAAAAGACGAGGGTTGTGCGTTTGAAGTAACCTTTGAGGCCGAAACGCTTGTGTGAAAGAGCAAGGTTGTACTCTAAGACCTCACATGGAAGGTGGGAAGGGCTCTGGTCTAAATACTGACCCCTTTCCCTGTTATATGTTGACTAGGAAAACTGAAGGCACCTTCGAGAGGGGGCGGTGTATTTGCCCGGCAGGGCTCATGAGTAGGTACATGCCCTGCTGCCAGGCCTCTTGTTGGGAACCCGACATCATGGCTCCCATTGGACTCCGGGGAAGCAGCCATTCAAGCAGTAATCTGGTATGTGGGGTCCAGCAGGGGTAAAGGGTACAGCTCCTGGCATGATTTCTGCATGGAAACAACGAATACAAAGTCTTGTGTGGGTGGTTCCAATGCTGTATCGTGTTCTGGAAAAGGACATCTCATCCAGATCCGAGAAATTAGTCAAACCCCCGGAGAGTAGCGTCGGCTGGTATAAGGCGCCGGCTCTTGCAGCCTTTTGCAAGCTGGGGCATGTTTTATGGCATAGTCTCTGCGCCTGCTTCGAAAGGCAAGCGTCCAATGAAGCCGTGGCCTTACGCGCAGGAGTACAGCAATGGGGCATGACTGCCCGATCCCAAAATTCGACAGCGTGTAAATGAAGGGCTGGCACCAGGGTAGGCTCAGGGCACGAGGCGGGTAAGTGAAGTAGTGGCGCTGCCTGAGTCTGTCATCGCCAGAGATGGGATCCGGATTCAGCCTACCAGTCGCCTTTGTTTGCCTGTTACCCTTCTTCTGAGAGACAGACTGAGCATTCAAGCTGCAACATGTACAGGTGACAAGTGCCGATCTTGTCTTTCTTCGAGAAGGTCATTTCAGACGAGAAACGATGGCGTCTTAGCGCCTCGTATACCCCCCCTGCAGCAGAATAATGATCCCTGTCGCCACGTGCGACCTTACAGAAAACTTTTGCTTTTTTTTTGCATTAGGCTTGCTTCTAGGGAGGTCGATCGGCGCTACGCCAGCCCAGCATCACCAGGGCGTCTTCTAACCGAAACGGTGAAAGAAGAGGTGAAGGTGGTACTGCAAACTTTTGACAAAGAGAGGATGGTCTTGTGAGTCAATGGCCAGTTCGTACCTTCGCCAAGCAAGGGTCATGGTCTCGAATTAGAGATAAGTGAGAGCAGCATCGTGCGTAGAAGCTTTCGGGTAGATGATGCTTGAGAAACCAAAAAGCCGTGTCCTGGGAAGGAGGGTGGGAAAAAGTGTTCAGTGGAATGTTCCTCGCGTGGCAGCTGCAGGTGGGGAAAGTGTCCATGCACGCGCAGAAGCGCCATGCCAGATAAGCAAAAGTACTCGGTATCCGCAACCAAGGTCTTTTGCGGGCAAGGGAACTCCCAATAACCAGACATAGACCTGTAAGATCTGAATGAAAGCACGAAAAAGATTTTGAGGGTGGCCTCCGATAGATTGACGCAGAGGTAGAACGAGGGGAAATCCATGTAAGCTATAGTAGTAATGCAAAGTAATGTCGAACAAAGCCTGCCACTTTCAATCAACGATCTCGATCTGCTTCGAAACCTTGTAGGCGCTGCGAGCCACAATGCTTGACTTAGGTTCGAGCAGCTCCTCCGTAACGTCTGCGTAATCCCTGAAAGACGCAATTCTCAGACCACGATGGCGGTATACTCAGCGCGTGTGACCGCCCATGACCGCGGATCGCTTGACTGACCCGTGACTTCGCTTGTTGCACTCATAACATTAGCCAATTTCCCCTATGATCTTGGGGTACCGACTGCGTACCAAAGAGCACCGAGCTAGCGAGATTGTCGAGGAGGTGTCCGGTCCTCCCTTTGAGAGGCCCTCCTCGGTTTGAGGTGGATCCTCTTGCAGCCGGCTCGACATTCTCGATGGTTGCAAGCTGGACATCGATCATGATGAAGTACTAGTAAGTTTGCTTCCTCGCACTGGCAACACTTCCAGGCATTGATAGGGCCTTTCTTTTCGGGCTTTGATGGCATCGCTGAATCAAGTTGCGGAAGTAGAAGTGTTAATACAAAGAAGAACTGAAATAACAAATCTGGGAATGATGTAGCTGGTGTGGAAGGTTTGAAAGCAAGCGCACAAAACAAATGGGAGTTGCACGACTCTTAAATCTTCTCTGGGACCTGCTGTCACGAAGGCTGAGCGCCAGGTCTTACCTTCACCGCAATCAGATCTCCTGTTTCTCAGGTCCACAGCCATGATGAAAGTTGCCTTACGGTCCCTGTGGAGCAGGGATGACGGCGTTGTGCCAGACTGAAAGCTCGGGAGCACCGCTATGTTGGGGGACCGGGGGTAAGTTAGTAGAAGTTTCCTGATAGCAAACTTCCCGGTAGCTCTCGATAGAACGAAGCAGCAAATCGTCGATCTAGCGGCGAGACCAAGACGCTCGGTTTGAGTAGGCGTTATAAGAAAAGGATGCGGTTCCCGGCCAAAAGGACAAGCAGATGTGCGGTAGACTTGATCAGCACCAACTGGGAGCTTCTCAGGCTCGGGAAGCTCGGCATGGTCGTGATTGGGGACGCGTCCACAAAGGGATATTGACAGGACTTCTTCGTCGCAGTTGGAAGGCATCGTTGCTTGCCCCACCGAAGCCTGAAGGCGTAATTGCGTCTTGGGCAGTATCATTTTTCTCTCGCACAGGGCGTAGTTCCATCAAGCACTAGTGCCTGATAATACGAGACGGAACAGTGGCCGCCAGAGAAAACGAACGTGCACGATGAAGGCAATGCTCGAACGGGAGAACAATCGGCCAGGCCGCAGAGGGTCAGAACGTGCCGTTGATCCATATCAAGCAGATGGGCCATAGATCTCGAGGGGTGTGTCGAGCAATGAACTAGTGCATCTGTAACTCTGTCACAGCCACAAAAGGACACTCCAAGGCGGAGTATTACTGTTGTCTGGCATGGTGAATGGCGATGGAGAGATGATTAAATGAGATTTGCCTGCCTGTTTTCCCAATTTTTGATGCCTGGCCATGGCTTGGCGACGCGGATGTGGATAAACGTCATTCCGCCTGGCGAGGCTACTCTTACCAAAAGTCCGCCTTGACTGTGTTCTGATTGCAATTAGACGTTACCTAGACGCTTCACATGCTTGGTGACGTTCTCTTCGTGACATTTCTGAAGTTGTTATGTCTGTTGCGGAGCAGTTCGGTGGATACCTGCGCCACGGTCAGAAACAGGCCGTCTGCGTTTCAGACCACTATTCGACTACTTCCACACAAGCGAATGTTCACAATACTAACTTGCAATAACTATGTTTTAGGTCTTAACGCCTCACTATCTTCTAGACTAGCATACTGCCTACATAGTAGTGTATGACTTCAGGGCGTCTGATCCACAGGGCTGCGCTGTTCAGCCTTGTGGGCCGGCGTTGCAGCCTTGTGAAGGGAGGCTGAGTCTGAAAAGGCCGTACAGGGACAGTCAGCGACAATCCGCCCGGTCATGGAATTGAACGTAGGCTAGATCTAGTTTGCCGTCGAAGCGAATGCGGGTCACGCACGTCTTGTCGGCTACCGACCATGATCGCCGATGGCTGAAACTCATTGTACAAATCCCACGAATGACGACTGTTTCTGATCGATTGAAAGAATAGCTAAGCTCATCAAAGCTATGTTTCGACGCCAAAGGAGTCCAATGTTCCGACTATCCTTGCCTTTGCAACTACAGGTTCCTCCATCACAATCTGGTCGTAATCAAGCACGGTCCTCCGCATATCCCATCCCACAGCCTCACTATTGCAGCCCTAAGCAAAGCTTGCGATCCCTTTCGCCTTCAAACGGCAGAGCCTTGCAGCCAAGGTTGAAGCCCGGCCTTGTGAGCCGGCCTTGGGAGCAAGTTAGTTGCTGTTTGAGAGCGCCTGAACAAGACCAAGGTACGTACCATGGATTGGATACACAAGGCTTTGTCGGAATCATTTCCTCTTCTCAGTCTTGCATTTGGAGCAACTTTTCCTGTGGCAATTGGAGCAATGTGTGTCGTGCGCCGGGTTATGTGGTCCATGACCGCAATGGCAGCAGAACCAAACATATTTACCAGATCCACCACAGACAAGTGGTTCTAGATCGTTCGGATTCTCGAGGCGTTCAGAAGGATGCTGTTCTGCGATTGCCACATGGATGGGCTCGCAGGTGTCTGCGACCCGAGCCCGTGTGTGGTCGACCAGGCCGGGCTTTTGACAGGTAATTGGGTAGCGACTGTAGGTGGCGTTAGCCCTAGCAACACAACGTAGCCTGCTCGCTTTGACTTACCACATAATGAGTAGGTAAATTGCTTTAGTCTTTCTGTGGAACAGTAAGTAGTATCGGAATGAAAGAGGAATGAGTACACAGATTCGCAAGATACCTTCACAGAGAACACGCACATTGTAACTGACTTTATATGCTTCAACGGCATGAGATCGGCTCTGAGAGAGCTGTGAGACCAGGACAATCACTCCAGCAAACGGAAGGGCTGTGCTAGACTCGACGAATGGCAAGATTGCTGAGCAATTCAGCCTGAGCTTCACGTTGGATCCAACAGCCAACGAGACACGGTGCTCGCGGATTTCAAGCCGTTATAGGTGAATTGCAATTGCAATATGGGTGGCGCAGAGACAGAAACCGTCGAAAAAGGCGAAATTGACGCTCTCAAAGTGCAACTGCTCCACCGAGAAGAGAAATCCAGCCTGAAAGTCGGTCGTTCTCAGATCTGATTGACGCTCCATTCTGTTCCATGGAATGGCAGGTTACATCCTGGGCCCCATGAATAATAATCCTGGACATTTTCCTGAATGTCTGGTCCAATCTGGGCCGCCAGCGCCTTGGGACCGGATCACTTGTGTGAAGAAAAAGTCATTCTGGGGTGCCCGAGGCTGAAACACCGAGAACTGGTTGATGGTTTCGGTCACTGAATTCCCAATCAATGGCCAATGGTTCAGCTCGCAGGAATGCAATGCCACGGGACAGCCTAGTGTAACTAAAACCTGAGAGGCCGGTCTGGAAACCGTCTCCTACAATGGTCGAACAAATGTTTGCCTCTCGAGGGTGCGCCTACCTGTACCAGGCAACCGCGCTAGTGTCGTAGCTTTCAGAAGTTGTGCGTGATCAATGCTCAATACTCCACCAGGATGGATATAGTGACACCGCGTTTGTGAGCGGATCAATAAATCCGCTCAGCAGTTGAATCAGTTCATCGGCGGCCTGCACAAGTTGCCATGAGCCACGCAATAGCCACAATGCCTGATCCGTGCAGTGGATAGCAGGCAGTGAGCGGAACAAAGGCGTTGCCCGGAATCGCGTTGACGTCGTCCGCGAGTCGGCGCTTGAGTCGTTCAGCATAGCCACATGTTTAGAAGTGCTTCCTGGCCAGGGAGATACGAGACTCAAGATCGAGCTTAGTATCAACACCAACACAGGAGGGTTTCCGGCTTGTGAGATGCACACTGATGGAGAAGTGAAAGGTCGCTGCACGAGCGCGTTTTGGATGGGGCCACCACGGCCACCTAGGGCCAAGTTCTGGAGCAGTCCTCGGCAAAGTTTCCGATTTACTTCCCCCGCACTAAGCTAGTTGAGGTAGTCGTCGAGGCTGACACACTTCACCTGACTAGCGCAGCCTTGCACTGCTGTGCCGTGAATACTCTTCCATGGCTGAGGTGAAGTTCGTCTTCTTTGCGGATCTGTTTCTCTCTTCCCTGTCCTTTCCTTTCCATCACAAAATTCCCAATTCCACAACCTCACACACACATTCGCCCAGTAGTTGCTTCTCACATCGTTCGGCAGAGCTCCAAAACCTCAGATTACCCCTCTTGCTCGTCAAAATGCCTAGCAAATCCGGCTCCAGCTCATACACCCCTTACACCATCACCGGCAGTGGCACCAACAGCCAAGTACAATGCACCTGTTCCACCTTTCTGCATTGGACTTTACGCTGACTTAGCTACACTATAGGGTAATAGCTATGACACTCGCAGCCAACTAAGCGGCGATGCTTATCATTACTCCAACACCAGTGGGTTCTCATCCTTCTGAGCAACGCTTTACAATGGCTAACGGCTTCTATAGATGGATCGTACTACTACTCCAATGGCAACGGCAGCACTTATTACAACTCCGGCAGTGGATCTTCCACCTACACTGCGCCCGACGGAAATACTTACAAGAAGTAAGAGATGGTGCCGTGTTCTCGGTGAAGACCGGTTGTGATATTAGCGTCGGGATACTTGCCCAGCCTAGTATTCCCCCTCCTTACGCTCAGTTACGAGTGACTACATATAGCGGCCAGTCTTTCCCTCTTAGATTAGTTAGTTAATTAATCTCTTCCACCGCTACAACCATAGGTGGTAGTAACGAACCTACTTACAAGAGCGGCCGTATTCTCTTGTAAGGGTAGTTAGCGGGTCTTATACGCCCGTAACGATTCTAACTGCTTCGATCCTTTGTTATCCTCTATATCGACGATAGCCCTTAACGACGACTTTAATAACGATAGCGACCTTAATTCTAATACTTTAATATAAGGAATTTTTACTAGAGAGATTAGTAGAGTAGTAATAAAACTATTTATATTGTATCGTAATTACGTATATTTAGTTTCTAAAAAGAGAAGGAAGAGTTAATAAGATAGACTTTAAGGCCCTAAAACCCCTAAAACGTATAGTAATTAAACGTAACGACACGAAGAAACTAAAGTCTCGTAGAAAAGAAGACTTTTTAGCTAATAAGGATATTAGAGAAGAAAGAAGAGGACGAAATAAAGAGAGGTTTACTAAATCCTCGTTATTACGGATAGATACGCCTTAACTCTTCTTCCTTCTAGACCCTTTTATTGTAGAATAGACCTTCCTTCTTCTCTAAAGGTCGGCTATATTAATAATAGTAGTAGTAGCGACCTTAGTAGCTAAGATAAGAACCCTATACCCATTAATACTAATTCTCTTAGTATATTATATAGTATTTCGCTCTTTACTTAGTCTAATAGTATTACTATTAGATAACTTAGCGAAATATTACGAATATATATATATATTAGCGAATAATATTATAGTATTATAAATAATACTTCTATTTCGTAAGGACTAAAGATACGTAAACTACGCGTATATAATAGCGACCGTAGTAATAGTTAACTCGACGACTATATATAAAACGTTACGAACTAAATTAACTTCTATAATCGACAAGAACACTAGATAAGTAAACGTAAGAAGGTAAAAATAGCGTCTACCTATCTTATAGAATATATATACTAGATATATACATTAACTTATAGTTCTATACTCACTATTATTAACTACCTTACTTAGTTACGCGAGATCTTTAAGGATAATAATAAGTAATCTTAACTATATAATTAGTAGTATATATATATCTAGAGCGATCGCTCTACTATAGAATATACTTAAGACCTAATTTACTTTATAATTTATATTTAGCTAGAAAAGATTATATTAAAGATTAAGAAGTATTTTTATACTAGCCTTAATAATACTATCTAAATAGAAATAGTAAAATACTCTAAATAGAATAACCTAGCTTTATTTAAATATATTAAGTATACTAATTAATAACAATAGATTAAGACTATTAAAGTATATATCTATAAGAGAGTAAGATAATATAGAATAGATTGTATCTTTACTCTCTCTAGAATATTTCGTCGAGATAATATATAAAAGCTAATATATTTTACTATAGCGTATACTATTGTAATATCTAATAAAGATATAAAAGAATAGCGGGACTAGTATCGAAGGAATACTACTTACTTTAAATATAGCTCTATTAATTATTAGTTCTATAGTTATACGAAATTAATATTAACTACTTATAAGGGTCCGCCCTATCGAGGCTAAGAAGGTTTTAGTACGCGATAACCCTAATAGAGTAAAGAGATTAGAAAGTTTTAACCATAGTAGAAAAACAAAGAGAAACTAAAGAGTTTCGGAAAGTTACGTACTATTACGGGACCTTATAACGACTAGAGAGAATTATAGATAAATAAAGAAGTACTATAGACGACTAAATTAGTAACCTAATAGTAGAATTAAAAGGATTCTAACTAATTCAATTAATTACGTAAAGTAAAATAAGTCTATACCCTTAAGATATATTTATAGAATACCGCTACCTATTAGTTATAAAGTATTATAAGTATAACTTAAACTTTTGTATTTATACGAATTCTAGTTAACTCGAAGGCTACGGAGTAGTACCTTTCGACTAATATTGCTCGTAAGCTATAGATAGAGATTGTAATCGACTCTTTACTATATTAGGTTTAAGTCGCTAGTAGTATATATATCGCTAGTCTAGGAAGAGCTCGCTTTACGCTTCGTATCTATTAATATTCTATAGATCTAACGATCCGTATACTTAAAATTTCGAGGTATAATCTAATTCTTAATTTTAAATGATTATAAATCGCTAATCCTAAAATCGATTAATAATAAATAAGAATTTAGGTCTATAATAAATCTAGAATACTCTATATACTTTCTTTTATCGATATAAATCTATCTAACTTAATTCGTACTAATACGGATACTACCTAGCTATTAAGCCTTCGTACGACTCTTAGGGCTCTCGGAAAGAAGATAACTAATCTCTTTCTAGGGTATATTAAAGGATCGTATCCTCGTTAAGATCTTTCTACTACTCTTAGGGAGCTAGTTTAGCTAGCGATTACAAACTAAAATAAACCGTTATATACCCTTTTAAAACAATTCAAGAGGATTTTTAAGGAAGAACTTTCTACTATCCTTTCCTCTATATATTAAGACGATTACTGTATCTCTACGAGTAATTCTACGCTAATTAATATTAATACGTATCCTCTCTCCTTAATATATATTATAGAGTAAAGTCGATAGATTATATAGATACTATAATAGAGCATTATTCGCGAGTTTACGTCCTTATAGAGATTCTCTATTCTATTCGTTAAAAAACTAGGAGATAAGTAAAGAATATATATTAATTACCGAGTATTAAACGCTATTACAATTAAAAATAGTTATCCTCTACCTCGAATTTAGGAATATCTTAATTTTATTAGGAATACTAAATTTCTATCAAAACTAGATCTTATATAAGAATACTATTAGATTTAGATATATCTCGATAGTCGTAAGAAGACTACGTTTAATACGCGAGAAGAAAAGTTCGAATACTACGCTATACTATTTAGGCTCTATAATACACTAACTATATTTTAGATATTAATAAACTATATTCTATAGAAATATATCGTAAAATTCGTAATTATATATCTTAATAATATATTTATCTACTCTAACGATCTCTCTAAATATTTACAATATTTTATAAATATCTTTAAGATACTCGAAATATATTCCTTATACATTAAACCCTTAAAGTATTAATTTCTTATAAAAGAACTTAAATTTTATAGCTATACAATTAGAAATAAATAGATTCGATCTTTTACAATAAAGGTCGATATTATTCTTTAATAGCTAATTCTAACTAATATATATAAACTTCGATAATTCCTTAGTTTAGCTTTATACTATCGTAGATATATATAAGGTTTTATACGTACTTACGTTCTATTATTTCTACTTTTATAGAAAGCGAATATTAAAGAAAGAAAACGTAAGTTTCGAAAAATTAGATAGAATACTACAGCGGAGAATACTTTTTAATCTTTAAAATAAGCCTTTATAAATACTCTCGTCTTAATATAGCTAAATATAATATAATTATTTTTTATTAAGATAGATACTAGTAAATAAACTATTAATAGAGTCTTACTTTAAGAGGATTACGACTCGAAACGACTTCGTCCCATTACTTACGAAGAATAAAAGCTTACGCCTATAAAAATTAATTATTCTATTCATAAAAAAGAACTACTTACAATTAAATATACCTTAAATATATAGTGTATTTATATTAAAAACAACTATTCGATTACAATCTTTATAGATTATAAAAATTTAAAATATCTCTAAATAATATAAAACCCTATAAAACGACTCGCTTATTAAATTATTAATTTCTCTAAATATAACTTAAAGATTTACTATTAGAAAGGTTCTTTAATAGTTACTTCGAATACTATCAATCAATATTCTAATCTTATAAGATAAGGATCGCGGAACCTTACGACTTAATTCACTACGTTACGAGGCCTTAAAGAGAATAAATAAGCTAAAGCAATAATTAAATTACTTTAGGAAGGATAATAGCTATCTATACGTATCCGCTCGAAATTATACGAAAATTAGTTCTTATTTACTATTAAGGATAATATACTCTATCGTATTAAGAACGACGTCTAAAGTCCTTACATTTTAATATCTTTTTATACGGACTTCCTCAAACGAATATATACTAAATATAAATATCTCGAATACCCTAGTATTCTTAGTATTATCTAAAGACAAGGATAATAGTCCTCTCTTTAAGAAGATATACGTATCTTTATACGTAGTTATTTATAGTATTAGATTTTTTAATATAGCTATTTAGGGTAAAAGAGAGAATAACTATAAACCTTTAATAAAGAAATACTATAAATCTTCGATAGATAAACGATTAATTTAATCGATATCCTATCGAAAATATTCGTAGACAACCATTAGATTATTATAGCGATCGAATATCTTACTAGATAATTAATAGCTCTCGCTATACCCAATACTAAAGCTAAAATAATTACAAAATTCCTCTACGATTATATTACAATAATTTACGGAGTACTACGCGAGATTCTCTTAGATAACGGATAAAATCTAACGAGAGAGATAATAATCTATTATATCTCGCTATTAAAGATAAAATATCGTGTAATAATACCGTACTATCCATAAATAAACGGAAAGATCGAGAACTTTAACGGATTTCTAAAGATAATGTTAATATATTTTCTTACGAACTAACCCACTATTCTATAGGACTAATATCTATCTTAAGCCTTATTTATCGTATAGATTAAAATCTACGTAATAACTAAGAAATCCCCGTATTATCTCTTATTTAACTATTAACTAAGACTTTCTATCGACGATAATAATCCTCGATAATTAGATATCTCGAAAGATTAGAAGATAACCTTATAAAGAATCGAGATACTATAATATACTTATATATAAGCGAATCAACGTTTAATCGATCGCGCTATTGTAGCTAGTAAGATTCGAAAGAAACTCGTTAAAGAGAGTTCTCTTTCTATTAATTAATAAGTTTTAATTAGAGCCGAAGAATATAATAAGTTCGAAGGACGCTAGTTCAGTCCGTATTGGGTAGTAAAGACTATATCGTTAGGAACTTACTATCTAGCTAACCTAAAAGGTAATAAACTTAGGATATTAATTAACGGCTAGAGATTTATTTTAACTAAATTATAAGGGGATCGAGTTAAAATACTCTAGAATTCTTCGAAAATCTAGGGAAGATTACGTAAATAAGTTATTTAAATTAATATTACTAGTCTAGAAGTAACTAAACTCTTTAAAAAGAAGTAAAATAATACTTCTTCTTACGATAAGTTAACTACTATTCCTTTTAATCTAAGTAAACGTTTAGAAGTACGTTTAGATTAAATAAAGAAGGAAAACTAAGATAAACAAAAGATTCTAACTTTATAGTTCTAGCCCTTATAGTTAGATATAATTAAAATTAATTAGAATTAAAAAAATAAGACTATATTAAAAGAAAGAGAACTAATACCTAAATCTCCTCCCGAGGTTTTAGTAGAGAATATTAAATCTAATTATTATAATTCTTTAGTTATGAACTCTTTTGATCTAAGATCTACTATTATAATTAATAGTATAAAGAGCGTTAAAAGAGCGACGTCTATTTTAATATAGTAAAAGGAATTAATAGTAAATATTACTTAATACTAACGAGATATAACTTGTTATAAATTACGACTTTAGTCTACAAAGAAAAAGCTAAAGGATAGAGAGTAAGAAAAGTATAAACTATAATTATTACTAAATCTTACGATATCTTACGAACGGAAATCTTATATAATTATTTTATTATTATTTATTACGCCGTATTTTATATAGATATATACTCTTTCTAAGAAAGAAAGAGGTTACTCTACGGTAATAAATAAATATACGCGGTTATAGACCCTTACGAACCTTTTTAGGCCGTTACTAATATAGGCGAGGAGTGGTTATCGATTACGCTAGTCGACGTACTATTACGGTTAGTTACGAAAGGTTTTATACGAATTACAAATACTTACGATTTATCTTTACCCTTGTCTTTACGCTCTTTCTTATAATTACTATTAGTTATAAATTAATATAAAAACTAACGGAAACTTACTTAGTATATTTACATGGCTTAGTAGTATTATAGCGTTTTAGTACGTTAATATATATAACGGAGCGGAACGAATAGTACTTACTTTAGTTAAGAGAGTAGTTAGCTATACGCTAGCCTTAGTGACAATATATATAAGCTATTTCGTACGGTTACAAATAGTTACGAAGGAATATAGAGTACTTACCACTATTAAGTTTATCGGCGATCGAACGATAAAAGAAGAAGGGACCCTATATATTTCTATATTAGATATAGTCTATTACTATTAGTTACTAATGAATATATAAGGAATAAAGAGGAAACTTACTAAGATTATTAACGATTTCAATCGATTATATATAGTATACTTTAGTATAATTAGTACGGTCTATTACGAACGTTAATAAATAATTTCGAACTAGAGGAAAGAAGTTTATTTACGATTAATTACGAATTAAGTCTAATCGAGGGTATATTAAAATATAATAGATTACGTATTAAGATGGTTAGTAACTAATCGACCTAAGCGACGCGAGGTTACGGTGATAGTAAAGTTAGTCGATATATTGTATTGTACATTATTACTAGCTATTATAAATTATTATAGATTACTACGAAAATATTAATTAAAGATTAAAGAAAAAATCTTATCGATTTAAAGCGAAAGCTCTCGAAACGATCTATAATAACTATAAATTAGTATATCTTCTTAAAATTATAGTATAATATAAGGGGACGAGCGTAATAGTTAATTATTAGTTAGAATCTAGCGAGTCTAATTAATAAACTATACTAGTATAGTTATAGGGATATATAAAAAGGGTCTAAGGTCGACGATAATAGGGTTTAAATTCTATAGGATCTATACGAATCTATACGTATCGAGCTAGAAGGGATACTCTCTATAAGATATAGAGATATCTATAATATTTAACTAGCCGACGGGATATTAGAGGTTAACTTAAGAGATTACTACTTATTCCTATCTCTTTTATAAGATATATTTACTCTTTTCTAGTTATAAGAATACGTAATAACTTAGATTACTATCGCGTATTAAATTTATTAGTTATAAATAGCGTAAATTAAGGAAATTATAAAAGAACTAAAATAAAAACTTCTAAATCTTACGAAAGGGTTAGGGTCTAAGGGTTTCTATACCTCGCGCGGCGTCGTCGCTATCGTTACGAGCTATTCTTGATCTTAATAGACTATTGCTCCCTAAAATATAATATAATAGAGAAGATAATATACCTTTTATATATTATAAAAGAGAGAGAAATAAGATAGAAGGAAAGGAGAGAAGATATAATGCGTTGCGAGCCCTATGGCTTAGTAGAACAATAAGAATACGTGACTCGTAGGTACTCGTAAGGAAGTAGAGGAGGATATGATATTAGCGTCGGGATACTTACCCAGCCTAGTATTCCCCCTCCTTGCGCTTAGTTACGAGTGACTATATATAGCGGCCAGTCTTTCCCTCTTAGATTAGTTAGTTAATCAATCTCTTCCGCCGCTATAACTACACGGTGAAGATAACACGTAACACGTGGGGAGTGTGATATTAGCGTCGGGATACTTGCCCAGCCTAGTATTCCCCCTCCTTGCGCTCAGTTACGAGTGACTACATATAGCGGCCAGTCTTTCCCTCTTAGATTAGTTAGTTAATCAATCTCTTCCGCCGCTACAACCACAGGAGCATGCTTGACCGAAAGAAATCATCTTACTGAGATCATACCTTTTCCAAACGAAGCAAAGTTCAGTGTCCAACAAGGGCTGGTTGGTGGCCACACGACAAAAGTCTGCGGTGACACTCATCAATCAGGGACGGGCACTACCACAGCCAAGTTACAACGTGTAAGCATAGTTATGTTAGTACGTCCAAACATACATATCGAGCAATGATCTTGTTTTGCAGACTCTTCCTCAACAGCTAGAACCCCTTGGTAGCTCATCTGCATGGATATAATGCGAGAGCGGCGACACAAATTGCACAGATAGTAGCTGGGACCATTACCCGGTTCATTCCTCGTCGCTATGTCTAGTACCCTATCAACTTGATCTACCTCGACTCCTGCGACTATGAGAAAGATTAACATCGCTATGCATATATATATCTCGAGGCAGCCATCAAAACTCCTCCGCCAAAGAATCATTCAGGATGGAGCACTGGCTTAGTGGTCCGGAGTGCTGGCGCCGTTGGGATTGCCAGAATCGCTGGTCCCTCTGCTTCGCGATCTCTCCTGCAGGAGGTGGGCGCTCTTTATTTGCCGGCGGTCGTTCTCATGCATCTGCTCGGACGGATCGGGCAAGTCCTCTTGCGAGGGAACATGCATTCTGTACAGAGTGTTCAAAAACGTGGTTCCCCAACGAACACTAAACGGCGTTAGCACCATAACAGCATCCAATATCGCTTCAGTTGTCCTTACCTGGTGTACCGATCGACCACATCGGCATTCTCCTTGTACCGCTGCTTGCGCTCCCCCTCGGGCATATTCAGCGAGTCCTCGATCGCATTTGCGAATCGTGGAATGTCCCACGGATTGATGACAAGGCAGGAGGGGAGTGTCTTGACAGCACCAGCGTAATAGGACATCATGAGAACCCCGGCCGTCGAGCTGTTCTGGCAAGCGATGTATTCGTAGCTCACCATGTTGAGGCCATCTCGGATGGATGAGATGATGCAGACATCCGAGACGGCATAGAGTGCACACAGTTGTTCTGGCTTCACAGACCGGTACAGATAGTGGATTGGTGTAAAAGAGAATGTACCTGACACAGTCAGCCTCGAGAATGCAAGATAGGGATGGAAACCTACCGTGCTTGCCGTTGACATGACCAACGAGACTTTCCACCTCCTCGCGCAGTCGTTGATAAGTAGTCACTTCGGCTCTGGTAGGGATTGCTAGCTGAATGAGAGTCACCTTGCCCACCCATTCGGGATGTTCGGTCAGGAACCTGTCAAAGGCTCTCAGTTTTTGAGGAATGCCCTTGATGTAATCCAGACGGTCGACTCCGAGGATGATCTTTTGACCCTCGAAGTTCTTTCGCAATTTTGCCAGTTCTCGCTTGACGCCTTCCGTCTCCATTTTCTCTCGAAAGTCTTCCGGTTCGATGCCGATTGGGAACCCGTGGACTATCACTTTCCTACCAGCCCAATGCAGATCGGACGGTGACCTTGATACGCCCCTGGAATGCAATGTCAGACATTTCAATGTGCCAGAAAAATGGGCTCTCTGTCGACTTACTCCAGGACGACTGAAGCACTGTCCAAGAAGTCTTGGGCGTATTCTTGCGTATGAAAGCCAACAACGTCGCAAAGAAGTAGGCTGCTGCAGATTTCTTCGCGGAAGGGCAGGATGGTAAAAAAGTCGTCGGTGGGAAACGGCGTGTGCAAGAAGAACCCTATGCGGAGGCCTTTCTTCTTCTCTAGTCGAGAACGCAAGATACCGGGAAGAAGCATCAAGTGATAATCGTGGACCCAGATGAGGTCATTGTCTTCTACCATCGGGACGATGTTGTCGGCGAAGATCTCGTTGACTTCCTGGTATGCTTTTGACCAGCTCTCTTCTGCACCGACTTTTTCCGGCATTCTATGTAGCAGCGGCCATAACACAGAATCTGCACACGGAGTTAGCCGAGCATTGGCATACCCGGAGGTCTCTGACTCACTAGAGAATCCATTGTAGTGACTTTCAGCTAGTTCGTGGTTCAGGAAAATGGGATAAGCATGGTACTTATCCTGGAGATCGCGTCTGATTTTGTCTTTGTCATTTCGGTGGATGTCAATTCCGGGCCAGCCAAACCACTTGAAATCGACAGCTTTGGCCAGACTCCTCAGTCCAGAGACCAGGCCGCCTGAGGATATGTTGTATTCGAAATTCCCGTCATGGTGGTCTTTGATGGTGATGGGCAGTCGGTTGGCGATGACAAGCACCCGCCCTTCGAATTCGGGATCCATGGTCGAACGCTGCTACCTTGGGCCGAAGATGCAGTAGACCGGGGCATTGGAGGTCGTGTGTGCTGACATGAAGGTTTCCATATGGGGAAGTCGAATAGATATAGAGGTTTGGAATACAAATTGTTCTTGGGATGCACCATGACATCAGGGGCCATTGCGGGATGGAACTATGAGAGTGTGGAGCTCTGGTGGCCAGTGACTGTCTCGCCACTTGTACTCGTAGAAACAACTTTGAGGTGTGCCTTGACGATCTCAGGTCAGTCGGAGCGTCTGTGAAGGCTGGCCCGCGCTGGACACGAATATATTGAGCACGTTGTCGAAGCTCAAGATTATTGAAGGGACTTGCCGGTTCATCTTGCCTCAAACGAAGAAAACCAATTCTCTCCGAAAATAGCGACCCGCATAGAAGAGGAAGAACTGACCCATCATGACCGGAATTGTCTCCCAACTGGAGGACGTGCGTGGACGTGGAGCTTGGCATTGGCTAAGACGAGGCTGAAGCGAATCACACAAGCTGGTAATCATTTCCAAAGACGCGGGGGATGGTCCGCCGAGCTGGGATCCAGGCTCGATGGGTTTGACGAATGACACCACTCAAGACTACCTGCCAAAGACTCGGATCCATGGGAGCTGCGGGTTTTGATCCCGGACCTTGTCAGAGTGACGTGTAATTTTAGCTGATTTGATCATACAATGAACATGAACATGAAACAAAAGAGGTTCGTGGCAGCATCAGGCAGAGACTTCCATACCTAGGTACGTACCTGATTGCACTGTAGGAAGTGCTGTGGTAGTTCCCTAAGCTTCACTGGTACAGTACGAGGGTGTTCTCCACACGATAAGGGAGGAATAGAAGATTGATACGAGTAGCTCTCACAGTCCAACCCTGACGAATGAAGTCCTGATGCCGGTCTACCTACAGTAAGGTATCGAATTCACGTGGGCTCTATGAGGGATCAGGTCTGGACTTTTGATTGATGGGGAGGTGCGTCTCCGGCACCTTCTGAGGCCTTAGACGACACCAAGTACTCGTACCATTGTGGAAAGAACCTGACGCCCTGTCATATTGTCGATGTCATCGCTGGATCCCACGAGTCCCCACGGACCTGTCTTCCGGTCCATTTTCCATGATTGAACCTGAAGCCAAGCGATAAAACCTCTCGAGTCTATGGCCAAAATCAACATCATTCTCTTGCTCATTTCATCAACATCATTCACAACACCTCCATCAACGGCAGTCTCACCCGCAACCAATCCAACATGCAATCCGCACTTCACGCAGTCATCGGCCCCAAGAAGGAGCTACACGATCTCTCTGGTCGTGTTGCTTTGGTCACTGGTGGTGCAAATGGCATCGGCTTCCAAATCTCTCGCCAGTTCGCCCAGGCCAAAGCCAAAGTCGTCATGATCAACCGCAAGGAGGAGCAGGGAGATGAAGCCATCAAGCAGATCAAAGAAGAAACCCCCGGTGCCGACGTTGACTGGGTCGGCTGCGACTTGGGCAACCTCAAGGAAGTCAAGCAAGTCTTTAGCGACCTCCGTAACAAGCTGGACAGACTGGATCTGGTAAAGCACCTGTCACCCCACTCACAACCCCCTTGCACAGTCTCCCTAACCTCCCTCACAGCTCATTCTCTCCGCTGGTATCAACACGAACACCTTCGACCTCGACGCAGACGGCATCGATCGCCACTTCGGCGTCAACTTCCTAGGCCAGTTCTATGCTGTCAACCTTCTCTACCCACTCATCCGCAAGACCTCCAAGATACCCGACACACCCCCACCGCGTATTGTCTTCGAAGCATCAGAAGTCCACCGTATGGCACCTTCCAACATCCACTTCGGCTCCCTCCAAGAGATCAACGACGAGAACTTCGGTCCCACACACCTCTACGCCCGTACCAAGCTTGCGATGATCTTGTGCGCCAAGTTCATTCTTCCCGAGAAAGTCTTCAAGCCCAACGGTGACCACGTCTTCTCATTGAGCGTTCACCCGGGTACCGTCAACACGAACATGCAGCAGCAATGGAAGGCCGCCTATCCCGGCATTTTTGGCAACATGCTCTCCTGGGCCATGACGACCATCGGACGAGACGTCGAACAAGGTTCGTACAGCGCCTTGTGGGCGGCTACCAGTCCTGAGATCGAGGAGAAGAATTTGCAGGGCTATTACTTTGTCGATCCGGTATGTCCTATTCTTTTGACCCACGCTCTCTGAAAATACTAATATAGGTGCAGGGTCAACCGGGCAAAGAGTCGTCGCAAGCTTCAGATCCTGCTCTCGCCGAGGCTCTGTGGAACCTAAGCACGAGTCTGATCAAGGAGAAGGTGGGCGAAGATGCCCTTACGCCTTGGGACGAGCAGTGAGCAATTGGCGGAGGAGTGGCACATGGCAGACTTGCACGAAACATGACGATAGAAAATAATGATGCTCATCACCATGGGCCGATGAGTAATAACGACAGCAGACATAACCTGACCGCAATGAGAATCCTTGACGAACCATATTCACCTTTGCTTACGTGCAACGTTCAGGTGTCGTAATGATACATTTTCTACAGGTCCCAACGAGCTCTGCAGTACTCGTGCATGCTTATCATAAGGCTTGACGCCGCATTCCATGCCTTGACCATGCAATGTGTTGATTGTACAAACAGGCCCTCAGTCTTCTTTCATCCTGGCCGGCCGCCATCGCAAATCAAGCCCCTTCAGCTCAACACATCATCCCACACAATGATATCTTCTTTGTTTCGACTGTTGGGGTCGACGGTCGACGGCCGACTCTACTCCTTCTTCGCGCCCCCAACCATATTAGTTATCGTTCCACCCACACTTCCCGACTCCGTGAAATGTTTTCCAACCATGCCGTCTTTGCTTAACGGTCCGCCGACGGTCTCCCCTAATTGCCCGATCGAGCCGTCCGCGCGGAATTGGGAGCCTATTGCACCCTGCGAGCTCAACAGTGGCGCTCCGGTGCTGGCTTTCTTGTCGTCAGACGCCGGGTTGTAGTTTTGGAAGTTGTTGTTATGGGGGTCGTGCGAAGACGAGTCGGGCTTGGTGCCGATGAACTTGGACGTGTCCGTTTGGGATTTCATGATGTTGGGAGTCATGGTCGTTTGGTTTTTTTTAACTACTAGCAGTATTTCTTTGTGGTTTTCAAAGTTGCCCTCCTGTTCTGGTGTGTTATGTTGTGTGTAAAGGAAATGAAACCGGTCAAGTGGGTAAGGTTACCAGTAGTTGGGTTCGGTTGTGTACTGGGTACCAGGTACTTGATGATGACTGGAGAAAAAGAGTGTTCATGATATGGTTGGAGTAGGTGTACTTGTAGTTTGTGTCGAATAGTCAAGTCCGCTCTGAGATTGAGGTTGAGTCTGTTGATGTCATGGAAAAGAAAGTGACGCTCACTTACTCCTGTAATGCGATTGATGACGCAGGAGAACGACTCGACACTGGCCCATGTGATTGGCGGATGGAGGATGATGAGGCTGTGATGTCTTTGCCTCCATAGATGAAACTTCGCAGATGAAGTTGTTCTGATGATTTTGTATTTTATACATCAGACTAAGAAACTAGACACCGAAAGCGAGCGTAGCACTGCTCGGCAACGCTACGGGTATAGCCCGTATAGATCTGTTCGCATGCCGACGAATCTAGTGATAGTCATGAATGTCTAGCTTGATGTCTGAGCTAGATGGTATCCAACCTGTGAGGCAACTAGGAAAAGGATTCCATGTACCGACACGTCGCACATTGGCTCCGCCACTGCAGGGTGGCTGGCTAGGAGGACTTGAACCGTGGTAGAGGACCTCAAAGCGTCTCCAGAAAAACAATGGCGGTGGCGACAAGAACCTCTACTTTCTCTTCTTCGCACCAGCCTTGGCCTCTGTGCCACTGGCATTCGCAACAGGAGCGGTTGGCTTCAATTCCTTGGTATCTTGGCCCTCCAGGCCTTTGGGCTTCTCATCAGCCTTTCCTTCGTCCTCATCCTCGCTTTCGCCACCCTGACCAAATTCATTGACCCGAGTGTAGTCGACCTTGTACGCCCATTTCTGATACAGCCAGACAAAGAAGATGACGTCGTCGCGCAAAGTGGCGAGACGGTGGAGGAAGGGCATGCGAATGGTGAAGGCGAATAGGTCGTCAATAAACGTGTTCAAGAACTTGTAGGTGAGTGCCTTGCTGGGCATATGTGCAACAGACTTGAGTCGGTAGTTGATGTACAAGCTAGGCACCATCATTAAGAAACCATAAGCGTACACCGATCCGACGAGTGTCTCAATAACGAAGCTGTACCATGACTTGTGCGTCTCATAGACGAGGGAGTAGACCGCATAAGCGAGCAGGAGAGGCACCGCCATAATGTAGAGGTATCTGAAAGCGATTTGGTCGTACTCCTGAGTCTTCTTTTCCGTCTCCGAGAGCTTGTGCTTGTCCTCGAACACCACGACGTAAGGAAGAAACTTAAAAGACGAGTCCGGCCCAGGTTCGCGCAGGCGCACGTTGACCATCTTTGTAATTTTCCAAGCTTCCAGGAGGATCCCGAAGCCTTGACCAGCCAAGATCATCCAGGAGGTCCCTTCAGAGTTGTCGACAAGGTATAAGAAGATGACGGTCTGCATGAAAACATTGGCCAAGATGGTCCGGACTGAGGTCCCCACGTTGTCTTTCTTTTTGCGCCAGTGGGCGATATCGTTCTTGAAAGCAAGACCTTCGAAGAGCATATGCAAGATGCTGACCACGAAGGTCGTGCCAAGCAGGTAGGAGTTGGTGTCGAGCAGGATTTCTTTGAATTTCTCAAATTCACTGCCGTCTCCACTGGCAGGCATCGGACCTCCAGAAGCAGCTTGTTGTTGGTTCTGCTTCATGCCTTCGTCAATGCTCGCAAGCATGCTGTATTGCCAGTTGACCATGTTGTACAGGTTGATGTTCAGCGGCATTTCGGTGACAGTGTCGTTGAGCTCGGTCATATGAGAGCGAAGCTGCCAGAAGGTGTTCAAGAAAATGACCGGGTAGTACCATCCGTTCATGCCAGACGCATCTCGGGCGCCAGTTTGTTCGAGGACAATATTTTTGCGAAGCGCCGGGTGCATTTGTCGCCAGTTCTGGACGCCCGCATTGGGTATGACAGCCATGGTAAAATTAGGGTGGTAGAATGACCCAATCTGCACACCTTGTGGCTCTTCGGAATCCTCGTCGGTTCCATCGCTTTTGTCGAGCAAGTTCTTCAGTTTGCGCACTTTCTTCTTTGGGATGTAGTGATTCAGAGGCTTGCTAAAGTGGTATGCTTTGGCAGGGTCGAAGTTAGCCGCTGTAGGGTCCAATTGATTGCCAGCCAGCGCAACCAGAAAATGTGCCCATAGTGTTCCGTTATGTTGCACCTCTTTCGGGATGGCGATATTCGTGTGGATCTCTCTGTTCTCCTTGTAATTTCCAATCTGGAAGTTCTTCTCATCCAACACAAGAGTGTTTTTTGCCTGATCGGACAGGCGGGAGACAGAGGCATCCGGCGACACGTACACTTGGATGTCGACAGTGCTGCCCTCAGGCCATACTGGTGCGATGTTGTATGGGATCGCGGAGTAATTCGTCAGGGCAGTGACATCGGCCCGGTCTTCAAAGTTGGCCGTTGCTTTGGGAGCAGAATCACCAGACTGCGTCTTCGAGCCGAAAAACTGGTTTACGACAAATTGTGTGAGCATGAAAATGGCCAGTCCTTGAAGGACGGTTTGAATCATGGACTGTTGACTATCAGTATATGTCGGAGTGGTTTCGATTTATGCTCACCTTTCCACCTTCTTCCTGCCTCGCGGCAGTGCCGCGGCCGGCGCCCGTACCAGTTGACTCTGGCATATTGTCTGATCAGAGTCGTGCACAACAAAGGTGCTCAGCGGTCTGCAGTTGACAAAGTGGCAGAATCAATGGGCCAGAGGCCCCAATCGCGAGTGAGTGGGCTGGCACGGCTGGGGACCGACCTGAAAAGCTGCGGAAAAGGTTTGGTCCGGAGCCGAGGTCTTGGCAACCTCAAGGTCGCCTTCATCTCCAGTCCAATGAGCCGTCCATGTTTGATCACGACATATTCATTCTTTCCTAGAATCTAGCTATGCAATTCAGCTCAGTTCGTCCGCTCAGAATGGCAATCAGCGGTTAGGCGATGACCTGTCAATTCTGCAATGGCAAATGGAGCGTCGGCGCCCATACCCACGCCTCAGTTTCCCACGCATAATGCTCCGCGGGTGTGGCTCTTGACATCTGGAGACTCCCCTATTGGCATTTCGGTTGCGAAGCAAGTCCTCGACCATGGGGACTATGTTGTCTCTGGCATTATACAGGCCGACTTTGAGGATGAGAGCGTACGAAGTGAAGAGTTTAAGAACTTCCTTTCCGAAGTGGTGCGAACAAACGGATGGAAAGACCGATTGAAAATTGTACCATTAGATATCAGGTATGGAGCTCCATTGTCACCCCGGTTTCTGTACAGCCCTTTTCATGCATAAGTTACGCTGGAAGGCATCGTTAACCTTGTAACAGACATGTTAGGCAATGTCAGGCAGCTATTGCAGAAGCGGTCCATGTCTTCAAGAAGGTTGACATCTTGTTCTGCTGCACCAGCGAGGCAATCATTGGAACGGTTGAAGAACTTTCAGCGAGCCAGCGGACGTTGACGATGGTCCGAGATCAATTCGAGAAGAATTTCTTCGGGCCAATGAATATAATCAAATCTGTCATCCCTCACATGCGGACGTTGATGAATGGACACATCATAGTACTTGCTGGCATCACTGGTCATCTTGGGACACCTGGCCTTAGCATGTATTGTGCGTCGGGGTGGGCATTGGAAGGCTTCTGCGACAGCATTGCCTATGAGATAGCCCCCTTCAACATCAAACTGACAATTGTCCAAGCCAGCGTGGAAATCGGGATTCTGACCAATAAAATCACATCTGCCCCTCCGATGAAAGAATACTCAAGGGACTTTGGGCACACCGCTCCCAATTTCCGGGGCCTGTTGGATGGACTGATCAACCGGCTGCCAGGAATACGAGCTCAATATCCTCCACCTCCAGAAAGGGAAATTCAGTCACCATCTTCGGAAGCGGAACGACAAAGTGGGCCTTACCTGCTCAGTCGCAATGAAGTGGTCAGCTTGTATCCGCCTTTGAGCCATGCTCACACAGAAAAGTTGATAGCCGAGACCGTCCATGCACTGACTGCTATTGGTGGGCACGAAAACCCTCCAGCAAGACATATTGTCGGGGTCGAAGGCGTAGCTAGCGTCAAGGAGAAACTCAAGACTGTAAGTGAGGAGCTGGAGGAATTTGTGGACACCAGTGCATCGGCCGATATTGTAAGACAAGGACCCGGGGTTGGACGTGCATCAAGCGTGGTGGATGTGGATATCAAGGATCTGGAGGGCGATGTCTTTGATGCCTCTTTGGGCTTGCGCTGAGAGTGTTCTTCTGTTCATACACCGCCAATCAATGTTTCATCGTCGGTTGTCTCGTCTTGCATTTTCATGACGTCTGTGCTCTTCATGACGGCGGTGACGACCAGGAGACCTGCTTCGTGGTCTCTCGCGTCGTTGGTGAGACCTATCTCTTTCAGATGAGACTGACCTGGATCGTCTGCCCTTGTGCCTGTCTCTGGGCGAGCGCTGTCTCCGATCTCTGGGTCGAGGAGCTTCGTCTCGGTGCCGTCGTCGATGTCTACCATCCGTGTGGCGCTCTCTACTTCGGCTGCGCTGTCTCCGCTCGCCATGGCGCCTTCTGTATTCCTTGAGAGCATTTTGCAACTCCTTGTCTTGTTCTCCGCCCGTACCTGCAAGTCTTTCGGTAGTGACCTCTCCTTCTTTCGCGCCTGACACCCCTGTTGCTCGCCCGTAGCCGACTCCCCCTGTCCCTGCAAGCCCATCATCTTCTGCAGCCTCTTTCAAAACTTTTCCAACCTCGCGTTGGGCGCCTATCATTTCCAGGTTGGGGTTGTTTCGAGGCGCGACAGGTAATCCCAGAGCTCTTGCAAGCGCATCTTCCTCAGCCTCTTTGATTCGCCGAATCTCTTCTCTTCGTTCTCGCGCAGCTTTGGCATCTGCATCTTCGCCCGTGTCTGCATCCTTATCGGCTTTGGCAAACCAATTGAGATCTCGACCTTTTTGCCAACGCCCAACCGGAGCCATCAACGAGTGCCCTAGATAATTCTCTCGGTGCGAAGAAGTCTGAACATCGGACCACTGGAAGTCCCCACGTCCTCCTCGAGAACCTTCCTTCCGGACCGTTGCTAGGAGATCCATAGCTGCGTTTGAACTTTGTGTAAGAAATAACTCGTTGAGATCTGAAGGAGGGTGATGAGCTGCTCTCGCTTTCTGAGCAGCCTACTGCTGTGTAACGTTGTCTCCTCACGAACACAGAGAGATTGAATCAGCAGAGCCAAGGAGACAGCGGGACACTTGCGGAGGCTCAGTAAGTCTCATGCATCTGATCGGATGATGGGTGGACAGGGTGGCGTCGGGTGCAGGAAGGAAAAAATACTCGTTGGTTGGGAGAGAAAGCGTGCCCTGCAAGCTTCTTCTTGTGTTGCCAACCACAGCAAGAAAGAGCAGGTGTCGGCGATCGGTCGAGAATGAGGTGACAGCGGGATGGTGCTGTAGAGTATCGCTCGTAAACAGAAATGTTGGTCTAGTAGATGTATCTCTTCGCCTGCTAGCGCTGCGTCATTGCGAATCTCATCCGCCCGCGGCTTGCACTTTGCGACACGTCGTACGCCTTCGATGCTCCTTTTCGATCACCCGCATTTCGCAACCGTCCACTCCGTCACTACTCGGCTGTCATCTGCTGCCTTTCGTTGACGACGTGTTGCACCCTGGGCTCGTCGTGCCCTGCCGCGCTGGGAACAGAGCTATTCCGCAGCGACCGAGACTCGCTACCAAGACTGCGCTCATGACCTTCCACCTGCCCATTGGATCCGAGCGACCTCCTGGCGAACTCAAACCACTCTGAGGTTCCTCGCTGCGATCTGACCCTATAGAATGACAAAGAGGCGATCGTGTGTGCCTACAGAATTCGACAAATTCTAGTGTACAGAGATTCCTGGTCAATGCCCCTCCGACAAGCAGAATCTTCGAAAGTTGGGCGGAATGGAGGATGATCTGAGGTCCTTTCAATCAGTCAGTATCGGCTTGACGAGTGTCGAATCGGGCAGAGAAAGGTTCGCAAGAGATGGACTATATCATCCACCGCCGCTGGCATACTGGAGGAATAATCTGACTGCGCTTTCTCAGCACTACAACCTCTACTTCGTTGCCAATCGAGATTCGATCGCCGTCTACAGACCAGAATTTCCCTTCCAGAAACTACGCAAGCTACCTTCTCTCTTGATCCCGGCTACGCTTGCACAACCTCTGGCAGAAGGCTACATTGATACTTATTCCCCTCATACCATAAACCACATGATTGTCGGTGACCTGGGCTCTGAAGAAATCGTGCTCGTCGCGACAGATTCTGGCAATGTTACTGCATACTTTACAAAGGCCATTGATGAAGCAATCCGGAGGGATCCATACCGTTTCAGTACGAATGCGCGAAGTGACTATGTAGGAGTGAGAGCGTTCTTCACCCAATGGGTTTACGAGTCGGCTTGGGGGCTCTCCATCCATTCCAAGGCCCGCATGATTGCAGTATCAGCTAATACACCTCATCATGTCCCTAGCGATGATCCTTGTTCCAAGATAACAGTCTTTGCTTTTGCCTTGACGGAACAGAGTGATAGCGACAGAGATCCGCAGGATGACGACTCAATCGACATCGCTGATCATGCAAAACAACCAGACTGGGAGGAGTGGCAATGCAAAGGAGGAGATCCTGCCCCTCCTCCGCGCGACAAGAATTACAAGATCACTCTCGGCGGCTTTGAAGGTCATAATCACAACATTCCAAGCGTTTCATTTGTCAATACTGACGACGATAACGACGGCAGATGGCTTCTTAGTACCGACATTGGCGGAGAGATGAAGATGTGGCTGATCTGGCAAGGTTACTGTCTCAAAACATGGGACTTTGCTGAGAAGAGGATGCGCTCCGGATTTTTCAGGCGACGAGAAGGTGGCTGGATCGTTGCTGCGCTTGATCCCAAAGCTTTTCGCCTTGCCCGGTCCATGGAACAGTTCTGTGGCCATTCCAAAGCGACCAAATATGCTGGGCACATTGGTGAGAGCTATGATCTCACCAACATCGTCCGCCTCCGCACTCCTGGCAACAGCCTTGCTCATCCTAATATCAACGGTGCTCCACTTGCGGACGCGGCTGACGAAGACGGTCAAGAGACTTATGATTCATGGTCGGATCTAGGCGAATCTGATGATGACGACGTGAGCTCCAATGCCATTATGAGCGTTCAAAATGATGGTGCAGAACAGGCGCGCGAACCGTCTGCTACGGCTGACCAAGAAAATGGAACGGGTACCGATATGGAAATGGCAGATAGTGTGGCTGCTAGCCATTCTCATACAGCCTCTGATGATGCCGAACTAGCTCGCGAGAATGAAGAAGCGGACGCTGATTCAGTACAAGCGCTGCTCTTTGATACTGAGCAATCTGGACCCGACGACGACGACGAGGAGGAGGACGAGGAAGAGGACGAGGACGCAGAAGGCCACTATGGGTTGAGCTCAGAGGAACAGGAGGGGCAGTCCTCCAACAGTCATCGAAGCGCCACGTCGCAGTCCAGTCTTGCGCAACGCAATAGCGAAGAAGCTGAAGATCTAGCAATTTCTGAACCCAACACCATTCCGCCAACGTACGTACAACATCCATCAGAACAGGCCATTTCCTCTTGGATGCGGAAAGCCGCTTATCGCCTCTTTCGAAGTGCCGCCATACGGAGCGAAGTACCCTCAATCCCAACGCTGCATTGTACTGCTTCGAATCTTAGGCTTCTGATGGCGCCAGAAGCAAGCGCTGCTCATGTATTTTGCGCCAACATACTCAAACAGGCTTTACCGGAAAACATCGAGATGACGAATCACGTACAACTCGACAGAATCAACATGATCCAGCAGATACCGGAGCTGGGGATTGTCATTATAGCTTCTCAAATAGGCCGTTGTGCCATATGTACGCTGACCAGGAACGAGAAGACTGGGGACCTCGGATTGCGCGTGGACTGGATCTTGCCGAGCAGGAAACAGGAGCTTAGACACGTCCGACCTTACATGCCGCTGCTGGGCATTGCCACCTCTCCCGTGCAAGGACGATTCGTGGGACAAAACCACAAGGGCAGGTTGGACCCTGAAGCATCCAATGAATGGGGCTCAGATGGTGTGGTTGACGGCGTGCCGACCACCTTCGACCCAGCCGTCGTAGTTGTTTCTGAAGACGAGCTTGAGCATGCTTATGGCTCGTCTGGGAATACACAGCATGAAATCGATGAAGACATGGTCGAGAAGAGCATCAAAACAAGCCGCTCATCAACCAATTCACCACCAACCTCAACAGCTGCCACCTCCCAGACGCGAGAGTGGAAGAAGCCCAGAGACATGGAACCATGGATCGCTGGCGAGAACAGTCGCAGATACAGGCTCATGCTTACTTACCTGGATATGAGTGTTTTGACGTACGAGATTTCAAGGGCAGTCGAGAGGGAAGATGTCGCGCAGGACGAGGTTTCAGCTCTGGAAAGCGTGGATTGAATGCCATCAGACCATAATAGTCGAGCGAACCCGCTAAACGCCAATGACACCATCAAACAGATGCCCTACGGCTCAACGCCGTATCAGCGCCCACATCTAGGGGACCGAGAGCTTCATTTCAGATGACACCTGTCAGCTCTGTATGTGGCTAGTTGATCGTAGAAAGAGTCCTGCAGCCATTGACCCACATTAAACGTCGAAGCCGAAGGTCGATTTTGCAAGAACACAGCAGGCAATAGGTTGACGACGATATTCTACACCACTCTTCCCATCGTCCGTGTTACCAGCATGAGGGATATGATGTGGCAGGGCAGCACGCTCGATTCAGGATGTGGTGGACGCGCCAGGAGAATTGGTCCGGGACTCGACTTTTTGTCGTGGGGTTTGACGCCAAGAACAAGGCCCGTTGGCTCATGCAGAAGTGAAGTCCCCATCTGCGCAGTGGCTGTTACTTTGACAGGAGCATCAGCCATCTGCCCCTTTTTCGTGTCTTAGGTATAGTACTGTACCAAAGGGACAGCTTCCAGCATGCAATAGCTTGATGTTCTGCCACTACTGTGTACAGCAAACCAGCTGGAGAACTTGACAACCAATGTCCGCTTGAACACGGAGGCGAATCATCTCCGACTCAAGACGTCAAAAGCTTTCTCAGACCAGGCGCATAACACCAAGGGCCGTCTCTCTTCAAGGATGCCCCATCTTCCAGAGCTGGCCCTGCCCGTCAGGGGCTGTGGTACACGGACACCTCTGTGGCCTTCGGGCGCGCCTCAGGTAAGGCTGGGCAGAATAGACATGATGTCCGTGACAACGTGACGTCTGGCACACGTCTTTTTGATTGTACTGCACTCCTTTGGCTGGAAGTCCTTAATATGGTTCCGTTCCACGCGTCTTCTTGGGACCTGCTCAGATGCCGTCTTTCGTCGCAGCCTTCAACATGTTCACCAACACCTTCAGACCGGACATGAAGACTCCAGGAAGTCCATCTCTGGGAGGGCAGCGCTTGGGCAACCGCCGAAGGGTTATTCGGACTCTTCTTGCAGCCGTCTTGATCGTTGCTTTCATGCAAACATGGTCTTGGACATCTCAAAAACGGGTATGCCGCAACCTCCATTCTCATACGTCTGGCTAATGTTTCCGAGACATGGGATCTAGAATACGCCATCGACGAGGTAGCCAGCGAAGAAGCAGAATACGAGTACAATGATTTCCAGTATATGCCCCTCACCGGCTTAGTCAACGATGGTAGAGCTGGAAAGCGTACCTGCGAAGAAATGAAGTACGAAGGACGACTTCGAGTTCAGGAAAGCTTCTACCTTGAAGATGACCTCACCGATGTCGCGAGGACTCTGGAACACCATCCTATGATCATTTATCCTGAAGGGGATAAGGAACTGCCGTTTGAGGAAATGGTAGCGAAAAGATGGGCAAGACTGGCAGGATCGAGTGTCTGGTTGGAAAAATATCAGGTCTTCCTCGCAGTAACGCGGGTAATCTTCTTTGACAAGGAAAACAGAGCATGGCCCATTATGAGCTTTTTGCGCGGTCAACTATACGACGAAGATTGGAACGAGCTGAAGAACCACACTATTCACTGGCATGGGGATGAGATCACTTTCCCGACAGTCTTTACCATTCCCGCTCCTTATATCGCTGGTGGAGGCTTCTACGGACCAGAAGACCCAAGGATCATCATCGAAGAAGATGTCGAAGATGCCGAGCCGGTGGTCGTGTTCAACATGGTTTATGAACTGAAGGACGTAACAAGGGCCATGCATATCTTCCGACCGTTTTCCAACGTTACCACCATCCTCAGCATCACCGGGGAGGGGTCTAGACCGATGGCCGAGAAGAATTGGGCGCCGTTCTTCCACAACGATCAAGAAAACGCAACGACTGGTGTCAAAAAGTGGCCGAGTCACTACATCCATTTTGTCCACAGCTTCAAACCCCTCAAAGTGCTGAGATGCCATGCACTCAACGGCTGGTGCGATATCGTGTATGAGCAAAAGGTTTCTGAAGAGCTTGTGTCTTCTCACAATGACGGTCACGGGCGGATGAGCGGTGGCACGAACCTTGTTCCAATTCACATCCCTTCAAGCCCGGGCGTACACGCCTACGTTGGCTTCCCAAGGACTCACATTGATGTCGGCTGCAAGGACGATGCGATGTACAGGCCTGAAATGATGATCATGACAGCACATGGCTCGGACTTTCACCTCAACTACATGTCCGAATCGATTGACTTTGGAACGGCCGCTTTGCTCGCTGAAGCCATATCGGATCCTTGCGGCGACGGTCGTATTTTGATCGCCAACAGTGTCTCTAGGTGGGACCGATCGTCCGGTCAAGACCTGATGACTTTGTCATTCTCAGTGGCCGATGAGACTGTGCAAGTGTTGCGGTTGCAGGGTGTTTCGCGATTTATCGAACAGTTGCCATTCCTTGGCTCGGCACTTCAGCATGACATGTCCCAAGATGGCAGAGTCATTTGGAACCTGCGGTGGTCCGCCGTTGGGCAAGATGTGCTTGCTTGCTCCGTTGAGGCTGCGCAGAATTACTCCATAGCCGTAGCTGAGCCAGTGCAAGGCTGGTCGAGAGGGAAATTGAGGGAAATCCAGGAAGCGGAATCCAAGGACAAGGACGATGTTCTCAATGAAACAGAGATGCGCGAGGACGAAAAAGTGCAGGAAGCCAAAGACGAGAAGGACAAGGAAAAGTCTATCAAACACGAGAAGGGATCGAATGAGGCATTTAAGGGTGCCAAAGGGCGACTCAAGGCTGCTAAAGAGGACGCAAACAACGAAAAGAAATTCATTTTCGATGACGACCCTTTTGGACACGCTGACGAGCTTGTGTGAACACCTACTTGAGTGTGTAACCACCGGCAAGGCCAATATACGCCATACACCAAGCCATGGGGCTGTGACTCTTCGGATCGCGCAAAGAGCCACAAGCCATGCACGATCCTTCAGCGAGATGCCGACGGCCGCAGATTCGACATCCCGATCACTGCGCCCCACAAGGCGCGACTCCGCAGCCTGATTCTGCGATCGCCATATCTGAGCACTCCTCGCGACCCAGCATCCGTTCCGAATCAGCAATACTACTATCATCTTGAGATGAAAGCTTACCAGCCACCACCAGCCCAGCAGCAGCTCCTCTGGTCCAGCATCTCCGCGCCAACGCTCCTGGCTATATCTTATTCCACCTCAGTAAAATCATTCTGGCAAGTTGGTGGATAGCTGGGCAGCGGCGTGAGGCCGATCGAGCTCTGCGCCTGCATAGGCTCTGCAGGCTGTCTATACGTGACAGTCAGAGGCATGTCGCTGCGCATTTCGGGAGTGAGCGAGGGGTACAGGGAGTGGGAGGCGCATTTCGTCCAGGCGTGTGTTGATTCACGACTGATGGACAGGAGCGAATTTGAGGATTTTGGAAGTCGCATACCGACTTGTGCTATCACGACCATGTCTGTTTCCTTGAAAACAAGGGCTTTTTGTGGGGGCACTTTTCCGGCTTGAAGGATATTTACAATATTCCACAGTGGGATTGAATTTTTTGTCAAGCAACGACCTTGAAAACGATCCACACTGCACCATCGTGTGCGAACGGATCTTTTGGCTCTCGTTATCTATCGAAATCACTTTGAACCCGCCGATCGTTGCGCACTGCGTAGCGAACTGAATCGATCGTAAAATCGCCTGCCGATGTTAAGCATGGTCAGGTCTTCCTGCTCGGTAGTGCACCGATGGGATCATCGACCCACTGCTTCGTGACCGGATGTAGGTGCGCCTTCTCCGCCTCATTCCACTCCCTCTCCACCATCTCCGCCTTTTCCTTGCTCCTCGGCGTGATTCTTGCCGTGAACCGCTGTGGCATACAGACAAAACCTTGCGTCAACTTGTCCGGATCCGGGAGTATCGGCCTCCCCTTCTCATCAAGCTCGGGCTGGAAATCAAACGCGGCCAACATCCTCGAGATACCTAGGAATAAACTACGCTCCGCTACATGCATGCCGGGACAAATCCGCCGCCCGGCCCCAAACGTGAACTGATCGCGTTTCGTACCATCCGGATCACTGGCGGAGTCCGCCACAGATTTGAAGTCGTCCTTGTACCGGTCCGGATTGAACTGTCTTGGGTTTGGGTATCGCTCGGGGTCCATGTTGAGTGTGTATACGTTGTTCATCACCGCGGCGCCCTTGGGGATAAGATAGCCCATGTACCAATCGTCCTGGGACACGGCGTGCGGCACGGCGCCGAGGATCGTCGTCGGCATCCAGCGCAGGGATTCCTTGACGCAGCCGCGGATGTATTGCAAATGAGGCTCGTCGTCCATGGTGGGTAGACGGTCGGGGCAGACTCGGTCGATTTCGGACTGGGCTTTGTGTTGGACATCGGGGAAGAGCAGCATCGCTTGGATGAAGCCGTACAGCGTGCTGGATGTGGTGTCCGAGCCGGCCTCGAGGAGTGTACCGGATATGTAAGCTGCCTGTGAAGAGTCCCTTGTCAGCATGGCTGGAGAAAGTGTATCTTCGGCTCTGACCGGCCCCGTGGGACGGCAAGACGACAGGCAGAGGGACGTACCTGATCATCACTAAACCCATCGACCTTCTGGGCTTCCGCCATACCGACGCAAAAGCATGGCTTGATCATGCCCTCGGCATACGCACGCTTGGCGTTCAGCCAGTGAGTCATGTACAGGTCCTTCTCGCGCTTGTGAAGGTCTTTGGCTGTCTTTTTCGCTGGGAGAAGGAAATCAGGCAAATTGCGCAACACGGGGAACAAGTCGATTAATGTCGCCGCGCCCGTCTGACTGATCGTAGCCATCTCGTTGAAGCCTTCGAAAAGTTGCTTGAGGTGCTGGTCTTCATACTCCGGGCTCCGCCAGCCGAAGACCATGGTCGTGGTGAGCGCATTGGAGTACCGGCGAATATTCTCGAGGAAGAGGTGTGGTTGTATGAGCATCTCATGGAGCATTTGCTTGTTCTCGAGCATTTGGTAGGGCACGTAGGACTTTGCAGAGTTGATGTTCAAGAGCGAGTGGACCATGCGGCGTTGCTGCGTGAGGGCAATGATCAGTGGCTTACTCCGCGATGCCAGACGACCATCCTGATGAGGAGGGCACGCTGTCATAGGAGGTCAAAACTCACATATCGCCATGTTGGAGTGTAGCCCTAACATAGGAAGAATGTTAGCTCTCTTGCCAATACCGAACTATTGGTGCATCATTGAAGCAGCATTGGAAAACGAAAGCCGGAGACATACCATCATCAACATTCTCAGATCTCCACTACATAGCGTCTGGCCGACGTACATCTCTTGCCTGTCGGAGTAGATGCCACTCTTCTTGTCGAGGAGATCTTTGACAGCATTTGCACTGGAAAGCACCACCAACGTTTTTGTTCCCAGCATGACGCTGTAAATGGGTCCGTATTGCTTCGCCCATTCCTGGAATTGGAGATGGACATCTTTATGCGGAAACTACTTGAATATCAGTTGACATGCTATGTAATTGACGTAGGAAAGACGTGGAGTGGAACTTAGTACTGACCAGATGATAGTTCCCAAGTAAAGGTATCGTGGGTGGTCCAGGGGGATATCCCTTGGGTCTTCTTCCAATCCGTAGTACTCGCAGGAGAAGCAGGACGAGCACGAACAGAATCAAGTACGACAGCGACATTGTGGGCGAAGAGGACCAGGGCAAAGATCACGGGGAGTCAAGATGAACGCAGGGTCATGCTACCTGTAACATAGAGCTTACCATGCAGCCGTGTTAATGTGCAATTCGGTTCGCGCGGGTGTCATTTGGCCCAAGGTACTGCGGCTGATGGCCCAAGTCAAACCTGGGGCATGAGACCCCTCGGTGGTCCCGTACCTCCATTGTTGTTTCTTCGAGAGGCCACAATAATAATGCAAGACGTCCAAATGGTCGGTACGGTCCCGGCACTCATCGTGCCGTCGGAGCCTCGGCTACCGCGAATCGTTCGTTGCTGCGCCTGCGCGCTGTTCCGTGTGGTATGGCTGATGTCGCTTATCTAGTGGTGGCAAAAGGGTGGGGGAAGGCTGTATAATAGCTTAAGGTAATGCACAATCCAGATGCCCAGAGTGGACATGGAGTATCTTAAGGGGTCTAATCCGGGGATGCAATTGACTTTGGTCATAGAACAGATAGAGCTCGTGACTGGGTGTGCTTGAGATCATTGCTTGTCAGGTGTAGATGTCCCTCGACGTCGAGCGGTTGGGCTCCGCACCCACGGATGGAGGACGATTTCCGTCCCGGAAGTTAGGACTGACAAGAAACGTCGCCAGGGATCTAGATACTGGATTTTGTCAGGATAGCGAAGTGGTAAAGACGTGATCAGATGGAATGCTTTGGCTTGACAACATGGAGAATGGAGCGTTGTACAGCAAAGTAGCCCCCGTGCTGCCCGCCAACATTGACCGTTGGCCGGAAATTCCTAAAGTTCCTGCCTTAGTGCATACCAGTACCTGCGAAGTGTGTCAAGTAGCTCAGGAACCATCTATACCTTGTGCATCATTACTTACCACAACACCAGCAGCACCTCACTGCGGGAGCAGTCCTCCGTACATCATTTCAGATACGAGGTGTCGTGGTCTGTGGAAGCTTCCCCACTACTGCCCACCTTTGAGAACTCCCAAGCACCCAGTGCGAACAATATGTGCCGGGGCTCTGATGCCCGAGACTTGGCAGTTGTCGCGACAAGCCTTGCAAGACAACTCCAAGAAAGGCTCAGAAGGAGCTTCGTATAGTTATCAGCATGGAGATTTGAGAGTCTTGTCTATCACTGGGCGCCAAGGGGTTTATCTTCTTTTCCATATAGGGTCCGTGAGGGTCCCACATCTATCTCGCCATACACGTTTCATGGATACTTGTAAAAGGGTAAAAGGTATGACTTTATCTATCCATAGATACTAACTATCTCTCGCTTCTAGAAAGCCCAGACCTCCCGCTTGCCAATCTGGGCTCGAGGCTACGCAACTCATGGACTGGGGGTCAAGACCATATCGGAAACCCTCGGTGTGATTCGTTCGTCCTTCAGACATCGAGAAGCTGATTGGCCATTCGAGGCTGTATCTGGGTGGCTTCAACTACGAGCCGACCAGATCAACAGTGGGGGAGAGACCATGGTCCTAGTACTTTCCCACCGCTCTTCAAGAAGGCTTGCCTGTTCTGGATCAAGACCAGCTAAGCTGTCCATAGGGGCGCGACTTGGCGAAGCATCCCATCTCCAAGGAGTCCTGTTTTCCGGCTAGGTATATGTACTAAGTACAAAGTTGCAAGATTTCGTTTTGGATCAAGACAACCCTAGGAGCACCACTTCAATCTCCACCGTCTCACAAACCTCCATTTCAATTGTGCGGCAAGCACAGACATAACAACCATGGACCACAACCACGAAAGCGACAGCATTACCGACAGCCCTCGAGGCGAGAAGGCTGCTGCCCTGCAAGGCACACATGTCACAGAAGGTCCTCACCAGCATCCTGTCCCTCATGACTACCTTTCAGCAGTTGAGAACGGCCTCATCGAAGACCTACCACCTCCCACAAACTTTGCGCAACGATGGGCTCTCAAGCTGGAACACCTTGCCGGTGTCGAAGCCCGAGGTATCGAACGTGTGCCTGAAGCTATTCGAGCACCACATGCAACTTTGGGAGACTACGCGCAGATGTGTGTCATTTGGTTCTCGGCCAATGTTACCATGAACAACTTGATCATTGGGTTTCTTGGACCCTTGCTGTTTGAGGTCGGGCTCAAGGATGCTATGATCCTCTCAGCTTTCGGAGCATACGTTGGTGCTGCAGGTCCTGGATATGTACGTTGTCTCCTGTCGAAGAAAATGTGCCCAATGAGATACCCAGCATATGCTCTGTCCCCACCTACACCAACGCGACTTTACTGACAATTCACAGATCTCGAGCTTCGGTCCTGCCAGTGGAAATCGTACGATGGTAAGCCAACTTACATGACGCGAGAAGGCGGTTTTGACACGCGGAATAGGTCGTTGCACGGTATACAATGGGTTGGTGGCCGAGCCGTATCTGCGTGCTCTTCAATATTGTCATCATGCTGGGCTATGGATTGATTGATATCTTGCTGTCTGGCCAGATCCTCTCCGCTGTGAATGGCAAGGGTCTAACTATCATTGTGGGGACGATCATATCTGCTATTGTCACGCTCATCGTCGTCCTTTTCGGTATCCGGCTCTTCCACACCTACGAACGTTACGCCTTCATCCCTCAGGTCATTGTTCTTCTCATCCTCATCGGAGTCTCAGGCCCTTACTACGACACTTCAAGTCCTACTATTGGCACAACACCCGAAAGGGCAGCAGACAGGATGAGTTTCTTCTTCCTGGCTGTTTCGGCAGCTATTGCATGGACACCTAGCTCGGCCGATTTCTACGTCTACTTTCCGCCCAAGTCAAGCCGACTTGCTGTTTTCGCTTGCACCACCCTCGGTTTGGGGACTTCCTGCGCATTCACATACATGATCGGAGTGGGTATTGCTTCCGCCACCCTGAGCAAACCAGAATGGAATGCGGCATACGAAGGTGGTGGTGCTGGAGCTCTGCTCGTGGCTGCCTTCAAGCCTCTCGGCTCCTTCGGTGACTTCTGCTCTGTCGTCGTGGCTTTGGGTTTGATTGCAAACAATATTCCTGGAACTTACTCCGCCGCATTGTCCTTCCAGCTTCTCGGCAGATGGCTGGGGAAACTGCCGCGCATTTTTTGGACCGTTGTGGGAGTGGTGATCTACACAGTCTGCGCATGTGCTGGACGCAACCACTTGTTTGAAGTCTTCCAGAACTTCCTAGCACTGCTAGGCTACTTCGTGGTCATCTACATCGCCTTGACGCTGGAGGAAGAATTCATCTTCCGTAAGCGCAGAGGCGGATTCGACTGGGCGGCTTGGAATGACAAGAGGAAAATGCCCTATGGCATTGCTGCGTTGACTGCCTTCTGCATTGGTTGGGTTGGTGCCGTGCTCGGTATGTGGCAGACATACTTTACTGGTCCCCTTGGAAAGACTGTTGGATTCGGTATCGACCTGGGCATTCCCCTCGCCATGAGCTTCAGCGCCCTCGCTTACCCACCCCTGAGATTCTTGGAGTTGAAGTTTGTGGGAAAATGAGTCTTCCGTTGGCCGGAGATGTGTTGTGATCATTACAATATAGAGAGAGTCATATATCAAGGGTTGGAAATGCCATGGTGCATGCCTTCAGGAATCCGCAGGGTAACAATGACGATGGGTGAATATTAAAACTGCATTGCGAGTAATGAGCGCTCGCAAGCTTGGTCAAAGCTGGACGCATTGCACCAGAGTGATAGCACTAGTATTATCGAGTACCCTTCAGTACCTTCGTAATAACCCTTGATGTGTTGGACAGTATTCTGGGCTTATAATCGAACGATTGTCTAAAGACATGTCATGAAGCTCCGGACTTCTTCTAGAAACTGTGTCAGCCGTGAACTGCTTGCTCTCCGAGCCCTGTCCGCGACGTCCCGTCCCAGGCAGGCTTACTAATACGCTTCAGGGGTAAGGCTACCACTGGGGGTGAATCGTTGAACATGACTTAGGTTTCTCTTGAATGCATCGACTTCGACTTTTGGCGGGCAAGGAGGGCCAGCACTGCCTGAGGAATGTATGATATGCTGTACCTCGCTGGGCAAGATCAAGGCAACATATAGACGGACAGGTCAAAGCAGGGTGCGCCGTGAAGCCTGCCACTTGGTCATCCTACAACACCAATAAATACCACCGTGAACTTATGTCATAGGAAGCAGAGTCACCCACAGGTCTTGCATCGTAGCAGGCTGAAAGACTGCTGCCACCAGATTACCAATGCAGGACTACGTGCCTATTCAGAGAAGGGGTCAACAATGCCGTGCTACGGGCTATCCCTCTACCAAAGCTGCGAGACGACTACCTACTCGTTCGAACTGTGGCCATTGCCCTCAACCATACAGATTGGCCGGCCCTCGATGATACGGGGGACTGATCTTGTTTATGGCTACTCGTATGTGCGTACAACCTTGAGAAGTCGACTATGTTGTACCCCGGAACCCTGACAGGTCCATCAATGACACCACGTCCCTAGGGTCGGAGAGCAGATCCGAATTACCACAGACGGCAGATTGAAGACTGTCTTCGACACGGTACATAAATGTCGAGACCCCTGCGGACATATGTGCCGATGCCATAGGTCCGGAGGGCGGCACTTGTTGCAATCTCCTGTCTGGGCTTAGATGGCCATCGGCTAGATGTTCGATCAATATTCTTCCTCGGCTACCCTGTCTCGGGCAAGTCGTATATGTTCGAAGGGGCGAAGCACAAACTTATCCGGAGGACTTTTCTTTCGCGACCGAGTTCATGACACTGGCTGGAAACCTGTGAGCTCAAGGGGGATGGAAACCTCACCCACAACCAGTGGGCTCCGGCAGCATGTTAGGTGCAGTGTCCGGGATGCACGAGATGAGGGAAGGGAAGTGATAGTGGCGAGAGTTGGTCTACCGGCGAGCCAGATTGATGGGAGGGATTGGCATTGGCAGTCTTCAATCCTTGGTATGATAAGTGTTGCATGTTTATCTTGCATCGAAAGGGGATATGGTCCCGAGAGCGCCGGCGAGTTCAGCACCAGAGAAGCAGCATTATGGCTGAGGGAGCAGATGTTTTTCTCGACAGGTCTGATGTTGTAATATTAACGTGTGGCGAATGCGTTGACAACCAAAGGGACTTCTGAGCCTCCAAGAGGCGATCAACATGAAGTGCGAACGGGGCTTGTCAATCCCAGAAGCGCTATCATGCCCTAGTTAATGAATCATACAGCAAGTGAGTAGAGAGCCGCGGGACTTTTGCAGGCGAGTCGTGGCGAGTCGCTAAGCACGTGTGCGAAGTAGGATGAGACTCGTAGTCTTTCACACCGTACTACAATGCACGACGTCGATCTTGAGGGTCTTTTGCGTTGCATTCAACAGCTCCATCTCCAAGGGTGGACTCGTAGCTGAGTCGTGAACTTGGCGATCATCACAAAAAGCCCAAGAATACCATGCGCCCGGGTACAGGGTAGTCGTGCCTTGGTTGCGGCAAAGGTGGATCAGCGTATCGAGATCTTGGAATGGGTTTTGACGAGCAGGAATCTTGGACTCTGTCCATCGCCGGGCCTGAGGTAGGGACGGCCGGTGGAGAACAACGTCTGCCGTCCTTGTCTGGTGGCCACCATCATGCCACTCTAAAGATGGACACTTAGGAGGGGAGCCGGTTTAGGCGCAAAGCATCGAGATAGTCCTATGTTATGCTGTCCACGGCTGTCTTGCTCCTGATACTTTGATGCGGTACCGATGACACTCCTTGGATCGACCTGGAGATGAAATTGGGATCCGTTTCGGCGAATTCCAGAGGCTTTTTACGTGAACGATGTGCCTACAGGTATTCCACTAATCTGGGGTTTCGGGCGCGACAGGCCCTGACAGGGCTCGACAGGGCTTGAGCAGGCCCATCACGACCCTTGGCGGTTCTTTCGCCTCCCCGGACGAACAGTCTATTGGCAGTCTAAGTAGCCTAAGTTGCGCCTCACTGGCCTAGACACGCCTAGGGGCCAGCCACTGGACAGCCTATCGTCGGTCCATCTTCCGCCACAGCGAATGAACTGGGTTGGAACCACTTCCGAGGATACCTTATACCTTACCAGGTGGTGGAGGTGCTTGTACGGAGTAACTTATCACGGTAGGGGTCGTGATTGTCGAGCTTAGGATTTGACTAACGTTAGCAGCTGTTCCTCTGCAAAAGTCTCGATGACAACATCCTTCGTGTTCCTTTTTCAACTTTTGACAGTCGCATACAATTTCCCCGACTCGCGAGAACGAACCCTTTTTCTTCACGGATCTGTGCGCCATATGCCTTATACCACTCGGACATATTGAACCTGCGTCAATGAGTCCTCGCAATGAGTGGCAACGACCCCCGGGTCGGCTCAGCCCGTGACAATTCAACGAGTCCAAGGCTTTCTCGCCTGGCATCAGGTTCTAATTCATCCTCAATCAGCGACCTACTCGCGACACTCGTCCCTGTTCTCGTCGTCTCCGCCGTATGTATAGTAATTTTCATCTTCTTACGACGCAAATGTCCGCGAGTTTATTCCCCACGAAGTTTTCTGAAAAGTCTCGAGCCGCAGTAAGTCACCGCTGGATACGAAGCCTCGTTGATTATACTCGAAACTGACCAACATCAGCGAAAAAAGCCCACCGCTCCCCACAGGATGGTTCAACTGGGTTAAAGAATTCCACCGTCTTCCTACAACATTTTTACTCAACCACTCATCCCTAGACGGCTATCTCTTCCTCCGCTTTCTCAGAGTTTTGGGAGTGATATGCATTGTGGGCATTGGTCTTCTATGGCCCATTCTTCTCCCACTCCACGCGACTGGCGGTGGAGGCAACGAGGGCCTGGACTTGTTGACGCTTGGTAATGTCACAGACCCTAAGCGACTGTACGCTCATGCGTTACTCGCATGGATCTATTTTGGTATGTTGCCTCCTCCATCCACCTACGTTGGGACCTAACACCCGCAGTTTTCATACTTTACATGACTTCACGAGAATGTATCTACTATATCAACCTTCGTCAAGCATATCTACTTTCTCCATTCTACGCTAATCGCCTCTCCTCCCGGACGGTGCTGTACATGAACGTCCCGCGCCAATACTTGGACGAAGAACGCCTGAAATGGGTACTTGGAAAATCCGTCAAAAGGATATGGATACCTCAAAGCACCAGCGAACTCGAAGATTTGATCAAGGAGCGAGACCAGACTGCCATGCGCTTAGAGAAGGCCGAGTTCCACCTCATCCGACTAGCCAATGCCGCCAGGACCAAAGCACTTCGCAAAGGAAAGCCAGAAGAGCAAGAGCGGAAGCATTCCTCTCCCCAGCTGGGTACTAGTAACGACCTGGACGAGAAGCGCAGAGAGTCTGGGTCAGAGTCGCCCGATCCCAAGACGATTGACTTTACCGAGGATCCGAATTCGCCCACTAGCTCGGCCACGTCGACTAAACAGCCTCTCCCAGACGTCAACGGTTCAGTAGCATCGCAGTGGATATCCCATAGCTCCCGACCGCATCACCGACCGATCGCAAACTACGGCCGACGCGTCGACACGATCAAATGGACACGGAACCAAATCAAGAAACTGAACTTTCGAATCGCCAAAGTCCGCCGAGAACAGCTGTTCCGGCCCCAAAGCATGATGCATTCGGTCTTTGTTGAATTCGAAACGCACACCGATGCACAGAACGCTTATCAGACCCTCACTCACCACCGGCCGTTGCACATGTCGCATCGCCTTATCGGTGTGCGCCCCTTTGAAGTCGTATGGCACTCACTGTCCATGACCTGGTGGGAAGCAATTGTACGCAAGTTTTCGTGCCAAGCAGCCATCACCGCGATGATTATATTCTGGTCCATCCCAGCCGCGGCCGTGGGTACGATTTCAAACATCGAGTACCTCTCGGAAAAGGTCTTCTTCCTGCACTGGATCGCATACCTCCCAAAGGTGATACAGGGGATTTTGAGCGGTGTTGTTCCAGCTGTAGCGCTTTCGCTGCTGATGAGCATTGTGCCTGGCATACTGCGATGTAAGACCCTTCACAAATTTTGCCATTCGAGAACCGTCCAAGCTGACTCCGTATCAGTTTTTGCAAGGCTCTCTGGGGTTCCGACACTCACCAGGATCGAGCTCTTCGTCCAACACGCCTATTTCGCATTTCAGGTCGTCCAAGTCTTCCTGATCACGACACTCACTTCCGCTGCGTCTGCGGCCGTAACAAAACTCCTCGAGGACCCGACGACGGCTGAATCCCTCCTATCGCAGAATCTACCCAAAGCCTCGAACTTTTACCTTTCATACTTTCTCGTACAGAGTCTGGCCATCGGCTCCGGTGCGCTTGTCCAACCGCATAATCTGTTCAAATTCCACATCCAGCGGCGCTTTCTGAAAGATCCGAGGAAGCAATACACCAGGTGGCACCGGTTGCAAAGAGTCCATTGGGGCTCTGTATTCCCTGTGTACACAAATCTGGGCGTCATCAGTACGTCTTTTTCCCTATTTCACTTTCGACCTAGCCTGTGCTAACTGTCTCTTTGCAGCACTAAGCTACGCGCTCATCGCGCCCGTCGTTCTTGGCTTCGCAGCAGTCGGTGTCGGCTTCCTGCACGTCGTGTACCGATACAATCTAGTCCATGTCTACGATTCGGAGATCGACACCAAAGGCCTCGTCTACCCAAGGGCGCTGCTGCAGATGATTCTGGGACTGTACTTCTCCGAGATCTGCATGATCGGCTTGTTCTCCCTACGCCACGCGATCGGTCCCGTCGTCCTGACTGCGATACTACTGGTCATCACGGCGCTGGTGCATATCTCGTTACTTGACGCGGTGCGGCCGTTCTTGAACAGTCTGCCCAAGACCCTGACGGTGGAAGAGGACCGGCAACATCTTCTGGCGACGGAACCACCTCACCCCGAGAGAAGCGCCATGGGCGGCGGTCAGGGCGACCGTTGGGCAGAACCGTGGCTGTACGACCCAGAGCAGGATCCGGAAGAACACATTCTCGGAAGCACTCGAGGGGAGACGACTGGGTTGAGGTTGGAAGGCGCCAGTGGAGCGGTCGACACGTTGAAAGACGGCTTCAAGACCATCGTCAAGAAGAAGATCGAGAAAGACTATCCTGAAATCAACACCCAACTCGGCTTCACCGCGGCGTTCTTCAGGCGCTGGATTCGACCGGACCCGGCACAGAAGTCCAATTGGCTTTTGCGCTGGTTGCATCCCGAGGTCTACTCGGATTACACCGTACTCCGCAGACTGGTGCCCGAAGACTTGCCCGACCCCAAGTATCCTGATGAGCTGGAGCGGGACATCTACTTCCCGCCGTCATTTCTGGGGAAGCCGCCAACATTATGGATCCCGAAGGATCCGGGCGGCATCAGCCGACAGGAGGTCGATCATACAAAGAAAGTGATACCGGTCACGGATGAATACGTGAGCATCGATGAGGATGGCCATCTTAAGATCGATCTCGACGAGCCGCGACTCGTGTTCGATATCGATCGGCTAAGATACTGAAAACTCAGATATCAAATATACATTGTACACCTATTTGCCTTCGGAAATACGAAGGTTCTCTACATATCATAATCTGGCGACGACCACTTATACCTATTTCTCTCTCCTGCTCTCAGTCATCTCGCCCTGGTGAAGACTAATTCACACTTTCCACTTTTCGGCAGCGCCAGGAAATGATCGGTCATGGCCATACTCTCCTCCGTCGTGCCGGGCGCCGAGCTGACCTCATAATCCTTCACCAACGAGGCTGTGATCAATTTCAACTCTATCTTTGCCAAATTCTTCCCGAGACACGCTCTGGTACCTTGAGAAAAGGGCATGAAGAGGGGTTTCATCGAATCCGTGATCGCAACAGCGTCCATCCACCGCTCTGGTCGGAAGGTGTCCGGGTTGGGAAACGCGGCAGGGTCACGGTGCGTGGTGTAGCACTGCATGGAAACCACAGTCTCCTCTCGCACGAAGACCCCGTTCAGTGTTCGTCCGCCGGAAGGGACTACTCGCTGCAGGCTTGCCGGGGCAGCCGGGTGCAGGCGAAGAGCTTCGTCGATAACGGCGTCCAGCACCGGGACATCGGTTACACCCCTGTATGACGGCAACTGCTCGGCCCATGGCGATTGCGATGGTTCGGCTCGCAGTCGGTCCTGCCACTCGGGATTCCCGGCGAGCTGCCAGAACAAATATGTGAGGGTCGTGCTTGTGGTGTCTAGGTAGTAGTCAGCAGTGCATTGGTAAGGACCCCTCGTCGGGTAGGACGAAGAGTATCGGAGTAAGAGCATACCAGTGCCGGCGAAAACGAGATTCCTAATCTCGGCGTAAGTTTCACGGTCTGTCATTGGAGGGTCGTCTTCGCTTTTGGTTGTCAAGATCTTGGGCAAAAGGTCTTTTCGACCGGAGTTCCGCCCGTACTGAGCTATGTACCTGTCAAACGAGACTTTGCAACCTGGTCAGCCTTGCACTGGGGGAATGTTGAGCTGTTGGCTGGTTGCACATACCTGTTGAAGACGATCTCTGGCGGCCAGAACGTGCCTCAATGCTGGTATGGGCAGCAGAATCAGCAGCCGGTGAAGCCAAGGGAAACTGGCGTCCAGGTCACTGGGCATGAAGGCATAATCCATGTCGAGCAAGAACTGTGGAGGCTCAGGCGAGTCTAGGCCGCCAAAACTCTGTCCGAGGAACAGTTCTCCTAAAGGTGAAAAACCCCAGCTCCTATTCGTGACCACGTCTGACAGTGATAAAGGATGGTAAGCGAACCAATAATGTCGAAGGATGTCAGCCTGAAAAGCAATAGAGCATCGAAGGGCATTTTGAGGCCCTCCATTACGTGGATCACCTACTTGTCGATGTGCTGCTTGATCAGGGGTTCAGTTCCGAGAAGACTGGCCTGCGAAAATGCATGGCTGAGCAGTCGCGTTCGCTGGCTGTGTTCGACCTTGTCTCTCATGGCGAAGATGCCGAGTGGGGGGAGACTGAAGTTGTCATAGATGGGAGCCTTCATGTATGGCGCTTGGACGCCATATAGCTCATTGATCAGCTCTGCATTGGCATACGATATTTCTCGCGGCCCTATGCGCACCATGGGTCCATATCGTCCGTGCAGTTTATGAATCGTGGATGCACGATTGCCAGTGAGGTCGATGAACATAATCCATTTTGGCGTTATCTTCGCTGTCAATGGTCCTGGAACCCGCCGGAGCGGCGAGAAGAACACGTTGGAAAGGATCTGAGCTGGTGAGGTGTGTTCGGCGGAGTATCACGCAATGGTACTTACTTGCCAGAATATAATGAGTGCCAGGAATCCGAATATGGTGACCGCCCGCATGTTGGTTGAAGGCGCCTGTTGAAAGGCAGAGCTTTCGATAGGCTAAAGTCAATGGACTCTGCCATCTTCACTAGGGGACTCATATAGTAAATAGGTTCTGTCGCCAGTGGTGGAAGTGTCTTTGAGTTGAGGCGTCCCACCAGGTTCAGGTGAAATGTCATATGGTGCCCAAAGAGCCAAATAAGATGCGGGTCTGGCTGCACAGCGTATACAAGGTCTTGCCCCTTGAGTATCGCGACCATTCCGAGCAACTGGGCGACATTTATGGCTAGCGTTGTGGTATCCTATGCATTGCTGTCGTTGCAGTGGTGTCTGCATGAGACGACGAGGTGAGTATCCGGACGATGTTATGCGGCTGGCGGGCACATTCTCCTCGTAAAGGACTCGCTTATTGGAAGGATAGGCAGACAAAGTCCGAGACAGGCTTGGCTATGCATGTTCAGCTGGCTAGACCGGTTCTGACCTCGCTCATTGTTCAAGCCGTGCGATGGGCATGCTGGACACGTTCATCCCGTCACAAGCCATGGCCAGTTCTGCGACTCCCGAACAAGCGATGAACTTCAACAGCGGTGCTCAGAGAGCTGATGAAGAGCCAAGTGCCAAGACCAAAGCTGGCCTCCCATTACCGGTCAAGTACCCTCAATGGATCAATTATAAATTCGAGCCGGACGGCGCAGTACGACCATTCGCTGGCAACACCATCCTCAGCCATGTCCCCAAAGAGAGCGACATGTATCGCTCTCTTGTGCAAATACACAGGGAGATCAACGGCAGTGACTTCGCAGGTTTATTTGCCCTTCTACCTCCAGAAAGCTACCACACGACCATTCTGGAAGGTGTTTGCGACGCGATCCGTGATCAGAACCACTGGCCGCGAGATCTGCCACTCAACGCACCGCTATGCGAATGCACCAGGCTGTTTGAGAGCAAGCTGGCAGAATTCGACATTGGGGACCATTCAAGATTTCGGATGGCGGTCAAGGGGTGGACTGCCCTTGAAGACGGGATTGGACTCCATGTAATGCCCGTTGATGACGCGGAGGAAGCAAGGCTTCTCTCCCTTCGTGACAAACTCTCAGATTGCCTTGAGCTCCGACTTCCAAATCATGTCGGATACGATTTGCACGTCAGCATAGGCTACTCGCTGCGATTCCTGACCGAAAAAGAGGAACAGCACATCACGGCATTTCTGAATGCCCAGCTTTCAAAGCTGCCATCTACTTTCGAGCTCGGTCCTGTGGAGTTCTGCACCTTTTCGGATATGTTTGCCTTTGAAAGGGTCAGACTCTTAGGAGGTCAATCATGATATGACTGCGGAACGTCAGTAGGAGTGATGGCAGAGGCCATTGAGAACAATAGGCAATAGGCGGCGGGCGCCTAAGGTGACGGGTAGACCGTCAGTGACCGTTTTCATCCGAGTTAGAGGAACAATTGAATTCCGGATCATGTCTTGGCGCCGGCGAGTTCCAGCCGCGGAGCGGAGAATCTTTTTGATGCCTTTAACCATCGACTGCGCGACATTAAGTTATCATCCGCGTGTCACGACAGTGGTTTTGCTCAGAACATTCACTTCGGAGCCGAGATGTACTTGAATCTTTGTTCAATCAGTCGCTAATACCTTGGACTCAGTCTCGACATGTCTTGAGCCCAACTCTCTACACAAACCTTCCCGTCCCCCGACTGTCAACATGGCAGCAACAGTAGCCAGAAATGGCACGGCCAGCAATTCAAACGGCCTGACAAGCGGCGTCACTCCTGCTTCACGCTTTGCCGACATCCCAGCGGCCATAGACATTCCTGTTTCCGGCGGCCTTGATGCAGATGAGGCGGTCGAAGTAAACCTCGAAGATCACCTGGATGACCCTACCGAATTGTGCCAATTATTGGAGAATGAGAAGGCAGCCAAAAACCTATGGATCACAATCGCTTTGGCCTATGCGAAGCAGACACAGATCGACCATGCAATTGAAATCTTGGGCAAGGGTCTTGGGTCGCTTGCACGAAGTGGCCCAAAAGAACGATTGAGTCTGCTCGCATGCGTGGCATGGCTGAACCTACTCAAGAGTCGACAAGCGCCTCGTGTACTGTCCGACACTCATGCCAATAGCGATGCGAAGACGAAAGATCACTACCTCAGAGAAGCCACCACGACCATCAACGATGCTTTGCGAATTAACCCGGCATTCCCTCCCCTTTACCTCACCCGGGGTGTCCTCTTCCTCCTTCGAGCCTCCTTGCAGTCGTCGACAAAAACCAGTGCTGATGCAGAAAGAGCCGAGTCTCTTAAACAAGCCTTGAAGTGTTTCGATGATGCGCTCAGATCGTCAGATGGACGTAACATGATGGCTGCCGTGGGAAAAGCTAGGGCATTATATCTTCAAAGACAATTTGCGCCCGCTCTGCAAACATATCAAGACGTATTATCCAAGATGCCCGGCCTGACAGACCCGGATCCGCGCATAGGCATCGGCTGTTGTCTGTGGCAGTTGGGATTTCCTGAGCGTGCCAAAACCGCATGGGAAAGATCGCTCGCGTTGAATTCAGAGTCTAAGGTTGCCCACGCACTGCTAGGAATTTACTACTTGCATGAGAGCGCCAAATACCCTGCATCGGATCCTCAGTTTAACGCCCTCTACAAGAAAGCAATGATTGACCACACAAAAAAGGCCTACACGATCGACAAGAACTTCCCACTCAGCTGCGCAACCTTTGCCAGCTATTTCTTGCTAACAGGCCGGTACGACACAGCGGAACCGCTTGCACGAAAAGCCATCGAGCAGACAGACATTAACGCGATTGCTAGTGATGGATGGTACCTGCTAGCCCGGAAGGAACATAACAAAGGCGATCTGGCAAAGGCAAATGATTGCTACACCAGAGCAGATCAGGCACGAGGCGGTCTGGACAGAGGCTACTTCCCCGCCAAGTTCGGTCTCATTCAGATAATGATTCAAAGCCAGGATATCCAAGGTGCCAAATTTCGCCTTGAGTCGCTGGGTCAACTGAATCGTCATGTCGAAGCCATGACATTACTTGGTTGCATCTGTGCCGAAGAAGCCTTCTCGACGCAGACTGCGGTCACGAAAGAGGACAAAGCGGCCTCGGCACGAAAAGCTATCTCGTTACTGGAGAATGTGCGGAAGACATGGAAGGACGAGAAATCCCGCGTGAAGCCTGATGAGTCTGTCCTGCTTTATCTTGCACGTCTGTATGAGCAAGAAAGCCCCATCGAGAGTCTGAAATGTCTTCAACAGGTTGAGGTGATGCAACTCGAGAAGATTCCTGATGAGGATCGTCCGGATCCAAATGAAGATGAAGCGACCTACGTTGCACAACTGCGCGAGAATCTGCCTCCTCAACTTTTGAACAATATGGCTTGCTTTTTGTATGGGCAGGAGTCGTATGCTCTTGCTCGAGAGACGTTCCAGATTGCTCTTAATGCATGTGTGAAGCTGACAGAGAAGCAAGAGGCAGAGAAGAACGCCGTGGAAGGAGAAAAGATTGGTTCCGAAGACGTCGACAACAGCGACACAGACGCTCTTGTCACGACTATCTCTTACAATCTTGCCCGCACCTACGAGGCATTAGGTTTGACGGCTGAAGCACAGAAGGTCTACGAAGGTCTGCTTGCCAGGCATGCAGACTACACTGATGCTTCTGCGCGATTGGCTTACATTGCTCTGGAAACGTCTCCACGTGATGAAGGCCCACGCAAAATCCATGCCGTGTATCAGAGTGACTACGGCAACACCGAAGTCAGGGCGTTGATGGGCTGGTACCATCATAGCGCCAAAAAGAAGACCAGCAACCTCGCCGAAGATGCCGAGAATCGGCATTACAAGCATACCTTGCAAGGATATGACAAACACGATCTCTATTCACTTACCGGCATGGGCAATGTCCACCTCACTCTTGCTCGAGACATGCCCCGTAATACAGAGCAGGAAAAGGAGAAGCGAAGCAAGATGTACGCAAAAGCCTACGAATTCTTCGACAAGGCTTTGCAATTGGATCCCAAGAACGCCTTTGCGGCCCAAGGTATTGCCATTGCATTGTGCGACGACAAGAAGGCCTACTCGGATGCGCTTCAGATCTTCACCAAAGTCAAAGACACACTCCGTGATGCTTCTGTGAATATCAATCTTGGACACGTCCTGACAGAACTACGCCAGTTCCAGCGAGGTATTGACAACTACGAGATCGCGTTGAGGAAGGAGGCAAAGGGCGAAAATGCTCAGTTACTTGCATGTCTGTCGAGAGTGTGGTTGTTGAAAGGCAAGGCTGACCGGTCCATTACCGCTCTGAACGCTGCTCTCGACTATATGAAACGAGCATTGGCCACTCAGCCGGACTCACCCCACTTGCAGTTCAATGTCGCCTTTATTCAATTCCAGATAGCGCAGCATGTCAACCAAGCGAAAGAGAGCGATCGTACCTTGGCCGACGTAGATGCTGCTATTGCTGGACTTGAGGAAGCTATTGAGACTTTTGAGCAAGTGGCTCGCCATAAGCAACCCCCATATCCTCGCACCGCCCTCGAGCAGCGTGCGGCAATGGGTAAGAATACAATGAGGAATCAGCTTGAACGACAACGTACGAAGCAAGCAGCCTATGAGAACGAGAATGCCACGAAACTGCAGGAAGCTATTGAAAAACGTCAAGAGGAACTCCGGAGGCGCGAAGAAGCCTCCAGACGGCGTAAACAAGAGGAAGAAGAACGTGCGAGGAAGATCGCAGAAGAGCGGAGAAAGATTGTCGAGGAGACTGAAAGACTTGCAGACCAGCTTCGTGCTGAAGCGGCTGCCAGAGAAGCTGCAGAATACACCGACGACGAGGAGACCGGAGAACGCGTAAAGAGAAAAGCAAAGAAGAGTGGGGCGAAGCGGAAGAAGAGGGACGATGAAGACGGGTTTATCGATAATGACGGGGACCTATCTGACGGCAGAAGTGAGAAAAGCGTGTCAAGAACGCCTATCAGTGGGTCGGATAATGAGGCCGAAGCCGAGAAGCCCAAAAAGAAGAGAAGAAAGCTGGAGAGGAAAGGCAAAGCGAGGGAGCCACGGAAGAATGACAAGTACAAGTCTGCTGCTGTTGTGGTTGATTCGGATTCAGAATTGGAAGATGAGCCTGAGGCTGTGGCAACTCCTGAGGCAGGTGCTGAGACTCCTGATTCTCCCGTTGCAGATCAAGATGAGGAGATGGTCGACACTCGTGGTGAGGACGAAGATGAAGTACGACCTCAGCCGACCAGAAAGCGAAAACAACTTCGGACTATTGCTGATGATGAAGACGAAGACGAAGATGAGGAGGCGATCAATGGCAATGTTGAAGCTTCCAGGCCATCCGAAGCTGCTCCAGATGTGGATGATGACGAAGAGTGATCGGAAGCCTCAGATCCAATACTGGGTGGCAGGGTGGTAGCTGGCTAGGAATGAAAGGGGGCTCCGCCACAGTATAGAGCCGGCGCGTTGATTGAGCTTCTTGCAAAGTGTAGTTATAGCTTACCTCCATTTTGCGATTGTGTAACAAAAAGCTTCATATACATGCAATATCCACAGAGCATATCGTAGGAATGAGGAAGGCAGATAAGACTCACAAATGACATTCGGGAGATGGTTCGAGTAGGGAAGACGAAATACTTGATGATCTCAGCCTTGCCATGGTTTGTGCTTGGCCAGGCTGCGCTCTATGACTCGTGATTCGCCGCTTTCTATCAAGTTGCGAGTCGATCCAGGCTTTGATGCCTGCGGCTTTCGCAGTGCCTCTTCACAATTCCACACGCCCAGGACTGGCAAGCTCTTTTGTCGCAGTCTCTGACTCCGGACAGCCGCAATGTCGTCGTCGGGGTCTTCGACGGCGTTGATCAAGCGCTCATCTGCCCAGGATGTCGCCGCCATGCCCCCTCCGCCCTTCAAACGGATCAAGCGACCGCCTAAAGTCCTAGACGAGGATGAATACACCTCTGCCCTCTCCGGCATCATTGCACGCGACTACTTCCCCGGCTTACTCGAGTCTCAAGCGCAGCATGAATACCTAGCAGCCCTCGAGTCCGGCAACGACTTCTGGATCGCCGAGGCGGCGCGCAAATTACGGGATGCCGCTATCCCAGCGTCGCAGAACGGCAAAAGAAGGACTGCGCGGAACACACGCTTCAACAGCACGCCCGTACGGAACCAGAACGTTGCAGACACACCACTAGGCTATACGGGTAGTGAGACACCCTCTGGCACGTCAGTTGAGGACTCGACGCTCGAGGACGACAGCAAGGCTATCAATACATCGACTCTCTCCCTCTCGGCATTCCAGGCCAAATACACATCGGAAGACAACGAGTCCTTCAACGCGCTTCTAGACAAGCAGAATATCAAACGCCGTCAGAAGCATGCGCACCTGTGGACGCAGGACCAGCGAATCCCATCTTCTCGACTGATCGAACACCGCACAAGAGAAGCCCGCCTACTTACTGATGCACAGACGTCCTCGTCCACAGGGAAGGAATTAGTCCCGATGCACACGGGCGCGACAGAGTCTCGACCCGCGAGACCCGATGCCTGGAAAATCAAACGACCCGACAATACGTTCATGTTCAACGCCACCTCAGTCGACGAGGACGGCCTCCAGACCGTGCAGGAAGTCAAGGAGAAAGAATCGAAAGCGGGGCCAAAGCATGTTGTCCATAGTAATACGCGGTTCCTGCCCATGCAATACATGGATGATCCCGGACCGGTACCGCCCAGCCCGAGCCTGAACACGGAGATCATCAACAAGCGCGGTAGACTTGCCTCCATGTCCACAGAAACCGACACGAATGCAGGCCTATCCGAGGATTATGCAGGCGGCGAAACACCGCGCGTCAATGGCTACGCTTTCGTCGACGAAGACGAGCCTGAAAATACAACCCCCGAGGTCAAAGCGGGACCGACATATCGCGACCTCCTGGCCGGGCAGGTCGGCGATGCGACCCCGAACCCGTTCAGAATCAATGAGATACGCAAACGCGAAGATCTTCACTTGCGCATGCTCGAGAAGCAGGCGAAACGGAAGAGAGAGAAGGATAGGCAGACCGTCAGGCCCGTGGGTGATAGCGGTAGTACGCCCGCCGGGAACATGACACCCGCGGCCAGACGGTTGATGGAGAAATTAGGTGGACGCACACCGATGAGGGGACGTGAAAGCGGTGCGGCTGCAAGGGAGATGTGGACACCTACACCGGGGCGGACGCCCAGGAGACGGGATCTGAAGAGATGAGATGGGCTATCAATGAAGCCATGGACAGCCGTGAATTAAGAGCCATGCCCAGTCGTGCCAGTCCAACCGCGTACGCGGTTTCTCTGCTATAAAATCTGTATAAAGCCCCAGATTGAATTTTCCTGGTCCCCAAGCGCCATCGCCATATCTATGACCATTCCCGCCATTCAAACGCCGGCTAGCCGCTAAGAGTCCCCATCCATGGGTGTATCATGAATCATACATGCAGAATGGCTTCCCCGACTTTACTTCTGTCCCATCCCTTCCTTGCTTAATTTCTTGACTTCACGTCCATCTATAGAGCATTCACCAACAGGACTACCAGCGCCAGTACGGACATCGTGGTGAGGCCTAATGGTGCTGTAGATTGTGCTCCGCTCAGATAATATGCAGCACCCAGATAACTGCAAGTAATGATCCCGGAGTCATTGCTCCTTCTGCCATAGCTGCTCTCCAATCCAGCGCCTGGTAGCGGACAAGCAAATCCCAGACTTGCCGGACAACTTTGAACCAAGTCATAGCAGAGATCCTGACAAGGCAAAACCTCCTTATACGGGCCAGGCTCGATGGTCTCATCAATGATTGAATTCCTCGATGAATTCGTCGCAACAGAGGTCAGCAACTGTTGGTCGCCGTTCAACTGTGAGTCGGAAATACTCGAGCCATTCACGAACGGCTGGCCAAGATTCCGCGGCAATAGCCAGGAATCGGTATTTGAGTAGTCCGCGCATCGAGGGATAGTGACAGCGCAGAGCCATTGTTTGTATGCACGAGCACAGTCATCGCAATTTCGTGCCAGAGAATATTGCGCGCTTGAGGTGATGTTACATGGTATTTGTTGTAGGGAGTAGTTGAAGTATTGGTACATTTGTGCGGCGTATGAGTCGTACAAGGCTGCTAGGTCGGGGAGGCCCGTCGTGGGAGGATACTTTTCAGGATTCGTCGGTACAGCGTAGGCGACTTCGGAACAGAAGGAGAGATTGTACATCAGAGCACAGTTGTTCTCAGTCTTGGTCTGGAATTCGATGGCCTCCCAGACAGTCCCTCCGCCGCCGACCACACCATTTCCAGAGGCTGTCGAGTTGCCCACCATGGCCAGCATGCCCCAGTACTTAGAAGTGGCGTTGAGTCCAGTGAGGTAGAATTGCTCCTTCGGTTTGCCTCCAAGACCTCTGTTGGTCATTTGGGCGACATTCTGGTTCGAAAATCCATTGATGTTGGCTGCTATCCGCGCATTGCTCATCAAACCACAATATGAATTCTTGACTCCTAGGATACTCTTGTCATTTTGATTTGCCCCAAAAACGCCCCAGGGAGGGTTTAGGCTCATCCATTCTTGATAGACTGTAGAGTTGGGCTGGGCTTCGGTTGTATCATTGGTGATCAGAAGGGCCGCATGGTTATCGCCGTCAACGAAATATAAATTCGTCGAGTTATGCGAGCCATGGAAAGGAGCATCAATTGAGGCTGCCACTTCGTAGTTCCAAATACCGTCAAAGTTCGTTGTATTCGGTGCAGATATTCCAACATAAACATCGCTATCAGCGTTGCTTTCAAACAAAGCATAGCCGCCATCGACCTGGACTGTTTGCTGGCTTGAGTCATCTGCATCAGGTCCAGGTTTCTGGTTGGATGCTGATAATGAAATGTACATGGTCAACTGAGGAGGTATTGCATCGTCTGATGTCTTGTTGGTGACATTCGAGGAAGGTTGGAGACATGTGTTCAAGGATATGTAGACTCTGTTCCCATTCTGCCGCCTCTTAAGTTCCCGCACTTCTTCGACTTCTCTTTTCTCGGTCGTCTCTGATGGTAGACCTGTTCCCGTTGTGCCATGAAGACCATTGACTGCGTCTCTTGGAAACACCCAGTTCTGGGTCTGACCGATATCGATATTTCTGTTCTGCGGTGCATTGTTCGCGAGCGCTGACACTCCTGCTTCGGCGCGGCCAGCAATACGACCCTCCTCTAGTGTGTATGTTTCCTCTGTCGGGTATCCCAGATCCTCATCTAAGTTGAAGTAGTGGTCAAGGTCTTCAGCAATTGCCCTTGAGTCGAGTTCAAGTGCGTATGCAAATTGTGGCTTCGTCAGGGTAAGGTAGAAGACTAATAAGAGGATAACGGAGGCTGCGAAAGAGGCCGCGAATCTGGATTGTAGAGGACTGAATTTGGGCAGTACAGGCATCATGAAGTCCAGCTACGGTCGCCCGGCATTGTAGGAGGTTGAAGGTCTGCTTGACGAACTCTACGACCACATCATGGCTGCAATCGTTGTTTCTGTCACTTCGGAGCGTTGAAGGGCGATGTCTCAGCACATACACCGCAGTGAACAGGGGTCAGTGCCTTCCGCCTCGACGCATGCGCGTCCGGTTCAGCCTCGTTGTTTCAGCCTTGCCGACGACCGTCGTCACGTGGAGATTTTCCTTCACGTGATCACATATCTCCTCCGTTGAAGACGACATCTTCGATACCTCTCTTTACCTCGAATTCTTGTGTGTGCAACTGGTCTCTCCGCGGCGGTCTGTGAAAGATTGAAAAATGCTAGTGTCGGCCGTAAAGGGGCCAATCGGTACCCGTCAGGCTTGAACGTCTTTCTGACGGAGAGTCCTAAATCAACAGTATCCCGAGTTCCACGGTCGAATCGGTTCATTGCGGACAGGATATATCGAGATGACAAGCATCTGCCGGCACAAGCAGCGCATTGGCTGTGCATTGACGGCCTTGCCAGGATGTTGTTCTTGTGCAGACAAAAGACCCCTTGCGACTGCCTATCCTGTGTACATCGACGGCCAAGGCATGAAACTTCAAGGAAAGCGCTGGCAACGTTACTGCTGGAAGTGTCGAGGTAAGCGGACCTCTACCTCTTTGACTTCTTTTTCTCTTCTTTACATCTTTCCAGTGACTCATTCTTCCAACTATCAGTCCTTCGCTAGTTGACATATTGATAATTTGGTATCAGATTATTGGAATCTTCTATCAGAGAGCAACTCAGATCCCTCGTTTTCCAACACACCCGAAACCGGCAACGCCCACGTTTGTTTGCAGCACGGGAGCTCACACGGCGTGAACATGCCTTACTACCGCAACAGCAGATACGTAGCCGCACACAACTCTGGCGGTACGGGATCTAGCCCAGCCTCAGGATTCAGTAGCACCAGCGAAGACGTGTCCATCGGCAATCCAGATGGTAATTTGCAAACCACCCACTTCAGCCCCAATTCGGCCGGTGTCAGCATCAACCATCCTTCCAGCCCAAATCATTCGCTGCCTGCGAGGGAGCCTCCAACGTGGGCCTTTGGCCATGTCCCTCCACACGCCCGCAACACCCTGCAAGGCACGATTCCTGACGGACCGGCTCACTCTGCTCCCACTCACCCTGCTCAGCGCCGATCTTTGTCAGCGCATCTGAACCCTCTCTCTCAGACCACAGACGGCATCAATTCAAGCCAGATAGTCATAGCAAACGACCCACGACTGACAATCACCACTCCACGACCCATCAACGACACCTCTCGCCAACAACCATCAAATCCTCGTGGACGTCGGCCCATCCCCAATCCTTTCGGCACTAGAGAAGAAATTGAGTCCGAGAACTACCAAAGTCCGATAACAGCGCTGTTCGGACGAGCCTGGAATAGGTACAGGGACGTGCAGGAAGCCAACCAATCCAGAAGGATTTCACAAGACAGCGTTCCTGGAACGGCTCCTCCGCAACATGACGAGGCCGCAAGTCGAATGATGCGGGAACGCGATTACATGATCCAGCTCGAGCTCGCTATGCGTGAGGTAGGCCCTTTAAATGCGCTCGATCCACAGTGGCGGCCACCTCCTACCAACCCTGCGGGTACAAACCTGTACACAGGCCAACAGTTCGATGCAGGTCCAAGTACTCCCGTCAATCAATCCTGGCGGCCTACCACCTTCAACCGCGCCGCTACATACCAAAACATAGGCCAGCAACTAAATGCAGGCCCAAGTAATCCAAGAAGTTACCAGTGGCAGCCACTTCCTATCAACCCTGCCGGCACAAACCAAAACGCAGGCCAACAGCCTGATCCAGACCCAATTAATCCTATCGATCTGCAGAAGCGGCCACCCCCTATCACTCCTGACGATATGAACGTCAACGTTGCCTGCAAAATATGTTGCGAGCAAAAGATCGATACATTATTTGAGCCATGCATGCACCTTGCTGTTTGTCACTGGTGCTCAGATGTGTTACGTACTCGCGCGCGTCACTTTCGCAACACGCGCGTCGGACCACCGCGTCCTGAAGAGATCTGGACATGTCCTATTTGCCGCCGAGAGGTCACTCGGTGGAGGAGAGTGTATTTGGCTTGTTAAGTGAGAAGTATGTGGGAGAAGCGCCGCGAGATCTGCCAGATCATGACACCCAGGAGATGGACATGAACTTGTCGACCCGTTCAGTAGGTCACTTAGAGCAATCGGTGGAAGGACTTTTGTTGGCAGCATGTACATGCAGTCAGACTCACAAAGAGCGGCCGAAGCGGTATTTACGAAGTTATGTCGATTGAGGTAATGCAGTTTGCAGATTAATGATACATTGCACCGCAGCAGCTGTGTGTTGCATAAATACATGCTTTGCTTGTACGGATAGGACCCGTATTGTATTTCTTATTTTGCTACTCTTCGTCGCACCAAACTGCTTATTGCCCACCGGGTTCCCGATGCTGGCATCCCGAGAAGATCCAAGGGTGAGGCATTGCAATCGTTGGCGCTGTCGAGTCGCAACTTCCCAAGCGTTCAAAGGATGGATTTGATGCCCCGAAAGGACTCCATGCTACAGCAGCAGCAAGCTTTCGGGGCGGCAGGACGACTCAAGCACCGTTTCCTTGATCACTTGCATCAGAGACGCGGCTTCTCTCGGATACCGCATAGCGCAAGAGACCCGCCACGAGAGGATGCCATCATTCTCGCGCAGAGGAGTCGAATTGAGCATTAGCAAAGAACGTGGTCAGGAGCCTCGGTACGCTGGCCGTAGGAGCGAACCTGAAGAGGGGGCCGCGTTCTCTCAGAAATGACGACGCCTCCGGGCGTCCATTAACACGTAACGCGTCAGAGTCGTTAGCATGCAAAGTTGGAAAGGCAGTGAAGTTGAGGCCTTCCCATTTCGAGATTTGAATTCGAAGTTCGGGCTGGAAGAGAAATTGGACATGAGCGGAAGACCTCAGGCCGGAAAAAGGCGAGCGTGAGCGTTTACAACCACAGAAAGCATTCAGCAAATATTATTGCCTGGTGATGCCTCTGAGGTTCAAAGTCGGGAAGACCGCAGGAAGTTGAGATCTTTGACTTGGCTGCTCGTAAATGGGTGCGGCACGTCGAGAGCGGAAGGCTAGTACTGACGCAAAAGCACAAACAGGCCGCAGGATCGCTGCATCGATGCCTGACACACTCAAAGAAGCTGCAGGATTAGCAGGAAATGTAGTATTCGAGCTCCAAAGGCAAACTTGCATATCAAGAACGAAGTCCCCGTCCATCGGTCATCATTGGACACTGCCAATGATCCGCTTGTGACGAAGACGACTAAACAAGGCGTCAGCAATTCTCGCTTTGGGTTTCAAGTACTCCGTACGGAGTACCAACTACGAGAAGCCGGAGAATGCCTGAAATTGGGTCAGCGGGAGGATCCCGAGACGCCAAACTTCAAAGGCCGAAAGGTTTGCCCAAGGCGCTCCACTCCGAGCAAGAGACTGGTGCCAACCACACTTTGCTCACAAAGTGAGGCAGACAGTGCTTGTAAGAAGTCGCCTGTCCTTTCGAGACGCATAGTCTGGCAGATGGTTGTACCAGCAACTCGGTCGTGCTTTTCGGCCCGGCACCAGTGGGAGCGAGCGGATCCTTCTTAATTTGCACTCCACAAAAGCGGTGTGGTAGCTTTCGAATGGGTCGATTCCATACGAGTTAGCCAGAACAAAAAGGCAACCGTTTTACCTTCCCCGTCGTTAGTTGCGGATGTCCATGGGAAGTGACCTCCATCCACGACTTGTTTGGTAACCGGTGATGCCCATTTGACCGTGCGCAGCAGACTGGAGACGCATATGTGCACAGACTCGCTTGACTTTGCTCAACATTAGCGTGGCTGCCTTCGTCTAAAGTTGTCCTTGATACCCTCCTTGCAGCCATTACGTGTCAGGAAAGATCCAGGTGGGAGGCCCAGGAGCCGCTGCCTTCGACATGCAGCAAGCTCAATACGAGCGCAAGGCAACCGGACGGTTTCAGCCGCCACTTCAGACTGTTGGAGAAGCCGCAAATGGATCAGAGTGGTAGGCAAGTGTGGAATGTCGCGTATCAGAACAAGTTGGAGTTGACTGGAACGTATCGACTCGACAACCTGCTCTCGCCACCGCCACTCATGCTTGGGTCTACAACTCTCGCCACCATTGGACACCCAACGGATATCATGTTCCAGTCTACCAGATCTTGTTCTCTGCGACGATGGCAACCCACAAGACCAGGTAATGGTCCGGTCAGCTGAGTCGGGACGCTTGTTGAGCCTCTGATTGGTCAGCGTTCCAAGTGATGAACATAAGGATATTCGCCGACCGTCGTCAAATTGTGCCGGTCTTGACATGACAATATCTGGAATCGTTTTGCGAACAAACATTCAGATCATGCAGCGTCACGCTGTAATCGAGTCTGGGAGAGTCAATCCCAACTTCAGCTCGCCGCCGAACGCTGGCGAGCGGGGCCCGACGCTGTGGCGTACTTTGACAAGACCAATGACTCCGGGTACAATTCAATCTTTACGTGATCGGGTTCGCAACTGGCTGACAGGTCGTTCATTGGTAAGTTGCTTTGGCCACTGTCGCTTGAAGGGGCGAATCCGGGATAAGACGACTCGGCGGGCGGGAGGCGAGGTGACGAGGCTGAGGCATTTGCCTGTGCGACATATGGTTACGCTTACGCACCTTGTTCGGGACAGTTCTAGATCTAAGTGCATGGTTGCGAGGTGCCCAAGGTGTTCACTCTGGGGAGCGACAACCTCAAAGAGACTCGTGGCGCTGGAATTCGTGGTGCGGCTGAAAGACTGCAAGGCTGGCGCTTCATGCCATGGCAGGAGTGAAAAGGTCAACATGGTAAGGACAGTGCTCATGCGACGAAGACAGACATTGTAAAGCCGCCTCAGCTGAAAAGCTAAGAGCTCCATTATGTGGCGGGAATCATCTGTAGTCAAGATAGAGATCTTTCTGAAAAGCTGAAGGCCGCATGCACCTCTACCAGAATGGCGATAGCCGCCTCGCCGTATACATGCCCACCGGAATGGACAAACTGTTCTTCCGTCGTATACGAGCAAAAGATGAATGCACGTGATAGGTCCTTTTGCGGCTTTCCGGCTCGCCGGCAAGCGGCACGAGCCACACCGTCCGCCACTTTCAGTTGAGGCGCCAAAAATTAAACCTCAATCTCAACTTCAACTTCAGCTTAACTTCACCCTCTGACAATATCTCGACCGCAGATCGAGATCCTGACGCTGAACCTCTTCTAGACCTTCTTGAAAACCTTGTCATGTCTTGTAACGGTGCTCCATCTCACAGGCCCCCAACGTTTCAACATAAGGCCACGGGTTGGCAACAATTCCTCACGATTAAAGTCAGTCTGGCTGGCCTGGCACCATGCTCAGTCGCCTCGAGACCGTTGCTCCCTTCCCGCAGAGCTGCTCAGTACAAGTCTACAACAGCCTAATGAGAAGCTCTCGGAAGGCTCGACGTTTCGTTGTGCCGGCTCGGACTATGGACGTTCCCTTGTTTGAAGTACTATGTTCCACGCGCAATTCCTTCATTTTCTTGAGAAGACCAGGACTTACTTCCTGAATCGGATGCGTCCGACGTTGACACGGAACAATGTCACGGTGTTGACTCCGGCTGCGGCGCCGCGAAGGTGACTATCAGCAATATCTGCGGGTAAAAACTCCCAGCATACCACGTTGTGCTTACTGAAGCGTACATGACCGCTCTACCTGAGATTAGGTGCAAACTTCTCGGGAGAGGGCGACACTACTATCCCGGCAGCATACCCTCACTATAGAACATGGCAACACTAGGCACCCTACGAACCAGCAGGACACAGGTGAGAAATGGCACGCTGATCGAGTTCTCTAGTCGGTAACGGCGTCCCACACTACACACACTGGGCATGTCCCGGTGCAGCGAAGTCTGGGATATTTCCATCAACATCACTATCGCTGCTGATGTTCTAACAGTCAAGGTCCCTTGCCCAGATAACGCTCTACCACTGGAAGATTAGGGAGTCCATTCCAACTGTAGCATATCTGCTCGACCATACAGGACCGGCATGAATGCGGACGAAGGACTAGTTGTCTGCGAGAATGCCCTGGTATTCAGCTGCACAAACATCTTGCAAAAAGGACATGCTACGCTAAGAATATCTGAGTCTGCTCACATGACAGGATCAAACGTCCTAGCAACCACGTCTCAGTCTCCGCATAGCTGGACTATCCTCACTCCCCACCTCCACTCACAGGCAGCCTGATCCCGACGCACGTTTCTTGTCTATCCCAATGTCCTCGACATGCCATTCCCAGCCGCTCAGCCATACTGGTACATTTGACGATACACTCATGTTCACGCGTCAGCGTTGGAGACACTGAAGACTCGGACGATGAAGTCGAATGGGGATGGTGACAAGACACCAGCACCAAAATCCTTGCAACAGCAGTACAGCTCCCTGGCCCAAAATCCCTCAGGTGACGGCACATGGTCCTTCTTGCGCGCAAAACGAGGAACAGGGACCGGAAAACGGAACTTCCAGGACGCAACTTCCCCGAAAGGCAACTAGCTTCCTCACGTGTCGAGCATTCCTCACCAATGAGAGAGCGACTTTGCACGTGATGAGACTGTTAGCGCAATGCATGATTGGTTCCGCGTCTTCTAGCGCAATCGGCAGTTGCACGTCATTGGCTGATGGTGTCCTGAGTCTTGCCTGGCCCTCTGATTTCAGGGTATTTCCCCCTCCCACGCTCCCACCTCCTTCCCCCTTCTCCTCCCCTACCATCTCCTCCATCAGATATATGCCTTGATACCATCCAGAGCTCTCAGAAAAGTAGGCCATCTCTCACGGTCCAGTCTACAGCACATCTTGGGCACGGAAGTCATCACTATTCCTTCCAGTTGGGTTGTCCCAGCATATTCACCTGATATCACTCCCTCGTATCAGCAAGGCACACTATGACTACCACAGCTTTCGGAACCCAGACTTCTACCATGACATGGACGACCAGAGAGCAGTATGTTCCCCATCAGAGGAGGGCACCCTGAGTCTGATGCTGATAAAGTCAACGCAGTCGTCGCCGGATTCCGCTGACATCCTTCACTTTGCTGACCGTCCCTGAAGAGTCCATGCTCTCAGGCTATCTCAAGAAGGTTGAGGCCATCGATGTCAGCATGATGGAAAGGTCTCTCAGAGCAGATGGCAGGGCCTGGCCGTGCTCTTCTGGCTATCAAGCCAAAGACTCCCTGCCATCTCCGCCTTCCAGCCAACCAACCTTTGATGACTGCATCACTGACAGCAAAGCCGATGACTCCCAGCCTGAGCACGAACTTGACAAGTTCATGGGCGCTCTCACTGCGGCCGAATCACCTGACGCTGTCATCAAGACCATCGCCAGGTCAAAGTCTTCAAAGCTTTGTCCCTCCAAGCCTGCTGCCTAAATGGAGATGACAGTCAGCAAATACGCTGTGGTCTGTGAATGGAACAAGCATATGGACCGGCATGAGAGACCGTACAAATGTCACGAAGCCGGAAGCGGACCCAACCCGGGATTCACTTACTCTGGTGGACCGCTGAGGCATCAAGGAGAAGTTCACAAGATGCACTTGGTGAGCGACTTCTGTCCGTTCCCCAACTGCAACGTCGAGATTTTGGCTTGTATTAGCATGCATGACCATTCCCAGGATGACTCATGACCAAGTGATGGCATTGTCTCCTATTCTACCTCATAAACATCTGTTATGGACATGTGGGAAGTGTGGTGGTAGTCAAGGCTGCATGTCACGTGCATGGAGTCCAGTCCTTCCCATAGTGGCGGTAGTCGTCCAAAGTGCCCAAGGCTGAATGTTGTTATATCGTCCAACATCACAACATTTAGACTTGGCAGACCGAGTGAGCCACGTGGACTCACTCGTTACCTTATCTTGTGCTCCGTAGTCGCGCTCTTGGGGTGTCAATTATTCAAGACCTGCCCTGCAACTTGACTGAATTCACGTCACTTCCGCACAGCCCCTACAGCGGCCGCTTGACATGGCCATGCAGCACGCCAGAAGCCTTCAGGTAGCATAGATATCATTGTATCTCATCTGTGCCATCACTTCAGAGGACTCCTTTTGTGCTATGCTTGGTTCAGTCACACTGGAAGGTGGCGGGTTCATTGAATTTGACTTTTGATTGCAGGTCTATGTAACCTTGGTACTTAGGGGATTCGTCAAGTTTTCTGGTCAGCAAGAACTCCTGACCGAGAGACAAACGCCTGTTGAAATGCAAAGGGCCAGCCCATCAAACCCAATAACAATGTTGCTCCGACTTCCAATCCCCTAAAAAGAAGGTGATGAGGATGATCAGTGATTATCCATCATACGTTCCGTATTGCTGCAACTTGATGCCTATGCACATCAGTGCACTCAGTTGCTCCTTGCTTTTCCTCCACCTGTAGCCCGGTAGAGTGGCATTTGTTGCGGACTTCACCTCCCTCGTATGCTACGAGGACGGTCCAGCTTGGTATTACGCCTGTCAAGCACCTGATTTCATATGCGTACCTCACCTCAGAACTGGCATAGACCATCATACCAATCAGCCCCTTCGCCAGCCAGCATTCGGCTCTGCGAAAATGTTGGCCACCATAATCACCGTCAACCGAGCAACGGACTCGAGTCTTCAGTCTCGCCTCGAACCGTAGCCATGTCTCTTTCGGATGGTACCGATACTGTCCACGATCAGCCCTAAGTTCTACCATACATATGCTGATACCGAGGTCTTGACATCATCCGTTCCGGAAGGTTCGCAGTCTGGGGTCATGTGCGTCAGGGAGTTTCTCTGAAGAATTTCGCCGACTGTTGGGTATGGCAGAGCGCCAGAACCCTGGAAATATCCAGGAACGTATCTTAGTCCGATCTCGGACATCAAGGTCTTCAGACCACATCCAACATGGGCGCATCTTGCTGGGTGTTTGTGGGTGCTCCGACCTGCAACGTATTCATGAGAGAAACATCTGGCAAAGCCAATGCGAATTCAGTACACGCAAACTCCTTGGAGACGATGTCGTAGGTGATGTAGCGTTTCAACTGATATCGTAGTCAGCAGAAGTCTCAATAGCAAGCATGGGCTTCTCCTTACTGATGCCAGTCTCACCCCAAGCCAAAGACATCTCTCGGCGCGCGGTGCAGCATGGGATGGAAGCTCCAGAGTGCGGTCATCCTCATCCACTACTTGCCCTTCGAAAAAGTCGTTGGGGAAGTAGTAGGAGGTGTACTTGAATCCTCTCAACAGGAAGTCTTCGGGCAGTTGGCGACCTGTTCCAGACTGCTGCTGAGGAAACTCCTTGGATTCGACTCTAGCATCGACCACTCCAGACCTGTTCATCGAGTTCAACGACAAAACCAATTTCGCCCATGGAACATAGTTTTCAAGGTAGACAAGGGCTCCCGGAACGTATGACAGACTCCAGAGGAACGCTAACGTAAAGTGCAAGAACGGTAGGATGTTCCTATCCCCCACCTTCCCAGCGACAATTGAGAAGCAAGTATGCCAGACAGGAAGAATGTATGAAGTTATCTCATCAGAAGAACCGAACTTGACTCCGAGTCGATCGCCGGTTGGTGGAGCAACCTGGGTAAAATCCTGTGGATTGATGGGGCCATTCTCTGCCCAGAATTTCTGCTGAATCCTGGCTTTGACCATGGGATCCTCAACCTGCACGGCGTCCGTGGGCAAGTCCGTTTGTTCCTCGGTGTGGCTTTGCTTCATCCGCTCGGAATTTGCACAGAAGGCTTTCCATAAGAAGTTCTCTTCGGATCCAAAATCCAGCACCATGGCAATGAGAGATGATGCCACCTCTGCTCCTTGGACTTTAAAGTTGGATCCCGTCCTGTTAATAGTGCCGTCGAGTTCGGATACAAACTGGGTAATGTGTCCGCAGTAATCATGGACGGAGCCACGTGTGAAGAGAATGCCTGCTGCCGTGACCAAGGAGGTTTCCATCTTTGGGTATTTTTGGCTGGTTACCTCAAACTTATCCAGAAATGGTGTAAACAAAAGCATGATGGAGTCCCGAGCATTCACAAAAGGGACGCCACTGATGAGGGCCTTGGTATAGTAAAACAGTTGACGGACGACGTTGGGCCGTGCTAAGACTGCCAAATGATGCTGTATTCTCCCTATGCTCGGCGACCGGTCAGCAGCACGATTATACCACATACGAGCGACGTTGGACCAGTTCTCGCGGTCTCGCATATCGGCTTCTTCGATTGCCATTCGATAGCGAGCCAGATCTCCCAAACACTCGATCCACGTCTCGTGAAAAGTCGGGACCGACTCCATCAGCAGGCCCATCATTTGATACGCAAGGTACACAAAGCTGAGCATATGCTCGAGCGAGTACGGCAAACGATGACGCAGCAATTCAAGGAAAGAATGAATACCATGTCTCCACATCCGGGCAGGCATAGCATACTTTGTTGGTAGTCGCCGGAGCGCAGGAGACGCCGTGGGATGTTGACTAGCCAAGAAGAAATCGTGATGCTCATGTAAGAGTGTCCGGTGTAGTGCTATCAGTGCCTGCCACTGTTCGTTGGAGAGCTTGTTTGTCGTTTGAGACTGTTGTTGGCATATCTCGACGCATTTCTTCTCAACCATAACGAGGCCGGCGTATATGCCTTTGACTTCGTTGACTAGTTGTTCCTGAGAGATGGGCCTGGTCTCCGGCTGCAGCAACATTTTTGAGTCCTCTTCAAGTGGACCATCCTGGGCACGGCCCGCTGAGGAGGCGGATGGCTTTTCCGCTTCGTGTAGGTGGGATGAGTGACGAGGGTAGGGTCGAGGGCCAGATGCCGGCAGCTGCGACGCTAACTTGGGAGATGACAGTGGTGTTCGTTGGGCAGACTGATAGCCAGCCGAAGGAGTCGGAGTCCTGGTGGAACCAAGTGGGGGTGAAGGTGCATGCGACAGGGCCTGTTCGTGTCGTGCCGAGTAAGGCGAGGAAGACCCCCGATCGTCCTTTTTGTTCGGCCAGCACGAGTCCTGGTCATGTGCGGGGCGTTTGAACCGTCTCATGGGATCCGAAGATGGAATATTAGACCGGGACGGATCAGCCAAGCTTAAACGATTGAACTCGCTAGAGGGCTCTTGCTTCACATATGTAGGCTGTGCCTGCTGCGGAATTTGATGCGAAGAGTCAGAAGGCTGCTGCTGGTGGTGGCTTCCTTGATCGTGGCCATAGGTTCTAGGCAACAGGAATTAGAATAGGCCGAGAGAAGCAAGCCAGGAGATGGGAAGTGCAAGTACCTGTGACTGTTGTTCGGCGATTTCTTTGGCGAAGGCGACAGAGGATCTCCCGGACCGTGACTCTGGATGACTTCCGGCCGTTTGGATTTCAGCTTCCACCATGTTCTGGAATCGGATGATGGCGGAGATCGTGAAGCCATGGATTGGACGATGGTGACAGGCCTGCAGGGTCGTTTGGAGGACGAATCATTCGCCAAGGTTCTCTCTGCGAGTCATTTTGTCAACACTTTTCGCCACGTGGATGGGGCCGTTGGATTCCGAAGCTCGTGGTGAAGGTGAAGCTGAAGGTGAAGATGAAGATGAAGTCAAGGTGCGGAAACGGGCACAAGGAGGTCCGTACATACAGTCCTGCTTCAGTCACGCGCTCGAGGCGAGCAATCCAGGGTTGAAGGACCAGCAGTCAAAAGAATGTGAAGTTCTAACCGCCACAACGTGCAGCGGAAGTCGTGGAGTAAGATTTTGGTCCCTGGATGGTGCCTCGCCTGGAATTGACAGAGTCTACCGTCAATAACGGGTTCATTGGAGATGCGAGCGATCTGAAGAGAATACTGTCGAGGCTCGCGACTTCGCTGGTTTAACAAGACAATCGATATGCAGCTTCCGGCGGAACAACAGACACGAGGGTTATCAGATGCCTGTCGCGCGAACCAGGTCTCAGATCACACTACGTATGCAGCCAGGCAAAGGCAGAAAGAAATGCAGCAAGCATCATTTCGTAAAGGCTGCAAGGAAACTGTTACCGAGGTGGGGCGTTGTGAGCTCATGGTGCGCGAACCATTTCCAGCGATCACAAGGCAGCCACTATACCCGATGCGATGCGGCTCTGGAAATCAACCCGTCACCCACCGGTAGCCCACCGGTAAGCGAAGGGGCTGGCCAGGTACGCCCGGGTTTCGGGTCCGGGCCCCTTACGCCAGGCACGAAGTAACGTTAAGTACTCCGTACTCGTGCACGGTATTCGTACACAGCAAGATTGAGGAACGAGATCGAATGTACTATGGTATTCTTGCTCGAGGATTGGGTCCCTTTTATGTCTCGCTCTGTTTCAGCACGCCTATCAACACTGCCATCAACATACTATGTACTATCTGGTCAACAGCTGGATACGAGACCGAGGTACAAGTTGCTGCTGATGTTTACGAGTAATCCAACCTGACAGTATGATGTTATCTGAAGTGAGGAAGGACCTGCCGTTCTGAGACCTCGCTTCAATACAAGTCACTCGCTACCTAGCTACTATGTACACCATGAGTCGAATGCTGCAATTAGGCGCTGCACTGAGGCCTTCAGCCTGACCGACCTTCGACTCTATCACATCTTGCAGCCTCACCCTCACCTGGGTCTGGCATCATGCTGCCCTCACCTTGGCCGCCTCCTTTTCCTGGCTTCTGACCAGCGTTTGTGACTTCATGTCCTCTTCATTTTCAAGGCATCCACTCCAGGGGGTGCGCAAGGACTGGCGCTTGGGGCCTGACCGGTGGTTCGAGCCTGACCTTGCGTACCGCCAGAAATCATCATCACTCGAGTCACATTGCCTTTCCCTGTCGAAGCCGACTTTGTCGTTGCACATGAGGCTTCGTGCTGTTGCTGCCAAAGTAGAGGCACCCAACAAACAATGCTGTGAGTCAGCGTCGGCTTCGAACATTGGTGCAATGAGTCGCAACCATCGCGGATCCGGTCGAAGTGCAAACAAGTCGTGAAGTTTCAGAAGTTGCTGCATTCTTTCAAACAACACGGTGCACCCAGTCGCATGGTCATGTGTGACGTGGCCCAACGATGGACGTGGTACAAATTGGTCATGGATGTGGACTTTGGCCAACCCTGTATCTCCTCGAGAAGATCGCACATCAACTCCCGAGGAAACTGCGTCGACCTAGTTTCAACGCCATTGTTATGGATATCATATGAAACCTCCAATCCCGCCCAGAAGCCGGCAAACCCCCATCTTGCCTGCCTGATGACTGTCGCCTCGTTGATAACAGATCGTGCGCGGCTGATTCCTCATCTTGTGTGCACCACTCCAACCTGGCATTCCGTCACAAGACTGATTTAATCGGGCAGAAAATGCTCTCACACGTGGAACACGAGGCCGAGGATAGCCGTTTGGTTTTGCCTGGGGCTACACCATGAGGACAACTCATTCATCCAAGTGATAGCGAAAAGTCCTTGCCCAGCTACGGGGCAGTCTCTTCAACAGTTGTTGACACCCACAACTTTGTCTACCACAGAGTCAAGCCGCCACGACACGTCATCATTGCCTCATTGATGACCCTGAGCCGTCGCAGCTGACATTGTTCAACTGTTGGTTTCAGAGGCTGCCATGCACCTAACCCAATACCCAGCCATCTCAATTACGTGCGATGTTCGATGACTGTGCTGGGTCCCGTCGGATTTTGTGATCATGGGGACAAATGCGACGATATACGGCTAGGTCCTTCACTTCACGAGGCAGAACCTTTCACTTTTGGCCGTCTCTTGGGACACGAAAATATCTCAAGGGGTCGGGCAAAATGTGCCCCTTTGTCTCCTGCAGCCTTCGATACTCGCATTGCGTGCGAACCTTACTTGCCCACTGCACATCTGGTTGCTCACCCTGTTCTTTCGCTGTCTTCCTGCACACAGGGACACCGCATCCTAAGCGTGGGGCGTTTTCTACTTGCATCGACCGACCGCTACAACTATCTTATCATCTCGCCAGGAAGGCCAGGCTTTACTTCTGTGACATCCTTCCATCCACAGCATCAAAGTCTTGCCGTTACTGACAACGTTTATAGACTAACCCAACGTCACGCATCCTATGCGGCAGTCTGACACAAGCGAGAGGCTCGGCATGCAAGGCAAACAGGCAGCCGCCCATCTTCTTGAGTTCCTCTCTTCTCTCCACGCTAAAAGCATATTCTTTATCTACCGGACTGCTACAGAAGAATCAAGCCTGCTTTCGAGTTATCCCAAAAGCCCTGTCTTCCAACTACCACGATAGGCAAAGCCACGCGCACGCCATCGACTGATTATATTATCGTTCATTGCCTCTCTGCGGGCTCTTCCGCTGCAGGCAACTTCGCATCACAACCGTTTTGCTGCTGTCCGCTAACTTCGGCTCCCACGTGAAGGTGTTGTTGGAGGGATTTGCGACGTCGTATTCGTTCAGTTGCGTTCTCACTGTTTGCCTTTTACAAATGCCCATACGGTGTGCAAACCCCTCATGATTGGAAAAAAAGGCAGAAGAAAAGTTCCGCTGACAATGCGGCTGAATTGGTGAGCAACTGATACGAAACGAAGTCAGATCTGCCTGCATCCGTTTGCAAGGTCAAACAGACTCTTTTTGAAATGGCTCTCGCTTGTGCTGAAGGGGTTAGCAGGTAGGATTTTCCAGGAAACAATTTCCAGCCACTGCGGAAGAACACATGGGAGGTTTGATATCGGTCTAGCGACTCCATTCATGAGAAAACGAAGAGGTATCACAAACGCATGCTTGCATTTCCTCCCAGTTCCGCGACCTCCAGCAAAGTATGAGGTATGGTCCCAAATGCTCGCTCATGTCAAGAGGGGCACCGCTCTCATGATGTGCATAAACCTGACAGCGAAAGCGCCCTGTTGGTAAGAGCGACTTTCTCCATGCATTCGACACCTGACCCTACGTTACTTTTCATTACCCTGATCAAGCTAGTGTTAACGGAACCCTAGGTCCCGCGCTAGGTTTGGGAGCACTGCACACTCCACCATCCCAAAGCTACGGACCATTAGGACTAACCGGCCAAGATGTCTCGGACGATCGACCTTCGAGCCTAATGGCCTTAGGCTGGTTGGACTTGTCTTTTCTCGAAACGACGCCATTGCCCGTTGCCAACATGATCCGGGCACAGGACAAACCGCGGCAAGGAGTGGCAGAAGCATCTCCGTTGTCGTTTTGATAGTGTCCTGATCGAGCATTGATGTGATAGTCAGGTGGCCTGCAGCTCATGCCGACCACGTGGACAATTTAAGGCCAGACATATGGAAAGCTCCAGCCAAAGGCTTGCCTGATCTCGTCTTCATTCACTTGTCCTGCCGGGCACGTTCACGGATCAGCTGGCACTGCAGCTGGCGGGTCGCTCACCGCATATATCTGTCTGGACAATGTCACCATGGAGGAGGAAGTATGATTTCCACAACCTCAGAAGGGATCCAAAAAAGGGCTGCAACTTCCCGTAGCTAGATAGATTGCAAATGCCGCTAGGCACCAAAGACAGCGTGTGACATTACCCCTGGTGATCAGATATCCCAACGGAGTCTTTTCAGCCTTATGCCGGGGAGGGTCTCGATCTCCAGTCTTATGGCTAGAAGTGGAGGAACTACTAGTACGGGACCGGTGAGCATAAGACCGCGACGAGCGGCATGTCGTTCAACGACCCTGCAAGGCATCTGAGACCTCCCCTCGTCAGCGTGGTGTCGTTCATTGTCTCGCCCGTAGAATGGCTTTACTTTGAGGCAACACAGTTGTAAGGGAGAGGGGCGTACCTGGTATGTAGCAGCCCGGCTCGGTTCGTTATGCCGCCGGATTCGCGAGCATCACTAGATCTGCACCTCTCAAGTCCGGGAAAGGCAACCACACTCTCCATACCGTATGCCACGTACTCGATTTCTCCTTCCCCGGCAAAACGTTTCCCTCCTTCGTGCAACCGGTACCGCTCGCTACCAGAAACCTCACTGTCAAAACAATGTCGACTTCAAGACCTTTGCTCCTGGCATAGCCCCCCCCCCCCCCACCTGGGAGAAAGGCCGGGGTCAATTGCTGCCTCGCCGGACTTGGCTCAGAACGGGTCATCTGGCCCAACAACCGGTTCACCTAACTGTCAATGCACTTGACTTTCCCCGCCCAGCGACCTCAGCTTGACAACATCTATGACTTATACGCATACGTCGATGAAGCCAGAGCCCCAGATCGCTGACACATTGGCTCGGGGACTTAACTAATTCCCTGATAATAGGTCGATTCGTGTTCATAGCCCGACAGCTTGCCCCGTATCTACCTAAGCCATCAGTCCGCGGCACATTCAGCTAATGATGAAACATCCTTCTTGATCACATCTCCCAACACTTTGCAACCCCAGCTTTCGTGGTGAGCTCAGATCTTGTCGAGGAAGATTGCATCATGTGTACGTACCATCCATTGGCAGACCATGGCCGTGGCCACGGCCTCAACAATTCCTCCATGAGAAGGCAACTTTGCATCCCTGAAAGTCCTGGCAATTTCCGCCCGGCACAAATGCAAGCCCTGGCCTTTTCGATATCACATTTTTTGAAATTTCCTCACATCGACGATCAAGTTTGAGCAGGCTGTGTGGCGCTATCGCGTGGCCCAAGCCAGCCAGCCGAAAACGACCTTCCCGTCTTTTTTCAGCCTGATCACTCTTCAGCTCGACATGGTCGAGGCAACCGACGTTGAGCATTGGAGGAGCAGCGGGCTGAAACATGTTCAGTAAGACAATGCAGATGCGTGCGGCACGCAGAGCAGGCGGGAGAGCTGGAAATGCAGGAAATACAGGGAATGCCGGAAATGCTCAGAGCCGGCATAGTCCCTCATCTCCCAAACTTCTGCATTTCCGCGATCATTCAGACTCGGGGACCAAGACTTCCTCGATCGATGATATGATGGATAAGATGTGAGCAATCTTTCACCCTTTTGCACTGAGCACCGCCACCAGGAAGACCACAAGTCCACGGAACTGATGCGAATTCGATCAGAAGTCCACCGATCGGGGCTACTGTGGTATGTTCCCGCTCATCAGTGCTTTGAGGACCAGCTGGCATGTATACTGTCGGGCTGGGCGCAGGTATCCCTCATCTGTCGAGCCTGTTTCATGGGTTTGCGGAGTTGAAGCAGCAGCACGGCCTTCAACACCAGTTATGAAGCCTCTCTGTTTGGAACTGCCTGCTGACAATTTTTGGGAGTCGGAGAATGCAATTGAATAGAGCAATTGGTTTCAATTATCTGAATTATGGGTCTCTTTCACCCGCTTCCGCTCCTCCAGTTCCAGAAATCGTAGAAGTCTCGGTAAGCGAGCATCCTCTGCCTGCACAACTTTCAGAGCACTGTACAGTCACGAACAATTCTGCGCTAAGAAGTATCTTCTTCTCGACGGTGAAGCAAAGCACTTCATCGCGTCTTCTTCGAGTCCGGCTCTTTACTGACACGGTTCGACGTTGGGAGTAACGAAGGTCTCAATTTCAACAGCACCCAGAGGAACCCTAAAGCTATTGTGATCAACGTCACAACTTCGATGGTACTCGAGCTGGCGGCCTGGGCGTCCAAGACAGGGACTGAAATACGCTCAACCAGCCTTCCACCAGACTCGCCTCCCGGAGCAGGAGCGGGATCAAGATGATAGAACATGGTCCTGGGGCCAAACAGTCCGTCATAACCGAGCTGGGTCCTGTCGAATGGGTTGACTGGGAACTTTGTGCCTTCTTCAGCCGTGCAAGCCCAAAAGACGATGGGCCACGGCACTTCGACTTCTGATAGCCCGCCACCCCTGGGCTCAAGGTACCGGTGGTGGAGCGGGATTGTGACATGCCATGGGACCGTTGAGGTGTGGGAGTCGCTGGTATTGGTATCGGGGGTCCGAATCTCTAAGAGCATGGTTGAACCCCATTTCTTGACCACATAATCAGGAGCTTCGAGGTCAGTCTCTCCGGCGATCGAATGCAATTGGCCGACGTGGTGGGATTTCTGAAAGAGGGGATCATTGCTTAGGAAGGCGTATTTGTCGGCAAAGATATGCGATGGGAGAGTCAGGTAGGTCTGTAACGCGCAGACACTACCGGCTGGTCTGTTCGTTGGCTCGGTCAAGGACTCGGCGTTGGGGAAGGAGATCTTCAAAACAGGATGGAGTCCCGTAGGTTTGTCAAACGACACGGTATATTGTTGCTGCCTTCGTTGTTCCGCGCTGAGCGAGTGGTGTCTTGAGGGAAAGCTGAAGAGTGTGGCCTTGGGGTGATCGTCTTCACCGACCACGGTCAGAAACCCTGACAGCTGAAGGTCGGATGGCTCGACTGCCGGAGCTGCACTGAGAATGCCGACTTCGACTTTGTCGTTGCGGTTTGACTGAATGTCGAGATTCCAGGCATCGAAAGTCGTGAACTCGCCGATGGGGTCATAGATCACCTCTGGTTGCTTGGACCATAAGACGGTCATGGTGAGCGCGTGAGAGATGCTGTCGTAATCAAAATCGACGGCATCGGCGAGATTGAGTAGGGATGCTGTATGGATACATGTGAGGTCTGAAGGTTTACAGATCTTGCGCTGTATATAGGCCGCTAAGCGCGTCATCGAAGGAAGAAGAGAGTAATATTGTAAAGACGCTGTTTGGGCAAAGCGTTCAGAGACGAGGGAAGGGCTGATGAAGCTTGTCCTTGGTGTATCGCATCGCAAATCTTCACCAAAGACCTTGTGCAGGAGTTCGCATACTCGATCTGGGTGGTTCTCTTTGAGCGGAGTATACTGGATGTGCAGACCTGGGGATATTCTAGACAGGAATGGGGCTGTGGTATCATAGGTACGATCTCGAGCCCATCGAAGATGAAGCTCATGGGACTCTCGCAATATCTGGACTACCTCTTCAGGTAGTTCTTCGAAGCCCAGTGTCAGTCGTTCTTCTCGTGCTGCTTTGAGGCCTCCGAGAAGCAATTGGTTCTTGTAGACTTGAATATCGTCCGGGTTGACAGCACGGCTTGGGTGCGTGATGAATGTCGAACGTCTACGCATGTTGAAAGAGTGACTGTGGTCAGGACGGATGTAGATATGTACAGCAAGAACGTAGCCGTGAGTTGAGGAGGGAGGTGCAGTATCAATGGAAGGTGGTTCGGTGTTCGGATGTTGTTCAAGCCCAAACCGTATCGATAAATAAAAAGTGTCCACTTCAAAGACTGACGTCGCACGATTCTCAACTTCGACACCTTCTACATGCCGCAGGGTAATATCTGTATAGACTCTCAGAATCATCCTTATTCCTCATATAATGCGCCCAACCGTTCCCTGACATCGCCTTAACCTCTCAATCAAAGCTTCAGTTCTTCCCACGTCATGGCGCCAAACGTATCGTCTTCACAGGTCAAGCTATCCTACCCCCTCTACGCGGCCGACTTCGACCCCTTCAACCCAGATTTCTTGCTCGTTGGTGGCGGAGGAGGCTCTTCTTCGACAGGTGTTCCGAACAAGATATCTCTGATTGATACCACGCGGCGAGAACAGCTGGCGGAAGTGGCCGACATCGAGCTTGCGAAGAATGAGGACTCTGTTACAAGCCTTGCGGTTTCGGACTCTTCAGCCTCTTCGCTAACAGCGTTTGCTGGCATCAACAGCTCGATTGCCGACCAGAATGCAGGCAAGAACGAACACCTAAGATCATTTCGTATAGGACTGCCCGCAAAGAAAAGAAAGGCAGATGGAAGTACAGTTGAAAGCGCAGAAAAGCCCAGCACACCGCAAAGCCCACAGGCTCTGGGACGGACAGCGTTGTTCACCTCCGCAAAGCGCACCAAGAATGAGACATATCAAAGGGTGTTGCGCTTCTCGCCAACCAGAAAGCCAGGTCAGCCTCGCCTGGCAGCCATTGCATCGGGTCTGGCTCCTGAAAACGAAATTGTGGTCTTCAAGCCTACCCCGACGCCCTCGCAGAAGGACGAAGTCTCGCGCATTAGTCTGGGGACGCGCGAAGCTGGAGACCTGGACATACACGTTAATGATGACGAGACAGACGGGCACGTTCTCGCCTTCTGCACAGACGACGAAGTACTCATTCAGCAACTACCCACGTCCGCGAAAACCAGCAACCCAATATCACTATACCGGACAGATGAGTCAACGACGTCCCTGCCTCCCTCAAAAAGACCCAAATTTCGCGCCATACGCTTCCTCACGCCTCGCCACCTGCTGCTGCTGCAGAACCGACCTGGCAGAACTGGTGCGGATCTGCTCGTCCTTCGCATTACCAAAGACCTCTCGCAGTCACGCATCACGCTGCGCAAACGCCTGGACAAATCGACCAAAGCCGCTGTCGGCCTGGATGTTTGCTCTTTGACCTCATCTGAGCAAGGCGAGCTGCAGACCGTCATCGCCGTGGCCGGTCAAAGTGGTGACGCCAGCTCCGTCGAGCTCCTGACCATCGACTACTCCAAAGAGTCGGGTCTTCTGGGCACGTTCCGACCCTACGCACTTCTGCGCAATGTGCACAGCGGCCCACTCACCTGTCTTGTTTTCTCGAATTTCATCGGCCCGGCCATGCCTATTTCAAAGGATACACCGCCACAATCCATCCGCCTAGCCTCCGTTGGTGTCGACATGGTTGTGAAGGTGCACTACCTCCCTCTTCGCCCGCATCCTGCCGCATCCAACAAGTCGCCACGCTACGTCCTCATACCACCCGGCCGCTCTGAGACCATGCAGACCACATTCAGCGTCTTCTTTGCGCTCGTTGTCGTTGGCCTCGTTGCGTTCCTGATGCAAGCATTCTGCGAGATTCGCGGCGCTGTCCCCCCCATGCTCGGAGCGTCAGACTGGCTGTCGCCGCGCATGCGCGAGATGGTCGCTCGACCTTACATTCTCGGGGAGGGCATGCCGTCTTTCAAGCCCTCAGATATACCGGTTGCAGCGCACAGCGCAGCCGATAAAGTCAGGCATGTTGCGGAAGACGCGCAGTCTGCAATTTCCAACGCTGCATCCGATATAAGGCGCAAGCTTGAGGACCTCGTCCAGGAGAACTCTGAGCTCGAGACGCCCAAAGCGATCATCGTCCGTGAGGGAGCTAGTGCGGGCGAGCTTTCCACGGAAGTCCTCGCGCATGACGCGGAAGTGGTGAAAGCCGAGACACTTAGGAAGTGGGAGGAGCTTAGTGAGCAGCAGAAACGTAGCTGGAAGCGCAAACTTGTCGACGCGGGCTATTGGGCTGAGAAGCAGGGTGAGAATGTGCTCAAAGGGATTTTCTTCTCTGAACTTGCAGGGATGGTGGGTAACATCGTTGCGAATCAGTAGTCACGGAGCGTTAGACATATAGAATTTTTAGGTGGTAGACTGGTTGGAGTTGCCGGCTGCAAGACACTTAAGGAGCATGGGTTATCGTCTTCGAGAGAGCTATTCAAATGAGCTCCTGTTTGTTCTTTGCCACGCCTCTGGGCATCAGGCATCCTTTACCTACCTAGGTAGGGACGCCCCGCCCGATTGAGACTCACTATTGAAAAAAGCAGTGAAGTGAAGAGACTATTGTCAGCACTCACCCAGCACGGACAATAGCATGGCTAGTTGATCAATAGACCACGGTATCTGTTGCAGTCTTCTTTTATTGTAAACTTATAATAGAGCAGTCCGGACAACAATGGACTTTCGGAGCAATCGCCTACCTCTGCCGTTTGCCTCCCCGTACTTTTGAAACGGAGAGGGGCATCATGGGAGCATGGGGGCATGCTGTCCGGACCAGGGGCGGAGAGTGGTGGCTGTCCAAGCTTCTAGAGAGGAACAATAAGCCAGGGACGTCGGAGATTATTGGCCATCTCGATTGTTTGATACAAAGTGGACAAAGCCGTGTAACTTGGTTTGATGGTATCGCGATGAAAAGGGTCCCAGTGTTATGTTGAGACGTGTGTATGATGTGCTTCGGCGCCTCTTCTTCCGTGAGGCTGGTCAGCGTTTCAGATACCTTCCAGAGCCACAAGACAGAAACTCGGAAAGCGATAGGAAAGAGAACTTCAGATCGTACTCCGTACCGACAGGGCTACAGGAAAAAAGACTCCATTATACTCCGTACTCCCTGTCTAGAGGAGCCAGTGAGGGTGTTTGTCGTAGAATTTCTTAGAGACCCGCCCCTGCAACAGTGCGAAGTCGTCCCTCTATTCTGCCTCCACCACCAAAACCGGCCCTCAGCTCCATCGCCGTAGCCGCTGGCTGTCCACCAACCATCATCACCTCTGCCATTCGACATCCACCACCATCAATGCTTCCTTCTCCCGCCGTTGTTCCAGCCTGATCAGATTCGTTCGCCTATCCCATTGCAGAGTCCACGGCCCTGGTCCTCTCTCGTTCTCGGTAGACCTCCCTACCGCCGCCTTTACAAGCCTCTGCAACTCTCTAACGCAGTCTTGCAGACTTATTTGAAAGTCACCAATTAAGAAACCGGTTCTGGACCTCGAGCGTCACTGTCCTTGCACTGAACATTCAACGCTGTCGACTAAGCCATCATCCGACAAACTGGCACCGAGCAGAGACCAGGTCAACCCGCGTGAAACCGTGCACGACATCATCCAACCTCTGCTCTTCGACTTCAATTGTCCATTCCTTGTTGCAAACTGCAAAGTACACCGCACGCATGCTGTTCCTGCTCACTCGACCTCGGCCGGTACTATCTCTTCGTTGAGCACAAGTCCTGCCGCAGTCCCTCGGTCTCCTGTCTCATAATTGTAAATTCACGACACAAAGTGTAACCGAGCCTTCGCAGGCGGTTCTAGACAATGGCTTCAAGCCAGGAAAACGGGTGAGCCACCGATCTATGCTTATTCACCTGCATTTCATCACATGCTCTCCATCTCAAATCTGTTGGCATCCCTGCTGACAATGACAAGCTTTTACAGCGCAGGTCAATTCATGAACCCCGGCCCTGCTCCTCGCCCTCCTACAGACCGCCCTCGACGTCTCGAATTGCAACGTTCCAACTCTTCCATCCCTACCTCGAGCTTTGAGGCCATGTCCTTGAATGGCCCAAGTTCACCCGCCGTCAACACCCCCAGCGCCCCTTTCTTTTCCAATGGTAGTTCTGTATCGCTGGCAGGGAGCGGAAAGACTTCAGGTCCGGTAACCATTATCAAGGAAGGACATGTGCGCTGCAAAGAGGACAAATTTCTCGCACAATGGAACCAGAGATACCTCATCCTCCGGGAATTCAGGCTGGATTTCATGAAGAGCGAAAATGGAAAGCTGATGCAGTCGATTCAACTGAACACAGTGACTGGTGTGACACGTTCCGAAGAGACTCGCATGGCTTTCGAAATATCTCGAATCGCCAATCCCAAGGACGCCGCCGGAAAAATCGTCATGAGCCGAGATCTGCCGACCCGTACCATAACCTGCGAAGTACGAAATGACGATGAAATTTACGACTGGATTGACAAGATCTACGAGCGATGTCCTGGCATGGGAGGCGTGAGTAACCCGACCAATTTCAGCCATCGGATCCATGTGGGCTTTGACCCTCAGACTGGCGGCTTCGTTGGATTGCCTCAGGAATGGGAAAAGCTGTTGAATAGTTCTGCCATCACGCGGGATGATTACAAGAAGAATCCTCAAGCGGTCATCGAGGTGCTTCAGTTCGTTTCAGATCAGAAAATGCGAGACCAGCATCCGGAGATGTACACTCCTGGCATGGTGACACCGCCTGCTGCGCAACCAAACAAGCAACTTGGCTATCCCACAGGCGGCAATTCCGTTGCTCCTCCAAGACCAGCACCTCCTACCGACGCACAGCGCTACAATGCCAATCAGTTCATGAACAAGTATCAAGATAGTCAGCCAAGAGTCGGAACTCCGCCCATCAAACCTCAACTACAACGATCCCAGACAGATAAAGGATCATACGATATGGAGGCCGATGCTGCACGGATCAAAGAGATTGCTAATCAAGAACAGAAGCGTCGTCAAATCGAGGCCGAGGCCAAGCGAACACGGGATTTGGAGAGGCAGCGGGAACAAGAGCGGGACGCGTCTGACCGCGACCGGAAAGAGCAAGAAGCATACAACGCCTCACTTCCAAAGACTCGTCCGCCTATCGCTCAGCAAGAGGTAGGAGGTTTCAGCGGTAGCACTACACCCAACAAACAAGATCCGAGATACAACCCTGCGCGGGTTGCTCCAAGCGCTCCACAGCAATCCTCTTCAGGAGCCATGAGGCAACAGCCACCTGCTGTTAGACCTGCCCCTTCTGCTCCTTCGACCAGCACTTCGCAGAAGTCCATCCCTCAGTCTGCCTCTGCCGGTCAGACATCCCTACGTTCTCCTGACAGCAGGGATCGAGATCGACAGCCATCACCGAATGCACGATATCAACCAGAGCGTGAAGCCCCGCGGAAAGATGCACCTCCTAAGCAGCAGCCCAATGGTGTCAATGGCCAGTCCCCGACCAGTCGGTTGCCGGGGTCTGTGCAGCAACCCAAGCCCTTGAACGTGGCCAAACAAGCACCGGCCAAGGCTCCTACAGACCCACGGAAAGAAGCAGAAATCGCATTGACTGCCAAGAAACCCGTTGAAGAACGAGCCAAGGAGGTTCGGATGTCCAGCATGAGCGAAAGCGAAGTCATGGCCAAGCTGAAGCAAGTGGTTTCGAAGGACAACCCGAATGACTCGTACAGCAAACAGAAGAAGATCGGCCAAGGTGCGTCTGGCTCAGTGTATGTGGCAAGGGTACGAGAAAGCGCTACCTCAGGAGTTGCACGAGAATTGTACCGCACTCACGGACCAAAAGGTCAAGTTGCCATCAAACAAATGGATCTCCGGAACCAGCCGCGGAAGGAATTAATTGTGAACGAAATTATTGTCATGAAAGATTCGAAGCATCCCAACATCGTCAACTTCCTGGATTCGTTTTTGCAAGAACAGAATAATGAGCTGTGGGTGGTGATGGAATTTATGGAAGGTGGTGCTCTCACCGATATTATCGACAACAATCCGGTCATCACGGAAGATCAGATCGCAACCATCTGCTTCGAGACGTGCAAAGGCCTTGCTCATTTGCATTCTCAGGACATAATCCACAGAGATATCAAGAGTGACAATGTGTTGCTCGACCGAGTCGGCAATGTCAAGATCAGTAAGTGACTGTGCTATGCGACATGATCTCCATGCTAACTCCAGCCCCAGCCGACTTTGGCTTCTGTGCCAAGCTCACCGAATCAAAGAGCAAGCGCGCGACAATGGTCGGCACACCGTACTGGATGGCGCCCGAAGTTGTCAAGCAGAAAGAATATGGCCCCAAGGTGGACATTTGGTCTCTTGGTATTATGGCTATTGAGATGATCGAGTCAGAACCACCGTATCTTAATGAAGAGCCATTGAAGGCGCTCTTCTTGATCGCAACAAACGGTACGCCTCGCCTGAAGAACCCCAACAAGCTTTCCCGTGAACTTAAGGCGTTCTTGAGCGTTTGTCTCTGTGTGGATGTTAGAAGCAGAGCCAGTGCAGACGAATTGTTACGGAACGACTTTATGCGCATGGGGTGCAGTTTGGCGAGTTTGAGTGAGTTGTTGAAGTGGCGAGAAAAGGGACGACAGTGATTGCATGCATCTGAAGGGGATTCCATGTCCGGCGCATCATTGATCTAAAGATAATGGCGAAGCAGGAGCATATTGTTATGGCGGCTTGTGCATACTCAGAATCGATCCAATCACCAGCTTGGATATGCGATGAGTTGGATTTTTATACAGGACCGAAAAAGCAGGTGTCGAGGACGGCCGGGGAGGCGCATCAGCTACAAGCAGCGATTGAGGAAAGGCGTGCTGGCGCTACAGCAGCCGACGGTGCTGCTGCTAGTCAGAACGGTCAAGCTGATGCAGAACGGACGCAGGAGATTCTAAAGGGCTTGAGCAGAGGAGATGTCAGCTTTGTGTGCTATCTTGCGTGCGATACATAGTGACTTGCACATTCAGCCATGAGAGACGAAGCGAAAGATTAGCTGGGTAACGAAAGATGAAAGATGAAGAGATGCTTTTTAACGACGATGAATTCATGGAAAAGTCAAACCTCGACTCCTTGTTCCCGCATGCATATCAGTGTACAGTTGACCTGAAATGGGAAGCATCCACGCATTGTCGCTGTCAAAACATCGAACTCGACACAAGGCTGCGGATGCCCGATGCAAGGCTGAATATCTTGGCGGAATGATGTGAATGATGTAGTTTTGCATCTCGGGCCCTGAGCCTTTTCGGGCAAACAAATTTCTAAGCCAGTGGCTCTGCATCGACTCGCATAGGCTGCGCTTGGTGTCTTATAATCAGTCCGAGACTCCTTGCCCTCTCGCTCTCCTCCGATATACCTCTCTCACTGTTCTTCTCTATTGCACTTCTGCCCTTCCTCTCCATAATGTCCTCCAATCCCCACCATAACCCCTCCGAAGACATGGACGAGGACGACCTCCTGGCCGCCGAGGACGCCGCCGAAGAGATCCCCGAAGACGAAGATCAACCCATGGATGAGGACCCCGACGAAGACGATCTGGAAACACAAGAAGAACTGCATTTTCAAAATGACTCCTCCGCACACTTCGACGCTCACACGGACAGCATCTTCTGCATCGCACAGCACCCCTCTCGGCCCTCCATCATAGTAACAGGAGGCGGCGACGACGTGGCGTATATCTTTGACGCTTCTACCTCCTCAATACCCTCGACGTCCGTACCCGTAGGCCAGCCCACCGAGCGCCCGTCGTTGCCCGTCCTGGCCAAACTCGAGGGCCACACCGACTCCGTCAACGCGGTAACATTCACACATCCACGCGGCGACTACGTCGTAACCGCTGGGCTCGACGGTAAATTTCGTTCATACACATCGACCGACTCCAGCCACAAACACTGGACATTCCTGGCCGAGACCTCCGAGGTCGAAGAAATCAACTGGGTCTCCCCGTCTCCTAATCCGCAACATGAGAACGTGGTCGCCCTCGGCGCGAACGATGGGTCCGTCTGGGTGTACCAGATCAACGCCGCAGACAAATCTTCGCCGTTGACAATCGTCCACGCATTCTACTTGCACACGGCGAGCTGTACGGCAGGCGCATGGTCGCCGGACGGCAACTTGTTAGCGACGGTATCTGAAGATGGAAGTCTGTGTGTCTGGGATGTCTTCGGCACGGGGCAGGCAGTGGTCTCTCTCACGGCGGCAGACCAGCGCTTCGAAGTTGAAGGCGGACTGTACAGTGTCGCGTGCACGAGTACGTTATGTGCGGTTGGCGGAGCGGGCGGGAACATCAAAGTCGTTGGCCTACCGCAGATGAGCGACCAGGCCAAAAAGAATACCAAAGGTGCGAAGGGCGGTGCGTCTGCAAATCAGACCGCGAGTTCGGCAGGCCAGATTCTGGCGTCGTTACAAGCGCAGAGCGATGGGGTGGAGACGTTGTCTTTTTCGAGTCCTCCGTTGAATTTACTTGCGGCGGGCAGTGTGGACGGGTCGATAGCTCTGTTCGACACGGTACACCGGTTTGCTGTGCGGAGACATATCAAAGAGGCGCACGAGGACTATGCCGTTGTCAAAGTGGACTTTGTCCGAAATCCACAGCGTGGTGGGTGGATCTTGACAAGTTGCGGGATGGACGGCGTCGTGAGACGGTGGGATGCACGCGGTGGCACGACAGCCGCCGGGCAGGGCTTCATACAGGAGTGGAGGGGGCACAGAGGGGAAGGCGAGGGCGGAGGGGTCTTAGGCTTCGTGCAGGGCGGTGGTGGGAATAGGATTGTCACTGCTGGGGATGATGGGGTTGCCTTGGTGTTTAAGGCGGATATTGCGTGAACAGGAAGAAATTGCGTGAATGATTCCTCAATTCAAGAGTCTGCTTATGGACCTGATGCCTGCATTGCTTGGATGACCCGATCATGCCGTGCTCTATTCTGCCTTTCTCTCTCCCACGGCTTCTACACCTGCTCTTTTGATTGGGGTTATTCCCTCGATGGCAGAATTTATCTCTGCTTCGATTTGGCGTGGAAGTGAGATGACGTCGTTCCCAAGTGCGCGCAACGTCCCTTTTAGGACATTGCGCTCATCCAGCCTTGCGTCACCCTCCTAATGAATCGTAGTTCGCTACGGAGCATTGCACATTGAACCTGCTGCTTGCCATGGAGATAAAAACGGGGAAAGGACGACGCTCGGAGTTACAGAACGGCAAGAGGTGTGCAAGAGGTGTCCTCCAGAGGCAGAAAGAGATCAACATAAAAGGTGGTCGGTGCTTGCAATTGGATCTGTGAAGGAACCAGGAATCAAGCACATTCTGAAGCATTCACGTTGGCTCGATCCTTTCCCCTGAGTGCGAAGCGATCTCTCACAATGTCTCCTGCACGATTCACCAACAAACTTATCGGCCAGCGGGTTCTCCTGGTTGGCGGTACAGGAGGAGTTGGAGTCAGTGTTTCTCAGGGCCTCATCGAGTTTGGTGCCACCGTTATTCTATCTTCCTCCCGAGAAGAAAAGGTCAGCACCGTTTGCGCTGCTCTGGTCAACGACTATCCCGAAGCCAAAGACCGGGTATTTGGTTTCGCTTGTGACCTGGCCAGTCCCAACGTCGAAAGGAATGTCGAAGAGCTATTCAGGAAGGTCGGCGAGGTCGATCACATCGTGTACATGGCTGGCGACCGCTTGCCTATGGTCCCACTGGAGGAGGTCACGCTCGAGAAATGGCAAAAGTGCAACCAAGTCCGCACCATTGCCGCCATCCTCGTGGTCAAGATCGGAAGCAGATACATGAAGAAAGACCGACACTCGTCGATTGTCCTTACTGGTGGCTCCATTTCGGAGAAGCCAATTGCTGGCGGGTGGTCGATGCTGTCCCTGATCGGAGCAGGGATCAATGGTCTGGCAAGGCAACTCGCTTTCGATCTCGCTCCGGTTCGAGTCAATGCAGTCGCCCCCGGGATCATCGAGACGGACTTGTGGCAAGGAATGGGCGAGGAAGGGAAAAGGGCGTTCTTTGCAGATCATGAAAGCAAGATCCCTACTGGAAAGGTTGGACAACCAGAGGACTTGGCCGAGGCGTATCTTTATTGTCTGAAGGACTTGAACGCGACGGGGATTGTTGTGCATTCCAACAGTGGGACATTCCTGATGTGAGAAGGACCAGAGTACCAGGGCGCAAGGCTGGAGCATGGTAGGGCCTGAGTCGAGGCAGTTGATCTCGGGGCCGGGAAATACTAGTAATCAGCTGAAGTTTTGCAGAAGCACCCATTGAACTAATTTTAGCCATGACCTAGAGGCCAGTACTCTGTACTCCGTAGGCGACGCATCTTGAGGTGAGGTGGCAGGGATGGGGCCCAATTTCATCGAGTTATATAGCTCGTGATAGCTTTACTATTCTACCGATTCGTGGTGATCGCCGGCTCCACATTTGAATTCCCATGTCTTCCTCTTCCCCCAAAATCTTTCCACGTTCCCACAGTACATACCGTCAATCCATCACCCAGCAATGAGCCTCTAGTAAAATCCAAAGAACAAAAGCCATCTGAACTTGAGTATTCGAGCGTTACTCTACGAAGATTTCTTGTTGGCCGAAATCATCATCATACACCGATCAGACCAAATCATTGCCTTCCAGCTCGGACATCTTCAGATCCCTCCTCCAGCCGACCGATTATCTCGCGGCCCATTCAGATACTCCGTACGGAGCCCTCCATCAAATATCAAATCGAAACGAAACCAGTACCAAGTCACAAATCATTTCACGGCAGACTCAATACCCCATTCTCTCTTGCGTGATCTCGTCTCTCTATCTCGCTCTCTCCCCCTCTCTCTTCAATCACCATCTCTAGAGCTGAGCTGAGCTGAGCTGAGCTGAGCCGAGCCGAGTCGAGGAGACAAATTTCGCAGCGCAAACATGACCACACGCCCCACGCACGACAGCAACGGCGCCTTATTACCGGCCATCCTATGCCTCCACGGCGGCGGCTCGAACGCGACCGTGTTCAAGATCCAAACGCGGCGCTTGATATGGGCCCTCGACAAACAATTCCGGTTCGTGTTCGCGCAGGCGCCCATCGAAGGCACCCCCGGCCACGGCATGCTGCCGGTGTTCGCCTCGTGCGCGCCGTTCTACCGCTGGGTCAACCGCCGCTTCAAGGCCGGCGAATCGGACGTCGAGACCACACCGCAGGCCGAAATCGACACGATCGACAACATCATCCAGACCGTCATGGAAGCCAACGGCGGCGTCGACACGTTCAAGGGCGTCATGGGATTCAGCCAGGGCGCGCGCCTGACCGCGGGCTTGTTGTTGCGGCAAAAGATCCAAGAACGTGACCGTGATTTAGGAGTCGCCTCTGCCTCTGCCTCTGCCTCCTCCTCTTCTGGCGATGGCAATGGCAATGGCAGTACGACAACAACGACATCGACAACGACACCAACGCTGACACCGAAAACGAACTTCGCGTTCGGCGTCATGATAGGCGGCCCGTGCCCGCCGATCGGGTTATTCGACGAGAGCGTCGGCGTCAATGTCGAGGATTACAAGCTACTCAAAGAAATCCCCACGGTGCACGCCTGGGGCCGGGACGACCATATCAGGCCCGGGTGCGAGGAGTTGGCCCGGCTGTGCGAAAGTGACCATTCATTCCAGATGGATTTCGAGGGCGGACATCACTTGCCGCTCAAGGACGTCGAGGCCAAGGATCTGTGTGATTTGATCATGGCCGCCTGGTACGCTGGCGGCGGCAAGTATGGCGTTGCCGCGGATGAAAATTATTAGTGCCTCTACGGGGTTCCCCTACCTGGGTGGCCCCTGGGTGGCCCCCCTGGGTGGTGCCCCTACGGGGTGTACACTTGCAACTTGCAACTTGCACTTGCTACCTACATTGCTATACTCCGTACGGAGATACATCACCTGGTATATACCCACGCATACACACACATAGCGCTCCCCCCCCCCCCAAGGTCGTTTCCACAGGCAAGGCTGCGAGCGGGTCGAAGGACAATCACACAGAATCCACAGTCCGGCGAGAAGGTGGAGGAGATGGAGCGACTGTAGACAGTAGAAGGTGAAAGAAAAGGGGGTTTTATGACTGGCATGACTGAAGGGATGGGACACGACGAATACACTACCTAGGTACGGAGTACGAGCGAGCATAGATAGAGCATAGAAGACATTTATTTTTATGAGATACTGTACCTCCCTCAATCACGTCGGCTATTCACGACGATTCACCTCTTTACAACAGACTCTAAGATCATTGAAAAGTGATGATGCCGTTCAATGAATTCGCATAGAATCTGAATATATACAAAAGTTGCTATCGACCTTCATGATCCAGCACTTCTCATTAAGCCGCTTGGGAGGCTTGCATAGATTCTCTCAGCCTCACTTCCCAATCACGCCAATCTGGGAAACGAAAGTCGTCCCCGATATACTCACTCGAGTTTTCCCTGATGGACCATATCCTCCTCGTCAAATATATCAGATCGTGCTTCGGTAACCATTTGTTGACGCCTTTGGCCTCTGTCGGCGGTATATACTTCTTGCCGACAAGCGTCACCAGGGCAGCAAAATCAAAAGTCCATTTGAGTTGTCTACTAGAGTCAATCACTGCCCACAAGACCCTGGCAATTGACGACACGTCGCCAACTACATCCGCCAACTCAAGCCACTGTAAGAAGATGCTGTTGTCGAACGTTTTGCCGTCGATGCCTTGTACGTAAATGCTGGCATATGTCGTCTCAACCAGTTCAAGTGCATCAGATGCTCGGTCCACGGAGAGCCGCCGTAGGAGGTGTTTGAGCAAGGAATGGTCGACGGGCAGGTTCTTCTTTTTCCGCATGGCATAATGATCCGCGACAGCCTTTGCGATTTCCAGGTGGTCAGGCAATTCGTATCGCTCAACAATTTCCGGCGGCCTTTGTTGGAAGCCCATGACGTCTTTCGGCCTCTCACCTGTTCTTGCTGCGGGAAGACCTTGGGGGAAAGCAGTCGACTGGTACGTGTGCCCGTTGGCAATTAGGGCTAGACTGAAATCGCCGTTGAATATTGACATCAGTCCGTCAACTGCATTCAACTGATCAGCAAGATCTTGTGAGAGAGTGTCGAACCTGATGTCGATCTCGTTTGGCGGCTTCGGCGAGGTACAAAACCGGTAGGCTTGCTCAAGGAGCGAATCTAGTGTCATTGAACGAAGAGCATTTTTCGTCGGGACATCCGTATGTCCTAGCTCTGACACTGCACACATCCTTCTAACCAAGTCCAGCCTTACAAGATCCTTCACATACTCTTTGAATAGGGAACAGAATGGGTCGTCGCGGCAGCTTAGAGCGACTGCTCGGCAAACTTCTGCAATTGCCTGACAATTGGCACCTGACTCTCTCAAGGCTTGGCCAAGATTCCATGCATCGCGCTCCAAATCGAAGCCTAGCTTGACCCTGGGAAAGGCTTCTCGGATCAGCCGGATCCATTCGGTGACAAGCTCGAATCGTCGCTCTTTGACGCACGCACATATAAGCGTCGTCGATATCGTGTGTATTGGGATGAGGCCGGCATATTTGATGCCATTGACCAAGAAGCTGAAAGCTTGCGTGGCATTGTTTTTCTCCAGGTACCGCAGCAGAAGCTTGTGGTATAGAGTTCCGTATAAGACCGACCGGTGTCTGCTATAGCCGGTCGCATGTATTCGGTCCAGCATCGCTTGCACATCTTGCCATTTTCCATGACTTGCATACCATAAAGCACACTGACCCCAGATATGTGGCGCAACAGACTGGGGATATGTCGTTTCGATTGCATGCATCAAAGCATCTGTTTGGTCGGGATCCTCCGAACGGAGTGCCTTTCGCATGACGGGCACGAAGAAGTTATCTTTGTGCCCCATGTTGGACCGTTTGGCCAGTTTATGTATCTTTGCCAGCTCTTCGATACAAGCTTTATCACTATTCCCCTCGCAGAAGAAAGTCAGATACCGAAAAGCAAGTGAATGATAGACGTCTGAGGATGTCCCTTCCGGGACTGTACTGGGGAAAAGGATCTCTTGAATGCTTTCGGATTTTGGTGCAGACGACAGGAGGTGGCTTATCAGTCTCGCCACAGGTGGGTTGAATAAATTGTCGGGCCCAAAGTAAAAGCGGAAGCTGTAGAACAGAGCTTCTGCCATTGCCCAGTCTGGACTATCGCGTTGTGTAAAGTGCCTCATGGCCGCCAACCAGCGCCGCAACGCCTCCTCTTCAGTTGACGAGAATTGTACAGGCAATATAAAGTTCTTCACGTCGAGATACGTCCTCGGGTTAACAGCTTTTGCCAGGTAATCCAGGACATAATGTGGAATCGATTTGAAGCCGTCAGAGCCGGCGTCCGGCACCGGAGACTCGAAAATCCGACTTGGTTTTGGCTGATAGCCGCCAAATTTCCGGGCATGCCTCAGATGTATTTTGAGTGCCTCGTCGACGGCTCTGTCAGTGTCATTGTCGCCGAAATCGTAGACATTGTAGGACGGCCAGGCAGCTTGGTTGCGTTGGGAGTCTGCTCTTCCCAATATATACGCTTTCAAATCGCTGCTCCGCGTTTCCTCAGCGGATAAAGAGTTGCTTTTGACACTGTGCCACCGGACGCATGAGCGCGACAGAGGTACGGCGCTAGCCATATAGGGAGGCAAATAGTGTCGGATAGGGCTTGTATGGTGCGAGCGAGCGAACTCGTTCAGCTCAGGGTATAGCAGAAGTGATTGAGACTCCTCACTGTTCTCGCTCGTAGCGAAATGAGTATATGCATCCCCTTCTGTATTCCCAAGAGAATAAGTCGTCCGCGGCGTCGCATGACTCGCGTGCTTGGAAGGTTGTAAATCCTGTGCAATATGATTCACGTAGGTCCCGTGAGCATCTGAAGAGCAACTTGGTTGGCTTCCCGAGCGGCGATCTTCCTGATCCATCTCTTTACCGGTCTCTTTCGCAATTGGGGATGGAAGCAAGCCTTGTTTTAGAAGGTACTTCTCAATATCAGACATCTCCGGTTCGGTTTTCTTGGGTTGCCGTCTGCCCTGACTTGGGTATTTTTTGATAAGTGTCTGCGCTGAGGGGCTGATCGCGTGAGCTTGAGAACTCTTTGGGAGATGCAAACTCTTCGCAGTAGGTACACGACGACATATGCCGCTTATGGACTTGCTCGCACCACTGTCTGGCTTCGTCGTCCGGTATTGGAATTCAGCGTCCGCGCTAGGCACAAATCCTCCGTCCTGCTTGATGCCTTCTGCAGCCTGGGTGGCACCATGTGGGATAGACTTGTGGCCTTTCAACAAATTGATCTGACCATGGTCGTGGCTGGTTGAGTGTCCATGACTAGAGTCTTGCTCTCTTGAATGTAGGACTTGTTGCGCGGTGTTACTTTCGTCCTCTTGCGTCGGTCTGGTCGCGGCCGCGGTGGAGAAATGTCTCGCTCCATTTCTTTTCTTTCTCTTCTTTGCATGTTGTGCCTGTAGCGTGAAATCATCCCCTCGCTCTGCTGCTTCGAACATTTCATTCAGACGGGCAGAGGCTGTCCCACTAGACACAGACCGTAATATTCGCTTTGTCTCAACGATCTGTTCGGCCAGATGGACTCGACGGCGTGTCTCATAGTTCAACGTCGCAACTCCGCAGATACTGCCTATCGCGCCCACAATGATAGTCGGAGGCGACAAGGCCAATCGGCGGAGTGCTCGCAGGGCGTTCTTCGAAGGGACGATGGGTGGTTGAGACGCCATGATGGTGGCATTTTCTTACGCCTGGCAACAGCTGAGACAGATCATCTATCTCTGAAGATCCAGCAGATGAAGATATGGCATTGTGGAAGCTCTGCAGGTATCCATTACGGTTGTGTTTGTCGGCTTGGAAGATCACGCAACATTGAAAGGCAAGTCGCAGCTTGTCCCCACCGGGAAATTTAATTGGTGGAACCCGGCTGGGAGGCTGTTGATGCCGCTTTTGCTACAGAGCCTCGAGAGGTCACTGGAGTTCTAGTCATCTCGTTTTAAGATCAAGTCAGAAGAGAACCTACTCATAGACAAATCCCGTAATAGACGAGGACGGATGGATACTACACCCATCCTACGCAGCCCTTCTCAATATTGAGATCAAGCAGGGAGATTGGTTCAAGGACATAGGATGGACGGATTTATATGGAATAGATGCATTCAAATTGTGATAGTATACGAGAATGATCTCAAGCATTTGTTTACCTTAGATACCCATTCCTGGATGGCACGCTCATAATACACATCAAGTTTGTCGGACCAAGACCCTCAACATCCAAATATCGCTGCAAAATTCTATCCCAGTCGCTATACGGAGTCCAAACGTCGACCAACGCACAAATAGCTGACAGCAGCAAAAGGATATACAACCATCCACGGACCATCGTACATTGTCCTACACACCCGTATCTCATGCATGTCGCTCGTCATGCTCGTCTGCACCCTCGTCAAGATCAACCCTCGACCCTTCATGCAGATATACTGTGCCATAGTCAGCATGGTCGCCCTCGCATAATCATCATAGTTGTTGAACATACCATTCGGTCTAAGAAACCAGCTCAGCACGAAAACGATCACAAAAATACTTGCAAGACACAAAAACACGATCCCCGCGTATATGCCCACAGTCTGACGGTAGATCAAATTGAAAATTGTTGGTGCGACGACCCGGGCCAGCGCATGCAACAGCCCGCTCGCACCCAGGACTTGCCCCGTTCGGTCGGCGGGGATATGCTTGGTCAAGGCACTCTGCAAAGTAGGACTTCCGATCCCACCTAAGGACGCAATCATCCCGGACACAACCATGATGGTACCACTCGGGGTGAGCGCGTAGCCAATGTACCCTAGTAGATCGAACAGGATGGTCCCCCGGATGATATTGATGTCGAGCATATCCGCTCCCTTGTGGCCAGCCGACTGAGACACAGCTGGGCCGCGGAAAATGCGTGTCAGAAGTGGGAGCAGCAAAACGAGACCCAGCACGCGGCAGACATTCACCGCAGAGAGAAACATCGACGAGTCGACCGCGGACCAACCGAAACGGTACTCGGCGTATATGATGATGATTTGCATGGTGCCCATGGCGACGCCGAACATCATCGTGTCGATGGCGGCGAGGACGAAGAGGTTTTGGCGCAGTTTCGGAGACGATCCTTCACCCGTGGGCCAGAGGACCCAGAGGGGCTTAAAGAGGTTATAGTTTCTGATTTTCGTTGCCAGGTCCTTCTTAGGTGCGCTGGCATGTTTGACACGACGTTTCTCGCGGGCTAGCAATTGTCGTTCTTTGGAGAGTGATTCGGGCACGAAAAGTGTGACGAACACGATATAAAAGAAATGGCATGCTAGCGCGACATAGAAAGTCACCATGACGGTGCCGGTCACTTTGATCAGATAGGCTGCGAGGATCGGGCCAAGGGCGATTCCTGCGAAAAGTGTGCCATGGAAGTATCCGAACGCGACATTCCTTCGTTCGGGCGAGGAGCAGTCGCTCGCGTACGCGAATGCGATGGCCATAGCTGTGGTGAACGAACCCGAAAGGCCGTCGAGCAGGCTACCCAGGAGAAGCCAATAGACGGAAACCGTGTCTGGGTTCTGGCCCACGATGATGGTGATGATTTCAGCAAGGATGCCGCCGAATGATGCGCATACGAGGACAGTTTTGCGGCCGCGCCGGTCGGAGAGGGAACCTAGGTGGGGAGAAATTATGGCGGAGAAGATGCCAGTGAGGAGGTTCGCTTCGAGGTTGAAGGTTGCGACGCGGGATTGGACATGAGGGTCGCGGCATTGCGGGTTCTCAGCGTCCAGGACGACAGGGAGGAAGTGGAAGGTTGGGTCCTTGCGGGCCCGTTCGGACAGGTAGTCTTCACAGATGAGGTTGAGGACAAGGTACGTCTTGGGTACGATGATGCCGCCGAAGGCGATGCAGAACGGGAAGAAGGCAGGGAGGAGCCAGAATATGGACGGTGTCTTGTACCACGGCTGGGAGTGGGAGCCCTGTGCACCGGTCCAGGGCTCGTTGATGGCTCGCTCGTAGCTTGACGTCGCCCGACTGTAGGGTATTTTCCGAGTAGTGCGCCGTCGGCGAGGGCTCATCAATGGGCTGCTCTCGTTGTCGAACGCAGTTTCGTCGTCGTCGTCGTCATCCCGGACGTGGAAGTGTGTCTCGATGCCCGCATCAAGGGTGCTATTGTCGGACAGGCGTGCCTCCTCTTGAGCTTCCTCTGCGAATGCTTCTTCAGGGTCCATCTTGCTGGTCGTGGAGACGTGCAACTACCGGGCTCGTCTCGAGACGCGTTTGAAGCCCCGATGGGGTAGGGTAGCTTCGAAGGACAGCCGGTCTACCGCATCTGTGCGATGAAGGAGATATGGATATCGAGCTAGGGCGAGGACAATTGCCAGTTACTCTGCAGGCAGAACAATTGATTGATAATACTGATCTGGGAGTTGTGAACCGTCGCGGTGTCTTGACGTAATCCATGCATGTACCAAGGGTGGAAAATGGACAATGAGAATGGACGGGGGACGGCTGAGGAGCGTGCCGGACGATATGTACATCCAAGTTGATGGGTACATCTCGACTGGGAAACTGGATTATCGGCAAGGATCAATATCAAATCTGGCATCGGACTTAGACGTGTCGGCCCCGTAAATCCTTCCAGGTCCAGCCAATCTGGCTGCCCCAGGAGGCCATTGTTAGAGCATGGACCAGCCCCTGCACGCCCAGGCGAGTGAGATGTGAGCGGCACCTTTCCGTCTCGCCTGTCAATACGAGGACAAGTAAATGCTTCTGTCATAGGCATCGGTTTGGTCCAAGCATAATGGTACAGCTATCTCATGCATTCGAATGCTACCTCACAGTTGGCAGGATCTTTGCTTGTTCTCCGGCAAAGAACTTCTTCTGCTCGAGGCATCTCTCACTTTTACAACCTTGGCACCTCAAGTGCATCTGCCTCGACGAACTTTCGCCGCTTTGCAGATGGGCATGAGCAATATCTGCAAGCGCTTGAATAAAGACGGGATTTCCGTTCAGACTTTCAGCTCGTTTCACTCCGGGATGTCCCTTGGCATCCTCCTCCATCACCTCCTGATCCAGTTCGTACAGAGTTTCAATATGGTCACTTGTGAAGGCGATGGGAACCAGGATCAGATCAGTATGTCCCCGGTTGACGTACTCTTTGACAGTATCGCTCGTCTGCGCACCAAGCCATGCAGAAGGTCCGACTTGTGACTGCCAACATAATCGGTACGGCTGGGAATGCCCCAGTCTGTGCATGACTGCATGAACCGTAGCGGCTACCTCGGCAGGATAGGGATCACCTCGGTTGACCACACTCATCGGGAGACTGTGAGCTGAGAACAACAACACCACGTCCTTTCGTCGATCTTCTGGATACTCAGCCAGCTTCTCCTCGATATTTCTGGCAAATGCTTCCACCAGACCAGGATGTGTAGGCCAGCGATCTATGACGCTCCACGTGATGGCACCTTCAGGGTTCTCCTCTCCAGTCGCTCTCTTACCCTCGATGCGGTTTCGCCATTTCCACAACTCATTCAGAGAGCTTCCAGTCGTGGAACAGCTGTATTGTGGATATTGTGTGAATGCGACCGCTCGGCCACCCCTGCCTTTGCCAAAACCGTCCTTGAGAAGCTGCTCATACATGTCTTCTGTCAGAGGGTTGGCATATCGAAACGCAACATAAGGCTTATGAGGTGCAGTTTCCGGTGACATCTTGTCCAACAGCTTGCACATCTCCGCGCATTGGTATTCTGACCACTTGCGGATCGGCGAACCTCCTCCTATTGCTGCGTATTGTTTCTGTATCTTGGGTGTCCTCCTACGCGATATTAACGGTCCCAGGTACGATTGTAGAGGTCCGAGTGGTATCAGGTCGCCATCCGCAAAAAGTCTGCTTAAAAAGTCTCCTACTTCACCGGTAGTAGAAGGACCGCCCATATTCATAAAGACCATCGCTGTCGGTCCATTCTTGCCCGTTTCGTTCTGTATGACGGGAGGCGCCACAGTGGCCATACATGACTTTTGAGGGCCATATGTCCCAAGTAAGCCACCTGATGGGCGGGGAATGGTGCGGTTCGCCAGCGACCGAGTGAGGTGGACTGTCGAGTGGCGTATAGACATTTTGAAGGTTTGAGACAAGGACACAAGGGCTGTTGCTACCGAGCCATGAAGGAGAATTGATGAAGGACCGGAGGAATAGTACGAAAGTAGTGTGTACTAAGAACGTAGGTCTTGTTGAAACGAGAAACTTTTTGGCGGTTGCAAGCGTAAAGTGATGATGAATGTCCAAATCCGCCACTTACATATTAGCGATTTGCCGAGCTACACGTGAGTACGTGTCAGACGCGACAGAAGCCATTCTGTTGCCTCTGGAGTGACATCCAATTGCATCACATTGCATCACATGCTGGCCGCCGCGCTTTGCTCGTACTCGTAGGCGTTCAAACATTTAGATATTCGCCCCGTAACTCCGCAACTCTGATGAAGTTCGTGTTGGCTTGCTGATCTATCGAAATGGCCGATCTACCCCACAGACCGAAAGCAGAGGATGATCCGGGCAGGGCCGAAGAAGATGATGAAGACGAAGAGGAAATCGACGAAAGTGGCTACAAAACAGTCAAGGATGCTGTTCTCTTTGCCATCGAGGTCAGCAATTCGATGCTGAAAAGGCCGCAGACTTCGGGGTCGAGGAAATCAGACAATACTTCGCCTCTTCTAGCAGCCCTGAAATGTGCATACCATCTCATGCAACAGCGCATCATCTCAACGCCTCGCGACCTGATGGGAATCTTGTTGTACGGCACAGAAGCAACCAAATTTTACGATGAAGACGAGAACTCGCGAGGTGGCTGGTCGTTTCCTCACTGTTACCTTTTGACGGATCTCGATGTCCCCGAAGCCTCAGATGTGAAAGCTCTCAAAGAGTTGACCGAAGCAGATTCTCCCGAATCAAACGAACTCTTTCGGCCATCAAATGAGCCGGTCTCGATGCACAATGTCCTCTTTTGCGCCAACCAAGTCTTTCAACAAAAGGCTGCCAATTTCACTTCTAGACGTTTGTTCATTGTCACAGACAACGACGACCCACATTCTACCAACAAGGATACTCGGTCTCAAGCAACAGTGAGGGCCAAAGATCTGTATGATTTGGGAGTGATAATAGAGCTATTCCCAATATCTACCCCAGAACACACCTTCGACACGAAGCTCTTCTACGACGACATCATCTACAAAGCATCTCCCTCGGATCCTGATGCAATTGCTTACAACCCGTCTTCCATCATCGATACCGATGGCTCCAAATTGTCTGCTGGCTCGAATGATGGCATTTCCTTGTTGCAATCTTTGTTATCCAACATAGCCTCCAAAGTCTCCCCTAGGCGAGCCCTGTTCTCTTCGGTCCCACTCGAACTTGGTCCTGGGCTCGAGATCTCGGTCAAAGGTTATCTCTTGTACAAGCATCAAACACCAGCCAGAAGCAGTTACATTTACCTTGGCTCTGAACGCCCACAGATCGTGAGTGGACGGACCACACAAGTGACTGACAACACTCAACCGGTACAAAAGGCCGAAGTCCGGAAAGCCTACACGTTTGGGGGCGAGCAAATTACGTTCACGGTTCAAGAGGCTCAAGAACTTCGGAATTTTGGAAAACCCGTCATAAAAGTGATTGGGTTCAAACCAATGTCCAGGCTGCCACTATGGGCTAATATCAAGAATTCAACGTTTCTGTATCCGTCAGAGGAGCACATTGTCGGCAGCACTCGTGTATACAGTGCCCTGCACCGCAAATTGTCGAAAGACAAACTATTTGGCTTGACCTGGTTTGTCCCGAGAAAGAACGCGACGCCAGTCATGGCGGCTATGATCCCAACGCTCCTTGCAGAAGCAACGGACGGCAAATCGAATGCAGCTGGGGTGTCACCTACAGGAGCCCCTCAAGGACTGCATCTGGTACCGCTTCCCTTTGCAGACGACATTCGATCGAATCCACCGACAACCCGGCAGGAACCTTTACATTCTCCGGATGAACTTGTAGATGCCATGAGGCCCATCATTCGTAAGTGGCCATTGCCAATGGAGGGGGTTCAACAACCACTGCTGACACGTGTTATAGAACAGCTGAATTTGCCAAAAGGCATATATGACCCTTCTAAATACCCGAATCCGAGTCTTCAGTGGCATTACCGTATCCTCCAGGCACTAGCTCTCGACGACGAGATCCCTGATAAGCCGGAAGACAAAACAGTACCAAAATATCGACAGATAGACAAGCGGGTGGGCAACGAGGCAGTAGAATGGGGCAAGACCCTGGAGAAAGCGTTCAAAGAATTCCAAATTGAGAATCCAGACACAGTTCCTACGGGTTCCAAACGTTACATCAACGGACAGTCATCGTCTGCTCATGGCGGTGCGAAGAAGGTCAAGACAGAAGGAGGAGACGGGATCACTGAGGAAGAGGTCCGAAATCTATGGCAGAAAGGTAAACTTTCGAGTCTGACGGTTGCCCAACTAAAAGAAATATGCGGACCCAAGAAGATTTCGATAGCTGGGAAGAAGGCAGATCTCATTGACCGACTTGAGAGTTGGCTGGAGAGCAAGTGAGCAGGAACGGTTGTCCTACTGTATGAATGAATTACGAGATACCCAAGACGTGTATTTTACTGGCAGACCCAACCATGAAAGTGGTTGAGATGTAATACTGTGTGGTCAATCATTGCACTCTCAGTCATATCCAAAAGGACGCGACGGACACTGCACCCAAGATCGACCGTTGTTGTTCAATCTCCATTCCAATAGACGATTTCCGTACATCATGGATCACCTTAGAGTGAACTCGTAGGAACGCTTTTGCAGGAACGTTGGTTTTTGCGTTGTTCATATGAAGAGAAAAGAAGAAAAGGAAGCAGGAAATAAAACGAGACGCGACTGAAATTTCAAAACGAAATTCTACGTTGTCACGTGCCTAATGCTTAGTCATTCCGTTTCCTGGATGCATATGACGTTTGTTCCTCGTTGATTGATGCTGCGCACATGCAGATTGACCGTCGTTGAGAAGGCCCCTTGCGTTGTTCACACGACTACAGCCTACCCAGATGATGGCTTTTGATGTTCAGCTGCTTTGACATATTTTCGCTGTGTATCTTCGCCCCATAGGGCAGCCTTGTACTCAATGGCGAGGGTCCCTTTCGTCGGCAGGCTTTACTTGTGAGTTCCATCAAGCCCATGATGAATGGTGTTGTAACTGACTGAGAGACCAGGCGCGAGTATCTAGCCTTGTTAGGATCGCTCATACTTGTGGCATTGGAAGTCCTGGTTCGGATCATCACTCTTGGGCTGCGTGAGCACTTCCACACCGCCCATGGCCACGACTGACCATTATTCCAGCTCAGCCGATCATTCGCTTCTGCTACAACACCTCCAAAAAGCTATTTAACCGATTATCCTCTCCCAAGTCCAAACAGGCTCGGTCGGACCGCAAATCAAGACATCATTACATTGCTACCTGCTCAGACTTTACCGAGCTCTGTGCATTCTTCGGATATTATGCCGAAGAACATGTCGTACAAACAGGAGACGGATATCTACTGGGCGTGCATCGGTTGCCGTTCCGCAAGGGCGAAGAGCAAAGTGGGCAGGCAGTAAACGCTGGACCTGATTCTCTACGGAAGCCCGTGGTATATCTGCACCATGGACTTCTCATGAACAGCGAAGTTTGGGTCTGTATAACAGAAGAAGAACGCTGTCTTCCATTCACATTGGCAAGCCATGGATACGATGTCTGGTTGGGTAATAACCGAGGCAATAAATACAGCAAGAAATCAACTCGATGCTCTCCGACATCGACAAAATTCTGGGATTTCTCTATCGAAGAATTTGCGTTCCACGACATCCCAAATACCATCGACTACATCCTCAACACGACATCCCAGTCTACGCTTTCTTATATTGGATTCAGCCAAGGCACTGCGCAAGCCTTCGCCACGCTTTCCATACACCCAGGCCTGAATGACAAAGTCAACGTCTTCATTGCGCTGGCACCTGCAATGTCACCAGCTGGTCTTAGTAACGGCATTGTAGATGCTTTGGTCAAGACGAGTCCAGACGTCCTATTCTTGGCGTTCGGCCGCAAATCAATCCTATCATCTGCCACAATGTGGCAATCTATCCTCTACCCTCCCATCTTTGTCCGACTGATTGACATGTCCTTGTCATTCCTCTTCGCGTGGTACGGGCGAAATATCAGTGTCCAGCAAAAGCTCGCGGCCTATCCTCACTTATACAGCTTCACCAGCACCAAATCCGTCGTTCACTGGTTCCAAATCATTAGGAACAAGTCCTTCCAGATGTACGACGACGATGCCTCCAACAAATTCAGCATCGGCGCCAGCAACCGCTACTACAAGGTCGCCAAATTTCCGACTCGAAACATCAAAACTCCCATCGTCCTGGTCTACGGAGGCAGTGACTCCCTAGTAGACATTCGAGTCATGCTGAAGGAATTACCACGACACACCATCGCCACCGAAATTCCCCATTTCGAACATCTGGATTTCCTTTGGGCACAAGATGTGCACAAGCTCGTATTTCCACATGTTCTCGAGTCGTTGCGATACTACGCCCTGGGTCACAGTTCGAACGGTATACCCAAGGGTCTAGCTCTTTCGATTGCCGACACAGCTCATTTGCATAGGCGCGCAAACAGCGGCAGCAACTGGTCTGAAGATGAGGGCTCATCCTCTGACTTTGACGGGACAAACGACACGCCGCGCACGCCTAGAGGGAAGTCGTACGCCCAGCAGCTTCGGGAACAGCCCTATCGACAGCAGGATCACCTAGACTCGGCTCAAAGGCCTTTACGCGCCGATCCGCGTGAAGCAATGAATGCTGATGATGCAGCCGGCCTCCGGACGCGCGAACTGATGCATTGGTACGAGCAGAACTACGCTTTTCCCAACAAAGACGAAGCCCAGGCCGCGAGTGAGAATAGGGCAGATGCCCTGAGGAAGCACGAGGATAGTAGTCCTACCGCGGCCACGGCGGCCATCTCGACGTCCAGATCGCCACAAATCGGTGCGGACGCGTTTGCGAATCCCGTGGGTTCGGGTTCGGGTCCGGGTCCAACTTCCTCAACAACACAATCGCAATCGCATTCTCAAGGACAACAACCCTCCGCACAGAATTTCGGCGACGAGAGTGAAGCACGAACTCGAGCAAGGAGAGCTTCGGCCTCCGCGTCATTGTCGGCGTCGGCGTCAGTCTCCGGGTCGGGCAGGTCCAGTCCGATTCAGCCTGCCTTCACAGCCAAGGGGATCAGGCTCGGCAGTTCGAGGCCTAGTATTGGGCAGACTAAGAATCAATAACCGCCGTACAGAGAATGGGAGTGCAGCTGTGGACACAAATACGGCTACGGTTACGGCTACGAATACAAATACAAATACCAGGGGTTGGAGGAAGTAAGGGCTCTTTGAGTGTGGACAAGGTCGATATATAAAGCCCACCGACTTCCGAAAGAGATAGACATGATGATATTCGCACAAGTCGTGGCCACGTCCATATGGGATGCATGAATGTCTATTTCCAGGAGAAAGGAGAATTATCGCACAGACGTTGTCTGCAAGTTTTCTTATTGCTGCCAACCTTTCCCCGAGAAACGGGAAGGGAGCTACTTGTGGTAAAATCATAGCGCAGACTCTTCGTTCGCGAGCCCGCGTGCGAAGTTCGCATCATAGCTCACACGCCAGAAAATGCATAACAATAACTAACGATAAGCTTGCCCAAGCCGCTATGCAATGCATCGCTTGGAGAATATCAAGCAACCGAATCCAGTCAATCCTATCCAAGGCAAACTCTATACAGCAGTGATGCTTGTAATTTGTCATCTTCATCGTCAAGTCATTAAAACTTGGTTTGGCCGTCGTTTTATCCACCGACGGTCCGGAAAAGGGTATATTCAGTTGGATATTAGGAGATTAGTCATTCGAGGTCGCATTGACCAGATACGCACACCTGAATCTGGTCAAAGGACACTTAGGGTTGGATCATCATATCGCCAAGGCAATGCCGGCAACAGCAATGACGGTGCCGATAAGTGTACTGAAAGGTACACTCTTCTGGCCAGGCGCGGCATTATCGATGACGCCAGTAACAGTCGCAGTAGTGCCGCCGATGCTGGCACCGTTGTCATCCGATGCGACGACTTGAGTCACCGGGTTCGATACGGGAGTGGCATTAGGCACGCCATTTGAGCCTTTGATAATCTCTTGAATGTTGTCGGTCGTTGAGTTAAAGACCGTCTGCGCGAGCGAGATCTCGTTATTGGCGAGATCGTAGACGACATACGCAGACCGGAGGAATGTGTCTCCGAGGACAGGCGTGGTGCCTTGTGCTGGAGCAATGCCGAACAAGCAGGCTTGCTCCCCGTTCTCGAAAGTCAAGGGGTCACCGGCGGAGTTTGTACCAGCGTCGAGGAAAAGCTCGTCATAGGGAACTTTGATGGTCTGCCCGGAGAAGTCGAAGTCCACAGTCGAGGTGTCCGATGTCATGCTGCACTCGATGTACGCGGCACCGAGGCTGTTAGAGTAGACGGCGTTCAGCTGATTGTAGATTTCGGTTACGATGTCGTTGGGTAGGTAAGTAAGAGTGGAGCCCGAGTCGAGAAGGACAGCCGCAGGGAGGGAGCTTGAGGAAGACAGGTTGGTCCCTGCAACGGAGATGCCTGTCAAGGCCACCAGGAGCTCGTAATAGCCTCCGTAGCTCTGGAGGACGGGGACAGTGGCCAATTCACCATCGTACTTGTCTGTGTTGACGCCACCGAATAGGATCTCACCTTGGGAAGCATCAAGGTCGTTCAGCCATAAGCTGTAGGCGTTGGAAGCAATCAATCCCCCGTTCACAAGTGCTTCTGGCAGATTCGGGTAGGGTTCCAGCCCGGCACGATTGACGGCTACTTCGTTTGAGGGGTAGCCAATTCCCAAGACGCCTTGTTGTGAGCTGGACGACTCGCCAATGCCGAACTGGAAGTCAGACAATTCAACGCCGCCAAAATTCAAGGTGTCTGTGATATAGTCGCCCACAGCACCCGAGCCGTCGACGTACGAAATATTAAATTGGTCGTTGACGAACTTGTAGGTAGACGAGGAGGAAGGGTCGTATGTGCCGCCTTCGCAGGGATCTTGCCTTGAAGAGCAGAAGCTAGAGTTTGCTGTGTTCACCCATAAATCCGAGCTGCCTGTGTCGATGTGTAACCGTAATGACTGTTGCGGTGTCCCCAGTGTGATGTTGGCATAGTACAGACTCTCTTCATTGTCCAACGTCTGCTCGACGGTTCCTGACCTCCTCCTTAACCGCGATCTGTCGTGAGCGAGTGGATCTGAGACGTGCCTTTTCTGGATAGGTAGACCAACGACTCTGGGGTTCGAGGAGCGAGGAGCGATGGCGAGGGCGGATGCCAGAGGTGCTGACAATGCCGCAAGGGCCACAGCAGTTGTGGAGTATTTCATGGCAGCCGGCAAGATCTGTGCGTAGGATGTGTCGTGCCACAGGATGGACGACTGGTAGATTCAAGAGCTGAGCTTTTATGAATGGGCGGCGGGATGAGATGAAGGTGACGCAGCGCAAGTGAGTGCAGCAAACGAAAGCGATTGCGGGAATGCGATGAATGAATGAGGAAACAGAACAAAATAAAAGCACTGAAATCACTTAGACTTCTTTCTCTAATAGTAGGTATGTAGTCGTAATGGAGGCAGTGATCCTGCGTCAGCAGCAACATCATCATCATCTATACTAATACCCCGTAGCATTGAGGCGAAATGGCAGTGGCATGGCGCAGCAGGAAGGATGGCGGCCGGAAAAGATGAGAGTTTCGCAAAGGTCGGAGAGGCGGGATACCAGGCTGGGCAGGAAACAAGCCGTACAAGGCCAGCTATGGGGGCCTACAGGGGACAGATGGAGGAAAGATGACGCGGTTTAGGCGGACCAAGAGCCGGACTCCCGACCTAGTGCCCTGATTTGGGTGACTTGGGCTCATCATGGCTTGTAAAATGCCTCCTGCCCAGCATCGCCCAGAGGTCCGACTTTCTCTACATTACGCGGCCAAGGATGGAAGCCCCATGGAAGTGACAGTGACTCGCTGTGACTGTCCACCAGACCTGACTGTTTGTGCAACTCCTCTCCGAGGAAGATCCCAGTGACACTTGGGTGCAATATCAAAGGACAACCGTTCGCGTTTCAAGTGGTTATCGATCATACTGGGCGTCTTACCTTATGGTGAGCCTCATCAGGCTGTGAGGCTAGTGAGGCCAGTCTAGCACTTCAGGCCAGTCCGGGGGGCTGCTAAAAATACTGGGTGGTCAACCGCCTCGCCGCATAAGTAGTAGTATCATTTCAGCTGTTCAGCCTCCTCGCGAGCCTCGCTCCGCTCCTCCTCCTCCTCCTAATGAATAAACGATTGGCTCCCAATGGCTCGCAAGGGCCTTGTTGGCAAAACCCCCAGCCACGCTGCCTCAGCCTCTTCAAGTCCCCTCGTCCTTGTCGGCGTCCGATGCTGTAACACTTCCTCGACTCGCCCAGAAATTAATTCATTCACAGCAGCGTTTGAGATTGTGTGACAGGCAGGCTCAAGCATCCTTCGTTTTCTCAGAGGACGTACCCTCCACAGCCTACATTCGACCAGTGTCGGATAGGTCGTGTATCTTCCAGCTCGACGCACCACCACAAGATCTCTTTCGCCTTGTCAACTTCTCCGCCAAGTTCATGTGCTCGTGCCAGTGCAAACCAAGCCTCTGAATTGTCCCAGCTGGACCCCAGTCTCGTCAAGGTCGACAACAATCCATATGCTCGATCTCGTGCTGCCAATCGATTGAGGTTTTCCGGCGTCTTTTTGAGTTCCTCATCCTTTGAAGCATGCGACTGTGTGAGTCCTGGTAGAAAGGCCGTCCCGTCCATATCAAACGGACCGTTGCCTGCACCGCTGTCACTGGAGCGGCTCAATTCTCGCTTGTGTTGTTTTCGGCCCCTATCTGCCGGCGTTTCCCTCATCTTGGCTGGGCCACCATCGACCCTCCTAGCCAATTCAACCTTGCGCTCATAGTAGTCCAGTAACAGGTTGCTGAGTCCGACAATGCCTCCAAGGTGGTCGGCAAAATACATCAAACATGTTTCGTACTGCTCAACGGCATCGCGCACCCCTTCCGAATAGACTTGGCCTTCTTTCTCCTCCTTTTCCTGCGCAATAGCCATCAAGAGTTCGGCTCGTTCGCAGTAGACATCAGCCCAAAGCTCATCAGAGCTCTTGCCACCGCCGCCCCAGCCAGCGTCGCTGAATGCCCGGGCCGAGCTCTCGATACCGGCAACCATGGCCTCGATCTTCGCGGCCACTTTCGCTGCCTCATCGCATGCCTCACGTGAATCGTCGAACATTTTGGCTCGCCTATAAAGCACAGCGATGATGAGCCAGATCTTTACCAGGATACTCAAGGCATGCCGATGTGACGCTGCATGAGGAAAGCGAGGTATAGGATCTGACGGTATGCTCTGGGATCCCGCCGTCGGCAGACGTACGTCCTGTTCGGGGGGCTGAGTCTGATGCTGTACAGGTGGTGGCATCTTGTCGTGGGAAGCAAGATTGTGAGGCAACTCTTTCAATGGCTGTTTGGCAGCATTACTCTGATTATGATTCGCTGACGCAGGTATAGCGGGCACTTCTTCGGACTTGATTGTCTCTAGCCCGGGATGTTCTGGCTCATCTGAGGGTGGCGCTTTCTCGGGCGTCGTTTCAAACGATTGCCCAGTATCCGACCCGTGACTGGGATCTGTCCTGCCACGACTTCGCGACCGTGAGAAACGGCGTGCCAAATTTCGCTTTTCGTCCCTTGAACGCTCTTGCGACGGTCGAAACAAGCGATGCTTATGTGGCGATGGTTTCTCGTCCTCATTCGTGACGTGGATAGTTGGTGCTTGAGTGGCCTCAGAGGCCGGCCGCGCTTTTTCTTCAGGGACGGAAGGTGGCCCGTTCGTCTTCTGACCTTTTGCAGACTCATGCAACCGGCTTATTCTCCTCCGAGAAAAGATACTGCCTTTGGAGCTTTTGATTGTGCCGTTTGAGGTTTTAGGAGGCTGCGCCAACTTTGTTCTCGACCTCGACCTGTCCTCGTTTAGGGCAAGGGTGCCATAACGTGCAAAGAGCCGGGAGTATAATGCAAGCAAGTCGTTGCTGTTGTTGACTGCGTGCTCGGGACCTTCCCGAAGTTCGGTCAAAGCAAGCTCGGAAATTCGAATCTCAATAATCTTCTGCAGTTCATCGCAATCCATGTCATCAACGAGTCCCCGGTGCCGGCTACCTTGAATATGCTTCTCGCCGCCCCTTGAAACACCACGGCTGTCGCCAAAGATGACATCTGGGGAAGGGAATTGCTCAAAGGCGGCTACACAAGTTTGGCCTGCAATCTCAAAGTTCTGCTTGGAGGAAAGCAAAAGAGCAAGCAGGTGCCAAAAGGGAATGAGATCCCGCTGCACTCTGTACGTGGAGTCATCTTGGTGGACAGACAAGTCACAGGCCAATGCTTTCTTCACGACAAATATTGCGTCGTCTACCTCGCGTGTTTCCCCAAGCAATTTACCAAGTGCAAAGAGGGTCTTCAGCTTCTGTTGAGGTGGAAGCTCTTGTGAGGCAGCCTTCCGCAAATCCTGTATGGCTTCGGACTGCAACGTCGATCGATTTTCGCTGAAGGGCGTATACCGAGCCCACTGCGATTTGCCGATCCCGATGGCTCGGTAGACGACCTCCACCACATGGGCAGGTAAGGGCTCTCGTACTGACCCGTTCGTGATCAATTCTCCATTGGCCGGTTCTGAGCCATAGGGGATGCTATGCTCAGGTTGAGGCTCTATGTCGTCAAGCAGGTCTCCAAGTTTGAGGCATAGATCATACGCCTTCTCGGCGTCAGATGCACCTCCGAATGAACAAATTCCTTCGACACCTTCGGCAATGGTCCTCATATAGATGTGATCGTTGTCCCGCCTGGTTGTCTCGCCGCCGGCTTTGGCCGCTCGCGCTCGCGCTCGATCCATAAGCTCTATGTATGAGTCGAGAGCCTTGTAAGCGAGGCCAAAATCCGCTAGAGCCTTATGGACTTGGAATAACCGTCTGAGGATGAGAGTCGAGTGAAAGGTTTTCGTCGCAGCTCGATAAAGAATGTCAAGCACATTTCTGCCAATAGCAATCCGGCCGCCCTGTCCTAGATCCGACTCGGGCCAGTCAGGACCGCAAAGGACCTGCCAATTGCGAATAACCTCTTCCACCCATTCTTCGATCATTAGGTTTGATTCACTCGCTTTGGGGAATTGTGTGTTCCGCAAGAGCTCGTTTTCACACGATGTCTCCACCCGCCGCAGCTCAGTTGCCAGCTCGGCAGGAGTGGAAGAGACTGACTGGGCAGCGCTGTGATGCTGCTGCAGCAGAATTGCAGACACAAATTTGTAGTACGCTCTCCACATCGCAAGTTTCGAAACATGACCTGGTGCGTTGCCGAATGCCGAAGGCGACACATCTTGATTCTTCGCAGCTAACACTGCCCAGTGGCGGAAAGCTTGCAGCCTGAAGGACGCAACTTCACCACTGTCTGGGTGAGCAAGAGTAGACTTTCTAGGTTGCCGCTGGCCCAAAGCGACTCGACCAAGAAGCTGTTGCGCCCAGTACAACAGTTGTGGAGTCGAGAGAACAAGGCTCCGATTCGAGTCTAGCCACGGGAGAATGTTGTAGTGTAGTTCTTTTCCTTGCGGCTCGTTCCCAGCCTGGCTGATGAGCATGCCTCGTATGTAGACAGCTTTGACCACGCATATTTTTGTCCAGACGGAGTTTGCATCGGCAGCTGCACGAGCAGGTTCAAACGTTATGGCTCCAACCTTATCTTGCTGTAGTGGCCCAACCCAGTGAGCCCAGAGAAGCGACGCCTGTCCTTGTACAACATCTTCAAACGGCTGACCGCTAGCACGTAGTTCAGATTCGAGGGACACGACCTGCGTTTCTGGTAGTGTCTGGGTGCTGGCTCCGGTGCCTGGTCGTTGACTCTGTGAGGTAGCATAGCTAGCAATTCCGTGGTCGACTTTGGCAGTCTGAATCAGGCCTGCAGACGGTGTCAGAACGAAGGCTGCTGCGACTCGAAGACCATACATTTGCGATCTGGAGCATGTTTCGTGACCTTTCGTATCAACTCTGGCAGTTCTTGCCAATTAGCGGCTATGCGCGCCGCGTCGAGGAGGCCAATGTAGCGCTGGGCCTTTTCATGATGTACCTGCGAGTAAATCAGAGGAGGCACTTCTGTTGCGGTCCGTTGAAGCAGGACATACACTCATTTTTACCCAGTCTGTCGGGGAAATGCCCGAGCTAACGGTGCTTTAGTTGAGCACTATGTCTCTGTGTATGCGACGCCAGCTCCATTGACGCGCATGAAGTGCACAAGTCCATCTTTGGAGGACAATAGCAGACTGGGGATTGTATGTTGTCGGGAGCGTCACCAGCGAGCGAAGTCCGGGAGATCTTCGGCACAGGCCACGTCGCTTTCAAAAAAATTATTCCGGATTCACATGCAGGTTCAGACTGGGATTCCCAGACATCAAAGCCTGTCGTCCTACGGCAATTACTCTACAGAGATGCAGCATGAAAGCGCTCTTCGTGCTATATCAAACAGGTTGATCGTCACACCCATCGACGAACTTCCTCGGATTGCCGGCTTTCTCGCAACCCAGCTGGCCAATTGTCCGCTCAACGAGCATTTCACCAATACGAAGGGCAGCAACTCTTCGGTATCTGCCCATAAGCTCAAGACTCGAATCAGCTCCCTACTACAGGACAGATCCGCTGCAGGACGATTCACAGCTGTTGTACTCATCAAAGCCGTCATTGACAATGGAGGTGAAAATGTCCTTCGTGCTTCCGACAGTTGGGCCAGAGGCCTACTCAACTGCCTCAATAAGCCAGATCCGATTGAGGTCAAGAAGCTGTATCTGATCACCCTTACTCGCATCTTCATCCTCACGCAGAATGATCAGACCCTATTACGAGAAATAACAACGCCGCTACTTCCGAACTTTATCAAGGCTTCTTTGGGGTTGATCCGACCGATCAACGTCCAAAAAGGTGCTGGGAGCAAAGCATTGTCGAGTCCATTACTTGCACCAGTATTGGAATGCTGGACTCGACTCCTTCCGCGCCATGCTTCTGTCTTCCGGCCATTCCTCAATCAACTCAGGCCTATATGTCTGAGTCTGGTAGCAGACGCCGAAAGTCCTTCTCGAGACCGAGACCTGGCAATCCAACTCCTTTGCTTGCTGTTATTATCTGCTCCAAGGAATACGGTTGTCCAAGAATGGATCCAGATGGCTAATAACCTCACTAAGGCGGCGCATTCAACAGCTAGTACATTATTTCGAGCAGTAATCGAAGAGCACGAGTCCAATGATTCGTCCATCCAAATAATCACGGGGAAACAGAACTTTTCCAAAGAGCAGAAACAAGTGGAAGTTGACTTGGCAGGCTTGCATCCTTGGGCTGGCATCCATGAAGGCAGCGACAGACTCGCAGCCCTGTTATCTTGGCTGACCTGCCTGACCTCCACGTCCACATCGGAGTCTATGCTATTGCCGATTGGCGCAATCCTTGATTTGACTTCACGGATCATGTCTGTGACTGTGCCGGCAACCAAGGCTGGTGCAGCTGACGACTTGAGATACCGTAAAGAGGCAAGCAGGGAAGAGAAGGAAGAACTGTGGACTCATTTGCCCGAAGTCCATATCGCTTGTCTTGATTTGCTTCACAGCCTTTTCTCGTCTTATGGGCAAGTCCTCTCTCCTGTACAGCGGACGAATGTCAACCAGCTACTTGAGATTTTCGAAAACATGTCCTGGCATCAAGACATCCGATCTGGAGTTTACAAAGTGTTCAGCTATCTGTTGGGACGTATCGACCTTTCAAATCTGGAAATTCACCGAGAGGCTTTCGCGGAGCTCCTTGAACACTGCTGTAATGATCTGAAATTGGGGTTTGCGGAGAGCGTGAACAACACTTCAAGTCCCATGAAGAATGGAGATATTCAGCTCACTTCCCGTTCGATACCAGGCGGCATTCGAGAGACTGTCGCGAGCTTCTCTTGCCGGCGGTCGGATGTGTTCCAAACGGCTTGGGTCCTGCTGTCGCAAGCCTTGAGATATTGTCCGGCTGCTTTGGTGTCTAAACGGACGCGGTCGGAAATGGACAGGATAGCAGTCTTGCTTGACCATGGTGATGCTATGTTGTCGAGCATTCTGAATCCGGTACTTTCAAAAGAAGGCAAACCCGCCAGTGCCAGTTCGTTGCCCTTCGTGGTAAGGTCTGCAGCAGATGATATTGCTGTGGAGGCCTTGCTAAGGCCACGGATGCCCTTTATTGCAATTGAAAGCGGTGAAACTGAGCGCCGTTCGAGCCAAGACGGAGCAGATGGCGAAGATGAAGGAGACGAGGAGAGCGACACACGCATGGACACTGATATATTGTCTCAGCTGGAAGATTCTCTCGAGCAACAGCAGAACGGCACTTTGGAGCCTCAGGAGGGTAGGCCGGGAGGATCAAGCGGGCCGCGAGACGTTCCACTCAACGGAGGCCAAAGTTCTGGCGCACAGAAAAGGTTGATCGACGCGGTGGACTCCAGTCTCTTAGGGGGCAACGCTCTTCCTTCGGGCGCGCCTGACTCCAGGGAATCGAAAAGACCACGTTCAGGGGCATCCCTGGAAGACACGACCCTGCCTAAAGTGCAGGAAAATAGCAACGAGGCTACAGCTGGGAAATATCCTATGGCTCAAAGCTTGGAGGTAACTGCTGTAAGCTCCCAAGGTCATCAGTCCCAGGTGGAAAGACAGGATATCTCCATGATGTCTAACACGCCGGTGCCCAGTGGACCCCTGGTTGATGATGCTGATAGCGACGACTCCGAAATTCCTGCCATCGATCCTGAACTTGATACAGACGAGGAAGAGGACCTAGAATAGCTCATGCTTGGTCACCTTTGAGCCACAGTCAGGTCTTTGTTAGCTCCATTTAGGAACTGTATCTAGGCCAAATGTTTGCTTGATGTACCGTTGTTTCATGATTGCTTCAGTAAAGCAATGCTTTCATCACATCACGTGATCACGTGTTAGACGCGTCAAGCTTCCTCAAAGATCTTGAACACATTGCATCTCATCTCATCACACTTTCTATCTCTTCCATATTCCTGCAATCTGACCATCACGTTCGTTCGCGGACTACTTGCGGGCTGCAGCGAGCAGCCATGATACGAAAGATGCAACCTTCGTTTTCATCGGGGGCTGCCAAGAACAAGTCAAAGAGAAAGGTGACCGAGACAGTGGATCTTACAGGTGATGACGAGCTTCCAACAACACATCGAGCAAAAGTTCCCAGGCCGAATTCTTCCTCCTTGTCCTCTCAGCAAGGCCGGTCACATCTGCCAACACCCCCATCGTCCAGTCAGCCTAGCTATTCAGCCTCCGGTCCCAGCCAAACTTATAGCACCTATACCCCTTCGTCTGGCGTGCAAACACACCCCAAGGAGGAGCGTGATAGCTGGTTGTCTACCCAGGAGCAAGAGGCTGAGATCGCCCGGGAACTTAACCTCACCGAGGATTTTGATGACGACGTCTACGAGAATTACCAGCTCTACGGCATTCTCAATACCAAGATCGTCGGCTGCCGATTCTATGACGGGCAGGCAACTGTGGGTGAATATGTCAAAGTTCGACGTGAGCCTAGCAACCCATACGACAGCAACGCCATCCGAATCGACAACGTCCTCCGTGACCAGATCGGCCACATCGGCAGGCAAGTAGCGGCTAAATTGGCCCCGTTGATGGACTCAGGCGAACTGCTGATTGAAGGCTGTTTGACTGGACAAAAGTCCTTCTATGAGTGTCCAATTGGGCTCAAGTTGTTTGGTACCAATGATCCTGTTGCTGCTTCGGCTCTGGCTCGTAGGATGCAGGAACTGAGGCTGCCTCTAAATGAGTATGGCAAGTCCAAAAGACGCCTGCAAGAGTTGGAGAAGGAAAGAAAAGCCCGAGAGAAAGCAGCTGCAGCTATGGTCAAAAAGGGTAATGCTGTCTTCGACCACGAGGGTCCAAACCGGTATAGCAACTTCAATGCTGTGGGCTTAAATCCTAGCCAGCCTCAAGAAAGCATGGCTCAGCTTCTAAGCGGAACGACAACCTTCAATCCTCGTGATGTGCAGGATGTCGTCAACAAGATCGGTGCAGGCGAAGACGTTCTTGAAAAACTGCCTATGGCGGAGCAACCCAAAGAGCTCGCCACCAATTTGCTGCCGTATCAGCGACAAGGTCTGAAATGGTTGTTGGACCATGAGTCGCCCGATTTGCCGAAGGGTCGTGATGATGTTGTCCAGATGTGGAAGAAGAATGGCAAGGTGTACAGCAACATTGTGACTAACTTCTCCTTCACCAAAGCTCCGGACCTTGCCAGTGGCGGTATTCTAGCGGATGATATGGGCCTTGGTAAGTTGCTAAATCGACGGCGTCGGCGTTTGCGTAGTACACATGAGCAATTCTGACTTGAGATTGCGCAGGCAAAACCATCCAGATAATTTCTCTTGTCATGGCCGATCCACACAAAAATGGTCAGCCGACCCTGATCATTGCACCTCTCTCTGTCATGAGCAATTGGAGCTATCAGGCATCTCTCCACGTCAAAAAGAAGTACTTGCCGAGGGTATTGACATATCACGGCCGCGAAAATAAAGATCTGTCCCCAGCCGAGTTACAGAACTACGACGTTGTGATCACGACATACCAAACCATGACGCAGGAACTCTTCCCTTCTGGCGCTTCGAAGCCTGAGAAGACACCGGCTGCCAAGGGTTTGTTCTCGGTGACCTGGCGTCGTATCGTGCTGGATGAAGGTCACCAGATCCGCAATCCCAAGGCCAAAATGTCACTCGCGGCGTGCACTTTGGAGGCCAAATCTCGCTGGGTATTGACGGGTACGCCTATTGTGAACAGTCTGAAAGACCTATTCTCCCATGTCAAGTTCCTGCGCTTGTCAGGCGGGTTGTCAGAGTTCGAAATATTCAATTCTACCCTGATTCGACCTCTTAAGAATGGCGAGAATGGGGCTCGACTGCTCTTGCAAGCTCTCATGTCGACATTGTGCCTGCGTCGCATGAAAGACATGAAGTTCATTGATATCAAACTTCCGGAGATCACCTTCCACAAGTACTCTGTCAATTTCCTTCCACACGAACGCGAAAGGTACGATGCTTTCAGGAGTGAAGCCCTAGGCTATTTGGAAGCCGCCAAGGCGAAAAAGGGAGAAAACAGTATGACGCATCTGCTTGAAGTCATCCTCAGATTGCGCCAGACTTGCAATCACTGGAAGATGTGTGGTGACGAACGGGTCAAGAAGCTACTGGAGCTCGTTGAGGGAAACAGTACAGTGGACGTGATGAAGCCGGCCAATCGCAAAGCTCTGCAAGACTTGTTGCAGCTTCGAATCGACTCTCAGGAAGACTGCTGTGTCTGTTTGGACACGCTCAAGAACCCGGTGATCACCGCTTGCGCTCATGCCTTCTGTCGCGACTGTATTGAGAGAGTTGTTGACACGCAGCGCAAGTGCCCAATGTGTCGTTCTCAGCTCGACGACAAAGAGAAACTGGTTGAGCCAGCAGCAGGCTTCGGTGAAGGTGATGAGCCTGATCTTGACATCGATCCGGAAGCCACTAGCAGCAAGATTGAGGCACTGGTCAAGCTTCTCAAAGCCGCGGAAGCCGACTCGGCCGTCAAGACGGTGGTATTTTCGCAGTGGACATCCTTCTTAGATCTTGTCCAATGTCAGCTGCAGCGACATGGCATGAATTTTACACGACTGGACGGCAAGATGAACTCCGCTCGCCGAGACGCGGCAATCGATGCTCTTAATACAGATGAGTCGTGCAAGATCATGCTAGCCTCCCTTTCTGTTTGCTCTGTTGGCCTGAACCTCGTGGCTGCCAACCAGGTAGTCCTGGCAGATTCTTGGTGGGCACCTGCAATCGAAGACCAGGCGGTTGATCGGGTTTACCGCCTCGGCCAGACCAGGGACTGCAAAGTTGTGCGCCTCATCGTTGAGGATACTGTCGAAAATGAGGTGCTTGAGATTCAAGCTAAGAAGAGAAAGCTCGCCAGTGACGCATTTGGTGAGAAAGATCCGGGAAAGAAGAGGCAGGAGCGTGCGGGAACCTTGAGGGATATCGAGAGGCTGTTGGCTTAGAGGGGAGTTTTTCGCCGGATCACCTGTTGAAGATACCCTGTTCGTATATTGATTGTTTCCATGAAGGAGTTCGGATTTCTGCTACAATGTCGGAGTTCGGCTGGTCAGGTACACGATGTGATGGGCAAACCACTACAAATCAGACAAGAAATGGGAAGAACTCGGATGCGTCAGAGCTATATCCTGGTAGTTCATAGGCTGGGCAGGTGTTGGAATCGTAATCGAAAACATATGTAAAACAATCTCTGCACTCCTTACAACGTCGGAGCTTCTTCGCTAGGTAAGGTACTCCAAGTAGATGGAATGAGCAAAGCAATGCCACCCGCAGCATCTGGCGGCACTTGCCGGACATAACCACCATTTGGAAAGGCACGGTGCGACGGGGCTGGTGTGTTAGCAGACAAAGCATTCATGTTGGCAGGTGTCAAGGACCATTCCGCTACAACATGCGCACTCGGGAGCGTTTAGTTTCGCCTAGCCCGTGTGCCCGTGGTCAGAGCATTTGGGTAAGATCTCTTGGATCCTCGGCAGGTTCCGGGTTGGGTCAAGAGAGCGGCTTGCGAGCAAAACTGCAAGATGGCAAGGCTATCAGAACAACGGTAAAAAAAAATGGTGTGATATCTGAGACTAGGCGTGCACAGTAATCTGGTCATCGATGCTCTGGCAACCGAAACGGGCGAAAAAAGCTAGACTTTCGATCATACCGCCCCGCCTGTACTCCATAAGCGCCGGATGATGGCTGGGACGATGCGACAAGACGCCATGCAAGCCAGGATATGGCTGTTGTGGGCAGTCTGAGGTCGCGTAACAGGCGGGCGTGATGGAGCTTCTGTGGAGATTGCCCGTGCTTTATCGCTGAGGTTTTCCAGCGCTATGAGGCCGTAGCTCATCCGGTGCCTTGGGTGGTTCGAGGGATCATCAACAATCCATGGCACATGTTTCTCGCCTTGCCATCCATCTTTGATCCTTCCGACCTGTCCTCGGGTGGTGCATAGTAGTTGGGAAATGCGTGGCGACAGAAGTTGAGGCCGGAGTGCATGAGGGTGTAGATCTCTGGATTCTGGGGAGCAGATGACCTTGGATCGTGTGGGAGAGTACGTCACACAGCATACAGCAAGATCTAGACGGCTGGTTGACAGGACAAGAGGACAAGGAGGTTGTGGATGTGGACCAAAGAGAAGAGCCCCAGGGAAGCTCGAAGCTCGAAGCTCATGCAAAAAAGAGGTGCGGTGCGGGGAGGCTGCAGGTAAAAAGCGCCTAAAAGCAAGGTTCAAGCAATCAGCTTTCGTAGCTCACTGGGCCCCGTACCAGGTCAGTTAGGTTGCTCGTAAGTTACTGTTGCTGCCCATGATGTGCCCCATTCCTCACTCGTTTTCCCGCCCGCCGATATAGCGACTTTTTGTATTCTATATTTCCTTCTCACTCGTTCAACACGCCTAATCTTCCTATAACACGCTCCTGGGTCCTGGGGAGTCGTGTCTTCTTCTCCCTCCTTGCCTCCTCCCTCTCTCCCCTCCTCGCCGACATGGCACCTATAGGCAGAGCTGTCTTTGCGACGGTGAGCTCTCTATCTTCCTCGATGCTTCCCCGCATACATCACTGACGCAGACACACAGCTGCTCATGAACGATGCCTATCTCCCAGGTATGCCGGACAAGCCTCGCTCTTCTCTCGAGAAACTAACACATGTCTAGGTGCTATGGTCCTCGGCCATTCCCTCAAAGACAGAGGCGCAAAAGCTCCCTTGGTAGCTTTCGTCACCGTCGACCGACTGGGTGCAGACACCATTAACGAACTTCGAGTCCGCCTCTACTATCCACACTGCTTGCGTCCTTGCTAATTTCTCCAGACCGTTTATGATGAAATCATCCCTATCCAGCAGATCACGAACAAGAACCCTGCGAACCTCTACCTCATGAACAGACCCGACCTAATATCCACCTTCACCAAAATCGAGCTATGGAGACAAACACAGTACAAGAGGATAATATACATGGATGCCGACATGGTTGCACTCAGAGCTCCGAACGAGCTACTCACCCTCGACACCGACTTTGCTGCGGTACCAGATATTGGCTGGCCGGATTGCTTCAACACTGGCTTGATGGTTCTCACACCCAACATGGCAGACTATTACGCCTTGCTAGCTTTGGCACAACGGGGTATCAGCTTCGATGGAGCAGACCAGGGTTTACTCAACATGCACTTCCGCGAGTGGGAAAGACTGAGCTTCGTCTACAATTGCACACCCAGCGGGAATTACCAGTATGTACCTGCCTACCGACATTTTCAGAGTAGTATTGCCGTGGTCCACTTCATCGGTCAAGACAAGCCCTGGACGTTAGGGAGAGAAAACAGGTTCAGTACGGGCGTCTATGGCGAGCTGTTGGGCATGTGGTGGTCCGTCTATGATCGGCATTATCGGCCAAAGGTAGGTCTTTCTGGCACCCACGAGTCTAGCTTGTTCACACGCGAGCAGACAGTCACGCATTACGACCCTCGGACGTACGCCTCTGCAAAAAAGGTCCAAGACTACGTCCATGGTGAAGAACCTATTTATGCCCCGAGCTACTCCAGCCAGCCTATCATAGGCTCAACACAAGCACTTCAGGGCGCAGGGTCTCCTACTCAACAAGGGCAGATTCCATTACCTTCAGAAATCACCATCCCTGGCTCTGAATCTAGCCACCCTGTCGAGGTAGAAATGCCTCTTGGGGATGCTCCTCCTCCAGCAATGCGATCAGATTTCGCGCCCGTTTCAACGACAGAACAAAGACGGTTTAGTGCACCTCATGTTGAATGGGAACCCATGAGGTAAGCCAACATCTTGAGCACACTGCGGCATGCTAACCTATACAGAGCACCGCCACCTGCGGATTCGAAACCCGAAGCAGCCAATTTCCCGACCGTAACTTACGATATGTCGAGCGACACGCAACTCTTCCAACCCCCGACTCATTACCCCGAAGCCCCTCGAGATATGTGGTATCAAGTACCAGAAAAGGCCCCTGAACCTGTTAAGCCCAAACAGATCTTTCCCTGGGAAGCACGAGCTCCCAAACCAACTCGAGTATTTCCAAAGACGAAATCCCCGAGTCCTCCTCTTTTGCCAGTAGAAGAGCCGATGTCCGAGCTCCAACAAGAAGAGGTGACCACCCCCTCAGCAGCAACAGACGCCACCGACATTACCGAAGAGAGCGTACCTACCCCTACGCAACGAGAGCCCATCAACCCATGGGAAGCTTTCCAGCAGCGAACAAATGCATGGGACGATATGCCCGAAATCGAGCGATACGTGCGCGCATTCAGCCAAGCCCGAAAGGGAAAAATACAAGTCCTGCACCACACGCCTCCTCAGCGTTCTCCCGGTGGTACTGCCATTACCTCACCTTCCGCTGACTCCCAGCGACGACCGAGCTTGAGACTAACCGATTTCCCCACCGCAGTCGAACGACCGAGCTTACCCGTGACACCAGCGCCGATCCGACGAGCCACGATATGGGGTGAGGAGAGAGATGAAGAAACTCTGCCAGCAGCAGAAGGAGTGCCAAAGCAAGAAGAATGGGTGCGTCGATTCTCCTCCTACCCCACGCCTGAATTTGATGCTGCTTCGTCCGCGCCCCTTGTACATGATTTACCCCATGTTGTTTACTGGAGATGCCAATATTGTGGTAAACAGAACCCGGTCACAAAGCTCGAAGAACTCCAAAGACGGCAGAGCGAGTTATTGATGTCGCCCACCGGATCGAGACAATTGGGCGAGACTGATGATCTTCCCCGACGACAAATGCCAGAAAGTCAGAGTAAAGAGGCGGTAATAGAGAAGGCAGAGTTGTCGATATCGCCGAAAAAGACGCCAAAGGTGCCGAAGCCGATTTTGAAGGCACCGCATTTCGAGCTGGGGCAAGGAGTGGATGAGCCAGCAAAGAAGGAAGATCTTCCGAGCCCAACATCGAGACCTCCAATCTCCCAAGCAGCTTCGTTGTAGAGACTACGACGCTCGAGGATGAAAGGCGGCGCTGCATGAATAGAAGCACGGATCGACGTAATGGTAATGAACTCTGGTAAATTGTTGGTTGCGAAGTCTACTTGGAGGTTGGCTTGCAAGTTGAGATTGGTTTATGTGGCATTTGGCGTTGCTGGTGGATTGCGCAATGGAGCATTTCTGCCGGTTCAAGGTCCGAGGAAACATTGCATTTGCATTCCGTCGCCTTTTCTTCTGCTTGTATATCGAATTAGCATGGCGAGCCTGGAGTTTGTTCATGTTGTTTTTGGCTGCATTTGCTCAAGCTCTCTACTGACGTTCTCCGATCTTCTACCCAGAGTCTACGTACAGTGTCCACTCTGTTCTTGCACAATCACTCATCCTCCTCTTGCAGCTCACAGTCTCTGGTCTCGAGGTCGACCTCCGCGCTGAGTCGTTTCACGCAAGATCCGTTTCAAGGCCTTGCCAGCAGCGTTCCGCGGTATGACGTTAACGAAGTAGATTCCGCCTGTCAGTGCTTTGTACTTGGCCAGCCTCTCGCCGCAGAATAATATGAGCTCTTTCTTGCTCAACTCTGCGGTACCACCATCCCTCTTCACCACATATGCCCTCGGCAGTCCCACGGTCGCATCGTTGTCGTCTTTGATGCCGATGACCGCTGCATCCGCCACGGCCGGGTGCGTAAGCAGGACGCCTTCGATCTCGGCCGGCGAAACCTGGAACCCGCGCACCTTGATCAATTCCTTCTTTCGGTCTACGACATACCATTTCTTGCTCGCCGAGGAACGATACATGATATCTCCTGTTTTGAAATAGCCTTGGCTGTCGAAGGATTCCGCCGTGGCCCTGGCGTTTTGAAAATATTCGCTTATAACGGTAGGACCACGAATGCACATTTCACCAGGTTTTTCAGCGCCGGTCACATCCTTTCCATCATCGTCAACAACCCTGTATGGCAGATGAGTCAGTGCTTTGCGCGCTCAGGCAACGCTAGGAGACGATCGCTTACTTGACGTCTATGTTTGGCATCATATAGCCCACGCTACCCGTGTCATCCTGTTCCGGGTAGTAAAATTTCGATGCCACACACGTCGTTTCCGTCATGCCCCAGACCTGGTTCAGAGCTGCATCTGGCGCGAGTAATTGCTGCAGCGCAGATTGGTTTTGTCGATCGAGAGGCCCCGCTCCACTCATGGCGTTCTTCAGCGACTTGAGAGGAAACCTTTGGGCCAAAGAGGATTTGAGGATGGCGACTACGACGGGAGGAACGAATACAATGTCGGTGATCTGATACCGATGGATTGACCGGAGCAAAGCCTCAATTTCAAACCTTTTCAGCACGTACGTAACTTGACCAGCCCGTAACGGCGCGACAAGCGCAAAGGGTGTCATGGCTGCATGGAACAGTGGAAGATACGCCAAGAACGATGCCTGTTCCAGGAGGGAGAGTCCGTCAGCTTGTTAATCATCACGTGCGCCCGGGCAGTTCTCTCTGTAAACAGCAAAAATGAACGTGACGAACCTTGTAAGGAACGGGGTTGAAGTCGAAAACGAGCGTGTGCTGGGCAACGAGATTATAGTGAGAGATCGACGCGGCTTTGGGAAGTCCCGTTGTGCCACTGCTGAAGAGTCTTGCTGCGGTTGTGGTTCGGGAAACGGCTTCGTCGTCGAAACGATGCCAGTCTCTTTCACCATGGTCCAGCAGCCATGTCCAATCTCGAGATCTCGGGGCCATGTCTCGCTTGTCATCTCCTCCCCGGGGATCGAAGATGAAGACATTTGTTCTAGGGATCTTGCAATTCTGGCTGGCCTGCAAGATTGGGTCAAGATAGGTCGGATCTGTGAGAATGAATCGTCCTTGGGATGTGCCAAAGTGGTGGGTCAGTTCAGACGAAGTGTAGGCTGGGTTGGATCCCACGAAGACGGCACCCGCGGCAATGATACCAAGGAACAAGATGGGATAGTATATCTGCGGTGTCAAGTAAGTATGGCATGACTGTATTTGTACACCCTTCACCGAGGATCTTCTTACGTCGTTGAAGGCATGCACGCATACGCAGTCGCCATGACGGACCCCGACGGCGTGGAATCCTACTGCTAGTTTCCGAATCAGCAGTTTCGCTTGTGCTGCAGATATCGATCGTGTCGGATCAGCTGCGTCGACATAAATCTGCCCAGATTTTGTGAGTAATGGTTGCGCGCGCCAACGAGCCCAAAATCGAAAATCCCTCTTACTGGTTTGTTAGGATCGTATTTGGAATCATCAAACGTCCATGACAATAGATCTTTGTTGGGTATCGGGACCATTTTCTCTGCAAGTAATGGCATATCTTGAGAGTCTGGAGGAGCGAACGGAATACTCGGTGTGCGTGTTCACGCTGCAAAGGCCCTATTTGAACTTGTTGACCTGGATTTGAGACTGCAAAACAGCAGCTTCGAAGAGCAAAGACAGACATCTCCAGTCCAATTGCAGACCTGATCACCGGCCCCGTTCGCATTGCGGTGATAGTGCGCCCCTGGCCGATGATGCGGAAATGCGTGGGAAAGAGAACGCTGCCTCGGCTTGTCTTTTGCTGGTGGCTCGACTAAGTCCTTTACCAAGTCTTCATAGACGTCTGCGTGAGAATAGAGGGATGTTCGGTCCAAGTCCCCACGGTCCTTTCGTGCAGAAGAACCTGGTACGAGCCTCACTGGATCAATCGAACTCCGGGTCCACACTGCTCAAAATGTATACACCGTCCATCTGCAGGTGGACCGTGCTGTCGGTAATGTAGTGAATTTATATAGCCGGCATGACTTCCAGTACTGTACCTCGGCCGTGCCTTAGGTCCGGTTGATGATCTAATTGGAGGTATCCATTCTACATCCATGAACTTGATTCAGCAGGAGATGTGCTTGACCACCTGTGGATAGAATTAACCTCTACTCCGTAGAGCCAAATTATCCATTTCCACGAACGTCGAGCAGCACTGACCGATTCCTCAAAGCAGATGCCAAGTATTGCGGGGTGGTACAGTAGCTCCGTTGAAACCCTGGGGCCATGGTACCAAGTATCGATGGACGAAATCGAATGCGGGCGTTCTTCATGTTTCCAGCACTTCCAACCGATCATAGACTTCATCAAAGCAGAGCCTACAGCGCAAGTCAACCATGGCGGCAGCGGACAGTCCCAGCCTTGTGTTCCATCGTCCCGTCCTCAACCGAGCGGGCATAGCCTGTGCGAACTGCCGGTCTAAGAAGGTTAGATGCAATGTATCAGACGGAGGCACACCTTGTACTGGTTGCAGACGCCTTGGTTTGTTCTGCTCTATACAACAAAGCAGAAGGGGCAGGTGCGTAGACCACGGGCATGGAGACTGTTCGTCCAGCTCACACGAAAGCCCCAAACGCAGGAAACCCCGGCAGCCTTCAAGTCATGGACCAGGTCCTGCCCGGTATGTCTGGAAACCTCGCGCTCCTTGGACCCTCCACCAGACTATCCAGATAGGTCTGACGTATTATGCAGTTCGTCGCCAAACGAGAATCACCAACAACCTCGTCAGCATCACAGTCCAGAGATGAGAGGCGAAGGAAGCGCTGTCGGCCATGGACCCGAGAGTGAGTGGAACTACTAGTAATAGCATCAAACCGGTACCGTGATGTTGACGGTTGCGAAGAAGATCACCCTGACTATGCAGAGTCTACCACGAATATTCGTCGAGTCATTGACAGCGACAATCTACCCCAGGAGCTGACATATGCCCCATTGGTAGCAGGATTGAGTCGGCCGTCACCATCAAGTTCCCATGATCCTCCATCGTTATCGCAAGTCGAGGTCGACAGGGATCTTTCAGAGCTAGAGCCAGAGCCAGATCCATCTATCTGTATCCTCCCAGAGTATATCGACAATCTCCGTGGCAATGTCGGCTCACAAGATCAGCAATATCTCTGGCTAAAGGGTGCGCTCACCCTGCCCGACGATCACTTGAGGAGTCCTCTTGTGGACTGCTTCGTCGAATATGTGCACCCCACCATGCCGGTGGTGGATTTGAGAGAATTCCTTGGAGCATTGCACGATTGCGGCAACTCGTCTAGACCACGAATCAGTTGCTTGCTCTTTCAAGCGGTCATGTTTTCTGCCGTGTCTTATGCCGACTTGACCATCCTTCTCAACGCAGGCTTCGCATCTAGAAGGGCGGCTAGAAAATTGTTCCATGAACGAGCCAAGGTATGCCGCTTCAGGCTTCAGGTCAAGGACGGCCAGTACCAATAACATGAACGCAATCATAGTTGCTTTACGACCTCGACGTCGAACAACGTCCTTTGGTCCAAGTCCAAGCCCTTGCTCTCTTAAGTCACTGTACAAGACTTCCCGGTCAAATCAAGGAGGGATGGCATTGGCTGGGCATCGCAATATCAGTCGCCTTTTCTCTCGGCCTGCACCAAACTCGTTCTGGCAGTCCTGGCGATCAGCCAGTATCGCGACAAGCAAGGAGGATCTGGTGGACTCTATACGTGAGAGACCGGCAGCAGGCGCAGTACTTGAGTCGTCCGATGAGGATCAGAGATGACGAGTTCGACACACCTCCACTCACTCTGGAAGATTTCGATCTGGAGAATCTGGAAGAGCTTCATCTGCCGCATCTTCCATTCACATCACGAAAGACCCTTCGCCGATCGATCCAAACCAACCAAACCATGATCTTCATCAAAATGACGGAGCTATACTTCCACATCAATGGCGTCTTGACGACGCATTTCTCCATACTATCGTGGAAAAAGTCGGTCGCCGCGAGTGAACAGCTGTATTCCACTTCGCCCACGGCTTGGATGATGCGGCGAATGCGACCCGAGGCCGATATTGAAGGTCAACACTCGCGCTTGACGAGATGGTTTGCCGGACTTCCTCCAAACTGTCGATATAGAGCACCCAGTCCGGCGGAAATCGCACGTACGGGTGGTGGCTCGTTGCTTGGCCACCTGACACTATTACACATTGCGTTTCACAACACCATCTCAACTCTGCATCGGTTTCGCGCAATCCCGCCACATCAGGCAAGCACTTTCACCCTCCGAGAGTAGGGCATTGACTCGTGGCATCATGTCTGTCAGGCCTCGCAGGCCATTTCCAACATTTCACGAGACCTACATCTCAACAAACTTGATCAGTATCTGCCGACGACGCTAAGCACCATGCAATTTGCGCCTATCCTGACCCAAATTGCACGGCTTCCATACGAATCGTGGGAAAACCAAGAGGTTGCCCTGCAGAACATCTTCCACTGCGTCAAGGTTGTAGAGACCCAACGCAGCATGTACCCATCGGCAGATTGGTGCGCTGAGCTTGTTGCCAACATGCTCTCCAAAGGACGGATCAGTCTTCTCACAGACGCAGAGCAAGTCATATACGGCCTCAACTTTGGGGACATCGGCTACAACAGCAGAGAATCCGCCACAAACTTCACTATGCCACTTGCCCCGTCCGAAGTCCATATTGAACAAAATATGGACGGTGCAATACCGCCAGTGTCGCACGATGAACGTGCTAATGAGTCTGAGCAAGCTTCAACAATGCAAATCCATTCAAACTGGGATCCAAGCATGGTACAGGATGATCTGCCGGAATACGATACTCTCAGGAATGGAACTGGTCAACATGAACCATGGCATGACAGTGGAACACTCTCCGATGACTGGATGGAGATGTTGTTTAGTTTTGAGGACTCACGCAACACCTTTTTAGACATTGTCTGAACTCCCCCGACAAGATGACCGACGTTTAAAGTCAAGTCGCCTTCTCGAGAGTCCACCGCACTTATATATTAGCTAGGCATGACTATTACCCCCTGAGAAGAAGGACCGATTGGTATGCCTAGTTCCTCGTTCACTTGCATTCCCAATTGCCAGCTTGTGTCACATCACCCTGACCTTTGTATACCGCTCTGCCTGGATATACACAGATCGGCCTATTATAAACCAGGCCTTGGGCGTTTGGAGAGCTTTGACCTTCCAGCACGTCTGGTGCGACACCATGCTCAACCCAATTGACCAGCTTGTCGATGGTATCGATCGGCACAGGTCCCGCCCCGCCTGAACAATGCCCGACGCCAGGTACTTGATAATACCGGTAGTAGTGAGCAGCGTCCGGATCCAGTTCCAGGAGATTATCGTAATAGATGCGCGAGACGTTGGTGGGTATGTATTGGTCCGCGAGTCCGTGATAGGTGATCATTTTCCCGCCTGCCTGGGCAAAGGGTGCTAGGTTGAGACTATTCGTGGCCAGAAAGCCGTCGTACAGCTTGTTGTCCGGTCCGTTGAGGAAGGCCGACATGTCCTGTACGGTAAATTGATTCCAATCATAGGCCGGGTCTTTTTCCACAAAATAGGTCAACCATTGTGTCAAAGGAGAAAAGGGCACGCCCACGCAGTGCCCTGAATTGTCGCAGGTTGTGTTGACGAGGCCACTTAGATCCGCCTGATGGCCCAGGCCTAGCCAAAGTGTGGTCGAATTTTCGACTGTGACGCTCCAGGTCTCGTTGGCTGCAAATGCGGCGGCATAGGAGATTTCAGACTCGACGCCGCTGCAGTTGATACGGTGTCCCACCAATGAAAAGGGGTCAAAGGTGCAAAGCTCAGGGGCCGATATGATACCATCTGTAACGTTGTCTTTTGGATCGCATTCCTCAACAGCTGCCGCGGTCAAAGCCGTGAGCTCACACGGTGCAGGGATTGTACCGTAGTCCTTCAGACGGATGAGAGGGTAGAAGAGTTGAAGAATGGCCCTGTTGTAGTTGATCCCGGGCGCGGCTGCGATGATGCCGTCAAAATCCTGTGGAAAGTCCTGAGCATACATCAGCCCTTGACGACCCCCGGTCGAACAGCCCACGAAATAGGAGAAGGAGGCGTGTCGTCCGTAGAAGTCATTGGTAATGGCCTTGCCAATCACGATTGCTTCGTGCAATGCGGGTGTCGAGTAGTCCAGGAGCTTGTAAAGGTTGACATTGCCCGGACTGGCCAGACCCCAACTGCCCGGGTCATCGCTGTCATGGCCGCCGTCTGTGCCCACGGCAACGTAGTCGTCTTTGACGGCGCCGATCATGGCAAAGTTGGGAGCCATGAGCCCCGTGGCAAGGCCTCCGCCGCCCGTCATCTGGATGCGTTCGTTCCATCCTCGAAGCGGCAGCCAGACCTCCGTGTTGATGAGATCGCCCCAGCCAGGATGTGTTGTCGCCACGCTGACATTACAGAAAGACAGGTTGGTGACATTGGTCGCTGCTTGACCGACAATGCCACCTGGTGGAATGTCTACCGTCACATTGCTGCTGACGACGCTGGCCTGAATGGACACGGTCTGCAACCCAAAGATACTCGGTGAATGGAAGGTTTGCGGAACGCAGAGTGATGCCGCCGTCTGAAACATGACTCAGGACTGCTCTTTGCCGTTTTGGAGATTCAATATTAACAGACAGGAATGCAATTTTCATGACCTACCACTAGATATGTACTTCGGCCTGGCAGTATCGATGGACTGTGTCATGGGCCGGCAGCCTTGACGCTAGCCACCAGCTTGCCGGCAATTCTGGGTTGGAAGATGGACAGTAATCATGCTTCGAGCATCACAACTCCAGCTGTGCCCGCTGATGAGTCCGGGGTTTGTGGGGTCCAGCTGGACTTGCCATGGACTTAGACTTGAACCTCGGATGCCGAGAATCACCTTCACTTCATCTTTTGTCTGCCGGCTAACAAACAGTCTACGGAGTGCATATGTATAACCGGCATATGTTCCGGAGCCGGGCTCCACCAACGTCAACTCTGACCCTCCTCGCCATGAGTTAGACGACTTTGGCTGACTTGAAGGTCTTGTGCTGCCCAGCTTCACTACTCTTTCTACTGACCATCGTATCTTGCCCTGCAGGCTGGGCATGTATGAGTGGCCGAAGTATAGATTTATAATAGCCGGTCTTACGGCCTGGGACTCTCATACAGCGGACATAGGTAGATAGCCGGTGCTTGAAGCGAAACATCTCACCGAGGACAATATACTAAACAGCAGACCTGGATGGTCCATCAGCCGGCTCCGTCGATATAAGATCTCTCGCCAGCCTCGTCTGCAGCTTCTCCAGACTTCTCCAGACTTCTTCCACTTGTCGGGAGTTGCCATTTCCAACGTATTTGTTCATAAGCAGCAAAGATTGAGATCGTTTGCCTGTGACCTCCTTGGGCATAGAAAGCCATCAACAAGCCATCGAAATACAACATGGAAGTCAGTGAGCATCCAGAAGCACAACAACTTCACGATGAGAAGACCGGCAATCGGACCACAGCAGCCAACAGTGGCGAGGACGAAGGCAAATCTTCGACGATTCATGCGGAAGAACACGAGGCTATAAGAGGCGATGAGTCGGACGGGCGGGTCGAATGGAGCGCCCTACAGATCCTTGCCACACTATCTTTGTGTGCTCTATATGCTGGTGAGTGTGCCCTTGTTGGCTTCTTCTGTGGAGATAGCATATGAAGTGGTTGGGCATAGTTCTCGTCAGATAGCTCACAATGCCGCAAAATAGGCTCACAGTTGCCCCTGTTGTTTGGCTCGGGAAGCGTGTCTTTCATGGTCGAAGATATAGGTGGAAGCACCATCAGTACATGGGTCCCCGTCTCCTACTCTCTGGCCTTTGCTTCCATCAACCCGTTTGGTGGATACCTGCAAGATGTGTTTGGACGTCGGAACATCTCCATCACTGGCGGGCTTCTTTTGTGTATCGGACTCATCGTCGTTGCTACGAGCCACGGCATAGCCCAGGCGATTGTGGGCATGACCATCTGTGGTTGTGGTGCCGGCATTGGAGAGTTGACTGCCCTGGCTGGCATATCTGAAATCGTGCCCGTCAAACAAAGAGGATTTTATCTCGGAGCCGTGACTGCTTCCATCCTCCCTTTCGCTCCATACCCAATCTATACCACCGAGCTGGGCACCCATGCAACTTGGAGGTGGTGTTTCTGGATTCCTCTGTAAGTCTTTGTCATGATTTCCAAGCACTTTGCAAACGTTGTCAGTTCGACAGAAAGCTAACAGTTCAACCCAGAATCTGGAATGCGCTGGCAGTGGTTGGAATTGCCCTGACCTATTGGCCTCATTCGCAACTTCGCAAAGAACGAAAATCCGCTCGCGAGGTACTCCCTCTGATCGATTATGTGGGCGCTTTTCTTTCTACGGGAGGTCTCACCATGTTGTAAGTACTGATAATTGGCCCTGAGTTTGATGACTTTAGGCGCGACGTATGTGGCTGACTCGGAACAGTTTGGTTGCAGTCACAGCCGGTGGTTACACTGCTCCGTGGAAAAGCGCCAGGGTTTTGTGCCCCTTGGTCATCGGCATCCTCCTCATCGTCGTGTTTGTCTTGTGGGAATGGAAGTTCGCAAAGCTTCCAATGGTTCCCCGTGAGCTTTTTGCCGGCCAACGCGTCGTTGGCATGAGTTTCCTCATCTCATTCATCGCCGGCATCTACTTTTACGCCATTCTCAACTTCACGCCCATTCTATACCTCGACATATACAATCCCGGTCCCATCAAAGCGGGAGGTAAAGGCGTCATCATCATCCTGGGCGTCTTTGCAGGGGCCGTTTTCCCCAACATGCTCATATCGACGTTCAAGAGCCGTACCCGCGAGATTCTTCTCTTCTGTGCGATTTGTGCAACGGCATTTGGGACGGCGATTGTGACGGCGACTCCGGCCAACCCTGTTCAAACCATTGCTCTCTGCACACTGGCAGGATTTGGCGTTGGTTCTTTGGTGGCCTGTGCAGTCACGACATCTGTGATCGCAACTCCTGACAATCTGATCTCGACAACCGTCGCCCTGTGTCTTTCCATCCGTACTGTCGGTGGTTCCGTGGGAACAGCAATCAACTCCAACGTCTTCGGCACCAAGCTGGCGAAAAGACTGCCTCAAGATGTTGCGAAATACGCCGTCAAAGCTGGTCTACCGGCGTCGTCTGCCAATACATTTGTCGAGCTTTTCCTGACCGGCCCAAATAACATCACCCAGGCCAGGGTGCCGGGAGTCAATGCCGAGGTGCTCCTGGCGGCTGAACACGGTTCACGTTGGGCATATGCTTGGAGTCTCAAATATGTTTGGTACACGATGATGCCATTTGGCGTATTGAGCTGTTTGGCCTGTCTGGCTCTCGGAAATGTGGGCAAATTCATGACCAACAGAGTTGCCGCGAACATCGGTCGCGGTAAAACCAGTACTACTCACTAGAGTATAGTACAACATACCTAGGTAATGTTGATCCTGAGAACAGGGCATCTGTGATAGGGGCAACAGACTGGAAACATGCGTCGATAAGTATTGCAACCACGGCTTTCTGGTTTGAAGATCCTCCGAGTTCTCCATTTCAAGTTCAGTTACATGAAGAGGGCGAGAGGGAGGGGAAATTTGGAAGCTAATGACATACCACCATACCTAGGTACGGAGTAGTTAAAAGAAAGTCCTCCTGAATGAAGATTGTGATAGGCTGAGGCTGAGGCTGGATAAGTGACCACGTCTCCTTTTCTCTTGAGGATTGAGGATTGAGGATTGAGATTGGCTGATTTGTCATCCACATTGATCTTTGGAATCCTAGCCTAGCACGGAGATATGACAATTACAACGACCTGAACTGTGCCTCGTTGTCGCATGTATACGGAGTGGTTATTTCTATCTGCCCTACCACTCTTTGCGAGAGTTGCTGATTGTGTATATCGCTTCCGATGGGTCCCAGTTTTGGCCTGAGTCCAAGAACGCTTGTGCTTTGACGAGGCCACCTGCTGCTGAAGTCCCCGTGTTTATCTGGCCAACAGTTTTTAGTTCTTACAACTGGACTTCCGTACCGTTCCATATCTACGTTGTCGTCTGCTATTGATGCCAACGCGAACAAGACCGAGACCGAGCGCGAGAAAGAAGGAAAATATCCCAAAGACCATCAACCAAGTCAAGTCAAGCAAGTCTCCGCCGAACAGATAAAGAAAAATGGCCTATAAATTCGTAACCCTCACCCCTTCGCAAATCGACCAACGGCGCCACCAACTCGACCTGGCCGGCTGGCATGCCTGGCTCAGTCCGGTCATCTTACTCTTGTCCATCTACATCTACCGGCAGATCCTGTCGCCTTTCATCATCGGGCCCCTGGCGGATTACTCTCGTTATTCGACCACGACGTCGGGCGGCGGTAGTACTACATGTAGATATTTGGGGAACCTGCTCCACCGAGTATCATGGACACTCCAAAGCACGTACATTCGCGAATTCGGCCCGCTGTCCGTCCAGATGGTTGGAGCCATGTACTTGGCGTGGCTGCTGTATCTGGTCTTCCGCGACACGGGGGAGGATTACATGCATCTGACCAAGGCGTTCGGGCATGTCGCCGTCAGCCAGCTGCCCTGGCACTATTTGCTCAGTGTGAAGTCGGGATCCGGGGCAGCAGCGAGGAGTAGCTTTCCGGGAGGTTTGGTTGGTCTGGTTGGTGTGGCGACCGGGTTGAGTCACGAGAGGGTCAACGCGTATCATCGATTGCTGGGACGCATGGTGCATGGACTGCTGGGCGTGCATGCGGTCATGTACATTCGCTTCTTTGTGGGTATGGGGGTGATGGAGAAGAGGATCCGGGATCGCGATGTGAGGCTCGGGTTGGCTGCGTTTTGGACGGTGAATCTCTTGGGATTGTTGAGTTTGCCCGTCGTCAGGAGGAGGGTGTATTATAGGGGATTCTATCGGAGTCATGTCGTGCTGAGTGCCGTGCTGCCGGTGTTGGTGTACTGGCATGTCCCGTACAAGAGTGTAAGGTGGTTTGCCGTGCAGGTGGGCGTGATCTGGCTGGTTGCCGGGTTGATGAGATGGAAGGCAAGTGAGACGGCCATTGTCAGGTGTGAGGAGGTGGAGGGGACGGACGGGCAGTTGGTGAGGGTGAAGCTGGGCGTGAGTAAGGAGAGCGCGCTGGCGAGAGGGAAGCCGGGCCAGCATGTTTATGTTCACCGGGGTAGTGGGAGTGGGAGGGCGTTGGAAGTCAAGGCGAAGAATCCTTTTACAATTGTGCGTGTAAGGGACGCAGCAGGGGATGGGAAAGAGGGCATGGAAGTGCTTCTTGTGGTTAGAAATCTCGGGGGTCCAGGGACGGATTGGACCGCGGAGATGGCGAGAACGGAAGAGACTGCGGAGGTGAGGGTTGAAGGGCCGTACGGTGAAGCTGGTGAGTATATGGAGGATATGTTGAGTGCGTCCGCGCGTGAGGCAGTATTGCTTGTTGCTGGTGGCGTGGGTGCGACGTATACAATTCCGATCTACATGGCGCTCTTTGACTCTGGGCGGCAGAGTGACGGAAAACGGAAGAAGCTCAAGATGATATGGCTGGTGAGAACGCTGGCTGATGCGGCGTGGGGAATTGAGATTCTGCAAAGTCGAAACGGTGATGTGGAGGTTGATGTCGCTGTGTTCATTACAGGCCTCGATGGCATGGTACAGGGTGACAGAGAGAAGCTTTCGGCGGCCGCCATACCTGGGTTGAAGATTCATGCGCTTGGAAGGAGGCCAGACATCAACCCCGTGATTGACAGCTTCTTTGAGACCAGTGCAGCATCAGCTGTGAATGAGTTGCGAAGTGAGAGGCCGACCGGCGCGGCCGACGAGGTCGCAGTCTTCGTCTGCGGGCCACCATCGCTGTCAAATGATGTGAGAAAGGTGGTAGGGAGGCATGTAATCGAGAAAGGCAGAAGAGTGAGGTGGATGGAGGAGGTCTTTGGTTTTGGCGGGAGTTAAGTTGGGCAATATTGAACGGGCCAAATGCAGAAGATCCAAGTTGTTCACCAAGTCCCAGATTCGTTTGAGGAAGTTTCTTCCCTTTGACCAGGCGTTGTCAAGACCAGAAGCTGTTTGATTGCTCATCCCATCCCACTGGACGTCGTGACAGACCGGTATCTACAATGAGTATAGCAGTTATCGCAGCGGGAGTAGCCCTCATCTGCCCTCGTTCGTCCATGACTGGCAAGAAAAGGCCCGTCATCATGGTGAAAGGGAGCGTGAGGTAAACACAATGTCTGGGTCCAGGTTGATAGCCTCGTTGACAAGACGAAAAGGTCGGTGATGAGATGAGTCGTGCTGCAACCGCCGTAAAACAATAGGGTGAGCAAACGAGCGGCTCCTTGAGAGGTATATAAAAGCCCTTGTTCTCCAGGGTTCGACTTTGGACCTTCTATTCATCTACGTCTAGCAGTCCCGAGCCGAATTCATCAATCGCTCAACGAACATGTAATGAATGCCTGACCCTTACCATCAAAACTTACTAATCTCTTTTTTCTGAGTCAAGAGTAGACAAATACAACATCCGATCCATTAAGACGTCTTCGTATACATATCGACAGCGCGATGGCCTTCTCAACCTTGACTCTGGTTCTGGCTGTCTGCATGCTTACTTGTTCGGCGCAGGTATCGGCCGGTCTAGTGCAACATTCAGACACGCCAGTGACACCACGCCCGGTTACTACAGAGTACCTGGACGAATACGGCACTAAGACTGTCGGGCCCATCAAGGGACCAGACATACCAAGCAGTCCGATACCCAGAAGCACCCAGTACCTCGACGACCTTTCGGCCAACACGGTACTCGAGATCATCAAGGAGCCAGACAGACCTGCCACTCTAACCAGAACCACGAAGTGGCTTAACGCGATCTCGACCAAAGGGGTACCTGAGATCATGGTCACCACCGGGATGGCGACCAGGGTTAAGGAGGTCGTCCCTCGCCCGGCGGGACCCGGGCAGACGAAGATTCCACCCAAATTGTCAAACGGCGTATCAGATCGTGTCATGACCCTGTTCCTCGTTGCCGTGGGATTCTTCTTCGTGTCGTTGATCTGGCACCTGTACATACGCGTCGGCTGGGACAGAGACGGCGTGAAACAGCTCGACAAGAGAGCCGTGGGAGCGATGGAATTGGGCCGGCTAGCTAGCACCAGCCAAGGAGACGTCGAGAGCAGGGGCAAAGGAAAGGCGAGAGGTGCAGGTCTGTGGCTCAACGAGGCCAACAAGGTGTCGTAGATAGCTCAATAACCGCATATTGTGATTGGAGCAAAAGGGGATGTCGAAGTCTGCCGTGGCAGCCTTCTACCGGTGAGTGGAAATGTCGGACAGGGTTGGCAGATGCCGGAGCAACCGTGCCGGAAATATGTCGAGTGAACATGCGTCGAAGTTGCTGGCTTGATAGAAGTGCTGGATGAGCTCTTGCCTTGAGCTGGCTAGACTGGTAGCTGGAACCCAGATGTTGTAGAGCCAACAATGGTCCAAATGCTAAGGGAAGGCTCCCGCAATTCGAAACCATACTGTTCTTCATCCAATGCTTAGTGGAGTGGCACCCAGGGACTAAGTGCAATATCAACCATGTCAAGACAGCGCAAGCGTACCTCCATACTCTTACATGCAACATGCATCTCTCTTTGGAACGTAGGGCCACGTCAATAGCGATGGCATCACATGACCACTCTTCACTCCTGCCTCACCTTTGCTGTTATATATTATAATCACCAAATTTCTCCCAACAATCTGGACATAGTCATCTTCTTGGCCACTAATGGTGTATGTGGTTTCATAGTTGGTGGTTGCTGTGCACGAAGGGTTGTTGTAGTTCTGTAGAACACCATAACAAACAAAAACCAACACCTCGAAAGAGGCGCAGAGTTTAACTTCCCACCTGTTAACCGTAACCCAGACGAGCCTGTTAAAAGACAGATGTTCGATCCCTGGTAGGGTGGAATAAGTTTTTGCACTTTTGCGGTCTGTTTGCGAATGTGGGAGAGCCGTAGATATAGCCAAGAGCCTCATGTCGAGTGAAGGGTGTCAGTAAAGGTTGGTGAGGCAGATCGAGTCTCGGTTGCCCACAGGGAGCGCTCCTCTCGCGATATTGCGTTACTCCGCTTGCTCAAGTTTCCAAGTTGTCACAGCGTCCACCTGTGTTGCAAACAGGCTGTGCGCGCCAGTTGATAGATGATCCAACGGCCTATCGTTTGCTTGGATACTAACTTATTCGTGTCAGTCATTCCATTTGAGCACTCACTCCGTACTCGGGAATTAATGGGTGCTTGAGTGACTGTACGAGCGACGACCACGGTGGAGGATAACAGATGGTGAGGGTGACACGTTCTCCCCTTGTGGTGACTCTTCGGAACGGTATATATTCACCTGTTGATGGAATGGAGTCAGCATAGGCAAATGGGCGACTAGCCTCGCACCGATCTGTGCTGCTGATACGACCCAGACACCAAGTCCACTGCTCGTCAGAAAAGCCATCTCAGCAGGGTTATTCGAATGGTTGGCTGTGGGAGGTCAACCATGATGTCAACGTGACATGCGGATTCCCACTGGTTGCATGTGTTGTGGTGTGGATAACCTGTGTTGCCGCGCCCAGATACCTCAGTCGGAGACAATGGGCTGCAAAAGAAGCTGCCCAGGGACCTGAGCGATGGCGCCAACATGGATCACCATAACGGACGGTGCCGTTGAAGGAGGGAAGAGTCGGATGTCCCTGCCTTCAGCTGTGAAGGGTATTCTTGCCAGAAGCGAGTGACAAGGGGGAAATTGGATCCGTTGGCTGCCTGAGTGGTCTGCTGTAACAAGTGACTGCATACAGGGATTGAAGTCGAAGGCCAGAGGTATAAGTATTTCGAACCCACCGCTCCTTGCTCGACGCCTGTAACAATCAATAGCCTTACATTTGCCAAAAACCCTCCTGAAGGGGTTAGCCACGCGTCACCAATACAGCTCAAAGCCGGACAGCCCGTTCACTGTTAGTACAACTGGAAGCAAACATTTCGGATCCAACAACATGGTTAACGCCGCAGTATGGGGAGCTCCGTTGTTGGCATTCATGATCATCTTCGCAGCCTGCTTCTCCATCTACATGTATAGAAGGGATCCCAGACGGTTTCACCACAACATGGACAGGTGCATAGCTTGTGTGTTCCGTCGAAAGGCAAGCGACACCAGACATAACGATGAGATTCCCGGAGGGGCCGGCGATACGTACGGACTGCCTCGGAGGGAGGATGGATTCTACCGTGGCCATTGATATGGTTGCAGCTGTTGATGGAGGTTGAACTGGTTGGTCCTAGCAAGTGGAAACCGCATGGCCATGCTGTGAAAGATCGGCAGATGTGGTCCAGACCACGGCTTAGTGAGCAGCATTGAGAGACGATTTATCTGGTACAGATGTTGGTCCGTATCTGAAGAGTCAGCTATAACTTGAAGCTTTATGCATTATTCCGAATCCATCAAAATGTTTTTGCTCTGGCGAATAGTGTCCACAGAACGCACTCGCATTGTCACAACGTGGAGGGCCGAGACGAGCAGGCTAGATGACCCTGCAGCATCTGCCCGAAATCTCCAACTCTCTGCATTCTCCTGGTCTGGATGACAGGTCGATCTTGGTTCCAATACCGTTAAAGTGATCGTCCTTATTCTCCAGCTGCAACCACAATCTGTTCGATGGCCGATGCTTTGCCTCACGAATCTCCGGTCTTACTGGGATCAGGACGCTGAGTGTGTAGGAATTTCACTTCGGACGCAAAGAGGCTGACAAGGCAGAGCTTTTGTCTTCTTGCCTAATGTTGGATTGTGTACTTGACCCTCAGCGCAACATCTGTACCAGATAAACCGTCTCTCAAGCTTGCTTCGTCGCGCGTCAGCTGAGTTGAAAATCTGAGAACGAACTATCTGTCTCTCTCTCCAGTCCGGTAAGAGCTTGGGCGCCAACAACGCTGATCTTTTGAGTATCCGTCCCTTGAATTGGCCGAAGAGGGATCTGATCAGTTTTGAGGAGTATGTAACCCTGTTGATATGTCGTCTGATAAGAGGGGCAGCGCTCTGCGATTATCCTGCGAGAAACACCTGAGGAATTGCCGCTTCGCAGTGGCCTTGATGATGCTGCCGTCCTTGGGGACGAGAGGGATAAACCGTAGTACGGTTGAAGGAAGAACTTGAAACTTGGACCATGGAAACAAAGCCACGCTCCACTCCCGAGACTTGACCTATTGGCCGGTTAGCGGATTTCTTGTCCATCGCTGCTCAATCGAGACGCCATCGTGATGCTCCTCCAGCATGGTTCTGATATGCACACAACGGCTTGTCCACTCAATCCTGGACCTAGAGTCATTGTTTGTGCTCCCTGGGAATTGCGCACGAGCGACAAAAGAGCAGATCTCTACCACAGTAGACGATCTTCCCCTCAGCATCTTCCGTCCCTCCCAATTGCTTGGCTGCAGGCACACGTTGCTCTCTAAATGATGCAGTGAATGCTGCTCCTGCTCACCGATCACGAGTTGTGCCTTCTCTTTTTTGACTTTGCCCGTCCTCGTGGTGTTCACATGTAGCTTACAGGCTGAAGCCATTGAACCAGACAGTGTCTCTCCCTCACTTCAATCGCCCTCCACAACCCAGATCTCAGCTGCTACAGCGAAGAACAAACGATTCCTCTGCATACCTCGTCCCAGATGACCTGACCTGCTCGTGGCCTACCGCTGTCATGGCTTCCAGCTTCGTTCGGCAACTCGTAGGAAAGGTATCGTTTTATTCGTTCGGCCTGTTCAACTACTTTCTCTTCTTGGGCTTGTTCATTAAGAACGGAACGTTTTTCAAGAAAGATACGGAGCAAGACAAGTTACAATATGACATCGGTATAGCGAAAAGCCATCGAGACATGAATATGCGTTTGCTAACGGTAATTTACAGAACGAGATCGCTTCTGGAACCTGGCCAAAGAACCCCTATCTGGCTTCAAACACTACTTCTATTCCCTTCGCAACGGCTTCAAGCTGCACTATATCAGCAATCGAGCAGGACCAGAGTCGTGTAGCCTCGTGATCTTCCTGCATGGCTTCCCGGATAGCTCCATGATCTGGCGACACCTGATGCAAGAGTCGGCGATACCAAAGAATGATGCCACATTGGTCTGCGTTGACTTGCCTGGGTATGGAGGAAGCGATAGTCTCAAGGTTTACGATACCGAAGTGCTGGAGGCTCTGACAGAATTCATCGTCGCCATGCGGGACAAATACATACCCGCAGAAGAAACAGACTCGACCAGCACCTTCCTTGTGGGACATGACTGGGGCTGTGTGCTTGGATTCCGTCTCGCTGCAGACGCTCCGTGTCTGGCGGATCGTTTCATCCTGACCAATGCTCCTCACGTGAGTTCCATATCGATCAGGCCAGGCCGAGAGTTCGCTGACTCGCTCATTTCAGGTCGACCTTGCAATTGCCAACAAAGATCGCATCATCAATTCAGCGTCCAAGATCTTCAAGCAATTCAAACAGTCCCCCAAGCAGAACTTTGGCTGTCTGGCCAAATCGTTCAACACGTTGAAGCCGCTATTGTTGCAGACTATGATGATGGGCTACATCTTCATGTTCAATCTACCCTCCTTCTTCGTCAGATCCATGGGCTGTGCCGGAAATTTCTCATTTCTACGCGGAGCCAATTGGTCAGGCTACGACAAGCACTCGAATGAATACCGCGTCCAAGAAGGTATGGCGTCCACCTTTGGTCCTGGTCCGCAAGAGTGCAAAAGTACACTTGACGATGGAACCACCTACGGCCCGTCTGTGTTGCGGAGAGCTAAGTCTCCTGGAGAAGCTTTCTGGAACATGACCGGATACTATCGTGATGGAATAGCATCCCGACCTTGGACGAAATCTCTCGAGACACTCGCAGACTTGTATGCACTTGAGACCTCTGCTTCCGAGTCCAATTCTCCCAGCAGTCGACGTCGATCATCCATTTCAAACCACACACTGTTCTCTGACCATCTGAAAGGAAAATTGAATGCACCGGCTTACGTGCTCTGGGGAGAGAAAGACCAGGCTTGCGGAAAGCTGATTTGCTTGGATGGTCTGTGTGATTATCTTGCTAAAGATAGTGAGGTGACGATCCTGCCGCGAAGCGGGCACTGGACCCCAGTGGGTAAAGAGGCTCGCACAGCACTTGCTACCGCTATCGGCTTGTTTGCTGGGAAGGATGCCAGACCCGTGCCAAAGATGACTGCTGAGGTGCAGAAAGTCTATCCAGATGCTCTTCTCATGGTGAAGAAGTGAGTAACTCATGACTAACGATGATATTTTTCCTGCAAGCAAGAGTCGACTGATCTGCTTGGAGACGTGTACAACATGCAATAGCTTGAAGAGGTGTCATGATACATGCATCGAAGATGAGCTCGTGGATGTGATTCGACTGAATTAAGGTATTATGCAGAGACTGATAGCAAGGAAGCTGGACTTCCATTTCTACGAACGTAGCAATCAACTATCTGCCAATGCTTGAAACCTGCACAAATAGCTCCCACACAACACAAAATCTTTGACATGTCAACAAATCTCCCTCTGATGTGCTTTCATCTCTTGTATCTCTGGATCAAGATCCAGGCCGACCAGATGGCAAGTTGCAGACCCAAGACCATGAAGACGATGCTGGTGACTGTCAGGGGAAATTCGACGCCTTCATAGCAGGACGGGTCTGATGATGATGTTGCATTTGCGGATTCCACAGGCTGCGATGAAGAATCTTCTCCGTCTGCCAGTGTCACGGCCGTGAAGCTTGTTGTCAGAATGGAGATGAACGAGATGAACGTGTAGAGCCGAAGGCATGAGACGAGCGAGTGTGTTCGATCTAGCATGCTGTGTGGCGGGGGTGGTGCTGAGCTGCGCCGACTTGTTATAAGAGCTTCTTTGTTTCCTTCGATGTGAGTTGGTTTGACCGCGGACTTCCTCGACGAGAGGCTGGATTTCATTGGAGCTCCTGTGCTCTTCGAGGAGTGTTTATCGTTTTGTATCCACGCCCGAATACCTGAGTGTTTCGGATCACGAGCGGGAACTTTAGAACTTCGGGTTGCTCTCTGTGATTTTCTCGAAGTTGAGCCAATGTCAGAGTCACCTGCAATCCATAGACTCTTCATTTTGATGACCAACATATATCAGCCGAAGAATCCGAGGTGACGCCTGTAGCTATCGACGCTCGAGATTCACAGCCCGCACGCAATCCACAGAACAACAGTCAGATCGGCGCCGTCCACATGCGTCTTGTTTGACCTGAGGTCCGGTAGAGCCGCATATTGAATGATGCAGAGTGACAGGTGCGAGGTGGGGATATTGAAGAGAAGAAAAGAATGAGGGAATGAAGATCAAAGCGTGAAAAGGTTGAAGAGTGATCAATTGCACAGGGTCAGCCTCGCATTAGGCGAAAGTCCGCTGCTGTCCTCCTGGGTATCATGAAGCAGGATGACCAGAGCTGGCTGCCATGCTCTTCAAGCCCAGCCGTCTCGTCTGCCGATCAACACCTACATAGTGTACAACCCCACAACGCCGCCGCTTGGCTGTCCCTTATTCCTCATTAATCTCAGCTGCCATCCGTACGCCATATGTACAATTGTCCATTCATGTGCCTAGAACAAGAGTTCAAGACAGCAGCAGCAAGTCAGCGCGGCGAGTAAAGCGGCACAACAACCCTCTCCGGCGCCATCTGACCTCCGATCGACATATGTGACTGGTGGTGGTTGCTGGTAGTACATGCCTTGCTGAGGTGGCCCGTAGTACCCATATGGTCCTGACTGAGGCCCTTGCGGAGGCCATGGACCTTGATTCCAACCCTGTGGAGGACCGTAATAACCATTTGGATCTTGAGGAGGAGGATAATTTTGGTACGGCATCACCCCTCGCTCATTGTATGGACCGGCATCATGGTGGACAGGAGGAGGCGAGGCGACGCCTGGCGGCGGACCTTCCGGAGGTTTGTATTCTTGATTCGACATGTTGAGAGACGATGGAGGAGTAGAAATGGGAGGTCAGGAGTCTGCGAATGAAGCACAAATGAGCGATTTGAAGAGTTGTCGCAGGTGGCAGTCGCGGCCTCGGTCCAGGCTCTCGGATTTAGCGACTGCGGGGTCAATTGAGTGACAAGGCTGAAGGTTCTTCGCTGTTCAACGGACGAGGCTGAGCCAATGCAATGGGTCGGTTTGGCACTCACAGGAAATCAAAAGTCGCTGCACTTGATTTTGGCCGGTTTTCAGACGTTCAGATGCTCTTTTGGATGAGATGATCCTACTATCAATTTGTCTTTGGCGAATTGTGGTCGCCGTTTCGTGATTATCACATCCCGGAATCCGGAGGGTGATCTGAGTCAGCCACACAAGCACCAATAAGCACCCATAAGCAACTTTGGTTGCACACGGAAAAAGGCATTTCTCTCCCTTCAAAAGGTCAGGGTTCCGGAAAGAGCAGCTTTTTGGGGTGGCGTGCGACGAGCATACTGGGCACGCCCGTGATGGTGTTACAAGTACTTGTTTCTCCCACCTGTATTTTCGAGACCCTCGAGGTGCAAAGGCTGTTGTGATCGGTGGGGATGAGTCACCAGACCAGACGGTTCACGCCGTTTCATGTTGCGTTACTGACAGGTTGGCATGTGGCCTATGATTTGTCTGCACCTTGAGGCCATTTTGGGGGCGATGGTGAAATTTCTAATGGTAGCCTATCGCCCGGCGGTAGGGCAATCGTGATGGGTGGTGGCACTCGTGGGAGTAGCCCACACACGAAGAAACCCCCCATGCTGTTAGTCTGGGCGTCCTCGGCGTGTACACTCGTCGTCCACGACTGTAAAAAGCAAAGATGTGTGCAACAGAAGGTTGCAAGAATGATCAGGGATCAAAAGAATTGATAGCACGAGGTACTTTGATAGGTGAGTCCTCCCATCAAGCCATCTATTTCCTGTACTGCGGTACCCTGTCCTCGTACGCCTCGGGATATATGTTCCACGATGTTCCCACCCTGATATCACACCCGCCACGGGGCGACGGGCAAGTCTCAAGGCCCCACTCACTGCCGATGGCCAGTGCTGGCGCTTGAGGCTGGCGGGCATCAAGCGGTGTTCCGTCGTTCCATGAACTCGAACCTGCTCATCAGTCACCGACGCGACGCTCTGCGAATGGCCGGCCTGGGATAAGTGCGTGTGCTGTTATTTCTCCACATCCTGGTCCATGGGTATCAAGCTGGCACTGCTGGTCAGTGGTCACCAGCACGCAAAGGATCCATCATCCATGGCATCACCGATCAGTGGGGGAATCCATGATTCAGACTCAAACCACCTCGGCGGGATCCCACGTTCTTCCGTTCCGCAGACAGACAGCCTCCTCTACTAGCCTTATTTCTTATCAATCTCTCATCCTGCGCCCATCAGCTGTCGAAAGTGTCGGGCATCGTTGGAAGCTAACATTGCCTAAACTGCTTCCGATCCATGTCACCTCTACCTGCATATCCCCTTCCCCGATTGTCTTGCGTATTCTGATTCGACCTTGCTCATCAAATCGAGGTCCATTTGCCGTTGGACTCTCAGGCACATGTCTCCCTGACTCTGCGCTGCCGGCCATAGATACGTCCTCATTGAGCCGAGCACGTCTTCCCAAGATAACGACAGATTTTCCTCCTCCACCACAACAGTCCATTAGGACTGATACAAAAGTCACTTCTACCACCGTCTCTCTGCAGCGGTTCTGCAGTCTTCCTCCAGACTCCCTCTCCCGTTCTGGTCCCCTTTTCTGCCGATTGCCTACAATGAGCACCTACTTGTGGTACACGTTCAGCTGGAGTTCTTTGAGAAAGAGCTTTGCACCGTGGTAACACTTGGTCCCAACCAATTTGCGTACGTTCCACGTCCTCACCGCATCTTGGCGGGCCAGCGATAACACATGCTGACAAGTCTGGCAGCTGAAGATAACCTCGAATACACATTTTGCAGACAAAGGAAATCCTGTACCGGTTGACCTCACCCTCCCCTTGGGAGGGGGTGATATCCCTACCTTGTCGCTCCTCCCGGACAATTACATGTTCGCTGGGAGTATCTGATATTCCACGTGAAAGAGTTCCTTTGTCTATATTATACAACAAGAGTCACCCACGGCCTCGATGTTCGGATCGAACGCGTTGCCGCTTCCCCCACCTCTCGCCCGTGAGCATCGCCCTCTCCGCTTGACCTCTGAGTCTGTCCGCCCGCAGCCAACTGGCGGATGCCGATATATCTTGCTCCATCCATCGGCTCAGAATCAACCATGCTCCTGCCAATCCTTTCATCACAATCGAAACGCACCCGGAACTATCTGTGAATGCGGTCACCAAGCGTGCTTTCATATCCACGAAAAACAACCTTCAGAAACATATGCTATCCTTGAGAAATTTGGAGAAAAGGTCAAACGTTTGGAGGAAACTATACAGAATGAACGAACAAATAGGGAGAATGCTTTGACAAGAGAACGACAGATGTGGGAGAGAGAAGTCCGTATCTTGCGTGAGGCTTTAGCACCCTTCTATCAAAGTGAGAAGGAGATGCGCAGGAAAATTGCCGACGTTGAAGACAGAGTGGAGGGCAACTATGATGAACAAGTCCGTCTTCATGGCCGTGTTGTTGCCCTTGATGATGCCACCATGTCGATGGAGAAACGTGTGGAAGAGCTGGAGGGTCTCCGCGCAAAGAAGAGACGAGTGGGTCATACTCATCGCTCAGAAGACCAACACTTGCAGAGCGGCCATGCTTCACCCGACACAATTGCCGCCACACGAGTCTCATCGAGCAGTGATGAGAGATCTGCCCGTACTCCTTCTTCACGAGCCTTGTCACCTAACGGTGCTGCATTGAGTGCCACTGAAGCGGAAGAACCTCGCTCCAGTGGGATACTGAACCTCGTCGAAATGCCACGGTCAGCACCGTTCAATGTGCATGGGCGCCTGTCACCGCCCCATCATGAGCCAAGATCAAGCGGCTTCTTGACTCTTGATCATGCTGAGCAATTGAACCAAAAGGCAGGATTTGAGCAAGCACAAACAATCATTCAGCATCATGCTGCTGCTCGAATCACCCCACCCCAAGATCGCCCAAGTCCCCCCGGCGACGCACGCTCTAATCTGGATACTGCCAGGGCTTTTCCCACTCCTCCAGAAAATGTACCCAAGAAGGTGCCCTTCATCGACGTCATGGTATTGCCTGTCAATACATCGCCCCGCAAGAGAAAGTACCATCTCGACCATCTCGCCTTGGATGTGTTGGCGGATGTGAGCATGGCCAGTCCACTCATTCATTAAATGCTATGGTTGCCGAACCTCGACTCATTTCCTTCCTTCTACCATAATGATGTGATAGCCTGAGATTGTCAGAATGTCCCGTGCTGGAGCTACTGTGTCTTTCGGAATGGAGAATACTTGCCATGGCTAGTTTTCACTTCAGCAACTACCCATGCGATTGGTTAGCGATCATGGTTTACGGTCATTTTGAGCTTTGGACAGCAGATTAATTTGAAAGGGCGACGTGTTATCTCAAAGAACCAACTGTGTTGGACCACTCATTTCGAAAATGCCAGGCTTTCATTGTACAGAGGGGAGCTCCCACGCTGCACGTTCATTTGTAACATATGAATGAATGATAAGGAACTTACACTTTGGATTGGCTGTGGTACTCGGTTCAAGCTCGTAAGCGACCTTTTCAAAATCGCCATGTAGACTTCCTCTCACTTTCCAGCCTAAGGAGCCGCCTGGTATCGGATAAGAGATGCAAGTCAGTCTTTGGGGCGGAATCACCGGCTGCTGATAATACGATGAGATGGGTACCTTGTCGGGCTTTGTCCTCTGAGAATTCTCTCGCCACGTCATCGAACTTTGCTCCCGCACGTAGCTTGGCCAGCGCTTCTTCTTTCTTGGAGTGCTTCTCACACTGGGGAAGAAAGGCACGGATTAGATGTGACCACGACGAGCTGAGATTGCCTCAAAGAACACGGCGGTCCCTACCAAAATATGCCTCACGTTGATTGACTGTGCGGACTTCAGCTTACCGCTTGCACCAGCTGAAGCATCATCCTTTCCTTTGCTTTTCCCTCCTGCTGCGCTACCCTTGCCTGCGTCCTTGTTCTTGGGAGCCATATGAAGGTCGCTGCTTTCGGGACAGATTGAATTTGTTTTTTCGGTAAGGCCGACGCTGTGACTTCGCAAATGGTAGAGGAAGTAACAAGTTCATTTGCAGACTGGTCCGACACTAGCTCGAATATTTCTTGGCGGGGCAGTTCAGGGCGAAAGCGAAATGTGCAGCCGATCGTTGCGGGCATAGGTTCCTTGGGTTGGCGTAATATGGGAACGCAGGTCAGTCACTCAGAGGCCTTGGTGGATCGAGCGTTTTTCATCAGCCTTTTCCCATCATACCATGCTCACCATGAAACAAGCACAAATCAACCGCAACAGCAACAGCGTAGATAAAATGTAAAAACTTCGAGAACAGGGCACTTTGGCAGCATCTGAGCATCCTCACCACCCCAGATGGAATATATAGACAATAATCACGTGACTACGACATTTCAGTGTCCGTCCGTATGCGCGTTGCTCTGAGATGCGAGGAAGATCCAGCATTGCTGGGTGAATGCACCAGCTGTGACATCTCCTATCGCCACCAACGTCCTCCTTCATCCACCTTTTCACTTCACCCATTATCATCCTGTCGCGTTCCCCCCTCCTCACCATCGTCGCGCGAAATACACCATCATCGTCCTAATTAAATAATGTCGCAAACCCCTTGGACGATCCGAATCCGGTGACACGACTGCACCGTGTCAGGCTGATTCCAGTGGGATTTGAAAAGCCCAGCATTGAAAGACCAAAGATCCTAGCTTTCTCCTTATCCACCATCACCACCATTGTCCAAGTCGAGTACCTACGACCAGAGTTGACACCCTCCGACAATTAGGCAATGGAGATTTCGGACAAAATTGAAAGATAAAGAGTGTGCTTCAAGGTTCGGCCCAACAGAGCAAAAAGACCTGCGATCGAGAAGACTCGCAATAGCGGAACCACCAGCTACTTTCGCGACAATGTCTGGCTCAACACCATTCACGGCTCGTTCGCCAACGCAGTCAAACCAGTACCCACCATATTCACCAACTCACCCGAACCGCCCTTTCTTTGGTCATGAGCCTTTTCAAATACCTCCTCCACAACACCTCATGCGAACTCCTCCACCTTTCCAACCTGCCCCTTTGTCGCAAAGCCCTCTTCACAATCGTCCACCTGCATTAACATCACCATTGCCTGCGCCAAATGGTCTGCCGCCTCCGCCTGTCCCAGTAGGCAACGGGCCTCAGTACCCACAGCCACTGACATCGAGTCCCCCATTTTCTCTTCAAAGAACATACTCAGGACATTTTATACCTCCGCCTCCGAGCATGGGTTCACAATATGATGGCCCTCCGCACGCACACCCCCCAGGCTCGGCGATGCAATCGCCTATTAGGGAGCATCATAGTCTCAGTAACGGGCGACCCGCCGAGAACTATCATGCTGAGTCGCGTCCTCAGTCAAAAGATGTAAGTTTGCTCGACTCCACACCAGAGGAACATATTAACCAACTCTCACAGAAACCTGATCGAGCGAGTAATCCCATGTCATTTGCAAGCATACTGGGCCCTTCGAACAATGAGCCGGCTCCCAAACCTGTTGAGACCAGACTTCCACGGCCTCCAACACCGCCGCCAAAGCCAGTGACAGAAGCCGAAAATCTGCTTGAGGACTCATCGGTCATCAAACAACAAGAGGCTGACAACCCAAAGCAGTTAACAAATGGTGACATGCCGGAACAGACAAAGACAGACATGGTGCAGATAGTAACAAGATATGTTGCACCAGCCAAACCAAGGAAGATCTTAACTGAACTTGAGGCGGACAAGATTCTGAAAGCTCTCAACCAGATGGAGGAAGGTCCACAGAGCGACGTGGAAGGTGAAGGTGCTGGTTTCTATGAACAAAAAGAGCGCTACAAGCAGAGAAGCAGGAAAAGAGCGGCAGAAATAAGCGAGACAGAACTGCGGAAACGCAAGGTAAGTGAAGCACACTGTCGTGCGATGTTTATGTGTCACTAACCCGCCCATCTTTGCAGCGGCGGCGAGAATATACCCTCGACTCTTTCATCAGACCATTCGAGTCTCACGCTACCGCGGCCGCTCAACGCTTCCGTGCTCAGGTCGAACCCATCGCTGCCAAAGAGATAGCCGATAAAGACATCGCGAGCGAGAAGGAACGTAAAAAGGATATGCAACGAAAGCGACGTCGTGAACAACAAATCCGCAACGAAAGAGAAAAGCTCGAAGAACTCGAGGAGCGCGCCAGAAACGCAGAAGACCAAGAGGAGGCGCAGAAATATCTGAAACAGGCCGAAAAGTCCCAAGCTCGGATCAGACAAACCGCTGAACTGCTTGAAGGCGTTCCTCCGCAGGAAGATCTCGAAGTCACAGCACCAGCTCCTAATTACGAAGGTGGCATTACATCCTCGTTCCAGCTGGCTTCGCCCGAGCCTGGTGAGCCGCCCAAGAAGCGAACCAAGAAAGAACCCGGGGCACCTTCTGCACGCCTGAAGAAGTCCAAAGAGAAGAAACAGGCAGAAAAGGACGCTGCAGAGGCCGCGTATCTCGCCATGCAGGAAAAGGAACTGGCCGCTATCGCTCCTAAGGAGGAGACCCCAGTCGCCACCACAAAGGGCAAGAAGTCGAAAGATAAAGAGAAAGAGAAAGAGGCCGCAGTTCAACAGGGGATCAACTATGATTCGAAAGGCTACAACCAAATCTACGAGCAAATCTGGAGGGACATGGCCAGGAAGGATATTCCAAAGGTCTATCGGATCAAGCAAGTGTCTCTCAGTACCAAACAAGAAAACCTGCGCAAGACCGCCATTCTGGCAAGCAAACAAGCGCGCAAATGGCAGGAACGTACAAACAAGAGCATGAAAGATACCCAAGCACGGGCCAAGCGTGTCATGCGTGAGATGATGTCGTTCTGGAAGCGCAACGAACGTGAAGAGCGCGATCTCCGGCGAATGGCTGAGCGAAAGGAGATCGAAGATGCGAAGAAGGCTGAGGCTGACCGCGAAGCCAATCGACAGAAGCGAAAACTCAACTTTCTCATCTCACAGACAGAAATTTACTCCCATTTCATTTCACGCAAGGTCAAGACAGACGAGATCGAGCAGTCGACCAATGACCCTGACATTGCTGGCTCTGGGGAGAAAACAGAGCGTTCTGGTGCGAGGGAAAACCGTGCTATGGATAGTATGACGTTGTCAAAGGAGCATGGTAATCACAAAATGACGAGCTTTGAGGATCTCGATTTCGACGCCGAAGACGACTCGGACCTGAAGAGAGCCGCAATGGCCAATGCGGCCAGCGCTTTGCAGGATGCACAGGACAAGGCTCGGAACTTCAATGGCGACGACCCTATGGCTGCATTCGACTCCAGCGACATGAACTTCACAGACCCGACCATGGCAGGAGACGTCCAAGTTTCTCAACCCAAAATGCTGCAAGCTCAACTCAAGGAATACCAGCTTAAAGGTCTCAACTGGCTGGTCAACCTCTACGAGCAAGGCATCAACGGTATCCTGGCAGACGAAATGGGTCTCGGCAAGACTGTACAGTCTATCTCGGTCATGGGCTATCTGGCGGAGCGTCACAATATCTGGGGTCCTTTCCTGGTGATTGCTCCTGCTTCAACATTGCACAACTGGCAACAAGAGATTACGAGGTTCGTGCCAGCAATCAAAGTCTTGCCCTACTGGGGTAATGCAAAGGACCGGAAAGTTCTGCGCAAATTCTGGGATCGGAAACACGTCACCTACACAAAAGACTCGGAATTCCACGTGCTTGTCACGTCGTACCAGCTCGTCGTCCAAGATGCACAGTACTTCCAGAAGATCCGATGGCAGTACATGATCCTCGATGAAGCTCAGGCCATCAAATCCTCTAGCAGCTCCAGATGGAAGACTTTGCTTGCTTTCCAGTGCCGGAACCGTCTCTTGCTTACTGGTACCCCGATCCAGAACAACATGCAGGAATTGTGGGCATTGCTTCACTTCATCATGCCGACTCTTTTCGATTCGCATGACGAATTTAGTGACTGGTTTTCCAAGGACATCGAAAGCCATGCACAGAGTAACACCAAGCTGAATCAGGACCAGCTGAAGCGATTGCATATGATTCTGAAGCCATTCATGTTGCGCCGTGTCAAGGCACATGTGCAGAAGGAGCTTGGTGACAAAGTCGAGAAAGACGTCTTCTGCGACCTCACCTACAGACAGCGAGCGTACTATGCCAATCTGCGTAGCAAGATCAGCATTATGGACCTGATCGAAAAGGCGACTTTGGGTGACGACCAAGATACGGCTACGTTGATGAACTTGGTGATGCAGTTCCGTAAGGTTTGTAATCACCCCGATCTTTTCGAACGAGCCGACACTACTTCACCCTTTTCGATGTCTTGTTTTGCGGAGACCGCCTCATTCCTTCGAGAAGGCTCTTTCGTCCAGCTTGCCTACTCTGTTCGTAACCCGATACAATACGATCTGCCACGAGTCCTCTGCAATGACGTGGGCCGACTTGATATTGCCGGACCCAACAATGCTCGCGCTGGCTTCCGCCGGGCTGGCTTCAAGACTGATCGACTAGGCGGTCTAATGAAGATCTGGACTCCTGAGCATATCAAGGACTCTGCGGAGCATGACGGTGCGTTCTCCTTTCTGCGATTCGTCGACACGTCAATTGGTGAAGCGGCCTATGCAAGCGAGCATGGTGTCTTTGAACGTGCTATCAAGATCAAGCAACAGCACCGCAATCTGCCATTGAACGACAACGGAGAAGCAGATTGGCGCGTGCACGCCTTGTTCAATATTGTGGAAAACAGTCCTCGGCTGCCACTTGCTGAACTCGATCCTAACTCGAACCTTGCTCAGCTTTGCCACGTCTCGAGACAGTCTCTGGACGATCAAGGCTATTCTGTCTTTGAGCCGGCTGCTGCACCGAAAACCTCGGCTCCACCAATCGAGGTCAGCGCTTTTGACCAGTCGTCACAATCTGAGCGGCTGTTGACCATGTTCAACATGAACGTGCGAAGCACCTTCTTCCCGCTTGAGGAGAACTTTGAAGAGAAGCTGCTGGACCAAGACGTGGCTCCAGAGCACTTCCCTGTCTCAGGCCTGCTACCCAAGCCGGAATCCCAGAAGGCCCGGTACACCCACATCTCGATTCCTTCCATGCGCAGATTTGTCACAGACTCCGGCAAACTCGCAAAGCTGGATCAACTGCTACGGGAGCTCAAGAACGGTGGCCACCGAGTCTTGCTCTACTTCCAGATGACACGCATGATCGACCTTATGGAAGAGTATCTCACCTACCGTAATTACAAGTACTGTCGTTTAGACGGTAGTACCAAACTGGAAGATCGTCGTGACACTGTACATGACTTCCAGACGAGACCGGAGATTTTCATTTTCCTGCTGTCGACTCGTGCTGGTGGTTTGGGGATCAACCTGACTGCTGCTGACACGGTCATCTTCTACGACTCTGACTGGAATCCAACCATCGACTCCCAAGCCATGGATCGAGCACACAGATTGGGTCAAACGAAACAGGTCACAGTCTATCGTCTCATCACTCGTGGTACGATCGAAGAACGAATTCGTAAGCGTGCCATGCAGAAGGAAGAAGTGCAGCGTGTCGTTATCACTGGTGGTGACGGTGCCGGCGTTGACTTCAACACCCGAGATCGACGCGAGAACAGAACCAAAGATATCGCCATGTGGCTTGCAGACGATGACCAGGCCGCCCTGATCGAGCAGAAGGAGAAGGAAAATGCCGAAAAGCCGGAGGACGAAGGCAAGAAGAAGAGCAAGAAGGCACAAGCTGCTGCAGCCAGGAGGCGAAAGGCTGAGATGAGCCTTGACGACATGTATCATGAAGGTAAGCATTACAAGACTCGAGTGAGCCAGACTCGTCGTAACTAACAACTTTTTGCAGGCGAGGGACATTTTGAAGACGGCTCACAGAAACCATCAGGAGCAGCTACGCCAGTCAGCAGTGCTGAAACGCCAGCACCGCAGAAGGGCCCAGGTTCCCGAGGCGGTAAAGGCATCAGCAAAAAGGCAAAGACAGCTAAACAACGCCTCGCAATTATTGACGCCGAAGGTGATTTGGGAATGGGTGGTGGAATGTGAGGACTGAAGCCTGCTTTGCCTCGTCGAATAACCGAAACACGAGAGTAATCAGTGTTGGGGTGCACAGGACACCGCTTGGAATATTGTATTTGTGTATGATTATGGAATATTGGTCTCGACAATGTTTTTTTTCTCCAAAAGCATTGGGGGGCCTTGCATGGATTTGCATTGCGCAAGCAACACAGCGGGTACTGCCAGGTACACTGAGGGATATTGAGCTTCATCCTCTCCTGGACAGCTGGCTTGTACTGATATTTGCTTGCTTTCAGAAACAAAGGGCTGGAGAGCATTATGGCCGCTGTGTTATTGTTATTTTCGACTTGCCGGTACAAAAAGGGAGACACTTGAGCATAGAACATGGACAATACACAAAGGCATCTGTCCAAGTGATATTGCGGACCGGTTTGACCGGAATAGATGGATTTCCGAGCTTTGACTATGGCGTTCCAAGAATCTTGTGCCTTGGGACAGGCACGTAGGCAGGATAGGAGACCTCTACGAGCAAGGAGTGTGCTGTAGGTGCGTCGTCTATCTTTTTGACATCACCACTACTCGTAGAAGGCAGTTATCAAATCCCATTGCATCATGATGATCTTCGCAGTGTCTCCGCCCAGTGTCTGTCCAGGATATGCGTGGGTACGGTATGGGGACGTCACGATTTGAACAGAGTTGAATCTCCTGCGAGTGCGAGTAGTAAGCTATCATAGAAAAACTTTGTTAGAGCACGCCGCTCCTGCCGTCATTATTGGCGAATAGATACAGTATCTATATAGTATCGTTATATTTCGATGATGTGTGGAAATGTCCGAAAAAAGGATATTAGGATTCATTGCGCATCCGCATCGCTCCTTACGTCCATATTTGAGCCTCATCTACGGAGTACGTAATTTCTAGCGCATAGGACAACTTCACAACATCCACCCAGAATCGCCAACATGGGTCAGTCAACGCTCGACCTCATCGACACTGCGGTCATCACAGGCGGTGCTGGGGGCATTGGTCGAGCCATTGCCGAATCACTCCTCCGACACGGCAAGAAAGTCGTCATCGCCGGACGTACCGAGTCGAAGCTGAAGCAGACGGCATTGGAGATTGGTGCAGCGGCATACTATGTACTCGACACCGGCAAGAGCGATGCCGTCGCGGACGTGTCCCAAAAGATCCTGTCCGACCATCCGGACGTGAACTGCCTGATCAACAACGCCGGCGTGCAGAGACCGTTCCAATTCCCCAACATCAAGGACGATCAAGAGTACTCGTTCGACTTGGACAAAGCCGACGCCGAGATCGACATCAACATCCGCGGGCCCATGCACTTGACGCTGCGGTTCCTGCCGCACTTGACGACGAACCTGCCAGCTGGTAAGAAGGGCGTCATCATCAACGTGTCGAGTGTCCTGGGCTTTCTACCGAGCAGTGTGATCAACCCGGTGTACAACGGGACGAAGGCGTGGGTGCATTTCTTCACGATGAATCTGAGGACGCAGTATGCGCAGTCCGGCAAGTTGAGGGTCGTCGAGATTGCGCCGCCGACGGTGAGCACGGATCTACATCGCGAACGGACCGATCCAAGGGACAATTCCAAGGAGAAGAATCAGGCTGCACTGACTTTGGACGAGTTTATCAGTGACGTGGAGCAGGGGTGGAAGGAAGGGAGGGAGTTGATTGCACCTGGACCGGCCGGAGCGGTGGTCGGGGAGTGGGTGAAGGCGTACGGTGAAAGATATCAGAAGGCGACTGGTGGCAAGTAGGTCTGGGGCTGTGATGGCGCTTCTGTGAGCCTACACATGAAGAATAGACTTGGGCCTGAAGGATTTTGTCAAATATGGGATGACCAGGCTCAGCCTTGCAACGGGCGTGTTCAGCCTGGTCGAGAAAAATACAGTACAGGTGTTCCAACCCTAGGACGTCTCGATTACTCAAGCCTCGTCTCGCCTCGCTGACAGTTGCTCGTTTCGCTATCGTGGGTATATGCGTCCCAAGGGAAAGCAACGTTCATTAGTTGGATTGGTTTCAGCAGCTTCTCGCGAAAATGGCCTTCGACGTGACTCGGCCGAGCCGAAAGCCTCTCAAAGCGATCATCTCCGTTGTTCGCAATGTCTTTGGCATCCATAAATGACAATGAGTGGCATGAATGCCACGGTAAGCAGCCATGACAGTACCAAAAAGCGTCATCTCCACCAGGAAGTCTGCCCGGCACTCAGTGTTACGAGTAGGTGACGAGCAGGAGAAGAACGATTTGATGAAGGTGGAAATCTCCGTCTCCCAGCAGCAAGCAGAAATCTGACGAAGATGATGGGCCTCTGCTCAGTCACGACATACCCTTGCTCTGTTACCAGCTACCCTCGAAGTGCATCCTGTGCCTGGACGACGAAGAAATGGCAGGGCGTTGGTTCTTCTATGCTCCTACGGGAAGAACAGGCGAGCAAGCTCCCGTCTATCACTGCCAACGACTGCTAGTATGCGCAGCGCAACTTACAAACCACCAAGCAACGAATCGACAGGAGGTTAGTGAGTCACACAAGCATCTGTGGCTCTGAAGATCAGCTTCTCCTCCCTGCGCTGGTCCCGCGCACCTTCCCCCAGCGAGATAGATCGTCAAGCCACCACAATGCCTCATCCACTGGCCGGGCATCTCCTTGATCTATCCTACAAATGTCAAGCAGCCACCCTGGTCGACTATACGAGTACCGATAACGAGGATCCAATGCCCATCTCCACTCGCCACATGGCACTTACCGTCGAGCGCCGTCAAAGGCCAGAGATAAGAACATCTAAGCTTTACTCGTATTTCATTACGATCTTGTAAAGGCTCTCTCAATACCATCCAGAGCACTATATACATCATGCTCATCCCAGTCAAGGTAACACGGACAAGGTGATATATGATTCGGGACTCCCCAATCTACCTTCTCCGTCCTTTTCCTTTCCTTTCCTTCTCCTGCTCCGTGACAAGCTTTGGTGATACTTTCGCATACCGCATCGGTTGTGGCACAACATGGCTCCACGGCGACTCTCGTCCATTGTCCATGGCGGCAAACAGAGCGAAGCCTTCGACCCAACGTTGGGAAATGAAGCACAACTTGCCAAACTTGGCTATGAGCAAGGTATGTGACCGATAACTCTCCAGTACCTCGCATCCAATATACTTATGTTCCCTCCAGAGCTCAAACGGTCCTTCTCTCTGCTTGGAATGGTCGGCTTCAGCTTCTCCATCGTCACTTGCTGGACTGCCCTCGGAGGCACACTGATCTTGGGCATCGTCTCTGGGGGCCCTCCCGTCATGGTCTGGTCCTGGCTCGGCATATGCGTACTGTCGCTAGCCGTCGCCTACTCGTTCGCAGAAATGTGCTCGGCCTATCCTACCGCGGGTGGCCAGTACAGTTGGGTCGCCATCCTCGCCCCGCCTCGTTACGCTCGCGGTGCCGCCTGGGTGACCGGTTGGTTCATGTGCACTGGGATCGTTGCAATGGGAGCAGTCAACAACTTCGTCAGTCTCTTTTCTTTTCCCTACCACTCCCCCCCCTTTTCACACATCGGCCCCTGACTTTTCCTCTCGCAGATCGGATCCAATTTCCTCCTCGGCATGGCCAACCTCAACTACCCAGACTACGAAATCCAGCGCTGGCAATGCGTGCTGGTCACGTATTTGATGGCCATCGCCGCGGCGCTCGTCAACATCTTCCTGTCCCGCTACTTGAACCAAATCTCCACCTTCGCCGTGATCTGGAACATCCTGTCCTTTTTCGTCGTCATAATCACCATCCTCGCCTGCAACGACCACAAACAATCCGCCAGCTTCGTCTTCAAGGACTTCCAGAACGACACAGGCTTCTCGTCGGGTGGCATGGCAGTCATGCTTGGCCTCTTAAACACCCTGTTCGGCATGTGCTGCTACGACGCGCCCGCCCATATGACCGAGGAGATGCTCAACCCGGCCAAAGAAGCGCCCCAAGCCATCATCCTGTCCGTCTGGCTCGGCGCAGTGACGGGCTTCATCTTCCTGATATCGGCCTTCTTTTGCATCGGCGACCTCGAAACCACCGCGACGACATCGACCGGCGTCCCGCTCATCCAGATCTTCTACGACAGCACCGGAAGCGTCAAAGGCGCCACCACCCTCGCAGCCCTGATCACTGTCATCGTGCTCATCTGCGCGAACTCGCTCATGGCCGAAGGAAGTCGTGCGCTGTGGGCCTTCGCTCGCGACCACGGCTTACCATTCAGCAGCTTCTTCGACAGAGTCAACAAGAAATCCCAGGTCCCCGTGAACAGCATCATCCTATGCCTGTTAATCCAGATGGCCCTGAACAGTATATACTTTGCAAGCTACGAGGGTTTCAGCACCGTCATATCGATCGCCACATTCGGCTTCTATATCTCCTATGCCATGCCCCTATTCGTCCGGCTGTGGAGTTACTTCACCGGCCATGAGAAAACCATTCCTGGCGCGTACACGCTGGGCAAATGGAGTCCACTTGTCAATGCGATTGGACTATTGTTTTTGGTCTTCGCCGGTATCGATTTCAATTTCCCTCAAGTCGGCCCCGTCACTGGGGATAATATGAACTACTGCAGCGCGGCATTCGGAATCATCGGGCTCATCAGCGTCGTTACTTGGATCTTCGATGGCAGGAAGCACTTCACGGGCCCGCAAACAGGTGTAATGAGCGCGGTTGAGGCTGAGGATCGAGGTTTGCCGCTGGGCGTTGGTGTGGTGGCCGAAAAAGACAGCAGTGTTGGAGGGAGCGACGGAGCTACGAGCAAGGAGAAAATTCCTCATAATGCTGATAAAATAGCTTGATCCGGAAAGGACTGAGTTCTCTCAGATTTGTAATATCTGTCTGGCTGTAGTGGCTGCATAGAATAGTAGTATTAGTCACGTTGTCTGAGAAGCATCTGTAGCACAAACGACCCCATATTTCGCCAACGCTGCAATTGGAAATGTAAGCAACAACAACTTTTGCCCTGGGATACAGCTCTTTCTTTCCCTCCCCATGCCAATTCCACCATTATTGTCCGTTCCTCGTGGAAATGGTTATCGTGGGAGATACAAATTTCGTGGAATAAATGGAATCGCAGTCGGCGCCTTTGGACGATTGACCAGCGTGGCTGTTGTCCGCTTTAGGCTTCCGTCGTCGTCACTATCTCCATCTTCATCTTCGGCCAAGTCGAAGATAGACCCACGCTGCTTCTTCTTTCTCCGGTCGTTCAATGGTGTGCTTGTTCTCCGCTTAAGTCCATGCCCCCTTTGCAGCGTCTGCAAGCTCATGTCGTGATGCCTTTCTCCATCTGGGTCGGACAAATCCGCGATTGGGTTCTCGCCTCGGGCAGGAGATGATGGAATGATATCAGCCGTGAAGGACAGATTCTCGTTCCCGCCCGTGTCTTCCTCTGGTCGCTTCCCAGATCGGGTATTGGCGGATTTATTAGCAGCAGTGGGGACTTTGGCGCGCGACTCCCCGTGTGCACTGTAACTCATCGGAGGCATGGATCTGGCTCGCCTGCACAGACTTCTTTGAGGTGTCGCTGTAGGAGGTCTTCCTACCAGCTCCTCCACTTGACTGTCAGTGTCTTTCGCTGAATGTTCTCTCCCTGTCGAGCAGGGTATGATGACCGATAATTGATCACCCCTGATGTTTCCGTGCGGTCTTTGGACGTGTTGATCTTGAGGCATGAATGGTGGGGACACTGTCCTTGCCCTACAGTGTCTCGGATTTGTTTCTTCGCTTTTGCCCCAGAACCTCGACGATAGGTCAAATTCTTCTCGTGTAGCGGATCTTACTGTGCCATCTACGCTACGTCGAGAGCTCGTACCCCACATATCGATTGCCTGAAGAACTTCGTCAGATAGCCTCCTCTTCGGATCCCTCTTGGGCCAAAATGTCAGGTGCATGTTTCTCGGGAATGGCTTGTATGGTGGTTCGACTGGCTTCTGGTTCCGGCCCAGCCATCTTCTGCCAAAGTCTTGGAGGTCTGTCGGTCGTGACATATACTTGTATGTGACACCACCCTCCTGAAAATCAATCAGTGGAGACTTTGGCGCCCGTGGATGCCAGTGCTTGACCGTCCTCTGGTAAAGGTCCTCAAAATCATTCTTATGCATGCCATTCGAAAACCATGGGTGTTTCAAGGATTCGTCGGCTGACGGTCTTGCTGTCTCGTCAAGCACCAAAAGCTTCTCGACGAAGTCTTTTGGCCTCTCTCTGACTTTCCGCCATTCCTGCGAGTCCTGAAGGAATCTTAAATCGCATTCTCTGGCAAGCTTCTCCGAGTACGTGTTCGTGGAGGGATCGCAGAAGGCCAGTCCACCTGTAAGAAGAACGACAGCAACACAACCGAGAGACCACATATCGACTGCGCGTGTGTAGCCAGGTCGTGCCGTTTGCTGTCTGTCGCGTGGCTGTCTTAAGGTCTCACTGTCGAGCTGTCAGTGTGCTGTTACATGCGAGGGCAGGGTACATACGGCGCAGCATACTCGCGGGTCCCCAAGACTGTATTCATGCGAGACCGCGGAGCAGCAATACGGCGTGCAGCACCAAAATCCGTCAACACCACGCGACATCCGGCAGACAAGCTCGTCATAAGAATGTTCTCTGGCTTAATGTCTCGGTGCACAATGTTGTTATTGTGAAGGAAAGCTAGAGCGACAAGTATTTGTCGAATGATGACAGCCGCTTCAACCTCGAGGAGCCGGCCGTTCTTGGATTCGATGTAAGAGAACAGATCACCTGCGGTGACAAGGTCCTGCATCATATACCTGATCGCTCAGTTTGTGGAGAAAGTCGGTTTGGAAAGAGTGATGCCTTACACTGTGTTTTCCATCACGTAAACTTTCTCGATTCCGATAATATTAGGCTGCGTATCAAGTCAGCTTGTTAACGGGATCCATTGAATAGCTTACATGGCTGATCGAGGCCAGTATCTCGACCTCTCGGAAATATAGCCTCAATTTGTCTTCCAGCCGATCCTCTCGTTTCTGCTGATCGCCCCAAGCCTTGACTTTCCGGAGCTCAGCTCGAAAGTCGACGTCTTCCGCCGCGGCCGGTTGATCCGGAGGTCCAAAGTTGAAAGGTTTTCCGATAAGCTTCCGCAGATCGACAATCTTACACGCGACCTGTGCTCGTGCGTGTTGTTCAATTGCCATGAAGACCCTGCCGAAGGTTCCAGCGCCCAACAATCTGTCTGTTATGACATACTGGTTGCGGAAACGCTATCATTGTCAGTGCCCACGGATCACTGGTACCAGTGCTGAATCATACCCCCATCTCCAGCTCCTGCGTAAGGTCGAAATTGAGATTTGACGAGCTGTCAGTCACTCCACTGAAAACGAGACTCGTCCGGGAGCTCAGTCTTAGAACGTCTTGGTCACTCAACAAGTAGCCACCATTTCCCTTACCGATGATGGAGCCATTCCAATAGGTGCCGTTTTGGGACAAATCCTCGGCGTAGATCAGAGTCTCCATTTCATTGGGTTCGTCATCCTCATAGACGACTGTGTAGATTCTGACGTGTTTTTGCGAGACACAAGGATCATCTATGACATACTGACAACGGGCCTTGTCACGACCGATGATTATTTCTTGGTTCGCATATATCTTTTTCCCTGCAAAGGCTAGTATAGCAGAACCGAGCAAGTTGCAAAGGGAGAGATGACGCACGAGCAAGTACTTGTCCTTTGTCGTTTTTGTGGATGAAGGTGCCAGCCACAAGTGGCCTTGAGGAGGAACACAGGTTACTGCTTACACGATGAACACCAGAACAAGGAAGGAAAGTCATGGTCGAAAGGGACAAGGATTGCTCAAGAAGAAAATGAAACAGAACAACAATCAACAGCAATGAAATCGAGATTCATCAGAGGCAGGCGTCCACGAAGCTGTCATTCAAATTAGCAGAGAGAGATGGCACAAGAAGCAGTACAGGGAGGCATCATTGCTTTGAAGGCGAGAACGAGGTCTTCGAGGGGGAGAAAGTGAACAGTGAACCAAGGAAGTCACGATGGAGGACAGCCCATGACAGCCAAAGACCACACACGAATCAGGACTAGCCTAAGCACGTGAGTTGCGCAAACATGCCAAGATCACAAAAACACACAGTTGTTCTTGCCTCTAAAATGTCCCCCGCAGCAGTTCCCGTTCGTTCTCATTCTCCCATCCAGCCAACTCATCCTCGACTAAATCTGTATGTCCTGACCATCTGCACCTGCAACTGTATAGTTGCTGGTCACCTTACCGATGCAATGAATACCTGTTAACCTCTTCTAGTCGAATTTGAACGAAGATGAGAGCCAAATGGAGAAAGAAGCGAGTTCGTCGCCTCAAGCGTAAGAGAAGGAAGACTAGAGCCCGCAGGTATGTCAACATCTTCTCCAGGAATCCGTTCAGCTCATTGACCTCTCCTGCAGCAAGTAATCGCATCAACTGCTCCATCACGTCTTCCCTCTCGACCAACGTCAATGATTCTTCAATGTTGAGCTAGACTCGACTACTATCAACGGCAGCTCCCATTCGAACAACACCTACTCCGGCGGCGTGTCAACAATCGCTATGGATGGAAAAGTGTTCGGCAGAAGAATCGGCCTTACCGTTATGGCTTTCACAGATGTGATTGTCGTGTAAGAGGAGTGGAGGACGGTCAATCCCCAATGGAGCTTTCTGATGGATTGCTTATGATGTCTTGGACATACCACGAAGGTTTTGGAACGAAGAAGCACTTCAGACAACATCTCAAATGCCCAAAGACTCTGGCTCACTACAAAACAGAGCTTCAATAGCTATCGAGTGCTACTCCAATGTCGTGTGCCGATGTTGGACTTGCACCGAAATGTCAATGAATGCTTTGAGCTCTGAACAATGTTTCCCTGCGTAGAATCTCTCCCTGTCCATTGCACTTCTCGTCATTTGATCCCTCATTCCTCTATTCCTCTGTCCGTGGGCTTTCATTGCTCTCAATTGCATTGTGTCGTGCAGCGACTGTGTGTGACGTTTGTGGGGCGGATCCAAGTTACCTGCGCGCAAATTCGGGGGATCCACCCAAAATTATTTTTCGAAGTTGGAGATCTCGACAGCATCTCAAAGTCTTTGAGCGCAGTCTCTCCTTACCAGCGATTCCATTCCTTTCTAAAACATCTCAAGTACTCGGCACGATGGTGGAAAAGAAGCGTAAAGCAGGCTCACAAGAGAGCGAAAGGCCTGCCAAAAAGAGCCAGACCAACAAAGTCAAGGTCACTCACTTGTCGAGTGCAGACATCGCCAAACCAGTCGTCGGTAAGTCCCACGACACACACACACCCCCTGTGTACTGCGATCACACGGTCTTCTCTACAGCCTCACTAACACTCATCAAACAGCACACTCTCCCGGCGTCGACCTCCCGTCAGACGTATCGTTCGATGCCTATTCCAAGAAATCCGCCTCGGGCCAGCAGTCCACCCTGCTCCTCCAGTCCTCCACACATCCAACGATAGACTACCTAGCGACAGAAAGCAGCACCACATCCATTGGCGACAAACACGTGAAACAATACATTGCCATCTTCGACCCGTCGACGAACAATCTGAGCGTGATCCCTGCCAAAAAGATGACGGTCCGCTCCAGCGTGCGCCAACTCCCCTCCGCCTCGACCGACGACTCCGCCGCAGCAGACGCTTCAGACGCGGACGCAGACGCAGACGGCGAACCCTCAACCAAACCACCACCACCACCGACACCGTCCTCCCGCGCCGCTCTGACCGAAGCCTTCGGGACCAAGAAATCGAAGAAGGCCGTAGCAGCCATCGCCGAGAACCGCCTCCTGGCCCGCAGCGCGGACACCAACGCCAACGACCCTCTCTCCAGCGCCATCCTCTCCTCCATCCAAGAAGACGACAACAACGCAGACCCATCCCTCTCCCTTTCGACCTCGACCTCGACCCCAGACAGCCGCGCCAACAAACCCCTTCCCCAACCCGACCTCACCGCCACCGACATCAACCAATTCTACCCGTTATCCTCGCTCATCTTCCCGGGCCCTCCGCGCACCACGCTCTCCCAGATGCCCATCGCCGCCTGGCGCGACCGAATCTCTTCCGGCAAAGAAATCCAAAGCCGCTTCCGCTACATCGCCCACCGCGTCGCCGGCCTGGTCCAACTGCACATCAACCACCCCGACGACCGCTCCGTGCTCGAGAAGCTCCAAATCCTCCGCTACATCCAACTCCTCCTCGAACTGCACACGTACATATCCCGACTGCCCAGCCGCAATCGGGCGATCCCACCTCCGGAGAAATGGCCCGCAAACACGACCTCGGACACGTCCCTCAGCGCGGCCTTCCAGTACAAACTCGTCGGCGCTTTGTTCCCGTCGTACCTGCCCACGAACCAGGCAAAGACGCTCTTGATCACCACGATCCTCGCCCTGACGCTACACGTCCCGCCGCCGAAGTGGGCTCCAGGCCAAGAATTGAGCGTCCTCATCACCGAGCCAAGCGATATCCATCTCGACCTGGCACTGCCGGGGGCGGAAGTGACCAAATACTTCCGCGAATTGGGATGTAGATTGGAGAGTTTAAGCGATGCTGAGTTGACCAGATATGGCTGGGAGAAGGTGGGCAAAGCTCGGAAAAAGGTTGATTCCGAAGGCAAGGAAATCACCATTCCCAAGGCAAAGTTCGCGAAGCTCAGGTTTCCGGTCGAGTTTCCCAAGATCAGTGCGGGACGGCCGGGCAGGAGGTAAAGGACATTAGTTGACAAATATCGGTTTATTCGGGAGTTGTAGTCTTCTGTCATCTTTTCTTCCAGGACAAAGCCTATGACGAGCCAGGTGTCTCATTAAAAAGGATCCAAAGTGCAGCTGGATAGAATGGGTAGCCAGATGCTTTGCACCATCCCAAGCAAGACTATTAGACTGTGCAACGCGGTATGACCAATGTGCTCCACTACGGTATTGGAATATCGAGACGAGAGCAATCACAAGCACACTATCTGCAGAAGATCGAAGTATCATGTAGAACGGTAAATGGCCATCTATACGATAGATGACGATTCATATTCTCTTCTTCCAAGTCAACCCCATATAAGAGCCAACCAGGAAGGCAAAGATTTTAGATATAGAAGCTGACAAGCCGGACATTTGCCCACACTCGGGCAAGGAATTGCTATTCTTCCACGGTCTTCCCCTTTGACGACCTCATCGTCCTCGATTGCACAGTAACTGCTTCTGCATGAGGGCGAGCACTTCCTCAACCTCGTTACAGGAAGGAAAGCTCAAGCCGCAGCAGCCGCAATGGGCATGACGCGCTCTTCGGTCGCTTCATCCACAGCCGCCGGCTCGGAGACGTCCGCAGCATGAGCAAGCTGGGCGTCAGTCCAAAGTGGCTCGACTAGGGCAGCATCCTTGACACCAACGCCGACAAAGCCACCTTGAGTTTCCCAGTCTGCAATGCGGTTGATATTCAGACGCTGCCAGACGTTTTCAAGAGCATCGACCAGTTCGGCTTTCAAGTCCGCCGTGTGGCCGGGAGTAGGTGTAATGCGGAGCCTTTCCTCTCCGCGAGGAACGGTAGGGTAATTGATTGACTGGACGTAGATGCCATAGTCAGTCAGAAGCATGTCGGACGCTTGCTTCGCAGTCTCGGCATCGCCGACGAGGACGGGCACGATGTGAGAAGGGTTAGGTATGACCGGGATTCCACGTCCAGTGAGTTCATCCTTCAAAGCTCGAGTGTGCAACTGTTGGAGCCGTCGGTCTCCTTGATACCTTGCCTGGTACTCAATTGCAGTACGAGCACCAGCCATTGTGGCGGGTGGAAGACTGGTGGTGAAGATGAAGCCTGGGGCAAGAGAACGGACAGTGTCGACAAGAGCTGCCGAGCCAGCGATGTAGCCACCGACGCAGCCATATGCTTTACCCAGTGTGCCAGTGATGATGTCGATTCTGTCCATGACACTGCCCTTCTGAGAATCCTTGGTCCGGTTGGGGTTGGCATAGATGTCGTAGTCCAGGTGCTCGGCAACACCAGCACCTCTCGGCCCGTACATGCCTACAGCATGGACTTCATCCAAGAAGGTGATGGCGCCGTACTTGTCGGCCAAGTCGCAGATGGCTTCAATGGGTGCGACGGAGCCGCACATGCTGTAAACAGACTCGAAAGCAATGATTTTGGGTTGTTCAGGAGGAAGGCTGGCCAGCTTCGTCTCCAGGTCGACCAGGTCGTTGTGCTTGAAGACCATCTTCTTTGCGCCTGAATGACGAATGCCTTGGATCATGGAGGCATGATTCATGCTGTCGCTGAGAATAACGCAGTCGGGCAATTTGCTGCCCAGAGTGGCCAATGTAGCATCATTAGCGACGTAGCAGGAAGAAAAGACTAGAGCTCCATCCTTGCCATGAAGATCAGCTAATGTCTTTTCCAAAGCCACCGCATGTTGGTTGTGGCCGGAGATATTTCTAGTTCCTCCAGCACCAGCTCCATACATGTCCAGAGTCTCGTGCATGGTCTTCAAGACGTGTTTGTTCCGACCCATGCCAAGGTAGTCGTTGGAGCACCAGACGGTGACGCGTTCCTCTGGGACCGCCATATGCGCACGAGGGAACTCTTTCGCAAGTCGATTGATGTTATTGAAGTAGCGGTACGATTTGTCCTTGTGCTTCTTGTCCAGCTCATTGTGATAGAAACCGTCATAGTCGAAGCGAGGAGTCGGGGGGGCACTGGGCTTCAGACCAGCGTAAGTGTCGGGCTTCTTGACGAAGGACTGCACCTTTTGAGGAGGTGGAGCTTCGAAATGTTAGCATTGAGCGAGTAAAAGACAAACGTTGAGGGTCGTACCTTGCTGAGCAGGACGGAACGTGTTGGTGTCGACACTGGCCTTTTTCTCAGCCGAGGTGTGCAATTTCTTCTCGAGCAATGACTTGACGACGCCAGTACCAGCGGCAACCTTGCCATAGTTGCGTTGACCAAGACGAGCGCTCTGCACAGCCAGAGCCTTGTTCATTACGGGGCAACGTCTCGCAATGAACTGCAGGTTGGTGATGGTGCCGCCACCAGGAGATTGGCGAGTGGAGGTGGAGAGGGAGCGCAAAGTGGCAGGCGAGGTCTTTTTCAAGAAGGGACAGACACCCTTGGATTGGTGTAGGAGGGCCTCCATGATGAGGTTGGAGGTGTCGACAGAACGGACGTCAAAACGAGGAAGGAGTAGAGGAAGCAGAGGAGGGGAGGGAATGTGGGTGAGGAATCTGAGAGAAGTTCCGACAGTAGGTGTAAGAAGAGTCTACTCCGACTAGTATTTCATGGCAGCAATATGGGGTCAGCAGCTGAGCGACTCGCCGAGTGGGCGAGATTCATCGCTCTTCTCGCTCCCCACCAAGAGCCAACCGCCAACCGAGCCACTTGAGCCAACTCGTCAACTCGCCAACTGCTTGGACTCGGACTCTTGAGAGCCCCCATCATGCCCCTAAGCCTACTAGGTAGTGACTAGCCAATCCCGTGCTTTGGATTTCTTGCGCACATTCTTCGGCCTCGCTCGATTCTACTCTTTTCGATCATTGTTGTTCTGGCAGGTTTCTCCTTCTGACTTCGTCTACGAGTACCGGAAGTCCATTTTGCCATCAAGGCTCGCTGTGGAGTGCCAACTACTGTCTGTACTGACATACAGGAGCCTCACCTCTTTTGCCTCCCCTGCAAATGATTGCCTCGTGTCAGATGTTTGCAAATTGAGGCTCCATGATTGGGTCAGCGTGGGCTGAATCATTTTCCGAGCTCCGGCACTTCCACACCGAAAAACGTCGCTTGACGCGGAGACCGCCCTGCAGGTACAATCTTACAGCCTTCTCGGCTTCCTTTCTTGCTTAGTCATACTGGTCAAAAAAAGGATATACGCGTTATTGTCCATGATTTCCGTGATGATATGAGCCGCCGATCGTCTACGACATCAATACCGGCTAAGGGATCCTGTTCTTGTGCGGTAGGTAAATGATGGGCGTGGATGTTCTTTATCGTCATCAAATCTGGTTGGCTGGACGCTTGTAGGCTGAACCAACACATCAGTTGGGGGATACCTTCACATATGCCATAATTCGTCTCCGGCTCGTAGAGCAAGTACCACTGCAAACATTCGGGACTGGAGATGGTGAGCGAAGATTGACAGCACGACGTATATTGGTGGCCCTACCAGTGTAAATCATTTCCGTGTCGATACAGCGTCTTGGTACATTTGCGGCACTTTTGAAAGCCGAGCGTCACTATAATTGACATGGAGATCCTGCCCTTCGGTCTAACAAGACTGCTCCATGTCTGTCTCGTTATGAGAATACCCCTGCTGCCGTCCAGGTTCAAGTGATATAGATCCTTCCGCATATATTCATGAACCGGAGAATCCTTGAAATGCTCTCGGAGGAATCTGAAGAAGATGGTGGGGTACTGGCAGGTCGTGAAGGGTAGCTTCAGTAGTCGTCCGAAAGCATCTTCGAAATTGACATAGCCTCCTCCGAGTAAGGATATTGGACGTTCCACCGGACAAAGCAAGCGTATGAGGGCAGCCATTGCAGTCAGGAGGAGTCTTAGTGATGTTAGATTGCCCACCAGAAGGAGCGCGGAGCCTCGTGGAGATATTTCGAGCCTGCGCGGACTGTCGACGATATAGAATGCCACCAGTAACGAGGGGACAACCATCTGTTCGACGAGTCGGACGTCGTTCAGCGTTGTTTGTTGTAGGATTTCCTGGGCCAGGGATATTGGCCCGTTCTCGTCGATATAATTATCCAGAGTTCGAAAGGGACTCGTAGAGAAAACCGAACCCACGCTTGAATCACTTGAGAATTCCGCCGTTTCGGAATAGTTAGAAGCGCTCTGCATTTGAGACAAGGGAATGCGGACAGTCTCGACGGAACCTGGGCTAGCAAAGGTTGAGTTCTGCCCGTGATGTAGATGATCTGCTATGGTCTGCTGTACCATTTGCAAGTTTGTGATGCTACGGGTTTCCGACGGCGCGGTAGTGGCTCTGACTTGGTCGGAGATATCGAGGTTTTGCAGGCGATTGTCTTGCGTTGCTTGATGTACGTCAGCGAGTGAGTTGGAAATCTTGTCGCATAGCCTCCATGTCTCGTTCCGACCATGTTGTCCCGTGAGGCTGGATGTCATTATCATTAGTGGTCGCGCATCTCTAGCCAGTGCAGGCATTAGAGGACTTACACGACAGCATCAATAACGACAGCATCAATAACGACAGCATCA